GGAGAGATCTTGTCGGAGATCCGAGGGAGCTTCTTCAAGGAGGGTTTGTAAAGCTTGGTTTGCACTGTCGTCGTTTTGATCGGAGGATAGGATTCTTTCTTGGATGTCGAGGTCGATGAGGTTGATGAGATTGACGAAGACTTCTTTAGGTAACATGGTGACGAGTTCGGGTTCTTCATCTTCTTGGCAGAGGTCGGGTCGTCGAGAGAGGTTGTCAGATTGGATCATTTGTTTTCCAGGGGTGTTCCGTATTTCGTAAGGAGAGAATTCTTCGAGGAATACGCGCCAGCGAGCTTGTCGGGGGGTAATCTTCCGCGGATCTTGCCAATAGATAAGGTTTTTGTGATCGGAGAAGATGGTTAATGGGAAGGGGGACCCTTGGAGGTAGTGTCTCCATTCGGTAAGGGCTCGAATGATGGCCAGTAATTCGCGATCAAAGATGGTGTAGTTTCGTTCGGCATCGTTGAAGGTTTTGGACATGAAACAGACCGGGTGTCGGATTCCGTCGTCATCCATTTGCGTGAGGACGGCACCGGAAGCGTATTTCGAGGCGTCAGCTTCAACTTGGAAAGGTTTGGTGAAGTCGGGCATGCGGAGAACGGGGTAAGATGTGAATCGCTTCTTGAGTTCTTGGAAGGCTTCTTCGGTAGCAGTTGTCCATTCGAACTTGTTGTTCTTTCGTGTGAGGTCGTTGAGTGGTTTAGCAATCTTGGAGTAGTCTCGGATGAATCGTCGATAGAAGTTCCCGAAGCCAAGGAATTGTCGGACTTGTTTGACGTTTTTAGGTGTTGGCCAGTTGGCTAGGCCCTCCACCTTTGTGGGATCCATACTGAGTTCGTTATGTCGGACAATCAAACCCAGGTATTCGACTTCGGTGGCTTCAAATATGCATTTTTCGAGGTTGAGGGGGAGGTCGTATTTGTCGAGTTTGGCGAGGGTTCTTAATGTGTTTTCTCGACATTCTTCTCTGGTTCTTCCGTGGGGCATGAGGTCGTCCATATATCCTTCTGTCTTGAGAGGTTTGGGATTTCCGTCGTCTTCGTCGAGGATGTCGTTCATCATGTTCTGGAAGGTTGCTGGTGAGTTGCGTTTTCCGAAGAGCATGACAGTTGGTTCGTAGAGTCCTCGATTCGTCTTGAAGGCGGCTTTCCACTCATCTCCCTCTCGGATTCGAATATTGTGGTACCCCCATTTGATGTCCAGTTTGGTAAAGTACCGAGACCCTTGGAGTCGATCCATGAGTTCGTCAGTTCGAGGTAGTGGATAGGCGTTAGGGATGGTCCAATCGTTGAGATAGCGGTAGTCTTGGCAGGGGCGTAGTTTCCCGTTCTTCTTGGCGACGAAGAAAGAAGGTGATCCCATCGGAGATTGTGATGGGCGGATCCGTCCGAGTCGAGGGTTTTCTTCAAGGAACTTCTGTAGTTCTTGATCTTCGGCTGGGGTGAGTTGGTAAGTCTTGAATACTTTGGGAACGAATCCGGGTTTGAGGTCGATTTTGTGATCCCACTTTCTGTGAGGAGGAAGGGCTGTTTCTGGGCGATCTTCGAATAGGTGTCGATACTTCTTGTATGGTTCTGGAAGGATATCGTCGATAGTCTTCTTTTCTTTCTTTTCTTGGTTCTTGTGGCGGCCAGGAGTTGAGCTGTAGTGGTGTTTAGCGTTGATCCAGACGACAGGAGTTTCGCCCTCTTGGTCTGTTTCGTCTTCGAGAAGGCACATTACGGCGACGGTGGTTGTGTTTGGAGTGGAGAGGTTTGTTCGAGGGAGGTGATTTTCGATTTTACCGGGGTCGATCTTGTCTTGCCAATCGAGTGTTCCTTTCTTCCAGTCGATGATAGGGTTTGCACGACGGAGCCATGGGAGGCCCAGGATTAGATCTTGGTGGGCGATCTCTGTTGCATACCATCGGATCCGGAACGTTCGGCCGTGTAATCGAGCCAATGAGTCGACAAAATGAGTGATTGCTCCCTCCTTGTTTGGAGTTCCGTCAACATTGTTGACTTTGAGTGGTCGAGGTAATGGTCGAAGGGGAATGTTTCGTCGTTTTGCAAATCTTGTGCTGATAAAGGTTCCTCCTGCTGCGCTATCAATAAGAACTTTAGTGTCAACGGTTTTTCCTGTCTTTTCACCAATGAGAGTAATAGGGGCGCGCATAGTGTGGTCATTGATCTCGGTGACTAGTACAGAATAGATATCAAGCTGGGGGGAGGCGTACGTTGACTGAACCGCTCCCCGATTCAAAAATCCTTCTGGTTGTCGTCTTCGTCTTCATCGAGGGTGTCTCCAGCGGCTTCGAGGATTTCGGCTTCTTCTTCTGGGGAGTATTGAGCGAGGAGTCTTCGGATGTATTTGGCGGCTTCTCGAGGGGTCTTCTTCTTGGTATCGTTCGAGGTGGATGAGTTTCGATCTTTGCGTTTCTTGGGGCATTCCTTGGCGATGTGGCCTTGTTCACGGCAGTAGAAACAGCTGCCGGTCTTCATCATTCGAGTTCGTTCATCGGTGGAAATAGCATCAATGTCCATGGCATCAGGATCTCGTTCGGAGTTGTTTCTGGTGGATCTGGCGAAGGCGCTGAGGGTCTTGCGGAAGTTGGGTGTATTTCCCCGTTTGCCAAGCGACTTGAGAAGTTTGTTGCGTCGATAGACCCGGTCGTATTTGATGGCGAGTTTAACCCATTCTTCGAATGTATCGGGTTCTCTAACGTCAAGGGAGACTTTGTCGACGAGACCAGGGTCTAGGACGTCTTTGAGGTAGTCGATGGCGATGCGATCGTTCTTGGTGAGATCGAGACCAGCGAGGGAGGCTTGTTCTCTGAATCGAGTGATCGTCTGTTCCGCGCGTTCATTGGGTCGTTGCTTCATGTTGTTAAGGGCAAAGAGGGCTTCATCTTCTTCTTCAGGTTGTTTAAAAGTATCATCGAGTTTCTTGAGCAGTTCGTCGAAATTTCCGAGGTCGAGTTTACCGTTCTTGCGGCATTGTCTGAGGTAGTTGGTTCGCCAAATACGAGCTTCTCCTTCGTCGAGTAGGGCGAGGACGAAGGCAATCTTCTTCTGATCGGTATCGTGTTTGTCGTCTGTGATGAAGAAGAGATCGACGGCGTCGCGGAATGCCTGGTAGTGGTAGCGATTTCCGTTGAACCTCTTGGGGATAACTTTGCCATTGTCGCTCTTTGAGTCGTTCTTGGTGGTGTTATTGTTATTGTTTCCGGCCATATCGGTGTCGGAGTCGGTTTCAGGGTCTTCTTGGTTCTTCGATGGAGTCGGTTGGTCGATGTTCAGATTCTTCAGTTGGTCCGATAGGGTTCGTTCGATTTCAGTAGGGCCCCTCGACCTTGGTGACTTCGCAGGGTGGTCAGTAGCAATATGTTGATGTGAACAAAGCAGGTCGGGTTGTATTTTGTATGTTATGTACGTTGTATTTTGGGATAGCCATGGTCTTGCCGCACGCGATACCATCATCATAGCCAGTGTAACGCGCAACCACAGGTTTGCACCGCTGGCTGCCAATATACTCGTGTCACAATCGTCATGACTATGCCCTGTGCATGGCTATGGTTTGGGTATGCTAGTGAGCTAGTAGTGAATAGATACCCTTGCGTGCATTCACGGTTTTCCAACTAATACCCTCGCTCGGATGTTAGGGTTCAATCAGCGAAGGCATTGGCCGAGCCAGGGTCTTTGGTAACGGCTACCCCAGCTAGGACCTTAAAACCACAACCACTAGCTCACCTCGAGTCCAATGAATGCCCAGGCTATGGTGCCATCTTTCGTAGCCCGTATCCAGGGCGTTCGAGCCAAGGCTTCGAGACAATCCCCCTAGCTATGGTTCAACGGTGGGGTGTCCGCCGCCTGGGTGTTCCGGTCTGGTACCGACCTAGCCATGGTACACATACCTACCAGTGCCCTGGGTCGACACTAACCCCAGCTGAATCATCGACCATAGCTGTGATGATCGTCCCAGGACTCCATAACCAATGCCTGGGCTATGGTGCCATATTTCCTACACCGTAGCCTGGGCGTTCAAGTAGCCAGCCTGAACTATAACCCCAACCCTGGTCCATAATGTTCATTACCTACGCCGTAGCCTGGGTGTTCGGATCAGGAACTCGAGAGCATCCCCCTGGCTATGGTACCCACCTAGCCATGGTACACTGGGACCACAGGGTTGGCACTAACCCCGGCTGAAGCATCGGGCATAACTGTGACGATTGTCCCAGGACTCCATAACCAACGCCCGCGTTATGGTGACATCCGTCGTCTACCGTGGCCTGGGTGTACGGGTCGGGGACTCGAAACCATCCCCCTGGCGAGGGTCAACTAGCCAGGGTACACATACCCCATACCCCCCGGTGCTCTGGGCGGTAATAACCCCAGCTGGAGCATTGGCCATAACTGTGACGATTGACCCAGGGCTCCATAGCCAACGCCCGGGCTATGGTACCATATTTCCTACACCATAGCCCGGGCGTTCGGACCGTCAACACGAGGACATCCCCCTCTCCATGGTGCCCCTCTAGCCATGGTACACTAGGACCACAGGGTCGGCATTAACCCCAGCTGAAGCATTGACAATCGCAGCGGGGAAAACGACCGGTAGGTGAATGGGACGCCCTAGCCATGGTGTACACCTTTGATACCATAGCTGGGTTGTTGTGACCAGGGCCCTGACACTATCTTCCGAGTTGGGATAGTACACCTTTGACACCACAGCTGCGGTGCTGTGACCAGGGTTCAGAGACTATCCTCCGAGTTGGGGTGCAGGAACGGCAACTCCAACCATCGCTCGGTTGTTCGTGACCGCACATCGCCTCAATCACTCGAGCCCTGGTCAACATCTGTAATCGTCAGTTCCAGTGCGCTGGTCGACCAGATGGGGAAATGTCTATACTGGTGCTCTACCCTCCTCACGCAAGCTTCGTCGACTTTCACGACATGGTGCAAACTTCTCTTCTCTCTTCTTATCTCATTCCATCGCATTGAACACCGCACCATCCCACAATCATGGACAGTGACCAGGATTCCACCCCCCCAGGATTCGCCCTCGTCGACGAGCAGATTATTGCCCATCCTGCCGTAGACGCCGCCTTCCAGCTTGAAGGAGACTATGGTCGCTGGGACCGTTGGACCTTGGAGCATCCCCATGGACATGTTTACCCGCCCTGTGGCCATCCCCACTGTGCCAATGGCTGCGCCGGTCCCATCGATGGTGGGATGTGGTGCCACAACTGTTTCCTTGACCATAGCATTGGCTTCGAAAAGTGCCAACTGGTGGATCAGTATCTTGCGGAAGAGCTTTGTCGGGAACAAATTCTAACCCCACGCAATGCCGCAGATTTCGTTGCCAAGTATCGAGCCATGAAGAGCGATATCATGGTTGGCGAAACACCCTCCTCCAGCTTGGCCTCCTTGGATGGTCGTGTATGCCACGGTCCGTCAGCATTCAATTCTCCTCGAAGAGGTATTGACAATGTCTTTTTAGCGCTCGACAGAGCTCATGACCTACTGGCTACCGCGCAACAGGCACTTCGTCACAATCTTTTAACCACAGGGGCTACTCGGTGCGCTTCCAAGCTTGCCGAACTCGAAGAAACCCTGGCGCTGATCAGGATGGAGAACGTTCGCATCTCTAACCGTATGTCGGTCTTAACCTTCGTCGTTGTTCTGGCCTTCGAAATTAACCTTCTGCACAGTTTCCCTCCGTATCCGCAAGCGCTGGCTGTACATAAGTGACGTCGTCGACAGGTCGATCACCATATTAGACGATGATCGTGCCGACCCTGTCAAGGCTTTACATGACGGTCGCGACCTTCTGAAGCGCTGTCACTACATGCGCCTCCTTTTCGAAAGCTAAATGATACCCATCGTATTAGATAACATCTCTCGTGTTCAATACACTGTGTGTCTCATTCTCCGGCAATGTTGATTATATCCTGGATGGCATGTTCTCTCAATTACATAGGCCTTTTTATGTCTTCTCTATCCCAGTAACATATTGGCGATAACATGCGCCCCACTCGGCCCCTGCGATAACCATAGCCCGGATGTTTACTCCTGATGATGCAACTTGGTCCGTTTCGGAATTACCATGATTCGGGTGATTCATATACATTCCGAAGGTATCACCGTAGCCATGGTCGGCGCAATAACGCACCATGGCCATGGCGGTTCTTAAACACAGTCATTACACTCTCCATAGTCATGGCAGTAGGCCCCTCTTCTCAAATTTTCCCTCCCACCTTACGCCGGCACACCAGAGACTCAAACTCCGCCCAACTCCGCGATCGCCCTATGTTTAAAGCTCCTGGGGCGCACATCAAAGACATTTTCACCCTCTTCCCTCCCCCAATGAGTTATGAATCTCCGACCTCTTAAGGACCATCGGGCCCTCCCCGACGGTCTTCGTAAAGCTTATCTTTATGGTCGTTTTTGCCAGCATTATTTTCACCAACGTTTTACTCTCAACCACAAGATCCCCCATGAATTCGACGAGATCGACCTTGCCATCAAGAGCGAGCTCATCCACATAGTGGAGGTCATCTTCCAGGCCCTCGATAATCCATGTATGTTTTCCCACGTCTTCATCATCTACAATCCCTCATCTTTCTATGAAGATCACCTGGCCTGGTCTCTCGAACGCTATGCCTTCGCATTCATGGAGGACGCGGACGTCGACAGCGAGGAAGAGTTCCGCGCCAACTTCCCCCCACTAGATTCTCAATTCAACATCTCCCCCTCAGTGTATCTCGACTCCAGAAATATCCCTGTCGCGTGGCACTTTCCAGGGATGATCCAAGCCCACCGATTGGTTCGTCCTCTCTATAATCCTGTCTTCTATGTACCTTGTCTGAATCTTGTCTCAGGCTCGCATCTGTGACGCAATAGGCAATGCACGTGTTCGTGGACGCTCCCCCTTTATCACCTCTCCTGATGGTACTTGGAGGAACCATGATTCCCTATTCCGAGAGTCAGAGGCCTTTCCTCGTGGCATGGTGGATCTATTCCCGTTAGGGTTTACTGATGGTGACAAGGTACGACACCCCGTTCTGGACGAGTTCATCGCTTACACCACACATCCAGGTTCTTCCTCAACCCTCGCCGGTCTTTACGAGTCCCCAGTTCGCTGGCGCTTCCCTTCTTTCTGATCTCGAAGACAGTCTTCCAATCCTAGGGGCTGTATTCGCCGTCGTGCAGCCCACCCTTTTCTTCCTGGGCCTTGACGTTTACGAGAAAGTCTATCGCAAGGAGGTTCCAGGAGTGGAACAGTCCTGGACCCTTCGCGACCTGCTCGATCTTTGGGGCGCTCCATTCACCAACTTACAGGTATATTGCAATCACGACTCTCCCCTTCACCATGATCCCCGTACACCGACTTTTGCTTTCGAGAGTTTCCTATCCGTCGGGTTCTCTCGTACCAACCGCTTTTCCCTCACTGATATAGGACACACCTTCCCGTTCAACCCCGGTACCGTCATCCTGACCTTTCCAGCCTTGGTTACGCATGGCTGGACCAGTCATCCCGACAACTCCTTCGCGACCGTCGTTGGTTCGTTTCGCGAAGATCTTCTCCATTCTGTTTTGGGTTCATACTCTCTCTCGGTCGATGATTTATGGTCTACAGGTAGCTACCCTGAGATTGTTCGATGGCTTAGGTTAAATTCTTAATGACTTTAATCTTTATTCTGCTCCTATTTGTATTAAATTATCTGTTATAATACCACGCTTTCTGTCGATTGTCTCCACCACATTCAATGCATGAACCCCGAACACTCATATGCGAAAACAGAAAGGTTTTGTTGGCTGTTCAACCGGCCACCAGCTACTCTATCTGACATCCAGCGTAGCTACGAGTGCTATTTTCCCTCCTTGACCGAATCCAACGTCTTTTGAAAGGCCTTGTCTGCCTGTGCGTAGAGCAGATGCCACATATCTGCCTGCCTCAGGGCATAAGCGACGTGTCCAGGGGAATCTTCCTTCCTGAGGGCCCAACTCTTGCATTCCGCCTCCTTGTAGGAGAAGAAATTAAGAATCCAATCCATCTCGCTTCGGAGCAGTTTGTACTCCTCCCTCCATCTGTCGAACCTCGACCTGGCTCTCAACCAGTTCACCCGGTATACTGCTCGAAGGAAATCCGTTAGTGATCCCGCCGAAAAAGCCATGTTATCAGACCCACACTCTTCCAGATACTCTGACTTCGCCGAATCCCCAGCCACATCCATCGTCCAAATCCACGAAAGCGACTTGTTACGTTGGCCTCGCGCATTAGGGTTGTAGATAGCTGTCACTGCTTTGGTGTCCCCAGGTGCGATTGGTCGGTAACGTTGGAGTGTTTTGGCGTCGGCCCCCAAACGCCGCATCGCCCATCGAGCTTGATTGTAGACCTTTACATGGTTCTTAAGGCTGTCGTTAACATTCTTCACAGCAGCATACCCTCGCGTTTTCTGTTTTTTCCCCTCGGCCAGCCGAACGTTTGATCGGTAAAGGTAGGACTTGTGTCCTATGTCGTTCCTTATACCCTCCAGGGCGTCGTCGGCTTGGGAAAGGCGCAATTTCAGTTCTTTACTGCCGGCCAATTCGATGGAGGTCGAGCTTATGGAGCTTGACAAACAGCTGGGAAGGGGTAATCTGACCTCTTCCATCTGGTTATGTGTGAGAGAGAAGGGATTGTCCTCCTCGTCCTCACCATCCACGAGCACATCGTCAGACGGCGGGAGGTCGCATTTGAGGGACTCCAGGTCAGCGTCTGGAAACAGGTGGGTAGCCGCTTCATAGAAGCTGTCGATGTCGTTGTACAACTGTTCTCGACGCTTTTCCACCTCGAGTGCCTGTTCATCGCTGAGTTCCTTTGGTAGACTTCGAATGAAGGATTTGAGAGAGATTCTGTAAGAGATAGACCTATTAGTATATCGCCATGCGCACTCATAAGTTTGAACACTGACTGTGATTCTTGGATTTTCATGCCAATAGATAGCCAGGAGGTGACGCCTACACCTCTCCCGCTCTTCTTTTCGATTTCCATTAATGTCGTACGAACCTTTGCCATCGTAGGCGCTGAGGAGTGTAAGAGACCCATGAACGCCATGAAATGTTCTAAATAGGCTAAGAACTCACGTTTGACAATCTTCGCATTCAGAGCGTCCATGACAGCCACGTCCTCCCCACGTTTTACGTTCATCTCGTCGAGTTGCTGCTGCCACTCCTTCCTTTGGGCTTCGGATGCTGATTCGCTCAGTACAGCGAGCGCTTCTTTTGCGGCTGCCAACTCCTTGCGAGCTTTCAGCCAATTCTTGCAGATACTCGGAGCTGAAATGATTGAGTACTAGTCAGAATGGCGCTGAAAGCTGGGTCAAGACGACATACTAAGTCCTAACATCTTCTTCCAGTTGATGTCTCCGAATATTGCATCCAGAACTTCCATACGATGCCCCAGGGTCATGGTGGATGTGACTCTAGCCACCTCGTTAACGACGGCCCACAGGGACTCGAGAATTTCTCCTGCCGAGTTGCCTGCGCCTTTGATGAAGGATAGCGAATACCTTGCCAGACAAGACTCCTGGTGAGCATGGACATGAAACAGGCCAATGCCATACACCATAGCGAGGTCCTCTCTGAGCTTCAGGTAACGACCTTCGCTCATTCGCTTCCGCAGGTTCTTGCTAAACTGGCAGTTAATATCGTACGCAAAGATTACCCGCTTGTTCTGATCGGTAGACGTGTACTTGAGCGCCTCTGACAAAGAATAGTCCATGTTCGCTTGTCTAAATGGTTCATTAGTGTTAAGCTTAACGTCTAACCGGGACACAAGTACCCCACTCACCGTTCTCCTTTCTGAAAGTCGACGACACTTCCTGGTGCGAATGCTCCATGTCGCATGCAAGCGACCGCTCCAATGCCTGTGACGTCTAGCCCTTTGCGAACCTTGGACTTATCGGCGATTGCACGATGTTCGTGGCATGTGGGCGTCTAAGTAGTAGGGTGAGTTGGTCAGGTATAATCCGAAAATTCATGAAGCTCACCTCATTCACTTCAGTCACCTCTGCAAGATGCTTCGCGTATCTTTCAGGGTTGGTCATGTACCCTTCACCATGTTTCAATGCAACACCAACACTTCCACTTTCCCGTTTCCGATGAACGCAAGTGAAGTTCCCGTCGGCCACGAAACTTCTGGTATACTTCCAATCATCTGGATCGTTTTCCCAGCCATCCTGAAGGTTCACTCCAGGCTGAGGACAAGCGGCACAGAACAAAGCGAGCTGCCCTTTCCCTGGAGATACACCTAGATGCCCAAACCCGTAGCGTTTCATCTCTTTTAGACGTCGCCACTGCCTCCCTACTCGTCGCAACTCGCGTGTCCTATCCTATAAATGAGAAAGTCAGCTTCGACGAAACATCAATTGGCAGAAACAGACTAACAGGAACCGTATCCGGGAATGGTTCATTAGTGGCTCTTTTCAGCTTCGAGTAATAGTGGTAGGTCGACGTGTAGCACTCGATAGTCTCCAGGAGGTAGTCATCGAGCATTGTGAAGGTGAAGACCGTTCGAACGTCGGTGGATGTTGCTGGGTAGAAACCCATCCGAAGGAGCTGGTACTCGTCCTCTTCTCCTTCCACGCAAGTGCAGAAGTGGAACGGGAGGTGGTGGATACCGTTCTGATGAACGACAGTGACGACCTTCATTCCTCGGTACGAACGCCCTGGGGGCTTGCTACCAAATGAGAAGTCATCGTTGTTGTACCAGTCGTTTATCCCTTCATTAGACTCGAGTGGGGAATCGACATCGACGTCGGAGTCCCGTGGGCACTTGCGTGACTGACACAGGTCAATGTATACCCCACACTTCCACAACCAGGACGGTCGGAAGTGGGAGCCTGTCCAAACCAACACCCGGTGAAACGGGTCTAATTGGTGCGACTTGAGGCAACAGTCCTCGCAGTACAGAGGTGCACCGGGACATGTTGTGCATCTCCACCATTGAGCGCTACTCCGCGCCGAACAGCAGGAACAGTCCATGCAGTCTGGGGGAACTTCCCGGCGGATCAGGGCATCGAGATAGTCCATCTGCTTGGGAATCCATTCCTCCATGTAATCATTCGAATCCTGGGCGTTTGAATACCCGCTTTTAGACAGGCTACATTGCACTTGCTACGGATGGCGTACCTTTGTGCGTGCCTTGGAGTCCACGTGCTCCTGAGGACCGAACGGTATGTAGACGCCTCCGCCTCCTTCATCGTCAGTCCAATTGTCTTCATCCAATCTCCGACGTTTGGCGCTAGTAGAGGGTGAGGGTGGTCGCTTTTGAGGTGATGGAATTGTGGGCTTTAGTTTAACTCTTTTCCTTCCCTTCTTGTCCGTGACCAGCGTTGCGCGCATAGGGCGAACCTTGTGGGCACCAACAATGTGGGTGATATTCGTGCGAGACCCAAATCCCATAATTGAAGTAGATGGCGGCGAAGAGGACGAATGGGTGCGAAGGAAAGAAAGATAGAATTAGGCGCCATCCAAGTTCAACATACATCAATTAGGATCGAGATCTGGACAGGGTCGGCGATCTCCTGCCATATAAGGGCTGTGTAAAAGACCCGCCGGCTAGATAAATACTGACAGGGCCCGGATCGCAAAGACGCAACCGTGTTTTTCCCCCCGCTAATCGACCCAACTTCCTCTCTTCCTCTTGGTTCATCTTGCTATGTCTTCTTCCGAAAGCGACAACGATACTCGGGGCTACACTCTCAGAGATAGCCAAGTGGCTCTACTGCAGCAGAGGCTCGAGGCTTACCGTCGTAAGCGCAAGAACAAGAAGGATAAAGTGGGGCGTGCGCAAGTGGTCAGGGACGCGGTTCGCGTATTGAAGGAAGACTACGAGAGCCTGGCACGGGAATTGATGTCCAAGAGTCATGAGGCGCGACTGAAGGCGGTGCGTACCATGTCTTGGAATTGGGATCATCAGCAACTGACTTTCCGAGACGCGGTTAGGCGGTCACCAAATGGTTTGAGCTGAACGTCAAGTATGAGAGAGGGCCCAATAAGAAGATTTGGGGCACTCGTTGGAGCGCTCGCCTCGTATTCCAACACGAGCGTTCTCGTGCTATTGTATATCTCGCGAAGCTCCTATCCCAGGACCCTCAGCCTCCCTTGCCCAACCTTCGCCAGCTCCTTGACGAGGAGGATTTAGTCATACCACCCGAGGCAATTACTCCCGCCCAGGCCGTCTACGTACCATCGTATGACGACGAGAGTGACGAAGATGAGGGTGGAGAAGCCCCTGAGGAGGAAGAGGAGGAGGAGGAGGAGGAGGAGGAGAGCAACGAGGAAGAGGATGTGGCGGAGCAGGAGGCCTACCATAGGCTTGCTGAGCGTGTTCAGGAGATAGAGAAGGTCACTGTGAAGCCCTTTGCGAGGTATCAGCCTGCCACCACACTTCTCTTCCGGGCCCTCTCCGACGAGGAACGCGCGTACTATCACAAGAAGGCAGGAATATGGCTGGCGATGGGACCTCCTCTCGCAGAGCGTCGAAGGTATGTTTTCATGACATTATGGGTGGGATGAGACGTACTGATGAAACCGACGAATCTTTTCGTCTCCGTAGGGTTGCAGAGCGGTTCATAGGGTCCAGGGTCTATGATTTCATCGTGACACTCCTGAACGACATGAACGCTCGAGTATACCTCTTCTTGGCGTACGAGAAGAAGGACGGGTCTAGGGTCTCTGTTGATGTCGACTACAACAAGGACTTGGGCGGATGCGAGAGGGCGTTCAACGAGGAGTATGCGCAGGAGTGCAAGGCGCTGAAGGATCTATGGGATCTTTGGGCGGGGGCAGTCTACGCCGCACAGGAAGGGGCAGACCCGGATGCTACCATGACGAAGGCGAGCTTAGGGAAGAAAGGGAAGCCCCTGCTCCCGATGGACTTGCGGGACGACGGAAAGCCCATACTGCCTCCCCTCTACACGAAACCCGATGGAGAAGAGCCTGCCGTCTGGCTCAGGTGCCTGTTTCGAAGCTATTTCACGCGATACTTTGGTACGTGCATGCCCATATGCTATCTATGTTGCGCTAACGAAAGTATAGTCATTGCCAGGGGTCGCGATGCAGTACCCCCCGTCGACCTTAAACCAAAGGGACGCCCAACTGTGAAATGGACGGCACTCAAGACTTATTTCAACGAATGCATCGGGAGCGAGTTCTGGCCTTCGAATCTACCTTTTAAAGACCCCTACAGAATGCTGTCAGGGGAACTCCACACGTTACACCAATTCCTCTACAAGCGGGAAATCGACAGTTCAGTGGAGGAGAAGTTTAGATTCAAAGCGTGCCCCGTCCCCACCAAGGGCGGTGGCTACGAGCTCATTCCCAATCAGGAGAACGCTAGGGTCAGTTCCGACGAAGATGAGCATGGAGCCAACTACTCGCACGATGTACGTCCCCGCAAAGGGAAGCGTGGGGGAAAGAAAGGCAAAGGTGGGTACCTTTTGGCTATACTCTTCACTTGTGGATGAGCTGGCTAACGTTCTTCTTGAGGCTCTCGCTCAAACCGCTACATCGAGCCAGACGACTACGACGAAGTCGAGGGAAGAGGTAGGCGAAGAATTCGAAGTAAGTGCTTCTTAAATTTGCTCTTTGGGGGGTTAACTTAGAATAATACATAGGTCCGTCTTCGTCACCTGTACGTTCATCGCGGGCTCGCATTCGGGAAGACAGGCAACCGCGACTGCCCTCCACAAGTTCCTCGCCTCCGCGAAGGGGTCGCACTACAATTCGAGGCTCTCGTGCCAACGAATCACCCTCCCCATCGCCTATACGCAGGTCTCGAGCCCCTCCCATCTCGTCTTCTCGCAGCCCATCCCCCTCCCCAGTTCGGACGTCTCGCGCGTCAATCCGTCCCCCTCCCATCTCGTCTTCGCGCAGCCCATCCCCCTCCCCAGTTCGGACGTCTCGCGCGTCAATCCGTCCCCCTCCCATCTCGTCTTCGCGCAGCCCATCCCCCTCCCCAGTTCGGACGTCTCGCGCGTCAATCCGTCCCCCTCCCATCTCGTCTTCTCGCAGCCCATCCCCCTCCCCAGTTCGGACGTCTCGCGCGTCAATCCGTCCCCCTCCCATCTCGTCTTCGCGCAGCCCATCCTCCTCCCCAGTTCGGACGTCTCGCACGTCAATCCGAGGAAACCTCGTGCCCAGCAGACACTCCCCTTCCTCTGACGCGGATGAGGATGGTGTTCGTGTCAGAGGGAGTTCTCTTACACGTTCTCCGTGTGTCCGGAATCCGGAGGAGGAGGAGGTGGTGGTGGAGGAGGAGGAGGAGGAATTACCTACTTTAGGAGACTTGTTGGAGGACGTGCAGAGGCGGGGGAAGGAGCAGCAATCTCGACCTCCGAATTCGCGAAGGGGGAAGGCGTTGACTGATGGGTTGGCTCCTTTGACCCGGCGGGAGCTCGAGACGCCTCGACTGACTCGGTCCGCAGCCAAACGTACTCGTGACGGTGAAGGAGAGGCGCCAGAGGGCGACGAAATGCCTCAGGTTGGTCGATCGACGAAGCGGCAGAAGGGCACTGTGTCTCGGGGAGGTAGTAGGAAAGTTCGTGGAGGGCGTGGTGTGCGTGGAGGGTAGATGCATTTACGGTAGATGCATTTACTTACATCTCTTCCTTTGACTTATGATCTCGATAGGCCCTATTTTCTTTCGTTTGATTAGTATTATTCGTTACATTGCATTTTGGTATTGACTATTTTCGTGCTGCTTGATTATGTCTGAACGACTGCCTGTCTTGCGCGAATGAGATCGTCTTAGTCAATGGTGTAGGGGTATGCACCCGGGCTATGGTTATGTAAATGGTGCGTCCATTCCCTCTCCATAACTAGGGTTCGTCGGATAATGCACCCGCACCATGGTGAAGGGGTCGATGCGCGACCCCTTCATCATAGCCAGGGGTCGTGGATAATATGCCCGAGCTATGGTGATCGATTCAGCAGGTCGATGGCCTCGCCATAACTAGGCTATACCCATCAATATACCAGCGCTATGGTGATGTCGATGGACTCTGACGGTTGACAATCATAGCCAGGGGTCGTGGATAATATGCCCGAGCTATGGTGATGGATTCAGCAGGTCGATGGCCTCGCCATAACTAGGCTATACCCATCAATATACCAGCGCTATGGTGATGTCGATGGACTCTGACGGTTGACAAACTCGCTTTGGCCGGGGGGGAGGGGGGGGGGGAATTCCAATCTCACCAACAGTCGAAAGAGAGTTTTGATGCGAGATTCCCTCATAAACACGCTGTGATTTGGTAGTATTCTAATTGTTGGGGTTAAAAAGGGCATACATATGTGAATACACTACACGACTTTGGAATCAAGTGCTAGGCTTGTTCGAGGATTTTCTGAGCCATGACGATCCATTGGTTGAGAGAGTTGCGGGTTGAGTCCATGGCGATGAAAATTTTCCTCGCCCTCCTGGTATGGCTTCCATGCCTGTCAGATGAGCCTTGATCCTTTTCTTCCAGCTTGGACTCCCAGTCGTCGGTGTCGATGAGCTTGCCGAATAGAGTTTCAGCATGGGCGAACTCCAAATTGAGGTCGCCAACCGTTTGGTGCCCATCTATGACATGTCGCCGAATTTGCTCGGTTTCTTAGCGTGTTCGCTTGTGAGTACATGCACGGTTCAGAAGGTGATGCTAAATACCTTGTGCCATGAGGCCCAGAATCGTTTCCAGCATCCTTTTGAGGTCATCAACCCCAAGTTTACTCGAACCTGGCCGAGTGTTTCGCCTCCTTGAGGCACGATCTAAGGTGGGGGCATGTCTGGCTGGGCCATTGTCAGACGAATGAACCGTAGAGCGCGGAGGGGAAGGATTGAACGTTTACTCACGCATTAGAGACAGGTTTCGAGAGAGGTTCCGGGGTAAGGTGGTGGTTAGAGAAGAAAGAAGGATTGACATTCGATCAGCCAGAGGGGGCCCGGAACCTATGACATTTGGGGCATGAGATGGTGTTACCCGATGGTGTTACCCGGGATGCAGTGAGAGCCCGGACTATGGTGAACGGGTCGGGGCGTTGACACCTTCGCCATAGCCCGGGCCATGGTTTCCTACACCCCAACTCTGGCGATAGTCCCGTATGGTCGATGCCATCAAGACGGCTCGGGTATCATAAACGCTTCATCCGAGCTCGGGTTTGGAAACCACTAATTGGGGTTGCACCATCAAAATGGGAGACATAGTTCTCGTTACACGGTTCAGACTGCCCAATAAGTGTTTCAATACCATTTGTTCACGGGAAAGGCGGGGTATATTGGAGAACCAATGAAATTTTACAATAAAGAACAAATACAGGAATGAATTAAGTTATGAATGATCAGCTGAGGTGAGGTGTAGTCATCGGGGGAGTGGCGGACGCTGTCCCCTGTGAATGCGCGGTTTGACCACCCATATTCATCGAGAGTGATGTAGTCTGCGAATGTGATGCTCCGACTCCCATCGACAGAGAGGTGGCTTGATTGGTCCGTGAAAAGGCATTACTTTCAGGAGGCGGATTTGGTAGGGAATACGCTTGCCCATTGGTGAACATGTCTCGGGGAGGGGGGTTGAAGGACTGGAAGTCCGTGTCGTCGTGCAAGGTCATGAAGTCTTTGAACGATGTGGCCTAGTGTAATTGTGAGTGAAAGGGCGCTAGAGGTAGATGAAGTTAAATTCACGCACGTCTGAGAAATTTGACTGGTGGTCCTGGATCCCGCGGCTGGATTCCTCGAGCTTGTCCAAGCGTCCCTCGATGTTGAAGATCTTTGTGTTGAGGGATGCGATGGTCTCGGATTGAGATTTGATGATATGTTGGTTATCGGACAGCTGTCGCCTAAGTTGCTCGTTCTCGCTGAGATAGCGTACACGATCCTCCTTGTAGTAGTCCATCAAAGCGATGTGGTGAGAACCAAATTCATTGAGTTTGTGACTTTGGTCGAGGTACAGACGGCTGAGCTTGGCGACATCGGTGACCAGAGTGTCCCTCGAGGTGACATCTGTGAAGGAAGGAACTGGAAGGCGTTGGCCCAGGCTGGAATTTGCGGGGGCTTCTGGCGACGCATTGGGCTGATAGGAACTGATCAGTCGGATCGGCGATTCCATTTCGGGGCTATGAAGCGCACCTTTGCGGGTCCATCGCTCTTGGTCGCTTTGACAGCAGATTGTTTGGGAATATCGACGGGCTCCGACGAATGATGTTTAACCTTGGGCTTCTTCAGCTTCTCATTGCCCAAGGACGCGGGGGTACCTGATTTCGAGTTCTTGACAGATTTGGCGGCGGCGTTGTCGTTGTCTCCGTTCAGGTCGGTCTCAGGTGCAGGGCGTTTACGTGAGGCCGACTTGCTGTTATGCGTTGAGGGTTCTTCCTTGATTTGGACTGCCTTCTTTGCTGAACAATGATGTGAGTGAGTGATGGATGAGGCAGAGGAGATAGGAATACACGCCTTTCTTATCAGGACGAACATTGCCCTTGTGATTGCCGGCTACGGGATATTCAAGGAGGAGAGGGGGCTTCACGGCGAATGAAGGGCTGTCGAACGTTTTGAGGTCGATTTTGTCGGCGGTGTCGATTTTGAGAACATCATTCAACCATTTCGTGTACGTGGGGCCTAAGTCTTTGGAGGACCTGGACTTGTCGTCGTCGAAGTAGTCGAGAACCTTTAACTGGGGATTCCAAGAGGTTGTGAGAGAAAACGTCGTCGTTTAGGGGACGAATGGAACGTACTGAGACGTAAAGGAGACGTTCCTTTTTGGCGGGAATGTCAGGTTCAGGCCATGCCAATGCCGTAGAGGCGAGCTGGTAAAGTTCATCGAGCCTGTCCAACAATTTCTGCGCGGGAGGAGCCATGGCTATGGGCGTTCAAGCAAATGTAGAGTGTGGGTACGAGGACGGGAAAAAACAGCGATGGGATAGGAGTCGTGACCAACCCGAGTGGGGGTGATGAGGAGTGATTGGTGGTGAAGTTGGGAATGAAATTGCGATAGCCATGACGGCTCGGTAGGAGACATCATAACCCGGACTGGGATGACAAATACGCGGGGGCGCCAGCGCGAGGCGATCGCCCGAGTTGTGGTGCGTGCCTCGCCGTGTGGGGATGGGGTTTCATGCGGGCCACAGATATGGGGAGGTGACAGTCGGCACTGTTGGTCAATGGTATTACCATGAGCATGGTGTTTAAATTGAGTATGTAAGGCTACATTGTGGGGGATAGGACGTCCATGGCTATGCAATTGATATCGATGTGTAGAGGGACCATGGGTTGCCCCAAACTATACCGCAGACAGCATGGTGTTTAAATTGAGTATGTAAGGCTACATTGTGGGGGATAGGACGTCCATGGCTATGCAATTGATATCGATGTGTAGAGGGACCATGGTTGCCCCAAACTATACCGCAGACAACGTACAAATTTACACCCCAGCTGGACTGATGTATACAAGGGTATGATAGGTAGCATTGTGGACTTCGTAGCTTTCTGATGTTTCTTTTGAAGTCTTCTTTCTTCTTTCTGTTTGTTTCTTCGTTCGGTTCGAGATTCGAGAGCTTTCTGGAGGGATTCTTCTACGAGGTCGGGATCGAATTCGGTTTGTTCCACGGTGTCACAGGGGACTCCCCAACTGGGGAACTCTTCGGGTTCTTTGGATAGACGATGTGGGCAGGGTTGTCGGGTGCAGTGGATCCACTTGTCGACTGGGTTTAGGTGGACGTCGAACTTCTTGTCGGAGTAGAATGCGTGTGGCTGGTTGTAGCAGCCGTAGGGAGGGGTCGAAGGAGTTCGGAGATCGTCGTCTGAATCCGTGGTTGAAGAGAGGGGGCCGCGCTTTCGAGGAAGGCGGCGATGGAGGAGCCTGTTATTCTGTTACGACTTCGGGCAACGAGGACTTATCGTTGCCAACAGTCGTTCTGGGATTCTGGAGCTCTAGAGTTCTGGATCGAAGTTCTGGTTCTGGAGTCGAGTTCAAGTGGCCTGTCACTATCGCAGACAGAGAGGAATCAAGCTGAGAGCGATAGAAGTCCTGAGGGAAAGGTTCTCGATAACAGGCTGAGGAATATCTACTACAGAGAGACAGTATTTATAGTAGAGTTGGCGAGCTATCAAGAGGTTTGGAAGAGAGCGAAAGAAGGTGTGAAAGCGACAAGTAAGGAGTATCGATGGGTACGGAATACGAGAGAAACGGAAGTACGAAAGGTTCGGAAATGCGGGAGAATCGAAGAAGCGAAGGTAACGGAACTACGGAGAGAACGGAAGTCCGGAAGGTTTGGAAAGGTAGGGTGCGTAGAGGGAAACAAGGGAAGAAATAGGGGAGTTCGTAACAACTCTCCTTATTGTTCTTTTGTGTCTCGCCATCCGTTCGTCACCTTGACTCATCGCGGCTATGTAGACTGTAGAATAGGTATATAAGCTAGGTAGATCCCTCTGTATTTCCTCAGCTTGACCTCTTCGTCAATATACCGCTTCAGCATTCATCTGCCTTAATCGCTCATCGCTCTCACCTCGCTCTCCGCTCTCATCCGCTCCGCTATTCTGGTCTTTGGTTTGGTTTAGTGTTCGCTCTTCGCGATCATTAGGTCAAGCTACCTTTGTGCACCGGCAACGCTGATCGTTGCTCCTGCATCATCCGCATTTCTGGCTCCTGGTTGACCTGCCGATCAGGTCCCTCCCTGGCAACTCTGGTCCCCGCACTCCGTCAAGATTTCCGCCGCACCGGAAGACACCTCCTGTCTGTTTAAGCCGCACTTCGTCGTTCGGGTCAGCGACGGTCACCCCATCATCCTAGACGTCCATCTACCGAGCCTCAACCGTTGGACCGCCTGCTCCGAACAGCCCTGCCCCAACCGTTACCACGAACCTTCCGTACACGACTGGGTCTATATCAACTCCCTCAAGTTAAACGCCGAATCTCCGTCCCCCGTTAATCAGCAAGCGGTTGAAGAATTCGCCCGCAACAACCCCAGGACTCCGCCCTCCGAAACGCAACCCACCGCCGCTGAATCCCCAGAAACCCCGTACCAAGCTTACCGCTCTGCAAACACCTCCCCTGCTGCCAAAGCCGGTTCATTCAAGCTTCCAGATCCCGACACCGATCCCGAAGAAGAAGACGAGGAAGACGACGACGACGACGAGGAAGACGAAGAAGAAGTCGTCCAGTCCCTTAGCGTCCGATCAGCATCCCCTGAACAGGAAAACATCCTCCCACCGTTCAATACCCTCCACTCCGCTTTAGCCGCATCCGCACCCCTCATCTCCGCACAACGCCTCAGCTCCTCCGGTCGCTCTACACCAACAAACCCCGCCTCTTTCATCTCTCGCCCGGTCCATCCCCCTCTCCACACCTCTCGGCAGTTGGAGGATACATCTGACGCTCCAAGCTCAGAACAGAAACCTCCCACTTCCACCCAACCAACTACTCTACCCTCTCCCACTTCCCAAACCACCGACAACTTCACGATGTCCGCCGCCGATCTCGCAAAACTCCAGGAACAGCAAAACCAGCTCACCACCGCCATCTCTACCCTGGTCAGCCACCTCACAGCCGCCAAGACCTCCTCTAGCAAGAGCCCGGTCAAGGCGCCTGAGCCCTTCCACGGCAAGGCTGAAGATGCCCGACGCTTCCTCCAGTTCTTTACCAACTGGGCCGTGTCGTGAACAGCCGGTACAGCCCCTATTTTTCACTTTATCTTATCTGATCTGTCTCGCATCTTATCGTTTCGCTTGCCCCTATTCCTTCGCTCCTTTATTCCCTCTATGGACTCTTTCACTCATGGAACACTGCCTCGTATTACCCTTCGCCCCACTTCCATTGTTCTTATTGTTACGCACTGCCTCTTGACTCATTCTGACACTCTCTTGTTCCATTATTGTTTCATCCTTGTTCTTCGCGCAGCCTTCGCGCAGCCTCATGACCTTTCTTATTGTTCTTCGACGTTTCGCCATTTGTTTGTCATTTTGACTCATCGCGGCTATGTAGACTGTAGAATAGGTATATAAGCTAGGTAGTCTGCTCTGTATTTCCTCAGCTTGACCTCTTCGTCAATACATCGCTTCCGCCTTCATCTGCATTCGTCGCTCATCGCTCTTATCTTACTCGCCGCTCTTATCTGCTCCGCATTACTGGTCTTTGGTTTGGTTTAGTGTTCGCTCTTCGCGACATTACGGTCAAGCTACCCCCGTGCACTGGCAACGCCGATCGTTGTCCCTGCATTCCGGATCCCCTGGCACTCTGGTTGACCTGCCGATCAGGTCTTACTCTGGCAACTCTGGTTTTCCGACACCGTCAAGATTAGCTGCGCAGGATACCCACACTTCTTCGCCTCTAGTAAAGACCTCAACCCTGACAAGTGGTTTGGCATCGACTGCCACCTCGATAGCAAGGAAGAGGTTGTAGAGTGTGACAGTTCCCCCTGCCCCTACCGCCTCAGTCTCCGGCCCACCTTTCACCAGTTACGACGCCTCCAGACAGCCAGCTTCTACGCTGCTGTTTGCACCTCCGACAACGCCGTAAAAGCCCGCGAATTTGCCGAATCCAGGAAAGAAGAATCGAAGAAGAAATCCCCACCAGTAACTCCGCCGCCAACCGTCACACAGCTCTTACCAGAAGATTCTCCCCAGTCTTTCCATTCCGCCGACTCTACCCCTGCCCCAGTAACAGCAACCACCAGCACCGCACCAAAGTCCTTTCGCCCTCCGTCAACATCATCTGAGGAAGACAGTGAGGAAGAGGACAACAACGACAAGGAAGACGAATCCGAAGAAGAAGACTCCGAAACACCTGTTCCCTTTCACGTTACCTACGCCGCGTTAGCAGAAGCCCTTCCCGCAGTAACAAGCCTTCGCCGCTCCGGACACTCCACCCCCACCACAGCCCTTACCCTCACTCCTCGCCGCGCCCTCACACCACTTCCCATCCCTAGGGAGTCGGAGGACACGTCTGTTGCCCAACGCTCAGATAACGAACCTCCCACTTCCACCTTATCACCATCTTTATTATTCCCACCCACTTCTCTGCCGCTCGTCCAACAAGACCCCGTTACCGAACCCGCAAAGCCTATCCCCGATCTCAGTATGTCCGACACCACTCTTCTCAAGTTGCTTGCCGAGCAACAAGAGACTACCAGGCGTATCCAGCAATCCCTGGATAAGCTCACGGCTGCTAAGACCGCTTCCACTAGAAGCCCCGTCAAAGCGCCTGAGCCCTTCAAGGGTGACTCCGGCGATACCCAACGATTCCTCCGCTATTTCACCAACTGGGCCTCCGCCGAGTCCGAACTCAAAGGAGATGATAAGAAGTGGATCTCAGCTGCCCTCTCGTACCTTCAGGGTGCGGCTGCCTCCTGGGCTGTCCAATACCTGGATCAGATTGCCGCCCACGAGGCTGCTGCCGACGCTGCTCAGAAGGCTGCCCACCCTTGGCCCTTCAGTGGCGATTGGTCCACTTTTGTGGCTGCCTTCAAGAAACGCTTCCAACCCGCCGACCAGGAGAAAGCAGCTGAAGCCCAGCTCGAGGCCCTTACCCAGGGTAAACAATCTGCTTCCCAGTTCGCAGCCAAGTTCATGGAGATATTTCCCCGCACCGGTCTATCCCAGAAGGATGGTATGGCACGTTTTCGTCGCAAACTCAGCTCCAACGATCGCCTCATGCTGGAATCTTATCGCCATCACCAAACCGGACGATGCCAAGCCCAAGACCCTTCAAGACTACTGCGACATCGTCAACCAGAACGATTTTACGTTTCACGGAAGCAGCGCCTCCTTCTTAACCCCGACCGCCTCGTCTCGCTCTGCCCCTGCCCGTGACCCCTATGCGATGGATATCGACGCGACCCGTGTTGGGCCTAGTGGCCGTTCCCGTGAGGACTTCCTCCAAGCAATGCGTGGGCGATGTTTTGGTTGCGGATCCTCCGCCCACATCAAGAAGGACGGCAACCACGGCTCACTTCGTTGCAACCACTGCCAGCGTCTCGGCCACTCCGCTAACGTCTGCCAAGACAAGTTCATGGGCTATCCGCCCGGTCGAGGACTCACCCAACGTCGTCGCGTTGCTGCCACCCAGGAGGCTCCCTTCTCGCTCTTCGATGACTCTTCCACACCTGCCGCCACCATTGCTGCCACTTCGCCTGCCCCACCTGCCGCCACCTCGTCTAACGTCTCACTCGCCGACCTCTTGGCTGCGCAGAAGAACCAGCAAGACATCCTGGAGCGCCTCGAGAAGATCCAACAACAGGGTTTTTGAAGCGGGTGCTTGTTCGTGCTGCAAAGCATGCACCCTTTTCACCGTCGTACGCCGTCTCTGAATATGACTCGATTTATTCATGTACTATTAGCTCTGTTCGCGAAATACACCCCGGTTCCTCGCATTTTCGCATTCGCATCAGACTCAGAGGCAGAAACCGTACGGCGGACCCCGCAGCAATGATCGACTGTGGCGCTACCGGCAAATTCCTGGATCAACCTTTTGTGGAGAAACACCGGATCACCGCTTACCCCCTCCGACACCCCATTCGACTTCTTAACATTGATGGAACATGCTTGGTCTTCTCCGAGTCCGAGTCACATCGCCTACCCGAACACAAACCCTGGGACCACGCCATCGATCTGATCCCCGGAGCCCCGGCTACCATGCGCACCAAGGTTTACCCCATGTCTCAGAACGAGCAAGAAGAGCTTAATCGATTCCTCGACGAGAACCTCAAGAAGGGATACATCCGACCATCCAAGTCTCTCCCTCTCCTCCCCGGTCTTCTTCGTCAAGAAGAAGGATGGCAAGCTCCGCTTCGTTCAGGATTACCGCAAGCTCAACGAGATCACCGTCAAGAACCGCTACCCCCTCCCCCTCGTCTCTGACATCATCAACAGACTCCGCGGTGCCAAGTACTTCACGAAATTCGATGTCCGCTGGGGTTACAACAACATCCGGATTAAGGAAGGAGATGAGTGGAAGGCTGCGTTCGCCACCAACCAGGGACTCTACGAACCACTCGTCATGTTCTTCGGCCTAACCAACTCCCCGGCGACATTCCAAGCTCTCATGAACTCGATCTTCTCGGACCTCATTGCTGGAGGAAAGGTTGCGGTATATCTGGACGACATCCTTATCTTCACGGCTACACTTGATGAGCACCGACAAGTTGTACACGAAGTTTTGCATCGCCTCAAGAAGCACGATCTGTATCTCCGGCCAGAGAAGTGCGAGTTCGAACGTCAGGAGATCGAATACCTTGGGCTGATCATCCGCGAGGGCGAAGTCAGCATGGACCCCGCCAAAGTCGAAGCCGTCCGCAACTGGCCAGTCCCCCGCAACCTCCGCGCCGTTCGAGGTTTCCTCGGATTTGCCAACTTCTACCGCCGTTTCATCAAGGATTTCGCCACCATCGCCCGACCGCTCAATGACCTCACCAAGAAGAAATGTCCCCTGGCAATGGAACGAACCTCAGCAGCAGGCTTTCGACACCCTCCGCAACACCTTCACGTCTGCCCCCATCCTGGCGCTCTGGGACCCTGACCGCCCCACTCGCATTGAAGTCGACGCTTCCGGCTTTGCCACTGGAGGAGCCCTCCTCCAGAAGCAGGACGACGGCCTCTGGCACCCCGTTGCATTCCGGTCCGCCTCCATGCAGCCCGCCGAACGGAATTACGAGATCTACGACCGGGAGATGCTGGCCATTATCGAGGCTCTCAAGGACTGGCGCCACTTCCTGGAAGGACTCCCTGAACCATTCGAGATCGTCACCGACCATTCCAACCTTGAATACTGGCGCACTGCACAAGACCTCAGCCGTCGACAAGCTCGTTGGGCCCTCTACCTTTCCCGCTTCCGGTTCTCACTCACCCATCGCCCTGGAAAATCCAACACCCAAGCCGACGCCCTCTCCCGCCTCGATATTCACCAGGTCTCCGACGCTGAGGACAACAAACAACAGGTGGTACTCAAACCCGAGCTGTTTGCCAAGCTCGCCGCCTCGAGCATGGTCGTCAACCCCTTGGAGGACCGTATCCGGCAGGCCAGCGCCCGAGAATCCCAGGTCCTGGATGGACTTGCCCAACTCCGCAAGACAGGTCCCCGTCGTCTCACCTCTGGTCTCGCTGAATGGGAGGAGGATAACGGCCTTGTTTACTACAAGGGTCGAGTCTACGTTCCCCCAGACGATGAACTTCGACGCGACGTTTCTCAAACAGTGCCACGACGATCCTACCTCTGGACATCCCGGCGTACACGGAACCCTCGAACGAGTTGAACGACAGTACTGGTGGCCGACCGTGCGAGCCTTTGTCAAGAAGTATGTGGAAGGTTGCGACATCTGTGCCCGGAAGAAACACGCCCAGCACCCCCGCGCCTCGACTCAGCCCTTGGAGGTACCCGATGGCCCCTGGGAGACCGTTGGAGTCGACCTTATTACCCAGCTTCCTGATGCCAATGGACATGATGCCATCATCGTCTTTGTCGACCACTACAGCAAGCTCCTCCACGCCCTTCCCTGCACTTCCGACATCACCACCGAAGGTGTCGCCGACATCTATTACCGAGAAGTCTTTCGCCTCCACGGCCTCCCACTCCGGTTCATCAGCGATCGCGGTCCTCAGTTTGCCTCCAAGGTCATGCGCACCCTCCTCAAGCGTCTAGGTATCGAGTCCAACCTCACCACTGCCTATCACCCTCAGGCCAACGGACAGACTGAACGAGCCAACCAAGAAGTCGAGAAGTATCTCCGCCTCTACGTCAGCCGCCGACAAGATGATTGGGACAAACACCTTCCTATGGCCGAATTCGTTATCAACTCCCGAATCCACTCTGCCCACGACCGATCACCCTTTGAAGTCCTCTACGGCTACATCCCTCACTTCAACATCCCTGTCGGTAAACGAACTGACATCCGCCCCCGTCGATGAACGCATCCAACAGCTTCAAGAAGTCCGCAAGGATGCCGAAGCCGCCTTACGCCTTGAGAAAGCGCAACAGAAGGACTCGTACGAATCCGGCAAGCGATCAGCTCACCAGTTCAAGGTTGGAGACTACGTCTGGCTCAACGCTAAGGACATCCAGATCAAAGTTCCTACTCGGAAACTTGGCGACCTCCAACTCTGGCCCTTACAAGATCATCGAACGAATTGGCGACCTCGACTATCGTCTTGAACTTCCCCCATCCCTTTCCCGCATTCATCCTGTGTTCCACGTTGACAAGCTCTCTCCCTGGAAAGGCAATGATGTCAACGGCATTCTGCCACCTCCGCCTGAGCCTGTTGAACTGGAGGGGGAGCTTGAATACGAGGTTCACGACATCCTCGACAGTCGTTGGAAAGGACGAGGGAAGAATCGCAGGCTGGAGTACCTGGTCAGTTGGAAGGGCTACGGATCGACAGAGGATACTTGGGAACCAGAAGAGAACTTGGAGCACGCCCCCGACGCCGTCAAGGAGTTCCATCAGCGATCACCCCTCTGCACCCCGCCGCATCTCAGCCACCACCTTCGCTTCTCTCCCTTGGCGCTCGCTTGAGAACTTCACGGATACACCACCTACCGACTTCGACTGGGAGCTTGGACGACGCCTGCCAGTGATCATCGAGGACGATGAAGCTTAGAAGGGGGGTAATGTCGTGAACAGCAAGTACGAGCCCCTATTTTTCCTTATCTTATCTTATCGCTTTCATCGCTCTTATCACCTTTTCTTTATTCTCATTTTTGCTACTTATTCTCGACACGGACACTTTCTCCCATGGAACACTGCCTCGTTATACCCTTCGCCCTACGTCTTATTGTTCTCTCCATTCTTGCACTGCCTCGTTACTCCGTTATTGTTTCTTCGCTCTTCGCGCAGCCTTCGCGCAGCCTTGTGACTCTCCTTATTGTTCTTTTGTGTCTCGCCATCCGTTCGTCACCTTGACTCATCGCGGCTATGTAGACTGTAGAATAGGTATATAAGCTAGGTAGATCCCTCTGTATTTCCTCAGCTTGACCTCTTCGTCAATATACCGCTTCAGCATTCATCTGCCTTAATCGCTCATCGTTCTCACCTCGCTTCTCGCTCGTCATCGCTCCGCTATTCTGGTCTTTGGTTGGGTTTAGTGTTCGCTCTTCGCGACATTTACTTTGGAAATCTGTTCCAGGTCCCCGATGAATATTCATGGCTGGTGTACAACGAATGGGCAAAGAAATACGGTGCGTGAGGAGTGTTTCACACAGCGGCACAGACTCATAGAACATATCTGACCGACCATGGTATACAGGAGACATTATGTATCTCAACCTCAAGGGAAAGCCAATGATTGTTTTGAATACCCTCTCCGCTGCGGTCAACCTATTTGAAAAGAGAGCACCGTTCTTTTCCGACCGCCCCGACGTCCCTCTCGCCAAAATGTCAGTGAACTACATGTCATGACTTGCTCAGATATACTAACCGTGTTTCAGAGTCGGGATTGACTGGTCGTTCGGTCTGATGAACTACGGACCCAAATGGAGAGCTCACCGACGCTCGTTTCACCAGTTCTTCCATCAGAACGAAGTCCCAAACTATCGTCCCATCATTGAGCAGGAAGGACTTAACTACCTTCGTCGCCTTGCTTCCCAACCCAAAGACTTCCTGGACGAGACACGATTGTAAGTGGCTTTCCCTCTCATCAGTGCCATTTCTGACCGACATTTGCTAGCTTCTTTGGCTCGGTCATCATGCGGGTTTCGTATGGAATGAGCGACGTTGAATATAACAGGCATTGGGCGAGAAAGGCTGAGAAGTCGATCAAGGGCGTGAGCGAGGCCTTGGTACCCGGACGGTATTGGGCCAATATTTTCCCCTTCCTACGCCATCTACCCACCTGGTTTCCTGGTGTTGGAGGTTGGCGAAGGAAGTTCGCGGACGCTGCGTCTGCAAATGAAGATCTCTTGGTTGGTTCCTTCAATGAAGCCAAGGATCGAGTAGTAGGTTCCCTTATCTCCGGATCCTAGGCGAAGGATAAATCTAACACACATGTGCATAGAATGAAGGATTCCAGAGCGAGTTCCCGAATGTTGCAACTCGTCTTATTGAGTTGCTGCCCTCCGAATCTGACCCCGACTTTTCTCGTCTGGAAGCTCTGGCCAGATCCACCGTGGTAGTTGGATACATCGGTAGGCTCACCAGCCATTAACAGTCTCAAAGTCCACAACTGATACACGCATCGCAGCTGGCGCCGACACTGTAGGTTCATCCAACACAGACCTCAACAGAAACCTAACTTGGGCTCTTATAGACTGTAACCTCCGGCCAAGCGTTAATTTTGGCATTGGCAATGCACCCCGAAGTCCAAGAACGTGCCCGAGAGCAACTTGACGCCGTCGTTGGCCCCTGTCGTCTACCCACACCTGACGAGTGTGCTCAATTACCGTACATCCAGGCCATCGTAAAGGAGGTTTCCCGCTGGCACTCAGTTGTCCCCCTTGGTAAGTCACTGAGGACTTGTTGTAAATTCTGTGCTTACTCTAGTACCTTAGGGATTGCTCACGTCGCTGCCGAGGACTACGAATACAATGGTTATTTTATTCCCAAGGGTAGTGAAATATACGCTAATTCATGGTAAGTCTTGAATAAGCCTCCTGTTTCCATCCTAATAACTCCTCGACTTAGGGCCATTATGCACGACCCTGAAGTCTTTGACGACCCCCTCGAGTATAGGCCTGAGCGATACCTGAAGGACGGTAAGATCAACCGCGCAGTTCTTGATCCAGAGAATGCCGCCTTTGGCTATGGTCGTCGGTACGTCCTCTTTCGCGAGAAAGGGGGTTCGTAGGCAACTGAAGCATCTCCCAGAATTTGTCCTGGTCGTCATCTCAGTAACGAATCCCTGACTTATATGGCGGCGTCGCTCTTGTCCGTCTTCGAGATCAAACCAGCCAAGGATGAGAATGGAAAACCAATCCCTCTGGGACATAAAGTTGGACCTTCAGTGCTTAGGTGTGCCAAAATTTGTGATGATCTGCCGTCCCTACTAATCCGAGCCCGAAGCATCGTTGAACGATTTGAATGTGAAATTGTCCCTCGTTCAGAACAGCATCTTGCTCTGTTATCGGAGTGATTTCCTTTTGGTCTCTATCCCAATCTGGTTTGTTAAGTGAGCGCTAATTACCAAAGTTCAATGAGTTCCTTGCTCGGGTAGTCGAGTTGTACCTGTATTTTTAAACCTTTATTCTGAATAGTACATACCAGTACGAGCGATGTCGATTGCAATTCAACTTGGCCGCATGAATCCTTAAGCCAATTTGAAAGATTCAAGATTGGAGCTTGACTGCACTCTATCCAGCTGTGGACACTGTGCCTGGCAACTCCATGGCAGGATCTTGGAAAACGGAAACCGTGACAAAGATCGTCTAATCTCCTAGGGGAGCGCCTTCTTCAAAAAGACCGGTTCAAACGGATTGCCTTTCGGAAGCTTTCGATCTTTTCTTCTTGCGCACGCGGTCGAAGCAGTCAGAATGCCCCCGCTGGGGATGTCACTCATCTTCCCGTAGGGGACTGCAAAGCACCGAACCATCCCCTTTCTTGGACGCCATCGGCGCCCAATGGCCTCCCCTGACATTGGAAGATAACACCTAGACTTGCCGCTACCTCGGGTACGGCAACATCAACCAGAACTCCACTTTCGCCAATTCTAGGACAGCTTCATGGCTAAAAAATGGCCTATAATTTCGCAAGATCCACAGTATATCATATCTCAGGCCCCGCCCTTCGAACGAACTACCTTCAGTGGCTGAAAAATGCATACCCCAACTTCGAACAGCTCGCACCCGTGCTCTCACTACTTCGTTGGATTCGGACTCTTCCAGGGTTCGCCTCCAGTCTCACTGGACTTGGTGCTCTTGGGTGCGTTGGTAGCGGCCATCCTATTGGTAAAGTCGCTTCTCGCAAAGTCGCGACGAAACCCACGCGGCTTACCTCTCCCTCCTGGTCCGAGGGGCGTGCCAATCCTAGGGAACCTCCTCCAGATTCCAAAGGAGAAACCGTGGGTGGCTTACAGCGAGTGGTCCAAGCGCTATGGTAGGTCTACACAATCCAATGTGCTTAGAAAATTCCATGTTCTGAAAACGATCCTAGGCGACGCCATCTATCTTGAAACCGCAGGCCAGCCGGTTTTAATCCTGAACAAGCTCTCCGATGTGGTCGAGCTACTGGAGAGGAGAGCTCCTTACTTCTCCGATCGTCCTTCACCCCACGTATTTGAGATGTGAGTCTATTCGAATTCCAGGGTCATGTTTTGTTGTAACTATGTCCTGACTCTACCTTTCCAGGGCCAAGGTGGGATGGACAATGGGAATCATGAACTATGGTTCTCGTTGGCGTTCTCATCGACGCACGTTCCATCAACAGTTCCACCAACGGACTGTAGTACAGTATCGTCCCATCATTGAGGACGAATGTTTGAAGTTCCATCGCCGGTTGTTGGTTAATCCCAAGGCATTTCTCAAAGAGACTCGCTTGTAAGTGCTTGTTGTACTGGGCGCCGTGGGTTTCCGCTAACATATTGATTTGACAGTTATTTTGGATGTGTTATCATGCGCGTTTCGTATGGGGTGGACGATTATGAGTACAACAAAGACCTCATCGATCACGCAGAGAAGGTTCTTCACGGGGTCGTTGATATCTTGACTCCCGGTCGTTTCTTGGTCGGACCATTCCCGTTCCTCAAATATCTTCCACCATGGATCCCTGGAACTGCCTGGAAGAAGAGGCTTGCCGATATCGCCTCGTCAGCAGACACACTGGTTATTGGCTCTTTCAATGGCGTCAAGGAGCGCTTGGTAAGCACCTTCTAGTGTACCTTTCAGGCATTTAAACTAAGCGTACCGGGTAGCAAAATGGACAGCAGAACGAGTTCCTAGGGATTGGAGCTCGCCTTGTAAATGAGCTACCTCCAGAAACCTCTCCGGACTATAAGTTACAAGAAGAGATAGCGATGAGCACCACAATTACGGCCTATCTCGGTGAGTATACGTTCTCAACCTTTCGCTATGCTGTTTTCTGACATCCTCTGGCTAGGGGGTGCGGATACCGTGGGTATACATAATCGATGGTTAAGCCATAAGTGAGGCTGACCCGTACGCCTTTGCCGTAGACTGTCAGCTCAGCCCACGCATTATTCTTCGCATTGGCGGCGAATCCCGAGGTCCAACGAAAAGCCCAGGAGCAAATCGAAGGCGCGGTTGGAGCATATCAGCTCCCAACGCCCGCCGATTGCGAGCGGTTACCGTACGTCCAGGCAATCGTCAAGGAATTGTCTCGATGGCACTCCGTGGTTCCAGGAGGTAAGAGCTCATTGCGATTTCTGATATTCAAGGTTACTGACGCTTCCCCAAGGTATCTCTCATGTCTCATCGCTGGATCAGGAATGGAACGGTTACTTCATTCCAAAGGGCACGACAGTGCTCGGAAACACCTGGTGAACTGAGGACCTTTTTCGTCCCCCTTCCCGGAAACTGATTCTTACTACTCGCAGGGCAATCATGCATGATCCCGAGAGATTCGAGGAACCACTTACCTTCAAACCTGAACGCTATCTCAAAGACGGGAAGATTAATCCGTCCGTTTTGGACCCAGAAGTTGCAGCGTTTGGATTCGGCCGTCGGCGAGTGCTGTCTGGATTCATTTTCGTATTTCTTTCACTTACACGCACGTAGAATCTGCCCTGGAAGGCATTTTAGTCACGAAACGCTTACCTATATGACGGCATGTCTCCTGGCCATCTACGAAATCAAGCCACCCAAAGGGCCGGGTGGAGAGGCCTTGGCTATGGGGCAACTGCAAGTAACCAACGACAGCATCAGGTGAGAGAGCTCAGTACTGTTGGACACACTCGTGACTGAATGGTTTCCAGTGTGCCCTTGCCATTCGATTGCGATATTGTTCCACGGTCCGAGAGGCATGCAGCGCTTTTGTCGATGTGACAAGGCCGGTTCTCCACCAAAGAGCAATATGAGTATCCTCGAGGCTGTATTTAAGCTCCTACATGAAAGAAAATAACTTGTATTTGTATCGTTGGTTTGCTCCTGATGGTTATTCGTGCAAACAAAATAGCCTGGTATTACACGCACTAGTGTATGGTATTAGTACTTAGCCCCAATGAACTGCTTCTTTACTAGAGTTACAATCGACAGCCTGTCAACTCATCGAACGCCGAACGGAATTCGACCCTCGAAGCAAGTGAGATCGTTCTTTTCCCGTCATTGTACGATATTTAGGACAGATCGGACAGCCTACAGGCAAGCACGCTGATAAGCAAAGTTGAGAGGAGCGGAGCAGCGGATGACTGACCTTCAACCCCTGAACCCAACTTGAAACACCCGAGAACCCCTGTGGGTAATGTTTGTGGTACCGTAGAGCGCCCAAGCCTAAGATTAACCCAATAACAAGCCGTTTCAATGTCACCGCCAAGCATCGTTTTCGCTTCCAATTCCCAGGTACGGTCCTATAGTGATTCCATTTAGGTCTCCGGAGGTACCACCAAAATCGGAGTGCGGCACTGTCATCAAGGAAGTCAGTCGTCCATTGTATGTAGAACCCCCGTGTCAGACACACGCACCCAGGGAACATATTCGTAACCTTGCCTTCTCCGCCGACACGGTACCAAGATAAGCAGTGAACAAAAACCGAGTTCTTCATCCGCTTCTGTATATGTTTGTCATACGCATCCGTGGGCTCGACCTTTGGCTCGACTGCTTTCAAACTCCCTTCCAGGATAGGTTTAATGAGTTGGAACGTGTAGTCAACTTGTACTTCGGTGGAGAAGATAACGGAGGTATGGCCTGTTGTCGTGTTTGGACCTGTGCGATACGGAGTGAACCTTGAGTCGGAAGCCAATAGGGGTCCACCTACCAAGGAGGATGAAGAAGTTCGGGAACTTCGGAACTGTGGTTCCGCAGTACGCTTTGGCTCCGTTCTGTTCGTTGAAATAATCCTTGATTGATTCACCATCGCGTCCGTAGACAGGAAGAGGGTAGACGTCCTGGAACAGAGGTTAGGAGCATGAAGAGAACGGTTGAGATATCGAGTCGTCGCTTACAGCGGAAAATCCGGTTGCAAAAATGATCACGTCGAAAGGGAGAAACTCGCTCTTCTTTGTGACGATACCATTTTCGACTATAGAGTCGATCCCGTCCCAATTTAGGTGTAGATTTGGCCGATGCAGGGCAGGCAGATATCCAGTATCAAAGATTATCCGTTTGCATCCCATCGCTAAGAGAGAAGAGTGGATTTTCAGTCCCCGTGAATAAGACCTGATGACTTCGACTTACGGAATTTTGGGAACAAGTTAGGAAGTTCCTCACTTGGAGCCGCTCGTGTCATGTAACGCCTTGCCCATGCAGTCATGAGAGGTCGCAGCAAAGGGAAGTGAACGCTGAAAACGGCGAGATAGAGTGATTCCAGCTAAGGCTCCGTCAGCCAGAGTGTATTGGTACCAGAAACGAGTCTTACCGTGATGAACATTGAATAACGCATTATCCGGTTGAGAAGGGGTATATTTCGAGTCAGCCACCTCCGCATAGCTGAATATTGTGTCCGTATCTTGGGTGCATGGTTCGCTTCAGATGGTACGCTTCATGAAGATCAGCGACTCACTGGAGGCATGAACCAGTTGGGAGTTCGGCAGAAATTGACGACTTCGACTGACGGATCTTGCGTTATTACTGGTACGAATTGGGCCCTAGAGCGGAAGAGATATTAGATACGCTGGGGCATGTTGCATTGCCCCTGAGAACGCACGCAGAAGTCCCATTCCCGATCACCGCAACCCTCTTGCCAGTCAAATCCACGCTCCTGTCCCATCTTGCTGAGTGGAAAACGGATCCCTGGAACATTCCAAGACCGGGGATGTTGGCATAACGAGGGTTCTCCAGTACTCCGACGGCGGATACAAGAATCTCGGCGTAGGTCTTTTGCTGTTCCTGTGTGGCGGTATTGGAAAGGGTGATCTCGTAACGGGAGGTGGACTCGTCCCATGTTGCAGAGACTACGTTGTGGTGAAAACGGATATGTGGGTATAGGTGGTATTTGTCGGCGAGGCCTTTCCAATAGTCAAGAATTTCTGGTTGAGATCCATGACTTCCTGGCCAATCGTGAAGGTCGGTTGATAACGAGTAGAAAACGGTCGGTATGTCGGAGGAACACCCCTAAATGACGGGTCAACAAGCGCAGTTCCGCGCACTAACGACACATACTGGGTAAACGTTATCCTGTAGGCAATCTGTAAGGAAGTGATTTTACAAAGAGAAGATACACGAACCCTCCAAGTACCACCGACTTCCTCGTGCTTCTCGTAGATCTGCAATGCAGTTAAAGACCTATGCCTTATCCCAACCAAGACTGCGACTGACGACGAAGTTTTCATATCCAAGTTGTCGCTTAAGCTTGATCGCAAATGTAAGGCCGCCAGCCCTAGATATGGGTAGCTCAGTGGAGGTGAAAACACGATGAAAAGGGAGGCCAGTACCCTGCTCCTATGATCGCAATAGTGGGCGCCATAGCGCGTACTTGATTGAGTTTGCTGTTGGCGTAACAAAATCCGGCGATGCCCTTGTGAGTTCTGAGCCCCAATGCTATGACGAAGGAGAAAAAGCGAAGAGAAACTGACCTTGGGTTCGTCCGAGCTGGAGTTGAACGATCCTGGGTGGGGTTGATCGTCAAGTCGTCGTCCGACATCGATGTGCAAGTTGGTCGGTGAGTGAACCATGGGAAATGGTGTTACCGGGACCCGGCTTTCTGTCCACCCGTCGATGGGCCGTCGTGCAAGGTTACCTGGCCCATATTGTCGAAGTGCAGAGCTCTGCCCACCTGACCACCGTTCGCGCCAAGTTCCGGCGCTGCGCTGGCTGCATATGAATGACGGATGAGTGGTTTGACTGCGGCCGGCCAGCCTCGCCACGGTCGACAGCAGCAGCGAGGAGAAGCGCGGGAAACCACGGTGCCAAGAATTGTATGTCAGCAGGAGATATGACTTATTGATCCGGGCTCCTGAACGGATCATTGCAATTGTGCCTGGAAGACTGTCGTCGAACCGAAGTTCTCGTGGTGAAACCTGTGTACAGTTCTCTTCTCCTTACAGACGATTCCTTTGCCTCGCCCGATTCGAAAGCATTCCTCGCACTAGTGGAACCAGGAGTTGCCGGAGCAAACCAGATATGCGGGACTTTTCAGCCATGGACGCCAGCCTTCCAACACCGTTAAAACAAGAGAATTCAAATGTCAGCGAAGTCTCTGATATCTCCGTTGCGTTCAAAAGCCTGCTGAAGCATCTGCAAAGCGAGCCCAATTTATCTCAGGCGTCGGCATTCTGGTCCATTCTTCCACTGGCCTCCTTCCTCTATACCGTCGCCTTCATTTCTATCACTCTTCGCTCAGCGAGGCCTTGGCACGGATCAGCCCTTACTTGGATGTACGCTGTTGGTTTGGCAGGGACTATCGGACTCCTTCGACTCTCCATCTGGATTGCGTGCGCATTTACGACATTCCTATGCAAGGTCGATATTATAGATTCGGGTTTAAGGGGAAGGGAAACGTCGGACGAGGGAAAGCTCGCAAAGTGGGATGAATTGTCTTCAACTACGAGACAGGCTATGTGGGCTGGGATGCTAGGTTAAGCGAGAGGCCTGTGGCCAATTGGAAGTTTAACTCTGCCAAGTACGCTATACCGTCTGCCCTGTATGTATCGTACGTCGTCGTGATAGCAGACCCGGGGTCTACGAAGGTTAAAACTGGTGGATCAGTCGAAGAGACCCCATACTGCTCCCAATTGTATTTGCTCAGTAAACTGTGAGTGTTGGATGTACTTGGATTAAGGATGTTTGCGAATGAGACTAGAAAGACTATTAGACGTGATGGACGGACAAGGGACCAAAGAACCTACTCAGCGCATCGGTCCCGATATAGTCTGGATTGTTTCCGGATGCGAAGAACTCTGGTATCTCATAGGTGTGGGCTGCGCCTACATACGGCAAGGCCTTCCCTCTTTTCCACACTAGATACGCCGTATGAATTAAAAGGAACAAAACCGGACGCAGAGGGTGAGATGACTCACAAAAGGACCAAGTTGGTTGGGTCTTGGAAACACGCGAGACGAAAAACCGCCTTGCTGCATGAAATCTCCAATCTCCATGGAACGCAGCGATACGCTTGAACTGTGGTGTGAGTGCATTGGCGCTTCCAGTGCCAAATGGAGACCCCTAAGAAATTCTCTAAACGGATTGATATTGAGTAATGCAACGTTGCGACATACTGCAGTGGGGTCTTCTGGATAGAGAGCAGCAATCATGTCGATCTTATCTTGGGTAACTGGGAGATACCTATTCAGAGGGCACATTATCAGCGTTAGTGTGTGTCATTACCATGATGGAATGCGGAATGCGCACCCTCGAAGAAACTCTTTAAACTCGGCGTCAGTTCTAGGTGACAAAAGGTCGGGACTTCAATATTCAATGAACACCGGTGCACGAACGAGAGTCGAACGTACGTTACGTTCTGACTGCCAAAGGAGAATATCGTTGCTTCATCGTCGCATGCTCCAGAGACAATCGGAACCTTCGCATACAGACCCTTAATGAGCGATACCTGAGGATTCCGAACCAGGACTTTGCCATCAATTGTTGGACCAAACGGGAGTTTCAAAGAGTGGTATCCGAGGAGGTTTGGTGCTTTTGTGATCACCGATTGCAGCTGGTCGTGTGGGACACTCCTCAAGCAGTCGATTTTGTCTGCAGCGTCGGAGCATCCGGTGTCTTCGACGAGCTTGTCGAATTGTGGTTGGCCCCTTTCGATATCCCCAAAGGGCACAGGACTACCTGATTGCTATAGATATCTCTGAGAAAAAGAAGCGCAAAGGGTGTAGTGCTGTGTACGAACCATGAACGCGCCATGAAAAAGGCCCTTCGTATCACCATCATTTCGGACGAGATGGAGACCCACTGATGACGCCCCAGCGCTCTCACCCCAGCTTTACAAGCCGCGTGAGTTGCATGACTTCTTGGACCAGACATCTCCAGACACGACTCACAGAATAACCTTGTTTGAATCTCCACCAAATCGGTAAATGTGCTTTTGCACCCATTCCAATCCCGCGACCTCTGGAAGATTGAATAGTCAACGCAGAAATCTCACATTTCCCCCTAGCTGAGGCACGACGCACGATCGAGAATACCAATGTTACCAATGCCTGCTTCTTTCGCCTCCTTACCAGGGAGGAAGCCATACGCAGACATTCGATAGTTGATGGAAACGTAGATGACGGGAGTACCAAGTGTCATCGAGCGCTCGACTATGGGTGTGCCGTCGTAGCTGCTCGTATCACCCAGCATGAATCCTCCCCCGTAGATCCACTGAATTCGCCCAAGCGAGTCAGGAAGGTCCGATTCGGGCGAAGCAAGTCGTACTCACGACGAGTACGGGAAGCTTTTGCTTCGAAGGAATATACGCTGGTTTGATGACGTTGACGAAGAGACCTGCCAGTGTGCGCCGAGAGAGTCGTCAGCAGTCCTACCTCGGTACGAGCTTCCAAAAGGTTGGTTCGAGTGGAGCCAATACGTACAATCTTCAGATTGATTGGTGAACGTATCTTTTCCGTTCGGTGGGAACCCAGGAAGGACGCTCTGTTGAGGGCAAGCAGCCCCAAATCTACTGGCGTCTTTTAGCCCTGGAAACGGAATGGGAGGTTTTGGTGGGGAGAATCGTAGGGGGCCAACTCTGTTGGAATCCTTTTTAGTCAATCTTCCAAATCTCGACATGAGGGTGCACGAACGGAGGAGCAGCGTAATGCATTCCGTAGAACCTGTGAGTATTCCCTTCCATCACCCCCTCATACGAACCATAGCTGAGGTGAATTCTGGGGTGCTCGGGATTAGTGTAGCTGTCGGGAGTGGGACACATAGAAGGAAGGGGAGATCGTATACTGATAGCGCCCGCTGCATTCAAGAGAACAGCTGCACACACGGACCAGAAGAGCATGGCTGTCCAGAGCGACGAGGAAAAGAAGGGGGAGTCTAATGGTTGTGATAAAGGGACGAAGCGAGAAACATGTAATCTAAAGATCTAGGACTTTAATCTAACCCTTCAGAGGCCATGGTGCTTCTCGTAACGACTCCGCAAAGGTGGAACGAGAACTGGCCTCTCCACCGAGAGTAAATATAAAGGGACAGCGCCAATGATGGAAGCTTGCGGACTGGAGTTCTGAAGGCCGCGCAAGATGCGCACTACTTCCTATCCGGGGTTTGGAAAATAGCGACTCTCTCACCTTGCGGAACGTGATGATATTGCGATAGATAATTTTAGATCGAGTTTAGAATTGTCGGCTAGACCTATCCGGTGGGCTGAAGTTTGAGCCCCTCCAACGCGCTTAATTCGGCGGCGGAACTATGTCTGTATCGTCAAGGTCTGTGAAATGAAGAAGCCTCAAGCGACAATACATGTGACCAATACAGCCAATACTGTGTGTTATGTCCCATTTCTCGCTCCAACCCAGTTTTGAGAACCTTAGCGCCCATGGGCAGATTAGACGCCCAAGGTGATGGCGAATGGTGAAGCCAGCAATTGAGGTCAAATACAGGCTCAATGGTGCTCAGAGAGTATATACGAAAAGAATATGATGGGATTAGGAGATTGGAATAAACGTCGTGAAAAAGAGTGGGATCACCTTCGAAAGAGTGGGATGGTGGTGGAGGGGTGGCCTCTCTCCATTTTCAGCATCTTCAACGTCATATTATTTGGAAGAAGGCGCGCAACATAATATTCCCTTCCCCAACCTTTTAACTACCCAACCCAACCCTAAACCCAACTCTAACCACCAACCCTCACCCTAACAGCTGCGCTACGCGCAGATAACTAATACTGACTCTAACGGCCGCCTTCAACGGGCGGCACGGAGACTGGGCGGGATTGGCGTCACAACACGACGAAAAGAGTGGGATGACGGCTGGGATCCCACTCTTATTCCCCCATCCCACTCTTGTGGGGGCAATCACACTCTTTTCAACGCAATATCATTTTGAATCTCCAATCCCATCCTATTCTTTTCGTCATCTCCCGTGCTCAGACAGCCTATTAGTTCCGTTTCTCTTGTCCAGAGGCAACATCATTTGGCCAACCATACAAGTGGAATCTCCAGGGATATCAGCAACGATGTAGTTACATGAGCGCGGGATTTGTCAGTCAAGCACCACCCCACCCAGCTCTAGCGTAACATTCGCCAGGTACGAGATACCTTCCACTCGGTACGTGTCGTAAGTCGTGATGATCGAGTTTCCAGGGTCGACAAAGGTCAGCCCAGGAGGTGCTGACAAGTTAGTCCCATACTGTTCCCACTTGTAGTACTTCAGGAGGCTGACTTCGTGCGAGGTGTTGGGATCGAACGTATTTGCAAATGAGACTATGGTATAATGTTTGGTCAGTGAGAGGATAAGTAAACGTCAAGGAATAAGATTACTCAGAGCGTCAGTCCCAATATAGTCGGGATTTTCGCCCGTTCCAAAGATCTCGGGTATTTCTTGTGTGTGTGCGGCACCGATGTATGGCGTATCCTTTCCGCGTTTCCATACTATCATGGCGAAGGTGAATGGTCAGTTCGGACCTACTTTTTCTCATCCTGAAGAGAAGCCAGGCACTCACGGTAGTACCAGTTAGGTTGGGTCTTCGAGGCATATGACATGAAGAATCGGCGAGTGGAGTGGAAGAGCCAATCAGTCTGGAAAGCAGCTATGCGCTTGAACTGGGGAGTGAGAGCATTGGCATTGCCTGTTCCAAAGGGTGAGCCCTAAACGACAGGGTATAAATTGGCTTTAGTTTCAACGAATAATGATGTCTGTGCATAATGACACACCGCTGCAGGATCTTCTGGATATAGACGAGCAATTTCGTCCAGCTGGGCATCTGACACGGGTAGATAACTTGGGGTAAGATCAGCCAAATTAGCCGCACCTCGACATACAGCAAAGTGCTTACACCCGAACGAAGTCCCTGAAGTGTGCATCGGTCCTGTTATGAAGGTTGATGAGCATACCAGATTGACTGACAAAAGACATCCATACGTGACGTTTTGACTCCCAAACGAAAACATCGTCCCCTCGTCGTCGCAGTTCCCCATGATGATAGGGACCTTTGCGTAGAGGCCGAGGGCGACAGATTGAAAAAGGTTTCTAGTGACCACAATCCCATCGGTTGAGGGACCGAACGGAAGCTTAAATGGTGCATAGCCAAGTAGATCTGGGGCCTTCATAACCGCGGCATGGAACCTCTCGTAGGGCAGGTCCCTGAGACAAGCGATCTTGTCGGACGCCTCGAAGCATCCGGTGTCCCGAGCAAGGGTGTCGAACGGCTCCTGGCCAGCTTCGATAGGGTTCCACGGGATTGGTCCGCCCGATTGCTTTGAGTCTATCAGTGATGAGACGCCTTTGGTGGGCAATGGACTCTTACCATAAAGGCTGCATGGAAGAGCCCCTTGGTGTCACCGTCATTCCGAACTAAGTGTATACCGACGGCAGCGGCACCCGCACTCTCTCCCCATCTAAAAAAAGCCATCGAGACAATGTCGAGTTAACCATGTTCCCTGTCACCAATATAAACGATGATGGGCTTACATCGTGACCTTCCCAGAGTCACCTCCAAATTTGTGAATATACCTCTGCACCCACTCCAACGCAGCGACCTCTGGTGAGCAAGCAGACTTGGCATCAGAGTCTACCCGAGCATGGCAGATAAAGCGTACTTACGGTCTCGAATGCCAATGTTTCCCAGACCAGCATCCTTCGCTTCCTTTCCACCGAGGAACCCGTACGCTGAGAGTCTATGGTTGATTGAAACGTAGATGACTGGTTGATCAAGCACCAACGAGCGCTCCACCAATGGTACACCATTGTAGCTGCTAGTATCGCCCAGCATGAATCCGCCTCCATAGATCCACTGTCAGGACACAAAAGGTGAGGAGTTGGGCACTGAAAGCACTGAAGAGAACGTACGAAGAGGACCGGAAGTTTCTTTCCCTTCGGAATATGAGCCGGCTTGATCACGTTGATGAACAGGCCTGATGTGAGGACCGCATAAGTCTCGGGTTTCGGAGGAATCGAGAACGAAGACAACTGACAATCCTCAGACTGGTTCTCGAACGTATCGTTCCCACCAGGTGGAAATCCGGGAAGGATACTCTGCTGAGGGCATGCCGCCCCAAACTGCGACGCATCCCGCAGGCCCTTAAACGGAAGGGGAGGCTCAGGTGGAGCAAAGCGAATACTATTCAGGTCCTTTCAGATCGATATCACAAATGAAAGGCATGAGGTACGCACGGAGGAGCAGCATAATGCATCCCATAGAATTTCTGGACGTTGCCCTCCGCAGCGCCCTTATACGACCCATAGTCCAAATGAACGACAGGCCTCCCTCCGAGCTCATCGTTGCGGCGGGCGTCCAAGACCGAGGGCTGTGCCACAGTGGAGAGAGCGTTGAACAAACTCGCAACTGCCAGAGCAGCCACAAGGTGCTTCAATGAAGTCGGCAGACGCGACGGCATGCTTCACCTTGACGCGAAGACTGAGAAGACTCGGACTGAGTATGTGAGTCGAATGAACAGCTTCTATTGCAAACCCGCACGCTTTTATACTTTAGCACCACCCTCATTGCCGGCATTAAAGGATCTCACCTGGCAGACTAACAGAATAAGCGATGTGTCAGAAACCTTTCATTTCGTACGGATGACTTCCATTCAGGGTGGGTAGTCTGCACTACCGACAGAAGAACTTGAAGAGAAGTGACGTTTTCGGTCCAGATATAGAACTTTTGATGCTCGTCATGCTACGGAGACCAACTCCGCAAAATGGTGCCAAAAACCTGGTCCTTTGGCTAATGCTGACAGAGCAAGGAAGAGAGCAGCGCCCACAGATGAAACGAAGACTTTCAGGGAGAAGAACGAATTCTGCGAATTTCGGAAATTATGATAGTCTCCGGAGGCAATAAACATGACTAATCTACCCCTATTCTATTGAAGCGCTCAAGGAGCGCGCTCAGGTATTTAATGGCAAAGTACCGTCTAGGTGCCGTAAATTGTACTCAAAAATGCCTGTAGCTTATTCAGAACGACAGCACGCCATCTAAGATCAAAGATCCAAAAAGAAATCAGTAAGCGAATCAAAGAGCCTCTGCCTAGTCGCCCCAACCCATTCGTCCCACTCTTTCCTACACCTCGCACACAAGCTATCACTCCCGACCCTACTCGCACCTGCACCGCCGTTACTCCCAGCTCCCTCTTCCTCCAGAGCCCCAAAGTTACTCTTGAGTGTCTTCAACGGGTCCCAATTCGCCAAAATATTGGTCTGGATAGTCAACAACCTCAACACGACATTGTCGTAACAATGTCTTTTCACCTCTCCACCACCATCCTCATCTCCGCCCTCCGTGGCAGATGAGACAAGCGGACACTGAGACCCCCACCTCTCCTCAATCCCCAAATTCTCAATCTGCATCCCAATCCACCCAAACATCCTCTCCCTCCCCGCCAACGCCTTAAACCGATCCTCAACACCCAACAACTCAACCCTCGCACTCCTCGCACTATAATCCGCCAACTTCAACACCTCCTTCGAATGGTTCGGGTAAGCCGTATCCACCGCCGTCCTCGAGAGGTGGTAAAACGCGATAGGGAGTATAGATCGCAAGTTGAACCTCCGCGCGACGCGGATGACAGAAGCAGGTTCGGGCGCGTGGAAGTCCATCGCTTTGTGAGGCTGAGACTCCCAGCGGGTGTAGAAGAGCCGTTCGCGCTCGTCCCAGGCTTCGAGTGTGGTTGGCCAGTCGCGTTGGATGTGTTCGAGGATCATGGATTTGAGGTCTTCGAGGAGGAACTTGTCCGCCATTTCGAGCACGCCGTAGAGCCTGTAGGCTACATCAACATCCTCTTCGTGCACTGGACTCTGGCTGACCACACCGTTAACAAGGGAAACGAGCACGCAGAAGGTAACGGGACTCACCTAGGGTCATAACTATACTTCAACACAACAGCCACATCCCGGGGGTCATCCACACTATTAATCATCGGGAGGTTGTCATAATACATCTGGGTATCATCAGGGTGAGGAATCGCCAACACGTTCCTCAACAGTTCCGACTTCTCCAGAACAGCCCGATGCACGCAGAAATAGGTGAAACTATCCTCTCTGTCCCGATTCCTACACCGCACTACGATGTCGCCGTCAGGGAAGTAGAGTTGAGGGTGGTGGGTGTGGATCGGGATGTCGGATAGGGCGCGTAACATAGTGCTGGTGCTCGAGGTGCGTCGTGGTACAGCGCGTGGATGGTATGGTCCGAAAGGTCGTCGTAGGTAACGAGCGAGATGAACGGCAGAAAGGAACTAGATGGAAGTCAGAAAGAAAGCTTTAGCAGGACGTCGTTCCAATTCATAGCACGCATTATGCACTCCTTGTTCCTGCATCCGCGACGCACGCCACCACTAGCGCCGAGATCCCAAATTTAGGTTCACACTACGAATGAAGCCAGGCAAAACAAGGCAAATTAAACATTCAAGGTGAGACAAAATCTCGCCGGAACTAAGCATGACACGATAAGAACAACAAAAAGGATAAGGAAAGCAGTTGAACAAACTGAGAAATTATGAAACATCGAAGCAGTAAGTGGAGCGAAACGAACGGAAACGGACTCCAAGGGAAGAAAGGACACAAACGCGCACCGACAAACAAGCGCTAACCGAGAAAAAAAAAAGTATCATCACTCGTCATCACCTCCCCCATCCTGCTCATCAAGCAACTTCCTCGCATACAAAACACCAAGCACCCTCATCACATCCTCATCACCCCCAAACTCCTTCATCACCTCCTTCTCAAACGCCCGAAACTCCTTTACATTCTCCTCCGTAACCTTGCTCGCCAATTCGTCATGGCGTAGTGACCACTTTTGCACCGCCTGTTCATAGGGATCGCGGGGATCGAATGTCCGTTCGGGGGAGGATAAGAGTCGCTCAACGTCCATGGCGTCCTCATCGTCTTCCCCGTCGGATGAGGATGGTTGGAGCTGGTCTTCTTCGTCTGATACAGAGGGTTCTGACTGCTGCTCGTCTTCGTCATCATCATCGCTAGCGTCTTGGTCTGAGGCGCTATCCTGGTCGATAGCGTTGGCGTAGACATCGTCGTCGCTGCTTGCCTGTTGATCCTCCGGGTACTGTAATTCCCCCTCTTCATCCGGATGATCCGGATAACCGAGCTCATCATCCTCTGCCTGATCTTCCTCCCCTGCAAGCTCACCACCTTCTTGATCCACTTCTCCGTCCTCATAATCGTCTCCGCCCTGATCTTCGTCAACCTCATAATCGCCTCCGCCCTGATCTCCATCGATCTCGTAGCCATCTTCGCCCGGATCCGGATTATGATCAACCTCATCTCCTTGCCCCTCCGGGTCTTCATCACCACCCTCCTCGTCACCACGTTCATCATCAAAGTCACCTCCCTCCCGATGCTGATCCTGATCCTGATACTCCTCTCCATCCACCACCATCTCTTCTCCCCCATCTCCACTTCCATATTCACCACCCCCATCTTCCTCTCCAACTTCCCCGCCCTCTTCCCCACCTTCTTCATCTACATCTTCTTCTCCACCAGCCACTTCCCTATCTTCTTCGTCTCCATCTTCGTCACCACCGTCCTCATCCTCACCTCCCTCACCACCATCATCCTCATCGTCATCAGATTCAGGAATCCCCACATCCGGACTCAGCACCCCCAACACCTCCTCCGAAGACCTTCTCGACCTCGACCTCGATCGTCGCCTATCAGCAGGCGAAGGCGAGTCCTCCCTCTCCTCTCCAGGCGACGAAGCCATCACCACCGAGTTTCTCGAGGTTCTTATGCGGTCCTTCCCATTCGTCGCAGAGTTCGTGTGGTCCCTCGTAGTAGAGTTTCTCGCGCGATCCGTAGTAGTAGTCGTGGTTCGTGTACGCTCCTTCGTAGTCGTAGAACCAGCTGAATGTACCGATGCCTTCTTGTCGGACCCCGGAGACTTTGAACCCGCCTTCTTGAGATCCAACAAACGCGGCGGAGAAAGCATGTTCTGCAGCTGCGGTAGACGCGGAGGCCGCTGCATCCCTCGCACCATTGCTATTAAATCGTTCAGCCCAACACGGGATCTCTCGCCTTGGCCCTCTTTTCGTCTATCGACTTCACCACGCTCTTCAACATCGACCCGTCCTCCAGCCGCTTCACCACCCTCACCCTCATCCCCCTCTCCACTGCTCTCCTCACCTTCCCCTTCCTCCTCCGCAACCATCAAATTCATCAACGTCAGCGCCTCCATCTCCAACTCACCCGGCACCGCACCCCTAAGCGACCGCCTATACCTCCCCGCCCTCGTCGACCTTGGCGGCTCATAAGGCGTAGGCGGCAACTCATGCACAGGCCTTATATCCAACATCGGTTTGACGCTTGATCGTCGGCGGGCATGGCCTTGAGCACCCCCGAAACTAGCCCGTGCACCCGAACGAGCCTGTGTACCCGAGCTAGAGCGCCGCCCCTGACCCAGCCCACGTCCATGTCCATGTCCAGCTCCGTGCGTAGCCAAACTATGCCGCCCCTTGTTCACTTGCCTAAGATCCACAAGGTCGCTCGGCGTCGTTCGCGAACTGGCGGGGCCACTCCCAGGCGGGTGAACACGAGCGAGGTCGAAGACCGATGTATCTTGCTCTCCCCCTCCTCCTACTCCATAGTGCCCTGCCCCTGCCCCTCCCCCACCCCCTCCTTCTTCCCCCTCCCCTCCCTCCTCCGCAATCATCGAATTCATCAACGCCTCCCCAGCAGCCTCAGTCTGCTTCTGCAATTCGGCAAGGTACTCATTCAGCTTCTCCAAATCCTTCAGCCTCTTGTACGCCTTGAACACCGTATCCTCTGTCACACCATACCGCTTCGCCAACGCCAACAGCACCTGCCTGCCCGCCATCTGTAGTAGCTGCGCATCCGAATGAGGGGAAGCTGGGGTAGTCGTGCAGGTGGTAGCGGTTTTATGCGGCGCTACAACAGCCTTGCCTTTGGCAATCGAAGCTCTAGACGACGTCCTCGAGAGGACACTCGGCGCCTTATTGCTATTACTAGAAGCACTCGACCGAGTACGCGTGCGCGTGCGCTTCCGCAACCTCTGCATCGCAAGCGTCTTGTGCAAATCGATCCGAGGCGGGGGAGCTTGCATGGTATACACCAGCGGCGAGCGGGGAGGCGGTCGGACATCGCTGAAGACATCGTCCAGTTGGATGGGCCTGTCATCCAGCTCCCCGGAATCGTTGACGAGGGTGACAGAGGCACCGGTGATAACGACCGACTCGACCCTGGATTCAGCGGGTTTTGAAGGGGCAGCAGGTCGACGACGCCTGAGGCTATCGGATATTGATCGCGGAGGATCGTCGTCTAAGCGAGTCCGGTGGATGGTAGCAGGAGGAGCGGGGGCGGCGAGGAAGTTCTCCTTGGGCGGGGCGTTCAAAAGCTCGCTATTGACAGGTTGATGCGGTTCAGTGGTGCCACCCGCCGCGCCATTGGGCGGGAGTTCAACCGCATCGAGAACTTCTTCGCGCGAGTGGTAGTGGCCAGGAGGGAGCTTGACCTTGGACGAAGAAGCTTCAGATGTAACGACGTTCCCAGACGATCGACGTGCGGGCGCAGGCGGCGGGGGGTGTGGTTGTTCCTGGACCACCCTGTCCTTGGGTGGCGGAGGGACCTCAGTCTGTTGCTCTTGTTCCCGCGGTTCCTGCACATTCGAGGGCTTTGGTCGACTATGGTGGTGTTTACGAACAGGAGGCCAGGGCCTAGACTGCTGAATGGTGGTCCTGAACGCGCCTTCCTTATACACAGGAGGCTGGCGTCGGACAGATGGCCGTTGCAGGGGTGGCGGGGGTGCGTTGTCGTGGTCCGAGGACGAGCCAGACACGAAGGGATCCTCATGAATCGACGACCGCCTCTTCTTCGGTTTGGGTTTGGGCGCCTGCGAGGGCTTTGCGGGCACGGGATCAGCTGCTTTCGGCACTTCGGAAGTCGGTTTCTTGGTGGCAGAGTCGGGAGGAGTAGGTGCGTTGCCGTTGGGTCGGGGCGTGGATGTTGAAAATCCGCTTGGCGGGGGATCGGCGGGGCGAGACAGTCCTGGGGAAGGCGCCGTATTCAGGTCGGGGTAGATTGAAGCCACACTAGAGGAAGTCAGTACATTGACTACAACGCTGGAATTCAAAACCTACGGATTTTGGTCGGCAGGCGCGTTGTTCTCGTCCGGCATGGGTTCCTCTGGAAAATCGCCTGGTATAGCCTGGTTCTGCTGTCCTTCGTTGTCCGCATCCTGGCCTTTTGACTGTGGAGGAGGCGCTTGCGACTTTTCCTTGGGCTTCTCTTTCGCTGGACACTCCTTATTCACCGCGCCACCAATGCCCCCATTACTCTGCGCCAACGTCCCAGTTTTCTGCCGTTTCTTCTCGTGTGTCGAAGCCTGGGGTTCGTCTCTCGCTTTCCGCTTCAGCCCCATCTCAGCCTGCTCCTCTTCTGCATACTTGGCCTGTCCCTTTTCCGCCAACTTTTGCTGGTGTTTCAAAATCCGTCTGTCAAACTCGGCTTGGTGTTTCTTGTACCGTTCGCGCCATGACTGCCAGGTATGTCTTCTGGACCACGACCATTTGCGTTCTGCCTATTACCCAATACGCGAGTCAGAGAAGTCCGGGGCAAGGTGGGAGTCGCATACGTTTTCGACTAGTGTTTTGTAGAGTGCGTTTCCTAGTCGGCCTGCAGGTTCTGGTCGGTACTTTGCAATGTATTGCATAAGTAGGTTGTCATCGGCGGACGTAAAGTCGTTGCGACCCGTGCTATTCAAAGTTAACTTCAGTTTTTTAAATAGCCTGGTAACAACGTACTGCGCAGCCATGCCTCATTACTATCTTCCTCCAATTCCTTCAAGATTTCTCGACTTGAAGCTGTACCTCCCATTTGAATCAATTCTATGACCATATCACGACTCTGAACGTACCTTTAGCTTTAAACGCCACTCCAGAGCTTACGAGACCCTCGTTTGTCGCAAAACGCAGGCCAGATGCGACGTTGGGCGCAACGACGGATATGGAAGAAGTCAAGAACCAAGCCAGGCCCAAGCACGCAAACGCGCTCCTCGTCAAAGTCACGTTACCGCCCCGTCACGCCCGTGCATCAACTTTCTCACGTTTTACCTTCAGGGGTACGAGACTATTCAGGGGCTGTGCCTTCCTCCTCCAGCAACCGGTACGCATGACCAGCCCCCGACGACGTTCCCGCCATTCTGCCCGTTTTCCAGATACATATTCAGGCTTTGCCTAACATCCAGCAAGGGTTGTTGTTCGAGAATCCTCTCTGTTGCATTGACAGACATCTACATCTACACTAACGATCAATGTAACTGTCGGGTTAATCCAAGTCATCCATGATGAATTCTCGAACTTCCACATCCTCGTCCCAAAGGCCACGTTCGTAGAGTTCTGCGTCGAAGTCTCGCTCGAAGAGTTCTGCATCGGGTTCGCGCTCGAAAAGCTCTGCATCGGGTTCCCTCTCGAAAAGTTCTGCATCAAGCTCGCGCTCAAAGAGCTCGGGATCAAACTCCCGCTCGAACAACTCCTCCATAACCTCCCTCGTCATAAGCTCATCTTCAGGCAACGAACGGAATCCGAGACTACAAAAACGCATCATCGTCAGCACCAACACCCTAAGAGAAACATGTAACATCATAAAAAAGACACCCACAGTCCCTTGAAAACACCACCAATACCCTTCCCAACCTTCTTGAAAAAGTTCTTCACCTTGTTGGGTTCGCGGGTGTACAGCTCCTCCAACACCTCAGAGCGAGTAACCAACTCTTCCAACAAGTCGCGGGTGAAGAACTCCTCCAACGCAGATGAGGAGTCAGCGCGGGCGATCAACTCCTCCAAGACCTCACGCGCCTCCATCCCTGAAAACTCTTCAGAGCGGGGACGGTTGACATCGGAGACGTCGCGCGTGGTGAGGTCGGTGAGTTCCGAGGGTGCGACGTCGCGGCTATATAAAGGAGGTTGGAGGTTAGATTTATAGGCTATGGAGAGGAAGGAGAGCCTGGTGTACGTACGACTCGAGGTGCTGAGGCGGGATGCTAGCGGCCGAAGCGAGCGTAGCACCAGCGACGACGGCGGAGATGACAGCGGCGGTGGAAGTGAATCGCATGTTTAAAGACCGTGCTCGAAAGGGTATGGAAAGAAAAGCTTGAACGACGACGACGACGGAGGAGAAAGACGACAGAAGATGACGAAAAAAGACCTAGAAGAGGATAATACCACCAGCGATCAACGCTTCGGTATTCGAGTTCTGTGACTAGCGTGGAGGAGACCTGCTCTAAGGAAACCCACCAACCCCACTCCGAGCCTCCTTTATATACCCAAAAGATGAAACGCCATCTCCGAGTCTAGAACCCAAACCAACACATACATACATCGGGTTGACATCAGGAACTGGAAGTAGTTTCACATATGGCATCATTCCTCCAACGACGGCAGTGGGTCCCATGGTACCACCCACCCCCATGTGCATAGCCTCGAGGCTCGCATTGATTTCACCATCCCTCATCGATATTACTTAGGCTGCGAAATGAGAAAGGTTCGCCCATCTCTGGCCGTACATCAGATGCACGCGGCTTCATTTCGGTTCAGTTATAACAGGTCTCCATGGTACACCCTCAAGGGCATTTCTATCTCACTTACCGCGCCCAGGGGTTGCGAGGCTACTTGCTCCCTCCCAGGGAACGTCTGAACAGAATGACGACGAGGCTGAGCCAACCCATCCTTACATCTCGAAGTATTCCCAACTTCTTCCTTCGCCATCTACTGTACCAAACCCAACCCACCTCCGACCCCCCTCTCCCCTTCAAGCTTCAAGCTCCAACTGTTTCATCCCTGCAGATCGCGATTCGCAACCGACCCTAGCAAAGTAAAAACACCCCATTGCCATCACTCATCTTCAATCACTCCATCACCTTATGAAACGTTTCTTTGCCTAACTTAGGACAGCTACGTCTCCCCATCTCCGTGCCGCTCAACATCTCCGTGCTCCGCAGCACCGGATTCTCGTAACGCGGCTATGTACACACTTACGACAAGGGCGGAATCGCGGATTTTCGTTGCTGACCTCAAGGATATATCTGGCATGCCCATAAGTCCTTCAAGTCGAAGAGATATCAAATCACCCGGGTATGTCGGGCGCTACGTATATGAGCTCTGTCACTGTGTCATCCATGAAGCAGAAGCAACGCAGCAGTGAAGCGTAAGGTTCGCGCGCCCATGGCTGGGCAAGAAGAACGTGGATCAATACGAATTGACCACGCCCAACGAGAAGAACATAAAAGAGATCAGAAAAGCAGGGGTATTCTTAGTCTCTTCCTAAGGGCTTCAGTATAAAAAAAACTCGAGGATCATTATCAGCGCCCACCCTGGGTCCAACAGACATCTGTCTAAGAAGTTATTTCGAGCGTTCAGATTGAAGATTCCGGAAGATGCGCTTCTATCCAGTATCGGCGTCGCACAAGGTTATTATCGTCTTCAACTTCTCATATGCACCATCCAACGACGACAGTGCGGAAAACGATAATTCAATATTCAAGCCCGATGTCGAAACCAGGAGATACACACACTGGTTTAGTGATTTGGTCGCTAAAATTACGAGCACACTCATCTCCTTCATTCCCCTCCTTCCATACCCAATCATAATCATTCCCATCCCCCGCCCTCCACTGACACGTACATTCCTGATGTCACGCGTTCAACCTGCTGGAGGCCACAAAAGGCTGAGGGTGAACCGCGCACAAGACCACAGCACGTAAAATCACACGAACCAGTTACGACGAGAAATGGTTAATCCAATGACCACACTCGTCACTCGAATGTATGCTTCGCCTCCACCGCAACACCCACCTGCGACAACCTCCCAAACGCTGCCTGCACTGCCTCTCCCACCTGCGCGTCCACCGTCTCTTCGTCCAACCCTCCTTGCTCCCTCCAAAGTTCCTTAATCATACTCAAATGAAGCCGGAGTTTTTGAAGATGACGGAGTGGGCGACCAAGCAGATACTCTTCTATCGTCTTCCACTCCTTGTCCAGTTGGTGGCAAAGTAAGACATTCCACATGGCCACGATCTTGATCTCGAGAGTTGTCAGGTTGGGGATGGCGGCGACGGCGTCGCTGATGAGAGAGGAGACCATGAATCCGTGAAGAGGGGTGTACCGCGTCCCGGTGTAGGCCAGGTCGTCGACTATGTCACACGCGTTTATTTGGAACTTGAAAGTCTTCAGAGCCACAAGGGAAGACCAAACCGGGATATTCTGTCCTGCACAGAGCAAAAATAATCCCGTATTCTCTGGAAAATGCCGTTCAGTAACTGGTAGCCGATAGTCAACCTCTAGGAAGACCGGCACGTACTTGTATGGATTCCACCCGAGGACCATTCAGGTACCTCATATGTGAACGAAGTCAGGTTCGAGGCAGATGCAGACAACAGTTCAATTGCCCTGAGTCGATCCGCAACAACGTTGGAAGCGAAGTGGAAGTGGCGGAGCGAACCAGGCGCGATGGCATCGATGACCTTGTCGAGACAGGGTAGGTTGGTTTCGTAGACCAATTCTTTTGTCTGCAGTTTTTCCCCCGGATCTCCCACTGGTAACGTCCATGGGTAGCATTGGATGAGAGCGAGGGCGTCGAGTTTTGGGAACCTCTCGCACATTCTTATGAGTTCAATCCTTCGAAGGTTGGGAGAGATTATAGGACCGAAAAGGTCTCCCGGACGATGGACAATCTGTTGGATTCTCCAGCTCTCGAAAGTAGATTCTAGCCGCAGGCTTTCCAATTCCGTAAGGCGGGAGAAAACATGACCAAGGAATTTCGATAGCATTGCGATCATCACCCCCCGGATGCAGATCTGGATAACGACCATTTAAGGTGGCCCAAAAGTTCTTCACGTAGGTTCCCAGTCGAGGGTTCTCCTCGAGTGCTTGAGCAAACTTTGTGATAGGGCCAACCCCTACATCGAAAGACGCCGACCGAAAGAGATGCCGTTGGCAATGCGCTGTGAGGACCTTGGTGGTTATGGACCCTGCTCGCAACGTAGACATTTCGTCGGTGAGATGGTCGAATATAGCATACAGAAGGTCGATTGGTAAGGACATCGTGGTGGATACGGGAAGAGTTGTGGTGAGAAAACCGATGCGTTGATTCATTTGATCATCTTATCCCTTATCTTATCTTATGATAACCAAGGATCTCGGCTCCAGATTGGTCAGGACGAAGTCAAATGTCCTGTATTTTATTTGATCTCCAATGCCATGAACTGCACTCCTAGACCATAACTAATAATTCCCATCGACCAAGTTTGACTCCCCATATATACAGTCACTTTTTCCTTCTTCCAACCATGCTTCTCATACATCTTCATCGCCGTCTTCTGGAACGTAGTCGTGGCCAATGTGATTCTCTTGCAAATGACCCCTTGCCCCGTCGGATCCGATCCAAGTTTCGCGTTTGAATCCTTGACATGGTCAACAAGAGCTCGAATGAGCATGTGTCCAATCCCTTGTCGCCGGTAAGGTAGCGCTACGACCATGCGACGAAGCTCGAGGACTTCTGGGTCAGGATTCAACAATGCATCTACAGTCGACTCTATTAGCTTATGACTTATGGGTGGCGTCGGACGCAACACCCACCTAATCCCACACACCCCACGATCTCTCCCCTTGCAGGTCCATCAACAACTTCGGCGACCCAGAACCTACTTCTCCATGCCCCAGTCCCCCCTCCCGAGTACTTTTCATCCCTGCGAAAGCCCATGTAGCTCTTTCCAATATCCTTCAAATCCAAGTCCATGGACATCTTCACATATCCGTTGAATACAGTCCGTATGTGTCGCCGGTAGAGGAACCAGTACAAAGCGGGAACTGTAGTTAGAGCGACTCCAAGGGCGGTACCCGGTGATTTGATGGGCAGACGAGCAAGCCATAGCGATAGCCCAGAGGGAAGAAAGCTGGAGTACGAGTTTAAGAGTAGACTCGACCCTATCGTGGAGAGTCCAAGGCATAAGAACGAGGAGGGCGATGTAAGATGCTGTCGGAGGGCGTCGTTGATGGGAGCTCCAGGTACTCCTTCAATTTGGGAATCTACGAAGAGAGCATGGACTTTAGCTTCGTCCCGGTCTTCGTAGAGGCGTATGCGAATCGAGGGAGCGGCAGACATAGACATAATCACTCCGTATCTTGTGGGCGGGGGACGTTGATGTAGGGGTTTAACCGCTGAATACGGGGGCTTAAATACCGGAGTGTTGCCGTGATGTTGAGAAATCCAGTGAAACGCCGAGCACCATGTGCTGATCCCGTTGTTTACGTGAAGATCTATTCGCAATCGTTACATGTTGGGAGCACCATTTCTGTGACTATTCCCTTAGACTCAGCAGCGCGCTGGGTTCCGATCCTTCATCGTATCATACAGTACCTGCCATGATCACCCATACCTAGCATATAGCCCCTCGTGATCATTGACCTCCACCTCCGCCTCGAGTCCCCGCTTCTCCTTCGACTCTACAAAAGCTGCATTGGCCCACAACTGAAACGACTCCCGCATCTCCGAGGTAGTAATCTCTTCCTTCTCCAACCAACTCTTCCTCACGTTGAACACCAGCCGAACCTTGTTCAGGCGAGGGAATGGCCCACGAGCCAAATAGTCGTCGATATCGATGAAATAATCCACGAATTCGGTGGTCACGTCGACACTGTACATCTGTATGATCTTGATCTCGAGCGTAGTGATGTTGGGAATAGCGGACAAGGCGGTGCTGCAGAATGTGGAGGCCATGAATCGGGGCAATGTGCGGTAATCTGTCCGCTCGGGATGGGCAGCATTGAAGAGAAAGTCGCTTGCCTCGACTTGAAATCCGAACGTCTCGAGGCCGATGAGAGAAGCGAATATATGTGTGTTATCTTTGTGAAAGAACCTGTTCCTTCCTGTATTCAACAAACGAACACAGACGAAGTTTAATAATCAGTGTTAGGAAAGATGTCAAGGACCTTACTTGTGTGTATCCCGCCCGCAGACCGCTCGGGGACGGCGTAGGTGAACGACGTAAGGTTAGGCGACGACTTGGAGAGTATTTCCAACGCTCGAAGTCGGTCCGGCTCCTTATTCGAAGAGAAATGGAAGTGGTGAATGCTTTGGGGATCGACGGAGTCCAGGAGCGATTTTGGGGTGAATGGCATTCGCCCAGAGTCCACATAGGTGAAACAGCGAGTTTTAACTGACCCAGCCACAGACTTGCCTTCTGGTGGTCTCTTCTGTGCGCAGTCATCTATGACCAGTGTTTGTAGAGTCGCAGGCCAGGAGAAGTGGCGGGAATACAAAGGATCAGGGATAGACACACCCGGCCCTACGAGTCGAAGACTGCGGAGATTGGGAAATGGAATTTCGATGAGTTCTTCAAACCGTACTACCTGAATCAGCGGTGTAGCATGGGATATTCCGGCCTGCAGATGGATTGACTCCAAGTTCCCTAGCTTGGAGAAAGTCTGACGAAGCAAAGCCGTCACGTCGATGTTCCCTTGGCGGTACTTAGTTTGATCTTCTGAGGATTGCGTGTATCCACCAACAATTGTTCCGAACGAGAGTACGTAGGATCCTAGGCATGGATTACTCTCTAGTGCCTGAGCGAAGCATGCAAGGGCATTCGACACCGGGACTGTATCCTGGGCGTCAGGCCCGACGTCGACCATGAAATTGAACGACGGAGAACGAAACAGGTGTCGCTGGCAGTGGGAAGTGAGGACCTTGGCAGTGAGGCATCCAGCCTGCTGGGTAGGTCTGTCGTCCGCGAGAAGATCGAAGATTGAGAACAGGATGTCTGCTGGTACAGACATGATGATCGTTCTGGTGAGAGAACATGGTTTCGCGTCGTGATGAGTTTTGATAATTCCTTATCTAATCTTATCGCGATAGTAATAAATCACCCAAACTATTCCTCGTTATACCTACGGATAAAGAACATGCAAACCCTAGAGAGACAGTTGACTTGAGAAAGATTTGTCTGTATAGCAACTAGAATAGATAATATCTCGGGTCGTTCTTAGCCTCAAAATTATGCACGACCTCAACGCTGAACCCCCTGTCCTTCTTCAACCCATGCAGCGGTCCTTCTGCGACCCACTCCGCCAACAACTCTCCAATCCTATCATATTCAGACTTCGTATCCGAATGTCGGGCGCTTCTTGTCAAGTTCAAAACGAATCGAAGGACCTTAAGACGCGGGTACGCTCCTCGCAAGAGGTGCTCATTCAACTTCTTCCAATGAAACTTGAGGTTGAAAAAGGGATAAGGCGATGGTGTCCTGATAATTTCGACCTCGAGAAAGGAGATGTTCGGGCATGCAGAGAGTGCCTCTCCGGTCAAGATGTCGAGCATGAACTGGGACATGGGTGTGTGTCCTGTCCGGACCAGTGCGAATAGGTCTTCGGCTGCTACCTGGAACTTAAAGCGCTCGAGGGCCTCCAAAGAGGAGAATACAGCAGCATTTCCAGGGTCGAAAAGGGACCCTCGGATGACTATAGATTGGGAGAATCAGGGATTAGGAGTGGGTCCATTGGCGTGAAGCACTTACCCCTGTTGACCACAGCAGGGTCGAATATTGAGGTCCTGTGCGGTACTGCATAGGTCAGGGACACCAACGAGGAGGCCGATTTCCGGAGCAACCTGATCGCCTTCGGATAGTCGGAGTTACGTTTGGCAGAAAGATACAGAGTCTGGAGGCTGTCCTGGCCGATGAAGTCGACTGCGTAGTTGAAGGGCTCCATCTGAGGGCCATAGTACGCCAGTGTGTCAATGTTGAGTGGTGTTCTGGCCCCGGTCGTTGCGCTGGCATTGTCGCTCGTGAAGTCCCAGTCGCAGTTGTCAATCACGAGGCGCCGAAGGCGCTTGAGCTGCGGCAGCTTTTTCGTCGGAAGATGCATAAGCATTGCGTGTAGTCCCACTTCGCAAAGGTTTGGAGAGAGAACCGAGCCGAGAATCTCCTCTAGCAAGAAAAGAGGTCTTCGGAGAGATGGGTCCCCCCTGAGATGAAGGCTCTCTAATTCCGTAAATCGCGTCAATAAGGGAGCCAGACGACACGAAACGGCGCGCTGAACGTCAGCTGGATCCGTCTGGGTTCGACGATCCGGCCTGATGTTGACGATAACCTTGAACGACCGAACGTAGGCGCCCAAGCTCGGGTTGTGAACCAACGTTTTCGTGAACTTGTAGAGGGTTTCATGGTCGTCGTGCGCCTTCCTACCACACAGCACAGCTTCCAGCTCCTGAGACAAGCGATGCAAACCTCCTTCCCCGTCTACGGACTCCTCGCATCCTCTCTCTTCCGGGAGGTTGAGCCGGAAACTTATCGATCTGAATAGGTGACGTTGGCAGTGGGCGGTAAGGATTTTGGCCGCAACAGATCCAGAGAGCAGAGTCGGTGTGTCGGTAGCAAGTACATCGAGGATTCTGTAGAGGATATCGACGGGTAGCGTCAACATATGTCGCAGTTTGGGAAGACCTGTGATGTGGATCTTGATACGTGGACCCAACATAGGGGCCTATCTTATCAATTGCCCACGCCAAGATCCATTCCGCTCCTGGGTGACATTGCTCAGTTGACACCGCAAGAACATACCCGCTATTGAGTTCTTTACGAGATGGCTTAGCGCCCTAGTCACTCGTGATCCATGGTTAACATAAGTATGAAGCCATTTCAGCTTAAATACAGGAACCCTGGTGATGGTTTGAGGTACGAAATGACATACTTGTCTTTCCCACATTGGGGCTTACCTTCGCTCTCCCTACACTCTGGCTTCGTTGCGCTAGCCGGTAGTGTACTTGCTGTGATATTTCTGGTCCTCTTTCGACGTCGCGCACCCACCCTACCTCTCCCTCCTGGCCCCAAAAGGTTGCCAATCATCGGCAGCCTCTTCCATATTCCATCAAAAACTCCATGGGTCGCGTATAATGAACTTTCAAAGAAATACGGTTGGCCTGCTGCCTCTGCTCGCATCGCCACGCCTTGCTGATAAGATTCTGCGTAGGGGACCTCATCTATTTCGAAGCAATGGGCCGTCCGATTCTAATCCTCAACTCTTTGTCTGCCGTCCAAGATCTTCTCGAGAAAAGAAGTGCCAACTACTCCGATCGTGCCACTAATCCGGCCTTCCAACTGTGAGCGCTGTGATACTCTGACTGTCCAAAGAACCTGTGCATTGATAAGCTTTGTAGAATGAAACTCGAGTGGATGATGGGACTTATGGACTACGGTCCTTGGTGGAAGTCGCATAGACGCCCACTGCAACAACAATTCAGTCCACGTGAACTTGCAAGGTATCGGCCTATCCTCCAACAAGAAGTCTCCGCCTTTCTCCTTAAATTAACTGAGAATCCCAAGTCATTTCTCGATACAACTCACCTGTAAGGACGACGCCATGGTGACTGGCTGGTTCCACGCTAATTCTGCGCAGGTTCTTTGGATCAGTCATTATGAGGATATCATACGGTGTCAATGATTTCAACTACAACAAGTCATTCATCATGCAAGCAGAAGCTCTCCTCGACATGATCGCTCACGCCACGGCTCCTGGACATTTCCTAGTCAATGTATTCCCCCTGCTACGACACGTTCCAGCGTGGTTCCCTGGAGCTGGCTGGAAACGTCGACTACAGGAGGCGGTTCAGATTGGCCTCAACCTGCGAGTTGGGGCGTTCGAAGGTGCTAAACAGAGAGTGGTAGGTGTCAGTTACCCACACCTCGCCGTTACGGTTCTGACGAATCCTAGCAACTGGGGCAGAGGGAGTACCCATGCGTAGCACATCGGATGCTCGACTCTCTTCCACCAGAGGATGACCCACAATATGGCGCCCAAGCAGCCATAGCGACAAATGTGGCGGCTATGACTTACGTTGGTACGAACCCCAGTTCCCCACCATGTTGATAACTCACTTACGCTGGACCCTTCGCAAGCGGGAGCGGACACGGTAATCTCGGCCCTCTTTCTATTTCTTCTAAGGTTAATGGGTCCCTACAGATGGTCAGCTCAGGCAAGGTTCTGTTCCTGGCATTAGCGAACAATCCCGACGTGCAAAGACGCGGCCAAGAAGAGATCGACACCGTTATTGGACCAGGTCGCCTACCGACGCCCGGAGATCTTCAGAAGCTTCCCTACGTCCAGGCTATCGTAATGGAGTTGACTCGTTGGTACACTGTCGCTCCATTAGGTCAGTCGACCGGGCTCTTGTGCGATGCCAATGTTAATTCCGCAACTCACCCTCATGCATCTAGGGCTGCTTCATGCGGCGACCGAAGACGATGAATATCATGGATACTTCATCCCAAAAGGAACCTTCATATCCCGAATGAATATCAATGCCATTGCCGCCGATCCGCAACGTCAACTCGAGATCTTGGCCAAGCTCGAGCAACTCCAGCAGGGTTTTTGAAGCGGGTGCTGGCCAAAGCCGCAACGCTTGCACCCTTCTCTCCGTCGTATGCCGTCTCCGAGTATGATTCTATCCGCTCATGTACCATTAGTTCAGTTCGCGAAATACACCCTGGTTCGTCCCACTTTCGCATTCGGATCAGACTCAGAGGCAGGAATCGTACGGCAGACCCTGCGGCAATGATTGACTGTGGCCCCACTGGCAAATTCCTGGATAAACCCTTTGTGGCCCAGCACCGTATCACCACCTATCCCCTTCGGCACCCCATTCAACTCCTTAACATCGACGGCACCCCCAATCAGGCTGGTCATATCACCCATTTTGCTCGGCTCGAGCTTACAGTCGACGGACACACCGAGTGGACAGACTTCCTCGTGGCTGACCTTGGAGGCGAGGACGTCATTCTGGGACTCCCGTGGCTCCGCAAAATCAACCCTCACATTGATTGGCGCAAAGGCACGCTCCATATTCCTCCACCCAAGGTCGCCAGTGTCACCATTGAAGAGATCCCAGACGAAGACGCGCAGACCCCCTATCGTGGAGCCCCCTCTGGTGATGCCATCCTGGAGCAGATCACTGACGCAGCACTCACCCCTGATCTCACGACTACCCCAATTGCCTCCGACCCTATCCCCAACTCTACCCCAAACTCCGTGCCTGAACCCGAAGAGGAACCGCCGTTGCTCCGCATCCGTGCCAATCGCGTCACTCGTCGAAAATGGGTCCGAGCTGGGCTGATTGAGGCTACTGGTGATGAGCTCTGGTGTGCAGCCGGGTTCACCTACTCGCAGAAGATCGCGGAAGAAGCTCAGAAGGCCAAGCCCCAGAAGACATTCGAAGAGATGGTCCCTCCCCAGTATCGCCAACACGCCTCCGTCTTCTCCGAATCCGAGTCCCATCGCCTTCCCGAACACAAGCCGTGGGATCACGCTATCGACCTCATCCCCGGAGCACCGACTACCATGCGCACCAAGGTCTATCCCATGTCCCAGAATGAACAGGAGGAACTCAACCGCTTCCTCGACGAAAACTTAAAGAAAGGCTACATCCGTCCCTCCAAGTCCCCTCTCTCGTCCCCAGTTTTCTTCGTCAAGAAGAAGGATGGCAAACTTCGCTTCGTCCAGGATTATCGTCGGCTCAACGAGATCACTGTCAAAAACCGCTACCCACTCCCCCCTTGTCTCCGATATCATCAACCGTCTCCGTGGTGCCAAATACTTCACCAAGTTTGATGTTCGTTGGGGCTATAACAACATCCGCATCAAGGAAGGAGACGAGTGGAAGGCAGCGTTTGCGACCAATCAAGGCCTCTTCGAACCTCTCGTCATGTTCTTTGGTCTCACCAACTCCCCCGCCACTTTCCAAGGGCTCATGAACTCCATTTTCTCCGATCTCATCGCCGGTGGCAAGGTTGCAGTATACCTTGACGACATCCTCATCTTCACCGCCACCTTAGAAGAACATCGTCAGATCGTTCATGAGGTCCTTCGACGTCTCAAGAAGCACGACCTGTACCTCCGCCCTGAGAAGTGCGAGTTCGAACGCGAAGAGATTGAGTATTTGGGGTTAGTCATTCGAGAAGGTGAAGTGCGCATGGATCCCACCAAGGTTGAAGCTGTCCGCAACTGGCCGGTTCCCCGCAACCTCCGTGCCCTACGGGGTTTTCCTTGGTTTTGCCAACTTCTACCGTCGTTTCATCAAGGGACTTTGCCACTATCGCCCGACCCCTCAACGATCTGACCAAGAAGGACGTCCCCTGGCAATGGAACGAGCCCCAGCAACAGGCCTTTGACACCCTCCGCAATGCATTCATCTCTGCCCCTATTCTTACCCTCTGGGACCCTAGCCGCCCCACCCGTCTTGAAGTCGACGCCTCGGGTTTTGCCACTGGAGGAGCCCTCCTTCAGAAGCACGACGATGGACTCTGGCACCCCATTGCGTTCCGCTCCGCCTCCATGCAGCCGGCTGAACGCAACTACGAGATTTATGACCGCGAAATGTTGGCCATCATCGAAGCCCTCAAGGACTGGCGGCACTTCTTAGAAGGACTTCCGGAACCATTCGAGATCGTCACCGACCACTCCAATCTCGAGTACTGGCGCTCCGCTCAAGACCTCAGCCGTCGGCAGGCACGTTGGGCCTTATACCTCTCCCGCTTCAAGTTCTTCCTCACCCATCGCCCCGGCAAGACCAACACTCAAGCCGATGCCCTATCCCGTCTTGACACCCACCAGGTCACTGATGCCGAAGACAACAGGCAACAGGTCGTTCTCAAACCGGAGTACTTTGCCAAGCTCGCCGCCGCTCACATGCTCGTCAACCCCCTGGAGCAGCGCATCCGCAATGCCAGCACTCGTGAGACACACGTTCTGGAAGGACTTGCCCAACTCCGCACATCTGGTCCTCGTCGCCTCGTTAACGGTCTCGCTGAATGGGAAGAAGAGAACGGCCTGGTGTACTATAAGGGGCGTGTCTACGTTCCACCTGACGACGAGCTTCGCCGCGACGTTCTCAAGCAATGCCACGACGATCCCACCTCTGGTCACCCCGGCGTCCATGGAACCCTCGAACGAGTTGAACGGCAGTACTAGGTGGCCTGGTATCCGAGCCTTTGTCAAGAAGTATGTGGACGGTTGTGACACCTGCGCACGGAAGAAGCATGTACAACACCCCAAGGCCTTCACCCAGCCTCTAGACGTTCCCCAAGGCCCCTGGGAATCTGTTGGTGTCGATCTCATCACACAGCTGCCTGAAGCACATGGGCACGATGCCATCATCGTCTTCACCGACCACTACAGCAAGGCTCTCCACGCTTTACCCTGTACGTCCGACATCACTACCGAGGGCATTGCCGATATCTACTACCGAGAGGTCTTCCGTCTTCACGGCCTTCCCCTGAAGTTCATCAGTGATCGTGGTCCCCAGTTCGCTTCCAAGGTCATGCGTACCCTACTCCGTCGACTCGGTATCCAATCCAACCTCACCACGGCCTATCACCCCCAAGCCAATGGTCAGACCGAACGCGCCAACCAAGAAGTCGAGAAGTATCTCCGTCTTTACGTCAATCGCCGACAAGATGACTGGGACGAGCACCTCCCAATGGCTGAGTTTGTGATCAACTCCCGCGTTCACTCCGCTCACAACCGCTCGCCATTCGAAGTCCTCTATGGTTACATCCCTCATTTTAATGTCCCAGTTGGCAAGAGAACCGGACTCCGACCTGTCGACGACCGCCTTCAGCACTTGCAAGACGTTCGGAAGGACGCCGAAGCTGCACTTCGACTCGAAAAGGCTCACCAGAAGGATGCCTACGAGGCTGGCAAGCGATCTGCCCACCAGTTCAAGGAAGGCGACTACGTTTGGCTTGACGCTAGGGACATCCAACTCCAGATACCCACCCGCAAGCTCGGCGATCTTCAACTCGGCCCTTACAAGGTTCTCAAACGTGTTGGCGACCTTGACTACGAGCTCGAACTCCCCAAGGACCTCTCTCGTATCCACCCTGTCTTCCACGTTGACAAGCTTTCCCCCTGGAAAGGTAATGATGTCAACGGCACTCTGCCGCCTCCGCCTGAACCTGTTGAACTGGAGGGGGAGCTTGAATACGAGGTCGACAGCATCCTGGATAGCAAGTTCGTCAAGAGGGGAAGGGGTCAGAAGCTGATGTACTTGGTCAGTTGGAAGGGGTATGGCGCCGGGCACGACTCTTGGGAACCGGAGGAGAACTTGAAGAATGCGCAGGAGCTCATCACCGAATACCACCGTCGACATCCGAACGCACCACGTCGTATCTCCGCCACCGCCTTTGCATCGATCCCGTGGCAGAAGCAGCCGACAACTCAACCATTCTGTCGCATGGACTTGGATTGGGAGGAGGGGCGTCGATTACCTAGGATCATCGAGGACGATGAGTCTTAGGAGGGGGGTAATGTCGTGAACTGCTGGTATGACCCCTATTTTTCTATATCTTATCTTATCGCTTCCTTCATCTTATCTTCGCCTCTGCATTGTCTTTATTCTCGTTATGGACACTTTCCCTCATGGAACACTGCCTCGTCTTGCCCTTTGCCCTGTTTTCTATTGTTCCTTTCTTCTCGCACAGCCTTACGACTCATTATGACTTATTGTGGCTTCTTTATTGTTTCATCCTTATTCTTGCGCAGCCTTCGCGCAGCCTTGTGACCTTCCCTTATTGTCTCTCATGTATTGCATCGTTATTTGTCATTCTGACTCACGGCGGCTATGTAGCTTGTAGTTACAGTATATAAGTTGTGTAGTTGGTCTTGTAGATTCCCCAGCTTGACCTCTCTGTCAATACATTGCTCTACTCGTCGCTCCAACTTATTGCTCAACGTCTCTCATCGCTCCCACTACTCTTATCTCGCCTCCGCTCATCTTATCTGGTCTTTAGTTTGGTTTAGTGTTCGCTCTTCGCGACACTCCGAATCCCAAGTGCGCGTCTCAACTCTCTTCACCTTCGAGCTAAACTCGAGCTCAGACACCCCAGTCGTCCCACCCTGTGCTCCCAACAAGTACGTGTCTCGCGGACCCAATGTAAGTTTACTCCCTCGCATATGCAAACTCCTCTTCGCGGTCTCTCTCATCTTCAAAACGACGCGGGTCGAGAGTGTTGCCTTTAACGTTCGCTGAAGCCTAGTCCGAGTCATAAACGGGTGGTCAACATAAGCGGCAAATGCGGTAATATAGTGAGGGAGACGCACCATAGAAACATAATCCAATACTCCTTCTGCGACTCACAATTAGCAAAACACATACATGGGAAAGATAAGATGGACTTACAGGTCCGGAAACCGCAAGTCCCAGATTCACAGCGGTAACCAAAGCGATGGCAATAAAATAAAACGTCCCATCTCGATATATAATCGCCAACAGCGGGCTTTTGGATTGCCCGAATCTTGGCAGACCAAGATACAGACTGAGAATCATAGCCGCTTGAAATATCCGCACAGGAGTTAGAGCTTTTACAAAGAACGAATAGGGATACTATATTGATAGGATGGATACTGACAGATGTGGTGAACCAAAATGATTCCAAAAGCGGCTGCGATATATGCGTTGTTTCCTGACTGGAAATAGCAGGTTATCTGGTCTGGAGCTGGCGAAGAAACGTCTGTAGAGTGTCCCGACACGCGATAGAGGCTAAGCTTCTCCAACCATATAAAGGGAATTGTTGAGATGACTTACAAACCAACGACTTCAGGGAGAGAATCAAGAACGTAAATATCATTCCTAGGAAGAGCTATAGGAGTTTGTCATTAGCTTCATGGTACTTTAGATCACTGGACACCGTAGAGCGAACTAACGTAGAAATGAAAGACCAGATAGAGGCCCATCTTTTTCGAGCATCCAGAGAGGACGTATACCCGGAGAAACATGAGAGCTAGATCATGTCCAGTTGAGTATCACAGCGAGTTCTAATCCTCGTGATCGAAACGTACTTTCGCCAAACCCCGATCCCCCCAATCCTATCACTGGAGCCCAAGTCAGATGAGAGTACAGAATGCAGTGGCTGCTGGAAAGAACCCACGTATCGCCGCATAAAATAACGTGTTGCACTCCTGGTATCAGCACAGTCGTTCCTCAGCATCCGTTGGCCATACGTCCGAGGCCCACTCACTTTTGGTGTCAACTCAGAGGCATGGTTATCTATCAAGAATCCAGATCACAGTCAATCCTTCAGATCGCCATGTAAAAGAGAAAGAGAACGACACCGTGACGCCGAGACGTACAAATAAATATCAAAGGCCAATCCACCAACCCCGTATACCGAGCAAGGAAGTAGGCAACCTTGATCAAGGACCAGTTGCCCTTCTCCCACATGTAGGCGACCTCCCATTCGAACGTATGCGCCCAATCGCAGATGTAGTAGACGAAGGCCATTACTGGATGGGTGTTCAAGGGCTGCGATCTCGGGCTAGAGGGCATGCTACTGACAATTCACGTACTGTAAGGAAGAGGGCAGACAGAGGTCAGATGAGGAATCGTCCAGAATAGCAAATCCCGGCGAAGGACGTACATAGACATGACGACTCCTCAAAACTACCATAGCCACTCTTTCCGCATCCATGGCAGTCTAAGTTGAGAGCTCTGAAGCAACAGAGAGAAAGAGGGGAAGAAAGGGGAACCTGAAGCCTTCCTGCGGAGACCGGCTTTAATACATCTGAGCACACTTTGACAGCCCATCCGTCCGTCCTCGACGAGGGAAAAAGAAGATTGCTCTCGATTGAACGCAGAACTTCGCGGGGGCTTGGAGGTTAACCCGCACAACCCCTGCGGCTTCTTTTCAGGTATCTGGTACACATGTATCTGTACACGTCAATGTCAATGAGAATGAATCTATCCAACAATTGGTTGGAGCCGAAGGCAGTGAGTGGTGCCGATGCCGAATCGTGAAAGGCTAAAAACAAAACACTGACCTCGAATCCGGAATCCGGGTAATCGAAAACTACTATGCGTCCGAATTCGAATTAACTTTCAGTGACCGCCGATCTTCTAGTTTGACTTGGATATCGTATGTATAGACTTGCAAGCGGAATGATCATCGAAATTGCAGAGCTTCGGATTCAGATGGTGTATCACGAAGTCAAAGTTCCGCGCTGGTGTCAGTGGAGAAAGCGTCAAGTTCAGCTGACGGCCTCCATGTGAACCTCCGTGGTCGTTTCAGCATCCAACAGTCGAAAGAGACATCATATAAAAATAGCCATGGTGGAATTTTCAGGCAACGAAGTCAGGAACGAGGGGAGATAAGGTGAGAACTCGGCAACAGTGTTAATCATCGCGCACACACTGAAACGAAGACTTCATCTAGCACCGACGACCTTTCACCGAGGTGTGATCTTGAGGACCCGCTTCAAGGTGACGGCGGCGCTTCGATTCAATGTTCCAGCGCGATGCTATCTTTCTGAACCATATCTTCATCCATAACTTGAATGTCGAACTGACCAATTCCAAGCGTATCCCATTCAGAGTCATCAATCTAGCAGAAGACAAACGTCCGTCAGCTTCCGTTTCAAGTTCCCTCTACCGTTTGACGAACGGTAAGTAGCCACCATCTTCTACAATCCACAAAGATAAAGAAAAATATAATACATCGAACACATCCATACACCGTGACCTCGGCCTTACACTCCTAACCGACCGCCTCGAGGAGTCAACGTTCAAGGATTACTAACATAAGGATAATACTCCTCCTTCCAACTAACATTCCTCACCTCCACACAAACGCCCCTCTTCTCCTCGAGACCCGCAAACGGGCCCTCCTTCATCCACGCCGTCAAGGCCTCATCGGTTAAGTCCCTAGGACGCCTGTCAGACCCGGGGGCCGAGTTTGAGTTTGAGCTCGACCTCGTCCTCCACGGCAGCTCCCACTTTACACACGCACGAATCTCCACCTTCTCCAACTTTCCAAACACCCCTCCTCCTCCTCCTCCTCCCTCCATCAACACCTTCCTCACCCTCTCCCACTCCATGTCAAGACTCACAAAATCATCAACCGTCTGGGAACCAAACAGATCAAGTTGGAGGAGGGCGAGGTTCGGAACGGAGGATAACGCGCTAGGCCTCGCCGGCGGGCCCTCGGACTCGTCGGTGTTGGTGGTGGTACCCTCGTCGGTGGTGGTAGTGGTGGTGGTGGTACCCGGCAAGCTGTTACTGCTGCTGCTTCTGCTCTTGCTGCTGCCGGTAAGTATCTCAACCATGAATCTACAATGTTCCTTTATCGCGGTCCTCGTCCCCGTCGCAGGCCTATTGAACCAATCAAACAAATCCGCCGTAGCGATCCTAAACTTGAACGTCCTGAGCAAAGTGAGCGAAGCAAAGATCGGTGTGTGGCGCGAGGCGAAGATGGAGGTTTCGATAGTGGGTACGACTGCTGCTGCTACTGTTGGTTGGTAATCATAATCCAGATGCACACCATCGTCAGAAACAACCCTTCAAAAAACAAACCCCACTCACCCGATTGACCATCCCCACTAGCACTCCAGCTCCCCCCAGGATACGCATACCCAAACCACTCCAACGACGAGCCCGATTTCGCCAATAAATCCCTTAACGGCCCTGTTTCCAACACCATATTACGATTCGTGCAAAGGTACAACCGGCGCAGCGTATCGGGCGCTTGAAGAGCCACGAGAGGCGCTAAACAGTTCGTACGAGGACCATAAAAGACGAGTTGCTCCAGGTTTAGTTGCGCGACAGGCGTACCCGGGCTGGTATCGGGGGTTTGGATTTGGGTCGAGGTTGTGGCGGCAGGCAGTGCGGGTGCAGGTTCGTTCGGAGAATCCAACTCGCAGTTATCAACCTCCAACCGCTTGAGACGCTTAAGCGTCCGAATCAACTTCACATTTCCCACCCTCTCCTCCTCCTGGACCCCCTGATTCCGAATCCCCACCAACAAATCCAAAAACGCACTCCCCAAACCCAACGACTCAAACCTCCCCGAGCCTGAGCCTGAGCCTGAGTCCAAGGCCCCATCCGAGTCCAAGCCCCCAACCGAACCCCCATCGCCTCCCGAGCCCACCAACTCCAATATACGCATCACCGAAACCACCGATCGAACGTTCCTCTGCGGGTACTGCACTACAATATGGAGGTGCTCTAGCTGTGTAAGTCGGGGAAGGAGAGTGTAAAATCCCGTTTCGGCTTTTTGACGACATCGTTGGAGAAGTGTTTCCTCCAGTGGTGAACCGGAATTGGACTGGGAAAGCTCGGTGGGATCGTAGGTAGGAGGCTTGACAGCCACCAAAAACGATCGAACATACGATCCCAGCTTTGCATTCGTCTTCACCGCCCCGGCGAACTTGGCCAGCGGCTCTTCGGAATCCAACTTTTTCGAGTCTCGTCGCGTCTCCCCAACCTCGAGCTCACCATGTACATCCGAACGATCCAAGTCCAAGTTGCCCTCAACATCCGAATCGAGCACCCCATCGGAATGGTCCAAGTCCAAGTTGAGCACGAAGCACACCGAGCGGAAGAGCAACCGTTGGGAATGCGCGGTGAAGGATTTGGACGTTAGGGAGGTCGCGAGGAGGGTGGGTTTGTCCTCTGAAAGGAGGTCGAGGATGGCGTAGAGGATGTCGGTGGGTAACGGTAGCGTGCTGCTGGACATTGAGATACTGCTGGACATCGAGGTAATACTGCTGGACGTTGAGGTATTGCTGGACGTTGAGGCGCTGTTGGTCACTGAGTTAGTGCTAGACATCGAATCGCTGCTGGACATTGAGAGTCGATGCAACTCGAGGCACGAGCCTACTTGCAACGTGGTGAACGAACGAAGCCAACGTTAGACTCTGGGCAACCAGGTGTCACTGTTGTCGTCTCTACCACAAGTGGGACGTGATGGTGGCGCCGTCGTCAATATCAATTCCCATCCCTCAGACCCTCCGCAAGACACCGAAAAGGCGAGGCGAAGACTGACATTGAGCGTGTGCCTCCTGATCACCGAATTGAAGAGGACAACCAAGTCTTCACGATTGGATTCAAAAAAATTGATAGTCTGCCACCATGTAAAACGCATGGCCACAGATTAACAAAGGGCTTCGATATCCAACTTGTCCTTGCATTGACCAGCAGCCTACCTACATAAAAAAAGCATAATTAATACGCACACACCACAGCGCTATCCCCTGTGCCTAAAGCTTAGTAGCAGGCGCAATAGCATGCGCCCTAAACCTCGAACCTCCATCAAGCAAAATATGCGCGCCAGTAATATGCGCCGAGGCAGGACTCGACAAGAAAATCGCAAGACCAGCAATATCCGAGGGCTGGCCATACCGTCCTGTAGGCTGACCCGCGAGGAACGCCTCGTCTCCTGCCGTGCGGAGACCGTAGGCTGTCATCTTGGATGGGAAGAGACCGGGGCAGATGGCGTTGACACTACGAGGGGGGAGGGGCGGGTTAGATTAGGGATTTATGGAAAGATTTGAAGAAGAGGAAGAAGAGAGGGAAAGACGTACGTGATGTTATCACCAATCAACTTGACAGCCAATGTGGATGTTAGGTGGTTGACGGCGGCCTTGGAGGGTTGGTAGCTCCACGTTCCGTTGCCGTCAGCGGACAAGGCGCCTTCAGCGGCGGGCTCGACGGAGGCGGTGGAGGAGATGTTGATCACGCGGCCGGGGTCTTGGTTGGTCGCGTCCTTCTTGAGGAGGGGGGCGAGGCCGGCGGTCACTGGTGGAGGAAGAGGGGTGGGTTAGTTTGGGTGTTGCGGGAGGGAAAGTGGCGAAAGGAAAGGAGGGGCCAAGCAGTCGAACAGCGTTGAGCGAACGAGAAGGTGAGCCGCACACCCAACGCTGTCGGACAAGGTGCCAACGACGGTGGGCCATGCCATAGGCGGACCAAACGGAAAGGCAACGACGCGGTTGGAAAGAAAGGGGCCAGGGACGCAGAGAGGCGAAATCGAGCCCGAAGCGTGGATATGAAAGCACATTCAACGAACAGACCACTCACTATAAAAGATACTCTTCACATTAACAGCAAACACATTATCCCATCCCTTCTCCTCCGGGAAGTCTTCAAAGGGGCCGCCCCAGGTGATACCGCTGTTATTGACCAACACATGGAGTTTAGACTCGAGCGACTTGAACTTTTCGATGAGCGCGTTGCAGCCGGCTTTGGAGCCGATGTTGGCGACGATGTATTGTGCGCGGTGGGTAGGGTTGAGGGCGTTGATCTCGTTTACGGCCTATTCATGGGTGGACGTAGTGGAGTGGTGAGGTGAGTAGAGAGAGATAGAGAGGGAGTGGGAGAGCGCACCTCCTGCAACTGCTTCTCCTTTCGAGCGGCAATGTACACCTTGGCGCCATTCTGCGCGAACCCGGTGGCCATCATCTTGCCGATACCAGAGCCGCCGCCCGTGACGAGGACGATCTTGTCCTTCACATTGAAGATTGAGGGGATGCTGAGGTCTACGAGGTGCGGTTAGTCGGCGCTCTTTGGAGATGAACATGGGGGATGGAGGAACGAAGCGAGAAGGAAGGATGGAGAAAGAAGGGGCACAAGAGGAGATGACGTCCACATCGCCTCGTGCACACAGGAAACGAGGAGGGATTCGCGCAATAAGCTCACCCCTTCCCGTTCCGTCTTCTCTCCATCCACACCACACCACAACTCCAACGGCCAAAAGAATAGGTATACCGGTAAGTAAAACACTCACTCTGTGCCATATCTTCAATCCTTCTTGTTCTGTCCTTGGTGGTTTATCGTGTGTGGTCGAAGTCAAAGTCAAAAGTCGGAATGACACGCGAAAGCAGAAAGCAAAAGTCTCTCCAAACCCGGCTATATAACCAACCGCCTTCACAACACAGGAGAGATACGCAAATAACGGGTAAGCTCGCAATACAATCAAGCGCGGGGTTCACAAGTCGCCGGTGTGTGGGGTGTCGTCCTCTCCTTGCAGGGTTACGCTGGGGTCAAAATTCCAAAATACCGGGTGGTCGGGTTTGTTTGAGCCGGCTCTTCTGACTGAATATTGAATCGTCACTCGAAAACTTCAATCGCGGCTGCTGTCTTGCCGTGTCTGTCTTCCTGTCGTGCGTTCCACGTCCGTAATCCTCGTCGTCCGTGCGACACTCGAGAGACAGGGTCAAACCGCGCTGGGGAAAGACGGAATGACAGAAGTGTCGTTCAGAATTCATGGTGAGAAGAGCGTTGATGACATCCCGAGGAGCCGAGGGGCGAGCTGAACGAATCGAGTGCGGGGGAAACCCGAGATCAGATTCATTGCCTCCGGAGCATGTGATTTGGCTCGGCGGGCTCGCCCAATTTGGCGGTGATTTGATTGGAAGGGAGAGATAGGGGCGCTTGGGTAGTTTGGATTAGCCGCCGAGAGGAGGGGAGTGCGGCTCCTCGGCTGTGCGCTCGACGCTCGCTGAGCGCTGAAGGTCCCGAGTTCGAACCCTATCGGGACCAAAATTGACTGTGGATTCAACGGATTGCCGGCGCCTCCTGCCAGTGAATCAAGTTCCTCGCAATTTTTCAAGCTGTTGTCTCTGGAGACTGGCTACTATGTAGAACGCCCCGAATGGGTACATAACCCACTGTGATAGCTTTTGCGTTTAGCTTTGCTGCGATAAGTGCATACAGCTAACTTCAAACTTTAAGATGTCCTCCCTTGAGCCCGGGATAAGCGCCCATAGTACGAAGATAACTCGGATGATTGGTGTTTGGATTGGATTCAGACTGGACCCCGCCGTACATCCTCTCTCGTTCAAGTTGGATTACCCAAATAGTTCTTACTTACCTGATACGTCTGTCTGAGTTCGCCCACTATAGCTACTATGTACTAAACCAACGATTGTCTTATCCGACTAGATTCACCTACTAGTTCACTAGACTATTACCAACCAGCCAAACAACCTTCCAGCCTGAATCCTCCCCCCGCCATTTCCCATATCCTCCTCACCAGCCTCTATTACGCTGCTCTAGAGTCTACATAAAAAGGGCTGCTCTACTGTAAATACCGCACCAGTAAGAAGCACACTCACTTTCCCCAAACGTACACAGACAATACCTATCACCGGACCCGAACAAATCTAACCTAATCTAGTCCTATATATCAAACAGCTAACTCGGCTATGGACGTGAGTAGACTTCCAGCAACATTTGATGACCGACCATTCATTCTCCACGCGACCGTCTACACATAGGTGCTCATTTTGGCACACCGCAGCGCCTGGACTTTGGCCTGGGTTGGCCCCTGGTATACTGTAGCGACGAAACGGTGGCGTCGACGGTAACGCTGTCGGTTACACACGCTCTCACCAACACCAACACCAACACTATCCTTAGCTTGCCCTTGTGCTTGCACGCGGTCGTCGGAGACTGGTGTCCTTTTCGTTGCTCGAGCTCCAAGAGTTGATACGGTCCTCCCGAACTGGCGAAGAAGAAGTTATAGAAGAACTCGTCACAAGTTCCAGCCTTGCTAAAGAAACAATTAATCACCATCAAAACCTCTCCGGACCCGACTATCGCGCGCCGTGAGCCTCAAGAGAACTAGAGGTCGCCATTGACTCCAGCGTTCACGCACTCGCCTTCGCCTTCTCGTGGCGACCATCCGAGTCCACCCTCGTTGAACCACGAACTCGTTCGGTCTTCAAGAACACACTTCAACAAGGAGAAGGGACGACGACTGGTCACTGCGGAAGCGGCCGTGTCGTTCTCCTGACTAGTGCTCGTTCGGTAGTCGAACGAAAACGCAATGGAGGACTGGGACGAGCTCAGCATTAGCCTACTAGTTTCGAGGCTGCGTCATGTCTCCGTACGTCCCTCTTCTCTCTCTCTTCCTCCCAACCCCTCTCCTAATCTCGTACCGCGAACTTCTCGTCTGTCCTGTGTATGACAGTACGTACACAGTAAGCTCACTCCAACCCCATCCATTTCTCTCTCACTTCTCATTAACCACCTCCAAACCACGTCCTCCACCCACAACTTCGCAAATCCAACAGCCGCAGCACTCGTCTACAACATATGCGACTACGCCCAAACCTTCGAGCTCGAAGTCGACTACATGTGGCCGGGCAAATGGACGCTCGTCAAGCTCGTCTACTTCATGGGCCGGTATGCGGGGTTGCTGGATTACCCGTTGATGTTTATACGTACGTCCGAGTCTGAGTCGTTTCTTGGTTGATTACCACTCGTGTATTCTGTCTACTGACGACTTTGATGACCTACTATAGATAACCACGTCGGTGGACTATCGACTTCGGTGAGCACTCCAACTCTAGCTACTCGACCTAACCGGCCTTGACGCTCATCTCACCGGTTCAGACTTGCTCAATCATAATGCACATCGCCTCCTGTACGTCTACTCGCTCTTCCTGACTATCCACTACACCTCACTAACTACCGACCCCGTTCAAAGGTTCCGCCCTAATAGGCGCCTCATTCGGCGAAGGTAAGCCTCCCTCCTCCAACTCGAATCCCCCTCCCCTTCGAAAAGTCCAAATAACAAAGCGTCTGACCATGGTCCTATCATCATCATCGCCGCACCACAGTCCTCCTCTTCCTCCGCGTCTACGTCCTCTCAGGGTGTAGCAGGCCCGTAGGATGGTACTTGGGTATCCAGTACTCCGTGAGTAACGACTTCTTCAAGCCCAATCTTTAATCTCGAGTACTCACATCCCCTTGTTCATCTAATTAACCGTTAATCGCGCTACACAGCTCCTCTTCACAGCCATGTTCGTACTGGCCGTTCTCACTCTCAAATCCGTCATCTGTAAGCGCCACCTACACCCTCCTCCGAGCTTCCTATATCCCCCTTCCTTTCTCTCGACTCGTACTAACTACTCTCAAACTCAAATCCCACCTGGATCCTCCACAGACACCCCCTCCCCCGTCCCAACACATACAGGCTGCTACATCCACTACGCCAGCAAAGTCTACATCACAGCTCTATACGGCCTCGTCTTACTTCAACAAACAGGTAAGCCATTGTGATTTCACCAGGCTTCTCTATTATACCAGCTCGCTCAATCTGACTCGCTCCTTCCCCCCTCTCGTTCCTCACTTCACAAACCACTCCTCTCCTCACCTCACCACACGAACCCACTTCCTCCTCCGAACGACCTTTCCAATTTCTCGATGGGCCACTCGCTTCCAGGCGTCATCACCCTCAGCTTCTACTTTGGCCTCTCCAACTTTCGCAAAACTAAAAGCCCCCTAATCACGATACTGTACAGAGACGGAACGTTGTATTTTTTAATCTTAACGCGTAAGTTCCCACCGGATGCACCCATCCCCGCCTTCCTCCCTCGCTTTCTTGTAGTAACCCGCGATTTTGCTGTTGTCTTCAGTTGTCACAGCTATAAACATCGCAACAGTTATTACCGCTCCTGTACGTATACGTTCCCTTCACTTCTCCCTGGTACCGTCCCCACTCACAAATACACCCAGCAAGAATACTACATAATGTTCCTCGTGTACGTTATCCCCCTCCCCTCTCCTCTCCGCGCCCTCCAAACCACCCTGACTAATCCCCCTCCCTCCCCACTCTCCAACTTGAACAGAGTCCAACGCTGCTTCCACTCAACCCTCTCAACCCGCACAATCCTCAAACTCCGCCAAATGGCACGGCGAGACCTCGAACTATCAACTTTTATGCGCCAATTCGAACTCTGCTGCGACGAAGAACAACAAGTCTGTCTGTCAGGATTGGTGGGATCGTCGGATTCAGAGGTTGTTCAACCTGTCAGAGGGGAAAGAGGAGGAGGGGGAGAGGGAGAGGGACCGTCAAGCAGAGCACCACTGGCGCTTGGGTCTAGTACGACTGCTCTGGTGGCAGTTTCAGAATTCGGCCCAGCTCCAAGTCTAGATATCGATTCTGAGCCTCCTACGACAAACGCACCAAGACTGCCACTAGCAGTCGCATGGGCCAATGACCACACTGTCACCACCCACTGCACACCCACCTCACGCCCCGGTTCAAGCGGGCCCAGCGGACCCCAATTCACCAAAGAACAGCACGACTTTATCGCAGATGGCCCAGACGTCCGCAGTATCGCCAGCAGAGTGAGCTTCAGTCTCAATTATCGCAACAACGCCGCGGCGCGGTCCGAGCGGAATACGAATAGACTACTGCAGCTGCACAGTCCGAGCAGTCATAGTCGCAGTCACAGTCACAGTCATAGTCATAGCCACAGTTATAGACGCGGACGATCGACATCGGAGACGGCGGAGGAGAGTACAAGTACAAGTACGAGTAGGAGGAGGAGGAGTAGGAGCGGGAGGCTGGGGAGAATCTCACTCGGCGAGCGGACGAGCATTAGTATTGCGAGAAGGGACCCGGGAGACTCGGAGGATAGTACTGCGATTGATTTGGTGCATACATTGGAAGATGTCGATAGAGACCCACTGGAATATATGGCTTACAAGTGAATTGCTCGATGCGGCGTCAGCGTCTCTCTTGCATCCCTTCTCGCCCTGACCACCGAGTAATGCCAGGTAAGTAATCCCTGGCCGAGCGAGACTAGTTGCTGTATGACCGTATGTCAGACATTTACTTATCTGTTATCATGGCTTGCTCAAGCGGTTCCCATAGGGGTCGTTGGATAGACAACGGAGCCGCCGGTCCGCGAGACCGAGCATGCTGGTTTAGGAGCCCGGCAAAAGATAGTCTCGTCCAGCTGGCAGCAGCAATGGCACACCAAAGTCCAACAGGCAGCAGTACACTACGACGAGGCCCACAACTCGTAAACCTCCCCGCCGACATCCTCCGCACCATCCTCGACCTCCTCGACGTCGACGTCTACTGGGGCCCCGACCGCCGCACCCTCCGCGCACTCTCCCTCACATCCAAAGCACTCACCGCGCACGCCCAAAGACTGCTCTTCCGCTCCCCGTTCTTCACGCTCGACCTGTACCGGCACATTACCAGGATTATCGTCGACGAAAACAACCGCGTCGTCGGGCTAGAAGGTTCATTGGGCCCCACGGAGGAGGAGCCGCTGACCAAGTTTACTAGAGCATTGAAGCGGAATCCGGCACTGGGGCTGTATGTGAGATCTTTCAAGTTAAGCATCCGACCTCCCCGCACCCACGACTATGACCAAGTGGACCCCGGTCGCAAACACAGACGTCCCGATTCCCCAGACTCGGAAGACTCGGACGATTCAGATGACCTTCCAGTGAAGAACGACGACGACCACCACCACCGCGTCCGCCGCCCCTGGCACCAAAAACTCGTCGAAAAGGAGTTTTACTCCTTCCTCCCCCTATTTACCCGCCTGCAGCACCTCCACATCGTGGTACAGAGACACCACTTGGACAACTTGGACCCTCCACCCTACTCCGTGGCCCGCGTTTTGGAGCTGTTATCGTCCTCGGACAGGCTCGAGTCGCTCCATCTGGAGTCAACCCGTCTCGATCTCCCATTCTCGCCCACCGCCTCGCTACCACCGAACACAATCCCAGCTTTATCCCGCTTGAAGCGGTTGGTACTCGACAACTGCGAATGGGACTCCCCTCGGAGTCCGAGTCCGAGTTCCGAACGATCAAGCCCGCCGGCGCCTACTGGCACTGACATGTCGACTGCCTCAGGAGGTTCATGCCAACCTGAACACCCACCTCTACACCTGGAACACCTCACCATCTACGGCCCTCGAACGAGCAGTCTACAGCCCATCGCCGCCCTCCAAGCGCCCAACACCCTACGCGAATTCCACCTCTGCACAAACCGCAACATGTCAATGGACTACAAATCTCTCTACAGGTTCGATCGCACTGGCAGTTCTACTACTGAATCCACGTCACCGTCGTCCTCGTCGGAAGTCGTTCCTTTACGTGTGTTGTTGAAGAAATCGTCCAAGTCGTTGGAAAAGTTTATGTTTAGCTATCCCCCGGGGTGGGGCTATGGATGTAAGTACGTACTTTAGTAACGATGGCCGTGACTAACCTACTCTTCCCCCCTCCCCCTCCATCCCCTCCCCTCCCATCCCATCCATCCTCCACCTGACAGACCCAACACTCCAAACCTCCCTCTTCGCCTCAACCTCCACCTCCCTCTTCACCTCCCTCACAACACTCACAACATTCACATTCCGCATCAACTCATCCGACTTGTTCGACTGGAGACGGTACCCATCTCCAACATTTGCAAGTTCTGAAGATTTGTCTGATGAAGAGTCGTCCCCTCCTGAACATCCGTATTCTAGTTCTAATTCTATTTCTATTTCTAATTCTTCTTCGCCTCCTGCTCCTTCAACCAGCTCCAACTCCAACCACCACCGCCGCCGCCGCCGCCGCCGCCCCCTCCCAAACCACGAAACACTCCACTCCAAATTCGCATTCTCACTCCTAACCTCCCCAACCTCAGCCCTCTCCTCAGCACCAAACCTCACCCTCCTCCAAATCGACCTATTCGGCAACCAAACCCTAGACGACTTTCAAAGCCATAGTCCACATTGGCAAGTCGTCAGCAGACACTTGATGGATGAGTGTGATTATGCCAACTGCCAATGCCACTCTCCGGCAATGGGAAGCAGGTTCGAGTCGTTGCAAACTATCCTCATCCGCGTGTCAATCTCGGAGAGGGGAATGCGGAGCAGCGAAGAATCCTTAACCAAGTGGATGAAGGACGGTCCCTTTTCAGGACTCAAGGAGAAAAGGGGAATAGACGTCCAAGTTCAGAACGTCAATGATTGGATGTACAGATCTAGTTATCCCCACTATGATGAATGAGTGAATGAATGAATGAAATTCATGTTCTAGTCAAAAGAGTTATTACTCACTGGGCGCGCGTGCGTATTCTGTTACAAAGCGATATGCGGGGTATACGAAGCCGTACAAAAACGATATGCAATCAAACCATGTCCAAACCAAGAGCCATCGTAGTCTCGGTTTTCCCAGACTCTCCCGATTGAGCGACTACTTCCTAATCAGTAGTCCTCATCGTGAGAGTCTGGGATCCTTGCCCTAAGAAAAGCGACCACACCTGCTTCGGTGGCTATTCGCGAGCCTTGGGCTTTCGATAACGGTTATGTAATGGGTTGGCGCGAGTATCTTATCTATCCACCGACACATTTGTCCTTTCTTCCTGTACCTACACGTCGAATTTTCCAATCCAACGATGTCTGATTACTTCCCGACCTCCTACCATGTCAGATTACACTTCTCAGACGACTTTTCCGAGCCCGACGCCCTCAGCTCCAGCCCTGGAGTCAGCCGGCCATCAACACCTACTCAAGACGATAATCTCGCCAGTGAAATGGATATGATAGAGTTCCAGGACCTTCCGGAACTCCCTGAAGACTTGGGAGATGATTTCGAGTATATTCCGCCACACGAAGTTCACAAGCGACAGTCGCCACTTAGCACGACACAGAAAGTAAAGCTCATCTGTTCTTACATCTCGCAAATACCACGGTTTTCGCTCGGCACCTTCCTTCGTGAACTTTTCGCATCCACAGACCCTTCTGTAACTGCCTATAGCCATCGCTTTCTCTCTGGTTTGGGACACATACCAGTAATGGAGCTCATGGTGAAGGGTTGTAATCCGGAACGTGAATCCAAAGTCCGTGACTCCCTGAAGCAAGCCCGTCAAGCCTCGAGGGCCTGGATTATCCAGAGCGCCGCTGAAATCTGTGCTAAAGAAGCTAGCCACCTCACAGATAACGCCTTTCACGGCCCTTTTCAAGAAGAGGCTAGGTTTCTGCGCGTTTCAGCTCATGACATCGGGATTCAACATCCAAAAGGCTTCAGCCTCTCAAGGCTCCTGGAGATTTACAGACGGACATTGCCGCACCTGCAAACAATCCTTGAGGCGATAATTTCAAAGGAGACGAAGATTATGAAGCCTGGTACCCGTGACCCCGACCATGTAAGCCAATTTCAGCTATCAATCTCATTCAGAATTTTAAATTGAATTTGCATAATGTAGGGACGAACTCTCCTGACATCCATGCTTCTAAACCTCAGAAGCAGGCGCACCAACTATCATGCCGCGATGAATTCTCTTATTTTATGGGATAATCGTGTTCCTAAACGGTTGACAAGTGCCCTGAATAAACTGGGAATTACCACTTCATACGCTTTCCAATGTCGCGCGATTCTGTCTCTCAGTAAAGCAGCAGTACGCGAAGTCCGAAGAGTCGCAAATGACCCGTCGAAAATCACTGTTCTCCCCTATGACAACTTCAATTGGGTTCAGAACTCACCAGAATCGACTACCCTTCATCATTCCGTGCAACACGACCAGGTTTCTGCGCTACTTATTGTTGTTCCGACGGAAGGCACCGAATTGGAGGGAAAGTCTGCGCATGACATTCTCAACCTCAAAGATTTCGAGGCTACGAAACGCATGCGACATGAACTCCCAGCTCATAAGTCACTTTCGGACATACTGCCGTCCCTTGACGATCATCACACTTTTCGCCAGAACGCTATCATCCATGTTGCCCGCATATTGACTGAAGAGATTCCCTCCTACAATTACCTCCAATCCGCACTTCCCCGCCTAAGTGACCCCAAGGCAATCCCGACGAGAAAAACAGAGGAATACTACCTGCCTACATTCGATCAGGAGCAAGGATCGACTCGAGGCAATATGGTGGTACTCGAACATTACTTTCAAAATGTTCTTCAAGTCCCTGTCCAGAAATTCGAAAATTACATGCAGCTTCTCCTCGGCGATCGTCTTACCACTGCTCGGGACCGTGCAGCTCAAGATCAGCGCCAACCAGATACTTCCCCGCACAAATTCGACCATCTTTCCTCATTTGCTATGCTCAGCGGCCTTATGCATTTCGTCATGAACTTCATGCAAGCAGTTGGAGGTACCTTCTGGGGAAATCCAGACCCCTCTGATCCTCTAAGTCTTGTTAATTTACGAGACCACATCAACCGACAAACGATCAACCTCCGAAAGCTCGATTACTACGGGTGGATTCGATTCCTTGACGCCATACTACGTGCCCTTATACATCACGCATCGGACGTGCTCAAGGATTCAGGGCCATGCACGGACATCCAATCTGTGGATGATCTTATTCATCACGCAACAGAGATTGTGGATAACTTTGCTGTTCAGAGCATCAGTCGCCTCGAAGCCACCAAGGTTAAGGTTCTCCCAGGAAATACCACAACATCCAATGCTATCATATTATTCCACCACCTCCTCCTACTTCACGAAATGCAAAGTGCAATCAAGCTTGGCCACCCGGGGCGGATCACACGGATGCTCAAGTTCTGGTGTCCGATTTTCTATGCTGCTGGAAGCTTCAACTACGCCAATGAAACAATGGAATTACTGCACAACCTCATACATGACTGGCCTAAAGACTTTGCAACACTGGCTACACATGGAATGCTCGTAAATCCAAGGGGAAGGGATGGTGACTGGAAACCAACAGATATCTCCAACGAACATTACAACGACCATATCAAAGAGCGTGCACATGGCCCCAACTCCAGCCCCGAGCTCCTTGAAAAAGTAACTCCAGCAATGGGACATATCATGGAACTCACGATCGGACTCTTCGAGGAACTTGGGGTTGAGCAACAGAATCAAAAACATAGCCACGTCTCGCAGTCAAATGATATACGGTTGCTCCGGGAATACCTCGAGTCTCGACATGTATTCAAGTGGGATCGGGATACACCATCGACGGGGAACTTTATCAACTTGTTTACCGAGGGCCAGAAACGCTTATCAGGGCCTACTGGCGGGCATGCGAAGCACTTGGCTCGCCACACGCTCCGACATCGTTCCCGACACTCAATAGTAGAAGAGAGCTGCACGCAGCCGGACATCTACCAAGAGTTAGAGATTGCCAAAGATGCTACTATTACCCCAGCGTCCACCCACCTCAGAAGTACAGTGCTAGAATATCAACTGGATATACAAGACATAGTTACAGTAGGAGAGGAGTATAACGAAGGAGAGGATGTATAATATTAATGTATAGTAATAGAGATAAACTGGGCGATTAGGGCGTATTAAATGAGAGAACTTGTTCGCCAGGATAGAGCTGATGCATGCGAAATTGATTTCTAGTCGGTTTTGAAGGAGCAGCTTGAATTGACGGTGAAATGATGCGAGGATGGGCGGGTGTTGGTTCGACTTGCGTGTCAACTGTGTCAACCCAGCGAATCTGCGCGTACCGCGGTTCCTGCAGGTTTGGGGATGGTTGAGGACCTTGAGGTTGCTCTAACGCTGGCGTAGATGCGTGGGCAGTGACGGCGAGTTCTCCGTACATGTTGCGCCGGATGTTCTCGATTTCCAGAAGCAACCTGGGCGCAATTTCTTCGAAATGCGGGATCTGCGTTCGCTGATAGATGTCGTCGAGAGTGGTGATGTTGTGGATCGATTTTACTAGCGATTGAAGGTCCCTGTCATCGATCAGATCGTCTGGACCATACGAGAACCACTGCTCCTTCCAACTCTCCTCCCAATGCCTAAACCTCCACTCCTTCAAACGGGCCAATGTCGCTGCAATTTGCGCAGCTGTAGGGGCGGCGAGTGCTGCCGATGCCGATGCCATAGCCCTCGACGTCCCTGGATCGACAGAGATCCACGTATACGAGCGGACAAGGGCAATCAGCTCCGGTTTGCAGTTGGAGCAGCGCGTGCCACAACGTAAATCTGGGTTATGGCGAGGGTCTTCGAGGAGATAGAGAACAATTTGCTCGTAACAGGTGGTTGGTGGTGAACGAACGAGTTGAAGGAGTCCCGGGTCCTCGTACCCAGGAGAAGCAACTGTCAGCTGGCCATCAGCCATCGACTTCTCGACAAGGAGAACTCCGATGGCATAGGTGCCAGTGCTTCTTGCGCCTCGGCCACGCCGTTGTTCCCAACCCACGAGTGTCAAGCCGCGACATCCATACTGGATGACAAGAGTGACATGCGCAACATCGACACCAGGTCCTATCTTCTCGGTTCCCAACCAAATGCGTGTTTGTCCATCGCGGAAACGTCTCGTGCTCGCTTCTTGATGGTGTCGAGAAAGCCCTGCGTGAATGAGGTCTACCCAATGTATGGGCAGGCCCTGCTCTCGTAGTTTACCGCGAAACCACCAGAACATCGCTGTCAGGCGATCAATGTCGTCGGTGTAGATGATGCAGGAGGGAATGGTGGCGGGGTGTCGAGGGTCAATAGACCAAGTGAAGAGGAACTCGAGGTCTTTGAAAGTCGACATGTCGTACTCCATGTTCTTGATGATTACCGAGAGTTCGGGTCTGAAATTTCCGAGATTGATGAGGCGATAGTTGGGCTTGAGGCCAGACAATGCTGTAAGGGAATTGCGGTAAATGGTAGGGAGGGTTGCAGAGATTGCAACCATGGGTACGTCCGCCAGCCCAGCGATGCGCCTTAGCCAGCGCAGATTGCTATACGCGGTCCTGTACGACTGGCTCTCGTGGGGAAACATGGGCTTCGTCGATATATATTGCAGATAGCTGGGCCTTGAACGATTCGGAATGGAGAACGCGTCCCATGGAAGGACTTTCAAGCATCTCCGCGCAGATGTACACTATCTGCATGCCACCCCCCTTTGCCAGAGATTCGAGTCGTTCCGGACCTTTATTTTTCGAGTTAATGAACGTTGTGGTGATTTGAGACCCTCCATATCTAAGGGAGTAATTTAGATGCAAGTTGTAGAGAGAAAAGTCCAATACACTCACCGACGCAGTTCACCTTGGTGCCCCAGGCTCGTATACGGGACTATGACCAAAGATATACCGACTTTCTGCGCTAGCAGAGGTAGCACCCACACCAGAGACTTCCCTGAGCCCGTCGGAGCGATGAGACAAACGTCGGTACGCCGTTGAATAACAAGATTTGCGACGTCGAGCTGAAAGGGCCGAAGGGTCTGCCCCGGTGATATCAAGCCGGCGGTCTGGGCTGCCTCGTTCCATTGCGTCGTGCTCCAAGGATCCAGAGGTAGCAGACGATGCTGCACCTCAAAAGGGAACGCTCTAGACGTTCTTTGACCGCGTTTAAGCAGGAACTTCGCTGGAGAGGGGGTTGGGGGCTGAACCAGGTAACCGTTCTGGTAGCGAGGTCGATTTTTCTTTTCGGAAAGCGGTGGTCGATGAACCGAGGTATTTGACGCGTCCGAAGGGGTTCTGGAACAACTATCTGCGGGTGTAGAGGGTGTAAATGGGATGGGGAAGGCCACTGCGCTCCCAGGAGTTCGCATTCGAGATTTCGGTGTGGGGGTAACATTTTCCTTATGGGCATACCAATCATTGGGAAGTTTTCGCTTTTTCGAGGTACGTGGTGGTGCAGGAGTAGTGACAGTCATATTAAGTGGTGATGATTAAGACATTGCAGGTCGTATGGATAGTAGAAAGAACGAGAGGAAGGAGACGATGGTCGCGGTAATGATAAAAGCGTGTTACATAACCGTTATCGAAAGCCCAAGGCTCGCGAATAGCCACCGAAGCAGGTGTGGTCGCTTTTCTTAGGGCAAGGATCCCAGACTCTCACGATGAGGACTACTGATTAGGAAGTAGTCGCTCAATCGGGAGAGTCTGGGAAAACCGAGACTAGAGCCATCGAAAAATAAACGTTCTACTTCATCCGGTTTCCAAACCCAAGCCCATCCGACCCACCGGCCACCTTGGCATTCTCTGTATTACTCCCCTTCGCCGCAAACCCGCCAGGTCGATTGAGAGAATTCAAATAGCTGCTGAAACCCGTTCCAAGCGCAGAGTTCCAAATGGGAGATCCAGAACCAAGACCAAGACTCGGGATGCCAGAGTGTGCAGGGAGACTACCGACGCTGTTGGTTCCAGAAACCGTAATGTTGGTCGTGGTGGAAGGTAAGGGCCGGCCTATCGGACTGATACCAGGGGTCGGGGTCATCTGAGGCGCTAGACTAGGGGTACATGGCCCTCCAATCGCGCTCGCATTACTACTTGTGGACAGAGGCGAACTCGATTTGGATCCAGGGGCAAGATTCGCAGTCGGGAGTAAACGGTTGTTGTACGTTGATGAACCACCAGAAGAGTGAATCGAATGGGAAAGCCCGAGCCCGCCGCTCGCGAGGTCTGCGCCTGCCATGTTGCATCCAGTGAAATCGTTGTGATTGTTGCTCGTCATCGGAGGTGTTCCGGATGTACTCCCGGGCGAGGCTAGGTTGAAACCAGAAGTAGACGTAGTTGAGAAAGACGAGCCCGCCTTGCCCTTCGTAACGATAAACGGATTGAATTGAGGGCTCGACAAGAACTTGGACTTAGGAAGCGATCCAGGAGTCGTAGAAGCCATCAGGTTGGGTGATTCCGAAGGTGTCTTCGAGGACGAAGAAGCGGCGACCGCAGCTGCAGCTGCAGCAGTCGACTGAAGCAGCCTCGTGGATAATTCGGATACGACCTGGTACACCTCTTGGCTGAAGCCAACACACTGTAGACCGACACAAGCAAGTTTGAGAGCACCAGCTGCATACAGTTGCCCAGTTTCGTAGTTCGTCTGAGGAGTCGTGTTCTTCCGTGCTGCTAGAGTTTCCTTGATAATCGCCGTCTTCGTCTGAAGATTGGGGTAAGGAGGGGGAAGGTATAGAGAATTGGGATTGCTACCTCGCTTGTGAGGAACTCCCATTCCGCAGTCGACACAATATCCATAACAAATGCGCGGTAGATACCGGCGTAGTACCAGGTCCCTTCGTTATTATAGAAGCACTCTGGGAGAAAACATTAGTCGGCATAAAATGGAAAAAAATGGACCTGCCTACCCGTGGGCTTTGCCATGCGTCCGATGGGGTCCACAGCATTCCAGCGATGGGCCGTGACCGTTCGAGGATTGGTGTTACACTTGAACATGGGGACGTACATGAACCCATGTTCTTCACGCTCAGGACACCACGCTGCGGTCGCGCTTTGGAGGGTACGGTAGCCTCCGAGTCTGTGTTTCCATGAGTGCTCCGAAGTGAGGGGGAAAGGAAGCACACTAACGCGTGTCTCAGGGACTGTGTACCCGGAAATCAGTGGAGGTTCTACTAGTTCGGGCGCGGAAGGAAACTTACGGCTGGTGCTCCATTCAAGAATTCGTGCAATGTCACCTGAGGCGGCAGCAAGATTGGGGCTAGAGTCATGTCCGGCGCTGTGTCGGGAAGAGGAATGGCGGCGAGCAGTTCGTTTCGCATTCGAATGACCTCTGGTATATCTTCTACCTGCAGCGGTCTCTCCTCCTACCAAGGGTCAAAACGTATCTATCTGCATCAAGGTAGCCCTACCTTTCGTGAAGCTGCTAGAACAGCATGGAGAGCATCTTCCAAAACCGCAGCATTGGATGCATCTCGATGGTCGTCCGTCTGGACACCGCAGGACACCTGCGCTATCAGTCAGTATGAAGACGAAGGCCGATGAAGAGGAAACTCGCCTTAACGATATTCTCCTCATAGTTCGGCGGCGGGTCGCAGAGAGTCTTCCCCTCACAAGCATCATACTCTCTCAGATACCTGTTGATTTCCCTGAGGTCCTTGATCGTCGCCTCAAGCGAGGCAATGTGCGCGGTGGTATCCAAGACCGCCGTCGACCCGCCAGTGTCATATGCTGGCCCACTGCCCCCAAGAGACAGCCTTTCGAGGCCACTGGCGACGCGCTCTTCCTGCAGTCGCTCGATGAGTTCAGAATATCGCCTAACGAGACTATACGCGTCCGAAAGCCGCTCTACCGCGGCGTCGCGTGCTCTGAGGACCTCTACAACGCGCATACGCTCAACTTGGATCTCCAGAGCCATCTCGACGACCCTGAATGGTCCCGCCTAATGTGGATTGACCAGTCAGTACCCGTAGCGGTCGCCACACCCAACTTGGGAACGAACTCACTGTCGGGGACAATGTCTCCAAATTTCTCAGCCGTCCAATGAGTTGGTCTACAGTCGGACCCTCTACGTTGTCCCCTTCGGGATTGTTAGCGGTTTTGAGACCCAGTTCCCTGGTGAACGGGGTCGACATAGTCGTCGTAAATGGCCTGGACGACTGGACGGTGGTGGCTGGAAGACAAGGAGATTCGGGACTCGACCAGGATCACGCCGTCCGCCGATCAGGGAATTGAAGCGGAGCTTGAATAGGCTTATCTCGAGACTCGTCAAACCCAAAGTCAACCAAAGTACTACTTCGCGAAATTGCCGGAGTCCGTGCACTTCAGATTCCGGGGGAAAGTGAAGGGCTTCGGAGGCCGTTCATGATTCTGAACTCGCGACCTTCGCACCCTCGCCCCGGAAAATCCCCTATGCCAAAAGTAGTATGCTCTTGTTCTCATGGATCGACACTTTTGATGTCCGGTCCCTGTTCTCTGTCATCCTTTCCTCGAACTCAGGGGATCTGAATCTCCAAGGGGATCTCCGTGACAATCGAAAGCTTCCCCTCGACTATCGGGACCGAAGTCGCTGTTCACGCGTTGACACCTTCCTCCCACCATACTCGTCCAACTTAGGTGCTCGATTGCTCTCTGGCACGCTTCAAGCTCAGCCACGTAGGTCTCTCTTTTGTCCTAGGGGAAGGGAGGGAGGGGTGGTTCCAATGGAGAGCGATCTAAGTTTACTACTCTCTCGGCTTCAACAAGTCTCGGTGAGTCTCCCAATTGTTCTACTTCGTCCTTGTTCCTAACTTGAGCTCCACACCCAGTACGTGCACAGTGAGCACATTGTCTTCCTTCATAGGTCGTCGGAATATCCTCTTTAACCCCATATTGCCATCCTCCTCCCTGTCGCAATCAATCCTAATCAACCTCAGTCGCGGTACTCGTCTTCAATATCTGCGACTATGTACAAACATTCGACTTGGAGGTGTGCATTATTCGCTCCAAATCCGTCACAGCGTCCCAACATCTTACAGGTCGACCACATGTGGAGCGGGAAATGGAACGGGATAAAATTCGTTTACTTTATGGGCCGGTATCTGGGTCTCATTGACTACCCCTTGACTATGATTCGTAAGCCTCTCTGACTGAAATAACGATCCCGCCGATTCTCTGACTCTGCCCTTCACGACAGACAACCATGTCCTTGGGTTGAGCCCATCTGTAAGCCTGGAAACCAAACGGCGTCGCTCTGAAAATACTCAGCTCACATACTTCCCCAGACATGCAATGTGTTGCTTCATATTATATCGTGTAGGTGCTTACCCCTTTGAAGAGGCTAAGATGACTCCTAAAACATTTTTTGCAAGGCTCGGCCCTGATAGGGACCGCATTCGCAGAAAGTAAGGCCTCTATGAAATGTCGGGGCACGCCATTTGACCTAAACGAACTGGCTTAGTCCTCATGTATCTTCGCGTCTATGTTCTCTCAGTGTGTAACCCCCGCGTTGCACTGTTTTTAATCATTCAATACTCGGTGAGTGCATACGCGACGCTGCCTGTATTCGAACAGCAGTCTTGCTTGAACCCTCGTTCATCTAGATCACATCCCTATCTACATTCACCGTGACCATTCTGGCCCTCAGAGATATGACATGTACGCTCTCGGCGCTTCGCACGTTGCATCTCCCCGGATCTTATCTAATACCTTACTTCTTTGCAGACGGGCCATCGCCTATTCCTGAGATCCTAGGCTGCTATATCGAAGGAGCGAGTAGAGTATATCCTACTGTGATGTACTCACTTGTCCTCTTGGAGCAGTTCTGTGAGTAACGCGAGAGTACGAGCCCTTTGTTCCCGATGCTAACTTGTATCCAATTAAGCTGTGACTATACTGAGCCTTTACTTTGGCTTGTCGAACTTTCGAAGGAGTCACAGTCCGTTGATCTCGATATTCTATAGAGATGGAACACTGGACTTTATGATAATAACTGGTGAGTAATGTCCTCGAGGTTGTATGTTGATAATTCGACGCGCGCCACTGCAGCTGTAACGACCTTAAATGTCATGACTGTTGCCTTCGCACCAGTGAGTTCATACAGTTCAGGGATCCCTCATCGCCTGTTTACTCAACCTCATGTCGCAGAAAGACTACCATCTCATGTTCCTTCTGTAAGTGACCCCTGCCTCTCCGTACTCGAAGCGTCTAGAGTAACATGCGTTCCCCTACTTTGTCATCCAAAGCGTCCAACGCTGTGTCCACTCCACACTCGCAACGCGCACAATCCTCCATCTACGCGAAATGGCTGCCCGAGATCTCGAGCTCAGAACACTTCTGCAACGCCTCGACGAAGGTTATTTGGACTCGTCCATGGACTTTTCAGCAGGCTGCGGGCCCTTCAGGACAAACCGAAGACGTACGCTGGACGACGGTCCCTGGCGATTCACCCGCCAACAACACGAATTCATTGCTGAGGGGCCCAGTGTTTGGAGTGTCACCAGTAGAGTGCCACTCAACCTTGATGAAAGGTACCATACTAGACGGACTGCGGCAGCCGTGCCGGGGAGGTTGGAGCCAGCGGTTGAAAGTACTGAGCTAGTCTTCCTTGGTGGGAGTAGTACTGTGAAATGATCATGAAAATGCCTCCTCGATTACCTGGGTTCTCTTGGTCCGCACCAGTCCAAGGCGCCATTGCCCCTACAGGTGGCTCTGTATCGCTCCTCGTCCAGCTGGATGTCATACAGAGCAGCGAAGCTCACAGTCACTGCTGTGAACGAACGCGGCCGTCCTTAGGGGCTATATTGTTATTTCTACGCGATGCTTGTGTTGCCAGACGTGAGTCCCGCCCAACGCATTCGACCGGAATTGACCCACATTGATACACGGTAGTAACCGCTCTTCTATTCTCGTGGACTTGCAATTGCAACGGGCCAGCACGCCGTTGGCAACAGGTCAGTTACCAACTTTTTAATTTAGGCGCCCGTGGCCGGTCTTGGCACGGGAATTCGAAGCGGCCCACGTGATCGCGTCAGCCGCTGCTCAGAGTCAACGATTCCGAATCTCTCGTCTGCAAAGCAATGGAACTGTCGCTGCTCGGCAGTATCCCAATGAAAGAAATCCAAAAGGATGGGCAATATAGAGGGTTGATTACCGATTTCTCTATTTTCTAAACGACGTCCCTCCTCGACGGTGGTAGCCAAATTCCAGTTGCTTGAGCAACAGACAAGGTGTTCCTCAGTGTCAGGTTACAGTGGTAGCCGCCTGTTCTGACCAACGCGCGTTTGCGAAAAGACCGCCGCACGCTGAGCCCATCTCCCACGAGGTCCTTTTGAGGAGATTTCACAGCCTCCCAATCTACTTATGGTTCGACTTTCCAAGAATTGGAGCCGGAAACGGATCCAAATCTGTGCGTATCCATCCGCCAGTCCGCGAAATGACACCATTTACAAGGAAGTAGCCAATCAAAAATATATGCTGAAAAGTCGGCATCTCGGCTTCAAGTTGGGCGTATCATCTCGTACGAGGAAAATCTCTATCGAATGGTGTAGAAAAGGCAGGAAGGAGTTGGATAACTGTATAGTTCCATCCTGCAGCCATTCCGAACCTCCCTACTATGTCTGCGAACACTATTGCTCTCAAAGACGGCCGCGTCCAGAACCGTGTTGAGAACTACACCAAGTTCTGGAAGAAGGATCTCAAGACTGAAGGACAGTCGGACAACGACGCCCGCCTGGACAAGTACACCGACGTCGTTAACGGTCTGTCCTTTCCCCCACTCGTATCGCTCATCGCTTGATTTAACCACCGAAAACCCAGGCTACTACGATGGTGCGACGCAGCTCTACGAGTACGGCTGGTCCCAGTCGTTCCACTTCTCCCGGTTCTACAAAGGCGAAGCCTTCGCCGCGTCTCTTGCCCGACACGAACACTACCTCGCAGCCCAGATGAAGCTCCGACCTGGTATGCGCGTCCTCGACGTGGGTTGTGGAATTGGCGGCCCTGCGAGGGAGATCGCCCAATTCTCCGACGTCGAGATCGTGGGTCTTAACAATAACGAGTTCCAAGTCCAGCGTGCTAGAAGGTATACCAAGCAAGCTGGTCTAGAGGGGAATGTTACCTTTGTCACTGGGGACTTTATGAAGCTTGTGGAGCAGTTTGGAGCGGATTCCTTCGATGCTGGTGCGTGTTCCCGTTTATCGACCTAGCCCTGCCTGCTTTTAGCTGACCTTCGATCTGATGATCAGTGTACGCCATCGAGGCGACCGTTCACGCGCCTAGCTGGGAAGGTGTCTACGGAGAAATATTCAAAGTTTTGAAGCCTGGCGGTGTCGTACGTCGTTTTCCATCCGCCACCCCTCATCCCCATCCGCTGACACCCTTTCTCGCAGTTCGGCGTCTACGAATGGTGTATGACCGACGAGTGGGACCCATCTATCCCCTCGCACAAAGAGCTCGCCCACCGCATCGAGCTAGGCAACGGTATCCCCGAAATGCGGCCTCTCCGGCAAGCACGACGTGCCCTTCAAGACGTTGGATTCAAGATCGAACACGAGGAAGATCTCGCAGCTCGACCCGACCCCGTTCCCTGGTACTATCCCCTCGAAGGTGACTTCTCCAAAGCGCAGACTGCCTGGGACTATTTGACGGTTTGGAGGACTAGTTGGAGCGGACAACTGGTGACGCACAATGTGCTGAGGGCCATGGAGTGGATCGGTCTCGTGCCGAAGGGGACGCATGATGTGGGCGAGTCGCTGAGGCTTGCTGCAGCCGCTTTGGTGGAGGCGGGACAGGCTAAGGTACGTTGTCTTTTCTCATATGTGCTTGGGTCCTCGCATGATGCTTACTACGACTTGCACAGTTATTTACTCCAATGTATCTGGTTGTCAGTCGCAAGCCAAGGAACTGAACGCCATGGGATTCGAGGACGTCTATTGATCCGGTAGTTTGTGCTGTGTGCTGTCCAGGACCCCATCCTCCATCCATGTGTGTAGAGCCGTGGTAGTGCTGAACTATGCTCTGTATTTCACTTCTAACAGCCGCAGGTGACGTCGTTGTGACGCGCCACATAGCCGACAGATCCGCATGTAAGCACTGTTAAGCGCCCATAGCCCTGGGGTTGTTCTCCCCCGCCCTTCGCCTTGAGGGATCTGCGCCTGTCGTCCCGTCTTTTAGATACCCACGGGCCACTGAGAATATGAGCCGCCTCTGGACGTTTCGACCCAAATCAAAGTCACAGAGCGCCACTTTATCACCCGCTGATGACAGCCACCCATGATCCAGGAGAGCAAGTGGGCATCACGGTGGAAGTGCCCCCTTTATACCCACGGTCTAGAAGACAGGGAAGGCCTGGATACCTTACCCGTCTAACCTTGCCTTGCCTTAACACCCAGGCTGTCAATTCTGAATTCAAACCCTCTCGATTCTCAAAGACACCCTGCAGCCTGTATCCCTTCCAAGCTAGACGACTTCCGCATTTTCTCGCGCACGTCTCCGAGTCGCTCTATGCGAGACCCGTGCTTCTGACGACTAAAATTGATGGAGCGTGACATCGAGCTCCTGGTCTCGAGGCTTCGACATGTATCGGTGCGTCTCATCATTCAATCTGGTTCTCGCACACATTGGTTCACCTAATGAACCACTCTCGAACGTACAGAATTTGGACCGTACGTCTCTTCCACACAGCTCTTCGTCATGGCAAGACCCTTGACAAAGACTCACCGCCTATTACTACGCTTTAGTCGCAGCACTCTTCTATAACATATGCGACTACATCCAGACATTTGAATTGGAGGTTCGGACGAGCGGATATTTATCCGCCTTCGTTCAGTCAGCTTCATGAAAGTCGTTCTGACCTACATATCGTTCCTGGTTCACGCCGCAGGTCCAATATATGTGGGGCGGAAGATGGACACCCTTCAAAATCGCCTATTTCTTGGGGCGCTATACGGGTTTGATCGACTACCCTCTGATCTTCATCTGTACGTGCCATGATGATTTGGTATTAAGTTCAAGTTGGAGGATAACTGAATCGGATTTCAGATCACCACGCCAAGGGATTGACGCCTTCGGTACGCATTTTCTGTCACTCTGACTTCTCCGCGCACGGCCTGACACTTGAGTCCAAGGAGTGTCGCATTTTGCTCTATGTGGCTAGCTGTAAGTCTCTATCTCTCCACGCACCGTACATACATGCAATGGGTATTTACACGGGTTTTTCTACGAAGGCTCAGCATTGACGGGGTCGACAGTGGCCGAAAGTTAGTACTAATCATCTCGCCGATCCTCCGGGCGCTAATTCAAGACCAATGCGTCATCCTAGTCCTGATGTTCCTGCGGGTTTACGTCCTCTCAGGATGCAGTAAAGCTGTAGGCTGGTTTCTGACAATTGAATTCACTGTGAGTAGCTCTATACTTACGTCCATACCCAGTATAACGAAGGAACAATTCTGACTTCTTGTTCAACAGGTGGCCGGTCTCATCATATTTGTTTCCGGCGTTCTATCCCTGAAATCCGTATCCTGTGCGTTCTTTAGTGCATCTGAGCCTCCCCGCAATTAGCTGACTCAATCCGGTTTCGTAGTTGAACCCTCGCCAGTACCAGCTCTAGTTAGCTGCATTCTCCAAGACTCAAACAAAATATACCTCTCGCTCGTTTATTTCTTAGTTCTGTTTCACCAGACGAGTGAGATATTCTGCTTATCTTCAGTTAACCAGCCCCAACAATGACTTCCTAACATCCGTCCCTACAGCCGCGCTCATCCTAAGCTTTTACTTTGGTTTATCAAACTTTCGACGCTCGACAAGTCCGCTCATTACCATATTGTATCGTGACGGAACGCTATATTTCATGGCGCTCGCTGGTAAGGTCGAAATGCTCTCCCAGCTGTATTTTATTGTGACCTTCTTACTTGTAGCTGTCTCCATCGGAAACCTGATCGTTGTTCTCGCTGGTCCTGTAAGTCCTCCCTCGTCTTCAACAGATCAACGGAGATCTAACCACTAAGTTCCTCGTAGATCGAGCACCGCCAACTCTTCCTGGTGTCCGTAACCCCGCGCTTCAGTGACTGCTAATAAATCACTGACCCTCCAATTCCACCGCAGATTCCAACGATGCATCCACTCCACTCTCTCAACCCGCATCATCCTCAAAATGCGCGAAATGGCAGCCCGAGATCTGGAGGTTAACAGCCGCTTGCACGTGGACGGAGTCTCACTCACGTCTGCTGGACTCTCGCAGTTGCAGTTTAGCGATCGCGACGAAGGTCAGAGCCCCAAGTTCACGCGGGTGCAACACGAGTTTATTGCAGAGGGACCGGATGTGAGGAGTATGGTTAGTGTCGTGAGTATGGGCGTCGGAGTCGGTGGACGACGGAGGCATAGTGCGAGAGGTGACAGGGAGGGGAGCATACCAGTAAACGTGAGATCTAGAGAGAGCCTGGAGCTAGGAACACTCAGCGAGAGATCCGAGGCGCTGAAATGATTGGGAATGTCCAATATGTCATTTTGTTGTACTTGACTCCTGAACTCAGTACTCTCTTCTTGAGCGTTGGCGCGCGACATAGCCGAGATACCTATATGCACCAGTAATTTAAATTAAGCGCCCGTTGGCCAAGTTCGGGCGGCTCCACGCGCACACCCACGCGCACGATCTCCAGGGCGTGAACGAGGGAGAGGGAGAGGATGGAGCTCGGAACTAGAGTTCAGCAGTGACGCAAGTCCTAAATTCACGCGGGTGCAGCACGAGTTTATTGCGCAGGGGCCGGACGTGAGGAGTATAGTGAGTGTTGTGAGTATGGGGAGTTGGAGCTGGTGGACGTCGCGGTGGAATGGGACGAGAGGCCTTGACAGGGAGAGCACGGACAGGAATGGGAGATCCGAGAAGAGGGAAAGCTTGGAGTTGGAAACGCTTAGAGAGCGGTCTGAGGCTATAGACTAATGTCTGATTGGGTTTCCGAAAACCATTTGCATTAGTAGTTTAGGTAGTACAGGGCAGATCGGAATCACTCCTCTCGTTCATACCTCAGCCTCGAGTTGCGCTTGAACCTGCTCTATGCGGCCATCCAAGAGCTTCAGAACGGTGGTGATGCCCAATAGTACACCTTCGTCGCGGCCCAGACCTGCCTCGACCTTTGTGTGTGCAAAGTCGATGAGTTTGACGACCAATGCTGGAGGTGGTCCGTTCTCCTCATCGTCGTCTTCTTCTTCCTCCTCTTCATCCTCCTCGCCTTCCTCGTCTTCTTCGCCAGTGTCCTTTCCACTCGCAGCAGCAGCCTTCGCCTTCTCCCGATCCTCGAGGTACTTCTTGATCCCGTCATCCGCCTTCTCCCAATCGCCTTCGTAGACGATGAGCAAACTCCCCCCAACCATCCTCATCTCAATGTCAGATAGCGCGTCCTTGATCTCCTCGATTTCTTCTCGAATCGCGCGCAGGATGGGGAGGAGAGTGCGAGCTGGGAGGCCCAAGTTAGGTTCTTCTGTGGGCGTTGGCTCGGCGGGTCGACCGATTGGGAAGAAACGAGCGATGCCTTCGGGGAGTTCGGACACCTTGATCGACTTGCCGTACGATTTGGGTGTGTTCACGGCCAGGCCTGTATTGTTGTCGTGAACCTATTCATAAAGTAGCTGCATTCAGCATGTCAACACGGTGGCGATGACGAGGCGACGCACCTGGAACCCAGTCAACCGCACACCAGTCTCCAAACTCGTGGTATTCCGTGCGGTGTTTATCATACGCTGCTTCTTCTCCTCGCTCGCCTTTTCATCATACAGAACCGTACCCAGCTTGACGTCCATGATATTCGGGCGCGTGAAGCCATGCGAGAGGTTCTCTAGGACAATACTCTCCGTCCTATCCGACGCCGGCTTAATCTGCAGTTGCCCGCCCTCTCCCTCTGAACCCGTAGCCTGACCCTCCAACGTCAGAGTCCCAAGGAACTTGGGCGTATGTTCCCGCAATAGCGCAAAAGCACGGCTGGTCTCGATCTGAAGACGCTGGTAAAACGCGAGTTCTTGCGGCGAAGCTGGCTTGATCAGGAGCGAGCCGTCTTCAGTCGTCATCACGCCTGCATGACCGCCGACTTGCGAGGTGAGAGCCTGGACGGCTAGGTTTGAGGTTGGAATTGGTGCTGGGCTCGGTGTTGACACTGTGCTTGGTGTGGACATCGTGGATGCTGTCCAAGTCGTTTGAGGCACCGCAATCGATCTCCCCTATTTTGTTATGCCATGGTTTGCATCAGATCACGATGACCAATCGGGCGTTGTGCGTTGTGTAGCGCCCGTCTTGTCGTTTCTGGGACTAGCGTGCGACGACGACCTGGAAGTAACTGGGGATTTCCTGGAATCACGTAGAGAATTGGAAGGTGGTGGATGACAAGCCTGCGCCCCTATTGAAGACGACAGAAGGTGGTATCAAGAGGTCAACAGCTTCTGAACCAAATACGGCAAAGCAAAGCTCAAACTCGCTGTCCTCTTGCCCACCCCAATTCTCGTTCCAAGTCATACTGATTACCGCAAAAACTATAAAGCAAGCTCGCAAGAGTGGGTATCACATGCGGTTCGACCAACTTCGACAGGAGTCCTCCAACAGAACATGCTTTGGTCTCCTGACTTTTGGAGCCAACTCCTTCGGCGACAATCACCGCAGAGAACTAGAGTCTTTACTGCCATAATGCTCCTTCAAGCCCTGCATAACCTCTGGAACCACTCCAGCTGGACTAGTGCTAGTGAATCAGCGACCATCGGTCCACGACCTCTAATCTTGGAACTTCGAGACTCAGTCTTGTGTGACTCTTTGTCCGGCATGACTTCACCCATACCGTCACCTGCGAGCCCCTCCTGCTGGCTGGCCATGATCCTGATAGCCATTAAGCTCTCTCTGGGCCCGGGACTCTGATCATGATACGGAATGATCCTATTACCTTTTGCTTCTTGCTTGCTTTCCTCGAGAAGGGGGCGCGGAGTTAAAAGCTTCTAAATACGACCCGCGACTCCATCTCACGACTTTCGGATCTCTGTGCATTGCAATGACACAACTTCGTTATCACCTCCGCGGCAACGTGGCTGGATTCTCCAGGAATGGTTGGGTGTGGTCTCACCGTGTCTCGATACTTACTGGCTGCTCCCGCTGATACTTACTTAGTCTCGTATCCACGTATACGTATAATATCCGACGGTCAGCCGCGAAGGTTCTCTGGGCACGTGTATATATGTACTTATCTCCAACCCCACCGCTGACCGAGTTCGCATCAAACTCTAATCAAGTAAATCTGGGAGAGCTCTATTCTTCGACCCTCTGGGAGTCTGGGACCCCCAGCTTTTCTTAGTACTCTCCACTGGACACCCATCATCTCATCCCTCCTCGCGCCCACCCTCGACCTACACCTCACAGTGAGTCCTCCCTATTTTTTATTTTCCTCCTGCGGCTGACGATTTCGTACTACATAGGAATACTATGAATTGGAGAACGGAAGTCTCGGCACCCATCCTAATACCTGAAATCGCGTCCCAGATCGTCGAAGCTTCGTGCTCCTACACCGGCGATGGCGTCTGGAAGTTGGATCCCAGCTGCACCAAGTACCTGGCGCAACTCGCACTAACGTGTACCTGGTTCAACGACATCGTGAACCCCGTCCTTTGGCGCTCCCTGAGAGACATCGGGCCCCTCATAAACCTCCTTCCAGAGGACGCCGTCGTAGTCAAAGAGGTTGGGCCGTTCTGCAGGTTCCAGCTGGTAAGTACATACACACATCAACCGAAAAATGATGATGGTAGTACTCACTAGTTTGCCAACCCCCTTCTCCATCGTACGATGACTCCTGTACTATAATTAGGTGCTGATGCGACCTCTGACGCACGAAGACGTCAAGCGGTTCAACCATTACGCTTCCTTCATCAAAGAAATCACCAACCTCTCGCGCAGGGAACTCCGTATCCACCGCATACGCCGGCACAACGCGGGGAAAGACGTACACAGGCTGCTGGAGGCTATCCACAGCGCCAACCCCCACACCCCCATTTTTCCAAACCTTCGATACGTATCGGGCGCGGCGGATTTCTTTTACGGCTTTGATTACAGGACGGGGGTGTACACCACTCGTCCACCGGCGGAGGAGATATGCAACGTGCCATTGATAGAATCTCTTCGACTTTCCTTCGCGGCTGCGGAAATTGAAGCGTGTTGCGAGAGTATCGGGTGGCTCGCCGATGGCGCGAGTCGTGTACGGTCGTTGGAAGTTTCGTTTAGGGAACCGGATGCTATCGGTTTGGTGGACGGCCATTCTATCCAGGTTTACGGAGATTTTGTTTCCAGGTTTGGGAACCTTACGAGATTTACGGCTGGGCGTGTTTCGTTGCCTCTGGAAACGCTGTTTCATCTTGCTACTCTTCCTGATCTTCGACACCTTGATATGTACCTTTCGACTGAGTGGGAGGGGGAGGAGACAAGGGAGAGGGTTCGGGAGTTCCTCGAGGGAGGACGTGATGAACCGCCTTTTGCGGCTCTCCGGACTGTTAAATTGGAGACTCTGCATCTCGGTCCCTGCACGGACGCCTTCCTCCCGCTCATCTCCCACTCCCCCCTCCAATCCTTCACTCTAACAATCCTCTACGGTTCACCCACCCCACCCCTCCACCTCGACCCTCTCTTCTCCTCCCTCTCCTCCCTCCAATCCACCGGCCCTCTCCTCCACACCCTCCAAGAACTCGTCATCGAAGGAGGTGGACACTACTTCCACGATGTTTCAACTTCGTGGGAGAGGGAGGGGTTGTATTTTGAGTTAGGACCGAATTCGTTGGAGGGGGTGTATGGTTTTAGAGGGATGGAGAGGTTGAGGGTTTGGCCGTCTGTTGGTGTTGGGGGGTTTAGGAGGGAGGAGTTGGTTGGGAGGTGGGGGAGGATGGAGGGGGTGCCGGAGGTTGCGGAGGGGGAGGTTGCGGTTAGTGTTTGATGGTTAGGTATGGACTAGAGTAGGATGGAGAAATAGAAGAACGTGCTTGAGAACGAGCGAGAACGGTTACAGCCTAAGTATAGAGGCTTAGAATATTATGATAACGGTACTCGACTAAAGTAGAACTTGTAGAAATAGAAGTGTAGTAATAGGCGCGGATCTATCTTGACTCCTTATCCCGTTCTGAATTAGCCCAGGGCTGAAGGACTCGAGGATCGGGGCGAGATGATCGGTTTGCGACAAATAGGGGCGGGCAGACCCACCATGCTTGGTGTATGACGGAATGTAGTCTTTCAGCGCAGGTAGCTCTTCAGGCATTCCTCTTATCTACTAACAGCTGATGGGAATCTACATCTTATCTTATCTCTGAGGCTCCGCCGCCAAGAATGATCAGCTCAATGCATCTTGAACCAATCCCATCACATCGCGTTCGCCGTCGTCCCCATCTCCCGACGCCCACCACCCTCAATATTTCGCCTTCCCTCCCGCACCCAACCAAACACAAATGTCCGAAACACAAGCACCACAAAACTCTCTAAAACGCAAAAGCGGCGGGAACCACCACCACGGGGACAGGGGAAAGAAACGGCCTCGTTCTGTGAGTTCCCGAAAAATTCGCTTGAGAAGGGGTTTTTTTGGTCGCTAATATTCAGTCTTTTTTCGTGTGGTGTTCCTTTCTTGTTGGGGTAGGATGGAAGGGGTATACAGTCGAAAAGGCAGGTTGAAGGGCCTGGAGTTTGGATTTCGTGTGAGTTGGGCTTCGATTGGGAAAGAAGGGTGATGGTTGAGCTGATTTTTGGTGGCCTCGATGCAGGTGTGAAGGGAAAAGAGAGGCAGACTGTAGGCGAAATCTACGATATTTTCGACTCGGTGAGTAGTAGGCAGTCTTCTACTTTTATCCTTTCACCTCCATATATTGAGATCTTTACACGAAGCTCGCGTCAGAACTCTGGCCAACAACAACTTCATCTTCGGGCGGGAACGATAATTCTGACGACGACGACGATGGTGCGAATGAAGGGTTGAGTTTGGAAGAACAGATAAAGAGAGAGGTGTCGGATATGAAGAAGCCTAGGAAGGAGCAGCTGTTTGGTGCGTTCTACCTCAGTCCTCGTCGTTCTTTGTCCATGCTAATAGAGTATGCAACGTCGTTGGTTTTGGATTTGAATCTGGATTTCGGATTCTGGATAACCAGCAAACTGCCAAACTGATACGCAATGCGGTACGCGTCGTACACGAGACCATTATCCACCGGAAAACCCAGCTTAAGCACCCTCCAGTCGTCTTTATCTCGTGCAAACCGCCTGTTGATCCTGTGGAGCTGGTGATGAAGTATGTTAAGACTGTGCAGGAGACTGGGGCGTCGAGGACGAGGTGCGTTTCGGATTGCGTTCTGGGTGGGACGGGGTGCTTAAGTCGCATTTGTTTTAGGCATACACAACGCCTGGTACCAGTCATGGATACCTGCTACGCCGCTATTCCCGATATCAAGGAACTCTGCCAGAAGGTGTTCTCTGCGTTTTTTGAAAAGGAGGGGGATAAGAAGTTCAAAGTGCGTTTCCCAGTCAGAACCGGGGATTACCATTCGTTTCCTGACTGCTCGTAACAGTACAAAATCGAACTTCGAATCCGGAACCACACCACCCTCAGCCGAGATACACTCATTCAACATATTGCGTCTTGGGTGCCTGAAGGACATACAGTCTCGCTAAACGAGCCTGATATCTTCATTTTGGTCGAGGTGTTTAAGGTTCGTCCGTGTCCCGTGTCCACCTCTACCCTTCCCAATAACGTTCAGCTTTTCGGTTGATTTCTGACCTTTGCCTTTTGGAACAGAGCATATGTGGCGTCTCTATCGTGAAAGACTACTACAAGTTTTCCAAGTTTAACGTTCTGGAGTTGGCTAATGCGAAGAAGAGGAAGGATGCGGATGAGGGGGCGGATGGGGCTTCAAGGACGAAGTGATTGGGACCTGTACCGTTGTATATCTAATTTACTTACACTTCTACAATTCGTATGGATTTTTGGAACGAGAGGAATGGTGGAAGCCCGTCGATGCTGGCTATTGCCAGGGCTATCGGGTACGGTTTGGTTCGGATTGCTTCGTCCTCTGAAACAAACACTCACGCTCCAGAGTGCTCTCGTTTTCTAGCTTTGTACACTGGGCATCCGAAGGGCGACGCCATGCGATTCTAACATTTGCAGCTGTTAGATTTGCGCGGCAATGACCTCCACAACAGAGGTGACTTCGACGCTCAGATGGCAGAGGGACGACAGCCTCACCACTCTACGTTCTCCACTCTGCTCGTGCAAACTGCTCCGTTGGATTTCAACAGCACGCTCTTTTCCATCCCACTGATCACGGTGATATCAAGCTCATAATACAGGACAGAACAAGACATCGCCCGCTTGTATACATCCCGGTGTCCACAGCTGATTTAGGCAATCTGACAGACAGCTATGGAACGGATGAGATCATGTTAATGATTGGCGTAGCGTACGCGGATGCCCACACCGTCATGATTACCTGTGCCTAAAGGTACTTACAGACGCTCCAGCGCTGTTCCAACGTGCTCGGAAATCGAGCAACTTCGCAACTATCATGGTTTGATACTTTTGAGCACAGGTCTGGATGCCAACTATGGGTGTTCGCAATTCGGTAGGTCCTCGTCCGAGAGGTATAAAAGCTGGCCATATCCTTCTGCTTTTCGACAAAACGACTACCTCTTCTCTTCTCCGCTTTGGAAATTACGCGTTGACCGCGCACTTTTGCTTTCATTCACAACACTCTACAGTCTATCTACCCTCAATTTTTCACAGCCACGTCATGGTCCGACTGTACACCGTCACTTCCGCTATTCTCTTCGTTGGAGTTGCCTTAGTCTCTGCCCAGGGCCATGCTGGTCAAGGGCACGCAGCCCCCTCCAGGTGCGCAAAAGATTTCGGTTGCAACCTCCGAGATACAAACGCTAATGCGTGCTGTTCCTCCAGCTCCCCGCTTTCAGCTCGAGAACTCTTCCAACCCGACCTTTACGAGCGGGCCTTTGACATTGACGAGCTCGACGCTCGCCGGATCCACTGGGACGCAAAGAGTATGCAAACCGTCAAAAACGTCGCCAAAAAGGTGGCTAAAACTGCCCTCAGAGGCGCTGGCTTGTTGTACGTTTTCCCTACCTTTTCCCCCACTGTGCCGGGCTTAAGACCTTTGTGCCATGTAGTTTGGGAGTCCGCGAACTCAGCGAGATGAGCGATCTCGAATTACGAGATCATGTTTATGACTTGTTGGAAATTGCCGAGCGCAGTGTTGAAGCTTCGTCCGATCTAAACGAGCTCGCTCAGCGCGACTTGGGCGATAACGAGGAACTCTACGCCCGTATCGTAAGCAGCCCGCGACATGTCTTCAAGAATTTTGCCAAGGACGCAGTCAGAGGTGTCATGAAAATCTTGTAAGTACCTCACAATGGTTCGCATCTAGTCACGATTTATGATGCTCATGCCCGAGGTAGCCGCCATCCAGGAAGTCCACGAGGATTTACTGGTGAAGATAGTCTTGAAATTAGGGAGCGACTTCAAGATCTGTTGGATATCGTCGAAAGGGACTTTGAGGGAACGTCCCCTGAGGTCTACCAGCGTGCCTTTGATGGCAGCTACGATGCAGTGGAAGCCAGGCAGCTCGACTATGACCTTGACTAGGCCCCTTTCAGCTTGTGACCCTAGGTTCTCCATAGATGTGCCATTACCCCTTGTTATATGTATATAGCTTCCTATGTATCCCTCAATATATCCTCTCCTATTCGACAGTTCATTGTCCAATAAGTACATATTCTAAATCCGGCCAGTACCCACGACATTCCTCGATGTTGTCCATAATATGGCGAAGGTCGCCGGCCTCTTCTGCAGGAGAAATGACGAGCTTACGAAGTCCTTTGAGTTGGTAAAGATACTTCAACGTCGCTGGCGTCATATTAAAAGGGAGAATTCCGTCTTCCCAAATGTGAACGTGAGGGTATGCGTAGTGGTTCTCGATCGTGACTGATAGATTTTCGAGAATTGGATGAGGTGGACTGGGCCCAAGCGAAAGAGTTTCCACGAAAGGCTCTATCTCGGGGGGATCGCGGGGATCTGACAGAAGATAAAGTTCCGCTTGGAGGGTACGCAGCGGCGACGTAGCGGTTAGCGGAATCAGAAGTCTACCAGCGTCGACGAGGGAGAACGTGCGCAGGACAAGCGTCTCCAATGCGGGAAAGGAGGGTTGCCCGTTTCCATCAGCTGGGCGAACCGAAGTCGAAGAGCCCCGGGGGTCGCTGAGTTGGCTTTCATTGAGCTCCGAGATTTGCCAATCCTGGGCCAGCCACATCTCCAAGCGACGCAGAGTGGTGAGTCGCGCCCAGTGGTTGATGACGCTGGTGGATATGGGGATTCTGCCGGTGTTGAGTTCGACCAGAGAGTTAAAACTGAGGAGAAGGTCTTGGATAGGTCTCAGCGTCGGCACCTCCCCCACTGGGATATTATCTCCCCTGCACAGCAGGTTGAGCGAACGTACGCAGAATTTCGAGTTGAACTTGACAATAGCTTCGTTCGACAACAGCAGCGATGCCAGATCCCACTCGATCCGAGCGTCGAGGGTGTGGAATGCGGAAGGATTGAGTGATTGGATGTTATGTGACATCGGGTGCAGGGCATTGGCGTGGCAGAGGATGGTCGTGACGTTCGGGAAGAGGGGAACCGAAGGAGAAGCAGCTTGTTGCATCGCTGAGAGAATGCCTTCAACGTTGATCCCAGAGAATAAGCCCAGTGTAAGACCAAATGAGCGGCCTGAGACCAATGGCGCCCCGAATGACCCAATCTCCCTGATGAAGGGCGTATAGTACATAACGCGGACAAGGTCATTCGTCTCGAGAGGTCTCGTTAGCCCCTTGATATCCTGGTATAAGCCGCGGATTCGATCAATGAAGATAACGCCAACTCACCAAAGTATATTTCGTATCCCAACAAGCAAAGGGATCGTTAGGGCGCCTGTAATAGCGCTCTGAATTGATCCTTCGAGAGTCTTCTGGCAAGAGCGCCATGACCACCCCCAGATGTGGTATGGTCTCCCAGATAATTCTAACCGCGATTTCGCTGAGCATGCGAGAAGTACAAGCCAGCGCAACCAACGTTGAGGCCGATTGCGATTCCAGTTCCTTGTGATGTCGCTCTAGTCGACGAGGGTTGTAGTCGATGACATGGTTGATAATCTGTAGGGCGATTTCTGCCACAAGAATATCAGGTACCATGATTGTGCGAGGGAATAGAGAAAGTCGTGCGGGCGTTCAAGTGATCGTAGTACGGCTCCTCCGGGCCGCTTATCCGTCGCACAACTTTGACCTCCCATGAGCAGCATCATTCAGAAGAAGTACAATTCGACCGGTAGATATCAGACTACTCCAGAACTATATGGCTCATGTGTGGCCAGTGTTTACGACATTCGTCTAGGTTATCGGGAGTTTCAACAAACCCAACCTTGACTCCAGGTGAAATGGCAAGTGTACGAAGTCCGTTAAGCCGACGGAGGGGCTCCAATGTCTCCGGTGTCACGTAGAAGCGGGTGTCTCTGTAATAGCGAACCTTGTAATGCCCACGGGATGTCACCGATAAATGTTCTAGCCGCGGCAGCGAAAGACCTTCAACGAACGGGTCGATCTTGGGGGTCACGTCGCCCTCTTCCTGCCCTGTGACATAAAACTCTGTTTTCAAGGTAGAGAGCGGTGCCGTGGCGACCAACGGAATGACAAGCTCGATGACGTCGGGGAGGGAGAAGGTGCGGATGATGAGCGTCTGTAGGGAAGGGAATGGACGGGAGCAGGGAATTTTCGACGATGGGATCAAAGTTGAAGTTTCCGGAGAGTGATTAAACTGCCCTTTACCCCCAAGCGCCGCGATTTGCCATCGCTGTGCCAGCCACATGTCCAATCGCCGCAAGGTAGGAAGCTGCGCCAGATGGTTCAAGACACCCGTCCCAATGGGAATCTTTCCTGTAGCCAGTTCAACGAGATGTTCGAAGTTGAGGAGGAGGGTTTGAATAGGGATTAGCACAGGTGCGTCCGCCATTGGCGTGTCTTCGCCTGGGTAGGCCAACGCGAGCGAGTGTATCCGGGCTTTCGAGTTGATATTGATGATTGCCTCGTTACAGGTCGAAAGGAACCGCAACTGGTGGGTGAGGTTTGCGTCAAGTCGACGGAGGGAGGCGACGTTGAGTAGTCGGATGTCCCCTGAGGCGGCACGCAGGCTTATGGCGTCACATTGTACCGCGGTTACGTTAGGGAAGAGCGGTTGGGAGGGCGAAATCATCCTCTGTATCGTCGGGAGGATGCCTTTGACCTTGACTTCGGAAACCAAGCCCAAAGGTACATCGAACGAATTTTCTGGGACCGATGGGGAGCCAAAGCGCCCGATTTCCTTGATAAACGGAGCATAGTAAATTATGCGACAGAGATCCTTTGCCCCAAGGTCCCTTGTTATCTCCTTAGAATCGATGAGCCGGAGTGACGACGGAAAAATATGCTACTGGAACGTACCAAAGTATATTCGGTGAGGAGGGATTCGGAAGGGAGCTCTATTTGGATTTGTCGAGCATCTTCCGGTATGAGTGCCAAGACCACACCGAGATGAGGTATGGACTCCCAAATGGTCCTGACAGCAATCTCGCTGAAAATTCGCGAGGTGGAGGCCAATGCTACCAGAGTGGCGGCCGATTGCAATTGTAATCGTTTGTGTCGTCTCCCAGATAGAAATGGCTCGTATTCGACAACATAGTCAACGATCTGGTGCAGAATTTCCGGAATGACAATGCTCGGCGCCTCCATTGCTGGGGAGAAGTGAGAAAATGAGAAACCACCGTGGTGTTGATAGTTCCTTGCATCCGTGCGGCCTTTTAAGTGGTTGGGATGGTGCGGTCCGCATATCCTCACACTGCCACAACAGCCTTTCAGACGCTCGAGTCAGATGGCGTAGGATCTTCTGATCGTGACACAGAGCTGACTCTTGGGTTCACTGCTCAACGTCCAACTCCTCTCAGTGGGGACAATATTCTTCAACTACCGCGAGAGCAACACAGACTCGATTTTTAGATGTACATAGTAGGCTAGTCGAGTAGATTAGATTCGATCATCGCAGGTTACTGCCGTCGACGCATCAATTTCACATTCTTGGCTCTTGCCACCGCCATGGCGATGCACTCGACGCGATTACACGCTAGCAAGTCCAACACAGGCAACTCCACCGGTACCGACCTGCAGAGCCTTGTATACTATGACCATTGATGCTCTGGTGACTTAAAGCGGTCAGGGCCGTAGTAAGTCCTCGCGTACTACAGCCATCGTTGCACCACGGGACCCCTGTACAGCCCTGTACTCACCCAAAGATCGGTCTGTCTGGCCTAGGAACTACCTCAAACCCCCAGGGCCCGCCTCACAGAAGCATGCCCATGCACTGGCAACTTTGACGAAGTATGTACATAGTACCAGCCTCGGTGCTCCTCAGGATCTTAAGTACAGGCTTCGGTACCCACCACCCGCTCTACTTCAAGTTATTGTTGTTTTACGGCCAATGGCCACCAAGCTATGTACTCTGGATGTCAGAAGACTCGGTCGATCCCCCACATATGGACTAGCTGGCTGACGGATGCTTTTTTCTCGGCGGTAGTACTTCTCCACCCTGACACACGCCTCCATCATGGCAGCATGATATCCATTCCCTGGGGGCTACAAGTAGATCCCTGTTTCCTTGGTCAAAGACAGAGCTCCTTCCCCCTCCTTCCCATCGGCTAGCCTGTCAGCACCATGGAAAGACTGGTCTCCTACCTCCGCCTTCCTTCAGACGTGAAATATGACCGTTGGCCGTTGGTTGGAGCTGCCGTCGTTGGAGTTGCGATCGTATGGACCGCTCTTCTTCGAAGCAAGAGCAAGAAGCGCGGACACCCTTTACCACCTGGTCCCAAAGGCTTACCTGTGGTTGGTAACCTTCTCCAGATCCCAATCGAGCACCCATGGCTCGTTTACAACGAATGGAAGAAGGAATACGGTCGATGTCCCTGTCGTTTGCTGCCCCCGTCTTCTCTAATTCTCTGTACAGGGGACATGATTTACCTCAACGCCATGGGGCAGGGAATTCTGATTCTCAACTCTTTGACGACGATCGACGACCTACTTACCAAACGAGCAACGAACTACTCTGACAGAGTGCAGAGTGCTTTAATTCCTCTGTCGGTTCATTTCCGCCCCTCTGAACGTTTCGAAGGCTGACGATGTCAACAGGACTAAGATTGGATGGGCATTCTCAGTTATGAATTACGGACCTTGGTGGCGAGACCATCGCCGCGACTTCCACCGCTTTTTCAATAACACGCAGATTCCCAACTATTATCCAGTAATCGAAGAGGAGACGCTTACCTTCCTTCGGAAACTAGTAGCCGATCCCAAGGACTTCCGAGAACAGGCTCTACTGTACGTCTTGAGGTTTGCCTCCACTGTCCTATCCTTCTGATCCCTCGAGTAGCCTCTTTGGCTCAATTATCATGCGGCTCTCGTACGGCGTCGAGGATCTCGAGTATAACAAGGTCCTCATGGAAGCCTCTGAGACCATCTTGCAAGATTTCATGGAATACTCAGCTCCAGGCCGTCTCTTAGTCACGACATTCCCGAGTTTGCGACACGTTCCCTCATGGTTCCCCGGTGCTGGATGGAGGCGGATCACCGACAGACTCGCAAAGTTGAACGATGAATTAGTGGGGAGACCATTCGACGAAATGAAGGAGAGGATTGTAAGTCGACACTGTCCCGTACTATCGCTACTAAGGCTGAGCACGAGTACGAGTATACCTGTCGTACTCGCAGGTTTACCCGTGGGAAAACCCGCAAAAACCCGTATCCGTGAGTATGAGTACCCATGGGAAATTAAACCCGCGGATACAGGTATGGATTTTTTCATATTTTTCCGCAGGTACCCGTGATTTTTATGGAAAACCCGCAGGTAACCTGCAAAAAACCCGTACCCGCGAGTGCGGGTACCCGTGGGAAAGTAAAACCCGCGGATACAGGTTTGCCTTTTTGAGTCGCAGGTACCCGCAGTCACGGGTACGGGTGTATCCGCGGATGTACTCGTGCTCAGCCTTAATCGCTACGTGCTCTGACCTCTAACCGTTTCCGAAATTCAGCGCTCTGGAACCCAAGGCGACTATATTAACGCAGCTGCGAAGCTGTTCGAAGACTTGCCCGAGGAGGATTCGCCTAACCGTGCCCATCAAGAGACGGTTGCTCGAAACGTAGCAGCACAGGCCTACCTAGGTCAGTCTACTCTCAAGTTTGAAGACCTATACATTGCTGACGTATCTATCCAGCTGGTGCCGATACTGTGGGCAACTTCCACCTACCTTTTCTCCATTCACTTATTCATCATCTTGCAGACCCTCAGTGCATCGTATGCCCTGTTCCTGGCGTTAGCAATGCATCCAGAGGTCCAGCGCAAGGCTCAGGCCGAGATAGATGCGGTCGTCGGTAGCGAGAGGTTACCGACATTTGCAGACATGGATCGACTTCCGTATGTACAGGCCATTATCAAAGAAGTGAGCCGCTGGCATAGTGTGGTTCCTTTGTGTTCGTCATTTTCTTTCCCTTTTCCATTGAGAGGCTGATGTTAACGTCCTCCCAGGCGTTCCACACATGTCGACTGAAGACGATGTGTACAACGGGTACTATATCCCCGCGAAGACGATCATCCTTTCGAACACATGGTGCGTAGAATTTGGTTCTATCAGCGCTGAGTGATTGAACATTGCCAGGTCTGTGATGCATGATCCCGAGGTCTTTGAGGATCCCGAAACGTTCAGACCTGAGAGGTACCTCAAGGACGGCAAGCTTGATCCTTCCGTGCTAGACCCAGAAGCAGCTGTATTTGGATACGGGCGAAGGTCAGTACTCGTCGACTTGCCCTCGCATTTGATTGCTTACTTCCATCCGTTGGAATACAGGATCTGTCCAGGACGGCATCTGAGCCATGAGTCGTTGCTGCTATTCACAGCCTGCCTTCTGGCAACTTTTGACATCAAGCCCTCGCTCGATGAGGCCGGCAACCCTAAGCCATTGGCCCTGCGGGTGGCGTCGAGCTTGGTCACGTAGGTCTAGCGTTTGCGGTTAATGGCGACATAAACTGACTTAACACTCCAAGGACACCCTTACCATTTGAGTGCGACTTCTCTATTCGTTCATCTAAGCACGCTACCTTGCTGTAATCCCCGCTACCTTTAAACATCGTTCTTCTGTACCAGCTCTCCAGGCGAGGAGCCGCGCGACGAAGTCGGTCGGCGGATGGCCTGGCCTGATGGCTTTAGTGTTATATCAGTTACACTTAATATCGCTGGCCCACATTGAATTGATGTTTTATGGCACCTGAATGCCTGTCCTCGGCTATCCAAATGGACTCCGGGTCGGTCCCAATTTTAGCGCCCATACAAACAGAAAACTCCCGGGCCACAATGTTCCCTGGAAATATGCTTCCTTACACCACCAGTGATGTTACTACTGTTCCTTTGGATACACCTACGCTAAGTAATTGTCGCGTATGATGCTTCATGCACCACGAACTACTTTCCCTTGGCCACCTCCCCACGTTGTGTTGCCGATTCTGTTACATCACATCTCGCTTCCGTCCATGCCCGCGCGGCGCGAAATGTTCTAAGTAGGATGTGCCTGCAGGAGGGAACTTCCCGAGCTGCTACATTCTAAGCGCCTGTTATGGTTTCATGAATGTTAGGAGCGTTAGGCCCCGATGGGCTGTGTTGCGCCATGCGCTTCCATTTGGGCCTTATCAGGGCTTATCCCAGCGCCGTTTGCGCAATCGATTTTTACACATACAGTACATAACCGACTTGACATATGTATCATCAGTCGGTTCCCCCGATGCCCTTTGCATGGAGCCTTCATGTATGACATCACATTCAAGGAACACAGGGACTGAATCGGAGTCAGCTATAAAATGGTCGACAGGCCCCTCAATATTCAATACTCAGTAGGACTTCGCAGGTGCTTGAAGGGGGAACCGGTAGCAACGTTACGACTTACCAGCTCAGGCGACGTTTGAATCCCGTTTTCAAAGGCGAACGCTCGATCCTTCGCCCAAGGGACTCGGCGCTCGGCGGATCATTCCCTGTTCGGACTGCATCTGCCCACAATGGAAACGGTGTGACGCTCACCCTGCGTATCTCAGCTCGTTATGCTACGGTTCCCGCCCTATGCCGGCTGTGGGAAGGCTCCCACCGCAAGTAAATGAAGTTCTCGGCGTTGGTCTGTGATCGTCCAAAGCTTCTTTCAGGTCGACACATGAATAGAAGCAGAAGTGGTCGCCTGTGTATGGTAAAAGAGAGAGTTAACAACGTCACTCTGGTCACAAGCCCAGCAAGCTTATGTTAATCGAGCTCATTCTGGTTGAGAGACGTAAAAGACTTCGTCCACATGCTTTTCCAAGCTCACTCCGGTTTTCTATTCGGAAAAGAGGAGGCGCATCAGCCAAATCAATCGAGCTCTCGGGGATTGATCAAGCTCAGTCTAACCCAAATATGACAGGTCAGGGACAATGCTCCGAGCTTTTCACCCATGCCTTCCTTTTCGTATCATCATGGATTTGGTATATAGAGCCCAACGCACCCGTCCGTCTGCCAACCTTCCCGCTGTTTGCTTCTTCCCTGTTATCTGCGGCTACCCAACCCCAGTTCCCCGCTCCTCTATTTATACGCCCTTGAAGGTCTCCGTTATTTATTCTTAATATTATCTCCCCCTCGTCCCCTCCTTTCGAATTTCCAGATTCCTCGAGACGGTTAGTGGCAGGGGTTAGCAAACACTCGAAGCCATGGCTGTCAGGGCTCCTCTCCCATCATTTGGCCTCGTTCTCTCAAAGCTCTCTGAAGAGTCTAGCTACCTGGCTCCCCAGAACGTTATGACGAGAGCACCTGTGGACTTTATGGTAGGCCCTTGGTATTCTCCCTATTTGTGCTGTCGGCTCAAAGACCCGTCTAGAAAACCATTGATTGTCGAATGCCCAACTACGACGATTATTGGCTCTGGGAAGGGGTAAGCATTTACTCACAGTGACGTCTCTACCCCGGCGCTAACGCAGTGCAGGAGTCATTCAGCGACGATGAGTATGAGGACGAAGACGAGACCGACACCATTTTCGATTGTGTGCCAACAACGAGTCAGCCATACGTTCCATCACTTGTCACCTCAAAAGACCCGTGTAGCTATCGCTCAACGTCTCCGGTGAGTCCCTTCAATCTACCGCTCCAAAAAGAAAATGGCACCCTGACCCTGCTCCCCTAGAAACTCTCTGTCGCTTGGACCACGCTGCTACACTGCTTGAAGCGAAGAACACTGAACCGTGTTCCTACACTGAATCATTGAAACCTCCCGAGCTCTGCCATACCCTGTACTACCACCACAAATCACGGACACTTCATAACGACATTTACGGACACATACCCAAGACATATCCTCATCGGACATTCACCCTCATTCAGCAGAATTTGCAATATCCCTCTCCTTAGTTTCATATCATAGCAAAGATAGTCCTAACGCCTTCAGATTACATATTGTAGTCTGACCTTTGCATGTAACCCCCCTTCAGTTGTACATTAGAAGTCTCACTTAGCCTCCAATCTCCATTGAATTCGCGCGTTTAACGTGAAGAGGCTCAGATCTCACATTGAGGCGAGGCGAGAGAGTCCGTTGTGATTCTGGATGCAGGATATAGCAAATGGAACATGAGATGCGAAAAAAATGGACTATCTACCCTACTTATGATTTTTGAATTAATGACACAGCAGCAGCGGAACGGGGAACAATATCGCATTTGAAGGGCAGAGGAGCACTGAACGAGCCCATGTTAGCAGAAAGAAGCATATGGTTTAGACTAAGAGTGAACTTACGAGACGGTATCAGAAGTGACATCCAATTCGAGGGGGATGGGGTTTCCTGCCTCGTCTTTAGACTGTTTGATATCAAAGAGTGCAAACAGGGTCGCGGCAAGGATGAAGACGGAATCGTTGCTGAAGTGACGTCCGGGGCAGATCCTAGAAGAAGTGGTCAGTCCCAAGGCTGTAAGAGGGCAAATAGAGAAAGATGGGCCTACCTGCGACCGAAGCCGAAAGCCACGTTAGTGGGGTCTGGAACCTCAGGATTAAGCTTGCCATCCTTGATGAATCGGTCGGGGTTGAAGGTCATGGGGTCGTCGTAAAGTTCGGGGTCGTGATTGATAGCCCTGGGCGAGGATTAGTATGCCAGTGAGAATTTCCGACGAAACAGGAAAATCATACCATTGGTTGACCATGAGGATGGCCCCCTTGGGGATGTGGTATCCCATATATTCGTCGTCTTCGGTGACCTTGCGAGGAACACCTATTCAGGTCTACTGTCAGAGCGGAATTCACCACATGGAGCAAGGGACATACCAATGGGCAGCGCAGTGTGCCAGCGAGTAACCTCCTTCACGACTGCTTGAACGTATGGGAGACGCTCTCGGTCGCGAATGAGAGGCAGACGTCCGGGACCGATAACGGCGTCAATTTCGGCTTGTGCTTTTCGTTGAACTTCGGGGTTCATAGCGAGAGCTAGGAAGAGGGCATGACCGGTACCGACAGTCTACAGAGCGTCCATGAGCCTGAGAATTCGAGTGCCCGGCTAGTGCGAGGAGGGACTTACGGTATCGGCACCAGCGACATAGGCGTTTGCAATGGCTTTCTTGACCACGGTTTCCTCCTCTTCGCGTTTAGGATCATTCTCGGCGGGAAGCTGTTCAATCAGGTCAGTGGCCATGCTGGGGAGAGCATTCTCGCGTCCGCGTCGCTGAAAACCAGAGTATCAATGAGAGGGGGAACAACTAATGGAAATGCGAGATGTTCGTACCTTGGCCATCTCGAATGGCATGCAAACAGACTTCTCAGACAACCGAGACATTTCCCAAACCTTGCGCTTGAAACCTGCGCCAGGGAACCACGAGGGGATGTGTCGCAAGATGGGGATGTGGTTGACGAGGTATCGACCTGGGACAATAACCTCGGCGAAGGCGTGGAGGAGGTTTTCGGCGTCAGAAATCAGCTCGTCGTCGTAGTTGACCTTCTCGAAGCCATACGACGCTCGCATGATAATTGAGGCGAACAAACTGCAGTTGGCGCCCGTTAGACACTGTGAGCGCTACTATGAGCACACGGAAAACTCACACTCGGGTGTGGAGGAGGAACTTTTCGGGGGAGGTTAAGAGGTTACGAGCGAACGGGATAACTTCTTGCTCTTGGATAGGGTTGTAGCGGGGGACCATGTGTGCATGGAGATATTGGTGGAACACCTTGCGGTGGCGACGCCAGTCCTGGCCGTATGGCATGAGACCGAAGCTGAAACTGTAGTCCATCCTGGAAAAGCGACAGCTTCAGTGATCAAGGCCGACAGTCCCTGGCGGGCAACTCACATATCCAGCATTGGCAATCCTGGGCGGTCAGAGTAATTCGTCGATCTCTTCTCCAAGAGGTCGATGACTTGGTCGAGTTTGTTGATAACGACAATAGATTGTCCCAGAGCGTTGACATGGACGATGTTTCCTGTCGTAGGAAAACGAGGCGGTCAGCGGCGAGATCGACGGACATTGACATAATAGGCGTACCGTAGGTTTCGCCCCATTGCTTGTAAACCAACCATGGCTTCACTTGCGGAATATCCAACATGTTACCGATTATTGGCTTGCCCTTGGGGCCAGGTGGCAAAGGCTGCTTGCTTTTGGCATTCTTTCCAGAAGAAATCGACTTGGCGGCAAAGTAGAGGAAAACGGGAAGCACAGCGAGGACATAAGCTTTAAGTTCAGAAGAAAAGGAGTGTGGGGAAAGCAAAGCCTCGAATGCGCTGGTGCTCATGGTGAAGGAAAAAGTGGCGGAGGGGTTTGTTGTGGAGGCCCAGCAACCTGCCTGACAGGTGTTCTTTAAAGAACTGGTCACGCCACACGGATTAGCCTTATGCGACTAGTGGTTTCTGTGGGTACGTTCAAGATCAATCTATATCCTTAAGAATTCGGGGTTGACATCAGATGGACGACATTAAGGCTAGGGTCGTTTGTTCAATGGAGGCGGCGTCCTCTTGGATAGCGACGCTTTGGAACGGATGTTGAAACCTGTTGCACCTAAGGTCATACCAAGTATTGGAAAAACCACAACCTAGAGTTTCGACTGTACCCAAGGATCGGGCTGAAAAAACAAAGTCGGTAAGTGCGATGTGGCTGGAATAGGAAAGAATCAGGAAGGAGGATATGTGAGAACAAATCCGGTCCAAGTTTACGAAAGTGGACGAGCTTCTGAAAGACTTCAATCAGTGAAATCAACTCACCCGCACTTCTGTACTTCCAATCATTTGCTGTTCGCCGCTGTAGAAAGCCACACGGATACCCTCCGCCAGCCATCATCACTCGCCTCGTTCCCGAGCAGACCCATTTCTTGCGAGATTCAGCGTAACACCCTATGCCGCATCCTGGCATAGACCTAAAACTTGACAGAAGAAGCCTTGCAAGGGAAGTGAGATGACAGCGCCGACATGAAGTCAACGTAACGATACTAGTCCCGGCGTCCACAATATCAGAACATCTGACGCAGGATGCCGATAACCAAATGTCCGAAGACGACGCTGAGGAAAACGACGGGGGAAGAGTGGAGTGAAAACCATTTGCGGTGAAGGACGTGATTTGAAACCCCACGAAAGGGAGAAAGAAGGCGATCGCGGCGAACCGAAAATAAAACCAATTCGGAGAACGCCCAAGCCCCTGTCAACACGGATCACTATCATTGGAAGAACGAGAAAGACACTCAATCCACGATCGCCTTGAGGCTTGATTACTGTCGGTCCGAGTTTACTGCAGTCCGCCTCGTGTTTGCTTCATTCCGAATATTCATCCATGGTATGTAATGGTTGTAACCGAAGACGGATGTTCTCGTACAACGGATAACTCAATTATAGAACAAGGTTCTGGTTGTTTGTCGACGATACTTAGTAGGAGTTGGCAGTCCCTGTCCGAAGCGGAGGCGAGATTCTGGGCTTTGGCGATCCTGAACCAGACTATGCTGAACGGCGAGGGTTGGGCATCGTGGGTGGGACCAGACTGAACCAAGGACACAAGCCAGGGACCTGTGGTCACAAGGTCAAGAGCTACTCCTGTATCAGGGTCGCATGGTGTTGGGAGCGAAGAACAATGTCGCATTCGTAGGGAATGGGTGTACTAGGAATGCCACACGAGCGAACGTGGACCTACGTTAATATATTTGATCTGGAAGGTAGAGGAGCACTACTCACATGACAAGAACGGATTCCGGGTCAGCCTCCAATTTGAGGGGTGCCACGTTTCCACCAGCGTCCTTTGCAGGCTTGACGTCGAACACCGCCAGCAACGACGGTACGACTAGGGTTACGATCTCGGAGCTGAGATAACGCCCTGGACATATCCTGCGCCCATACCCGAAGGATCCCAACTCAGGATCCGGTACAGATGGATCTATAGCACCGTCCTACAGGTAGCGCTCTGGCCTGAACTCCATGGGCTCTTCGAAAACTTCGGGATCGTGCATGATGGCCCTATACCGCCGGAAGTTAGGGCATGGGTAAGGAGCAAGGTGATAGAGAGGGGCTGACCATGTATTGGAAAGAATCACTGATCCCCCGGGGATCAAATGTCCTTCGTATACATCGTCCGCCTTGGAAGCATGAGGCAAGCCTGCGGAAAAAGCGGCAGACGACTTCAGCAATGGCTATCCATGGGTGGAGTACAGAATACTAACACAGGGGAAGAACGCTGTGCCATCGACCATCTTCCTTGACGATTGCTTGGATATAGGGCAGTCGCTCGATATCAGTGGAAGTGGGAAGACGGTCCCGACCGATGACAGAGTCAATCTCCCTCTGCGCGTTCCGCTGAATCTCCGGGCTTGTTTCATCTGGAAGTGCTTCCACCAGAGACCTTGCGAGGCTTGAATGTTCTACAGTCTGGCCGGAGCGCTGTTACTCTGGTCAGGGGTATCACTGTGGTTGATGCATACTGAGATACTCACGACTTCCGACTTTACATCCGCATAAGGCTTCCCTACGACATCGTCACCTGCAATCCGAATACGTTCCAAGCTTCTCTTCCAACCAGCGCCCGGAAGCCAGGAAGGAATATGTCGCATCCAAGGCAACGCACCAACCAGCAAACGACCCGGAGCGACGTACTCTGAGAATCCCCGCACGAATTCGTCCGCCAGCTTGACTACTCGCCTGTTGTATTCGAAATCCTGCATCCCGTAGGAGACCCTCATAATCACAACCCCACATAAGCTGACAGTAAAAGATAAGCTGAGTTGGGTGACCAAGTCGGGCATTTTCCAGAACGACTCACAATCTCGCATCTTCAAGGAAGTTCTTTGGGCGTTCATATACCCGTCGGAGAAAATTGTAGACCTCCATTTCGACGATGGGGCGGTACCGAGGGACTTCATTCGGGTTCATGAATTGGTGGAACGTTCGCCTGTGTTGACGCCAATTGGTACCATAGGGCATGATTGCGAAGCTCCAGTCATTCACCCCCCATCCTGGATGATGACTGTCAGTTTCAATTTAGCGTCTAATATCTCCTACTTACAGTGCAGTCACGGGAGACTCTACGCGGTCAGAATAATTTGCAGCTCGTTTAATCAAAAGCTCTTGGATGGCCGACATGGAGTCGAGGACCACAATGGGTTGGGAAATGGCTCTCAAGTAGATAACGTCCCCTGAGTGTTCAATATCAATAAGACTGACCGTTCATATAACGACAGTGCTTACCGTATTGCTCGGCCCATTCTTTGTACACCCGCCGGGGTTCCTGTAAAGGAATCTGGAAAGCATTTCCGACCAAAGGAAGGCCCTTTGGTCCAGGTGGTAGCGGAGTGTCAGTGGCCAGCTTGGGTCTCCTGAGGCGTCGTCCGATATAGAGCACCAAAGCTCCCCCAAAGAGTGCGACAATCCATGGATTATCCGAGAGCGCCTTTGCCGAAAACCGAACGGTCATTGGGTGAAAAGGTCAAGACGGTTTCTTTGACCTCGAGGCTCTATATAGAGCTTTCAAAGACTAAAACGGGAACATGAAACGCAGGGCGTTCTGTGCCACGCTACCGATGCCCATGACGCTGACGAAGAGAAGAGAACCAAAGAGCGCCCTGTGGCGGCAGGAGAAAAACCCACCTGATTGATGGAAAACTCGCCCAAACCAGACGCATCAGTTCCGCTTTAATCGGAATGACACTTGTGCACTCAAATTCACCTTTGACATCGGCGAGCTACAAAATTAGGGTCGATTCAAGATAAGGAGACCCAGCGTTTTGGAAACGCGTCTACTGGTCTGTTCGTAAAGACCGAGGCCATCCGAACTTCACCAATTACTGCTGCCCGGCGGGCGATAATGGACGCAAAGGGACGTCGAGCCTTGCATCATAGGTTCTTAGACTTCATATCACATTCATAAGACAAGAATTGCCAATGTACTAATGTACGGACATTGATTTCCCGAACAGGATGAGGGAGAAATAATAATCTTCCTTCTACGAGCGCAACAGTTCTGCATGCCTCGGGGATCTGGGCACGAGTTCGCACTTGAATGGAAGTGGCGACCTAGTGTACTCAGGTCGGTTAGTTTCTAATACTATGGCTAGCGGCGGCTGGAGAAGTCGTGACTCACACTAGCACCCCGGACTCAGTTATATATTCAAGTGGTATGGGACGTCCTGCTTCGTCTTTGACTGGCCTCACATCGAATACAGCCAGAAGCGATGCAATGGTGAGAGTGATCGTCTCCATACCAAGGTACCGCCCAGGGCATATCCTACGACCATAACCGAACGATCCAGACTCTGCGTCGAGGACAGAGGGATCGATCACTCCGTCTTTCAAGTATCTTTCGGGCTTGAATTCCATAGGGTCTTCGAATATTTCCGGATCGTGCATCACAGCCCTGCATTATCCGATTCAGTAACGTCCTAACAGGAAACTGGAACAACTGACCAGGAATTGGGGATGATCCAAGTTCCAGCAGGGATAAAGTAGCCATCATAAACGTCATCGTCCACGGACATGTGAGGTAGACCTGGAAAACCGACATAGAGACCGTTAGGTGTCGTAACAGAATCCCAGAGCAAAGACATACACAGTGGAAGAACTGTATGCCATCGCCCTCCCTCCTTGACAATGGCTTGGACATATGGCAGTTCCACTTTATCCGAACAGGTTGGAAGGCGATCTCCTCCAGTTACGGCGTCGATCTCAGCCTGAGCTTCGCGTTGCACCTCAGGTTTCATGGCCAATGCCAGAAGGAGCCCGTAAATTGAGCTGATGGTCGTGTCAGAGCCAGCTGACCGTTCGAGATCGTTAGGTCAAGGAGTTATGGGGTTGCGATAATCGTACCAACGTAAGATATCCCCGAGACGTTGCGAGCAATCTGCTTCAATTCAGCGTGCGTAGGGTCACTTTCGTCAGGAAGAGACTCGACGAGGGACCTAGCAATGTTGTGGTACACCCCCTGCTCCCCGGCTGCCTATTCGTAGCTTGAGTCCACGAGCAAAAGCTGAAATTGACGAAATGCCCACTCACCACCTTAGCTTTGACGTCCTCGAATGGTTGGGTGATTACTTCGAGGCCCAGTTGGGCCAAGGCCTCCAATCTTCTCTTCCAACCCGCTCCCGGAACCCACGATGGAATCCACTTCATCGACGGGAAGAAACTCACCAGCAACCGTCCCGGAGCAGCGTATTCTCCCCACCCTCGCATGAACGTGTCGACCTTCTCAATCAAACGCTCAGAATATTCTCCCCGTACTCCGTAGGAGATACGCATGATAGTAGCCCCTGCCATCCTATTTTAGTGAGCCAAAGGCATTGAGAGACTCGATTCGATGATAACTTACCGACGGATATGGTCGCGCAGATCGGCAGGCCCGGTTGGAATCCCCTTCACGAAGTTGTATACTTCTTCTTCAATGATAGGCTGGTATAGCGAGATTTGACCTTGGTTTAGGAACTGGTGGAATACGCGACGATGTTCACGCATAGCGCATGAGGACGAAACTCCAGTCCGTCCTCATTCTAGAAACGAAGAGCATTAGCCAGTCAGAACATCGATGAGAATAGGAATGTGTAAACCTACATGGCATCCGGATGCGAGATGATTCTGTCCGAGTAGTTGGCGGCTCGCTTTACCAAGATCTCCTGCATAACCTTGAACGAGTTGAGAACAACGATCGGCTGTCTCATGGCCTCAAGGTAGATCATGTCTCCTAAGCTTGTTATCAGTTTATTCATAACTTGAAGAGCAAATGCACGCTCACCGTACTTGTGTGACCATTCCTTGTAGACACGCCACGGTTCGGCCATGGGCATTTGATGGGCATTTCCCAAAAACGGGATGCGCCGTGGACCAGGAGGGAGCGGGTAACGCGATCGACGACTCTGGCGAAGGAAGACATGGGCGAGGATGGCTCCAGCGAAGACTGTGGCCGCGGCAGACCAGCTCAATGCCCAGTCGCGGAGAGTGTCAGTTATCATGGAAGCGAAGAGATGAGGTTATCGCCAACCACTGTCTTCTCCAGGCTCTCGCTTTATACAGTGCAGAAGTGCCACCTTGACAGTGATTCTAAAGACACACGGTCGAAGTTGACGTTTAGTTAAATTGACTCCCAGGCGGAAACTTCTCTCAGATGGCGGCTTCTCTGTGCCATGAACTTCCAGTCCTGCTTCCTCGGAGACACCCAAACGCCGATAGTTCATTGGAGCCCTGGTGGAAAGACCCTACCTGGCATGTCAGTGGTCACATTGTGGAAGTCATGGCAGATTTTCACTGCTAAATGGGTTGAGTGACATGGATTACATGAGGCAGACGGCGTTTCTCCGCAAGAATCTAAGGCTGCCAACAGTAGTTCAAGATAACGAGGAGAGCGCAACTCTATCTCGCACTTGAACGGCTCCGGGGAACTGACAAAGTTGAAGCTCAGTCACAACATAAATTGCATTCGGGGACTGAGGCTCACCAGATGAGATCGGAGTTGACTTTGAGCTCCATCGGTACATCGTTCCCCAGCTCGTCTTTAGAGGGCTTGATTTCAAAAACTGTCAATAGACACACAATCGTGTACGTTAGGGCCTCGTTGCTCAAATGTCGACCAGGACATTTACTAGACAATGAGTGTGCGGCTCCAGTCAATAAAGATGCAATATGAAATAGGGAAGGAGCTTACCGCTGACCGTAACCGAAGACTGCAACATCGGGATCCAGTACAGAGGTGTCCAACTTCCCGTCAGATTTGAGATATCGTTCCGGTCTAAATTCCAAAGGGTCCTTGAACGTGTCAGGATCGTGCATCACAGCCCTGAGGATTTTTCAGTCAACCGAGGTAAACGAACGGTCTGGTCCTACCAGCTGTTAGGTAAAATCATTGTTCCTTTCGGAATCAAATAGCCCCAGTATTCAAAATCCCTCGATGAGACGTGGGGTATTGCTTGCGTTTCGCTGGGATGGTTGAGAACGGATGGGCTAGGTAGGATGAGCAGGAGCTTACCGAGCGGAACCACAGTGTGCCACCGGTAAATTTCCCTCACGACAGCTTGGACATAGGGTAATTTCGCACAATCGCCCACCGAAGGAAGACGCCCTTCCCCTAGTACTGCCTCAGCTTCGTCCCGGGCTCGCTGCTGAACCTCGGTATGTGTTGCCAAGGCCAAAATAAAGGCCCGGCTCGTGTTCACTGTCTAACCCAATCCATTAATTCACCCGAAGTCCTCGATTGCCAGAGGGACTCACCGTGTCAATGCCAGCTTTCCGATGGCGACGCAATGTATTGACGCGGAACTTACCCATGTAAGTCACTAGGGGGATGTTTTGAGCTTTTGCTTCCTCTTAAAGGTAGTCGGGATGGGCTGGTGGGGGAAGCCCCTCGATAAGGCGGGCAGCAACACTTTCGAGTTCGTGTTGAGACTGTCCATTCTGAAACCTTTTCCAGTTGTGTACAATAAATGGCGGGAGGGGACGTACCGTTTGTTGCATTGCGTCACGGAAGGGACCGACGACGATTCTTCGACTAACAGCGGCTATCTCAGCCATTCGACGCTTCCAGGAGGCACCCGGAAACCATTTTGGAACGTAACGGAGAATGGGGAAAAGATTGACAAGGTTGCTCCCGGGGAGTGTAACCTCTGAGAATCCGTGTCCCAAGTAATCAGCGTCATCCATCAGCTTTTGGTTATACGAGTACAGAAACGGGTATCAAGTGGCGAACTAACGTTCGGATATCATGGAATATGTCTGGGGCATTGGTCGCCATTCGACCGAGGAATATACGTATCTCCTCCTCTAGAATGTGATGATACTTTGCCACATGTTGACGGGAAAAGCACTGATGGAAGGTTCTCCGGTGGGCCCTCCACGCCGAGCCACAGTTCATGACACCGAAGTTCCAATTGAACTGGATCCTGAAGAGAGGTGAGCGAACAAAACGGATCGGTTAGTCCCAAACACATACAGGTCGTAAGCAGGGATGTATGGACGGTCCGCGAAGATCGAAGATTGTTTTTCCAGAAGGTCGATTATACATAGCTGTCAGCGAGTTAAGGACCACGATAGGCTTCCCAAAGGTCTCGAGGTAGATAACATCTCCTACCATACAAAACCGATAAGGAAAGAGGAGAGCGGCACCTGTGCAATCCAGTACTCACCATAGAGCTTTGACTATTCCTTGTACGTCACTCATGGCGTTCTTGCTGGGAGCTGGAAAAGATTGCCGACGATAAGGGCGCGTTTCGGGCCTGGTGGGAGAGGCTTTGGAAACCTCAGTGACGGCTTCACCCAACATGCAATGAGAATTAGAATGACGAAAGTCGGCCACGGACTCGGCAGTGACGTCGCGGGTCGTAATGCCAGCCAGCCCAGTCAGCCCCAAAGAGATTGGCACTCGAGTTCAACCAGCGCCATCGAATAACGAGAGTTAACTGGTTATGCAGTTCCATGAAGCCCTTTAATAGGAATCCCGTGTCCCTGGAATAACCTTAGGTTGAATCGATGATTGGCTGAGTAGTGACCCGAGGACAACGTAGGCACACTGTGGCGGTTACGGAACAAGCCAGCTTGTTTAGTAGCGAGACTTCAGAATGATAACCAGCATCCATATTCCAGGTTGAAAACCCAGATCAACAAAATTTCAGCCTGAGGTCGTATGAGGGGGAGTTCGAAACCGTTGGTTTTCGACAACCGGACCAGATCGAGGTTTCTGGAAACCACGGAAAGTGTGTCGACGCAAAAGGCTGAGGTCTGTAGATTAACTTGAGGACAACGCAAGCCTTTGGCGGAAAGTGATCTCGAAAGTGATCGCGACGATGGCCTCGCGAGTGAAACGAGCCCGAAGTGGAATCAGAAAAATGAGATCAGCGCAGCGCGTGGTTTGTTTTCATTTCATGGCCTTGCTAAACGCGAAAGGTGTTTGGCCCTCAAGTCGAAGCCAAATATTCGCCAAAGTTGGGCCTCGCCCAGGCTCCGTGTCCCTCACAAAAGTACTGATGCTCTGGGAGAGGGTTAGGTACGTCCGTAGCCCAAATGAATTACTGTCTGACATTATCAGTCCATGCATCTAACCTCTTACGACGCACTGCGGAGAGTGACATAACATTGCACCCCATGACTGTCCTCACTCCAACTCCAAGGCGGGGAGACAAGGAGAAAAAGGCCGTGTGGGAGGGAAACTTCCTCTCGGTAGGGAGATAACAGCGACAGTGCGTTCATAGGGGGTTGTCTGAGCTCGCAGCACTCCTCGCTGATAAACAGGGCTATCTTGCAAGAATGCGCACTCACTGGCGTCTACCGTGAGTCTCCTTGTACGGGTTAAAAATACGAGGATCCCGACAATGATCACTTTATAAGTATATTTGGCTTTCGAAGTTTAACCAAATGAAAAGCCAGGTATGTATAGCAAACACTTTCATTATCCATGGTGGAACGGTTGGGACGGTCCTATCGGCTGCAGTAATTACGCGACTGAGTGGGGTCTGACAGAACTTTGTACCTCATGATCATGTTCCTCAGCTGCGGGCCTGTTATGGCATTACACATGCACATACGATGGTGGTAAGAAGTTCCCCAATTTCACGACCTATCACTGAATTGGTTGCTGACGATTTGGACAGCTTCGTGTTAGGGTATAATGATTCTCCCCGTCAAGAAGTCGAAACGCCCCTAATGTTCTTCACGAAGATCTGAGATAAGCACTTCGACCATTTAAAGCACAGAGCCAAGTTCTGCCTGGGAGGCGAGTACCAAGTACCGAGTTTGCCCCTTAGATGCTCTCCGCTACGACCAAGGTTTATTTTTCGGGCGACAATGCTGCTCTTGGGCTAGCATTTATCTCCCTCCTATTCGTCGTATCCAAGCTTGCGCTCAAGCGCTATGCCCAGCGCAAAAGAAATCCACTTCGCCTCCCTTTTCCTCCAGGTCCACCAGGCATCCCTCTCTTCGGAAACGCGCTCCAAGTCCCTCGAGAAAGGCCGTGCGATGTTTACAGAGACTGGTCAAAGGAATATGGTATGCAACGAGTACCCGCCGAAACCTGATCTGACTTTGCTTGTGCGAAGGCTCTGAACTGATTTATCTCGATGTGTTGGGTCAGCCTATTGTGGTCCTAAATTCTATGGAAAGTGCTGTTGGTGTACTCGAGAAGAAGGCCGCCAACACATCTTCTCGCCCTCTCACCCCAGCTCTTGATCTGTAGGTTCTCATACCCACAGCTCTATGGTCATTTCAGTATTGATAAGCTCGTAGGATGCAAGTGCAGAAGTGGAACTTTCCTTTGATGCCCTACGGACATCAATGGAGGGCTCGACGTCGTGCGTTCCACCAAGCTATGATGCCGGCCCGCATTCCAGGGTATCACAGTGTCATTGAACAGGAGACGCGAGTGTTCCTGCAGCGCCTTGAGCTCCAACCGAGCAATATCTTGGCTGAGACCCAAAGGTAGTTTGACTTTCGAGTGCTCTTGCGTACCAGAATGCTTATTACTTGATTAAGGCTGGTGGGCCAGATACTCATCCGCGTTGCATACGGGTCAGAGGATTATGACTATAACCGGAAGCTCGTCGAGAATTCACAGTACCTCGTCGACGTCGTAGGTGGAGCTCTACACCCGGGGAAGCTCTACCTGGTGAACGTCCTTCCATTCATTAAACATTTGCCTCGTTGGTTCCCCGGTACTCAAGGGTGGCGGATAATCTTTGACGAGGTCATCAGAGCGGCTGATAGGGCACTCACACCGCCATTCCTGGATGCCAAGGAACGACTGGTGCGTTGAGCTTCAGCCTGGCGATCATGTCCCTGACCCGGTGTACTGCCAGACGAATCGAGGTCAACAATCAACGCAGTCCGAAGAACCTAGCTTGCTACGCACATTGTTCGAGAGGATGCCGCCGGCTGATAGCCCTGAGCGCCAGGAACAAGAGGCCATCGCAAGACAGGTTGCAGGTTTGTCTTATATCGGTGAGAGTTGACATACCGCCCTCTGCCCCACTGGTACTCACCAAGAGCTTTGTCCTAAGCCGGAGCCGACACCGTAAGTAACGCCTCCCACTTTGCTACGCACGAGGCCCACCTTCCTTTAATAGACCCTCACTACCGCGCATGCCTTAATCTTTGCCTTCGCCAAATTCCCCAAGGTACAACGAAAGGGCCAACAAGAGGTCGACACGTTCATCGAATCTACCGGTCGTGTCCCAAAGATCAGTGATAGAGGCCAGGTCCCCTATATCGAAGCTATCATAAAGGAAATCCTTCGCTGGTTCAATGCCGCCCCGCTTGGTAACTCCCTTCCTTTGTTGCACCTCTCGATGAACGGATCTCTTACACTTTGTGTCAGGCTTGCCGCACCAATCGACTGAAGACGAGGAATACAATGGGTACTTTATTCCCAAGGGGACAATCCTGCTTCCGAATGCTTGGTGAGCGCCATATTCGTCTTCCACTTATATCTCTGACAGATACGCGTAGGGCAATCTTACACGACCCCAACAACTTCGAGAACCCAGAGGAATTCAAGCCGGAAAGGTACCTAAGGAACGGGCAAGTCGACCACTCAATTCCAGACGGAGAGTCTGCTGGATTTGGATTTGGAAGGCGGTGAGCACAAAGGCCGCTAACCCGAGAACCTTGACTGACATACATGTTCGACTCACAGTGTCTGTCCTGGGCGTAATCTTAGCAAGGACGTACTCTTCTTCTTGACTGTCGGGCTTCTCGCTACCTTCGAGATTCGTCCACCGTCGAAGAGAGACGAGAGTAAGCCCTTCGAAATGGAACTCGTGCCTGAAGTGATTGCGTGAGTGGCATACGTTCAACGTACCAGAGGTCCTTCACATCTGACCCAATGTCGTCTCCAGCAAGGTCCTTCCCTTCGATTGCGAGGTGGTCCCGCGCGCCACAAAGCATCTCGAACTCTTCAAATCTTACGAATAATCAATTCTCGAAGACGAAGTTTCAAGATGTATTGATTAATGCCAATCTGGTCCTGGTGGAATGGGATTTGAATAGTACATAGCGTGTAATGTTCAATTCAACCCAAAATCGTCGGTCTTTAGTTCATACCTTCGAGGGCGCCAAGAGCCGAAGTGTTTAAGCACCCAGCGCTTTCCTTGCACGTTGTCTCTTGGTCGAGCAGTCTTCGCTTCATACGTATCCACACACCCTGTTCGGTCCTTGAGGAGTCTTACTTCCTTTCAATAAAATCAGATCGAAACGAGGTTGTGAAATATCATCACGAAAAGTTCAGCGCCCTGACAAACCTCTCTCCCAGGTTACAACTATCTTCGAAGACCTCAAAAATTTCAGGCCACTCCACGGCAGTCGGGCTGGTCGTCATTATTACTGTCAAATGGCTCACCGACTTGCTCACTAACGCCGGTGTGCGCGCAGGTTGTCTCTGAGTATTACGCCCGGTGGGCCCGGACTTGGGATCTGGAGGCCACTGTCCGACTTGGTAACGGGCGAAATTCGACGTGCACATCGGCTTAAATTCACCAACAGTAACTTGAACAGCTTTGAGGGGGCCTCTCTTCCTCTTCCTGGTGGAGAGATTTTTGTTCACATCTCACGTATTCACACCAAAGAAACCCAGGGTATTACGCGCAAAAAACATGGTTTATTAAAGGATGTCGGGTATCATAATACGTATGATGGGTGGTGGTGGTGGTGGTGAGCACAAAGTCTCCGAGTCGACGGCTGTAATGATCAGGTATGCATGTACACTCCTGAAGCACATCCACAGTCAGCCATAAATCCATAAATCCAAAAATCGAGAATCAGGTAGACCCACCTATTCACCAAACCACGAAGACCAGTGCAGGGTGGTAGTTCACCATTTAGGCGATGACGCAGTAGGCACCGTTGCCGGAGCCGCCGCCAGTCTCGAAGTTGGTGGGGATGTTGATGGTGGTGAAGGAGTCCATTGTTGATGTGAAGTTTGTTTGGTTACTGCGAGCAGTGAGGAATTCGAGGAGAGTGGGGGTGGGGTTTTATAGTTTTTGGTGAAGGTCCATGCACCCTACGAGTCAACTCGCCGTGTTTTCGCGCACGAGTGCAGGCCCAAGGCAAGTAATTGATTCAAGTCAGTATCGAGTACAAGTTGATGATCGAAAGAACGAAAGGACAATTGTACTCGATCGACGACTCTGTTCTCATTCCTTTTGTCGGGTGGGCGGGGCCTTCGGGACGTGTTGAAGGAGGTTGTTAGCCGACAACCGAGTCCCGACCTTTTTGTCCAACCTTCATTCCCCATTCCCGCCCTTGAATTTTCAATTGGAGACAACAACGTTCGGGACACGGGAGAGCGGCGGTGATCATGATTTCCGGTGCTTATTTCAGTTGTCCGGCATCCGGCCAGCGCTTATTATTTTGGCAAGCGGGGCGTCGCTCGGACCCGTTTCAGGCTTGTTGAGGCGGTGGTTAACTGATCGATCATTGGCTTCGACCAGGAGCACGTACTACGTAGCAGTTTATGGATGCCCCGCTTGGCATATACCGGGCGTGCTAATCAGAAGTTGAATTAGCTGAAACCTTGAGTACATACATATAGAAATTGCATCTGATAGCCAACTTGCTTCCGCGCCCCTGCTGACTCTTGAACATACTTCTCTCTCCCCGTGTCTCAGCATAGACCCACCTTAGTTAAAGAGGGATATCCATAATGACTCGGACCACTCCATCTCCACAATTACCTTTGGAACTTTCACATTTTGACTCGATGCCGGACATCATGAACCACCCTGAAAATCGATGAATGAACACAAGTGGATCTGACCCTTCCACCGGTTTTCAGCGTTCAAACGTCCACCCCGAGACAACAAAAACTCCAAAAAAGAATTTCAGGTCCGAGCGCGCTTACGCAGACTTCGGAATTAAGCGCTGGCAGGAGCGGGAACAATTGCCACTGACGATCGCCGCTCCCGATTCCCGACTCCCGAATGTCGATCGAAAATTCAAAAAAGCCGAGGAATGAAAGTAGAGACCACAAAAACACGAAAAACAACGTGAAACCATGAACCCAATTGTCCTTTCGACTTGTACTCGACGCACATGCCTTGGAACGACTCAGACCACCGGGTACCCTGCGTGCACTCGCCCGTGAAACCACGTTACACCCCAAGTCGTAGGGTGCATGGACCTTCACCAAAAACTATAAAACCCCACCCCCACTCTCCTCGAATTCCTCACTGCTCGCAGTAACCAAACAAACTTCACATCAACAATGGACTCCTTCACCACCATCAACATCCCCACCAACTTCGAGACTGGCGGCGGCTCCGGCAACGGTGCCTACTGCGTCATCGCCTAAACGGTGTTACTACCACCCACCGTGACACTGGTCTTCATGGCTCGGTGAATAGGTGCGTACACCTACCTGATTTACGATTCTTTGGATTTGGAGCTGACTGGGGACGACGATTATAGGAGTTGTTCATACCTGCTCATCAACATCCATCGAGACTTTGTGCTCATGCCCATACCCAACTTCTCCAAACCAACGTGTTCAAGTTGGAATTATGCTAGATAATAAATAAACCCTTTTTTTTTTGCGCGCAATACCCTTGAGCTCGGTGTGCCATCTCAGAAGTGAGAAGTGAGAAATGTGAGAAAACAGTCCCTGAGGGTCGACCGAGTGGATGAGTGGACGAGTGTCAACTTTCAAGGCGATGAAGATGAGGGGAGGCCGAGTTCGTCGAAATTCCAGTTGTACCGTTACAGCTGGGCTGGGCAAAGGCAGGCTCGTCGGTCGACCAGTGAAATGACGATCAGTAATGTGGGGAGGAAGGCGATGAAGGTTGTCAAACGCTCGATCGAAGGGTGATGGGTGGAGAGCAGGTGAGATTTCATTGAGATACAACAAAGAGACTTCCAGAGGAGACGCAGATGGATGTGAACTGATCGAATTCATTGGTGCAGCCACGTCGATGTGGACATGTAAAACAAACACGGTATCGTCGTCTTCATTCATCGCATCCCAGTAGGAAAACCGGCAGTCCTTGAAACAACCGGGAAGCTGAAAGCGCAGCGCTGGGTCAACCTGCACGACAATAACCCAACCAGTCAGTACGCCCATTCCACCAACAATCCAACCAACCAAAAGAAAAGAAAAAAGGAAAAGGAAAAGAAAAAGAAAAAGGATAGAAAGATCAGATTGCAAATTAACATTTCCCCTTCATCCAGCCAACACCACCTAGCTCTCCACAAGAATCGAGCGGTTATTAGCACCACCTACAAACGCGCGTGTCCTTTACTCGACCGAACATAACAAACGCAAGTCGTCTGAAGCTCGATCGAGAGACAAACGCGTGTCGTCTGAAGGGGGCCAAAAACGCAGCACGGCTCCGGGGAAAGCTAGGGAGGCTATCGGGTACGGTTGCTTGTTTTCATCTTTATGTGAAAGGGAGAAGGCGTTGGGGGATGGAGAGGGAGGATGAGGGCTCACCTTAATGGGAAGTACGAGGCGACAATGCGATTTGTGAGTGGTGGATCGTCCAGGAGGCTTGCCCTAGATTTGTAATGTGATTCACCAGCCCAATCCTTCTTCTGTCTCGTCGCAAGAGCTTTACATGGTCAAGCGACTAGCTGGCTGTCAAAAACATGTCGCGGGCTCTTCATGGCGATTGAGGCCTAATCGACGTCCTCTTCAGAGTTCCTTCGGGGCAGACGTTCAGAGGTCTTAGCCGGCAGCACCAATCAGCTCTACAGGTCCGCAAGTTGGCCAAAACAATGTTGGTCGTCGGGCACAGCGAGTCGCAGTCATGGTCATGGTCGTGGTCAAGAGTGAAGCCGTCTCCCTGCCGCGGATGAATTCGCAGGATTCAGGGACAACGACATCATGCATCAGGTCGCCGGTTCGATTCCTCGTTGCTCCACTTCCCCAACATCACGACCCCGACCATCTCAAAAAAAGAATTCGAAATCTATGTATATCGCACTCGAAACCACATAAATACGGGGAACACAAGCTCGAATACAACAACGATTCTCTCTCCCTCCCATCGCTCCTCCACACTCCTCCTGTGTACTCAACCCTCCTCCAACCCCTACTTCCGCCCAGCAAAAATACCCCGCATGCTATCCCACACAACACTAGGGCTCTGCGCGGCATCAACACCATGCCAGAGGCCCTTCGCCTTGTAATAGTCAACGACAGGGCCGGTTTGGGTGTGGTACGTCTTGAGGCGGCGGGTGAGCGTTTCGGCGTTGTCGTCGGAGCGCTGGATGAGGGGTTCGCCAGTGAGGTCGTCGATGCCGGCCTTTTTGGGTGGGCTGTACGTGTACGTGTACGTCGCGGGAGATGAGGTGGACGTCCGTGGTGTAGGTGGTGGCGGAATTGGCGGAGGCGCGAGTTATGCAAGTTATGCATGTCGATGCGGATGCAGTAACGAATGATCACGCCGTCGCACAATGCAGAGGATTAAAAACACGAGAACACAGAGCGTCAGTTCATCCATCCATCCATCCCCCACACTCCCCTAGGCAAGACAAAAAAGGACATGAACCACTCACTTGAAGATCTTGTGGTACGACCGTCCACTGGCGGGGTGGATCAGGCGGCCGGTGATACGCGAGATGAGGAGCTGGTCGTCGATGAGGAGCTGGACGACCGAGTCGAGCTTCTCCTTGCGTTCCGCGAGCATGCCATCGAGTTTTTGGGCTTGTGGGACTGTGCGGGGGAAGCCGTCCAACACGAATCTGGGAAGAAGGGATTAAGTTAGTTTATACATGTTCGTGTAAAGCGCTCGAAATCAAACGGCTGGTTCATCATCGAGGGACACCCCTCGCACACAGAAACTCCTCTCCCTCCCTTCTCCAGCCTACCCAACAAAAAACACTCACCCATTCTTACAAGCCTCATTATTCTCCAACTGGTCTTTAATCATATTAACCATAATATCATCCGACACCAACCCTCCAGCATCCATAATCTTCTTCGCCGCAATACCCAGCGGGGTCTTCTTCTCCACCTGGTCCCGCAGCATGTCGCCAGTCGCCAAATGGCAGACGCAGAACTCATCCCGGATGCGGGGGGCTTGGGTGCCCTTGCCTGTTGGACGTGGAGGGGGTGGTTCGTTTCCGTTTCAATGAATGCGAGTGCGTGGAGGGTAGCATTAGCAGGGGGATGTAATGCAGGACATGAGGGAAGAAGAGGAGAGGTCATCAGTGCCCTGCGTTCATACACCCCAAAGGAAGAGAGAACGCACCAGCACCAGGAGGCCCAATCAAAATCGTCCTCAGCTGTTGCGCAGGCGTCTTCGAGGCAGGACCCTTGGCTTTAGCCTCCAACGACGCAATCTTGTCATTCAACTGCGCAACAAGCGACTTGAGGTACTCGAGTTCTTCAGAGGCGCCCATCCTTGCTTTCGAGTCTTGCCTTTTGCTGCTGCTGCTGCTGCTGCTGGTGTTCCTGTATAAAAACCCTCTCGTCAACACACTATCCTCTTTAACCCAAGCACAAATGGCAGAGGGAATACGCACAGGTGCTAACGAAGAGGAAGAAGGAGGAAAGACAACTCAACGACCAACGACGAAGGAGAGCAAGAAAAGAGCCTGCAAGCAAGCCCAAACCCCGGTTTAACCGTGTCCCGCTTTTTCGGACGCGTCGTGGCATACTTGACGCTCTCTCATTGGTTCGAACCGGACGTGTGGAATCCCGATTGTCGCCGACCCGGAGCGGGGTGCCCGATCCCCGATCGCCCAATCAAACACGGGCGCTTGATTGGGCCTTGGCGGGGAGGTGGAGGCCCATTGGTGGGGCAGTAGGACCTAGGTTGAGAAATTAGGGTTGGACGAACTCCAGGTAAAATAAAACGGGGTGCCTACACTCGGTACAGACAGGGATACCCCACCCTGTGCATGTTACTCTGTTCCGACTCTCCGTACATACGACACCCACCCCGCCCCGAACTTCAAAGTAGTAGATACACCAACCTCACAGAGCCAATCTGCAAGTAAACATCATATATTCATTCGTAGCCAAAACTATTGTGACTACATATGTACATGCAAAGAAGAGAAACGAATCGCAAAGAAAAAAGAAATAGAAGTATTAAACCAGAAACACAAGAAGTACGACTTGGAACGGTACAGAAATACACAAAACTCGAAGAAAGATTCGGCATTCGCTCACCCTACAGGTTCACGAACTACACACACAATACGAAGAGATCAATGGAAGAACAGAAACCTCGATACTTGAAGCGACATAACCCAATAAATACGAAACACAAAACGACAATGATGGACGAGAAGATGGAGACGATCGATGATGGAGACGGAAGATGGAAGAAGATTGATGATGGAAAAAAGGAACTGGTTGCGTGGTAGGCAAGAAAAAAAAAGAAATCATGAATCATGATACACGTCGTAAAAAGGGGGGTCATTCATCATCATGCAAGGCGGCGTAGAAATAGTAGAGTATCCCAACAAAATGAAGCTAGGACATCATCATGAGTGGAAGGAATTCGAAATTGGAAAAAACGTAGATGCTGCGAATGTACATAAAAATCGTCCATCAATGCAAAGAATAGGAGGGCGGCATGCAAGGCGAAGATGAAAATAAAGAGGAAGGAAAGGGTAAGATGAAATGAATGAAATTTCTGGCCATCGCGTATGACCGAAAGATGATGATCATCGCATATGACCTTTCGGAAAAGATGCATAAAGGACGGAGTCCACAAAACGACAGACGAGAAAATCGAGGGAAAAGAAACAAAGACGAGACGACTGACCAACCAACCAATAACCATCGGCTATAATGATAAGATTAAGATAAAAACGGGGACAAACCCCGTCCAAAAAAGGGTTACAAGCCTTCAAAGCAGGCTGTTTTCGACTGCCAACCGCCAAGTGCCAACCCTCTTCACACCACAAAAGGCACAGGCGTCGCAGACCTCGACTCTGTAGGCGTCAACGAGCCACCACGAACCACAACCGTATCAAACCCAAACCGAGTGGACACCAAACGAGGCGTCGCCTCCTCCTCCCTCTCCCTACCCTCTTTGGAAGGAGGAATGTTGAACGAAGACTCCACCAACAACGCACCATCCTGCACAGGCGACGAAACTAACCCATCCTCAAAACCAGTGAAGAAACAATACCTATAAGCACCCATCGTCAGTCAGTCCAATCAAGACATTTAACACAACCAAAACTAAAGGCGAATAATACTCACTGGCTAATCAACTCCCGATAATGATCCTCCGGACTAGGCGGTCCATCACTCTCCTCACTCTCCGTACTCTCCGACGACGACGAAGATGAAGAGGACGTGGAAGCAGAAGCAGAAGTGGAAGTAGAGGGCAACTCCTTGAACCCCTCCACAGGCGACGGTGTCGTATCCCTCGAACTAGTCGGCGTATTCCCCAACGAAGGCGTCGAAATCTCGCTGGAGGTGTCACCACCGAACAACCCAGCCACCATCGTACCCAACGACCCCGCACCCACACCGAACCCACTGTTCAACGACAGGGCTGGCGGCGCAGACTTGGGCGGCTCAGGCAAAGGCAGAATCGGACTCCTCAGCAACACACCATCGTCGTCGTCGTTGTCGGGGACGTAGATTCCAACGGTCGGATTCAAACGCGGCGATATCGGAGGAGTGTGTTTGACGTTAGGAGCATGGAAGGCATTCATGTCAAAGTATCCCCGTCGGTGATGACGAGTCGGTGATCGCGTTTCAGCTCGAGGAGGAGAAATAGGGAACGGGATTTCAACATCGTCCGAGTGGGTGGTGGCGGGCTTGACGGGGACGGCAGTAGCGCATTCCGTCAAATCGCGGGGAGAACCTAGTGGGAGGACGGGCTTGGTGGAAAAGGAAGGGGAGGGCGAGTAAGATGATGGTGGTGGTGGAGACCTCGAAGCCAAACCAGGCTTCGTAAACTGCGGAAACGAATTCGTCCTCAAATGCGGCACGACAGGCGTATCCTGGTACCTCCACGGATTCTTGAGCGACGCACTAAAATCATACCGAGCGGCAAAAGACGTCGTAGACTTGAAAGTGGGCGTCTCAGGGTCTGCATCCACAGGTGAAGGCTGCCGCGGACTCGCCAAAAAGGCAGGAGGTCCACTCCTACCACCAGCCACTTCCTTCCCCTGCACCACCTTCTCCAACTTGTTCTGCAAACTCGCCAAATTACCCGTCTTCGAATCATCCACCTCCTCATCCGACAACGCCCGATCCCTCAGAACCCGACTAAACTTGGCAACATAGTTCAGCGTATTATTGTTATCCCAAAACTCCTGGCCCGCCACCGAGTACCTGACAGCAAGAACAAGCGTCTTCTCCTCAATCCGCGCCAGTATATCGGTCAGATTGATCGTGAAAGTGAAGCGATCATACTCTGGACTAGGCGAGTTGCTGTACCGCGCAGTGACCTCGCTCAGCGTCTGCCACGAGTCAAACGTGAACCTGACAGTGACGAGCTTGGCATACGCGATATTGCGCACCCGGACGACACCAACGATGGACGAGGAGTGGGGCGTGGATAGCGACATCGACTCGAGTGTGACCTCGCCTCGGGGTAGGTTGATCCGAGGAGGCATGTTGACGACGTCCAGAACCAGACGCCGTCGTCCGCTGCGGCGACGATCCTCCGAATCGCCAAAGATGAAGGAAGGGAAGTCGCTGTCGGTGCCACTTGTATCGTCGGTGGGGCTGCCGTCTCGGGAGACCGCGAGTGGCTTTTGCTCAGCGAGGAAAAGCTTGACGTGCTCCAGCTGCGAGTCGAAGTGAACCGCTTTGGAGATCGGCGTGGTGGGCTCGCTCTTGGACGAGGTGAGCCCGCGGTACCCCACATCGCCCGTCGAGCGCGAACTCTTCAGAGACGGTTTGACGAGCTGACCGGATTTCTTGCGGATAGGCTTGGGTGCGTCGATGCCGGCTGCAGACTTGGGTGCGTCAGAGGAAGGTGTGCTAGGGAAGCCATGGCGTAACGACATTCCAGGGACGTAGATCATCGGGTGGGATCCAGATCCCTTTTTCTGAGACAACGTGATGTTGTCCTCCGTCTTTGAGGCCTTGAGCCCTCCAGCCGTCGATGAGGTCGAGGGATCAGCTGGCTCGTGTCGACGAAGCGAGGTGACGGGAGTGGTGGTCAGGGGTTCAGGGAACGGAGGAGGGTTGGGGCCTCGAGCTCGTCGAGCACGAAGCGAGAGAGGGGTTGCCGACCCTGAAGACGATGACCTGACCGAGCTCGAATCCGATTCACTGCCTGAAGACACAGACCGACGGAGTCTGTGGACGCCTGGGGACTTTGGTGTGCGCTTGATGGGCTGGTTGAGGGTGGCTCGGGATGTGGATGTTCTGCGGGGAAGAGTGGGGAGACACCCCACCGCCGCATTGGAGTAGAGAGGCTGGGAGTGGTGGGCCATCCTGACGGGTTGCGCTGAGATCGTAGAAATCATTAAGAGGGGGCTAGAATTATCTAGTGGGGCGATGCATGCCTACATTAGTATCGGCCGACAGAAAAAAAAAAAATCAATGGGCGGTGGAGAACTTACGAGATGGAATGGACGTGGGGCGATAGGAAAATGTGGACGATAGGAGGGAAATGGAAAGAGGAAGAGAGGAACGACGAGGTGCTGAAGCGTCGTGCCTTGTGTTATGTAGTTTTGAAGTGAATCAATTGCGGTATTGATAGGTGGAGTCGCCGAGGGAGGGACGGGCAGGGATGGCGGATTTGGAAGGCGGACGACCCGAACAAGGTAATGACCAGGTATAACGAGACAGGAACCCTTAGCAGGTCAAACAGGGAGACAACACCCTTCAACGTCGTCTCTTGTGGCGGGGTTTTACTTGGAGGGTGCTAATGTTCCTTCCCTCTTTTGTGCTCCTCGTTCGCCGGACGACAAATGAAGAACTGGCAGGTGTCGCAGGGAGCTTTGGAGAGACTCGAATAACGTTATAATATACAGTCTAGAGGCAATCAAAAGACATAAATTAGTACACGCTCTGCAGACAATAGCACCCAAAGTCGATCCAAGGACAACGACGACGGGCGGTTGTCTCAGGGACAAGAACTCACCAAGGGATCCAGATGCCAGCCAATACTCCTAGCTACAATCGTCCAAAGCGCCTCTAGATCGTCAGAGCGTGTAGAACATGGGTGAGCAGGGGTGGGACCGTGGGGGCTGACCAGCGTCAAGAATGGCCCCAAAGACACAGGTCAGAATTTAAATCGAGCCCAGTGGGCGTCCAAGAAATGGGCTGGGCATGTTTTCTTGTTCCATCGGCGCGTCCTGCCCCCATCAATTTCCCACGTGTCCGATCATGTCAGTTCCTGATTAGGCACCGACGAGATCTAAATCTTGTGATCCCCGTCAACAGCTTACAGTGCTCCGAGCTGAGCGAAATCCGAGAAAGTGTACTCTGTGTAGCGGTTAATGGTGGATGTGGGGCAGGATGTGGGGTAGTAACGCTCTCTCAAGGTGGGTGTGCCCCTGTAATATCCCATTCTCATCCTACAAATCCAATTTTCTCGCTATCACATCGGGAATAGAAGTCCACTCGCCTGCGTCGCCGGCGACCTTGCCCATCATCATGGATGACCGTTAAAACCCCCGAAGCTCCAACCTGAAGTCATTGATGATGCTTTCTACGCGTCTTATCGCTACCCTTAGCTCTTCAAAACCATTCAAAAGACGCAAGGCCCTCGTCAAAAATACGTCTTCCAAAGGTGGTGGTTCAATTCAGCTGCTTATCGTCGTCACGCGTGCAAGAGACGCTCCTATTTTTCTGATGCTTTATGGGCTTATTTTTAGGCAGTTTGGGGATAGGTGTCAGGCTGTGGCGGCGGTCGTTAGTTGGTCGTATGCATCAAAATGCCGGCGTATGTGAAGGGGCGGTAACAATCATCGAAAAAATTGTGTTCGAGGGTCACCCCTCTGTCTAATCACCTTCGTGGCATATGTTCACGTCAAAGACACGGGAAGTCCCAAAAGCAATACAACACTCTATTTCTGTACAATTCATTTACCTTTCAACGAACTTCCGTCAAACTGAACGACACAACAAACGCCCAGAATCGAACAAAGCGCTAAGCGAAATTATTTCTTATCTACGCAGCAGACAATTCCTCATCACACCAAACAGCCCGCTAACCGACCTCCAGTCACAATTGATTGGATCTTACGTGTCGCTCACAACAACTCTTCTGGTCCTGGAATTCTAATTTCTGTTCGCAGACCAGCAGCCTTCCCGCCCGTCCCAGGTATCTGGTGCGCCTTCCCGCCTATTTCCCCCATCCGGCTAAAGTGCCCCACAGAAAGGTCCATATCACGTCCTCACCTTCCCGCTCTCGCAAACCTTGTGTATAAAACAGGTAAAGCAGACCCTGGTCCATAGGTGACAGTGTGGTCCATAGTTGTCTTCCCGCTTTTCTAGATCTTTTGGGGCTCACTTGACCTATTCAGGGTGGCGAAGGGAGATTCCGTGCAACGTTCCCTGAAGGTATTGCTTCGATTGGAGGGCGTCTGTCACAAACGCCGCTCGCTAAATAGTAAATTCACTATCTGTTGTCATACGATGAGGAGTCCAGAATGGCGGCGCCCAATCCTTTGGACCAGGGTCCCGCCTGCCTCATGCGAATATGAATCTTTCGGAAATTTCGGTCTTTGAACAAAGGATTCTGTCGAACGAAATTAAATAAGTACATAAATACTTTCGTAAAGTTCCATTTACATGTGGACTGGAGTCTCCCGCGGACCCTACGCCTCGTGCCCTCGCAACCATGGAGCTGTCCTTCTGCGCCCAGAGTCAGCTGAATCCAAGGGGAAGACAGTACAGTAAGCTGTGTAAGAGGAAGATGTCATGGGGCTATCAGACTATGACCCGGATCCCGAGTTGGGTGCAATGACCAGAACCACTCGTGGTCGTGTGAGCCCCAAGGTTACTGAATTTACATTCACACACATCACTCCAGGTATAGGTCGGTGCGTCATTTGAGCTATCCACACGATTCGTAGCTTCTACGTCGGGGTACGGTTCGTATGGGGTCCCTATACGATTATTCTCGATATCGTCCACAGAAAGATGAGACGCACACTACCACCTCAATCCTTCCTGCCCACTGGCAACAACTCAAGGAACAAAGGAACCCCGATGCAATCTGAACCCAACAACCGCAAATCGTCTCATCTAAATGCCTAAAGTACCCGATTTTGTTCCTCCATAGATTTGAGCACAGACAAGGAGGCAGTATATAACTTACCACTATCCAGCTTCCCTCTTTCCCGATACGTCTTCGAGACTTGAGAGGGGTGTAATGTCGTGCGGGCAAAACATCCGCATTGAATCAGCCAACACATACAACCGCATCAGATCAAACCGAAAAGTACGTACCCGTCCGGTGCAAGTTAGGCCCTGTACCCGTCAACGCGTCATCTGTGAGCTCTCAAAAGCGTCAGTTATGGGCCTGGCGTTCCACTATGTACGACCCCAACGTCTCGAACGATTCTGCTTCAGAATACCGTTATGCTTCTCGAAAGCACCAGCATGGGACCTGTTTGAGATTCAGGAAGTTCCAGCAATTTTGCTTCGTGTGGTTACCGGATTCCTTGAAGCAGCCGTGGGGGTCGCTGGGCTGGAGATTTTGGTGTGTCCGCGAAGGAACTTAGAAGAAGTATAGACGCCCATACTAATTGCATAGGATACTGCTCCATCGCAATCAATCTAGCCTGCCGCAACCCATACATCATCAGCGATGGAGTCTACGGTCAGTAGGCAACCAGGCAGACACTTGCCAGTAGGGGACTGTTGCTTCATTGACTGGCGCAGTGCTATTCACTCACAACCAGGAAGCCCGATGGAACATCCACATTAGCGCCCATTGGCGCCTACCCCTATGCGCTGAAATGGAAGTGTTCTCCCATGCCAAGCCAAGTCCGGTACCACGACGACCAGAACGCCACTCAGGGTTTACATGCAGGGCAACCACTTCGTGAGGATACACCTCTACATTCGACAACTCTACTGACACGCAAGAGAAATGTAGCCAAAAGAAACCCGCTCCGAGCCGAACATGACCTCCATGACCCAACCAGACTTCAATTCCTTCCCCTCGCCGGTCCAAAGCGAGCTGCAGGTGCGTTTTAGGCGTTATCAAGCACTGGAAGACGAACGAGAGCGATCGAAGGAGGAACAAACCCGACTCTCAGAACGAATCAGGCTTTTGGAGCCCAAAGTACTCGAAGCACGACAATTTCGGTTCCATCTACAACACAGGCCTAACCGTCTCTCGCAAGATCCTGCTCCGTATCTTCCACTCCGCGCAAGCTGCGACACGAATGGACTCGATACCTTGCACGCCCATCGCCGAAATCACCTTGACGCACATTTGTGGGCATTGGAGAAGAGTAGCAATCGAGTGTCCGGCTTTGTGGACGAGCTTTTGTGATAGGCCGCGTGGTCCACGGGCACCCAGGGCGAGAGTCCCGCTGGACCGACTCCAAGCCTACCTCGAACGATCGCAGAAACAGCCGTTCGACCTCCACTTGGATTTCGGCTGGTACGCCACCGAACAGGGGAGTACTCTAACGCACCACGGCGACATGTTGCAAATGATCCCTCCTCACCTTCATCGCCTGCGCCGTCTCTCTATCGTCTTGAGGCCTTCGACTCCCATCATGCAACTCGCCGAACATCCGAAAAACGTGTCAGACTGCGCCCAAACTGGAGCTTTCAGGTTCTTACCTGGTGTTGTACCCACAGAAGACCTGGACAACAGGCTTTTGTTTGGGGTCATCGGCAAATGGACGCAGAGCATGTTTGTGGGTGGTACTCCTGCACTGCGGTACATTCACCTCGAGCGACCGAGCCTCTGGAAAACAACGTCGCGCACATCCGCCTCGAACAACGCGAGATCGTCGACCCGGACGAAGGCGAGGACTCTGTCATCAACGTCGAATTGACCTGGTCCGTCTTCCTCCACTTCCTCCAAATTCCGACATTGGAAACACTCTCGGTGTACGGGCAGATGCTTCGCGCCCCGGAGTGGGTAGGACATGATTCAGATAAGATTGTGTGTCCGAACCTCCAGCATTTACAGTACGGCCTCGCACCCGACCCAGTGGAACACTTCCTTCCCCATCTCGTCGCATCCAAGCTCGAGACCATCACCCTCCGCCACCTCACGCTGTTCGGCGACGGATTACCCGTGTCTTCGGTGGAGAAGACGTTCCCGTCTTTGCGCATCCTGACGCTGGCGTGTGTCTACGGCACAGTGGAGGGTTTCCGCGACCTCGTCGTACTCACAAACGAGGTGAAGCATCTTTCTGTGGCGCTTTCGCTGTCTCACAGGGTCCCTGGGTTGTTATGAGAGGCTAACAATTGGGCGAAAGCTCATCCCGACGATAGATGGAAGGACAGCGTGCTGGAAGTGGTGTCCTACTACGACCCTGTCGACATGGATTGGTTCCAAGCCTGGAAGGGCGTACCTATTATCAGGCTGTGGAAGAAGGATTTGGATGCATTCGTTGCGGTACATGGACCTCAAGCCCAGCTCATGGTGATCGAGGATACTTTGGATGGGGAGTTCCTCCCTAAACATTGGCCTCCGCATTTCACCTGGATGGAGAATTGCGAGGATCCATTTTTGACGAATTTGGAATCGACGGAGTTGAGAGGTAGAGCCTGCGAGAACTTGACAAGTTCTCGTATCGAGTCGTTATTAATTCTACCCTACTCGAGTTTAATTTACAGTAAAATTAACCTTCCATCCGTCAGATTTTGATTGCTGAAGTCGGATCCACTAACTTGATCATCGAGAAACGAGGGATTCAGTACATGGGAATGCAGGTCGACCAGTGCCACTGTCCTCTCTTCCTCGTGGATGGACATCTCTCACAGTTCTCACAAATTCGGACTTATCACACCAAGCCATTGCACGCAAAAAGAGTATATATTGTATAGCATAATTCCAACTTGAACACAGCGGTTTTAGGAAGTTGGGGATGATGGTGAGCACAAGGCCTCTACATCGGCGATGAGCAAGTGTGAGCACTCCTGGGAATACAGTCAGTACAAATCTGATACTCAAGAGAGATCCAGGTCAAACTCACCTATTCACCAAGCAAAAGAGACCAGTGTCACCGTGGTGGTAGTACATTTAGGCGATGACGCAGTAGGCACCGTTGCCGGAGCCGCCGCCAGTCTCGAAGTTGGTGGGGATGTTGATGGTGGTGAAGGAGTCCATTGCTGATATGAAGTTTGTTTGGTACTGCGAGCAGTGGGGAATTCGAGGTGAGTCCGTGCGGGCTTTTATAACTTTTGGCGAAGGCCATGCACCTGTACTGGCATCTCAGCGTTTGTGCGAGACGAGGGACTCTCTCCCTGAGTACCCGGCTCACTGAGATCTCGAATGCTAAGTTCGAAGGACAATTGGGATAATTGGAATACCGTTCGTTCTTTTGTGAGGTGGAGCTGAGGCTAATGCGATCGGTGAGTGAATGGCTCGTGAATTCCATCCGCATACATTCATACCTTGAATTCGATCGACGTTCGGGTCTCAGGCCTCAGGAGCTGTGATTGTCAGTGCTTGACCCGTTTCTGCCAGCCCTTATTTTGGAGACGGAAGCGCGCGGACCCATCCCTACTTTGTCTGGCTGGTCTTTGATTTAGGGGACATTGAAGCTACACAAAACAGACAATCACAGCTCCCGAACGTCGATCGGAAAGGGGGACAGCAATGAACGCAGAGAAGAATCGATCATGTTCATGAGTCCCCGATAACTCCAACTCACAAAAGGGTGAGCTAGTGCCCATTATTCCCAATTGTCCTTTCGACTTGTAGTCGATGGCTTGAGACGACTCTACTTGCATTATGGACTTGCGCGAAACAACCGCGAGTCGAGTGCAGATGCATGGACCTTTGCTAACGTTATAAAAGCGGGCCTGAACACTCTCCGTGTTTCCTCACTGCTCGCAGTACCGAATCAACACACCAACAATGGACTCCTTCACCACCATCAACATCCCCACCAACTTCGAGACTGGCGGCGGCTCCGGCAACGGTGCCTACTGCGTCATCGCCTAAATGGTGTACTGGTGACCTTGGTTGACACTGGTGCCCGTGGTTTGGTGAATCGGTGCGTCTTTCATGTTATAGTGGATATGGGACTTCGGCTGACATGGGAGGATATTTAGGAGTGTACATACCTTTTCATCACAACCGTCGAGATCTGGTGCTCACCACAGTCATACCCGACCCCGACTTCATTAATGATTAAACCAATGTGTTCAAGTTGGGATTTTACTATATAATACACTATCTTTTTTTGCGCGTAAGATGTTGGTGTGAATACGTGAGATGTGATAAATCTCTCCATGAGGAAGAGAGGCGAGTCACGGTTGGTGATTCATGACGATGCGCACGTCGAATTTTCGAATTTCGTCCGTTGCCGAGTCGGACGGCGGGTGACACCAAGAACCGTGATGACATCCACCCAAGGCTCGTCGACTTTGTGTTGGCAACCTGAAGTGTAGTCGGAGGATGATGGTCAGCCGTGAATAATCGTGAGGTATAGAATCGAATAGCCCCATGAAACGAGATCAAATCCCATGATGAACAAAAGGAAACTTGGTGAAATGGCCTCCCAAGGTCGCGCAGCTTCTTCGCGGCAAGATGTACTAGACCATTGATACGTCGGTTATGTCTGGAGGGATCGCGCTACCGATATGGGGTAATAGCTGAGAGTTGGATATAGTTAGTTAGAAGCAGCTACCTGTATTCGATGGTCCCAGAAGCCGGCGATCCAGAAAGTGGGTCCTCATGCCGGTCAATCACTATCGCTATCACTATCACGACGAAAGAGGTATGTAGCGATAGAAATTATTGGCCACAATGGGTGCACTCGAACTTAAACTACTCCTCTAATTGTATGGCCCCTATTTTGCCACTTTTATCTATGGCTATTAAATGTCCCGAGCCCTCATCGAACTGAATTCCGCTGGCTGTAACAAAGGTGTTTAGTCGGTCGATTATCTTGACGGACTTTTCGCCATCCTCATCTTCGCTTTCCCATTCATATTTCAAAAGCCAATGGAAACCATGGTGCAGATTAAAGAAAATCCCTGCATTGTGCCCAAACCACGCGCTTCCAGGCCTAGCGACGAAATTCCCCTCTGCAAGTCGGATAACCACCGGCGATGTCGATTCTGCTGTACCACCCGCTGAAAGTAACGGTATTTTGATCCCGAGCAAGCCCTCGAGGCCCCGAACAACCATGTGAATGGAAGAGTGACATAGGAACGGAGCCATGTTGTGATGGGTTCCGTCATCAGCCAGTTCGACCCGGGCAGTCCAACAAGGCGGAATGTACGAGAACTCTTGCTGTGAAGGGGAAAGGGCGGATTTTGGACACACCATGCCCCAGTTCCAGATGGCTACGCGGTGATCATAATCAAGAACAAAGATCCGCTCCTCGGGGAGAAGAAACAGTGCCTGAGAGATCAGTTGCGTTCAGTTGAAGGATACAAAATCAGGCAGCGGCGAACGTACGGCAGGACTAATGTACGGGACGTACACGCGGACCACGTCGGATGTGATATTGGTCCAATCGATGATGGCAATGGAGTGTCGATGCGAATTCACAGCGTACCCAACATGTTTACCATACAACGAGCACTGACGGATGGTAATATCGCCTTCCTCGGAAAAGGTCGAGAGCAATCGAGTCGAGTACCCCGTGGTAGCGCCTTCGGTATCAATTTGGGCGGAAAGCTCCCAAACCTCGACTACAATACGCCCTTGAGAGCTGCGCTAGTCATAGTGCTGGTGGATGACTGCCATGTTGAAGGCGCGAGGGAAAAGTCGGTCTTCAATGGAGGCTGCCGGATCAAGCGACGTCGACAAGAGATCGATCGAGGCAAAAACGCGCACCCCGGTAGATTTGGGAGGGAACGGGGAACGTATGAGGAGCTGGGGGGTGTACGTAGGACTTTGAAGCCAAACCGCGCGCGGCGCCGTCCTCGTCGTGAAAGACAAAGAAGTGGCCAAACGGAAGGAAAAGCATGTGTGTGCACCGTCCGTGCAGTGGAGTCCCAACGGTGAACACATCTGGGCGAGAGCTCGGGGATTCCTGTTTGTCAAGGCCTGTCCACCTTCGCATGATCCGCTTGTTGATGTCTAGCGCAGTACAGTTGGCAAGCGGCTTGGACAGCAAAAAAGGTTGGTGAAAGGACGTCTCGTAGTAGCGGTTCAGAAGAGCGACCCAAACGGATCGTTCCTTGGATAAGTTGCATAGCATACGACAGCACTAAACATATTTTAATACGTGTTCATGAAGATAAATAAAGTGACATACCTCTCGAAGGTAAAGGACATCCTGCAACTCGAGGTACTGCATAACAGCGATGATGAGTTCTTCCGGAAGTCCCGTGAAACCAGGTGGTCCTAAGTCCATCATCTAAGGTCGCAGGTTAGACTCCCAAGAGACCGTCCCCAACAGGCTAATCACCTGGTTTGGAACGCTGTATATCTTGAGTTTCTTAAAGGAGGTCCCGTAATGGCGTTGTTCCAATAAGCTCCAACTCATATTTGCGTTGTTTCGCGAAGTTTGAACGTTAGGGCCGCTCGGTGAAAGTCGTTCGCCTCGTCGTCGTCCAAGTTCAAAGCTGCAGTATGAGGCTCGAGGCTTGAGCAGAGTGACCCACAACTAGTACACGTGACCTCAGAAGTTGCACCGCCACTCACCTTAAGCGCGTAGAGTTCTCGGGCTAGGCGCCTACCCCTGCCTTCGAATCCCATCATTAAACTCGTAGAAAACCTGCAAAGCACAAACTCGAGCTTTGCATGCTCTTATTTGGCGCTTTAGCCACAGAAGACCTGGACGTGGATTCCATTCGATTCGCATACGTTGATGTCCTGAATTCGATCGACGTTCGCCCCTCAGGCATCCCTGTCAGACCTCAGGATGGGGTGATTGTCGATACTTGACCCATCTCTGCCAGCTCTGTTGAGATGGTAGACCTGGTGCTCACCACCGCCATACTCAACCCCGACCTCCTTAAATCAATGTGTTCAAGTTGGTATACACCCCTTTGTGCTCGTAATTCATTAGTGTAAATATGTGAGGTGTTCCACGGTGTGTGCGTTGGCATGGTCAGCGGTGGAGAGTAGAGACAATATCGTGATGTATATATTTGGATAGCCATGAAACGAGGTCAAATCCCATGGTGAACGAAAGGAACCCATTGGTGAAACGGCCTCCCAAGGTCGCGCAGCTTCTTCACAGCAAGATGTAGGCCATATGCTGCGTCGGTTATGTCCGGAGGGTTCTCCCTACCACGGCGAAAGAGGTAGCGATAGAAAGTATCGGCCACAATGGGTGCATCTTCATCGTGGATTGACCTTTGTTTTCAGATCGTCAGTTCCAAGACCTTTACATACTGAGAAAAATGGAAAAGAGGGATGGACGACTCACCACATAGTCGCGACTACACTTCGGAATCCGGCAAACTGCATAGCTGCAGCCAAAGAGAGAGACTCGTCAGGGCGTTCTTCGTCGCCCATGGCAGTCTCACAGGCGCTCAGGTAAGCGAGCGAAGCGTTGGAGGTACGGCAACCTCGTATGAGCGATCCCATGGTCAGACGCCCTCCACTGAGAATTAACGAGCTGTCCAAAGGATTCGAGGAATCCTGGGTACCGTGGCACCCAAAGTGAACGATAGATGCTGTGTTGATGTGATTTAGGATTGCGTCGGGGGTGGAGGGAGTGTCTGCTGAGCCCACTCGGGCAACCAAATGCCTTTCATGGGGAACTAGGCCCTGAATCCTCTTCAGTTCCTCCATGGTAAATGGGAGGCGGTGTATACGCGGCCCTGAATCTCCTGGCTCGACAACAACGAGCACTTCGTATTCGGGATTTGGTGTTGGCGGCGGTGCAATGAGGTCTTGAGGCGAAGAGCAATAGGAAGAGACGACATAATCGGATAGGCAGTCCGACGCTTCAGCGCTATCGGAGTAGATGCCTGCGGCATGGATGGGAAGAAATGCAAATGGGCCTGTTGGACACCACCATATTCTTTTGGGGTTGTCAGTCTGATAGGGTGGTCAGTTAAATTCGGGCAAATGGGTGATGACAAGGACCGTACCTTCTGCAAACCCAAAATTCTGATGACCGGCTCCGCTACTACAACCCAGAGGATCTCCAGAAGCTGCTTAAAGTCGTCGTCGGCTGAGCGTCCGCTTTTACGACGTAACTTCAAGCGCGTATTGCGGCTTTCACAATAGTTGTCAATCTTGCGCTGGAGTTGTTGACCCACTGCCTGGCCTCCCGACAACCGCCGAACTGCATTTGTAAAAACAGTGATTTGCTCCAGATCAGTGGCAAGTGGGTGACAATGTAAAATGTCCTGCGTCAGGATGAGGATATGGCATCCATACTTGCTGGCATTGAGGAAGACGATAGGATTATCCGTGGCAGCAGTCTTGAGCGTGTCGAAAGAAGGAGGAAGGAGAAAGTCATGGAAGCCGTTGATCTCCCGAATTCGTGCGATGACTGCTTCTCTCTTCTGGGCGAGAAGATACGGGCGTGTCGACAAGCCTTTATCCAGAGTTGAATGAGACAGTGGATGCTCGCTTTCGTGAGTAGCAATCTCCAGCTGGCGAGTAACAGAACGCAGCTCTGCCGCCAACTCGGGGTGGAGGGCGTCCAATCGGTCAAGAGAACCTCGGAACTGTAGGGCCTGAGACCAGAACACCGAGCGTGCGGTGGAGAGAAAGATGACTGCTGTGTCTAATTGTCCTCGTTCAATAGCACACTGTACTGCATCCCTCGACAGGTCGCTGGCATGGACTAGGGCGTTTTGGCGCTGCTCCAGTGTAAGGTCAAGAGATGCTAATTGAGGGAGAATCGCTACCCCATAACTGTAGGCCTCCAGCGCGGATTCCAAACGCACGAACTCTCGGCAAGTTGTGCTCCAGTTGACCGCATGGCGCATCTTCACCAATGGCGACGACGCACGGGACCCAGTGCCAGACCGGAGAAGCTGGAATATTTCATCTAGAATAGCGCTGTCTCTGCTCGCCTGGTACTTGAGTTTGAGTTTGTGCACAAGGTTCCCCGTGACAGTGAGCCAATAGGGATGAGCAGCCAACGTCTCACTGGAATTGAGCTCGAATCCATCCGTCTGTGAGAGCAGAAGAAGAGTGTTCCGCAAACACGAAATGGACTCTTCCAGGTCCTGGAGGTCGCCTTTGTGCTCGAACCGGGCACCAAGCGAGGCTGCAAGGTCGTTAAGGAGGCGTGGGCGGTCGGGGTGGTTTGGAGGGCGGAGATCGAGCGCTTTTCTGAGCAATGTGACAGACTCTTCTAGGTCACTGACGTCGCCTTTGTGCCTGAACCGCGTGCCAAGCGAGGTTGCCAGCTCGTTGAGGAGGCGTGGGCGGTCGGGATGGCCTGGAGGGCGGAGATCGAGCACTTCCCTGTACAACGTGACAGACTCTTCGAGGTCATGAAAGTCACTTTTGTGCAGGAACCTAGTGAGAAGGGAGCCTGCAAGGGTGTTGAGGGACTGGGGGCGTTCGCGATGGTCTGCATAGGTTGGTGAGAGCGCTTCCCTGAGTAGTGTCACGCTCTGTTCCAGGTCACGGAAGTCACCTTTGTGCTCGAACCGAGTGAGAAAGGAGTTCGCCAGTTGGTTGAGTGAGATGGGGCGGTCCGGGTGGTCTGGAGAGCGGAGAGCGAGAGCTTCTCTGAACAATGCGATGTACTCTTCCAGATCGCGGAAGTCGCCTTTGAGCTGGAACCGGATGGCAAGCGAGCTTGCGAGGTGGTTGAGCGAGATGGGGCGGTCCGGAGGGTGGTGATCCAGCGCTTCCCTGTGGAGTGAGATAGACTCATCCAGGTCGCTGAAGTTGCCTTTGTGTTGGAACAAGGTGAGAAGCGAAGTTGCCACGTTGTTGAGCGAGAAGGGGCGGTCGGGGTGGCCTGGAGGGCGAAGGGCGAGCGCTTCCCTGTCCAGCGCGACGGACTCTTCCAGGTCGCAGAGGTCGCCGGTATAACGAAATCGGTTACGGTGGGCAATGGCACAGTGGTCAAGTGCCTCAAGGCGCCTTGGATGCGGTGATGGTCGGAACGAAAGAGACTGTCGGAACCGTAAGATAGATTCATCGATCTGAAGATTATCGCCTTCCATCAACTCGGACCCCAACATGTACGCATTCGAGCCTTGCTCGTCCTCCCCCTCCATTTCCTCTCGCAATTGCTCCAACTCCAGTAGTAACCCAGTCGACTCCTCTCCTTTACACTCCACGAGCTTAATGGATGTAACAAGCTGGAGATTGAGAAGCGCAGTGAAGAGTGCTGGACCGCTTCCGAGAACCCGTCTAGCATCCTGAAAAGATGCCTCAGCCAGATTCAGGTCTCTTTTTTCGCCGGTCGCCAGGTACTTCAGAACCAGTGCACTCCCAACCCGGAGCAATAATTGACCTCGACTGTTGGTCGAACCACGACACGAAGGGCCAAGAACTCCGCTAGCGACGACGAGAGCGTCTTCTAGCTTGCACATGTCGATAGATTGTCGATACTCTCGGAGAGAATGGAGGGTAGAAGAGACATTGTCGGGGAATGTTTGGTCCTCTGAACCCGAGATTGGTTGTTGATCCTGTGCCTTGTCGAAGTTAGTGCTTAGTTGAGTGTGGTTGAAACTTTGGCAGTCACCATGAACGCGAAGGGATTTAAGGTCTCCCTCAGCAAAATCGCCATGACTTCATCCAGGTCATCTACCCATCCATATCTAGTGAACCGGGTTAAAAGGACCTTGACCAAGCCAACTTCAGCTTCCACATGCGCTGCGTCATCCTCTTCGTCAAAGACGATCTCCTGTAACTCAACGATCGCGCTTGCAAGGACATCGTCCTTCATCTCTTTCGTGGCTTCATCCAAGAGCTCATTTACACGAGATAAAGCACCCTCTAATTCGTCCTCGAGCTCGGCTTGGGTATTTCCAACTGATGTGAATGGTTCGTAAGGGCCATCCCAACGAGGGAAAAGACAACAGAATACGCACTCGATGATTCAGGTTCGTCGACGACCTTCGCAACTCGGTTAGTCAAGAATCTCTCGTGCTAGCAGTGGGCGCGCAGGCACTAACACTCGTGCAATCAGCACTGGGCGGCGCATTGGTGGAAGTATCCATGAGTCGAAAGACAGCAAGTTGCAACGACGATTTAGTAACGAGGGAGGGCGGGAGATGTTTTGTTGCAGGCCAGAGCCAGCGCTGGATGGCTCACTGACATAACGGTGGCAGTCAACCATACTAGTACCAGAGCTATTGATCATGATGTTCATCAAGGCATCACTGTTTTGTACCCATGCCATCCCAATCAATCTCTTCAATGCGGAGTGTTGTGAGTAATGGGTCGCGAAATATGCATACTAGAAAGCGACATATCATTGGGTCATTTTAGCACCGGCGACCTTTGTTTCGGTACAGTCACGAATGTAGTGCCTTCTCGCTGAGTACTGGCCGTCCCCTCCGGCGCTTATTAGAAGGAGCGTGGGAATTAGCCTGGACTTGATAACAGGCCTTACAGACGTTTGAGGTGGTTGCAAGGAGATGCCTTGGACTTCATGAGCTACGGTGGACCTGAGGTAGGTTGCGCATTCATTCCGATCAATTCAATTTATGATGACGACAGATACATTCTCTCTAATGTCGTCTAAGGAATGACTGGAATCCGTCCCTTCCAGGCCAAAGCAGGAATACACGAGCAATTCTGGGAGCTTGGCTCCAATCATCAGCGCCCTACGCCTTAGCGCCAAGCTGAGTGCAGGTAAGTCATTTTTACAGTCGTACCAGGGACATGAGGGCTTCCCAATGACCAGTTTCATCAAGGACGGGGTAGCCTTCGCCTCAGAGATTATGTCGAGAAGAATCGACAAGGCCTCGGAGTTAGCACATTGAACGGGCGGCGTATAATGGGTAGGCACGATGGAAATGCTTTCAAGGGACTGGAATCGCGATATGTAAGCGTAAAGCTCACTCTCCTGTGTCCCTTCAAATGCACCGAGGTCGACTTCGAGATCGCGAATAAGGAAAGGGTCGACGAATGAATGGACCGAGTCGATCATGGAGAGGAAAGGAATCTGCTTCTTGGTCTTGCTCGCCAGGCGAGGGAAGGTCACAGTCGTTTGATACTGGGGGTATATTGGCGACCACCCAACTACTTCAGGATCCCACCTAGTGGATTGGGGGAATAAGCTGAAGGAGCCTTCATCCAACCGAAGCGTCATATGCGACCAGTCAGGGCCTCCAGGTGAATCATCCTCCTCCAACCAAGAAGGTCCCTCGAGCTCAGAAAAGGATGAAACTGAGTCGGAGCTCGTACCGGAAACGAAGAACGAGAGTTCGACAGCTCGAGGGATGGCTAAGCATCTGGTGATGAACGAAATCACCCTCGTGGGGGCAGCGAGACTGAACTCCTTCAGATTGCGAAGGGCGAATTGAGGGGGATTCGCTGTGTCATAATCGCCGCCACATCCCCCAACTTCAGTACTCGTTTCATCGGTATCAGGAAATTGGTTCCCAATGATGTAGACGTATTCGATGTGGGGGGAGTGAAGAAGGATTCGGTGGAGCTGGGAAGGTGAAGCCATTCGGCTCTTGGGTAGACCTTTGATGGAAAGGTGATTCAGATTGTTGAGAGAGGCCGTGTGCCAAGCGATGGGGATTCGGTCGAGGGAGAGGAACCGAAGATTGGGTAAAGTGATTTGAAGGCATTGAGGCACCGAAGGGTCACGGAAGTTGGGCGACTTGAGGCTCAAGTGTGTGATAGAAGTTGAGGTGAGAGTCGAAAACAACTCCAACACGGCGACGTAATTGAGCTGAAGATCGATATGCGAGATGGTCTGGCCCCTAGAGACCACCTCGTGGACGGGGAATGAGATTCGATTGGATGAAGAGCGATTGTTTATGGCAATCGTTGTGTTTCTGCTGAGGTCCAGGAATTGACGAGTGAGGTTGACTTGCCGATGGGAGAGGTCGATGTCGTTCCAGAGGAGGGGAAAATTAAGGGCGACCGATCGCCAACGATGGCAAACTTGTGTCCAGGAAAGTCTGTTTGTGAGAACGGGGTCGTACTTCCATCGCGAGCAGATCCAGAATATGTGCCCCAAGAGTTCACTGGGGACCCGATTGACGACTGGGAGATGTTGGTAGGAGTCGAGCGATTGAGTGAGCTGGGCCATGTCAATTGCAGCGGGGAGATCCTCTCGTTTGCTCAGTGCCTGCTGGGCACTTTTAGCTTTGGAGCAAATGATCCTGTATCAGCGGGCGCGTTGGGTCCCGTGCAGACCCCGCTGTTCAGTCGGCCCCACACAGTGCCCACCTACGATGCGTTTCAAAGTGAGCACCAATTTCTTGAGCCGTGGATCGGTAGGCGATCATAGGGCTAAGCAGGATGGGCTTGTTATCGTTACGATTTTTGAAGATCTTTACCAGACGCACCTGCATTCATTCTGCACTGCGGCCTCCGAGCCCATCGGGAGCATCAACACGGGACTGGGTCAAACGCAGTGAACTCGTATTGTATACCCGTTGAAGTCCTCAGTATAGGATTCCAAGGTTCTAGACCATTCAATCAAGTATCGGGAACGAGGGTATATATATTGAATACTTACCTGACGCTTCATTAATGAAAGAGCTTGACACAATAGCCCACTGAGACGTCAGGATCTACTTATATGAATGGAAAACTTCGGGAAGGGACAGGCCTTGTGAACACGGGTGGTGACGTACATACATACTTCATAATCGCCTCCGTCGAGTTCACCGCTCAATTGCAAAGAGGAAGGCACCGCGCGTAATGGAACAGCGGTGCATTCACCGCTGGCCTCGTGTCCCCAATAGCATTAGGATCCCTTTTCCGAACCTCTGGGCGCTCATGTGTGCAGCAACCAATGATGTCGCTGGGCCAAAGTGCCTACAAACCATACAAACCAAATCTATACTTACATCAGGCTTGTTCACCTGGCGTTGCCCTCAAACCCGGACCAAGCCCGACAGATGCACAAACACAGGCCTCTGATGCAAGGCTGCAGCCTGCGAGGGATTCGCAGGATGTCTTCTCCGGCCGGATAGGGTTTGATTCAAAATGCGATCCGAGTCGTGAGGAGGGACGGAGTGTCGTTATTACTTACAGCGGGTATTGTGGTAAAGGCCTTTATTCCAACCCGGACTCCAGCGTCAGTGGCTAAGAACTGAAGCAATCAGACCATTATAAAGTGGATGTAATTCTAAAAGATAGAAGCACGTACTCGCATCTATCTACGGAATAGCGCTCCGAGAAAAGGCCAAGTCGTGCAATCCAGGGTATGTAATCAAGTCATCCCCAAGCGAGGGCCGTGAAGAAAGGGATAAAATCGATCCTCCATGTCCGCCGTCATACCATGACACCGATAGAACTCTAACGAGCCAAGCGGGGCGCCTAGAATGTGGCGGTGGTACACACAGTCAAAGATAGGCTGCAGCCAGTGTTCGGCAAAATTCCACCAAAAGTCTCCGGGTCTATTGAATGACATGACTGACAGGCGGGGACAGAGGACGGCGGATGTGGCGGGTTCGTGAGGAGTGTCGGGTAGAGGGGTCAGGAGGTGCAGGAGGTAGGCGAGGTGATTGAACGCGATGCGGATCGATTCAAGGTTGCGGGTTTGGGAGAGTAGCCATCGTAGAGCGAAGTCGGGGATGTCTGTTAAAACACCGGTGCTCAACTCGATTGAAGTGATAAGCAGCGGATTGAGGAGGGAGGGGATGGAGTTGAGGACGTGCATGGATGCGAAGGTCGAAGAGCTGATGGAGAATCTGATGCTTTCGATCGAGGTGGACCACGGGGCCGCGTTTTCATTGAGGAAGTAGGCTGCATGGCGTGCCAGCCTCACAGTTTGGGTCGCGGTGCGGTCTTTTTGGGAGTCGAAGGGAAATGTCCCGCGGGGAAAGAGGTAGTGCAAGTCCTCCGACAAGGACGTATAAAGTTGAACTCGGGTACGAGATGTGAATTCAACTCCGTGGATAATGGAGGATATGACAGCCGGCGGGGCTGACAAGATAAGCGCCCGTAAGTGGATCAGGGGAGCAACTGTGTCCGGTAAAGTTTCGCCTATATCAGCGGGGATAATACTCTCCAAACGGACGTACTCCAGGTACGGCGAATTGAGGAAGATTGAATAGAGGGATGAAAGCGTAGGACTGAGGTCAGAGTCGAGACCGCGAATGGACAGATGGGTCAGCTGTCGACAGGTCTCCCAGCGGACGGCGACACAGCTGAGAACGAGGCGTCGGACAGATGGAAGGGAGATGTCAAGGAATAGGCCGGGTGACAATGGGGACAATTGAAGAGTGAGGTTCGTGATGTTGTCGGTCCGGAAATGGATGGCTTCGAATAGCTTGGCCATGTCGTAGGGGAAGAGGCGAACATCTATGGAATGAATTCTGCCCGCGTGGGGCGTCAAACATTCAACATCAACCTTCAGAGGTGAGTTTGATATAATCGATAACGGCGCAGCTTGGGAGCGGTCGACGAATGCGCGTGCAAAGGTTGGCTTGCAGAGATCGATTGTACTCCACAGCCGGGGGGAGTTGAGAGCAACTTGGCGCCATAGTCGACAGACCTGGGCCCAGGCGAGGGGATAGCGAGGGGTGGAGTACCCATATAGCCCTGAGACGCACAGGGCGAAGAGTCTCTCGAGAATTTCAAGAGGGAGACGAGAGATTAAAGACCGGCCGTAGAGATTGGTATGGTCCACGTCAAGGATGTCCATCGAAGGGAGTTGCTGCATCTCCAACGGAGCTCCTTGACTTATATGTAGTCCGGGGCGCTGGAGGAGGTGACTGTCCGTCATGCCTGCGTTTCAGCCGTCAGTGTCGGGGAAAATGGATACATATCAGAAGAAAACGCACTGGTGACTTCGAGAATGGCGGGACAAAGAACAAAGAGGGAACTCTCAAAGAGACGGACCCCGTCATGCTTTTATAGCAAGGAGGTAGAAGGCACGGTTTACAGCTGGCGACGCGGAACAATCTTCTGCGGCAAGGCAGACTATGTAATGCCTAAAGAAGATAGCTCCATATCAGTTCTCCTAGATGAAATCAGTACAGTTGCAGTCCCCGATTTGTGGTCTTGAGTCTTCCATGGTACACACATGGCGTAGCAACCGTATTCCTGGTTCCTTTTGCCTCCAAACTGCTTCAGGCTAAAGAATAGCTATCCTTCATTCAATATCAGGAAGAAGGGATGAAGAGCAACCTATATACACCGTGTATTTGATGCTTCAGAAGCCTTCATCGAACGTCACCTGCTTCCTAAACTTCAGCTTCAAGCTCACAATGAAAATGCTATCTTACTAGTGGGCCTTGTGGACGCTAGGGTCAGTCAAATGTTTGATCCAATACCAGATCTTTGCCTCCTCTAACGAAAGCCAAACGGACTTCACGCTTCTAGGCCACGGAAACGCCCAAGGGAGCAATACAGGCAGAAGGAAGAAATTGTATTTGGCGTATTTTCTTAGCTAATTCTGAGAACAGCCAAGATTCCCACGAACCGCGCGTCGGCGCCTGAATATTTCGTGCGGCGTCGGCATCCGTCAGGCCAGCTTTCACCGTAACCACCATGTCGCAATGGGGCCAGCCCCAGCAGGGGTTCCAGTACCCGATGCAGACTGGTTTTCAGCCAGGGAACCCCCAGTTCCAGCAGAATGTTCAATTTCAGCCCCAGGGCCCACAGATGGGCCAGCAGCAACCGCAGTTCCAACCTACAGGCCAAGGTTTCCAGCAGGGCGGGTTTGGTGCGCCGGGAGGCGGTCTACAGCCTCAACCAACCGGATTTCCGATGCAGAGACCTGCAGGATTTCAGCAGCCTCAGCAGACAGGATTTCCAGGTGGCCAGCAGATGCCTCTACAAGCTCAGCCGACGGGATTTGTCGGTGGTAACTTTGGCCAGCAGCAGGCAGCACCACCCCCTGTTCCCCCTCTTCCCCAGCAATTCCAGCAGCAGAACCAGGGAGGCCCGATGCAAGGTCTACAGCAACCCCAGCAGCCAAATCGATTCCTGACAACGTCGCCCGGACTCGGCGCCGGTCTCGTGCCACAAGCAACAGGGTTTCCGGTTCGAACTGGCCCCTTGGTCCCACAGGCGACAGGTTTCGTCGATCCTCGACTGCAGATGATGTCACAGACGTTCATGCCCATGAACACCTCCGCGCCCTTCACGCCTGGTGGAATGCCGCAGCTCCCACCGCAGCAGAATCTCCAGCAATCGTTCCAGCAGTACAATCAAGATCAGCGCGGTACTGCCACGCAGCAGATGTCCTGGGCCCTCAGCAAGGCTGAGAAGAAGAATTACGACAGAATCTTCAGATCTTGGGATACCAGCAACTCCGGTTTCATCAGCGGTCAGAACGCTTTGGAGGGTTTCAGTCAATGTGGTCTTCCGCAAGCTGAACTGGCGAAGATTTGGTTAGTCCTTCTTCGATTATCATTGTTTCTATGCTCTGATCTTTATCGCAGGTCGCTCGCCGATATCGATGATCGAGGCAAGCTGAATATCGCCGAATTCCATGTTGCAATGGGTTTGATCTATAGACGTAAGTCGCGCATCGCCCCTGTGCCCAAACGCCAACTCACATCTTTCCTCAGGACTGAACGGGAACCCGATCCCTGATGTCCTTCCCCCGGAGCTCGTTCCACCATCTGCACGCGATCTCGACAGCTCAGTAGATTTCCTCAAGGATGTCCTCAAGCACGAGTCGCGTTCCAAATCCCCATCCAGTATCGACTCCCCCGTATCTCGTCTCAAGTCCCGATCATTCAACAGCTCTGGAAATTCACTGGAAGGTCGCGACGCTACCATCTACAAGCATAACGACACCGAACCTCCTGGTGGTTTCTACAAGCCCCGTTCGCGCCACGTCGATCGAGATGCTATTCGACGTACCGACGACGACAGCCCCTCTTCCGACTTGACGGACATGAAACGCCAACTCGCCAACACAGCGCACATGCTCGACCGCGAGTCGGAGGCTCATGCTGCCCGCACGCGAGAGGATGAAGAGCTCGATCAAGAGATGGCAGACCTGAAGTACAGGGTGAAGCGCGTCCAAGAAGATCTCGACTACAATTCACGTGGCCCTCGCACAGCTGCAAAGGAGGATGAACGAAGGAAGCTGGAGCGCGAGTTGCTGAGCTTGATGCACGAGCGCATCCCGGAGGTCGAGAGGAAGTTGAAAGCCCGAGAAGAGAGGAAGGAACGAGAGCGTAGGGAATGGGCCCGTAACCGCGACCGTGCCAATGAACGCTTCGGAAGGTTTGACGCGAAAGAAGACTCTTACTCTCGCCGATACGACGATCGCGACAGAGACTACGATCGACCATCGTCCCGCAACTACGACAGAGACAGGGAGAGGGACCGTGATTGGGACAGAGAAAGAGACAGGGATCGCAGCTACCGCCGTTCGCGCTCGCGGTCTCGCTCCCGCGACCGAAGGGATCGTTCTCGCGACAGGGATTACGACACTCGCAGTCCACCTCCCCGCTCTGGTGCATCGCCCGCGCCGCCTTCTCTGCGACCTGACTCTGCCGCCTCTCGTGCAACTCCCAAGCCTGTTCGTTCGCCTGCTCCAGACCTGAAGAACATGACCCCTGAGGAGAGGAGGGCACATGCTCAACGACTTATTCAAGAACGTCGAATTGCCCTCGGCTTGGATGTTGCGCCTTCCCCCACTCCAGTCGATACCAGCATCGAGGATCGTTTGCAGCAAGAGAAGAAGGAAGCTGAGGAGAAAGCGAAGGCTGCCGAGAAAGAGAGGGAGGAACGAGAACGTGCAAGGAAGGAAAGATTAGAGCGGGAGAAAGCAGCGAAGGAAGAGGCTACCGCACCCCCGACTGTTGCTGTCACACCGCCAGCGCCTACTACCGCTCCAGCTCCTCCGGCTCCCACACCCAAGGCTGCTCCCCCTCCACCTAAAGCTCGAGGCGCTCCTCCCCCACCTCCTACTCGCAGTCGCGCTCCTGCTCCTCCTCCACCAACCCGCGCAGCGGCTGCCCCAGCCCCTCCAGCTCACAAGGAACCTGAAGTTGATCCCGAGGAGGAGTTCCGTGCTCGAGAAGCCGAGTTGAAGAGACAGCGCGAAGAACGGTTCCGTCAGCGCATGAAGGAACTCGAGGAAGAGGAGGAGAGGTTGGCTAAGGAAGAAGAAGAGCGCATCAAGGCACGTATCGAGGCACTGAAGCAAAGACAGGCCGCGAAGCCACCCTCGCCCCCTCCCGCTCCAGCAGCACCCGAAGCACCCCCGGCCCCTCCAGCCCCTCCAGCTCCCCCCGCTCCTGCACCCCCTGCTGCAGCTGCCGTATCGGCACCCGTATCGGCTGTATCTCCTCCCGTTGAGAAGTCGACTAATCCTTTCAGCAAGTTCATGAAGGAGCAAGGAGGAGCGGCGGCGGCGGCTACATCCAGCCCACCTGCACCACCTGCAACAACTAGTACCACTAATCCTTGGGCTCGACCTCAGACTGCTCCTCCTCCTAGCCGAAGCCCAGCACCTCCCGCCCCCAAGGGTTCATATCACATTGCTCCCTCTTCCAACACCGACGACGACTGGGACGATATCAAGGAGAAGGACGACTCGGACGACAGCAGCGACGAAGATGAGATCGACAAATCTAGAGCAGCTCGTGCCAATATCGCTCAGCAACTATTCGGAAGCATGCTTCCTCGACCTCAGTCGGCTGCTCCCGCTTCCACCGGTGGGCGATCTGCGACCGCTTCGCCTGCACCTTTGAGCGCGCCTCCTACCGCGCCTCCAGCTCCTCCGGCACCTGCTCCCCCTGCTCCCCCAGCACCCGCCGCGCCAGCTGCCCCTCCCCCTCCTGCTGCTCCTCGAGCACCGGCACCCGCATCCGGTCCTGGTGATGTCGGTGCATTGATGGCCTCGATCCAGGGAGGTCTGAGACTCCGCCCGACCAAGACTGTCGACAAGAGCAGGCCCGCTGTCACAGGAAAGATCATCGGTGACGCCGCACCACCCGAGCACATCAACAATGCTCCTCGACCGGCGTCTCCTCCCACACCTCGACAGGAGTATACCTCCCCTGCCCCTATTCCCGAAGCTCCAGCTGTGAATGACGAATCGTCTTCCTCTCAACCTTCTCACAATCGTGGACAGTCTGTTGATTGGATGTCCAACCGTGCGGCGGCAGATGCTGGAATTGCCCCGGTTCCACAGCTCCCCTCTATGGCTGAGGCTGAGGAGGATGATTACGAGCATGTCGAGGTTCCGACTGAGGCGCCAATCCCAGCTATTCAAGTCGATGAACCCGCCGATCCTTCTAGCGAGCTCATGAATGATATTGACAAGTCCATTGGTACGTTTGTTTGATTCTTCTTCCTTGCGACCTATTCTGAGTATCAATTCAGAGCACCGCGTTCGTTCGTTGTACGCATATGAGGGTGATGGACCAGAAGATCTGTCCTTCGCCGAGAACGTTATTCTCACTGCCCACCCTTCCAAGACTGGTGGCGATTGGTGGTATGGCAAGACGGTCAAGGATGGCAAATCGGGTCTCTTCCCCAAGACTTACGTCGAAGTTGTTCGTCCATGTGAGTTCAGCTTTGCGGTCTTAGACAGCCCAGTGGCTGACTGCTCTTTCTAGTCAAAGCTAAGGCTCTCTATGATTACGCACCTGAGAACCCCGATGAACTTCCGCTCTCCGAAGGCCAACTCGTGAGCGTTGTCGACAACAGCGAAGAAGAATGGTGGAAGGCGGAGAAGGATGGAGTGGTTTTGGTCGTGCCGGCCGCATACCTGGAGCTGGTCGAGGGTTAGTCGCTTTACCCACTCACTCTCCTGAGTTCTCCCTTTTCTGTCATGCTTATGTTGAATAATAGGCTAAAATTTCTTTTTCTGCTCTATATCCGTGTACACGTTCTTCGAACTCGATATTTTTACGAATACTATCCCCACTAAATCCTTGGTTCTCGCTTATTCGATCTCGGAATGGAATAATGGCTTTATATTTCGTTTGAATTCTTTTTGGATTATCTCTTTGTTGTGCTGATTATGTTCAGATACAGAACCTACCGAACTCCCTCCAACAACACCTTCAAGAATGACGTTGTCCATAGCAACCGAATCGCAGAGCTCGACAAGCGTCGATCATAGCTTTTCGCCCAGGAAAGGAGAAGAAAGCTTAAACGCCCCTGAGAATGCGGCGAAACAAGAAGCACCTGACGATTCCCAGACCTCGAGCGTGGGCGATAGTACTGACGTAGATGCTGAGACTGGTTCTTCAGATTCCGAATATCTATCTTTCGAAGAAAGCGACGACGATGATAACGACGCCCAACTCGAGGATACTGAAGAGGAGAGGATGGCTAGGGAGAGGGAACGGCAGATGGTCCTGGAGGCTGCAGGCCTCATTGTCAAGACTATCGATGGGGTGAAGCCTCCGCCGACCAAGCTAACGCGTACGAGGTCGAAAGCCCATCGACGGCCAGTGTCACCATCGACGACCAGTTCTCCACCGAAGCGAAGAGCGCCCCCAGAAGCACCAGTGCGACGGAAGCCGCGACCGAAGAGGCTGCTGTCGACGGACAAGGAGTTGCCACCCATCCCTATCGAGATAGAGGAGGAGCAGGAATCTGCGAAACCGATGGACCCTGTTGTGCAACTGGATGACGCCTACGCCCGTTATGAATCCTTCAAGAACCAACAGATGGAGAGCTTGAATATCAATCGGCTGTCGGTTATTTCAACGGATTCAGGAAGCTTGAGGAGCTTATCCCCGACTGTCGCGAGCTTTACGCTTGTCCAACCTCCTTCTCCCGGTGCCACATCCTCTACATTCTCGCTCGGTTCGAAGGAAAATGCAACCCCTCACAAGGAGTCGGAGCCGCAACAAGACAAATATCGCTCGCACTTCCGGCACTACTTTTCGAGAAGCCGGACGCCCGAGTCGACTGAAACGACGCCTTCTAGCATCCGCAAATTGCAGATTTCTGGTCCAATGCCACTAGGCTCTGTCACTCCAGCGTCTAAATCAGCAGGAGCCAGTCCCCGCAACAGCGTTCATGGTGGAGCAGCTTTGCCTGGCAGTCCAAAAAGCTTACAATTCCAGTCCATAAGTGTGGTTAGGCCTGGGACGAGTGGTGACCATTTGACGGTTGGGCAGCCCTTGTCAGCGGCTTCGACGGTCACACCAGGAGTGGACAGTCCCTCAAGAGCTGCGAGTCCGACGTTTGGTACTGTGAGTCCTTTCCTTGCCTTCTTGTTTCTCTTTGGTTGTTGCGCTTTCCGTGGTTGCTGATGGGCTTTTGTTACCAGTCGTGGGCTAGTCTGGTGGACAAAACTGCGCTGGAGGGTATCCCGAGCAACGAGAGGAAGCGACAGGAAGCGATCTTTGAGCTTATCAACACCGAGGTGGCGTATGTTCGGGACCTGCAGCTGATAGTGGAGGCGAGTGTCCACTAGGTAGCGGCTCACGGGCTAGCAAACTAACGATGAGTTCTGCAGGTCTTCTACTCCAGCATGCTTGACATTCTCTCACACAAAGAAATCACTGTCGTCTTTGCCAATGTTGAGGATATTCTCTTGACCAATACTGTATGTGCGCTCTACTTTACAACTGGGTTCGGTTTAAACGATCAAATTCGTTCTTAGGCATTCCTTAGCTCACTGGAAGAGAGGCAGAAAGAATGTCGTCTCTATATCGACAGGATAGGAGACATTCTTGTCAACCACTTCCCTAACATGGGTGTCTATCTGGAGTACTGCGTCAATCAGCAGCAGGCGAACAAAGTCCTTCAATCGTTAATACAGAGCAAGCCTGCCCTGGTGGAGCATTTGAACGTAGGTGCCTTGATTATGACGTGACGTGTAGGACGACCTGACATGGCATCTGTTGCATAGAAACTGAAGGAGAATCCTGCAACGCGCAACTTGGACTTGTCGAGCTATCTCTTGGAACCTAGTGAGTGGATACCGATATCTTGAGATCTGTGTTGGACTCATGCGTCGTTTCAGTGCAACGCATCACCCGATACCCGCTACTCATCAAACAAATCGCACACTACACCTCTGCATCGGAGTCGGCTGAAATCTCGGAGCAGAAGGCGATTGCTGAAGCCAAGGAGCTGAGCGAGAAGTTGTTGGATTCCATCAACGAAACTATCCGCGATCAAGAGGGCAAGGAGACGCTGAAGAAGCTCAGTGAGGGTGGATTGTGGATAGGACAGGGGTTAGTACTCTACTACTACCTTGTCGACCGGACGTGATGGTTCTAACATCGATGTAGGAGACTGGACCTCACCGCTCCCACTCGTTACATGGGTGCGAGGAAGCTCTTGAAGCAGGGTGTAGTGGCCAAAGCGAAGAGTGGTCGCAAGTTGAAGGCATTCTTGTGTAGCGACATCTTGGTTTTGACGGACCAGAGCGGGCGAAACCTCTACAGAATGGTAAGGTGCCGCTCCCTCCACCCCAGATGCCCCATGCTCATTCTTCGTACAGCCCATTCCATTGGCACATGCCGAGGTCAAGGAGATCACTGGTACTCTCAGAGGTGCGTTTCCCTATACGACTGGCAAGGCGTTCGCTGAAAGTACACGGGTGCAGACGACACCGGATTCCAGATTCTTCAACCCTATCCAAGAGGAGGGGAGTCGATCAACCTGAAGGCAGCTTCGCCTAAGGAGTGTAAAGGTCCGTCTTGACGGTTCTCATACGCACATACTACACGTGTCTGACCTGTCTCGCAGAGTGGATCAAACAAATCGAACTGGCTAGTCGGCGGTGCCGACATGCTGAAGAACGGGCTATACGCAAAGGCTACCATTCTACCCCTCGCCGATGAACTACACTTTATACGTTTTGAGATCCACGGGCATTACATAGCAACCTACCATTTGGACATTGCACATCTTTTCTATCATTTGCACTCATTGAATCTCGTTTTCCCTCCTACCAACTAATCATCCACACTCCTTCCCTCTCTTCTCTATCTTCAGATATTAGCATACTATGATCTCCTTTCATTATTGGGTAATTTATTGGCTGCTACCTCTCAACACTTAGACGAACGGGCTCCATCATTGTGCTAGTTTTCTCAAATATCGTCCATATCACAATGAATGCATTGACATAGTTGTACTCTGTACAGGTGTGCAAATTGGTGTCGGGACGCGGTACTAATCTAGTTCGTCAAGGCTTCGTTGTTCCCAGTCTCGGAGAGAGTCGAGAGTTTGACGATATTCCAAGAGATATTTGGTAAGGTCCCGGTACAGTAGTCGAGTTTCGGCATCAGGTTCAGATCGCGGTTGGTTCTGCCAGGGGGTGGACTTGATGTCGCGATAAATGAGACTGTGGAGGTAATTATGGGTGGGTACCAGAATAATCAGTACGTGTACCTCGATAGTTGGGCACATAAGGAGACTCACAGAGCTTTGCCAAACCAGGACATTCGGGGAACAAGGTCTGCTCCATCCCTCATCTCTAAGTCTCCAGAGTCGTCGGCATAGCCTCGGGTTGCGATATGGCCGTCCTCCCACCTCCGCCGACGGTCGCAGTAGTCGTGAGTCCGGGCTTCAAGGTCGACGGTATCTCTGGCAATACGATCTCCTGACCATCGTCTTCGCCGTTGCTTGTAGTTTGTGTGGATACGAACGGGGAAATCCCTGGACTCAAGAACTGGTGCCCCATCCGTGAACTTTCTAGATGTGATCCTACGAGGGTGCCGGCGGAAGTCCAGGATGGCCACACTGTCCACGAGGCGTCAGATTTCATGGCCAGAACAGTATTGCTAGGGAACTCGCTCGTCTTTCATGCCGTTCCAGTACGCTGAGCACATGCGTTTGACGAACTGGCCAATACCCTTGAAGAAACCTGCCACTTGCTCTCCTCCGCGCGCATGGATGTCCTCGAACTCGCGAGCCTCGAGTTCAGAGAATGGATTGGACCCTGTTGCGCGCCGTGCCAGGATTTCTTCCACAATCGACCGGATGTTCTGTTCCTGCTGCTCAAGGTCTCGGATTGTTGACCTGAGTTCAATTAGGTCTCCACTACGAGTGATCATTAGCCCACAAAGACGTGAAAGAAACAGAACATCACATACACCGTGAATTCTCTCGCAACGACCAAAGTCTGCGCGTAGCCTGCAACAAGTGCAGCCAATACCAATGACGAAGCTTTGATTTGAACCATTGTGACGAATGTAGAGGATTCCTATACTCTTGTTTTCGAGGAACCAGTCCAGGAAATTGCGCTCAACGCTGATGAGGAGAGTATGGGGAGAAGCCAGCTCGAGGTTCCTGGACACCGCCTTGCGCGGTGATAGAGATACGGGAATTGCCGGTTATCCGGATCTCACGGATCAGGGAGGACTTGGGAGATAGGGGCGGGTGACACTGATACAGACATCGGAGAGGTAATGGTATAGGATGCGTCGTGCAAGGGCCTGCCAAATAAATACAAGTACACTAGGACAATATAGAAACAAGGTAGAGAAAATACCGAATGCAAAAACATAATATACAACCCAAGACACCAAAAAAGCTGAATCTACCCTTCGTATGACTGTGACAACGTTAAAAATATCTAGCGTGTTCTTGATGCATGGGTTCTAACGTCTTGAAGGATGGGGACAGTCTAGGAAAGTGCTGTGACTGAGCAAGGCATACATCGAATAGGGTTCAGACTTCTGACCTTGTCAATTCTTCGTATCCGTGACTGACCAGTCCTCCCATCCGTTTCTTCCTCCCACCGCTCGCCCAGGAACGATGGAGCACACCCCTCTATCCACTGCATCAAATACTGCACTCGCCACAACGGCAGCTGCTACAGGAGCCCAGGAGCTCCCTATGCATCGGAGATTGCCTCCTCCAAAGATGTACCCCAAGGCCTCTGCTCGACTTGGCAAAGTGGAACTTGGATCCTGATTGTGTCGCCAAGGGTTGAACTCGAGGGAATTCGATCCCCAGATAGCGGGTGATCGAAGTACTGCTTGAACGTCGGCGTAGTGCTTGACCCAAGAGATACGAGGAAGAAACCTGACCAGCAGGTTGGCGATGGGCTTCGGGAGTTTCGACAAGGAGGGTCGGATGGTCTTCCTTGCGATGTGCTTGGATGGAGGTTGCAGGCGCATGGATTCTTCTACGACATTCTTTGGCGATATGTTCGCGTCGGCGTTGGCCTCTCTGAAGGCGTTGTCCGTGGGGTAGGCGTAGAAGTCTAGGAAGAGCTGGGTGATGGCTTTCGAGTTGTGAGAGTAAGCGACCGTTGTCGCCACCACTCTCCAAAACGTTTCCCAAGCGGGAATGACGATGTCGACAGGATTGGGGAAAGTGGTGATATCAGGGAGTAAACGACGCAAGGCATCGTTGAGCTCTGGAAGGAGGTGTGAGGGAATAGGCGAAGGGTCCTTTGAGAGGGACCAAAGTTTGTTGATATGACTGGCGGCTGTGTAGATGTCGTCGGGTGAGAAGTCCTCCATGGGCACATTAGCGCCCAGAAGCCCGACCAAGATCACCCGCAGGGTGACGGCCTGAATGAAGATACCGTAATTGACTGAACCGGACCTGGCGAGACTCAGCTCGACATGGATAGCCTGTGTAGAAATATCGCGGAAGGTCCCCCATCCGCGTTTATTAGCGCGCGACAAAAGGGATCGGGCAGCGGTGACAAAGCTTCGATGTACGCTCGGGTGGGGTGAGACGAAAGTGTTGGTGATACCAAACGCTCGAACTAAGCGCTGGTTTGGTCTGGCGCGGTCAGCCAGGAGGGTGCCAACGTCGGCACCGTCGGGGCTGAAGAGCTGGCGGATGCCGCCCAGTGAACTATGACCCACAGCACTCTCCTGATTCAAGGAGATTGCAATGAGGCATAGCAAACTGGCCAGCAAGAACGCGGCAATGACGATTGAAGTGGATTGCCAGTCGAGCATGACGAGGATCGAAGTTTACTGGAGATCGATTGTGGGGCATTCAGAGCTATTTAACATCTTTCCCCAATCGTGGGATACCTCCAGTATGACTCGCGAGCTTGGAAGGCAGTCCTTATCTCTGCCGCATGTCATAGTCAATCACAGAGCATACGTGCGTTATTAACGCTTGGAAACATCTAGTGACATGGTGAACCGCAGAAGGAGAAACTGCGGGTCTGCGGAAATAGAGCAGGTTCGACATGTGAACGATCGAAGAACTTGAAGATGGCTGCGGGTGTGATAAGCGCCCATCGTGTAATTAATTCATTTCCCCGCCCGCGACCCCACAGTGGACCTGCGTACCTGGCTCATGTGAACATGTCAAGTATCTGCACATCGCCTGCGATGGTCCAACATTTGTTTGAAGCTGCGTCTGGGCGCAGTCTGGTGGCGAGTATGGGAACGCCGCCGCAGTATCAATGCCATGCGTTCCCCGTACCCACTCGGGTATTATGTAGCTGATGTGCTTCGGAAAGAGGGTGCATCCATGCAGTTGCCAGGCCTACTAGCTCAAACATGAGGTAGGAAACTACTCCACTGGATCGTCAGGTGCGATCCCAATCGGAGAAGGGAGACAAAGTCGAAGAAAAGCACAGGCGCACATCCAAGAAAGAGTTGTGGGGCTACTAGGGCATCGTGAGTTTAGCGATACTTACCTTTGAAGTAGAAAGATACTTGAAGTATACTCACGTATCGCTGTTATATCATAGAGCCAGACTTATGCGAGTCAATACTGTTTGTTGCGTTCGTCTGTTGGGGTACGGTTAAGTAACTCGTGGCCTGTGAAGAGACGGGATCCGCCGTCGAGGAGAGGACGGTGCTCAATTCGATGAGTATCTGCCGCAGCACAGGACGCGGCATTCGGTGCCCCTCGGGTCCCAATTTGGACCTCCTCGGACCCCCTTCCTCCCTCAATCGGCGAGTTCATCAGCACTGCTAAGCCCAAAAGGGGAAAGGGCAGATACCGGTTCTGCCTCAAGCAGGAGTAACTGCCTTCCAATGCAGGCGCCGGTGCACCCAAACGCGCCTCATGCACATGCTTTCTGCACTTGTCTGCAGTAATTATAAGTGGTCTAGCGCTTACCATTTGTTTTGGGCGGGCGACTGTATGTAGTCATCTCACTTATTGCATTTTGTTCCATTCGCTCGTCATGGTATTTTTGTCACCAGCGGAAAAGTTGCATCTCGGCACATCGAACTCTCCTCAACGTATTTTGTGCTTTACCGCCATCATCACGTGGATGTAGTAGTTCACTCAAATACATTTGTTTGGACTGATAACGATTCACCATGCACGCGATAGCATATTCTGTGCAAGAAACCAAAATCTATTCACATGAAACGACAACACATGAGTATGGCTACGGTACAAGAAGCTACAAATTAGGGGGCTGCAGGCGCATAAATACAAAGGTGGCGAAATCTGCCGGGGCCTGGTTATTCTGGGCGCAAAACTGGGTGTAAAGTGCATAGTCCTGAGCGAGTTGTTGGGGATTGCCAAACGGCAGGGATGATGATGTTACAGCAGGGGTGGATGCCGCGGTGGCAGAGGACGAAGAGGGTACGGCATGATTCGATGCGAGGTTGGGTGAAGCCGACGAGGGTACGGCCGTCAGGGGCGCAGCTGTGGATCTGGAAGCCATGAAAATGGACGACGAGGACGACGCTACACTGTTGGCGTTGGCCGTCGTCGCCGATGGGTTCGCAGGAGTGGCGGAGGTTACGACGAAGCTGGGCAATGGCGCAGCAGGAAGCGGGGTAAGGGGTATAGCGCCTCCCGACGAGGAGGGTGGGTGGATGCTCTTCAACCGTTTGGAGTCTGGGATGGAGGTCTCGTCATTGTCTGGATTCGCCCTCTTTTTCCCCGCGGTGCTTGGCCTCAGGGAGGAAGCCCTCGGAATAGCATCTCGCGCTGCGTGATGTCTGCCGAATGGGACAGCGGATCCCCCACGAGCCGTGTGGGTAGCGTTCGCCTGTGGATCGCGAGGGGGGGGGGTGATGATTCCGGACTAGGCGATGTGATGTCCACGGCGAGTGAGCGGCGACGGCGGGGGCTGTCGGGCTCTTCGTCGACAAATGCGAAGTCTTCGTCGTCATCGTTATCGATAAACGCAACCGGGCGCGAATGTTTGGTGGCGCGGATGAACTCGACCTCTTTTCCTTTCCCCAGTGCGGACGGCTTAGGTTTGCGACGGGGAGGCGCTGCCAAGGGGGTGTCGTCGTCGCTGATGATGACGTCTACGCGTCTCTTACCGTTACGAAGTTTGGGCGGTGACACCTCAGGGGGGTCCTCATCGTCACGGACGTCGGCGTTGGAAGGTTCAGCAGATGTCGGTCTTGGTGATTTAACCTTCGACGCCGGTTTGGAGGAAGGGTTCGCTGCACGAGGGAGCCGACGAGGCCCGAGGTTGTCGACCCGGTCGTTGTAGAAGCGACGTCGTGCGTATTTTGCGGAGGAGGTGGGGGGCGGCGGAGCTTCAACGAACAGAGGGTGTTCGCCTGCCTTGAGTGCTAGTGAACGATGTCAGCTCGCTGCATGCTAGTGGGAACACAGGAATGACGATCTCACCTTCGGGTGTATGTTTGACAAAACGAGGCGGGTTACCCCCCTCGAGCGCCGTCTTGAGATACCGGATGTTGTCGACGCCGATGGTACGAATGCCGTTCCGACTGGTCGTCAACATTTTGGCACTATTTTCGCCGGGGAAGGGACAGTTATGTGGCCAGTTGTGGAGAGAGACGCCAGCGTCGAGCATTTTCTGCGGAAGTTTAATCCAGGGTATGGAGCTGCCCTTCACATCCACCCCTGCCTTCGAGAATAATGGCAAGAGGACGGACCCCAGCTCTTTTCGCGCGAGGGAAACCGGGTCGTGGGCTGCACCTTTGCCGTCGATGACCGGCTTGACGTCCTCTTCGTCATCGGACATGGTAGGTGGTGCGGCAGGGGTGGTGGATATCGGAGCCGAGGATGGGGAGGCAGGCGGGCGCGACGGCGACAGCTGGACCTGGTCGAGTTCAGGCAGGCTTTTGGTGTAGGCGCGGGAGACGGTGTCACTACCGAGAGCGGAGGTCAGCACGGAGGATTTTCCAATGACATTATATAACTTACAAGACGTGAGAACGCAACTGGCCCACTACAGCCGACTCTTTGCAGCGTAACCGGTCCTCGAAAAACCCACTTGCGTTCGGAGTGGAGTAGATGTATGAAATGCCTGCATCTTCGTTGACACTCGAGCCAACGAGGACGAATACACCCTCCACGCCTAGTGTCTGATGCATGAGGAGTACCTACAGACACTCCGTTAGATAATCGCGCTGTCAAGACTAAAAGATCCTACATACCCGACTCTCAATGTCGCTTGCACGCTTGTTGAAAGCCTTCTTCTTCTGTCGATGGGTTTGACTGTCGGCGAGGTCCATCAGGGCGGATTCGGTGGACAGAAGGTCCTTCGCGTTCGGGACCTTATCACGGAACGTGGGCCAAAAGTCACGGGCTAATGGCACAGCACAGGTCAGCGCCGATAAGTAAACGACAAGGAACACATGTACGTACGTGTAGAACCTTCAACTCCTGGGCACAGCTGCTTCACGAGGTCCGTGTTACGGTGAAAGAACGGCTGAAAGACATTCCAAGGGTGTCGTACACCTGAGGAAGCTACAGCAGCACGACTGGCGAGGGCGTTGTAAATGACGGATGGTTGGCGTTCGATTGCGGCTGCCGTCTCTTCTGCGAGCTGCGCCATCTTATCGACGCACGCGGAGATTTTCTGCATATCCTCTTTGGTGGGCTTGCCAACACGGAAACCGTCCAAGCGGTCCCCTTCCTCACCAGAGAGGATGCTTGAGGCAGGAGAGGGCGGCAGCTGGACAGGCGGACTGGGTGGTGGTGGAGGGGCAGTGGGAAGGGTCGTGGGCTGGAGAGGCGAATGAGAAAACATATCCACAGCCCTGGAGACCTGGTGTGGCTTGGAAGCCGAGCTGAATAGATCGTTGACGTGCGTCGCAGGCGTAGGCGTGAGCGGCGATAGTGGCGTATGGTGGACCCCTTTGGGGGTGTCAGTATTCTCCAACGATGATGCTGGTGTTCCTGGCGCAGATGCTTGGTGGGGGGCGGTGGCATTGTGAGGGGTAGCAGGCGTCCCAATGAGGCTGGGTGAGATTTCATTGGTGCACAGGGTCATAAGCTCCTCCTCAGAAAAATCCTGGAGCAGCCTGACAATCTCATCAGAGGCCCTGGTAACTGCGACATCGCCAGCGTTCGAGCCAGGAGTATCTGAGAGGGAGGCAGTGGAAGGTTTGTCGGCGGCGGTGGATGCTGAGAGATGGTTAGAGGAAGACGCGAGCGCCGGTGCCGGCACCGGCGCCGATGCCGCTGCTGATGCAGAAGCCTCAATCCTTTTCGGGGTGTTTCGGAGCGAGTAGCGATTGGGTATAGGCACCACCTTTCGAGGGGTTCGAGTCTTCTTCTGTGGGCTTTGATTCACCGGCACAGGTGGGGGAGCCATAGAATTTTGGGCATGTGACGTCTGCCCGCGAGGAGCGGGCGTCGGAGCAGGAGGCGCCGGGACCGGGCCGGTGGCAGGCGCACCGGCGGGAGCAGGCGCAACGGCGGGAGCACCGGCGGGAGCAGGCGCGGGTGGGGGAGCACCGGCGGGAGCAGGCGCAACGGCGGGAGCAGGCGCGGGTGGGGGAGCACCGGTGGGTGCAGGCGCAACGGCGGGAGCAGGCGCGGCTGGGGGAGCACCGGTGGGTGCAGGCGCGGCGGCGGGGGATGGCGTACGAGCGGGCGCAAGCGCAGGCGGATGCGGCACGACGGACGATGGATAATTATGCGTCTGGGCAAAAATCGCGCGGGGGTCGAAGGGCTGAGGTGGGACTTGGCCAATGAAGCCTGGAACAGGCGCACCGAAATTGCCGAAGTGGAAAGGCGAGGGTGATCGATGCTGCGCTTGAGCTGGCATCGGTGGCACACCCGCTACCTCCGCAGAATGTTGATGGGGTGAAGGTTGGTTCAAGTGGGCCTGGGCTTGTAGCATGAACTGGAAAAGGTTCTGCTGTTGGACTGGGTCCAGATGGAATGAGGGTGTTCCCGGGACTAAGACATTTGGGGCGGACGCAAGATTGTTGGCACCAAGAATGGAGGTATTGGATGGTACATTGTAAGCTCCAAAATTGAACGCTGGAGGTGGAGGAGAAGCCGCCGGATTAACAGCGAACGGCGTAGTGTCGCGCGGTTGTGCATCTCTGCTGAGAGGACGGTGAGTGGACGCGGACGATGACTTTCGTGAGTATACATACTTGGCAGACATAATGTTTTGTCGAGGCGGGGAGATGCTCCTGGATGTTCAAATCGCACGCAGAGGGGAAGAAAGAAATTGGGGGATGCGAAATTCCATCATGCACCAATCCCTTTGCTTTTCTGGCACCAATTCCTGGTCGCCAGTCGAATGCCGCCCCGCTTCGTGGAGGTGACATGCAGGAGTTCCTTTCTAACGCAGAGGTCGGCACGTCGTCCCTAGTAAATTATCTATCAGGGATTCGCAGAATTTGGGACTGGGATTCGGGGAGAGCACTCACCTGCCCGAATTCTGGAAGGGTGACCTGCGTCATGGCCACCTCGCCCACAATTCACGCTGGTAGTCGTCGCAGGCCAGGGGGACCGTCTCTGAGAAATACGATCGAGCGTCGAGAACTGAAGAACATTTATGCCTTCAAGGTTGAGTGCAGCATCCTTTTTTTTTTGCATTGGCGCACCAACGTGTCCTGCCTGGCACCCGCCGAAGGACTCTCCCACGCCCGGACTTCCTTGATCGGAACGCTGAGCTGTCCCGCATCTTCGAGTTGACAGCTTTGGTACCTGACCCATTCCTGCTGGCCCCTCAGACCCGACTCCCCATGTCTAAACTCCTCGTTCGTTCACGCCCTGCTCCTTGTCTCCATTATCGAAACCTCACGTAACACTAGTGAAGGACACGGGTAACCCGCGGGTAAATTTACCCCTACCCGTACCCGTACCCGCGCTTACCCGTACCCGCAACCCGACGGGTATTCTGCACAAAACGAGCCCAAGAACGTCCAAAACGGACCAAAAATGAGCGAGATATACTCAATTTACTTAAATCAAGCGTAACCCGCCCATTTTATGGCCGTTTTGGACGTTTTTGGGCTCGTTTTGAAGGGCGCGGGTACGGCAACCCTTACCCGTACCCGCACCCGCGCCTACCCGTACCCGTAACCCGCCGGGTATCGAAAACCCGTGTCCATCACTACGTAACACTGGCAAGGGCAGGTATCAAAAAACAAAGGCGCAAAACATACTAACGCTCCCTATCCAGTCAACGCGCCTTCTTCAAATGGGCTTGACTCGTTTCCTGTCACCCCTGGAGACCAGAAGAAAGAAGCACGACATCGAAGTGCGTCGAGAACCGACTGGCTCCTTCGCTGCCGCGCGCAACAGCCTTTCCAAAGAGAGGTGCGCAAGTCAAGGAGACCTTTGCTTCGCGAGTGTTATTAAACGTAGTGTTTTGGTGTGTTCGCCACCCCCCTTGGCTGCCTCTAACGTCCAAGTTCTCATGGCTCCCGTCTACTTTTCCCTCATTCTCATCGACCAGTTTATTCAGGAGCAGATTCGTCGGCACTTAGACAGGTATTGTATTGTGTTCTCGCGCATTTACCAGCCGAATCTGACTTTGCGCCTGACGCAGGTTGTGGCCTCCAAAGGGACTCGAGGAAGGTGGACGCCTTTCAGGTCGGCAGAAGAGGTACCTGTGGGACTGTGCCTTCTATGCCCTCGAGGCTCTCGAGAATGGGACTTTCGCCCGCTTCGTGGCGGATGTGGTCATGCGTTTCTACGTGACTTGGAAAATCGCCTACAAGCCTTCCTGGACGGTGAAAAGGCAGGTCGAGGAGGACTTCGTCGTACGTTTTCCCTGTCAATGCCTACTCTTAGCAGCTATACTCACATCGAGCTTCAGAGCATTCTCGTGGTCCTTCATCAAGGTTACCTTCACGGAAGGTGGGTGACGCCGGAGTTGTCGTGGCCTATGATGCTGGCGTTGGACAGCAATGAGTGGGAAGGGTACATGGTGTGTTCAAAAACCTCGATTGGGATACATGTACACTAACAAGCGGTGCCCAGCGCCCCCTTCGACAAGAATTGGAGCCAGTCCTGCAGCGTAAGGACGAAATCGAGGTCTTCAACATGCTCTTGCACCCCGCTGCGGTAGCGCCTGCTGAAGGCAATCCTTCAATGTCCGATGGCGACCACGGTGAAGACGACGAGTCCGAATCCAGCGGGGCCGACCGTATGAGCGATGTCGACGAGAACTCCGACTCCCAAAGTTGCACCTCCGAGAACGACAACGAGGACGACGACGATGATGATGATGACGACGATGATGACGACGATGGTGACGACGATGATGGCGACGACCGCCGAAATGGGACCGACGGTGCCATTCCTGCGTCTGAGAGCTGCAGTCCTTCGCACCGCACCCCATCCCCTCGCAAGCCTGCGCCGGAAGTTATACCATACGATTGGTTGGAGTACCTGAAAAGCATCAAGGACCCCGAACCCTCCGATTCCGAATCATCGATGGATTGCTATACCCCGTTGCGCTTCCAACGCTCGCCTAGCCCTTTAGGCGTGCGCCACGTTACCCCGCCCGTCGACGATCGAGAGGGAGAGAGCATGGACGCCGATGCGGACATTAGCGTAGAGTACTGATTTTGTTTTGTTTTTTGGTTTTTGGCTTTTTGTTTTTATGTATATTCTTATCGTATCTTGGCGCATCTGTATATTGGGGAAACTGTGACGAATGTAGCGTCCAGATAGGCAGTCGAATATAATGTACCATGTGTGTCCTCGATGCATGACTTGCTTCTTGCGTAAATCGATTCCGTTTGTGGCACATAGCCATCCCAACAGTGATGGCGGAAGATGCCGTGAGGAGTGTATGAGGCAATTAAGCGCCCGCCTGACGAAGACGGTGAATCACATTAATTTATTATGACATACATTTGCCTCGTTCTAAGCATCATTGTATACACCACCTGATGCATTCGATTTCGACATTACACAGGCGCAAGGCAAGGCGCTCCGTGCTGCCCAAGGCAGCCAATCGTGGGGGTAACCATCCGACTTCATCTGGGGGAAGCCCGGGAAGGTTTTTCTGTCATTCTCGGTATTTAGAAGTGGGGTACAGCGGATGTATGGAGTACAACAAATTCACTACGACACGAACACATAGCAGCGACAGAGTCATTGTCCAGTCAGAAGCAAGCGCTTAGTTGGTCTTGGGGGTAATGAGGTGAGCGGTCTTGGTAGAGAGGGCATACAGGAGCGCTTCGTACGCGTCGTCGACGCTGTAGACGGCGCGAGGGACGCCGCTGACGAAGGAGTCGGCAATGCACTGATAAACCCGGTAAGCGTTTCTGTGTGGATTGAATGCGCTAGAATTGGCGATGTACTCACAAGATTAGTGAACACTCCGATGCTGGTACCAGCCGTAACGACGTAGAAGACTTCACGGGGGATGGTGGCCTCGTTGACGGCCTTGCAGCTTCCGCACTCGACGTGAACGATGTCGGACCTGACACCCTGCACCGGGGTAGCATGCATGACAATTTCTTGGAACGTGGCCTTGACGGCTAGCGTGGGCGAGGTCAGTTAGTGAACGATGGAGCGAGGAGTGGAGATGAGGTAGCATACCCGGGGTGTTAGTGGTGTTAGTGGTGGAGGACATGTTGCTTTGTTTTGGATGAACTGTGAATTGCAAGGGGAAGTGGCGGATGAAGAAAATACTGGGATGCTCTGGCCTTTAAATACTCTCGAGGCGATGTTTGTATGTGAAAACTGAATGCGCAACGGAATACTACCTGGTCACGATGGCCAACGGCAGAATACTCTCTTCATAGTCATGAGCTTATTGTCGTGTGGCAGGACAGAGATTACATAAATTGTCTTTTGCATGAGTACTTGAGTGCTATCCATGGAAGGGTGATTTCCACTTTCATGTAACACGTGTCTTCCATATACATTGGGAAACTTTTATTTCATTTGATGGTTTACATACTCGCACTGCCCGATCGTCTGGAACAACTGCGTTTGGTCGAAGTTCTGAGCGTCACCCTATTTTCCGTTCATATCGTGAAGCAGAGTTTACGCACCATTTCCCTCTTCCATTCCTCGAAATTACTTTGAAGCATGTCCCTCCAGTCCCAAGAAGTTTCCAAGTGGCCTCGGAACGTCGCCGCTGCCCAATAAAGGCGACGGGCAAGTATGGTGTCAGGCGGCATTGGAGAATCCCTGACTTCAAAAGATCGCACCCTACGGATCTCCTTCCGCTTGTTATGGAAGGGGCTATCATTTGGGGACCATTGGGTCTCGAACATTCCATGGAACTTCTGCAGAAAAGCTTCTTGCTCGTTGGTGTCGAGGGCACGCTTGAAGTAGACGCCGCCCGTCAATAGTGTTTCGTTTTGGTGGATGGAGAGTATCACTGTCGCATCCCGATACCATTTCTCCCTCACCACGAGATCGTAGGAGACGGGTGTGCGTGAGTTTCGAGGACAGATAGCGAAGCACATTGGATTGTTCGGATGCTATTCTCCACGTCGAACAGTGAATAAATAACAAGATATACTGTAGATTTTCGGGAGAATATAGCGTTCTCTAAATTAAGGAGGCGGGAGAATACAGTACGTTAAGCTACGAAGTAGAATCTAACAGGTAGGGGATGACGGTGGAGTTGATGTGGAGGTAGCGCGGCGTAGGCGGCGTCTTCGGGGACCAGTGGGGCTCTGGGGATATCCCAACTGCTGGAGCAGGGGCGACTGGAAGAAATCAGCACATGTATGCGATGGAAGACTTGAAAACGCACCACTTCCTCACCCCACCCACGATAATCCAATGCCGCAAGGGTTTTCCAGTTACTCTTCGCAGTCAAACGAGGCCAGAGCCCTAGGGAAATGTGTATACGAAGGTTTAATTTCTGTCGCAAAGAAGGTTAGAACGAGGACGATATCGATAGCGGGGGTAGGGTGCGTACTCGGGAAGTTTCCTCTCTGGCACTCATCTCAGCCTCGCGCGTTCGATGCACTTGCCGTTGGATGGGCCATCGGGAGAAGTACAGCCGGTAGAATAGCTCCATGAACTCTTCCTCTTCTCCCGAACGCAAAGCTTGTCGGAGATATGCCGAACAGAGGCAGACGAAAAGCGCTTGAGCACGCGTAAGAGTGGGGGCGGTGGGTGTAGACATGGGGAAGATGTGGTTGCTCGTCCTCTGCCCCTCCAGCATTTATGAGTGGAATGGGCAGGCGTCTTTTCGAGAAACCCGTTTGGCATTGACAGGCAGTGAGTTGGTGTCCATGGACAGGTCAATTCTCTGATTAAACGCCTTGTCTGCACTCTTCCTGGGGGGATATGCATCGGTGCTTCTGCCCGAGATGCATGCGTAGGTGCCAGGACTTCCTGCGGAAACCGGGATCTAAGATTTACGGAGCTCTCGGATCGGAACCCATTGCCAACGTTTCGAAAGTGAAACATATCGTGAGTTTACCGCCCTTGTACATACTCATTTTCTTTCAAAAATGCCACCACGTAAACCCCGCAGTCAGCGCCTACGCAAGGGTTTTTTTCCGGGCTCGATCCCATCCAATTTGAAAAAGTCAGACAATGCACCCATTCCTACTTATTGAGTTTACACCTCGCACTGGTACACTCTGTTCAAATCGCTCTCATCTCCGGTACCAGCCTTTCAGCATGCCTCGCCCCAAGAAATATTTCACAAAGGAGGAGCGTCGCCAGGCTCATTGTGCAGCGAATAGGCGTCGGTACCAAAAGTAAGCCTTCATCGTGCCCTTCCCAAGTCTTTTAGACTTATGCTTTCCCGAAGGAAGAAGAAGGAAATCAATGAACAACGGCGCCAAAGATATGCCAAAAAGACGAGGCGGTGAGTACGTCGTGATGGAACGACATATGTCCTTCTCATGTTAGCAGTGCGAAGAGAAAGCAGGAAAAGATGCAGCGGAATCAAGATAACGAGGATGCATCGACGAGCGCCAAAGATCCGGCGCTTAATCAGTGCGTCGTGACTGACATCATCGGCATCCGAGTCTGTGTGCTGATGCGGCTATTACAGAGAGAGCTGCGACCCCAGGATGAAATACGCCATCGCCAGGGTACAGGCGATCGAAAAGAAGATCCTCAAGCGCACGGGGAATTGCTTGAAAACATACTTGGAGTCAGTGTATGAGGCAGCGATCGCTCACGACCGCCCTTCCGATCCCATCGAGGACCATTTACACGACCTGGAGAACCAATCGTCGAAGCTGTCTCGGCATTACGACACCATTCTCGAGGTAGCTGGAGTATGTGCTGCAACTGAGGCAATCGAGAGGCAGCGTGCACACCTGACGAAAACGGTAGATATGCTTCAAGAGCTGTGTGCTTTTGCGCTCGAGGGCAAGGATGTCCTTCGTTCACAATTCAGGCGAGGTCGGCTGACTTTCCAGTCCATCTCTATGTTCAAGAGGGGAGAGGTTTCGCATAAATGAGTCACGTATTCGAGCAGTTACTTTACACAACAGGGAGAGCTAGTACATGCTGCAAGAGAATATGACGGAAGAGGTGTACTTCATTTTCTGTGATTGCTGGGAGATGAAAGCCGCGCAGTAAAGATGCGATGCACGCCAGTGTCCATACCCCACAGTCATACGAGTTGCTTTGAAGTGGCGAGAGCTGAGAAAGTACATTGAGTGACGAGTGTGCAAAGTTTCAGGGAGGCGACTTACGGTAACGGGACTCGCGCTCCACCCTTCCTCAACAACAATGGGAAGAGGGAACCCATGGGCATTAGACGCGATCACCAGTCGACAGACGAACTTCATAATGAGCTAGAAAACGCGCTTGTCAAGATAATGTCAGTTCATCACACACACTGTACATGCGCACCTGAAGGTCATGGTCCCATCCTCGGCGCCTGCCCAAGCTGTCGAATAACACTACGCGTCGCTCTCGCGGGTAAACCACCGCAAGCACCCAATGGTGCTCGTCAGGACGATGGATGGGCAGGATCCAGAGCGCCTTGCACCAGTAGCTTGTGCCCTTCGTCCGTCGCCAGAAGTCGCCGTCGGTGTATCGAGCCTTCACCATGAGGAGGTCGTGCGAGGAAAACAACGCGCACTCGGGCGCGCAGTTGAAATCTCCAAACGATAAGTCAGGAACTATCGAGTGGTAGAAATGCGCCGCCAAGCCGTTCATGCATTCGTCGTTCAGACAGTTCGGTCCGCTCAGCATGTCGATTTCCCGGCGCCCAAATACGAAGCTGGGTCGACTTTGCTCATGCAGGTAAACTCCCCGTGGGTCCAGCGATTGGAGAGCTTTGCGCTGCGGAGGGTATCGAAAGTCACTCAACAGGAGTTGGTCGCGGAGAGGTGCTGCCGGGGCATGCCATTCGAGTGTAACGGGCGGGGTGTAGTCATGCGCCGACGAGGGCGCGTCCTCCAGAGTGTCGTCTGCTTCGCCTCTCACGAGAGTATCCAACACCAAGAGCTCGATGGGGTCAGGTGCTCGGAGTGGATTTGACGAGTCATGGGGAAGGTTCGCATCTTCGTTGGCATGCTCATCGTCGTCAAGTTCCTCGGGTTCCTCGTCACTATCCTCAACTGCGGCGCCCAACCCTGCCGTGTCTGGACCGTGACTTGATGGGGGTAACGAGTGTTCTAGGTCGTTCGGAACTTGGGGTTTCGCCTGGTTGGCCTGGGCGGGGATTGTCGCTGGAGGGAGAAATGTGAATCGCGGGTGGCCGCCCAACGTCGAGGAGTCTATGTGTGACTGGTACCGCACATCGGAAACAAGAGAGGTGCGCCATCGATGTTTCAGTTGGAGGTGCGCGTCCCGCCAAAGGTGCAGGACTTCTTGGAGATGGGAATCTGTCGGATGGACTGTCAACGCTGCACTAATGCATGGCGGTTGGGAGAGAAGAGAAAGGGCGAACGAAATAGGAGGACCAGAATACGTACTTGCCGGGTCGCTGATTGCATGGTCAAGCGCCTTCAATTCGCGCCCAAACCACCGACACATGTTATCCGCTTCCACCCCAATTCTCCTTCTTTCTTCCTGGGCGCGGTCTCGTCGATGAAGTCCTCGAATACCTTCTCGCACTGCAGGATCACCAAGCCACGGTGGTATGCCTTCTGGGCTGACCGTAATCCAGACATCTTCATAGAGGGTTGGATCGTCCCGAAGGGTGACTAGATTTTCGGTAAGTGGGCTGGGAAGCGGTAGGTTCCATTCCTTTTTGTAGATCTCCTTCAATTCGGTGCAATAGCGGTTAAACAGTCGGATATCCCCGAGAAGGGCTGGCGTGCGTTTCGACATGGTGCCTACGTGAGAATATGTGATGAGCGCCATCGTGTTACAGGTGGAGAACACATACCTAGCGCCTGATGCCTTCCCCCTGCGGCCTGATGCAACCGTTCCCATTCGAAGAAATTGCCCACCGCTCGCTTCCGGATGTTAATTTTGAGATCGCGGAGGAGGAGCAGCTTTTGAACGAATGCTAGGTCGATCCCCTCAAGTTGGGGAAACATCTCCGCAACATTCAGCGACGCGTAGAGCTGCTCTGCTTTGGCCTTTAACCTGCCATTCATGTCTTCAAGAGCCTCGATTGTCTTGTTAACGTCGGAGCCTTTGGCGGAGCCGAGGGTTGCACGGGCGTCTTCGAGGCAGTTGTCCACCATGTCCATGTTTCTGTGCAGCCGCAGCACGGTGTCGAGTTCCTTCTTGAGGCGTTGGGGCGCATCTGGATGGTAGGTCAGTCCCATCGTCACCTGTCAGGGCCGAGCACTCACGAGCACGGACAGATAATTGGGCCTGCTTCTGAAGTTCCCATTGCTCTCTCAACTGCGTCTCGGAATAATTACACCCCGCCAAACACTTCTCAGCTTCCTCCTCGTGGGACGGTATGCCATCCTTCAGGCGCCTACGTATCCACATTCCGAGCTCTTCGTGGAGCTTGGCTGCCGTGGCAGCTGCATGCAACTCTAGATAAAACAGCCTTCGCTCTCCCTGCCAATCCGTGAGCTTTCAACCCGTAGACACCGAGGTAGTTGCCTACCAGAGCCATCCGCGTCAGTGGTATCAATTTCCGTGACCCTGACCAGTATCGTTCCACCCCTTCACCATCAAATGTGCCTGCTCCCTTCACCATACGCGGGTTGTAGACGAGCTGACACGACCATTGGTGCGCATATGCGTGCATGGCGCTTGTAGCCCAGCGCAGTCGGTCGGTTACGTCTTTCAGGAGGATCTCGTACTGCTGGTGTTCAGACATGCACGGGAGGGCGAGCTCGACATTGCGTACCTGTTTCAAGCTTCTGTCCACCACACACCCAACATCGTAGAAGACACCGACAGTAGCATTTGAGGGTAGAAGGGTGAGGAGTCGGGTGACCATCGCCAGCGCGTATTTGTGCTGCTCTCCAGGCGTATCGATGTTGACAATGAAGATAGGGATGTCGTGGCGGCAGATCAGGGCGGCCATGCCTGTGTCATCGAAATGGTCGCTGTTGGTTTTTGCCTTGCTGCCATCCCCTGCTTCGTGAGTGCTTTGGCAGTTGTCGATTGCTTCGTCGGGTACCTCAGGCTCACGCTCCTTGCGCTCACCATTACGGGCTCTCTCTATCAGCTCCCCAACTCGATCAACCTCTTCTTTAGGAATAAGACGTTGGCGCTTGAAAATTTTGGAACAGGTGCCCACCGAACGGAGGTGGCGTTGGGAGAAGTTGGCGTCCGTGGCAACTTGTATGTCACATCCTCTACAAACCTCCGTGTAAGTCATCAAGAGTCAGGTGAACAATGGCGTAGACATACATGTTGAAGGGACGGCCGAATTGCTGACCACCGAAACACGCTGCACATATGTTCTGCAAGTACCTATCACACTCCCGCCGTGGTTGCTGTGGTTGCTGGGGCTCCTGTCCGGCAAACAGCGAAGCGCTGTCTCCGGTTCCCACGTCACCTGCTCCGGTCCCAGCGGGATCGGAAGAAGTTCTTATGTGCGCGGGAGTTTGGGCAGGCGCGGGAGTTTGGCTAAGGGCGGGGGGCGGGTTCACCACGTCGGGAGTTGCTGCCGCTTCGGGAGCGTCGTCGGGAGCGGCGCCTGGGTTTTGGCCTTCCACTTCCTGTTGCGCCTTGCATATGGCACTCTCTATCTCGGCGTCAATATGCTGCTTGAGGACGGCATACCAGACCCTGGCTCGCCCAAGACTTTTCCTGAAGGGATCGTCGACGATTTGTCCCTGTCCGTGGGTATTCATTTCAGCGCGGACGCAATTCTTCTGGTCGGTACTCACTGGGTGTTGCCTGTTCGTAAGAACATACCCCCTCTTTCTGTAGAAACTGTTCTGAGCTGCGGCAATGGCGTTGTCGGCGATAAACGACGCTTGAAACAGAGCTTCGTAGTAGTCGAGTAGGTCTAGGTCAATGGCGATTTGTGGCTGCGCAGGACCAGATGGGAAGAAGCCATGGGACAGGAGGACGGTGGATATCGGATTGCATCGACAATGGGTAAAGGTCGCATATTCCCATCCTGATGGATATCAATTAGACAACGCAGGGAATTGCAACGACATGATAGACTTACGGTCGAATAGCAGGCACAGCAAGGTTTTGGCCTTCATGGATTTGCACTGGCTGATGCATGGAGCCTTTTGCTCTAATGTACGGCCATCCACAAGGTCCTTCTTGGGTGTACGGTAGCGACCTTGTTGATACTGTAGGTAGCAGGCGGCGAGTTGGGGGATAAGTCTATGCCATCGGTCGTGCTCTCTCATCCTCTTCGTGGTCGTAAGGATGGATTTCTTCTTTTCAACTGGCTGCTTGGATGTGTGATTGTCGGTGGGCTTGGAAGGGGGGTCGGGAGTTATACATGCGTCAGAGGGCAACATGTCCATGTTCATGTGGACGTCGTTATCCACACTGACCGCCCGACCCGGTAGCGCAGACTGTATCAATTGCTGCATTTTGAGAGCCAGGCTTTCCTTTTGCGCTTGCCGAACGTAGGAATTCGTCTTCTGGCGCTCCTTTCTGGTAATGCGTTTCTTCACGGGGGATTTATACGTGTTCCCTAAAGCTCGTGAAGGGGCTGGGTTCGTGACATTCTTTTTCTTTACGTTTTGGGTAGTGTCGACAGTCATAGTCAATGGCCGGTATAATACAGCAGCGTTTATGAACGGTAGATGAAGGGGGTAGTTACGGTGGTGATGGTCAAGGTCAAAGATCTAAAATAGTATGTCCATCTCACGCCTGCCTCCTGGTCCAGAAGGATTCGCTGCATCTGCTCCGCTGCATCAGCCTATCCGCTCGGCGCCTAGTGGCGCCTACAGGCTCGTTTGGGCGTCTGATGGCATCAGTGCACGGGCAGGTGGTTCCTGAAGGGGTCTTCTGGATGGTCCAAATTGCCACCCGTCAGGTCCATTACTAAGCGTTCATTTAGGTGCCTAAGGTGATCTGCCGGTTCCGCCCAGTACCGGACGCGGCTTAACGCGTCGAGCCGTGGTTATGATCGTCTCCGTCGATATGTACTTGATGCCTGGCTGAATTTCACTCTCAATCAGAGGGCCTCTTGTCTACTCTTCAGCTGAAAGGCAGGCAGAGGCATAAACTAACACGTTGAAGTCCACCAGTAAGAGACGCTCAATCTCCATTCGTTCAAATGGTTCTTATTTTCTTGCACCCCAGAACCCTCGGGAGCATGGCGGTTTACTAGAGAGAATACTTAGGCTTATTTGTGGAACAATAATGACATCAGCTTCTAAGTTTCTGTTGGAATTTGGAGAAACCCACAAGTTACCGCTGGCATGGCTTCTCGAGGCTTCAGTGTGGGCGCATTCAAGGGCAGACCATATGGTGATCGGAGAAGGTGTTTTTTTCTGAATCTGCCTCAAAATCTCCTCTTCATAGTCTCAATCCTTGTCACTGTCCCTCGCAAGACGATTGAAAACAGACCAGCGCAAGGTCGGAAAAGGTTTAGCGCCCATGCGTGGTGCCAAATAAAGGAATTGATCCGGGCTCATGCCGATTCATTCCGCCTTTGGTTGTGCCCAGTCCTTGGCTCGCGGGCATTTTGCGCGACGCACACAACTCTTTTCTGTTTCCCCATCGTTGTCCCTGGCGCCCGTTGGCTCTCGTCACAAACAGCCGTGTAGCCGTGCGCTGTTCACAAGAACCGTCATTGAAGCGATGGATATCAGCGAATAGTAGGCCGGAAACGACTCATGGATGTCATTGCACGCCAATACTAATCACCAATTGGCTCTTGGGTGTAGGTTGTGCTCGTCTGGGTTGATTGATGAACGCCGGGAACTGGTTATCCCGCATGCAGGACACGGGCAATCACTGAATATTCCCTGTGGAAGGTCCGAGTCGTCACCCTCCCGATCTCAGCCTCCTCTGGGAACGCGGCTGGAACCAGAATGGTTTCAGTTGACAAGGACATAACACGATCTGCTTCCACAGTGTTATAAAAAGGTTCTTGATGTCCATCAACGACGAGCAAACACAGGAATCCTCGAAGCAAGCGTGGTGAGTATGTTTGGTCGTCATCAGGGGTGGTTCATGTGGAGCGGCCTTAAATACTGATCACCCACACGGGAAAACAGTAGATCACCCCCATTCCCCAGCCGCAAGACCGTCAACAAACCTTTGTCCTTCCACTCGTGAGTACCCTCGTTGCGTCTGGGATGGGCATTTTTCACAAATCTTCACGAAAAGGATCCCAATGCCACCCACAAGCAAGCTCGACCTTCGCAAAGGATTCTTTGGCGAAGGCTCTGTCGAAGTCTCACCACCAAAGCCCGGGGAAGGTGGTGTTCGACGTCTGGCCGTGACTGCAGACCGCCTGCTTACAGAACCTCGACCGGACGTGAAGACTGTACCTGATGTCCTCGACTACGCTGCGAAGACCTTCGACGGCGATCATAGGGCAGTCGGTTGGCGCGATATTGTTCGCATTCACGAGGAGAAGAAGATGGTCAAGAAGGTCGTCGACGGCGAAGAGAGAGAGGTCCCCAAGACATGGTCTTATTACGAACTGACCGACCCGAAGTACATGACGTTCACAGAGTATCGCGCAGCTGCTCGAGAGGTTGGGCGAGCACTCGTCCATCTAGGGATCGGGGAGAAGGATGATGTCATCAACATCTTCGCCCAAACAAGGTCCGTTCATTTGTCCATCCCCGCCTCTATTCTGCTCAGCGTCGCGTTCTAGCGTGAATTGGCAACTCATCGCCCATGGATGCCAGATGATTTCCACTGCCATCGCCACTTCCTATGAAACTCTAGGCCCCGAAGGTCTTACGCATTCTTTGAATGAACCCAACTGTCGCGGTATCTTCACCAACACCGACCTCCTGCCTACAGTCCTCAAGGTCCTCGACAACACTCCTTCCGTGCAATTCGTATTTTACGACGGTTCACCAGACTCATCCTCAATTGACAAAATCAAGTCGATTCGCGATGGATCTGTTCAAGCCATTCACATTGACGATTTGCGCAAATTGGGCCGGGAACAACCCGAATCGATCCTCGAAGGACGACGACCGACACCGGAGACCAGTGCCTGTATCATGTACACCAGTGGGACCACAGGAACGCCCAAGGGTGTCCACCTCAACCATGGAAACCTCATTGCCTCTGTAGCGGGCGTCGACTTCCTCTACGCTCACCACATCCCGGTGGGAACAGTTTACCTTGCCTACCTCCCCCTCGCCCACGTTCTCGAGTACATCGTAGAACTTTGTGCCCTTTATACCGGTGCAACCGCCGTCTACGCTCGTTTCAAGACGCTCAGCGATTCTTCTGTGAGGAATTGCAAGGGAGACCTCACCGCGTTCCAGCCTACTGTCCTTTTCGGCGTTCCCGCTGTTTGGGAGAACATTCGGAAGGGCATCCTCGGCAAGCTCGATGAGAAGGGATGGCTTCTCCAGAAGGTGGTGACGACCTCTTTGGAAGCGAAGAAGCGGGGAGTGCCCGTCTTGGGATGGTTCGCGGACAACTTTATTCTTCAGAAATTGAGGCAGCCTACGGGCGGCAACGTCCAATGGGGAATCAACGGTGGTGCTGCAATCAGTAAGAACACCCAGGAATACATCAGCTTGTCGGTGATGCCTCTCATGCAAGGTCTGTTTGCATCCAACCTTCTCGCAGGCGTTTCTTTGGGCTGACCCACGTTGTTAGCCTATGGTATGACGGAATCATGCGGCATGTGCGCTATCCTTCCCCCTGAGCTCCACCAGTATGGCGTCGCTGGTCTCCCCGTCCCGTCCGTCGAAATCAAGTTCCTCGACATCCCGGATATGGGCTATACATCCCAGAACGATCCTCCACAAGGCGAGATCTGTATACGTGGCCCCTCTCTCACCAAGGGGTACTACAAACGACCCGACCTCAACAATGACCCCAACATCTTCACCCCTGATGGCTGGCTGCGAACAGGTGACATTGGCCAATGGAACAAAGACGGTACTCTGAGCGTCATCGATCGGTTCGTAAAACACTATATTTCATCTACTCGCTTTGTCTGACCACGAGTTCGCCACATCAGACTAAAGAACCTTATCAAGCTTCAGAACGGGGAGGTTAGTGACTTCTCATCTTATATATCCTCGCCATAACGATGTTCATCATTCCCTAGTACATCGCACTTGAGCAGCTCGAATCTGTGTACAAGTCTTGTGAGCTTATCAGCAACCTGTGCATCTACGCCTCCCAGGACGCCTCCCAACCCATCGGTATCATCGTCCCGCACGAAAATAACCTTCGCGCAGCTCTCCGCAACAGCCCTGACTCCAAGCTCTCCTCCCTCGCCTCCAAGCCCATTGGAGATCTCTGTCACGACGATGATGTGAAGAAGTTGGTCTTGAAGACTTGCAATGAGCTAGCGAGGAAGAACAAGTTCAAGCAGGCTGAGATGTTCTTGGCGGTAATCCTTTCCTCGGAGGAGTGGACGCCAGAGAGTGGGTTGGTGACTGCTGCTCAGAAGGTGAATAGGGGTGCGGTTTCGAAGAAGTTCAAGGATGAGATTGCGGTGCGTTCTCTTCTATGTGTTTCCCTGTTGCGAATCCGTAATCTGACTTGTTGTTCGTCACAGGCTGCTTATGGAAACTAGGGCAATGACGCTAGTGCTCAGTGATCTCATGTCGACATTTGTATCAATCATCTGGCTTTCCTGATCAACGAAAGCGTTCTTTCTCCGGTTTCGTCCTGTTGTTTCTGCGCTGTCGCTTATGCTCTCTTTTGCTGTGGACCGAATTCTCTTACATTAATTACCATCACGTAGTGCTGTATATGGCTACGACTCTTCGATTGGATGCAAGTTTTTGAACTTGGCGCCTGTCCTATTCTCGTCTCGGTTTTTGCGTGGATCAAACACCAGGAGGTTATATAGTATTATGGACGGATGCAATACGTATGGATATCGAAGCTTTGAGCACAACACGTGAACAAGAAGAGTAACGGGAAAGCATACTAAGATACTTGGGCAAGTCGGATCTCACTGCGGAGATGGCCCGGGAAATGTCCAAAGTGCAAACTAGTGGGGTCTGTGCTTCCAATGGTCCTGGAGTCAGGCTCAGGCTGTAGTGCAACAGAGACGTAGCGACCGGTCGCGAGGCACGTTGACAACATACCTCCCCTTTCCAGCACCCAACATCGAGGGTTAAATAAAAGGGAATGGGTATACAATTGCACCCAGCATGAGGAGTATACCGATATTTAAAATGACGAGGGTCGCCCTTCGGACGATAATGGTGTGTTCCACAGTGTTGTATACCCACGCATACCAGGTTAGCGCCCAGCAGGAAACCACGGTGCCCATGCATGACAGCCATATGAAGGAACATGTGTCCATCGATGGAGCCTTCCAGTTGCTTCGGACGCTATGAGGGAGCAATATATCCTTCACTAATGCAAATTGACATATCGAAACTATTGCCAGGAACAGCGCCTAGTTTTCATCAAAGGATAAAATTGAGAAAGAGCTTGATGTAGAGAAAAAAGACCCACGAGGTGGAATGCGCCGGTGGCTGCTAGACTGTTCGTTGAGTCTGCCGCGCTTGGGCAATGGTAGACGAGAGGAAGCGCGTGTTCTGCGGCATGGACCTGGAAGTGTTATGATATCCATCAATTGGTCATCTCGCTCTCCTGGATAGGTTCTGAACGAGGGACGGCACTAACGAGTTCAACGTAGCATGGATGGTCTCGTTTCTCCATTTTATAGGAAAAGAAGTCGTCGGCGGAGGGAACTGAAGAAGCTAGTGTGGGGGCTCAGATGAAGAGCTGAAGCTGTCGATTGGAGGAGAACGAGGGGGTGCCTTTATACTTGCTATACTGCTGTGTATCTCGGGAAAGGATAAAGGCGGTTCTGACCAATATACCACGAGCATAGCTTCTAATATGTACTGAAATGGACATCTGACGCCTTCCACAGCTTTGCGGCAGGTTCGAGGTCGCCGAGGTACTCCAGTGACCGATCTCCTGGGCACAGGGTATGCAGTTAAAGTGACATTAAGCGCTGAAACTCCTTTATGGCATGGTGTGCACGCTGGTAGTTCGATCGCGCCCCTAAATGGGTGTGTCATTTCCCGTCCCATGTCAAGGAAATGAGGACTGGCATATTTAGTACTGAGAGTACAGAATTCAAAGGTTTATGACGAGACGTATGTATCGTACCATCCCTCTGGCGCATGCCTACCTCGTGGCCACGGTTAGCCAGGTGAGGCCTTGTATGGAGGCCTCATTGGGTTAGGGATACCCCTGTAGCTGGCGCTTAGCCGGGGGGACCCGAGCCACTGGGAATTCGCGTTCAAGGTGTAGATGTATGCTTCTATATGTAGTTACTGGAAAGGGATTTAGTAACAGTGTTCTAAATTGACAGTACTGTGATGGTTATGGGGTTCCGTTATCGATTTGCAGATAAGCGCCCGGGCTGCACAGCAGCCCCAGTGCTGTCACGACACTGCGGGGCAGTGGCCTCTCACACGATCATCTCTGGCAGCGAAGCACGAGATGACGATGCTGTTGAATTTCGAATTGTCCCCACAAGAGAGCAGGCTTGCGGCATGCAACGCCTTCTCTGTGGGAAAGCACCCCGAAAACATAATAAGCGCCGATATACTTGCAACCCTTCACATCCATCCATCTCGTTCAGGTTGAAATGGCTGGATGTTTTATTCGGACGAAATAGTGTAATGGGTTGGAAAGGATTAACTCGACGATGTGATACCGGGTCGGATTCGGGTTGTCCAAAGGAGTAGTAATCCGAATTTCCGACCTCGTGGCTCAGTCCACTGAGCCAGAGATCGGTGTGTATCGGTGCTCAGCACCGTGGTCGTCGTCTTCGCCATCGAGGCTGCCAACCGGGGCCCAAGTGCAAGGTGGTGGACTCGGATATTCATGGCGGATTGATGGCCTGCTGAGGTGGCAGTCAGGGTCCTCTTCTTGGCCCATTATACGGATCATCCAGTGCGGTAAGGGCATATAAACCTGTCGCCTGCGTCTCCCTCCTACAGATATCTCTTTTTCCCCGACCTCATCCGCTCTCTTCGCTTTCAACCCACCACGTTCAAGATGTTCGCTCGTTTGACCACCGCCCTCGTCGCATTCACCCTCGTCTCTGCCGTCGTAGCGAACCCCGCTCCAACAGAGATTGAGTACGAGCAATGCGAAGGTGGTACCGTCCAATGCTGCGCCAGCTACCAAAAGGCCACAGATCTGAACGCTGAGTGGACCAAGTGGCTGGGCTTCCTCAACATCAACGCCAGACAGGTTGATGCAAACGTGGGCTTCACTTGCACTGGCGTCAAGGCTGGCGGTATTGGAGGTGCTGCTTCATGGTACGACGTGGCGCCGCCTATTCTTAAGCGGTTGTTGACTGATTGATTTCGTTGTCGTGGTTAGCACCCAGCAAAAGCTTTGTTGCACCAACAGTAACTTCAGTGAGTAGCGCCCCAGACTATCCGCCCAACAATGACTGACCGATACCACTACAGACGGTGTTGTTGCCATTGGATGCACTCCTATTCTCTCCGCTCTCTAAGCGAGCACTTGGCCGTAATCAAGTGGGATGTGCGTATTCACTCCGATTTGCTTCAACTTCCATGGCTGACTCTCATCTGCGTGTAGAAATACTTGCCATTTAGAGTCCCTCTTGGTTCATACGCACACGTTCCTTACGCTACATTCATTTAGTGTATGAAACATTCAGTTCCCCATAATCTTCCAATCACTGGATCAATTGATTTTATTGCACGACCTTCCACGATGACCTCTGTTTTCCGACCGAACAGGATAAGGATAATAGTATAGTGCGTCGAGGGACAACGCGACCCTGCCCGAAGGAATGAATGTTCGAGACTGCTACCCACATTGGGGCCCTGTCATCCTATTAGGCGCCCGCCAAGCCTCTTGTGATGAAGGTTTCCGAACTCGCCGAGCTCCCCCCCCCCCCCCAGTGGGCACTGCCACACCACGTTTGGTCGATCGTTCCCGATTCTCGCTTAGATTTTTGACCCAGTCCTCATCCTTGGTTTCGTGGCCCAGTGGCCACCAACCTAGCAATGGCTGAGAGTGTCCAATAGTTTCTTCTGTCAGCTCATATCGAGGTTACTTCCCTCTGTATATACAGTTCTATACTTGAAATCCCCGTCACCGGCAGGGACATTGTCGTGAACAGCCGGTATAGCCCCTATTTTTCATCTTATCTTATCTAATCTGTTTCGCATCTTATCGTTCCACTTTCCTTTACTCCTTCGCCTCCTTATTCCCTCTATGGACTCTTTCACTCATGGAACACTGCCTCGCATTGCCCTTTGCCCTACTCTATCGTCCTTATTGTTACGCACTGCCTTCTGACACACTCTGACACCTTCTTGTTCCATTATTGTTTCATTCTTGTTCTTCGCGCAGCCTTCGCGCAGCCTCATGACCTTTCTTATTGTTCTTCGATGTTTCACCATTTGTTCGTCATTCTGACTCACTGCGGCTATGTAGACAGTAGAATAGGTATATAAGCTAGGTAGTCTGCTCTGTATTTCCTCAGCTTGACCTCTTCGTCAATACATCGCTTCAGCCTTCATCTGCATTCGTCGCTCATCGCTCTTATCTTACTCGCCGCTCTTATCTGCTCCGCATCACTGGTCTTTGGTTTGGTTTAGTGTTCGCTCTTCGCGACATTAGGTCAAGCTGCCCCTGTGCACTGGCAACGCCGATCGTTGTCCCTGCATTCCGGATCCCCTGGCACTCTGGTTGACCTGCCGGATCAGGTCTTACTCTGGCAACTCTGGTTTTCCGACACCGTCAAGATTAGCTGCGCAGGATACCCACACTTCTTCGCCTCTAGTAAAGACCTCAACCCTGACAAGTGGTTTGGCATCGATTGCCACCTCGATAGCAAGGAAGAGGTTGTAGAGTGTGACAGTTCCCCCTGCCCCAACCGCCTCAGTCTCCGGCCCACCTTTCACCAGTTACGACGCCTGCCAGACAGCCAGCTTCTACGCTGCTGTTTGCACCTCCGACAACGCCGTAAAAGCCCGCGAATTTGCCAAATCCAGGAAAGAAGAATCGAAGAAGAAAACCCCACCAGTAACTCCGCCGCCAACTGTCACACAGCTCTTACCAGAAGATTCTCCCCAGTCTTTCCATTCCGCCGACTCTACCCCTGCCCCAGTAACAGCAACCACCAGTACCGCACCGAAGTCCTTTCGCCCTCCCGTCAACATCATCTGAAGAAGACAGAAGAGGACGACAACGACAAGGAAGACGAATCCGAAGAAGAAGAAGACTCCGAAACACCCGTCCCCTTTCACGTTACCTACGCCGCGTTAGCAGAAGCCCTTCCCGCAGTAACAAGTCTCCGCCGCTCCGGGACACTCCACCCTCACCACAACCCTTACCCTCACTCCTCGCCGCGCCCCTCACACCACTTCCCATCCCCAGGGAGTCGGAGGACACGTCTGTTGCCCAACGCTCAGATAACGAACCTCCCACTTCCACCTTATCACCATCTTTATTATCCCCACCCACTTCTCTGCCGCTCGTCCAACAAGACCCCATTATCAAACCCGCAAATCCTATCCCCGATCTCAGTATGTCCGACACCACTCTTCTCAAGTTGCTTGCCGAGCAACAAGAGACTACCAGGCGTATCCAGCAATCCCTGGATAAGCTCACGGCTGCTAAGACCGCTTCCACTAGAAGCCCCGTCAAAACGCCTGAGCCCTTCAAGGGTGACTCTGGTGATACCCAGCGATTCCTCCGCTATTTCACCAACTGGGCCTCCGCCGAGTCCGAACTCAAAGGAGATGACAAGAAGTGGATCTCAGCTGCCCTCTCGTACCTTCAGGGTGCTGCTGCCTCCTGGGGCTGTCCAATACCTGGATCAGATTGCCGCCCACGAGGCTGCTGTCGACGCTGCTCAGAAGGCCGCCCACCCCTGGCCCTTCAGTGGCGATTGGTCCACTTTTGTGGCTGCCTTCAAGAAACGCTTCCAACCCGCCGACCAGGAGAAAGCAGCTGAAGCCCAGCTCGAGGCCCTTACCCAGGGATAAACAATCTGCTTCCCAGTTCGCAGCCAAGTTCATGGAGATATTTCCCCGCACCGGTCTATCCCAGAAGGATGGTATGGCACGTTTTCGTCGCAAACTCAGTTCCAACGATCGCCTCATGCTGGATCTTATCGCCATCACCAAACCGGACGATGCCAAGCCCAAGACCCTTCAAGACTACTGCGACATCGTCAACCAGAATGATTTTACGTTTCACGGAAGCAGCGCCTCCTTCTTGACCCCGACTACCTCGTCTTGCTCTGCCCCTGCCCGTGACCCCTATGCGATGGACATCGACGCGACCCGTGTTGGACCTAGTGGCCGTTCCCGTGAGGACTTCCTCCAAGCAATGCGTGGACGATGCTTTGGTTGCGGATCCTCCGCCCACATCAAGAAGGACGGCAACCACGGCTCACTTCGTTGCAACCACTGCCAGCGTCTCGGCCACTCCGCTAACGTCTGCCAAGACAAGTTCATGGGCTATCCGCCCGGTCGAGGACTCACCCAACGTCGTCGTGTTGCTGCCACCCAGGAGGCTCCCTTCTCGCTCTTCGATGACTCTTCCACACCCGCCGCCACCATTGCTGCCACTTCGCCTGCCCCACCTGCCGCCACCTCGTCTAACGTTTCACTCGCCGATCTCTTGGTTGCTCAGAAGAACCAACAGGACATCCTGAAGCGCCTCGAGAAGATCCAACAACAGGGTTTTTGAAGAGGGTGCCTGCTCGTGCTGCAAGGCACGCACCCTTTTCTCCGCTGTACGCCGTCTCTGAGTACGATTCAATTTATTCATGTACCATTAGCTCTATACGCGAAATACACCCCGGTTCCTCGCATTTCCGCATTCGCATCAGACTCAGAGGCAGAAATCGTACGGCAAACCCCGCAGCAATGATCGATTGTGGCGCCACTGGCAAATTCCTGGACAAACCTTTTGTGGAGAAACACCGGATCACCGCTTATCCCCTTCGACACCCAATCCGACTTCTCAACATTGATGGAACCCCAAATCAGGCAGGATGCATCACCCACTTCGCTCGTCTGGAGCTCACGGTGGACGGCTACTCCGAGTGGACGGATTTCCTCATCACCGATCTCGGGGGGGAAGATGTCATCTTAGGTCTCCCTTGGCTTCGCAAGATCAACCCCCAGATCGACTGGCGGAACGGCACACTAGAGATTTCCCCTCCTCGTATTTCCAGTGTCACCATCGAAGAAGTCCCCGATGAAGACGCACAGCCCCCTCGAAAGGAAACCCCCCTCCGGCCAATGCTGTTATTGAACAGATCTACAACGACCCCGATCCGCCCGTTCCTACCGCTTTTGACGATTCCCCGGCACCCGACCCTGACTTCCAACCAAGCGAACCTCCCCTCTGCCGCATCCGCGCTAACCGAGTGACCCGGCGGAAGTGGGTTCGCAAAGGATTGATCGAGGACACAGGCGACGAACTTTGGTGTGCCGCAGGCTTCACATACTCCCAGCAGATTGCCGAGAAATCCCAGAAGGACAAACCCCAGAAGACATTCGAGGAGATGGTTCCACCCCAGTACCGACAGCACGCTTCCGTCTTTTCTGAATCCGAGTCTCATCGCCTCCCGGAGCACAAGCCTTGGGACCATGCCATCGACCTCGTTGCAGGGGAGCACCGGCCACCATGCGTACCAAAGTCTACCCCATGTCGCAGAACGAGCAGGAGGAACTGAACCGATTCCTCGAGGAGAACCTCAAGAAAGGCTATATCCGACCATCTAAATCGCCCCTCGCCTCCCCGGTTTTCTTTGTCAAGAAGAAGGATGGAAAACTCCGGTTCGTTCAAGACTATCGGAAGCTCAACGAGATTACGGTGAAGAACCAGGTATCCCCTCCCCCTTGTCTCCGACATTGTCAAACCGACTCCGCGGCGCCAAGTACTTCACCAAGTTCGACGTCAGATGGGGCTACAACAACATCCGTATCAAGGAAGGAGACGAATGGAAGGCCGCGTTCGCCACCAACCAGGGTACTCTTTGAACCATTGGTCATGTTCTTCGGCCTCACCAATTCCCCGGCAACGTTCCAAGCACTCATGAACTCGATATTTGCTGATCTCATTGCTTCAGGGAAGGTCGCAGTTTACTTGGACGACATCCTCATCTTCACGGCTACCCTCGACGAGCATCGCCAAGTCGTACACGAAGTCCTCCGTCGTCTCAAGAAGCACGACCTCTACCTTCGTCCGGAGAAATGCGAGTTCGAGCGGGAAGAGATCGAGTATCTCGGCCTGGTCATTAGGGAGGGAGAAGTCCGTATGGACCCTGCCAAGGTAGAGGCAGTCCGCAACTGGCCTATCCCCCGCAACCTTCGCGCTGTCCGTGGGTTTTTGGGCTTCGCCAACTTCTACCGCCGTTTCATCAAGGATTTCGCTACTATCGCCCGACCTCTCAACGATCTTACTAAGAAGGACATGCCCTGGCAATGGAACGAGCCGCAACAACAGGCGTTCGACACCCTCCGAAACGCGTTCACCTCCGCTCCAATCCCTGACGTTATGGGACCCCGATCGACCGACTCGCGTTGAAGTAGACGCCTCTGGGTTTGCCACTGGAGGAGCCCTCCTTCAGAAGCTCGACGATGGACTCTGGCACCCCGTTGCTTTCCGCTCCGCCTCCCATGCAACCGGCCGAAACGCAACTATGAAATCTACGACCGAGAAATGTTGGCTATCATCGAAGCACTCAAGGACTGGCGACATTTCCTGGAGGGACTCCCCAAACCGTTCGAGATTGTTACCGATCACTCCAACCTGGAATACTGGCGCACTGCACAAGATCTCAGTCGACGACAGGCCCGATGCGTCCCTCTACCTCTCTCGCTTCAATTTCACGCTCACCCATCGTCCTGGAAAAGGCCAACACCCAAGCTGATGCCCTATCCCGCCTCGACACTCATCAGGTTGCGGACGCAGAGGATAACAAGCAACAGGTTGTTCTCAAACCAGAGCTTTTCGCCAAGCTCGCAGCCGCCCACACCGTCCTTGCCAATCCCCTCGAAGATCGACTTCGTCGAGCCAGCGCCCGCGAATCTCAGGTCCTAGATGGACTCGCCCAACTCCGCAAGTCAGGGCCTCGTCGCCTCACATCCGGACTCGCTGAATGGGAGGAAGACAACGGCCTCGTTTACTACAAAGGCCGTGTGTACGTACCTCCAGATGACGAACTCAGACGCGACGTCCTCAACCAGTGTCACGACGACCGCACCTCTGGACACCCTGGCGTACATGGAACCCTCGAGCGAGTTGAGCGACAGTATTGGTGGCCAACGATGCGAGCCTTTGTCAAGAAGTATGTCGACGGCTGTGATGTCTGCGCCCGGAGGAAGCACGCCCAGCATCCTCGAGCTTCCACCCAGCCGTTGGACGTTCCTGAAGGACCTTGGGAGACAGTAGGAGTTGACCTCATTACCCAGTTGCCAGAAGCCCATGGATACGACGCAATCATCGTCTTCACCGATCACTACAGCAAGGTCCTTCACGCCCTCCCCTGCACATCTGACATCACCACCGAAGGCGTCGCAGACATCTACTATCGTGAAGTGTTTCGTCTCCACGGCCTACCACTCCGGTTCATCAGCGATCGAGGACCCTCAATTCGCTTCTAAGGTCATGCGCACTCTGCTCAAGCGCCTCGGCATTGAGTCCAACCTCACGACCGCCTATCACCCTCAAGGCCAACGGACAGACCGAACGGGCCAACCAAGAAATCGAGAAGTACCTCCGCCTCTACGTCTCCCGCCGACAGGATGACTGGGACAAGCACCTACCGATGGCCGAATTTGTGATTCAACTCCCGCGTCCACTCTGCTCATGATCACTCACCCTTCGAAGTCCTCTATGGTTACATTCCTCACTTCAACATCCCCATCAGCAAGCGAACTGAGATCCGCCCTGTTGACGAGCGTGTCCAGCAGCTACAAGAAGCACGCAAGGATGTGGAAGCTGCCTTACGTCTCGAGAAGGCCCAACAGAAGGATGTGTACGAGTCCGGCAAGCGAACGGCCCATCAGTTCAAGGTTGGCGACTACGTTTGGCTTAACGCGAAGGACATCCAGATCAAGGTTCCGTCCCGCAAACTCGGCGATCTTCAACTTGGTCCGTACAAAGTTACCAAACGCATCGGCGACCTCGACTACCGCCTCGAACTTCCCCCGTCCCTCTCCCGTATTCATCCTGTGTTCCACGTCGACAAGCTCTCCCCCTGGAAAGGCAATGATGTCAACGGCATTTTGCCACCCCCGCCTGAGCCTGTCGAACTAGAGGGGGAGCTTGAATACGAAGTTCACGACATATTGGACAGCCGTTGGAGAGGTCGAGGGAAGAATCGCAAACTGGAGTATTTGGTCAGTTGGAAGGGTTACGGGTCGACGGATGACACTTGGGAACCGGAGGAGAACCTGGAGCACGCACTCCGAGATTGTGAAAGGAGTTCCACCAGCGACACCCCTCTGCACCACGCCGCATTTGCCGCCACCGTCTTCAGCTCTCTCCCCTGGCGCCCACTTGAGAACTTCACCGACGCTCCGCCTACCGACCTCGACTGGGAACTTGGACGCCGCCTACCATTGGTCATCGAGGACGATGAGGCTTAGAAGGGGGGTAATGTCGTGAACAGCCGGTATAGCCCCTATTTTTCATCTTATCTTATCTAATCTGTTTCGCATCTTATCGTTCCACTTTCCTCTTACTCCTTCGCCTCCTTATTCCCTCTATGGACTCTTTCACTCATGGAACACTGCCTCGCATTGCCCTTTGCCCTACTCTATCGTCCTTATTGTTACGCACTGCCTTCTGACACACTCTGACACCTTCTTGTTCCATTATTGTTTCATTCTTGTTCTTCGCGCAGCCTTCGCGCAGCCTCATGACCTTTCTTATTGTTCTTCGATGTTTCACCATTTGTTCGTCATTCTGACTCACTGCGGCTATGTAGACAGTAGAATAGGTATATAAGCTAGGTAGTCTGCTCTGTATTTCCTCAGCTTGACCTCTTCGTCAATACATCGCTTCAGCCTTCATCTGCATTCGTCGCTCATCGCTCTTATCTTACTCGCCGCTCTTATCTGCTCCGCATCACTGGTCTTTGGTTTGGTTTAGTGTTCGCTCTTCGCGACAGACATCGTACAACCTTCTTGTAACCCAACTATAGTACAACGATAGACTCGCCAGCCCTGTCTACGAAGGAGAAAGTCCAAAACGACAAGGGGCGGCAACTAAAGACGGGGAACGATAGGTGTAATGACAGGCTACAGCCTATTGGGCAAGCGTTGAAAAGAAACGGGTCGCTGACGGTGTGTAGGTACATTGTACCACCAGCTCGTACATAACATAACGAGGCTATTCAATGTGCAGATAGTTATGTACTACGTTCATGAGGCTCAATGAGGGCTCCTGACGTCTAATCCGCCGTGGTGTTGCCACCAAACAGTATCACCTGAATCGTGCAGTAGATGGCCCACAGCGACGATTTCTAGATGCAAAATATATCAGTGAGTGAGGCAAGAAAAGGAGGGAAGGTGCTCACAACGGTAGAGATACGCGAGCCCAGATATCCTGCGTAGACATCCACTGGAGAGCCGCGCTCTGCTGACTGTGTGTCCTTCCAGCGATGTCGTCAGCAAGGCTCGGGAGGAGAACGACAAACCAAGGAATCACCTCGATGTAATCGGCGCTGTAAGTGATCCAGGATGTGGCCTATTGACGCTGGAGATGTTAGTGAAGATCTTAGAGGCGGTCTCGTGTAGGTCCTACCGGTCCACCGACTTCAGGCAGCGCATACGGTACAGGTGACGGAGCCGGGCCCAGGTTGATGTGCAACTCTCTATGAGTGGCAGGCATGGTGTCCTCGAGCCTCGCGACACTGTCCCCGGTATTGACGACGATGGAGAGGCCTGGGCAGACTAAGGGAGAAAGAGACATTCGAGAATGATGGTGCGACGTGGAAAACTGAATGCAAAGAGAAGGGAAAAGAGAGAAAATAAAGGAACGGGTAGGCGAAAAGGATGCTCCATTCAGCCCAGCCAGTCAGACGTAATAATTGCACGGGATCGCTGGACATTCAGGGTCCAACAAGTCGCATGACCCCAGAAACGCTGGGACAGGAATGGCAACTAACATTTTAGAACCGTGAAAATAAACCCACACAGCTTGGTTATCCGGCCTGTTTGCGCTATCACTCTGCATCTCTCTCGGGAAAAGTGTCTATAACGTCCTAATATTCAGCGGTATAAGGTATTGAGTGAAACTGAGAAAGGGACGAGTGAACTCACCAACGAACGAAATATTCAGGTAGACTCCTTTTACTCCTTTTGCCCTTTTTGCGACTTTGTTGACACGTCCAAATACCATCAAATCTTTAAATGTGGCGGTTGTCGCCATCTCGGAGGTCTCCTCTCGACATCCATGTCAACTGACACTCGAAATGTCTGTTGCGTTGGCTCAACGGTAAACCACAAGGGTCCCTGGATGGAAAGCCCTCGTAAGGCGCTGGCTCCCCGTGGAGAAACCGAACGTGTTAGTACCGATTTGTGATTCCACCGGTACATCTCCAACCTTCGAGAATGCCGAGGAGGGCCTGAACAGTGTGTTGACCAATTCGGATTCCTGGCGGTAAAGGTGAGTTGTTTCTTAGGCACGAGAGCCTGTGTTCCCTGACACTGATGTTAGCTAGCAGGAACACGCCGACTGGTTGTATCGAAGAGTCATACCGGTTACTTTGAGCTTCCAGAGCCGTCGGATTCCACAGGAGGGAGGGGTTGGGTTGGGTGGGAGTTGGATTGCGATGATTTAATCGTGCTCGGTTTGGGAGGTTTACCAACTGTGCAGGATGGAAATGGGGGCTCGATCCAGCATTTTTTGGAGCTGTTCTCCGGGAATGGATGGATTGGATTGCGATGATTTAATCGTGCTCAGTTCTGGGAGGTTCCCAACTGTGCAGCGATGGAGATGGGGGCTCGATCTAACATTTTTCGGAGCTGTTCTCCGGGAATGGATGGATGTACCTGGGGCTGGTAACCGATAGTCCCGTGGCTCCAAAGGCCAATCTTATGGTTGTTCACGCCCCCACGGTGAACTGGTACTGAGCGTGATTCGCTGGTTCCGTGACACTTCCGGATAAGGCCTATACCTATGCTTCCATCAGTTCAATGAACACGCCAGAAACCAGTGACAATGATTTCACCGCGATGCACCCTTCGACAATGTTTGGGTCGCGACCTGACATATCTGTCGCGTACTAGGAGCGGGAGACCGACATGGTACCCGTTGCTACGTCGAATTCCGAGGCCAATAGAGATTTAGCGCGCTTTGAGCACTGCACTCTGGTCCGTTGAGGGGCACTCACAGAGCCGTGTCATCCGGTACTGTTCGAGAGTAACTGCCAGTGAGTGCAACCTAGGGAGGGTCAGGCAGGTCCTCCAAATTTTCCAAGGCATTGCGGGTATTCCCAGCTTGGAGGCTTTGAGGACAGGGATACTGGCGTCTGACAGAGGGTCTCCCAGAGGCACTACTGGATTCATGTTGGGATTCAGATACCTGAAACTGGAGCCTTCCCTCTCCTTCAGCTCCCTGGGATGAACCTACGAATTCCGTACGGGAATCTAACCATGGCGAACACGTATGCTGTTCGCTGGACGAACTATCCCTCTTGTCACTCGGTGTCCTTGGGGAAAAGCCATCCGTTCTGTGGGCAACTCATGTCTAGAACGAAACGCAGCGACTGGAGAGCGACGTCCTCCTGGTGAGGTGTTTTGGTTCCTGGAGCATGAATTTCCATTCAAATTACCAAGCGAACCCTAATCGACCCACCAAACTCGACTCCAGTTCATTTCAACCAGACTATGACCAGCTAATGTTGCAGTCGTCGTCTCTACAGCTGTATCCGCAGCTGCAGTCACTCGGCTAGTCTTGACAACCAATACTTGGAGGAACGTGGTTCGAGCGAAGATGAGTTCATTTGGCGATTCTGGAGGTCCTTTGCGTAACATCCCGCTGGATTAACGCCCTTGACGATGGCCATGGGCTTTCTCTGAGCCACTAGCAGAAGATGATGGTGGTTGGAGGCAAAGGACGGTTTCATTGTGTCAAGGGCGATTCAGGAATCCCGGTGCCCGTCCCGCCCCCGGCCATCACCAGGTTCGCGGAGTTCCTGCCCTCTAGGCCTCCAGGAGCTACATAATGGCAGGGATTTCTGATTTTTCAGGTAAGGTCCCTTTCAACGTGAATATTTTCGCCCTCATGCCAAGGTCTTTACCAGCCATAAGATAAGAGACATGAAGGCATGCGCATCCTCAGGCTGGAGCGAATCCGAGGCTGAGCGCTCAGCCTCCAAAGTCCTCGTGGCCGTTGCGAGCGCAAATTGAGTCGGACACCGCTATCCCTCTGCCGATATCCACGTTGTGACAATGTCTCAGAACGAGGTACGTAGGTGCTGCTGAACCATACCCCTCTAGTAACCATCAGGGAAGGCGTGAGGGAAAGATCATTCTATTTAATGGTATCTATACATAGCTCTTCATAGGTCACAAGTCCCTTGTTGCTTTGTTTGATAGGACTATATAAAGGGTGATGGTCCTTATGAGCTCCAATCTTAAGGACTTGGACTGAGAATTATTCTCCTTCCTACGCTACTGACAAGGCCCGTCACCAGGTAATGATTGGTCGCGGATAGCCTTTAGCTTCTATATGATAAACACCCGTTAAACTGGATGATCTGGCCATTTTGCCCATGTCGATTGACTTTGTCTACCCAATCAACCTGTCTGCTACTGTCAACCATGGATCAGGATGGCCAGATGGACATCGACTTCCACATTTCCCGGAGGGATGCATCTGACAATAGCCCCAATGAAGGGAGCACCTATAATGCATCTCCGAAAGCAAGAAGCGCCCAGCCTCTCTCTACACGCCCGAGGTGATCACAGCTGGACTCGGGGCATACGTCATCAAACCCACAGTCCAGGCACCGTTGACAAGGCCCCGCCGTTCAGGTAGCGCTGATAAACCATTGACATCTTGTTGTCTGTGACGATACCACCCAGTTGGGTACCAATGAGGATCATGTCAAGTATTACACTATTGACAGTGTCCAAAACCGATGGCAAGGATGATCTACGGGCTTTGGGAAGGTGCGAGTGACAACGCGCGACTTAGGGACAGTGGTGATAGGTGCGACCGAAACGAGGTCATTGATACACAGGCCCGGAATTATAGTGCTTACAACCATTTAACTGACGGAAAACGATGACCAGAGGAAACCTCGATTGTCCATCTGGTCATGTAACCCTCTCAGATGTGTTCGTCAAGGCTCACCAGTATGGAAAGGATGGTACAACTCACGATAATGAGCCAGATGATACTCAGTTCCCAGTGGAATAGTGCTGATGGCTCTCGCGCAATGATGAATCGAAATTCAAAACGCGACCGGTCACCGCGCTGCCTATCATTACTCACACCAGATCCATGTCCAAAATCACAGAACACATTTATTACCGCAGATCGTAATCTAAATCACAGCCAAAAAAACAAAACAAAAACAAAAAAGGTGAAATACGAAGCATATCAGAATGGTAGTCCACGCCCGGACTGCTGCTTCGCGACGGAGCGAGTAATCCTCGCGGTGAGTGCGGCAGTCTGAGCCTTCGGGGTGGAGATCGTACCGCTGGCAGAAAGTATTCGCTTCTGCTTCTTGGGCCTAGGGTCGTCGGGGGGGGGGGGGCCTGATTCTCCTCGTCCCCTTCAGCGTTGTCCACGTCATCTCTGCCTTCCTCCTCATGTACGGGATCCAGTATTCTCGATGATGAAGCGACGGGCTGCTGGCGGCGACCGCCGTTCGACGGCTTGAGAGCTTTTTCCTGAGCCTTGGCGTCTTTGACTGATTGGCTAAAGGCTTTGAAAAGTGCGTACGGGCTGTCGTCGGCGACGATGCGCTTCGAGTTTGTGAATGCAGGAAACACCTGCCTGTCCACCACGGGCTGTCAACGCAAGGTCGGGTAGAAGAACTAAACAAACTTACTGATTGTACCAATTCAGTAGCTCGATGACCTTGTGTTGTTGATGAACATCCTCGAAGATGTCAAGAAGGGCCTCGTAGAACTGCTCGCAATCGCTCTTGCCCTCCGAGCGGATGAACGCGGTTTCAGAGGACAACGCAAAACGAACCTAATGCATGGGCGGAGTCAGTATCACAATGGTGCTCGTCTGAAGGATAGGCGTGCTCACCTGTACAGCGACATACGCTAGCGATGGAGGGGTAGCCGCCGTCATTCCATGAATTCGCGCATTCCCGGATCGCGTGGCCTTGGGCACGTCACTGACTGAGGTTGGAGATGTAAAGATGTGTTTGTATGCCTAGACCATTGAGTGTATGTTAGTGAGGTCCAACTGTTCGAATGTGACACCAAACCTTCACGAGAATCGTGTTTCTGAAGAACCCCTTCCAGATATCCTTTCGGTCATACATACCGTCTTCCCAAAGGAAAGACGGGAGATCGCTCCCAACCACAACAAGTGATTTGTTGCGAAGCTGCTGTTTGATCCTATAGAACAGGGCCACTAGATTAGAATACGGGGCAATATAACAACGATAAACCTTACGTGGGGTTTGACCACTTAATATGGGGCGGGCAGAGAAGCTCTCCAGTACGGTCGTGATTGAAACCCCTGTCGACCTTGACGGTGCGCGACAGAGAGGGGTGCAACGGCTCATCGGGAGGGGCCAACCAGTCAATTATAACGGGCTTGAGGCTTTTGGTGTCGTCCGAACGAGCTTGATTGGCACCTTTCTGCAACTGGACAATCAAGAAACTTAGGATAGGCGAGACTCTGAGATGACTATCGTGGCTTACATGGCGAGCTATGGTATTCAAGTCTTCGTCATCTGCGGTGGCCAGGCGATCTTCGAAACCCGGGACAAGGTTAAGAAGCTTCCGATACACACGATGAGCGCGTCGTTGTCTGGTATCTATCCGTCAGTTGCTCGAGCGCACCAGTACTTTCCGAAAACTCACTGCTGGGTTTCTGGTCGCGTCCCGCTGTTGTCTACGGCCAGACCGTGGGTGATGACTGCATGGATGTTGGAGAAGGCGTAGATGGTTCGGCAGAAATGACGCCCGTGGTGGACCAGCTTGTCCGACTTCGTGCTGATAAGTAGTTGAGGGGATATCATGTAATACCATTAGACATCAAGACTCTACGTACGGTGGCTTCCGCGGGACCGGGTGGAGAGCAACCTGCTCTAGCTCGACATACTGCCTCTTTCTTGACGCCCGTTTACCATTGCGCGTCGGAAGTTGGGAAGGATGTAGGACGCCAAAACGAGGTGGGTCGAAGAGTTCCGAATCAGTGGCCTCTTCCACAAGCTTGTAACTCTCGGGATTGTTGAAGGCCTCTTCGTCGAGGATTGAGAGGGGACTAGATGGACGTTCGGATTGGGGCATTTTGCGAAAGCTCAGTGGAGGATGAGGTGCAGGAGAGGGTGAAGAATACAAGTTAACTGGCGTATGGTTCATCGAATATTTGTGCATGTTTAATCATACTTCTATATTTGGCATTACCTTTTTTGAAGTGTATGTTTCCATCTGGAGGTGATGACGGAATGTACCAAGGCATCAGCTAGTTCTACCGTCCGCTCACGCCAGGCTGTCGAATTCTCCAACTTAATTCACCCTATGTATATCACTTTTATCCACTACTAGTCCAGCAAAGTATTCCCATTCCTCAATGTAGAGGGATTTAATTGAACACTCGACGCATCCGAGTGTCTTCCTACTACGGATCCCTTCGCTTACTGAACTCTCGCCCGTGGGATTGGTACCTGAAAAGCCTAATTTGGGCATACAGCTTTTTGCCTTTCTAGTTCTCCTTGTCCGATTTGTTACTTACATACCAACCAACCGAAGGACCCTAATTTGGGATGCGGGGTTTTGCCTTTTTGGTTTCTGTCTATCCATTTCAGGCCATGCCCTCTTCTAGGGGCCGAAAGTCAGCCGAGTATCGCAGTCTATGCATCGATTCGGCTGTGACTAACTCGGTAACGAAACGTACCGATGGGTTCGCCGCAAACCACGGTAATGAGGAGCGGGAACAATCTTCGCTGACCACCGTGACTGACTAGCAAAGATGTGGACTCCGACCTTTAGGCTGAGGGTCTTCTGGTCTTGATTGGCCTCGTATAAACTGATTTCAAACTCCTCCAAGTTCAATTCCATGCGTTTTTTCTCCCTATCTCCGTCCACCATGATTATTGAATACTATTATTGAATACTACGGTATACATGTCAGCAAGGGTCTAGATATTAGCTCTCGACAATGGTCTCGCAATTTAGCCCCCAGAGACTTGTCAAATCGTACAAGTCTTGAAGACCCACATCTAGTTCCTGGACAATTGGAAGCGAAGGGCTGCGGTTAGTTCCAGAGGGATTTCGCGATGGTACCATTCCAAGCGCACCTGACAGAGCCGTACTTCCTTTTCCATGCGTGTATGAGGGCTAACAGTGTGCATGCCATCCCATAGCTGAGGAGGAATGACGCCAATCTCGGCGACGTTGGACGGCATAATGTATGCCTTCCCGGAGATAATGTGGAAGTTCTCCAACCTCAACTAGAGATAACGATGTCATTTCAATGCCACATTGAGCCGCGATATAGAGTAGACACACCTTATGTCCAACGTAAGTCTCGTCCAGTGAAATATGAGGGAGCGGCCCATTGATCTCGTAAGCATCGATCTCTTGGGAGCCGTCGGTGAGACGGAAATGGAGTGTCTTCCTTGGGTACTTTGGAAGAGAGGCTCGAATGGCAGCGGACTCCTCTCGAGAAAGCACTCTTCGTTCGCGCGCAGCTTGGGAAATTCGATCAAATATATACTTCTGACGCTCGATGCGAACCTTTTCCAATACGAAGGCGCTGACCCCAAGGTCGTCAATGGCTACCACCTCCATCCAGATCGGCCCTCGAATCTTGAGACAGGCGGTAGCGACGTTGGAGAAAGGAGGGAGTCCATGCCCTGCCAATGTCGATTGGGATAATGGGGTTCGGAAAAATATGGAGGCAAATTCTGCCAGAAATTGATCATCTTCGTCTTGAAATTCTGGATCGACGGGGTTCTCCTCCTGCCATCGAAGAGCCCGAGCAAACGCGTCATCGAGGAAGGCCTGTATGAATGGGAGGTTTTGACCTAAGACTTTGCTAAGACTGGTGCAAGGCCTTCGCGGACGTACCTGAACCAGGTTAGGGAAGGTCACTTCGATGGCAATTTGGATGTAAGAGTCCGTGGTATCCTGAGGTTCGTGGTCGTCTCCTTCCTCGCCGCGTGGTAGTCCTTCAATACAGCGGGCTGCCAGAAGGGGGGAAAGCATTTCAACGCGATGGGGAATAACGGCTGGATAGCTATAGAGGACGGAGGTGGTTGGAGAAGTTCTTTCAGATGAGTCCATGGTTTGAGATGACTTTCGTCTGCGCTTACCTTCAGCTCCACGGGTACTTTGCTGGTCAAGACAGATATGTCATCCCTGGGAATGTTCGGCGAATTATTCGAGAGGAAACGACGATACAATCGGAGGTGAACACAGATTGGTGAATACGAGCCGAGCCTGGAGGTAAGGTTCCTGGTGTCGGTGACAATTTTTCGAAACCACGGCATATCGTACAATGAACGGAGTGTCCGCTTGAGTAGGCGGCGTAAGGAATGAATACTGTTACCGCAGCCGTCCCAACCAAGGCTGCGAGTTCGTCTAAAATGGCAATGGCATCTCCATTTGCACGTCGGTTATTTACCGTTTTTGGCATCCCATAATTCAGAGGGCTCCGACACTTACCAATGAGTCCAATTGGCTGCTTTCACCGTGATGTTTGGACCAGCTCATCCCAGCTCGATTCGTCGAAGACATAAATACCTGGGTTGTTCGCTATGGTGTCGACGACAAGCCCTCGTTCACAACTTCCACTCCTCCCCATTCCGTCAGACCAACCACTACCATGCCTGCGTCGTACAAGCACCCCAGGTCCGAGCCTAAAGCTCGTCGCGTCTCTTTGAGGACGACTGGCCGCAGCTTGATGCCTAGCAGAGGCGGAGCTGCTAAACCCCTTCGCCACGAGCGTACCTGGTCCGGTCCAAACCCTTCCCTCAGTTCCACTCCATCCAACAACCCTTTCTACATACCTCCCAGCGATACGGCTCCTTCTACCCCCGTTGCCGCAGACATCGAGGCGTTCAAGCAGAGCTTCCCAAAGCTTCCTAGTGGTGGTCGAGAAAATCAGGATGAGGTTACACCAACCCCTCTCACTCGCCAGCATGCGGTTATCATTCATGGGAAGCCCCTTGGTGCTGAGAGACGTACAGGGTCCCATGTGGAGCTGCGTTCCACAGGTAAGCGTCCTGATTGTCAGAGATGGGACTTTTGACTCACCTCGTTCTTCATTAGGCGCCAAAGCCGAGGCTTCTATCGTCCAATCCTCTCCCATCTCAATTAAGATCGAGTCGTCGCCAACTCAACTAGAGCTGATTCTTAAAGGAGTCCTGCCGATTTTTTCGAGTCCTGTAGACGAGACTCAGAACGGTACGTTTGGCATATCTCTCTGACGCGTCGCGTCGAATCTTACCGAGTACTTCTTTGATCGCTAGTCTCCAACACACACTCGACCACTGCCCGCGCTGGCACCAGAACATCCCCGACCGCCAAGTCCTCGAGCCAACCCAGTTCTTCCAAGCGTCCCCTTGATTCCGCCAGCGACCATCAATCGCGCAAAGCTCGAAGGACCTCGAGGGCTGGCTCAAGCACCCGCAACCCCATCGAAGAATTGGTTCTCCAGTGGGCCCAAGAAGCGCTGGAGGAGGAAGAGGCTGTGACTGGGGAGGACCTTTTTCACCTGCCCCCGTTCTCGCGCCTTCCCCCTCCCCCACAGCAGACCAGATACAACCTTAGAGATCGTGCCAGGGTCGTCAAGCAGGAGACCGTTTTCGCTGGGCGAACGGAGCAGGATTATGTCGGTAAGTACTTGAAATTCCTATCATTGAAGTTTGTTTGGCTGAGTGATGTCCGATATAGATATCCGTCCGGCGTTCTTCCGCAAAGCTGCCATCAAGACGTTCAACCCAGCACGCCTTCCTGTACTGACAATCGACTTACTTCACAATCTCTGCTCCAGGACCCCCCGTGGACTAACCGTGGTTGAGTTCTCCAAAGTGTTCCTACAATGCGAAAGCTGCTCTTATTATCATTACGCCGAGCGCCTTGAGCAGCATTCATGCAGCGCGCCGCCAGTGCAGACCACGGAGTACAGGTCGATCGAGTACGACATCGGTATCGACTTCCTTGGATATCGTCGTCGGGGCATATCTGAAGAACGACTAAAGAGCATTTTTATTACATGCACGCTATGCGACCGTGTTTTTCTTAGGAAGTACAACCGCAGTCATATTTGTGATAGTGATCAGTAGGATAATCGATTAATCTCACGACTTAGAGAGCTAATTTCAGTGTTATCAACAAGCCTTGCGTTCAGACTTACTCAACACCCGTGCTTCGCACGGGCAGACTGCTAGTAAGTTAACAAAGCACAAGATCGGGAGCCTCGAAGGAGTGAAGGAAACGCATACATGAAACATATAATTTACGCCATGGATGGTGAAGAATTCGGTACAACATTGACGATCGAAAGCTGGGATGTAACAGTGGAAAGCAGCGAGAATAGCGATAGATGCAGCGGGTATGGGTAGGCAGTGGACAAAGGGAGATTGAGTGGCGGGGAAGGAATTGAATATCTTCAAGTGTATGGCCACATTTCTTGAACGTGCTTGGCGACTGCGGCGGGATTTGTGCTGTATGCGAAACCCAACCGTCGGACTTGGCAAACAGAGAGGCGCGACGAAAGAGGAACGGTGGCTTGGTTGGACTGGGTCTGGGAAGGAGCACGCGGGTTTACGATGGCCCCAAGTGTCTGATGATGGAGAAAAGCGTCGAGCATTGAACTGAGCCGTTCAGCTTCGGGGTAGTTTCGGAAATGCTCTTCGAGCACCGTGGTATTCTCGCTTATCCCTTCATCGAGAGACTTTTGGTTGTTTTGAAGTTCGATGAGCGTTTGTACGAGCTCGAAGCTTTGAAGGATCGTCGCACCGAGTTGGAATGCTACCTCATTCGTTCGTGCAATATTCTCTCCCCGAGCTTGGGCAAATGCTTGAGAGCGCTCTGCGGCATTTTGGAGAGATTGTGACGAGGAGTGAGATGGCGCTGGATGAGTAAGTGGTGGGACAGGAAGGGTTCTGGGGGGAGGCGTGTTTGGCGGGACAGGGGACGGTAGGTGCGCCAAAAGTGGAAGTTGTCCCTGCTGGAAACAAGGGTGAGAGACTCGGCTATCCATAAGGGAAGGATACATACGGTGCCAGCTGCAACATTATGGTCAGTTCTTCCGATTTTAGGGCGTGAAAACATCGTCGTTAGGCTGTGAAGATTCCGTGCATAAGTGTAATCCTCCCGAGTTTTTCTGTCCATTTTGAGTGGATAGTCCACAGGGACAGGGGCGGGCACAGGCTTCTCGTTATGAAAGGTCTCCTCTTCTTGCCTGAGAGATAGGTTAAAAGCTAATATGTGATGGGAAGTGTGCAGAATGAACTCACCGAATTCAATTGACGGGCCATGTTCATCGTCGCATGCTCTTTCGCGCATAGATTGGCGAGGTGTCGAGGGGCGTCCAGGGACCCTTTCCCTGTCTTTGCAGAGGGAAGAGGTCGTTACGCATGACGAGCTTCCCCTGGGGCGGGCGGGGCACCGAAGTCGTTCGAGGTGGCTCGACGGCCGCTGTTCGACAAATAGAGTCTGATCCTGGGCTTTGTTGGGCAAGCTGCGTAGCGCCATCGACTGTTCCAGGGAATCGCATTGAAGGAGGGAGGTGGGATGGCTTGAGAGAGGCATGGGCGGAGAGACTATTGGTTGAGGGTTGAGGCCGTTTGGAGGAGGGTGAGATCTTCGTCGAAATTCGACCGTCAAATCTAACAAAAGGGGTCACGCGTTCTATGACAGCAAATTGCCTTTTATTGTGATAAGGTGGACGGGTAGGAGGTTGGACGTTGACTGGAATTGGATTGCCAGTTTGCTTTGCCACATTGGCCTCAAGTGGACACGCGGCGTGCGGCGGAGACCGGATTTTTGTACTCCGACTCATCGCATTGAACAGAGCTGCCACTGCCCTCATGGTCATGCGCGCAGCCATTGGAAATTCGGTTTGTCATCAGTCTTGCCCTTTATCCGCCACTGCTCAACTACACACAACCGTAGACGGGTCCTCTAGGATGATTCTCGGAACTAGAGTCGCCACTTGTGATCAACAAGTACAGAGGTTTCGCCTTACGAAGCGCAAGTATCTTCAATCAGTCCCCAAATCAGCGATAGAAGGTCTTGGACAATGTGTTTTCGGTGAGGCTTGCCATTCCTTTCCGGCTTCAATGTCGTCAAAACTAGGCCTTGGAAGTCCTTGCCACTCATAGATTTATCTATTCAAGGTGCTGAAGCAAATTCGCGTGTGAGGATGGTGCTCCATACTGCGGAACTTGCCATGTTTGCCCCTTCGACAAATCACTTGCAGCGACCTTGTTCCTCCTTATCGATGGGGAAGTTGACAAGGGGATCAGGGTCTAAAGCTTGGCCTGTCATCCCCAAACACGTTCTCTTGGTCTTGTTCGCCTTTATAACATCAGCGTGTTTTACCATCCACCCAGCAATATCCACCATCCCCTGCTTACCATCGCCCTCGGATGCAGCCCCCGCAGTATCCATTCCTTGAAGGACAACATGTCGAGGGCAGCGAATTCACTGCTCCCTCGATGAATGCTCCCTCGTTCGATGGTATGGATGCGGCGTCGGGTCATCTTACGCTGGCCGATGCCCTCAACGTCTATCAGTATGGGTGTAAGTCCTTCCCTTGATGTTCGGAACCGGAATTGACCCATCAATGACAGCCTCTCTCACCGGTCAAGAGCCCATACCCCAGTCCTCCGATCGTGGATTTTCATCGGTCATCGCATCGTCTTCGCCTTACGCCAGTTCTGGTGAACAGCTTAATTCAGCTTCGTCGGGGAGAAACTATCACGGATCAGAGTCCACCCAGCCGTACACGCAGTCGCAGCACCAATGGGCCGACCAGCATCAGGGAAGGGAAGGTTAGCCATCCGTTCTAACCGAACTCGATCGGCGTGCTCACTCTTTGCAGCATTGTATCCAATGGGGAGCCAATCGATGGGCTTATTAGGTTAGATGCTAGGTCCCCAACTCTCGCGAACGTGGCGCTCACAGCGTCCTGTAGATCCCGGCTTCCAAGACGCCATTCGCGAGGCCGATTATTCAAATCCACAGCCAGTAACTCCGCTGTCTTACCTTTGTAAGTGTCCACTTAACCACGCCATCGTGTTCACAGTGCTGATGGGACGCGAACACCAGATCCACGCGGCGAGCCTTCAAGTACTGCCCGGCACGGTGGGTACTCCCAAGGGATTACCTCACACAACTTCAATCTCGGCAAGTCAATTACATCCTAGTGTATAAGGTTCATTCTGACTTGCCAGTATCAGAGCGTCGCCCAATGTCAAACGATGGTGCTCCAGCTTCCTATCCGGTTTCGGGTGCACCCGGTGGTTGGTTCACGTCTTTTTTCAACAAATGAACCTCATCATTTTGCTAGGTGTCGTTCCCCAGCCTATTCCGAACTTGCCCAACTCAGGATTGACCATACATTCAATGTCGAATCCAACCGGTAAGTCTTGCGAGTCTTGTGTCCACCTGGAATGTGGATGTACGAACGAGACTGAATGATCGTTCTAGGGTTAGCCCCAAACACCCCCCAACAATATCCCCAGTTCAATCAAGGCTCACTCCTTGGTGGTAAGAACACATCTTCATCGCACGACGTCGATCATGTTAATCGACTGTACTTAGAACGTCCCCAAGCCCACCCTCCACCTTCCCAGAATCCTTTACCGACGCCTACCTCGAACCTCGCCTCTTCCGCTGTCACAGGCTCAATTCCTGGTATTTAGCTTCTCTTTCCTTCCTCGACGTTCAGTTTACCTAACCATCTCGCTCAAGGTCACCACCGTCCCTCCCAGCATTTATTTCCAGGGCCTAGCTCAAACCCCGCTCCTCCCGTTACAGTGAAACGCTCAACATCTGGTATGTAGTTTCTCTTTCCTCGCTTGACGTTCAGGTACCTAACGGCCCATTCATTCAAGGTCGACGTCGTCAGTCCACCCGCGAAGTCGCGACGCAGTCAGACTCGAATCCCCCAGCAATTCAAGGGCAAGGTACGAGCAGATCATCCCCGCCAGTCACTAAGATACGGAGGTGATCATTGAACATACAGCCCGGACGACTAGTACCACATCCACGCTCCGTACTCAGATTAGTCAACCGCTTGGCCAGGGCCAACCCACGTCGACGGTGCGTAGTTTCACTTCATATTTACAATGACCACTCGTGACTTACGTCGTACTCAAGAGTCGTCGTGGTAAGTTTACTGTATGGGTTTCGACGGAGCCGATTCCGTCGGATGTCGACGAGGTCCAGGTTGGGCAAGTTCTGGGGTCTACCATTGTTCACAAAAAGGCCCAGGGCAACCAACCGTCTGTTCTGTTCGTCAACCACACGCCGGACACCCTGCGCAGTAAATATGAGCCCAAAGACGAAGGTTCGTTCCGGGTTACTTCCCAGCATGTTAACTTAGGAGTGACTGTTGTTGCCAGAGACCACAGCAGCTACTTCTTCATCTGCTCCAGCCCCCACCTCAGGCAATGGCGGGGCGGAAGCGTCCACCTCGTTGCCCACCTCGTTGCCAGCCCATCTTCGAGAGAAGTTACTTGATCCGAAATTTCTGGAGCGCTTGGGCAAGTCGGATCCTCGTTCAATAACCACCATCACCGACATCTTCCAGACGTTCCACGACAAACTCACCGAAGAACTGGCGAGAACCGCTCCGACGTGCATACAGCAGGAGCCCTTAAAGGAAGCGAAGACCATTCTCATTTCCTGGGGCCTGCAGTACGTCTTGAACAATATGACCACTGGGATGATCGTCTCGCAAGAGGACCTCGAGCAGAGCCTTACAAAGCGCCTCAACAGTGGCGATGTCATCGGGCATGTGTGCCAGGCTTGGAAAGGTGCCCATAGCAAAGTCGCTGAGAGTCGCTCGCGTTCTGGATCCACTCCGACGTGTCGTCGCCCGCGATCGACATCTCCGTCCCGGATGAGTCGACCACGCTCGGTATCATCTCCAGGCTTAAATGCTCGCCCTCGCTTATACTCCCGTTACTTCGCAACCGACGACTATACCCTCCGTAAGTCCACGCCATCCTCAGTACTTTTCCGCTTTCTCATAGCAGCGACCCATTTTCTATAGACTTCTCGCCCGAGGTGGCCAAAGAAATCAAGGAACATCTCCTCACCGACTTAAGCATTTTCGTGAGTCCATTTATCCTCCCACCCACCACCTCCGCTCACTGCCACCTCATCATACCTAGCTCACCGACAATGTCACGGCCCCGTTCATTGAGGGCATGGTGGACCACGCCCTTCGCCTGCTCGTCGACCTTTTCCCAGAACTCAGACGCTTCTTCGACTCGACTGCGGGTTTTGACATCACCGATCTGATCAATGTCATCCTCAATATTGCTCTGAGTGGATGCTACATGCACTACTATGGGACGAAGCCCGACGGCGTTGATCTCCCTTTCATGCAGACTGAGTACCAGCCCCATGTAAGTCATCTCCGAAGGCTTAAAAGCGTTTGTAGTCACTGATAAACCAGATATTAGCCCACTACTCAAGAGTCTTTCCAGATCGTTCTTTGCCTCAGGGCAAACACGATGGTCGCCAAGAACCGCGAGCCTTACGTTCTGCATTTCCGAAGCGGTGGGGTGGTCGCGCTATTCACCTGGATGGTGAGGGGGTTCCGAAGCCTCGTCGGTAGCAGCCCCAATCCTGTTCTGGAGCGACTCGCTGGTCAGGGATGCCACCCACCCCTTGATCAGGACTTTATGGATCAAGCTCTGGTTCTTCCAATCGCCATCGTAAGTTTCTACAATCTCTACATCATTTTGAATTCGTTGGCGCTGATGCAAAACTTCTCCAGATGAGTATGGCACTGTATGGTTGCTATCACTTTCGCAGCCTAAACGTCAAGGGTAGTGAGATACTCGAAAGCGAACAGTGTCGGAATGTACTTTCCCGCAAGCTGGCTACTGCAGGGAGCGCCTTGAGGACATTCGTCAAGGAAGACCCCGTCGAGTATGCCGAACTACGCCGCCATCTCCTTCATTGTGTCGACATGTATACGACTCCGGCGCCGATACCCGCACCTCTCGATCTCGGCCTGACCTGGACAGTCGGCAACGCCGTGCACCTCAACTTTGGACGTCCACTCCTTGCACACGCTAGTCATGTCGCCCTTCACGAGGAGCATGAGATGGATGATACAGATGGTAGGTCTTATTTGATTAGTAATTCCGTCCGAGATATGGTTATGAAATTCCTTCTTAGGCGACTCTGTGTCCACCAACGCCGTAACCAGCCACCTCGCGAACATCCCCGATCCTGACGCCTTCCTCATTCCTCGCTTCGACAATCGTCCTTCCGCTCAACGACGTCGCCTCTTCGAAGCCCTCAGACCTCCTGAGCCCCGTCCAATCATTCAAGCCCGAAAGCGGCGGCGGAGCAATTCGCTATAGGCTGCCGCATTTTCCAATACGCTGTGAGCACTTCGGAGTGGGTGTAGGGACGTTTTCAACATCTTCCTTCGTCGGATATGGTCGCCATTTACCCTTTTTTTATTCGTACTCGCGCACTTATTCTTTGGTGTAGCAATACTAGTGACAATGCTACGAACTTTACATGCTGCAGCTTACCTCTCCCCGCCTCACCCTTTTAACGGATCCCTTCCGCTACCGAGTCCGTGCATTTTTCGGTTTCCTCTCTCTCAAACTACTACTCCCTTCCTTGTTATCCCAAGTACTCACTCACTATTACTTCTTGTAGAATGTCAAATCTTATCCTGCTTCTGATACATGCGCTACATTTCCCTTTACTTCCTCACTCCCTCCGAAGGTTTTACAGGGCTGATGCCAAATTTAGAAAGATCAATGCCAAGAATGTTCGAAGCCTTGATTAGGCAACTCTCCATGTTTTGGTGGTGGCAGTGCCGCCCAACCGCCAACTTTCCATCAGGAACTTGGTTGTGACTGAACAAATCAACCTTTTCTGCGCTACGACCCCACCTTTCCATCTGCGTGCCCGACGATGTCCAGAAATAACGACCTTCCTCAAGTCAATCCTCAACCGAACCCCAAATCCCGGAAGTCTCAGCAAAAACTCGTCCGACAGCGACTTGCGGAGGCGGCGCTTGGAAGGACTAGTGATGCGACGATCTTCGCAGAATGCGTATGCGGAAGACAGTCAGCAACAGAAGGCGCATATACTGCTCATATCCAAAGATGTGCAGAGTACATCACCCTCAGCACCCAGGCGGTCGAAGAAAACCGGGGAAGACTGGCAGGTGCGGATCCGGAAAAGCCGCTAGTAGAGGCCCACACCCAGCAGATCAACAAGCGACCACGATTAGAAGCGACACGTCCAGCGCCAAACTGGTTTGATAGCAACAACCTGGATGTGGACTACGGCTCTGATGACCTTCATCTTATCGAGAAGGATGATTTGGAGGAGGGGAGTTCAACGTTTGACGATTTGGCAGAAGTCAGTTCTCTTCTTCTCGTCCTACCCTTCTTATTGAACTCCAAATACTGGTATATAGGAGGTAGTTGCCCAGGACACTCACGCCTCACCGCCTCGAGAACACAGTCGAGGGAAAAGAAAGCCAAAGCCCATCTGGCTAAGTTCTCGCTACGCCGACTACCTCCCGTCGTCTACCGTTCCTTTTACGATCGCCGGACCCGCCCAGAGCCACCCCGAGGTCACCTCGCAACCTCGCAACCCCGTCGAGGAACCCTCTTCTTCATCCGCCCAACCTCTGCCCGAATTACGTATTCGTGAAACAGCTCCCAATGTGTTTGGGCTGTACAAACGATTCCAGACTATGGAGGATCAACCTCACGATCCCGACCTATTTGCCACTCCATCCGACCTACACGACGACGAATCGGCCCCGATTCCTCCCCCTCCGGAGGAGCTGGGCAGCGACGCCAACCCGCTTCATCCTTTCCCCAACCTGAGTTCTGGTGGAAAGATAGGGAGGGAAAAAGTCAGCGGGATTTTACGGAGCTTGTCTCAATTGTGGGCGACGAAAACTGGGATGCCGCTGGTGTTCGTAAAACAAACTGGAGCCAAATCGACAAAGTTCTTACCTTGGGAACTCGACCAGACGACAAGGAGGAATGGGTAGACGATGATGGCACCGCTTGGGTCACCGGCGAGGTCACTATCGACGTTCCTTTGCGGTCGAAGCACACCAAACGCGGAAGCATCCCTTACACCATCAACGATTTCACCTACCGTCCACTGATGTCTGTCATCAGGGACAAGCTATCTGACGCAAAGCATGGAGAACACTTCCACTATGTCCCTTACGAACTCCGTTGGCAGCCAGGTGAAGGCAAGGAGAACGTCCAAGTGCACGGGGAGCTATATACATCCGCGGCCTTTCTCGACGAGTACGGAAAACTTCTCGTAAGTGCCGCCTCGATCTTAATTGCTAAGTTATTGGCATTAACAGTAGACATTACAGAAGTCTCCAAAGGAACCCGGTTGCGACCTTCCTCGGTACATCGTTGGGCTGATGTTTGGCTCTGATGCTACCATGCTAGCCCAGTTTGGGAGCGCAAAAGCCTGGCCGGTGTACATGTTCTTCGGGAACGACTCGAAGTACCGGAGATGTAAACCGTCCACTAAGCTCGGGGAGCATATTGCTTTTTTGGAGAAGGTCGGTAGTCCTTGTATATCTTCATTTCAGTAGGCTAGTACTGATAATTGATTTCCCAGCTCCCCGATGCCTTCAAAGACTTCTACCTCGAGGCGTCCGGAAAGGATCGTATTGACCCGGCCCTCCTTACCCACTGTGAACGGGAGCTGTTCCATGCGCAATGGCGCCTTCTCCTCGATGACGAGTTCATCGAGGCCTACCGGCACGGCATTGTCGTAGACTGTCCCGATGGTCGTAAGCGGCGTTTCTACCCCCGCATTTTTACCTATTCTGCAGATTACCCGGAGAAGTGAGTCCGATTGCCCTGTTGACAAGTCAATATCCTCGCCAATTAACGATGAATCCACTCCTTTAGAATTGTGGTTGCCAGTATCCGCAACCTTGGTAGATGTCCTTGTCCCCGGTGTCTCATACCCTTGGATGAAGTGCACCTAATGGGACAGGTTAAAGATATACAAAACCGAGACAAAAAGAAGCGCGTCGATGACCAAAAGCGTCGCCGGTTGATTGCAGACGCGCGAAACCGCATCTACCTCGATCGTGTTCCGGTCACTAGCGTCAAAGTTAATCGTCTCCTTCAAAATATGTCTTTAGTGCCGACAAGGGTAGGTCATTCAAGAAACTGCCTTTTGAACTGAGCTACTCACGGATAATCGTAATTTGTAGAACGCCTTCTCCGAACGACTGTCGCCCTTTGGTTTCGACTTTCATCAAATGGTGGTCGTCGACATCCTCCACGAGGTCGATGCGGGTGTTTGGAAGTATATATTCGTACAGTTACTCCGCTTGCTGGAGGCTGTACAGAGTGGACAGGTTAATGAGCTGGACAAACGGTTTGTGAATTCACCTTGGTGTCTACGCCGGGCTAATTCCTGACAGTTATCGTCTCATTCCCACCTTTGGTGCGGATACCATCCGCCGTTTTCGCAACAATATATCCGAAATGAAGCAACTGGCCGCGCGAGATTTCGAAGACATGCTTCAGGTACGTTGAATCCAGCTGACCGGAAATACTTGGACGCTAACCCCGTTTCAGTGCGCTATCCCTGTCTTTGAAGAGCTTATGCCATCACCTCATAATCGAAGAATCATGCGGATGCTATTTTCATTGGCCCACTGGCAGGCCCTGGCAAAACTCCGGCTTCATACTTCCCATACGCTCGCGCTGCTTGAGAAGTGGACACGGATTTTGGGCGACGATGTTCGAGAGTTCGAGTCTAAGACCTGTAGGGAGATCGCGACCACGGAGCTCGCTCGCGAGTTCCAGGCTAGGCAGCGTCGAGAACTGGCCAAAGCTCAAGAAAAGAGGAAAGGTGTTCCGACGAAATCGACTTCTGCCACTTCTGGGCAGAATGAGATGCATTCCCGGGCCACCGACGAGGGAGGAGCGGCACGGAAGGGAAAAGAGAAGGCTGCCATGGTTGATGTGCCCCCACCAACTCCGGGACCTTCACGTGTCCACCACACCGACGCAGGAGGCGCATCGATTGAAGATCGGCGGCAATCGGTCGTAGTACCAGACCCATCCGAGTCTATGGAAGTGAACGGCACTAGGCCGCCTTCGCCGACAGCGAAAGGTGAGTAAACCTTTCAAATTTCTACTCGCAGGCGCTTAAGCCCAGTTTCTTTCTGCCTTTAGAAATGCGTCGCTACAAGACGTTGAACCTGAAGACCTCGAAGTGGCATTCATTTGGTGATGTCGTGAAGCATATCAAGCTTTTTGGAACAACGGACTCTTATTCCACCCAGTTGGTACGGTGTTTCATTCCTCTCAACTGATTATAGCATGACTGATCATCGTATGAATACCTTGATAGCCCGAGCTATACCACAAATTCTCGAAACGTCGCTACAAGAGAACAAACAAGAAGCGTGTAGCCTTACAGCTCGCAAGAATACACATGCGGCAGAGCCGAATCGCCCGAATTCGTCGGCGACTATTCCCAAATCCCGGCGAAGAGGGATTCCCAGAGGAAGAATTGAATGAATCTCATTTCATTGGAAAGTCTCAGAACCGCCCAGTACCTCTCCGCTCGTTTGCTCGTGGAGAGGCCGATGGAACCCAAGACCCTGCCTATCGAGTACGTCTGATAAAGTTGGTTCGCCCAGGGAGTATAGAACTCATCCAATCCGAACTGGCTCCAGAACTTCGTCTGGAAACTCCGCAAGCATCTGTACCCGAGGGTCATCCATACCCTCCTTCAGGAAGCCACCACTGCGCACGCCAATAGACCAACACCCAGTCTCGCCCAGAGCATAGAAAAGCTTACCGCTTTGAAAGAAGACGCTGACAGTAACGGACCGTCTGTGGACAACAACGCATGTCACGTACTTTTTCAGCCTGAACGCATCTACGCCCACAGTCGATTTGTCAAAAACTTCACTACCTACGATTTACGACGAGGCCAGGACGTGATTAACCCCAACAGCTCGAGACGAAACGTCATGTGCATCAGAGACCGCACCCGGACCGCCATCTTCGAAAACGACGGCAGCGGTGCCTTCGACGCTGGTAGTCGCTTTCACTACGCACGCGTCCTCGGCGTGTATCATGCCAACATCATCTACAACGGCCCTGGGTCCCTGGACCTCAGGTCGCGTCGTTTCGAGTTTCTTTGGGTCCGTTGGTACGAGCATTGTGGGAAGGGTAGCTGGGACTCCAAGCAGCTAGACCGCCTCAGGTTTACACCACTCACCGAGGCTGAATTTGACCCCGACACAATCGGATTCCTGGCGCCGGAGTACGTTCTTCGCGGCTGTCATATCATCCCGCGATTTGCGAAGGGCAAGGTTTATGGAAAAAATTCTCGTGGTAGCCGCGGAGCGTCCAAGAGGGTCGGCGATGACGAAGACTACCAAGAGTACTATGTCAACAGGTGAGTAACCATACATGTTTCCTAATTGCCTAAGGTCCAGGCTTCTCACCTAGCTCTATGTTCTTCAGGTTCGTAGATCGAGACATGGTTATGCGGTTCCACTGGGGATTGGGGGTAGGTCATGTGTATAGTCATGACGACGCACCACCGGCCACAGATGACATGACTCCGCAGTCACTGGCAGTTCGAACTTCGACTCAAAATCTGCCAGACGCGTCGACTTCGTACCAAACAGATGAGACGACCGGCGAGATCGACCGCGACAAAGACCTTCCACCGGTTCCAATGACTCTTAACGACGGCTACGACCCCACACTCGATGTTGACGACGCCGCGGCGGAGAGTACTGATTCTGAGGTGGACCCGGAATTCAAACTGGAAGATAGGGAGGCGCTGGAATGGGAGCTTGAAGGCATGGAACCAGAGGAAGGGGCTCAGGAAGGACCGTTATGTGACGAGGACTGGATCGTGGACGAAAGCGAAGAATCGAGCGAGGAGAGCGATAAGGAGGGTATTCTAGACTTGTCGGACCTCTAATGGTGCATTTCTGTTGTCTTTAGTACTCGTCTCTTCTGGGCTGTCTGTTTAGTGGTTCACCGAGGCCGGCTCTACGCCCTACGCTTCATTAGCATTTTTATGATCAAGATAACCATTCATTGTCATTGACCACAGGGGTACAATCCATTATCATTGGCGCCCTAAGCACGCACTAGGATCCTAATATTATCGCAGGGCTATCACCTCATAACATGGTGCTATGGCAAATGTCAGCTATATCTGGAGGGGAACGAGCTGGTCAGGGGTTATACGTGACATCTCATCACGCATCACCCTGATTGACGTTCCCAAGTACCACTCAGAAAGATTTTACCTGATAAAGTCGCTATCATGGTGCGACACAGTGATTAGACTTCATAATTCTGGCAGGGAACGACCTTGAGTTGGGATGCAGTGACAATTGATGTCTTTCAATGATTAGGTGATAATCTATCGAAGGGAATATCTACTTCGCACAACACCCCTGATGACGACGGCCCGTCTTCATCCCAAGGCAACCTCAAGGCACCTCGATATCTCTCGCAGGAGGAGTGCTAAACTTGAAGGAATAGCTCCAATTAACACCAGGTTTACTTCAGCGAATCACCTCGTACAAAGTCATGTGGGAGATCGCTGTATCGACGCTACGTTCTCGCCTTGTTTCTCATCAAGCGCTAAATACACCTCTCTCACATATTCGTGGGCTGCGGGGCAAGTCCTGCTCATGCACCTTACTCATTTCCCCGTCCCATCAAGGTGATGGCTTTACAATTGCCATTCGGAGCCTTGATAGCTGCGGCACATGTACCGCTGCGATGGGACGTGCCTCTATGAGATGGTGAGCTCCACATCGATTAGCATTCCATCAGGCTATCTCCTGACACATTGCTCCCCTTTCCATGGGCGCTCATGTTCGACCCATTACCTCCAGAAACATAAAACCCGGATACATCGACAGAAGCCCAGGATACACCCTGACTCACCCACATTCCCTTCTTACCGATGAACTGGCAGTGGTTATTGACAACCTGGTACTCAAAGCCTGGCGCCCTCACTGCGGCCGTGGCGACCCTTGGACTGTTCATTGTCCAGGTAATCGCTAAGCACAGAAAAGAACGCGCCAGAAACCCACGTCGACTGCCACTACCACCTGGTCCCAAGGGCTTGCCACTTCTTGGAAATCTCTTCCAGATCCCGACTGTCGAACCGTGGGCAGTGTATAACGAATGGGCCAAAGTGTTTGGTGAGTAGGAGGCCTCTAGGTTTTCGACATTTGTTATGATAACCTGGCCTCTAACAGGAAATGTTGTCTACGTCAATGCCCTTGGCCAAGACATGGTCATTCTCAATTCTCTTGAAGACGTCGACGAACTTCTCGAGAAGCGTGCTGCAAACAACTCTGACCGCACCCGCTTTGTGTTATTTGAACTGTGAGTGTTCCCGGGCTCTCACATCGTCTTCTAGCGCTGATCTACCCTAAACCGTACCCAGGATGGAGCTTGATTGGATTTTCGCGGTTATGAGATACGGTCCGCGATGGCGAGCCCACCGTCGAGCCTTTCATCAGCAGGTTAATCTGGGTCAACTCCCAGGCTTCCATCCGATCATCGAAGAGGAGATGGTCATCTATCTAAAGCGACTGCTTGAAAAGCCGGAGGAGTTCCTCGAGGAGACAAAATCGTGAACTGGTACTCTTAATTCTTCCCTGACTCCTGAGGCTGACTTCCACGGTAGAGTCTTCGGTCACATCATCATTCGGATTTCCTATGGATCAACGGATCCTGAATACAACAAAGAACTCCTTCAAATCTCGAGCGAGGTCGCTAAACGGGTTTCAGAGTCAATAACACAGGGAAAGTACCTCGTCAACGTTTTACCATCCTTGGAGTATATTCCCTCCTGGTTTCCTGGAGCGGGATGGAAGAGATACATGCTGGCAGGCGCGGTTCCTAGTCGTCGCTTATTAACAGAACCTTTCGACGATGCAAAGGCGAGATATAAAAACCGTGAGCGGGGACTCGGGGGCTCCGAACCAGAGTATCCGAGCATCTCTCGCGGTCTCATAGAGAAATTACCTGCCGAAAACGATCCCAATTATCTCGAAGAGGAAGGCGTTGCCAAAGCTATTGCAGCCATAGCGTACCTAGGTAATAATATCGCTCATGACTGCTTTAAACGTGGACTCACACTGTTTCTGCGATAGGTGGCTCTGATACAGTAAGTTCTATATTATAGCACTCGCTCTTACTTCGCTAAACCTTAGAAACAGACTGTAAACTCTGCCCAGGCACTCGTTCTTGCTCTTGGAGCAAACCCGGACGTCCAGAGGAAGGCGCAACAGCAGCTCGACCGCCTCATTGATACCACGTCGCGTCTCCCAAGTATCGATGATAAGAACGAATTACCATACATCCAAGCCATTATCAAAGAGCTTGGTTGGTGGTATAATGTCCTTCCACTAGGTCCGTGTGTCTCTTTACGCCCTTCACCTCAGCGTTGACCCTCTGTTAAGCAACACCTCACTTCTCTATGGAGGACGCAGAGTACAAGGGCTACTTTATCCCAAAGGGCACTATGTTCCTCCCTAACACCTGGTGGGGGGGCTCCATTTTGACATATCCCTGTCAAAATCTCACGTTTTCTCAGGGCGATAATGCATGATCCTGCAGTATTTTCAGAACCTCTGGAGTTCCGACCAGAACGATATCTGAAAGACGGCAACCTGGATCCTTCCGTCCTCGGCCCAGAGTCCGCTGCGTTTGGTTACGGACGTCGGTCAGTTCTGCCTTTGTCGTTTCTTTCACTCAATTCCAACTCTTCTGACCCGATTTCATAGCATTTGCCCAGGTCAAAACCTTAGCAATGACTCCTTGTTCGAGATGGCAGCATGTCTATTGGCCACCTTTGATATCTTGCCTCCATCTAATGCCGACGCCAAACAGCTGAAGCTGGAAGTCGAGTCCGAGTTGACTGCGTGAGTAACAGCCTCGTTCTAGGGAGTGGAGGGGAACTTGACTTCGGTTTTTACACAGGAAAGTCAAACCTTACCAGTGCCAGATTGTTCCGCGTTCGCGCAAACATGCCGACCTAATTCGGTCGTTATGAGTCCGACACACTTTCCTAGTAGGCCTGTGGTACAGCACAACAGGCCTATGTATTCCCTTTCTATACAGAGGTCCCCAATCTTCTTGAAGAATTGGATTGAATTTTCCGCCTGAGTCGTGTTGGCACAAATAAGCGCCCACAGCCGCCCAGGGTCTGATCTCTCTTCGTTGGTTTCAAGTCTCGCTGAGAGTGTAGTTCGTGTGCGAGTGTCAACAGCGTCTCCGTACAGGACTATACCTCTTACACCAGACAAGGGGCCCATAATTTCTTCACATTTCGAAGTTGGAGGCTGGCGCTTATTGTCGGTGCACCCGGTATCCTGGTACCTCCCAGCACAGGAGATTGTCAATTAAGCTTTTTGCACAGCCGACTATGTAATTATCGGGGCATTTAGACGGGAGAAGCAGCTGGCAGGCCCAAAGGTGTGCAAATGTCAGCGCTATATATATCGGAGGGCTAAACCCATTTGCTGACACGCCCTCGATAAAAGGGACAACTTCTACACGTCATTCCGCCATCTCTTTAACTGCTTCTCCCCCCTCTGCCATGAGTGTCACCTCAGCCGCCATCTCCAAGTCTCAGGCCAGATCGCAGGGTAACCTGCCTCTGGCCAAAGGGCACCTGCGACAATTTGAAGAGCTACAGTCTCTGGAGGAAGGGAAGACAGAATTTGCATCCATTTTTGAAGAACGTAAAGGTATCCCCCGCCGATAGTACTTACGCCTCCGCTTGCAAGGAAACTGCTAACAGTTATCTCCTGTGGCCTACACTAGAAACCACGATGAACCATTCCGAAGGTCTTCAACCACAAGCCATGCAGGTTTCTTATATTCGAGGTGCTGTGACAGTCAGTACAGACAGCCAGTGCCTTCTTCTCCCATCTGACAGCCCACGTGTCTTCAGGCCAGCCTTCCTTCTCTCATCCTGTTCTGTATGATCAGAATGCTTGAAATGCAGCCTTGGTCGAAGGGGGAAGGGGCGAAGAACATGATGCTTGACATCCTGTTCCTCTCTACCTTTTTCACCGGCCTCGGTGCGAACGGTTGCCTCGTTGGCTATCGCACCTTAATTAAAGGCAGATATTTGACAATCGGCAAACAGGCATCCCCGGTGGAACTCATCGAGGCTGGGAAAGCCCTCGCCACCGTGTCCTGGTCTTGTGCGGTGCTTGTTCTTTGGCTTGGCATGCAGCCTCTCGTCCATGCCACGCTCCATGGTACCGGCCGTACCGCCTAGGATCCGACGAGACACCTTGGAATTTCCTTTGGTAGTTTTCTTGGTTATTATTTCTGCCATTCACGACTATTTCTACGTTAGTTTCTAGTTGGTATTTCCGAATCAAAGTGCTAAACAATGAATGCTTCAAATTATAAGTCCATTCGCGTGGTAGAAGATACAGCAAGAGACTAAATATCAGATATACATGAGGGCCACTAACCCAAAGTCCATCGGTGCTGGTCGATCGTGAGAGGCCATTAGAGTCATGAATCATCAATACATCACCAGGCTACTCATAGCAGCCCAAAAGCTGTTAGAGCAGCGGAAATCATCCACACGCTCAACATGGAAGGCCCCATCTCTAGTGCGCCAGAATCGGATTTAGCACTGGGAACGGGAAGGAATTTGGCAGAATCCGCTTTCTGTTGCTCCACGTCTTGCTGTTAATATAAGAAAGTTCGTAAGTCCTTCGAACCACCAACGAATAATCAGAAACGAACCTTGAAAGCAACCAAGCCGACGATGACGCCCAAACCGAAGAAGATGAAAGCCTGAACAAGCCAGATGAAGCCCCATACTTTGGATGGGCAACATCCACATATTTCAGCGAAAACGCTTGCATCGGATGTATTGACCTTCCGTGCGAGGGTATCGTCTGGGGCGAGTAAGGGTTGAGCGATGGCAAAGAGAATCGAATGGACTGATCTCACCGATAATATCCCAAAGGCAGTATAGGCAGGACATGACGCCCACGAATAGAACCTAATAGCGCGATCAGCGAACATTGCTAGAGGAGAAAAAGATAAACGCACGAAATATCTCAAGGCCACGCTTCCTTCAATGAACCAAAACATCACAGTGAGGCCCGACATTCCCAGAATTAACACCCAGGTCCTACAGGTGCTTTAGCATTTCGTGCTTTTCCGAATCGAGGGAAACCACCTACAGCCAATTCCTTCTCGCCCACCACAAAGTGAAAAGGAAGAACACAGCCATCACAAGCGACGCTACCTTACTCGCATTCGTGTTGAAGCCGCATGCGATCAGGCATGCACCAATGAACGAGCTGCCAAGGTAGCCCGCGGGAAGGGTCAACCACATGATACCGCCTTTCATCCGTGTTGCTCCTCCCTCATCAGCTGTACAGGGAATTCGGATAGCGGATTAGGTTTAATAATGTATACCGGATGAAAAGGAAAACGTACGATCCAGCTCTATGGAATGAATCTTGGCGCATGTCAATAATCCAACAAAGGCGTGGCTCATCTAGAGTTATCGGTAAATGGAGGCATGGTGTGGTAGAACTGCGGGCACTTGCTTCGTGGAATCCAACAGTCAAAAGTCTGCATGTACAAAAGCAATAAGTAAGGGTTAAGTCGCTGGAAACATCGAATACGCACTTAAATGGGTACACTACATCGCAAAGGCAACCATTGTCAATTACGAGGGCCAACAATCGAACAGAGTACACCTACAGATTTTATTCAGGTATGGTACATGCCTGGCGAGCACCCACATGGTTAGGACACTATTAAAGTGCACAGAGGACCATGAAACGCACCAAAGAATACCAATAGCGATGATATAGCACCCAGCGACGATCAACGTCGTTCTCTGCGTCTCGTTAGGTGTAACTCGAGTCTTGAAGTCCCTAGCAAACAGGTATGTCCCTGCATCCGCGAACGAAGCATCTGGTAAAGCTCCAGGTGCCATCCCGTCTCGTTCAGCGACCTCCTGGTTAATCGGTATATAGTCGTGGTATCGCCCAGATCAAGTTCCTAGTCGTTCCAAAGGCCAACGGCGCCCAAAAGACTGTCCTGCGCCCAGCGAAGCGAGTAATTCAGCCCAAAGCTTAGCAGTGGTGGTGGTAGCGGTTGAAGAGACAGTAAGGCCAGAGAAACCCGTTTCCGAACCAGATTGTCGGGGATAATTGATGCATGGCATGGCCTAATTTGGCTGGATTCGTCCTCCCAAGTCTCCTTGGCAATCCCTTTGCTGTGCTTCCGCAGGCGGCCTTTTCGTAAATTCCTCGTCGAGTTTGGCAAAAAGGCCAGTTTTTTGAGGGTACATTGGGACCTGGTTGGTATTGTGCTGTGGACATTGTGGACAAAAGCAAAAGGCGCCGACTCCGTGGCGCACGGTGCGCACATCGCCTTTTGTTCCCAAAGAGGAGATATGCCGGTTGGGGCAAGTCCCAAAAATCTACGGTATTGAGTTGGGGGGATATGTACGTACAAAAACGTAGCTCTCAAGGCGCAATAACGAATACGAAGGAACCAGAGTCCGTTCATAACAAAGCCATAGCAAAGTAGAGACCAGAGCTCCAAACCACTGCCAGTGAAGAGTCCCAAATTCTAATCTATAGAACACAGTTAAATAACCCTCAGGTGTGCACGTGAGTGTCCATCTTTTACACCAGTGCGATTACAGATGCAGCTCGTCCAGACGGCACTTCTTCGTCCTCTCCATTCACCTTGATCCTTTTCAAAGTTGGGCAATTCTTTACCAACGCGCGCAAAAACGACTCTCGATGAGAGTCGAGTTCGAACGGATCTTCAGCCCCCATGGCACATTTCCTTCCCCCTATCCCCCACCCAGAAGAACTAGACAGAGACACCAAATCGAAACACTTGGTCTTCTCGAAAGCCCTGACCCATTTCGGGAGGACGAGCACCAGAGAGTGAGGCAGGACATACTGCTTCACCTTCACCTCCAGATGGGTCACACATGTCCCAGTGAACGTGATACTTGACGTTAACCCCGCCCTCGAAGTCGAGCTCGATCTTGACCCCTCTTCATCGTCCCTCAAGTGCTCCGGCAATTCGTATCGCGGCCCTTGACTCCCCGAGCGAACCATAACCAGCCAATCCGTCGCTGCTGACTCGAGTATCACCGATAATATCACTTCGCTGACTGATCGCAGTCGGAAACAGATGGGCGCGAGATCGCTGTTGATGGCGTTCGACAGGAAAAGAGTCACCCGACGAGTGCGGTAGAGGACGCGTACGGTTTTGAGAGTCGGAAGTGGGTGCGTTGAGATGGATAGGAGTACCACGAGGTGTTCGATTGGGGCTGTCAGAGAGCGGAGCTTGGACAGCGCACTTTTCGGAAGCGGGGTTGTTGGAAGGAGGCGCGGTAAGTTAAACCCAAACGAAAGGTCTTCGATGTTGGGGTGGCGGGCGAGGAAGCAGTATAGGTCGTGAGTTGCGATTCGACAATGGTTAATCGAGAGTTTCGTGAGGTTAGGGATGTTGATGAGCGGAAGGAGAAGGTTCCAACTGCTCTCGGACATATAGGAGAGTTGGTCGAACGATACGGAGGTCAGAGAGGGGGAGTTCAGTATGCACAGTGTCCAATGGCATAGGGTCGGATGGAAAAGGAACTCAGCGTGCACGTCAAAGTGTTCCAACTTTGGCGACGGCAGGACTCCGAGCCATCGAAAAGGGGCCAGGGCGGGATTGGGTAAATGAAACCGTACGCGATTGATCGACGAAAGGCCGTAGTAGTTGCCCCATATACCCTGCTCTATAGGCTCGGCCAGTCCACCTCTTTCCACCTCGCCTTCTACATGCAGCACCCGACACTGTGAACGCGACAGGTAACGATCCATGAACCAATCCCATTCCGTCCTCAAGCCCCTCGCATCCCAATTATGGATGGCCCTCCTGTTGGCGAGCAGGTCCCGAGACCCTTCTCGACCCCCATTGCCCGAGCCGGGTGGGTACGCGAGCTTGATGTAAACCTCGTTGGAGCATGCGATCCTATCCAATCCTGCTTTGATCGAGGTGCCGAAAACACGAGGCTGGGAGCCCCCGTTCGCCGTCGAGTGTCCAAGGTGAAAAGGAACGAGCAGTCGATGGAAATTGAGGCTGGAGAGAGAAGAACGAACCGCCTTGACGACTCCTTCAGACCGTAGGTCGGCGAAACCCAGTGTTCCATCGTCGTGGTGACCCACCCCGTGTCGTGCCAAGTACACCGGGTGCGCGACTTGGTGGACATAGCGGCAGATGAATCCAAAGTTGAGAAGGTCCTCGTCGTCCAGGAAGGTGCAGACGGTGTGAAGAACTTCGCCAGGAAGCTCCGCGAGCAACAGAAGAGCCTCGCTCATTGTGGTCGGTGGTGGAGAATGCACATGGCTGTTGCCCATCAACAACGACTCTGGTGGCAGGCGCGCTGTCGCCTTAAACGTGCCATAAACGATGCAGACAAACAGAATGCTGCTTGGCTAATGAAGATTACACGGGGCTTCTATATCAGTGTGACTGTATTCAAGGTTAATCGCGCAGTCTTTTCTGATATCAGAAATGGAATCGCACCTTGTTCGGTCGTAGGTGGGCAGATAAACGGGGGCCTATTGATCAGGTTTCTGGCAGGCGTTCGTAGGCCCTTTTATCGCCACTGGAAAGGCGTTGTTGCTGAATGACAAGCGGCGGTGACTCGTTGGACGGTCGACATCATCCACGTTTCGCAGCTTCTCCCCTGCCAACAGTCGACATAGGAGATATAAGACCCATGCCGTAACCTGTATTCAATTGTTATGTACAGCATCAATCGTCAGTAGCGCTCACCATTTCATTCCGGGCTCCCTTGGTCCTCGAAGGCTTGTCAGAGGCAAACGCGCTTTGCGAAGCTCCGAGCGGCACCGCCGCATGAAAATAAATAGATGCAATTACAGAAAGACAAAGGTATCAATACACCAACAACGAAAACACATAATCTCTGTAAAGATTCGTAACTAGGTCGTGTGGGGTGCACAAGTGGATTAACAGCATTTGCCACCCTTATCTGCAGGTTCCGGGGCAGTAACGCTGATACCTTGTGTGGGCGGTTCGATGTTCGTAGATGAAGACTCGAGTGACTTGGCCGAAACGATCCTGTAGATATCTGGGGAAAATCAATTAGACATAGGGTTCACAATCAGAGGTAAGAAGCTTACCGGTCAGAATGGTCTGGAAGGCACTCTCGACATTCGAAGCGTCCAGCGCGGAAGTTTCGATGAATGACAATCCATTCTCAGCTGTAAAGAGCCGGGTCAGGGGCTACGCGAAGCAGTGGAATGGAGCGTAGCACGCACTGGCAAATGCCTTTGCCTCGTCGGTGGGCACAGCTCGAAGGTGCTTCAAGTCGCTCTTGTTTCCAACAAGCATAATGACGATGTTCGAGTCAGCGTGGTCCCGGAGTTCCTTCAACCATCGAGTGACGTTGACATAGGTGGCATGCTTTGCGATATCGTAGACCAAGAGAGCGCCGACGGCACCACGATAGTAGCTGAAACGGGGTTAAGTACGAGCGCAGGTCCAATAAAACGCTAATACCCACGCAGAGGTAATGGCCCGATATCGCTCTTGTCCAGCTGCAACCACGAGTCAGTCATTGAGTTCCCCGCAGCGATGCACACCACGAGGCGCAGCACCCTGCATCGGCAAAGTCGCTCACCAGTGTCCCAAATTTGAGCCTTCACAGTCTTGCCGTCAACATTTATGGATCTCGTAGCAAACTCGACGCCGATAGTAGATTTGGATTCGAGATTGAACTCGTTTCGAGTGAAACGCGAAAGGACTGTGCTCTTGGGTCAGACGTGAACAAGACAGCGGTTATATCGCAAACATACGGTTACTGGATGAAAGTCAAGTCAGAATACAGTTCTTGAAAGGCCAATAAAGACAAAAACATACGATTTTCCTACACCGGAGTCTCCAATAAGGACGACCTGGACAGCAACCGTTCAGCATAAATTCCTGCCCAAAAGGCTTGCCAAAGCGTACTTTGAAGAGATAATCGTAATTGCTTCCTTCAGCCATCGAGAATCAAGATCGTTATGTTATAATTTGAAGCAGAGCTGGTGGTCGTGAGGTCGTTGTCGTCGTCGTTGGAAACAACGGGCGATGAGCTGGGCGTATTGATGCCCAGCGGAGTTTGAATCTGACCCTTTATAAACACCACCATTTCAGCGATTTTTTGTTTTCTCCTTTCGCTCTGCTCCAGCATTTCAAAATGACATGGTTTGGGTTCTAGGAAAGCTCCGGGCCTTAGGCGTCTGGCCACTTTTATCGTCGACCACGAGACTCAGGGAAGAACTACGTCTCGAGTATCCAATGCCAAGTTTTCTCTCTGGGTCTCAGAACTCGGATCTCTTGTTCTTCAATTCGATCCAAGATCGATACCACAACGCCTCGATACCTGGGGCTTGCACTTGTATTCCATCTGCGCCGTCCAACCGCGTTCAAGTGTTCTTTGAAACGTGAAACCAAACTATGTTCAGTCGATCTATTGAGCCAGCTGATAACTGATATCCTACAAGTTTGGCCTGACGGCTTTACGGCTTTCCGACGATGAAGCCACGGCCTCATGTCAAGACCAGGTGAGTGAAGTCAATTTACAGTCGCAAGATATGTCGCTTATGCCGGAATTAGGACACAGACGACTGACCAGGATTCCCATCGTCGGGCACCTTGGCAGTCGGCTTTATATCGAGGGGTTATTGTACCGCCAAGGACAGCCCCTACTAGATTCCCGGAATTCGTCCTGGATACTTGACAACGTATTGGTGAGCCATAGATTTTGACGTAGACGCGCTTCGATTGCCAAGGACTCCCCTCCTCATACAGCTTGGTAGCCGGTTATCATTGGAGGATGACATCGCCATGAACAGCCCTTGGATTCTCGGAATCGCCACGGATAGGCGACCTATCGGTCAGTTGAAGGGTTTGGGGTAAGATCTTCTTCATGCTTCCCTTCTCTACGAATGTATCAAGTTCGAACCGCGAGTCCAGGCCTTGTTCCGTTGCGTGAACATGGTCTGCTACGCGCTGGCGGGTAACCAACAGGAATCGACGTGTCTGGCTGGACAGCGACTTGTAGGCTCATTGCTGTTGGACATTCCAGACCCAGTCTGTCTTTCCTGCACTGCAATATCTACAGCACATCCGTGCTGTGGACCGTACCGTCAGACACGCCTGTTACCTCTCCCTGGTGTTGGAAACGGCGTATAAAACGAACGGACCCCGTGGTTCTAATCAAATATTCGTGCGATTGAGTTCGGTATCATCGAGGAGTCTGCAAACAAGAGGAGCGGTGTACTAGGACATGTGTACAGCAACAACACAGCAGACTTTGGGAGAATTTGAGGGTGCCAGGCGATAATCAAAGAAGATATGTAAGTAAAATTTAATACGAGCGATCGCCATGAAAAAGTCAGCAAACGAGAGCCTCTTCACCACTGCCGATGTTGAAGGATTGGACGCTTAACCAAAGGCCAACCAGGGCGCAGCACCATGAAATGGCGGTGATACTCTGAGCAACGTGGTTAATGGCCAGGAAGACGGAGGACAGGATGCACAAGCAGAAAGTCGTCGTAAGCAGCAGGTGTGGGATGAGGCCGACTTTGGGAAGAGTGTTATTCTGGTGGATGGGCAAGGCCGCGATGAAGACGGTGAGGGGATAGAATGCCTGTATGGGAAATGTCAGCTGCCCGTTTGTAGGGATTTAGTTCACTGGACTGCTGACCGATACCACATAATTAGCAAACTTTTCAGGCTGGTAGGGAGGCGGGGGAAATTGTTTCCCTTCCTCGACCCCTGACTCCATCGTGACCACAGAGTCTGTAGTAAATCCTCGACGCGGGAGCGCGCTGTGCTCTGGTGGATGAGTGTTATCAGCCGCACCACAAGGAAGAAAACAGATATGACTAACGATGAACACCATTGCCTTTACTTTCACCTGGGGAGGATGTGGGTGTAGGCGGCTCTTGGTCGGACATGATACAAAGGTCAATGCCAATGGAGCCGTGTCGGTAAAAGATGGTTCGAGTGGGTGTGGAAAGAACCAAAGTGATGAGGGGGGCATGTTATATACATGTTTGGAGAACTGCTGTTAAAAAGGGGTCTGAGACGGAGGTGGTGGATCCAGGTCAATTACAGCACAGTAGCTGAACCTATACCGCGAGGCATCATATGTCGAAACAACATAGAGCTCCGTAGGCTGGGACCACTGGAGTTACCGGTCAGGTTCGCAGCCTCTACCGACTCATTTGGACACCTAAAGTTAGCCCGGAAAAGTTGGGTAACGAATACGGCTGCCGAGCCGCCTCCAATTGTCACAGGTTTGGGTTTGGGTTGGTGGTATCCAGGCAGGGCTTATTGAAACGGATTGTCAAAAAGGTTCCTACCAGATGGTTTGACTCCCCGGGCCGCCAAGACTGCGTCTATCTGAGCCTATCTGAGGGGGCCTTCCGATTCTGCCCCCAAAAGAGCCCAAATCCCGGTGAGGGTGATGCGAATAGAGGCTCAGGCCAAACATGTGTTGTCTGTGGGAAGAACAGTTCATTTCACCGCCCACTGCGTAGAATTATGATTTGATCCCGCCGTCTATTGGCACGGCACGAGGGGGTATTAGGGTTCATGATATCCATTGGTACTGAGACTTGAGAACAACCCTCGACGAACGACGAGATTCAGAGATCGGCTAGATTCATACTCAGGGCCCGTTGCCTTATTATCCGCTGATTAATCAAATTTAATCCGAATTTCCGGCTTGGCAACGTGAGTGGAATTCCAATGCCTACGAGTCTCATGAGGGTTGCATACAGGCTACACTGTCAGGAACAATGGAGCAATATAGTCCAACAAAAATGGAAGGATGTAAACAGGGAATGAAAGTGATGGCGGTCCTAAACTAACGCCCACGATGCAGATTGCAGAGGAACGTGCCCTTCGTAAAAGGAACGATGTTTAGATCGCACTGCCCGGAGGCTGAGAGATCAAACGACTGCGCGCGCGAGCATGAAAGCCACGCCACCGTTCAGAATACTAAGGGTAGCTCTGCGAACGGCGACCGTGTGGGAAGGGGAAACAGTATACACTGAAGCAAAGAGGGAAAGCGATACGCAGGTGACAACGGTCGCCATGCAAGAAAGCCATATGAGGGATTGGGTATCAGGCGATGGGCGGTGTTCTGGTTTCTGAGCTCGCAGAATTGTCCTGGAAAGCTCGAGCTCGCACATAGAGACTATGGCAGTAAAAACAGCCTGAAAATGACGATGAATCTGTGGTGAGTGGAGAGAGTCGGAAGAAGGGAACCATTTACCAGATGGAACGAGTATGAGGCCGCAATATTGGGAGCGGTGGATTTACAAGCCGGGCACGGCTGTTGGTCTACCACCACGCCATAGTATTCAGTGTCGTCTTTTTCAGCGTGGATGTTCGCGAGCAAGGACTGACAACTTGAATGTGGCATGTAGTAGCTCGAGGGAGGGATGCTGGTTCAGCGAGATGACTGTAGTTGCTGCGACTTGGGGCCAATTGAAAGTGGCGCTGAGGTAGATGGGGCGAGATCAAAGTACTGTAAAGCCTATGTTCCTGTTTTATACTCACCGCGTTTTCTATGGTTGATGGGCCCCTCATCAGGGAACGAAGGTGGATATGAAACTGCCTTTAGACAGAGTTCGACATCTCGGCGGATATGAGCACGGGTACACGTACACCAACTACCAGGGTCTGTAAAATGTAACAGCATCTTCGGAATTCGTACGGAAACGTGTTTTCAGAGTGTGACCCTGACTCCAAGGGTGCTCGAGGCTGTTCGGTGCTGTCCAAGTTCCGTGACAGACGTTCTACACGAGTTGGTGGCAAATCCAATCTATTACAGGCCGTGTACTAGATCGTATTCATCGATATGGAACCGCCCCACTAGGTCTATCGTCGAGCTCTACTACCAGGAAAAAAAAAAAAAAAAATCCAAAAAAGGTGTTTTTGTCCTTTTCAATGCGGACTAAACGGCAAATAAATCGCTTGGGTTGGGAGAATGACAGAATGGATTATGGGAATTCTCGAACTACCCTTCCGACCCTCTGAGCATTGTCCACTCCAAGACCCTGCTCATTCTTGGCGTGGTCGGAAGCTAGTTCTCTCGCAAGGGGAGACAGGACCAAGTAGATACCGACGGCTGCGCTGATCACCGCTACGTAGGACGCAACGTTTCCGACTTCCAGAGCGACCGCCGCCGAGTATCTGACTTGCCGCGCCCTACGGGACTGAAGGGCATGGTGGAGAAGAGTAATCCCAAATGCTATCAGGGTCATTATGGCCGTTGCCCAGAATAGGGTGACCGGAAGAGCGCCATTAGGAACCACCTTGCGCCCCTCTTCTCGGATTGCTGTGACCCCGGAGAACCCAAGGATTGGAGCGAAGACCTGCAGGCGGAGGTCAGATATCGAAGAACCTAGTAAGATGTCGACAGGCCCTTACTGCGCCTAATCGGTCACCCAGCTCGATAGGTCGGTAGTCTGCAATGTTAACAGCACCAGCCATCTGCGTTGCGCAGGTAAGTATGAAGTAGATTGTCAGTGGTGGAAAGACAACGCAGTCACGGCCACGTCTCTGTTTTAAACAGCCTTAGGTCATTTTCAACTCCGTTTGTACTTCCGTCACCATATGCGGCACTCTCCAAGTTCAATGCCCTCGGCCCGGATGCAGTAAACGTTGAGGAATATCCTGAGCATGTCAAAGATTATGAGTGCTTCACTCCCCTTTGGAACCCGGTCCCCGGCAGACAGAAATTCACTTTGTGGACTCAAACTATTTAAAGTTATTTCTAACCTCTTTACATGAATCGGAGGACTGTTAGCGTGACTATATATGTATGCGTTCCATTGGCAGAGGTCGAGTGTTCGGAGTTGCTTTACAAAGTGAACCTGCTTGACGAGAATACATAAAGCCAATGATGCTGATACGCGAAATTGAAAGGACTAGGTGCAAAGAAAATAAGGCCGATCGTCTACGGAGTTGAATTGACAGGCGCCCAAGATGGCTGTGCCAGTGTTTGTCTGCACTAGCAGCTGACAAACAAAGTGAGCGCTCATTCGTTGGCTCCGACGGTGGTCCGACCTGCTCTCCGTCCCGACATAGGGGCCACCTAAGCTGGCTGCAACTACCACTTGGCGCTTAGCCCTTGAACCTGGAGTTAAGAAAACTTTTTAAACCGAATGGGTAAGATAAATGTTCCCCAACTGCTTTCCTTGCAGCGACCGCGACGAATTCAAGGTAGGTAGCACTCGCACTGTTACTCCGAGGCCAACACACTCACAATCTATATAACAGACCATATACATTGCCCTTATGACTCGTAGCTCATGGTCCTCACAAGCGCCCAGCCGCCCAGCTAGTGGCTTAAGGCCGCCAAAAACCCCTACCTGGAAACCAAAGCTCACATGGTAGTCGACATCCGTCCAAGCCTGATAAGCACGCCAAATGGCCGCAATATCAAAAAACCCTGTGCTATTGCGTTTCAAGCTCTGCATCAGATACATCTCGACCTATAGCCATGGTCTCACAACTTGAAGCTCCTTGTGATGTTGCCGTATTCGTGCGTGTCTTTCCTTCTTTTCTCATTCACTTGATAATCCATAGAAGCCTCCTGTAGAGGAATATACATGCAGTAACCTCGGCCCGGGTGCTTTTGCTCGCTGTGGGCGCTCATGATGAAACCAATATTCCTCCAATGTCTCCGGAGTTTTGAGAGAAAGTCGATCTGCGCGGTATGATCTACTGCCAACTGTCACCGTCGCCGCCTTTCAACGACTGCGATGGAGAAGAACACTTTGGATGAACAGAATGGAAGATGGCATCCTTTGAGGATCTTCATCAGATCAACAGGTCTACCGGTACCCGTCAATTAGCCACCCATCGATTAAATCCCGGCGATTCCGCGACTGGATGAAGAGCGCCCAGTGGCACACGCTGTGTAGGGTCTTGTGGCGACGATAGCACCTCTCTTCACAGCGCCCTCTCCGGGAATCCAGAAATTGCAGATACTGATATATGGGGATGCATGACGATGGAAGACCACAAAGCCCGACTGCTTCAAACAAATCCTACTGGGCGGTATCCATGGGTGAAACCCTATATAAAGGCGGAGTAATCGCAGCCTGCCAGGACTTCCCCCCTGATCCCCTCCCACACCGACTGTGTGGTACGTCATCTAGTCGACAACAGACGAGTGACATCTCTTAAACCGAGTTATCAGTGTCGAGACAGATATCTCTCCCACAATGGAGACCTTTACCTCGTTCTGGTCGAAACCTCCGACATGGGCGTCACTCGCCAGCCGAATGTTACCCGTGTTCGACGGATATTCCGCCTTGAAGACGTCCGCCCCCGACCCCCATAACGTCGTGGATGATCAGAATCACGAAGGGGCCGAAATAGGAACCCCAGGCGTTCAGGTCGCAGGGATGTACATCCCACACGAAATTCTCAACCTCATCTTCCATTATGTGCGACTGCAGCCCATTCTCGACAGCCACAGCCAGGTGCTGGCTCCAGAGGTCGTCCTATCTCACGTTTGCTATTCCTGGAGGATGGCTTGCCTCGATTCTAGTGACCTCTGGACGACATTCCACGCACGACATCCCTCCCGATCGTCCCTCGCCAGGTTACAAGCCTACCTAACACGCTCTGGAGCGCGTTTAATCGACATCGCTTTCGATTTCGGATCCAGCCCAGAACCAGGCATTTCTTCAGAATGTTTTATTTCGGAGATTGTCCCCCATCGGATTCGCTGGCGAAGGCTGCTCATCTCACTCCCCAACCACTCAGAACATCTCGCCAGTCTCCAAAGCTATCTAACGCCATCCCACTCCCCTAATCTCCTATCCCTAACCATCCTTCCTCGACGGACGAACACTGACACGCTGTATGAACACCCCGACGACCTCAACATCCATACGCCCACCAACTCCCTCGACGACGAATTTCCCAGGAAGGCCCCATTCTACTTGTGTATGAATGGCCACAGCGCAGCCACTTGTTTTCCCCTCCTCCGTCACGTTACCGATCTTCGCCTCAACGTTACCTGGGATGGACCTATAGACGGGAACGGACCGGTCCAACAGATGCACTGGCTTTCGTGGAAGACGTTTCTGCAGGTCCTTACCCTCCCGTCCCTCGTCAGCCTCTCCATCGAAGGACAGCCGTATACCCTCCCCAGATCTGCTCAAGGCACTGTCGAGAAGATCTCAATGCCGCACCTCAAACTACTCCGGTATACGGCATCCGTGGATTCGAGCACTTTCGAAGATCTCATTCTTCCGAACTTGGACGCGCCCGGTCTCGAAACCCTGACCTTGGAGCGGATGGACCCACCCAACGACCCTACGTACTGGATCTCAAAATCTATGCAACCATTCCCGTCCCTCCGGACCCTCCACCTCGTGGATTTCATGGACTACGACAGGTCATTCGCCAACTCCCTAGCTTTCCTCACCTCGAATGTTGGGCATCTGGTTTTGACTGGGGGCAATCCAGTCTTAGGGCTTCTCTCAAAGGTTGCCACGGACAAGCTTTGGGGAGGGCTGGAGAAACTGACGCTATGTTGTCCTGGAAGGAGGCCAGATACGTATATGGGAGAAGAGATCCACGCAGTCCTTGCTCTCACCCTGTAACCACTGGCAGCGCTCTATGTCTGCGAAAAGCATGTAATTTATTCTTATTTAACGGTTATTGACCCAACGTTTCCACTGTGGTGCCCGAGAAGCAGCTTTCCCTTCTGCCCTCATACGCCATTGAGGGTGACTACGCTGAGCACCCACAGGAAGTTACCGCAGCTCGGTTCAGACCATCAGTGCTCCTCAAACGTCTACACCATTGTGCCCACCGCCCACCCACCGATCTAAACTCACCGAACGGTAAGCTTAGCAATATCTGTAAGTTCGTCAGATCTTACTCGGCTACAGCCCTCGTTCGTTCCTGTTATGATAGACTCTATCAAGCGCCCATAGGCCTGACGGCAAGAAATACAACAAGCAGACAGGGATAATGATGCGCATGGTTGCTCAAACCCGCGATAAACAGTGCTTATGCGCACTGTAGATCCTTCTGGGCATCAGCGCGAGGCGAGAGTCTGTCAAACATTCACTGGATGCTGTCAGAGCCTCATGATGGACGAACACAATGGAGAATGAATTCAATTGAGCGACAAGACCTGTACCAGTGCAGAAGTACTAAACTTTAGCTCTCTGGAATGGAATGGCCGAGGTGAGCAAGCGATATTTGGCATGGATGCAAGACTAACCTTTCCTTTTCCCGGCCTAGTCACAGGTTTGGGGGCAATTTTCTGTTCAGATGGTGGTCGTCAATGTCAAGGCACATCACGTCGTGTCAGAAACGGAAAGCAAACCTTTGGCAGGTTCCTGGCGCGCGCCTTCCCTTTGGCAGCTGAGGTCTTCTTGGGCTTATGCTGGTCCAGAGCGGGAGCTCCGCCCTTCTTGACGCCCTTGGACTTACTCCTGCTAGTCGTGACAGTCGAGCTGACTTGGAGCCTGGGCCCACCATCTCCACCACTGCCATATTGCGGTGCTATCATCTGTAAATCAAAGCGAATCCACATCAGTAACTGTCCAGTCAATGGTACACAACAGAACAGAAACCCACCTGACGGTGGAGATCTACAGCACTAAGGTGAGCGGGTGGAAGAGGTTGAGGTTGAGGCTGGGGTTGTTGGTCGGTTGGTAGATGCCCAACGCTCGGGTTAAGATCGGTGAGTTGATGCCACTCGGGCTCTCGAGCAGGTGTCCCGCCTAGCTTCTCCTTCACTTTTCCCCAGAGTCTACCGCAGAAGCCGTTGGTACAAAAGCGCTCGTAGAGCTCTGGGTCGAATTTGCGAGCGTCGAGGGTTTGGTAGTAACCTCTGTTGCCGTACAATTCAGAAGTTGTTAGCGCTCGAGCCTCGCGGCCGTCCTAGTAAGTAATTCCACATAAGCTCGAGACACCGAGCGAGCTGGAGTCGAGTGCCACTCACTCCGACAACTAGAGGTAAAGCCAGAGTCCCAACGAAGAGTGTTGCAGCGAAAAGGAATCGAACAAGAAACGAGCGGTGTGCCATGGCGTTGATACAGTTCTGGGAGATTGGTTAGCAGTTATGGACCAGCCAAGGATGCGAACCAGCGCAATGAGGGACATCGAGGAATGGGTCACTCCTTTTAACCGTCCTGGCAGTCTTTTGGTAAGTCCACAGTCGACACAACACCAGTCATTTCCCCGAGATTCAATGTCCTGGGATACGAAACCAGCGCCCTAACCTGTGCTATGTAAACCCAGCGATAGTAAAATTAGAGGGGCGGGAGAAAGATAACTGTGAAGCATACCCTCGAGCACCCTCATATGGGCGAGAGACCCTACAAGCAGCGGAGAAACAGCGCCCCGGACTTATCTATGGAGGGCGTATTGAAATAGACCCTCAATAAAGTATTCTGAATGAGAATAGCCCGGCGTTGGAGGCTCGAACACTGACCAGGACGAGTTGTGCGACTCGGAGTCGCGCCAACGGATGCGAAGTTCGAACCGCTTGTTCTCAAGATTCATTGACCTTACGACAGTTCAATCTTCGGAGTCTGGCCAGAACTGGATTTTCCCCAATTCACTTCGAATTCATTTTCGGGAATATAAATTAGCATAGATCTATGCAGGGGAACACGATCTAATTCACCGTTCACATCCTGGTTCCTGACTCCTGAAATGCCGGCCTCAGCGTCGAGTTTGACTGTACTTTCTGCATGAGCAATCCAGTCACTCGTTCCCACCAGGATATCCACCAACCTGCAGCGGGGGCCCCAGGGAGGATTAAGCGGCAACGTGAATTCAAGGAGAGAACCAAACGTCCACCTTATCAGGAGTGCGATAACCAACCACGATGCCTCCTTGTGGTGCATGCTACACACTTCCCCTCGAACTTGGAGCCCAAGAAGGAAAGGAGCGAATTACAAAAAGATGACGCTCCACGGAGCCCATTGTGACCACGGCCGCTCGTCATCCAACCCCTGAACGAATGAAAGGCGATAGATAACAATGTGCCAAGTACCTCCTCCACCGTGCACCATCTCCTGCACGTTCGTCGCCAACCAAACCCACACCAATCCACAAACGTTCACGCATTCAGACACACACGCCAAAGTGAAGTAGAAAAACCAGTCGATGGTATTGGCCAATAAAGTAATTATGCGGTGAATAATACAAGGCGGGGTAAAGAGTACAACATGGAATGCAACAAGGAAGAAGATCGAGAGCGGCATGACAAGGTCGTAACGAGGATGAAACGAAAATGTGGGGGGAATGAAGAGAGACCGAATAGCATGTGCGAACAAGGAAAGCGAGGGGACGAATCAAAAATGGACAGAGAAAGAACATCACCGGGAGAACGACAAACTTAGAGCTCGTCGTCAGTGAAGACTTCCTCACCACGCTTCCTCCTAGCCATTCGCTCCTTCTTGGCCTTGCGAGCCTCAGAAGCAGTCATCTTCTTGGCCTTCTTGTTCTCAATCTTGTTACCCATGGCGTCGTACTGGACGTCGTCTTCACCAGCCTTCTGGTCGATACGGGGACCGGAGCCCTGACCCTCAACCCAGTTGTGGCCAGAGGCTTCAAGGTGACCGTCACGCATGGCCCAGACTTCAGAGCAGATAGACTCGGAGAAGTCACGGTTGTGAGTGATGATGAGGACACCACCCTCGAAGGTCTTGAGGGCCTCGATGAGGGCGGCGAGCGACTCACGGTCGAGGTAGTTGGTGGGTTCGTCGAGACAGATGACGTGGGGGCGACGCCAGGTGGCAGCACCGAGGACGATCTTGACCTTCTGACCACCGGAGAGACCACGCATGGTGTTGTGGGAGACGAACTCGGGCTCGAGACCGAAGTCGGCGAAGTGCTTCTCGATCTCGCGACGAACGAGGGGGCGGAGGAGACCGAGACGTTGAGCCTCACGGGTGTCGACCTCGAGGACTTTCTGTAAACGAGAACACAATCAGTAAGAGACTGAAGAGAGAAAAGAAAAGCGACAAAAAGACGAACCTTCTCGAAACCACGCTTGATGAGCTCATCACGAGCGAGCCAGATGTTCTCAGAAGAGCTCAAGCCCTTGAGCGAGACCTCGTACTCGTAGGACTGCTTGAGCTTCTTGCGGTTGACAATCTCGTCGATGAAGCGCTTCTGACCCTCGATGACGATCATAGCACCCTCCTTCATCTTCTGCTGTTCCTCCTCAGAGATCTGGCGAGTAGCCTTGCTCATCTCCTCCAAATCCTCACCAGTCTGGTAACGCCACAACATGTACTCGAGGGCGGTCTTGTCGAGATGGTGATCGATATGGTGGAAGGCGTGCTGGGCAACGTAACCGATGACCAAGTTGGGGTGCTTCCAGATCTCACCACCCTTGTTGGGCTCCATCTCGCCAGTGAGCAACTTGACGAGAGTAGACTTGCCGGAACCGTTGGGACCAAGGATGGCGACACGGGAGGACAAGGAGACTTGGAGAGAGATGTCGTGGAGCTGCTGGACAGAGGAGCCAGGGTACTGGAAGTTGACCTTGCGCATCTTCAACAACGACTTCTCCTTGGTCTTGACACCTTCGAGGAGAGGAGGGTCGGGGAGCTTGAACTTGTAGTCCTCGGCGGCCTCGAGAGTGTAGTAAGACTTAGCCTCGGGAACAGCCTTGACGAAGGCCTCGAGGTTACCCCTGTAGCGACGAAGCTTGAAGCGGTTGAGGTGGAGAACGTCGGTGATGGTGTTGTTGAGGAAGCCAGAGTCGTGAGAGACGATGATGGAGGTGCAGGTGGTAAGGCTGGTGAGGTAGTTCTCCAACCAGGCAACGTTGACAACGTCCAAGTGGTTAGTAGGCTCGTCGAGGAGGAGAATGTCAGCCTTGAACAACATGGCGCGGGCAAGGGCGAGCTTCATCTTCCAACCACCAGACAAGCTGCCGATGGACTGAGCTTGACGCTCATCGGAGAAGCCGACAGAGGCAAGAGCCTCAACGATCTCCTCGCGGGAGGCGTTGATGCGCTTATCGTCGAGGACCCACTGGAGGACAGAGATGGCCTCATCGCTGCCGTCAATGTCGTGCTCGACGTAGAAGGTGCGGACCTCGTCGGGGGAGGGGAAGCCCTCAACCTGGCCGTTGGTGATGGCACGCATGAGGGTGGACTTGCCGGTACCGTTCTTACCGCAGAGACCGTAGCGGTGACCACGCTTGAGACGGAGGGTAGCGGTGTTCAAGAGAATCTTGGCACCATAGGCGAGCGAGAACTGGCAGTTGCAAAGGTCCTCACCCTCCTCCTCGTCGTCCTCGACGTGACCATCACCAGCGTCCTCAGACGCAGAGCGGACAACCCACTCACGGGCCATCTCGACGGCGTCGGGGGTGGCAGAGACGATGGCGAGGTAGGGAGCAAGGGTATCCCACTCAGGGACGTCAAAGTTCTTGGCGTTGACGAGGTTGGCGGCGAGGTTGGAGGCGTACATGACGTCGACGTTGCCAGGGGAGATGTCGACGCCGCGGGCCTTGTAGATGGCAACGAGGGAGTGGGAGAGCTGCTTCTCGTCGGCGTGCTTGATGGGAGGGAGGTCGGAGCCATCAGAGTCGTCAGGAACCTGGCCGACTTGACGGAGGGTCTTGATAGCACGCTGGACGACACCACGGGCTTCAGGGTCAGCCACAACAGTCTCGATCTTGATGAGACCGGGGAGCAGCTTGGGAATGAAGGGTCGGACGGTGATGTGAGAGTCGACGAGCTTGGCCATGTTGTCGACAATACTATAAGCGACCGATAAGCAAACCGCACAAGAAAGATAAACAAAGAAAGGGGGAGGCTTACACAGCAACCTTACGCTTGGTAGCGGTGAGCTTCTCGTTGAGACCACGAGAGAGCAAGGGAACCATGAGCGAAAGGGTGGCCGAGTCTACTTCAGTAACGAACGTGGTGGCCGAGAGGAGGGCAATGGTGTTAGGCACCTCCTCAACGGGGTTGATAAGAGCCTTGATAAGAGCAGGAATAAAGCGTTCAATGTCCTTGTTCGAAACCAACGCAGTCGCCTTGGTCAAGGCATCCCGCGCAGCCTTCTTGACGTCGGACTTGGTATCCCAGATAGCCTCAGCCAATACGGGGACAATGTCAGGCATGAGACGAGCCATCTGGAGGGGAGCGCTCTTGACGAGCTGGTTGACAGCGACGAGGGAACCAGTCTTAATTTGCCACTTGCCGGCAGTCTTGATCTGGTGAAGAAGGGCGGGGAGGACGAGCGCGGTGGCCCAGGGGTTCATGTTAGCGACATACTCGCGAACCGCCTCGACAGCAACGGTGCGGACGGGGACGACCTTGTCGGCAAAGGTCTCAAGGAGGGCGGCGTACAGCCCAGAGTCGATGAAAATAGCCTCGAGCGCCTTGATGGCTCCGCTCTTGGCAACGACAAGAACGGCGTCGGCGGCACCCTCGCGGGCAGCCTGCGACTTTTTGTCACCGAGGGCCTTGACGAGGGCGTCGGTGAAGCCAATGGCTTGAAGGGCGGCGGGGCCCTTCTGCTCAGCGGCGGCGATGAGGGAGGCGAGGGCCTGGTCGCGGGTGGACTTGTCAGCAACCAAGAGGGCGGCAACATCAACCTGGGCGCCTCCAGTGGCGGCGGCCTTGAGGGCGGCAGGGTCGGGGGTGGCAACGGTGGAAGCGGTAATGGCGGGCATTTCTAATGATATCTGAACATTCAACCCCTCAGTCAGTCCACACAATCTTCTAGCCTCGGAATCGTTCAAAGACGCACCTTTTTAGGGTCTATAAGGTCTAAACGTTATAGAAGGATGGAAAGTTTTTTTTTTGGTGGTGGTTTTGAGGGTTTCGAGTCGTTAACACAGACGGGTGGACTGAGCAAAGGACAAAGAACGCTCTATTTTTCTATAATGGCGATGAACGCCTTTAAAAAAACAGTCAGCTCGCTGTCGGGACCGTCGTGCTCATCGCCATAGACGACGACGAGCTCAAGAAAATGCTCACCTCTATGAGTGGGGGTGGGGGTAAGAAGAGAGGAAAGAGAAGGGTGTAAAGAAAAAAGAAAAAGAGGCCAATAATCCAAACGGTCCGAGCTTAATACCTCCCTCAATGATCGGAGTTTCAAAAAATTTCGAACACAAAAAGCGGTGCTTATCCCCGTTGGATCGGTTGGAGCAGCGCTTCCGCTCCCAAAAACTTATCCCCTTTCCGTACCTTGAAACCGGTCCTGCCTCCGCACCGCGCCTTCCAATCAAATCTCTACCAATTGATTTTTTGGTCCTTTCCTCCTGAGGACCTTCGCGAATATTTAGCATGATAACTCCTTGGGATTTTGACGAACAGAGGGGCACTCAGTTACAGGAACATAGAACAGAAAAAATGCGGGGTAGATCTGGGCCTGACTACGTGCTCGCATCGCTTCGCATGCACATAGGAGAATCATAATTATTCCGTTGGGGACCAGGACGCCCCGGGATCCACTTTTGCAGCGAAAAAACACCCCACGCACGCACCAGCCCAAGCCCAGAAAAAAAAATACATTATCGCCGCGATCGTCCAGAATGCTCCAAGTCATGGGATGACTCAATAACAAGACCCAACTCAAGCCAACTCATGTTCGTTTAGAAATGCACAAGGGTATCCCTGAGCCGCCAGGGCACCGCGGCACCGCAAGGGTGGAGAACCAGAACGAGATGTCCCTCAGGGTGGAGAGAACGAGAACGAGATGGCCGTCAGGGTGGAGAGGACGAGAGCGACATCGTCCCTCAGGGTGGAGAAGGACGAGAACAAGATGAGGCCCCAAGGCCACAAATTAGCCCTCGACTCGAAGGGGCGAGGCGGACATAAATTACCAAAAACAAAACCCGCCCGCCGCACGCTCGGAGCCTTGAAGCATTTCCATTACACCGACCAAACATCGACTTATTACATCGACTATCTCCAAATCAGACGCGGACGAAGTGACTGTGATTAACGGTTATCTGCATTTCGGGTATGGATGGGCCCTTAGATCTTAGACTAGTATGGACTGGACATACCTGACAAGCTAGTCTCGGCAACCCCGAGCTAGCTAGTTGTACCCTCGAACGTTGCACAGACCCTCCGACGTGACAATAACACGCTCCCAGAAATAATAATAGCGCACTCAGATCTACATACCATCTCAGGGCCAAAACACACACCGATACGAGCACAAGAGAAATCACATTACAAGCGAGCACTATGTAAAAGGTCCAGGATTGCAAGAAAATGAATGAATGAACATGAACGAGGCGCCAAACGACCGCAGAACGACTTCGGAGCGAACGGGATAACAAACAACAAATGAATGAATGAAATGCGGTTAGGATCACCTTCCCAATCCGAACCCGAGATGGGAAGAAGGAAGCAAGGAAACGAAAGAAGGAAAAGAAGTTGCAAAATCAAGGGTACAATTGAAACTTGACATCCACCGACGACGCCGCTCGGAAACGTTCAAGAATCGAAGAAAAAACGTGGTTGGTTGGTCCACCTCGCCTTCCTTTCCTTGCCTACTCCCGTCTCCACCGCATCGATCACCATCATCAACGGCAGAACAACGGGATTCTCAAGCTTGACGCACCCCCATCGCATCTCCGATCCTCCATCCGCCACCTTCTATGTATGTACGCTAAACCACCCAATAGCATCCATCCAATCACAAAATGTCATCTACATCCATATCGCCCTAATTCATCCATCACTAATCCTCGCTGCTCGCAACTTCCACAAACGTCAACGGCACAAATTGCTAAAATAACCCAGCGCGATTAGAAAAAAAGAATGCAAGTGGAGAAAACGTGTTACTCACATGTCCACCACCCTCAAAGTGCTTGCTATTCCCCTCAACCCAGTGGAGACGGAGCGCGTGAAGGAAAGCCGAAAGACCCTGTGAAAAAAAAGGAGACACAACCAAAGGCGTGATAAGCGATCCAACCAGTCAACCATTTGATCGTCGTAAGCAGCAAAAACGAACAAGAAACGTGAAGCAAATGAAATGGAGACAAACATCATCCCATGTCGGCCATGTTAACGACACAAGTGGGCGCCCCCGAACGTGAGATCGCCAGAAATAGGGGATAGGGCATCACCAACCGCAAACGCCACGATCGCGACCAGGGAAAAAATAGGGGAAAATTACACCACAAACTCACGCGTTCCGGGGGCTCGGATGTCGGAACGCGTGAACGGGCGTGAACGAGGGAAAGTGAGAGCTCGGAAGTGTACGAGACAAGAAACCAACGGCATAACGCCGGAATTTTTGACCTGCTGACAGCAAGCCGACCGGAAGATCGACGCGAAGTGGCCATACATCCCAAGAACGCACACTAAGAAGGGACAACACGCGGCGCGCCACCACGCAGACCAATAAAGTCCATCCGAGGAGAATTGTGAAAAGATAAAAGACCAAAACGAAAGAACGAAAGAAAAAGAACGTTCGTTCGAAGAAAGAAGAGGAGAAAGATGGAAAGAGGCAAGGAGTAACCGGAATGATTACACTCACCTCCATAAGACAGAGAATGAAAACTGTCAACGAGAACCACATCGAGCCCATGATCGCAAGCGCAATCCACCCAGTCACACCTTGCGGATTCAAAAACCCAGCAATCGTCATATCCCACAACACCTCCGAAAGCTGCGCATGCGCAAGCGAAAGAGCCCACAACCGGAGGTACGAAGCAGTATGCGAGATACAGCCCAGACAAAACTCGATGGTGTGGATGATCTGGTGAATCACAACGTCGCCGAAATCGTGTTCCTCCTATCATCAAACAAGATAATTTGCGGTTAGCAAACGATCAACCAAAGAGCTGATATGCCGAAATGAAACGCACATGATCACCCTCTTCATGTTCAAGAACAGCCCTTCCATGTCCCTCCTCTTCACCCTCAAGCACATCATCCTCACTCTGCCTGAACCCATTCTCACCCGAATCCCGGGCAGTCCCCAGCTCATTTGACGCTCCCAAACTAACATACCCCTCATCCCTCGGCTTCTTCATATCCCTCCACGCCAAATACGGTTTGGTGATCAACAACCACGGCACACAAATCCCCGCCAAACCCAACAACACCAACTGAACAAAACCCTGTCCAGGATAGAGCTGCTTATCAGGCGCCACCACACCCGGCTCCAGGAACATGGTGATAAGCATGTTCAGAAGCGAAGGAGGCGACACCGGGGATTTGGACCAATCGACTGTCCACTTGTACAGGATGCAGAGGACGAGGTAGCCGAAGATACTTTGGAGGAAGATCATCTGCGGGATGAAGTTGGTCCAGATCTCAGATTTGCGGTTGAACCTGAAGTGGTTAGGGACTTGGAGGCAGAGCGCGAATGTCATCTAATGCGGGTGGCATTTGTTAGGGACGAGATTGGAACGGACGCGAACGGTGAACTTACATGACAGACACCAAGCACGATCGACATCTTCATCTTGTACGAGTTGGTGAAGACGAGGGCGTTGCTAGCTCCATGCCAGCCAGGGTCCAAACCGAACGGGTACGTCGATCCAGTCCATTCACCAGTGGTCGAACCATTAGCGAACTTCCATCCAGACTTGAAGATGGGCAACGTCTTGGAGAAGATATCGTTGTAGATGAAACCGGTGTAGATCGAGAAGATGCCCATCAAAAGAATGATGTATCGACCGCTAGAAGCCAACATTCATCAGTCACAGCCGCCACTAGACGAGAAGTAAGAAACATACAAGAAGAATTGTCCCATAATCTCGCTGTTGCCCATTCCACCCTTCGCCAGACTCTTCTCCCGCGCGATCATGTAGAGGGCAGCGAAGAAGATGATGGCACCATGGCCAATATCACCGAACATGACTGCGAAGAGGAAAGGGAAGGTGATAACGGCGAAGAGACCAGGGTTGACTTCTTGGTAGGCCGAGATACCGTACGAGTCCATGATAGCCTGGAAGCCTTCGGTGAACTTGTTGGTACGGTGGAAGGTTGGTGGGGTCTTGCTGGTGTGAAGCTCGTGGAGGATGGGAGGAACGCTTGTACCGGATCCTTCCTGTTATGCGGGTGGTCAGAGACAAGAAGCAGAGGGGTATGTGTAGCCACGAACCGTAGCATGCCTCAAAGCCAACTGGATCTTGGTAATGTCCCTAGTGGGAACCCAGGCTTCAGCAATGAGAGTCTTCCTCCTAACATCATAGTTGAACAAATTCAACGTCTCATAAATCAACTTCTCCTTCCTAACGACATCCTGCCACATGCGCAGGCCCTCTCCAATCTTGACCAACTCTGCACGTCGAGTCAAGCCGGTGTTGTAGAGGACAGTCTGGAGGTCCTCGAGGCGGGTAGTAACCTCGCGAAGGGCATCCGAGCGCTTATCGGCGTTGGAGTCGATAGGGAAGAGAGTAGCTCCCATGGACTCGGCGACCTTCCTGATCTTGGCCAGGAGAGCGTCTCCGTGGGCGAAGATGATGAAGACGTTCTTGAAGGTCTCCTCATTGGTGGATGGGTCGACGAAGGGCTCGGCGATGTCGGTGTGGTTCATGTAGAGGTTACCGCGGAGGACACGCCAGAGAACTCGCTCGAAGGTTGGGACACGGCTTCGCTCGATGGTACCAGCTACGAACCTGAGAGAGAGTCAGCACAAAGTATAGCGTCATAGGAATGGTACGCACTCGAGGTCGAATCCGGCGCTCATAGGGGCATACGACGCTTCCCGGTCATCGTGGCTCAACAGCGGAGCGGAAGCTTCGTCGAACGAGGACCGAATCTCGGCACGACTGTTCTGAGCCTGCACACAGTCAATACCTCCGTCACACCACAAAACCACTGAAATCATACCTTGTCAAAGAAGACGGCGGTCTCCTTCAACACATGCTTGGCCTCCTGAAGCTCACGGGTCCTCTCGCTGAGGGTCTGGTAGCTCTCGTTCATCTTGGTCAGACGGGCTTCATGCTCTGCGAGGGTGGTGTCGAGCTCGTCGATGGTGTGCGCCGCGCGGGGTCCAGTGGTCAGAACGGGTGCACAGTCGATGAGGGGTCGAACCGGGACGACATCCTTCTCCTTTTCGATCTGCGTGGCGAAGAAGCGAACTCGGCGGCCCATTTCGTCGATGCGCCGGATTTCCCCAACGAACGAACGTTGGAAGGGGTTGACGCTTGGGTTCAACTGTTCTTCATTAGATTATAATATTGCATAGAGGGTTGAATACCTACATCCTTGAATTGGACGTTTCCGAGTTCACCAAGTTCGTGAACAGTGTCATGCGCAACCTCGGTGGGCACAAAAAGTTGCACCAAGCTCATACGCTCCGAACCTATCCTTGCACTGTCAACATCATCCCAGACGCACAACAGACCAGAAACATACGGAGCAGGCTTGGATATTCGTCGGCCATTCTAGGTCTACACGACGTCGACGATGAGTGTGGTGAACGACTCGGACAACTGCGGCAACCTTCGCACCACTCCCAACTTATTTGCGCCTATTTGTCTCAAAGCCTTGGCACTGCCGAAACGGTCGAGCTCATCGTGAAACGCGCTCTTAACGCCAACCACGACGAATGTCACTACCCATTCTCTTACCTCCAACAGCGCTGCCAACGCATCTGAGGGTCTCAAGAACATCTCAGCAACAACAGCAAGACCAACAACAACAAACGCAAAATGAGAGCCAGAACCCACTAGCGCACCTGGAATGGCGCCCCAAAAAGTACCTGACGGATCCTCAACCACCGTCGAATGAAGACGCGCGGTTGCAGGAGGAGTTTATTCAGAAACAGGCTTTGGAGGGGAAGATTGTCAAGAAGACGAGGCCTAGGAGGACAGTCGATTATAATGGTGGTATGGGCAGATGGATTCTGGTAATTATTAGCCTTGACCATTGTAATGTCTTGTTGAAACTAATGGACTAGTCAAGTCTAGAAAACTCGCACCGAATCCTGGGTATGTGCCTCAAATGAGGCCTGCACCTCCATACATTATCGACGTGCGTTAACCAATCTCTGGAACTTGAATACCAAAGCTTATGGTATGACTAGCTATTACCACCCAAAGCTTACCCCTCCAACGCCTCCACCTCCCTCTGCACAAAATTCGTGCACACATCCACGAACAAAATCCGGTGCCCAGTGAACGTCGTAACCTGGACACCCGAGGCCCGACGCATCCTCACAGGCTCGACATCCGGCGAATTCACCCTCTGGAACGGGCTCACCTTCAACTTTGAGACCATCCTCCAAGCGCACGATACAGCCATTACAGCGATGCGGTTCACGCATTCCGGCAACTACCTCGCCTCGACGGACAAGTCGGGTGTGATCAAGTACTTTGAGCCTAACATGAACAACTTGACGGCGTGGCAGGGCACGAATAGCGGGAATAGGGAAGCGATACGGGGGTTGAGTTTTAGTCCGGATGATCAGAGGTTCGTCACTGCGAGTGACGATTCCAGTTTGAGGATCTGGTCGTTCAAGGAGAGTCGCGGGGAGAACGTGTTATCCGGTGCGCAGTAACCTCCAATATCTACAACTCTCAACTAATAAATGCGACAGGCCACGGCTGGGACGTCAAATGCGTCGAATGGCACCCCACAAAAGGCCTAATCGTCTCCGGCAGCAAAGACAGCTCCGTCAAATTCTGGGACCCGCGCACCGGAACCTGCCTCTCCACCCTCCACCAACACAAAAACACAATCCAAGCCCTCGCCTGGTCGCCCAACGGCAACCTCCTCGCCACCGGCTCGCGCGACCAAACCGTGCGCGTCTTCGACATCCGCGCCTTGAAGGAATTCAGGGTATTAAAGGGACACAAGAAGGAAGTATGCGCAATCACTTGGCACCCTGTACACCCTGTACTCGTATCGGGCGGTTCAGAGGGCTCGATCCTCCATTGGGATCTAAGTTCAGCTGACATGGTCGATTCCACTCCTGCACCCGCTCCCCCAAACACAATCGCCAAAGACCGAACCTCCTCATCCTCGGTACCTCTATTCACGGGTACAACCCCCGTCTCCCAACCCCGCGCCGTGCTCAGCCAAGCACACGACTCGAACGTGTGGTCCCTCACCTACCACCCGCTCGGCCACATCCTCGTCTCCGGCTCCAATGACCACACCACGCGCTTCTGGTCCCGCGAGCGCCCGGGCGACAAGACGAGCGTATTCGCGGCGGGCGGGGAGAAGCCGCCGGAGGATATGGGTGGAGGCGAGGGAGAGGGAGACGAGGATGATGGGATGGGCGGAATGAGCGTGCCTGGGTTTGGGGGGCTGCCCGGGTTTGGCCCGCCCCCGGGCGAGCAGCCGCAGGCTTCGGGAAGCGCGGCAGGGAGGAGTGGGGGGAGGGATATCTCGGGTGGGTGGTGGAGGGAGCCTGAGCCCCCTGCGCAGACGCAGGGTGGTGGCTACGCTAATGATACCAATATGGTCGACGACTTTGCGGTGCCTGGGTTTGGAGGTGCGCCGCCTGGTTTGGGAGGGTCGAGTAGTGCGGGTGGAGGTGGTGGTGGTGGTGGTAGTGGCTATGGCGGTAATACCGGTGGTGGATATGGCAGCAGTGCGGGAGGATATGGCGATCATGACTCGAGACGGGACACGTACGACCGCGATAGAGGGGATCGAGACCGTGGAGGAGGTGGGCGAGACGCGTTCGGACGCGACATCCGACCTGGGGAAGGGGGTGGATACGGGGACGACTCGTGGGGTGGTGGAGGTGGTGGAGGTCGGGGAGGACGAGACGACTGGGGAGGAGACCGACGGAATTATGGGTATGGGGGTAGGAATGATAGGTATGGTGGTGGCAGGAGAGGTGGAGGGAGGTACTAGACCTCTCAGTTGCTTTTTTGGTGGTGGTGGATACCAGCACGCGCGGGGTGGTTGTATACCTGACATTACTTGGTGGTGTGTAAAGTGTATTGTTGATTCTATTCTATTCTTTCCCCATGTATGACTCGTTCCACCTCCCGGCCGACTCGGACACCAAAGAAGGAGAGGCTGAATGATAACCGTCAAGGACCATGTGCTTCGCTGGATCTTGGAATATGACTCGAGTCCACGGTATAAATTTGGCTTCTGCATCCATTCTGTTTTCCCTCCTCTCGCTTTCTCTTGCTTGCGCATTCTGGCGGAAAGCTAACACTGACGGAAAGCTAACACTCTGGTGGAAAGCTAATAAAATAGCCATGCCGAACCCTGCCACTCCCGGATCCACCGGACCAACGATCACCCTCGAGGATAACGCCCAACTCTACAACTCCTGGGCTAAGACATACGATACGGACGGGAACGTCCTCCAACAACTCGACGCGCTCGCGTTTGAAGATACCGTCATACCCCTTCTAACCTCCTCCCTTTCGAATCCACCACTGAAGATCCTCGAATTAGGCTGTGGAACTGGACGAAACACCGTCCTACTCAAAAAGTATGCGCCGAGGGGGAGTGTGATCTACGCTACGGATATTAGTGAGGGTATGATGGAGGAGGCGAGGAAGAAGCTTGGCGAGTTGGTGTTTAATGGGAGGGGTTCCAGCGTTGGCAGGACTAGTGAGGGAGAAGGCGGGGAGGAGGAGACGAGGGCGAAGTGGGCCTTGATCGATTTGACGACTCAGCAGAAGGAGTTAGTCGAATTCCTCCGGGATGCCAATGCATGCACCACCTCCAACACGGATGACACAGAAGAAACATATAAAGTCGACGCCCTAATCAGCACCCTCGTCCTCGAACACGTCCCTCTCAACTCATTCTTCCCCGTCCTCAGCGCCGTCCTCAAACCAGGCGCATGGGCATGGGTGACAGACATGCACCCCGAGATGGGGGCCTCGAGGGCCGCGTTCCGAAACGCTGAAGGCGTCAAAGTGACAGGTGTCAGTTACATGCATGGTATAGAGGAAAAACTGAAAGCTGCGAAGGCGTGCGGGCTGGAAATTGTAGGCCAGGTGGATGAGAGGGGTGTGGGGGACGAGGAAGGGGAGGTTGTGCGTCGTTTTGGGGAGAGAGCGAGGAAGTGGGTGGGGAGGAGGATGTTTTGCGGGATGTTGTTTAGGAAGGGTGCGTAGTACATATGGAGATCTGGCTTTAGTATCCGATGCTTGATGACGAACGAAACTTGAAAGAAAGAAACTTGCGCACACAACAAGCATCGCGCCACCGTTTTCTACTTTAAGTACCAGTGTCGGATATTACAATCCTCTCCTGGCGCCAAAATAGATTGATTGGATAACAGAGTAACGACGCCGGTATCCTGAAAACCTTCCTGGTCTGCGGAGCCGGGCTTTCGGCGCTTATCCGAATGACCGTGGCGCCTCTTCCGGACAACTCTGAGGTTGACGTCCAAGTTTTTGGCCTGTGCTACTGCACACTCTTTCACCCTTTTGCTCTCCTCAGTGAGAATACCGCGCCTGTGTGTGTCCATGTAGGCGGTCTTCTCCATTCCATTGCAGTGATGCCGCGCCGAAACCCGCTCAAGTCGGCTTGTTCAATAGCTCATATTCAATGCCATCAATATTTAGGTGTATCAGTAGTTTGTACATCGGTGAGGTCGGGACGTCTATGACAACGAGTGTGTGGGCCAGCTTCGCTTTTAGCCTTCACCGAGATCGCCTTCGGCGCACCCCCACAAGCTTTTCACGTTTATAAAAACTCGAGGGAGCAACCTTCAAAAATCAGTGCGCTGGCTCGCATCTCCCTCTTCTTCTACACCTACTCCCTAAAGAACAAGTACGTTCCTCAACCATCTAAACTGAACTTCGTCCAACGAAGCTCATCCGAACATCCGTCGTACAGACTCCTGTTGGCCGGTCCAACATCTACGCCCCTCAATCAAGCACTCATTATCACAATGGTCTCCCCCAAGTTCACCTACCTCCTCTGCCTCTTCGTCCTGTCGTCCGTCACCCAGACGCTCTCGGCGCCAATCCCAGATCTCGGCGAAGATGCTACCGGAATCTCACTCTTCTTGCGATCTCCGCAAGGAGGTAAAGACCCACTTAGGCGCTCCAGTACCTCCAGTACCTCTTCCACGGGGTCCGCTGAGGCACACAAAATGCCCAACTTTGGTTCGGGATCTTCTAGTTCTGGTTCTACTCCTAATAGTAGGCCCGGAAGTCCAATAGCGATTGTTGATCCCGGGTCCGTGCGTCCCGAACCAGAGAACTTTGACAATCCCAAAGATCCCAAAATTCCCGCAAAAGCCATGAAAGTAAGCTAACCTCACGCGTTTTCTTTGCCAAGTCGTCATCATGTCTAACCTTCCCCCGATACCGAAGAAGCTAGGCATCGACTCAGGGAATCCAACGGCTGGTGGATCTGGATCTGGAGGTCTATTGACGGTTCCCGGCACTTCCGCTGGCGGCGACAACAATTTGAGCCGCAAGTCCTCAAAGGCCAGTTTACGCAGCGTTGCAAGTAGTGTGAAAAGCACTGTTAGCAGCCTCGGAGGAAAGGTCAAAAGTGTCGCGAAGACTGTCAAAGGCGCCTTCACCCCGAATTCCAAGAAGAAGGGCCCCGGCGGCGCAGGGGGCGCAGGCGCGGTGCGTGCTCATATCTCCACTCCCTTATCGGACCCAAAGCCTCGATACTAATTCATAGATGTATACCTTTCTGCACTCACGACAGGCTTCAGGATCCGGTCAAGGCAAAAATCGCAAGAGGAGTCTGAGCTTTGGAGATGCCGGATCACCTTTGTACTACTAAGTACTAGGCGAACGCCAAGGCCACCGCCCCTTGAACACCCCGCCCAATGATAGTGATAGATTGATCGGTGTTTTCGTAGAATGTATGTAGTAGAGGTTGTATACTCGTCTGTGACGAGGCTTAATTAACACCGTTCAACCCTGTTCAACGATCATTTCGAGTTGCACACCTAGCGTCCGTGTGTAAGCACGACGTGGCCATCGGCGCCTACTAATATCAGCTCTATCCCTCGGCGCTTCGTTATCTCTGCATACAAGACTCTAGCACCATCCACTCCAGGACCTACCAGTGCCACGCTTCCCTCCCTCAACAACAGCGCACAACTTAAGCCCAACCTACCCTTGGCAGCCCGACCATCCCATCGTCCTCACCACTCACCACTCACCCAGCCTCGGACGGTAGACCCAGACCTCAGACCTCAACCTCGCCAACGGCCAAAGCGATCTGACTTTGAGGTTTTTGGGAATTAAGACATTAAGTATTGAGCGGCTAATGATACAACCAGATTATGGTATACAGCTCTAACTAGGTAGTGAGAGATGGCTAGTAATACATTGTGGACGTAAAGCAGCAGAGCAGGGTCTGCATCAGACTGAGATGATCATTATACATCTTGACTATCAGATTGCAGCCAAATCACGAAAACGCGGCAACGCAGGCTTCGAACGTTGCAAAAGTGACCATATTCACCGGTATCGCCCTGCGCACCCACCAAACATCAGTCGAAGCTTCAATGATACAAAGGGAAGTAAGCTCACCGGATAAGCGTAGGCGATAACCCACGGAAGAACACACCCACGCCTTCCGACCGATAAGAGTTCACTATCGTCGACCAAGTCGAGCGATACGGGTTCGTATCTCTCGGCACCACCTTCGCCACCGTCCGTTCTGGTAAGAGTCCATGGAGTAAAGGAGTCGAAAGTGTAGCTGTTGCATATCCTCTAGCGAGTCTGTTGACGTGATGGTGTGGTAATCCTGCGCCGGATGGGGTGGAATAGATAGGCTTGCTGGCTTGGATCCGGGTCTTGACGACGTCGAAAGGGAAGGTGAAGAGCCAGCCAGCTGGGTGTGGACATCAAAGTTAGATTGGGTTTGGTGTTTGAGTTTTGTGTTGGTTTGGGGGTACGTACCGATACCTGCTACTCCGCCTGCGAAGAGTAAAGCTGGCCAGGAGAGGGTGGATACTTCGGATTCTACATGTGCCATGATGTCGCTCGAGTTTCGTGCTGGAGGGGCGAATAGTCTGCATGTGGCTTCGTACTGGCGATACGAAATGCCTTTAGCATGCTTATGAGCCAACGAGGAATGAGAGTATGTACTCACAGCGAAGAAGTAAGCGCCATAACCCGTATCTCTAAGTGCCGTCGCGGTTATTCCGCGATACAATCCCTTTATGCCACTCTCTCTAAAGATCTGCCATGCAACCTGTCGTGCCGTCGAAGGAGTCGGTATAGATTGCTGTCGGATCTTGATGAGCTCCGTTGGAGTCGTGATTAACCTATGATACAGACATCGTTTCAGCATCCCCGAGTGCACCGAAAGAACATGACTAGGCAGAGGTGAATTGAATGTAACGTACGAGCTGACGATGCCACTCCCCGCCCCTGCGAGTGCGATTTGTGTTAACGTCGGTGTATCATCTGCGTTCTCTAGTTGGAGCTTCATCAAGAAGCGGTAGGATGCGAAAACTAGGCCGTTCATTAACGCGACCGTGGCCTACAATCCACGCATTCAATACACATTATTCCAACCAATCGGAGAGGTACAGCCACGCACCATGGGCGATGTAATCCCTCTATACAATCCAATAAGCTTCTCCTCCCGCATAATCGTCCGTAGAGCGCTAAACGTCGAGGTATACTTGCTCGCAATTGCGGGACTTTGGAACCGGACTTTCACTGTGGACCAGGGCGGGTCAGCCACGGGTTCATATCCAACATTCCGGCATTCTGTGGTATCTAACCTGTGTCAAACGGAAAGCCGACCGCGAGACTTGCCATTCCCTGTAACCACAGCCATCCTCCGATGAGTCCTCCCTCCCAGATCCACGACCAACAACACCTGACATACCGCGATAGTACCCGCCACGAAGTCGAGGGTCGGGTCAAGTTGGACTATTCATCGTTACAGAGGTTCTGGTGGTTAGTTTCGTGTTGTGGAGGTTGGAGAGTGAGACGTACCCTTGCCATCGCCGTTGGAAACATCGTCCATCGAGGTGTGAGGTCAAGATAGAGAGCCAAGATCCGACGGGCTTGTCGAGCTTCCAGTGTTGCGGCCTGAAAGCCCCTAAAAGTCCCATCCCGGTTCCGATCAGGAACGGAACAAAAAGCGATGGTGTATGTCCTTGTTTGACGAGGGCGTTTGGAATGCCAAGCGCGCGGTTGGGGAGGCTTCACTTCGAGCATGTCCCAGACTCTATCTGACAGGTGTCGGTTTTTGAGCTCCCTCGAAGGCTAAAAGGCTACTATGAATCAACCTCTCTGGTCCTTCGTCCCATAGAGGCTTGAAGTCTCTCATGCTTTCTGTGACGCCAACCTGCACTGAACTCGACTTGTTCACTCGACTTGTTCGCTCGACTTCGACTCGCGGGCATCTCTTTCACTATCTGCGCTGAAACAAACGCCGCCTGAAGTCCCTGTCCTCTTGGGTTAGACTCACCGCTGGCTGTCCCTCCTGTCATCGCTACTACAGTAGTCAATCCACCATACCTGGCAGAACAAAAGCTATTTCCGGATCCGAGGCGACATCCCTTCGCAGAAACTTCCTGGCAATTTCCAAATTCACTCTACATCTTACGGTAAACTGGCAGGAAAGCTTCAAACTCGACAGCGTGTCAAAGCCTCAAGGCTAAAAGAAGTTCTAGCCCAACCGAATAGGCGCGCAATCTTGACCAAAAAGGGTATGGCCATGGCTATATTTAACCTTCGAGAACGCTCGTGTATTCCTCGCGACTATTTTCGCCGTGAATTTCATTTGAAAACACGAAACTTTACTTTCTCAAGTCTTGTGCGGAGACAGGGAATATGGACTTTACCCCGGAGAGACACCCGACCTCCCGACCTCTCGAGGGTATAAAAACCCTGCCAAAATCCCTCCGATCCCCCAGAACCCAGTTCTATCTTTCCCCACTCTTTCAGCAGTCTACCACTCACTACACCAACCTTCTACACACTCTTTCAGAGATGTTCGCCCGTCTTACTTCTACCCTCTTCGCTCTCGCAGCCGTCTCCGCCGTCTTCGCTGCCCCCGGCGCAACCACCGAGCAGTGCAACGGCGGTGAAGTCCAATGCTGCAACAGCGTCCAGGACGCCAACAACCTCGACTCGTCTGTCAAGAAGATCATCACCGGTCTCCTCCACCTTGATCTCAAGCAGATTACTGGGCAGGTCGGTGTGACCTGCACCAGTGTCAATGTTCTTGGAATTGGCGGTGGCAGCTCTTGGTATGGATTCGCTTTTAGTTATTCCTATATTTTGGCCTCTGACTGGGCGATTGGTGTTTGTAGCACTCAGCAGAAGGTCTGCTGCACTAACAACTCGTTCCGTAAGTGATCATGTGTTATGATCCTCTTCGTCGTTCGTCGTGCTTATATGGGTGCTCTTTCTAGATGGACTCATCGCTCTCGGCTGCACTCCCATCAACGTTTCTGTTTAAAGTGGCTCTCATCTCACAGTGAGTAATACCGAGGTCTTTCCCATATCAGTCCGCTAAGTTTCCTTGCCGCAGGCCACGCCAGGCTACGACTGTCGTTTCAGCTAGACTTGCAGGATGATGTACTTGGTTTGCTGTATACCCCCTGATAGCCCTCCGAGTAGCTATGTACATCCTCTCCAGGCCCTTTAATACATTTGTTCAACCTTCTTACCCCCGCTGGTGGGCGATATCTCTGGACGGATCGGGTGTAAGAGACGCATTGTAGCATGCGGCCCCACCGGGGGAAAGAGTAATCCCAGGCTGACAGCCAACTTCGCTCGCTCCGAGTCTTGGTGGTGAAAAAACAGCGATCTCACGTATGTATGCTTTCTAACACCGGTACCTCAACGATCTGGATTCTGGTTCTCTTTTATCGGTGTAGAGAATCTTAAATTATGTGTATGCAGCGCCCGTCAGGTCTTTAAGAAACCGATAGGTTCTCGGTACCCATTTGTGGTGCACTAAAATGCAGACGTACGCCGTGTGCACTCGTAAGTATGCCTTTTTGGAAGAAAGAAATTGATATTTCTGAGGATGTCGCTGCGTAGGAACCTCCGTGCGTGTCCACTAGGGTGCAGACCAGCGCCCCGAACTCCCCGTGGTATATACAACGGAAGGCTTTAAATGCAGGGAAGAATGCCACCCTTGGATGCCTTGCGCTGGTTTCGCATCGGTTCATCCCTCTGAGCATACTCGTTTGTTTTGTTTCTTCAATTTCTGTCTTCGCCCGTCTTACTCCATTGTTTTTGGGTAGATTCCAAGTTAAACGTTGGCTGGTCCAACCTACATATCTTCCAAGTGACAAGTCAAATCATGATCCTCCCAACCTCGTCGACTACTACTATCCTCCTCCGCCTTCTGGTACTCTCAGCCTTGGCACAAACCCTCGTTGCACGACCCGTAGACGTGAGTATTGATAACTCTGGGCGCATTAGAAACCACAGGTCCATTTCCGTGCGACACTTATATACGTGCATACTTTAAACTAGCTTATCAAACCGCGATCAGAAGAAAGTAGCGGCTCTGCTTCGACTAAACTCAATACCAAGTTGGACGATGCTGTGAGCGGGTCTGCTGGGACGCTCGTGAGCGACGCGGCGTCGACGAACTTGAGCTTTAACCATCCGAATGGGTCGGGGTCTCAAGTGTCTCTTGCTGGTAGCGAGGGAAATCAGGGTTCGATAGGCCAGGCCACAGGTGATGAACTTGGAAGTCCTGCGCAGGTGAGTGCTAGATACTACGCGGTACCCATGATCAGCGGTGTTGCCATACCCCATCCCCCGAGGGTTGCTGGATAAAATGATCTGACCGGGACGCTCTGCAACTTACAGGGGTCTAGCTCTGGACAGCAGGATCCTTCGCACCAACCTCCAGACAAGAAACCTTCAAAGTTGAAAGAGTTCTTCGGTAAAGTGGCGAAGCCTGTCAAAGACTTTGCGGGCAAATTGAAGGATGTTAAGAAGCCGGTACGCACTCGGTTCTGATGCGCGCTTTCTGCATCACTATTGTGTGTATTGCTAGAGCTGACACGGTTGGTACAGAAGGAGGACAAGGGAAAGAAGAGAGAAGACGATCCCGGAGCAGGCAGCGGGGTACGCGCGCGCTTCCCATTCACAGAGATACGCAACAAATGCTAACGCGGGAAGTACTAGGCTTCCAGGTCTGGTCAACAGCTGACTCGGAGCAAGTCAAGGAGTGCATCTCAGAACGCTCAGGCTGGTCCGAAGACAGCTTCGACTCGGGCAGCCGCCAACACTCCTCGAGGCAAGAAGCGTGCGGTCACCGTGCCCAAATCGAACTCTGCAGCGAAGGTAAAGACTTCACCTGCTCACCAGAATCGTGCAGGGACACAGAAGGTGAGTAAAGCCTGGTATCAAACAAGTGTACGGAAGTGATGGGAGGTCGTTAATATATGTTCGAGCAGCAGGTCAAGAAATCTGTCGCAACACCAGGCGCAAAGCCTGTTACCAAGGCGAGATCCCCGCCCGCTGCGCAAAGGAAGGCTGTCCAGGCACATCGCGCTCCGCCAAAGAACGTCGGTGCTCAGCGAAGGAAGTAAAACGAGTAGTAGTGACATATGTTGTATCGCGTTGCTGGCTCAATTTAAGAGTACTTCCTGTGTCAGATTGTGAAGATACGAAAGACCTGTAGGTGCCGTCGAAGTCGTCAGGGGTAGAAGAGTCTAGATTTCTGCATGTTTTCCTAGCTCGCATTCCTGGAAGTGAACGAGTTCGGAGTATGATAGAGAACATGGGCGAAAACCAAGATGTCGTCGACTTGACGCCGGTCGAGGCTCGGATGACTCGGCAATTCATGAGGAGAGTAGCGCCCGGGAAAGAGCACGCGGAAAGCCGGAATGACTGTGTGTCGGAGTTTGAAAAGGGGCAAGCCGGAATCACGAGCATATGATTGGTTGGAAGGGGAACCGGGACGACGACCAGAGTTGCTCGCGCCTCTTTTTCTTGATCCTCTTCGTCGTCCGCAATGTTGGCTGCAAGGTCTGTGCGACGCTCTCTTTTGGGCCATGCCCGTGCATTCCACGCTTCTTCCAAAGTATCCCGCGTCGTCGCGACCAACCCTGTAAAGGCTCAGGAGGTCAAGGTAAGCACGACCCGAGTTCCCCGTTCTTCTCCACACTAACAACTTGCTCAGGGCTGGGGTAAATACCCGCTCATCGAGCACGAATACGATGCTGTCGTTGTGTAAGTCGCACGGAATCTACTCCGAACCTCAACTGACCTCGAAACAGCGGTGCTGGAGGCGCTGGTTTGCGAGCTGCCTTTGGTCTCGCTGAAGCCGGCTTCAAGACCGCCTGTATCACCAAGCTTTTCCCCACCAGAAGTCACACCGTCGCTGCCCAGGTTCGTGCACAGCAGCCCTGCATATCTCGCTTAAACTGACTTTTATCTCCAGGGTGGTATCAATGCTGCACTCGGAGTGAGTTTGGTTTCTCAACGGAATCGTGACAGAGGCCTTATATTTGCGTAGAACATGACTGAGGACGACTGGCGGTGGCACATGTACGACACGGTACGTCTCCAGTTGCCCATCTCTTCTCCTCGTCAACCTTACCCCGGAGTGACGTTCAGGTTAAAGGCTCCGACTGGCTCGGTGACCAAGATGCCATCCACTACATGTGCAGAGAAGCTCCCAACACTGTCATTGAGGTACGCTCTTTTGTCTATCAGTAACGCGTTTTCCTCAAAATTTTGCAGCTTGAGCACTTCGGTGTGCCATTCTCAAGAACGAAAGAGGGCAAGATCTACCAGCGTGCGTTCGGTGGTCAGTCGTTGAAGTTCGGCAAGGGTGGCCAGGCCTACCGTTGCGCTGCTGCCGCTGACAGAACCGGCCACGCCATTCTCCACACTCTTTACGGTCAATCTCTCCGACACGACACCAACTTCTTCATCGAGTACTTCGCCCTCGACCTCATTATGCAAGATGGCGAGTGCGTCGGTGTCATCGCCTTGAACATGGAAGACGGAACCCTCCACCGATTCCGTGCCCACAAGACCGTCCTCGCCACTGGCGGTTACGGACGAGCCTACTTCAGCTGCACTAGCGCTCACACTTGCTCTGGTGACGGTAACGCCATGGTTGCCCGTGCCGGCCTTCCCCAGCAGGATCTCGAATTCGTCCAGTTCCACCCTACTGGTATCTACGGTGCTGGCTGCTTGATCACTGAGGGTGCGTAAAAGGTTTTCCCGCTACCGCGACTTGCGAAGGTTGAATTTTCTTTCAGGTTCTCGTGGTGAGGGAGGATACCTCCTCAACTCGGAGGGTGAACGTTTCATGGAACGATATGCCCCCACCGCTAAGGATCTTGCTTCTCGTGACGTCGTCTCCCGATCAATGACCATTGAGATCCGTGAGGGCCGTGGTGTTGGTCCTGAGAAGGATCACATCTACCTCCAACTCAGCCATCTCCCTCCCGACATTCTCCATGAGCGATTGCCCGGTATCTCTGAGACCGCCGCCATTTTCGCTGGTGTCGATGTCACCAAGGAGCCCATCCCTGTCCTCCCCACCGTCCACTACAACAGTGAGTTTTATCCCCCTTCACCCACGCACCGTTATGTTAACAATTGAATGCAGTGGGTGGTATTCCTACTCGATACACCGGTGAGGTCATCACCGTTGACGAGAACGGCAACGACAAGGTCGTCCCTGGTCTCTACGCCGCCGGTGAAGCCGCCTCCGTCTCCGTCCACGGTGCCAACCGTCTCGGCGCCAACTCCCTCCTCGACATCGTCGTCTTCGGCCGTGCCGTCGCCCACCACATCCGTGACACCTGGACTCCCGGCAAGCCCCACAAGACCATCCCCGAGGAGTCTGGTCTCGAGAGCATCGAATTCCTCGACAAGATCAGGCGCGCTGACGGACCTGAGCCTACTGCCAAGATTCGTCTCGACTTGCAGAAGGCTATGCAGGCTGATGCTGCTGTCTTCCGTACCCAGGAGTCTTTGGATGAGGGTGTTGAGAAGGTTAGGGAGATTTACAACAACTTTAAGAATGTTGGAATCAAGGATCGTTCTATGATCTGGAACTCGTGAGTTGTGCGTTTCTATTCTCTGGGAGAGGTTCTGACATCTCGTGTTTTTCTTTTTTCTTTTTGTGCATAGTGACTTGGTTGAGACGCTCGAGTTGCGCAACCTTCTCCAGTGCGCTATTCAGACTATTGTCTCCGCTGCTGCCCGTAAGGAGTCCCGAGGTGCCCATGCTCGTGAGGACTACCCAGAGGTACGTTGTCATGTGATTTTTGCGTGTCCCGGTTCAGCCAATCGCTGACGTTGGATTACTTTTTTTGCTTCTTTTTCACCTTCCGTGATTTGCCGCCGGTGTCACTGCTTCCGCTACCTCCACCACTCGGCCCGTCTTCCACTCGCGCGCCTCGGTTTGTCTGCATCGACCATCACCGCGTCCACCACCACCGTGTCCTCTCCCCTCACCGCCAACGTACCACTCCAACTGCACCCTCATTCCAACCTGGACTTGTACAGCGTGACGACGAGAACTGGATGAAGCACACGCTCTCGTATCAACCTGATGTTGAGAGCCCTGATGTCAAGCTTGCCTACCGACGTGTTATTGAGACCACTCTTGACGAGAACGAGTGCAAGCCTGTGCCTCCTTTCAAGCGTGTTTACTAAATGGCTAGCGCGTGTCGGGGTGGGGTTGTCCTGTTCTCGAGTAGGATTGTTCTCGAGTGCGTCGGTTTTCGAGTGCACCTAATTCGAGTGGGCTTGCTCTCGAATGAGTCTACTTTCGAATGCGCCTAGTAGTAGTTCGAGGAGTGCGTCGCAGCCATCGTGGACGAAGGGACTAAAAAGTTGATGGTGTCTCTGTTACATTAATTGATTCGTTTTTGTTTTTTGTTGCAAAGTGTAGGCAAAGTATACTAGTAATTTAATTAACCCTTTGTTTGAAGGATTTGGTGTGCTGGGGGCGTGATGTGGAGTGGGTTGAGATTTCTACTCGCCTGTGTGAGTGGGTGCAGTGGGGGCGATGGGATGGTCGTTGACAGACTAGGGAGGGAAGTGTAGTACTGGTAGGTCTTGGAGTGGCTGAGGCCACCGTGCTGTATGCGGAGTTAGTGTCGATCGTGGGCTACTAGAGGCTGAGGCGCAGGAGATCCTGTTCGTGGGCCCCAGGTTAGGCAAAGAAGCGCTGAGGGATTGTCCTATAGGCGCCGACGAAACTCATGATGATCTTTTGAACAGGGTTTCGTTCTTAAAAAAGTAAACGGTGTTATTTAAGCGCTCGCCACTGACGAGCGCACCATTTCTTCTACATACTACATACTACGGACAGCCTCAATCGATCAATCTATCACTAAGTATCGTTGGACGGGATCTTCAGGCTTCGAGAGGCGCTGGGCGTTACTGTTGGGCGTACTACCTTCTAGTAGTAGTACGAGGGTGATCCGCCTTCTCCAAAGTTCAGGCTCCTCTTGCGGTTTTTGCCTTTGCCGGATCCTGAGGCCTGTCGTGGACAAAAAGGCATGTAGGATTCAGTATGAGGCGTTGGGTCGGATATGGAAGATGAGATATGTGTACGTACCGCGCTTGCGCCACCTGCGCCGGGGTCCTTCTTGCCCTTGTCATCCTTTTTGCCCCTACTGAAAGCACCGGTGAAACCCTGGAGTAGCGACTTGGACGGCTTATCCTTGACGGTTTTGTCGTCGTCTTTGGGAGGTACAGGTGGAGGTGGCAACTCCTTGTTTCGATTTGGGTCCAAGGTACCTTCCTGATGTATATAATATCCGTTCAATTCTCTTCTTCGATATTCATGGCATATACCAAACCTACCTTCGGAGCGGGCTTGCCTTTTCCCGGAGGAGCTTCGGCCAACTTAAACTTGTTCTCTCTCTGCGGAAAGTAGTAAACCGTGAGTTTCGCGATCGGTAGAGCGACGCGGGCGTCTGAAGTCGTTAGCTTACCTCTTTTCGTTCCTCTTTCGTTAGTTCGTTTGCGGTCTGTCCGGAACTCACAGAGCTTTTGTCTGACTTGTTGCCGTCGGTGTCGGGTGTTCCTGGACCTCCATGGAGGGTGGGAGAAACAATGGCAAGGGGTCCTTCTTTGGAATCTGTACTACCAGTGCCTCTGGAACTAGCACTTTCATCGCTGCTGACAGGGGTAGTAGGTCCTGTCAATTTGACCGGCCCCAAGGTACTGTCATGGCTGTTGGTACTTCTACCAGCAACCTGAGGGCCTTCACCACCTGGCGGACCTCGCAAGAAGATTGAGGTGCCCGCGGTCTCGTCATCGAAGAGGATAGGGACTGGTGCTGACAGCGTCTGAGTGACCGAGGAGAGGAGGAGGAGGCATAGGAGGTAGGAGAACTTGGGGGAGACCATTGTGATAGCGAGTGATTGAGGGGCGTAGACGTTGGACCGGCCAACGAAAGCTCTGCGAGACGGATAGTCAGTCAGGTGAGCCACACGCCAGAATTTGGTGAATATGGCTTACGAGTTGTTTAGAAAGGAGTAGTAGTAGAAGAGGGAGAAGCGAACCAGCGCACTGATTTTTCGAGGTTGCTCCCTCACCCCTTTTATAGCCGCGGATACTGTGAGTGCACTGAAACGCGACTTGGGGTGCAGACCTCCGAAATGGGAAGCCGTCATCACGCGTACACACGTATGGCTTCGTAGTAGACGCCCAGACCTTACCAATGCACCCACGAATACCCATAGATACTGATGGCACTGAATACGAGCTCTTGAACAAGCCTGCTTCTGTGGGTTTCGCATCCCTGCTGGAATGGAGAGGCGCCTGCATGGACACACGCACGAGTGGGACCAGCGGGTATTCTCATAGAATAAAACAAAAGAATGGACGAGTGTGTGTCCATAGTGGGCCCTGAAAACCCATGCATGCCGTACTCGTCGGTCGTGAGTCGGTGGGCGCGCAAGAGGCGCCAAGATCATTCGGATAGGCGCCGAAAGTCACTCACCGCAGACCAGGCGGGTTTGAAGGATACCGACATCGTCTCTGCCACCACCGAATCGCTTTATTTTAACCATAGAAGATCTCTGAAACTGGTAACGCGAGAACTATATTCCGCGCAGAAATTCGAGAGGATTCCACATCGCAAGCTAGATACATGCATACATAATCCACTATGCTTCTAGTGGCACGTTGATGTCATGTGTACACAAGTATCTTCATCAAACATCGGGTACTTATGTACTCTTAAGGTGATTCAAGACTGCTGGATGCTGGATATACACCGGCGAATCCACGCGATGCTGTTTCGACTTCAGGCCCAGGACCGCCAGGGTGAAGGTGGTATTACACTGGGTTATGGCTGTTATGACTTTAATTTACCCTTTCCAGGCATGGGTGTTTGGTGGGTGGAGGCTAGAGAAAAACACAGACTTATCTTTCTATAGACGACAGGACTCTCACAACTGGCGGATCCGAAAGCCGATGCCGGTTGACTCGGATACCGCATGCGCACTAGATTCTCACGGACGACCTCGATTTTACCTCCACCACCACAAACGAGTCTACGATTTTACGCCTTTGGGATGCCTTAATCTTTTCCTCCATGGATGTGCCTCTGGTGGATTTCTCTTTCCGGCGACGCTCTGTCAACACCTGGCGCGTCGCGAAGAATGGCGTATCTGCCAGACCACTCTTCCGACAATCGTTTGTGTGCGTCGACGACAATGTCGAGTGACACCTCATCGACATGGGACTAGACTGGCGACGTATATCCACTTGGGTCTCTTGTCTTCGATGACTTGAACGCTCATACATGGGTATCAGCCATCCACCGGCACCTTCTGTCAACCTGCTGCTGTCACCTCCACCCCGGATGGAGGGATTTGCGATATGTAGTTCGTGTCAACGCGCCTAGTCGATCGAAAGCTCGCCCATCCTACTCACGTCATAAGCTCCACTAGAAGAAACGAGGCAAAAGAAAGGTCTATGCTGGGACAGACCTGCAGGGCGCTGTGCCCATGCTACCCAACCCTCTTCCGAAATTGATATTCAAATTCAAACCCCGTGAAGCCTAAAAGCTAATGTTACTCCACCTTTTCCATCGTCAGGCCATTGTTTTCCAAATTTGAGTGGCGCACTGACGTCGAATGGAAGCCCTTGGGCGCTCAAATGCGAAACTCGGACAGCGGAAATGATATTCATATTGGAATTCGAATTCAAAGTATTGCCTCGTTGTTCTTTTGAGCTCGGCTCTTGGAATTTTCAGAGCTTGTACGCCTTGTCTCTGGCCCAACAGTGACCTCATTTCTTCTACGCTATTCGCTTGGATGCGTGTAGGCTTTGATCTGAAGTCATAGACGACGCAAGACTCGAGAGAAAGGTGCATGGGCCCGAAACTGGGGTATAAAAGTCTCTATCCCAGCCCTCGAAAACCTCAGAACTCAGGTTCACAAACCCCACTCGCACACCTCTCTCATTCGCGTTCAAACCACCCACCCAATTTGATTTCACGATGATGGCCCGTTTTACTTCTGCTCTCTTCGCCTTCGCCCTCTTCGCCGCCGCTGTCGCTGTCCCCACCCCACAAGACGTCGAATATGTGCAATGCAATGGCGGTCAAGTCCAATGCTGCAACGACGTTAAGGAGACCAATCAGCTCGACGCCCCATACAACCAGCTCCTTTCCGTCTTCGACGTCGACGTCAAGCAACTCACCGGCAAGGTTGGTTTGACCTGCAACACCGTCAATGTTTTGGGTATTGGCAGCAATTCCTGGTAAGGCCGCTCTGTAACTCTGGGACCACATCCGCTGATGCTTCCACGCATTCACGTAGCGACGCCCAAACTGTTTGCTGCACTGATAACAGTTTCGGTGAGTAGCTAGCCCTTTTCGTCGAGCCTTTCGTGTCTTACGAACTCTCCCTCTAGACGGCATCATCGCCCTTGGATGCACGCCCATCAACATCAATCTTTGAACGCTCACCACAAACCCTATCGCAAGTCTAGCATTACCTCGCTTTGCTCGCAGGCCCTAACCCTGCCTCAGATCTCATCGCTCTTACCTGGCTTAATTTCACCCTTGTTCGAGTAGTCTATTTGTATACCATGTTGTCTGTGTGTATGTGCTAATTCACGATCTTGCTATCTGTTCGGACTTGGGCCTGTATGTTTCCCGTTCGCACTGCGTTGACATTTAATACGGACGACAAAGCGACTATCGTACATCCGCTCGACTCAAACATTCACTTCCTCCTTCCGGATCCCTGTCCGTGCTAGTCAGTCATTTATTCATCGGTGTCAAGAGGAATCTAACTGACCTTGGGGGGTTGCGCTTTCAGATTGTTCTGGGGAGGTTTTTGCTTAGGAGCAGGAGCATTCTTGGCAGTCCCCTTGCTGACACCTTTCAAAGCTTTCGCCACAACACCCGTCGCCTTTTTACCCAAGTTGGCCAGCGGACCTGCCTTATTCTGCGCACCGTTCGGTTGCTTCGCGTGTACCTTGGGCTTTGACTTCGCCGCGGATGGCATGCCTTTGGACCTCGGTGCACCTCCGGACATACCCCTGGATTTAGTTGTTGTCGTAGATCCCGACGCTGCAGGGGCACCCTATCGACGAGTCGACGACGAACAAAGTGTTGGCTTCAGTGGAGGTATGTGTCGCGGACAAGAGAGAAACATACCCCTGCAGCAGGCGGTGGTGGTGGAGGCGGTTGGTCATCTTTCTTTTTGTCATTGAAGAAGGATCCTATTGATTTAACTTTTCTAACCACCTTAGATCGACGTATCGAGTCAATGATAGCGGTCCTGCTGCTCCCGGCCTGAGCATTTTGCGATCCGCTACCGCTCCCGTTGCTGTTGCTCCCAGCCTGGGCGGTTTGCGACCCGCTTCCACTTGCGTTGCTGCTACTTCCAGCCTGACGGATCGCACGCACAGGATATGCGTCAGACAAAGTACCGACGAGGGACAGTGAATTTACCTGGAGGTGCGATGCCTGATTTTGGTTTCCGGAGCTCGATGCAACGTTTGCCTGGTTCTGCTGTGTTCCAGGTGCAGGCTGTGGAGCCTGGCTTGACCCGCTCCCGCTTGCGTTGCTGCTACTTCCAACCTGCCAACGGATCGCACAGGATACGCGTCAGACAAGGTACCAGCGACAAGGAACAGTTGACTTACCTGGAGGTGCGATGGTTGGCTTCCCGACCCGTGGCTTTGGGGAGTTCCTGGTGCCGGCGGTACCGGTCGATTCGGTGCAGGTGGTCTTGAGCCGGACGCCTGGTTTTGGCTTCCCGACGCCTGGCCTTGGGGAGTTCCTGGTGCCGGAGGAACCGGTCGATTCGGTGCAGGTGGTCTTGAGCCTGACGCCTGGTTTTGGCTTCCCGACCCCTGGCCTTGGGGAGCTCCTGGTGTCGGCGGAATAGGTCGATTTGGTGCAGGTGGTCTTGAGCCTGAAGCCTGACTTTCGCTTCCGCTTCCGGAACTTGATCCAACGTTTGCCTGGTTCCGCTGTGTTCCAGGCGCAGGCCGTGGAGGCTGGTTTGGCTGCTGAGCTTGACTTCCAGAGCCCGATGCAACGTTTGTTTGACTTCCCTGCGTTCCGGGTGGCGGCGCCTGGTTGGACTGAGCTTCACTTGCAAGGTTTGGTAGGGTCTGTGCTCTTCTTAAACGGTGCCAGGGAGGGGGGCTAAGGGGTTGCATTGGTGGAGGCGATGGTGGCGGTACAGGGGGTGTTTCTGGACGCTCAAAATTGAGCTCACTCCATCCTTGTCTGGGAAGCAGACGCCCGGGAAGCTTGCTGGTCCTATAGTAGGCCCGGGATCTTAGCGCATTTCTCCCGAATGTGTAAACATCCTGCGATTTTGGTACATGAGAATCATAAAGTCCCACGATAGAGTGAGATATGCTCCTACAATTGGTAAAGCCAATGATTGAGCTACGAGAGCTACAATCAAGAACTTTGCGAGGAGGACGAGCTTGCTGTTCATGATACACTAGGAATAACGGAATGGGGAATGATCCAAGTCGAAGGGTTGGTGTGAGATCGAGTTGAAATACGGGTACCAACCAGGGTACGTAGACGGAAGAATGGGATGCGAACCAGCGCACAAGGAACCAGTGTCGACCTGGCGATCCCTTTTAACGTCTTTTTCTGTGGGTCTCCCTGGGTCGTTGCTGTGCACTTTGTAGACGTGCGGTGTACATGCCGTGATGTTCTTTGACACTTCTACCATGTTGTGATGTCAACAACGCAATATAAAAGAGTGATCGCTCCGAAATTGACGTCTACTATGAACCAAGGATAGTTATGCAAATCAGCGACTATGTCCGCTCTTCCTGATACTGTGTGCGCACGGGCGCGAAAAAAGCTATCCTGTAAGCAGTTTCTACATGAGCGCTCAGTCATTGGGGTAAAGATGAATCAGAAAGATGTCAGAGTGAAGTTTTTAGATGAGCGTTGAAGGCCGCGCACGGACAGACAGTTGCACACAGGGTGCCCATACAAGTCGACTATGGGACTACTTCGGATGGGGGAACATAGCCTTCTGGTCCAGCAGTCGTAGATTGCACAATCAGTAATCAGTATCAAGCGTTATAGGTTTAAGCGAAAGACCTTCGTATTGTGGTAGTAATGCTACAACAGCAACCCACCACCAGGATCCATATTCGCTTAAACGGGCGCTTATTGAACCATAAGACACAGTCCTTGAATACGAGATGGTGTCATTTAAAATCGCTGTGCTAGAAGAGAGGGAGATAGCCATCTAAGCTTAAGAATGACTTCTCCAGGCCCAGATTGGCTCTAGGCCAGCCTAAAGAGCGGAGCGCTGGGTGTTAAGCGCCCGCCAAGCCCAATCGCACGCACGGACCCGCGCCGCTGACTTTTGACAACAGACATGTCGCTTCGGCAGTTTCTTTCTCACCCTCATTTCGTCCCCACCGCCATCACCTCTGTCCGCCGCCCGCTCGTCCCTTTCGTCATCGTCCCTGCCGTCTTTGCCGTCGTCGAGAAACGCGCCCTCCCAACATTTCGGGCGTTCCTCTGTAACTTGTAAGGGTATGACATGCGTTACCTACCTATTTAATGCCACCTAGGTGCTCTGAACTGTTTACGCTACTGACCTCATTTAATAAACCGTCGTCGCTCATGACTACCGCGTGAGGCCAGCCTTCAATTTTAGGGACACTTCTACACTGCAGAAAGTCGACAACCGGATGCAGCAAAATGATGGCCTCAAGCCCGACAGGCGATTTTATCAACGGCGGCAGAGAGAATATACAAGACAATCTATCTTACATGCTTTTTTGACAAGTGAGCGATCTCGATAACTAACTGTCCATGAGAAGGAGAATACGCATTGCACTGCAGTGCGATTTTTGAAAGAAAACACTGTACAGGGTCTCCAGAACCGAAGAAAGAGTACGTCCGTCGTTGGAAGCAGTACGCGGGCCTCCGAACTGCCGAGCTAACGGTCAATCCAGCTTCCAGAGGTACATCGCCGCCCTCTTAATGGTGGCGTACATCGTCAAGATGATCTAGGGTAGTGGACCGACAGTCAGACATCGGCGACACATGAAGGCAACACCCGGGGACCAAGTGGAAGCTGGGATAACTCACCTCAAAACTCCAACCAAGCCCGCCAAGATTTTCAGCCGCACCATGCGCGGTTCTATCGTCGCCTCGAGGCGTGTCCTTGCCCGTTCGTGAGCAACGAAATCCAGCACCCCCAAAAACAGGAAACTTACAACGTATTCGGCTCGATACTCAACCCTGCCATTCGTGTTGCCGGTATCGGTGGCGGGAGCCGGAGGCTTCAAAAGGCGTCAGCAAAACCACGGACAGGAAGACGACTATAGTCTTACCGGTGCCTGATGGCGACGATGGCGAGGTGGCAGGGTGGTGGGTGGTTCATGTTGGGCGGCGGCGGTGGTAGCAGGAGAAGTGAGGCGCAAAAGAAGCTCCCTGCGGGAAGCGCGATGAGGGTCCCTAATCGACATCCTTCCATTAGCATCCATCAACCTCAATGTAAATGAGGGTGGGGTATGCGGCGGCATGGACATGATGAAGAAGATCCGCGGTGGGGAATTGACCGTCCTAGCTGTAGTCGTTACACGGTAGCGTAGGCGAGTACAGACTGGAACAGAGAAACGAGAGGATGGCAGAGGTGATGAAAAGGAGGAAGGGGAGGACTGCAGGGCTTTTATAGCCTGGCGAAGGTCCCGGATCGCGTTTGGTCAGGCTTGACCGTCCAAACGAAAATGGAAATAATCATTGGGGCGGGTCCGGTCCCCCCCCAGGTTCATAGAGAACCGTGTCGAGAGGAAAATGAACGGACGAACACCGTTCATTTTCATATCGTGATGGTTTCTAGAAGATAGCACTCTGTAGAACAAAACTCTGACAGGCAAAAACCACTTGCCGTAAGACCAGTGATGTCGAAACGAAGTTGAGAGGACGAGGACGCCTCATCAAGCTCATGCCAAATTTCACAGCACTTTGAAACGCGCACACCCTTTCCTTTGCAACCATGTTCAGTGAGCTGACATGTTGACCCCCAACCTACTTGATTACGCACCGTGGTGAATTGGCTACTTAGCAGTCATGGAGCGAAATGGGAACCCTTGTTTTTCTGTGCCAAGTCTGCCCCCGCGACTACAGGGCCGTCAATACGTTTGTACAATGGTGGATATTCTTCAAGCACTGGACGACGGTCAGTTGTCGGGTCGACGGGGCGTTGTTCTTTGCGGCGGAAGGTGCGTGTTTTCTCCGATCCACCTATTTTCCTCACCGTTTTATGTCGCATTTTAAACTCTGTTCTCGCCACAACTTTCTCTGACTACCTAGCTGCCCCGCGTTTACCGTCACAGCACTAAGCGACCTCGTCGGCGGCTTAACCCCACGAGCCACTACCCATTCATCAACCACCTGCAGCCAGACGTCCACAAAACCCGATTACTTGGGCTTGACAACGACCACGACAGCGAACGGCCGAAGGACAAGCCCCTCTACTGCCACGCAGCAAGTGGCTACACTACACTTGGGACCGGGGAGACCGCAGCGTTGAGAGGAAGGATGGTGGACTGCATTTGAAGTTTGAAGCGACTGCAGAAGTAACGCTTTATTTCCCTTGGAACCCAACCAATGACCGACATTCTTCGACAGCAGAGCCCAAGCTGTTACCGTACGAGTCATCTAAACCCCAATGTCCTAGCCCATCAACATCAACATTCAACACCGTTCCAATTCGAGGAAGGGATCGAGCTACATCCCATTCGCAACGCCCTCCCTCCTACGAGTCAACCGCTGGCAGTCACCAGTGCAACCATCCCCCTCCGTTTCCTTCCAATCCCTTCGCACTGGCTCTCGCTGTTCCTGCAGTCGCCCCCGCAATTCGAATCGTGTAACATGCAGAGTTGGGTGGAGTGCAATGCGTGGGCCGTTGGGAGAGCTATGGCCGGTAGAATGAACCACCGGCCTATGGGTGGAGAGGGTGCGGCGAACGAGCACGGGACTGATCGTTCTCTCCGTGCTTCAATGTGCAGTTACTGCGCTGTACCGGGCGTGTTGCTTTTGTATGGCAGAGGCAAGTAGGTTCTGGGGACCGGTGTATCCTTGTCCTTGTCCCTCGCCCTCCGGCAAATAGCCGGTGGAGAGTGGCCAATGCTATGTGGCCTCCAAAACCGGTGGATCCAGCTCGTAGCCAGAATTCTTGGCTCATATCCTTCTGGAGACATCCATCGACGGAGCGTTCACTGCCGCATACTGTGTTGACCGCCCGTCCTGTTGATATCCCGCTTCAGAACCAGACTGAGAGGCGATGGATTCCGTCGGTCGAGGTGCTGCAGGGAACGACAGACGAGTTTGGCTGACACATGGGTGATGGCGCGGGATTTGTCGTGATAACGGATACCATATCTCGCCGAAGATCTCTGGAGGGATTTATTGGGTGCTGGGCTGCGCGATATCAGCCAGCATCGTTTGAGGTGTCGCTGCACCTGATGATCGGGTGCGACTGGAGGGGTCACGGATGGGTGGAAACTTTTGCTGGTGAGGCGAACGTATGGATGGCAGGGAGACATCAGCCAGCTAGGCCGACTGACGGAAAGTCGCCATCAACGCTGGGCAAGTCCTGCGGGAGGTGGTGGAGGGTGGCACGCCTTGGTCGTACGTTGATAAGAAGCGATGCAGGAAAACAAGCGCTGGCTGCGAACCGCCAGGAAGAACGGGGCGGTTGTACTGTTTCTGGTGGACAGAATAGCTCAGTATTGACCATCAGCCACTAGGTGTTGGTTCCAGCCATCGCGACTCCTTTCCAATGGCGCTGAAGCGCGTTTCCGAGCGCCGCAGCGCGCCGCGTTGTCACGAACACGTCGCTGGAGGTAGGGGTTTCGAGTCTCGACGGGTAACACGAGGCGTCTGGCGATTGACTCAACATTCTGGGGTCTTTGGAGGCTCTGAAGAGAACGTCGGTGCCAGCGCAGTCAGCAATGGCTACAAGTCAAAAGCTTGACCTGGGTACCACATACCAGATCTTTATCTTCTCCCTTGTTCCCTCTACTGGTTCCTTCGGTATTAAGAGAGGAATATATGGCTTTTCATCTGCAATGTGCTCCAATATCTTCCAGAATCCGGCCCTTTTGCGTGCGTATTGTGCAGCAGCGATCCGTCAAGCACGAAGGCATTGGCAAACTTCAATGGTGTCATTTCGCCACGGAGTGAATGCCGACCAGGTCAGGGTCTTGCTCGCCATTCAAGAAAACCGTTTTCGTCGTTGTTTGTCGCTGTGAACAGAATCGAATGTCGAAATAGTAGCAAGACCGTCGTGTGTGGTGGTGGTCAAGACGCTCGAGACCAAGTTGTCTTGGCGTCGCGACCCTCTCCCCCCGACCACCATCACGCGGCTGCGGCCATCCGCAGCTTCGACGGCAATTTTACCCTCAATGTCCTCCAACGCCTTGGATGCACGTTTTCTAGGCTCTGACCAGAGAGAATGCAGCGAACTAGCCGAAGACCAAGCACAAATGCTCCTGGTTATCCAATTCTGAGTTGGCTTTTCGAACAAGAACCTGGATACCTGTGTTATCTCAGTATCTGCAATGGAAGGTGAATACTCTTTGTATTTGACCTAGGCACAGTGAGTGCTGACCACGCGTTTCACAGTAAAGTCAACTCTAGATCGGCACAGTCAGGTTGTATAACGACCCGCCAAAGACCTCACGAGGGCTAGGAGCTCAGTGAAGTCGCCTCTACGCCTGGTTGACATCTCTGCTCATGCACACGTCCTATCCTTGCGATTCAGCTCGAAATCCAACGTTCCCTGCTAAGGTATGATACGATGCCGGTTATTTTTCACCCACGTCGATGCATTTCCACTGCGTCAAGCCTTACTCCGATTGCCCGGGACTGGTCCAGTCATGTCACGTTCTCCAGACAGAAAACTGACGCGTGAACTTGTAGGAAAATTATCCCGTACAAATGCGACATTGTCCCCCGTTCAGGGAAGTATGCCGCGTTTATTAGGTCACTAACTTGACCTTCAGCGATCCTAGTACGAGAAAAATGTACCCTATCCCGTATCCGAGTACGTGATACAAGCGCCTCTCCACTTAAATTCCTTCCGTTCATCAGCACCACACTCTTGTTCGTTCCATTACCAGGACTGTTCTACTTCTGAAAGTGGCGTAGGTTAGTCAAGAGGCTCAATGTCATATATTTCTGGTAGCTCAAGAGCCTTACCTTGCGGCTGGTACCTGAGCCAGATGCCTGGATAAGATGTCAGCATTGGTAGGGAAGTAACTCGTGCACCTGGGCGCGTACCGCTGCACCACCACCCCTGCTACTAGGGTCATCATCTTTCTTGGGCTTATTTCCCTGGATATCGAAAATACGACTCTCAATTTCATGTCCATATGATCCTTTATTGAAAAGCTTACCTTCGACGTCGACTGGGCCTTGGATCCCTGAGGCTCCTTACCCTTGCTCTATTGAGAAATGTAAGTTTTTATTCCAATGCTCGAATTTCGCCTGCTGGGACTCACCGATCCGGGCTTTGCGGCGTCTGGCGTCTCCGATGTTCCAGATCCCTGTTTCGGTTCAGCCAGCGTACTTATGAGATTGAATATCTCTATATTTGAGCACTCACACTTGACCCAGATGCTCCTGTCTTGACATTTCCCGCTGGCGAACTAGACGACGGCCCTGACGATGGTGGTACATGGCCATGGTCAGCCGTTGTCGACCCATCACTGATATAACCATCTTTTTCATGCGGAGGCGTTGTAGGCGGGGTAAGTTTAGGCCCTGAACCATCATCAATGGTTATACCAAAGCTGGCTGGACGCGAGGGGGCTGAATTGGAGGACTCGGAGGACTCGGAGGACTCGGACTTTGTGTCGAAGGCATTTGGATCGGAGATGATTTGGGAGGAACGAGTCAGTGTTCCGACTACCGAGCTGCTTGGACCTGAGCTTGAGCCTGAGTCTGAGTCAACGGCGCGTCCTTTCCCCTTGTCATCCTTTCCGGCCCCTAGAGTCTGCACATTCCTTTTCTCAGCTTGGACGCCAAAGGTCAACAACATGGCACTTACAAACTTGGGAAGTTTAACTTGTGGAACTGGAGCGGCCAGTGATTGTACAATGCATATGAGAAGGAACAACCGAACGAATGTAGTGAGCTTTCGGGAAGTCGGCATTGTGAGTGCAGTGGGTGAAGTGAACTGTGAAAGTGAAGTAGTTGGACCAGCCAACAGACTGGCAGACGTCGCGTTAGTCCAGAGATATAGATGTGCAAGTAAAATCTTGCTTACCACGGGTTTGTAGAAGTTGGGAACAGTAAGATGCGAACCAGCGCAATGAATTCGACTCCAATTTGAAAGACTTATACCTTAGCGTGCAACTCCATGTAGGTCCAAAAAAGGCCCTATCTGTTTCATCGGCAATACGGTGGCACCAATAACTCTGCGGTGGGTACTTCCGCAGGATAGCAAGAAAGATGGACAAGAAATCGTTACAATTAGCGACCCTCCCGATAGTCAAGGAAGTGGGCAACTCCGAGTGCGGGAGCGTAAACATATACCCACAATCGTTATTTAAATCAGGGACTGAAGTGTTAGTGCGTAGACATCCAGTGCTATCCGATCATTAGGGAACATACACTTGCAGCACAAACAAGCCCACAGCCCATGAAGCGCGACTCGCACCTTTCTCGAGCTATGGAATTTGGGCTAGGCGGCCACTCGTAGGCGGAGGCCAAGGAATTCATTCACATTGATACCTTCGGATGACATCAATTATAAGCCTTGTTCCCTACAGAAAACATCGTCTATTGGCGTTTCGGCAGCCACGCACAACACCAGTTGGGCTCTCGAAAGCGCTTTTCGAAAACGAGCGCCATATAGTAAGCGCCGGCCAAGCCACACCCTCAGGCTAATTCCACGCACAGACCGTCGCGGAGTTTGAATTGGGTGATGACGTGGTCATCCCGCCCACCGACGCGCCCCGCCTCTTTCTTCCCCACCGCCATCACCTCTGCTCCCGCCCGCTCCTCTCCATTCAACAAACATCGCCTTGGTCGTTGTCGACGACGATGACCAGCGCCCCCTTTCCCGAATCCCCCTCTCATCCTTCACTTACCTATTCGATGGTTACCCACCTCACCGCTAGGCGCACCCCTACTTTACTGACCCATTACAATATACAATTGAAGTCTAACCTAAATCTTTGCGTGCTCCAAGACAGAGAATAGGAGGGCAAGACAGAAGACGGAAGACCATAGAAGAAGAGGAAGAAGAGTATGTGCAAGAAGAAGAGTATGTACATGAAAATTCTACAAGAGCGTGAAGGAACTCGAAGGACGAAGGCGGAAGGCATCAAGCCATCTATTGTACAAGCAAGACTCAAGAGTCAACTATGGAGTGAAGAAATGAAGCAAGAATCGTTATGTGCATGAAGAACTGTCCGTGTTTGAATGAGATGTAACGTGAGTGACCTGTGTGATCATCTGGGACCGAACGAAACCACAGAAGGCGACAAGAAATCAAGGCGCGAAGACAAGAAGATATAGTAAAGGAATAATGTACAACGAAGACACCAAGGAATCAAGCAACCTTTGCAAGATCCAGGTGTGAGCGAGAATTCTCAGCGCTAATTCCTCAATGAAGCCTGCAGAGGCGGAGCACCATCCTCCGAATCATCGAGTAAATCCTCCACAAGATCTGTGCAACCCGAAGACTGTTAGGTGTGAACGGACGTTGGAAGACACTCGACCGCAAGCGCAATAGTGACGAACCTCGAAAAGCGATCCGTACTTCGTGTAGGGAGTGGGTGTCAAGCTTCGCCGCGCCGATGGGTCGTGCGGAGAGACATTGGTGTCCTGAACGAAATCGTGAGCCAGTTCCATCAGTCCAACGACGGAAGGACTTACGATGTATTGAACGCTGTAGGAGACATTCAGTGGTTGTGCGATGTTGGATGGCTCTGTTACAGGCTTTCAAAGACTCAGCACGCGTTCCGCATGGACATGAGGCGACTCACCGACGGATGTGGACGGCGAAGACGAGGCGGGAGGGAGCTTGCTGCAGATATGGTTGGATTGGGAAGAGGTGCGAGCGGGATGACTACATCCCGACGAGATGCGGGATAACTGTCCTTTAGTTCCACCTTTCCACGCGCATCCGAGATGCTCAGGAAGAAGGATGGCGGTACTCGAAGGGGGCCAAGGGACATCTCGTAGTAAAATTGATTGTGTTGCTTGTATTGTCGTTGTAGTCTTTAGTTCGTAGTGTAGCCTTGAGGAGACAGTGGAGGGTGAGTCGAAGGAGGGCGGGAGCGCAGAAAGAGAGTGGGGAGAGGAAAGAAAGAAAGGGAGCGTCAGGGTCTTTTGAGGAGACACGGGATCCCTTAAGTTTGGACGAGCTTGACCGTCGAAACGCAAATGGAAATATCCATCTGCGTCTTGATGACCTGAACGAAAGGTCAGGTCAATCTCTTTCGAAGTTCGAAGATGAATGACCCGTGTAATTTCCCGTTCGAAGCACCGTTGGAAGAGGAAAAAACATAAGCCCTTGAGGTGGGTAATGTTGGAAATCACCGGCGTAGAAGCATCAAGGAACTGTCATCGCGGGGGAGTGTCACCTCCTATAACCACGTTGTAACGCTTCACGGCACAGTCGTTGCGAAACCTCCAGGACAAGTGGGCTGGTCGAACACAGTGGCGGTACGTCTTGGTTGTCTTCCCAGCCAGTCACAAAGACCAGAACCAATTGGCATTACATAGAGACAAGGCTCAAGCGAAGAAGAACAACACAGCAGAGTTTCAACGTCAAGCCCTCGACTCGGTCAAAGCCAAGCCAGTTCTCGCCAACGTCGACTCTAGTCCCCACCATCGTCCGCGTATCCCTCTTCCAGCTCGTCGGCGACCACGTCTTTCTCGAACACAACCGACTCGACCACACGGCCGTTCGCGAACAGTCGTCCTCGTCGATGGGCGCTTGTAGGCCGCGGGGTGCTTGGGTAGAACGATTGGATCGTTGAGGCGGTATATGGCGAGGGATGGCTGGGGACAACAGTGGCATGGCTGCTACTGGGAGGTCGAGGTGCGTAATGCTCTGGCTGCTCGATGGCCCACCTGACCAACCTCTCGACAGCAGAAGCCCATGTACCGCCCAATTCCCAACCCACGCCCACTTTCCCATCGCCCCTTCTGCCAGCTATCCACTGGCAGCTACACGACGACCATCGTTGTTGCAATCGTGACCCCAAGGTGCTTCGTCCCCGGTGCCCGCTATGCGAGGAGGGAGCGGACGCCCAACCACCAATGACGAGACGACCCCACGGCTCATGGAAACTGCCCATCTAGTTCTCTTCCCTGCACACCGTCCTCCACATACGACCTCTGTGGAATGCAATAAATGACGAGATTGGGAGGTTGGTGTCCGAGCCCCTGAACCCGGACATCCAATTGCGAGGTGCATGTCGTGCTGGAGCTATGGTCGAGCCTCTTGTCTGCGATGTCCATCCAGTCCAACCGCTGTTCACTCCTCGCTTCTACAATTCCCTTGCTGGTCTGGGGAGGACCACTCCTGGTCTGCCAGTGTTACGGCACCACCATTGGGCGAGTCGCCAAAGCTGCTTTACGGGATCCCAGTCGAAAGCTTGGGCATGGTGCAGCTGGGTATATTTGTTGTGATCTCGAGTAACCAAGGACGATGTCGTTTCAGCTGGACGATGCTTCGTCGGACGCACGTCTACGACCGAGGGTTAATTGGCGGGAAAGGTGGTTGTTAACTGATATGCGTGCCGGATCGACTTTGCCTGGGGGATTCCCTGACACTGGTTCAGTCCACAGATGGCCTATCGTTGGGATGTGCTGGGGTGACGGGTCCGACGTCGACAGTTGGAAGAAGAGGAATGTGCTGTCGATGTAGTCGCCTCTGGACGTGACACGGAAGATGTCAGTTCGGTCAACTGACCGAGACGAGGAACGATGGATGGTCACAGGGAATACAGAACAAATGGGATCCGCAGCATCCCCCTCGTTCGCCAGTTGGAAGGGTCTGCTCGCGAAAACCCATGTGGAATAATGCATGACTGGTTCCCTAGGAAGCAGTGCGCTAGGGTGGGTGTAATTATACTTGTACGGAGTATGAAACTAATAAGAGATCGTCAGTCATGTCGTCAGAAGCCGGAGAAGGGAACCCGCACCTAACCAGGACCTGGAGAAGGTTACACCGTACCGGTGGCTGACCAGAGGTCATCCAGGCTCATTCGAAAGCAAGACCCCACGAGTTTGCATCCACCAAAACGCTTGTCGCAGTGGCCAACTGTGCCATCGCCACTCGTCAACAGGCAATGACCTTCGGCGTTCGACACCCTCGCCAATCCATTGAGCAGCACCTGGAGAGTGGAGACGTTGCGCTTTGCCAATAAGCTTCTGGCCGACAATTTCGAGGGTGTTGGCCGTAACAGCCAGTCGTAGACAGCAAGTCGGATGCTCAAGAAATCCTCAATTCTTTCCAGTCTGCAAAAACGTCAGCCAAGAACCACACATCGTGTAAATGTGATGGGCGTACCTCGAGGCGACCCATCTCTCTGATTCTCCAGCTACCCTGTCCCCTTTCCTCCTGTGTCTACCATGCCCAGTTGTTGGAAATATACACGGGATTCTCCTATCGAGAAGACCATTCCCAATCGCCGCCTGGTTCTTTGAAATGCTGTTCCAGGAAGACGTAAACTCCCAGCCCCACACACTGAAGATCCCCAAATTTCCAGTCGTTCACAGTTTTGAAGACGTTCAAATCCTCTTCAAACGAGAATTACGAGCTGAAAAGTATTTTTCTTTCTTTGGCATGTATTGGGCGGTGAATGTTGGGCATTTTGCGAGAGCGTGTTGGGAGGATGATGGTGGTCGTAGAACGAGTGGCACTGGCGGGCCTCGCGCCTTGGCGCGACCAACTGCTTCAGAGGCTCAAAGGTTGTTCCTCAACCGCCATCATCAACATCCTACAGGGCCCCTCAAGGCTTATTTTCAATGTCTGATTACCGCTAGCTACAGGTCGCCAACAACGAGCTGCGCAGCTTATACCCACAAACACAAGGCAGCGCTTGAGAAACCCCTGCATCTATACCAGCGTTGCAAAGGGATGGTCGCGGCTCTTCTGCCAGTTATTTCGCCTCTGGGGACAAGATGAGGGTGTTTCTTCAAGAATCCCCCTTTCCAGGCTTTGTTTGAGCTTCGAAGAAAGGCGGGCAAGGTCGTGAATCGGTAAGTGCCCGACCTTTTTCTCCAAGAGACTCGCAGGGTTGATGATGGACGCCCAAGGCAATCTGCCTACTTCTCAGAAGACCTGTGGACGTTGTGAACACCCGAACCGCGCTGTCTGCAAGAGGCCTTGGTACATACACGCCCCCTTCGTGATATATCTTCGAGAACCAGACCGGGTCGCAGCCAGTCTCGTGAACCAGACGGGAGAACGATTATCTTGTCCAATGAATCGAGTCTTTGTTCGCGAGGATAAACTCATGGCCAGGCACCAGACAGGCCATCGTACTCGACTCCTAACAGAGTTTTTACGCCGTGTCTCTAGACAGTAGCTTCGTAGAAGCGTTTCGAGGTGAGCCCACCACACGCAGCATGGATTACTGTTTCACTCACGCGCTGCCACGCCAGAACCTCGCTGTACTTACTTCAAAGGAATAACTTGGATCAGGATGAATGTAGCAACTTCAGAAGTTCCAATGGACCCCAGTAAACCGATTCCTCTCGGTTCTCGCAAGCAAGTTATCAGCGTGCCTAAACCGCACCGGTTGGCGAAATTCCATCTGACTTCTTACGGATATCTGGTCGCGCACTACCGTATAGGAATAGCTGATTGATCACCTGGTCGCACCAAAGCACGCCAAAACCCGTTGGAAAACCGGATGGTTTCACCCTGAACGAGAAAGCATCTGGGAAGCGCGAATGCTGAACCAGTACGTGGTGTCCTCAAGTACATTCCCTCTTGGCTCCTGGAGCCGGGTGGCAAGAGTATCTTCGGCGATGCGCAGAGATCACTTCGTATTCTCTCGAGATAGGCCTTTCAATGATGCGATGGTGAGATCCAGTTCTGTTGCGTTTTACCAGTGCAGTTGCTGATAGGAAAGCCAACTTGCAGACGAAAGGAACCACTTTCCTGCCGGACCCCTGGTAAGGGCGTCGACATTCATGAGGGCGGCGGGCTTCGATCCAGACGTCGCTGCATTTGGCTGTGGTCGTCGGTACGCCCTTCCTATCCCCCATACGTGATATTCGTCCTGACGTCTATCAGACGATTGGCCCAGGCCGACATCTAAGCCACGACTCGCTCCTCTACATGACTGCGTCCCGCCTATCCATCTTCAACGCACGCGAAGAGCAAGGAGGGAAACCCTTGAAACTAGAGATCACCTCGGCGCTGATGCCATAAGTGCGGTTCTTCCGTTCTCACTTTCCGCTCTAAACGAAAGGGACGATCCTGATGCCTCGCTGAAAATGGGATGTAGGAAATTTGTCCCGTTCAAATGCGAGATCGTGCCTCGTTCGGGAGGCATGCTGCTTTAATTCGGTCATTGGGGTAATAACTTGGCAGTTCATTTCAACCGGTGACCTACCTTTCTTTCTGTCTAGAAGTTCTGAAGGTGTGCAAAGTACGTACAGCAACACCGAGTAAACGGCCCTGAAAGATGGAACGTGCATTTGTGTACCTCCGACTCCACTCCTCCAAATAAGCGCCGACTTCTGAATGCCCGCCAGTGGAGAGTATCAGATGGCAGCGCGAATGGACACCCGTCCAGACCACCGCCAAGAGGACCCCCCAAAATCTCGACGAAGGTCCGAGCGGATTCCGGACAGGATTTTCAGGTTTTGGGGACAGGCTGGAGGTCAAATCCGGACAGAAAAGGGAATTTTGAGGCCGCAAGGCCAGTGAAATCCCGGACAAAATTGGCATTTTTGGCCTCAACGGCGGAAAAAAAAAACGCCAATTTGCGAAACGAGCGCCGCACCCGGACATTTTTTGCGGTTTCTGAGGCGCGAGGCCTGATAAACGCCCGGACAGGAACTCCAAATTCGAGATTTTTGCTCCGGACGGGAGACCGGGAACCTGTATCGGGCCTTTATCGAGGTATTGGGGGGTCCTCCGCCAAGGGCCTCCTGCATGCCAACGAGGCGCGAGACCAACGTCATCGAAGCCCAAACGTTTCATCTCGTTTGGACCCCAGTTTCCCGGTAAGCCTAGTCGGACACCCAGAGCCCAAATTTCGCGCTCAAAACGGAAGACCAAGAGTATTATTTTTTGCGTATGATTGCTGGATTTGGATTCCTTTGTTTAGATCTTCGAAGAAGTCCTGAAATAGCACATTCTTTCCGCTCCAAACACGCAACCTTGGCGGTTGGTGGAAGAAAAAAGTGGGTGATTGTGGGCGCCGACCCCGCCGTGGGAACCCTGAACGACCGGCATGTCGGCGAGGCTGCTAAAGCAGGACTGCTGTTGTCTACTTGCTCGTCTTTTTCATCCACCAGAAGCTTCGCTTTTGACCCTCAGTTTCATGAACTCCGAGTACATCTGTACAGAAGAAAATAAAGTGCCAGGAAGAGGCATTTGCTCGGAATAAACGTGGTGATTTCGGAGAGGCTGTTACATCACGAACGGAATCCGGAAGATCTCCACAAATGGATTCCTGAATCGTTTTGGACTGGTTACAGCCTGTTACAGCACCCTCTGATAGACCCCAATCGTCACTGTTCTCGACAAATCAAAGATAATTCACCCGAAACTGACCTGACAATATCCGATATATAAATCGTTGCGAAAAATCTTCAAGATGTCACAGGATTTAGGCCTCATGGCGCGCAGCAAACACGGTCCACCGTGCACGATCGTCATCAAGCTCGGTATGTTCTTCGACAGACTACGTTTAGGCTCTTCGTTGACGTCTTGGCTTCAGGCACATCGTCCATTGTCCATGAGACGACCCATCAGCCTTTACTCTCGACGCTGGCGTCGGTGGTCGAGGTCGTCGTTCGGTTGAGGAGCTTTGGGCACAAGGTCGTGTTGGTTAGTTCTGGTGCCATCGGTGTTGGCCTGCAACGGATGAGCTTGCCGCGGAGGCCAAAAGGACTAGCGAAGAAGCAAGTGAGTCGCTGTTCAAGTCTTCTTCGCGGTTGAACTAACCGATCTGTCCTGGTAGGCTTTGGCGGCTATTGGACAGGGGAGGCTGATCGCCCTCTGGGACAATTTGTTCGGACAATTCGAGCAACCTATTGCGCAAGTTCTACTCACCAGAGGCGACATCTCCGACGTAGGCTTCGATGCTACGCCCTCACCGTGATTCAGCTCATATCCTCTGCAGCGAACACGATACCTCAATGCCGTGAACACCCTCAAGGAGCTGCTCTCGATGGGTGTCGTTCCCATCGTGAACGAAAACGATACCGTGTCTGTTAGCGTACGTGGATTTCTATCCGTATATCCTGCCCAGACTTACAGATAAACAGGAAATCAAATTTGGTGACAACGACACCTTATCAGCCATCACTTCCTCCATGATCCACGCAGATTATCTCTTCCTTCTTACGGACGTAGACGGACTGTACACCAGCAATCCACGAAAGGACCCAGATGCAAAACAAATTGAGGAGGTTAAATCGATTTCTGAAATTCGTGCTCAAGGTGCGCATCCCATCTCATCATTTTGCATTCCGTTCTGAACGGTGCCCTTCAGTTAGTACATCGACGTTGGGGTCCAGCCTCGGTACAGGCGGGATGGAGACCAAACTCATCGCAGCAGAAATAGCATCTGCAGCTGGCGTAACCACCATCATTACCTCAAGTAAAAAGCCGGAGAACGTCCTAGGCATCGTCGACTACCACAACCGCTACACCCTTCTCCGCAAGTTCTCCTCCAGACCGTCTAGTCCCACTGTGGCAGGTTCTGGCCGCGCTAGCCCAGAGTCGCAGCCGGGCAGCGGCTCGGCCTCTCCCGTTCCTTTACCTCGCCCACCACATACCGTGTTCATCGCTTCCTCGACCCCATTGCGCGACCTCAAGTCGTGGACGAGTCATACCCTATACCCTGCCGGCAGTGTGGTAATCGATGCTGGAGCACACCATGTCCTTTCGAAACGACAGTCTGGAGGGAGGTTGTTGCCAGCAGGTGTGGTTGGTGTGATTGGCGCGTTTGCCTCTGGCCAGGCGGTGCGAATAACGGTGAGGAAGGGTAAAGAGGGGGATAAGGAGGTTGAAGAAGAGAAGCAGCGCTACGTTAATTCCTACGATACGAGCAGACCAACGACTCCTGCTTCCGGACTGCAATCGAGCGCGGCCAGTTCGAGCGATGACCATGACCATCCACCGGCAAAGGGTGTCCATTTCGAGGAGGATACGGAGGAGCAGATTAGCGAAGACGATGTGATCGAAGTTGGGCGAGGACTGGCCAACTTCAACTCTGCGCAGGTGTCCCGCGTGAAGGGACTGAAAAGGTGTGTGGTTGTTACAACTTCGATTCTACCCCCAGTTATTAATTACTTTGCTAGTTCACAACTCAGTGTGGTACTCGGGTACGCAGACTCGGAGTATGTTGTTGAGAACATTACGATTAGAATTCCCCCTAGCCAGCTGGCTACCCTAGGTCAGACTGCGTCTCCGTGACCGAGCTTTAGTTTCGTTCTTCAATAGATTTGGGCGTTGAGCGCCTTTTAGTAGACATCCAACCAATCAGATTGCGTTGTTTTGGACTGGTTTTGGAATTGCATCCGCTGTGGAAGATTCCGGAGTGGCTGTGATACCCCGTTTGCCTGATCTTTGATAATTTTTTGGCAGCGCTTCATTATTATCTTCCCCTCTTCCTTGAGCTTGAACCTTGATGCAATAGACTCTTTATTTCTTTCCCTTTTCTTCTTCTTTTCCTTCAAAAATGTACCACAACAACTCTATCCGAATCTTGACGGGTGAGTCCCTTGGTGCTCCTGTATTCAAGCCCGAAACCTCACAGAAATGTTTCAGGGAACAGTCACCCCGAGCTCGCCCAGGCAGTGGCTGAGCGGTGAGCCTCTAGACGCGCTCTGCAGCGTAGTCCTCTAGTTGGGCCACAGTGACTCATGTCGCCTGCGCAGGCTAAACGTACCCCTTGTGCCGTGCACAGTCAAAAACTTCTCCAACGGAGAAATCAACGTCAGGATCACAGAGTCTGTTCGAGACGAAGACGTCTTCATCATCCAATCCGGCTGCAACGACGTTAACGACCACCTAATGGAACTTCTCATCCTCGTCTCCGCCTGCAAGACCGCCTCAGCCAGGAGAATCACCGCAGTCATCCCCTGTTACCCCTACGCCCGCCAAGACAAAAAGGATAAATCAAGGGCCCCAATAACTGCCAAACTCGTCGCCAATATGTTGACTGTGGCGGGCTGCGACCATGTTATCACGATGGACCTCCACGCCAGCCAGATCCAGGGCTTCTTCGACATCCCAGTAGACAACCTCTGGTCGGAACCACTAATGATTGGCTATATCAAACGTTCGATTCCTGGCTGGCAAGAAGCTATCGTAGTCTCTCCCGATGCGGGTGGTGCGAAGAGGTCCGTATGACGTGCTGCATCTTGACTTTATATGGACACTGATGATGGGCTCCGCTCTTTCACCCCACCCCCTCACTTCTTTCTGTGTAGGGTCACTGCTATTGCCGACAAACTCGGGGTCGAGTTCGCCCTCATCCATCGGAAACGGGCTGGAAAGTCCCTTACTGCACCAGAGAGGATGGAGTTACTTGTTGGAGACGTAGAGGACAAGGTGTGCATGCGCGCTATGCCTTTATTCTTGAAAGGCTTACTCATAAGGTTCTGTGTGCGTTTAGGTTGTTATCCTTGTCGACGATATGATCGATACCGGCCGCACTTTGTCGTTGGCGGTGCAAACGCTTCACGAAAAGGGAGCTCGTGAAATCTACGCGCTTATCTCCCATGGTCTGCTCTCCGGTTCGGATCTGGAAGCGCTGAACGAGCTGCCCATCAATAAGCTGGTGGTATGTCTCACCCCAACCTGTTCTGCGTTGCGGGGCTACCTCTAACTGTAAATATTTCCAGGTCACAAACACCATCCCACAAGACAAGCACCGGCACATTTTGACCAAGCTCGTTACGGTCGACGTCAGCCCAACCATCGCTGAAAGTATTCGCCGCACCCATAACGGCGAGAGTATCTCCCTCCTCTTTGGCGAGTGGGCCGAGACCATTGGCGTGCAGACAATCTAGGATCTTCCCCATCTTCGAGTCGAACGGGAAGAAGCCAACTTGAGTAGCAGTAATCCAACAGTCACGACGAGTGCGGATAGGGATGGGGATAATGGTAATGTTGGAGATTCAGACCACCACAGGGAGACAGAAGCCCCCGTTACTTCCTATGATGCACATTTCTACTTGGGTATATTTTTCAACATCTACGAAACTGTTGTCGCCGTCATTCGGAGATGGGGTTTTGCTTTGTGTGCTGCACTGGGGACAAAATATCGATCGGAATGATTGATTTGGGGTAGACGATTCGCATGTATGTAGATATGTAGTATGATTTTCACTACAATGGACTTTTTTCGAATGAGGTGGAGGGCTCGCCTTTGAGCATCCGGGCTGGACTCGTGTCGCATCTCGAGAAATAGGGGTATCGGTCTTCCCGGCAAAGCAGATGCCGGAACGGAAGGAACCGTCGCGGGGATTGAAAGGCTTGATGTCGGAAACTCGGCCGACAGAGCACTGCCAAGCCTGGACTTGAAGTCTCCACACCGACTATTCTCTTTCTCCGTGGTAGCTCGTCTCTACAACTTTGCTATGATGTAACTTCTTCTCTTGTCTTATCTGAATCTAGGGTCTTTAAAATAGACCAATGCTCAGATGACTGGTTCATCAGGGGCTCATTAGTCTCGAAATGACTTTTGGATGCCCAAATGCCGTCACAAGAGTGGAAATGTACCGATGGCTAGCCTCGTTCGAGGGGCTGAAACGCTGGGTCATCTTTGAATCGGTATGTCCTTGCTTCCGCGTCAGTGTGCGACTATTTATGAACTAATACTACAGATTCTTAACAGACCTCTCCGTTCCCTCTGGATGCCAGCCTGTCGTTCCGTATTCGCAACGGCTCTTGAAATCCACTATAACGTGCGCATTGCAAATGTTTTATATTTGTGCATGAGAGGTCAACTGGAAGCCCTTCCGAGAGACGCCTTATGGCTTTCTTCCCCTTGGTTCTGGCATGCAGTTACGGCTTTCTCGTTTGATCATGGGCGCCCGCCCAACAAACTTTGGAGCCATTGGGCCGCCTTTCACGAAAATGAAAGAATCTCTGATTATTCCTCCATATGTTACGCTCCCTGTCTCCTTTTCCCCATTCCCCATGCCGTGGGCCATCCAGTCGCAATCCCATTCTGTCGAAGTCCCTCGCACTACTAGGGCAGGCGGCCTGAATGAATCAGCGATAACCGGTAACCTCAAACGGAAAGGCGCTCACCGACCGCTCAGAGTCACATCTCCAACAAGCAAGTATTCCAAATATAACTCGAGTCCCTTTCTGCTTAGAACAAACCTTCTTGGGATTCGGATGGGTTTGACAAGGGACACCACGCGAACACAGTAGAGTGACGCAGACCAGGCTGTCGGCCGTATACATCCCGCTGGCGATAGAAATCTGAGACCTGGAAAATCGGAAGGTATCCCATAATCTGGCTGACACACTCTAGGCTACAGAGATGCGAGTCTCTTGAGCCTGGGCGGTGCATCCTGGTGGAAGGAAAGGTATATAGGCTCTCCACTTGGGGATGGTATTTCGACCTTCTCAATAACGTCTGACCAGCCTATCCTCTAGCTGTCACAAACCCGCTATGTTCTCAAAGACATTCCTTGCTATCGCTGCGTTGCTCTCTACCGCTCTTGTCTCTTCAGCGACCCCACTTGAAAAGCGACAGAGAGCGCGACTTGTTCGCCAATGTACTGTTCCGAACACCGTTGCTCTAACTTTTGTGAGTGACTAGCCTTATTCAATCTGGAACGATAGACAGAGGCTTGACGGCGACGCTCCGTAGGACGATGGCCCCTACAACTATCTGCGAGACATCGTCAATACCCTCGATGCAGCCGGTGCCAAAGGCACATTCTTCTTCAGTGAGTTCGAATCCAACGACTGTCGCACCGAACCAGCCAGCTGACCAAGGTGCCTTTTCTCCTAGATGGTAACAACTGTGAGTGTACAATCCATCCACATGCGGTTCTGCTTCTCGAATTCCTTCGCTTCATCCGCCATGTTGTCGTTCTCCCATTGCTCTCGGATTCTGATACCAATGAATTTACTTTAATTAGGGGGATGTATCTACGATCCTGCCAACAGGGAGCGAGTTAAGTATGCATACGACCACGGCCACCTAGTCGCCTCCCATACTTGGGGCCATCGAAATCTTGCAACACTCTCATGGGATCAAAGTCAGTTTACACTTTGTTCTGCTAGGGTTGCTTCCCCAGGGCGGATAACATTATGCTGATGTGTCTTTTTATAGTTCACGATGAGATGTGGAGAGTCGAGCGTGAGTGTCGACCTATATTTAGCCACCTCTTTTCCGATGCTCATCCTCTTCTCAGAGGCGCTCATGAGAATCACCGGCGCTAAGCCGGCATTTATGCGACCTCGTAAGTCCTTGACCATGATAACTATTCTCAACGTAGCATTACCCACCTCTCGAATCAAGCTTATGGCAGTTACAACGACCTCGTTTTGGACGCCGCTGGAAACCGTGGACAGACTGTCGTTATTTGGGACTTTGAGTGAGTCTGTAGCCCTGGAAGGAGAGACCATTACATGTCCTTACCACTTGCAGTTCACAAGACACTGCGGGCGCTTCGGCCCAGACCTCCCGCAATTTGTACGACCAAGCCATCGGAGGCCGTCCCAATACTATTCTTACCCTTAATCATGAGACCATTGGTAAGTCTGCCCCAGTTCTTCGAGTGTTGATATAGACGGCTGAGCGTCATCTTTCATCACGATTATTTTAGCAACCACTGCGTAAGTCACTCATCTAGCCAGATTCGCGTTCGTACCGGTATTAACTTTCGATTATAGATACGAAGTGCTTCCATACGCCATCCAACGGCTCCAGGCGGCAGGCTATCGACTTGTAACCTTATCTGAATGCCTCGGCACATCGTCCTACCAAAGCGTATCTGCCCCAGGCACACCAGACGTGAGCCGCTCTCTCTTTCGTGCCTCCATGTTCAGATTTGGTAACTCGTTACCCCGTTTTAGGCGAGCTGGAGGTGTTGATTCGAATCGAACTGATACTCCTCAATCTCCCACCTCTTATTGCCCTCGCTTATGATATTTCCCTTTGGAACTTTTCCTGTTCTCTGGACTCTTGGTCAACACAAGGAAACGTATTCGTTCTTTGTCTTTCCCCTTGGACTACTTCACAACTCCAGCACCTTCGACCTCAGCTAACTACAGTAGTTACGACTGGATGATGATCTCTCCGAACCATAACTAAAGCTAATATACAAAACAGACATCCCCTGTATTCTTTGTCACGGTATACTGTATGAATAGCAGTTCGAATTGCTGTTCCCATCCCAGTCCACTAGGAATTATTCCCGGGGAGGCGCCGGTGCAGCCTCTTTCTCGTTCTTGAGCTTCGACTCTACAGCATCACCAATCTTCAGGCGCTGCTCCAGGGTCAATGTCGGTGTCGCCGAATAGCCTAGTTCTGTGTACAATCGGCCCAGATAGTCGGTGAGCGGGTGATCAGTTTGGGACGCAAAAGAGGGCATTGTCACTGACTGAGACTCGGATATTGGATGGGAATCTCTTCGCTTTCGACTGGGAGTGTTGAGAGGTCCAGCGGGTATGAAGGCCCAATCCAGGCCACTCGGGTATCGTGGTCACTGGATTAGCCACATGATAAGCACGTCATACTTCCTAAAGTGAGGTAATTAGACCTGGCTTACGCTCTCTGCAGATTATAAGCCAATGGATGAGTATCATTCAATAGTCGTCAGAGGCTGAGCGCTGGACAATAGGACAGGAGAGGCTGACCTGTTGGCGGGTAAGAGGGTGTACTAATATGCTATCACCCCGACCAATTAGTAAACTCGTGGGCCGCTGAAGAAGTGCGCCAGTTACCTGAGATTCCCGCGGTTCATGCATAGATAGGAGAATACGGACGAGAAGGTCTCCGCAGGACACCATATCTCGTAGGATCCTGTGCGCAATTGTGTCGTGAGTCACTGGCAGATCGTTCCCAACACCGATGTTCGCTGCTTTACCTACTGGGTGGGGCCCAATCGGACCCTCGTTAACTCGGGAAAGAGGCACTGCGACGAATGCACCATCGCGGCGGAGACGGAGCACAGCGTCTCGTAGTCGTAGCGCTTCTGCATGTTCATCTGCATTTCGTTGATGGAAGTAGATATCTAATGGTTTTAGGTAGGCCCAGCGTAAGTCTCAGGGTAGTTCCGATCCTGACTCTTAGATATTGGCGTACGGAAGTGCCATTCCCTGAATTCCAGGATCAAGGCTAATCAGTAGTTTCGAGGTGATAGGCAAGAGGAGTGTGTACTTGACTTCAGAGTCGACCACCGTCTGCAGGTCCGTAGGCGGAGCGTGCGGAGACGTCATTGGGCGATGGCAAATGGGGAGCTGGAGCTAGAGGGGACGGCAAAGTAAGAATGGGACAGGCCTCTTGAGAGAGCTTACAGCTTCCGAGGTGATTTATAAGGTACCAGAGGGACGGAATTTCAAATCGGAGCTTACTCAATAGACGCCAGTGAGTCCAGCGCCCATGTGTTTGCTGCAACTTGTACATCCGTGGATACAAGACAGCGAAGGTATTTATTGACAGGAAAAGATCACGTAAAACGAGATGGCACGAATAGTTCACAGCCTCTTCATGAAATTTCTGTCGTCAAGAGAGTGACCTAACCAGAGCAGTGTGCTTCTCAGAGCGAGGGGTGATCTCGCATTTGAACGGGACGATTTTCCTACGGTAGAAACGTGATCCAGTCAGTGGCTATACGACTGAATATTGTATTGAAATAACTTACGACATGGTCTCTGGTGTGGCCTCGAGTTTGAGAGGTTCACCATCCTTTGGTGCGCGAATATCAAAGACTGAGAGAACGGTCGCTGCCATGTAAAGGAGTGAATCGTGACTTAGGTGACGACCAGGACAAATTCTGGTAAAGGTATCAGGGATTCACGTCAGGTCAAACCAACGGTTTCTGTGGAGGACTCACCGACGACCATAGCCAAATGCAGCTAAATCGGGATCCAAGAGCGTGGTATCGAGGCGGCCATTCTTCAAATACCTTTCGGGATTAAACTCGTATGGGCTTTCAAAGACGTTTGGATCGTGAAGGATGGCCCTGATGACAAGTCCTGTAAGTAGCGTACCCTCTGGCAACGCGACAGGCCTCCTTACCATGTATTTGGTTGGAAAGCTGTTCCTTTGGGGAAGAAATAGCCCTTGTATTCCTGGTCCTCCATCGATAGGTGAGGGACGGCTGCAGGGAAGAGTAAATCGGAGAAGACAGTTAGTGCCAGCGACTAACTTGGTCATATGTTGTACTCACCCAAGGGAAGGACGTTGTACCACCGATTGACCTCCTTTGTGACGGCCTGAAGGTAATGCATTTCTTTAAGGTCGCCAAAGCTGGGAAGCTGTTTAGTTGTGTCGACAATGCTGTCGATCTCTTCTTTTATCTTGCGCTGAACATCGGGGTGCATAGCGAGTGCCAGGATCAGTGCATGCGCCGAGCTGACAGTCTATCCCATGTCGGTTGAGTCTATCAAGCGAATTCCGCACGGGTGGGTGGACTCACGGTATCAGAACCAGCTTGAAAAAGAGAAACGTCAGAGCAAAATTCGAAAGCCACGGTCAAGAAGCAGGCTCACCGGCGTATGCTGTAGCGGATACATCTTTCGCCATTCGTTCCATCTCAGGGTATGTTGGATCATCCTTTGGTGGCAGTCGATTCACTAATCCCTGAACAATACTCGGCGTCTCGTCATGTGTACCTTCTGAGCCCTGGTTTTGTTAAACAAGGCCAAGTAAAATGATAAGCATAGTGGAAGTGTTGGTGACAACCATTGGAATAGAATACACACGTACCAGACGCTCACTAGCATCCCTGAAGGGCGTCTCAAGAGCACGCTCGGTCAATTCAAGGCCTTCCAGTAGGAATCGCTTCCATCCGGCACCAGGAAACCAAGCAGGTACCCATTTCAGCGCTGGAATAACATTGACGAGAAACCTTCCCGGGGTCATTGAAACGAGAAGCCTGTCGACGATGGCCTCAGCGTCACGAATGATTTGGTTGTTGTACTCGAAGTCTTTGGCACCGTATGCGATGCGCATGATGATGTGCGAGAACAGCCTAGGAAACCATTGATCAGGCTTAGGACATGAGAAGCAGGAGAAGGGCCTACGATCGCATCTCGGCCATAAAGTCATCCGGTTGTTCGAGGAGGGCGCGTAGAAAGGTGGCTGTTTCTTGTTGGATGATTGGGTGATAGTCTGGGATTCGCCCTTGATTGAGATATTGATGGAAGGCTCGACGACGGGCCCTCCATTGCGGGCCATAGGTCGTGAATGTGAATGCCCAGCTAGCTTCCATGCTAAGGACTTGCGGTCAGCAAGCGTCGCCAATGAATGTGGGTCCTTGGAACGCACATGTCATGAGCAGGGAGTTGGGCTCGGCTCGAGTTCGCCGCCGACTTCTTCTCCAGAAGTGCAACCACATCCTCGAACGAGTTCAGGACAACGATCGGCTGATCCAAAGCCTTCAGATAGATAATATCGCCTGCAAGTGGAACTCATCAGTCCTTCAATATAGGTACGATGTGAGTAGTCCACTTGCCATATTTTTTTCGCCAGTCATTATATACGAGCCACGCGCTCTTCACGGGGATCTGGAGTAAGTTTCCAAGAAATGGGATGCCTCTTGGGCCTGGAGGAAGAGGAAGCGTATGATTGGTCCCGGTTCTGGAGCTATCGAGAGCCCTGAGGAGCACCGAAGCAATAGAGACTGAGGATATCGCAAGCAGAATGGCCTGACTTGCAGGCCATAAGTAGTCTGGGAGAGTCATAAGGAGAAGAGACCGCGAAAGGAGAGACTCGACGACGGTGCTGTGTACTCTGTGTCTCGCCTCTTGCATTTATACCCCAACAATGCGTCCGACATCGGGAAACGGGGGGTTGGCGCCTGTAAGAAAGGCATCCAACATTGGGTGCTACAATAGAGGACTTACACGTACCGAGATTAAATGGCCAGCTTCACACCAGCGCGTTTGCAATGGCCCTCTACGGACGGCGTCTCTGGCCACATGACTGCCTTCTGGACACGCCCTGACAGATGGAAGTAAATGCAAGGTCCCAGAATTTCGTTATCGCACAGTATCGGCTAGGTTTTAAGAAACCGTGACGGGGGCCCTGATACATCGACCTATCCATGTGGAGACCAGCAGAGCTCCTGTGACTATCGCGAGGCGAAATGCGGAATACGAGGGTGCTGCCGTCTGCTGGATCCACTCACGGTAGTTACAGGACCTTGAATAGTTTTTATCCAAGCAGATTCCTTCATAGAGAGCCTGTTAATTCCCAGCGTTTTCCAGAAATCGGACTATTCAAACTCCGCGGCGCAGTCCGAAAACGGAACCCGGTGAGCGCTTAACAGCTGGCATTTGGCAGGCCCCATGAAGTTTGGCAGGAAGAACGACCAAGATGGGCAACGATAGTGATATGGAGAATAGATCCTGAAGGCCGTGATAATATGCATATGGACCTGCCATCTGTGCATATGCTACTCATTACCTGGGCAGAGGAATTCCCAGATGACCTACCAGTACAGGAACGCTTCTTTAAAACGGGGGTAATTTTCGCCGCTCGAGACTTTGACATGATTGTAGTGTCCCTATCACAGCCTGACCGCTCAGACCCTTCCTGATGCTGAATGAGATGTAACTCAGACGATCATGGCACCGTACTCGGGGGGATGTAATTTTGTAAGTAAGGCTTCTCACCCTTTGCTCCGCATGCATGGAAGAGGGATTAAGGATGTCAGTCTGATGCCCTGTAAGCTGCACTTCGAACGCCGTGATATCCCTCGCGCAGTCCGGATTCCGCAATACGATTAACTAATTGTGAATGCAGAAAATTGGGAGAAGATCGATAGTCGAGCGGCTGACTTGCCGAGCATACGAACGCTACCAGGAGGGTAGTTTTATCTCCACCGTTCTACCTCGCCATCTATCCTCGCCAAAGGTCTTCGCAGCACAGGGGCTCGGAAGTACGTACATCCTAAAGGAGAATGATGCCAACACGGTTATGGCTGCTGGGCATCTTGGCGTACACGCTCACCGCGTCGGCCTCTGTCACTGTCTATTATCTTCCTGGACAAGAACCCTTATTTTCTCCAGGAGCCTCAACAACTTCAGGGGCGGCGGCCACTTATACAGGTGCAGCTGCGTATAATCCAACAGTTTTGGAGCCTCCACCACCGCCAAATCCACCCATTACCAAACGATTTGCTTTGCAGCTACGAAATGGCGGAACACCAGGCGTTTCAATACAACAAAGTGGGGCTTTCTTTGGGTTCTCGATAGAGATGTCGGTGGTTAATCAAGTCTGTAAGCCATTCTGAACTGTCCTACTTGAGACCTTTCTGATCTCATGAGTATAGTGGGCAAGAATTCGTGCGTTCAATAGGTCCAATCGAATGCTCACCGGCGCTGACTGACCATCGTGTGTTTCTGATTCCAGAACGGTCCTCATGGTCCCTTTTCTGAATCTCATGTCGAATCTTATTCGAAGAGGTGGAAGTGTTCGTGTTCGAGTGGGAGGGAACACCCAAGAGACCGCTGTTCTCGTCCCAAGTTTGCCGGACGGCCGCATCTTGTCGAAAGATGAAGACGGTCTATCCAACCCCGTAAATAGTTTCAACCTCTTCGCTGGCTGGAAGATAGCTCTCTAAACTGTTCGATACCTAGACGCAAACCCCTCCTCTGGACTACACAGCGGACCTGATCTACATGCTAGGGAACATATCGTCCCTTGTGAACGTCGACTGGTTCCTGGGTGTCCCGTTCATGGACGCTTCCAACTTTCAGCTCGCCATTGCCGAAGTTGGCCAGCAAGTCTTGGGATCTCGGCTGATAGGCCTTCAAGCTGGTAACGAACCTGATCTCTACAAGCGCCACGGCCACAGGGACGAGGTAGGCCATTCTCTTCCTATGACCCTTTGCCATCCCTTATGGAAGCCCTTCTAGAACTATGGTCCTGACGACTACTTCGATGAATTCAGACGCTTGGTCGACGCAATGTCGGGAGATGCACATGTAACCAACAAGCACATCCTGGTGGGACCCAGCATCGCGTCTGGCGATTGGACTCCGGAGATGGTCTGGGATACGGGATTCGTCGACCAGTTCTCCGACAATCTAGCCTTTCTTTCTGTCGAACAGTGCGGTTGACAACATTCTCTTGACAGTTTCCATATTCTCACCTTCCACACTTGCAGTTACCCTTCCGACAACTGTTACGCCCAATTCGGCGTTGGGACACCTCGAGATCCTCAAGAAATGTTCGAGAACTATCTGAACCATGAATCCGGGGTCAACACGTTGGCCCGATACCTGGATGCCACTGCCTACGCGCAAGCGAAGGGGAAATCTATGCTGATGTTCGAAACGAATACAGCGTCGTGTGGGGGTTTCGCTGGCATCAGCGATTCCTTCGGTGCAGCACTCTGGGCATTGGACTATTCAATGCAAATGGCGCACTCCAACTTTTCTGGAGCCATGTTCCACATTGGTGGCCAAAACGTGTTTTATAACGTACGCCAATCTATTCGCTTCGAAAGTCACGGTCGTTAACATTCAGGTATTTTTGACAGCCATTCACTCGTAAGAGCTTTTACATTCTCCTGGATGGACTGTGTCGTTTGTTGACATCGACCTCCAGCTCCTCCAACGAATCAAACTGCTTACCACCAGTGGACGATTGGCCCTGTTTACTATTCTGCCTTGGTCATGGCTGAGGCACTAGGCCCATCTGGTAAAGCCCAAGTCCTCGATTTAGCCGCCAATAACAGGAGCACATACACCCCTGCCTATGGCATCTACGAAGACGGGAATCCAGTCAGGGTACTCCTCATCAACTTCATTGACGACCCTTCCGGCGCAAATGATGTGACTGTGTCTATATCCGTTGGTGGTGGACATACTGGTCAGCCGAATGCAAGCCCCTCCCAGGTCAGGGTAAAGTGAGTGGAATACTTTCTTACAGTGTGATGGTTGCTAATTTCTCTTGGAAAGATACCTATCGGCTTCGTCCGTTTCGCAAAAAGGGAATTTCACTTGGGCGGGGCAGGTAAGTTCTCCTTCCCGCCTTGAACAGTGCTTGCTCTACATGTCCCCTAGACATTCGGTGCCAACTTCGAATCGGACGGCCGTCTACAAGGCGACGAGGACACCTTAACAGTCTCATGTGACGGCACGACGAACGTGTGTTCGATCAAGGTTCCAGCACCTGGGGCAGCACTGGTCTTCCTTACAGACAATTCTTTGGATGAAGTCGAGGATAACCCGGTTCAGACGTTTGCAACGAGCGTGAGGACAAGGATGTTCAATACTGCGACAGTGGACCCTGCGGTGTTGGCGACTTCGAACGGCCATGGCGCGTTCTCGAAGAAACATTTGGGGAGTACGAGTAAGGGGAGCACGGGGTCTGGTGCAGCCAGGCGGGCGGTCCAAGTTGACTTCTGGCTGGTTGTTGGGGTATCCTTTTCCTTTGCCTTATGGTCTTTCGTTTGATGACTTTACTGCGGTGGCGGTTAGCACACCCTTCTATACATCCTTTCGTTCTTTCGACTTTCTGTTAGTAAGCACATTTTTTATTCTGTGTTGCAAATGCAAATGTGGACATTTATTGGAGTACGCACGAGCGATGCAAGCGCCCAGTGACCTAAGAGCTTCCGATCCTACCCCCTTCACTTGTTCCCACTCTTGACTGAGCCTGTAGCAGGCTTATTGCCAGTCTGCTGGCTCAGCTCGTCGTCGATTTCTGTAATGGAGTTCGGTTTGACTCTGCTCTCCTTGAAGCACCTGTTCCGACCATGCGTCACTCGACACTGGATTCGGGTTTTTCGCCTCTTTGCTTGGACTTTAGCAGCTGCACCTGCGGTGCTCTTGGCCAACTTGGACATGGTTACTGAGCTGTATCTCGAGGCCTAAGCGTAGGTCAGAAATCAAACCAAGGCCCTATGTGTGATCTCGCACGAGACCTTGACTCACTGGTGAACCCTTGTCTGGGGCTTGGCCCTGCCCGTGACCATGACGAATCTTGAGCTGTGTGAAGCGCCTCTTCGGCTTAGCTTCTGTCTGGGCCGCAATTGCTGCTGCGAGCTCTTCATCGAAACTACGAGCTTCCAGTAAGAAGGATAGGAGTTCGCGGCGTATCAGGGATTTGGCGTAAGCCATGTTCCGAAATTTCATCCTCATGATCATGTCCTGTTTCGTATTGCGGGGGAAAATATCTGAAGTATCTCTAGCAATCTGAAGAGTCGAGACCGCAGGTAAGGAAGCCATTCGAACCTACTGGATTCAAGTATTAAAACTCACGATTGGAAGGGTGAGAACTGAACCTCCATAGGCCAGTAAAGTGAGAAAGAGATGGTGTATTCGCATGGCTATCCCGAGTCAAGTTCTTGCTTTCCATCAGTATTCTCCCCACTCCCATTCTCGCCCAGAGACTCACATTTATTGATGCATCCAATGGGACCAGCCCTGAATAGCAAGACAATGAGCATTGAGCGCCTTACGTGAGCCAAAGGGGAGGGCGCTCACCGTTATGGATGGGGGGCTTGCGCCGGGCAAGCTGAGGACCAATAGCAGGGTGTCCTTTGGTTCAATCGTGATTGCGGCGCCCATTTATATCTCTTCTTGTTCTAAGAATAGACGGCCATCATCTAGAGTTTGGCATCTGCATCAATTACGAGAGCTATATGTTTTCAGGCGGTGCTGTCTCCTTGTATCCTGCTCCTCACCAGGCCCGAGCAATTCTCCACCACATTGGATGATAGGTTCTGCGTGTTCATCCGCCGTCAGTGCCGAACGCAGATTGGTTTTAGGGAGCTATATTTACAGACAACATTATTGCACAACCTTAATTTAAGATCTGAATGTGTGATCTCTATTCCCTGTCTATGTAATCGACTCCCGGTCAGGGGAACTCCCGCGACAGCCCTCATCTTGTGGGCTATGATTCGCCGTGGAGAGGTACAAGCGGGACACGGTCATGGTTAGGGATCAATTTTGATGTGGCTGTGTTTGGGTGCCTCGCCATCAAGCGCGGCTGGGCGACGTCAGCGGCGATGACTCTTGCCTCCCGCCATCATTGCAGGCAGCGACGACAATGACGGTTGCTCGCCAATGGTTTCCCAAAATTCGTCGGACTACTTTGAAGAGGAAGACTCTCAGTTCCTGAGGGCTCTGCAAGAGGCCACATTACCTGGTGATCTGCCGAAACCAGCACCTGAACCTCAAGATGTCGACGAAGACGGTTCGGATTCGGATTCATCTGAGGACCTTGCACCCCCACCTCCAGCTCAGCCGTATCTAAAGCGTCGCTATTCAGATCTGGAGGAAGAAGAGATACGAGAGGCAACGACTACCACAGCAGAAAAGGTTGCGAGCGAAGATGCGGACATCTATGGACCTGCTCGCTTTGGAGGGTTTGGGCAGTACATGCACCGGAAACGCGCCAAATTGCAAATCCAGAATGATTCGTTGAAAGGGAAAGAAGTAAAGGACGGAATCTTCAAAGGGCTCGCGATCTATGTGCGTTCTAGCTGCCTTTCGTATGGACAAAGCTAACGCGGTTCATAGATTAATGGATGGACGCAACCTTCAGTCCAGGACCTCAGACAATTAATAATTCAACATGGTGGTGTATTTCAGCCTTACCTCGATAAGAAGAGCATCGTGTGCGTCGTGAATTGTATTCAATTGGAGCCTATTCTGACTTCCGTGTAGTACCCATATCATTACTTGCTCGTTGACTCCTGCCAAGATGAGGGAGTTCAAGCACATGAAGGTTGTTCGACCGGAATGGCTCGTGGAAAGTGCAAAGGCGGGAGGGCTCCTTCCCTGGCGCGATTTCATCTACATTCCAGACGGGCGACCTGAGAGCTCTCAGGGCAGTAAACAAAGGGCACAAGGGCTGGGAGACCACGTCAAGCTCTCAGGTTCTTCTGGGTCGACCACAAAGGCTGCCAAAGCGCCAACGCCCAAGCCTGACCCGCTATATGTCACGGATCCCAAATCCAAGGAAGAGGCGGCTAGGGTGCCAGGGTATGCTTCGGCAATATCCAATCCTAACGCCCAACGTGCAATGGCGAATCCTGAGTGGAGGAAAGCCCACACATCCGTTGCACCTGATTTCATCGAGGGCTACTACAGGAATTCACGTCTTCATCACCTCGCCACTTGGAAAGCCGAACTCAGAGAACTTGTGCAAGAAGCGCAAGAACGCGCCGAGTCCAACGGAGGCGCGATCGCAGAAGGCGCTGTCGCGCACTTGGGGAAAGTCCCTTCCGAAAGGGGTGGGGTGAGCATGCGGGGGGTGGAGTTTGTAATGAAGTCCCCAGGTAGCAAGTCCAAGTGGAAAGGAAAGGGAAGGGCGGTAGAAGTACACGACCGCGTCATCATGCATTGCGATTTTGACTGCTTCTTCGTGGCAGCAGGCCTCGTCAGTCGACCGGAGCTGAAAGGCAAACCCGTGGTGGTTTGCCATTCCCAAGGAAGCCAAGGAGGAGCATCTAGTACCAGCGAGATCGCTAGTTGCAGTTACGAGGCAAGGAAGTTTGGCGTCAAGAACGGGATGAGGTATGATGATGTTCTTTCCCGCTTGCCGAAGATGTTCATGCCCCTTGTAGCCTTCAACAAGCCCGCCAGTTATGCCCCATGATCATCACGATACCTTATGAATTTGAACGGTGAGCATCGATGCCTGTATCTACTGTCCGGTGTCTAATGGCAGTAAACCAGATATAAACAATTCTCTCTCCAATTTTATACCGTTTTGATGTCACATGCGGACGACCTGCAAGCTGTGTCTGTGGACGAAGCGATAATCGACGTGACGGAGGCTGTTTCACAACTACGCGCCAGAACGGAAGACCCAACCATCGACGTCGCCAAGGATTACGCGGAGACGATCCGCGCAGCTGTCAGAAACGTGACCAGTTGTGAGAGTACGTGCAGAGACGACTATAGCCTAAGATAGAGAGCCCTCACCGTTGTTCTTCCAGTCAGCATCGGAATTGCGCACAACATTCTGTTGGCACGACTTGCGACTCGTAAAGCCAAGCCAGGAGGGTCTTACCACCTTCGTCCTGAAGAAGTACCTCAATATCTCGCCCCTCTCGAGATCACGGACCTGCATGGATTTGGGTGGCAGACGAAGAAGAAAGCTCAAGAGAAGCTTGGTGCTACATCGTTGGGTGAACTGACGAAGAAGAGCAAGGCGCAGCTTATCGACGCCCTGGGGAGGGCGACTGGGGAAAATCTGTATAATGCTCTCCGTGGTGTCGATGATCGCAAGCTAGAGTCGGACAAGCCCAGGAAGTCGGTGTCCTGCGAGATCAACGTACGTCGTTCGCCCTTATCCAGGCGAGCCCGCGCTTAATGACCTTCGCAGTATGGTATTCGATTTGAGAATAACGAACAGGCTGAAGAGTTTATCCGCCAGATGGCAGCGGAGGTCAAGAAACGGTTGGATGCTGTCAACATGGTCGGGCGGTCTGTTACCTTGAAGATCATGAAGCGAGACCCTTCTGCTCCAGCGGAGCCCGCAAAGGTAACCATGAATCCTTTCGTTGTCACCGTCTTTACTCACACAAGTTGCAGTTCTTGGGACATGGTCCTTGTGACGTATTCAGCAAACAAGGCGCATTGATTGGTCCTGGAGGAAGAGCGACGAGTGACGACCAGATCATTGGCGACCATGTGTGGAGGATGTTGAAGTCTTTCAACTTTGACCCCAAGGATCTCAGAGGAATCGGCATCCAAATCCAGAAACTGGAAGCCCCCAACTCAGCCCCTCAGGTGCCACTTGGCCAGGCCAGGCTTCCCTTTCAGCGACGCAACGACGGCTCGAGGGCAGCAGGAACTTCGAAGGCTGGCGCCAACAGTATTGGTGGCCACGCAGCTGTAGCGGTACAGGCGCCAATAGGAGACCCGGTGAAGCCGTCGGTTGAATCCAATCAGAATCAGAGAGCCTTCGACCTTCCCTCGTTCTCTCAAGTCGACAAGTCGGTTCTGGAGGCTCTTCCCCGTGAAATCCGAGAAGAATTGGAGAACGAATACAGACGCCAACCGTCCACGCCATTCGTTTCACATTCTGGTCCCACCAACCAGCCTCCTGGCCTCCGACCTCCCCCTCGCGTCACATTCGAGTCTGGTTTCCCATCTCGGCGATCCAATACTCCCAATATTTTCCCGGAGAAACCTGGTGGTCCAGGAAACTACAAACGGATCACGCAGCAGCTAGCTCCAAAGTCACGGTCGTCCATCTCGCCCACCAAAAGCGCCCTGTTTGCGTTGTTGGAACGAAATATGCAGAAGAAGCAGAAGAAAAAAGTCCTTGCTCAGGTCACGGATGCCAAACTGCGGGACTTGGGAATCGACCCTGAAGTGTTCGCGGCGCTACCAAAATCGATTCAAGCGGAGCAACTTTCTCGAGCGAGGTTGATCAAGGCGAAGGGAGAGCTACCGTCTCCGCCCTCTGAGCGCAAAGTGCTCAAGGCGAAGAGGCTCACTCTTCCCCCGGGTTTCAAGGTCTATCGCGCACCTCCTCCGTATGCTCGATACCGTACCGTACCGACTCTCCGCCGACATGGGAAAACCAAGAAGGAAAAGCTCGCTTTTACGGATGCGTCTGACGTACAGAACGTTCTGGAGACGTGGGTTACAACTTATCGACACTGGGCTCCGCGGCAGAAGGACGTGGACTACCTCTCCAAATTCCTGTTGCAATGTGTGGATGGGAATGTGGCTGCTGATACTGGCCTTGAAACGGGAGTGTCTGTGATGAAGTGGTGGTTGGTGTTGTTGAGGCGGTTTTGGCCAGGGTCGGAATTGATCGAGGAAGGAGAGCCTGATGGGAGTCAGACGGATAGGGTTGGGCAGGCGTGGTGGGATACGTTTAGGGAGTTGAAGGAGAAGATGGATGTGGTTGTGAGGAAGAAGTTTGGGGGTTGTCTCTCGTTGAAGTGATACCGTTATCATCACTTTGTTTGTCGTACTATTTATCCTCCCTGGTCCCTTTTGCGATGAAGAGGCGAAGATCGTGACCGCTCTTCTTGACAGCGATGTCGGGCCAGAACTCGAGTCGCAATCCACAAGTTGTGAAAGCTTCCTCGATGTCCTCCTGTTTGAATCCACCTCTGTGAGCTACGATGTTGTCCTTGTGTTCCGGGAAGATGACGTCCAGGTCGATATCTTCTGCTTTGAGCAGGTCTACTACAAGGAGACGTCCGTTGGGTTTCAGGTAACTCGTCAGAATACGAGTCATGTCTGCAATGGACTCGAAGTGGTGATATGCCATGGCACACTGGCATGCGTTCAAGGGTCGGCCAATACGTTTGCTTGGGTATTGCCAGGAAAGAAGAAAAATATGTGCTCACTATTACGACGTCGAAACCGGACTGTAGCTCTTGGGGGCTATGCGTGGACAAGTCAACGCACATGCATCTCATCTCCTCCGGAGGGATGCCTTGATTGGAGACGAAGCTGTTGTAGATGTCCGTCATGCCCTGGCTGATGTCCACCCCCACTATGGATTTGACATGGGGTGCTAGTTGTTGAGAGAGTAGACCTAATGAAGCAATCAATGCTGTCAGAGTTTTGTTGTGTCACGGCTTGCGAGCGGGTATTACCAGGTCCGCAAGCAAAATCCATAACTTCTGTCGTTTCATCGTCAAATGTTTCGCGACGTAGAACGGCGCGAGCAATACTATCGCTCTGCATGAGCCGAATACTTCGTGATCAAGTACCTTCCCTCGACGCTTACCGTCTAGCCAATTCTGAAGATGACTTGGAGGGCCGATAATCTGAGGCTGTTTCGTTGAAATGCTTCCGGTTAGCCTCCACGAAGTCGTGTGTCCGGGTATCCATCACTCGGTCACCAAGTCAACGCCAGGGCCTTGGGCGATCGACCAAGATGACAGTCGGGAAGAGAGAAGTTCAAGGCACCGACGGAAGCATCAGCAGCACCGGCGGATGCAAATCCGGATCCTTACAATCAGATCGACAACATCTGACTCCTGAGCAGTGGTACATGTGCTAGATTCCAAGCAGGGGGGCAAGTAAATGATACAAAAAATGCGCTAGCGCTACAAAGGGGCTGTAGGTGTAGATATGTAGCAACGAATCGTCGAGATCCGGTATGAGTACAATAAGCATCTCTAGGATGTGCCCCGCAGTGGACAAGAAATTGGGCATGCGATCTAGGGGTTCATGATCATTAGTGTCATGAAGCAGCGTCGATGCTTGCTCGATGCTGCTAGATCGTGATAGTGCAAGACAGTCTGGACTAGCAGAATGGAGACAAGAAGAGAAAAAAGGGCGCGAATGTTGCTGTACCAATCGATGGCCAGCGTCTAGTTGATCGATTGTGTCCGAGAGGGACCTGCGTTTTGTGGAAGGAGTGTAAGGTCGTCATCAAAGAGTCGTAAATCTTTTCCAGAGGTGGGGAAAAGGAGGTTTGTGCGGTCGTGTCGTCGTGTCTAGCTTTTAGCTTTTAGAGTCTTTGGGTGATCGCAACCGAGAAGTCGGAGAAAAAGACTTCCTGGTCCTTGGGGCTGGCAAACTCCGGCTTGGAACCTGAAGAGGAAGAATTTTAGAGGGGACAAGAGAACCTAAGGAGGGGTAACTTGACGTACCACCGAAGAAAGTTTGCATCTGCATACCGCGAATTCGTCCAGCACCACTGTCGCGGAGGATGAGGCCACTGATGTTGACGACGCTCTTGCCGTTGACAAAGAGCTCGAGCTCGCCGTTGGCTTGACCGACATCATTGAGGCGAACGCGCTCGCTGACGGTAGTCCATGCACCGGTGGCAAAACGGAAAGAACCACGACCGACGGAGGCACCGTAAGTGGGGTTGCAGTGATTGCCAGGCCCGGAGCAGAGCTTGTTGTTGGCAGCGAAACGAGCGTCGGTGTAAGGGGGGAGGTAGGCGTAGAATTCACCCTCGCCGTCGGCGCGCCACATGAGACGAGCAGAGAAGCACGAAGAAGATTTCCTTCCACCAGAGCATCCGACAGCCTCGCCGTCACTGTTTCCACCATCTAGAAACAGGTAATAAGTGTCGGCAATCTGGTATCCGAAAGGATGTACTCACAGAGACCGGGGAGCTTGCCACCAAGCTGGAAGCCGAAACCTTGAGGGAAGAATACGGAGTACGAGAAGGTAGCTTCTTTGGCGGTAGTGAGGTCGACAGAGGCAGGGCCGGGGGCATAGAAGGAGAATCCACCCTGGGGTTGGAAACCGAATGTATACGAACCACGGGGATAGAATGCCCTCATAGCTCGCTTGCCATCAGGAGCGTTGGTGTAGCTGTGGACCACCGATCGGAGAACGTTTCGGGGTCGGAAAGTGCTATCGGAAAGGGCGAGTGCATTGCCGAGGACGTCGGTGGTGGACCAAGCCCTGTTACCAAATCCTTGAACGGGGAACAATTGCCCAAGGACGCCCGGATTCACACTGGTGGGCTGTGCAGGGACCGCAGATGAGCTTGAAGGCGTGACAGAGGTGGTAGCGGGGGCAGAAGAGCTTGCAGGGCTTGAGGTCACGGGAGAGGAGCTGGGGATAGCACTGGAGCTTGAGCTGGGAACAATGCTCTGGGTGGGGACAACACTTGAACTGGGCGCAACGCTTGAGCTTGGGATGGAGCTAGAGCTCGGGGCAACGGTGGAGCTTGAAACGGCTTCCGAAGTGGGTGCGCTTGAGCTAGCAGAGCTGGGAACAGCGACAGAGCTGGAGGATGGTGTAGAAGTTGGAACGATAATAGGAAGGGTCGTAGCGGGTGGAACTGCGGTCGTCGGTTTCTTCGGGCATGTTGAACGGCGAAGGCGCATAATCTTGACGTGCGGTGGGGTTGGCACCGCGGTTACGAGTGCAACGAGGAGGGCAAGGGTGAAAAACAGGAACCGTGTTGCGAACATCGTGAGGGTCTGGTCCTAGTGGTCGATAGGATGGGAAAGACAAGAAGAGACAGACGTAGCACAGTTGGCGTATTTAGAGAGGGAGGATAAAAGTCGGAAGGTAGAGGAACCTCAGAACCAAGCTGAAAGGTTCAACGCACAAAAAAGAAGGACTCTGGAAAAGAAGGGGAAAAGACGCAGATGAGCGTTGGAAAGAAACAAGCCGCAAGGGAATCGAGACTTATGTGGACTTTGAACGAAATTTTGATGGATTTTGAGATTCATTTCGGGACCTGCAATGATGTCTTGGCACAGGGGTCTTATTCTATTTGAGGGCAACCAGCCGATCGCCAAGACACGGCCCAGACACTCCGTAGAGACCTTCATGGACATGAATGAGAACCTGCTCCTTGATGCTGGCCGGAAATCGTGGATTATTATCTCGTAACTATTCATGAGCAGTCCAGCAACAAGCCAGAATAGCTTCAGAGCGAAAGCGGTCGCCTTCCAAGGCCCGTTGTCAATTTGAGGGTGCTGTGCAATTAAAAAAATTGGAGATAACAAAAAAGGGTAGTGGCTGAATGATGGTTCGGGCAAAGACAGTGTTCCACCTTGTGATCAGTAATTTTTCCAAGCTCCACCTCATCGTGTCCTACTTCCCACTGTTCCAGTCTCAAAATAATGTTGCAGAAGCTTCGAAACCCGAAGAAAATCGCGAAAACGTGGACGAAGTAGAAGATAGGAGCTTACCAAATAGGGAAGGCGCCATTCTGATCGGAGGCGATGCCGCGCACGTGGCGCGGCGACGCGAACCCCTCCCCAGCAGAGGGGTCAAGAACGACGCGCGACAATTGGTGTGGTACAATTGAAACAAAGTCACTCAATATCCCTCGTTCTATAAGGCGTTGTTTCCACGATTGAAAGGACTGGGCCAATCAGTGTTGCGACCTCATCCACAAAAAAAAAGTGGGCCCAAGGAAACCATCCAACTTTGGCCTTCCGAAAACAATCAGTTGAAAGACTATTACTGGCGAGTCGAGTTCGACGTTCATTCAAGGTCCAAATGGCACCCTGTGACAACCGTATTGTACGTTGGCTTCTGTCTTGTTTCCAGGCAGCTTCTCCACGATGTGATCGAGAATGGAATCGCCACGTCCCCTCACGACATCGACAGAGTCAATTTTCCCAGAAGGATGAGGAGTGTGAAAGTCACAATGTCTCCTGAAAATGGGCGCCTTGCGTTCCTTTCAGACAGCTGGACGTGACTAATGTGCATGTGCATTTTCCCAGTGTGTTCTGAGAATGGGGGGCCTTGGGGCATTCCTGTCGGAGAGCTGGGGGTCACGAGCGAACGTTGTTCCCGAGCACCCAGTCTGTAAGTGGCAGCGTCGCAGGGTCTTCTACAAGCTTCGTCAAAATTCCAGGTGAAGTACGGAGGTCCGAATAACATAAGCATAATTTAAACGCAGGGTAAGTGACAGGCGTTAGTCAGGTAGTAACGACAGTGATTAAAGCTTAGTTTGTCAAAAGGAACGGCTTTATCTGGTCCAGGGTTCTCTCAACTTCAAGGCTCTGTGTCGCGGCCACTCGGTTCTGGAGCGCATCACCGGACAATGGCAATCGAAAAGTCCCTGAAGAAGACTTGCTGCCACTTGGGACTGGCAAAGTCAGGACTGGAACCTAAACCACCATCTTGAATAGGGAACTCAAAAGAATGAACAAGAGAACCTACTCACCACCAAAGAACGTCTGCATCTGCATGCCTCGGAAGTTACCACTACTGCTAGTACGTAGCTGAAGTCCCTTGAGGTCGATCACCGATTGTCCATTCGCCCAAACCTGGATCTCTCCATTGGATTGACCCACGTCGTTTAGCCTGACGCGCTGGGCGATGGTAGTCCAACCACCAGCCCTAAAGTGGAAAGCGCCACGACCAACAGAGTCACCGTACTGGGGATTGCAGTGAGTATCCCCTCGATTGCAGTACCTCTTGTTGTCGGCATGGGGAGGAAGGTAGGTGTACAGTTCGCCAGCGCCGTTAGCCCTCCACATGAACCGAGCGGAGAAGCAAGCTGAGGAGTGTCGTCCACCGGAACATCCTATGGCCTCTCCATCGCTGTTTCCTCCATCTGCCATTGAGAATGAGAATGAGAATTAAAAGGCCCGCACAAATAGCACAGTACTCACAGAGACCAGGTAGCTTGCCACCCTTCTGCCATCCAAAACCAGATGGGAAATAGACGGAATAAGCAAACGTCACTTCCCTCGCACCAGTAAGAGAAAATCCGTCTGGGCCAGGGGCGTAGAATGAAAACCCTCCGGCAGGGTTAGAGTTCAACGTGACAGCGCCCTGGGGGAATGTGGCGATGAGGGAGCGTCTACCGTCGGGGGAGTTCCCATACGAGCGCGCGGGGTTGGTCATCGCGTTCCGCGGGCGGAAGGCGTTGTCGTTCAGGCTGAGCGCACTACCCAGGACGTTCGACGTCGACCATGCCCGCTGGTAGCCTTGGACAGGGAAGAGGCTATTGACGCTCTGTCGGCGTGCGATTTCAGCATGGTCGGGGGCTGGGTGGGCAACTGCAAAACCAATTAAAAGAGCGAGGGCTAGGAGGAGAAACCGAGGCGCAGGCATGCTGGAGACGACGTTGCAGAAGGGACAGTGAGTTGGGGGGCCCTTGTAGGCCATCGAGCCTGTATTTGAACCCAACGAGTTTCTAGGAGCAGCGCGCTCATCACCAGTGGGCCCATAATGTGCGCACTTGCGATCAGGTCGTACACAAGGCAGTGGCTAGAAAATGTACTCCTGCACCAAAACAATTGATGATATCACATCCCTACTATGGGTGACCTGTATCCTGAAACGTCCCAATTACTAGGGCTAAGAAGAAGAAAAGCCGTAAAGCACTCACATACAGGATCGTCGGGGGAAGGGGGGACCCACACACCGAGAAATGGGTCTGATCTGAATAACTGACGGCCGCGAAAACATCAGGAACTGACTGGCTTGCGATATGCTTACCCTTTCCGTTGTCACAGGATCTATATCTTCGCAACCATTGGGATCAACGGATACTGGACGAGGATATGCGATCCTCGCTGCGGTGCTTCTGCCGGCAAGAAGTGTCAAAATAGGCCTCTGATCAACGAGAAGCGTAAGACTGCATTAAGCAATGACGAATAGACAACGTATAAATAGAGCACGAAGTCGAAAGCGTGGCGAATGAACGAGAATGGCCTCTGGCCATAAAAACAACCATGCGAAAAGTCTAGAAGCTTTGCGTGATGGCGACTGAGAAATCCGAGAAATAGATATCCTGATCTTTGGGACTTGCCCAATCCGCTGTCGAACCTAGGTGACGCAGAGTGATCAGCGCTGAGCGGATTTTACGTGAACTACTAGTACAGTGCACACTCACCTCCAAAGAATGTTTGTGCTTGAATACCGCGAATCCTTCCAGCACCACTATCTCGCAGCACGAGCCCGCCAACGTTCAAAACGCTCTGGCCGTTAACGAAGAGTTGGATTTCTCCATTGGATTGGCCAGGGTCGTTCAGCCTAACACGTTCCGCCACGGTCGTCCAAGTACCGGTAGGGAAGCGGAATGATCCTCTGCCAACAGAGGCACCGTAGGTAGGGTTGCATTCGGAGAAGGGTGGCACATTGCAGAGACGGTTGTTGGAGTCGAAGCCCGGAGGGAGGTAGGTGTAGAACTCTCCATCTCCATCTCTCCGCCACATCAAGCGAACGGAGAAACAAGACGTATCTCGGCGCCCACCAGAGCAGCTGGTGGCCTCTTCATTGCTGTTCCCGCCATCTAGATAGCAAGTCAGTTATTGAATCTGCAAAGAGGGTCAAATGACGACGTACATAATCCAGGGAGCTTTCCTCCACGATTGAATGCAAAGCCCTCAGGGAAGAAAACGCTATATCCGAAAGTGGCCTCCTTGGCAGTGGTAAGATCAACATCACCAGGACCGGGTGCGTAGAACGAAAATCCACCCTGGGGATAGTTCTTGAACGTGAACGATCCTTGAGGGAAGTGGCCAACCATGGCCGGTCTCCCATCAGGTGCGTTTCCGTAATAGTACATGGTCGTCCGCAAAACATTTCCAGGTCGGAGGGTGCCGTCGGAGAGTTCTCGAGGGTTGGGCGCTTCGGGGCATGTGCTCCATGACCTGCTGAATCCGGGTACGGGGAAGAGCTGGCTGACCCGAGACGAGGACGGCGGGGGAGAGCTTGGTGGTGGTGCTTGTGTTGGTGAGGGTTCTGGTGGAGCGCCCACTGCTGGCGACGAGGGAGCGCCAGACGAGGATGGGTCGGAAGAGGATGAAGGAGCAGCGGATTCCAAGGCCAGCGATGGCAAGTTTGAGGGGTCGGTAATTTCGAGCAACTGTCCCTCCAGCGCTTCAAGGTCCAATTGTCGTGCTGTGCATCTTCGCCGGCGCGTTCTGGTTGTGTTCCTGACAGTGATTTCTGGGGTCGTCGGCGTTCCTGGAGTCGATCCAGTGTTGCGGGAAGCATGGATGTGGTGGGCTACATTCCTGTGTGATAAATGTCGGCCATGGCCCAGATGCGGTCGTGCATGGGAGAGCGAGATAGAAGCTAAAAGGACATGAATGAAAACCGAAAGTCGTAAAAGCATGCCCGTCGAGCGTCAAGCAGGGAACGGCTGGAGAATAGACGAGTGAGGGCCTGAAGCGAGAGAAAAATGATAAAGGAGCGACGAAGTTCTATATAGGCTGTTCTAGGGATGGGGATGTGTTTCGAGGGAAAGTGGCGGTGAAAAGATGCCCGTCAACATGTTCAATGTCGTTGCCAACATCGGCGGCCAAGCCTGATATTGATACGAACCACCAACACTTGAAATTCTTGGCAGCCACCACTCGGCTAAGAAGCTCTGCCGCCCGTTGCAACGCTTTCGTTATATATTAAGTACCACCACAAAGGGTAGATTACAGGACAATAACCCCAACTCGAGCTTTGTATTTGTTCACAAAGGGATGAACTTTATTTTGCCGTACGGCGTCTGGGTTTCGGCAGGCCTATCTCCCAGCGCCTGGACGTAGAAACCGACCTCATATATTCCCTGTTTATCTCCCTCCAAAGATGCGAGGAAAGACCCTTCCTTCTCCGTGGTAGGAACCTCGACAATCAATGATGGTCTCTTGGGCGCGAAGCCTGGCTTGCCTGGCGTGTCGAGTTCCCAGATGCTTTGGGTGTCGTTGGTTGAAAGAGGTGGGTTTCCGACGAGAACGGTTGTCAACTGCTTTACAACATCCGTGAATGACTCTTTGGATGCCACAAGTCTGATGAATGCGAGCCCGGTGACGGTGGATGGGTGCCTTGTGTTGGAGGAGTCTGACGGCACCTGGGAGAACGAAAGTTACGAAACTAATGAGTTTACAATCGTCAAAACCATCGACAGAACTCACTCTCAGCTCTCTGGGAGTTACGTCCCCGCAGAAGAATGGGACCACTCCAATGTGATCCTCTCCTTCAGCAGCTGATATCAACCACTTCAAGACCTTCCCATCCGGCCTAACTCGCCCGCCATCTACTTCTGGGAGATACTTGATTCCGCTTCCATCCTGTTCTGCGCGTTTATTGATCGTCTCCGAAATGCTGGGATCTCGTACTCCATTCCCCAGGAATGCGTAGTCAATCCACCCGGGGGACTTCCGAGACCACCGATGTTGGTCTCGTTTGGAGCGTTCCGGGGAGTTTCCAGGGTAGTGTGAAGGAGGATGAGTGAATGAGATGAGTTCGAGGTAAGTCCCATCTCCAAGTAGCTGGAGCGGGTTTGAATTCAAGACTTGTGGTGGCATTGCATATGTTGCGGCTCACCACTAGTGCATTTCCCGTTAAACCATCTGCGTGCGTTCCGCCTTTCAGCACGCTGTAAAGAGGTTCAATGATGCTTGTCAATGTAGACAACAGAAATGTGAGAGCTTACACAAAGCCCAGTTCGTTGAACTGTCTCGACACCTCTTCGACACTTCCGGGTGGTGTCAAGTGCACAATATGGTCAATGGTGCGGGTATTGACAGTTGGCATAGCTGAATCTCGCTGCCTAGAGGGTATGTGAAACAATGCTTTGGTGAATGGAAGAAGAAAAAAGATAGATCTATTCAGGGAGCTGGCGAAAAGGGGGAGCCAATGGCGTCAATTCGCATCATCACGAAGCACCTGCACCATGTCAGGCGTAAGCGCCAAGTCACGTGGATGAACTCGCTATAAGCGCCCATACCGGTTTCTCGTCGATTTTGTGGGACCTGCCTGGAGGACTTGAGCACCTCTCGAGCGTTGAGTGGACCAGAGTCGATGATCGAGACAACTCGTTGAATCACAATAACCATTGGATAATCCAAATTCGCAATGGTGCCTGTGACTTCTGAGTGTTGCGCAATAGAGTATAGCCTACTGGGCTGCTGTTCCTGACACAAACATTATCAAGGATGAGTTGGAAGGCACCGAGGGCGCGATGGGTATGTCCAATGGGGTTCTCATGATGGGGCCTTTTCTGGGGGGAAAGAAGCAAAGGCGATTGTGTAGTTGAATCCACCCTTCATTGAGCACTAGCTAGCTTCTCTTCCTGACGATCTTTTACCTATTTTATGTAGGTCTGTTAGCGAGCATTCTTATCGACCCTTGGGCGCTTATCAACGTAACAGCATCCGGCGATAACCCAGAACGGAGTCCGGGCACGCCTAAATCCGATCAGACATCCGCCGCCCGCTGTCGACTCCGGGTGTACATAAACAAGAACGGTTCGTTGATTTCAACTTTCTCTTCGTGGCTTCGCCCTCAACCTTCTTCTTCCGTCAACAGGCTCTTTCTTCTTTCCCTGGGTTCTATTAAGTAAAGCCGCTCTTTCGAGTCCTTTATTTTTTAAACCCTCTGCCGTTCATTTGCTACGTCGTCACTCTTTTTGAAAGTCAAGAAATCAGCCTCTCCGCTCCCCTACCATACATTATTATTTGACGGAACGAACAAGTCCCAGCCAATCCATTCTCTACTTCCAACTACTTACCCGACCACGTCAACCATGTTCTGCAAGCCCACTTTCGTCTTCACCCTCCTCGCCTTCTTCTCCTTCTACCTCCTCTCCGCCAGCGCCGCACCCCTTCCCTCCACCGTCGGTGCCCCAAGCCGCCTCATGGGCCGCGCCGTGCACTTCCAGCGGGCACCGACCCCTGTCGTCCTCGCCCGCCGCTCGGAGGGCATCGTCGACCGCGCAGCCCGTTTCCAACGCCGCGCCAGCGTCAGCCTCGCCGCGCGGGATGTTGAGCCCGCCACCGAAGCCGTCACCGTCGACCGCGCCGCCCGATTCCAGCGCGCTCCAGGCCTCAAGCGGGATGTCACCGTCGTTGCTGACGAGGCCCCCGTGTCGCGTGCCGAACGCTTCCAACGCGCAACTAGCGCTGTCGTCCGACGGGCTGAGGAATCCGTTTCCCGCGTTGCTCGTTTTGAGCGTGCCAACGTTCCCCGCGACGAGCCTCAAACCACCCACGCCAGGTACTCGGAGATCCTCCGCCTTTTGGAGGCTCGTTCCCTCAACCTCGACTGAGCACACGGAGAGGAGCGTTCGAGTCCTCTCTTGCGATGTGGAGGGTAACCGGTTACCACCACGCATCGCTTCTTGATGAAGAAGGATGAAGAAGACACACGGTATACCCGACGGACGTACACAATACGTGTCGTTATGTGTGTACCGCGATAACGAAGACATGACTTCACGGTTCCCCTGCCCTCGAGCATTCAGGATAAATGCCCAAGGAAATTGGGGGTCGTTGTACTTGTATCCCCTATCCCATTTCCCCTCTCCTCTCCTACCAGTCCCAGCATGTGCAAGCCACATCCCTCCTACACCGACACACGTCACTCCTGCGTGGCACTAGCTGCCCCACACACCCGCGCGGCGTTGAACCTAGCGTTCCGCCCCCACCCACCCTCCTCTCCGTATTCTAGCAGTACGGCTGGTCTTTTCCGAGCAAGCCTTGGAAGTTATAGTTTAGTATTACCCCAGCGCACGTCTTGACTGGCGTCCGTCCCTCCCTACCTACGTGCATCTATAATCCTAGCGATATAGAAACCCCCAAATACAGTGTACAGCTAGTCCGTACGCGTATGTCTCCTCTCCTATGCAATATGTTGAAACTTCCTCTCCTGCCTGTGTGGTCCTCGGTCTCTCACATCCATCCTCGCCAGTGATCCACGATTCAGAAAAGGTTGGAAACTGGAAGCCCCTCCCAACTTCAAGAAGAGTTGGAACGTTGAACTGTCGGCATAGGCAGTTGGGACCGATCGCGAGGCCGACCGTGGACGACGCCCCGACTCCACAATCACAATGACTCCTTAGCTCAGTGGTAGAGCGTGAGATTCCAGCTTGGGAAATCCTCAAGGTCATCCGTTCAATCCGGGTAGGGGTCAATCTTTTTAGATCACATTGGTTTTAGCTTTTGTGAACTGAGGCGATACATGTAGTTGTCGGTGGGTGGAAATACTTAGGTATGTTAGGAGGGTTGTATGGTCCATAGAACAGCGATTTATCGGTTGCTCCGTTTATCCCTCCAGGGATAGCTTCACGCATTGGACACATAGCCTCCCGTAGTCAGACTAAACGAACTCACGTGTCCTTTGTAAACTTGTATGGGGACACTTCTGGACACATAGGCTGGCCACAGTATTCTGGGGTTGCTGTTGCTGTGGGGAGGTGACGGTAATCGGCAAACCCTCCAAGAGGGAGAAAAAGCCAAGTCTGTGGATGTCTTGATCATTGATGCTTCAGGAAGTTATGCTACCGGACTGCCCGTCATCGTTAAGCCCCAATAAACCCCAAACACCTTCATGATCATGTAAGTAATTAAGAGATCAAGTCGTTTGTACGCTACTTAAGTTTCACTGGGGAACGAGCAACAGCGAGCACTCCCATCCCATCCCATCCATCCCCGCTCTGCATCGCTTCCTGCTCCCTAGTCCCTCCTTTCCACTCTTCAATCTCATTCCTAACTCCTCCTTAATCCTACTCACTCCTCGCTCCCCATTCCTCCTCCTCCCATAATCACTCCTCCTTTTCCGGCTCGATCGCAGGGAACCACAGACCCGAACCCCTCCCAACATCCCACCTCAACCTCTTGAGATCAAAACTATCCATCGCAGCAAGTGAAGTCGGGAGCTCGGCCAGGCGGTCGCACGCATCTTTCAATCCGCGTATGAACTGTAAATAGCCATCGCGGGTGTAGTGTGAGAGGATGCTTTTTCAAAGTGGTGGTGAGAAGTGGAAAAAAGAGAAAAGTGACGTACCTGAGATGTCGCCTCGCACCACGTATCCTCCCCACTAACCCAAGGCGAGACACTCTTCCCCTCGACCATCTCCTCCAAGATACCCCTAGCCGTGTCGACGTACTGGCGAGGGTTGATCTTATCCCCCATCTATTCACCACCAACCACCAACCACGAACACGAGAAAAGAACAAAAGAAAACATCAGCTTCTATTCATTCCGCACACATAAAAAGCAAAAGGCCACGGTGAAGGAACTAGTACGTACCGCTACAACCTCCTCACAAAACACCATAAAATCCTCCATCTCAGGGTGCGCAACGGGATGAGAAGTGGTAATATCATAGTCAGGTCTGAAAGCCCATTTGTAGCGTTTGAAAAAGTTGGGTCGGAGGGCGTCCCAGTCGGGGGTTTGGGAGGGGAGGGTGGCCTGTGTACCGGTGGAGAGGTGGAGAGAGCGGATGACGGGTGAGCGAGCCAGGTGCAAGTTGGGGAGCGACGAATGAATGTGAATGGGCGGGCAAAGGAAGTGAATGAGCGAGATGGTGAGCACAGTTCATGCGAGGCTAGAACAGAGGGAATGTACGTACCAGCAGAGAACCCTTCGCCAAGCCCTGGATAGCTTTCGACAGCTGGAGTTTAAACTGCATATCCTTGTACGGCGCTGAATCTAGAAAAAGCACACATAACACGTCTCATCAGAACACCTCTTGCACAACCAAAAACCATAGCCAACCCAGAACCCAAAAACCCATCCCCTAATCCGATCCGAAGGAAAATCCAACCCGAAGGCAAATCCAACCCGAAGGCAAATCCAAATCCCAAAACCATACCACATCACGCCAAAACCCAAAACCAAACCCATCGCCAAGAAAAAGAAAACAAAAACCAAAACACCAACCTTGCTCCAACACCCCCAAAACACACTCATAACACTCCCTCAACCTCCCCTCAACAACACTCAAATACCAATACGCAAATGGGCGTTCATAAGCCGCGTATAATTCTAATTGGAACCCGGTGAGGATGATCTCGCGGATAGATTCGAGGCGGAAGGTGAGGATGGTTTCGGGGAGCTTGCGGATGATGTGGGTTTGCGGGATCTGTATGGATAAGTTAGGTAAGGAGGGTGTGGGTGGGTGCCAAGAGCGAGGTTGGTGGTGGCCAGGAGGTCGGGATGAGGGTCAGTGGGTAGGAGGAAAGGAAGGGAAGCAAGTGAGCAGGCAAGGCAGTGAGTGGTGAGTTAAAGAGGGAATGGAGGATAAGGACAAAAGAACGCACCTTATCACTGAGCCCTTCAACCAAATCCACACACCAATCATACACCAAATGCCACTCAACAACAAGTTTCATAAGCTTCCGACGCATCCTCGAGAGGTTCGACCAGTTGAGTTTGATATGGCTTGTCAGGAGCTATAACACCACACCACAACAAAACCAAAACGATTATGGCAAAAGAAAGAAAGTTAGTTCTCCTAGTGAATAGGCAACGATTCGAGACAGGGAACAGAAGCGTACCCGATACATCTTCCGGTCAATCGAAGCCAACGGCGGCGGGGCCGCCCTCGTCCACCCGCCATTCGTGACCAGATCGCGGATAGTAGACCACGAAACCCCGATTCGTTCTTCGAATAGTTTGTCGAGAGCCCAGGAGAAGGTGTGTTGGTCGAGGACGAGGATGCCGTTATAGAACGAGCTCTACGATAAGATAAGAATCACAAAGGTCGGTAAGCAATCCGGGTGGAAGTACATATTATTGAGCGAGAGTGAGGGAAGGGGAGAGGAAACAGGGAGCATTCGTACCTGGGTGAGAGACCGCACATACGCAGGTCGAGGAGCATCCGATAGCCAAACGCGTAGTTTACCCACAGACTAACCAAAAAGGTCAATCCACTGTCCAGTATATCGAACCACGAAACAAGACTCAAAGACGCACCTCCCACGTCGCCAAACACGGTCTATCCACCAACAAACTAAGCTCCCTCAAGCCCTCCAAAAACGCGCCAAGCGCCTTCCACGTCTCCTCATGCGTGGGGGTGGGTATCACGCGCACCGGAACGCAGGTATTCAACCTTCGCGAGATGTACGGGTCAAATACCAGGTACGCAGGGGAGGAGGGTGAGAGAGTGGGAGGAGGCTGGGAGGTGATGTCGGTGATGAATGTTTGGGCGTCGTCGAGGAGGGATTGGTACTGTGAGCGGTTCTTAGTTGGTTCGAGGTTGAAAAGTTCTAGGAGGGTCTATAGATATGCGGGGTGGTGAGGATGCGGATACCCGGTGGGACGGGGTTTAAGGCAGACCTTGCGGAGGCGGATTCGTGCGATGAGGGGTTGTTTCCATTTTGGCGGGACTGCGATAGGAGGGTTAGTCGGCGGTAGGCGGGAGGATTGGGTTATTGCACGCACTGCGGTCGGAGAACTCGACCCATGTCGCGGCTTGTTCTAGTCTAGACTCGAAGTACTTCACAGGCAGGTTTTCTAGAACCGGTACTTCGCATTTATCGCTTTGCCAATCTTCCGTCTACAAACAGCCCTCTCATCAGAATTCAAGAGACATTTCGCGTAGGAAGAGCACTGACATCATGGATCATCTCGTTATTCTGCATCTCGTTCCAAGTCAAGTCGCAGCACTTTAGGAGCGCTTGGACGCACGACCCCAACACGACGGTGACGAGTTCGAGCGGGCGGGTGTGGTCCACGTCCGACAGGATTTTCCAAGACATCATATCCGGTTCGATATCCGTTAGACAATGGACATATTGGAGCGTGAAGATGGTGTGTGGTAGGAGTTTCCCGGCGTGCCATTCCATCTAGGCCCAAATGATTCATTTTCAATGTTACGAGCATGAGAAAGGAAGGGTGTATACCTCGTAACCGAGCGCTTTATCCAAAATCCAGCATATTTCCTCGGGCAGCATCGGTTCGAGTGGGTTGAACGGCATCGGAGGAGTGTCGCCAATATACCCCGTATCCAACCTCGGTTCACCAATCTGCAACAACACCGCAAGTAAGCACTCCACATCCCACACTCCTAATGAAAAAAGGAAAGAAGAGACCCGCCTCAAAAGCACTCATAGCATCCTGCAGCCCAAACCCGTCCATAAACAGCATCTCCTCCGGCTCCATCGCTTATATTCGAAAAATTTGGTCGGTTGGACGGGATTCACGTATAAAAGAGAGGGGTATGACAAGCGCCCGGGGAGAGAGAAAAAAACATACCAGATACAGCATCCTCAAAGACGTCCGTCACATCCTCGAATCTAGTCCCAAACCCAGGAAACGCAGTGGCGGCCATAGCTTCAAAGGACTGTTGCTCTTCGTTCACCAGCATGTCCATTGTAAAGTGGTTCAAGTTGTTGCTCGCCATACAGGATTTAATAGACTAATTGAAGTGAATGGGAGTGTTAGGACGATGAGAAGGAGGAGCAAGGCTCCAGAGGAAGATTGGACGAGGCGGAGCCCTCCATTTCTAAAAAAAAAGGAGGAAAAAAGCGGAAGAATTGCGACTCCCAAATCCAGCCCCCCAGCGCCCCTGCGCGGACTTTGAATATTTTGCAGATTTTCCCCTCGCGCTCTACCCACCTCTAACCTGGTATACAAAAGCCAAAATGTCCTCAGCGTCTTCGTCCTCGTCCGAACGATCCTCGAGCTCGCCAGAGCCCATATCCACAGTATTAAAGAAAAAGGGGAAAGCCAATGCAACAGCGAACGGAAAGGGACCCCGAAACGAAGGAACGGAGGATCCTACTTGGGCTTTTAAACCCCCTCCTGGACGGGTACTCGTCAACTCCCTAGGGGACGCCGGAGAATTCGACTGGGACGCTGTCAATAACGACGATGATGTCGAGATTTGGGTTATTCGTGCTCCAAGCGCTGTACGTCTTCCCCACTCTACGCTACTTTGTAGTGTTATCATCCCAACTACTTAAACATCCATTGAACTTGAAATTACAGGTCAAACCAAAACACCTATCCTCCCTCCAAATCGACCCTCCCTCCTCCTCCAAAACTCTCAAAGTCGGCACCCTAAAAAAGAAACACGCAGCTTTCGACATATGGTCTATCGGTAAAGAAATCACAGACGAGACACCCGTAGGCGGGGAGGAAATTAATACTTTATCCTGTTTGTTACCGAGGAGTAAGAAGGGGAAGGTGTATCATGGTGCGTTCCTCTTCTCTTCGTTTACGAAGAATAGCAATAATCAATTTCATATGCTGCTAGCTCCCAAACCGATAGCCCGCCGCCTGGTCCTCTCAGCCCAACCAGTATCACCAACACAAGCAGAACCACAAACCCTCCCAGACCGCGACCCATCCACCCAAAAATACAAAAACCCACCCCGCCCTTCCTACCCAAACGAACTCCTTAAACACGCATTCAAACCTTATGGTTCAAATACGACTACTGTCAATGGTGACACCAGGGAGGAGGAAGATGGATCTATGGACGTGGACGTGAACGCTCAAACTCCTTCCACTAAACCGTCAACAAAAACAGACGCAAAACCAGACCCAGAACCTAAAAAATCAAAAGACAAGGAAAAGAAAGGCAAGAAACGAAAAGTCGCTTCAGACGAGACAACGGTGGAAGAGGATGCAGCACCAAAGAAAAAGAGTAAAAAGTCGAAGTCGTCGTCATAGTCTTCTTGGCCTCCTTCCTCTGTCTTGCACTCGATGCCCACCAATATACGTCCACTACTTCTCGATGCCCACGAATACATCCTCGTTTACCTTGCTACCAGAGCTTCGCCTGCCACCGCGACGCCTTTACCTGGAACACCTGGGGAGGTCATCTCAGGCGCCTATTTGAACTGATTTCAAAATGCAATTACGTATTGTACGTCTTGACGGATGCGGATAGAAAACGATATACAAAAAGCGTGAGCAGACAGACAGAGAGGGAAAGCGAGAGCAGCTAGTAGTAGGTGGATGTGGATGATGCCAGGCGGGTGGGTGCGATGAAGCCTGGGGTGTGCGATGAAGCCCAGCGGCAGGCGGGTCAGGCCAAAAACAAGAGAAATGGAGAGGCACTCTCGCACCCCTCGAACCTTAATAGAAGAATAAGTGAAAAAGTGTCGCATGTAAAAAAAGAGAATATCAGAGAAAAAAAAGGTACGAGGAAGAGGAAGAGGAAAGGATGAGGGTTCCAATAAACTGAACAACCACAAGGAAACGGAGACGAAATGAAAAGAAAGGAACAACCGAAACCCAATAAGAGAATGCAGCAGATAAAAAAAGGGAAGATGGAGGGAAGGGGTGTTAGCCAATATCCATAGCATCATCCGCCCTCCTCTTCCCTTTAGGATCACCATGCATCCCATTCGCTATCCTTGCATCCCCGCCACCACTCCCACTACTCCCCATCCCACTCCCACCACCTAAACTCCCCATCCCACCCACACCTCCATCTCCCAACCTCAACTTCATCCTAACCTCCTCCTCAATCCCCTTAAACACACTCTCCTTCGGCAACCCATATATCCTCCCAGGACTAGCCCTCTCTTTCTCCTCAAACACACTCCCAACCTGCTCAACCCAATTCTTCCTCGTCTCAACCAACTGCCTCAACTGGTCATTCACTAACAGATGGTTGTCTTCGTCGGGTATCATACCCGTCGCAGCGGGACAGGGTGCCGGAGGCGCAGGTGTCCCATCTCCCCCTCCTCCCCCGTTTCCTCCGCCTTCGAGTGCAGCGGCGGCCATGGCTTTGGCTTCTGCCGCTGCCGCCGAGGCAGCAGCTGCCCCAGCCAACGGTTTCTTCTTCTTCTTACTCAACTTGGGCGTGTCTTTCTTCTGCAGTTTAGCATAGAGGTTGGTAATGTTCTTGTCAATCATATCGCGTATCTCGAGGTACTCTTGGTACCCCAGTCGGTCCCTTGCTATAGCCGCTAACCGTTCTTTACGCAGTTTGTTGGTCGTCATTACGACGCGTAGTTCTTGCTGTGCGTGGCGCAGAGCTGTAGCGATTGGGTCATCCACTTTTTCGCTAAAGTCGGGTTGCTGGACCAGGTGTTACCTAACCTAACATCAAAAAGTGTACGGGAGGACTCACAACGTTATCAAGCAACCCATGATACCTCATCGTATCCCGTATCCGATTCTCCAAATCCGTCACATTCAACCGCTCCCTCCTCGCAGCAGCAGCCCCACTCCCACCAGGCCTCCCCTCCATCGCATCCTCCGCCGCCTTCACACCCTTCCACCCCCCAGGATCCGGTATCGGCAACAACGCACTAATCACCCTCTCCGTCAACGGCCCATGCCCCTTCTCCTCCACAATCAAATCCACATCCCCCAGCGTCGACGGATCCCACGTCGGTTTCGGCGCAACAAACGTAGACGCGGGCGCTTCCTTCCCCTTCCCGGGTATGATCGGCAGACCCGTCGCGTCCTGCTCTTCCCATACTTCTAGGTAGTGCACACCCAGCTTGGGCATCACGAACGGCTCAACCTCGTCCCCGGTATACTCTAGGAATCCGACATCTTCTTCGCGGATGGGACGCAGGTAGGGCTCTACGCTCGTGTAAAAGGTGCTGATGGGGGTTTGGGCCGGGGGTTTTAGTTTGCTGAAATCTTCGGTCACTTCGGTTGGCTTGCTGGGTCCTGGGACGGGTGGAGAAGGTATTGGAGGACGGGTGGGGAGGAGGTTTTGAGCTGGTGGCACGGTGAAATCGGGGCCGTAGAATGACTGGAGGTCGTGTGGTTAGTGCTTCAAGCTCACCGGGAAATATGAGGTCATTGATACCTTGGATTGAGTCGAGGGAGTCGGTTGTATAGATTTCGAGGCCTTTGAGGAATACATCGGCGTACTGGACAACGCGGGTGACCCCTTTCGAACGCGTTGAACACCTGAAAAAGAGAGGACTTAGCAACACGGTCACGCGAGGCGGGAGAGAACACCATTACTTACTGTGGCCACCGTCACTGTCCCCAGGATCCACTTCAGCATACTTGCGTTTCTTCTGCTTCTTGTCGTCGATGGCACTGTACACGCATTAGCAGTAACAGGGAACGCCGTAGCTTGCTACTCACGACCGCCGTGGATCAACAGAGGAACGCGCAGAATGTATTGATGCTCCGGCGTGTGAGCCCATCCGAGGTTTAGATCCAGGCAAATGGGTGGGCCGGGCATCGTCGTGTAGAGAGGGCGTATCTGTCGTCGTCGTTCCATACGCATACCGGCGGCCAAAAGGATAAATTGCAGACCATAAGCGCCAGGACAAAGTATATCCATTGACGTGATGTTAAAAAGGGCATCCATAAGAAAACATAATAAAACGGGTGATACACTCGAGAAAGAAACATACAATCTCGCTCCCGTTTGACCTTGTCGACAGCCCTCGCTTTGCCTTTCTCCTTCTCCTTGAGACGCCTCATCGAGTCGGTTATGGTCCTGAGATCCTTGCTCGCCTTCTCGGTCCGTTTCTTCGCGGCGGCCTCGAGGGTCTTGAGCTCGCTATACAGCTGTTCTATCTCCTCCAGGGACGGTATTGACGACATTTCCGGGACATTCTTGAGCAACGAAGATCGCACCGAGGGCGGTGCCTCGAACGGCGATAGTCTCGAGGACATTGTTGGCAGAACCGAGGCTTCGACGGGGGAACGAACGGCGAGATTTGTGTAAACCCTGGACGGTGGCGACGACGACCACGAGGCCAGTAGCAGCCGAAACTAGAGTCGGTCGTCGGTGGATTGAGCCTTGCAATGCAAGTCCGATGTTGGTGGTCGCAAGTCAAGAAGCGGGTTTACTCACGACTGCTACTTTACCACGCCTAATTTAGCAACTCGATTTGGCGCACCGACGCTTCCACACACCGCCCGTCATTATCTTCTCTTCTTTTCTTTTCTGGCTAGGGGATGAATGGGAATTCGCCAGGAAATGCGGCCGTCGACGATGACATCGAGCTCATTGGTATGAGCGACGTGGCTCAGAGGCCTGCGCCGTCCAAACCGACACCACCGGCAGACGACACCCCGAAACGACAGGATGAAGACGACTCGGACGAGGAATTCGATGGAGAAGAGGGTGGACAGGCGCTTTTGGCGGCGTCGGGGCGGCCTAATGGCCACCATTACCCTCCAAGCCAGCCTTCACGACTAAAACGCGGAATGGATGTGTGGAAGCAGGTGAACGGTATCGTCATAGAGGTCCGTCGCAGTATCTATTGAAGAAAACGTCAATTTATTCTATGAACAGAGCGCGCCTACACTCCTTCTAACCACTATCAGTCTCTTATTCTCCGGTAAACTGCTGGACCAAGTTTCAGTACGTCCACAACAACTCTACCTGGATCAGAACTGACCAGAATTTACCAGCGCTGGCGTGCAATGCGCGAAGTCGACCAACTCATCATGATCATACCCGCAATTCTCAACCTTCAAGGAAACCTTGAAATGAATCTATCAGCACGATTATCTACAGCAGCCAACATTGGCGAGCTCGACGATGGAGCAACGCGGAAAGCTATGATCTTGGGGAACCTGACGCTATTGCAGGTCCAGGCAATATCAGTCTCGTTCATCGCATCATGCCTATCCATTATTCTAGGCCAGTTCCTACCCCAGCCAGAAGGAACAATACCATCCCCTTCAACGCCGTCAAACTCGACGATACGACACATTATAGATTCCTTAGAACCTAGAAAACCGGTACCACATTTACCCTCGGACGCTTCACCACGGAGCACAGGACTAGCGACGTGCGTCCATCTCCACGTCCCAGAAGTCATAGTTAACACCGCAATAGATTAATCATGGTCTCCACCTCAGCCATGACATCCGCCTTCCTCTCAGGCCTCATCCTCGGCTCCTTCATGTGTGCCCTCATCCTCTTCTGCAGGCGGTACAACCTCAATCCAGGTACTTCCGCGCTGTTCCTCCATCACCCCACCCGAATCACTGACTTACCCCATCACCTTCCCAGACAACATCGCACCGGCCGTTGCATCTTGCCTCGGCGACCTCGTAACGCTCTGCATGATCGGCCTCGTCTCCACACTCCTCATACCCTTCCTCCACACACCCCTTCCCTTCATAGTCGGCATAACAGTCGTCATCATCGCCGTCGGCTCCCTCGTCTACACTCTCCGCAACCCCCACGTCCGCCCGCTCATCACGCAAGGATGGTCACCCCTGCTAGGTGCTATGATCATCAGCAGCGCTACAGGTATGATCCTGGACGTATTCGTTAGCCGGTACGAAGGGTTCGCCATTTTGGCTGTAGTTATCAGCGGTACGTCGGCTTGATTTGATTAACGGAACTCTGTAACCTTAATCCTTATCTCGTGTGTACAGGTCTTCCCGGCGCGACTGGTTCTATTTTCGTCTCGAGACTGTCGACTTCGCTCCATGCCGCCGCGTTTGCACTCACACACCCCACACCTTCGGCATCGTTCAAGGATAAAGAACCTAGTGCAAGACTGGCCATGTTCACGCTACTACTTATCACCATCCCAGTTGAACTCATCTTCCTATCCGTCCTCAACGCCCTCGGATGGCTCGACCTCCCTCTACTCTTCGTCCTCTTCTCAATACTTTTCTTCTGCTTTGCCGTAAGTCCAAGCTTATACATCCCATCTTCGTTGCTTGCAACTAACATGGATACCACAGGTCTTCGCATCCCTAGTCATAGCACGCTGGCTAACCAACTGGCTCTGGTCTAAAAACCGCGATCCGGACATCTACGCCCTCCCCATACACTCCGCACTCATGGACCTCATCGGCCAAAGCCTCCTCGTCCTATGCTTCGAAATTGCATCCAAGCTAGGCGCCAAGATGAAAACAAGGACATGATGATGACTAGGGCTCAGACGTCACCGCCATCCAAACCTTTCTTTGCCTACCATGGCTTTAATCCACTCCTTCCATTTACAACGACCAACGACAAACACTTGCATCTATGTGTACGATTATTTTATTCTATTTTATTTATCCATCTTTTCGCCACCTTCGCGTCGTTCGTTCGTTCGGTTTTGTATATCCTGGTCGTGGTAGACTAGAAGTACTCGTACTTGTTACTTGTAGCATTCGTTTGGTCACGTGGATTAATATACCCCATCGAATATCTAGACATGTACACCTCGTCTTCATGCCCTGGAGCTCAAAGCACGGTTGCCGTCGGGTCTAGTCCCTTCTCTCGATTCCAAGCCTAGTCGTTCACAGCCAAAGCGAAATCCTTGAACCACACATACTGATCTCTAGGTGTCGCGTACTTGTCCGCATGCCCTCCAAAGAACGTGCTAAATAACATGATCAGATTCAGCCAGAACTCTTTTTCCCGCTTTTGGGAGAGAGAAGAAAGACGAGGGAGAGGAAGCAATGAAACAGCAGCGAGCTGTAAAGTGACAGACGTACCTGAAGAATATCCCGATAAATCCAATCGAGTTTCCTTGTCTTTCGGGTTGGGCTGCTCGTATCAGGAGTCTACCACCCTCCCGGGATGGAGATGAATCAGGGGTAGGCGTCGAAGCAGCCGCCTCGTCGACCGCTTGGACAGGCGGACGAGGTGTCGGTGCTGCCACCTCCCCGCGAGCAGCCTCCAATGTCGAACTTGAAGCAGTAGTAGTAGTAGCACCTTTCGTCGTAGTCGGTCCACCGTCCTCATGGCCCTCGTACACAGTCGAAGAGACCCCACCGTCCCTCCTTATCAATTTACCAATCTGGCTTAGGAGGGGCCCAAGGATATCGCCCAGCGGGTCGTTACTAGGCGGTGTCGGCCGGGGAGGTGGAGGAGGCGGAGTGGGTTTTGGACTTCCTCCACCCGTACTCGTCTTCTCCTTCCCTTCCCCTCCTCCCTCACTCCCACCTTTACCCCCTCCTCCCCCTCCTCCTGCACCTCCTCCCCCAGAAGGCCACAAAACATCCCTATAAAATACATCCCCCCTCTCCACCACCCTCCTCCCATTCACATCAAGCACAAACCACCCGTCCCCCCTCCCAGGCGTATTAAGCACAACCGTCTGCTCCACCGTCGTCCACTGACCCGGTACCCACCGGAACGACCCGCGCCCGACGGAGAACCCATACGCGGCGTCGCAGACGCTTTGGGGGTCGGAGCAGAGGGAGGGTGGTTGTTTCGTTTTGGATGCATACTGTCGGCACGGGCAGTGGTAGTTAGGAAGATGTAAGGAATTCGAAGTGGTGGGGAGGATGTTAAGTAGAATGTCAAAGTAACCGTAGTAGAAATGGCGCACCAGATACAACTCCCCCACCCCTCCCTGCCTCCACATCAACCGCGTACTAAAACAATCAAGCGCAGCATTCCCTCCCGAACAACCCGTATGACCGCCGTACAACCCAGGCAACTTCCCAGCTAGGACCCAGTCAAAGTTCAAAGGAAAGTACACGCTGTAGCGGAGTGTTACGTTGGGATTTCTGTTCGAGCTCGAGCTTCCACGACCGGGGGAGTAAGAAGAGGACGAGAGAGGGGAGGAAGAGGAAAAAGCAGCAGAGAGATCAATAGGCGACGCATAAAACTCCGCTCCTCCTTGCGGTTTCTGAGCAGGATTGATCGATCCTTTGGGGTATAGAACTTGGAGGGAGACTTCGTCAGGGTGCCAGTTCGATATCGGGGGTACCTCCCCATTCCCACTACCACCACCCTCTTCTCCATCTCCATCCTCATCCCCATCCTGATCCTCCTCATCACCATCATCACCCCACCCACCATTACCATCCCTTCCAGAGCTCCAGCCCGAATTCTGAGCTTGAGCTCGAACCTTCCCCTTCGCCTGCCCACCCCACGAATACGACCGATCCCAGTCCGACGAGCCGGATGAAGCAGTGGGAAGAGCCCTAGAAGGTATCCCAGTCACAAACTGGACATTCTTCTGCCCACTAGGCGAAGTAACGTTGAACGACGATAAATCTTTCATCATCCGAGGCATGGACCACGTTATCCGACCAGGTAAATCGGGTAATCTTGAAGGTGAAGATGGAGATGGAGATTTCCGTGATGGACGAGGTGTCGGCTGAAGACGAGTGGACGAGGCACTCGGAGAAGGTGAAGGTGAGGGTGCAACGAGCACAGTGGAGATGACGGTGATCGTATCCGTGATATTCCTCGTCTCCGTTGTAGGTGGAATGACGAACGGGACTGTAACCGTCGTAGGCGGGACAAGAAGTGGAACCGTGACCGTCGTAGGCGTAGGTGGAACCAGGAGAGGCACAGTAACAGTCGACGGCGGAAGCTGGGATATCACGACGACAGTGGTTGGAACGACCAAGGTTGATCTAGTCGGTGGTATCGACGACGGAGACGTAGATGAAACTTGGGTGGGAGGCATCAGTAAAACAGGAACCACATCCCCTCCGTCTTCGAGTATTCGAAACGGTCGACCATCTTTTCCCGGGAGATCAATTCGATTCGGACTGAATGGGTGGTCGCGTTCTGCAGGGAATGAACGAGGATCATTAGAGTAGGATCCTGTGTATGGGGACGGCGGAGCAGCTGACGACGCAGGTAAGAGCACAGACAAGATAGACAACCACGAGAGCATGATCAACGTCCTCTGAAAGAAGAACCGAAAGAAAAGCCAGCATTTAGAACTGTCAATGCCTCCAAAGGGGCGTGAGTTACATGACATCAGTGGGTCGAGGATGGCGATGGTTATAAAGAGCTTCGAAGAGGCGTTTGCGAAAACACCTGAGACGAGGCTGAGGGAATGTTTCATCCAGTCAGGAGAATGGCGTTTATATGATGGAGCATTACACAGATACGGTCCTAAAACAATAGCCAGTCAGTGCCGCTGAAGATCAATAGGAGAAAGCTGCTTACAGAAATTACCCTATCCCCTGAGCCACGAGCTATAGCCTCTACAACATAATAAATACGACATTGAGAAAAGAGAAAGCTAAGCAATGCAACAAGTCCGAAAGAAAGCAGAGGAATATCTATGAAGCGAGAAGTAAGCGAAGAAATTAGGTCCTTGATATACGCTGTATATAGATCAGACTATATCGTCCTCTTCAGATGGCATGTCCTTTTTTGAAGCAAATTCAGGTTTCTCTAGATTCAGTACGTGCTGCAGATGTCGTGTCCACTGGTCGAACAAGACCGGCGAGCACCCTACACCCAAGATTCAGTCAACATCCCCACCGAAACACAACGAAAAGAGGACGTACAACTCAGACAATCTTGCGTCGGGTCATAATGGGCATCAGGCCTCTGCAACGCCTGACTCCACACATCCAAATACCTCCACTTGGCATAATACTTCGTAAACGGATACGGCTTCTCCTCCATCTGCTTCCTCTCCTGCTCCAACCTCACAATCGCCCTCCTCCACAAATCATTATGAACCACAAACAAATCCCAATCCCACTTCCTCCTCTTCTGCCTCTCCCCTTCGTCAAGCACCCCCTGCAACAACCTCCCCACCACATTCTTCTCCATCGTTTCTGCGAGCTTGGCCGACTTGTAGGGTGAGGTGCGGGTGTGGCATCTGGGATGGCCAGGTGTGGTGGCGCGGTAGTAGATGGAGAGGTTGGATATGGGTTTGAGGCTTTCGCTGACGGTACGCAGCATTTGGCGGTAGGCTTCGGTGAGGTAGTTTTGTTCCGCGAGGGGGTTGGCGCGGGGTTTGAGGAGGGTGAGGTGTTCACGCGACCACTGGAGGGTGATTTAGTAGGGGCTAGAATGATATGGATAGCGGACGTACGTGGATACCCGTGTTGAGTAGGAGGATCGTGTCAGCTGTAACTGATTCCCGTTCGTCGTCCACCGGAGCAGCTAAATCCTCGACTAGGACAGGCCAGCGGTCAACCCTGGGCAATCTGGGCGACCAACGCTGGTTCCCATTGACCCCACCAAGTCGTTGCACAATGGTCAAGAGATCTGTGTCACTGACCAGCAGACTGTCTTCAATCATCGTCAGAATAGGTCGATTTATTCGTGAATCTGGGACCCCTGCACGCTCGTAGATGCGCTGAGTGCCGGGGTCATTGGGTGCGAGGATGTATTGTGTGACATGCTTGCGCCGGAAGGATTGCTGGTCTGAGGTGAACAGCTCCAGCGCAACGCTTCGTTTTAATAAAACGATCAGAGCTTCGAAGTGGCGCTTCGAGATATCGTCTATTCAACGAATAAGCGAATGTCTTGGCTCTCCAATACCATACAACGCACCTCCGACAGAAACCAATCCTCCGGGACTCTTCAAGAGTCGAACGACGAACGCCTCTGGGTCCCAGTCGGCCAGTGTGCCCTCGTCCGGAACCCACACCCAATTCAACACATCCAGCAGCCGCCTCTCGCTAGCCTTCCTCTCCTCTTCCTTCGTAGCCCCTCGAAGCGAGCTTGGACACCCCTTCCAAGGCTCCACCTCGTCAATCTTCGCCAAAGGGGGGCGCCTTGGCTTCCAAGCGCCCCTGAAACAACTCTCTTCGGTACAAAGCCCGTCACTCGTCACATTAGGGCTATTATTCGTATTTGTTATTCGTATCCCGCGTTCGTCGTCCTGCAGCGTTCCAGCAGCACCGCTCAGCTCATCCTTGTTCTCGAAACCACCGGCATTGTTCCACGTCGTCGTCCCTGTCGATCCCCGTCGAAGATGCGGAACAACCACGAAGAGAATAAAAATTACGAGCGCAGATAACAAGACAAATCGGGTCCTGCGTGTCATTATTGTCGTCGTCGTTCTGGGGTCATCGAAGGTCGTTTCGAAGTCGAGTCGAGGCGAGTTAGAACTACTCTGCCGTTTGCGAACAAAGTCTGAGCCGTAGGCGTTGTTCTGGCCGGCGCCAGGGGATGCTTTATCGCGTGGCCCTGGCCCTAGATGGGTAAATAGACCCAAACGTCATCATATCCCTGACGACACTATCCCCGTTGTACGTCCTGTGGATTCAAAACTAGCTTACGGGCGGTTTTGGCTTTGGACATGGTGGTTCAAGGGAAAGGACGCTGGGCACAGAACGCATGCCAGTCATAAGTGACAGTTCCTTCCGCTGGGCAAGGAAGCACTCCGGATCAGGGAAATCAGCCCCTATCCGGTGTTCCTCTCCGTCAAAACGAGGATGGAGATCCACAGCTAGCATTTAGACTGAACTACTGAGCCTTGTGTAGGACGTAGTCTTTTTTAGCCCAGAATCTAGGAAGAGCTCCAGACTCTATACTTTGTATACCATTTTGGAGCCTGCTATGACGCTCGAGGCAAGGCTTACGCTACCCAACTCTTGGCCCAGGGGCCAGGGTAGACTCGGAATATGACTCCTTTCCTCATCTTTCAACCACCCACTATCATCTCAAAATGTCCCATCTCCAGTACTTTAACTACAAAGGCTTCGGCGAACATCAGCGGGACAACTACTGGTACAGCCAAGCTGTTCGCGTAGGCGACCGCATCGAATGCGCCGGGCAAGGTAAACCCGCCCCTATCCATTCCCCTCTGCCGTCACCATCGTTAACCCTTGAATCGTACAGGTGGTTGGGACCCCTCCAATGGCAAGATCCCCGCCGACCTGACTGAAGAAATCGATCAAGCATTCGCCAATGTCGAGCTGGCTCTCAAGACCGCCGGAGGGAAGGGATGGTCACAAGTGTTCAGGAATACCATCTACCTCGTAGATATCAACGAGGAAGCTATGCAGGCGATCGTCAGAAACTTTAAGAAATGGCTCCCAGATCATCAGCCTATCAACACACTCCTCGGAGTCAAGCAGTTGGGATTGCCCGGGATGAGGGTCGAGATTGAGGTTGTCGCGCACGTCCCAGAGTCGGCGTAGGGAGCAGCTGTCGTCAAAGGAACGTTACTGTAAAGCCCTGTGAATCAGCATCACGCAAGCCAACACCTCTATGAAACGAACGTCCATTGTTACAATGCTATACAAAGGGTAATACACACAACACTACTCAGGCCTCTGTCTCAACAACGGAGTCTGCCAACTAGGATCCAACGAATCCTGAACTAAAAAGTCATACCAGAGGTATCCAATCGGTGCTGTAGCAGCATGCCATAATGAATGGGCGTCAATCGTCCTAAACCACGGCGGGAAGTCAAACAACTCCAACGAGGTCGCGAGTGTGGTAAGAAGGACGAATAGTCCTGCTTTATTGACGAATGAAGGTCGATACCCTTTGGGGGCTCCAGGGAAACGCGACTTGAGGACGGAGAGTGACGACGGAAGGGCGTAGAGTGTCCAGAGGATGTTATGCGATAGACCGATGACGAGATTGAAGATCGTGTTGTAGGTGTAGTCGAATCGCGGTCCCGAGGTGAGGTAGTAAATGTGTCCAGCGTACACGAGGACACATGCACCTCGCAGAATCTTCCAGCCCGGTACTCCAGTCGAACCAGTCAGCTTAACGCGCTCGGGTTGCGGATAGAGATGGAATAGTCGAATGATGGTCCCATATAACGCGTTGAGAATAACAAGCGCCGCCGAGAAGTAGTCCAACTTTTCGGTAATTGGCAAGTCTACAAAACGTGTTCAGCAACCGTATAGAACACCATAGCGCTACGCACCGCGTGTATGGAACACCGACGACCAAAGCCACGCATTCATACTGCACACAGCCCAAAGAATGTAGTATGGCTTCATTGGATGCGAATTGGGTAGCGCCCTCTTGATCTTCCTATACCCAGACAAATGCGCCATGAAATTCAGCACCGAAAACACCACCGACGCCGGCTCCTGCATCCCCGCAAACCGCCAAAACGGCCATTTGCCATAATACTGATGCACCTTCTTGCCACTACTAATGGCATTATCGACCATAGTATGCATGCATCGGTACTGGCAGTCATCAGTACACGTCCAACGCGTCAACCATAGCGAGAAGGGTTTTGTGGCCTCGTATTCTCCCGTTTCGCATCGGTTGAGGTCGCAGATTCGAAGACAGGCCTTGTATTGACGGTTGCTGTCGCCTGCTGAGGCTGACACGAGGTAAAATAGCGCGAAGAGGACGAAAGCGAGTCCCGCTCGGCGAAAGAAAGTCATGGGCGCTGCGATGGCGGTTCTAATGTGTTCGTCATCGAAACAAACATCAACGAGAACTTGGCTGCGACCGCAGCTGGGCGGAAGTTCAATTTAGAGCGGAGTGAATACATGCCGTCGGCTGGAACCCATCGACTTGGGCTCATTCGTGAGTTTCAGAGACCCTAGACTCACTTTTTGACCTTTATATTATTCCAAAAGATGCTGGCAGACTTCCATTTTGTTTCTAAGGCTATGAGGCCTGAAATAATATGAGCCACAAACTTGCCTGCGCCGAATTTCAATCTCCGCCGAAACGGGCGTTTCGGCTCATGGTCACAGCGCTTACAGGTTGAAGTCCACCCACCACCATCCACCCTCCCAAACGCCCATATCACACACAATCCCTTCGTGAGTTAGCCCATTCTCTCCTTAAATCCCGTCACAAAAGTAAGCCTTTCTCTCCCCAGCTCCCCATGAACTGTCTATTCATTTCATCCCCCCGTCTGGTGCGATGGATTTAGTTTCAGTAATAACGCCCACTTCAAGTTCGAATTCTGAGCTTTCTAAAGCTCGTATATAAATACCGTTTAGAGAAGAGAAGATGGTACGACCATCGCAAGCGACAACGTTTACGTTCTCCACACAGCCGTACTTCTTCGATAGAGGTATACACGGGACTGCAGAACCCATCACAGAGCGCATAAACGTAAGTTAAATCCCCATTGTATTTTTGTTCTCCGATACTTATCTCAACCATAAGCCACACTCAAGACCAATAGTATCATATTACTTCCCAAGAGGTGTGGGAGCAAGACACTATGGGGTGAGTCCTTGACTTAGGACCGTCACAAATGACAAGTTAACATGGTGAATTCAGGAACGCCATCCAATGAAACCCCACCGTCTAACACTGACCAACGCTCTCGTGATGGGATACGGGTTGGACAAGCAAATACACAACATCTACGACCCTCGCCCAGCAACCCAAGAAGAACTAGAGAACTACCACGACCACGACTACATCGAGTTTCTCTCTCGGTAGGGCCCATTCATTCCCCACTGTTCACTCTCCCATTCACTCACTAATCACCCGACCTAAATATATTAACAGAGTGACACCACAAAAACAAGACGAAATGCGCTCAATGATCGAAGCCTTCAACTGCGTGGAGGATTGTCCCATCTTTGCAGACCTATACGACTTTTGCAAGATGTACGCAGGCGCCTCGTTGGCTGGCGCGCGGAAACTTTGTGCAGGGACCACCGATATTGCCATCAACTGGTCTGGAGGACTGCACCACGCCAAACGAGGGGAAGCTAGCGGGTTCTGTTACGTTAATGATATCGTCCTTGCTATCCTGGAAATGCTACGGTGCGTCTATTCTCTATTCTGTTCATTGAACGAAACATTAAATTGCCGAGTAGGTATTTCCCCCGTGTCCTCTACATCGACATCGACATCCACCACGGAGACGGCGTCGAGATGGCCTTCTACCACTCCAACCGCGTCATGACCGTCTCCTTCCACAAATACACAGGCGACTTCTTCCCCGGGACAGGAAAACTAGACGACAACGGCACAGGTCTCGGCAAGAACTTTTGTCTCAACGTCCCCCTTCTCGACGGAATCGACGACGACATGTACTTGACGATCTTCAAGGCCGTCATTGGGGATACTGTGAATGCTTTCAGACCGTCCGCTATCGTCCTTCAATGTGGTGCGGATTCCTTGGGTTGCGATCGACTGGGAGCCTTCAACCTCTCGATTGCTGGTCACGGCGAGTGTGTAGACTTTGTCCGTCGATTCGGTGTTCCCTTGCTCGTCCTAGGCGGTGGAGGCTACACGATCAAGAACGTCAGCCGCTGCTGGGCATACGAAACCTCCGTCCTGGTCGGCGTCAAAGTGCCCAACGAACTTCCCGCGACTGTATACGACTCGTTCTTCGAAGATTCCGAATGGAAGTTGCACCCTCCGCTGACTGGTAAAGTCGACAACCAAAACTCGCCAGCGTCCTTACAGCGGATACAGATTGCCATCAAGACAAAGTTGCGGTATCTGCAGGGAGCGCCGAGTGTGCAGATGCAAGAGATTCCACCGGATTTGCAGGGGTTGATGGCGAGTGAGAATAGGACGGCGGAGGAGAAGGATGAAGAGAGAGGGACAGGGCAGGCTGGGGAGAGGCGGAATCCAGGGAGGAGTGCGACAAGGAACGAGTACTATGATGGGGATGGGGACAACGATCAAGACGATGTGGGGTCGAGTATCAGCGCGAGAGCGAGAGGGAAAGGAGCCCGTGGAAGGGGTCGCGGCAGGGGAAGAGGGAAGGGTAAAACTGTTACGTCGGCTGCAACTGTTAATACCGACGATGATGAGACTTCGACCGATGATAGTACGCCTGCGCCACCTACGCGGAGAGGAAGAGGCCGTGGACGGGGGAGAGGTGCGAGAGGCGGGCGGGCTCGTGGAAGAGGAGGGGCACCCGCGAGCACGGCAGCCTCGGACAAGGGCAAGGAGGCAAGTGCAGAGGCAGAAGGGGGAGATGGCGCCTCCATGGAAGTGGACGAGTAATCTCCAATTTAACCACTTCTTCGTGATGACCATAGAGTAGTATACCATTCTGACACCTTGTTGTATCATATTAAACCAGCGCCTGCATTCACTCCGTTTTGACCTTGCGTAATTCCTCGTTCGCCCTAAACTCGCTCAGGGACTGCTTGATCGCTTGCTCGAGCTGCCACCTGTAGATCTCCTCTTCCTGCTCCTCCGTCAGCTCCGCCCACCGTTCTGATTCCCCTTGCACCCCCCTTCCAACTTCAGCCCCATTCACACTTTCATACGAAGGCGGTAACGGAGGCAACGGCCCATCCATCCTCTTCTTCCTCTGCATCTCCTTAAACAACTCCTTTTCCGCCTCCTCCCTATACTTCTTCTGGCGTATCGGCGTGAAGTTGATCTCCCTCTTGAACTTGGAGATAATCTCGTTCCTCTCCTCCTCGAGACTATTCCGCACGGCCTCTTTCCCCTGCTCAATCCTGAAATCTCGAATCCCCTCTTGCGCTTTGCGACTTGAGTCTGTTTGGGTGGATTTCCAGGCGTCGTGGCTGGTGTCCGTTGCGGTTACAACGGAGAGTACGGGTGGAGGTGGTTTTCGGAGTTTGTTGGGGGATGTCACGAGGGGGGTGGATGCTGAGAGACTGCGAGTGTGCTCTGGAGCCTGTATTGAAAAGAAGGGGTCAAATCAGGAGGATTTACAATGAACGGAACTCGGAGACGCGCACCTGCTTTTTGGGTGCCTGTGGTGGTGATAGTACTCTTGCAGCGTCGACAGACGAGCTTCTACTGTGGCCAGGACTAGAAGGATTCGATCTTGAACTTGGAAGTTTCAGAGTGTCAGGGATGTTGGGCAATCTCTCTTGAACTGTCGATATTGACTTCATGATTGCTACAGGGCAAAGAAAAGTTAGCTTCAACTTTAATCTACGAGTCGGATGGCATCTCACTAGTCGGAATAGTCGATGTCGTATTGACGAACTTCTGAATTGGAGAACTGTATAGAGAACGTCTGTGAGCTGGGCGCGCCGTGGAGAGGGGAGGAGAGGGACGTACGTTAACATCTCGGAAAGAGTATTCGACCCATTATGCGTGATTGTCCAAAACTTTGCATTTGCGCCATTGGGGACCGGATCAGACACCTGTTTCTTCAAACTGTACGACTTGGTTTCTGGAAGACAGTTCCGTTAGTCCTCAGTCTGACGCGACGGGTGTTCTCTTACGATGCAATTGCAGCGAATCCATGAGCAGTAATCCTGCATCTGCGAGAACTTGAGCAGCAAAGGCGCTCAGCTTCATGCACTGCGACCACGTTCAGTATATCGCCAATGCGAAATTGTGAACGTTGACTTACGTATTGACTGGACCACCAAACAGCGATCCTCGACGGGTCAAGATCGCATGACATATCGTTCAAAGGCAGGTGCTTGTAAAAGCTCGCCACCCCACTTCGCACGCCGTCCTATAAAATGAATTAGGCCAAAGCCATTCCGAGAGAAAATAGGACGGCTAACCTCAAGAGCAATCCGATCGGCCAAATTTTGTGCACTAGCCTTGGCCGAAGCACTAAGCGCAAAGACGATCGCATCTCTCAGTTTCTTCACCGTCAATTCAGCTTTAGGAATTGGCCTTGGACCCGCTCCCGCTCGATAAACCATATCGCCTGTCAGGGTCAACAATAAGATCATATTTGCTTTAAAAGAAGCAGGGTACAGACCCCAGAACGCTTGATCGCCAAAGAAGGGGACGATTACAGTTGGTCGACCTTTTGCGATGCCAATCGCGGTAGTTCCTGCCCCTCCGTGGTGGACGACAGCTGCCACCCGGTCGTTACTGAACAGCCAGTCGTGGGGTATATTTCCGAGCATGAACACATGCGGTGGAACGTCTTCGCTTCCCAGGCCTCCCTACCGTGACGAAAGTATGAGTTACGAAGAATTGAACGTGGAGAAATCTATCTCACCCAGCCGGAAGACAGTAAGACCCTGACGTGAGCCTGAGCGGTCGCCTCGAAAATGATTTCTGGGATGTGGGTGAGACAAGAGACATCTACGTATCAAAGGGGAACCTACTCGAGAGTGCGATAGGATCATCTACCACCACCGAGCCGAATCTGGTTGATTAAAGGGTCAGCAGTATACGCCAGTAAAGGTGCATCGCCTTACCCAACGTAGATCGGGGGAGGTCCTCTACTCAGAAAGTCGGCCAGTTCGGGTGATGGCTCGTACTCCGTGGCGAGGTCAAGGAAGTAGAAGCCAACGACATCTATACAATGGCGTTCAGCCATAGTCGACTGATCGGGTAACCAAGTCCACTCACCGACATTGTTCCTCCAATCCTTCGGTTTAGGAACAAGTGCGGGACTCATACAGTAGGTCCACGGGACCTTCAATCGGTCAATCAGATCAGGTCCCGTTCTCAGAGTCAGGGGTGCCAACCCCAACGTCCTTGTTCTCAGTGTGTTGATAAGGTCCCCGATGCTGCGGAACGTTAACCCACAGCGCTCACTTTGGGCGAAACAACACGCACCCTTGCCAAGTGAGGAGATCAGCCACAGCATAACTGAGGTAGTTGCTCAATCCGAAGCTGGCATTGGTTTGTGTGATGTTGACCAGGGGGTGAGGGAAGGCTGAAGTGGGCGTCCTGTGGGACTACCGGTCAAACTCGGGAATGGAGTCAAGTAGAATGGTTCTTCTGACCATGGCATAGCTATCGTAGTACCTGCGTCAGTACTGCACGATAGAGTAGGGTCTGGAGAGTACTTACTAAAACTCATGAGCAGCGGGATTCCCAGCGCTTCAGCGCAATGGATATGAGCGAAAGACGGAGGATTGGCAATGATCGCGTCTGCAATGAATGGGTGGTTCGTGAGAGGTTCTGGTGCGATACACGACGTCCAGCACGCGTGGATCATCTGGTTCTGGTGAGCGGACCTTCTTCAAACTGTTGGACTTGACATACCTCTTTCAGCATCTTGCGTTTCCGTTTGATATCGCCATTTGTCAGAGACGTAAATCCAGGGACTAGTCCTGGGTCTTTTGAACATTAAGCAAAGCAACATCGGCAATCTGAGAAGAGGAAGCTCACTCTTAACCATATAACTCATGAGATCTTGGGGGTCCCCTCCAATATTGAAGAATTCTAGCCCTTGGTCCAGCACGAACTTCTCGAAAGCTTGGTGGGTGGCTATTCTGACCCTATTCCCCTCTGTTCTAAGGGCCTTTCCGAGTGCGACGTAAGGCTGGATATCACCTCGACTTCCGACGAGCATGATGACAATGTTCAAAGGCGGACAGCTCTGGTCAGCTCTCGAGTCTCTACCTGCACTCCAGTCGTCCCCATCTGACGCAGAGTCATACGTTATGTCAGGAAACCTGTCTTTGAAGTTGAACTGGAGATCGATAGTGCCGTCTCGACTGATTCGCGCCCGAGATTCCAAACCGAGGCCGTCGGAGCTGTAGACTGAATAGTTGTCTAGGCGCGAATTTGTTAGCCATGTAACCTACAATAGATATCGTTTAATCCATACCAGGAGTAGGATCCTGACTTTCAGGGACCGTGTCGACCAGGACACTGTCCTTCCTCTTAGGCGCCCTTCTCGACTGTGGTGTCGATGGCAGCACAGGAATAGCGTCGTCGATGTCCAGCATATGGAGTCGTTGTAATGGTAGATCTCCCATTGTACCTTCCATTTTCATTTATGGTGATACAAGCGGGCTGCGGCGGGTCCACGGAATAGCTGCGTACTGCGCTGGGTGATGGTTGTAGTCGTTATTCCTGAAATTCCAACCTGTGAATGTTTCGCCAACGTCATTCTTGGCACAGATATTCTGATCCTTGAAGGCTGTGCCCATCACCGACTACTATCTTGGCGCCGGAATGCCCAGCGGAGGTCGTTGCCATTCCGCTAGCTCGACCCGCCGGGGGTTCGATTCCCCCTTGATGCACTCAATGTTTTTGTCCCTCAGGTCTACTCAATGGCGCATTCAGAAACGACAGAAAAGATACGACTCTACTACTATCGTACAAGTGCCACCTAGAACCTTCCTTCGAGGAAACTTTTCGCGAACTTTGGCCTGCGAATCAGATTCTCTCCAGGTGGCCACATTGCCCTCGGAAATACTTCATCGGTGGAATCCCATGGAGAAAGTTCACCCAAGTTGAACAGCACCTCGTATTTGTGGTAACCTGTGCTACAGGTTGGAGAATTCCAACAACACGCATCGTCGAGCGGAACTTTCAAGGTGAACCGTCGATCGGGGGTTGACCGCAGTTTCACGAATTCCTCGAGCTTACCGGCATCTTCAACGGGATGCAAGACTGCCAGTTTTTCGAGTGTTGGCCAGATCATCCCGTGGGGCGAACTTGCATCGAGTAAACATCCGACTTCTCGCTCGCTTTCGCCCCGCGAATGGTGCTCGGGGGTGAATGTTCCTGAAAACGACCGTACCGCAGGAGAAGCCTCCGATAATACTCGCAGCCACGCGACTTCTTCACCCCAGTTTCGGAGATGAGGCAATGCGTATACCGAGTGGAGTTGGGGGAAGGACATTGGGACTGGTTGCTCCGGATCGAATGGTAGGCAAATGCAGATCCGGTCGAATGTGAGGGATTCCAGTGCTGGTGCCACGAGGTTTACGAGGAACTGCGAGATCAGTACAGAAATTGGTTGGAATCCAAGGGAGCGAGTTCTCCCGAGTCGAAGGTGTTTGAGATGGGGCAACGTGATTGCTGATGTCTGCGCAGCTGGATTCCCTCGAATGCACCCATCATCAATCGAAAAAGAGAGAAGGGGGAGTTTGAGGATCTTCGTGAATACATCCCAAGGGATAGGGGGCTGGAACTGCCTCGGGCCCATGTAGGTGAAGGAGAATTCGATGGAAAGGTGCGTGACAGTGGAAATTGGAGGAAGGAGTTTTGATGCAAAGAATGCACCAAGTCGAAGAGACGTGAGACGCGGACATCCTCCTTCGAGTATGGACGGTGCTGTGTCACTGCATCGCGTCTCTTGCTCGTGTTTAGTCCACCCGGATGGATGACCTCCATGCAGCCCTAGATCCAGGTGCTCCAGAAGTGGTGCTTTGCTGCCCCCGAGCCACTGTTGAATCTTGCTAGCACCCACCGCATTCTCATTGTAGAGAATGGTTATATATTGCCAACGTTCAACGTGCTCCACCGCCAGCCGAAGCAGGTCTCGAGGAACGGACGTCTGATTTCGAAAGTCTATCCACAGCTCCAGAGGATGGGATTTCGACCGTTGAAGGTACAGCTTGAACCTCTTCGCAGTGTCTTCCTTGCCGCGTCCCACATTAGAGAAAAACGCCCACAAACTGCTCAGTCGAAGTGCGATCTTGCGAAACTGAGAGCAGACGTGCGTAATCCTGATTTCGGTCAACGCCTTGGTCAGGTCACCGAGGTTAGGGTCCCAAGTTGGCTCATCCCTTGTCATATCTGCCGCACACTGGAAGACTTCCTCCAGAACTTCATTGGGTAGAGTGAAGATAGGCAGCCCAGCGTTGTGGAGTGAGTCGTATTCTCTCCGCAAGTCAGCCAACACTTTGTTGAGGTCTTTGATGGCACGAGGACCAGCTTCGAGTTGCTTGTGGTTCAGGTCTTCCTGTTTCCGAATGATCTCAGCCATACTTTTTTCCCTGTCTTCAGAGGAGAGTGCCCGTGGATCCATTACTTATACGGAGTGATTGAGTCCTGCAAGCAGAAATGAGCCAGGGAGAACCAGGCAGATCTTTCGATTGAATGGACTCACTGTGCTGACCGAAAACTTAAAGAGCGACCTGATAGATGTATATGGTCGACTTCCAAGCCCTTGTAGGCCCTTGTGCCACGAGTCCTGGCGAGTCGACGGTGGACTGATGTTGTCCCTTGTTTGTTTCGGGCTTCCAGAAGCGCCCGCCATCAGCGGACTCGGTGTGCTGGGCGCTTTTCAGTGACCTGTCCTGCTTCCACGCTCAAAAGGTTCTGGACGCAAGCTTCATAATGTACATTACAGTCGTTTGCATAATTTCGTTCATGCTGGGGAAACAAAAAATCGGCCAAAAGGAGCCGATCAGTGATGCGATTGACCGGTCTGTGCAGCCAAGCCTCATCCAGGATGCAGCAGAGTGAGCAATTTCTTTCACTTCTACTTTCCGTGGGACCTCCTGAGCGAGGTTTTAGGGTCAGTGGTTGAAGGTGATATAAAAACGATGAATTTTTGGCTTTCCGCTACGCTGGGCTTGGAGAAATTGACATCCTCTGGCGCGCTCGAACATGAGCCGAACCTATATGCACATGCCGCCATCACATCAAATTAGTTTTTCTGTTTGAACGACCTGAACGGAATTATGCAAACGACTGTAAAGAAGTGCTTAAACAGGCTTGGACGGCTTCAGGGGGCTGAAAGCCGGTTCATGGGATCATCACTGCTCCCCGGCTAATACGAAAGTTTCAACAGAGCCACTGGATTCGAGATGGCCTCGACCTCACCTGCCTGACTTTTCGATAACATCAGCAAACCTACACGCGTCTGACGCGTCTTGACGGGCTTGATGGCTTGGGCCAAGTCCATCAAGACGCACGCGCGCATTCCAGATCAGTCTCAAGACGCCCAAGACCTCCCCAAGACCTCCCAAGACACCAGCCGTTTTGCCTTCTACTATTGAATTTATAGCCTTGAGAGAGCCTAAAAGATCGACGCAAGTGACCATATATATCCTACAGTATTTACATTTGTAAAATAAATACCAAAACTGAACAGAGTTGAGCGGCACTTTTCTCATGCATCACAGCCAGAGGAAGCCGAGGCCAGACGTGCTTCCCGTCGCACCGAGGAGAACTTTGAGCGTGAGGAGCAGAATTATAATTTATACAATGTTTGAAGTGTTGTACGCAGAATGCATACGGTGGACTTCGCCTTCATTCAAATTAAGCTTCAAGTTAAATCGCGGGCATATTTGCTCGTGTTTGGAGTCAGGGCCACGTGATCTCAGTGTTGGGTTTTCACGCTCCAATCAAATTTGCGATTTCTTTCCTTGCTCTTTCCTTCCTTGCTCTTTCCTTCCTCGCAACTTCCTCCCCACAGGCGTTGAACGTTGAATTCTGCACTGTATCCATCAAACGCCCGAGTTCCATGCTTGTAAGTATCCCCCTGCTTCGCCCGGTTCTCACTGAGTGACCCATCCAACGCTCTAGACGATGCTTCCATTACGGCTTTTTGCGACAACTACTGGGTATTGAGGGGTGGCGGCGGAACAACTCGGGGGCTAACAAGGATAGGGTAGGGGAGTAGTTTTTTGAACTCTGGGGCGAGAACAATGCAATCCAGCCAGCAAGTGCTCGCGGTCACGGCAGCTTCAGCCTCTCGGTGCACGGCAACCGGGCCACCCAATATCTGGCTCTCGTCGCCCAGCTCAACAAACGCCAATGGCGTGACATTATCAAGCGCTCTCGTGAAGCCTATAGTCTGGCTATCAGCCAACCTGTCCCCGCCTCTCAAGACTGCTGGCCACGTCGAAAAACCGTCGAAGGAGGACGAGCGGTTCATGACATTGGAGGTGCGAGAGTCTTCCGACATCGAGCCTGAGGAAGACGATGGCTAGTTCTTGCTTCGCCCGACGCCAATCTCGTAACTTAATACTTGCTAGTTCTGCTTATTGGTCGTACTCTACTCAACCTTCGTAGTTGCTATCATAACCACGTGTTATTTTTTATATGTACGACAGTAAATAAAATCATTTGCATTGTTCTACGTGCATTTAAGCGGGATATCATCGCGTCTTGGGAAGCCTTGGGGATGACTTGGATCAGACTTGGATCGTCTTGAGTGTGTCTTGCCAAAGACTTGCTCAAGACGAAGCCAGCTTGCCCAAGAAAGGGACCTCCTGGCTCAAGTCGCGCGGACTTGCCGTCTGATGGGTCTTAAACGCCTTGGGCAAGACCCATCAGACGCGTGCGGGTTTGCTGATGAAAGGCGTTCTTGGGCGCTTAACCGATGGTTGCGTCAAGACAGTGTTGCAGGCACCTCCGGGGCTGACCATTATGGGCGCGGAGGATCGCCTTTTGGGCGGGAATATGGGAATCATTATAACGTCTCTATCAGTAGCACAATAGTAATATACAGAATATGATGTCTTCGTTAAACATAGTCTTCGTACTTTTTGTTACTTCGGAAAAGCCCAGATGAATTATCAGCTCCATCGGCCACTCATGGCTCAGCACTTCCGCTCCGTTGCTTCTTGGGTACCACATTGAGCGGTCGCACATCCACCTGGAACACCTTCACGTTCCCCACAAACTTGACGGTGCCCAACCCAAGGTCCGGAGTCGGTTCCCCTTGCGGCTCTTTCGGCAGTGGTCGCGTTGGGAGAGTCGCTATCGACGAGGTGTTCAAACTGGTCTGAGGAGCAGTGTCAGTTTTGGGCGACAGCTGAATCTGCTCAATATGCGTCCGGAATATAGGTCGAGGACACCCGCTCGAGAAGGGCATGGGACGCTTTGCGTAGGGCGGCGGGAGAGCAGGGTTTCGCTCGGGGATGGTGATCTTCGCCAACTTGGGCTTGGAGGACTCGGAGGCGACAGGCCTATTCGTGATAGGGGGTGGTTTTGAGAGAAGTGACTTCAACCGCGGTGGGCTGGGGGAGGAAGAGCAGTACTACAATTCTGCTTAGAGGCGCCTCATGGTATGCAGCCGTAACCATGATACTCACTGTCATCGAGAAGTTGGAGCCGTCGCGCTTGTCTGCAGTCCTGACGCTGAATTGGACATGCATGGTGGCTGACTGAGCGGACGAGGGAGAGAACTTTAAAGTCGTATCGAACGGTTAAGACGTGGCGAGATGACAGGCGAGCTCGTTAGAGATATCGACCCTTCGTACGTCAACTCAGGACGGTGATTGGGGATCCGAAAAGCGGTTGTTCAGCACGAAAACGCGGGAGCGAGTGGAAGGAGGCAACGGCGACTCTAATCGCGTCAAGCCAGAGACGAATGGGGAGTGGTTCAACTTGAAGAACCAATCAACGCAGTCGACTTTTAATACAAGGCTATTAACCTTCTTCCTTTTACATAACGTCACGCCTTCCCAAACGACAGCTGGACTGAGACGCCCACGCTCCCCGAACAAAGTTGTCATCAAAACCCCTACAACTTGAAACGCATCGATCCCGATGACCCCTTGGTTCCCCGTATAGCCTTTCCCGCCCTCACAAATGCGTTGTACAACACGTTCGAGCACCGCTACATCTGCTGCGGGTATCGAAATCGTTTCCTTAATTACACGCGCCGTACAGCCGGCTGTTCCGGTAGCGCTGGCGACATCATGATCAAACGAGGTGTAACAAGACTTGCCATTTGTTACTGGTGATAACAACGCGCCACAGTCGCAGTGATTGGAAGAGAGGCACCTTAAGATGGATCACAACTGGTACATGCAGACCACCAGGCTTTCCGTTTGAGGAGTCGGTGCAGTGTACACAGGTCTGGTTGGGGGCCCCTCGATAGGCCTTGAATCGGCGGAGTAAGTTTGCGATTGTTCACAGGATATCGCGTATAGAGAACCTCTATCCTGGCATTCCTTCAGCCAGCCCGAGATCCCTTGGGCACAACGTGTGACACCGTGATAACCATATGGCCATGAAGCATGCACATTCCCTCCCCGCTGCTTCAGTGAGAGGCTAGGGGTGTTAGAGGCAGAGCCGTGGGTAACCCTTCTATCTTTTGTTGTTTCTCGCTTCCCTCTTTTCGACTCGCATCGAGTGACCCGGCTGTGAAATCGCAAAGACCCCTCTGATGAAAAGGCACAAGAAAAACATTCTCATTGACAAGACTGCACAATGCGAGTTTGTACCCTCTCTAAAAATAGACCAATGACGAGGTAGTATCTATAAATAGAGTCCCCTTACATCCAGCGCGTCTCATGCGCATGCATGATCTCATATGTTCTCTAAATTTAAGCCCCCTGCCAACCCGCGAACAGCCTCAGATAGTAACTTCAAGCTTCAAGGCGTTACGCACAACACCGTTTCTTCTACATATCCAATTGTATCAGACGTGATAATCTCTAGCTCCGCCTCAGTCAGTCCTTCTCCCGTCCTGAGAACCGAGGCCTCTGGGGTCCAAGATAGATTTATCAGATTCACTGCGTCCTAATCACTCTCTTTTTCCGCGACAAATCGAACTTGATTTCGAGCACAACATGAACGAGTTTGACTGGTATGTATGCGCTACAGAAGGCTGTATAGTAATGACTATCGTAAGTTACCTGGAAAACCGTAAGCCGTGTATTAACTTGGCGTGCAAAAAGGCTATATGTCTGTAGGATGGATTTGAAAATCGTGTCATAGTTCATGTAACAAAGCCAGGAAAACAAAATCGAGAGGAAAAAGATGCCATAACTATAATACAAATGAGCCGGAACAATGAAAAGAGAAAGTCATACCAAAACGCAAAAGCGTCCTCCTCATCCTCCACCGACCAAATCCTCACATAACAACACACCCCTCAGAACACAACTCCTCACAACACCCCTTATCTCCTTTCCTCCGCCCCTTCGCACCAGCCCTCAACTCACTCTTCACTCTCTCAGAAGGGTACACCCCACTCCTCAAACCACGCTCAACAACCCTCCTCTTCCTCCCCTCCTCTTCCTCTTTCTTAATCACCCCTCCCCTTCTCCTAATCTCAATCGTGACCTCCTTCACCCCAGGTGGGAGCTTGTCTTTCCTCCCATTCGCGTTGGCGCTCCGACGCGAGGAGAGGGTGTTAACCGAAGTCGTAGAGGCGGACGTAACATACGGGGGTTTAGGGAGTCCGAGGGATTCAGTCGTCGAGGACGCAGAGGGCGGTGCTTCGGGGACGTCGTACCACCAGAACAAAGCCTGTCCTTCCACTTTCCACGTCCCTTCACTAACAAAAACTTCAATATCAACCAAAGGCCCGCCATCTTCTCCTTCCGGTTCATCCTCATCCGTGTACGCGTCAACTGCACCTTCCACCACCTCATCCTCCTCCGACGAGTACCCAACATACGGAACAACAGGCTGCGCCCCGAGCGTGATCTCAGACGGACACCTCGCAGCCACAGAGGTATAACGGATTGCGTTGGAGGGAGTCTTGCTGATAATCGGCGCAGCACCAACCATGGGTATAGACAATGCCTGCGGGGTCGGATCCACGGAAGGCGTAGGTGTCACTTCATCCCCTCCTTCTCTCAACGAAAGAGTCGAAACACTATCACTCTGCACGACCACCCCATCCTCCCCCTTCTTGTTACTCGCTCCCTCCACTCTCCTCCTCCTCCGCCTCTTCCCCTCGGCATCCCCATCTAACAACAGCCGTTCGTGCGCAAAGTGAACAATAGGAATATAAATCTCCGTCCCGAGCTTCTTCGTCTCCCCACCCTCGCCTTCCTCCACGACGCCCTTGACATACACCGGCGCGTCGTCCGCAGTCACCACCACAGTGCACTTCCACACCGCCTTGTTGACATCAAACTCGATGTGTTTGGGCGTGCCGACGGTCTTGACGGGGAACGGGCGCGAGAAGGCTTTAACCGCTCGCGCACCATCGCAGAGGAAGTCGTAGGGATTCGCGTGCCACCCGAGCGAAGCGAGGAGAGCGGGTGAAGGGGTAGGCGAGGTAGTGTCGTTGTCGTCGTTAGTGCGTTTGATATTGACGATATCCTTTGACCGCGATTCCGGACTGGAGGTTTCGCCAGCGAGCGTGCTGGCAGTCGCGACTGTACCAAAGGTAGCAACGCTCAGCGACGAAGCAGCAGCTACCATCGCCAACGAAGGTTTCATCTGCTCTGCACCATCCTTCCGCCGTTTCCTATTCTTCCGGTTGACAAGCGAGACCCGCGAGTTGTTGTTACTGCTGACACCCTGATCCAGTTGTACAGCAGGTGCAGTACCAGAACCCAAACTCTCCCTCGAGCTCGATCCCACCGAACTCGTCGAAACAGTCCCAACACTCTTCCTATCCTCCTCATCAACCATCATCGCCTCCTTCTCCACCCGCTCCCTCTCCCACACATCAGCCATACTCCACAAACTCAAATCCTCCAAATTCCACCCATCACCCCACTCATGCGAATGATCGTCCGGACAGAACGTCCACACCGTAAAGTTCAGCCCATTCGGTCCATCACACGCGTTCAAGCTCGCATCGAGAGCCTTGACCTGTCTCGAATAGTCGCCCTTGTACTTTCCTTTATCCGTCCACCCATACGAACGTTTATCGTCCATATCAAAGGGGATGCCGATCTCCCCGATGAGGGTGGGGTAGTCCCCAAGAATGAGAGCGTCGGATTTGAGGATACCGAGTTGGGATTGGATCGAAGCTCGAATAGCTGATTCACCAATTTTGACGGCTTGGATGGGTGAGGAGTACTTGCCTCGTAGCACACCCAAGGCGTCCGCGTTGAACCAGTTCCAGTGCCGCGTGATGAGCGTCAGCCCATCATAATAGTGCGGCGAATAGCACGCCCGTCCGCGGAGGTCGTCAGTGGCTATCTGGGGCGGTTTAGCAAACACCGGTGGTTGGACGAACCAGATCGCCTCGGGGTGGGATTTGCGCAGGCGTGAAGAGTAAGCGAGGAAGTGGGGCTTCCAGAAGTCGGAGATGAAAGAGACTTCTTCTTGGGTTTCCGGGTGGAATTTGAAGTAGTCGGGCCGGAGGACGTAGCCGGTTTGGATGTCCCAGACGTTGTGCAATGCCCATATGCAGGTGCCTAGGGGCCATGATTCAGCGCGCTTGAACCCCCAACGGGCGTCAGGGGAATCTTCGGCCCATAGTTTGTGCCCTTTGGGATCGATGGTGACAGAGCCGTTGCGCGAGGGCCCAAACGCGCCAAAGGACCAGTTCTCGACTGTTTGAGGCTGGCCCATGCCGAGTCGAAGGGACTGGGCGGGAGTGGGATAGGTGCCCTTTTTGAGTGTGGAGCCCTGGGCTGTAGGGTTTGCGTTCAGGTTTTCCCATCCACAGAGACCCTCAAAGGGCTCATTGAGGGAATCCCAGCCGATGATGCAGTTGTCGTACAGACTGGGGTCTATCTCGCGTATACGATCCGCCAGTCTTCCGAATGCCTCGATATAGTGATTTTGGAGATAATCTTGAATATTAAGGTCGTCGATGACACAGAGAGGCGCGAATGTTCGTCCAGCGAAGAAGAGGGTGAATAGGGTTTGTGACAATAGTCTGCCGTAGTTTGTGCTCCAGATCATGGCTGGGAGCGAGGCTGGGTCGGGAGCATGGGCGAGGGGGTATTCGCAATGAACGATGGCGGATTGAGTAGCGGTGATGTTGTTGGGATTGATTCCGCAGGCAGCCAGTGTCCAGAATGGAGCGCCAGAGCCGCCAGAGAAGCGGGACCAAGTGTCTTGGTGCGGGTCCATGAAGACTCTGAACCCATAGTCCCTGCACTTTTGCAGGACTCGGATTGTGTAGTCGATGAATTCATCGTCGTATTTCCCTCTATAGATCATTTAGAGGTTGGTTACGAAAATAATAAAAGCGACTTACGGCCCCTCGTGTTCCAAAGCCTCCCAGGTAATCGGAAATCGCAACATATTAAACCCCCATCCTCTCAGTCTTGCCAGGTGCACGTCCGCCGATCCATCGTCTAAATTCAAAGGTCTCCTGATGAAACTCTCGCCGCCAGCCTCTGCACTGTCCCAGAAATCATCGAGCTGGTGGGACAGGTGGCCAACAGGTGCCTTGGATGCGCCACTGAGGTTGACGCCTCTCAGTAAAAGGGTTCGTCCCGAGGTGTCGACAAAGTTGTAGTTGAATGTGTGGATGTAGGACGGTGGGACTGGCTGGCCAGTCGCCGGCGACGTCGAGGGAACGCGGGGCATCGAGGTCGAGGATGAGAGGAGCGTCGTCCCAGTGCGGGGTGACCTCATCAATAAACAGAATCGAACCACATTTCGATTTTGATATCTCCGTTTGGAATGCCTCCGAGCCATCGCCGCCGGCTTTTTGTTTTCTTGGCGTTGCACTCATTCACAGGCTACCCCGACAAGCTACACAAAATACAGACTTGATTCTACATGAGCTTCCTCTCTTTTGACAAAAAAAAAATCACAATATGTCCGAGTCTGAATCATCACTATCACTATCACTAATTATCCGCCGCGCCCTGGACGCGAAAATACTTCCTCACAATGAATTTTTCTACCGCAAATGAATTACTGTCACATCGATACCACGATCTGGGGTAGCACATCGCGTCCGGAGGACGGGGCCAGGGTTTCAATGTGCCCGGATACCCAAGCGAGTCTTCGACATTGTCCCATTCAACAAGCTCATGACACATATCTTGGAGGGTATTGAGCTCTTCCCCATGACGGTGTCTCCAATCCTTAAGGGTTCCCGGGGGCACTTTCAACGTGATCCGTGACCTTCCTTCGAATGTGCGTGGGCGGAGGAATTGGATGTACTGGTTTACAGAAGGAGAAGTGGTGAACTCGACGAGGCGCTCGAGTTGTGGCCAGAGTCGGGTGGAATGGCTTGCCTCTGCGAGATGGTTGAGATAGTGAACAAGGGACCTGTCAGTCTCATTGCTGAAGCTGATGATCGTCTTGACCTTGGGAGATGCCATTGCAAATGGAACGATCCATCCACCAGAGACATTGTTGCAGCCCGCCATCCGAAAGGTGTGGAGGTTTGGGAACGACATCCTCAAGGGTACCGGTCCACACACCACCGTGGTCGGCAATATGAAGCGGCAAAGGAAGAGTGTTTCGAGAAGAGGTGCTTCAAGATTGCATATGAATGCTGGGAACGCGCTGTTGGAAGCTTCGTGGGGCGTTTGGCCTAGGTAATCAAATCCCCAACGCAGGTGCTGAAGATGCTTCATGTCGATGGGCTTTGAAGGCCACTCGCCAGGTCGCTCAATGCAAGAATCGCCAATCGACAGCGCCGTGAGTGCTGCTGGGATCTGGATTAACTCTGTGAACAGTTTCCAAGATATGGGTGGGCCTTGGCTAAATTCTTCGGTTTCGAGGGAGAGGATCGTGACCTGAGTGAGAGGGGGTATGAACAGGATGGCCGCGTCAATGCTGAGCCTTATCCAGGTGAGATTTGGACACCCGAGTTGGAGCGTGTTGGCCTCCGTGGAGCTGAGGCGTAGATCCCCTGGAAAGTCATGCCGAGGGGTGAGGGCCAGGTCAAGAAACCGCAGGTAGGGCGTTTTCTGATTCCGCATCTTCGTCTGCATACTGATTAGCTCCAGCGTCGGTGCCATGTTGCTAATGCGGACGTATTCCCAGCGGGCGACGTTGTCAACTGCCAATTCGATCAGTTGCCGAACTGGATCCTTTAGCTCTGGCATGTTGTCCCCGATCAAAAATACCAGCATTATACGCAGAGGGCGTTCGCGCGAACGTTCTAAATATGTCTTGAAACGTTCGACCTGGCCTTTAGTCGCACCGCTTTGGCCAGCTGCTGCGAAATATGCCCAAATCTTTGAGTATTTGATAGCGATGTCGCGCCATTGGCAGCAAACATGGGTGATCACCACCTCCGTGAAGACCAACTTCCTTCTCTTCCAGCTGATGTCGTTGCCTTCATCGCGGTTAGATGAAACAGCCAGAAGGAATATGGATGCCAAAATCTCGTCAAAGAGCTTGGATATGGGCGGCATTTTGGCACTGTTCCTAAGTCCTACAGTTAGTTCCCAGTTGAAGGTATCCCTGAACACGCTATGGTGTCTGACCTTCTGTCTGTGGGACGCCAATCCATGGGCAAGATGCTGGCCAGTATACGATATATAGAAGCTGAGATATGGATCTGGTCCCTCGCCTCCAGTAGCAGCTGAAGGTAGACGTTGAGATGACTCGAGTCGTGGCCCGGGAAGGTCGAGATATCATCGAATATCATCATAGGCGCCCACCGAAGCACAGCAAATGACAAACAAACACCAACGACGAACGCGACCAGACGCGACGACTCGCCGAGAAAAAGTTCTTTGCTTATCGTCATCACTCTGAAACTCAAGTACTAGTAGTATTGGAAGTGGGATGATATAAGGTGCACTATGAATCGTGTAATAACGACGATGTGTAACGGAACTATGAGCTGTAAGTAGGTTAGACAAGGCCAAATGTAAAGTAAAGGTTTATCAGGAATGTATTTTAAAGCAGCGGTTCATGAATAAGGAATCTCGTATCTCGCGCACGCAGCGAAGGCCGAATAAACACTTCGTCATCCTCAATCTCCCAAGGACCCAACACCGGAAAGTCGCGCCCAGCAACCCAGTAATCAATACGACATATACCCTTGAGCTCTTCGTGAATGTCCGTCGTGCTCGTGCGATTCCACTCGTCCAGCCTGTCTTTCGGTATCTTCAAGCAGAAGTTCCCTCCATGTTCAGCCCTCTTTTGGGCCAGCAGGAACGAAACGTAGTTGGCTACCGGCGTGTCGATACCGATGTCGATGAGAGACTCGAGATGGGACCACAACGGTTGTCGACCATGGTTCTTCTCCGCCAAGTGCTCCATGACAGGTTCAGCACCATGCCCATACACAATAAGTGTTTTGAGGTTTGGCGTACCCCGCGCCACGAACGGGAGCCAATCGCCATCTTGAGGGAAGTCGCGATTGTTCAGAATGGCGAATGTATGGACCTTGGGACACCAGAACATCGATTGTCCCGCAAAAAGATTGACAACGGTGTTGGGACTGATAGGTTCGATGCCGAGGAAGGTGAGAGTCTCCAGCGACGGCGCACGGAGCGCTGCGAGGAAGCAGGTCAGGGCAATGGTGAGCCCCGGTGTGGAATAGCCTCTGACTGGGTTACCCCATCGCAGATGCTTGAGGTGCTCCATTTCGATGCCCTCAACTGGTAAAATGGGGGGTGCATCCGCAATTTTGATGAAGTTGTCAATGACAGTAAGCGATTGGAGGGGGAGGGTCGTGATCAGGTCCCTGAACATTTCAAATGTGACGTTGGATGTACGTTCACTGTTGAAGGTGCCGTCGAGATAGAGGGAGGTGACGTTTTCCATGTGAGGGACGCAGCCGATGATGGGGCCACCGAGCTTGAGGTGGGTGAGGGAGTCGCAATTGCGGGGGAAGATTGTGCCTTCCACACCTTCCATGGCCCCATCCACAGCTGGCATCGTGTTGTAAAACTGGCTTTTGTTCGCAGGATAGAATACGAGGTCGAGATACTTTAGGTCAGGCGCTGATTCTTCTATAAGTCGGTCAAGGATAGTCCCTTGGGCGGCTTCAGAGATGAAGGCATGGATGCTGACACAGCCCCAATACTGTCCGTAGCTGATAGCAACGTCCAGCAGAGGATCGAGGGGGCTTGGTCTTTGAGGATACGAGGGCTCCTTCCAGTCGATGTCGATCCATAGCTCGAGAGGAAGGTCACCGGAGCGGTTTGCATAGACGCTCAGTCGTTCAGCGTGATCTTCGGTTCTTGGGCGACCTATGTTCGAGAAAAAAGCCCATAGGTGTTCCTCACCCAGGACTACATCGCGCCAGCGAGAGCAGACGTGGCTGATCCTGACCTCTGTCAATGGAACTCTGGGCTGCTTTCCGGTCGTCGACGAGAAGACCCTCGGGAAGGCGTCAGGGGCGTTGCGGCTACCTTCGACAGCGTAGATGAAGATGTGCGAAAGTAGCTCGTCAGGGATCTTTCCGGCCGCTGAGATGGCGGTATTGTGTAGTCGACCGTGTTCGCGCTGGATGGTCGACAGTTCTTGGTCGAGAACTTCAGCCTGCTTCAGCAGCGCATCTCGTTGCTTCGCTATTTCTTCCCTCTCCTTCTCCAGATCCGCAAGTCTGCTTGAGGCCGTAGCTTGAGCCTGAGAGCAGAGTATTGCGGCGCTGTACGTGGCGGACATCTTGTACCCTCGAAGATGGCGGCTGCGGAGAAGGCGCGACGCGAACCAAGCGTGTTTCTCAAGGAAACTGGAAAGGTCCCACGAAATGAAGCGATGGACCGCCGCGTTCCGAGTTGGTGGCAGTGCCCAAAATGCTTTCTGTTGCCCGACGCGACGTTCTCCGACGCAGCCCTCCGCTATGTGTTGCCAGATGGACTCAGAGATATCTGAGCACGACGCCAGGGCCCTCAGAGAATCTCGAATTGTCTAAACCGCGTGGACGAATCATCTTCTCTGGAATACAGCCCACCGGAATTCCCCATGTGAGTATCGTGTTGTCCGGAAACGACATTCCAATATGGTTCTGACCTGGAACAGCTAGGAAACTACCTGGGAGCACTGTCAAACTGGGTCCAGCTACAGAAAGAAGCGACTGAGAATGATAAACTTATATTCTCGATCGTAGGCTGGCATGCCTTGACTTTGCCGCAGAAAGCCAAGGAACTGTCGGCGTCCAGATGGGAAATGCTTGCAACTATTCTTGCGGTTGGCATCGACCCGAAGAGGTCTATCGTGTTTCACCAGGACGATGTGAGCCTACGCTGGGATACTCTCTGAGCTCTATAGACTAACTCGACTCTTCAGAACCAATGTCACCAAGAGCTGACCTGGATATTCAACTGCATCACCCCAGTTGGAAAGCTACGGAGAATGACGACCTGGAAGGTGTGTGTAGTTTGTGTACTGGTTCCCTAGATGACGCTAACGCTACCCAAAGGCACGATTGGCGGACTCTAGGAACGCGAACAGCGAAGCAGAGATCGACGAATCGATGTTGAATGCCGGGCTTCTCACCTATCCCGTCCTCCAAGCTGCCGACATTCTGGCCTACCGCGCTACCCATGTCCCTGTTGGAGAAGATCAGACCCAGCACCTCGAACTCTCCAGAGAGATCGCCCAGTCGTTCAATAGGACATTCGTACCGGGGAAGAAGCGCTTCTTCCCGCTTCCGACTCAGTTAATTAGTACGTGAACTCGTTGTGTTTCCCTATGTCTGCTAAACCGCGCCCGTAGCTCCCTCCAAACGCGTCCTTTCTCTGCGGGATCCCAGTTCCAAGATGTCGAAATCATCTCCCGACGTCAACTCAAGAATTTTGCTCACCGACACGCCTGCTCAGATTTCGTCGAAAATCCGGTCGGCTGTTACAGATTCTGTGAAGGGCATCTCTTACGACCCAGAACAACGACCCGGCATTTCCAATCTCTTGACTATCCTCGGTGCATGTCTCAACAAAGACCCCGTTGATGTCGCTGCGACCTACGCCAACAAGACCACCGCCGAGTTCAAAAACGACGTTGTGGATGCTGTTGAGGAACTCTTCAAGGGTCCTCGCTCAGAATATGAGCGCTTGCGACAGGAAAGAGGCTTCCTCGAGCAAGTCGCGAAAGACGGAGCAGAACGTGCCCGGGCTTTATCTCAAGAGACCATGAAGCACGTTCGCTCCATGGTGGGACTCTATTAGAGCTCGGCAGGGACGGGATATTATATTATTACACTAATTTTGCCTTCACAATAGATCGTAATCGTTCCACGGCACTAGTCGCTTCTCACTCTTTCTTCTTCTCGAGACCCAGAGTCTTCCTGATAGCATCTGCAATCTGCTTGTCTTTGAGTTGCTCCAAAGCGGACTCATTGTCTTGGGGTCCTTCCTTGAGGATGTGTTCCTGGAAGAGGTCGATAGCTGGACGCAGTCGGTCAGTACGGGGATCGAAGGAATTGTCGAACACGACTAACCCTTATCCAGCTTGCCTACAGGGAAGGTCCGAACAGTAAGCATTCTGTCCAGGCGTGGGTTAACGCACAAAGGGCTCACCTTCCTTTGCCTCGCCAGCTGCGCCCCCGCCGAGTGCATGGTTGATCTTGTCGGCGAGTGTTTGAGGCTTTGGAGGTTCTTCCTTCTTTCCACTAATCGTTGAGGAGATCTTTGAAAGGAGGTCGGTCTTCTCAGGCTCGGGGGGAGGTGGTGGCGTCTTCCTGCCGCTGATTGCATCACCAATCTTGTCGAAGATGTCCTTCTTCTCCGGGGGTGGGGGCGGAGGAGGGGGTGTCTTCCTACCGCTCAGAGCATCTCCAATCTTCTCAAAGATGTCTTTCTTCTCGGGAGCGGGAGGTGGTGGAGGGGGAGGAGATTCTTTACGTCCCAGAGCCTCACCGATTTTGTCAAAGAGGTTGTCGCTCTTTGCAGGAGCAGGCGGGGGAGGGGGAGGAGCCGGTTCCTCTCCTTTGAGTGCGTCGCTGATCTTGTCGAACAGGCCCTCTTTCTTTGGTTCGGCTGAAAGGAAACCTCGTTAGCCTTTGTAGGAACCACTTTTGCAGCGCGGACAAGCGCTCACCGGGTGCAGACTGGGCCGAAGGCTTCCCAGCCTCCTTATCGTCGTCGGAAATCTTCAAGTTCTTGATAAAGTCCATGTGAGTGTGGTGTGTGTGTCGGGGAAGGGGGGTAAGGACCAGCTGGTGGAGGTTGGCAGTAGAGTTTAGGCCCCTTTTATAGTGCGATTTGAATTGTCGTCATGGACATCCCCGCAATCACACTTGCTCATCTGATCACGGACAATCGATGGGGTTTGTCTCCGTTGTCCCAGCTGGGGTCGCGCCAACTTGAAGGTGGGCCACCGGAATGCTGTGCCTAGCTGTGCCCCCTCGTCCTGGTTGAGAGCGGTGAAGCCTAGGACTCTAACCCCAGAGATTCAAGTGCTTTATCCTCATACTCTTCAGAGAATGATAGAATTTTGAGCCATCGCGTTGCAGCAATGGGTCGGTGACTCTTCGATACCACCCCTATCCCACCGTCAAAACGCGACGCGCTTGTCACAAATCACAGCGTCACGGTCACACCGCCTCGCGGCTTGCACGACGCGTCCGACGAGCTTGTCCCGCGATGACCACGTTGAGCACGATGTCGGTCAGCGTCCATTGCGCCATTTGCCGTGAATACGTCTTTTTGGAAGACATGCTCTTTCCCCATTGTGGTGAGCAGATGCAGCTTACGCCTGACGAAAGGCTGTTCGATCCTAATCACACCCTGTACTAGGACACCCGCTTTGCAGTGTCTGCCTACGTGGGGCTGAGTTCAACTCGAACGGTCTATTTCGGTGCCCAACATGCCGTCAATATATGAAGAAAGGCGAACCCCATCGTATCTATCCTCAGTTCTCCAAGAATGCTGCCCAGAAGGACGCTTCCCACGTCGCCTCACGTTTGAAGAAAATCACCGTCGACACGCCAGCCGTCAGTTTCAAAAAGGGAGCCCAAAAGTTACGCGATGTTGCGGATAAAGTGGTTTTAGACCCTTCGGAAACGGTAAGCGCTTTCCCTTCAAAAACAACTAGTGTTACCCTTCTGATGCATGTGGGTTTCATCTCCGTTCATTTCAATTTCGAGTAGCAAGCTTTGCTGGATGCTGCCCAGAAGATGGACACTGAAATGCATAATATGGCTAAACAAAATGAGGTTCTCAATCAGCGGTTGGAGGATTTGACCGCGCAGCTCGAAGAATCTTCGAAGAAGAAATCTGAATTTGAACAGGCCTATAAGGTCGCTGCCGAAGAGGCTCGACAATATCGCGCTTGTCGGGAAAGAAACGAGGTCCTCGATGCGCATGTCAAGGACTTGCAGGCCTCCTTGGAGTATTTGCAGCAACTTAACCGGGCAATGCAAGCGCGACACGTGGAATTGGAAGAGAAGTGCAGGCAAGCAGACAGGACGGTGAGAGTGACTCACGTATGATTGGCGGGCTTGCAGGCTCACAATGACGTCCGCGTTCGCAATTCTTCCTTCTAGATCGAGGCAGAGAAGAACAGAAATAAAGCCCTGGCCCACTCGAGGAGAAGAGCCCGCAGGCTACATCGGAAAGGTCGGCCAAAAGTCGATGACTCGGACTCTGATGCTTCCCTGATTATCGAAGGTTGAGCCAGGCTTCCGCCGCTTGGTCCTTTTTAAAATAGTCGTATACCTCAGTTATCCCAATACCCCAATAGACCATTGACAGGAGCTTGTTTGATATTGCTCTTTTGAATCTCTCCAGCTGAAGCGCCTATCCATGGGACTTGGTTGGGTCCAAGTCGCAAAAATAGACTTCGATGGAAACGAACAGGCATCTTCCATGACTGCAATTTGACTGAAATGCCGACCGAAAGTTCGTTAGAAGGGTTTAAATTTTGCCTCCATCGTACGGCAACAAAAAATTTAGACTTCGAAATTGGGTTAAGTATTGCCATCCTCGCCCATCTGTCACCCTCCTGAGCTGTGACTGTATTCCTTGGAACCGAATAACAAGCTAAACATTCTATATCTGTACACCGATCTGCTTGATTTGGTCTAGCCGATGCTTCTTCGGTATCTTCAAACGTTCTCCCTGCTCCACAGTACGGAATGACAGTGGGCGCGTAGGGTCTCCATCACGAAACTCTGGAACTACGCGTCGAATTGGCGTCCAACACGAGTCCCGTGCGGCTCCAACCCTGAGATTGCGTGGTGGCCAGAGACCTATAAAGACCTTCCGAAAATTGCTGTCGACTCCCCAGAACCAGTTCACTCCTTCAGTGTTTCAAGCCTCCTCCAGCGTTTCTCTCGCCACCCGCACTCTACCTCACACAATGTTCGCTCGTCTCTCTACTGCTCTCCTCGCCTTCACCCTCGCCACCGCTGTCGTCGCCGCTCCCGGTGGCCGCCCTAGCGAGGTCGAGTACGAACAGTGCAACGGTGGCGAGATCCAGTGCTGCAACAGCTACCAGAAGGCCGACTCCCTCGACTATAACACCTCCAAGCTCCTCGGCCTGTTGAACATTGACGTTAAGCAGATCACTGCGGGTGTTGGTCTCACTTGCACAGGCATCAATGCTGTCGGTATTGGCGGCGGCTCCTCCTGGTACGTGACTGAATCGGGCGTATCCAACAAGATGTACTGAATCTGCGCCTCTAGCACCCAGCAGAAGGTTTGCTGCACCAACAACAAGTTCAACGGCGTCGTTGCCCTTGGCTGCAGCCCCATCAACGTCTCCCTCTAAGGAGGAGCTTTCACATTATCTCCGTGACCTTTCACGGTAGGCATTCCCTCCTGAGAAACTTCGACTTGTGGCTCATCCAATTCTCGACAGACACATTCCTTACCCGACGTCGCCCTTTGCTTCGTTCTCTATTGATATAGCCTTCTAGTTACCACTTATCTCCTAAATAATACACCTTTTCCTCATCAGCAATGACCGCATACCTCTGCACATCGAGTCTATGTTCAGTGCGATGTCCAGTCCGACTTCGTGGCAGAACTTTGACAGGGGCTAGTTGCTTGATTTAGAAGTGAATCGCCCATAAAGGGAAGATCTGCGCGGCTCTAATTGGCCCATTCTCGCGTTGACTTTTGCTCTGGTAATTTGAACGCATGCCAGCTCTTTCCACAGGGATACACCGTCTACACATAGAATATCTCTGTATTAATGAAAAAAGCGCTCAATGCTCCTACTGAAGTCAGCCGTTGTTCCATCATTGAAGGCCGTGGGAACCTACGCCGCTCGATAAGTGCCACCCGCGGCAATCGGTTTGCTTCTTGACCCACAACCCTCATGTCGAACACGAGGCTGTCGTACATCCCTAGTGTAATGCACGCCCTTACTGATACTCCAGCCACGGTGTTCCAAGGCAACCAGAAACTGGATTTAGCCCTCGGAGCTCCACCATCGCGCGCGAGAGAACCGAAGGAAGCGCCCAAGGCGGCCAGAGGAAAAAACCGCAGCAGCCGAGCGTACGAACTTTTTCTTTGGATGCCAGCCGAGGTGCTGCTCGAGGTACTATCCTTCGCTGCCCTGATGTATTAGAACTCACTGTTGGTGGGTAGATTCTGGGTAAAGTGGACCCTGCGGATCTTTTGCAACTCGCCCGCACATCTTGGGGTCTGCGAGGCATTTTGATGAGCAAACGCTCCTCTCCGATCTGGAAGACGTCTCTGGCGAGCGTAGAAGGGCTCCCTCCCTGTCCAGAGGACCTTGACCTGCCCCAATGGGTCGAACTAGTCTTCGGTAAATCCTGCCATGTAAGTGTTAATCGCACCTACAGTCCACGCGTTCATTGGCTGACAGTGATCGTCCCGGCCGATCTTAGTTTTGTCACCGCAATGTTCGCGCCAAGACTGTTTGGGAACTGCGCTTCAGAGGATGCACAAACTGTCTAAAGGAAAGGTAGGCATCATTGTTCCCTGTGATAGCTTGAACATTGTCTTGATTCCCCACTGTTTCCAGGTTCACGGTGTCGACGATGGAGAAAGGCGTCGCTTTGGGGTATATGGCAGGAGCCCCTTCACTCACATTCGGTAGCAAATGTGTGCCATATCTCTTGCCTGACGTTTTCTGACTGCTCGAAAGACCGTCGGTCTCGCGACGGGTGGTATCATGGGGATACCTACGAGAAGTGGAAAGCCGAGTACAACGCAATCCCAGATCATTCGGAACTTCAAAAGACCGCATGGGTAGCAGGGAAAGCTTCTTGGATGCATCGCCGCAACTTGGTACATTCTGTTTTCCCCTTGGTCCAGAGCGCTAGCTTACCACCCATCATTCGAGTAGCATGCTGTCCAATGCATCAACTGGGTTGAAGCAAGGGAGTCTGCCCGCCGAAATGTCCTCGAAGCAGTTAAACGCGAAAGGATGGACGAGTGAGTATCGAGACTTGGCCGTAATCATGTTAACTGCTGACATGGGGCAGCATTCTGAGTCGATTGAACGGAAAGGGATTTTCCAAAGAGATTGATGCCCTTCGCGATAGGGTGGAGTTTTGGACGGACATTCGGCAGTTCTTGAAGGAGGACGTCACTGACCGTAGTAAGTAACAGAAAACTCGGTATTCAGCAACGACCCTGCACTTATTCGAATCACCTCGCAGTGTGGACGGACGTCGGAGCCTCAGTTGTCGCATGCGCCAAGTTGCATCAAAGCGAGATCCTGCGCCAAAGGCGAAAGTCTGTCTTTGAATCCCGCATGAAACTTCTCACCGAGCTCCACCGCAAATGCCACTTAGCTCAGCCTATTAACGATTTCTTCCTTTCATACGGCGACCTGTTCCTGACACCGGAAGTTTCGCAGGTTATTGATCGAGCGGATGTGTATCAGGAACTGACATTGGTTGACTTTGACCATGTCGTTGCTAACATCTCGCTCATTGCAGCTCGATGGGTCTCCGAGACAAAAGGGAAACTATTGAGCGTACTGCAGCAGCAACTCCCGACTGAAGTTCGTAATCGACTTCCGGAGAACTCAACTCTGTCGGAGTCATCGTTGGATCTTGCAATCGCTACGTTTCATTGCGGTCGCTGCCTTCCGGCCACACCTATCCCTGGCCCTAAACCAATGAATCATCTACATGCGCTGGCTCATACCCCGCTGTTTACGCGGAACGGCCAGGACGGTTCTGGACTACCGTTGGACCTGGTTCATTTCCTGGTTGGAGTGCCGATGAACGAAGAGCGACGGTGGATGCCCTGGGGGGCAATGTGCAACTTCCAAGTGGACAGACGGTTGGCCGTCAGAACTGCCAGCTTCGTCGAGAATTTTGGCAGAGACCCGGCCACAACCACCTTTCAAGAGTTGAACGATTTGGACGAAATCTTTGAATGTACGGTCTGTTCGACTTTGAGCAAAGGGAGACTCATGTTGGATTGGCGGTTGGCGGTGCGTATTTGCATGAAGGTGGAAAGTACTTGACTACTTGATCACGAAGGAACAACTTTTCATAGATTCTGCACGAGTGCGATCCTGGTTGGCTCATACGAGTAGACCCCCGGACTGCGAGCATTGTTCGAGCCCGAATGGAGGAGGAAAGAATCGCGGAAAGAGTTAAACTCTTGGACTTGGGCTACAGCTATATTTCCGGGGACCGTCCATCCTTGGTATGTGTCCACTGCAGATATTCAGCGGACACTGGGATCGATATTCGAGAGCACTTGGAGCAAAAGTACGGGATTCATTCTCTTCTGCTTTGCTTTAGTTGATTGCAAACAGGCATGGTATAACGGAGCCTTCCGACAACGACGTTAAAGAGTTTCTGGGAACTCGGAAGCTTGCTCTGCGCAAACCCTATCGATATTGGAAGTTTGGTTCGTCGTCCTTGCTGTAACTCTTTCTAATAAATTGCTTCGGCTCGAAAGCCATGTCCTTGAGCTGCTGGATTGCCTTGGAAGTCTTCAGGGAATTGACGATGTTTCTCCGATTCGGATGGTCGAGAAAAGGCGACGAGTGAGGGCTGCTCGTCTGTGGTTATCCAAGAGCGCAACCGTTGTTCGACAAACGTCAAGTAGCAACGGAGACGCTTGTTCAAGGAAAGAATCCGATTCGAAGGCGAAAGAAGCTTCTTGAGCCGTGGCAACGACGACGTGGAACACTGCCGCGAGCTGCTCAGGTGTTCTTTCGTCCCGCTTGAATTTCGGGATTTCCGATTGTTGCCCTCGCCTCCGACAGACTTAGAGCGAGTCTATTCCGAGAGTCAATATTAATGGACTGACTATTTCCCCAAGCTTCTTTTTCTCCGGATCTCTCTCCTCGAGACGACGACGACCCCCTCGCGCTTCATTCGGTTCACGATGCTCCCCCAAGGACTGTATTGGTTGTTCTTCACTCTGCTCCCTAGTCTCGTTCTGGGACTGCCTTGGGATGCAATTAACGGGAGGTCGGCGATGGGGAGCATGGTCACTGGTGCTGCCCCACTTGAAGGAATCGGTCCATTGAGACAGAACCAAGTGCCCCATAATCGACACCTTGGTATTCGAGGTGGACATGGTACGCCCTTCTTCTACCCCTTTATTTCCCTTTCGCTAATATCCAGCCCCCTTCACTCCGCTAGACGCCCTCGGTAACCTCACGATCCTAGTCCACCAACTCACACCCCCGCACTTTATCATCAACCGCCGCCAACTCTACTACTACATGAACTCAACGACTGTCTTCCCCGTCAACGTTGTGAACACTACGCTGCCCGATCGGCCGCCGCTGCAGTTGATTGTGGGGAAGAAGAGGGAAGGGTTGAAGGGAGGTAGCTGGAGATTTGCGGGGAGTATGCTGTATTATGATTATCCTGGGAATGCGGGCTCGCAGGGAATCTTCTGGAGTTGTCAGATGCCTGGTCAGACAGGCCCTTGGCCTGGCGTATTCCTTTTCGCACCCAAGTGAGTGATAGCTCCTGGTTTCAATGTTCAGAGAAGAGGATGCTGACGAAGTCTTGTGTCTGTTTTTTTCAGGGAGGAGAATTATGTCAATGACTGCAATTCTTTGACTTTCCATAACTTTGGCAACACCGATTAAGATCAGGAGAAAAGGTCTATGATGGATGTATTTTGGGTCCGCGTAGGACATGTAACGACTTTGAGATGATGTTGTATCAGATGAGAACAATCTGAATATACGATGTAAACCATCCGTAGCCTCTGCGTACTGAGTGAGAACGTCGACCACAAGGGATTGAATGGCCCCGGCACGTTCGGCACATGCCAAGAACAGGCGTTATGGTTCTCACGAGTGTTAAGGTGCTTCCTGACCGTCAACCACGATGAGCTCAGAGGACGCCCTCTCCGCCCTGCAGCAAGCAATCCAATCCGGCAGTCCCATCTCGTACTCGTCGTCTTCATCAGCGCAAGACATCACCGCTTCCCTCCCCAATGCGACCCACATAGTCTTTGGAACGACGACGACGTTCCCCAAAACCGCGCCAACTCGGTATCGCAAACCGGGGAGCACGACAGACTCGGATGTGTATTCGCTGGAGGCGTTGTATCTTGCGTGGCTTTACAGGGATGCGCCAGGTGCGGAGTACATGAAGCATGCGAGGGAGAATGGGTTGGGTGTTGGGTTTGTGAGCATCACGGAGAGGAAGAAGGTTGTAGACTGGTTAGAGGGTAGGGGAGGGGATGATGGTCGTATTATACCATTAGGTTCGTCGTCATGGGCTACTCGATGGCTTTGAGTTGTTCACAAGGCGGTTGTTGCGCAGGCTCTGCTACGGGAGGAGGGACGCCGCCTGGTACACCCCCGCGCGGCTCGTTTGCTTCATTAGCGACACCGCAGAAAGCGCGGGCAGCGCCGACTGCTGCAGTCTCGTCGTCTCCTACAAAACGACGTTATGTTCCTGATGCTGCGGATATGGAGGTGGTCAAGAAGATCAAGGAGGGCGAAATTGAGTTGCAAGACCGAACCACGGTCTTGCGGGGGACCAAACCCAACGTGCGTTTATTGTGCTTGTAGGGTTATTGACGTCTAGATTGATCTTTTGAATAGAACTATTCAAGCGTTCGAACTTCAATCATTGAGCGTTTGAAGAAGATGAAGGAGAGCAGTCGTCCAGGCGCACCCGCCCAACCGACGGCACCACTTGCAGGTACGCCGTCACGCTCATTCATAACCCCGTTTTTTGCTCATGTTTTTCTCAATAGACAGCAAATCCCGAAAACGAAACTACCCAATCATCATCATCTCATCTTCACCAACTTCCCTCATCACCATGTACAACGTCAAACGATTCCTGCAGGAATCGATCTTTGAACCCCCGCAAGATGCGAAAGCGCGCGCTGCTGCTGAAGGAAATCCTAAACCGGAGGATATGATTCCTTTATACAGGAAGAAAACGATTATTGAGACGAGCGGGAGGGAGATTGAGACGCATTCGAGGTACTTTGTTGTTGATAGTGTGGAGGCGTTGTCCAAGGTACGTCTGGTCGTTATGAAATGAGGGACTGAGACTGAATGGCTTTGTGCGCAGTTCGGTACGGACGCATGGGACCGAGTCGTCTGTGTTATGACTACGGGCCAGCAATGGCAATTCCGACCCTACAAATGGAGTGAACCTCGTGTTCTCTTCCATCATGGTGCGCATATACCCACCTAACGATACCGTCTAACGCTAACCATCCATTTTCCTTCAGTCAAAGGCATCTACGTCACTTGGTCTAACGATCCCCCGAATCCCAAGATTAAGGATTGGAATGTTACCGAGTTGAAGGTACGTATATGCGCCGTTTTACTGGTTCTAGTGTGCTCAAATTCGTACTTGTGGTTGTAGATTGACCCTCATAGACGGCACGTCGATAAATCGACTGTCGCCAACTTTTGGAAGATTTTGGACTCGTGGATACAAGCCAACAAGCCTTGGTTGATGACCTAGGCGTGTCCTGGGGCATGCATGTTTACTTCCGCGCGCGTTGTCCTGGACAGTTAGCACACTTTTGGAGGGTAAGACAGGGTTAGGGGCGGGCGCTTCTGTACGATATAGACCAGTGCCTGCGGGATTCAGATTAGCGCGGTAGTGATATTTTTTATGTACTGCGGTTGTATGCCGTGCACTACCTAGCACCTGTGGAGGTGGCCGGTCCTGCAGAGGATAGCTTGGAATGCAAATTCAAATTCCTTGAACCCTTCGTGGGAGGGGGCGGGCTGAGGCCGCATCCCACTCGTCGTCAATACCACGACAAATGCTTCAAGACCCTTCTCTGCAACGGACATGTTCTTGACTCGGGAGGTTATAGCGTTGATCAAGGACGTGCTATCGGACCAGGAGATGACTTTGGGCGATTTCCGACCTCCCCTTTCCGCGGATCTCTGATGTTTCGGCGAGGTGGATACAGAAGAAGCAGGCTTTGTGGGGGCTTGTGAAGGACAGGCTCAACGAGATTCTCAATTTGAATCAGGCCCGGTCATTGCAGTCCAGGCATTTTCATGATACCAGTTACTGTCAATCAATGACAAGACGGCAGAGTTTGCTCGAGGGCGCACGGGGGAGGCAGGGTCAGGCTGAGGTCGGCCGAATCCTTGGTCTGGTGCAGGTTCGTGAGCGAGGGGTGTCTTTGATCGAGCCATAAGCGCCCAAGATTACCTAAACGGGAATGCACTCTCTCAAACAAAGGAGGTACGCAAAGAGTAGTTACGAAAGAAGATTTCGCATTGAATGACAATTGGGACTGTGTACAGGGCTCCTCTTCCTTTCCCAGACATATTGCAATGTGCACAGACTGAAAAAGTCACGCAGTCCGAAGGCGCGGGGACACGAATCATTGTCAACCTAGCTGGGTAGGTAGGTACGCTTGGACTGGGATGGGCCAGTTGCCTCCATTTGTGAGTTGAGCTACACATTATCAGTCTCCCGCTTTGATCAAATCCAAGAAGTTAACAATGGACCTTGGTTAACGTCCGTCAAAGGGTTGGGTTCCCTGCCACCCGCCGTGGCTTTAAAGGCATCGCTTTGACCGATGGGAGGACTATAAATACTCTCGCCTGCTTCGTCCAGAGAGTAAACTTTGCAGCTAGAGACGACACACCCCAAGATGATCTGTATGTATCCCTTATGATCTTCGTTCCGAACCAATCACTAACCGATCTCTTTAGCATCATCCAACAAGTACAGACTTTACCTCGCTTTCTACACCCGAGACTACCCCCCTCCCCCCACAGACTGTGTTACGAAGTACGACAAATACGACCTTGGGCTACTCTTTATGCCCAAAGACGCCGATATGGACTCCCCGTTGCCGGTCGCTATCTCGTGGACCGCCTTCATTAACAGGGAAACTCTGGGTTATAACCTTCGGGCAGAGAAAGTCAGAAGTAGGCCGGCAACCCTAGCTGGACTTGTCTACTTGGACAAGGTACCGGAACCGGACAAGGCTAAAGAAATATTCAAGAACTTCCGATGGAACCGCATGGTAGGATGCCACGACTGGGTGATCCAGGCAATCAAGGTCAGTCCTTTTCTACCGATCTTTTCAACTTACCAATGTCGGAATATTAACTTTCGAATACCCAACAGGAATTGGTGGCGACTGGGGTCGTCACAAACGATAATGTCAAAGCTGTCACACCAGAGAAGATTTTGGAAACAGGTTTCTACTTGACTGTGAGCAAACAGATGTGGTTGCTGCCCAGGCATGTCCCCGCCTGTGACGTCAACGGCCATGCTATTAAATCTGCTCTTGAGGGCTTCTGATTTAATTTTAGGGACGCTTTGGCCTTTACCTCATTTTTCTTCCCGTATCGACCCCTGTGTATCATATTTACATTTCCTTCTCTCTGCTTTGAGAAGGACATAATCTGAACGAGCACCGGCATCGTTTAAATCTGCGCTACATTCTTGAGATACCTGTCAAAGGTCTATAGGTGTGAAAGACAATCCCGATATCACCCCAATTCTGAGTGTTTATTCTCCCTCGCGTAATCTCTTCAAGCTATACAATTCGTCGCAATAGTTTTCGTAGCACTGGTGAAATTGAAGTTGCTTCTTGAACAAAGTACCGGGTCACAGCCAGTGATCAGATCATTGATTCGATCAAAATAAACATCAGAGTATACGTACACGGGGTTGCAAGGGGTCCATCCCGTCTTGCGTCTTTCCCTGACCTACGAGCCAGACTGAGACCACAAACTCATCGATATGGATCCACGACAAAGATTAAAACCGGCAGCAACTTTAGCAGAGCTACCGCCGGAGATATGGCTTTCCATCTTGCGAGAAGCTACTGCAGAGGCGGAACCTCTCCGACCACCCCTTCACACCGTCTTCATTCGAAATTGGTCCAGGGGCCGACCCACGAAAACAGCACGAAGGCGAAGGAAGCAAAGCATGGTCAATCTAAAAGTTTCCTTCTCATCTGCATTTCTGACAGGTTACTTACAGACAACGAAGCGGAACGTTGTGCTAGTGTGCAAAGCATGGCATTCGCTGGCCCTCCCCTTCCTCTATGAGCGCCTCTTCTTGACCCGACGCGAACAGATTATATCTGTGCTGCGTAACATAGAGAACGGCGGCACAGACCTGGGCAGCTACACGTCCCGACTGGACATCTATGGGAATTCTGGACTTCTAAAGCCAGCCTCCAACCAATTCCTCCACGATCTGGCATCCCTCCTCAGCCATCTTCCGCGGTTGCTTGTCCTCATTATCCAGGACCTCATTGGCCAGGATGGAGACTCCTTCCTCCTCCACGCTTCTCCGGGCTTGGAGTATATCAGTTGGGCAGGGTCGGAAGCCTCGCCGTCCACGTGGGCCAAGTTCGTCACGGGTCATCCGAACCTGCGCACCGTTGGCGCACCATCGGCGCAGGACCACAGGTTGAAAGTGTTCGTGTGCCCCGAAGTCAACCAGAAGCTCGAACACGTTACAGATCTCGCCACGGTCTGGGGTTTCGATGCGGGGCAATGGTGTGAGAAGTGGGTGAAGCCTGGCACGATACGGTATCTCAATACGGCCTCACCTCGATCATACGACGATGTCCTGTTCTATGGAAACTCAAGACTCGGTATCTCGAATCCAATTGTGACCCACGGAACATCCCTTACGACTCTCCATTACCATATAAGCCATTTCGGCTTCGAGATAGATCAAGAAGCCAGGCACTTGGACCTAGCCCTGAAGCACTGCACAAACCTGCGCCAACTCAACCTCTTCTTCAAGTACCGGTGGTGTTTCGAAATAGCCACGCTGGACCCGAGACCCAACATCACCACGCTTGGAATTATGAGAACTGGGATTACTCGACGACGAACTGCTAAGCAGCTGTTCGCTGTGCTTTTGCAAGTCAAAGACCATTGGTTACCCAACCTTCAGGTCATCCAATTCCTCCATGAAGGAACCATTGTCCAATTACGACATTACTTTGTGCACCATGGTTTAGAAAGAAAGTTTCATGAGCGCGGGATCGCATTACAGTACTACGATGGAGCGGAGTATGTAGATTTCCTTACCGTACTATAGCCTGTTCCATCGCCTCCTAGCCAATTTGATGGAGAACTCAAAGTACACAGGACATCGCAGTAGTTCTGAAGGAGGCTCGGGTAGGTGGACTACGCCGTTCCTGAACGCCTTCCGTACAAGTCACAAAAGGGTTAGCACCGATTGCCCGGTTTTGGTAAGGCGGGGCGTGATTACGTACCAACGCCGCATGAATATTAAGCCTTCTTGGCTCAGTTGGCTAGAGCGCAGGTCTCATACGCAAGTATGAGTGGGTTCAACCCACGAAATCCTGAGGTCGCAAGTTCGAGCCTTGCAGGGGGCATTCCTTTTTGTACATTTTTGCAATGCTTTGCTCGCAATCGCTTTCGACAGCCGCACCTTACTCCCAACACCGGGGAACCTTTTTTTTTTTTCTTTTTTCACCAAGACCAAAAAATTCATCGATTATGATTGTGGCAACATTCCCGCTATAATCAATGATAACAATCCTAACGAGCCAAGGACAAGGTATACTAAATATCCTGAAAGAACCTGAGTCTGCAACGAATAGGTGAAGAGCGTTCCAGCAAACGCCGGTGCGATTACCCTTACGATAGAGACCATTGTTTGCGCCAGTCCATTTGTCGATCCGAGGGATTGCCTGTTCGGGGAAGCGGCAGTGATGAAGATGTAAACACATCCTATGCCAATGGCGTCATCCATGAGTCCCATGACTAGAAGGTAATCGGAAAGGACATACTATAACCACATTCTATGGCCACCACAAAGGCCAGATGCAGAGCGACGAGTACGTACGTGATGGAGGGTAGTCGCTTATCGTCTCCCATTCGACGTGCCACCAGGTTGTTGACGACGTACATCCCGTAGAGAGGAACACTGGCAAGTATCGCAGACAGGAAAACACGCTTGGCGCCAAAGCGGTTCACGAGTCGTCCTAGGAAGAAAGCTTGAAAGAAGCAGTTGAAAGCGCCGTAGAGACTGAGGATTGTGCCTATTGAGGAAGGTGGCATGTCTAGCCCGCCGAGGTTGACGGGAAGAGCGAGGTAGAGCGGGAGGATGGTGTTGGAACATGTGTGTAGGAAAGCTAGGGTCGCGTAATTGACCAACGGTATCAGAACGCTCGAAGTTGTTAAGAGCTTCTGAAGAGGGGCAGGTTTAGTTCTTTCGTCTACGACTTCTGAGCATTCTTGCGCTGGTTCCTCGGAAGCCTGGCTCGGCCTGCTACGGGACGGTAGCGTCTGAAGTCGCAGAGGTGAGTCGATGGGACAAGTCAGTCAAAGTGCACGTACTTCGCGAAGATGTAGCGCAACCAGAGCAAAGCCTGCCACGGAGATCGCACCCATGGTTGCACATGGAAGAAAATAAGGGTAGTGTTTGGCGAAACTCAGCCATGGGCGGGGCCCCGCCAACCACCCGCCCACGAAAGCTCTACCACACAGCTGTCAGATAGCGCCGAGGACAGGTAGAAAAGGTGCGAGACGTACCCGAAGGAAGAGCCCGCGGCCCAGGGCACATGAAGCAGAGCAAATGCATTGGCTCTATTGGACTGGTCGGTGATTTCACCAACCACGCTCTTGATTGTCCCTATAGCCAGGTTCAATCAGACACACGCGCGCCCCGTCTTTACCTGATCCCGCCCACTTACCCGCGTTGCTGCTCAGTGCTGTAAAGATACATCGACTACGGTATTCCCGTCCCGGTGAAAGCGTATCAGAAACCTTCGACCGAGCTCATTTGAAACGTGATGCACACCTCAGGACGAGCGCCAAAAAGGTCTTTGACAGCCCGAAAAAGAACATGGACGCGGCTAGTGACACAGTTCCGAGGAGTAAGATGGGTTTACGCCCGATCTTGTCTGACATTCTGCTCCAGTACAGCACGGTTATGAGTGATATGGAATGTCGTATCGCATCCTGGTCATTCAAGGAGTTCGTCGCGTCAGAACACCGCACTGAGGGTTAGGCGGGGCAGATGGAGCATACCATTAGGCCGGCATAATACCCTACTTCCTCTTCTCCACCTTTTATAACGGATTTCAGGAGCTACCAATTCTTTCAGCCATGTGGGATTTGGAGGCAAGCCAAACGTCCACTATTCACCTCTTCGAGAAAGGGGAAGATGCAGAACGTCGAGGCGCTTTCGCAGAACCGCAGAAAGAATAGAACGGATAGCTGACCAGCTGGTAAGGGTGTCCTAGAGGCGTTTAAGGTCCTAGGTGCGTCGTGTGATTCGGATCCTGAGCCTCCCAGAAGCGGCGTCGTTTCAATGGATTCCTCTGAAGCCTTGTGAGGGGGCATAGTCGTGACCAGAGGGTACCTGTGTTTGGTATAATATCCAATAGAGCGGACCCTGATTTCAGCGAGGCATATTGAACCGGTTTATAGGCCCCTAGCGGTCGAGTATGGTGGGTGGGGCAAAGCCGCAGTGGCGCATCCATGGTCCCATGCTGGCAGTTGGAGATAAGATGCCTCTTATCAGATTAGATAATTGCCCATCTTACGTCGTCATCGAACAGCTACCAGACCGTCCGAGCCAACTCGATTGGAGTCATTCACATCTTACTTGATAACCACCACGGTACCGGTACACCTCTAGGTCACCCACACCTCTCCAGCGGTATTTAGGCTGCTAAACTCACCCTTCGATCTTTAGATCCTATCGTCTTCAACGAGGACGAGACATTCTACGATTTCTGGAGACTTTTGCTGCAGGATCTAACTATGCCGCCCAAGGGAGGAAACTCTAAGAAGGAAGCAGGCCGCGCAAAGAAGGCGGAGAACGAGGCTAAAAAGGCAGAAGCTGCAGCCGCTGAACGAGTGCGTCGCCCGGTCCTTCCAACCGAGTCTAAAACTAATCAAATCACGCTGTAACAGGAACGCAAGGAGGCAGCTGCATGGGAGGACAACGACACCAAGGGTGGCAAAGCAAAGAAACAAGCGCAGGAGGAGAAGCGTAAAGCCGATCTCGCTCGCAAAGCTGAAGCTGCTCGACTTCTGGCGGAGGAAGAGGCTTCGTTGCCGTCCAAAGTTAAGGCTGGACCCAAGGCTGGCAAGAAGAAGGATACGAGGCCTGCTGGTCCTGGAGCTATTGCCGCTGGTGGCGGACTTGGCTCTATCAGTCCAAAGGGCAAGGAGAAGGAAGAGGAGGTTGAGAGCTTCCATGCATCTGGTTTGGATAACGCGTTGGATCTGTTGGAGGTTGTGACTGCGAAGATGGATAAGGCTAGCGTTGGGAGCCAGGCTGCGAACATTGAGCGACATCCCGAGGTATGTGTTGGTTATCATCGTTCGAGAATAACCTGTCGTTAACCATCTTGTCTTCTTCGCTCCACAGCGACGATTCAAGGTTAGAATAATGTTTCTCGTGTTATTGATCAGGGAGACCCTGACACCTATCTCCTCAGGCTGCATTCGAAGCGTACTCTGAACGTGAACTGCCTAAGCTCAAGATCGATGTGAGTGGTCCCGCTCTTGAACGTATTTTCCATCTTCTAACAATCTGGTTATCAGCACCCTGGTCTCCGTCTGCAACAATACAAGGTAACCCTCCGTTTCATGTGGCTGAATGTCCCAATTAACTCCGTTTCTTTTCATAGGAATTGCTATACAAGAACTTCCAGAAATCACCTGAGAATCCGTGCGTATTATTGTTCTCCTCCGATGACGCCCTTTTGACCCCATCCCTTGTTCACCAGGTTCAACCAAACCACTGTTGCATATGATGCAACCAAGGAGGAGAAACTCGAGGCCCTCAACAAACGGAAGGCGGAGATTGAGGAACGACTCCGAGACAAGAAGTGATAGCTGGATACCTTTCCCGGCACTGCCTGCTAGACTGACTGGAGGCGATTCCACTGTATGACCCGGATCATTCTCGACGACGTCGATTTTGAAGGGACATATTTCGAATGGCGGTGAACGCGAAGGGAATGACGTGTCGGGAGGCTTGTGTGAAGTAGGCGAAGCAGGCAAGAATTACAGTACATACTTCCATTCAATAGCATCGCAACCATTTCTATTGGCGTTGAGGCCTAGGAAGGAACAACGGCCCTCGGTGGTCTCCATGACTGTCAAGATTGCTTGTCATCGGAGACAGCTTGGCCGATATTCAGGAGATATTTAGCGTCCAAAGCTGCGATCCTGATTTCAGTCTTTACAGCTTTACAGCTTTCTGTCTCGATACTGATGGGTTGGTAGTGAACCAACGGAAATACGGTCTCAAGGTTGCCGGAAGTTTATTCTAGTTCCAAGTTAGCGCTTATCGTATACACAGCCTGTCTGCTGCGGGCTACGCAAACCTGGGCATAGACCAGAGGCGGTTCCAAAGCGCAGATCCTCAGGAGGAGCGGAGGCACGCAGAGTGGCGTATCGCCCTACAAGCGCCGAACACAGCCATCACGATGGATTAGCTAAGCCAGGCCCAGGGATAAAATAAAAGTTTTCATCTTCTTCTCGACTTTGCTCATCTTCCTTTCCTCGACGCCCATGACCGTGCAGTTGTCGCTGAGACAGTCTCCGCCCAGCACACCGCCTTCAGAGTCGACCAACACAGTCGCTATCACCTCTCTTCCGAGGTCGTTTTTCGATTCCCTGATTTTGGACCTCCTCTACACTCATTTTTCGCATTATGGCGAGATAAACCAATGGGTCCCTCTACCGGGATTTGGTAGAATTATCGTCGTCTACGAGCATGACCAGGCTGCTGAAGCGGCCAAGCTTCACTGCGACACTATCGTGCTGCAGGCTACCTCTGAGCAGTACGTTGGTTGTCCATTTCGTCTAGAAGGTTCGATACTGATGAATGCCTACAGTCCAGAAGTCATTCTGCGGGTTTTCCGCGCAGATCGTAATCCATTAAAGCCCCGCGACCACTGTGGTCACCAACCACAGATGCACTACCTCCAACCCCCAGCAGTCGAGAAGAACTTCCTCATCTCGCCACCCGGATCCCCTCCAGTCGGCTGGGAGCAGATTCGCGAGGATCCGCCGAATGCTACACCGCTCGCTGCAGACCTTATCTCGGCTCTCAATAAGCTTAAACTCCAGGAGGAGGAGCAGGAGAGGAAGGGTCAGTCGATGTTGATCCACCCGTCTGAAGCGGGTGTGGGTGTGTTTGTGGAGGATTGCGATGCCTCTGCTGGCGTGGAGGTGTCGGATGAGGACTGGGTGTATGGCCAGACGATGCCTACGAGGGAGAGGTGGCGCCCTATTCCTACAGCTATGCCGCCCATGGCGTCGATCTCGGCTTGATATCGAGGTGAGCATCATTCTCCCCTTGTCTACATTAACCCTTTCTTCCCTTTATTTGTTTTTCGTGATGATAAAACTTTCAGACCTGTTCTGAAGGCGGCTTCGGTCGATCTTTTGAGGACAACCTATATTGCCTTTTTTATCTGATCTTGTTTTTTTCCACCTTCTCGATTGTATTCGAACGTTGGCTGACCGCTTATTTCTCCTCCAGATCGCCGCCGATTGTACTATATGAATCATCTAATCTTGCTATCTTTATTCATTGTGAGTTTCATTTTCCCCACCCGTCGCGTACATCATGCACTCTTGCAAGATGAGAAACTATACAGACCTGTTCTGACACCCTCCGGGGTATGGAGAACAACATATATTGCGTTATCTTTCTGACCTTGTCCTTCGGTTCCATTGATTTTTATTGGACCTCATGCTGATTGCCTATTTCCTTGCAGTGCTTTCCGACATGTACCATTTACTGTAGTATGTAACATTAGATTCACGGACATTTGCATTACCCTCCACCTGTACACCACGCTGCATGATCATTTGAATACACCATGGACTTGTAGAACCCCGGACTTCGTAACAGAGCTTGACAGAATCGATGTTGTTGACTTTTGATAAAGACACCGCTGCGGTGCTGCGGCGTGGGACCATCAGCAACCAGGCGCTTTAGTGACCTGCACGGTTCTCTTTCCTCTCCCTCCATCATCCAGAGATGAGGTTATACCAGTCGATATCTCTTCTGACGATACTGGGCCTGGTCCCCGCGTACGCTGCCCCGTCCCTGTTTGACGACGCACAGCGAGTGCTGAGCAACCCCTTCCTGGACCGAGCCCGCAATGACGTGAAGGATGCCGCCTCGCAGTACCTCAGCGACGCCAAGAAGACGATTCTGAAGGGGAAGAAGAACATGGAGAAATGGATTCACGATGGCAGGGAGTACATTAAACAAGACAACTTGCTTTGTGAGTTTTGAACAATACTGTCGATGGCCAGGTTGACGAACCTGCTGGTACCGCCGTACAGACGAACTCGTTACGCATCCTTCGTTCAGGGAGCAGAGGTTGAGGATCACTGAGCCGGATCTCTGCGATTCGTCTGTGCAGCAGTATTCTGGATACCTTGATGTTGCAGAGGAGAAGCATCTGTTCTTCTGGTGAGCCCGTCGTTACCTGGGGCTGCTGTTGTTGGACGACCACCTTGTTCGACGGTATTGTTCACCTTTGTTCACCCCCTAGGTTCTTTGAATCGCGACACACGCCGGAGGATGCTCCCCTTATACTCTGGCTCAACGGAGGACCAGGATGCAGTTCGTCCACAGGCCTCCTCTTCGAACTCGGTCCCTGCTCGATAGCAGACGAAGGCCGCAACGTCATGCACAACCCCTACAGCTGGAACACCCACGCCAACATCATCTTCCTCGACCAGCCCATCAACGTTGGGTTCTCCTACTCTGACGACGGCTCGACAGTCAACTCCAGTCCTCTGGCCGGCAAGGACGTCTACGCCTTCCTCGAGCTCTTCCTCAACCGCTTCCCTCAATACTCGACGCAGCCTTTCCATATCGCCGCGGAGAGTTATGGCGGTACCTACGCGCCCAACTTTGCTAGTATCATCCACAAGGCCAATAAGGAGTTGGCGGCGAATCCGGATCCCAAGTTGAAGCATATCAACCTTGCTTCGGTGGTGCTTGCGAATGGTTTGACGGATCCGTACATCCAGTATGGCTCTGTGGCGGACTATGCTTGTGATGGGCCTTACCCTGTGTATGACGATCCTCAGGGACCTCAGTGCCAGGCTCTGAGGGGCAAGATCCCGACTTGCCAGCGCCTCGTCAAGTCGTGCTATAACTACAACTCGAGGTTTGCCTGCGTACCCGCTGTGTTGTATTGCAACTCGCAGATCTTTGCTCCTCTCATGCGTAAGTCATCTTTCAAATATGATGCGCGGTGTCTGATTGATTATCAAACAGAAACCGGTCTCAACCCTTACGACGTCCGCATGAAATGTGATCGCCAGAAGGACGGACAGCTCTGTTACAAGCAGATGGCCTGGATCGAGAACTGGTTGAACAAACCCGATGTCAAGGCGAGCCTTGGTGTCAGCCCCGACCGCGAATTCGCATCTTGCAACATGGACGTTAATCAGGCTTTCACCATGAACGGCGATGGAATGCGAAACAGTGCTCTCCTCCTCCCCGAGCTGGTCAACGATGGTATTCGACTCTTGGTATACGCCGGGAATGCAGGTGACTACTCATTTGCCTCATTTGACGCAATATACCATTCTGACCACTGCGTTATTTAATTTTCTTTCTCATTAAGATTTGATGTGCAATTATATGGTCAGTCCTTTTCTAGTCGATCAGGTACCCATCCTGCGTCTCGTGGGCTTTGAACTAAACTCTGTCCGTCCACTTCTTAGGGTAACGAACGATGGGTCGAAGCAATGGAGACTAAATTCTCCCAAGAGTTCCGGCGAACCAAATCGACGCCTTGGACTCCGCTCCATCCTGGCGTCATCGCTGGCGAGATTCGCAGTGCTGGCGGCTCTGAGTCCTCGGCAGGCAATGTCACCTACCTCAACATCCACGAAGCCGGGTGAGTTGCATGCTGAATTTCGATGTCCCGAACAACTCCTCCTAGCTCGTTGTGCGGGGTGCGCCTCGAAATCCGGCACAGCCGATGCATGCATGCAGCACTCGGCGGGAGGAATTTGGGGCTGCGCTCCATTTTTCCAGGCTTCTCGTTTCCCAATTCTGTGTGCAGCTACTGACATGGTCTGTTTCTCAGGCACATGGTTCCATTTGACCAGCCTGAAGCTTCCTTGGTGCGTCTACTTCCGCTCTCGTGAGTTCTGCAAGACCTAATCGTCGCCTTAGGCCATGATCACACGGTGGATCTTTGACCTTCCACTCAACCTCCCAGTGGGTGCTGAAGAACTGGGGTCCATTCCTCCCCTCTAGACCTCCGGAGGACCCAAGGTTATGTCCGAGCAGCGATCGAGGGGGTTAGGCTGGTCGGTGCATGCCTCCCCCTCCCTCCCTACCATTTATGGTACCCTCTCGGGTCATGAATGGCGGAACGTTTTTTATCAGGCATGTTTTGTTCACCCCCGCCCCGACACCCTTGTCCTCCTTGTTCCCTCCCCCTTGTGTTCGACTCCTCACCAGTGTATTGTTGTTTCGTTTTGGACTCTTTGTCGTCGTCGTCGACTTTGTTGTGTGTGTTTTGTTCGTCGGTCTTGCTTTTGCGCTGTGCTTCTGCTTCGAAGGGAGGATGTTTCTTTTTTTTTTTCGGGGTGGATATGGTTTGGGAAGCGACGGTGCTTTGTCCATTGAGATTTCGTGTGGAGCGGTATGGTGGCGCACTGTGGGTACGCTACAGTGCTGCCTCCGTACCATGGCGCGTGCGTATCTCCTGTCCCGATTCCTCCGTCTGCTCAATGGATGTACGTGTGCAATAGCTCCGCCGCTTCCGACCCTCGCACTTCGCTCCCTAGAGCCTCTTTCGACCGTTCACGCGACTTGTGTCTCCATTTTTATTATCGACGACTTCAGTGTATTATTATTCTAGATTTGGTTTACGTTTTAAGCCATGTTATTGAATGAATGAATGAATGAATGAATACACGATGTGATTGATTCTATTTGGAAAGTTCGAAGCAGTAGGACCTCTAATTGTGTGGCTACTGATACAGGAGGAGAATGTTCGAGGGGAGATAGTCCTTTGCTCCTAGTCCGAGGGAAGACGAGAGGAGAGAGAAGGGATAAGTTACAAAGAATAAGTTATTGATCGAGTAGATGAATAAATAACAGGTACAGAGAGAGTGAAATGGGAACGGAGGCAAATGAAAGCCACTCGGGCGATCGAGAAATAGGATTTAGAGGAAGAGCTGGGCAAAAATGGAGAGCGAGAGGAAGGCTGGACGAGAGAGGAAGGAAGGATAATCTACATACTACATACTATTGTACAGGGGTGGGTTGGATGGATGCTGATGTATGTATGGTACACATGGAATCCAAGCGGAAGAAAAGGAGATGCGAGATAAATAGCATATAAGAATAAAGGCTGGGGCATAGGAACCAGACCAAGATACAAAGTGTCCGAGAGAGGAAGACAGGGGAGAAAACGGCGACGAAAGCAATGCGAGAAGGAGAAGATGCGAAAACTGCCAAAGAAAACGGGTGAGAGAGAGAAATGAAAAGAAAGGTGAGGTCGGCGAGGATGAATCGAATTAATAGGCGGTTGGAGGGAAGTACTCCTCCCCATCCATAACGAACATCTCGTCGGGTGTCATCTCCGCTGAGCTGCCAAAGTACTCGCTTGGGTTGATAGTCGTAGGATGTGGCATGTTGGGCATACCGAATTCATCCATCACAACTGGGGCTCCTGCTTCGGTATACGCGATCGCAGAGGAGGAGTTGTTCAACATGTACCCGGAATCGGTTGTACTGGATGTACGACTGATCAACCCAGGCGCGAAGGAAGATTGCCGTGATAGTTGATCGGGCACACCATACCCAACGTCGGAGAAGGTTTGGGTTGCGGGGCCACCGTTGATGGCATTCGTCGTCTTTTGCGGTGAGGAAGATTGGAGGAGGGCGGGGTCGATGAGTGAGTTGGGGATCATAGCTGGCGCGATGTAGGGCGTTGGTTGGGGAGCGGAGATGATTGGATGGGAGGATTCGCCGTTCCAGTTGACGAGCGAGGAACTGACCGAATTTTGCATGGACATGGTGTCGGAGAGGGCAGGTGTGGCGACCCCTGACGAGTGGAAGGAGGACGGGGGATGGCCTACCATGGGCATTCCGTAGTTCTGAATCTTCTCGTTAGCTTTGGTCAAAAGACATATGGAATGGGTAGAACTTACGAAGTGCAAAGAACCATGCCTCTGGTGGGCAAGCGAGCGATGTGGGAGAGGAGGGGGTGGGAGTGAGCCCCACGGCTGGTTGTCCATTGGGCCGCCGGAGAGGTATGGTGTAGAAACTGCTTTGCGCAGAGGACTGTGCATGCGAAGCACTGGGGGTCGCTCAAGTCGCATGGGAGGGTCAGCATGCAGCGACCGAGTTCCCAGATGCATCGACAGTAACGGGGGCAAGGACAGCTGGGGCAGGCGTGCTCTTCGACATCATACCTGACATCGAGGAACGGCTCTGGCGTTTACGACCGGTGGTGCTCTTCTTTGGACGGTAGCGGTAGTCGGGGTACTTCTTGGCGTGGTCTGAGCGCTCGATGTTAGCCTGCTCGCGCCAGTAGAGTCGCTCCTCTGGGGAAAGAGCCCGCCATGCCTCAGCGGCGAGTTTGGAGAGTGTCTTCTCCGACTCTTGGCCAGGAGCACGGCGAGTTCGCTTTCCCGTTCCTCCCTCCTTAGTGTGCTTGCGAACGTAATCGCAGCGGAAGAGAATGAACTCGTTGCGGGGACGAGCGACCCAGTTGGGGTCGCCCTTCTTGCCGCTAGGTTCGGGCGACTTCTCGGTATCGGAAAAGTTGGATGTGGAAGAAGCAGGTGAGGACGGTTGGTTGTACGGATAGCCGCCGTTGGCGTGGTACTGCAACTGAGCGCCATTGGCGTCAAGGTACTCCTGCTGTTGCTGTTGTTGGTGAGCGATATGGTCCGGGACAACCACATCAATGTAGTCCGCGTTGGTGGGGGGCGTCCAGCCCAAGAGGCGCGCGAGGGAAGACATGGCGACGCGGAGGGGCGGATGATGTGAGGGAAAAGCGGGAGAGCGGGAAAGGTGGATGGGACACTGGTTCCGCCCTCCTGGCCTTCCCTTTTCAATCTTTCGTCGCGCTACTCTGGGCGCGTGTTTGGCGCCTCCAGGCTCTTTTTCGGTCTGCAATGGAAAGGACTTCGTCGGGGAACGATCGAGATTCGCCATCCCGATTTGGTAAACGCCAATCCCAACATTCATCTTGATCGGGCCAAACAATTGCAAGCCTCCCTGCCAAGGTTCGATGTCGTTCCCTCTGTTCGAGCTCTGCAGAGAAAAAATAATGCCAACGGGGGATTGGAAGAAATGGCGAGGAGTAGAGAGGACTCGCATAGAAGTACCACATCACGTCCAATCTCACCGGCGGAATATAGACAACCTCGTGGCTCTCAACATGGGCCCAGACGTGCAATAGACCGGCCGTAACTTTCTGCACTACGCACCCGCTTGTCAATGTATAGAGGCGCTCAGAAGTCTCATATGGGTCTAGTAATTGAGCTACTTTACAAATAGTACACCCGGTCACTTCCACGGTCATTTGCCTTCATTTAGGTGTCCGTGTTGGTCTCCACGTTTTGCATCCGTTCAATCGTTCGACTGCTTAATTATAAGTATGGAGGCACTGACTATGCCTAGAAAACCCTATCGTCGTACCTGACCCCTCCTTGGTTAATTGCAAGACGAGCCTCCATTCTCTCATCTCAGTATAGTCTGGCTGGTCAATCCAGCTCTCTTCGCATGGTATAAAATGGGTGAAGAGCATTGAAAACCACTAACTTCTGGAGAACCGTTCATTTCGACGTCTCCACCCGGCATTTTAGCCTACCCTAAACCCAAACCTCACGAAACCAGACTACTAGTTGAATCTCAGCTCGAGAAACTCTCCGAGCCATCTCCGCTCCAGGCAACATTCATGAGCATGCATGCCGACCACCAGATGTGGGTCGGAGTCCATATATTCAACGAACGAACTGACATGAACGGTAGCTCCGACCGTTTATCTCTGTGGTCCCGGGTCTGGGTTTCAATCGATGCTCGGAAACTGCGTCGGTGTTCCATTCGGAGCATGCTCTTGCTCCCAGTTTTGCACGCCGCCACCATGAATTCCCTTAAATGGGCGGGAGAGTGCAAGTTTATTCGAAGGATTATTTGGTGTCCGAATGAAAATTTCGATCCCAGCAACTGTAGGGGTCTGAGGAAGCGTGTAATCGGGGGTGAAGCGGCGTCCAAGCGTCGTCGTCGTCTGTCCGCCCGGCTTGGTCAGGTTGTCTGCCAAAGTTTCCCCATCGAGGATCCGCACTGGAAGCAAGATTGCCCTTCCGAGCCAGTGGACAGTCGCTGGCTATGGGTACTGACAGGACGTTAAACGTCTATCAGACCCTTCTTCATCCCACCTGTCGATCTCAACTTCTTCCCGGGACCAGGCTCGTGGATGGGCGCTTAATTCATTGACCGCGCTAAAAATAGGACAAGTTACTACCTTTTCAAGGTGATCGATATTCCGAATCAGTCAAACCTTCACTCTTTCCATTGGGCGGTTTGTCCCGGTGTCGCCAAACTGCCGTATGTGCTAGGCGGTGATTGACTGAATTTACGTATTGAATAGATGGATTAGCGACGAATTCTGTTTCACCGGACCATCCAGGTAAACCTGTTTGATTGTTGTGATGTGTCGTGGCACTTTCTCGCCCAGAGGTCCCCAATTCGAGATCGATTATTGAATTTTGAAGACCCTACGTATCGTGCATTTACTTCTATGGAGGCCCTCGTTACACATTACCAGAAGCCCTGTGATTAACGTGATTAATGAGGCCGGAAAATTCCCACCAAAAGTTTGATGCTTCTCCTTTTCGGGGGTTCTTCCAGGATTTCCCCTCATCTCCCCAGCGGATGAAGCCCACACGGGTTTGACCCTCCCGTCATCTTTTTCCTTTCCTCTATTCACATCGTCCTGGTGGCATCTCTTTCACTTTAGATGTCCTGAAGCCCTCATCTACTTCCCTCATCCCAACACCAACCCTGGTACCTCCCTAAGATCCGCCACTCATCTGAGAAATCTTGTCGACGCCCCATCCACAAGCACACACGACCACGTCTGACCTTGCATCGTATGCCTAGCGTGCGCGAGGTTGTAGAGTATGCAGTGTCTCCAGAGTCCAGCCCTCTGGTCAGGAGAGAGACGCCCAAACTAAACGGCTCAGCGTCTGGTAAGCATCTTGTGACCCTGCTTTCAAATTTTTGACCCATGACTCAACGCGCAAACATAGCTTTCATCGCCCTCATTATAGTGCTGATACTGGTTATCCTCATCTGCTCGACCACCGCTCTCTACATCCTTTGGGAAAACAGTACCAAGGCCGATCGAGAGTACCGCGTCCGGCGATACAAAGCGACGGGATTGGAAGCTGCCTCGGAGGGCAAATGGATAGCTCGGCTAGGGAAATTCTTCCACTTCCGTTCCGCGACGAAGGTCTCGTCTTCGCAACGTAACAGTAGCTCGAAGAAGCGTAGCATCCGAGGGTGGGCCCAGTCCGTCGACAGGGCGTCGTCGCGCGATATCCTAGCGACGATCGAGGAGCAACCGGAATATCAAAACTCTAATGCCGACTCCAAGCAGATGGTACAAACGACAACGACGACGCCCAGTACCCAGTCACCGGCTCTATCTACGCTGTCGGTCATGGAAGTGACCTCGCAACGACACATACAGCCCCTCCCGCCGTCAAGAGGACGAACGTCGAGCTGGATCTCGGACAAGTCCATGACGGTCTCCTTCGTCAGCACCTTGCCCACACATCCCGAATCGAGTTCAGAGGATGAGGTGGAGCCTCCATCCAGTCCCAGGGCACAGCTGTCCATGTCAAGTATTCCAGAGCATGTGACATATCAGCCATCGGTGAATATGTCGTCGCCGTCACTGTCGAGGCCCTCGACGTTGAGGACGCTCTCCGCTGATCAAATCGAGCAAATCTATCCAAATGGGCAGGGCCGCCCTTTCGCCACCCAGTCCGGCACGTCTATTACACTACAAGGAGGCACCAAGTTTGTTGAAGAGGTTTAGCCTTTTTGTATCTACGATCTACTACTCACTGCTACTGCATGATCTTCATACCTGACACTTTACTACACACATTCTACACACTACTACTCCCCATTGCTTTCCCCTGTTGTTTTTGTTCGCTATCACATTGGTTATTTCGGTGTTGTTGTACGCTATATATATCGACGGCTTTGGACTTACTTATTCACTATCTAACGACCTGTCATGTACATCGAATACACTCTGCTCAGGAGTTCCTAACTCACGATCGAGGACGAGCACAGGGGAACGCTTAAGCGCCGGCCATGCCGAAGCCGAATGCGTGATCCCGGCTTTGCCATACAGGGGCAAACACGATCACTGACGTTCACGTCGACGTGTAACGAGCACCGCGCGCGCACGGTTGCTGCCAAAGTTCCTGTCCATCTTCTCTTCGAGGACAACTCTCAAGAGAGAGTCCAACGTCCCCTGGACTCGACAAAAATGTTCTCGTCGTTTCGCCGGTTGTGCCTTTTGGCACTGAGTCTGACTTTTGTATTTCTGGTGGAGGCTAAATCGAGTACTGGCGACTCGGTGCTCGTGGTCGTAGATCCTAAGCGCCAAGACTCATATTCGCTGTTCTTCGATGACTTGAAGGGTGCGTCGCCGTATTTTATGTTGGGCTTTGGACAATATACTGAATGTATTTGATTAATAGACCGAGGGTACGATCTTACATACCGATCACCCAAAGCCGAGACGCCTCTGGTTATCGAGGACGATGTTGCCAACTTTGCCCACGTCATTGTGTTGTCTGCCGCAAAGAGTGCGTCGAGTTGGTCTCTGAAACTTTAAAAATACTAATGAATGAGAATAGACTATGGCAAGGACTTGACACCCCAAACCGTCGTCGAGCTGTTGAACCAGAAAACCAACGTCCTCGTCGCGCTCTCACCAAGCCAAACCGCGCTCACCTCCCTCGCGTCCGAATTCTCACTCATCCTTCCACCACCCGGGTCGCCGCTCATCTCCTACTTCCCCAAACGCGACGAGCCACCAACTTTGATTCCCATCTCTGTTCCCGCAAAGTCAAGTCCCGTGCTGAGCAAGCCAATCGCACCAGTGTGGTTCTCTGGTGTCCCTCAGTCGCTCGGGCTCAACCCCTTCATTGTTCCCATCCTCAAGGCACCCGCGGAGAGTTTCGCGGGCGAGCTCCCTTCTCAGGGTGGTTCGGCGGAGGCGTTGGTGGAAGCGACGGAGAAGGGCGGTGAGGGTCTTTGGGCGGGCAGCTCACTCGGTGTCGTTACGGGATTCCAGACGGCTAACGGTGGTCGGATTACTTGGTTGGGAGGCGCTGATATGCTCACGGATGAGTTGTTCCAGAAGCAACTTCCAGAGTACGTGAACTGTCGGTGGCCTTGGGTTTTTGTAGCTGACACTGCTTCCCGTTTGACTTCAGTGGTTCAAAACCCGGCAACGCTGACTTTGCGCGTGAAGTTACTGCCTGGACTTTCCAAGAGAGCCTTGTCCTTCGAATTGACAAGGTCGAACACCACCTGGTGAATGCTACGGAGCCCAAGGAGCAATACACTATCAACGACAACATTGTATGTCACTATTGATTGGATTGTAGCCGTCAGAAGCTGACTACCGTCGTCTCCAGGAATTCGCGGCCTATATCTCGAAGTGGAACCCTAAGAAGGGCACTTGGGATCCTTGCGCCTGCCGAAAGGACATCCAGCTCGAGTTCACCATGTTGGACCCCTTCATCCGCACTGCTCTCCCTCCTGTCCCCGGGCAGCCTGGTAAATACGCCACGACCTTCCGTGCACCTGACCGTCATGGTGTCTACAAGTTCATCGTTGACTATAAGCGCAAGGGGTACGTCGTTGAACACATACTCTCCTCTGACCCGATGTCTGACTGTCGAACTTCTACTTTGGCTTGTAGGTGGTCATTCCTCAAAAGCTCGACGACGGTCCCTGTGGTTCCTCCGCGACATGATGGATACCCTCGATTCTTGAGTGCTGCATGGCCGTATTACATTGGTGCTATCAGCACCAGCGTTGCGTTCTTCTTGTTCTCTGCTATTTGGCTCGCTGGAGATGCTCGTGAAGCTAAAAAGTCCAAGGGTTCCAAGGCTGAGTAGATGTTGTCGTGACGGAGCTGTTGTAATGGATTAATACACTTATTTATTCTTGACACTCTGTTTGCTTGAACTCTTGTACCTCGAGGAGATTGTCGAAGAACCAGGAGAAAGGGAGTGCACTGTGCACCCCGACATCACCGCACATATTGCCACCGGCGGTAGAGCGCTCCGATCGATATGATCAACTCATGCATGGTCATTGTAGGTCCTGTGCTCGTGACCTACAGCTTTATTCGCTTTTATAACAATGACTGTGTTTGCTCTGCTTGATCCTCTCATCTTGACTCGACTGCTGTGGACCAGTGGCCCACTGCCCTCATACCTCCGACTTCCTTGAACCTGGTTTCTGGGTTTCCTCGATTGTAGCTTGAACCCACCGCAGGGCTACCACTATCTGATCGCTCATTCGAGCTTGGACATCTGAGCGCCTGTTGTTGGATTTGAAGGAGGCTTTGGTTTAGCATGCCGCCTACTGATACTGTGCCAAAGTGGGCCAAGGGTGAACATTGTACGTCGTAAACCTCTTCGTTGGGTCATGATATGTGTGCTAATGCCTGGGTCTGTGAAGACGGTCCTGTGCTGTCCCAGACGGACCTTTACCTGCTCAATATCCCACTCGAGCTTCACCCCATCTTGCAAAATACGGATCCCAGCTTCCATCTGTCTTTCAATTTGACGAATGGTGAGTGGGCTTCCATCGACTGAAGCTCGTTATGGATAGTTCATTCAAACTGAATGCACTCTTTCTCGTTGCCTTTCTTCTTTGAACGATACTGCTAGGTGAGGCGGCTGGCTTCGACCCTAGCAATCGAGATCGATCTCTACCCTTTACGCCGCGCGACCAGCCTGCTACTCTTCCCCGGGTTACCCAGCTTATTATCATCACGACTTGGAGCCCGTGGTGTACGATTGTGACGAATGATAATGGGGTGACGTTGGGTGATGTTTGTGTTAAGCTGTGGACTGAGTGAGTGTTTTCTCTTTCTCGATTACTTATGGAATGGAAGTCTTTCGGATCCTGGTACCATCTCTAGCCTTAGAGATCGGTGGGCTGTCGACGACGTTGCTTACCACTACCTTCCGTGGATGGCAGATACTCCCAGAACACGGTGACGGATGCCGAATTCAACTCCCTCCCACCCCGACTGCAAGAATCCGTTCGACGGTATGCAGCGGCTAATATTGCTACAGCTGCGCAGAGCAACCAGCCTTGGGGAGGCTACTACCCGCCTCAAGCGCCCCCATCTCAATTCAAGCGATACGGTGCGTAGTCTTTATCATCTATGTCTTTTGTGGGTTATTTTCATTGAGCTGATGAGGGTGTTGTTGTAGATTGGCTGAGGGATCGTATCCTGTTTGAGTGTCTGACGAAGGAGGGGATGGATGGATATATCAGGAACAGGTTGGGCTTTACGGCGCCCAATATTTTCGTCATGGAGTTGTCTGCTTGAGGTCGTTTGCGCAGGCACGATATCGCATCTCGATGTGCTGTTTTCTTTGTCTGTATCTTTTGTATTGCGCATATTCTGTTGTATGTACTACGAAACGACTCCACTACCTACAATCTATGCATGGGCCAGGATAGACGCGTGGTCTGCTGGAAGAGCGGGACATGCTGTTAATCCATTGGAGTAACCCGAGAGTGAAGTATATGAGCTGACGCCTGGCGTCGACCTTTCATTCCTTCACAAACTCTCTTCTCTCCACCATCACTTTGAGCACTGATTCTCTGCGCCGGTATGCTGAGCGAGCAGGAGTTGGAGCTGGTGTTCCATGAATCATGGCAGGGGGCCCATGGGCCATGTTGCTGTTCAATTTACACAATTTTCACATCGACGAATGTTTCAAGTACGTGCTGAGCGTCTGGACGCCTTATTCCCTCTCCAAAAACTCACTGATTGACCATTGGCCTCCCAAAGCGCTCTCTCAGCGTTTTGAAAGTCAAGTCTTAGGGGGTCTGAGAACGCGATCGAGACGCGTCGCGCGAGCCACGTGCAGGCATTGTTATCTTATCTTATCTCACCCTGTTGCCCTGTGCCCCGTTCGTTCCTCTGTGCTAGTCCTTCGGGACATTGATGTTCGAATCGAGCCTGCATCCAGCGCCAATCAAAAAATCCGATAATGCACTGGATTCGTCACCTTCCGGATCCAGAGTGCGGGCTTTTGTGTTCTTGTTCTTCACTTCTCCCGTCGTTTGACCTTGGTCGAGCGAGAACTTGAACTCGGACGAGGCAAGTCCTTGATCTGTCCGCGATCTTCTTCTTTTGAACGGAACCAGTGTGTGAAGAGCGGTCTTGGAATAGAAATCGTCGGGTGTTCTCTCTAGGTGACTCAAAGTCGGTCAGTGCCGTCTCGCAGCCTCGTTTCTCCTTGTCATTGTTCTAAATACAGTCACTTCATGGCCATCAGCGCCCAATTATCATCGCAGCCGACGCTCACAGCAGCGACGGCCCATCATGTCACGATCCCGACGACCGTCCCCAGCGGGGACCCCATTCATTCCACCCCTCGCCAGCCCTGAGAGTTCTCCCAACCCACCACAACCTCCCGTCATCCCAATCGACCCTTCGTCATCGAACACGCTTCCAAACACTCCATCGAATCCCTGGCACGCAGGACAGTACCCTCTCGGAAGCAACTACCCCGCCTTCTCCCCGGCCATGTCAGCGCATTCACCATTCTTTCCACCCGGATTCGGAGGGCCAACGCCTGCCATGGGACCAGGCGTGCTTCCTCCAGGTGGCCCTCCCATGGGCGGGCCACCAAATCAGTTTCCACCAGGGGTGTCTGCTGATTACCTCGGATATGGCACTGCGGCAGCGTACACGCCTGCTGTGAACCCCAATGTGCCTCTTGGGCTGTATGGTCCCGGTGGGATGGGTTCTGCTCCACCTGCACAGGGATTCCCTGGTGTTGCGCAGGCGTATGCGGCTCGTGGCGTCGGACCTCATGGGTATCCTAATCCTGCGTACACTGGGATACCACAGCCTCCCATGTCTGCACCTGGATTCGGGCCCCCTCCTGGTTGGGGGATGCCAGGTGGAATGGGTGGGATGCCCGGTGGGATGCCAGGCGGAATGGGTGGCGGGCCGTGGGGTATGGCGTTCAACACACCAGCACCAGGAGCATATCAGCCTCTGGGTGGCGGTGGAAATGACTGGGGATTGGCAGGTGCTATGGCAGGGATGTCGCTAGGTGGTCCAGGTGGTCCTCAGCAAGCGCAGCCACCAGGTGGGGCAAGGAACAGATCGGCCTACCTTGAACGGGAGCATATGAGTCGAGTAGATCGCTTCGCGACTGGGCCGCATTGTATGTCTATCCTCGTTCCCTGCTGATATGACCAGTTTCTGAACCATCCATGCTAGACGGCCCCGTGTTGTCCCCGATGTTAGTCCACAGGCTTGGGGTTCTTTTGGAAATCAATCCTCTCCTTCAGCCGACTTCTCAAGCGTCGGGGGACAAAAAGTATCTCATCTGGAACATGCTCTTCCCTTCCAACAGCGCACGATTAAACACGGACTCGGCAGAACGATCGTGGTCGGATGGACGTGACGCCCCTGCCACATTCCCTCGCGTGACGAGTCTCATGGTCGTCTCCAACCTCAAAGCCTTCCCGTGGGCGATCGAAGTAAAAGCTCAGGACATACGACTCGGAGTGACGTGCGAGGAGGTGATCATCCAGATTGGGCGTTCCTTGCAACGCCTCACGTCTTCTAAAGATTGGCATTGGGCGATCGGACAGGTCTCGCAACAGCAACTCAGCGCTGCCTACACCCACAACCGCAGCACCCGGATAGGTGTTCCGGGTGGTGAACTCGGAAGACCGATGAAACGACTGGATTACCTTATGGACAGGTATTGGTGGGACGGTCTACAAGCCATCGACTTACGCGACGATGAGGGCCGAAACGTCCTTAAACGCTACCTGAACACGGAGAATGTGGCGGTTACCCTTCCCTGTTTGGTGATGTTTAAGACTGAGAGTCGGCAGATGAGGACGGAGGCGGAGGAACAGGAGTTTGGGCAGTCGGCGAGGCAGAGGAAGGTCAGCCAGAATGCGAGGAGTAGGGCGGGTAGTCGTGCGGCGAGTCGTGCTGCTAGTGGGACGGGTATTCGGGTTGAGAGCCCGAGCGATTCTGAGGAGAGTGACAGTGATAGTTCGTGAGTTCAGATACCTCAATCCTCATCCTATACAAATCCTACACCGGAAAAATGTATCTCGGATATACCGTGACCATTTGATACGTCTTGCGCTTCGTTGGTGGCGGACTTCTTTGCAATGTTGTACGACCTCCGCGACTTTCATTTTGCTTCCTGGCGTTAGATCTGCTCAACCATGTACTGCTATCCCTGTAACGCTATTCAATTTGCTGTATGTATCTACTATCTTTTCCATCCTGCACAAGACATCTGGGCGACGAAACAAGCATCACGATGACTCGTCTGAAAACAAAAATAAATAAGGAAAAAGAAATTGCGTTGTGACTTGGGATCAGGAAATCAGGAAACCAAGAACACAAAAAGTAATGCCCCCTGCAAGGCTCGAACTTGCGACCTCAGGATTTCGTGGGTTAGACCCACTCATACACTTGCGTATGAGACCTGCGCTCTAGCCAACTGAGCCAAGAAGGCTTAATATCTATGCGACATTGGTACAAAATCACGGCCACCGTATCCCGAACGGGGGCTATCTGCATAATTGCCCCTTTTCGCGACTTGTACCGAAACCACCATGTCTGCGAAAGAGGCCTACAAGAAACCTGAGATCCACCTCCCAGATCTTCCTCCAGAGATATGGCTTGCGATTCTGCGCGAAGCCACTGCGGAATGCCATCCTCTTCGACTGCCTTTGTACATGGAGTACCCCCGACCGACTACGAAGATGAGGAATCGGTGGAAACAGGGCATTGTGAGTGGCGTTGTATCTCGACTTGCAAGCGACTTTAAAGCGAACTCTGTGTCCTTGGTCGCATTCTAGGTCACCAAAAGATACGTCATTCGCGTCTGCAAGCTCTGGTACTCGCTGGCGATCCCCTTTCTCTACGAACACCTCGTCGTCTCCCGAAGCCATAGCCTAAAATCCCTTGTGGAGAGCCTGAGCCTGGAATCGCCCTTTGGACTGACCGGTGTAACCTTTGGAGAGTATACGTATCGGTTGGACATCTGCTTCGGCGAAGAACCTACGACGTTGGACTTTTACAACGTCTGTACATTGCTCGATAAACTCCCGAAGCTGGTGGTTCTTAGGAACATGTCCGCGGATATGAGGTCTTCGGATGATGGTTCGAGGCCGATCCTGAAGCACGCCTCTTCGTCGTTGGAGTGCATGATTTGGAGAGGCATCGACCCGACGTGTCCTTCGATCTGGGAGGCATTCGTCTCTCGACATCCGAATTTGCGGTCAACCGTCTTTCCGACCCCTACCCAAGGGATTTCGGGCACCGGTGCCTCCTTCCTCAGCCTCCCAGAGAATATCACCACGTTGGGCACCGCCGATGTTCTGGAACTAGCAAACTTTTGCAAGCAGGGGACGCCTATTCCCAACTTGCGGCACCTCTCGTTTCATGACCATAGGTGGTACGCGGGGCCGAACCACGGCCAGTCGTTCACCGATGAAAGTCCTGCGTTAGAAGTCCTTGGAGGACGTCTCCAGTCCCTCCATTTTTATAGCGAACATCATCACATCGATCCTGTAGAAGATCTGGATGGGATCTTATCCCATTGTCCCAATCTCAAGCACCTCATTTTATCTATCAAAGTGTGGGAGACAGTGGGATGCCACGAGCGCGCCCATGGGGTCGTGACGTTCGGCGTCCAGATGATAGAGAAGCAAATGAATGCGGCGGAGGCGAAGATGTTCCTTCATAAAGTCGTGGACGCCAAACGTGGCTGGCTGCCCAACCTTCGACGCGTCCAGTTTATCGACGAGTGGAATGTCACGCACTTGCAACAAAAGCACCGCAAGGTGTTTAACCGGGCCTTGGAGCAATTGCGCGAGTTGGGGATTGTGGTTCATAGTTTTGATGAGAGAGAGCTGGTACCGGATAGGGATCCGAAGGCGGGTGGTAGAATTGTTGGGATTTAGCGGAGTTATGTAGTTTCCGTTTGGTGTCGCATTCAAGATGTGCGACTTGTAGAGAGCGCGGTCGGTGACGAGTTTTTACCAATTGCAAGTTCCTAGTACGTAGATATAGGACCCTGATTCTACGTGAAGCAATGACTCAATGCGACTTCCCTTGTCAGTGTAGATGGGCTATCCTACGGCCTTGGAGTGATGGAGATAAACCAAGGCCAGTTGGCCATCCGTGATTCCGTAGCCGATGACTCGCTCCGGTTCGCATACAATGTAATATATGTTGCGATTTCACTCCTGTCTGGTCCTGCCCACCTCGCGTATCTTGATTTCCCTAGTAGTCAAATCACAGCGGCTAGATTTGGGCCAGATGCGCCGCAACTAGATCCCAAATGCGTACATTTCTCCGTTCATCGAGTAAAGAAATTATCATGTCCTGTCTGAGTTGTTCTGGAAGTTGAGAATTCTGTCCCATCGTAACTCATCAAAGCGATTTCGAGCTGACGGAATTTACTTTCTAAATCATCGTTGAAGAAATATCGTAGTTTAGTAACGTTTTCTTCGTCGATAAACTGGACAACTTGAAGACTGGGCAGCCAGCTGGCTTTGGCTTCTAGGGCAAGAGAGAACATCGTCTGTGCTTGCTCTTGTTTGAGATTTCCAAACTTCTGGATTCCGAACGTCGTGATGCTGGGCTTATGCTTGAATTCCGCCGGTCGCAGGAACCAAGATGTGTAGGTGAGGTCGAGTCGGCGCAGGTTAGGACAACGATCCAAGGCCACGTTAAAGTCGCGGGTTGCAACCCATTGATGAGCGTCGTCGTTGACGCAGTAGTGGAGAGTTGTGAGTTTTTCCCCACATATGTCGAATGGATTGGTAGCGAGAGCAGGATCTGAGCTGCCAAAGAAAAGTGCATCGTTTTCGAATTTAGGTGAAGTGGTACGGAGGCTCCGTAATGTACCCGGCTTCAGCCATTTTTCGCACCATTGCGTCGCTTCGTATCCCGATCTTGTTGCGAGTTCGGTGACGTGCTCTAGCTTGCGCTCAATTTCAGGGTATTCGAAGAGTCGAGGGGCCGCTACGAATGGTGCACCGATGGACTGTAAATTCGGATGGCCGGCCATAAACTCGACCCAGTTTTGCCTCCAATCCGTCCCCACCCAACTGATATACTCCAAAGTGGGACTGGCGTTGAGGACGAAGCTTCCTGTTCCGTGGGGAATTAGGTCATGCATGGTTAGGATAAGCAACCGTGGAAGGCGCTCGAGCAGGGATGCCAGGTCCTGAGCGAACTGGTCAGAGATTGGCCTTCCGGGGCGGCAGTGGGCGTAGACGTCGAGCCGGGTCGTGTAGTGACCCATTGGAGTGCCAGGCCCATCTCCACTGTGCAGCAGTGACGCGTGATCCACGCTCTTCAGAACAGACGACACTTGATCGGGTCGCGTCAAGGCAATGTGTTCGTAGAGAAAGGGCAGAGCCAGTGAGTGCCACTGTTTGCACACTTGGACAATGTTTCGCCTCGTCACCTACATTTAAATAGTTCAAATGATGAAGGATTTGTGAGAATCTCTCGATCTACCAAGTATCGTTCTTGTCGCTCTCTTTCTTCCCTTGTGTTGCGGTTGATGGGACCGAAGACAGCTCTAAGGGGAGGTCGCAAGGGACTCTCGCCTGCCGTTGCTTCCCGTAGGATAGCAAGCCAATTTTCGTTCGGTAGTTCGGGTAACATTTCGGGTGCGTGAAGGTATGCGACGATTAAGGACGAAAAAATAGGATATTAAAGGAAGAATCGATTGTCACGCTCGAAGTAAATGGCGGAGATCCAAGTCCCCTGATGGCGGAATAAATAGCCTGCGGCGGTAGCAGGCTTTGCCTTCGACGTTCATGTCTACGCTGAACGCATTTTCGAAGAAGCCAGATTTACGTCTTCCACCACTTCCAACAGAGCTGTGGTCTGTTATTCTGCGTCAGGCTACAGCACAAACGGATCCGTTGCGCCCTCCCCTCTACACCATATACCCCCGCCCAACTAGTACAAAAGCGAATCGGCGATGGAGAGAGGCTATTGTTAGTTGCATCCCTTTGCACTGGTCGAAGGAAACTGAAATTCGGTCGTCTAGATCACCAAGCGATGCGTCGTTCGCGTATGCAAACTCTGGCACTCTCTTGCTGTCCCCTTTCTCTACGAGTATCTCGTCATCTCAGATTCGCAAGTGTTTCCTTCTCTCCTGGAGGGAGTTGGTAAACTTTGGCATGTCAAATACCGCCCGGAAACCACCGTTGGGAATTTCACTTCCAGGCTTGACGTTGTCATTCGAGATCCCAACCCCCCTGAAGCCCTCCATCCACACCTATCCACGCTCCTCAGGAGGCTTCCCAGACTCCTGGTTCTCTCGATTTATATGCCATTTAGGGAGGTCGCCGAGGGCCCCCTACTTTGCAGCTACGCAACCCCATCACTGGAGTGCATCAGTTGGCTGGGCGCACCAGTGGCCGCTTCGCGTTGGGTCGACTTCCTCGCGGGGCACCCCAACTTGAAGTCCATCGGCGCTCCTGATCTTTCCCTTGCAACTGCACCACAGCCGCTCGAGACACCACTACAAAACGTTTCTGAACTGGGAGGCCTCAACTATGTCCAGGCGCGCACACTGTGCGAGGAATGGATCTCGCCACGTCGTTTGCATCATCTTTCCATTCAGTTGAGCAATGGGGCCGGGATGGACTTTGACTCCCCCGAAATCGACCAGCGTTGGTGCCCCTTCATGTCATATGGCCCCAATCTCACCAGCCTTCACATCACTTCGAACGCCTGGGGAGGCCGCATCGGAAACCTCGTTAACCGCGGTTTGCGGCACTGCCCCAACCTGCAGCAGTTGGTTCTATCCCATTCTCATTGGCCTTGAGGCGAAATTAAGCCACACGCGAACGTCACGGTGCTGGCCTTACGGCGTCTGGAGAAAAAGCTGACCGCGAGGGACGCTAAAAGCTATCTTGATAGCGTATTGGGTGCTAAAGCGAGCTGGTTGCCCAATCTTTCGCTCATTCGCTTCATTGATGAAGGAAATGTCATCCATTTGCAGCACAAGCACCGCCAGCTTTTTAACTCGGTGCTTGGGGCGTTATCCGACCTGGGCATCACCGTTGAGAGGCATGACGGGGTGGGGTTGGTCCCGGATGGCGAGTGAAGACGACAGCAGTGAACAAGGCGTAGAGAGGCCAGTGGTATCCCAGGAGCTCCAGTCAACCCTCCGATGGACAACAAGGTTTGCCTCCCCCACTTATGCCGAACTCTCACACAAACTCCCTTACGCCCTCCCTTCAATCCCAGTCGTTCACGTGTAGATGGGTCGTCCACTCACATCGCACTCATTCCAAGATTTTGTCCACCGTTTCAATTCGGTTCCAAGCCCTCTGTCGCCTTGGTCTTTTAATGAGCTCGGATCTCAATCCACTCCATGGTCCACGCCCCCCATCTCACCGATAAGTACAGCTATTTCAGAGCTCGCTGACAGGAAAGAGATTTCATCGCAAACCCTTTGACCAGATGCAACGAGTCAGGAATCATGGGCCGAGTCTTGGGCTGTGGACGGAAGGCGAAATAAATAGAGCCTTGTCCTCGGTTTCTTCGTCCCGGTCGCCCTATCGCTGTTCTGGTTCCCTTCCATCTCATCGCATCGGTTCATCCGAAATTTAAGAACGACAGTTCAGTTGTAATCGATCCGGTGGCGAGTCTAGCTGTCCGCTTTTCGAAGGGCTGGTGGCGAGTGTGCAGATTGTGGCCTTCGGCTTCCCCATGCCAATGCTGCGGATTCATGACGCTGGCGTTGTGTATGTCATCAATAGGTTTCGGCGTTTGAATGTTTGAAAGAACTCCTCGACGTAAACGTACATTCCAGTGCTTGTGTGACGTTTATGGTTCTCACCTTGCTAAAGCGGTTATTTCGAACTCCCAGACCCGGTCAGCTCGGACATTTGGTGTCCAGAAAGGGCCTTTATAAGGATCCTATCGTATGTGCTTTCAGTTCTTAAGGTTTGGAAGTTATGATCGGCCAACTCGAAACAAAGGATATAATTAGACTAGCAGGAGCCTGTATCAGTGGTCAGTGCATGGCTTCGCAACGATGAGAAACGGGGGAGATACCTGGAAGCTTGGTGGGCGCCACGGTGCCTCTTATTGGTTTCAGCCACAGATCCCCACAGCTGAGTTCCCCCTTTGCCGCGAACGGTTTCACCACGGTCAGGCATAGCAAAGGCGTAGCGCAAGTGCGTGGTTTCCCATCCCATCCCAAGTTCATTTATTGGATTTTAAAAACGGGTCCCGTGAGGCGAGCTCGCTGATGACGATCGAGGAGGACATTGGATCTCAATTCGTACCTCTCTGCCAAGCGCTCGGATCTTAAGCGAAGATCGTGACTGTTGGATGTGGGGGTGACTCGCTGGAAATGGAACCTGGGGGCCATGATCTACTGCTTCTGGCTATATTGAAGAGTCGCTTGGTGCGATTGCCACGAGGGATTAGGATTTAGTGAGTTGGAAGGAAGGGGATGCTGTAATGGATGTACACCAAACCAACGTCATGCACGGGGACTATCAACACGGAAACTCCGCGAGCGTTGGTGTGGGGTAATTGGCTTTAGACGCGTTGCAAGTACGTGTCTTCCTGTGCGATCGGTCACAATCCTCCAGGGCGTCACCGTCCCCTTCACACCGCGGTCGGACTTGCGAGTCGAAGGTAAGTACGTCGACGGTTCTTTTGAGTCTTTTGAAGACTCGAGAAATGGACCCGACAACTTGGCCATGGTGTCCATGTGCAGAAATGCCTCCATCCGTTGCGAAGCAGTGCACGCAGGCGGTAAAACCGACCGGTAGTGTGCAAGGGTGTGCACTGCGTGGGTGAGGAATGTGGCGGATTTCGAGCTGGATGGAATTAGATCCGGGAGACGCTGAGAAAGTACAGTAGTACTCGGAGCAGTTGACTCTCATTTTATTTCTGGCGTAACCTGAATGGGAAGGGATAAAACGAATGAATGGATGTCTATGATAAATGAGCTGGGGTCGGGGTCTAAGGATAAACATTCGTACCTGTCCGCCGAATGTGGACGTATGGTAAAGGTGAGCTGGATTCTCGGCTCCTTGCGGCGCTTATTTCACCATGCCATATTGAACTTGCTGGGAATCCGTCAGGCGACTTTTCCCATTTCGCTAGAGCTCGGGCGGCGCCTTGCATAGATATTTCTTTGTCAACGGGTCGACAAAGGGGGTGTTGCATTTGGCTTGCCGTCCTTGTCGTCGTCGTCAATAAGGCATATGGGACACTCGACCCGGAGGAAATTGAATCGAATCGTGATGCACGGATATTGGGTTAGAGAATCGAGATCGGCCAGGAGATCATCAAAATTATTGCCAGCAGGGCCGCAACAATGGGGGGACCCATAAAAGCCAGAGGTCGGACGGTGACGTTGGTTCGCACGTAACGAAAGTACCCCGCAAGCTTCCAGCGCTTCTTTTGTGCCATAAAGGTCGAACCAGGTCGAAACTCGAAGTTCTTCCTTTTGACGCACCCCGGATCTCCAACAGGTCGCCAACGTTCCGTGTCTGCAGGAAGATGTACGTGGACAGCCGGCTGGTTTATCCCAGTCATTTACTGACGCATAGTTCGTTTTTGCAGTCGTGGGCGATACAGGCAGCAAGAGTCACCGCACCAGCATAATATTTTGCCGTCCTCCGTGCTAGGGTCCTATTCGGACGACCGGGCCACCGTCCACAGCACGTTCCTAGCATTTTTCAACCATCCTCGGTGCCAATTTCCAGTTTTCAACTGCCAGACGAATTTCCGGTGTCGAGGGACGCTTTTTTCCAGCTTTTGCCAGTAAAAAGGTTCGTCGAGCGAGGTTAAAGGCAAGAAGCAGCAGACTCCAGAAGGCCGGTCATTTGTTTGGCCTCCCACGAAAAAACATCAAGTAGCCGCGACAAAAAGAGAAATTGCCCACCATTCCCGCCCGACGCCTTTCCCAACTTTATGCTCGCGCAAGCCAGGCTGTGTTGGCCATGGTCTCCTTGCGCGATGCATCCGGTTCAACAACACCAACGTCCAAGACGTCGGCGGCGGCGACGACCACGACTAAGCCTAATTCCAACAGCGAGCTCGGCGGTCGGGATAACAAAATGACATCAGCGACGCCGATTGCAACAGCGCCGATCCCCATCGCCAACGCAAATTCGACATCGACCGCTACCACGACCACCGGCTTTTCAACGTTCTCGCCAGTGTCAGCGTCCTCGGCTTCGTCTGTCCCCCCACAGAATGGAACCATGTCGGGCAGCAGGAAATCAAGAGAACGGCGGCGTGGTTTGGTCCAGATGGAGGACCTTCCAGGAACACGGGTTGGACCCGACGACGGCCCCTGGCCCAAGTCGTACGAGATACTAGAGGATGAGGACGATGTCTGGAAGGAGTTGAGGGCGTTGGCGAGACCGCATCGGGCTGTCTTCATCAACGAGCGTGGGTTGGCCGACGAAGACGATCGCCAACTAGAAACACAAGAAAACGGCCACCACGAGGACTCGGCCATCATCGACGACAAGAAACCTGAACCCAGAGCACGGGTTGCGTTAGTCGACAGCATCAACTTCCAGCCTTGCCGCAACCTCAGAACTCAAGATCGCTATGTTGTGACTCAGCTCGACGTCCATGGCGAGTTGTGGACCTTCACAGGCGTTTTCGACGGTGTGTAGGCTCTTTGTCGGGCCACAAAATAATCTGAATATCCCACAGGGCATATGGGCGATGTCACCGTTGAGCACGTCGCTCACCACCTCCCTATCATCGTCCGTAACTTCCTCAAGAAAGACCTTCCCGGTCCAGTCGCAAAAACAGGCTACGATCCTCAGCACATCTCCAACCTCTTCAGATCTGCTATCCTCGCCTTCGACGATGCAATCGCTCACGACGTCCTCGATCTTTTCGGCGGCTCAGTTGACCAGCTGGACCAATATTCCGACGCCGACATCAGGAGGATCATCAATGACATTCCTCAGATGACCCCAGGTAGCTACGGCTCCGGCCAGTCTGCCAACTTTGGGGACAACTGGCGCAAGGCCCGGCTTTGTATGTATGGCACCACTGCCCTGGTTTCTCTCATCGACCCCAAGAACGAAGGCCTGTGGGTTGCTAATCTCGGCGACTGTGTCGGTATGCTCGTTACCCACACGGTTCCCGTGAGCGAAGACTCGGACGAATCCGATCGTGACGGCAGCCCTGAGAGACTCGCGGCTGTTGGCGAGGGAGAGTGGTCTGTTGAAGTCTTGACGACGATGCACAATGGCGACAATGACCAAGAAATCGAGAGAATTTTGAAGGAGCACCCGGGCGAGGAGGACAGTTGCATAGTGGACCGGCGTGTCCTGGGTGCGCTGGCTCCTACCAGGTGTATGTGTCTCACCTCTGGGAAAGTATCGTTTTCGCTAACCGGTTCGTGTTCACAGGTCTGGGAGATATCCCATTCAAGCAGCATCCCGATTTCACAAGGCGGATTCTTCTCAACCTTTACCCCTTCGTACAGAACAAAGGGCCTTGGGAAGAATTCTTGACCAGAAACAAAACTCCGCCCTATATCAGCGCGGAAGCCGAGGTCGTTTACAGAGACCTGGCTCACCGAGATCAAGCATCCGACGAGCTTACGCCGCCAGACGTCACCCGTGCCGGTAGACGGCGCTCCAGGCTATCAGCTGCCCTAGGCTTGGAGAAGCTCGCCGCGAACATCAAGCAGCGAAAGGACAAAAAGAACAAGGAGAAAGCCAGCAGGAAAGTTGTCACTCAACGATATCTCGTTCTTGCCTCGGATGGCTTCACCGACATATGTTCGACCGAGGAGGGCGGCATGGAGAAGGTGGTGAAGAGTTGGGCCCAGGAAGTGCTGCAGTTGGGCTGTCCGGCGAAGGAGTTCCAAGAAGTTCGTGATAAGCTCCAGGAGAGGGAGGACGCATTGAAGTCTGGATCTGCCACTCCCCGTGGACCTCAGTCAACCGGCCTTACACCTTCCGTTGGCCTCGCCATCGACACATCTGTCGGGGGCTCCAGCAACACGAAATCAACTGACAAGCGACCACTGTCTCCTGTCAGTCCCACGTCACCAGTCCCATTCACGAGTGGGTCATTCTCCTCGTCGATGAATTCATTATCGATACCCTCCGTCCCCGAGGCCGCCTCGTCGGCTGCGTCTACCATATCCCAATCTCCACACTCCGATCCCAAACCAGCTGTCGTTCAACCTTCTGCTCCTAAATCCAGACCTAAACTTGACAGGCGACCACCCCTTCCCCATACAAACCGCTCTTATCACTGCACTTCCAACACTAACATGGCGTTGCGTTTGTTGAGGAGGGCGCTAGGAGGTGAGGAGAGGAATAACGACAAAGTCGCTAAGGCTTTGACTGTTGATATGGACGTTTCGTGGCTGGATGATACCGCCATCGTCGTCGTCGGCCTGTGATCTGGGTCTTCCACTGGGTTCGTTATTTATTTTCCAATCATTACTCTTTCTTTCTGGGTTCTTTATTGGGTATCAAGCTCGGGACTAATACAGGTCGTGGAACAGATCCATCCACTTGCACATATGGCGTTACCTTTCGTCTTTTTTTCTTTTGTTTGCTTCTTGGCGGCATGAGGACGTATCCTTACTGCCCTGCCAGTTAATATGTATTTGTATTACGCTTTTTGGTGACCTTGCATCCACGTTCCCGCTTCCCTACCCTATCTTTCTATTTGCATACCCGTGTCGTTTTGGTTTGATATCCTCGCCATTCGTTCGTTCCCCTTTCAACTGCATATCGTCCACATCTCTCCAAGCTTCCCCCTCCCATTCCGCATACATCTTCCCTTCGCATAACTGCATAATCCCTGTAACGCATCCATCCACTCCACACACATCCGCAAAGCGCTTTCGACTGCTTATATCTCTCTCGTCTCATTTTCACTCCATCCATCCTCGACCTCATAACATACACATACACTGCATACTCCCAACATTACAAACATGCATCTTTCGAAGTTCTAACCTGTATTACTTGTCTTCCTTTTTCGCCTTCGTTCCCCTTCCATACAAACCTTGTCCGCCTTCCTTAGGTTGTTCGTTGATATATGCATTCGGTACTTTAGGGTTAATGTAATTGGTCTTTTGACCGCCTTTCTTTCAGAATGCGTGATTGAAATTAAAACGCCGGGTCGGATTATTGACGTTTGCAAAAATCTGGGACTTTGATCGCGCACACACGCGCGGGTAATCTTCCGAGGCCAATCTTCCAATGCCCAAATATCCACAACGGCTGGGCCGTTTTCTATGATTTCATATCTGTTGTAAATGTTGAGAGTAGCTGTACACCCGAATCTAATTTTCTTTTCGAAATTCGGACAATTTGAGGATCTTCAGAAAACGAGCCTGATTTTTACTGTTCAACCCAGTGCGAGTGTTTGACACATCGACACATCGAGGGGCCTTGGCCTCGGAAGATTGCCCGCGCGCGTGTGCGCGATCAAAGTCCCAGGTATTTTGCAAACGGCAATAAACAAGGGTATGTGGAGAGGAGAAGGGGAGGAGGAGACGCGGGTGTAGAAGAGGCTGTCGTAAAGCGCTGCCTTGACGTTAAGCGGTGACTGTATAAGTGCCTTTTGACCATTGTCGGTGTGCCAGTAGATCCCAAAGCGGAAGGAGTCATTGCGATCCGGGCGCGAGAGTGGCCTGGGGAGCACGACGCCTGCTTTCGTTTCACCCCCTTGAAGCAGTGACATTGCTTTCAGACTCCCGACCAGCTGTTAGCGCTCCAGTGCTAGGATATGAGTCTTCAGTAGTAGCAACTTGTACCAAAAGGCCTGGTGAGCGCTATTAAACCGCCCACTCAAGGTCTCCTTGTGTGTTTAAATCTCACAATATCGCGCGTTCATCGGGAAAATGTTCTATATATTAGATGTCTATACAGTAAGAGAGTCACCGGTTTCGAGTCTGGAGGTCGCGAGAGGAAGAAAGAGAAAGGATAAGTACTCCGTTGAAGTCTTCTATCAAAAGCCTTCCAGGGCGGACTTGATAACTGTACCGTTGATATGACAGGTAGGAACATAGCTCGGCTTGACTAGCCCTAGATTTGCCTCAACGAAAGTGAAGCCAGTCTTCAGTATCTCCTCACGTCTGACTGCCTTGACATAGAGGTCCGTCACTACCTCGGCTGCTACCAGAGCCTGTAGAAAAGGAAGTCAGCGTTGAGATGTTGTGCTCAAGAGAAAAATAATAAACTTACGTCGATTGCCTTGATCACCCAGTCATGACATCCAATGGTTCTCCATCGCATATTCGCGAAGACGCGTGAAGCGTCCTTTGGGTTAGCGACTTTATCCAAAAACACAAGTCCGACCAATTTGGTCTGCCTGCTCCTGACCTTGCTTTCATCGAGAACCCATTGCCCGTTCCTGTCGATATACGCGGTCCATGACCGGGCGACAGGCTCGGGGGAGGCAATGTCGGCACCCTTGGGGAGGAAGAGGAGCCCGACATCGTACATGTCGTACTTGGAGGCCTGAGGAGGGGGGTAATCGCGGGTGTAGAAAGCAATGTAGAGTCTGTACTTGTTGACTAGAAAAATACCATGTTAATTTTCAACTCGGAAAGAGGGGCGTAAGTTGAGTGCACTTACTGGACATCTTGTGCGGTGGTTCGATGGGGGAAATATTACTACTGGGATGTGAGGCTGGAGGAGTCCCTTTTATAGGGTAATTTCTACGTCGGCCAAAGCCACTTCTGAGGGCGCGTCAAAGCATTGTACGTTGTCTGTGCCCGTGAACACATTGTCTGTCGTCGTTACTGCACCTCAGCCTGATCAAAGACAAACAGTGCAGCTACCTGTATCCAAGTGCACTCACGGACAAAGATTGAGCCTGTGGCCCGGATAGGTTAATTTCAATCCAGCCGTGAGTGTGACTGATGTCGCGGTCGACCGACAATGAGCACTCCCGGGGTCTTTTGCCATGGGCCAGGTCGCTGAGAAGGCCTACGGTTGGGTGGTCATGGCTGCACTAATATCGCGCCGTCTGTATCCAGAGTTTGAAGTGTAAAGGAAAGATATTGAAAAGAGAATATCTTGCCTTTCATTCAATGAAGTCTCCTTTCAAGTAATATGCGCGGTACGCGACGCGACGGGTGGCAATAGCCGTGGGACCGACCTGCCAAGAGATCAAAGCCGTTAAGCGCCTCCACCTCGAGGCTGAGTAAACTTGTGGGAAGCGGCCGCCAGGCGCCGTGTTTCCGAGCCAGAATGGCGTGTACCAGTCTAACTGCGCCTCATGCGCACTGCGCAAGCCCCTGAGCGCTCAGAGACCCGCTACTGTTGAGCTGCAGGAAGAAATTGGAATATTTCAGTCGCAGGAGTGACAGAATGGCGCACCAGAACTGCGCTCCATTGCTCACGCGCACTGCGCAAGCCGCTGAGAGCCCGGAGACTTGGAGGGTGAGATCTAGGAAAGAACGAACAATGAGGGCCTCATTGTGGGCATCCACTATTACCACTGGCCTCCTGATAGGCTCGTTCTAAGTATTACTTACTCTCAATGCCATTGCTCGCAGTGCCATTGAATGGCCCTTGAGGGGAATGCTCCCGGAGGGTCTTACCAAAATAAGTAAGTTCGGAGGTCGGGTCACCGAAAATGCCGGTTGATTGCATGTTGATGCACCTGGCGGAAAGTACCCGATCCATTCTGGCTCGGAACCCTTTGTACTTAACATTGTCTGTTCTTTCCGCACACGTATCAAATTCAGTAGTCGACAGTCATAATGAGGCGATCTAGTCGCATAATAGAACTGGCCAGGAAGCCAAACTATGTGGATCTCGCCTCAAGCATCGTTGACGAACTAGACTCAACTTGACCGGCTCAAAGCGCAAGCGAGGAGCGAAGAAAGGCAACGGAGCCAGGTTAAACGTTCGAGCCAAAAGGAAGAAGCTGAGAGACGGAGCTGGCAAGGCTTTGGATTAGTGGCCACGACATCCCTCTCAATGTATTCGACTTTTGTGTCTGAACAGCTGTAGCAGGATTCATAGCACTTTGAAGAGCTCGAACATATTGTTAAGATATATATTACACTCTCATGAATTACAGTATATCTGGACTAGTCAGCAAACTGGTATACAACATAGAATTTTGGGTATAAAAACACTGTGGATACAGAATCATACTACCTGAATATGACTTTCCATATCCTCATGCATCACCAAAAGATACCTAACCATTCAATACAATGAAATATCGAGTGATCCTTCTTGTCACCCGGGATAATCAGACTACTGATTAAGGCTGTCCACGAGTCAGCCCTACTCGCGAGTACTTGCAAGTAGACCCGTGGGAATACTTGTGAGTATCCTGACTCGCGGATCCGAGTCACCCGTGCCAAAATACTCATGCGAGTCCGAGTTTGGGATTTTGGCCCATGAGTACTTGTAAAAAAGGCCTTAAACAAGGCTTTACGGCCCTCTAGTGCTGTATATCTGCTTTAAGTAGGGTGACCGGGTCTATCCATGAAAGGAACACTAAACAAAGGTATATTGATAGAGATATCACAGATTAAAAGCATACAAACCCTTGTGAGTATTTGACTCGTGGATCCGAGTCACTCGTGCCAAGAAACTCATGTGAGTCCGAGTTTGGCTTTTGGTACTGTGAGTACTTGCCTTGCGGCTCCGAGTCAACTCGCGAGTTGACTCGTGGACAGCCTTACTACTGATCCAATGGACGGCCCTTCAATGGACGACATTATACTGAGTGAAATGTATTGAAACCGTGTCACGGGTACCCGGTACCCTCACGTGACCAGCTATCGCCTGAAATCGACGGTCTTTTCGACGATTTGGGAAGTGGGGAGGTCTTTTGAAGAGCAGAGGTCCAAGCTCGAGCGGATTTGGCAGGCGGTTTGGCGCCGAGCGATGCCGGCGTCCATTTCGGGCAGCGAAGTGCCCGTTTTGGTCGTTTTTGATGCGGAGCTTGAATTGGAACATTTGAACTTCACATCTCTCCCTTGCTCTCGATGGCGCTCGGTGCGTCTGTACATGAATTTCACGATTGATTAAGACGCAGATAGATTCTATCTGTACTATTAACTTAGAAATGGGCTCCCATCCCATGTGTAGGAGCAATAATCAACCACCCAGGGCTCCATTGGCCAGAATTTCGGGTTGAACTGGGAAGAGACATACAATGGACGAGAAACCAAATGGATGGGGCACAGAAGACGTTGAGATAACGCATGATCAAGCTGAATTAGACTCTGAGAGAGAAGCAGAAGAATTGGAGGAGGGTAAAGATGAATTTTCGCACCTCTGGCTGTAGGTTGATAGGGGCTTGTTTACTAAATCAATCAGATCAGCCGTTTCTCGCTTCGGTGGTGTTCGGTGGGTATCAGGGTGGTAGATTGACAGCGGGAACCATGCCAAGGGCTCCCATTATACGGTATAATGCTACTGTGTACCGGTACCCCACCGAAAAAGCGAGGGTACCCGGGGGTACCCCCGCTAGTGGGCAGTATGCCTTATATCCTATGTACTGAAATGAAGCCGACTTGTTTAAAAGGTTCTAAAAGGTTCGCCCCGCGGACCGCCAAGCGAACTAGCGACGTAAAGGCCGGCCAGCCTGGCGGGTCATGACGTCACACTGGGCAAAGCTTGCTGCTCTGAAGCGGGGACTTTGACAGAAAGGAACAAAAATTCTCTGCTTTCATTAAAATGTTACAAAAAGGATCACATCGAGGTAAGAGGATCATCATACATCCCCCAAACATACCAATGAAGAGCGAAGTTCAGCCATCATTTCGGCACCTTTTACCGAAGCCACCACTCCTTCGAAGGAAACACCTCTCCTTGAAAGGATGCCCGACATCACTTTATCTTAGGTACCTTTTGGTGATGTGCATTAGTGTCCAGCCAATCCGGGTTGCAACGCGGACGTCCGTCGACGTCACAGGTGATCGTCCCAGAGCTGGGAGGATTGGATCTCAGGAAAAGGATTCCAGTGTTAAGGATAATCGAGCCGTTTATCACCTCTGCAGGGTCGGAGTCCCTAATCAAGCCCCTGTGGAGGAACTCCTGCAAGTGAAATAATCAGTAAGCGCCAATACAACTTATAGATAGGAGCTTTGTCACTTACATTTAAGATTCGGATTGCCCATGGCTCTCCCGCACAACGCGCATATTCATGAAGATCGCGAACTTCGTCCACGGTTGTCAAATCATCGAGAAGTTTATAAGCCCACTTAGGATCAGCTGTTTCACCCAAATAAACCAGGGCATGGCAGCTCATGGAGATCGGCCGCCCGTTATTGTAGATTTCGTGAGTCTCAATAGGCCACAGTCGTCCCTTATCGTACGCTGCGTCAAAGCGATAGGCGGGATAATACCGGCTAACCTCGAGGAAAGGCTCGGGGATGACGAGAAATCCGAAGTCATAGAGAGCTTTGCCATGTTCGTCCCGTCGAATTGAATCGCCTTGGGGTGGGTCGACTGTGGGGCGTCCGAACACTCCATCAAAGTTTTCGATGATTAGGTAAATGTTGTACTTGATACGGGGCATGTTTTGCTGGATCAAGTGGCTGGGAATGAGGGTAGGGAGGCAGAGTGACAAGAGAAGGTCTCCTTTTATACAGGGGAGACTCAGCTGCATTGTTCATCGCCATGTGGCCCATGCGGAAGTGTTTCCCTAGGGAAGACAAAGGTCCAAAAGACACCAAAGACCACACCATTCAAGTGGACGTAAGACTCGTCGCGCCATTGCTGACTCCAAGTTTCACGTGCGCGGAACCCCGAACTCAAAGGTCGATCACCTTCCATCCGAGTTATCCGAGCTTCTTGGACGGGCGTTCGGATAGCCCACAAGTTGAAAAAGGGGTTGGATCCAAACAACGCGCCCTACTGAGATACATTATTACAGGCGATACTGGTTAGCTTACAAATTTCATCGGAAACACTGCCGGTAAACATCCAAAGAAACGCGTTTTCCGATAGAGAAGAAAGCATTGCCGGGTGTTCATCGTCTCCTCTCATAGCCCCTATCTCTCTCCCGGCCCCCGCCAGCGGACGCAACGGGCGGGGTAGCAGATCGACGCCTCATATGCGGAGGAGGTGAGCGGGAACGCGAGCGTGACCTGTCCCTCTCATCATGACTGTGACTGGGGCCATTTCGGTAACCGCGATCATAGTCGTTGGGCCGGTCGCGTTCGCGAGGGGGCGGAGAAGGCGATGGTGGCGGCGGTCGACGGTCCCTATCCTTCTCTCTTTCCCTTTCCCTGTCCCTGTCTCGTCCCCCGTCGCGTTCCCTCTCTCGATCCCTATCCCGACCAACAGGTGAACCTCGTCGATAGCCTCCAGACCCACGAGGAGGCGTCCTATCCCTCCTATCCCGCTGATAGTCTGCTTGGTCCATCTCTACATCCATCTTGTCGTTGGGGTAATCTCGAGATCGATAATCTCCATCTCGCTCCCTATCACCATCGCGATCCCTATAGTCTCGGTCATCACGTCGATAATCCCTAAGGCCATCCCTGTCCTTGTCTCGCCGAGGTGGGGAACGATCACGGTCTCGTCGTGGGGGTGTCACAGAGCGCGAAGGCGAGCGACGCCTCCTGGGAGGGGTTGAATCACGAGACGAGCTCCTGTCGCGTCCTCTTCTACGGGATGGTCCGCGCGAACGACTCGAAGAAACGGACCTCGACCTGGAGCGCCTTCGATAAGAGCGAGAGCGACGGCGAGAATAGTACGAGTCTGAACTGGAGGAACTATCCGACTCGCTGGAATCGGTGTCGGAATCAGAGTCGGAATCGGAATCAGAGGTCGAGTCTGAGTCGGAAGAGTCCGAAGATGAAGATTCGGCTTCCAGCATTGCGCGACGTTGTTCCATGATGAGCTTGGGAGCATTCTACGCAACGGGACGCGTAAGAAACAAGAAGCGACGAAAAGATTCGAGGACATACCTTCAACCACTCTCGCATATCCTCCGTAACGACACCAAGGCCGATACTGGTGAAATAGTTGATGCTGAAGCGGGTATTTTTGGGGATGTCGGTGGGGAACATGCCGGCGCAAGCATGCTTAATTTCAGGGTCTTGGAACCTTTCTTTCAAAGTCGCCAAACCCATACTCTCCATCATCTCTTGCATCAGAATCTTGATGAAGATACGACTACTACTTGTCGTATCATCTTCGTTCATTTTGACGCATTCAAAGACGGTCCAGGCAATGGCATCCGAGGCAAGCATGTGGCCAAAGAACCGGGCGATATTACGGAGCCGGTTGGTTTCGTATCTGTGGATGGTGTTGTAGTAGTTGACGAAAGCCTGCTCGAAGCAATCGGTCCAGACGCGGTTGAGTCTGCTGAAACGTTCCCCGATGAGCCCGTAGAAAGTAGAATATGATCGTTCTTGTGAGCAACACTCAATGATCATGTTAACGAGCTCGATCTAGAAAGTAGAGACTCAGTCTGGTTTCAATGGGCTGAAGGAAAGCCGGACACACCTCTTCGCCTTCTTGAAGTTGGACCTTGAGCAATTTGTGGACGGCTTCCTCATAGTTAAGGGCGTTCATGATAGTAAGGTAGATAGTGCGACGAAGGTTAACGAGGTTTGTGCCAGTTTTGTCTTCAATACCCTCCTTGTCGGGCATGACTGCAGATACAAGTTAGCTCAATACACAAGTGTATTGGGACAGGTATACACACCTTCGTCGTCAGAATCGTCGTCAGAGTCATCGGAATCAGAACCACTTTCATCGTCATCATCCGAATCTTCGCCCAAGATTTCGGCTTTGATAGCCTTATACTTCTCCTCGTTCTCCAGGTAGTTGGGGTCGAACTTGAAAATGTCTGAAACGCTCGATCAGGGTGATAGCTAGGCGAAAAATGGCTTGAACATACTGAGTCCATCCTGAATCTGCAGTTCTTCTTCGAGTTGAATTTGATGCGTGATTTGTTCTTCCTCCTCGACGAGGTCCAGCCCCTCAGGGATGGTTGGGTTGTCTTTGTACTTGTCTTTCCTGACCTGCATCAATACTTCAATCATATATTGCACCCTGTGACTGATGTTGCCCTCGTTCAACACGGCGCGGAATCGCTCATAGACGGTCGCGTTGGCTTTGGGCGAATTTTCCGCCAAGAAGGCGCCGACTTCACGCATGAAACCGACGGCAATTTCGATAGAGTCGTCGGTGGGACGTTCGAGTAGGAGGACCAAGATTTGAAGGGCAATGATTTCATGGGCAACAGTTTGGTTGACGAGGTGCGCGATGAAGGTAGTTGTCGAATTGCACACAATCTGAAAACGTGGCTGCATTAACGGCAAGTATTAAGGCAGTATGTGCGAGGGCCACGCACCTTGTCATTCCGCTTAAACGCCCTCCTGAACTGACTGATAAGCCGAATGAGCACCAACTCGCCAACTTGAGGAAGTTTCGTGTTGACCACTGCGACGACAGCGGCGAACACAGGGGTGAATGGCAAACTGGCGGCTTGAGCTTTCATGATACTCCTGGCGAACAACCCTCGCCCTCGAATCAGGTTTTCCGAGAACAATTCCGGTATAATCTGCTTGATGTTGGCAATGTTGACTCGATTGACGATACCGGTGATGGACTTTCGCAACGCATCCCAGGAAAGACGCTGGTATTCGGGGGAAGCCTTGTCTTTCGCTGCGGCCGCTTCTTGGAGGGCTCTGAGACGAGCAGGCGGCATGTAGACACCTCCTGAACGTGTGTTATTGCCCAGAAGCTTTGCGAATTCGGCCTTTGCATCGAAATCCTTCTCTGCTGGCTTTTCGGTGGTCTTGACTAGTTCTTTCGAGGGCCCAGCGTCGTCATTTTGGCCCCTGTCCTTTGACGACGGCGGTGAGCGCGAACGTCTTCGGGTTGAGCGCGGTGGAGTCCCATCCGAGTCCGGGGAAGGCGACCTGTACAGTCCAAATGTCCAACGGTCAGTTCAACTTCATCACGGCACATTCCAAATCAGTTATTGCACGCACCTCTTCCGTTTTTGTTGTGAATGGCTGTCAACATCCATGACTCCTGGTCGTTCTGGTCGCTGTTCTGGTTGTGGTTGAGACGATACTCTGGACGTTGCTCGCAGCGAGCAACACGAGTGTCCGACTTCAACAATTTCGTCGACGTCGACTTGCTGCCTCCGTCACTGCCGCAACGGTTGGCGCTGTTTGGCTAACACTATTAGGTAATTATTTAATTATTTACTTTTCGGAGATCCGCTAAGAGGTTAGCAAATCTCCTCCAGGTTCATCTTCCTCCAGCAAGTCCATTCGTCATACAGAGTCAGGTGGTACAAGGGCAAGGGCTCGTTGTCCACAGGGGTATCCGGCAAACTCGAAGCTTATATGAACTATCCAATCACATGAAATGTCGTCAGTTAGGCTCATTTCTTTCGCTATTTAATCCTGCAAGTCCACTTTACCGGGCGTCTCGAGAGATAACCGGTCTACATAGGTGTGCTGCGACGGTTTAGCCTGCAACGACGACCTTCTTCTGCGCCTTTCTCTACAAGTTTGACGTATAAGGACCTAAGGAGCTCTTTGAATTCACCAATGGCGACACTAGAGCCCATTCCGAACGTGACCAAGGTAAGTCGCATGGTTATCAATGAATAGCACTCACTGATTGACTTGGGACTATCTAGCTCAGTGATAGGGTCATTAGAGTGTTGGGTCAGAACCCGGGCAAGTTCACGTTACAAGGTTGGTGCCACTGTCCAGGGTTCTGAAGTGCGGCGCATTTGACACCCGATGCAGGCACCAACACCTACCTGATTGGCACCTCCAACCCCTACATCCTTATCGACACCGCAGAGGGCCGAGACGAATACATACCCGTCCTCGAGGCTGCTTTGAACAACGAAGCCAAACCCACCGACCCGTCTTTACCAGACGTCTCAGATATCATCATTTCGCACTGGCACCACGACCACATTGGGGGCATTCCAGCTGTTCTTGAGTTACTGCAGAAACGGTGGGCTTCCAGAAATCCTTCGACACCTTTCCCGGCACCTCGTCTCCACAAATACCCACTTTCGTCCTCGGATATCCCGACTGAGCAGAAGAAATGGGATTACCTACCCAAGATCCTCAACGGGCTGTCCAAAGAGTTATATACCCCTTCACCATCCGGTTCCATCCTTCACGACCTCCACGACGGACAGATTATCAAGGGGAACTCAGCCTCCCTCCGGGTCCTTCACACACCAGGGCATACTCTCGATTCTATCTCTATTTACATCCCTGAAGACCGCGCCTTGTACACCGCGGATACAGTTCTGGGCCAAGGCACCAGCGTGTTCGACGACTTGGGGTTGTACCTCAACAGTTTGAACCGGATGCTCTCTTTCACCATCGACCCTCCCGACTCCCAGCCTGCTGCGGACGGCGACACCATCAACGTGGCCCAGGTGGTGCTGTACCCCTCCCATGGACCGATGGTGGCCAATGGAAAGGAAACCATTTCAATGTACATCAAACATCGGTTGGATAGGGAGGCACAGGTTGTGCAGTTGCTTGCGGGTCCTCCACAGGGCGAAGAGGCTTGGTCGACGTGGGGTATCGTCAAGACGCTCTACAAGTCTTACCCGGAAAATTTGTGGGAACCGGCGATGCGGGGTATCGACCTTCATTTGAGGAAGCTGCAGGAGGAGAAGAGGATCAGGAAGTTGGACGGAGAGGGTAAGACTTCGACTTGGTCGCTGGTGTCGAGGACGCCTTCGCCCAGTCTGTAATTGTCTCCAGTGTTGGTGTGTAGTGAAGGTACACTCTATTTTTGCGGGTTGGGGACGATCTGACTGGTTTCCTATCCACAGTGTACATTATTCTGTTCCTTGTAATGAAGATGGTCGCTTATTATTCTCTTCTCTTACCGCTCACGTTCTATTGAGGTGACCATAATGGTCCCGCCACTTTTCCGTCACCGATCCTTTTCAGGCTCGGTCCATCGGCACATCCATTGTGCGCAATAGGCATTTTTACGCCTATTGTCCAATTGGTCCATCCTCCACGACAGCTATAAGGCGTGACCCCTTTTTCTACCACCTCCCATCTCATAACCCAACAAACAACAGAAACTGTTCACCAGCATGACTCGACGATCAACTCGGCAGAGAACTGAAGCAGAACACTCTCGACGCGACTCGGAAACCAGATCATCTGAGGACGACTCCTACGAAGTGGGGCTTTCGACTGGCTCGAAGCGCAAACGAGTTTCGGGGAGCGAAACAACCCCGACGCAGGTGACTCCTGGGGGGTCCCCCTCTGGAAACCCTGTCCGGACTGGTGGCTCCGCAACGCCAGGCTCGCATACGAGCGCAGCCTCACCAGCGATAATCGCGGATCCCACCAGCGCTGCTTCACCCCTGGAACAGCTACCTTTGGATATGTGGCGAGAGGCAAGTCGATTGCCTGCCGGGTCTTCCGAGTTTCGTCCATATACTGATGTGATCCTTACCGTTATAGGTCTTTGGACACCTGGATGTGGAAGGCCTCGTCAGTCTTCTACGGGTCTCTTGGAGTTTCCGAAACACGCTGCTCGATCGGGAGTTCAGTCGAGAGATCTGGGTGAAGGCCCTCGAGGAGGTCGTGCCAACAGTCCCACCTTGCCCCGAGGACCTGACAGAACCTGCGTATGCCATGCTACTCTTCGGGTACGAATGTCAAGTAGGTTCTTCGTGATCTCTGGTGTAGTACTCGCCGTTCGCTAAACGATATGATAGTTCTGCCCCACTCGCAGTGCAAGAGGTACCCGTTTATTGATGACATGGCGGATGAGGGCTTGTTTCAAATGTCTTGAGGGAATGTAGGTCTCTTTCCCTGCGACTGTAATCCGCTGTTGGCTGATGCGAATTGACCCTTTCCTGTCTAGGTTCTCAACCAAGGAGGAGCCGGCTCATGAGCAATGGCATGAAATCGTGCCCTTCTGGTCCCGTACTAGGACAGACAAATCCGTCCTTGATGATGACGATGGTGACTACTACGACGAGTGGGACAAAGACGGGGAAAACAATACACGCCGACGATATCCGCACACAGGGGGTAGACTGGAATGGTGCCATACTGAACTACTCAGGGCTCGCCAAGAAGAGTTCGAAAACGTTCCCGACGGTGAGAAGGAGGCCTGGAAGGAGCGGAAGCGTGCCGAATACGCAATCAGGGAAGAAGTGAGCTTGCTTCGTTACTGTGTTACTGTGCAGTGGTATGCGATTCTGACTTGCGTCGTTAGCATGCTCAAAAGGTCGATGAATTCAACGAAAGGCTTGTTGTTGGAAACTGGGCACTGTGAGTGTTACCGAAATCGTTGCCGGGATTAGTACCAACGCATTTGCAGCCTGTTGCACAAGATGGAGGACCTTGGTTTAGGCCCGTATATTGGGTTTCGGAGAGATAGCGAGGATCAGGATCCCTCGGATTGGTTGGTCAATCACCAGAACACTACGTACTCGCACAGATTCCTATGCGCCAGGGTCGTCGATGATTTATCGCAGCAGAGGATTACCGACGCAGGTATGTACTATCATGCCGCCTCTCTTTGTTGATAACAGCATTCGGTTGCTGACCCGAGTAACAGTCTGGGAAAGGTGGAAGGACCGCATCATCGAGGTTGCCCAAAAGCTGAAGAGGATCGTCGATGAAGAGCGACGCGAAGCGGAGTATGAAAGAAGGTGGGCCCATGTTCGCGACGCCTGTCGCAAGTATCATGCGTCGCAGCCCGTCAACGAGTTTCTGTTTGTCGCGGCCGACATTGTCCTTCGACCGGAGATCGACATTGATTACTTGCCCGACAACCCCCTCAACCATGATCCAGACGATCCCCCGCGCCTTTTTTACGCTCTACGTCATGGTCGCGATTACCGAATCGACAACACCGCACCGATCGCGGACATCTGCGCAACCTATCGCGAGGAGAAGAAACAATACTTGTGGGCGATAGCGGCACCCAAAATCAAGGAGGTTCTTGGCCTGTGCCGGGAACCGCCTATCATCTTCATCGAGTCCGTCGTCGCATTGTTCATGTGCCGCCACTGTCCCGATGCGTGTGCACTGCACTGGCTTCAAGCTATTGGGCATCACTGCCCCCTGCCCGACAAGAGCGATGATGATCGTCGCGAAGAGTACACCGAAGAGGATTGGGTCATAGTCAAAAATTCGAAGGTTCACCGCTGGAACACCCCAGAAGGCTCAATCACCCTGAACGTGGAGGCTTGCCGACGGATGAGCGACCTTCTTCCCGCGATGGGACTCGATTACTCTATCTCATTCTCTGACATGGACCGCATCGACCCCATCTTTCGATGCTTCCATCTTTCCCCCCCTCAGCCGCATCCGGGAAGGGCGTGGTCAACAATTAATTGTTGGTTGTTTCAAGGGACCATGCTGGATTGGAGACTGGCCGCGGTGAGTCCTATCGACAGTGGCGGGCTTTGAAGTTTGAAAAACCCACATCCTGACAAAATATCTGGCAGGCTGTTCATTCTTGTGAGATTCACAACCTTGAAGAAGTCGACGAGGAGACGGCCGAATACGTTCGGGATCGCATGAATGAAGCTCGGGCGAGGGACAGGAAGACCTGGTCGCTGGTGTGCGGCAGGTGCAAGTTCAATCACAACGATGGACGGATGATGGCGCATCACGTACAACAAAAGTGTCACCCAATGCCTTTCCCGGGAATAGTACCGGGTTACGTCCGACACGACGGGGAAGTCACGCTTTTGATGAACGTGGTAGAGGGATGGCTGTACAATCCTCCTATGCGCGCCCCCTACCTGCATCGCATCAAGTATGAGGGACCTTTGGGATACCTGTGATACTGACTAGTGTGACAATGGTAGATAAAGTGTTACTGTACTTCTTCCACCCTTTCAATGAATTTGAGATTCCAGTGCCTGGTTCTTTCACGGTGTCCAAGCAGACGGGATAGGGCATTTCGAGATTCGAGCGGCTTCTTGAAAAACGAAGTCGTGTCCATCTAGATCGCAAATTTTGTGAGTTCCATTTGTCATTCCTCATATGGGAGGCCTACCATTTTCATAGCGTGTTGGTCCCTGAAGGGAAGAGCATTAAGATATTCACTGCTCAGGATATCGACTTGGAGACAAGAACGTACCAGTTGTTCTATGCGATATCCGGAGCTCCTGTACCTATTGTGGAAGTGATGAGGAAAACGATAGGTAATATCATTCCAACGGGCGAGGCGTCAACGTACCGTGGATCAGGCATAACGGCTTGGAGACCCAGAGTCACTCTCAAGGATTCGATGAACCGAGAGACAGGTCCAGTCGGCTCGGCTTTGTACCACGGAACAGACTTGTATCTGCCAGCGAGTCTGAGAAATGATCTTAATAAAGCTCCACAAACTTACATTGTAGGACGAAACACCACCTCCCCGTCCGGGAGTTTGGGATCCACGACCCACGGTGCGTTCCTCGGCGGAACACCAAAGTACCGCTGCACAATCCACAAGCTCGTCATAAGTCCCTGAACGAGGGTTCGTAGGAATAGTGAAGGTTGCGAGTACATCATCGCTATGCGGACGCGGTCTTCGAGGAGGCAGATTATGATGCGTTTGACGAGAGCATTGAGGCCTAGAAAGGCGGGTACGGCGTAGATGAGTTCCTCGAGGGTGGCGCTGGCTACTTTGTGGTTTGTCAGGGAGGGAAGCATGTAGGTTTCTTCGTATGCCTGCTCGAGCGGAAGAATTTGCGGAAAAGAGATCAAGGAGTGTGAGGGCATGATGAGAGGAAGTCAGCCAAAGAGCGCATACCCTGCTCCATGCATCCATCGCTTGGCGATTGGGAGGGATATCGCGGATGTTCATTTTTAACCCGATGTCTTTCCAAAAGATGTACCAGGCGTCTTTTTCCATAGGTGAAAGTGAGCGCCAGCCAAAGCGGTCTGCCCATCTCTGAAGAATCATTTGCGCTTGTCTACTTTTTGGCAAGCATGTGGGTTGGGACGTACTGGTGGCTCGAGTACGAAGAGGGAGAGGGTGTAGAGATATTCATCGTTTGACTGTCGTTTCGAGTGAGGTTAAGGGTTGAATGTGAAGGTGGTTAACGTACGATCTTGTATCGAGAATGAAGGTAGTTTGTTCTGGCGAGGGCGATAGCAACTCTGGGATCTTTGACGGGGTTTCTCTCATTGCTTGACTTGGATGGATCCAGGAAACCGTTGACTGGACATGAGAGCCAGGTCCCTGAGACGCGTACAAGTTAGGTGCTCATGGGCCATTGGGCGGACACGGGCTATAATACCTATGAGGATTTCGGTCTACTATGGCATGAGCTGGGCTAGTCAATGAAAACTCTAGCGACATAATCGACTCACGTCTGCGTACCTCTTGGACACCTTCTCTCGGGTACTATGTTCCTGTGTGCTCGAGAGGAGTTTCGAAATGGAAGGCTACACCACAAGAATAAACCATCATTCATATCGGCAACAAAAACAAGAATAACTTTGTCCTTACGATAGCATACGTCTTGAACAAGGCAAAGCCTATTGCCCTCTTTAGAGCGAAGACCAAGTCACGTCCGAGTCCGACGTGGATGATCTGCTGCGCTTCTGCAGGGGTTAGCGACCCGGCCTTCCATTTCGCTTCGTATTGTTCATGAATTTGGTAATAGCGCTTCCAGCGGTGCCGACGGAGAAGATAGAAGGCAATCAGGGCGAGAGCGCCGACCATAAGCTTCGGATTGCCTCTAAATGAGGTCGAATTGCCCAAAGAGCGCAAAAAATGAACAGTTGCCATAGGAAGATGTCGGATTCAAGGCGCAAAGACGACCCATACATTTCTGTCGAAACATGGGAATACCCACAGGAAACTTCGTTAGGAGATCTCGGCGCCCTTGTGACCAGCGACCTCAATCGCATGATCTGTTCGATGTAGTGCACGCTGACGGTCTCCGTGAGTTTTGAAAGAGTCTATACATTCCTGGCCATGAACAAAAGTCGCGTTTCTACCATTCAGGATTCAGAGGTGGTGGTGGTGTACATGTCGACCGCACGGATAAACCGCGGGCGCGTTGGCGGGCTGTGCTGACTAAGCTATTTGTACGCGGCGGGTTGCCAAACAAAGGAGGCTTGCTTCCCAATGGGGAAAGAGGTCCCACGGTTCCCGCGTCTGCGAAAGGCCATTGTTCTGTGGCAACAATGGCAAGAACAATAAGGGAGCACGGATGGAGCAACAATGCAGAACCAAGGGAACTACGTTTTCCTTATTTTCAGGATCCGAGTATCGAGAACGACATCTAAGGTGTAACCTGAACCACCACCATCTCGAAGGCGCCAGCCTTCCACTTTTTCCACCAGCCTTGACGGTTTTTCACTTATTTTATTGCTTATTCGTTCGTCCAAGCTAGACTTGAGCATGTCGCTCTCTCTTCTGCTTCTTTCTCTTATCACGACAGTCGGTGAGTTGCCCTCTCTGATCGTCATCCTCGACAGCGAGCTGACCTGATCTTGTAGTTGCACAGTCAACACCCGCGGTTGTATGTGTCCCCGGGCAATGTATACAAGGTTTTTCCAATATCACCAGTATGTCTTGATTTTGATATCTAGTTCTTCTTGGTATTCATGTCATTTTGTAGTCGGTGGAAAACTGTCTGCGTCGGGCGCCCAGACAGACTTGCATCTCCTACCAGGAGAATATTCTTCAGCAACAGACCCAAAGCTCCTTAATGAACTCCTTACCTCTTCTTCAGCAACTTTCACCCCATCCGCAGGCTTCAGCCGCAACAACGTAGCGCCCTTACCCCTCAGCCTAAAACTCGAACCAGGCCTCGCTATCTACTCTGGCTCAAGATACTCTGGCCAAGCAGGATTCTCAGCACTACCATCCGCACCAATCGTTAATGCAACAACACCATTCACCGCCAACTCGTTAGCCCTCGCCGAGAACGTTTGGGTGGCCATCTCCTCGTCAACGAACAGCGAACGCATCGTGCTATGGGAATCTGTGCCAGACGTATCCCAACTCAACCTTCCATCAACACTCAACCTCCACGACATCCAATCCTCAACATGCGCACCTGCCTGCTCCTCTTCGGGACTGTGTAACGCGTCAGGACAGTGTGTTTGCCCACCCAACTTCTCCGGAACCTCTTGCGAATCGTGCGCCGCCGGTTTCTTCGGCCCTCGATGTGAACCCTGTCCTGAAGGATGCGAGGATTGCGACGAGGGTATTTCCGGATCAGGTCGTTGCTTGTCCCAACCCATCAGCCCCTCCGACCCTAGGAGTTGTGACTGCGTCAATGGCGAGTGCAATCCCGACGGTACCTGCACCTGCAACGATGGTTGGCAGGATGGTGTCGAGGGCAAATGCTCACAGTGCACCTCCGGCTTCTTCCTCAGCAACTCTGGAGACTGCTCGGCATGTGACGTAGGCTGCCGAGAATGCTCCAGCGGGAACGCTGTTTGCACCCAATGCAGACCTGGATTCACTCAAGACCCCAACGACAGAACCAAGTGCAATCCTGTGATTCAAACTGATAGCACCGGAGCCGCCTGCGGTCCCAATGCCTTCAGTGACGGCCAACAATGCCAGCTCTGCGATCGCTCTTGCGGAAGATGCTTTGGCCCAAGCAGTACCAACTGCTTGACTTGCGCTGCCGGAACCTTCATGTTCGAAGGACGATGTGTGTCTGCCGATAGCAACGGCATCTGTGCCGGTTCCAATGGACGTATCGCTGATGCTCTCAAGGGTGTTTGTGAAGGTGTGTAAATATGTCTACATCATCTGGAACCTGACTGATCCAATTTCTCTCTTCTAGCCTGCCCTTCCAAGTGCTCTTCATGCAGTATTCCTGGCTTCAATGGTGCAACACCCGTCTCGCAGGTTCGATGCACGCAGTGTCTCCCCGGCTCTGTGTTGCATGAGGGCCGCTGTCTCGACAATTGCCCTGCTGGAACCTTTGTGGGTGCGGACGGCTTTACTTGCACAGCATGTTCCTCTTCCTGCACCACCTGCTCAGGCTCCGCCGACTTCTGCACCTCCTGCCCAGGCGGCGCCTTTGCCTCTGACGGCGAATGTGTCTCAACCTGCCCAACCGGAACCTTCAGCACCACCTCCAACTCCAGCCCACCTGTAAACTCCTGTTCAAAGTGCCATCCCGACTGCGAAAGCTGCACCGGTCCCTCCTTCACCCAATGTACTGCCTGCCCAGCCTCCCGACCCGTCCTGTCAGCACCCTCAGGATCCACCTCTGGTCGATGCCTCCCCAGCTGCGGCAAGTCCCAATACTTTGACGCCGCGACCCGCCAATGCCGAAACTGCGACGGCAACTGTTCCAGCTGCACTGGCCCTGGCCCTGACCGCTGTCTCTCCTGCCAAAGTCCGCGTCAAGTCGTCCGAGACGGCCAATGCGTCGATGCCAACTGCAGCAACAATAGTAACGTCATCTCTGGCCTCGGTGTTTGCCTCAGCGACATCGTCCAAGTCCCCTCCAAGACCGACAATGAGCAGCCACTTCCCAGCATCACTGGTATCAGCGACCCCGCTCCCACCGGCCGAGTCCGACTGGAGTGGTGGCAGATCCTGTTGATGGCCTTGGGCTGCGCGTTCATCTTTGTGATGTTCCTGTGGTGCTGCAGGAGGCGAGCGAGGAAGCAGAGGCAGAAGCGGACGCAGATGTTCGCCAAGGGCAAGGGCATCGTCAAGACTCACGGCCGATGGAACTGGGCTGCCCGCTGGAAGCAGATCTTCAGGAGGAGGAATAGGACTCCTGCTGAAAGTGACCTTCCGATTGCGTATAACCACCAGGACGTTGCCGCGAGGGAGATGGGAATGGATATCAAGATGGTCCCTCTGGATAAAGACGTGCCGAAGAACACCAACACCAATGTAAACATTCACCTCTCCGTCCCGAATGCCAAGTCCCGCGATGACGACTTTGATTCGTATATCGACGCGTACGATCGCAGGTCTTCCATGCGCAGCCATACACCCTCGGTTCTCCCTGATATCGACGGATACTACCCTTCCCGTTCCGCGCTTGCCAATCGCGATCAACTCAGGAAACAAGCTACGGGTAACAGCGGACGAGGAACACCGAGGGATATCGAACGCGATTCGATGTACTCCGAGTTCACGGGTGAAGTGCGCAACACGCCCGAACCACGTATCCCCGTCAAGAGGGACTTGATCCCCCTCTCCAACCCTACGAGCCGCTCGTCATCTCCAGCCCCTCGACCAGGTGTACTCCGCAAACCGGTTCCAACGCTCGAACGCAAACGCTCTGAAGACACTATTGATTCTATCGTCATCGCCCCTCCGGTACATCAGTTGAAGCAACAGGAGGGTGTGTTGGTCGATCTGGATGCGGGGAGCGAGCGAGGTTTCGGGTTCGGACAGCAGAAGTTGGTGCAGAACCAGACGGGCTCGACGCTCCCGGTGCAGTACCAGACTCCCGCTCTTCAACCTCAGCCTACGTTCGCCAGTCTCACTGAGGCCCAGGCGTACGCGATGGCTGTGAAGCCACAGTTAGGCGGTGCTTCCTCCCAGTCTGCCATCCCTACGAACCCAGGGTACACTTTGGCATGGGTCCCGACGCATATGACGGGCTCAAGTTCGGCTACGGGTAGCAGTGGTGGAATGGCAGGCGCATCTGCTGTGCCTATGCCGACATTTACGACTATGGGTCTCCCGTCTGCCCAGACGGGTAACTCGATTGGATCGAGTGGGGGGAACTATTGGATGCAGTCGTCGGCTGTGAGACCCACTGCTACAGGATCTTCGAGTGGGTCTAATGAAGCCTCGAAGAACCCTTTCAGGCAAGCTGGCTTGTAATCTATTTTCTTTCTTTCTTCTGTTATTATTTGTTACTTGATATTTGTTCATGACCCTGCCACGACGATCTTAACGATCTTTCCTCATCCAATGATTTCGTTCCTTACAACACAATTCACCATCTTTTGTATACATGACCGTGACTACATACCTACTATCGTTTTTCCACAGCCTACCTTACGCTTTCGTTTCATGCTTTACTTCTAATCGTGGACCCTTTTTCCTTCCCTGCTTTATTGTGTACTACATGTTGCATATAGGATACACACACGCATCTTCCATGGTGGACGGACGATACCTTAACTACCATTCCATTTGTATCAATACTTTAGTGCCCTCAATCGAACAGTTCTCCTTGCATATGGATGAAAACTATGAGAGTGGGCCTCTCCTTCCGGTGTATTCGGGATGCGATCAGAGATGTACAGGCGTCGTCTACTGAAGATCGCACTCGCTCGCGCACACGGTGGGCAAAGATTACGGCTGACCGCCTTCACCGGTGTCGCCTGCCCCATCGACACGGAAATGGCTCCAACATCGCTTTCGCGGTTTCCGCTGTAACAGATCCGCGCCTTCCTTGAAGGTGACTGCAGCTATACCTTTGGTACTCTGAAAGTTCTGTGTCTGGTTCACCTGGCTAGTTTGACGTCATCATCTCGACGCGACGATCTGCCCCTAATAGGCAAGGACTTGCTACATTTGGAAAGCAGAAGGGAGGCTACCCTCGCCTCCTGTCCGTCACCGGGTCCCGGTCAACAGCCCCACCCATTCCGTTATTTTCATGTTGGGTTGTTTCAACGTGAGCCCTCTGGTGCACACTTGTAGCGATCCAAGCCAGATGCCACTCGCCACTCTTTCTGCTTGACTCGATCGTGATAACCTGCAAGTGTGCCAATCACTACTGTGGTTGTTGTAATACTGTTCCATCATTCCTCCACTCACCAACAAAGCCCATAGTGAGCAACCAGATGATGATGTAGAAATGCTGTGGCAGAAGGGCAGAACTAGAAGGATATAAAAAAGAGGGCCGCTCACTGCAGAGCCATAGCAAGCGGCCCATTTCAACTACACCTTAATCGGAGGATACCAAGATGAAGCTCTTTAAATTCACCCTACCACTCTCGGCTTTGCTCTTATATCTCGCGCCCCTGTTTCTTCTTACTTTTGCTCATCACTGGGTACGCTTCTAATTCCTCCACGGTGTCCTATGAAATACTGATCTCCTTCCTACTAGGATGACGAGCTCGCTAGTCGTACCGACGACTTGCTCTATGATCGCAGCATACTCGAGACGTTTGAAGTCCGGGACCTCCTCAAAGAGATTATAGTCCGTGAAATTCTTGAAGCGCGAGCCCCGCAGCCCTCCGGCAACCCCGGCAATGCCGTATATATTTACACACTTCGTTCGCCTGACTCTCGCTGCACACACGTCTGGACTACCACACTTACCAAGTCGGAAGCCGATGTCAAAGGATATTCTCCTGTATGTTGGCTGCCCTAGTATCGTGGGTACTAAGTGAAAGCTGACGCCATTTTTCAGGGAGCCATAAATGTTGCACCGACAATGTGCCAAGCTTGCCTCCAGAACCCTTATTTCCACGGCGACCCGCAGCCGACCAGGACTTCCAATAGAGGAGGGAATCTTTCAGCACCGCCAAAGGGCAATCATGGTGGACCCAAGCCTAAACCTCAGCCTCTCAAAGGTGGACACGCCAAGAAGGCACTGAAGGGCAGAAAGTAGCACTGCATTACGCCCCCCAGGTACACGTCGGGCTGGCTCCACCGTGACGATAATGCTAGTCTATTAGGGGCTGTAAATATCGATTGAGTTTGTCGTAACTTATTCCCTGTCCACTCCATATACATACGTCCGTAATTTATGTTATCTTTGCAATTCCAAATCTTACCTTATTCGACCTCGGGCTAGTCCCTGCGTGGCGGGTACGCGGTACATACTCTCAGACCGCTTAACGTGACACACCTAGAAGCAAATTATTGTGCATACAACAGAAAATGGGGCTCATGGAGCGCATTTGGTAACGACAGATAACACTACTACATCCCGAATCTTGCCTAAATGTGATTTAGTGATCCTTTCACAGGCGAGGAACCTGTCAACGCACCCTCAGCTTTGTGCCATTGGCTTGCAACGTGGGAATGATAAGAAGCGCTAGTCCGGCGACCATCCTGTTTTGCGGTGGATTAGAGAGGCCAGTGCGGAGGTAGCTTGGAGAGGGAACTCGCCCTCCTTCAATCCCTAGAGTCTCCATTGCCCCGTTCCTAGCCACCCATGCCTCTTGGGCATATGAGAGTCCAATACCTAGGTAGTGAAATATTGAGACCCCGGCACCCGAGCGTCTAGAATTGGGGCTACATACCACCGAGGACCCAAGAAATTCCCGTCAGAGCCATCACCTCTCCCTAAGCGAGAATATCCACCAGCTCCCCTCAGTCTCTTTGGATAAGTACAACTTCCGGTGGACTCACCGTATGATTTGGGAAGCAATCGTTGGAGTATGAGATACCAGCGACGGTGCTCAACATGATGGCAAACTGAGCTATACCCCACCCCATGATGATACCGGAGACATGGAGGTGTTTCTCCAGCGAGATTCCGAGGACGACCAAACCCACGACGTAGATTGGTATGGAGAGATAGTAGGTCCTGGGTTGCGATAGCGTTATTATGGAGCTACTCAAGAGTCCATATGGACGGACGTACCAAAGTCGATCCTCGGCTTCGAACACCCCGTTTCGACGACGGATACTGAACTCTGTCGCATAGTCGTTCCAATACCTTCCGCAAAGTTCGCCAAGAAGGAGCGCGACCTATCCATTCTTGAGTTTAAAATGTAAGGCTCGAGCGGAGGATACGAAATAAGTGCTACCACTGGGGTACCGTAAATCCCTGCGATCGCAAATGCTGAGAAGCCGAACGAATTGTCCTCTGGGTTTCCGAATAGGATGGCGTTGGTTGTCTGCGAATGATAGTCGTCAGTCAAGCCTCTGGAAATAAGTTTTTTTTTGAGGCCCAAGATACCATTATACCGAGTCCGAATCCCAACACAACGCCCTTCAAAGGCATAAGACGGTTATGACCTTGAATACAACTAGGGCGCGGGAGATTGCACCTGTAGGACCATCATAGCGAACATGTGCGGCCTCGAGAACAACTTCAATAGGCCAAGGAACCCTTCTCCCCACCCAATTCGGGAATGCGACAGTCTCCATCCAGTAATCCCAAGCAACGTCTGAATCCGGTAGCGCAGTTTCGTTGTGTCAGGCTCGTTATCGAGGATGCGTGTTCGGTCATATAACCTGCGTGTCTGTCAGTGTCGGGTGAGATAAAACGCTGTGAGCGTACGTTTCTTCCCCAAGGACAATAGTCGTAAGAGTGGTTATAGAACCCAGAATACACGTCACTCCGTACACCCATCGCCAGTAAAGTCGGGTGGCGAGAAAACCGACAATGAAAGGCGATATCCATACCGACACTAAAGTGCCTGTCGCCCAAATGTTGATCTTGTAAAGCACCATGATGTCAGGTCGCACTGTTCTTCAATGGCTCAAGGGCGCACCTTTCGAGGCTGCAGGTGGAAGGGGTAGATATCGGTAACAACGTAGAGTCCCTGATGTTTCGTGTGTACATCAACCACCCGACTCGGAGAGAAGGAGGAGGGTGAGCATACGGTTACTTGAGGTGTAACGCTAATAGGCGTCGAGTCAGAATGCGATGATTGTCTTCGACAACAATTCGTTACCTAAACACACCAACCAACACTCGCATTGCTTCTTGTTGTCAGTTTAGACTGGTGGGTACCGAAAGTACTACCCACCCACGAAGACGCCAAAACTGGGGGCGAAAGTACAGCCCACGAGAGCGAGGAGGAAAATTGTCTATTGTGATTTGGGTCAGCGAGGGTCGAGCATATGAGCGCCGATACAGAGTACCTGCGTCCAGGCGAGAACAGGAATTCGACCATATCTCCGGGTTAGCAATGGGACAAATAGACCACCAAGCCCGGAGCCAATAAAGCTGCAACTGCAGTAAGATGGTCAAAAGGGACGGCGAGGGTGTCAAGTAAGCAGGGCTCACTTTGTCGCGAGATTATTGACTTCTCCAGGGCTGGTATCAAACTCTTCTGCCAAGGGGAAAAGAAGGTTTGTGTCTTAAAGCAAGGGTGAACATCCAGCGCCGCCACACACACTGGAGGTCTACTTACTGGCCCCAAGAACAAGCCCGGGGACGATCACTGCAAGTGTGATCACGCAGAGCTGTGTCGCCTTTCGTCGATTACTCCAGTTCTGAGGATCGTTGGACGAATCGCTAGGTTGAGGCCATAGGATTTTCGTCCCGTCCTTGCTGAGCTTTAGCTTCGATGCGACCTCGTCACCGAATACCTCTTTCGCTTGCCTGTTCACGTCCCGGTTAACATATGTAGAATTTGGGAGGATATTTACACATCGCACATAGGGTCAACAATGAACCTGCCTTGTATGACTGGGTCAGGCCTCTCCGAGTTGGTTTGGGGTCGGGTCATTGCGATATACTCCTCCGCGACGGTGACCATGGTAGGGTGCGGTAGACGACTCCAATGTAAGTCCTAGATGCAGTCAGACGAATAATACTGAACACAGTAGTCATCTTTATAGTAGTCCTTTACCTCAAGGAATGGGAATAGGCTCGGAGTCTCATGTCGCCTGCAGCGATCTCCGAGCCATGCCAATCAATCAAGTGGGTCACGTCTACTTCAAGCTAGCATCTGGCGATGGCCCATGGAAAGCATTATTCCGAGTACGAAGGTGGTCGCGATTTGTAGACTGACGTTGAATTGTCCATCGTCCAGTTGGACGGGGTGGAAATCCGGATGTCGCCACGGGTGACATGTAGCAGCTTGGATCTGGCTTTCATTCTGAGTTCAAACTTCATTTTCCGACGGCATCAATCATTTCGTCACCTCGAATTGTAAGTTTCCTCACAGCACTCACAGCCGTCCAATCTATTCCCACCGCGGGTCAGTCCTTGCCGTTTTACCTGGTCAGAATTACGACCACGCGGATACAACAGCTGCGCCTTTGTTATCATGTCAACTGCGGCTTGAGCTCCTTATATAAACTCCAGAGATCTTTGAAGTTCTGTTTCTAACGCACCCACTTGGACCCTGAATTTGGATATCCCTGCGCCGGTAAAATGAGCGCACAGCTCCTGACGTCTTTAGTTGCGACATTTGGGGCTTACGGGCTTTACAAGCTAATCACTTTCTTCTACGGAGAATGGACATCCCCAATCAGGATCTTGCCAGGCCCGCCTAGTCCCAGTTGGTTCTACGGGAACCTCAAAGAGATCTGGCAGTCGGTAAGCTGGTCTTCCAATGTAACAGTAGACCTCTGACGAACATTCTGACAGGAGAAATCCGCTGTTCACGAGAAATGGGTGAAAGAGCATGGCCCGACCATAACCTATAAAGCTCTCTTTGGTGTAAGTGCTATCCTGAATGCCCAACACGCCAAGATTGTGACGCGCGTGGGGTCAATTTCAGGTTAATCGACTCTACACCACGGATCTGAAGGCACTAGGTCACATTTTGTCTAACACCAACATTTATCAGAAACCGGAGCCTTCGCGATATAGCTTATCCCGTATCTTGGGAACAGGTACTGACTAAGGGTTGTGTTCACGGCCCGACTGCCTACTGACACCATTACAGGCGTTCTAGTAGTTGAGGGGGAGCAACACAAGCAGCAGGTAAGATGGGTTGATTATCTGTTTCCCTCCGATTTACGCAGCATTTTCCTAGCGACGTGTCATGGTAGGTTTCGTAACTTGGAGTACTTGAATGGGATGGTGAATCATGATGCAGAATCCAGCATTCGGAGCTCTTCAAGTCCGGGAGTTGACCGAGATATTTGTTGACAAATCTGTCGAGGCAAGTCATCTGAACTTCAGCCTGGTCAGAGTCTAATTGTATAATTACGCTCTCATCAGCTTCGCGATATCTGGATGAACGAAATCTCTAAGGAAGGCGACAAGGCGAAGGTCGATGCATTGTCGTGGCTCAGCAGGCTGACGCTTGATGTCATTGGGCTCGCTGGTAATTAAAGCGGCGAAACATGTGGTGCCCAGCTGACTTCCACTTCCCGACAGGCTTCAGCTATCAATTTAACGCGCTTTCCAATGACCCGGAGAAGAACGAACTCAATCGTGCCTTCGCAAAGATCTTCAATACGAACAGCCAGGTCTCCCTTTCTGTGATTGTCCCGCGACTAATCCCAGCGCTCAGATGGATCGTACGTGGTATCTAACCATCCGTTCACCACAGCTGTTGACCCGGGGTGCCCCTATTTACAGCCCGTCGAGAATGACGCGGAAACGCGACAGGCCCGTCAAACCATGGATCGTATCGGACGGGAATTACTGGACAGTAGCAAAGCTAAGCTAGCGAAGAGCGGAACAGTGGAGAAGGACTCCCTCAGAAGCAAGGATCTACTAACATTGCTTCTGCGAGCGAACATGGCCACTGACCTACCTGAGCATCAAAGGATGAGCGACGAGGATGTTTTAGCTCGTAAGTTTCAAGCAACGCTGGTAACTGGCGTCTCTCTGACCTCGGTGTATGTCAGAGGTACCAACCTTCCTGGTTGCGGGGCACGAGACAACGAGGTCAGTTCCATTCAAGTTGAGCCTAGCATCTCTATATGCTTAATCCGGTTCCATTCTACAGCACGGCAACGACTTGGGCACTCTTTGCACTATGCGATAAGCTAGAGCTCCAACAGAAGCTTCGCGAAGAGCTACTCACAGTTTCAACAGACAATCCGACCATGGACGAACTGAACGCCTTGCCCTATCTCGACGCGGTAGTGCGAGAAACTCTTCGTCTCCATCCTCCGGTGGTCGCGACTATGCGAGCGGCTATTGCTGATGATGTCATTCCTCTGGGTGTGCCATTCACCGATCGAAATGGCAAGGTTCATGATTCAATTCAGTCAGTCCTTGTTCTATTCAAAGTACCCTAGCTCGTCATCTAAAATTTGGCGGCCGTCTAGAATTCGAGAGGGGCAGACAATATTAATCCCCATTGCGATGGTCAATCGCATTGAATCTTTATGGGGACCTGATGCCCATGAATACCGGTAGATACATGAACCCGAGAAGTGAATTGTTGTTAACCTCCTTTGCTTAGACCTGAACGCTGGCTAGGGAAACTCCCCGATGCGGTATCCGGGATCCCAAACATCTGGGGGAACACGCTGTCGTTCCTTGCTGGGCCTCGAGCATGTATCGGATACCGATTCTCGCTGGTCGAGTGAGTTGACTCCCTCCCGAACCTCATTATGCTTTGTCCTGACTGAAAGTCTCGTAGAACGAAGGCCATCCTATTCACCCTCCTTCGAGCATTCGAGTTTGAACTAGCTGTTCCTGTCGAAGATATTGGACAGAAGGCAACCATTGTTCAGCGACCAATCCTCAGGTCGGATCCCAAGGCTGGTAACCAACTTCCTCTATACATTAGGCCGGTTCAACGCACCTGATCGGTCCATTTACCCTATCTTTTTATTCGACACGCCAGTGTCTTCCCGAACCATCTATGAATCCCTCTACTATTTATTACCAGCTACTACCTCCAAGCTCCTCGCGTCCTGTTCTTTTGGTTACCGCTTTCCTGCTGTCTGCCGCACTATTATTTGTGTATGAATATAGTTTAATTAACGATGTTCCCCAGAGTCCTAAATTACAAGGTTCTACGATCCTGAACCGCAAAACAGCACTGTCGTATAGTGTATCATAGCGCATCAAAGTTGATATGGTGCGAAGCTCTCCGTCGTTCGAGTTCATCTTCACGCTAAAAGCATTCCCATCGTGAGCCATTTTCTAAAACAACTGATGAAACAAACTCACCTTCTCGTTTAGGTGTAGCACGAACACGATGATGGCCAGAACCGCAGTCCCAGCGAGGCAAGTAACGGTCACCCATGGAATCCACTCTCCGGGTCGCAAGAACAACTCGCGTCTCCAGGTTTCGCCCTCTTTAGTCGATGGCAGAATAACCACTCTCGAGTTGGGGATGACACCCTCCATGTCGATCCAGTGTTCTTTGGCGTGGACGGTGGTGCCCACAAAGAGATTTTCGATGTAATTATTGGTACGGCCAAGACCGAAGAATGAGTAGGGGGTTTGGAGGGAGTGGTATGATGTCTGGGGGAGCTGGCCAACTTTGTTCCTGGAGTGTGAGCATGGGGGACCAGCACGCGATTCGGAGGAAGGCACACCTTGAGCAGCGGATCTATGACCGGCTGTGTCCAAGACGGTGTACTTGTAGGTTGCCCCTGAATAACTGACACCGAAAGGCTAGAGTACGAGGTCAGAAAATGTAATCACTGTGCTTCGTAGTCCAAATACGACGCACATGGTACTTCTCGGTTCCGTTAGGTCCACCATAGCACATTCCATTCTCGCAGGCTCCGTTGAGGACTAACAGAGAGGATCAAGTCAGCACGTCAACCTTTGTACTCTTAACCCGCGGACATACCGATCGCCTTCAGGAAGAACGCATCGTAGTAGAAATTGTTCTGGACGAAGGTGACTTGACCTTTGCCGGCAGCACCCGTGCGTTGTACCATGATATCCAACGTGCCCTATACAAGTGTAGTTTGAATACGTCAATCGAAATGACGGTAAAGGGCCGGCGTACATCTTCGTCCATATCCAAGAAAGTGACACTCCTTGCGTCGGTAATGGCTTCAAGGGAGTCGACATCTTTGTCCGCGAGCTTCCAACCGCGTCTGCCCGTGCCATCACGCGAGCATCCAGCGACACCCTTGCTGCAAGGTACGGACCAGAGAAGGTGAGGCACACGTTCTTTACCTGAGCCCGTGATGACAAGGATGTCGGGGAAGCCGTCCAAATTGGCGTCACCGAGCTTCAAAGGTGAGGGCAGTGACGGGTTGTAAGTCGTTTCCAGGACCATTAACGACTTGTCTTTAGGGAAGATATCAGAGATGGGGAAGCGGACGAATAACTGCGGAGGGAATACGCGTCAGGAAGCGCTGGGGATACACGAATGCATAGCCTACTGGGTTGTCAGGGCTGTCGGTAAGGTCAAATTTGAAGTTGTCATCGGGAGTACAGAGATTGTCTGGAGGTCGGCATACGCGTACGCCCTTCTGAAGTCCAGAGTCTGTCGTCAGTCTGCATAGGCCGAGCTGCTGGTTGAATGCGATGTTGATGTGGCAATCCGTGCCCAGCCCTGTTGACGAGGAAACTCTTGAGCATGTTGGGAAGATCATATCAATGGTGCCATCTCGGTCTACAAGCAAGTTAGCCAGGTTGCGTTCGGTAGAGGGGGCGGTGGTGTTTACCAATGTCGGCGAAAGAGATTGACTGAGTTCCTGCAGGTAAATCCCCCTTTTGTGATAGGGAGAACCCGTCGTCTTTGTTGTTCGCCCAGATCTGATAGGATTGCTTTCCGTTGCCCTCGTCGCAGACCAAGAACACATCTGCCATGGTATTAGGAAGAGCGTTCCAGGCAGGAGGAGTCGACACATACCGGCTAAGCAGTCTCCATTGAGGTCGACAACTGCATTACTATGTGGGTGTGCGAGCTTGCACCGAACATTTGGAAATGGTGCAGGAATCCTTCGACTGTATCAATACACCGCGGAGTATGGAAGTTGGGAGCCGCTCACATTTCATAGAGCTGTGGGCTCGGCGCAGACTCGTTCCAGATGTTCTGCCATATCTGAAGACCTTCACCTCCAGGTATTGTTCCCAGAAGGTCTATCTTCATGTCCCCGTCGATGTCGATAGGTATTGGTTGTGGTAGCGTCGATGATTGGACTTTCAATGGGTTCTTCAAGTCTGACAGAAGGTTGAGCTTGAATTCAAGGCGCAATCGAACTCCAAAGCTCACCGAAGCCTCCTTCAATGAGTGCTGGATATACAGTCAGGTCCATTTGGTCCTTGGAATCGCTTTCACTCATTACGAGGATGTCGAGTTTGCCGCTGTGCGTAAAGTCGCCAGGGACCACATTCAACACCCGGCGAGGATGCTTGAATTCGATAGGTGAGCCAAATGTGAATGTTTCTGCCCGCAGAGAATAAGTCACAATCTTCATTCTTCTTGATTTCACTTGCCATGTTGCCAATAGTGCACGGATAATGTTTGCTCGTCGCCGGCTATTGAAAGTACGTCAAGTCTGATTTAGATCATATTAACCTCTATTCCACGGTCAATACGGTACATGTACGCACGACTGGTCTCCGTCAAAGTCTCCAAATGCAGCAACCCTGATATCTCCTATCAACCCGACCGAACCTGCATCGATGAGAGCGTTGCTCGTAAAGCGTTTCTTGGGGAACGGCCATGGCAAGTCGAGCGCTTGAGTACCCGTAACGAAGAGGAGACTACAGAGGACGGTAGAAAAAATATTTCGCCATCGTCCTGGACGGTAGGGAAACATTTGGCCTTGCTGTTGGCCCGTTGTGGAAGAAGAGAACCGCGACGGCGGCGTCGATGCACGCTGAGCTCATCGTTGCGTCGATGACCGCAGTTCCTTGGCGGATTTGTTTGGTTGTGCTTGACTCAAAGGACAATGGCTTTGAACCCGAAGCTGCGTGTTCGATCCTTGCCCAAGTATCTTGATTCTTCTTCCCAACCACCCTTTGTCTCAAAGGCACTTTCAGAGACGATTTCATGGTGGCGGTGCACTCAAAACTCGAGATGATTGACTACGCTGACGGGTCCACGACGTTATCATGCATGTGGCGAAAATTTCCGACAATTTGCCTGCACCCTGCCAACCTGCACAACCACTTCGTCCGCCGACGTGACTTTTAGGCTTAGACATTGGGGAAGCGACTTACCTGGCAGAACAATTTCCAAAGTTACCTCATGTTCTACGGCGGAATCAGAGCTCAAGGCTAAATTTGATACTTTTGATACTTCCTCGACGAACCAACACATGTGTTCGAAGCGAACAATGGAACTTGACATATCTTAGTTTGCCGCTGGACCTACTGTAAAGGGTCTTAACCGCTCCGATGATCAATCTTTCCTTTCAGTTCGCGTCCGAGGGAGTACTCTCTGACAGCGGGACATCCTTTTTAGCGGGGGCTTTTTCCATGTCTAGGAAACGTGTGCAATTGTCGGTGCTCTGATGGCTTTCGTCTGAGGTCTCCGAATCTCAGGGTGCTCTGGGGGTATAAAAACCTGTTCGTTTAGGCTCATCAGTCCTCAGTCCTCAGTCCACTCTCCTCAAGCCTTCATCAGCCTTTCCACTCTTCCTCGCCATCCCACTCGTCTTCATTATGTTCGCTCGTCTATCTGCCGCTTTCGTTGCCTTCACCCTCGCCACCGCTGTCATCGCCGCCCCCGGTGGCCGACCCAGCGAGGTTGAGTACGAGCAGTGCAATGGTGGCACAGTTCAGTGCTGCAACAGCTACCAGAAGGCCGACTCCATCGACCACAGCGCCAGCAAGCTCCTCAACCTGCTCAACATCGACGTCAAGCAGGTCGCTGCTGGCCTTGGTCTCAGCTGCACCGGTGTCAACGTCGTCGGTATTGGAGGTGGTTCCTCTTGGTCAGTCGTCCGTTTCTACTATATCTATGCCTAACTGATGGATCGTATGTCCAGCACCCAGCAAAAGGTCTGCTGCAACAACAACAGTTTCAGTAAGTGATCAACATTTTTAAGGTTCTGAAGCGGCGGCTGACCTCCTCTTTAGATGGTGTCGTTGCCCTTGGCTGCACCCCCATCAATGCTTCTCTCTAGAGGACCATGTGCTGCTCAACACTGTAGGTATACACTGATGACCAACGCTTCAACCATTGTCTGACGCGTTTTACTGAAGTTACCGGCAATCTCAACCGGACCCTCGACGCGGTCCGGTACACTTCGCGCTACGTACGGTCTGACTACTAGCTTCTTATAATTTGGGTTAGATATCTGGGATAATGAATAGCACGCCATTTCGGATTTTTGGTATAGAGGAATACCACCATATCCATCTCACAAGGGTGATTGTTCATAGTATCTTGAGATGTTCGAGTTCGGCCGTTTTTCAGTTGCTGTTGAACTCGCCCAGGCTTGTGGCCTTAGCCCCTATTTTCCCGTCGCGTCAATTGTTATTGACCTCGGACGCGTCGCACAGATATAGGAGACTTCAAGGATATCCGTGTCCGAGCGCGCCTTTTCCATTTGCTCGCTAGCTTCTGGCAGAAAATACCGCGTCCAAAATCCACTGCAACAACGGTTCAGTGGGTGAATTCAAGGACCCGACATAGCTGCCATCCAAAATTTCGTGGGAAGTCCGTAACAAGTGCAAACTGAAACGCCCCGGAGTCCAGGCGGTACATACGTGCATCGCGCCGGTTAATTCCTGGACCTCAACCTCGACAAATGGCGACTCGACAATCTGGCCGTCTAAAAGGCAAAGAAATTGCAGATTACACCGAGGACCTGTCCTCAGAGGACGATGAGCTGGCACCGACGGGCGGCCCCAGCGGCGTAAAGCGCAAACGCAAGGCCAAGGAGGCGACACCCAAGCAACAGGCCCCAGCGAAGGCGGGCTCCTCGTCGACTTCGAACAAGAACCAAGCTCTGGCTAGACCGCCCAAGCGAAGGCGGGGCAACCGTGGTGCTCTCGAACTTCTCATAGAAATGCCATTGGATTTGTTATTCGAGGTCAATTAGCTCTTCTCCTATTTCATTCAACGCCCCCCGACTGATGAATGGGCGATTCTTCACAGATTTTTGGAAAGCTGGACCCCGCAGACGTTTTGAATCTGGCGCGAGCCTCGAAGGATTTACGGGCTATCTTAATGAGCAGGTCGTCGGCGATGATTTGGCGAGAGGCGCTTTCGAATGTTCCGGATTTGCCTCCTTGTCCGGACGACCTTGACGAACCTACTTGGGTTGAGCTAGCATTTGGGAAGCGTTGCCAGGTGAGTTTACATGTATTCGAGATGCAATTTTATAGGACCCTAGTACTTATCTACTGTGTAAGCTTTGCGAAAGGAGCGTAGCACACACAAGTGTCGTGTGGGTGTTACGGTTCCGCGCATGTACTCGTTGCTTGCAGGAGCGGTATGTCACATTGCACTATCGACGAGCAACATTGGCCTTATATGGACACAGGTTCAACGCATCAATGCGCGAACACTCGATCTACGAGCTTCCGCAGAATGTGCGCAACATAATGCCTTCGTTTACCTTTGGCAAGTCTCATCACATCTGGTCCGTCGGTGAACTTCAACTCATCGTCCTTCCTAGAGCAACGGCCACACAGAGGACGACACTTCCATACGGAGACTTTTGATCGGTGGATGGTGGAATACAAATCGTTGCGACATGATCCAGCGAAAGAGAAGGCCTGGGTAGCAGAAAAAGTCGCAGAATGGACCCCAAAATATGACGTATGTTCTCCTCGGCCTATACTGTAGTCTAGTACTAAAGCAGCTTCACGATAGCATGCGAAGAAATGCTTGGAGTGGGTAGCCAAGGTTGAAAAAGCCCGGGGTCGGGATTTGGAGGCCGCTCGGGACAACCGCAAAGAATGGTAGGCCCGCATTGTGTACACTGTAATTACACTCACGTACTTTCTCCAGTATTCTGAAAAAGTTGGAGGGCTTGGGATACTCATCCTACGAACTCTACGAGAAGGTAGATGGCGTCTCCATTTGGACGGCTCTCCCGTTCAAAAATTTGCTGAAGAAGGATATCACCGATCGTGGTAAGGGCCCTTTGTGTCGCTGTTGAATTCAGCGTTTCCGACTAAAATATCATGCAGCTTGGAACAACGTGCAAGAAGCTGCAGTCGCCGTCGCCCAACGCTATCGCCAAGCCAGAATTGAGAGACTTAATGACGACACCATCAAATCGCGTTATGACCTTGTCGTCCAACTCCATGACAAGTGCATGAAATCACTGCCCATAAACGAGTTCATTCTATCTGCTGGAGACCTCTTTCTCGTCCCCGAAGTCAGCTCTCTGTTGGCGGAGACGCCTTTGGATCAAGAAATGACATTGGACAACTTCAACGACATCTTCGATAACATCGCCACGATCGCATCCAGATGGGAATCCGAAGCCCGACAAACATTATTAGATCGGCTAAGGCCCAAGGCCGCAGAAATCCTAGGTGTTGCACCCGATAGTGTTACTGAATCGGCACTCAACCTCGCGTTCGTAAGCTTCAGGTGCCGCGGGTCTTACAGATACAACATGGATTGCGAACAGGCGCTGGTGCATAGGTGCGAATGGCACAAATATACCGAATACAACCGCGAGTCTCTGGATCGCGACCTCCACAAATTCGTCCGCCACACGCGTCCCGATGGTCTCCCCTGGAATATCAACTGCGGGTACGAGGTCAATGTGGGAGAAATCGACCACAGGGTTGCAAAATTGGTCCAAATGGGCTATGACCCCAAAACTGTTACTTGTCAAGAGCTCGATGGTCTCGGTGATATTTTCGAGTGCACTGCCTGCTCGAACCCTGTGAAAGGCCGCATGATGCTCACTTGGCGCCTAGCTGTAGGTGTCTCCTCAGATGTGACTTTGAAAAGTTGCTGATATATTGCATCGCACATACTACTAGCTCACTCACAGCGCGACCCACCTCCAAATCACCAAGGTAGATGCTGAAACAGCTGAGATTATCCGAGGGCGTATGGCCGAGCAGGCATTGGAAGCTGCCGCCCGATATCACCAGCCACACCTCGTATGCACACATTGCAGGTTGGAAGGGACGGCACTGACGCTTCGCGATCATTTGGACAGCGCGTAAGTGGCCACGCAGGGTGCAACTCGGTATCCTCATTAACCATCTTGGTCAGGCACGGCATAACTGACCCCACTGACGACGATGCTGTGGTGATTCGGGGCCGAGAAAGAAGGCTTGCTGACGGTTATAGGTATTGGAAGTTCAGGGGTACCGCGACCAAGTTTTAGAAAACATTTTGTACACATGCTCTTCTTACTTGACCTTACATATTGAGCCATTGTTTCCGTGAGATGATCAGTGCCCTCGAGATCACAAACGCAATGGGTAGGCTAGAACTGACATTTCCACCTGGTATCTTCAATGAGTGTGCTGAAGTTGAGCGCACGGTCGTGGACCATAGTCTTCGGCGTCTATTGGGCGCCCATTGTCGTCCCAAAATGGATCGATGACCGTGAGAAAGTGGTCCCATGTCGGGACTACTTAACCCTCGAACGAACGGATGCGCATGTTGAACCACTACCACCATGACTCGTCGATCCAGTCGTCTTCAGGCGAAAGCCGACGTCAAAGCTCCACGCAATCAAGCTACCGATGCATCCGCCGATGCCCAACCTACCCCGATGACCAGTTCCAAGCGAAAACGAAACGCGAAGAGCGAGATCATCGCGACATCTAGAGCACAGTCGGCAGTGGCGAGGGACGACAAAAAGGGACAACCCCTTCCTACTAAGCGAAGGAGAGTCAAAGCCAAAGATGGAGGCATCTTTGGAAAGCTACGCGACGTTCCTTTCGATATCCTCGAACAGGTATGCCCATTGTCAGTGGATTCGTGCCCAATGTAACATCCTGTGCAGATATTCTCGCATTTATCTCCTATGGACCTCGTCAATCTCGCTCGAACTTCGAAGCACCTGCGAGCAGCGCTCTTGAACAAGGGTCAGAGTCTAGTTCTCTGGAGAACAGTGTTGGAACAAGTTCCTGGCCTTCCTCGCCGGCCGGAGGACGTGAGTGAGCCGGCATGGGCTGAATTCCTGTTTGGGAGAACTTGTCAGGTATGTGCTCTGTTGTCGTTTTGACAACTCGAAGGCTGACTGAGCTATTAGATATGTGGTCGCCAATCACTTACTACGCCTCAGTGGTGTAGTACGTTGCAACGGAATCTCGAATGGAATGTTCCGACGCGTATGAGAGGATGCTTTGTCTGCCTCAAAAAGATGTATGTCTGAGCTCAAGGACTCGGCGGCGAGAAACTCTAACATTCACCGACACCTAGATTTACTACTTTCCATGATTTGGGTCGCTCTGAACCATGGGCGGTCGGCGTGCCGGCATTGGAATTCGGTGAGTTCTTAGCCCATGTGGAAGACTTTGAATTTACACTTCCCTTCACAGACCGTTCCTTGCATACAGAGATTTTTAGAGAACGCTATAGGAAGTACAGGACACTATCCGGAGATGAAAGGGAAGCCTGGGTAAAGAAGATCAAAGAGGAGTGGCAGGCCAAATATTCAGTAAGCCTACTCTCGCGAACTTACATGGGCTGGGCTGACCTCGATACCTCAGGGGCACAGAGAGTGCAGTAAATGGCTGGAGAAAACGCTGGCGGAAGAGAGGAAGCGCGAGGCTGAGCTAAACAGGCGTGGCAGAGATTTGTATGTATCCTCAGTCAACGCGATTGATTCACTGGGATTATCACGGATACTGACTTGAATCTGACCTAGCATATACGAACGGATGAAGGAAGAAGGATTTGCAGAGGATGTCGGAACTCCCGACAACCATAGAAAGATAGGAACCTTTTACACGGACAAGACAGTCGCGACCCTTTTGAGAAAGGAGGTTACTCCTGAAGGTAAGCCGCTCTTCAATTTTTAATTCTTATAACGGGGTTTCTGAAGCATCTTTTAGTATGGGCGAACGCCAAAGACAGTGTTATGGTAGTTGCGCAGAAGTATCGGAAGTTGCGACTTGAGAGAAAATAAGAACACAAGCAGAAGTTGGGAGCAGCAAGCCCGCATTGTGCGATGAAGTATTTGGGTACGGATTGGAACATGTCGAAAGAACAGTGACAAACGGTTCAGAGGGTCTGAGCCACTGGCTATTGTCGTTGCTGTTTTGTATTTTTTTGAGTCTTAATGTAATTTAAATGGATCTTTTTATTCGCCCTACTGTCTTCTCAAGATTCGAGGACCGCTCACATTCACCAAGATTGCTCAAGTAATTAGGCGCCCGTTCTAATATGGGAGACAAAGCTCCATAAATGGAAAAGAGAGTTGAGCGCGGCCCTGGCGCGAGGCCATCACCCTCGTCTTCCGGAAGGTTCTTTGGGGTGGAAAGTCTAGCCCGAGTCCCTTTACAGAGTATATCCGAGATGGAGCTTTCTGAAGGGCATTCCTTCATCCGCCTCCCTTGTGGCTCACATAGAATCCTCTGGAAGCACGTCGAAAGTAAGGACTCGGCCTCCGACCATAATCGCGCCAAGTCCCATTGATGTTCTTGACCATCCTTTGCGCATGGTCTATGACGAGAAGTCGCAAAGAAGTCCACGGTGTCACCGAAATTCGGGGCGGGGACTCAGGTGATCATTGTGACGGTACACATCGCGTAGACAAGCATTGAAGCAAGGAGTGCATTGAGTGCATTGTGCGAAGATCCTTTCCGTGGGTGCGCGTGCACTTGTAATGGCGTCCACCTATTGCCCTCCTCGCACAATCCGGACTGATATCTGGATACTGGTGGCCGGACTAGTACAGCGCCTATAGTTTCGTCGCGGGTACTCGAGAGACGCCATTTCCGCCAAACATCTCCGACTCCGATACAATGTTATTTTAAGTCGGAATGCAAAGGTTGTATCACAACTATAATAGCTGCATGTCTATCTATAACCAGCATATTGTAACGTCACCCTCCACCGACGGTGAAACCAGCCCTTTCAGCCATGGCGGCCGGGCTGTCGGAACTTGGAGTAGGTAAGAAGTGGAATAGCTCGAAGGTCAGGTGCAGTCTTGTCCTCCGTAGACTGTGATACTGATCTTCGTTGGGGCTCGCATGTCAGCAAAACCTTTCCATGTTGCACACTTCTGTGATGCCTTCCGTCATGTGGCCGCTCGGCATGAACTTTCTAGCTTGGGCGGTGCGTGGCCCCTATTTCAAGAAGCGGCAGTGTCACCCAACGCGGATATCTTTCTAGTACTCTGCGTTTCGATATCGAATAGTGCCCCGCACGCTCTAATACCATATGTTCACAAATCATCGGAGTAATACGCCCCGGACCCTTGGATCGCCTATAAAACCCTCGAGCACAGCGACAAATCTCACTCAGTAATACCCTTCCATCCCACTCTCAAGCCCACGATGAAGTTCTCTGCAGTTTTCGCACTCCTCCTCTCTGCATACGCTTCAGCCCAAACTGCAAGCTATGACTTCACTTACGACAACGGTGGAAGTTCTTTGACCTCTGTGGCCTGTTCTGACGGTCCCAACGGACTCATCACTCGTGGATACTCCACCTTTGGTTCCCTACCTGGCTTCCCAAGGATCGGAGGTGTTCCAGCCGTGACTGGATGGAACTCTCCCGCCTGCGGAAGCTGCTGGGAGCTCACTTATACCCCTCCTAACGGCGCCAAGAGGTCCATTAATATTATTGCGGTCGACGTTGGCCGGGGTGGTTTCAACCTCGCCCACGCCGCTCTCAACGACCTCACTAACGGCCAAGCCACTCAGCTTGGTCGCGTGAACGTCGCCGCTAGGCAGGTTGCCCCCTCTGCATGTGGCCTCTGGTGGGTGTCTCTGGTTATTGGCAGTGCTTCTATTCGTTTTCTCACCGCGTTTCTTTAGAAACAGACATTGTTGAAGCATTTCCCAACGGACCTTTTTGGATCTTCCTGGACTTTCTTTGGACTTTGACTCGGACCTTGCACTCTTCTCCAATGTCTATAGGTTCTGCGATGTAGACATTTGACCTAGGGACGATTATTCACTGTACATAACCATTACGTATCTGCTTTGTCCTGGAACTCTTTAGGCACCAGTCGAGGTGCAACACGCTTGTACGGCTTGCAATGAACTATGTATGTAAACGCAGGGATATTTTGTTTGGTTGACGTCAATCCTGGACTGAATGGAAGTCGAATGCCCCTGGCTGGTATATGTCTCGAATCGACGTTACCTTGAAGGTCAATATCACCGCCATAGAGGTTGAATGCACTGACTGGAGGAAGTGCCGTCGGGCGCGGTCGCGCTAACGTACTAGCTGCGAGGCAGCCCCCGGCCTCGTCGTGCGGCCTCTACTTAGCAGTTGCCACGAAGCTCTGTTCTAGTTGAGGACGGCTCACCACGGTTATTTAATTACCCTCTCTTGGGAGATGATGCCCCCCTATGGCCCTAACTAACGGGTGTCTTCCCTGATACCATTCCACATTCCTTTCTGATATCGATGAGCTTGAATACGACACCTTTGATCCTTTCGTATGAGTACAATCCGATGCCAGTTGTATTCTTACCTTCAAACCTGTGGTACGGACAATACAGTTGTGGTGATTACTCACTCCTGTCCTCTAGTTGTTCAAGGGCGGCAAACCACTCCCAATCACGGTCACAGAAGCGCCCAAAAGGCGCCCGCAGAACCTGGCCAGTGTAATGGCAACTTAAAGAAAAGGATGGCCGTCCAGAAGCCCGCGAACTCTACCTCGGGCCACCTTTTACTCCAACTCCAAGCTTCTCTGAGCACTTCGCACATAACTTGGATGACCAGCTGACTGGCTCGAGGATAAACTCACGGCAAAACATGGCTTCTGATGGGCAGAGTAGCACGGCAAGTGCCAAGTTTAAATGAAAATGGAAGGACTTCGCATCCCTCACACTTATAAAAAGGGATTCGTATTCATAGGAAGTAGAATAAACCTAAACCAGATACAACCCATTCCCTGTCTGACGAGCCCAATAATGCAATCCCTCTCACTCATCTCGATTATCGGTCTACCTCTGCTCACCTTGGCCCAGACCACAACCCCACCCCCACCCACCTCGGTTGAAACTACCGCGAGCTACGATGCAGCGTACGGCAATGCAGACCAGTCCCTCGCATCTGTCTCCTGCTCAAACGGGGACAACGGCCTCCTCACCCGCGGCTTCACCACCTTTGGTTCCCTCCCCAGCTTCCCCAACATCGGGGGCTCCTTCGCCGTCACCGGCTGGAACTCGCCTGCCTGTGGATCGTGCTGGCAGCTCGCCTACACCCACAACGGGACAACCACAACGGTCAATGTGACTGCGGTGGATGTGGCGCTTGGCTCGTTCAATCTCGCTCCTGAGGCGTTGGATACCTTGACGGGAGGCAGGGCTGTAGAGTTGGGTCGCGTTGACGTCGTGGCAACCCAGATTCCTGCTTCGTCTTGCGGGCTCTAAGCAAACTCAGTGTGAGCAATTCCGAATGCCTGGGCTTGAATGATGCTAAGGAGGAATCGCGCATTCTAGGTTAAATTCGTAGACGCTCGCCAGACCCCCACTTCAAGTTGTTTCGGACTCAACATCTCTTGCTTAGTACGACGCTCGTCTGTCGGTCGGACTTCCTCCTTGATATTCTCTACGGACCAGCTTTCCTCACCGAGGGCTTCTTCTCGGCTACAGACATTTATAATTAGTGCTCGGACATCTAAACAAACCACCAGTTAGTTTAGTCCAAGGACGCTCACGCGCTGCCAAATGACATTGTATCACTTCCACCGTGTAGCAGCCGGTATGCGCAATATCCATCCGATTATAAATTGCTACTTTAGCTTTATGGTGTACGCGAAAACAGCAACGAAAGCGCAGCAGTGTGTATACAGATACAAAACGAATGTCAAGCCCCCAGTAGGCGGGCAAATAAATACAGGTGAGAATAAGCATCGTCACGTAGGTAAGGTCCTCGGAGATTTAGTGTTGGTATGGTTTCGGGAACCTGGAAATTAATAACAGGGAATATGAATGGAATGGGTACTATCTTCGCTCCCTGACGAAGAACCACACAACACCGATGACACCAATGCCGAAGCCAGCGATGAAGCCGAAGAGGATGAGTACATCCCTGTAGTAATTGTCCAAGCCAAATCCAAAGAGCTAGAGAACAAGATCAGCAACAGCATAGCAAAATCTTTACTCGTACTCACCAGCTGCATGATCAACGCCGCCGACACATTCACAGGCACACCCTCCAACGTATCCTCAATCATCAATCCCGAATCAACCTCGTTGACAGCCAACGCTTCCAACGTATACTTCAGTGGCGCAATCCACTGCAACCATCGCAGCACAGGAGGAATGTCACTGAGGTTCACAAAGAAGCCGGCAAAGGTCATCTGGTACAGGGCAGAGAGCGCGGAAAGCAGGATCGCCACGCCCCCGTTCTGGAAGCAAGTTCCGAGCAGGAAGTTGAAGAGCGTCATCGCAAGACTGTAGAGCACAAGGATGAAGAGGAACTTGAAGAAGTGTGGGGCATCGGGGGCGAGACCGGCCATCCAGTAGGTAATGGTCGAGACGATGATCGTAGGTATTAGGCGGAGGGGTATCATGTCGAAGAAGAAACGCGAGAGAAGCCATGCTGTCGGGCTGCGCGAAGAATGAGGCTGAGAATCAGACGATTTGGCGATACACGCACCTGTAGTACGAGCTCGAACGTTCTCGGAGGAACAGAGGTCGAATTTCAACGACATTGTACAACGCGCTTAGCGATGAGAAAGCAACCAAAGCTCCCTGCAGAGAAGGCCGTCAACCCTGTGACGACAGATCGACGCTGAGCATTAACGCACCAAGAAGAACAAACATCCGACTCGTGACTGGAATCCAGAGATGGTTACGCCAGCATCGAAGTACAAACCGCCTGTCCAAAGGTCAGATCGTTACTGCCGACATCATGCGCGAAACTCACCGCAGAAGACACCGAGGACAGCAGAAACAGCCAAATGTGTCCAGAACAGCGTCTTGTCACGCTTCAGAACCTTCCATTCTCGTCCGCAAAGGTATTGAAGTTGGGTCAAGAATGTCGTCGCGTATGTCGATCCATTTCGCGGGGGAGGGGCCAGCATCTCCTTGGAACCGTGTGTAGTCCTCTGTGCACCCTCCTTCTCGATATCAGGGGAGTCACCGCTGATCGTCTGGCTTTGATTCTGGTTGGCGAGAGCGAAAAGGTTTACAGGAGGATCGCTGGCCACCTCGAGCAGGTATTCAGCAATGTTGTAACCTTCCTGGTATGGAGCAACTGTCCCTGGAGCGCAACGAGCAAAGTATTGCACGGGCTGGAATCCACCAGGTCCCGAATACAGCGCACGGCCATGAGCCAAGAGGAGGATCGAGTCGAATTTCTGGTAGAGGATTGAACTGGGCTGATGGATCGACGCGATGACAGGAATAGGGTTGACGGGATCGTGTGCAATGGCATGGAGAACGTTGGCAATCCTGGCAGCAGACACGGAATCCAAACCTAAAAAAGGCTATGTTAAGCACAGATTTCGGCCAAGAAATCGCACACTTGCCTGACGTGGGTTCATCAAGCAACAAAACATCCGGCGAGGCGATGAGCTCCAAGCCAATGGTGACCCGCCTCATCTCACCACCACTGATACCCCTCGCCTTTCCTCCTGAAACGTCTCCGATGCGGGTGTCGCGCACATGGTTAATGCCCAGTTTCTCGAGCAGGTCGTTCACCCGAGTTTGCTTGTCGACGTCAGAAATGCTTTCAGGGAGCCGAAGACGAGCAGCAAATAGAAGCGTTTCGAAAACGGTAAGGGTGGGAGGGAGAATGTCTTGTTGTGGCACGAAGCCGATTCTGGGTGGAGTCTGGTTGTCTTCACCTTCGAATGGGAACGATACTTTTCCGGTGGTGATACCGATTTTGCTCTTGCCCGCCAGGATTTCGATCAAAGTTGTTTTTCCAGCACCTGTCGTAAAGTGTGTCAGGACCCTGGTGAAGATACAACTTTCAGGGTCGTACCGCTAGGACCAAGGATGGCCATCATTTGGCCCGAGGGGACATGTCCACTAATGTTGTCAATGATGAACTTGTCGCCATCTTCTGTTTGCTTCTTGCGTTTGAAGATCCCAGTAGAGGCTGGCACACAGTAGCTGAGGTTCGACCACGTCACTCCAACTTTAACCATAGGATCCACAAACGCCTTTCTTCGGGCCGTTCGTTGGGAAAGGAATCCCCACAGTAGGAAGAGCAATGCCAACAGAACCAATCCACCCACAACTGCCAGACCGGCGATAACACCGCCGCTCAGAGGTTTGGGTTTAGGAGCCTCTGAAGGTCCACCATCCGAGCTGCTATCGATGACGCTTTGGCGAACACATTCACCGAAGGTGCAACCATTGAGAGCGAGGCCTTGCGCACCGAAGAGACTTTGCAGGGTCGACTGAACGAAGTTGCAGAGTTGTTCTCCAGTTTCGGCGTCCTCTGCACACTCGATTCCAAGGGTCCCAGTGAGGCCGTTGATAACTTCTGTCAAGTTCGTGGGGCCCCCTGACCCACCGCAGAACGTGGTATCTGGACGGCAGGTGCATTGAAGGTTGTTACACGAGTAACTGTTGGTTGTGTCGGTGCTGGTTTGAACACAGGAGTCTGCTTGGCAGTAGAACTGTTCCACGCCGTCGTAGATGAGTTGGGCGAATGCTGTACCGGATGGGCCGAAGGACGAAGAACCAGGAAGAGGCGAGAGATCGGGCCGGAGTGTGCGCTCGATGTTGAGAGTTGAAAGCAGAGGGAACAGGGCTTGTAAAGTCGGATTCTACACATCGTTCAGCTGCGAAAACCACATGGATTCTGAAGTCTACGTACGGTGACTGAACAGCTCATTTGCGCGGCTGCGTAAACCCGCGGCTTTGTATTGCAGACCATGGTGTTGTTCTGGACGTCGGAAAAGTTGGGCGTACCACTCGACACTGCCGAGAATGCGCTCTGGCAGGCATTGGCAGTCTGGCAAACGTTACAACCGATGCCGCCCCATCCAGATTCGCAGCTGCACCCCGAAGCGGTCAAGTTGGCGAACCCAGACGATGTCTCCGTGTATTCTCTGTCAGCCCCTTCAAATAGGGTGCCTCTACAGGACATTTCGGAGCAAGTTGGCCCTCCGAAACCTGTTGGACACGAGCAGTCGTCCCCGTTGACAATTCCATAGTTTTCGCAGGTTTGCGCGTAGACAGTTGCGGCCGCGAGAGTTGCTAATATCCAGGGCGCCTTCATGGCGACCTGAGCGGTCTCTGTGGTGCCAAAGGCGGTGGTTGGGGGCTAGTACGACCTGTCAGCGACGACGTTGTGGCGAACTGTAAACAAGGGCCATTTAAGTCGATTTCTTTAAGTTGGGACGCCATCAGATCATGCCATTCCATTGGTGCCAAGTGCAGCCAAGCCTTTGTTTGATCTCGAAGGCGATGGCCAAACATTCCGGGCAACCGAATCGTGGCGCGGCTGCAATTAATCCTTGTCATCGAACGGCCACCTCGGTTACTAATTTCTTGCCACCACAATGTTCGGAAAGGCGAGTCAGAACCCATTTTGGCTCGACGACTACTGACTATTAACTGGATAATAGTTGTCTTCTTGGTGGTCTGGCTCCCCCGCACCAGAAAGCAAGCCTTATGACCCCACGGACCCAAAACAGAATCCGTTGAATCCTGAGGGACTCAAGCCGTGTGTTTACCTGCTCTCTTCCTCAGCTTTGGGGTGAAATGACCGAGTATTCTTAGATGCTGCGCATGCCCCTTGACCAAGCGGGCGCGTGACGATTGCTTCCTCAAATTCGACGCCGCAGAGGCACCAGAAAAATGCAAGGAGCAAGTAGAGAAGCACCTTGCTTGCATGCGTAGCCTCGGCTTCAAGATCTGAATATCATATAGACAAGGTTAACCCGGACACTAGACTAATGTAATTGCTCAATCTAATCAACCACAACTCCGCTACTGCAGACAAAGGCTTCCGACCCATACTCACTCCCAGGACGGTCCCTTGTTGGTGCCTTGGTTTCCGCTCTTCCGTTCTCGGCATCATGCCTGACGTTCTCGTTATTGCCTGCGGTGATCAGAATGCCTGACTTCGGTGAAGTGAGGGACCTGCTCTACTTAAAGCTTGGTTGTGCTCTCTCCAGGCCGCACGTCCGGCCAGGCGTAGCCCCAAAATACCTTCATTTTGGACCTGGTCTTCTTGGTCATGAGATTGCGCCTTTCCTGTGACGCCATGTAAGCCTGTTTAAACATTTCTCACTGGTTCTGCTGACTTTTTTTGCAGGTACCTATCGCCATTCCCAAAGATAACCCCACCCAACGTGCGTTATCTTGCGCGGATTATTTCAAGAACCATCGACTGAAGACTATTTTTGGCCTCTATCGAAAATCGCGCATGCAGATGCACAGGCCTTGTCATGCCTCTTGAGGTCTTTTTGCTGTTTGCTACCCGAAAGTTTCTTTCCAGAGTTGGCCTTTTTATGGTCCGCCACAATGGGAAATAGCATCTCTTATCTCCCATGTTTTGAGTGTTTACGGTGACTTCTTCCCGCTTCGAAACCCGACCTTTCGTTTAAAACGTATTTCTGGAGTTTGGGGGCCCCAGGCTTCTGCAGCTCACTTTCTCGAGACGTCGATTCTTCCTTTCATTCTCGGTCATGGAGTCTAACCATGACTCTGGCATAAAAGAGGACTATCCCCCCACCCCTCATGATCTTGTCACTCACGACGAAGGCCATCATGGTCGAGCAATCGCTTTTCCTGATAGCCTCCTCGAGGAGAAACACACCATGGCCACTCGCCCTCAGCAAGGCGTCGAAATGAAGCAATCCTTGACCCAGGAAGAGCAAGACCTTGCTGCTGCCGGCTACGACCATATCGAACAGCAAAAGCTGCATAGGATCGAGGAGGAGCGGGTTAAGGACAGCGAGCTTCATGAACATAAACTGCCTTTGGCCAGGCTTGCGACTGCTTTGAATACCTCATTTGACTCGAAGGATCCTGCGCGCTCGTCTGGACTCACTGACGAGGACGCTCAGGTTCGGCTTCAACGAGATGGTGCCAATGTGTTGACACCGCCAAAGAAACGAAGCGCTCTTCGAAAGGTGCTTCCTCTACCCATGACAAAGGCTATGACATTCCTAACGTATCACAGTTCCTCGACCGTCTTTTCACGATGTTCAACATCCTACTCCTGGTAGCTGGTATCCTCTTGTACATTCTTCTGGGTGTTCAGTTCAAGGTGACATAGATTACACTCACACATGACCGACTATTTTTAACCAGGCCCTTTTCAGGACAACTTCCAGAATACGTACCTTGGGGCGATCCTCCTTTTTGTCGCCTTCTTGAACGCTGGGATCGACTTCTACCAGATCCAAAAGTCCGAAGCTATCCTCGCTTCCTTCTTGGCAATGATCCCGCCCACCTGTCGGGTCGTAAGAGGGGGCGTGCTGACTCCTCTCCCGGCGGCACAGTTGGTCAAAGGTGACATTGTCCTGCTCGTATGTCACAGAGTGGAATGTCATCTAGAGCACGTTTTGACGTTGATGTCATTCACAGCGAACAGGCGACAAGACCCCTGCCGACATGATCCTTTTCTCCGCGAATGATTTGAAAGTCGACAACAGCAGTCTGACTGGCGAGTCCGAACCACAGGAACGGCGGCCCCTTGTCGAAGGGTCTCCACACCGTGCCGTGGAAGCCGAAAATATTGTATGGTCCCGCTCATTGTGAAAATCCACGAAAATCTCACCCAGGTACAGGTGTTCAATTCAACGTTGGTTGTCAATGGAGAAGGATGGGGTGGTAAGCTTTATTATCAACAGCCCGGGTATCTCAACTCATACCTTCCCTTCAGTTGTGGTTAAGACGGGGGATCAAACGATGATAGGTATAGATCATGTATCCATTTGGCTTCCTAACTCCTCATCTAACCGTCCCGCAGGGCAAATAGCAAGTCTCACCGGTGAGGAAAGTGACAGCGAATCCCCTCTTGCGAACGAAATGTAAGTCTCCTCCATCTCCGCTCGCCATCCCAGTGCAAGTCCCCCGTCTCAACTTTCCTCTCTAGCAACCGCTTCGTCATATTCGTCTCCTGCATCGCCATCCTCTTCGCCACCGTCTTCTTCATCGTCGGAATCACCAAAGTGTACCCAGGCAAGATTGGTCAAACGTTCACGTTCGCTGTGTCGGTGCTGGTCGCTTTCGTCCCGGAAGGGCTGCCTTCGACTGTCATGCTCCTGTTGTCCATAGCTGCGAAGAGGATGGCGAAGCAGAACGTGCTTGTCAAGGATTTGCAGGGGGTTGAGACACTTGGTAAGCAGCGGTCCTTGCTGTGGTCTGTCGAATGAGAGGGTAGCTGACGAATGAAACATGCAGGATCGCTGACTCTGCTGGCTACTGACAAGACAGGGACGCTGACTCGCAATCAGATGACAGTCACGAACCTATGGGCCAGCGGGACCATGTACTCGGCCTTCCAGGTACGACCACTCTACCCCTTCCTACTCGAAACCATTGATCAACTTTGCGACTAGTCCCACAACGACGAAAAATCCTTCTCTATAAAGGCTCCAGGAATGCAGCAACTCGTCGACAACGCTGCGCTCAATTCGAGAATCAAGTTTGACAGGACGGATGTTCCACTGGACCAGAGAGTTATCATGGGTGATGCGACCGAGACCGGATTGTTGAGGTTTGCGGGGAGGCAGATTACAGAGGATTATGAGAGCTTTGTGGGGAGGTACCCGAAAGTGTTTGAAGGTCAGTCTCGCTGCAAGTAGGAGTGATCGATAGCTAATCAATATTCTCAGTACCTTTCAATTCGACGAACAAGTGGGCTTTGTCGATTGTGACTCCGCTCGCCAATTCATCGCTCGCGTTATCCTCACACTCTTTCCTGTTCAGCTCCACAAGCCCCATGAAGATGGGGATCTTACCCTGTACATCAAAGGAGCTCCCGAACGGGTCCTTGCCAAGTGCTCGACGTACTTGAAGGATGACGCCACTGTCCCTATTTCGACGTCTTTCAAAGAAGCTTACAACGAGGCCTACGACGTCAGTATTCCCTTTCCCTATACAACCTATTTCCCTACTAACTTTTGAATAACAGTATATGGCGTCCAGAGGCCACCGCGTAATCGCCTGTGCCGAGCTCCTGTTGCCCAGCGCGGAATACCCCACAACCCACCCCTTCTCCAAGCCCACACCCTCCTCCGACGGTTACCCAACAGAGAATTACTGCTTCATCGGCCTCATTTCTCTTGAAGACCCTCCAAAGCATGGTGTCCGCGAGGCCATTGGTACCCTTCGTCTCGCCGGTATCAAGGTCATGATGGTCACGGGCGATCATCCCAAAACCGCAGAGGCTATAGCGAGGAAGATCAATCTTGTGTTGGGCGAGACCAGGGAGACGCTAAGTCGGAAGACTGGGAGGTCGATGGAGGATATCTACGAGGACGAGGTTAGTGCGGTAGTTGTGCATGGGGATGACATCGATGGGTTGCAGGGGTGGCAATGGGATCAGAGTGCGTGCTGGTTCTGCGTTAGCGCTCGTCTGGTAGAAACTGACCTTTCGGTGCATGTGCAGTCTTTTCAAAAGAAGAGATCGTATTTTCCAGGACTTCCCCGAAACACAAGCTAGAGATCGTGAAACGAGCTCAAGCGTTGGGGCATATCGTCGGGGTGTACGTAGGCAGGGTCCTCGATCTCATTCCCTAGACACTGACAGGTCTCGTTTTATAGAACTGGTGATGGCGTGAACGACTCCCCCGCGCTCAAAAAGGCGGACCTCGGAATCGCGATGAACATGTCCGGATCTGACGTTTCGAAGGAGGCTGCCAACATGATCCTCTTGGGTATGTCGACATGTTTCCGTTCCACTTGGAAACGCTGGCTGACATATTGTGTCAAGACGATAACTTTGCTTCGGTCGTTAGTGAGTTTATCTTCCTTTTTCTCTGTACTCTGACGGATGACTGATCGAGTCAATTAGAGGGTGTAGTTGAGGGCCGTCAGATATTCGTGAACCTCAAACGGTCTATCCAGTATGTGACCGTGATCTACCTGCTCCTATGCACACGCCGACGAGAAATATGTCAGGTATACGATCTCGCACAGTACCCCGGAAGTCATCCCCCAATTGCTCTGTCAGTATTTTCGTTTGGATTCGGCTCGTTCCTAAATCTGACAAATCTGACCCGTAGATGTCGTGGTCCCGCTGCCATTGCCATTGTCTGCCATCTTGATTCTGGTCATCGGTAAGGCCTGAGCTTGCCTCATCACCTGATACCACTGTCTTTAACACTTGAACATCTACCAGATCTTGGCTTTGAATTGCTCATCGCTGTACGGCATTCCTAAGTGGATATTTTCACCGGGCCGTGTTGACTTTTCCTCCCAGCTCTCCTTCGCTTGGGACCAACCCGAAACGGAAGATGGTCTCATGCGCTTGAAACCTCGTAAACCTGGTGTGTATATTCTTTTGCCAAACAAAGTATCGCTGACCTTCATCTCAATTGCAGTGACTGATGCTTCCATCCACTCTCGCAAACGGAGAGCCCTGCGAAGATCACGAACCCTAACTCGAGACCGCGAAACAGGTGAAATCATACCCCCGAGTCGAGCTTCACGAATCGCTGCCAAGCTCAAGGCTCCTTTTACGAGAGAATTTTGGGAGGAAAGGCTCGAGCGTACCGACGACGAGAACCTGGTCGACGCGAATCTTTTGGCGTATTCGTACTTGCAAGCTGGTATGATCGAGTGTGTTGGGTCGTTGCTTGCGTATTTCTTGGTGTTCCATAAGAATGGGTTTGCTCCTGGCGATCTGAGGAGGGCTCAGCAAGCTGGAGGTCAGTACACTGTTGACACATGTCATGCAGGAAAGAGTCACTAAAGTCTTTTCTCTAGTCTACTTTAAGAAGGATAGTCCAGATTACATCGCCAACTCTGGACGTGTAATCACTGCTTCACAACAAGTCGACGCGCTAGGTCAGGCTCAGGGAATTGGTTCGTTAACTCTCTTTCGCCTCCTCCCTGCCCCGGAAGAACTGACCATATTAAACAGTGTATCTCTCGATCTTTATCATGCAGTGCTTCAACGTCTTCGCCGTCAAAGCCAGACTCTCCTTCCCATTCGGCAAACGAATCGTGAGCAACAAATGGAACTTCCTCGGCATTCTTGCTGGCGCCTGCCTCGGAATGTTCATCATTTACACTCCTCCGCTTCACGTCGTTTTCGGCGGTTCATATCGCCTCTCCCCGCTCTATTGGCTGGTACCTATTGCGTTCGGGGTTCTTCTTCTCGCCTGGGCTTCACTTCGTGTGGTTCTGCTCCGCAGTTCTGTCGAACATATGAAGGTTCGAGACGTCAGTGGTTTGATGATGTGTGCGTATTCATTCAATTCTGGTCCTCGTTCTTGTTTCCTCCGTGAGAGTCCGTCAGCTAACGCCGAGTTGTGCTTCCCTCTAGTCCCGACGATGCGAACGATGAGCATGAGATCCCGCGGTTCTCGCCACTGATAAGATTTTCAAGGTCGTTCGATTGGAAGGCGTCGCGCTTGTTTGGGTGTTCTGCTTGCTCGGTCTGATGGAATGGAATTAGATGGGATGTATATCACAACATGTATACCTATACACGATATATAATCGACGATGTCAACGATGCCATGTAACGGTTGGCCGTCGAGGTGAAGGTCATAAGCGGTTCCTGCGAAACAAAGTAAAGCCCAGTCATGACTGGGATTACGATGCCCCCTATCGCCCAATTCCGTCTTCGAGAACCCCCGACGCTCGCACCGTTGAAGTACGGCTTAAGATAGGTGTTCCATAAGATGGCTAATCCATCAACAGCATGGACAGCTGTAAAGAGGACCAGACCTCCATACAACACCCAGCTTCTGACGGGGAACCGCTGTAATCCCAACTTGACAAACTCGAAATCCAGCTCTGCGGGACCCACAGCGAAGATTGGGGGTGCTTCTGTAGTTGGATCAGCGCGGTGTGATAGGAAATGGATGGGGAGGAAGAGGAGGGCTGTTGCGTAGCCTGTCCATGCGAGCGGTCGGGAGATGGGTCGAGGTTCGTCTTTGGGATTGGAAGAGAGCAGTCGCTTCAGTAGTCCGCTTAGAATGTGTACCGTTATTGGTGTTAGGACAAGAGCTGTTTCTCCAAAGCTCGTTTGATAGTATTCCCGTCCTAAGAGCTGATTTCAAGAGAAGGGGTGTAGACAGTCGATCAATCACTGTCAGTTCTTTTTATGATAGACAGATTTGAGTTACGGCGTACCATTGTTTGAGAAGCTGCAGAAGCCCCGCCTAGATTGGCTAGCATCGGCGCAGACAAATGAATAAGTGCGAAAGTGCTAATAAAGGGTGCTGAGCCATGCAGGGCTTTGGTTAGAAATCGAGTAAAAGGTCTTCCGTTTCCGTCCATCTTCTATAGAGATTTGTAGATTTCCAACGTTGACAATTGAAGTGAAGCTTCCAGCAGCCTATGAGCCTCGGCGCCAGGATTGTGGACTGCTCGGAGCAAGATGGTGGTCGTCGTGGATGAAGAGGTGTGGCCAATCAACGCTCTGGGAAATCAAAATTGATCCTGCCGTCGCGTCTACCGCGCTCAGCGCTTGGACTGCGACCACGACCACCGGTATCGCATTCAGTTGAATCAAAGGACTTTTTCAACGAAGACTGCGTCTGGCAGTCAGAGGAAGATTTTGGAAGGGTATAGAACTGTCATACTTGTCTGACTTACATCTTTTGTTTTGACAGATTCGATACCTCCAATCACAAACGGCGGAAAGGCGGAAACATGTTCCCTTTTCCTCAGAACCTAGTCTAGCAATCCAATAGGGCAGGTCGGTAGACCTGAGGCTGTAGCAGCCTTGGCCGTCAGAAATGGCCTTCCAGGCGGTCTCGAGTTTTCATCCCAAGCTTCTCGACCTCTACCGGAGCACGGAGCAGGAAACGCGTTCCTTGCGGCCTGCTGTCAGATCCCTATCTTTTCGAGGCCTTTAAGCGCTCGATGAGGTCCTTCTTTCTCTCTCAGATGTCAAAAGTCCAGGGCCTAGGGACAAGAAGCATCTTTCACCTACTTCTATTCCAACGGAAAATCTTTCGCATCCTCTTCGGTATCCTCTGCCGCCCTTTTCTTAATTAACGCTTGGGGTATAAATGGGACCCTACGGATGTCTGCATAATCAGCGTCGGTCTCTCCTCTGACGCCCCTCCTCCCTGATACTTCTATGAGGCTCACTCAAGTATTTGCGACGGTTCTCGCCATTGGCGCTGCAGGGGTTGGATCCTCTCCTGTGACGATCAATGCAGACCCTAACACCATCTTCGGTGGGGTCGACATGAGCGCCCAAAACCACTATGGCGCGCCTATCGCTCCTTGGCTCCATGGAGCGAAACCGGGATGGTACTACGGTCAGTTCCCTTGGCTCTGGCCCTGGCTTCCCTGGCTGCATGGTGTAAGTCCACCTCTCCGTGAATAGGAGGCGTTGGTTGATCCCCCTGTCCATAGCCCGTCTGCTCCGTGCTTCCGTGGTTCCCCTGGCTGATCCAATGCCCTAAGCCATGGATTCCCCCTCCTCCTCCCAAGCCTCATCTCCCACCTCCGCCGCCGTATCCTTGGTGAGACTCGCGATGACATGTCGTGACGAAACCTTTACTCATTGCTGACACAGGTGGCCCTGGCCAGGGCATCCCCCTCCCCAGCCTCCGCCACCACCTCCCAATGACGGCTACCACCAGACCTTCAAGAACCTCACGGGCGCTACCCAAAGCCAAGTTGGAGATTATCTGACATTCGGCCTAGTCGATACTGTTGCCGGTAAGTAACGTTCTTGTACTTAATCACTGCCCAAAACCTTCCTTGACGTTGTGGGGGAAATCACATAACGGACTGTTCTAATTCTGTCTCCGTTCGCGACTCTTTGCAGATTGCAAGGTTATGTGCAATTCTGTTCCCGAATGCAATTTCGCCAACAGTGAGTACTTCCACAGACATGCCGCCATGCAGTGCTCAAGCTTCTGACCGGCAACTCCGCAGGCTACAACGACGTCAACGGCAAAGACGGAAGCACAAAGCTCACTTGCGCTCTGTACTCGAAATGTCACAGCGACAAAGATGCCACGAACAAGGGTGGCCAGACTCAACCTGACGGAAGCATCAATTACATCAGGAACAGTGACGGCTGGTGCAAGAATGGTCAAAAGCCCATCAACTAGGACAGAATGCCAGTTCCCTCGACATTCGAACATTTGACATCTGGGATGGCGAGGTGACTGAATTGACGTCCCTCTCTTTGTTCTGGACCTGGACAGTGCACTTCTTATGAACATTCTTCCGTGTAGTGCCGATCTCCTAGGTACAATGGTTCGTTCCTCTCCTCCATTGTAACCTGTGAAATATACCCCTGTGCTCTTATGTGTGCAAACGCGTTCCGCAGGTGTGCCTACAAAGTGTCAATAACCTACAGTTCTTCCAGACCCCGGATCACCTCATTAGATTGGACAATCGAGCGCTGTATGTGAATTTGATTTTGACGTCCACGCTCTCGTGCCTCCAGGACAGAGTAATGCTTGACGCTCGACGATCACAGACCACGATCGAAAAACGTACGACCAGCCTCCCACCATTATGTGCCTCAGGCCTCATCTGTGTGCCTTGGCTGCAATCGTTCAACATTGACTGTCAATCGAGGGCGCTCGACGAGTCGAAAATCTGGGCAGCTCGTAACGTTTTACTCTGGGCCAGTGGATTACGGTACCGCGGGGTGTTTAAGCGCCTCAAGGCACTCAAACATCTCTTCTTCTTTCCGAGGAATTTTCCTTTGATTCACCAATCTCTCCTTCGCAAACGAGATGCCCAAACTTTACGGCTCGCAGCAAGGCTTTGTGGAGGTCTATTCTTGGACCGACGTTCGAAAGAACGGAAATACGGCAGTCTAACACTGAACTCTCCAGGTACCATCTGGAACACGTCAAAGACCCGTCCAACTTGAACCTTTATGCACGTTCAAACCTTCAGGGACAAGACTTTCACGGATGCAGCACCGTTCACTCATGGTCCGGATTGATTTTGACGATTTTCTCGTCGGCGTCGGCAGCATTCAAGGGGAGAACGGGTGGGTGCGACTGAGGGGGGACTCTATTTCCTTTTTCTCTCGTCCATCTGGAATCGAGATCGCCGTCTTACGAACGCGGTGTATAAAAGCCCGGGTCGCGTCGAGTGTTGTTCCCCAGTGTCTCCTTGTACCTCCTCCAGGTCTAATTTGACACCTTTCCTTCCCTTCCTACCCTCGTTTGGTTCCAGGCTCGCTTCGTCACCGTCCTAACCACCCCTTCACTCTACCTCCAACACTCCCTATCCACACCGACCACGATGAAGTTCAGCACCATCCTCACCGCTGCCCTGGCGTTCACCGTCACCACCGTCGCTGCCACGCCCACCCCGGGTCCGTTCAGCAACTTTGACCCCTTCAGCATCTTTGGTAAAGACCTCGGCCGAGGCAACAAGTACGGTGCACCCAGGAAGCCCTGGGAGGGCGGTAAGCCCGGTTGGTACTTTGGCAAGCACCCTGGCAAGGTCCCTCGTCTTCCTTGCTTGACTGGCGTACGTGTCTTTTAGACTTTCGTGCCCGATGGCGCGTGGAAATAGGGTTACTGACGCCTATTTAAATTGTACAGCCCATTTGCAAGATTTTGAAGTTGTTCCCGTGGTTCCTCCAATGTCCTACCCCTCCTCCTCCCAACCCCGGGCCATCGGACGGCTACACCCAGACTTTCAACAACCACACAGGCGCTACTCAAGGCAACGGATATCTCACCTTCGGTTTGGTCGACACCATCGCTGGTACGTGATTTCCGTCCAATTAAGCTTCGACCGTTTAGTTCCGCCTCTCTAACCTTGTTCCGATTGCAGACTGCAAGGCCATGTGTAACTCCGTCGAAGGCTGCGTGTTCGCCAACAGTGAGTCATATCCTTTCTGTGGATGTGTACAAAGGGTGTGCTAAGCGCGTCCTTTCACCAGCTTACCGGGATGTGAACGGCAAGGACGGAAGTCCCCTCTTGACCTGCTCGCTTTACTCTGAATGTCACGGAATTGAAACTGCCACCAACACCGGTGGACAGAGTCAACCGGACGGTAGCATCAACTATATCATCAACAGTGATGGTTGGTGCAAGGCCTGATGAACCTAATCCCATCCTCCACACTGAACACTCCTACCACGCGCGCTGTGCACCATTTCCACCTTCTTTTTGTCAGTTTCTATCAGCAGCTAGTCCACACTAGGACACTTCCGGTTATCTAGTAATAGGAACACATTACCTCCTAGCGTTATAGTCTCAATGGATTAGGCTTTTTCGGATAGTCGTTTGGCGATGCAAGGCGTGAGTGTCGTGGTTGGGTAATAACACAAAGGGGTAGTGCAAGGGTAGTTGAGTGTCCGTTAGTCGTAGGGAAGTGATGTCCCATTGAGAATCATAAGAAGCGCATCCATTCGTTAAGACACCGTCCGGATAAAGAGGGTGAACAGGGCCTTTCATTTCACTGAGCCTTCTCCTTGACTGTAAAGGTAAACAAAGATGTCGGTTTACGTTCCAGGACTAAAGATAAGGAAACGAAGTTGAGGCGTACCTTTCTTCTCAGATGGAGAAACAGCCACAGCAGGAAGCTTGGGATTCCAAAGACCAAAGTTCTTTGCAGCCCTCCCGATGAAGAGACCGGAGAGAAGCACCGCGCAGATTGCTCGAGCCACCTCAGGATCGAGCGGTTCGGGCCTCTTCTGTGCGAAATCACTGCCATTGGCAAGTTGGAAGAAGAGGGTGTGGAGGTCCCCCCAGAATGGTTGGGCGTGGGTCAACAACGCGTATAACGCGGTTGTTGCTGGAGCACACCAAAGGTCGGCGGTACTCCAGCCATAAGGCAAGAGTTCAGGGGGAGTTTGGATGCTCAGGGACGTGGGGTTAAAGAAGGAGAAGAGGTTCACGAAGAAGAAACCGGCGTTGGCCGTCAACTACAATTCATCAACCTCAGCATTGCATCATCAGCTATTTGCCACCTCAGCGACACGTACCAGAGATGTGATCAGGAGCGTCCAGGGGGAGGTGGAAATCGAAGGGGATGCGTTAGCTGTCACCGTTGGTGGAATCAAGTTGCAGAGCAGGTAGGCACGTGTAATGCCGTCGAGGACGGATAGAGGCAGCTCTAAATCAGCTGAGGGTGCTGGGACAGCGGGGAGGTTGTCGACAATGGCCTGGACGGTTGCGTAGAGTGCAGGAACAGCTCCTGAGAGCATGAAAGAGGGCGTAAAGCCCAACATGGGACCTGGATTCGAACAAGGACTGTCAAGCAGACAATAACGAACGTAATGCACGGATTGCGTACCTGTAATGGCCTCTCCTCCATAGACCACCAGGAAGGTCGTGGCAACGCTCTTGACGAGCGAGTAAGGCTCGAGTTTCCCTCCTTTCTTGGAAGCAAGGTGTTGCTGGAGGGTGGCTTCTCGGACCTGCCTCATTGCGAGGCATAGTCGAAAGGCTGCAACGACGTCTAGGGTGCTAATTGGCGACCCAAACCACGTAAAGGGAGCCGTTGGTTGCAGGCTCCATCTAAAGATCTCTATAATGGGGGAAACTGGGAACAGAGCCATGATGAACGAACGGCCTCGACGACCTTGGTGGTGGTTAGGGAATAAAGGACTATTGCCTGAACGGGCGCGTACTGAAGATGAGCCGGAATAATGATACTATATCACTTTTAATGCAGAGCCTTCGAACAGCCCCGTGGCTCAACGGCTGTCATGGCCGCAACTCGGGAATGCGGACGCTTTATCTCAGCGGGTTCTCCATCAGTGCGCTGGTTCAAGACTGTCCCCTCCAGAAAACTTGGTTTCCACAGACCCTCGCGCCGTAAGGTGTGATTTGGTCTTGGAATAATTTGTCCTTGACTGGCCAGGGAAGCAATTCCGCAACCTGCAGGACTTGCCGAGTTAGTCTTCGGAGATCAGGGCATGTCGTCAGTCGCGCAGTGGAACGCGTCGTCCGTAAACCTTTTTGTATTTCTTTTTCGGAAACACTACTCCCACCTACTACTAGGGTCCCTCACAAATTCGAAGTAGAATACAGTACCATCTTTGTCTACAAAGTCCAATTTACGAATATAAAAGTTGCCGAGGAATTCGAAGATAGGCTCCCCACTGCTAGTGAACCTGGTAAGATCTTCCATGAACACCATAGCAGCACATTCTCTAAAAAGCTCGGGTTGATCGGGAAGGGGATATGTAGATTCTTTCGGAATGCAGAGATTCTTCAGTTGTGTGTAAAATGCAGCAGCAGCAACGAAATCGACGTTGGGGTGGAAGAATTCCTTGACATGTATCACACCATCGTCCCCTTTAGACGGAAGAGGGAAACCAGTTCGATGGAGGTAGTCTCTTCTGATTAACAGATGAGGATGGGGTGCGATGTTCTAGAATTATTGGCTTAGAGAAAGAAACAAGAGTCAATAAAAAGACGTTACTCACCGGGTGTGTCAAGATCTCAAACTCGGAAAAGAACTGAGCTTTCGAAGGTGACCGCTTCGACTCGTAGCACCCGATCTCACACCCCACGCCTGCTTGGGAACTTGGACTCTGACCCTCGCCTTGCTGCCGTTTGGCCCCGAGGAACTCCCACATTCCGGAGTCTTCCTCCTCATCCGAGGATGCGACGACAGTCATCTCGTCGTCCCATTGTACGACGTCTACCGGAACGTCGAGAGGCCCATACTTGCTACGCCGTGACGGGAGGCGGAAGGATCGAGTGGATTGTGGCGTGATGAGAGACTCGTCGTCAGAAGACAGTGGGGAGGTTCGAAGCGTTGGAAGATTGCGAGGCATCGTCGATGGAATATGAGTTGGATAGGCTTGCAGAGATTTGGTTGCTTTGGAGGATAGGCGAATGGGTGCCTTCTTATATACATCCCACAGCACCATGCACCTCTCACTCTACTCCAAACCATCCATTGTCTGCGGGAAGGACCTCCCTGCAAGAAACATAACATAAGTTAGCCACTCGTCATCACAAATCGGGCCACACTCCTTTGTACCTGAAAGAAGGGTAGGAAGCTAAACAGCATTTGCGGAGACAATGTCCCCGTTGTCCGTTTCGACGTGACCGAGTGGCATCCCTTTCAATGCTGAGCACAAACCCCAGGTACAAAGACCCTGTTATAAGGGTAATATCGTTGTCTCAGTGTGAATTGAAAGGCTAAAAAAGTATTTGGCGCGGCTTTGGTCTATTCGCTCCTTTGTCAGTGACGCCACTGAATGTGATTTGCCGAGTGCAAGTCTGCGCGTTGCCATGCTGCTGCAGAGTTCGACCACTATTAGTATTTTATTCAGTTTCAAATTCGATTAGGATTATGTAGATCAGTGAAGACAGTGAAAGATAGATAGGTAGAGTGGTTAGTTAAGGTATCGAGAGCTCACAAGACTCTTTAGATAGTGACGGTTCCTTGCAGACGGGTATCGAGCGACGAGGCACCCACGTAGATCGTGTAAACACCCGGGAGGCGGACATAGCTTTGGCTGGGAACATCCCAAACGCTACAAAGGATGCCATCAACTTCCGGATCATCTCTAAAAGCAACACGAAGAACGCACCTCATATCGCGCTCGCTAAGGTTGATAGTGACACGGGTGCTAGCACCAACCTCCAAAATAGCCTCTTCGAATCCACGCAAAACCTTCTTAGGCTGGCCAGCATTGGGAGGGTAAGCAAGATAGAGTTGAGGCTTCTCAGCACCAGCAAATGCGCCAGTGTTGGCCACAGTGAACGAAACCTGGAATCCTGGGCCATCACGAGTGATAGCGAGGTTGGAGTATCCAAAGGTGGTGTAGGAGAGACCGAAACCGAATTCGAAGCGTGGGCGGATGTTCTTCTCATCCATGTATCGGTAGTCGAGGAGGAGCTTCTCAGTGAAGTCGATGTCCGGGAAGCCAAGGCTGTTGTAAACGATGGTCGTTCCGTATGCAGCTTCGTTCTGTGAAAGAAACCATCTTTAGTCAAAGGTCAAAGCAGCGAGAGGGAAGCGACGTACATCGGCAATGCTGAAAGGAAGCTTGCCACTGGGGTTGTAGTTTCCGTAGAGGATGTCGACGATCGAAGGTCCAGTCTGCTCTCCAGGGGCGCCAGCGTAAATGATACCAGTGATATTAGGATGGGTGCTCCAGGGCATGTAGACGGGTCCAACAGAATGAACGACGACGATAGTGTTGTTGTTGACAGCAGCTACACGCTCGATCTACACCAGTGTGAGTTTAGTATTAGCTTGGGACGAACAGCAAAATTAAACTAACCAAGCTACCACCCCTCCACCAAAGGTCAAGGTCATTCCTGTCACCCATGTTTCCGTGGACGACGGTGTAGAAGGCAAGTTCACCGCTCGCTCTGAGGGGCCCTGTCAGCTGGTTTCACTACATCTGTGAGGTGCAACTTACGCGTTCACAAAGACAAGAGCAGCATCCTTGCCTCGCGCAGCCCGCACACCGTCATCCAAGTTGTTCGTTAGAGACTCAGTGATGGTAGCAGTGTCACTGGTGAAAGACTTGATGGCGTCGATGGGAGGGACGACATGATCAAAGTTGATAGAGCCAGAACCCCAGCTAAGTATGAGTGTCAACGAATTGCTCGACAGAATGGAGATTCCTACATACCCAACGACCATGGTGCCATCGTTACATTCACCCATTTCCGAACAATTCTGGTTCAGCTGACGGGCATCTTGACCAATGACAGCGATCGACTTGATTCTGTCTTTAGAGAGTGGCAAGCCGCGCGTAGTGATTCCGGAAGGGGTACCGTCGGTGGTGGAGCGGGCGTTCTTCAACAGGACTGAAGAAGCAGAGGCAATCTCCCTGGCGAGGGCGGTGTGTTCTTCGGAGCGAACGTTGACCCGAAGGTTCTTGGGGCCAGATCCATCGCGTCGTTGAACGTCAAAATTGGTCTCAGGATAGTCCTACAGGCGTAAATTGAGCTTCAAGTCCATTGAAGAAGGTTGGCCAATCCATTACTTACAGGAGAATCTTGTTCGAGGTAGTACCAAGGAGCAAGAATTCGCGCGACCATTTCGTTGAGACGCTGAAAATAGGTTAGTAACAAGCCGGTCAGAGGAGGTCATGCCACTTACTCTCTGGGAAACCCGTCCCTTGTTGACTGCGTCCTTGAGCCCACCAAAGACGCCTCCTCCGACCACGATGTAATCGCCGGGTTGCTCCATGTCCAAACCATTGTTCGCGTTCACTTCTGCAGAATCGTGCGTTGCACCCCAATCGCTGACGACGTATCCCTTGAAACCCGCCTTGCGCAAAATACCATTATCGCCCAAAAGACCCGCATTCTGGCACGAAGAGGTGCCGTTGAAGCGATTGTAAGCGCACATGACGGACGAGACGTCGGCCTACAAATAATCAGTTAGTTAACACCAGTTGCCTTGACCAGACGAGGTTCCCTGCTTGCCTCAATACTTCGAAGGAATGGATAAAAGTACATCTCGTGAAGTGTTCTGTCGTCCATGTTGGCGCTGTAACCATATCTCCAGTGCTCCTGGGTATTGCCGATGAGGTGCTTGATGCAGGCTTGAACTCCAACGCTCTGGACGCCCATGATAGTCTCATAAGCGCCTTCTCCGTTCAGATAAGGATCAGGACCAAAGCTGCACACGAGGATTTAGACGAAGGGCTATATTTAGAGTGAAAGGATGAACGTACGCTTCCCAAGCACGGCCTCCCTTGGGGTTCCTCATCTAGATGCACGACATTGAGGGTACCAGTGGTCAAATTACAGGGCAGCCACTTACAACGTCCACGGATGGGCCCAAGAATACGCTGCGGCGGGAAGTATGAGCCGAGTGGGAATCCACAAATGCGCAGGCGAACTCACTGTGATCCTTTGCCTCGGAACTCCCGACCCAAAGCCTCACCACGCTCTCTCATGAGGCGACGACTGAAGGTTGCTGCGGCGTTAATGCCAGTAGGGAAGCCGGTCGTCTCTTTTACGAGACGCATTCCTGCGGGGCCATCTGCGAAACAGATTGACGGGATGCCCAGTCGGGGAACAGCCTTGGTATCACCAACACAACGACCTGTTAACAGCGTGAGTGGCAGATCCTGGACATTGCAGAGACCGGCGTACGGTTAGGGTTGAGTTGGCCTGTGCCCCTGACGATTCCCAACTTCTCGTCCAAGGTCATCTGGCTCACCACATTGTTGGCTAGGTCATAAGCTTCGTCCCATGTTCCTACAGACGGCGTTAGCATAAGACAACGTACTGTGGATTCAGAAAAGCGTACTCCTGGCTACAGTGCCCTGGAGAATGGCGAGCAACACAAGTAATGAGAAGGAAGAACGCATGATGGTGTCCCGAGGAAGAGCTGGAAGGCAGGCATCCAAATATGCCTTTATAGCCCTGAGCCGTGTGGTCAGACCAGTGCCAACGGACGGAGGTTGATCAGATTCCGTAGCTGGGCAGAAGCACCCATGTGAGCCGCTTTTGTGCTTGCATCTGTCGCAGAACCTTCAACGACGTGATGCTCCGTTCACCTTACGACTATCTTGTCATCGTCTGTGGAGTTTCCCGTCTATTATAAGCTCTGTTGTGTATTAGTTCTACATTGTTTGTTAGATAGCTGAGCGGTGAAAGCCCTTACAGTTCGGGCGTCAAACACGGGCTTTCGTCGTTGGCCCATCGAGATGTTCCTGGTACCCCGCATTCCTTGTCAATCCGCACCGCCTGACGGTATATAGGCAGCGACCAAGGCATCGGCGGTCCAAAAGGAGAACTGTTGCATGTGGTTCCCCACAGCATGAGAAGAAACGCGAAGGAAGTCGAAGCGACGAGCGTCAGAGCAAAAGCAGCCTGATTTTGGGAGGTCCCCGATGATACTCCTTTTTCCCACGAGTCGCGGACCAAGTGCTTGGCGCCCGATCGCGAAGTTGTGGGTCCCAGTTGGTCCTCGAAACGCGACTCGGAATGAGCACAGTCGAGAGGCTTTGTGCATCCATGCCATGCGAATTAATGACTGAGTTAGAGACTAGACAAAGACACCCGCGTTCGAGAAACTCTCTTCCAAGTATCTCCATATTTCTTCCCAGGTAAGCTCACCGCGACAATGGACACAGAGACCAGAACAGTTTCAGAGACTTCGCTCTGATGAAATGTTCAGAGTTCCTTCCGCATGGTGCCTGACCTTGTCGAGGAGCCTTCGCACGGCCTCTGCTCGCCATCGATCCTTGTCGTCAATAGACAGTCGCTTCCAAATCGGAATGTAATGATAATGTCGTTTGAGAAGGTACAGCGAAATCATAGGGGGGATGGACTAGCATAACAAGCTCGAGGTACTAAGTATACCCAAACCCTGCCGTCAAAAATACTTCGTCGGCCCAAAGTTCCAGTAGCGATACGGCAGGCGTCCCTGAAAGTCCAAAGCCGGAACGACATCCTCGTCTGAAGGATTCAAATTACTATGTCTGCAAAGCACATTGGTCAGTAGAGGCAGCGAGATAGTGATTCATACTCACTGTAAACGAAAGTGCTTCCTCATGTACTTCCCATCATCAACGAACCGACAGTGTTTGCAGATTAGACCAGATCCATAACGGCCACTGTCCCTTGACCGCATCTTCTCATCCATGCGTTCTCTAACCTTTTCGGCGGTTTCTGGGTCTACCTTCTCAAGTAAAGGCTCTTTGCAATTTCGGTGACAGAACTGGAATAGCCAACGTCGATCAGCTACATCTGCGATCGTCAGAGAACAATCCACCCACCGTATGCCTCCAGGTCATCATAAGCCGACCCTCATAAGGATTCGAGCATGCTTTACACTCCCAAATATCATCGAGAGACTCGAGCTCCTGGTAGGTAGTCGTCTTAGGGTCGTATCCGAATTTCTCCAGAAACGCGACAGCACGCTTTGAAGCTTCGTGATCGAAGGTAATGCGACGCTCGCGAGTAAAATCCTTCATCTTGTTCCAAGGCAATTCTCCGGTGTGTTTGGCGAAGCTGATGATAGCCGACCCTGTAGAGTTTGTAATTTCCCCTTCGCCGTCAGACGCGCAGCCATGGACCATGGCTTGGATGGGATAAAGCCGCATATTGCAACGATTGCATTGAAATACAGCAATGGCAAGGTCCAAAGTTTTCTCCATAGGTAGGCCGGGAGGTATGATGTCCTTGACGTGACGTTCCATCATCTTGAACAAGCTTTCCCTCGTCTTGGCCTGCCAACGGGCGTTGATATCTGGGAGTTGGGCAAAGAGCGGTTCAAGGAACATGTGTGAAAATTCCTGGTGGTAAGGAACACTCTCCATCGCGGCTGACATTTCCTTCGAGATAAACAGGTCGCCCACGGGCAGGACAATGGCGTTGATGGGGAGGCTTTTGACGAATCGTTCGTGAAAATCCATCACCTTTGCATACCGGGATGCCAGCTTGTCGGGGTGCATGTCTTCGAGCCACTGCCATCGTAGATACTCCGCTGTCGCCAGGGCATCCTTTTCGGCGTTGCTCCATACTGGAATGATGTTTGCATTCATTAGCCTGTCAATACTCGACCACATCTTGACCCACCTCTGTCCGTAAGGTTCTTCTTCGCCAAAAGCTGATCGAAAACCGCGTGCCACCAGATACGTTTTGTTTTACGCCACACTTCGACCTCGGCAGCATACCCGTGCGAGATCAGCTTCTGGAAAATCCTGGCCAAAGTACTTACATGTCGGTGATCTGGCAGACTAAATTGATACATCACACCTACCATTCTTTCCGCTCGTTCTTTTCAGCTTCGGCGCGAGCAGCTCGCGCTTCCAATTGCATCAACCGCCACTCGTCGCACTGCTTTGCATGCTGTAATGAAAGATAGTCATGGTAAGCCCCCATCACGAGAAAGAGAAATCCGACGACGAACCTCCACTCTCCTCTCTACATCCTGTTTCTGCTCTTCTATCCATCTTTTTCGTGCGGCGGAATCTGAAAGCGGGATTGCACGATACTGGTTGTACAACCTGTTCCATGCCTTGATGTGGTAGTAGCGAACATTGCGCGTATGCGTGGAGCCTAAAAGAGACTGAGCATGTCGTTCATCTCTTTACAAGGAGAGCTTGATTAGGTTGGCACTGGACTGACCCGACGAGGGATAGATCTTTGGGACGAAAGCTTTGAGATGTGGTTCACTTTCAACAGCAGCGACGAGGTCATCAGAGGAGGAGAACCTATAAATCCAACCAGTCAGATGTGCGAAAGGATGGAAAATTGACCACTAACTCTCTTTCCAGACAACGACTACAACCTCGAAGGCATGCTTCCCAAACAGTAGTCTGCACGACATTCCGGAGGCAAAACTGGTGTCCATCCAGTCAGCCTTGCACCCAACGCGAATAAAGAGATCACAGGCTCACCTGGCAGTGCTTTCCAAATGCAAGATCGACCCATTGCGGCTCGCTGAGCCATTCTGGACATTTAGGAAGTCCGGGGACCGACGACAACACTTGCCTCCAGATCGTTACGGAAGACTTGCTCATCAATAAGCCGCGTAAATCACGCGTCGTTCGCGCCAAATTCAGAAGATCCAGAGGTTCCAGGTGTCCTAAGATCTGCCCCCAGAGGTGTGAATTCTTGAAGTAATACGACGCGCTTCGCGTTTAAGGTAACCCTCACCTCATACAACACGTCGAGTGGCATCTCCACAAGACGTTCCAATGACCCGCGCTTGCTGTTCTTCCGCTTTACTGGTCGCTGACATGGTTTATCTGAAGCAGAGACTGAATCGCGTTTGCGTTTGCTGCTGCCAGCACAACTAGGCGTCATCGTTGCGGTGTCGAGATAATCAGATGAATGGCAACGCGACAAAGCTTGCCCAGGATTCCTGGCGCGCCACGAATTCTCACGGCGAGCGAAAGGCTCGGCGCCCAAATTACATAGGGGCTAATGGGCGCGATATGGGCAGACATACGTATGTACATAGTTCGTCGACTTCGAAGCACATAGTAAAGGAGCTACGCTACCGGTTCTACGTGGTATTCCTACGCGGCGGAGTACTCGGTTTGGGAGATGAAGGCCTGGGTGAGGGGGGTCTGGGGGAAGGTGGTTTGGGCGACGGAGGCCTCGGGCGCGTAAAACTGGTAGTCGCAGGGGGCGGAGGAGTCGCAGGACGCGATGGTTCAGGAGAGAGAGGCCTGGGAATAACTGGTATACCCGCATTGGGATCAGGGACTGTCACATCAGGAATGACTGGGGCGTTGGGGTCAGGTGTAGTTACTCCAGGAATGACGGGGCCGTTTGCTGGACCCCAGACTGGGATGCCATTAGCGTCTGTTGGGATGGGCTTGTTCCCGGGCCATGGCCAATTTTGTCTTTGATACAGTGATTCATCGATGGAGTACTTCCTTTGATAGATGCTGGCGTCGCTCTCCGACCATCGAACGTCCTGTTCCAATGACAGAGGGTTGGTATCTTTGCTTCAAGAAAGTATACAGCCACCTACGAATCGACGGATGGGAGCAGCTCCCGTGTTCATGGCCCCTAAGAGCATGCTTAAAGCGAGAGTTACAGTGTCGAGCTTCATAGTTGGACTGCAAGGATGGGATAGTAGAAGGAGAGAAGTCTAGTAGGGACCAGCCCTCCAGTGAAGTAGCTTTGTCAAATCAGGGTCAGTTGCGTCTACCGAATGCCAATCGTACGAAACAAGTGGGACTTACCGGCTATTCGAGTGGGGTGTCCAGCACAAGGGTTCATAAACGCAGACATCCGCCTTTATAGTCAGTGGTAAGTGTAGTGGACACCTTATCGTCCACACCAATGCCCACGAGTAACATAACGTTGTCAGTAAGTCTGCGTCCAAGAGCGACCAGGATATCGTTAATCTGTCAAAAAGCCTGTGTATATTCCCGATGTTACCGTACATCTCTTTCAGAGCAGTACTAAGGCGCCATTACCGGTGGGCCCTCTGTGTACGGGGGAGAAATGTGACGAGAGCTCAATTTGTATCCCTTCTTCTCGGAGGGCGACTGCGCACCGACGGTAGGGGCTGAGGCGCACTAATCGGGCTGTTGGGCGGTGCGATGACTCCTGCCGCAATGACTGGGGACGGTGGTGCGGTGGGAGGGAACTCAGGGGGTTCAGGCTGCAGTTTGTAGTCGTATCGTCGGAAGAGCGCTTTACGACCCAAGTCACGGCAGGGACCATGTTGTCGGTCTGCAGCAGCCTGAGGAACGCGGGTTAGTTCCGTGACGACACATTAACTTGAGAGCGGGATTGATACACTCACAGGTGTGCGGATGGGAGCAGCGACAGCCCTACAGGCCCCAACAAGGAGAGAATAGATGATAACTGCTGGGATATTCAATTTCATTCCGGATGGTTGAAGATCTAGCTAATTTTCAATCAGTCAAGTATGTCGCCTATCGGGATACTAAGACTTGCTTTCCAGTTACGCGACCAGCACGATGAATAGACCATTACCGTGAGCCAGAGCTTTATACTGCAGGCCCTATGGCCAAGGAGTCCATTTCGGAGTGGCAGGGGATGGAATGAAGGGATATTGTGGGCGAGTTCCGTCCACTTGCACACAGGTTATCGTGAGTGCTGAGCGTGCATATCAATACGGCCCACACAGCTGTTGGCTGTTGTTGTTGGGAAAGCGTAGCAAGATTATCGCGATCACCGGTTCTGTCCTTCAAAAGGAGTCGCATCTCTTGGTGATACCGATAGGTCAGCGTCCACGTCAATTGTGGATTCCCTGTACCACCCACAGGAATGCACCGCTGCTATCGTAAAAGCGTATTGCAGAGTGTATAGGCGATGTCAATTTCGTACGTCGGCGTTTTGAGTGATCTCATCGCCAGCTCTCAGTGCCATCATTATGGTCAACCAAGCCAGAACAACGAAAACGCGAACCCGCCGCTGCTGCTGAGATGATGGTGGAACAAGAAGAAAGAGGAAATCGCAGCCCCTAATGATCCACGGGCGCTTTAGGTCCCTTTCCCACGGGTCACCAGGACGGCGACAGGAAGGTTTGAAGGAAAACCATGTCCAATAACCAAGTACTCAACAGCGGTAATGACCACAGTAAGAAATTAGGGTGCTCAGACAGCGAATGATGGGCTCTTCTTCCCACCCCCTACTGTCTTCACGAAGCGCAATGGGAATCAACATCGCCGTCGTTCGCCGGTCGACTGTGAACCCGGGCCCCTCGATCCAAGGCGTCGAGCAGTTCCTTCGAAAGCTGGTTACCTTAGCCTAGGCGCATCGCCGACGCGTTCAGAGCCAGCTTACAATGCCACCCCTAGCCCCCACCTATCCAGCGAAGTGGGGTAAACATGTAACTACTTCGTCGAGTGGCGGCACGAGTGCACGACACCATCCACTAACGGATTGGGCAGTTACTAGTAGGTTCTACAAGGGGTGAGAGGTGGCCGAGGGGATTGAACGAGGTGGTTCGTCGATATCGATATCGATATGGACGCTTTGGGGCTGTAATCTGTCCAACTATTGAAGGAGGGAAAAGAGGGGAAATGTAAAGGAGGAACGTTTGTTCGCCAATGTTTTCGCTTTGCGGTTATTTGCAGACCTTGGCTATTGCTCTTGCCTCTTTATATCTTCCTCGCCCCGAGAGATGAAGAGGACGATAAAGTGGATTTTGGCGGCACGAAGCAACCACATATACCCTTCGAAGTCTTCAGAAGCCTACCCGTGAGTGTTCCGCGATTGAGTTGATGCGGTGTTCCGCTGCTGCCCTATTTTCTGCTCAAAACGAAGAGTTTCGAGGTTTCGGCCTTTCGAATCAAGGGTGCAGATTTAAACTGTCGAGTTGTTGGTAGTCTAAGAGATCCCTGACCCGAAGAATGAGCTGAAGATACCTTATCGATTTGGAGCCCTCCACAAAGCAAATTGCTGATAGAGCTGATAATGAGTTCCACGAACAGCTTCTTAGGAAAGTTGCATGGGATGTTCACGAACGTTCCACGTCCTGGCTCTCGAACTGGTGACTGGATGATAGATCACACATCTTTCCGGCTGGTGTTTTCCTAGACGGTCAGTTATAGAAGTTCACGAGATAAGCAAGTAGCTGGTTCTGGCTGTTGCTGGTGACGGAGGGGCCTCGTGTAATTCTCCGTAGATAACGTCGAATGGAATCGCCACCCGGTGAGGAAGGAGAGGTGATTTAAAGGGTTCAGGTGAGAGTTGGCGAGATAGTCTAGAGGTTTCCGATGGGAAAGGAATACCTGCATACCGGCAAGTAGCGAGGGAAGAAGATGCTGAGATATAGTTGAGGGAAACAGAAATAGCTGAGATACAGGAATCCAGATAGTTGTGGCGGAGAATCCAGAGAACCCGAGAGTGAGTTCCGTCCTTCCGTCCAATTGGGCAGTGTTATCTCGGAATACTGCGCGTCAAGATAAGATAGATCTGAAGCTGTGCGTTGAGAATACAGACCCCGAGCCCCAGCATTCGCCACCGACGCCGCCCTCACCTCATCGTTGACCAACGGCACTGTTGATTTCTGAGGCTCCTGGAAGCTGGGCGGACCAGGACGGTGGGCCGGACGATCCCAAGGCTGATGGGGCAGGAGATCTTTGATGCTGGCGCTTGGGAAAACCTGGCGGGTGGCGGGGGCGTCTGGACTAACAAGAGCATACGTAGTCCCTCTATCACCTACCACCATCAGTGACTGGAGTTGCTTACTCTGGCAGCGGTAATAGAGGAATACCTGAGTCAGGTAATCCAGGTAGGCCACCTGCTCGGAAAATACATCGCAGACGTGGAGGTTCCGCGCTGCTGTGGGTGTGTGACTCACGCGTTGTATCCCCGAAGTGAGGTGTGAACACGAAACCTCCGAAGACGTCCCCACCGCTTCGACGACCAGTGTAATCCGGTTACAGGAAAGCTGGCCCAAGAGGTGAAGCCAAGAACTTCGAATCACAGAGATTGACCCTGAAAATTCTCCAAACTTGGACGAGAGCAAGGGAATTTAGATCCGGGAGAAGAGGCAGATGGGCGTGGGAAATTTAGGTTGTACTCTTGACTGAAGAAATTGAGTGGTGTGGACTGTTTTCACTAGCTTTCTCTCTGATCTCACATGTCCACATCCTCGGCGTCGACTCGGTCCACGTCCTCCTCATTCTCCTCTACCTTTTCAGATGTCGACGACCCAATGTTCAGCCCGCCCTCGTCGCCCCCAGCTTCCTCAAAGACCCATGCCTTTTTTGCTTCCTCCTTCGCCGCCAGCCCGCCGCCGCCCCGCCCACCTCTCTCTTTGAAGAAGTCCGACAACAAGCCCACCGCCGTCAAGAACAGGGACGACAATGGCACAAACCCTCCACCAGCAGCGAGCCCGGGTCTCTTCTCGTCCGCCAAAACATCGCGCTTCAATGTTTCACGGATCTTTCCCTCAAGATATGCCCGCTCTCGCCGTGACTCTGCAGAGCAGCAAGACGTCCAGAACGCATTCTCCTCGAACGCCCTGCGCAGAAAACCCGACTTTCTCTTCATAGACGTCGACGGAGATGCAGACCCGAATGAAATACATCACATTGACCATAGAGAGACTCCATTCAAGGACGTGTTCCTCTCTCTTCCCACAGCCCCGTCCTACCACGACCGCGCAGGATCAGACTCGTCGCTCTCCCCACCCTCGTCGATATCTTCGTCGTCTTCGCACGCAGAGATTCGGCTACCCACCCCGCCGCCGCCCCCGCCCCTCCTAACCGCAAGTTCCAACGCCTCAGACAATGAATTCACACCCCGGCCAGCTGACCTCGAACCTTCCATAGCCGCTGTACAGCCCCAGGAACTTTCTCCCTTATCGCCTCTCAGCGAAGACAACAGTATCCCAGCCGACACCGAATTGCACCCTGGTGATGTCATAGCCGACTCCAGTTTCGCCTCGGCTACTTCCCCGTCCCTGCGCCTCCTCCGTCCTCTCGGCCAGGGCGCCTTTTCCGCAGTATGGCTTGCAGAAGACCTGTCGTCTATACCCCTCGTTCTCTCCTCGAAGAGGAGCGTCCGTGACCTCAAGCGACAGGCGAGCCTGCAATCGAAAGGAAGTGTCTCGCGCAAGTCGAGTCTGAAAAGCCCAACGTCGAGCAGGGGTGTTTCCCGCAACTCGAGTATGAAGAGGTTCATGGCACGCGTCACTGGCACACAGCCTTCGGTCGATAGCCTGTTGTTGGACGGCCATGTCCACCATGAAGGGCGGGAAACTACTTGGACCAGTCCAGATGGTCACCTCCACCCCATGCCCCCGTCGTCAATGCACCCTAGTCCATCACCATCATCCTCAATATCATCTCTTCCTTCTCCCGAGGTCGGGTTGGGTGCATCGTTGTCACGCCAAAGCTCCACAAGTACACGCCGCTCGGCTACTTCTCGGGCAGAGGCCCGAGTAGTCGCGGTCAAGCTGACACCCCGGCGTCCGGAGCCAAACTCTCCTTTGACTGAAGAGAGGACCAGGGTGGGATTCATTCGTGAAGTCGAGGTACTCCGACACATCTCTCATCCCAACATCACGCCCTTGCTGGCCCACTTCTCCACTCCGACATATCACGTCCTCGTGCTGCCCTACCTCAAGGGCGGGGATCTGTTGTCGCTTGTCAATAATGATGCCGTTTGGGGTAGACTGTCTGAGAGTGTGTTAAGGCGGATATGGTGTGAGATATGCCGTGCGGTCGGGTGGATGCATAGCGTCGGAATCGTGCACCGCGACATCAAGTTGGAGAATGTCCTGTTGACCTGGGATGGCCTCCAGTCGTATTCCAACCTCATCTCGACCGAGCTCTCGTCGACGCCTACCGAATCGTCGATATTGTCAATACCACGACCCACCGTGGCTGATCTCCCCACCCCCATTGTCAAACTCACCGACTTTGGTCTGTCGCGGTTCATTGACATCGGCAATGGCGAACGCGGGCAGGGCGAGATGCTCAATACCCGCTGCGGATCAGAAGCCTATGCCGCACCTGAATTGGTTATGGGTGGCGGTCCACGAGGCGTTTATGACGGACGCGAAACGGATGCGTGGGCCTGTGGTGTAGTCTTGTATGCGCTTGTGGGTCGCAAGCTTCCTTTCGGTGAAGGTGTTGGAATTGGTATGGACGGTGGACACGGCACACAGAGCCATATCAATGGCGAACGTGTCCACCCTCCTGGCTACTCTAGCCGGAAGCATGCCGTGGAGCGTCGTGCGTGGTTGATGAGGATTGCGAAGGGCGAGTACGAGTGGCCTGAAGTCCCGTCTGATGCAGCTGCGGTAGAGGATGGGGATGGGGAACTCGTTGGGCCTCGGTTGGCGTTGAGCGAGGGTGCGAAGAGGGTTGTTGGGCGGTTGTTGGTTCGTGATCCGAAGAAGAGGGCTAGGATTGTGGATCTGTGGGAGGATGACTGGATGCGCGGGGATGAGATTGGGTTGGGGATGTGGGAAGCTATCCAGCTCGATCGTAATGCCTCGGATCGTGTCTCGGATGGCTCTGGGGAGGTGAAGCCTGCGACAAACGAGAACCCCATCACCGTGCTCAAGGAGGACGGGCTCGATGATGGGGAGTGGGAGCCTCTTGACGAAGATGAATATCTCGAAGAGGAGGATGAACATGAAGGATGGCTGTTGGATGAGCAGAGTATCTCCAGTATAGTGAGGCAAGAAGTTGTGTAGTAACGCTGGTCTGCACTTTTTGTGAGTGTTTTCATTTTTTCTATCGCCATTGATTTTGATTTCCCCTTCCTGGACAGCACGACATCCCATCCCACCGCGCAGCCCCATCCCCGCATCGTTTCGGACCCCGAGATGTATTCCATCATTCGCCACCCGTGTATCTTTATCTTTTAATACTTGTTTCTCCTTTTTCTTGCGGTACCTTACACCACCACAACACCACCACAACCACCACCACCACCACCACCACCGCCCCCACCGTTCCTTTATTTATTTCCTTTGTTCTCTCCTCTCTCGCTCGCTCGCAACTTACAACCCTTCATTCATCCGTCTCTGTACTCCGATCCTCCTGTGTATTCATATGCTCAACTCCTGTCATCCCGCTTTCTTGTTGTGTTCTTCTGTTCCTCCTTTTTTTTTCCTCCTCCAAACGTGCATCGCTTATTAATTATTCCACCATCGCACGCAATCTTCCCTCTCTTTCTCGCACAATTTCCCTTTTCCAGAAACAATCTTCCATTTTCAAACCTTTTTTCTTTGTCGTTGTCGCAATTACCGTCTCTCCCAGTCCGTTTGTTGTACATCGTCGCTCGCTGTGTAAAAACAGATGTCGAAAACCCCCTTTTTTGTTTGTCTGTATACAAAGCATACATATGCGTAGTCGTTTTTTTTCTGTGTTCACTCGTGTAGACGTACGTACGTAGTAGTGTGTACTACCGACCTCTAGTATTTAAAAAGACAATCACACACCCCACCTGCCCGTTTCCAATTTGTAATGAAAAATGTATGTTTTTTTGTTTATAATAATTTTTATTTGTGTTTTGTGTAGAATATGCCTTGTGTTCTGCTTTGTAGTCGTTTTTTTTTGGTTTCGGCTGTCTTTGTAGAATGTCGTTGGTTTTAATCTTTCTTTTTATTAGAGTCTGTTTTTGTGTACTACATACTTTATCGTTTATATATTGGGTTGGTTGTGATTGATTTGAGTGTAGGGATGGTATGTGCTTTGGTAGGTGGGGGAGGAGCCTGAAGCGGTGATTTGGCCCTTGTGAGGCTTGCCAAGGCCTGCTATATTGGGGAGTGGACAGTCCATAAAAGGAAGGTGCTTTGAACCTCAGGCTGGTGGGACCGTCTTTACACTCTGGCGCCCAAGAATCCAGTTCGAGTGATCCAGTTCCCGGGCCTCACAAGTGGATGAATGTCTTATTCTATGTTAACGTGAGCATGATACCATAACCTGCCTTGCTACTGGGATGCACAAAATCTTCATTGTTCGCTCAAAATGTGCCAGATCCCGAATAGGGTCCGATCAGATACCGTGGGAGAACACCCTGCCAGCCAAACGCGACGCGTTCCAAATGAGTTCATTTTGACTCATAACTGAAAGAGTGCGCTTCGCCGCAGAGCCTGCTACTACGGAGCTACGCCTAAATCTACCTCCTTTCAACTCACTCTTCTGCGTCCGGATTAAGCACACTGGAGGTAGCATTTTATTACTGACAAGTGAACCTACACGAAAAAAATCTGACATTTTACAAAAGCTCATCCTACTTGGCAAGCACCAAACGTACCTTTCAACTTAGCTTTCCAAACTGTCCTTCAAAACCGCGGGTTATCTCCGCTAACGTCGCGTTCCGTCTCTTTAACCGGACGAACACGAACCTTGGGGGGTCTTTGCGAGACACCTTTCTGGAGTGTCTCAGTCGGATTCCTACAAGCCACACTGATCGGTTATACTAGGGCGAGCGTTTTCAGTGATTAAACAGCATTGGTGTAATCAAGCCAAACACGTCAATAGGGGAACCTTCCTCCATGGCAGCACCTGCTGAGCTCCGGCGAGATCAGATGGCAGCCCAGACCAACCTGGGGTTGACCGTGACTCGTGAGTGACAGACTGTACTCAACAGTAGGAACAGATGCACTCACATAACGCCCCCCTGTACTTCATATTCACTGTATATAGCACATCCTCGGATTGTCCGAGCACTGCGACCGCAAACACCGCATCAGATGGGCGGTCTGTACGCAAGGAAAACCGTGATTCCGAGTGAAAGACGAAATGGTGATAATGGACTTTGAGGTTCCAGTGTAGGTGGTCGTTGACTCGTCCCAAATGCGGCAGTAGTACCAATCCCGACATGTAGACCACCGTTCTGATTCAAGCTGAACACTTAGCCCGGGCCTGACATGTATGGGCCACTGTCGTCTTTCGAGACTCGCAGAGCTCGAAGCCAAGGTAAGAGAAGAACTGCTATTGATGCACGAGAAAAACCCGGCTTTACGACAAATTGCCAATTGGAATGGACGAACCATTGATTCTGAAACAGGGCTGGCAACAGAAGTCCTTAGGACGCACATATAAGGAAGGTGCGTCGTGGGAGAATATAGAGTCGACATGACAGCTGGACCATATTGAAAATAACTGAAAGAGCGCGCTTCGCCGCAGAGCCTGCTACTACTACACTTCGCTCTTGCCTAATCAACTATACATTACGCAGTCTACTGTCTACATCTACAACATTTACAACCACGTGTCCTCCCATTGCACCAACGAATTTTCCGACTCCGAGTCGCCTCCATCCCCAATAATTTCAAATGTGATTCATTTGTTGAAGCTGCTCATTGCCAGAAGTCGCTTGACAGTACTGAGAATGAGACCCCCGCTGCTGAACTGGTCGATGCTACGGAACCGCCGGTTTCCCACCAACCGATTTTCCACCTGACGGCGCCATACGTTTCGATCAAAAGTGCATCGTCGGTTCATGTGGATGATGACCCGCAATACGATGGGAGAAATCTCCAGAGATAAAAGGCTACAATGGTTGAAGTTAATCATCGTTCAGCAACCCTCGCGAGCGTAACTCGAACAACTCACCGATGGAAAGCAGGAAATCGCAGAAAAAGGGCACGATCATGACTGGGGCAAAGAGCGCGTTATCCAGACGAAGCAGCACTCATGATTTTAAAGGCGGAAATCGGCAAATGAAACCTCATTATTGTCAGGGCACGTCGGCGAGCGGGAGCCATGCGAGACCTCGAAGAGAGAAATGATGACATCTGGGCACTGGAAGCGAGAAGGTGGTTTGGCAGCAGAGGTTGAGCAGAGGCGGCAAAAAGCGACAGCATCTCAATCAAATAGCGACAATGCCAGGAAAACGGACGAGCTGGTTTGGCGGCAGAGGCGACAAAAACCGACAGCATCTCAAACAAATAGCGACAAAGTCAGAAAGGGTCGAGAACCTCCCGAAAATTTGCTTACCCATATATAGAAGGACGGTCGTGGGAGAATATAGGGTCGACATGACAGGTGGACCGTATTGAAGACCTACTACTACAGGGTAGTAGCAGGAAAACCTCCATCAACCACGGTTGACTCGGAAACGCCCACGTTTGACCCCATTCATGGCGACACGACAGTCGAGCAGGCTCAAAACAAAAGCAGAGAAGGACCAAGGCGACTATGCCGACGAGGCGTCCGAGTCGTCAGAGGATGAGTACGCAGACGACCAAACACCGGGTCCTTCAACAGGGGCGAAGCGGAAGGGAAGGGCCAAATCTACTTCTGCAAAGGCTGCTAGTGGTTCCTTTTCAGCTGGAAAAGCTAAGGCCAGCGACGCAAACGATCAGACGAGGCCAGAGAAGAAGAGAAGGCGAGGAAACAGAGGCGCGCTCGAGAGGATCTTGGACATGCCGTATGACCTATTGTTCGAGGTGAGTTCAAATTACAGTTCTGGAAGTTGGATTCAGACACTGATATGGTGCTTTATAGATCTTCGGGAAGCTTAATCCTATGGACCTGCTTAACCTGGCTTGAACATCCAAGGATTTTCGAGAGAGCCTCATGAGCAAGGCTGCTGCGCCTATTTGGAAGGAGACCTTGGCCAATTTCGAGCCCAAAGTGCCCGCGTGTCCGGAGGGTGTGAGCGAGCCAGCGTGGGTAGACCTATTGTTCAGAAAGAAGTGCTCTGTAAGTGTTTTTTGTCTACCCATTGAGACTTATGAGCCTGAACTGCTCGCTAGATTTGTAGCCGCAGTGCAGGCTATATGCGTGTCTATTGGGAGCTGTATCAAAGGTTCTGCACCAAATGCGCAACCTCTGAGTTCGTGGTCTACCTTTCCCCGGGTTGCTGTTGTTGCTCAATATACTGACGGCTTAGGTTTTCGGTTGAGTGGGGCTCCCATCACACGATTTTACCTCGTACTCTTCTTGATATCGTTCCGACGTTTAGTACCTCTGGTACATTGTCTCTCGCCTTCTCTTCCCTAGAATGCGACTTACAGAGAGGAAAGCTTGCAAATCATGGCTCCACACCCGAGCCCTGCACAATTTGCGAAAGGAATATTCTTCCGTTCCTGGGGAAGCCCAGAGAGAATGGATTCAACGTAAATCAGAAGAGGACAAACGAAAAGGAGAGGTGGGTATTTTGTGAATTGCAGATTGTCTTCCCTTTCTTGGTACTGAATGATACTCCCCCCAGTTCGGTATGGAGTGCGCTACCTGGTTGGAAAAGATGGGTGATCTGGCATCTCTGGCCCAAACTGCCGAAAAACAGAAACGAATGGAGCTGTGAGTCCAGTGACTACATCTCTAACTCCCGGGCTGACCGTCCCCGCTAGGGTTCATGCAAAGCTCATTGAGCTGGGTTTGGCGGAAAAGGTTCGCTTGTTGGGTCCCGAGAGCTCGTTTTGGCAGGAACAAGTGCCGCGGGAGCTGTTGAAGAAAAATATCACTGACCGGGGTAAGATGCACAACCTTCTGTATTTCATGTGTCCTTACCTTCATTTTTTTCCCAGTTTGGGCTGGCGCTGAGGCGCGCGTTGTCGCCTTTGTCGAAAAGTTTTACACCCGTAGCCTCGAAGAGGAGGCGAAAGCTAAGGCCAAGGATCTTGAGAGAAGGCAAAAAGAAGCTATACAGAAGCGCAGTGAGCTGTTCCTCCAGGCATACAATAATCTTGAAAAGTCTCTTCCCGTCAATACTTTTGCCCTTTCCTCGGCCGACATGTTCACCATTCCCGAAGTCGTTGATCTGATTACACAGACCCCTATCGACCAAGAGGTGACTGTGGCCGACTTCAATGGCATCATGGAAGGACATGCTGCCCTCTCGGAGTGGTGGAAGGCGCAGGCCACCCAGAAACTCCTGGACACCATCAGAGACAAGGCCGCACAGGCGCTGGAAGTCACTCTGGATGAAGTAACAGAATCCGCTCTCGACCTTGCTTTTGCTTTATTCCGTTGCAATACTTGCTTCGGCGATCGATACAATCTCTTGCCTCCTTTGCTCAGTCTCGAGGATGCTCTAACCCACAGGTGCACTCTGGGCCTTTACAAAACCCCTCAAGTTGATGACTCCCAGCTTGCGCATTTTATAGAGGCGGTAAATCATTACCCATGGATTATCTTAGACCAGCTCAAAGTACGGGATAAAGACTTCTCAAACACACTCAAATTTCTCAAGGACACGGGCCGCGATATCAAGACCACCACCGCCAAAATGTTGGACGAAGTGGACGAGATTTTTGAATGTCGATCGTGTTGGAGGGGGGACTCCTACCTTGACGAAAAGGTTATGCTGGACTGGCATTTAGCGGTGAGTAACGAGTTCACAGAAGGTGTTTTGCTTCTCTGGCGTGATTGCTAACTCCCTGTCGCGAAGAGCGAACACTAAACCAAACCAAAGACCAGTGATGCGGAGCAGATAAGAGCGATGAGCGACGAATGCAGATGAAGGCTGAAGCGATGTATTGACGAAGAGGTCAAGCTGAGGAAATACAGAGCAGACTACCTAGCTTATATACCTATTCTACTGTCTACATAGCTGCAGTGAGTCAGAATGACGAACAAATGGTGAAACATCGAAGAACAATAAGAAAGGTCATGAGGCTGCGCGAAGGCTGCGCGAAGAACAAGAATGAAACAATAATGGAACAAGAAGGTGTCAGAGTGTGTCAGAAGGCAGTGCATAACAATAAGGACGATAGAGTAGGGCAAAGGGCAATGCGAGGCAGTGTTCCATGAGTGAAAGAGTCCCATAGAGGGAATAAGGAGGCGAAAGGAGTAAAGGAAAGTGGAACGAATAAGATGCGAAACAGATTAGATAAGATAAGATGAAAAATAGGGGCTATACCGGCTGTTCACGACATTACCCCCCTTCTAAGCCTCATCGTCCTCGATGACCAATGGTAGGCGACGTCCAAGTTCCCAGTCGAGGTCGGTAGGCGGAGCGTTGGTGAAGTTCTCAAGTGGGCGCCAGGGGAGAGAGCTGAAGATGGTGGCGGCGATGCGGCGTGGTGCAGAGGGGTGTCGCTGGTGGAACTCCTTCACAATCTCGGGTGCGTGCTCCAGGTTCTCCTCCGGTTCCCAAGTGTCATCCGTCGACCCGTAACCCTTCCAACTGACCAAATACTCCAGTTTGCGATTCTTTCCTCGACCTCTCCAACGGCTGTCCAAGATGTCGTGAACTTCATATTCAAGCTCCCCCTCTAGTTCGACAGGCTCAGGCGGGGGTGGCAAAATGCCGTTGACATCATTGCCTTTCCAGGGGGAGAGCTTGTCGACGTGGAACACAGGATGAATACGGGAGAGGGACGGGGGAAGTTCGAGGCGGTAGTCGAGGTCGCCGAATGCGTTTCGGTAACTTTGTACGGACCAAGTTGAAGATCGCCGAGTTTGCGGGACGGAACCTTGATCTGGATGTCCTTTGCGTTAAGCCAAACGTAGTCGCCAACCTTGAACTGATGGGCCGTTCGCTTGCCGGACTTGTACACATCCTTCTGTTGGGCCTTCTCGAGACGTAAGGCAGCTTCCACATCCTTGCGTGCTTCTTGTAGCTGCTGGACACGCTCGTCAACAGGGCGGATCTCGGTTCGCTTGCCGATGGGGATGTTGAAGTGAGGAATGTAACCATAGAGGACTTCGAAGGGTGAGTGATCATGAGCAGAGTGGACGCGGGAGTTGATCACAAATTCGGCCATCGGTAGGTGCTTGTCCCAGTCATCCTGTCGGCGGGAGACGTAGAGGCGGAGGTACTTCTCAATTTCTTGGTTGGCCCGTTCGGTCTGTCCGTTGGCCTGAGAGAGATAGGCGGTCGTGAGGTTGGACTCAATGCCGAGGCGCTATCTTATCGCTTTATCGCTCTTATCACCTTTTCTTTATTCTCATTTTTGCCCTTATTCTCGACACGGACACTTTCTCCCATGGAACACTGCCTCGTTATGCCCTTCGCCCTACGTCTTATTGTTCTCTCCATTCTTGCACTGCCTCGTTACTCCGTTATTGTTTCTTCGTTCTTCGCGCAGCCTTCGCGCAGCCTTGTGACTCTCCTTATTGTTCTTTTGTGTCTCGCCATCCGTTCGTCACCTTGACTCATCGCGGCTATGTAGACTGTAGAATAGGTATATAAGCTAGGTAGATCCCTCTGTATTTCCTCAGCTTGACCTCTTCGTCAATACACTGCTTCAGCACTCATCTGCATTCGTCGCTCATCGCTCTATCTCGCTCTCCGCTCTCATCCGCTCTGCTCTTCTGGTCTTTGGTTTGGTTTAGTGTTCGCTCTTCGCGACACATGGTACTAGGTGGACTAACGAAGGCTTCCACAAGATGCCCATTCACGGTATGTCAATCCAATCTGTACGACACGGTGCCAATCGTGTTGTCAGTTAACATTATGCCTTCACATAAAACTGGTCCATTGTTTGTACTCAATTTGAGGAAATTCAGGATATCCGACGATGGTACCACTGTTCGTGCATCAGTTCGCTCTATTACGGTGAGAAAATACTTGTAAAGTTCTATAGAAGAAGAATTATGAGGTATAAGAAAGACCAAAAGGTCCAACAAAGAAATACGAAAGAAAGATTAGGAAGAAAGATTAAAGACAAGAAGAAAGATTAAGACAAGGATTGAAAAGAAAGATATTGATCATAAGTCAGGGGTTTGGCTTTTTGGCTGGAGGGAGTCCTCTAGAATCCTTCTAGAGTGGATTTAATAGCTGCTCTGTTGGCCTGAGCAGTTGGAACAACGGTGCGGGGTTACCTTACGGAGATGGCTCCGTGTGTATTGGTGGCCCATAGTCCACAGGTCAACAGGACTAGCAGCCAATGCATATGGGTCGGTTATTACCTTTTCATGCTGAAGAGCCTAGGATTTGAGAGTTAGTTTTTTGAGCTAGAAATGGAAAGGGGAGGTTCATACCTTGATGGCATCTCGCGTCCAGAGAGTGCAGTCAAAATCCTTTCCTTGTGCAACAGGGACCTTCTGCAGGATTTCCCATATCTGGTCCCGAGAGTGAGTGAGTTTACCGAGATAAAGTAACCCGTGAAGCCGCTGTATTTTAGCAGCAACGGGCCAGCGCTTTGCACTGTAGACATACCCAAGCTCACCGCTGATCGGTACACCAGATGCAAGAAATGCCATCGCTGTTTCCTCGGGTGACTTGGGATCCGCATTCTTAGGGAGGGCCAGGAAGCCGACGTCGAATCGGTTTTGTTCACCATCCAATCCAGTCCATCCGTCGCGACTGTAGTAAGCAAGGTAGAATCTGTCTTTGTTGATTTCAGAAGCTGGAGAAGCAGGTCAGTAAACTGCAATAGAGGCGCAAAAAGAACCTGGGACTTACCCATGATTTCACTGTCGTCAAGTGTTTCTTTGCAAAGGGTGGTAGACGAGTCTAGATTCTGAGGAATAGAGTAGTGGTTTTGAGAGCATATTTATAGACACTTTCGGGTCAAAGCGACGACACTTGCAGAGCGCTTTGACTTCTCATAGCGCCTGGAGGTCAAAGCGCCAATCCAGCCGAGTTTGCGGGTTTGGAGAAACTACCCGTTATTGTGATTAAACTAGCCTGGTTAACCAGGAGGATTGTGATAAGTAGATATGACAATCCACCAGCCATGTACGAACATGTTTGGTTCCCTGTATTCCTTAGTAGAAGTTGAAGAGTTGTTTCGAGGCTGTGCATTCCATATCCTTGGGTGTTTCAACGATCACCTGTAGATACACGGCGCCGACCAAAGTTGTGGGTAGGATTGGACGCCATTCCATAGCGAGATGAGCCTGCAATTCCGTTCACCGTTATGAACCAAACGATCGGAATCATACACAAAGCGCCCCCACATTCGCGTCCGCCGTCACCTCCTCGGGCGGATCGGGGTATCCCTGCATGTTATAAGGCTGAGGTGTTTGGATTGTGGTGCCTTTGTGCTGGTCACCTTCGTCCCCTCTCAAAGGTAGGCAGGATTCTTGCAGTACTCAGGCTGTGATAATGACTGGACTCGGACAGATCCAATATCTCGAAGGGCTGGTCCCAAGAGTATCTAACCGATACCGATGATGAGATTCTAGATCCAAAAAAACTTTTTCTTCGTCGCTTGTCTCCTCGTCGTCGGAGGGGCTATACCCATTCCCTGCGATGGCTCTGTTTCCGTAAGTGACAACCTTGTTTTCCAATTACCATCCGTGATGATACTATGAATTTTAGGCGAGGAAACCGCTTGGACCTTCGTCAGGTCAATTGCCCGATATCTTGCACTTCTCTAATCCTTTTCCAAGGTCAGAAGAAGTAGGCTTTATTCCTCCACCGTTAGATGGACCGCTCAGGAGCCCTCCCTGGCATTCGCCAGGGTTCTCCCTTACCCTTTCCGGCTCTTCATCCAGCGGCTCTTCGTCCCCTGGCTCTTCCTCGGGCTCCTCGTCCTCGGATACTTCGTCCCCACCACCCTCTCCTCCTCCTCCCCCTCCTCCATCCATACGCCCACCCATATCTCCGGTCCCGGTCCCCCCGCCATCAGCCTCGGCCAGTACTCAGTACCTCCTCCGCCTTCAGGTGGTACTAAAAATACTCCCCCCAACTGGCCTATCGCTGAAGTCGCCGGCGTTCCGGTACAACACGTTGTCAATGCCCCCCCGAAATGGCCTATCGCTAAAGTTGCCGGCGTTCCGGTCAAGAACGTTGTCAATGCTCCGCAGCCTTTGCCGCCTTACCCTCCGCGTAGGATCTAGGGGTCAGGGAAAGAAAGGTACAACGAAGGCCTCTCTCCTTCCCCCAAGGAGCCGGGCATCCTAGCGCCAACAACACTCCGAGCTCTAAGAGGTCCTGCACTTACCGATCTTTTCAGCCATAAGGCAAAGGTCTGAGTAGATAATCATACAGTCGTTTAATAGATAGATATCGTTACACGAGAACATCAAATACCCTGAAACAATGGTCAACCAACACTAGATCCGTTAAGGCTCAGTCTTTGGATTCTTCTGCAGAGACCGCCTCGCTAGCTTCAGCTTCTTCGTCTTTATCAGCCTTCTCCGACTCGTCATCGTCAGCTTTACCCGCAGGTTTGCTTCCGAGTACCGTAGCATTGATCCTATGAATTAAGTTGCAGGCGGTCAGTACGAATCCTAACGCAGGTTGAAACAGCGACTCACGTCAACATGACTTGAACCTTCTCCCTCTTTCCGTCCTCACCAATCTTTCCATTCTGAAGCTCAACCACAATCCGTCTCGCGCCTTTCCATCCGTAGCTGCCAGTGGAGAAGGTGTTGGGGAGGAGGGTGAGACTTCCGATGAGGCCTGGGTCAAGCGTGGCTTCAAGTGCTGCGTCGCTCTCACTCGACGGGGTCTCTTCCTTTTCATCGTCCTTGTTGTCCTTCTTTTCAATGGAAGGAGGCGTATGGGTAATGTTGACGTGGAGCGGCAAAGCCTTAACCTGGAACTCGGACGCGGACATCGCTGGAGGCTGGAAAGGACCATGCGTCAGATGAGGCTTGTGTGCTCGAAGAGTTACTGGGCGCACCTTCACTGCCTTCTTCCCATTCGCAGTCTTCTGAACCTTAGCTGCTCTTCCGTTGGATGAAGCTGCGCCATCGTCAGTAGCAGCACGTTTCTTAGCTGTGAAGATAGGTCAGTATTTGGAGCTCCGCGGTGGATAAAATGGGCGCTTACTTGAGGTAGGCATTGTTACGCGGTATGTTTCAAGTTAGCAGGAGAAAAGTAGCGGTTTGAATGGGGGGTGAGGTATGATTGGAGAGGGTCTTTTATAGCTACAGAGCGACTGTGGCTGCCGTGGTCCAAGGCGTTGTGGGAGCCATTGTCAAGGTGGGTCTGCCCTCACGACCGGCTTGGTAACATGACGTCACGCGTCTAGACGCGCGCCTGGTCTTCCCTCAAAACGACATTTGGAGAGACAAAACACATTTCCAGGGAAGAAAAGACCGACAAGGATATACACATCGAAGAATGTGAGTGTGTGGGGGCAGGACCGTATGTCGTGTGCAGGAAAATAAAATCATTGATATTGCTGCAAGTGACGAGCTGGACATTTTACAGATCAAACTCAAAGTCTGAATCATCGTCCTCCTTTCTTGCTGGGCCACGAATGTTCTTTGATGCACGCGCATTGACAGAAGTCGCTGCTGACCGCATCCTCGAAGAGGGATCGTTGTCCCATTCTTCGTCGTCGTCGTCACTTAATCGAATATCGTCCTCTTCCTCAATAATGGCCTCGGATGGGTCGATAGCCGCACTGGCTGTCAGCACGGCCTCCAGATCTACGAGCAACGGTTCAGCCACTGTGCGATGTAATGTAAAGTTCATTGCACGCACCTTCCTGGGATCGCTCGCGTTGACCACCCCAGGCGACCAATTGGTTGCGAATCTCTCCCTTGCGGTAGATAATGATCATGGGGACGCGAACGTCCGGGAGATTGGGTATACACTTGTCTCCAACAATTGACACAAACTTGGTCCGCGGGTACTTGGCAGCTAAGGCTCGAATGTGTTTGAATGCCTTGTCACTTCGAGGCAGTCTGTAAATCAATTTAGGGGACGTGGAGCATAGAAAGACAGCAAACACATGCGTACCCATCCTTGTACAGGAAGCAGACAACTCCCGTTCCCTTTTCGTTGTCGTCGTCCTCTGCGTCCACTGCGCTGGCTTCCGTGACTTCACGAGTGTAGTCCTCTCTGCTTATTGGGATGACCTGACCGAACCTGGCATCCCTAAGATCCCGGCGCGCCTCTGTCATGAGTCTCCTGCGCTGAGCTTCTGCCTTGCGAATCTTGTCTTCATCTTTCAATCTCTCCCCTAGCCTCTCGAGTTCGGCTGCCGTGGATTCATTCAGAAGGTCGTCAAAAGTGGGCGAGCCCGGCGGCGACGGCGTTTCTGGTGTTTTGGGTCGAGGAGGAAGAATACCATGCTTGCGCAAGATCTCGTTACTATCAACATGAATTCAGATTGGTTTTGCTAGAATCCAGATCTACTCACAATTCCGTGTCTTCGTTTGGGTTGTTCACCATTTTGGAGTGAGAGGCGGTTCCAAGGGGATCGAAAGCGGATTTTGCGATAAATTATAGTCTATCCAAGCCAGCTGCGGTCAGAATTGGGCTGTCCGTGGTGCGCAGTGATAGCTGGTGTCGGCTGAGAGAGTCCATCGTAGCGTTGGACCAAGAATCGCGATCCCGAGTCTGCGGATTATCTTATCGCGACCAAACACGACCAAATCGGATTGCGCAGTCAATTTGGCGCCCGCAGTTCGTTGTGCTCAGACCATCTGGATGCCTGGGACAGTGGCATTCGATGGTCTATACACGACCGGCTCGGCGATAATTCTGACGAAACGACAAGACTAGACAACGAAATGACTCAAGCGATACCCACAAATCCACCAAAGTCGACAGCGACAGGCGAAGTCGCACGCAAATACCAGGAAGAAATCTTCAGACAAGCCCAGAAAGGTCACATCTGTTCTGTATGACTGCATGAATAGTTTCCAACATGTGCTACAGGAAATGTCATCGCATACCTCAGGACCGGACTGGGGAAGACTCTAATTAGCGTGCTGTTGATGCGCTGGATGTGCACGCAAGAGAAGGCGAAGGACAAGGCAATCATCTTCCTTGTTCCAAAGGTCGCCCTCGTCGAGCAGCAGGCCAACTACATCCATAAACAGACGGGATTAAGGACCTGTAAAATCCACGGTGCTCTGAATCTCAGTTTTGCCGACCGTGATGGGTGGAAGAAGCGTTTCGCAGACCACGATGTATTCGTGACGACGCGTGGGTTTCTCGCCTGTTGGCCTTCCGTGCGCGACATTGACCGAATCCACAGCCCAGATGTTTCTGGAGGCTATTACCCATGCAGTCTGGAAGATTGAACAATGCTCCTTGATCATCTTTGACGAGTGCCATCATGCACGCAAGAACCACCCTTACAACGGGATTATGAGGGAATACTTCCAGGTACAACCCCTAAATGCCAGGCCCAAAATCTTCGGGATGACCGCTTCACCATACTGGAACCAGAAGAACCCTGCGCTTTCATTATCAACTCTCGAAGCCAACTTGGATGCCAAGATTATCGGGGTACATGAACACGTAGAAGAGCTTCAGAGTCATTACTCGAAACTGAATGAAGTAAGGTGTCTGTCGCCTCCATACCTTGCATCCCTTTACGCCCTCTCTAGGTGATAGAGAAGTATCCATACCCACCGGAGACGTACAACTTTCCCGAGCCAACTCTCTACCAATGTTTGAGCGTCTTCTATGCCTCTGATCCTACATCTTTCGATGCCATGGACATCCCCTGGACTAAGCTCGCCATGAGGCACAACATGACTCTCGGCAACATCGGGCCATATTGCGCATCCCTGTACCTGTTCTCTGAAATGCGCCACATCCTGAGCGGTCTGCATTACAAGGTAATGAAGATTCTGGCGACAGAAGAACAAAACGACGCGATGGCCATCAAAATCGACGTGTCCTCGGCGCACCCAACCAAACTCCCTCCACTCGCGTTGTATGATTTGCTCGAGATCATCGACGGATTCGAACCTTATTTTGTTTCGTCGGAGGAGACATCCGAGCTGCCGATCCCCGTCCCTTTGGATTGGTGCACCCCTAAGCTTCGTATCATGGTCAACATCATTCGATCGCACCTCGCAAACCCGATCCAAATGATCATCTTCGTGGAGCAGAGGCAAACAGCTGCATGCCTTGCTCAGGTTCTCGAGGTCATTCCCGAACTGAAGGGTTTGGCAAAATGTGGCTACCTGATGGGACATGGAACTGCGGGAGACATCACAAGGCGGGATGAGGAGAGGAAGTCAAAGGCCGATCCGATCAAGCTGTTTCGAGAGAAGGAGATCAACATCCGTATGTTTCTGCTCTATCTTTGTTATATTCGTGTTTAATTCTCGTCCGCAGTAATCGCAACGTCAGTCGCGGAAGAGGGCCTCGACTTCCCGGTACGTACATGGGGCTTTAATTCTTTGAGCGACCGACTGAGAAGGTATCCAGGCGTGTGAACTAGTCATACGTTTCGACCCGCCCAAGCACCTTGTCGGCTATGTTCAATCACGAGGAAGGGCTCGAAGCAAAGTTTCGAAATACATCGTGATGATCCAACAAGAAGACACCGACCAATTAGAACGATACCAAGCCCTCCAGCGCGGGGAACTGGAACTAAGCAAAACATACCACAACCGCACGATGCCAGAACGAGACGAAAGTGATACCATGTACGATGATGATACCCACCCCATGGACCTGGCGGAACGAGAACGATTCGTTGTACCCTCCACAGGAGCGGTGCTCACCTATGACAACGCCCTCAGTCTGATCAACCACCTATGCGCTTTGATACCCAGGGATTCCTTCACTGAAGCCTACAAACCACAGTTCATCGGGGATTTCCAAAGTCGGATGCGGCTCCCCGCAAGTCTGCCTCTACAGCCTCGCGATCTTGTTTACCTCGGCTACCCGAAGAGGTCGAAGCAAGAGGCCAAACGATCAGTCGCCTTCCAGGCTGTCAAACGACTGTTGAAGTTGAACGTCTTCGACGACTACCTCTTGCCTGTCTCCTCTGAAAGGCCGGGGGATTTTGACGACTCGGCGTATCTTCACCGGGGGAACAAGCTTCCTCCAGACGTCATGGAGGTTCATGTCAAGGATCCTTGGTATATGGGCCCGAAGCTGTGGTTGCATCCGATAGTCCTCGATTCTGAAACGACCGCGGGTTTGGTGACTGGCACGTCCCTCCCCCCAACGGACATCCTCGTCGACCAAATGGACTGCAAGCTCCTACCCGGTACTCTTCTCGCTTTCGACCCCGAAGACGAGCGAGAGCAGCGACGACTGATGCAGGATTTCACCCATCTCGGCGTCTGGGCGCGTAATACTGCCAAGCCAATCATCCACGACCTATCCTTCTTCCTGGTTCCTTTGACATCCACTCATCAGCCAGACTTTGCTTGGATGCAGCACATTGTGGATGGCCAAAAAGGCTCGCATGACTGGAGCAACATCACCGAGAAGGATTACGGCCAGACATGGGTTTTCAACACTAATCAAATAGGACGAATCTACCAACTGCAGTGTATCCGGAACGACCTCGCTCTCGATTCAAGACCCCCACAAGGATCGCTCGAAGGTGGTTATGACACGTATCGTCGGTACTTCGCTACCAAATGGGCAAGGAAGAAGCGGGAGGCGTTCCTTCCCAAGGGAGGACCACTCATCGAAGCGACCGTCCTGGCCCGAGTGGATTCGGGGGAGTACGACCACGAGGGTGGAAACACGACGATAAAGAAGGCAAAGACAGATGGGCGGACATATATCTTGCCCCGGGATTGTTGTCGAGTGCTTCACTTCCCCACCTCCCTTTCCAATACCTTCAGGGTCCTCCCCGCCCTCTGTCGAAAGATTACCGACATATATCGGGCACGAGTTGCTCGAATCGCACTTCGACTTCCGTTCATCGAGGACAAGATTCTCATCGAGTCCTTGACCATCCCTGCCGCACTTCTCGCTTTCAGCAACCAGCGACTGGAAACCCTAGGAGACGCGGTCCTTCAGCTGTGCACCACTGTGCATCTTTTCAACCAATACCCCAATCGTCACGAAGGCCAACTTACGACCCTGCGAAGGGCGACCGTTTCGAATAAGTTTCTCCTTCAAAGGGCTCTAGAGATGGGGCTGGAAGAATACATCACTGTCGAGATTGCATCCGTTGCTAGATGGAGGTATATCCTGGGTGAAGACGCGGATACTGCACCCCCGAGGAGTGTGAGGACGCTGGTACCCAGGAGGAGCTTGCAGGACTGTATGGAGGCCCTTTTGGGAGCGAGCTTCTTGCAGGGAGGGATTCCTATGGCTCTTCAGGCTGGACCATCGCTCGGTGTCGAGTTTGGAGGACCTCTCCCTTGGGAGATGAGGTATGAACGCAAAGGCCCGGCGGAGGTGGCTACCACCCATCTCTTTGACACACTTCAGGAGAGGCTGGGATACACCTTCCACTCCAACAGCATTTTAGTTGAAGCAGTTACACACCCTTCGTTTGCGACTGATGGACCATCTTATCAGAGGCTGGAATTTCTTGGTGACGGTAGGCTCTCTCCCATTCTGCTTTAGTCTGGCTCTCACGTCGTTTTCTAGCCATCCTCGATCTCGTCGTTGTGCACTACCTCTACGAAAAATTCCCCGAGGCCAACTCGCACCAACTCTCCCTCCTGCGAGCGAAGGTCATCTGCGCCCCCACCCTCGCTTACCTGGCAATCAAAGAACTCGGGGTTCACAAAATTTTGCTCATCAACAACATGGGATTGTACAGAGCTATCGAAGCCTATGTTCCTGTTTTCGAAGATATCACCGACGAGGAAATAGCAAGGTCGTATTACAAGTTTGACCCTCCCAAGGCCATCAGCGATGTTTTCGAGAGTCTTGTTGGGGCAGTTCTCGTGGACTCGGGGTACAACTACGACAAGACGTCGGCGGTGGTGTTGGATATCATGTCCAAAGTGCTCGATCAGCTTAGCCTAGACATGGCAAAGGACCCTGTTTCTCTGTTGTTGGAGTGGGTGGCTCAACATGGATGTCGGGAGATCTCTTTCAGGTCCGTTGCGACTTTCGCCGAGGAGCGCTGAGGATACTGACCTCTTGCATAGTAAAAACAGGAAGTTCAACTACGACGCCGGAGTTGTATTAGAGGTCCACGGCAAGCAAGTTGTCGGACCCATCGTAGCATCAAGCCCGGGAGTTGCCAAGTTTATCGCATCGGAGAGGGCGCTGTCGATCCTCACGGATGAGTCGAACGAGCTGGCGCTGTCCAAGTTGTGTGACTGCGAGGAGAATCGACAGAACATGGAAATCGATGTTGATGCTGCTCTGGCGGAGATGAAGGTGGTCACCCCCGAGCCTGTCGCACCTCCCGAAGTGAGTGGATCGGAGGACGGGGAGATTGAATCGGACGAAGAGGAAGACATGAGGCGCATTAATGACATGCTCGCGGGGCGCATTCAAGCTGGGGACGGATCGACTCCTGACATGGTTGATGAAGACACTGATATCGCCTCATCAGACGACGAAATGGACTAGTTCGCGTCTAGCAAAGGGCTGACTGAGCTCAATAACCTTTGTTTTGGAGGGTTGTTGGGCTCAGTCATCTCTTTGCCAGATTGCGATCGACATAACCCGTACTCACCTTTTGACGGATTTATCCATGTATCTTTCACTTATCTTCTCTCACTGTAACTACGCTCCTAGTCTGCTGTAACTGTTTTGAATACGTTTGTAACTTTGATATGGATTCCTTCCTGCAAGTCTCGAGAAAAGATGAACACTTAGACGCTGTCCGACTAAATCGGACCGGGCGAACCGACAGGCTCCGGTCAACCGCCGTCAAGAGCCAACCCAGGGTTCCCGTCTTCGTCATCGTTCGCAACGTTCATGAAGTCCTTCACCATCTTTGCTTCTGCTTCTGCTAGGGACGGGATCCCAGCCTGTGTTTCTCTCGTGGTTTCGCCACAAACTTGACAATATTCTGAGTGACACTTGCTCAAATGGCTTCAACGGTTAGTTCCGCATTCTTGAACCAACTCAGGTCATTGTACCCTGCACGATCGGGTGCCAGCGGGGCCGCCGGTGGAGGTATGTACGATACACCGTCATCCAGGATGCCAAAATCAACTGACGAAAACAACCTTGGGCTCAAGGTTCTCTACTCAGCAGCCCATGGTATATCTTAGCTGCAGTAGCCTTCAGTGCGAGTAACAAGCCAGACGCTGTGCCTCGTGTTTTTGAGCACGCCTTGAATCAATTCCCTACCCACGAAGGTTCTTCGCATGCGGAAGACAGGCGTCAGCTCGCCAGAAAGCTACGCGAGGCGTTGTTCAAATCTGGACTGATATCTGGCTACCCCAGAGTAAGGCTTCAGTGAATTTTTAACCCAAAGGGCAAAGTGTTTACGAGTTCGCGCACATCCGCAGGCCATCAACAGCCTCCGAGCTCTGCATGAAGCCATGCCTGACGATCTGAAGGACACCGAGTTGCAGAGGTAAGCCAAATCATCCATATCGCGAAAGCTATGGCCTGATGAAACACCTCTCCAGGGACCCGAATTTGCCCCTCTCAGAGTACCAACAGAAGGGCCAAGTCTACTGGGACTCTGTGTACGGAGAAACAGCACCAGCAGTCCAAGGCCTCCTCGACGCCATCTATCCGGACATGGGTAAGCTGCGACCTCCCTCCAATCCACCCGTCCGTATTCCCCATCTCACCCTCCGCCAGGCTGGTTCTCCAAAACAATCGGCTATGGCCTAGTCTACAACGCCCGCCCCGACATCCTCTCCCCACTCGAAACATCCTTCACACTCGTCGCAGCCCTCATCGCAGGCGACACACCGCAACAAATCGCGTGGCATCTCAAGGGCGCTCTCAGGTGCGGAGCGAGCGTGGAGGAGATCCATGCGGCGAGGAAGATTGCGATTGAGGTGGCGAAGCATTCGGGGGTGCAATGGAGGAACCCTGTACCTGAGATCGAGCTTTGAGCGGCGAAGGACCTTGAATTGGGTGGGACTTGGGGAGTGATGATGGCGAAGATGACGATGATACAACGGCGTGCATGTTATACGACTGTACATGGAGACTACACGAGGCACTATTAGCTACAGGTGGAGAGTAGGTGAGAGTCTGGTACAACTTTATCCGTGGAGCAACCATTAAGATTGGCGGGAGGATATACATATTGCTCTGTGTAATTGAATCGGGAGCAACGAGGAAGTGTATCAAATGTAAAGTGGTAAACGAGGGGAATAACGTATCCATTATCGAACGCTCTTAAGATGAGCGCAGCGAGTATTTAATGAAAAATAGAGAACGGGATGTGCATGTGGACTTGTAATTTGGACGATGATGAAAAGTGGAACGCTGAAGGTATTAAGGCAGACCAGTGTAAGCTATCGATTAATAAAGATTAAGAGGGAGTTGAAGGATTATCAGTTTGTGCAGTGGTGGCCGACATCTGCGGCGGGGTCGTTGGGGCCTCGGGAGGAGGTTGTTCCGGAGATCGGGCTGGGGTCGAAGCGTCGTCCACAGTACCCGATACCTCTCCCGTCGCCGAGGGAGCGGGAGTGCTCGAGGCGACTTCTGGACTATTTGTCGTGGTAGGAGAGGTGGGGGCAGTGTCTGCGGATGGGGGGTTAGCACCAGAGGCAGCAGTGGTTGACGACGTTGTCGTTGCGTCGGCTGACGCTGGCGCAGAGGCTGTCGTCGGGGGTGCAGAGGATGAGCTAGCTGCTGCCGTGCCAGACGCACTTGTGGACGGTGTTACGACTCTAGGCTTCAAGTTGGCTCTCAATGACACGAACGGTGCCCGCAAGCAGATCCTTGCATCGCGATGGTAAGTGTAATCAGTCCCAAATACAGGGTTCGGTGTAGAATGGCTAGATAAAGGGCAGTTAGAGCACTGAACAATGCAGAGAGCAACCAGGGGGACATACATGCCCTTGACATGCTGCTCGAGATGAGTCCGCGTGTCCCTCAACTTGCAATGCATGCAAACATAGCTTCGATGGGAATAGTCGTTCCAGTCATGCGATGACCTGACTTTCTGGAGTTCCTGGTTCTCTGCACCCTGTGCAATCGCCGTGCGACGTTGGTCAGCTGTGCCATACGGACGTTGGTTTCTAGCACTGGTATAACGAGGTGTATGCTCAATCTAACGAAGGGAAATATGTCAAAATCGATTAGAACCAGCAAAGGCAGCCACAGCGCACCATATGTTCCCAGCGAGCCAGAGTCCTGATAACACCGCCAGCGCCGTTAGGGCGATAACATAACGCACAGAAGCACTCCACAAATGGGTTGAGCTCCATCAACTGTTCATAAGTCGTATCCGGCTCCTTATTCAGCGCCTTAAGAATTAATTTGGCACGCTTATGTGCCGCTTCGTGGAATGAGATACGGTCGCCTCCAAGGTTCCATGGTTCTGCTTTTAGCCTTTCGAAGATGGTGCTAGGGTCTGGCGTGCCCGAGTTGCGCGCAAAGTTGCAGGTGTGGACCAGGATTCGGGGGTAGGAGATGGGGACATTGCATGTTTTGCAGTTGAAGAGTGTAGTCGCGAGGTGAAGGGTTTCCTTGGTTGCCTGAGCACCGATCGAACTTTGACGAAGGATTCCCAAGAGTTCGTTGTCCTTCTCCTCTCTCCATTGTCGAACGAACTGGAGCATAGCTTCTTCTCCGATGTCGAAATCGGCCAAAGTTACTGGGGCCTCTAAGTCGGGGTTTTCGAGGACCGCCTTGAGCTGAGGGATGGTGGCAAAGTCCGCCACACCAGGGAGGATAGCATGAAGTGGCTGAGACTCCACAAACGACGCATACATCTGCTTCATGAGGCTACACCGACTGTCCAAGACTCGACTTCGCTCTCTGGCCAGGCGTTTCCGGCGGACGTCTTGCATAAATGCCACCATATCTGCTTCGATTTTCTTCCAGGCTGAAAGTGCATTAGACGAGCTGAACCCAGGCCCCCCACCTCACCAGATCAACGTACCTCGCTCAGTCAGTTCCTTTGGGATCTTGACATGTTTGTGGTCTGTAAGCATGTGGCTCGACATCTTTGACATCTCTTCTGTCCAGCCTGCCAATCGTGTAAATTCCGGGTAAAGGAGACCGACAGTGTTCTGCATACCAAGTATTGCAAGTTTCTCAATGATTCTGACCATGGCGGTCAGAAATGGGCGAGGAAGACATGAATAAACACATACTGCAGCGTTCGTTTGACTCGAGCTTCGTCTAGTTTCTGGGCGCGTCGGAGAACTTGGCCCTTGGCCCATTGCTGGCAAAGTGCAGCATGCTGCCGGGAAGGTGAGCGAGAGTCGGCGGACAAGCAGCGTTTACTCACCTCCAGCCGCTTGTCATAATCTTGCTTCTGTTGCCAGAACCATGTTGGTTTCTCCTCTTCGCTCAACTTCGCCATTTCCTCTGCAAGCTTGACCGCTATTTCGAGACAGTACTTCTTCTCTGTATGAGGGTATATCGCTGGGCAAAGCTTAGCGTGGTCCACAGTAAATGGAGAGCAGACATACTGCCTGAAGAGAACTCGTGCGTCGCAGGGACAATCGTCTGCAAAACGCTTGGTATATCTTTCATATTGACCCAATAAAGAAACCTGGGGAGTTGTTAGAACAGTTTTCCGGGTGACACGGAAATTGGTTTACATTAATGGTCCACATCGCTTGCAACACCGAATACGAGCCTCCCAAATCACGGTTTGGACATTACTGGCCGAACAGTACTAGATCGACGTGTTAGTCGCGTGATACGGTGATGAATGACTGACGACATACATGGCAGTATGGTTCAAAGAGCAGACTCGCATACTGGGGCTCGCTCATATCGAATGGGCAGTCTGGGACTGCATCGACGTTGGATCGTGCCTGCATCCATACCGATGTCGACGAGCGGGACATGACGATCCGCCTAAGCTCTTTGTTGGTTCGTGCGAGGTGCAGAAGGTCCAACGGGTGTAGATGACCCATAATCTGGAGAATATAATAGCTCAGCGGTCGTCGTGCGGCGATGGGGTGCAACGCTCACCTCATAAGTCAAATCTAGGGGCAACGACCAAAGTTGTTGCAAGGCACCCTTGTAACCTCTGCGCTTCTTGGGCACTATCTCCTTGGGTTTCTTTTCGACTGCCTTCGTGATGCGCCGCCGTTTAGGAGATGGCTTTTCGAGCTCGAAATCGCTGTCATTGTCGGAGAGGTCGAAATCGGAGTCGGTGAGGGGGGTGAGGTCGGAGTCGTCGTCGTCGAAGAGAAAAGGGATTTGGGTGGACATGGTCGTTGGTGACAACGAGGAGCAGGGTGCAATCGTGGCGGAAACAGAAAATGTTGGATCCCGTTGTTTGTCCTCCTTGATCGGCTTCGCTTCGATCCAAGTCAAGTCTTGACCGTCGCCGCCGATGTCGCGACAAAGACCAGTTATCAAGTTGGGGAATTTTTTAAACAATTGCTGGGGAAGAAGTTTATAAGATAAATCTCATCGACAACGGCGTCATATGGCCAACATGTGGCTCTAATTGGCCTGGTGACGGTCTGTGAACGCCTCCAGGCAAACAGTATCGGAGAATGTAAACAAATATGGAATCGACGACTCCGCAAGAGAACATTCACAAGAATTGCATAATTGAACTCAAGAACCCACAGAACATCTCCAGAACCCATAACTAGAATGAAACCTTCGGAAAGAATGCAGCCAAGAATAAATCACCGTTCATGGTCAGTAAAGAAAAAAGGAATGTCCCGCATAAAAGGCCTACAGAACTTGGGTCATCAGGTCAGTGCATCAAGACATAACTACGACCGTTAACCTGTTTTCTGGCCAAAGTCCATTCCATACCGAAACGCTCCTGGATAGGTCCAGGCGATGAAAATTCCCTTACGCGGTTACTAAAGCCCCTAACGAGCGATATGACAGTCGTGAGAAACGGGGCCTGGGCACAGCCACCCAAGACCTGCTGTGAGCAATACGCGAGATTCTAAGTTCCTCTCATCCTTCCCGTCTACCGTTTCAGCATTCTGAAGTTCCTCTCGGCAATTCTAGTGCAAGAACTCAGAAACGAACATCAATACAGTTCCAGAGCTCGACATGGCACGGTCCAGTGTCACCAGTGACGATGGGCTGTCTGACGCAGAATCGACTTCGAGCCTATCTGTCGACGTTGCCTCTGTCCTTGGTGTTAAAGGCCCTCTGCGTTTTCAACCCCACGGCTGTACCCAAAGGGCGCACATAATCCTCAGACGCGTGGTTGACTCTGATGATGATGAAGAACCGCGTGTGGTCCGGTTCAGTTTCTTCGCGCAGAAACGGATTGACGTCAAACCCGGGAAAGAAATCCTGCTGGCTATAACGACCGACGATGAACAGCTCAAGGACACGCCTCTAGTCTTTGTAGGTGACTACAAGGACTCTTCTTCCACAGAGGATGAAGATCTACCTGCAGTCGAGGAAGAGCCTGTTTGTGTGGTGCCTCCCAAAATGAGAAGAGGCTGGACAAGAGTACATACCATTCCAAGTAAGCACGAGATTACGACAATTAGAAGTCTAAAACGAAACTTTGCTCCATTCTAGGGCCCCCGGCTGTTGAAAAGCCTTCCATTGGTATTCAGGCCGTTCCGGAATGCAATTCAGCGAATGTACAAGCGGAGCCACTGTGCGCTTCTGTGTCCATTCAAAAGGATTTGGAGTACACTGGGGTATCAGTTCAAGCGACAGAGGCTATTTTCACGTCTTCCTATCCAACGCCTACGCCCCCGGCGCTTCCTGCTGCACCCATTCCTGTCTTCCCTCCAGTTGACGATGACCTCCGCGACCATGAAGAAGAAATGGAGATTTCAGATTGCGTGAGTGGCATCCCCTCAACCAGATATTTCAATTCAAGAGTTAGAGTTCTCAGGAAGATCGCCGTAGCCTGTCTCCCATGGACCTCGACTCACCGACCAGTTCTGCAACATCTTCTCCCATTACCTCCACGTTCCCTTCTATCGCCAACTCGTCGCAAACATCCATACCTGAGCACTCGGTCTCTCCGGTAGTTAAACAACTCCCCTCACCGGAGCCCTCGCAGTTGGTACCGTTGTCGACAGATGAGCCTGGGCCCCCATCACGAATCTCCAGTCCCCCGCACTCGCCCAAGTCGTCTAGGAGTTGTTCTGTTCCTTTGGCGCAAGAGAAGCCTTGGTTACCTTCCCCGCCTGCTTCCCAAGAACCCACGGTGCCTCCATCCACTGCCTCCACGACTACTTCGGGGGAAGGCAGGGACAGCAATGCGGCGAGTGTGCCTGTTAGGAAGCCAGCACTCAAAATAGGTATCATGGATATGTTCGTGAAGGCCAAACTTCCAACTGGACCCTCTGACTTACTGGCGTCCATACCAACGGGGGTGAGTAAACATGTTACAGGGGAGGCTCCTTCGGCGAAGGTGGGTAGCACATTCTTTATTCCGCTAACACGTCGTCTGAAGTCGAAAACGGTAGCCATCAACAGACCAAACTCAGCCCACCGCGTTGCCAAGCGCGGGGCCAACGACAGACAAACCCTCTCCTGCACCTCCATCTCCCCGTGTCAACGCTGTAGCATCTTCGAGCAAGACAACTCTGCAGAGCAAGCCCATCCCTACAGGCCCGAGACATTTTAACAGATCGGTGAATTCAGATCCTTTGCAGAACCCTCTTGGTATTCGACCATCGACGCCCAACTTCGTAAAGGCAGAAAAACCTCCTCCCAGCGGGCCTAAAGCTTTATCGGCAAACATTGCAAAGAAGACGATCGTTGTGGACGGTAAGTGGTCCGCCTCGCGCGCAACGGGCGCAACGTCAACTACTCCCAATCCGTCGAACTCGTCGACGGCAACCACTAAATCCGCGAGGCGCAAGAGGAAAAAGCAAAAAGCCGGGAATGCCCCTACAACAGCGAACCAGGGTACAGCGGAAGCTCCGCTTCCGCCATCGTTGCCCCCGCCACGACCACCTCTACCGACAGAACCCGGAACAGTGACTGCCTCGACTTCGAAATGGAAGCCCGTGAATGCGCCAAACTGGGCCGAGTCATCGGCTTCGTCGAATGTGAACGAGATTGGCCCATCGAAGCGGTCTACCTCGCCGTATCTGCATTGGTCGCCATCGAGCCCTCCGCTGGGCCAGCATGCCTCCTCTGGCCAGTCGACCGCACCCTTACCTGTGTCGTCGATACCCGAGCCCGTCAGTTCGAGGGCGACTGGCTCTTGGAATTATCGGGGAGGTAAGCGCGTTTGCTCAGAACTTATGATGCCTTCTTTCTGACCTCGTTGCTCATCAGGGCCACCGGAGGATGTGTGCCCAAGGTGGGGCTCTCCAGAAAGATTTGAGCCGACACCCGTTCCAAGTGCATCGACGCTGGTCAGGACAGCCTCTTCCACTGCACCGTGGTCCGGTCCCGCTTCCTCAGGGTGGAGTTCTCCGGAAAGGTTTGAAGCGTTATCTCTTCCGACCGCATCGACGTCGGTTAGGGCCATCTCTCCATCTTCGTCAAGGACTCGCTCCCCCCCACCGGCTGCACCTGCCATTCCTTTGGCATTGAGCTTGCATGGTCTGAGACCTCTCCCTGCTGCGCAAGGTAGGATTGTATTGCATGTTGATCGCTGTTTTCATCCTTGACTTATGAGATTCTATCAAGCTCCTCCCATGACACATCCGTTGCCGGCCAAGCCTCAGCCTACTTCTCCAACTTGCCAACGCGGGTTGAAACGTGGACGACCTCTCTCACCCGATCCTCCTGAAAGGAGTGCCGAAAGCCAGAACAAGAAGAGGCATCGCATCAAATGGCCGGTGGTCAGAAGCAACTTGACCAAGTACTTGCATGGCGATGGGGAACCCAATGCGCACAACATAAGCTTTAGTGCCGACGGAAATTACTTTGTGCTGAGCTGTACGTTGCTGTGGCCTCTTTGGTCTTCCGTAGAAGAACTTACAATGGTATATGCAGGTTCTGATCGGACAGTTCGTGTGTGGAGTAATCGTTCACGTTCAGAGATTGCGCGTTTGAGTCATAATGCACCTGTTGTGAACACAGTTTGGCTGGCTGATGATGCGGGGGTCATAGCCCTCACGGATGATGGACTGGTGCATAAATGGGCGAGGGTGGTATGTATCTCGTCGAGACATCGGTGAAGAGAATTTGACCCGTAGTTCTCTAGGCTGATAACAGATGGGAATGGTCGAAAGTACTCGATGCTGGGAGTGATTATCGTTCCGAGCAAGATCCCATCTGCTTCGCGTACGCCCGCGATAAAATCGCAGTCTCGTTCCCAAGGATGGGTGTCAAAGTTTGGACCTGGAATCGGGGTAAGTTTTCAGGGAAGTTGGAACGCTTCTTGGCTGTTATTGATTGATGCGTTACGCAGGGCTATGCGTATGGCAATCGCAACGGTCGATCTTGAGGCAGAATGTGACGGCGATCAAGTTTATCGCGGATGGGATGGCTCTGATTGGAGGCACGAGAGATGGTGCACTGTGAGTTTGGATACGCGATGTGCCGTTTTCTCGCTCTCCCGCTGATTATCACTATTCAAGGTGGTATTGCGAGATACCGAACGGGACGCTGAGAGCTTATGCTTTTCTCAGGACCAAAATGTGAGTGCCATACCTCCGTTGTCGTCTCACTAGGAAGGTCCTGACGTTGTGTGCGTGTTGATCAAGTGTTTCGCTTGACATGAGTCCGCAGGGGACGCATGTTCTAGTCGGGCAGGACAACGGAAGCGCAGTACTCGTTGCCCTCCGGATGTCCGAGAATAAAGGTCACGTTGAGCAGATATACACATGCAAGGATCAACAGCCGCAACTGCAACAGCCGCATTCATCGAGATGTCCGCCTGGGTTTGAATTTGGGGCTGTGTTTGCTACACAGTCCCAGGCCATCCTTCTTGGGTCGATTGAGAGCTGCGTGCTTGTCTGGGATAAGAAGAAGGCTGCGATAGTTTATGGGCTTGAGCACGACCAGGGTGAGTTGTTTGTTTTATGCTCGGCGGCGTTTGGCCGGGATGGAATCGAGGACTGACATTTGGTTCCTCCGATATGTAGGTGATTGTATTCAGGCTGTCGCTGTGAGTTTCCGCTTTCATGGTTTAGGTTGGAGTAAGGCCACATGTTGATGACGTTTTTGTTACGATCAATATAGACGTTGGATGGAGGTGGGACAGGAAAGGAAGGATGTATGATCACCGCTACAAAGGAAGGCCAGTTGTGTTGGTGGTCTCTTCCCGTAGCCGCTTCGTCCCAACCGAGCCAAGGTGGGTTTGGTCATTAGTTTTGTGGAAGACTCCTCTAAATCTGAGTTGGGGACATCAGGGGATGAAGCACCAAAGAAGTAGAAGCGGGCGACTCCATCTTTGGATCATTAACACTTCGGCTACTCTGATATCTGTCGGGATTTCACCCATTTATCCGATTATCGTTTTGGACAGTATGGGTTTAGGATTTTCAATAGGAGATACCATCTAGTTTAATTGAGAAGTTCATGTACATATAATTTTTTGGAGATATGGAATTGTGATGGCGGGTTCAGGTACGAATTTGGGCTGAGTTGAAACGGGGAAAGATAGTTTGTGCATGTTTGTTGTCGTGCCAGTCGGACAGCGCCGTGGTGGTTTACCCAAGTGATCCCAAAGTCCGAGTTACAACCAACCCATCCAGACCGTCAGCGACAGTCAGCGCTCGAAATCGTTTTACACTCTAGCATTCAACTTCAAATCGCTCTGTATGTCTTTTGTATTCTTGTTACAGTCCCCCTTTTACTCCAAATCCCCGCTCAAAATGCCCAGCAATTGACACTATCGCTTCTGGTCCCGCAGATTTCAACACCGTCGCGCGAACATCCGCGGTTAGGGCCCCTGCATTTCAAAGAGCAATCGGTTATCGTCGTCGTCTTTTCTTGAGAGCTCCTTAGGCGAATATCCAGGTGAGTTTCCCTCTCCACCGTCCACAATCCAGTCCAAGGGCGTCGCATAGCCACGAGGCCCCGTTGCCACGCTGAATAGCAGGCCCATTGTGCAGCCCAGGGCGATATTGCTGCAGCAGACCGGTCTTGCTCATGCATTATCTTCAGTGAACAGAATGCAAACGATTAAATGTGTTGTTGTTGGTGATGGTGCGGTTGGCAAGGTTCGTCCTCCTGTTTCCCCCCTTTCGCTTCTCACCACACACCGAACTCGAACGCTGAGCGGGCACAACCATTAGACTTGTCTCCTCATTTCCTACACCACCAACAAGTTCCCGAGCGAGTATGTTCCAACTGTACGTCACCCCCCGTTTGACTCGCCCAGCCCTGTGTTCGATATCCAATCGCTCCCACAATAGGTGTTCGACAACTATGCGGTCACGGTCATGATCGGCGAAGACCCCTACACGTTAGGTCTCTTCGATACCGCCGGTATGTCTTTGCTTGAATTGCGTTGAAAGACAACAGAGGGGTCCTCAAAATATCTCCAGGTCAGGAGGATTACGATCGTCTTCGTCCCTTGTCATACCCCCAAACGGATGTCTTCCTCGTCTGCTTCAGCGTCACATCACCGGCATCGTTCGAGAACGTGAAAGAGAAGTGGTTCCCTGAAGTGCACCACCACTGTCCTGGCGTGCCGTGCTTGATTGTTGGAACACAGGTGGACTTGAGGGATGATGCGCAGGTGATTGAGAAGTTGGCCAGGCAGAAGCAGAGACCTGTCAGCGCTGAGAGCGGCGAGCGGCTTGCTAGGGAGCTTGGTGCAGTCAAGTATGTGGAGTGCTCGGCGTTGACACAGAAGGGTTTGAAGAATGTGTTCGATGAGGTGCGTTTCTTCAGTTTCTTAGGTTCCGGTGGATGTTGTGTGTGCTGACTTTTTCTCCTCCCATAGGCTATTGTCGCCGCCCTGGAGCCGCCGATTGTCCCAAGGAAGAAAAATAAGTGCAACGTCCTCTGATGATGAACCCTCTTTCCGCCAGCCTTTTTTACGTCTTTCTTCACGCTTTTACGAGCTTGCATTCCTTGCCATGACCTGGTTATATATCCGACGTTTGCCTTATTTTTTCTTTCTCTCTCGACTACCTTCCTAACTGCTGCCCTCCCTCTTTTTTTTTCTCTCTGCCTCCCCTTCTTTATGTTAAATCAGACATCTTTCGGTTTTCATCTCAATGCTAAGTTTCTTGGTGAGATGGTGTGTGTATTTCACCGCAATAATGGTTAGCTCTTTCTTTTCCACTAGAATTACAATTGTTACACTACTGTTTTTTTGTTTGGAGCTCATCGTGGTCGTAGTCTTTGCTTCATACCCGACTACCCATTGTGGAGGACTAATTATCAGGGTCATTGTGCTCCAGACGTACGAATGAGAGCTCTTTCAATTGAACAGACTAAGCGCTGGAATGCTTTACTCCTGTTTTAAAGTGGTCCCACCAGGACTGACTCGCTGAGTATGCTTTTCGTGGCTATGCTTGATGCGTGGCGTCGGGCCGTGTGAGATCCGTTGCCGGAGGTTGTAGTGACTGTGCCAAGGCTTTGTCGAGCTCACTGCACTTCTCTCGAACTTTCACCATGTCGCGTCCTCAAGATGACAGAAACCAAGAGGCTACAGTGTACTTGGTGCGTATACCAAGTCAACGTGCTGGAAATTCTGCTTATATGCGTTTCTGCAGGGAAATTTGGACGAGAGGTGTACAGATGCACTCATTTGGGAGTTGATGTTGCAGGCTGGTCCCGTCGGTGAGTACCAGTTAATTCCATTCAACCCATGGCACGAACGCTAATTCCAATCTAGTTAACGTCCATTTACCAAAAGACCGTATATCAATGGCTCATCAAGGATACGGTTTCTGTGAGTTTTTGACGGAAGAAGACGCGGAATATGCCTGTAAGATCATGAACCAGATTAAACTTTGGGGAAAGCCCATAAGAGTTAACAAGGTCTGTCACAGGTCTCTTTCTTTTGTCCGTAAAGTCAAGTGGCTGATTGTATTTGTGCTTTGGGATGATGTTAGGCGTCTTCGGATAAAAAGCAACTCGATGTTGGCGCCAATTTGTTCGTTGGGAACTTGGATGAGAATGTGGACGAGCGACTATTGTATGATACGTTCAGTGCGTTTGGTATGATGGCTACGACGGCCAAGGTGCGTATTTCTGTCTCTTTGTAAAGGTTATGTTTCACCCATACTCTGTTTCGTGTAGATTGCTCGAGATCCCTCAACAGGTGTATCAAAGGGCTACGGTTTCGTGTCCTACACCGACTTTGAATCCTCCGACGCAGCCATCGAATCCATGAACGGCCAATTCCTCATGAACAAAGCCATCACCGTCCAATACGCCTTCAAAAAAGACGGCAAAGGCGAACGTCACGGTACCGCCGCCGAACGACTCCTCGCCCGCGCAGCACGGAAGAACAACGCGCTTCCGGTGGCAGCGCGTCCGCCTCCAGCACCGATGGCGTTTGGCGCTGCGAGGCCGCCTGTGCCTGCTGGGTTCCCGCAGCCGTACCAGGCGGGGCAGTTTGCGGGTGCGTTGGCTGCCCCGCCGCAGCCGCCTGGGTTTACGCCGCAGCAGACGATGGTGGCGCCCCCGCCGCCTGTGGGGATGCCGATGGGTATGCCCCCGCCTGGGATGGCGCCGCCTATGGGTATGCCTCCGATGGGTATGCCGCCCCCGCCTGTTGGGATGCCTGTGTATCCTGGGTATGGTGCGCCGCCTATGGCTCCTCCTGGTGTCCCGCCTCCTGGGTTTGGTGGGTATGCTCCTCCGCCTCCACCACCCCAAGCTATGCAGCAGCAACAACACCAGTGATTTCTGTGTGTGTTTTTCGTATACCTTTTGTCTTTACATTCTGTCATTTTGTCTAATGTTGTATGAAGTATTGCTTTTGAAGCATGAAGGACTAGCGGTGGACATTTGGCTATGTGATAAGTATATTATTACAATAGATTACAGGTGACTAGTGATACAGGGATATCTCCGGAGGCTGGTGGAAAGATCGTCAGCGCCTTCTGAAATCAGAAGGGATGAGGCAGAGTTAACTCACTGGTCCTCGCGTCTCGAAAGCTAACCAGTCTCCTGTGCCCGTGGGTAACAGGCCCATTGACTTGCACTTCCATAATCCAACGCCCAGTGTCAGGAGGTTGCAGGCGATGTAGAGAAGCTTCTGAGGTGTCAAGGTGGTAATTGATTTCGAGTCCTTGGCTGTCGAAGGAGCGAACTGGGCGAATGCTGTAATACATACAGGTCAGTACTCCTCTGGCAAGTTAGGTAAAGGGAACACACCATCGTTCATAGCAAAGACGTTTTTGAAGGGTGTCATGAGGAGCATAAACACGATACCCATGCTGAATATCTGAACGCCTCCGCCGGACATGTAGAGCATAAACGCTTGCATAGGGAGTTGCTTTGCTGGACCGGTCGCGAATTCCCAAGCCCTCTTTGCTTTTATTTCATCGTATGCTTCTTTGGTGGTTGCTGGTTTCTTTGGCGTGGATTTCTGAAGGACGGGGTCAGATTGGAATCACAGAGTTGGTTGTGAGTGCGTACTGATGACGATGACTGGACGCTTGTGAATCCGGGTGGGGGCGGGAGTTTACTCCATCTACAGCCTCGTGAGCATCGTTCGATACAAGAGTAAGGTGGAGAGGATACTTTGTGGATGCTTCCAGCGAAGAATACTCGAGGACAGGGGACATGGTGAGAAGCAAAGGACAAGCTGGGACTGTGAGAAACGCGCTTCATGTCCGCCTTTCTAGGCTTTGACGCCGAACCACATCGTGACTCTCGACAACGACGACGACCTCTGCTTGTTATCTCCAGCGGTCTACTGTACAGTCTCTATGGTCATGAACGATGGACTCTAAACGATACACTGAAGCCCAATGGCTTTCCCTACCACAACCCGCTCGACCTCTAGTAGACCCGTTCCGACGGCGTCACCTGCTCAGGAACTACATAATACTGTCGATCCTCTCAGTCGGTTTCACCTTCTGCGCTCTCTATCTCACAAGGAATGCCTTCAATGAACCTGTCAGCGTTACTAGGTCGTTTAGAGACCCAGCAGACGAATGGCGCGACGATACCTGGCCAATACGCGAGCAAACGCCCTGGGACATCTCCACCGACTACCCCTACCCCCGCAAACTCGCGTACGACGTCTCGGAGGGGACGTGGCTGCGGCTCGACGTCCACCCCAAGACGGGCGACATCGTGTTTGACATGGTGGGGGATTTGTATTGTATCCCAGCGGGTGGATCAATTGGCCCGGAGAGTGTTAGTCGTGCCAGACCTATCCTAAGGGGTGTACCGCACGACTCGGACCCGCATTTCTCGCCGGAGGGGGCTAGGTTGGTGTTTAGGAGCGATGCAGAGCTTGGGGTTGAGAATATTTGGGTTATGGAGTGGAAGGGGTGCGAGGAGATGGAGGTGGAGAGTGGGGACGCGGTGCTCAAGGAGGAGGATGAGGAGTTGCTTGCGAAGGGTGTCAGAGAGACGCCGGAGAGGAGGGTTAGACGGTTGACCAGGGAGGGTCGTCTAGGTGGTAAGTTTCAACCTTATTTAAGCTTTTCATATACTGAAAATAGACTGTAGCCCTACGTGTTACGAACGAGACGTACAGATGGGTGTCGGATGCTCGGTTCCATCCTTCGGGCACCAAGGTCGTAGCCACCAAGTGGTACACGTCTTCTAGGTCGTTGGGTGCAGGTGAAGGATGGGAGTACGAGGTTCCTTCATTGGAGGACATCCGCAACGGTGTTCAGCCCCAAATCCCTGTCGGGAGCGGAACTCGGGTTCTGAGTCGGACCCTGCCACGCGGATGGACTTCGAGCGACTATGGAGACCAGCAGATTGGTCCTGAGCAGATCATTTGGTGTGGAAATGATAGTGTTATCTTTTCCAAGAACAGCGTGGATAGCAGTCGCTTTTCCTACAGCAAAGGTCTGTCATCAGTCGAAGTTCTCTCTAGTGTTAGTTTGTACTGACGCTATTTAGATGTCCACAGTGGAATCTATGCAATCTACCAGCGCAACCTTACGACCGGCTCGACGGAGAAGATTGTCATTACCCGGCCTGGAGGTGCAAGTCGCCCTGAGCTTTCTCGGGATGGACGCTCGCTCGCTTTCGTTCGTCGTGTCCGTGATAAAGCAGCGTTGGTTCTCAAGTGAGTGTTTCTTCTAGGTCACGTACAGGCTGTGACTGACGCCTTTTAGGGACTTGGAGACTGGAACCATCCACCACATCTGGCACGGTTTAACCTACGACCTCACAACCATCTCTGCACCGATGGGTACCTACCCCTCTTATGCATTCACCCCGTCGGACGATGCCGTCATCATTTGGGCAGCTGGCCAAATCTACCGAGTGCCTCTGTCAGTCAATGAACGGGGAGAGCGAGTTTCAGGCGGGACACCACACCCTATCCGTTTCACCGCGCGCATCGAGAAACGCCTGGCAGAAACCCTGCGTGAAGGAACACGAAACCTCGTCCAGCTCGAAACTCAGGAGACACAGCGGGTACAGGCTTTCAAGGAGCTTCGGGTCGACGAGAAAGGCGGCAGGGCGTTGTTCCAAGCTGCTGGCGTCACCTATCTGCACAACGTATACGAGAGGGGCACATTCAAAGTACCGATTCTCCACCCAGAGCAGCCCTACTATTCTCCAGATTTTGTGAAGAATGCTCACGACCTCGTGCTGCACGCTCGATGGTCGGACGTTAATTTTACGTCGTTTGAGATTGCCAATCTCACTGCGCAGACTGCGTTCGAGGTGGAGGGGCTGCCGTTGGGGCGGTACTTCTCCCCTATCCTTTGCGGAAGTGAAGGGAGGACAAGGCGAATTGCGTTTGTCAAGGTCGCGAGCGACTATCTCAGCGGGAATATCATCGCTACCGCCAACCCGGGTTTGTACCTCGGCACAGTAACCCTGCCGTCAGACTGGAACGCCCAAGGCCTCGACAAGGGGACCATCCCTATCCGCGACCTCACCTTTGTCAAATCCCGAATCAGCCCCACCGACCGCGTCAACATGCAATTCCTCGAAGGCAGCAACAAACTCCTAGTACACCAATCCTCCCGGTCCTTCATCATCGACTTGGGTGCTGGATCTGACGCACACGGGAACTACCCGCACCACACCCTAGCAGAGGGAAAGATGAGTTCTGAACTCGCTACTTCAGTCAAGCTAGACAAGAAAGGGGAGAACTACGTTCCTGACAACGTGGCGTTTGTGGATTTCTTCCATGTTTATGTTGCACCTGGGAAGGCTGTTGTTGGGGATGGGGATGGAGCTGGTGAGGGAGGGGTGTGGTCAAAACCGGGGAATTCGACCAAGGGTCTGGCGAGGTTGAGTGTGGATGGTGGGCATGATATTACGTGGAGTGGGGATGGGAAGAAGTTGTTCTGGTTCTTGGGTATGTCTTTGGTGCGTTGTGAGAGAGAAGGGAAACTGAATCTATTGTGTTATTTTAGGCCCGTATCTCCACTCGGTCGAAGTCTACAGGCTCAGTCGGTGCGCGACGAGTATTATTCAGGATAAAGTCAATTTCGGGATCAACTGCGTCAAGGATTTGTTGTACTACCAAGAAGTCCATGTTGAACATTCTACCGATATCGCGAGGTTGAAGAAGGAAGCGAGTGGTTTCAGGCCTGGGATTCAAACTCCAGCATCCAAAGATGCGGAACACGAAGTCTCCTATACCATTAACGACAAGGACAATGGCGCCATCACGGATTTGATGATCATCTTCAATGCTACGCTGCTTACGATGGCTACTGGGAAGCAAGAAACGGATTTGATCAGGGGTGGTATTTTGATTGTGAGAGGGGGTGTTATTGATGCTGTTGCTACTTTGGAGACGTTCTCGGAGGTGGATGTGAAGGGTGCTATTGTGATTGATGCTAAAGGAGGTGAGTTCACTGTCTCTTCGCTCTGCCGGAGGGAACTTGTTGACAATTGTACTGCAGGCTTCGTCGTCCCTGGATTCATCGACGTGCACGCGCACTGGGAAGGATACTCCACGAAGTTCCCGTCTAAATCGTGGGAGATGGAGACATTCCTCGCGTATGGTATCACCACGCTGCACAACCCCAGCGCGGGCACCGTTGACGCCCCAATTGAGAGAGCTAGGATCGAGGGAGGGTTTATGATTGGACCCAGAATCTTCACTGTGGGCGATATCATTTATGGTGCTGGTATACCGGGGATCCATCAGTATATTGTGGACTTGGACGAGGCGAAGGAAGCTTTAACGAGGATTAAAGCTGAGGCTGGGCCGTTTGGGATTTCGTATAAGAATTACAATATTCCTTCGAGGTGAGTGACGATCTGGTGGTTTGCGTTGGGTTGGTGGTTAACGGCGTTTTGTTGTTGTTTTGGGACAGGGCTTCGAGGCAGAGGTTGTTGAGTGTTGCAAGGAATTTCAGTATGTTGTGCGTTCCTGAGGGTGGGATGAACTGGGATTGGGATTTGACATATATCATTGACGGTACGTTGTCGTCACTCGTCCTGTCACAAATCTGATTCTTTATTTTCTCTAGGTATGACGACGGTCGAGCATTCGATTCCTGTTCCCGTGCTGTACGAGGATGTTCAGACTTTGTATGCCTTGAGCGGGACTGGCAACACCCCGACACATATTGTCAATTATGGCGGTGCATGGGGCGAGCAGTTTGTCTGGGCTAATGAAGATATCCCCAATGATCCCAAGTTGCGAAGGTTCATGCGACATGATATCTTGGAAACCCTGTCTGAATCTACTGCAAGGCCTAAGAACTGTAGGTCTACCAGAGTCTCCTTTATTGGATAAAGTCTGACGACTCTATGATCTTTAGCTTATCAATTCTTCAACGCATCAGCATCGGTCGCTCAGATGGTGAAGAAGGGGTTGTTGGCGAACATTGGTGCTCATGGTGAGCAACCTTTGGGAGTGAACTATCATGCAGAGATGGAGTTCACGAGAGCCGGAGGGCTGACTCGTTATGAGGTACGTCCGTCCGTTATGACCTCACCCACCCACTCCATTCACTGACCTTTTTTAACTCAGACCCTCCGCGCTGCCACCATCGACGGAGCAAAGACGATTGGACTCCACGACTCCATTGGCTCTCTCGAAGCTGGGAAGTTGGCTGATTTCCTCGTATTCCCACCTGGGGTGGATCTGTTGGCAGAAGACGATGGGACGCAACCCTTCACCACCGTGGGGCCGACGAGAGATATTCTCCTTGTTGCTAGAGGAGGAAGGATATGGAAGGCTGCGACGATGGAAGAGGTTTGGCCCGTTGCGGGGAGGAAGCAGAGGATACCTATTATCAATTCCGAGTAATGTGATGTGACGATATCTGCTTCATCTTTCTGGATTGCATATGGACAGTTCTATTAACGCCTGTCTAATGGACATGGACATTTTTGCTACTCCCTGCGAGGCTGCTGCGAGTCCTGACTGTTCTAAAAATAGGTTAGTGGGTTGAGGGTCAGGGGGTGGCTGTGCCGGACGGAGCAAGGGTGGGGTGGACTGAATTCTTGTGCACGGGATGTGACTAAGGGTGGTCTATCCTCGCTCCAGGCTCCAAGGTGGATTGCTCGATTGCTGTGCGTGGAACCCTCTAGAGTGGGAGGCTGTGGGGTCCTCCAGATTGTATATAAAGCGTCGCGGGCGGCGTTTGAAGTCTCCATTGTTCCTTTCTTTCCCCCCTCTCGACTGCGACCTCGACGCCGACTTTGCTCTCTTCTCGCCCTCAACTCTCTCATCGCTCGTCGACACACCCGGTCATAGCCATGCGACATCTAGTGGCTTGCCGTACGTGCCCGCCAGGGTTCATCGTTGGCTGAACGCCTTCTTGCAGATGCGCCGTTTACCGGCCTCCTCAACGCACACCATTCGGATGGTCGCCTCAAGGCCAGTTGATCATCAAGCTCATTGAGCTTCAAGAGCTCTTCAGTGCTCAGCACACCGCGCCTCTCGCGCTGGTCATCACTCCATTTCATCGTCATCGGCTCGGACCTTCCCTGTGAGATGTGAACTCTTGCATTCCGTCGCTCAGTCCAGGTTCAGCAGGGCCTTCATGCCCATGTCAAGTTCTCGCGTTCCCCCATTTTTGCCCATGTTTGTCGCTCTGCCGACATCGGTTTTCCAACCCGTCTCATTCGTTTCGCCAGCTTCGGCTTCGGCTTTCGACCACGTTTGGCCCTCGTGTTGGCCTATTACGCGTCCGTCCACTCCAAGACTGGTTCCCCTCCTGGGCCGTCTTTGGCTTTCCATCTCTTCGTGAGATTCACCTTTACCTGTGCCAACCTTGACATCGTCAGTTGCCTGCAAGAACGGCCCCTCAACGTTTTGGTCATCTTCCACTCATTCACACACGCTTTCTCTCTCACCTTCGTGCAAGTCGTCAACTTGTGTCCAGTGTGATCGTATGGTTCATATTGCCCGTTCACCACGTTAACCTGTCGGAGTTCCGCCACACATTGGCACTCTATCATAGTTTAGGCTATTGTTAGAGTCGGTACATCTGTATCACTGGTGTTGTAGGGCTGTGTTGTTGAGGTGTGTTGTTGGGGCTGTAGGGGTGTTCCAGGGTTTGTAGGTGGTTTAGGGTTCTGGTCGGATTTGGGAGGAGACGTGGGTTCATGTCTGGATGATGAAGACTTCACCTCGCTGCAACGCTGCGCGATTCGCTCTTCCTTATGGAAGTATCCCACTTTGACTTTCTACCGGTGTGTTCCGCGTTGATTTCTCACTTGGCTCGTTCCTAGCGGGCGAGTTTGGTTGGGCTCATCGTTATGGACGTATCGTAATTTCCTTTACTTTTCTTCGAGTTGAAGCTTAAAGCTTGTTTTGTCGAGGACGTGGGGTTGGGAGTAGGTCGATGGTGGATTGCTTGTATGGGTTTTAACGTGCGTTTTCTGTTTTGTTCTCCCAACTTCATTCTGATAGGTTTGTGTACAGGGTAGCTGCAGGACGGTGTCGTCGGGTGTAGTGGGTGGTGGTGGTCTTTTTCCTACTACTCATCGTAGGCAAGTTTCCTTTACCCAACTACTTTCTCACTGCCTCTGACACCGTGTAGTGTATCAGCCGGTTGCTCGAGTGTAGTTGTTATGTTGGTGGTTTTCTACTCATAGTTATCCATAACCGCTTGCGGGGCGTGGAGAGGGAGGGAGGTGGGCCATTGCATTTTATGGCTCTCCATTTTGCCCCTTAGTCTAGTCTGTGCACCAATCGACTACCTTTTTATATCCTTCATTAATGTGTGACGTAAGAGCGACAAAGGAAATCTACCAAGTCCGGAATGGCTTATGACTTGGGACGTCCCCTTGGGACGTTCTTTTGAGAGTACTTAGCGGCTAGTTCTCAGAACAATATTTGACGTATACTTTGTAGCCAGACGTAACGATTAGATTTCTTCATACAATTGCGACTCAATGAGTCGGAACTTCAATCATCGCTTCTCCTTGCCCTCTGTTTACTTGCCGAAGATGGCAGCGAAGGTCGTTCCTTGGTGACTGCACGCCGAAAGTGAGAGGACATTCACCATACATTCAATTTCTAACTCACCCAATGTAGGCCCTGCCTGGATCGTTGAAGACAACGTAGCCCCTATCTCCTGGAACGCCGAGTTTCTCCTTGAAGAACGCGAACAGCTCCGCGCTGTATTTCTCATTCAGATCAGGCTTGATGTTGTCCAAGCTCACCTATGCAGCAGGAGCGTCAATCAACCAAGTCAATCAACCAAGCTATCCGGGCAACAGGCGCAGCTGGGTCACTGTACGTACGATGGTGAGCAGGAACGCGGGGTCGAATGATCCAGCAAACGTGAGGGCTGGGTTGTATTTGACATTGACGGAGATGTATTTCTCAGGTTTACCCAGGATGCTGGCGCCGAACTGAAGAAGCGTGCGTCGTTGTCAACGCCGTGTCACCTCCAAGGCATATTCATCTCACTCGCCTTGGAGAACTCGAGCGCGAACGCCTTCTCATCTTCGATCTGGACAACGTCGGTCAATCACACTTTAAGCCCCTTTCAGTGCGGTAAGCGCCTTACCTTGACGTTGGTGGTGAGGTCGAGGGACGGCATGGTTGTCTGAGTATTATGTGGGAGGAAGAAAGGACGAAGAAGCCATTTCTTTCTGAATTTCAGTCGTTCAAATAGTAACTGGATGACGCTACGGTCATGGACGGCTGAACTGTTAATTAGCTTTATCTTATCTTATCTCATGGTCATTGCCATCTGTGATCACCCCGCGTTGTCCCCTATTGAAGCCACCATCATGACAAGCTCCATGATCTCCCCGGAATATGATCAAATGGCATCAGGCTCGCTGCCTGCACCGGTCGCGAGGTCCCTTACTTAAATGAATCCCAAGCCTTTTTGCCGTCAAACCCACTTTTGTTCTTGAACGACCACGTTGTGGGCGAGATTCGCGTAACGACCGTAGTCGCCGTCGTTCAAGGTTGTAACGCTGTAGACCCTCTTAACTCAAAGAGAGCGCTTCAAGTGCTGACTAGACTACACAGAACACCATGAAGTTCGACATATACAATTTGACAGACGAGACGATCACAGCATCGTCTTCGAGGGCAGAGTCTGCTGCTTTTGTTTATCTGCAGCCGCAGAAGCCAACGAGGGCTCCTGGGGGTGCATGGAAACGGCTGTACCTAACCAAAACGTCTGCTGCTACCGACGCGACCGCCAATGCCCAAGAGAAGGAATCTGCAGGGACCTTCGAGATCCCTCTGCCTGGATCTTGGTCGAAGAGGAAGGGCTCCTGGAATGAGGTGTCCCTCGCGGAGACCACACCATGGAGAGTCTACTGCTACTGGGTACGTCCTCCAAGTTATCACCACCAATATGCCCTAAATTGCGCGCGATAGTCCGCCCAAGCACTGGTCGTCCTGCCACGAAGGAACGTCTCCTCGTTTTTGGCAGACATGCCTGATTCACTACCGCTCTCTTCCCTACTCCTGCCAGGTTAGTCTCTCTTGGGCGACGTAGTCCTATAGTTAGACTTCTTGATGCTAACGACGCGTTCACATGATACAGGTACTCACGAAACGTACGTTCTCTCTGTCACTGCTATCCGGAAAGACTGAATTTGAATTGAATCATTCATTACTCCTGTAGGATGGCTTTCTATGGATGGCCGGTATCGCAGTGCCAAGAACCGAGTGATACACTCTCAGCGCAACTCCTCGCTGGTATCCGCGTTTTAGATGTCCGACTAGCAGTCGTGCCCGTCACCGCCAAATACCTCCCCTTCAACTTCAAGTCCAAATCCACGCCCGCCCCCGTTCCCAATCCAACCTCGACCGACCCACCTGGGGCAGTAACAGCCACAACAACGTCTGCCGAACCCGAACTTCGACTCCTCGCCTACCATGGTATCTACCCGCAGCGCACCCCGTTCACCACCATCCTCAGCACCATCCACACGTTCCTCAACTCACCCGCCGGCCAGAGTGAGACGATCGTAATGTCGCTGAAGCAGGAGGATTTCCAGGTGACGTCGAAGGATGTATGGGCGCGGTTGGTGAGGGAGGAGATCATGGCTAGCCCTGGGGGTTTCAAGAACACTGGTCCGGATGGGAAGAGGGATATGGGGATGTGGTATTTGGAGAATCGGATCCCGACGCTGGGCGAGGTTAGAGGGAAGGTGGTTATGTTCAGTCGGTTTAATGGTGACAAGCAGAATTGGGAGGGTGGGACGCAGGGGATGGGGATCCACCCTACTCGATGGCCCAATAGTGATAGGAACGGGTTTGTGTGGAAGCTGAAGGGCACGACAGTTAGAACGCATGATTGGTATGTGCGCCTTCTCATTACGTCTGACCATGGCTAAGATGGTCGTTATTTAGGTATGCTATACCCTCGTTCCTTTCCGTCCCAGAGAAGGTTACGCTTTCGACGTCCGTTCTACATCCAACGATCTCCGTCCCACTCACATTCCCCCTTCCCGAGCCCGGGAACGTCTACGACGATACCGAGCCACAGCTCAGCATCACCTACCTCTCCGCTGCAACCTTCCCCCTCGCCCTCCCACCTTTTGTAGCCAAAGGCATCGGTTTCCCAGGCTGGAAACTGGGCTTCGAAGGAGTGAATTCCAGAACGGCAAAGTGGTTATTGGAAGAGCTCGTGCCTGCGCTGAGGAGTACACCCGCAGCACAGCTGCACGATCAAGCGGTTGCTAATGCGGACGTTAACACTGCTACGAGGGATGGGCCTGTGGATCCTGATACCCTTAGAAGGAGGAGGTTGCGGTGGTGGAGGAAGGAGAAGAAGGTGGTGGATGATAGAGGTGCTGCTGCGCGTGGTGCGCAAGCATCTGCTTCGGGCGTCGCCAATGCCGGTGGTGTAGATGGGGCGGATCAGACGCATGCCTCGGATACCCAAGTTATACCATCGACTACGATGGAGTCGAGGAGGCTGAGGGGATGGGTGATGTTGGACTATTACACATCTGATTCGGGGCTGGTTCCTCTCCTTATCGAATGCAATTACAGAGCGAGGAAGAGTGGACAGGAGGGATGGCCTTAGAGGTGGTGTGGCCTCCATTCCCTTGTTCATTATTTTTTCTTTTGACGTTCTGGACTAATCACTCACTCGGTCTATCTTTTACCATTTATTCTCGGGTTCGGATATCTTTGTCTTCCGCCTGCTCATCTTTTACGAATTTTTAATGACCTTCTTCACGTTTGATGGGCCTTCTGCATATCTATGGAATGCACTGGACTTCTTACATTCCGATCCCCTTGAGGTTGTGAATAATAAGCGCCAAGGGCGCTTCTCGGGCATCGAGGAAAATGGGCAGGGCGGCGACTTCTCCTCGTCTGACGTTGAGATAACGTTTATACGAAAGGGGCGTTTCGCTAACTCTACGAGTTTCACGTTCCAAGGTACTCGTAAGATACCACAGAGGAAGACTCGTCAGACACAAGAAAGATTAAAAACTCCACCAATGAAAAAAGAAAGAAACAAAGAAACAAATATTAAAAAGAAAGATATCATAAGTCAGAAGGATGGCCTTCCGGCTAGAGTCCTCTAAAATCCTTCTAGAGCGGATTTAATAGGCGCTCCGTCGACGTGAGCAGTTGGAACAAAAGTGGGGGTTACCTCACGGAGATGGCTCCGTGTGTATTGGTGGCCCATAGTCCACAGGTCGACAAGGCTAGCTGCCAATGCATATGGGTCGGTTATTACCTTTCCGTGCTGAAGAGCCTAGGATTTGAGAGTTAATTTTCTGAGCTAGAAATGGAAAAAGGGAGGTTCATACCTTGATGGCATCTCGTGCCCAGAGAGTTCAGTCAAAATACTTTCCTTGTGCAACAGGGACCTTCTGCATGATTTCCCATACCTGGTCCCGGGAGTGAGTGAGTTTACCGAGATAAAGTAGCCCGTGAAGCCGCTGCATTTTAGCAGCAGCGGGCCAGCGCTTTGCACTGTAGACATACCCAAGCTCACCGCTGATCGGTCCACCAGATGCAAGAAATGCCATCGCTGTTTCCTCGGGTGACTTGGGATCCGCATTCTTAGGGAGGGCCAGGAAGCCGACGTCGAATCGGTTTTGTTCACCATCCAATCCAGTCCATCCGTCGCGACTGTAGTAAGCAAGGTAGAATCTGTCTTTGTTGATTTCTGAAGCTGGAGAAGCAGATCAGTAAACGCAATAGAGACGCGAAACGAACTTCTGACACTTACCCATGATTTCACTGTCGTCAAGTGTTTCTTTGCAAAGGGTGGTAGACGAGTCGGGATTCTGAGGAATAGAGTAGTGGTTTTGAGAGCATATTTATAGACACTTTGGCGGGTCAAAGCGACGACACTTGCAGAGCGCTTTGACTTCTCATACCGCTTGGAGGTCAAAGCGCCAATCCATCCGCATATGCGGGCTCGGGGAAGGTCACGTCAACAACCACCATACACCGTCATGACTTACTCCGACATAGAACAAGGGGATTCGCAATGAGTCGATCATGGTTTTGGCTATGAGACAGAACGAGTAGGTGAGCGTGCTGCGATCAAGTTTGACTCACAGTCAAGGGGGGGGGGGGGGGGCATCCGATGAGAACCGTACTAGGTCCCAGCATGGCGTGTTGAGCACTACGAAAGGACGCAAACACGGTGTTGCTCACTGACTATCGCACCGGTGAGGTCAATAAAGGGGATGTGTATCTCGCACCAAGAACAAGATCTTGCCCGTCGACGCGCGTGATGTCCAGACTGTAGCAACCTGTTCAGTTGGGATGTTGAAAACCAATCATTGCAAATATTCAAGGCGAGGTTATACTTCTTGATCTAGAGTTAGTAGGTAGTCATATACCTACGAAGGTTCCGCCATTATTGAGCTGAGAATATTATGGTGCTACATTGAGGGACTTGTAAACAGGGGGACAGCGGCGACCGATGACGACAGCGTACCCGTCAAGGAAGGCGGAGCATGGAACTGTTTACTCACTATCGATGGCCTGGTAGATCACTCAGATCAGCGATCTTTATTCTTGAATGCTGCTGGGAAAACTCACTTTAGCTTTGAAGTCAGCGGAAAGCGCAGAGGTGAGCCAGCTGTGCTGGGAAATCGCATCCACATGCATGGGGAGATTGCGGAGCTCACCCTTCTCATAAGGCTGGCCGCTTTATAAGCCTTGCCATATACAGGGGCCTCCGATGACATCGCCAGGGTGCTCAGCACGAGGGCCATTCGATTCAGGATAGAGCTCCGTGCAATAGGCGCCCGTCCTGCACCGCCACAACGGCTTTCGGAAGTTGCCGTTCGGCAGGCAAGCTGACGCCAGCTTTGGTGCCGCAGCCGAGCAGGTTCGTCTCCACGTTTGCCGCCGTTAATATGGAGAGCACTGCACTTGACTCGTCCCTTGTCTCTGCTCCACCACATTCCGGACTGTCCTAGCCTTATAAAAACCAGGACCCACGAATCTAGGCGCACCCCTATCAGGCCCCTAGAGCAGCAATAACAGGGCGAGATGCCATTCGCATCTCACGGCGTGCGGTCTGCTGCCCGCAAAGCCGCCAATGCCCTCCGTTCGCACCATGGGACGAGCGGAGGGACACACCATGGCGGTGGAGGGGCTGGAAGCAGAGCCTTACACACCGCGCCAGTTCGACCACCCACGGTCCACAATTCCCATTTGACCCAGTTCTTCGCAACGACACTTGAACAAATCCGACCTCGTACACCTCCCCACCAACTCTTTTCCTCGACAAGAGGGCTTGTTGCTCGGCTTTTCACCCGCCTCGCTGCACCAGGGATCAAGGTTCCATTGGGACCCAACCCCTTGTCTAATGCAAGCCGGACGCTGGTGAAGGCTAGGCCGATTACCATCCAATCTGGGTTGTCGCTTCCCGTTCGACATGCAATCCGTAACAACAACTTCGGATCGGGCACGTTCCTTCCCAGGGCTCCCCAGGTTCCTATCCGTGGGCCTGTTGCCTCTCAGGTGGGCTTGGGCACCGCCCGAAGCTTCTCTACTGGAAGGCCCATCTTCCAGAACCTCGTCGACAACGTCCCAATCGCAGTCCGCGCACTGTATGAAGCTGACTTGGACGATCTCAAGACCGGCCGACCCAAACCCATGCGCAGGCACCTCGTCGTCGCATCTACGAAGAAGGTTCGTAGGACGGGCGGCTCCAAGTTGAAGGCACGACCTACCAAGATCGAGATGAAGAAGCCTGCTGTCGCAAAAGAGCAGTCATTTGAATCCGCCGACCTCGAGCGCTACTTTTCCGCTCCCGTCGCTCCCGCCGTCACCACCTACCTCCTCATCCCTCTCGCTCCCACCCCTACCAACAGGGTCCCACTTTCCGCACTTGACGATTACCTCGACAGAGCACCAGACATAGCTTCAGGCAACGGGAGGTTCTTACCTCTCCCTCAAGTAGGCCAGACGCACGCCTCGCACAGCAACCACGCTCTTCGTGTATCAACTCTCTTTGCGCGGCTGGACCAGGCCAATGTATGGTCCAGGAGTGGTGTTGTCTGCTCGGCCTATTCTGGGCCAGGAGCTGGGATCATACGGCCCCGACGACGTGATCAAGCCAAGACGAACGTCAGCCGCGAGGACCTGCATGAGTTGGAGGGCGTGTGCACCGTCCTCAAGGTGGAGTTCCAAGGGTGGACGGAGGCGGAGGTTAGAGGTGTTATCGGAGAGAGTGGGAAGGGGTGGTGTTCGCTGGAAGAGGTATGGCATGCCGAAGAAGAGAACGAGAAGGGATATCTATCGGCAGCGGAGGAAGAAGGCGAATCGTTGTTCTCGGGATCTAGCCTGACGTCCCCAGCATCGTTTGCGTCCCCTCTTCCGATGGATACAACGTTCGACATGGGGACGCCTAATATCGATCCAGCACAGTCATTCGTCCTCCCGACCCTCGATTTTTCTTCTTCATTCCTCTCTGAAGCCAACGAACGCCGTGCGTTCAGGGAGGCGGAACAAAATGTGCAACCTGGGGTCGACCTCGAGTACGACGATCCTTGGAATGAATTCGACAGTAGTTCAAGTGAAGACGGATACGTATCTTCCGGGTCTCTATCACCTTTATCATCCATCTCTAGGTCATCCTCGTTCGAGGATGTGATGCAGACCTCTATTCCTGCGTCCCCTTCGTCCCATGGCCCGTCGTCGACTTGGTCAGCTGTCGAATTTAGCTCGAGCTTCTATGAAGCTGCTTCCAATGTTGAACCGAGGGAAGTCCTGTTTTGAAGTTGAATGGCGGGCCCGTGCCCGATTCCCTTATCTATGGTTCGTCTCCAAACTCATACACTTCGTGTCATTCCTGCTCACTACTGCTTCCACAGATTCTCTTTCTGTAACTGAACGCACCAAATCAACGAAACACGAAGGTCTCTATTTGTTATTACCGTATCACCCGCTCTCTGTTTTATTTTGTACTACGCTTCCTTCCAATCGATTGTGTTTTTGAATGAATATCGACGTACCGGCGTCTCGCGTGCCTTGCGCCCTGGTTGAATTCGCAAACCATTGGATACATTCCCCGTTGCTTGCAAATTGATTTCACTGGATTTGACTCACTACCTTAATGGCGAAGCCAGTCGAGGAGGCAGTTAACAATTCTTGAGATATCTCGGAGATTGTCGGTCCAGTTGAAATCGACCGGCACGAGGGTTTAACCGGATACATACCACTAACCATGCCTCTGTTACGGAGAATTGGCCGCAGGGCTGGTGGACGAAGATACATCGTTAATTGGGTCAAAGGAGTCCGAGGGGCATCACGAATACCAGACGTAGTTCAGCTCCTGGGGAGGGATGAGGACACAGACCGGAGCTTATTTTTCACCAACGAAGGCCGCGGCTTCTCATCTTCATGCTACCTGCCCTCATCCCCCGTCGTGGTTTCTTTTCTAGAGCGGGGAATGGGGAATAGCTGGGTGCTGGTCCCTTTCTCGGGGTCAAGGATGTCCCGTCATCATAGGCGCCATTTGAAATAGTTTCAAGGCGCTATAGCCAAGTGGTTACGGCGACAGATTAGAAATCTGTTCCTCTTTGAGGGCGCAGGTTCGAATCCTGCTGGCGTCGAGTTCTTTTTGATATTTCTTTTAACGGTGGGAAGACTCGGAATAGTAGGAGGGGTACGAGGATGATGTCCACTCACACTGCGTCTACTTTTATTACTGAACCTAGTGGGATCTGTCAAAGGCCGTAGATATGGACCATTTAAACATCCCCCAGCAAGGCAGTCCGCAGCGCGGACTTGTCTGGCTATGAGATGTTTCAACGGTCGACGAGATTCCCTCTGCTGGAGTGAGCTTCACGTCCGTCATTGGACGACGCTTTCTGTCCTGAATGCTTTCCAAAGTGTTGGTCATTACTTGTTAAGGGGAGGGCAACCATACCCCCCTCCGGACCCTGGCCCTGAAGGGCCAGAAAAACGCTAACGGTCTTGTACACAGATGGACCATGCGTAAACAACGGAGATGAGATCGCCAGAGCAGGGAGCAGGGGCAAGAGTGGGGTCGTCAACGGGCCCTAGGAGGAGGACGGCTTCCACGCTTACCACAAACCAGCGACACAGGCGAATTCATAGCCATCCTCCTCGCAATCAGAATGGCAGGAGGCGAACCCCTGAAAATCAGAACAGATTCACAGCTGGCGATAGACTCGGTCATAAAGCACGCGTGAGTAAACTGGAGGACTCGAACTGAACTGGATAAAGCGTCGAATGGGGCCATTATGCGGTCGCTGATATCCAAGCTGAGGAAGAGGACAGTGTCTACAGTCTTCACCAAGGCTAAAGGCCATAGCGGAGAGCGATGGAACGAGAAAGCGGACGGACTGGCAACAGAAGGCACATGAAGGGTGAACTCGGATCTACTAGATCTGGACATATCCCGGGACGACTCACCCACGGAGCACACCTGGAAAACACGGCACATCCCAACCATGCTGGTAACGAAGAAGGTCAGGACCTTATGGAAAAGGATCCACGGAATAAACGCCCGGGGACCCTTCTGAGAGAGAGAATAGCGGACAAAGCAGACAGCATGGACTGCCCCGAGTTCTGGATCGGCAGAACACATCCTTACTGCCTTCCCCACAGCGAGGGCATAGGCCTATGGAACTTGGCAATGGCGCGCAGAGGAGACGCCTCAACCAATATCAGAGGAAATACGGTCTACAACCTCCATTGACCACCCCCTTGCATCGTTCCGCTGGTTTGGAGACTCGGGTGATAACCTCTGCGAAACCAGAATGCACCTCGTTCGAGTTTCATGTCCAGAAAGCAAGTTGAATCCACAGACGCGACTCCGAGTCCAGTGAAAGGAGTGCGTGCTCCCAAAAACGAACATTTTCCTCCGCGTTGGACCCTTCCATGCCATGATAAAAGCCGATCCGAAAACATCCTGCGGTTAAGAAGATGGACCGAGGGATGCTGAGACAGACCTGACGTTCTCTTTTACGACGATGAGAGAAAGCACCATGCATTGTTATACGGTCTCCATAAGGTCGTCTTCCTGCTCCGGCTCATGCCATACATCCCCCTGGGCCTTTTCCTTCCCTTTCTTGTGTTTGAACTTGGGGTTCTTGCGCGCTGGGCCAGTCGTGTCCCCTTCGAATTGTCCGTCACCTATCCGTATGACGACTTGAAGGGTCGATTTGAATCGTGATTGGATGTCGATGTCTTCTTGATCATCTTCAGGAATAATCTCGTCCTGAACCTCGCATGTCCCTGTGAGGACTTCTGTATGGATCTCATCCTTTGAGAACGGAAGAATGGGTGGCAAAGCGCATGACAGCTGTAGAAGGAGCGGTATAGCTGCTCCCATTGCACTCAAGTGCAACGTCTTGTACCTATCTCATCGTCAGAGAAGGCTTCATGAACACGTTGTTCTCACTTGCCCGTCCTGAATGATAACGTCTTTACACCGCCGCAAATATGCCCCCAGGCCATTTCTCCGGCTGATACAGATAAAGTTTTTGCCTTCCTTGTGTGCTGAATGCGGTCCAGTCACTGAGACAGAGGTTGGGACGAGAGGGAAAGGTCGCGGTGGTGCGAGTTTCCTAATGCGCTTCTTCTGAGCCATGTTTTCTTCTCCAGCCTTTTCCTTTCCCTTTGCGTTCGAGGAAGGTGGATTTTCAACTGATGGCGTGTCAACGACGTCGCCCTCTTCAGACAATCTGAGCTTCTTCCCAGATTTTTCTGTCGGATCTGGGTTAACAAGGTCGTTCTTGCGCTTCAAGGCCATGTGGTGATGGTTAAAGGAGAATCACTGAACAGGGAACAGGGGCGCTTGCGGAATTTACCGTAACCCAGGGTGCCCTATGTCACGTGCCGTGACGTCACGCGTGGAGGAACCTTAAGCACCCAAAAGCTACCCAGCCTGAACGTCATCTTCTCATGGAGCTTGGGTTCTGTGGGATGGAAAGCGACACAGGCGTGCTCAAGGTCCACCCAGGAACGTCATGTGTATATAGGCTTGCTTGTTGCATGATGCCCCGCAACTCTTGTCGCTCTTGGGACTACTCTTGTGCATTGATCTCAGCTTCATCTTACTACGAATGGAGGCACGTCGTTACCCCTATGGGCAGGGTGAAAACTTTGCATCCTCAAAGGCCTCTGAGGGAACAATGCTCGCCCACTCTTTCAACTTCGGGACGTGGCTGAGGCTTCATGGCTTTGATATCCTCGCAATGGCTGCCATGGGCGCTATCGCCTTGGGTCTTCACTACGCGCGTGAGTTTTCACCTTCCCAAGGCTCTCGAAAATCCTGACAAGAGATGAATCAGCTCCAGCAAGATCCCATATCTTCCCTCTCTACGACCTGGACGGCTCCATCGCCGATATGACGCTCGCTTTCCCGAGGAAAGAACAGATTATCCCTATATACGCGTCCGCTATCATGGCTGTGTTCATCCCTGTGTTCTTTTTTGCACTGTTCCAGGTGCGCAGGAGAAGCTGGGACGACTTCTTAACCACCTCTATGGGACTTCTCAGAAGTAAGACATGATTTACAGCAATGTTGCCTTCGGCGAGCTCACAGGAACCGTCGTACTAGGCGTCATCACCGCGGCGACCCTCCAAACGTTCATCAAATGCTTAATTGGCGGTCTTCGTCCCCACTTCTACGACGCCTGCAAGCCTCGGATATCTCCCGGAGCACAGAGCGGTATCGGATTCGCTAACATCATGTACGACCGCTCCATTTGCACGGGGAACGAAAAGCATATCGACGACGCACTCAAGTCGATGCCGTCCGGTCACGCAACCGCAGCGTGGGCAGGTCTTCTCTTCCTCGCCCTCTATTTCAATGCACAATTGAAAGTGGTCGCTGCTCATAGCCCGGCATACTGGAAGATGATCTTTTTCTTCGCGCCGTTGCTCGGTGCATCCTTGCTGACGCTTGTCCTCATCGTTGACTATCGTGAGTGCTACATGGTGCCGCTTACCCCAGAAATTAACCCTTGCTTCCACAGATCACCATTGGGACGACGTCGTGGTCGGTGCCGTCATTGGCTCGTTCACGGCTTTCATTGCTTTCTGACAGACCTTTGCAGCGATCTTCGATTATCGTTTCAACCACCTCCTTCTCCCCAGGGCGACTTCGTTGTTCCATCCACGGCCTTACCTCCCAGTCTCAGGAAGGGGTGCATATTACACTTACCAGCCCGTCACCGCGTTTATGCCCCACGATCTGCCGGTCGCGAGAGAAGGCGGATGGGGATATGGCATTGGCCAGCATACCTCCGGGGCTCCGGGCGATGCAACGATCCTAACAAGTGGTCTCGCCCATCTTATCGGGGAGAAACAGGCTCATATTGTCTGAACACAATCGCGCAACTGACTGCAGTGCTTTCTTCACGGACTCTTACGGAGATACCTACTCATAGTGTATTTAACTACTACGTGCTACCCAGCATGCCAATCTCAATACCAGATGAGGAGGTTTACGACCTTGACTCGCCGAGTCCTCCTCGCCATTGACAGGGGTTGCAATAATAGCAAGGCCGCGCAAGGAGTACATCACAGCGGAAATGCAAAGCAGAGTTGGTAAAAGTCAGCTGGAACGAGTCCTAAGAGCGAATTTCAATATTGCACTCTTGCTTCGGACACCCAGTGCTCAACTGGAATAGCCTCGTCACATCTGCCCAAGGTAGCCCACCAACGAATCTAAAAGAAAGTAGAAAGAATAATCCAATTAGCAAGTCAAGGATGGTAATAATAACGATATTATACACCGGGTTGATTCCGGAGAGTTCTGGGAGCTCCGAGAGAGGAAAGAAAGGAAAAAGCAAGAGGAACGAGAGAAACATCTCCAAGTAAGTAATAGGCAAGAGTAGTCATGGTCTTGAAATCAGAGTACAGTCGGAGGAGACGAAGAGCGGAGGATTGCTTCGAGAGTATGCAAAGTTCAACTCGATGTCCGTCATGACGAAACTGAAATCTCTGTCCCACTTGCCGCACTCGCATTCGTCCCATTTGTCGATACCTACATAACATTATGCCATCAGTTCTCCCTTCCCCATACAGCTGCATCACGAGAAAAAAAACAAGTCCACTCACCAATCCCATCCACCCAGCCTTAACAACCCACTTCTTCTTAACCTTCTCACCAACCTCCCTAATCTTAGCCTCAATAGCAGCCTTTGTCACCTTATTCCCCTTCAAATCCTCATAAATCAACTCCACAAGCAAGTTGAAGCTCCCAGTATCAAGCTGCATAATCTTGTTGACAAGATGTGGGAGGTGGGCGTCTGGGAAGGGCGTTTTGAGCGGTTTTTTGGGTTGCAAGGTGTTGGTTGAGGAGGCGGGTGTTGGTGTTGACGATGATGTGGTTGTTGCTGCAGGCCCTTGTCCGTTGGCTGCGATAGGATCTGTACCGTTCAGACGAGCAGGAAGGGAGGGAACGACAAAGCCATCTTGAGTCGTCCCAGGATTCGCCTGTTTTTGCAGTGTTGCTTTGTATTCCCGGAAGTCCTCCACGCACGTCGACTCGAACGTGAATGGGTCGATAGGGAATGGGGTATCTACACTTTCCGTTAGCCATGAAGACCAGAACAAAATCACGACTGGACATACCATTGAATAGCTGAATCCGGTACTGATTAAAAGGCTCATACGAGCATTGCCCAACTTTCTCCTCCCAACACGGTCCCTTGGCAAAAGGAACGAGCGGCACCACCACCTTCCTCTTCTTCGACATTTTCCTCTCCCCGTCCTCTGACTTGCGTTTCGCAATGGGCACTGGAGCAGGCAGGTCGAACAAATCCGGCACTTCATATGAATCAAGGTCCCGAAGGTCAACCTCAACCTCCTCATGGTCATCCACGAGCCAACTATCCGCATCAGAATCATGGTCTTCAGTTTCGTTATCGTCCTCATCGTCATCCGCAACGTCGTCTCCGACCGGTTCTTCCTCCCATTCCTCCCCACTGTCATAACCATAGTCGAAAGTGAGGAGATCGCGCGCTAGAGGCCGGCGAGGACCGATCACCTTGGAATTGCGGGTCCAAGTACCAAAATACCCTGGGCGAGCATCTTCGTGGAAGATGAACGCTTTGACAGGGAAGAGTTTGCGGTCCTGGAGTTTGGCGAGGAGGACGCGCACCAGAGTATCATCTCCGGCTACTTCTGCTTCTGAGAGTTGCGAGAGAATGTCCCGCACGGATGTTGGGTGGTAGACTTTGTAGCCTGAAGGGAGTCTCCGACGGGGAAGACGTCGAGGATCGAGGGACGGAGGCATGGAGGACAGGATACTGTCCAAGCGTTCTATAACGCGAGATAGTCAGTGCCAGCGCTTAATCCGAGATATTTGAATCACCGACCCTTATTCGACAACTTGGAAAGTTCATTGGCAGTTAGCTCAGGACCGTCAAGCATTTCTACATCCCCTGACACACTCTCTTCATCGTCAATAACAATGACCTCGGTATCATCACAAACCACCTGCGCCTTCTGCCTCCTCTTCTTATTCTCAAGGAACCAATTCTGAGGAGCCAACACGGAATCCTTCTTTAGCACAAACGGCTTGAAGACCCGGTCGAATTCCGACTGAGATGTGGAGGCGTTGGCAGATTTAGAGGGAGAGGCGGAAGAGGAAGCGGCGGGTTTTGCTTTGCCGAAAAAGTTGGCCATGATTGAGCGGGATTTGTTTTGGGCATCTCTGGCTTTCTGCTCCTTTTCAAGTTTGGCGGCTTTCTTTTCTAACCGCTCCTTCTCCTGCAACACGAGGAGTTAGCAAGGTCGGATATTGCGAACTGGGAATCGCGCACCTTGGCGGCTTTTTCAGGATCAACCGGCTTCTTCGGCTTTGCAGGCTGGGGAACCTCAGTCTACGGTGATATTCAGCGAGCTGAAGCAGACTCAGGGGGCTTTACATACCACCTCGTTCTCAGCCTCGGTAGCCTTCTTTTTGCCTTTCTTTTTTGCGCTGTCGATGACAATGATTTCATCCTTCTCCCCAGGGTCAGGGGTCGATGCTGGTGCTTTATTCGAATCCTTCATCTTCTTGCTCGCGTCACCGCCCTTGGTGCTGAACATTGAGTCCTTTTCGGATTGAGGGAGAGCATCGTATACAGCGATGAGTGCTTGTTTGGCCTTTGGACGCGTTACGTCAAGTTACAACGGTCAGCGACGTAAGGCGTACCTGCTTCCGCTCCTCGAGCCTAGTCTCCGCCCTTTCCCGTGCGCTCTTCGGAAGCCAGTCCTTGTACTGATCCTTGACCTCCCACCTCCATACCGTCAAAGATGCGGGCAACTTCGAGCCTGACGGCGCGTCCAACCCATAGTTATTCCGATCCAACAGCGAGTTGATAGCGGCCTCGACAACAGCTTGAGGTAGACTATCATTCGCCTTCTTGGCCTTGTCCTCATCGTCTTCGTCCTGAACAGGCAGAAGTTCCTGTCGAATATGTTTCGCGAGTGCAGTCAAGCCTTTATCACTACACTCCAGTCAGCTTTAAGACGCCCCATCATGCGATAACAAGGTGAAATGTGGCACCTCTCATGAGCGAGCTTGACAATCACCGGTTTGTGCTCATCCGAAACTTCACCAAGCGGCGGTTTCTCTCCTTCTATCCTCTCCTCCAACATCTCCCTAAACTTGACAATCTCTACAACCAACCAAGAAAAATCGAGTTGAGCGCTATATGCACGGTAGAAAACGACGCGTTTTTAACATACCCTGCAGCGTTTCAGACTGCTTCTCAAACGAGATAGGTTTCTGCTTGCACACAACCTTGCCATTCTTCAGCTCTATAATCGCCGGTTTCTCTACACATAAGAGAAAAAACGCGTCAGAAACGGGGTTGCCTTGCTGTCAAGCGACGCGTCTCTTACTTTCCGAGGCTGTACTGCTCTCTGGAAGCGCTAGTACAAAATTTCAATATTCCATGCCCCTAACGACCTGCTGTAAACCGCACCTTTACTTGAATCTGCTCCCGACATAGTTTGGTCAACGCACTGGGCGTCCCTGAGCTTGTTACTGGTGGTGAGTGTCAGGGATAATGAGCTGGTGCCTTGCCAAATCGCCGCCGCCCTCGTGTGAGAAAAACACGCTCTGTCACGCTCCCGCCCGTGTCACGCGTTTTGTGACACCCAGTCGCAGAGTTTCGAGGACGCGTCGTGTCAAGCTCAGCACCGTTCATTAGCCATGGCCGCCAACTTTTTCGCTGCAAGAGCACCGTCCAACAAGAACAATGCTGCTGCTGCTAAACATGTCGTGAACCCCGCAAACCAGCCTTGGGTGGAGAAATAGTGAGTGAATCAATCAAAGACTAGGCGGTGGAACTGAAAGTGCATTAGTCGACCAAAGACTATCAATGAAATTTCAGCACAGGAACACACAACTTCTGTCCTTTCAAGGACACTGACTTCTGCAAATGTAAATCTCAAATTCTCCAGTCCAATCTATAAACTAAACCTTGGTCGTAGCTTCCCCATATGTTGTTCTACGGTCCTCCAGGAACAGGAAAGACATCCACAATCCTCGCTCTCGCCCGTGAACTCTTCGGGTGCGCCTACCTCCCAACCTATCTCCTGATCCCCATCCTAACCAGCCCCACAAAAACAGCCCAGACAACTTCCGCAACCGCGTTCTCGAACTCAACGCCTCAGACGAACGCGGTATCTCCATCGTCCGCGACAAAATCAAAAACTTTGCCCGCCAAACACCCCGCGCCCAGCAGGCCGTCTCGTCAGACGGCAAAACCTACCCCTGCCCACCGTACAAAATCATCATTCTCGACGAGGCAGACTCTATGACACAGGACGCTCAAGGCGCCTTGCGGAGGATCATGGAGACATACGCTAAGATTACGCGGTTCTGTCTTGTTTGCAACTACGTTACACGGTACGATCTTTTACTTGATTCCAAGTAGATGATAAAGGCTGAATTTGAATGGTGTTAGGATAATCGAACCCCTCGCATCCCGCTGCTCAAAATTCCGCTTCACACCTCTCGACCCAGACTCAGCCTCCGCCCGCCTCTCCTACATCGCCCAAGCCGAAAACATCGACATCTCTAAACCAGTCATCGATGCCCTCATCTCTACCTCGCACGGTGACCTCCGACGAGCAATCACTTACCTCCAATCAGCAGCACGTCTAGCCGGTTCATCCGACCCTCCTACACCTATTCTTCCAAGAGATATACAAGAGATTGCGGGTGTGGTACCGGATGGAGTTGTTAATGACTTTGCAAGCACGTTGGGTGTGCCGGTAGAGGATGAAGGGATGGAAGTGGACGGACAGACGTCGAGGAAGGCTACCAACTTTTCAGGTATCCAGAAGAAAGTGAAAGAGTTGATGAGAGAGGGATACTCTGCAACACAGATCCTATCTCAGGTCAGTACATCACACCTATGCAATCATTGAAGCCCATCTTGACGAGTCGTTTCTCCAGCTACACGACCTCATAATGTTACACCCAGAACTAAACGGCCTTAAAAAGTCGAAATGCGCACTTGCGTTCGCAGAAGCAGATAAAGCTTTATGCGACGGTGCTGACGAGGAGCTATGGGTGCTAGAGGTTGGCCTCAAGATTCACAAAGCCGTAAACGCGCCATAACCTCCATCTCGATTCGATATCCACATCATCTCGTCTTCATCTTGCATTACCCTCTGTACCACCATAGATTCGCCATGATACATACCCTCCCACAGGGGCATCGATAGATATCCTTTCCACCTCAACAGAAGCCAAAGCGAGAAGATAAAAGACGTCTTCAATTGCATTCCTACACCTATCCTTTTGGTATTTTACAATACACGGCAACAGTGAAGCGTTGAACGTTGAACCCATGTCAACTTTTTTGTGAATGCAGTTCTGCGGAGACGTGGAACGTACAAGCGTACGTACAGGAACCAGAAATCGTCGATCATCACAAGAAAAAAGGGAGAGAAGAAAATAAAAAAGAGAAACAGCGAAACAACCGATACAACAACACATGGAAGCGAGCGAGATGACTAGTCGTGATTCATGCCGAGGGAGGGATTAGATGTTACAATTGAGAAAACTGCGAGACGAGAATGCGGATAGAATCTAGGAGTAATGCCAATTACCAGTCATCATCAAGAGGGAGGGAACAGGCGTGTGCTAGTAATACATTTATCGGATGCCAGCAGTAGCTTTTTGGAGGGCACGCTTGATGCCGAGCTGAGCTTTCCTGAGCTCATCAGCGGTCGAATCCTCGATCTCGAGCTTCTCAAGAGCACGAGCGAGCTCAGCCTCAACCTGGCCCTTGGCTCCTCGCTTGAGCTTCATGCCAATCTCGGGCGAGGTGATGGTGCTCTCGACCTGGTGGATGTAGGCCTCGAGGTCAGACTTGGCTTCATGTCGAGCAGAGAACTCCTTGTCGGCGTTCTTGAATTGCTCGGCATCCTTGATCATCTGCTCAATCTCAGCGGACGAGAGACGACCAACGGAGTTGGTGATGGCTGTAGAGATGTATTAGACAAATGTCACAAATCAAAGTGCAAAGACACTTACTGATAGAAGCCTTGCGGCCAGAGGCACGATCCTGAGCAGAGACCTTGAGCAAACCGTTGGCGTCGACCTCGAAGGTGGTGACGAGCTCGGCCTGGCCACGGGGCATGGGGGGAATGCCAGTGAGCTCGAATTCACCGAGCAGACGGTTGTCGCGGCACTGGGTGCGCTCACCCTCGTAGACGGGGAAGGTGACGGTGGTCTGGTTGTCCTCGACAGTGGTGAAGACACGAGACTTGTTGGTGGGGATAGGAGTGTTGCGGGGAACGACGACACCGAAGACATCACCCTGCATGGCAACACCGAGGGAGAGAGGAGCAACGTCGAGGAGGAGGAGGTCCTTGGTCTGGTCAGAGGTCTGGCCAGTAAGGATAGCAGCCTGGACGGCGGCACCGTAGGCAACAGCCTCATCGGGGTTGATGGACTTGTTCAATTGACGGCCACCGAAATACTCAGAGACGAGGGACTGGATCTTGGGGATACGGGTGGAGCCACCAACGAGGACAATGTCATCGACCTTCTCACGGGGGATCTTGGAGTCCTTGAGGACCTTCTCGACGGGGTCGATGGTGGACTTGAAGAGGGAGGCGTTGATCTCCTCGAAACGGGCACGAGTGAGGTTGGCGGAGAAGTCCTCACCCTAAGGCAATGTCAGACACAGCTGAAAAATAAACCCGTAAAATCAACGAACCTGGAAGAGGGAATCGACCTCGACGGTGGTCTGGGTGACGCTGGAGAGGGTGCGCTTGGCACGCTCGCAAGCAGACCTCAAGCGACGGAGGGCACGAGCATCCTCAGAGATGTCGAGCTTGGTCTTCTTCTTGAACTCGTTCTTGAAGAACTCCAAGAGGTTGTTGTCGAAGTCCTCACCACCAAGATGAGTGTCACCGGAGGTGGCCTTGACGGCGAAGACACCACCGCTGATGTTCAAGAGGGAAACATCAAAAGTTCCTCCACCGAGATCGAAGATGAGGACGTTCTTCTCGGCCTTGGATTGACGGTCGAGACCGTAGGCGATGGCGGCCGCGGTGGGTTCGTTGATGATACGGAGGACCTCGAGACCAGCGATGGCACCAGCATCCTTGGTAGCCAAACGTTGAGAGTCGTTGAAGTAGGCGGGGACACTGAGCAGAGAAAATTTGTTAGAGGAAATTTGCGGAATAGGGGCAGATAAGGACCCACGTGACGACGGCCTTCTTGACCTCCTTGCCGAGCTTGGCCTCAGCGACCTCCCTCATCTTGGTGAGGACCATGGCGGAGATTTCCTGGGGGCTGAACTGCTTCTCCTCACCGAGGTAGTCAACCTTGATGAGAGGAGAGCCGTCCTTTTCAACGACCTCGAAGGGCCAGTGGGTCATGTCCTGAAGCGATATGATAAACACCGAAATCCATATCATATCTAGCGTTCACACAAACCTTCTTGACATCAGGATCGCTGAGAGAAAAACAGTTAGCATTGGGCGCAGAGAAAAAAAGCTTTGAAGCTACTCACTCGAATCGGCGACCGATCAGACGCTTAGCGTCGAAGACGGTGTTCTTGGGGTTCATGGCAGCCTGGTTTTTGGCAGCATCGCCGATCAAACGCTCGTCCTGCGAGAAGGCGACGTATGACGGTGTGGTGCGGTTACCCTCTGCAGAAGAAATCAGGACCTTTGTCGACGATAAAGAAGGATTCGAGGCACGTACGGTCATTGGCAATGATTTCGACACGGTCGTTTTGCCATACACCAACGCAGCTAATCAGGACGAGAACGATCAGGACACCTGCACGGTGAACATCGACGACAACGACGATGAAGACTTACGAGTATGTAGTACCGAGATCAATACCAATGGCACCGTCAAACGTTTCGTCGGCCATTTTTTTGGAGGATAAAGAGGGGAAAAGCAAAGGAAGATGGTGGTCAAAGTCAAGGGCGGACGTCGAAAAAAAAATCGATGGAGGTGAGGTAAGCATCCCACCGCCAAAGTCCTTGCACAGCCACGGCCTTGCTCCTCATGTCTCTTCCGTCTGCACTTCGACCCTCGCTCAAGGCGTCTGCCCGCTGCTCGTCGCGCGCCCTGGCGACGCCGCGCTCAGGAGCCCAATGGAAACGGTCAGTGTCCACAGCGACGGTCTCCAGTGACCAGAAGCGTCTCGAGACGCCCTCTGACTGGGACGAATTCCGTCAGAAGAAGGGCCAAACCAAAATGCTCAGTATGTCGTGGCTCCACTTCTCTTTCCCGACAACGACTAACCTATTTTCACAGTCGACATGATGTCGGAATACGGTTCTACACAGAACTCGTCCAATACGTTCCAGCTCCGAGACCAACTGCACAAGCCAGCGCGTCACGCTACCATTTCCGCTTTGCTTGCTGCTGGCGCGCACTTTGGCCACGCTTCAAGTCGCATGAACCCCAACTTTATGCCCTATGCATACGGAACGCGAGCGGGCATCACTATCATCGACTTGGACAGCACGTTACCCCTCCTCAGACGTGCTGCAAACGTCACTCGTGCGGTCGCTCGAGCAGGAGGTCAAATCTTGTTCATCGGCACCCGACCAGACCTTAAGCCCATCGTCCAGAAGGCAGCAGAGCGTGTAGGGCCAGAACAAGGCTACTACGTTGGAGACCGTTGGCTACCTGGCACCCTCACCAACCGACGAGAATTCTTCCGACCGGAACAGCTCGCTAATACCAACGTCATCCCCGACCTCGCCATCATCCTCAACCCCGTCCAAAATGCCAACGCCATTCGAGAATTCGCCGTCGAGAACGTCCCCACCATTGGTATCATCGACTCCAACGTTGACCCACGTCTGGTCATGTACCCCATCCCAGCGAACGACGAGAACACTCGGGCAGCAGAGCTTATTGGCGGTGTTTTGAGCATAGCAGCCCGCGAGGGTGTCGAACTTCGCGAGCAGGAGGACATGGCTCGACTCAAGCAGCAGCAAAAGAAGTTCCGACAGAGGACAAGCCGGTTCAAATAGACGTAGTAGTACACATTATCCTAATATCCCGCTATAATCCCTTATTCGACGTTTTGCGCTTTGTTCTGGATTCCGTGCCAGTAACCTGGAGGGAGGGCAGGTCAGTATATCGCCGACGAGAAACAACCAAAAGCACTTGCGTTCTGCCGCTTCCAATGCACGGACGTTTCCACCCAACTTGTTGACAGTCTCGATGAACTCATCTTCTTCAACACTATCGAAAACGATACCACCACCAGCCTGCAAGTACGCCACACCATTCTTGAACGTCATGGTACGAATCGCAATGCAGGTGTCCATGCAGTCGTTGGCGAAATCAAATCGGCCAACGGCACCGGCATAAACACCTCGCTTCTCCTTCTCGAGGGAAGAGATGATTTCAATCGCCTTGATCTTTGGAGCGCCCGATACAGTACCAGCAGGGAAGATGGATCGGAAGGCGTCAAACCGGGTCTTATCCTCACGAAGGATACCCGACACCTGGGACGTCAGATGGATAACATGGCTGAACTTCTCCACCTGCATGAGGTGGTCCACTTTGACCGTTTTGGGCTGACAGACACGATTGACGTCGTTCCGGGCCAAGTCAACCAACATGATGTGCTCCGCGCGGTCTTTCTCAGAATTGAGAAGGATGGCACCGAGTTTGGCGTCCTCTGAAACCGAGTATGAGCGACGATTTCATCAAGCCTGAAATGGATTAACTGACCTTCGGGGGTCTTGCCCCTCTTGATGGTTCCAGCGATGGCATGGTTATAGACCACGTTCTTCTCGACTTTGCAAAGAGTTTCGGGGCTGGCGCCGACGATCTGCATATCGCCAAGGTCGAGATAGAACATGTAAGGGGAAGGATTGACTTGGCGGAGTTGGCGGTAGACATTGAAGGGATGGAGGTTGGTGGGTCTGGCGAGACGTTGAGATGGCACGGCCTGAATGATATCTCCAGCGACGATATGCTTCTTGAGAGTAGTAACGAAACCTTCATAACCAGCCTTGCCAACGTTCGAGACACCCTCAGCACCAAGAGTAACAGGCGGCTGGGGAGGTTCTGGTGTGGTGGCCGAAAGGAGGACCTTGGCTAACCTCCTCGCCTTTGACACCGCAGTCTGGTAGGCGAACGAGAGGTTGGCTGCAGCAGTGTTCTTGGGGCTGAAGACGTGAGAAACGACCTTGAGGGTCTGGAAGATGTGGTCGTAGACGAGGAGGGTGTCGACGAGCATGAAGACGGCTTCTGGGATCTCGAGGATGTCTTTCAGCTCAGTCTTGGTCTTGGGCTCGAAATGTTGGATGCAGTCATAGGCGACATAACCGATGGCCCCACCTGTGAAGGTAGGGACTTCAGGGATCGAAACGTATTCATATAACGCGAGTTCCTTCTGCAGGGGAACCATGGGATCACCACTGATCTCCTCGTTAGGACCAGTCTTGATGACCTTGAAGGGGTCTGATCGTCGAGGTTAATATGACTCGACCGCACAAAGAAGTACTATAGCACACCTGCACCAATGAAACTGTATCGAGCAACGTTTTCCCCACCGTTGACTGATTCCAGCAAAAAGCTGTACTTTGAGTCTTTAGCAATGCGAAGGTAGGCCATGCATGGTGTGATAAGGTCGGCTGGGAGCTCGACGAAGACGGGGACACAGTTCCCCTTCTTTTCCGTCAGAATCAAGGACTCGACGGTGGAGAGAGGAGGGTATGCGGGAAGTTTCTACCATGAATTCAGTCAAATTGGTTCGAACTACTGTCCTGGAGGACATACCTGGGGATCCATGACTTGGTATACGCAAAGGAGGAATTTTCAAGCGGGGGTATTAATGTGAGGAGAGAATTGAGTCGTTAGCAAGTTTATAAGTCAGCCGAGGGGGGCAGATAAGGATTTTGGTGCTAGCCGCTAGGTTAACGGTCAACCAGATCGCCCTCGGCGAGTTTGAAAGGCGTCGAGGGATGTGAAGGAGTGCAGAATTCCATTGGCAGCGATTGGCGATCGACACCTGAAACGGATCGGAGTATCTCATTTTGATGGCGTCGAGGCCGACGATAATGAGCTCTTCGATGACCACATCGGCCGTCAAACGCGTCTTGCTGCTCACCATCATCAACAGCGGCCATGATCACACCTAGGTTCAGCTGCAGCCAGACAGAGACCGCGGTCGTCGTGTCGATGTACTGTCCATCAATTCGCGTATGTTGCCTTTTTAGCTCGAGATTGGATTAGCACTGAATGAGCAATGTTCAGAGTAGGCAGCAGACGTCGAGATCAACATCGACGAGACACTTTTAACGGTTCATGTGAACCCTTATTATCTTCGTCTCAACTTTCCTCACAGCGTTGTCGAGGATGACGCTTCATCTGCTCAATATGATCCCAGTTCAGGGTACTTGACTGTGACTCTGACCAAGGAACAAAAAGGACAACATTTTGAAGATCTCGACCTCCTCGCTAAACTCCTGGCACCCCGCCCTTCCAAAACAACGCCAACCATTGAAGTGCTCTCCTCAGAAACCAACGATGAACTCTCTTCAAAGCTGGATGGCCTCACGTTGGAAGGAAAGGAGAATTCAGTTTACGAACAAGGTAAGATTCATATCCGAATAGAAGGGAGCTCGTTTTGACAGTATGTATTTGTAGCACTCGAAAACGACTGGCAGATTCCCCAGCAGGTTCCAGAACCTCTACCAGAGCTCCACACAACAATAGAAAAACGCTATGGATTCCTTGACATGCATTCCGGTTACCTGCGGCATGTTGGCCACACGGAAAATGAAATTAACGAGCTTGGAGCCGATGCGGAGACCTGTCCTAAAGATGAACGACGGAAGATAAGGATCGAGCGCGAAGAAGCGAAATGGGACCCAGAATACTATATGTTCGTTGCCTTGGATTTTCCCCTCCATTCTATCCCTTACAAGCTTTGGAAAATAGGGCCGACTTTGCCGACGACGAAAATATCCAGGAACTCCTCCACTGGAAACATCCTTACACCATCGCCGAGGGTCCCTTTGAATATACCGAATCAGAAAATCTTGAAATCCTACGTCTGCCTCGGAAAGAATGTAAGTTTCCAATTCATCCACCCTTGGAGCCATCACATGAACGCCCAAACTAGACCTCGCCACTGCCCGCCAAACGCACGAACTTTATCTGACATTAGTCACCCTACTCTATGCATATGCATACGAATCCCGTACAAACCAGCTGGACCCCACGCCGGAGAGCGCATGGACAATATGCTCTCTTACCCCAGCTTTCTCGGCTCTGGACCCACCCACGTCCTCCGCTGACTGGAAAACACCAGCCAACGGCACCCATTTCACCAAAAACGAGTTAATCACCACCCTTGTTCCCTCATACAGGCGTGCTCTCGCTTACCCGCTTTACCGGTCTTTTGCACTGGCAGATAAATGCCGCATAGATACCGCTCAACTTTTGCTCAAAGGTAAAAGAACCGTAATGCGCTGTCTGTTGGACATGAAACGCATCCTTGATCATCACGAGGTCTACTATGTTTACAGCAAGATTTGGGTTGACGACTTTTGCGTTTGGGTTCAAGCTTATTCCAGGTGAGTGATTGAGCTTTCTCTTGCTTTGTCTCGCGTTTTATATCCGCGCGATCATTGTTTTTTTCGTGTACTGATTTGCTCTACTTGGATGTCAGTGACGATGTGCTGCTGGAATTGGGAAACTGCGTAAAGGATGCGAAAGTTGACAAGGATTTGATCGGATGGCACCTTGAAGAACTCGAAGCTGCCACTTTGGAGCAGCTCGAGCGGGAAAGTGACAGTGACGATGAGTGAGGACAGTGATTCGCTCGTATCACTTGGCCGATAGGCTGTCACAGCGCAACAAGAGTCCTCAAACCCCTAAAACCATTCCAGTAAAAGGAAGACTCTTTCTGCGTCCGCAGCTCTGTTGTAATAGAGTTAGGTCTTGCGTGACACTTCTAAAAATACGTGTATTTTTCTCCCCGGTTGGAAAGGTATCCTAAAGCACGTTGAATTTACGCCCGCGGGTCAACGGAGTACGCGCTGACGGCTTTCAGCTTTCTGTATGGAGTATGGCCATTCATCTCACCGGTTTCGCTATTTTAATTTCATGAACATGACATCAAGGGAGTCTTTGACACCAGCGCTGAAGGGATAGTGAATTGCCAATGCAATTGGTCGTTTTAATGGATGCATGCATCAGCGGCGAGTGTACGTGTACCCAGAATCGATTACTACTTTTCTCAGTTCCCAGATGCAGCGTGAGCGACGAAATTCACTGTCACGAGGAGATGATTTTCGTACTTGAAACTGGAAAACCCAATCACACTCAAACATCATCAACAGAGAGGGTAACCGAGGTAAGCCTCCACGGCGTCTGTCTTTCCTAAAACAGTTCAACCTTTCATCTATCAAACACTGTTGTTTTGGCATCGTCTCCTCAGGCCTTGCGATGTGTTTCATCGGGGTTCGCATGGGCGCTTAGATAGGTGTCGCCGCCACCACCGCGAGCGGCCGGGAAACGGTGATCGCTGTCGGAGCTCGGAGGTAGGGTCGGTATCTCCGGGATCAACGATGGCCATCATTTGCTTGGCGTGGCAGAGAAACCGCGACGATTGCAAATTCCATCTGCGTTCTCTCGCTCTTTCCTTCTTGCTATCGTTCTTAACAGAACGTACTCACGGAATAATGTCTCTAATACTCGGAAGCTGTATTCTCATAACATCTAGCTTACTGACCGCTAGAAGCCAGAACCTGAAACGCTTCGAAATCTACATTATTGCGAAGTTCTCTCACTGAAACGCGAAAGCTCCTGAGTCCTCCTTGGGAAACGGTGTGCCCAAAGTAGTTCATACCCCGGTCACATCCAGCTTCTCTTCCTCTACGGCGGCCACTCTGTGACAAGGAATGAAAAAGAACAAGAAGACTTAAAAGTACAGACTTCGATGCTCGCGTGGCCTCGCCTTCGAATTCTTCGGACAATGTCACGCCGCGGTCGGGATATTCTCGCTTGTTTGAAGGACGTTTACCTGGTGCTTCGAGTTATCTTCGTTCGTTCTGACTTTTTTGCTTGTGTCTCAGTTCGCCTGTATCCGCGCCTTCTGGATGTCCTGCGGCTTTGCGACGATATCTCGAGACCGAGTGTTGCTCGTCTTGAAGCCACCCATCGAGGCTATGGAAACGTATAATCCCGTCGCCCCGTGACGACCTTCACACAAACTAGGCTAGTCGTCATCCCTATCTGTCTACTATAATCCGACTGATTTGCGGCCAACCCTCAGGCGTACGATTTGAATGCGTCGCTACTTCAGTACTTACTGTTTAACCCACCTCAAAGGGAAAAACTATGGCGTTTTCAGCCTTCCTACGGTTCAAGCTCAAGTGCATTCGCTGACTTCGCTCCCTCTCGGACATTCCGATTCGTCCGTCTCCGAATTTATCGTCGAACCAACCAGATTTGGGGAGTAGAGAAGTTCTTCTCGTTTTCGTTGAAAAAGTGAATTCTTCGGAGTTTTGGTCTACTCACATAATTGCTTGACATCTTTCCGGGGAGCATTCAAACTCACTTACCAATTGACTAGTTGACTATTAGAATCAAGTGAACGAGGGCATTCTTTTCCTCCGGTAGCACCAACGTGATTGAAGCGGCTGAATGTCGCAGTCCGCCTTCGTCTTGCATTTCACTGACCTCATTTCGAGGTTGTAATAACGGTTCTGTGTTCGCCGCCCAATACCTCCGATAACCGACCGCATTTCAGATAATTCCGCCGTCTCTACTTAGCTGTCTGGGCCTCCAAGCCTCCAGGCTCCTGTCCAGCCACGAACACTTCAGTATGTATGTATGGACGTGTGTACTACAGCGTTCTTCACAATCCCAATTGCCTGGGACTGCGAAGGTCGCCCTCACCACAGAAACACGGGTGCAGAATTCAATTTACAAATTAATATTGATGAATTCAATGATGCTTGGCCTCGATCCTCGACGCCCATCGTTCGTCGAACTTTGCTGTGCAACGTGCAGCGATATCACGCCGTGGAGCCAATCCACGCCGTCGAGGGCTTATCGACAACGCGTCACGGCAAACGAGTCTGTACCGGGATGATACTTAATCGCTTAGGATGAAGTTCAACGCGGTCGACGTCGTGGACTCGGATAAGTATCTGGTGGTGGTGTCTTCGAAGTTCGAGAAACGGACGCCACTGTGAAATTCATTTACTTGACATGCCGTTTCTGAGATTTCTGATCTCGATTTCACAAAGTATGTATGTACTTCCCGCGAGCAGCGGTAGCCTCGAGGTATCGATGGTGGTTGCACTTCACGCGCACGGTTGTTCCGGCTTTCCGGAATCCTTAAACCTCGGCCTCCCTCCATACTTTTTTGGCTTTACGCTACTTTACGCGAACATCTATCTGCACCCGTACCACTTGCCCCTTCGTTCTTCGCCGTTCCCATCGCGTACGCTACGGTCACTCGCTGATTTTTACATACTTGTTGAATTGAAGGACGGGAAGGAACCCTTCAAAGGCCGCAGTTCAATTCGAATGCGCCAAAGACCTGGGAGAGGTCGTTTTTTAATTTCGGAACTTGACGGTGACGTCCCAGGCGAAAGCTATATTTACTGGGCGCCTATTTTTACCAGAAGCGAATTCGGATTAGCGTTGAGTATGTGTACACATGCACCCCGACACCGTATTGACAGGGCATCTTTTTTTCGATTTCCAATGTAATAATTAATTAACCTCCACTACTAGTAACTACCAGTCGCCGCTCCGAGATGGACCATTGGACAAACTCGAGATGGCCCCGGGTCTACACCAGGGGGTCTACAATAAACATATGCCATCTCTCCTGTATGTAAGGCTATGTAAGACCCTGCAAAAAACACCCAAACGTTCGTAAGTACTGCGTTTCACAATCGATCACGTATGCTGAAGAGTCCACAAAGAACGTTATTACCGCATGGGCAAAAGGATCTTCGAATCCTTGTATCACTGGCAAGCGTGCTGACAAGCTGTCAGCCCATGCCATGGAAGTGCTCTTCTCCGTATACTATATGTATGTTCCAGCCGGTACGCAGTACCGTACTACCGTACTTACTACTCAAGTAGACGATGCTGCGAGAAGCTTCTCCCGGTCTTACGAAGCTCTGTGTGTGCACCTCGACCGCATCGTAGAATTCCAAACCTTGGCCTAGGCCGAAATCACCTTCACGAAAACTTTGTATCGCGCACGGTCAAAACATTCTGCCAGCCGAAAGACCAACTTATGCTGTATGAACAAATTGCATTTGCAACGACGAGCACAGTAGCAAAAGCAAAATCTCTATGAGACCACTAATAGTACAACGATAACGGGGGGATACGATCGTGAAGAACTTGAAAGCAAGAAGGTAGATAGGTAGTTGAAGCTGATCATGAAGCAAAGCGGAGCGGCAAAGGTGGGATTACTAGGGAAGGAAAACCTATCCAGTCGTTTCGCGCATGTGCCGCAGCCCACTGAAAGCCCCGTCTGCAAGGAAAAAACGCGATCCAAAGGAATAGATAATACAAGGCGCATATAATAGCAAGGAGATCGTTCGTTCTGTCCTTCTATGTCATGCCATGCGAAATGAGAGGTGGAAGGTATGTGCGGTGTAGAAAGTGAAGCGGGTGAGGAGGACGGGGATTAAAAGGAGGTCGTAAAGCGTATCATAACGCGCAAGCAAAAAAAAAAAAAAAAAAACACCAGGCAACAAATCTTGCAAACCAAACCAAAACCAGAGAGAGACACCTCTAGATAATTAGACTCCTTCATCTAATCACGTCCAGAACTCGACTTGGCGACAGCCAAAGCAGCATGCTGTCCTTCCGGTACAACATCATACCCACCCTGTCCCAAATCAGCAGGGAGCGCCGCAGTTTCGTCGAGCGTGCTCGAGAGGAGACCTTCCCTCTCCTCTTCATCCCTGGCGCGGGCGGATGAGGGGCCAGCGGTGCCGCTTGGAGGAGCGGCGATGGCCTCTGGAGCGGGCATGGGGATGCAGGGTGGGGCGCGGACAAGGTTGTTGAAGAGGAACTAGAGGAGGGTGTTGTTAGCATTGTGCGCGGAATTGCGAGGCCAAAAAAAGAGGACGATTGCGGTATGCACGTTGCCGATGAACGGTATTCCATTCACCACGCTGAGTCGAGCCAGCGGATGGGAAACACCACGAGCGGTACGGAAAAGGGCATACGTGATCCCTTTACGGAATCCACAACGCACACCGCAACCCAAAGAAACCAGAGCCAAAGTACGAGACTCACCGTGCCATAACTGCAAGTACCCGCCGGTTATGGGAGAGCGAAAATTAAAAGAGACCGATGTCAGCACAGCTCAATCAGACGGGGAAACACGCGAGAGAACAAATGAAATGAAAGAGGCGAAATGAATGGTCATGGGTCTAAACGAGGCGACCAGAAAGGGAAAGAGGACCATGCCAAAGGGCCTGCAGATGATGAAACCCACCGGGGACGGATGTGGGGCAAAACCAAAAAGAGACAGAAAGAAATCACACTTACACAAGCAAAGCGAATCCCATAACTTGCAAGAACGAGGTTGGGACGACAAAAACTTCCCAGCCAAGACCCAAGCTGATAAGCCAGATGGCCAAAGTCCTGCAGGTATCCACCAGACTCCTGGCGGTGGCACTAACGTGTCTCGTAACGCTCAACCCGAAAAAGTTGAAGAGGGAGATACTGATAGCGATGGCGACACCAGACCACATGACGGAGGGGGTGGTGACCATTTGGCGCCATCCGCGTGCAAGGTCGAAGAAAGGGGATTTGGCGGCGACGGAAGGGATGGAGAGGATGGGGAAGAGGAGGAGGATGGAGATAGCGCCAAAGAGGCCTTCGTACCCGACGGCGACTAGGGGGGATACGGCGTATTTACCTGTGGTGACATTTGAGTCAACGTTTGAAACGCGCGTGGAAGGGGGGCAAGGCTTTGATGTGTGACGCGAGGAGACGTGACTTACCCATAATCTTCTCTGAAAAAGGAGATCGTCGATCAAGTGGTCAGAAAACATGACGGAAACAAAAGAGATGGCCTGCTCACCTTCAACGACAAACTGGGTGGCGGTGCTAAAGTCATTATAATTAGGACGGGGCCATTTCCGGATGGAAACAGGGCTCTCACAAAATCTGTGCAAATAGGACGAAGAAGACGCCTGAAACAGGGATTAGACGGTGAATGACAGTTCGGACGCTGGAACGCACCGAGGAGGACCGTGCTAACGTTTTCAGACTCGGAAGCCTTGACAGTCGGCATGGCGGCTCTGGCAGCGAGGGAGCGCAAGGCCGGAGGAGGGATGGCTTCTTGGACAACGTGTTTGACGAGAGAGCCACTATAGCCTACTAATGCGACTCCTGACATGACAATAAGAAGGGAAATCCATCTAGAATAGGGAGGGTATGAGCGGATCTAGCGATGGAGGGTTCTAAATAAACTGACTGATAAAGCCATAGACGGCGCCTGAGGAAGATCACGCTGAATACACCAACGAAGAGAACAAGAGCACCGCGTGTCATTTGATAAATTGAAACTGGCGTGTAGAGAAGGCCGATGTTCATTAACTGGGAGAATGAATTAGAAACTCGTGTGAGAGATAGGGTTAGACTCGATTACCGTCGTTCCCGTGAGATCGCAGGCGGCGGGGATCCAAAGCAAGAAGACCTTCCAGCCGTGGAGCTGCTGGGGCTTGTCATCGTCGTCCTTGGCGGTGAGGGGCGCTAGCTGGTTGTCGTCATCCTCGAGACGGACTGGAGAAAGCGGGCGCTTGTTCCTAGTCGCCAGCCAAGTGTAGATTACAGGCAAGAAGCCTATGGGGCCGCGAGGTCAAAAAGGGAAGGAATGGAACGAGTGTTGAGGTGGTTCACTGACAGAGCATTTCGCCGACTAGTTCGGTTAGCGAAGAGAGCAGTGTACTGGTGGGGAAAGAAGGACATACGAAACATCTGAAGGGTCTGCCATACGGGCTGTTCGTAGAGCACATGCTTTGAGGGGTCTGGGTCTGAACAGTTCTCGACGCATTGCATGTCCTTCAATGGAATAATTGAGTGACTGTGTGTGCGTCACAGGGTATTCGTACCTGCCACTTGGTCCATAACGAGTTTGTTGATCCCTGGGTTGGATTAGAATAAGTTTTATTTGAATTGGATGTTCGCTCACTGTAAGGATCATGCCCCCCAGGAGAAAGGGGATGTATAGGGAGGAAGGCATTGTTGTCGTTGGTGGGAGAGGAGTGAATTCCGAAAATGGAAGGAGAACCGGAGAGAGGCCGGGGTTGTGATGTGAGAGTGTCGCGGCGTCGGTTGCAGTCAGAAATCGAAGCTAGTCGGAAGTATGATTAGAGTTGAAGTGAGCTTCTTTACAATCCCAAGGGTTTTTATCCAGATGCGACGGGCGTTGTTTCCCTTGCCACCCTTCCCCCATAATAATGGTTCAACTCATCCTCTCCTCCACAAAGGGTAACCAGGGTGGCAAATACTTTCCCTACATTGGCTATCTTGGTCTCACTCCAGTCCGCGTCGAAGGCAGTATGTCTTCTCTCTCTCTCTTACACACCATCCTCGTCGTTGACCACACATAATACAGTCGTCCGCACAAAGCTAGACAGCGACCAGAAAACTCTCCCTTCCAAGTCCCTCACAATCTCCGTCCGCTGCTATGAGTCGCGTGTCGGTCGCGTAAACACCCTCCATTCCAACATCCTCGTCGACTACACTCAGACTCTATGGTCAAAGCCAGACGACGTCGACTATGAGAACGTCGGCGTCCTCGAGTACCCCTTTCGCATCTGGATACCGACCCAAACCCGTGGATTCAGCACTGCCGTCTTTGTCGACTATCGCTGCACATGGAGGGTCGAGGCCAGTGAGTATCATCCTCTATTATATTTGCTTATTTCTCTAATTTTTCTCTAGTTCTCAGTCATGCACCAATCACCGGCGTAGGCTTTCGCCAAGTACGCCACTTTGAACTCCCTCTGGTCCGCTACGACGTCCCAAGACCACTGAGACTCCCAGACTCACAGGACATCGTCCTCGACCACCAGACCTCAAAGCCAAAGGCTCCCCGTATACGCTACAGCCTCAGGATGCCTGCAGCACCAACCGGGCCACTGGACCTAGTGTCAATACCGTTGCACATGCAACCGCTGGACCATGGTGTGTCAATACGAAGCGCGAGCGTCATCATCGAGCGACGAATACAGTTACACGACCTGTCAGCTGCCAATACTCCCATGTTGTCCTCTTCCCCACCATCATCTTTGCCATCAACAGCTGCGAATCCTCCGCCAAACGTCTCGTCTTCCCCAGCACTGCCCAATCCTCAAAATTCTTATTTTCCCTCACAACATGATTCGCCACAGCCCCCGCACGCTTCTAGCTCCCATTACCATCACCAGCCCACATCTTCTACTTCATCCCTAACTTCATCCAATCCGACCATCACTCCAGAAACAGTATATCCCTCAAATGCTTCAGTAATGACCTATTCCTCAGAACACCCCCTTCTATCTTCATCAACCGATTACTCCTCGTCTTCTGCGGCTTCTTCGTCCCAGTCGGCCCATCACACCGGTTTCGCCTCTCAACCTCCCACACCAAACGGAGCACATGGTCAATCCTCGAGTCAGACACCATCAACGTCTTCCTCATACTCCTCACCCTTCTCCTTCACCAATAGCCTTCCTAGCAGGGATAGCACCAAAGTCGTCGTAAACCTTATCGTTGGCACCGAAACAGAAAATTTCACACGAGATTCCCGAGGTATTTGGAGCAAGACCCTAACTCTGCAATGGCCCGCGTCCAAATCTCACAGCCGCTGGGCAATTGGGGAAACCATTAACTCGGATCTGGTCTCTGTCAGATTCTTCGTGCGCGTAAAGGTAATGTCCAGATCTCACTGCCTTCCCCACTTGACCGGTCGCTTTTCATCATCAGATTATTCACCGCTTGTGTTCGTCGCGCGCCTTTTTGTCTGTCGCTAACGGCCTCGTGTCTGTGAATCGGACGGCCTTTTCCAGTGTGCTTCCTTCTGATCCGGTTCTCCCGTGCTTGACCTTCGTTTTTTTTCTCACTCCATCCCCACTTGCCAACCCGATCTCATCACTCACATTCATATTGGGTTTCTAGATCACGGTTTCCTCGCCATCCGGGGGTACAGATACGATCGAGCTAGCAGAAAAAGAACTTCTCGTCGTCTCCACCAACGAGTCGGAACGTCAGCTTGCGCTTGCCAAGTATGCTGAGCTTGCAGAGTCGTCTTCTGGAGCGGCCATTAGTTCAGAGTACATGGTTCGGTCTAAATCCAAGTCTCCTAGAAGGTTGAAGGATGGCAAGCTTCCGCCTGATCTCCCGCCTTCGCCTGCGTTGCCTCCTGGGAGTGGAGGCAGTAGGAAGCCCAAGACGCCTCGGAGGCCCCATACGAGTGCTGGACCGAGAGACAAGTCGAGTTTAGGCAAGAATTCGGGAGGGGTTGGGAGTACGTCGACTGTTGGTGTGGTTGAGCAGCATAGGAAGAGGAGGTCCGATCTTGGATGGGCCCATCCGAGTCTACATCCTAACCCCCAGAACCCAGATTACAACTCGTTATGGGACGGTTATGCGCGTGTCGAAACTTCAAAACCGTTACCTTCGCATTTTGGGAATCGGGATAAAATGAAGAGCTCGGAGAAGAAAGAGAAGGAGAAGAAGCCGGGGAGTAGTAGTGGGAGGTTGAGCAGTAATAGTTTCTGGGCTGTTACTGCTCCGCCGCTGAAGCCCAATTCGAGCGGGTCGAGGAGTTCGAGTTCGAGGGAGGACAAGGGGACGAGGAGTGCCGGTGCTGTGATGAGTACCGCCAGTACGAGTACGACGGGGAGCACTTCGAGTGCGTCGAGTAGTTTTAGCGGGGCTGGGGTTAGACATCGGTATGCTGGTGCTGCGAATGGCCAGGGGTATGATGGCGAGATTGGACTCTCGTATTCGTCGAGTGGGACGGATGAGGAGGAGGAGAGAAGGCGGAGGAGGTTTCAGCATCACCAACAGGGCAACGCGTTCCCGAGTTTATCCTCTTCACCGCCAACTTCCAACTCGTCCTTCCCGCCGTCAAGTTATCATCCAAGAGAAATGGGTGGTGGAAACATGCATGTGAGGGAGTGGGAGGAGGAGTTGGCGAGGATTGAGGAGAAGAGTCGGAAGGAGAGTGATGCAGCTGGGTTTGGGAGGATGAGGAAGAGGTCGTTGATGTCCGCTGTGAAGGGGTTTTTGTCGTCCGGGAATTCGTCTTCGTAGGTTCGTCGCCACCCTGGACCTTGGGGGACTTGGTGGCCAGCTGTGTGTCGTCGTCTTGCTCATTAACGGGACCGTGTTGCCTTTCTTTTGACGCTTATCTTCGTCGCCTCTCTTCGTCATTCGTCTTCATCGCCCTTTTGTTGTCATTGACATACACACTTTTTTGGGAGCATTCCTGCGTTTGGTGCTACATCCCTTACTGTACATTGTATTTTTTTTCTAGTAGTATCCTGTTGTTCAGACCTCCGGCTTCGCCATCCTGTATTATTATTCCTGTTGTACATGAGTTTACAGTAGCACTCTTTTTTTGTACATCCAAATTCATCTCTGAAGTTCGAACGCTTCAACCTCATCACCTTGCACTCGAACCTGTTATTGAGCCATCTTAACGCGCTGCTCTATATCCTCGAGAGCAGAACAGAACGGATTGAGCGCGGAGCGTGTGACACAAAACGCGTGCCCGGAGCCGAAATTGAATTCGACGTGTCGTCACTGGCCAATTGATGGGCGAGACAAGTTGTCCTCCAACGACCATCACCACCACCACCAGCAACCACCAGCGACCAACCACGCTAGCTCAACGACACGTCTAACGTTAAAAGACAAACGTTTAATCAAGAACTAGAGCAAGATTTCGTAATTCAGAACTAGAAAGACATAATGTCGTCGTTTCCTTGGGTTCGGTTTACGGGTATGACTGCTGTCTGTGAGTGTGTTTTCTTGCTTTTGGATTGGGAGGAGGAACTCATCGGGACTTTGCATCTCTGTTTCTCTCGTTTCATCGGTTTGGGGCGTGTTTTCGGCGCACCTACCGTCTCTTCTCGTCCTTGCGGTCCTCAAAATCACCGGCGAAATCAAATTCCATCACGAAACGCAACCTATCCAATCCATTCACCGGAAAACAACACAAACGACCGAAATGCCGTGCTATACATACACGCCTCTTGCTTCTCGCTGTGTACACCGCGGGTCAATCTCCTTTGGAATTGGGATTCCAACGTGAATGCGAACTTGGGTGCGGGAATGGAATGGGCTTTTCGGGTATCTCGCCATTGTGTCTATCCTGGGTCGTTTCATTGTTCCGACTTGGGCGACTTCGAATTCTAATGCACTGCTTTGGTGTGCGTATGGCCTCCGACCATTTACATCTCCTTTGCGCGTTACGCTTCATGGTCCCCATGCTTCTCTTCTTCTGTTTGAACACACCCGTGCATCGATGTTCTCCTATGGAACGCAATCGGCCAATACTCACCATTTCCATCACCCATCCCTATCACCACATCCGACTTCTTTCTGTGGGCATCGTACACATCCTTCTTCTGTGTATGCTCTTTCTGGACTCCGATACCTTGTGGTTCGATGTGGGTGTCCTCATCGGCATTCCGTTTTCTCTGGCATGCATTGGGACTCGGAAATTCCAAAACTTGGCGCTGGGGTTCTTGACCGGCTGGGTTTGCCTTTCGAACGTCCTTCTCTTCTTGACGCACCCATGCATACATGCGCTTATTGTCTAACGTGCAGTCATGGGAGTGGGCTACATCCTTATGAAAGGTTCGTTATGTTCGGAAATTGCAATAGCTTGAATGGGAGAAGCAGAGCAAAGCTTGCTGCTGCTGTTAGTGTGATGGTTGATGCCTATCCCTTGCTGCTATGACTGCTTCTGCCGATACTTGACTGTTTCCGGTGGATCCATCCATCTAGCTCTTGGTGGACTTTTAGCTCGCTTGTCGTCTGGGCATCGTGCTACCGACTACCAAGCAGTTTCGAGGCTAGCTCTATCAAGTTTGGAGTTGGGTTGGGATGCCGACTGACATGGAACATTTCTAACTTTTCCTTTTTTCTCTGAACAGTAACGACGCCGACCGAGGAGCAGCTGTACAATGTGAGTACCCACCCCCTTTCAGTTCCGTTCGATCTATGCGTTTTCTCTTCGTCTTCCAGACTCGCATATCGCTTTCTGGTTATATTGGTCGTGCTGTCCGTGTCGACAGGTGGTGACGCCATGGTGATCCATGATATAGTGGATCGACAATCTACTTGGACGGGAAGCCGAGTGCCGAAGGCTTCGCCCCCATAGGACCGGCGCAGTACCCAAAATACCCTTGCTTTGCATCGGTTAGAACTGGATGCCGTGCCCGTTTTCTATGCTTCTCGTTTCATCCTTTTCATTTTGCCACTTCTCTTCCTGTTTTCTTTGGAAATCGCGTCCTTCTTTGTGTTCTTCAGCGCCATTCGGCGCTTAATCCGTGCGCTGGAGCTCCGGGATGGATCCTGCTTCGCGCCCGGTCGAAGCAAGGACGACCATTTTCTTTCCTAGGAATCTCCGGGTACACTTATCCTCCTATTTAAGAGCAAGCGATTTCCACGGAATTCATGTGCTCTGTGACGTTCTGTGTTTGGAGGCAGCAATAGAAGTGCCCAGCTGCTGTTATTGGTTGCGTTGCAGTCACTTCTCTGGCTTCGCTTCACTTCTAATGCAACTGAGACACCGACGCCTATAGCTTCTTTGGCTTCTTTTCTGTGCTTTCGTGGAGGGGTGTTTCTTGGCAATTTTGTGTTTCCAGATTGTGACGCCGTGTGTCGGCGTTGTTTAAATCGTTTTATCGTGCTTCTTTTCGGCGCGTTCCATCGTTATCTGATTGCTGGGGTACAATTCAAGTTCCGGTGGATGCGACGGTGTGATGGCGCTTATGTTCTTTACGATTGCTTTTTCACCCTACTTGTTGGTTATTCCATTTCGCTGACGATTTTCTACCTGTGATAGCAAATGGCTCCTGATCTGAGACGCAAAGTGGATGCCGCTCGTGAAGCCCGTCTAGCTCGAGAAGCCGAAATGAAGAAACAAGTGAATGCCCAGGTAAGTGAACGTGTTTGCCTCTTTGTTTTCTAACTATAGTTCTTCCTCCTCTTCGCGTCCACCTCTCCCTTTTCGTACCACCCTCTTCACCTTGGCTTTTGTAACTCTTTGTTGCTTTGGATGTTCTTCTCTATTTCCGCGCTTCTCGCAGCAGAGAGACTAAACCTTGTGTCTCGTTTTGTAGATCAGCAATGACGAGAACCCGGAAGCGGCCAAGCCGATATGGGCTAGCCGACCGGGAGATCCAAAGCAATGAGGCGGCTATTGGGATGTCGACTCTGTTGCCCCTGTGGAAGTTATTGGTACCATCCAGTAGCGCGTTCGGCATGGTCTTCTGCCATAGGCCTCGTGAACGGGTTGGGAGTCTGGTCAACTCGTGCCCGTCATTCACTCACAATTGGAGAAAAACGGATATGGATTCGTAATCCCTTTTCTTTTTGCCTTGTTATGCTTCAGTCACCTGAGCTAGGTATCTTTTACCGTATTTCTTTTTGCTTGTACTATCTAGCCCGATAGTTGATTCTTTTTACTCTGGGGTTTGTGATTGACTGTTGAGGCGCCGATGAAGCGCTGAACAGCGGCTCTTGGCTGAGCCCTGAGGCCTCTCACGCAAGTCGCCGCATAACCATCTGGCATACCTGGCATCCCATCTCATCATTACCTCTACACGGCTTCCTTTATTCGGTGCGTTAATTGCCGATGTATTTCTCTGGCTCTGGGGCCTAACGTACTGATGAAATACGTCTGGTATAGATCTATATACGACTCTAATCCCTTTCTGGTATATGCTTGCTCCAGTGACAGGCTGTTGCGGCATCGATTCATCCATCCATCATCTTTTGTGCATTTTGGACTGTCATCTCGGCCGCCTGCCAGTACGCAGCACCGCAATGCGGTTAGAAGGACGGTTAAGATTCCCCAACTGGGCCTATTCTACTTCGCTTGATACGATATGTGCTGGCATAGTGTCCTCGATATCGCGACCAGGCCCTCTGGGCTTACTCTTACGGTCGGCCGCTTGGGATGGAAGAAGGGCTTCGTTGGCGCCATTTGGTTTAGGCTGATTTGCCTCGTGTATTCAGTGGGATCGCGTTTTGTTTTTTTATGGTCAAGCTTTACTAAAGCTTTTTAGACATTGTGTACTGTTTGGAGTTCGTGACTCCCAGCGGCGAGGGTGGACGTGATATCCGTTGTAACTGCAACAGCCTACTGGCTGTGGGTGAAGAGGCTTCTTGAACAACGAAGTCCCCGGATGACACGTTCTTAGGTGAGCTAGTCTCGGTCAGATTGCTTGCTGCTCGGATGGTCAGTAACTAATTGGTGACTGTCAGTGGCTCGTGACGTCTTCCCCGGCCTTCTGCTCCTAGTTCGTATCATAACCTGGAGCTGGGATTGACGTCTGCTTCCCCGACATGTTCGCCTGCGCGCCCGGTGAGCAAGAATCTAGAACAAGACGTGGGGGACGAGCCGATTGCGCTCTGCAGACACAGCAGGTGCCAGCGCCTCCTATCACTATCTGTTCAGTGGTAGAGATCGTTCCAGGTTTGTCGAACTTGGTAACGAAGGTGACTGGACTTTCCAGGCTCTTCCGAGTATCTAATCAGTGTTTGCAGAATGTAGAAGTTCTGGATGAGGTAGTCATTGTATATTTGCCTCGGACAGTGGTCATCTACAGATCAATCATACGCTCTTTCTCGCGGGGTCTGGGGGCTTCTTTGTATTGATAGAAGTGAGTGAGAGCTCTTTGTTGGTTCAACTACTTGGAAGGGCCTATTTCTGAACTGTGCATTCCAGGTTGCCACTGGGGTCCGTCTCACGCACACGCTTTATTTCGACGGAGACGACGTGCTTATGATGTGGCACACAAGGTTAAATCACTCTCACATCACAAGGTACGGCCTGCGCTGAGTTGCATAAGGGGTAATTATTTAAGTGGTCAGTACTTGTTAACCTAGTGGCCTCAAACGGCCCTTCAAGCGATCAGTTCTTCTCGCTTCAGGTCAACCAAGTCCAACAAATCCTATTTGTTGTAAATAGAGGAATAAAACGATAGATTTTCGTGTTCTACAGAACAGTATTTATAGTAGCTACGAGACGTGATTGGTAAGTCATTGGAGCGCTCGATAAGCGCGTGTATAAGCGCTCGGGGAATTTCTAATAAAGTGGAAACATAAGAATGCAATAACTAATCTAACTAGTAACGAGTCAGCGTGTATCGACGAGAACATTCTCAACACTCCCCCTTTCTCGAGATAACACCGATTTCGTAGGTAAGGTCTTGATGACGTGACCTAGGTAGTCCTTTGGTGAACAAGTCGGCAAGATTCAGGTCGGTGCGAACGTAAACAATCTCGAGGGTGTTGTTGGCGACAAGATCGCGTAGGAAATGATATGCGAGGTCGATGTGCTTCGTTCTTGGATGAAATTCAGGGTGTCGACTGATCGCAATAGCGGCCTGATTGTCGCTGAAGATGGTCGATGTTTCGGGGGGAAAAAATTCCAATTCTTCGAGTAAGTGTCGATGCCACAGGACTTGCTTTGCGGCGTGCGTAGTGGCGACGTATTCGGCTTCTGCAGTCGATAGAGCCACGGTATTCTGCTTCTTCGAGCTCCAAGCTATTGCTCCACCTGCCAAGGTGATAACATAGCCGGAAATCGATTTTCTGTCCGGTCCATTCGCCCAGTCGGCATCGGTGTAGATGTGGAGGTCTTCCGTCATTTCTTCGTCATCTAATCCTCCAAATATGAGTGCGAAATGCTTGGTACCCTTCAGGTAACGAAAGATGCGCTTGAGGGCAGTGAAATGGACGGCTCTGGGGCGAGATGTGTATTGGGCGAGTCGGTTGACCGCATAGCAGATCTCTGGACGCGTTCCAAGCGCCAGATACATCAGAGAACCAATCATCGTCGCATATCCCGACGAAATTCGGGGGTCTACCTCCTCTCCGAGCGAGTTTCCGTCCTTGCTGTCGAATGCGTCGAGTTTGACGTTAGGATCGATGGGTGTTGATACTGGGTTCGCATTTTCTAGCCCAAAGCGCTTTAAGAGTGTGTCGATGTAATGGGATTGTGAAAGCGAGATGTAGTGGTCGTCCTGCTGAATTTGGAGACCCACGATAAGTGAGGGTTGTCCTAGTGACTTGATTTCGAAGTGCTGTGCGAGTTCTGACTCTATCTGGTCGTTTAGGCGTCTGTAGTCGAAGCTGCGATGATATCGTCGACCCATACGAGGAGAATAGTGAAGTCGTCGTCCTGGTATCGAATATAGCAGCAGTAATCGCTCTGTGAGTTGTTTGAAGTCGAAATCCTCGAGCTTGGAGTTGAGTTTCGTGGTTCCAGACGTTGCCAGCCTGCTTCAGGCCGTAAAGGGAACGTTTGAGGACGCATACTCGACCAGTACCGTCGTCAAATCCAGGGGGCTGGCGCATGAAGATCGATTCCTTCAATCTTCCGTGTAAATAGGCGCCCTTGACGTCAAATTGACGAAGTTTGAGGTTTCGGATGGCAGACGTACCCAGGACAGTCCGAAGCGTCTCGAATCGCATTACTGGTGCGAAGGTGCCGTCGTACTGATAGTCCTGGCCGGGTTTCTGAGAGAAACCTTGAGCTACAAGTCTCGCCTTGTGCTTTGTGACCTCCCCCTTCTCGTTCCTCTTCTTTGTGAACACCCACTTGCTCCCAACCGTTGTTCGCCCCTCTGGAAGCTCTCCCAGCTCCCAAGTACCCATTTCCTTCAATGTTTTCAATTCTTCGTCCATAGCTTCCTTCCATCGTCCCGATTCTGGTCCCTGCAACGCTTCTTCGACGTTCTGAGGTAAGTCCGGCTCCGAAAATTGCGAAATAAAAGCGGTTTCCCGTTCAGATGGTTCGCCGATTGCTGCCAGTGCGATGTTTGCCGTTTCCTTCGACTTTGCCTTCGCTTTTGACGATTCTGTAGGCCTGGAGATGGTAGGGGATGGAGAGACCGATCGCATAGGCGTAGGAGTGAATCGCAGTCCTGGAGTGCGTGCGTCCGGGTTCCCAAGTTTCTTGTAGTCTGTTTCGTTCCTTCTAGCACGTAATGGGCGTCTAATCGTCTTGTCTTCGTCGTCTGTCGTGTTTGCACTGCCCGAGATCGAAGGAGATGGTGTTGTTTCGATGAGAGGTAAGATAGGGCTCGATGGTTCAGTTTTCGGTTGCTCCTGGGTTTGCGAGACTGGAGAATCCGATGTGCTCTCCCCCTCAGTCCGCATACCCGGGATTTCTACCACTTCGAGCTCCTTTAGCTCGTCGTTTTCGTTGAATGCGAAATTTCTTGACACTTTGACGTTCCTCTTTTGCGGGTCGTAATAGCGGATCAATTTTGAGCCGTCGTTAAAGCCAACCAGCTTCATCTGCTTCGATTTTGGTGCTAATTTTGATCTATTCTCTGATTCATCCAATACCCAAACATTACATCCAAATGGCCGTAAGTGGGCGACTCCGGGCTTCTTTCCATGCCATGCTTCGTAAGGGGTCATGTAATTGAGTGCGCGAGTTGGAGATCGATTTCGGAGGTAGGTGGCGTGAGCTACAGCTTCATCCCAAAGGAAAGCAGGCAGTTCGGAGTCTATGAGCATAGCTCGTGCTAGCTCCAACACAGTCCGATTGAATCTCTCTGCAACTCCATTCTGGGATGACGAATATGGTGCTGTTGGCTCGATTTCGATTCCCTCCTCTCGACAGAGTGCCTCCAGCTTCGAATTAATCAAGTCCTTCGCATTATCGAACCTGACAAATCGTGGGGAACGGCCCATCTTCTTCAGCCATGCAATGTGCCCTTTGATTCGGTCAAATGCCTCCGATTTTTCGCGTATAAATAACGTAGTCGTATAGCGTGTTGCGTCATCCGTGAAGGCGATATAGTATTTGAATTTTCCTGCCGAAATCGTTCGCGCTGGGCCCCAAATATCCCCCATAAAACGTTCTCCGGGTATCTTGGATCTGTGCTCAGCCTCTTTTGGAAAAGACTTGCGAGTTTGCTTGGCTTCGATGCAAGCTTCACATGAGCGTGATGGAATTGATGCTCCATCTATATCCAGACCGTGTACGAGCTGTTCCCGGTTTAGGCGTTCGAGTGCTGTGACAGAGATATGGCCGTAACGTCGATGCCATTGATCCCAAGTGAGTTTCGGGGCTGATGCGAGGTGGGCCTTTCCTTTCCTGGATTCTTCGGCGCGGGCTTTCAGCTTGTATAGTCCATTCTCCTTTACCCCAAATCCGATGATCCTTCCATCCTTATTCCGCATGGTACATTTCCCTCCTCCTATCTCGACAGTTCCTCCAGCTGCATCTAAGCGAGTAGCCGAGAGTAGACAGTTGGGCGCTTGTGGCACATACAGCACATTACTAAGCTGATGGCGCATCAAGCCTCCGTCTAACTCGAAATTCAGGGCAATAGTTCCGCGCCCTTCGACGATTGCTGGGGTAGGTCCTACGCCATCGAGAGTGGCGTTGGTGAGGGGTTGATAATCGATAAAGGCGTTTCGGATGGTGCATATGTGTGAGGTAGTGCCGGAATCGAGGTACCAGTCTGATTTGGAGAAGTCCCTGGAGCTTAAAGCTCTAAATTGGGCAATGTACGCGACTTCGTTAAGCGTGCTGTTGATTTCCGATGCTTGATTTGCCCGGTTTGGACCTCGTCGACCCCTTGGACCTTGTCCTTCCCTTCCGCCTCCTTTAGCCCAACATTCCGACTTGATGTGGCCCTTCTTCTTGCAGTTGTAACATTCCTTATCTGACTTCCCGGCTTTTCCATTTCCGCCACGACCTCTCCCAGCCTGGAGAGTCGTACCCACACCATCATTCCTTCCTTTCCTTCTTCGTTCTTCTTCAATCAAGATAGCAACGAGCTCGAAAGAGGAAATGGTTGGCGAGTTTCCGTTAGCGCCCAAATCAGGCAGATGTGTAAGAATCCCAGGATTCCGGCAGTGATGTGATCAGAATCATGAGGAAATCGTCGTCCGAGATGAGGTTTCCGAGGTTGTGGAGTTGAGCCTGTAGCTGTCGAAGATGGGAGACGTGCTCCACCATATCAAAACCTTCTTCCGCCATCGCTCGAAATAGTTGTCGTCGTAAGGCCAGAATTCCAATCTTCCCTTTGGATTCCTTGACTTGGGTGAGTTGTTTCCACATTTGGCGTGCCGATGTTGCTCCACTGATATGAATCATTTCGCTGTCTCCCACAGCGAGCTCGATCCTTGTCCTAGCCTTGGCATCGCCTTGCTCCCATGCAGTTCTCGACACTCGCTCCTCCGTCGTGAGTTCGTCCGATTTCCCAGCTGCTACCTTCTCTGATCCCGGAGCGTCTTGCAAGACGTACTTCTCCAGTCCAAGGTCACGCAATACCGCAAGCATCCGTTGCTTCCACGGTAACCAATTGCTGGCCTTCAGAAGCTCCATTCGATAGCCGCCCGTGTATTCTTCTGGCATGGTGTCGGTGTCGATGGATTAGTTAAATGTGGGTAGTTGGAGTGCGAGTCGAGCGAGTTTAAACGAGTGTAAGAGTGATGGTTTAAGCCCAGTAGGCGGGGCTCATAACCTGTTGTAAATAGAGGAATAAAACGATAGATTTTCGTGTTCTACAGAACAGTATTTATAGTAGCTACGAGACGTGATTGGTAAGTCATTGGAGCGCTCGATAAGCGCGTGTATAAGCGCTCGGGGAATTTCTAATAAAGTGGAAACATAAGAATGCAATAACTAATCTAACTAGTAACGAGTCAGCGTGTATCGACGAGAACATTCTCAACACTATTCAACGGAGTTAACAGGAATATAGCACCGTGCGTCACTACCACCACTTTTGCCAAGGTCACTCTGGAGAAAGGTGTGTCGTTAGGGATGTAGGTCCTGTCACTGGATGTTGCGGCTTTGACTCTGAGCAAAGTCCATTCCACTAGGTCTCTGGCTCGGGTAAATACAAGATCTGACAAGCCACTAGTCACAGTCGGATTACTATCTGAGTGCGCCGTGCGGTGAGTGAGCGCCGCTTTCCGATGCACTCAGATGCAACGACAATCAATAGTCTCTCGTTCTAATACTAGTGGGTCCCGTTTTGCAGTCCATGGTCCGATTACGCTTTGAATTTGTCTTTAAAGTACATCCCCCTCTCTGTCTACCCTCGATGATCTCGTGAACGGGCGTGTTTCTGGGTTTTGGAAGTATTGACAGCCACATCCGACAGACCGGAGGACCGGATAGCCACTACTAGCACAAACCAACCCCGCCTCATCTTCCCGCTTTCTCTTGCCACATCCACATATGCAATTATGTCGTTGTACTGCGTAAACCCAGGCACACGTCCCAGGGGTACGTCACTTTGCCTTTGGGGACTCCGTGCCCAAGTCGCCCACCACCCACTGGGGACGCCAAAATGCAGTCGCTTTGATCGCATGGACCTGGTAGCCGGAGCCCTCATCAAAGATTAATCGCATTCTCTGTGAGATACAATTGCGTCTCTAACGTGATCCAAAGCTCAGACCTAAAGTTCCGACGAAAGGTCTATACCCGCGACCTCATTTTCATCCACCCAATTGGTGTAACCGTTCAAACGATCCGAGACGATCTTATGAGCGGAGGGTGTTATAAAAATGACCACATAACAACCCCTAGGAAGCAAGAAATAGACACCAAGTGAGGAGAAATAGCGAGAACCGAAAATGGAAGAGATAATAAAACGTCCAGTCAATGAAAACGCGGTGCGACAAGAGATCATGAAAGCGACTGTTGGGATGAAGACAGATTAAACTTGGCATGGAAAAGGGAAAGGCGAGATATGATTGATAGATACCCAGAACTTGAGAAGAAGGGAACAAAAGGAACTAGTAGAGCGAAGAGGCGATCGAGAACGAGGAGGGAGGAGTCTAGATATGCTACACGATTTGAATGGAAGGATCAAAGACGAGAAAAGGCGAGCAAACGTCAAATATAGAAAAAGAATTCGTGAGGAGGCCTGGACAGCATTCAAGCCATCAGCCATCAGCCAGTCAAGGAAGACTCTCGGAAAACATGCCAAACAGCGAGAACAGTAGAGCGAGAGCGATGAATAGATGGGATAAGGCTGAATGGATACAATATAGAAAATATAATGTATGCGCAATCAACGTCTAGTGAATGTGGAGAGAGCTGTGGGTACGTCCGAACAAACCGTGCCACAAACGATCGAGCGCACCTCTGGCAAGAAGAAAGGATTAACGTTCGAAGGCATCAGAAATAGGAGGGGTGGTTTGAAAAGGAAGGTCAATACTACGAATTAGGGGCAGTGATATGTCGTGCTGCGGAGCCTCAGGTCATGAATTGTGTGCTGTGGATAGGTCAAAAATGGAATCAACACTACGCAAAAAAACGAAACGCTCATGGGCTCTCAATGAGGGTAGCTGTCGTCAGATAAGGATAACAGATGGTGATGTAATGTCATGGGAGGAGAGATGGTAAGATGGGAGTGAAGACTAATGCGTAAGAACCCGAGTGAGAGCATCGTTGCTGAGTGCGCTGGCTTATTCAAGATGTCGTGGAGGATGCGGCCGCAGACGGCTGTTCCGTATCTTCGGAGCTGTACAATGGGATTACATGAATCAGCAAAGTGGCTTATACATGCTTCAGACATGCCATTTGGAGTTTACCTGGGCGCTGTGCCGTCGTCTGTCGGGCTGGAATCGGAAGGCAATGACGCGTTTCCGCGGTCGTTAGATGACTTGCTGGAGGCTTCAAGCGGAGGGGATTGGCCAATGGATTCTGGTGACGAGGGAAGTGTACCATAAACCGCATGGCCTGCCAATGAGGGGTCCGGCCCTAAGGAGCTTCCTGATGATGGTGTTGTTGATGAAGATAATGAAGCGGGTCGAGGCAGGTCGCCAGTCAGAACCGAGGAGCTGGATACAGAGGAAGCCGACGGTGCTTCAGGAGATGGGCCAGTCGTTGGGACAGCATCACCGGTTAATGTAACAGCGGGTATTGGTACGCTAGGAGTGGTCGAGCCTGATGATGGGTCGGACGAGGCATTCAAGAAGGCAGTCGCTGTGCCGGACGTCAACAGGGCGGCATTCATGGTACTGAAAGGGGGAGGTGTTCGATTGTTCGAGTCTGGAGTTGGGCTCCGCGAATGTTGTCCACTAGGCGCGAGGCTTCCAGATGGGTCATTCGAGCTTGATGAAGGTGGTGGCGCCGCAGACGAAGACGAGGGGGCAGCCTGCGATGAACTGGGAGCACCTTGGGCGTCGCTTGGTTCCCCTTCCCCGTTCTCCGCCGCAGCGGCCCTCTCTGCCGCTTCCTTCTTCTTCCTCTCCTCAGCCTCCCTCCTCTGGTGTTCTTCGTGTTCAATCAGCGATAGCCTCATCGCTTCCATAAGCATTAGCTACATCCGCAAAGGTTGGATTAATCAGTATCATTGAATTCTTCAAGACGGCGGGCGATTTCGAGCCAATAAAAGGGCGCAGCTCTTTCTTACCTCTTCCAGGTCCTGGCCTCCCATCCCCACTATTGTTCCGAGCTCTCCATTGGCTGGATGATGTCGTCGTCGCCTGCTGCCAGAGTTGCCTCCCTCTGCAGCTTCTTCTGGGGTCTGCACTCTTCCGATGCCGACGGGAATAAGCCTGTCTCCCACTTGTCTCATGATGATACGTCTATTCGCACGACGAGCGACTGCGGCTCGGACAGCTGCGAGTTTGGCCTCCCAATCGGGTCGGATTTGATCTGAAAGCATGATTAGACGGGCTGTATTACAGGAAAGAAAGTGGTCACATACCGATGGTGACCACCTCAGGACTGTCCGCGCTATAGCTCTTCTGTCGCTTCTTGTGGTAAGGGATCGCAGATTGTTCAATTCGACGGTTTACATCCGCAGGGGTAATCGGGCTCTATAAAGTTTGGGATATTGTTGAATAATTGCGACCGTTTCGAAAGGAATAATTGACTCACGGCTCCTTCACTACCGATGCCAGCTCGCCAAGGGGGAGGGTTGTAGACGATGCCAAAGTTCTCCTGAACACAATAAGGGCATGCGGCTGGTTCCGAGACGAGATGGGTGGTGGTTGGTTCTGCTCGTTTTATCTGGACAAAACATTCTGTGCAGATTGCTTGGTCGCAGCAACGAGAATGGTTGATATTGGGAGGATAATACTGCAATAAGTGACGTAATAAACCTGGGTTCAGTATGCCCGCTGCTTGGCAAAGAACGAACTGACCAAGAAACAAATAGGACACTCGATTGCACCGCGATAGACAGCGACCTCGGGTCTAAACTCCTTGCCACCGTTGGGACGTTTGCTGTGGGATGACTTTGAGCTATGGTGCGACGACGAGAAGCTTCCGTGGTCAGAACGAGACTGAGAATCAGGTTGGTCGCCGCTTGAGTCACGGAACTCCTTTCTGGCGGCGAGAATCTGGTCGTCGTCCCAAGATTCGTCATATTCTTCGAGCGGTCGATAGAAAGGGGCGAGCTTGCGAGCCGCTATGAGTTGCGAGACTATTGCCTGGTTCCAATCTCTTGGTCCGGTGTAGACCCCTGGAGGAACCAGTGCACCATAATCGACCGTATCCTCCTGATGACGGCCCGAGGATGAAGACGAGTTGCCCATGACTTGCGACGACGACTGCGGACGAGATTAAGGCCCAATACCCGTGTAGAAAGGAGTTGGTCGACGCCGGCAACGACGACGAAAATGTAGGAAAAAGGGCAGAGATATTGGTGAAACTCCGAGTCCGAACAGGCGAGTGATTGCAGTGTGCGGCTGCGACTGGTCCTGTAATCAGCTGCTGTTGTCTTTTGTTTGGTCCCGCCTAGTGGCGTCGCCATCACTGCCGGCATCCTCGCAATCCACGAGACAAGTCCAGCCATTTCTTGCTGAATTGCATCGTTCTGTGCCTCAGATAACAAGCTTAATCGTCGTTGAACATTGGTTTCCCTGACTTTTTGTCTCTTAAAACGCGAAAATCATCGGGAAATGACGACCTGTGCGGCTTATCGCTGTTGGGCGCTGAAAGATCCGCCACCGGCCACGTCAGTTTACCCACGTGCGGGGTAAGAGTATAGACGCTGTAGTCAGCTTTCCACAAGTTTCTATTCGACCACTCTCTCCCATTCCTAGACGTCCTATACTCCAGTTTATACTGGTAGTCCACGACCATATAGATTTCTTAGATGGACGCCCCTTGGACAAAGTCGGCCAAGGAAATCCTCGACTTCTATAACGTCCAGCCCGAACAGGGTTTGACTTCGGCCCAAGCCTCTAAACACGCAGAAAAGTATGGCAAAAATGGTCAGTCAACGACACACATTTCTATGCCATTGACAACGATCTCATACTCTGGCTTCTCTAGTTCTACCCGAGGAACCACCCACACCATTATGGGAACTCATATTAGAACAGTTCAAGGACCAATTAGTCCTCATCCTTCTCGGCTCGGCTGTCGTCTCGTTTGCATTAGCGTTGTTGGAGGATTCGCCAGACTCGACATGGTGGGGGGCTTTTGTCGAGCCGTTGGTTATCTTGTTGATTCTCGTCGCAAACGCGACAGTGGGAGTCATTCAGGAATCGAGTGCAGAGGCCGCCATTGACGTACGTCCTTAACAGCATTTTATCTACGTTTTACTTACAAGGATGCAGGCCCTCAAGGAATACTCTCCGGATGAAGCCAAGGTCGTACGGTCAGGTCAAGTCTCGCGAATTCACGCTTCGGAACTCGTCCCTGGAGACATTATTACGGTTGCTGTCGGTGACAAGATCCCCGCGGACTGTCGGCTGGTTTCCGTTTCATCAAGCAGCTTCCGAGTGGACCAGGCTATTCTTACCGGTGAAAGTATCAGTGTCCACAAGTCCATCGACGTCGTACCAGACCAAAGTGCAGTAAAGCAGGACATGACCAACATGCTCTTTGCTGTACGTGCAGACATTCTTTTCCCAGTTCCGTCGGAAATGCTTAAGTCCACCTACAGGGAACCACTGTGGTTAACGGTAACGCCCAGGCCGTCGTAGTCTTCACAGGCCAACAGACCGCCATTGGTGACATTCACAAGTCGATAAGCTCCCAAATTTCGGAGAAGACTCCTCTCAAGCGCAAATTGGACGACTTCGGAGACATGCTTGCAAAGGTTATTAGCGTCATCTGCGTTCTGGTATGGATTGTCAATATCCGACACTTCTGGGACCCAGCCCATCACGGCGTCCTCAAGGGTGCCATCTATTACTTCAAGATCGCCGTCGCGTTGGCCGTAGCTGCCATTCCCGAGGGTCTGGCTGCTGTTATCACCGCCTGTTTGGCACTTGGAACCAAGAAGATGGCACAGAAGAACGCCATTGTCAGAAACCTGCCCAGCGTGGAGACTTTGGGATGCACGAATGTCATTTGCTCTGACAAGACGGGAACCTTGACCACCAACCAAATGAGCGTGTCGAGGGTACGTGTTGGCTTGTTTCCTTGGCGGTAGAAAGGCTGAATAGATGTGTTATACAGTTCCTTGTTGTCGATCCTTCGAGCAACATCCGTGAATTCACTGTTGAGGGCACTACCTTTGCTCCTCATGGGTCGGTTTCTTCCGCTGATGGCAAGGAGGCCTCTGCTGAACTCAGATCAGACCCATTGCAACGCCTGGCTGAAATCAGCTCCCTCTGCAATGACGCCAAGATCGTATACCACCCTGTAAGCTCAAAGCAAACGCCTCCCTCCCCTCATTACTAACTCTTGGCAGGACAAAGACGCGTACTCAAATGTCGGTGAACCGACGGAAGCCGCCCTCAAGGTCCTCGTCGAGAAGATTGGCTGCCGCGATCTGGAAGTCACCAAATCCCTCTCATCCCTCGAGCCATCCGCCCGGGCTAATGCCGTCAACGATTACTTCACTCGCAAGATCCAGCGCCTCCTCACTTTCGAGTTCTCTCGGGACCGCAAGATGATGTCCGTACTTGTCCGACTAAACGGCACCGGCGCACTCTTCGCCAAAGGAGCTCCCGAGTCCATCCTCGAAAGGTGTACCTCGGTCCTCGTCAACGGCAAGACAATCCCCCTCACGCCTCAACTCCGCTCGACTCTCCTCGACCGTACGCTCGGGTATGGTTCTCAAGGATTGCGCACTCTGGCATTGGCATACCGCGACGTGCAAGACCTCGATTCGTCCAACTACCAATCCGAGAGCACAAGCGACTACGCGCGGTTTGAACAAAACCTCGTCTTTGTTTCCCTCGTCGGCATGTTGGATCCTCCCCGTCCTGAGGTCCGAAGTGCCGTGGCCAACTGCAAAGCTGCTGGAATCCGCGTTATCTGTATCACGGGTGATAACAAGGGGACTGCCGAGACTATTTGCAGGCAAATCGGTATCTTTGGTGAGGATGAGGATCTGACTGGGAAGAGCTATACTGGGAAGGAATTCGAGGCATTGAGCCATGAAGAGAAGGTTAAGGCTGTGCAGAGAGCGAGTTTGTTCTCGAGGACTGAGCCTGGCCACAAGAGCCAACTTGTGGATCTTTTGCAAGGATTGGGTTTGGTTGTTGCGATGGTATGTGCATTTCATTTATCCTTCCAGGGTCTGGACTTATCCCTTGATGCAGACTGGCGATGGAGTGAATGATGCTCCTGCTCTCAAGAAGGCTGACATCGGCGTTGCGATGGGTAGTGGAACTGATGTTGCCAAACTAGCTGCCGATATGGTTCTTGCAGACTCAAACTTCGCAACTATCGAAAAGGCTGTGGAAGAGGGTAGACTGATTTACAACAACACTAAGCAGTTCATTCGATATCTCAGTGCGTATTCTATCGTTCCCATCGAATGTGTTCTTAAGCTCAACCTTCTGTCCAATAGTCTCTTCGAACATTGGTGAAGTCGTCAGGTAAGCCCTGAATGCCGTCCTTTTTGCCTCCTATCTGACATTCGACTTGTTACTTCGAAATTGCAGCATCTTCCTTACAGTCTTGCTGGGAATGCCCGAAGCTCTCATCCCCGTCCAACTCCTATGGGTCAACTTGGTTACGGATAGCTTGCCTGCTACTGCCCTCGGTTTCAACCCACCGGACCATTCGATCATGCGGGTACCACCACGAGATAGCCGCGAGCCCCTTGTTGGGAGGTGGTTGTTTATTCGGTATATGGTTATTGGAGTCTACGTGGGTGTAGCGACTGTTGCAGGGTACGCTTGGTGGTTCCTCTTCTACGAGGGTGGTCCCCAGATCTCGTTCTACCAATTGGTATGTCCACCAATTCAATTAGATTCTATTCTATTAATAGCGCCCATACCGTCCCCATTTCGTTTCTCTCTCGTAACACTTCATACCCCAATCCTCCAACATGACGCTGAAATGACTGGTAAACTGACATCACTTACTTTACAGACACACTTCCATGAATGCACGACGCAGTTCCCGTCCATTGGCTGCGAGATGTTCACCAATGTCATGGCTCAGCGCGCGACGACAATGAGTTTGTCGATTCTGGTGACCGTGGAAATGTTCAATGCCATGAATTCCCTTTCGGAAAATGAGAGTCTTCTGAGACTCCCAGTATGGAAGAACATGTACCTCGTTGGCGCTATCATCCTTAGCATGGCGTTGCACTTCATGATTCTTTACGTTCCATTCTTTACTGTGAGTTTTACCTTCTCTTTATTCATTCGTTCGATTGGTTGCGCTGCGCCGCGTCCCCCTTTCTTCGTGGTTTTCTCGGGGGAATGGAAAGTTTTACTGCCCACTCCCTCGCGATACGCTGTCGCGTCGAGCGCCCATACTGACGATTGTCGACTTGTCCCTCAGAAACTCTTCGCAATTACGCCGTTGAACTGGGTCGAATGGAAGGCCGTGTTGTACTTTAGCGCACCTGTACTCGTGCTTGACGAACTTCTCAAGTTCATCTCGGTATGTCTTTCTCATTTGCAATGCCAGTGCTCCGCGTTTTCTGACACGCCTTTCCTTCTTTCTTTACCCTTTCGTAAAAAAGACGACATTCGTAGAGCCGCCATCAAAGCTTAAATTGGATTAACTGCCAGTCCAAGGGAAGGTCTGGTTTTATTATTTGCTTTTCTTACCTATAGTTCTAGCCTAGCCTCCCATCTCCACGCACGGACTACGGCCTACGGTATACACCTTTTACGAATGTATTGAAGACTTGTATGTGGGGCTTTATTAATAATCTGTTTGTTTTAATCTGTTCTCTTCGGGGGTGCTTTCTTCCCAAGCATGCGTTTGCAAGGTGGCGACTGGTGGCGAGCCTTCCGGTGGATTTCGGGCCTGGAACTGACAAGCAGGGGATGGGCTGTCAAGGTCATGTCTCGTGAAGTGAAGAGCGCGTGGGCGGCGACGCCTCGCGCTGCGGCGTTTTGCGACCGACAATAGGGACGACATTCTAGGTCTCAGTATGAACTCGCTAAGGCTTCAGATCCCGCTGTTGCGAAACACGAGTTCCTTCTTACTTGACAGGTCTTATCACACACCCTGGCCCCCAATGGTCGTGACTTTATTTCGACCCTCGATGCGAGTGAATCCCCAAAAACTATAATTTATTTGCGGTTTTGTCGGATGATCCATCAAGGGACCACGACAAAGAAACTGGTGTCCTAACGGGCGCTCTTGGGTGACCCTGGGTTACTGATTAGATTACCGACGAGAACGCGCGCGCGCTTCCGAGGATAATGACCGTTGCAATGACCTCTGCGATGACGCGTCAAAATAGGGATGCGCGTACGTACCATGGGAACACGGGGAACAGTCGGTAGGCAAATTTTGAAAAAGGGTGCATCTAGTTTTCTTCGCGCTCGTCTTCTGGTGGGAGGCCGTTATTCCGCTTTCGTTTCACCCAAATCCACTGATTTGATTATCTTTAGCCTGCAGGCTGATTCGGATTTGTTGCTTCTGCGGGGGGATTTGACAGGAACAAAGGCGCTAACCTTGAGTCATTTTCTCGACTCGCGGACATCTCGACAAGCGACCCATCTCTTTGAAACCGAGGTCAGGGAGACGATGGGACTGGTCTATCGGTCCTTTCGGACAAGTCTCCATGGACTGCTTACCTCATCTGCACCCTCCCACACTTCTCCGTGCTCTGCTTCGACTTCGTGTCTCGAGTCTTCCATGCACGCACCCCTTTTGGCCATGTAGGACCAACCCAATGGCAAACCGCGTCTTACCGTCCCATTTCTCCGTGCTGCTTCCACCTCTGTTTTACTCCTTTCGGACAATTGCTGTTGAAACACGACCTCGTTTCCTTGGTTTGCAGGTAAACTCGTGAACCTGATTGAAATTTTAAATCAGGCCCAGTTGCCGGCAACCCCACGCTCTCTACACGTTTCTCCTTCATTTGCCCGCTTTGCTGTTTTGTTCCTTGCCAAAGCAACAGCAAATAAATCCATCAAACCTGGTCTCCTGCGTCGTTTTTTTCATCACATCTGACGTCTCCAGAGTCTTGCCAAATGCTTGTGCCCTGTGCCCCGCAAAAAGAATGACCGCCACACAACTGACAACAGGCGGAAAAACGCGTGTTGCCCTGCAGACCTTCGGCGTAGCTCCGAATGTATCTTCAAAGAAGAAATCTTAGAAATCCTCACCCGTGCCCCAATTATTTAAAGGGCTGGTTCTTATGTGCTTTCCCTCCCCCGTCCTTCTGGTACCTTCTGCCTCTACACACTAAGCGACCCACCTGGGCAGCTTTGGACACCATGCCCTCTCCTCCATCTACCTTTGCTCTATATGCCTTTGTGCTCTCCCTCTTGTCCTTTGTTAGCTTGGCTTCCTGCTCGGTGATCCCTGTCGACGTCTCTCAGCGAAGTCAAGCTTCAGAAGTGACGGAGCCCATCGAAGCTAGACAGAATTTCACCCTCCGCGGCGAGTCGCGTCAGCTCGAGAAGCGCTTCAGCAATGCTCGCTTCACCTTCTACGATGCTGGCCTTGGTGCCTGTGGTCGGGTCAACACCAACAGCGACTTTGTATGTGCATTCCCTTTGACCCTGCGTTACCGCGATTCAAAGGGCTAATTATCCATCTTCGTCGGCCTTATTATTCGATCGTTACTCCCGTTGATGGCGATTAGATTGTCGCCTTGAACGCTGCGGTACGTGTTAATTATAGGGCGGGAGCCCTAACTCCGACTTCCGCGTCGAGAAAATCTGTATTGACTTTCTTGGCTTCCTTTTAACAGCAATGGAACGGAGGTGCTCACTGTTTCGAAACAGTCACCATTTCGTATCGCGGAAGGACTGCTCGAGCTACAGTGATGGATCTTGTGAGTTTTGCCTCGTGTTTCGCCTTCCATTTCACCCACAGAAATCTCATCGATATCTTTTTTTCCCTTGAAATTCTCAGTGTCCTGGGTGTCCCTACGGCGGACTTGATCTCACAAGGGGACTCTTCGGGTATTTTGCCAATCACGATTTGGGTGTCATCCACGGTGATTGGGACTTTGGAGGAGCGGCTGTGCAACCTGCTCCGCCCCCACCTCCTCCCCCTCGCACCTCGACACCTCCTCCACCCCCTCCTCCTCCGCCTACATCCACAAGGAGGCCCACGTCCACTCCTCAGGCACCCCCTCCTCCCCCACCCCCAACTTCCACTCCCAGGCCACCTCCTACCTCAACTCCGCGGGCTGCCCCTCCCCCTCCTCCCACGAGCTCCTCGAGGCCTGCTTCCACCCAGTCTCCGGCTCCTACTCCGAGCTCCCCGTCCGCTTTAGCGCCGACGGGAGCAGCGGACAGAATCCCGGATAATGTCCTGAACGAGTTGAACCGGGCATTCTCAGCAATCGGAATCCTCCTCGCCAACATCCTCCAAAATCCGGAAAACAGACAACAGCAATAGACGAATCATGGCATATTATCTCATAGAATCATCTGCAGTCTGCCTGCAGGTGCAGGATCGCAACTTCTTCCGCTTTTCTCTCCCTCATCTATCTATGCGTTCTCATTCTCAAGGCAATCGGATTCGGACGGCAGGACTTGGCTTTACATTCGACGCTTCGGCATGGCCCAACGGTTCGTCGAATCATTTCGCATCGATTGCGGCTCTCTCTTTACTCTTCTGTCACAATGGTCTCCCACTTCACACTGCATCTATAGACGATACCGCGACCACCAGGGTCGGGTCTCACACAACTGCACATGCATTCCTATTTTCATCCTCATTCTTCCTATCTATGCGTTCAACACACTTCATCATTTGGCAACCCCATCGTTTGCATTGGCATCGCATCATATAGAGTTACTTTTGTCCTTCTGTTCCCATCCTGCTCTCCAGTCGAACTGGAGGCATGTACTGTGTATTCTATCCCTTCAATCATTGTTCTATCACCATCGGAGATGTGATTATGGCCGCAGCGCTACCTTGTTCGCATCGACATTTTGTAACATCACTTTGTAAAACAAAATATTTTGTTGTATACGTATTTTCCATTCGGTTTCTAAGTTATGGCATTGTTGCGTTTCCTTCCTCTTTTTTCCGGTAGATTTTATAGACTGTATGAGATCCAGAGCTCTCTGAGCATCTCCTTACGATACAACTGACCGCCCAAAGTCGCCAAGAGGCTCAGCGTAACATTGTCGACGATCAAAGTGGTCGATCGGTGAGCGCAGGGGTGAAGGTAAGTAAGCGAAGTCGTCGTGAAGCACCTGGAAAATTCTCCGAACAAAGGAAGCCACTGCATAGATCAAGGCGCCCGCAAGGTTTCCATCGCAGAGGGACCCTTAGTGAAGTCACTAATTACAATTTTATGGACGTTGTTCGCGTGGAAACGGCTGCTGCCCTGAGCGGTGTGACATGCTTCCCACGAACTTCAATGATTTGAAGAATGGTCAACGGCGGGGGAGCGCTCTTAAGACTCGTTGTTTCTTTCCACTCTGTTCTTCACCTCTGCTTCTATTCCTCAACCTAATTGCCTCTACGGCACAGTCTATCCTTTCATTCAGAACACACTCCTTTCCTTCTAGGGCGCCTACCTTAGGCCACCTCTAACCTGCTACGCACAACCCTCAAGCTATTGCCATCCAAGTAGTATACCCACCCACCAACAGAAACCATTTATGAAGTTCCTTGGTCCTTTCGGACTGCTCTCTGCAGCCCTGGTTGGCTTCGCCAACGGTGCAGCCATCCACGGGTCGACCAGCCAACATCATCATCGTGAGCTGGCGAAGCGAGCCTCTGGTGAACTGGTCAAGCGAGTCACCAACTCGAAGTGGTCCTTCTACGACACCGAGACTGGTAATGCGTACGTGACCTCTCGTACCTGTGCTGTAGAAATAGAATGCTGAACGTGCTCCAGCGGTGCATGTGGCCAGCACATCAGGAACAGCGACTTTGTGAGTTCATTGTCCTCCCTGCTGAGTTGCGTGTTGGACTGACATAATCCTGCCCAGGTTGTTGCAATGAACACTGCCGTACGTTGAGCTATGATTAGACGAAAAGAAGCATGATACTCATTGTTCTGTTAGGATTTCCGCCAAAGTGACTGCTTCAAGACCATCACTTTGAGTTTCGGTGGCAAGACCACGCAGGCGACCATCGGGGACATGGTGAGTACAGGAAACTGGACAGTCGAGGCTGGCCAATACTTATTATGATCCGTCCTAGTGCCCTGGCTGCCCTCCTGGTGGACTTGACCTGTCGATGGGCCTCTTCGCCTTCTTCGCGGACCATGGACGAGGAATCATCTATGGCGAATGGAACTTCGGTGAACCTGCTCCTCCTGTAAGTCCTCCCAATGCCCGCGCTTATTCGAGGAGCTAACCATCATGCCTGTGATCCTGCAGCCTCCTCCTCCGCCTCCTCCGCCACCTCCTCCTCCTCCTCCACCACCACCTCCCCCTCCTCCCCCGCCCACTACCTTGGAGCCCCCGCCACCACCCCCGACATCGTCGGAGCCTCCCCCGCCACCCAGCACTTCGGCGACCCCAACCAGTTCTGCGGTTCCCAGCAGCTCTGTTGTCCCATCGGAGGCTAGTTCGACCTTGTCTGGAAGTGGCGCCAGCCTTCGACCAACGGCCAGCGCGACGCCCTCTCCTGCTGTTGGCAACCTCGGTGCTTTGAACCAACTCGTTGTACAGTTTGCTGAAGTCGTCGTCGACGGTGCCGCCGCTCCTCGCGATGTCGCCTAAACTGCCCCCAGTAGCGTCCAATTGTGTTTCCGTCCTCTTTTCATTCGTTCCTAATCATGTTGTCGATGCTATTGGGTTCTTAGGTTGTTAAACAATAGGTTATAATGTTCAGTGTTACATTTTTAGCGTTGTCTACTTACATTCGTATACCACTGACTTCATCGTCTTGTACATAGGATATCATCCAATTTCCATCTCCCCCCTTCGTGTTGTAGTCCTTCGCGTTGTAGATCATTTCGAAGGCCCGAAGGGCTTCTACCCACCGTACATCTTTAGCAGGTTCTTGTTGGATGTCTCGCTGTTGTTGACATCGATAATTGTTTGAATGCAGCAGCTTTAGGCTGGTCCACGATTGACAGCAGAAATGGCGACGGAAAGACTGTCCATCCACCCGTTTGAAATGGTTAACAAAGACGAGTTTGGTCAGGAAGGGGTTTGAGGGGAAAGCGAGGGAAAACCTCTGGCCAGTGCTTCAGCTGAGTCTTTATATTTCAAAAGAAAACCTTCCAAGCTCTCCAAGCATCCATGGCAGAAGCTTGTCTTTCTTGGTCAAAGGGAGGCAGCGTAGTATGCCCGCACTCTCGTCACTGGCAAGGATTAATATCCGAGAATTCGCAGGATTTTTCAACTATCTTCGCGACGACTTCAGAGACCGAACCCTGGTTCGAGCTGAAGGTACGCCACGAGTCATTCAAAGTCATTCAACGTCTTCATTCAGGATTTACTCGGTTCAAGCATTATTCTAAGGGCCTCGACTTCAAATTCACCAGTTCAGCACAAGGACGCCGGCTGGGCACGGCGGCGTCGGCAAAGGCGGTCATCGGCGATATGTTCATCAGCGCCACATGTGATGCCTGACGCCTGGAATGATCGCCAAGTATTTTAGTCACTGAGTTTGCGAGCGCTTCGTCGTCCTCATCTAAGCGCGTAATTCGTATTTTTAGGGCCTTCTTAAGCGAAGAAAACGTCTGTATTGATTACCTGTTCACTGTAGGGTACATGGAGGAAAAGTGCAAAGAGCAGGAGAAGCGTCACATGATAAACCTGGAAGAACATACAAGCCAAGAAAAACCAAATGCATCGCTCACCGTTCCCGGGCACCGCACAACACCCCAATTGAGGTTCGATGATTGATGCCCCTTCTCGCCCATCGCAACATCGAGTTCCCTTTGCCCACATCCCCTCCTGTCGTTGACCTCACCACACTCGCTAGACAAAGTGTAAGGGCTCCAAGACCTGTACACTTTCCCTACACTCCTTGCTTTCAACTGTACACTACACTCCTTTCCACTTACTGTTTATCCGAGGAAAACCGTCGTTCTTTCATCAACGGCGTCGACCCTTGACGACGGTGACAAAAAGCGATAAAACTCACCTAACCCGCTCTTGTTGTATAATTCTCGACCACGACTAGAAGAACCACGATGCGACTCCTAGGCCTGTCGACTGTTCTCTCTCTCGCGTTGGCGACTTTGGCTGCCAACCACAACGCCCGTTTGAACCGCGTCAACCACGGCGAAATTGCAAAGAGGGCTGCGGTGGACAACACCCACAACGAGACCACCAACGGAACTGCTTTGCAGAAGCGGTTCGAGGGCTCCAAGTGGACCTGGTACGACGCGCAAACTGGTAACGCGTAAGTCGATTCCCCTTGGCCTTTGCCTAAAAGCGGTGGTTCACGTTGGTTTCCAGTGGTGCTTGCGGTCAATACATCCAGAACTCGGACTGGGTAAGCCGCAAATTCCTCGGATTGCTGCCAGGGATGCTGACTCTCATCGATGTAGGCTGTCGCTTTGAATACCCCTGTGAGCTAGACCTCAGTCTCACCGACCTCCTGAACACTGAGTTGCTGACCGTCTTCCTCAGCAATACGGCGGCGGCTACCCTGGCCCCAACTGCTTCAGATATGTTACCTTGCGCTACAACGGCAGGACCGCTCGGGCCCAGATCCTTGACCAGGTGCGTTAGACATGCTTTCACAAAAATCGCCCGCAAATTTCTCACCTTGTGCCTGGAATGGATAGTGCCCTGGCTGCCCTTGGGGTGGACTCGACTTGACCCCTGATCTGTTCGCCTACTTCGCCCCCCACGGCGCAGGTATCATATACGGCTCTTGGGACTTCGACGACGGCCAACCTGCCCCGCCCCCGGAACCCACTACCACTTGGCAACCTCCCCCCGAGCCTACCACCACTTGGCAGCCTCCTCCTCCTCCTCCTACTACCACCTGGCAGCCTCCCCCCGAGCCCACTACGACCTGGCAAGCTCCTACCCCCACCACGACCTGGCAACCCCCTCCCAGCAGCTCCAGCGTTCCCAGCAGCAGCAGCGCTCCCTCCTCGAGCAGTGCAGCTTCCTCCTCGGCCTTCCGTAGCGCCAGCGCGAGCGCATCCGCCAGCGGCTCTGGAGCCGCACGGCCCTCTGGAAGTGCTGCCACCGGTTCGCTCGTTGGCGGAGGCAGTGGAAGGCAAAGTGGTGTCCTTGCTGACATCTCCGAGGTCTTTGTTGCCTTTGGCAACCTCGCTGTCGATGGAGCAGCCATCCGCAACTAAGCTGGCGTAGAGGAGGGGAGACCTTGCTGATCGGGGTAATGGACAGATCACAGCGAATGGGGTACCCTGCGACGTGGGCCAACCGCCACGCACTTCGCATCCACTGCCCTCGATTCAGCAACGCATAACGAAGATGACGTCGAACTAACCTTTCACGAAGTGTCATTTTATAATCCTTTGGGCCTTGCTTTATGTTTGAGTGTGATAACAGGTTTCTTGCGACTTCTAGGGAAAACAGATGTGTTTGTTGTAAAATGCATTTCTATCACACTTGTATACCACTTACTCACCTCTCCTTTATTAACTTATTATTATACTTTCTTCCTCGTCCTGCCTTCCGTCTTGTGGGCAGACGACCGGACGAGCTTGCTCGTTCCGGCTTTTGTGCATTGATTGTAGCGGTAGTGCTAAGCATCGCCGTCTGTAGTTGACTTATTGCTTGATTTAATGACATAGTAGTGTCATCGTTAGAGTTCGAGTTCGAAGGATTGTCGCCTGAGTTTCGGAAGTGGGTTCAACAGAACGGAGCCAGATGCTTCCGTGGCAGGTCTAGTGACTCTAGTCGTCGATTGCGCAGAAACCGAGTGAGGATGATCGGCAAGTACTAGCACGAGAGTTCACGATTGGCAGAATCCGACCCGATTTTGTCAATCCTCAGAGATGCTGCGAGAGCGAACGAAGCAGGGGGAAGCAAGGGCGAAGAGGCGACTCCTGATGCTCCAACTTAGCTTTAAGTTAATCATAAGTCCACCTGACATCGGGCGCCAAAGCCCAATGGGTTTCATCGTCTTAGGGCAACCTAACGACGTCTTGAAGCGAACAAGACGATACGGTTAGACTGAACCGCTGTCCGTTGACCGGGTCTACACTGATTATATTGAGCCAAGAACTCGTTCCAGACTGGAACGAGGCGGCGTCCCTTACGAAACTTCCACTCCACTTTTCTCTGCACCCCATTTTTTTCTTCCCCAATGATCCGCACTGGCGAGAGTAGAAGGTGGCTCTTCTCGTGCATATGAATCTCAGGAATTCGAGGGGGAATTGAGGAAGTTTCGTTGGAGCTTGTACAGGCGAGGGTCGCGCTGGACAACCACCGCACCCCATTTCGGCATTCCGCTTCTTTTCTGGGACGCCATGTGGGCGGTGGAGTTAGGGCTTGGCATCCCGCACTTTCCCATTTTGGGCGTCGGGCCGACACGTTGCACCCATCCTCCTCAGAATTTGGACTGGAATTCTGGCTTAAATGCCCGTTGTTGAGAGCAAAGAGTGTAATCTTATTGGCAGAAGCTGCTCAAGCTAGGAGGATATCCTTTGCCGCCGGAGAACAAGGGAGGAATACATTATTTGCGCTATTAATAGAAGATGGCGACCGCTAAGCGAACAATGAGTGTTGTAACTTGTTGGCAGTTGGCAAACTCCGATTGATTGCAGCGATTGACGGCACTCAAGATGTGACACGACGGGCATAAACAGCCTTTCTTCTCACCAACAACCACTCTTCTTCAACCACAACTTTATTTTGCCTCTCGCAGGCCCTGTCGCTCGTTCATTTCCCTTTAACGTTCTTTAAGATCCAGACTGCTGCAGAAGAAAGAAAACACCACAGCAACCCAAGCTTCCTCCAAGCGTTATGAAGCTGCTTGGCTCTTTTGCCTTGCTGTCTGCAGCGCTCGTTGGCTTCGCCAACGGGGCGACTGTTCACGGCCTCAATGGCCACAACCACCACCGCGACATTGCCAAGCGGGCTGCTGGTGACCTTACCAAGCGTGCTCCTGGCTCCAAGTGGTCCTACTATGATACCGAGACTGGTAACGCGTACGTCTTTCATCCTTTCCAAATGCCAACAATGCCGCTCAATGTCAATATGTTGCCAAATGCAGCGGTTCTTGCGGCCAGCACATCAGGAACAGTGACTTTGTAAGTCCCAGGCCATCTCTCTTTGGAGCTCATGAACTCACAATCCCTTCTAGGCTGTCGCCATGAACGTCGCTGTACGTTGCACCGTTGACGACGGAGTATTTACGATGCTTACTTGTTCAACAGGAATACCGTCAAGAGGACTGCTTCAAGACCATTACTTTGAGCTATGAAGGCAAGACTGCCCAGGCTGTCATCATGGACATGGTATGCGGCTTCGATTTCTGATTACAGTCTGCGTTTGTTCTAAATTTGCGATGCAGTGCCCTGGTTGCCCTCCCAATGGTCTTGATCTGTCCGCAGGTCTTTTCCAGTTCTTCGCGCCTCACTCTAGGGGTATCATTTACGGAGACTGGTCCTTCGGCGGTGGAGCTCCTCCCCCTCCTCCTCCTCCTCCTCCCCCTCCTCCTCCCCCTCCTCCCCCGCCTCCTGTGAGTAAACCTAAAACTATTTAAACATTTGCTTGTTCCTGACTTGGGGTTTTCAAAGCCTCCCCCTCCACCTCCGCCCCCACCTCCACCACCTCCGCCGCCTCCTCCTCCTAAACGGGTAAGCGCACATTATCTATCTAATCTGAATCCTGAATCTGATCCACCTGTGCAAATAGCCTCCGCCCCCACCACCGCCTCCCCCTCCTCCCCCGCCCCCTCCTGTAAGTTTCTTCAATTTGACGGGATATATCCCTTGTAGCTGACTTCTCGTTTCTACCAGCCTCCGCCCCCTCCCACCTCGTCGGAGCCGGCACCCCCTCCTCCGCCACCGTCGAGCTCAGCCGCTCCTAGCTCGAGTGCTGAACGCGTTGAATCGACTAGCTCAGCTACCCCATCTGCAAGTCCTTCAGCGCGTGTTGGCGGTGACTCGGATGTCGTTCCGTCGGCTCCGCTTCCACCCACTCCCTCTCCTTCTCCCACTGGACCGTCGAGGAGCTCCGACCCAGGCAACGTCGAGGGCCTCTACGAGTTCTTCATCCAAATGGGCAATGTGGTCGTCGAAGGTGACCACGTCAAGCAGTAGATGCCTCGCAGATTCCTAATCCCTTATTTAAACTAATTTCCGGCTCGTAATGAGCTCACTCTGGGGCTCTGGACTTGCAGTTATCCTCAATTGTCGTGTTTTTCGGGCAGGAGAACGCTTGCCGTTCGCCCCGTGGCATTGCACTTGCATCGTCTCGGATGGATTAGATTGTTTACTCTTGGACTGATACTTGCTCTAATACTCTCATATTCCTCTTACTTACCTTTCATTGTCACGATCCATGATGTATACCCCTGTCACTACCTACCTAGTGTCGGTTCTGCTAATGTATGGGCCGTTTCAGTGAATTCATTCTGTTCTCTATCATCCTCGAGTCCTATTTGTCGGCAAATTGAACACTCGACTCTCAAGGTCTTGGTTAGGCACCCGCAACTGCAGCCATAATGAAGTGGCCCGACGATATCCCAGCCAAGCTTGGCCAAGTAGCCCAAGTGATGGGTGTACGCTACTTGCCTTCCCCGTACAGAAAAGTCCTAACCAGACTTGAACGCCAGTTAGGTCATTAACGATGCGTCGGGTCGCTCGAGTCACCTGGTGCATGCCTGGTTTCTGCAAACGCAGGCATTAGCTCGATTCAAGGCAGGTCTCTGGACTTGGCCTGGAAGTTCAGCAAACCCACGGTTTGCCCCTGGTGGATGCGCACCCCGAACGCCATCAGATGATGAAACGGGTCTTGTGCTCTCGATTGGCGACTATGGTTCCCAGCAACTAGCTTGTCCTCACCCACCCACCGCAAATTTGTCCCACTGGCCTCACCGTGATGATTGGGTCGTAGGGGGCTCACTGTGCTCAACCTTTAAATTCTCCAGGGTTTCGAAGGTGAGGGAAGGTACCGCCCTTTCTTATTGACCGTGTCCTCACCCTACGGCTCTAGGTTATGTCAGTTAACGGTGGCTTACTCGCTGCCTTTTTCACTCTACACGGTGTTGCTGCCTGGGGCGGCTTGATACTCCTTGTGACTGCGGTCGTCGCGAGGTCGGCGGTGCGCCGCCAAAATGCCTGGTACAACTTTATCTTCTCCTGGGTCTTCCTGTCGACATCTTTCTCGCTGCTCCTCTTTGGACATAAGCGCGATCCCGAACCGCCATTCTCCTTGTGTCTGGCCCAGGCGGTCATGAGATACGGGGCTCTTCCGCTGTACGTTGTCAAGCTGGGAGGATTAGGATGGTGTACTGACCTTACGATGATTCAGGGTTTCGGGAACGACAGTAGCTCTTGTCACTCAGGTGAGTCAGGAATCGAGCAAGCCCTTAGGTCATTGGTTAACATGTGGTACTTTAGGTTTATTTCAACATCAGGAATTGGGTCTCAAACTCCACGCCAGGAGAGGTTCAAAAGCATGTTATTTGGATGGTAAGACTCAACACCCTATTCTGATTCAAGGGACTACCATGCTTATCGATTCTTGATGGTGCAGCTCCTTCTTGCTCCATGGATCGTGGCTGTTGTGGTGTCCTCTGCTTGCGTTGCGGTGAGTTCACCCCGTGAAGCCAGCACAACACGATGGCCTTATCGCTGTCTGATAGGTTGGACTGTCCAATCCAGACCGAGTCAGAAGGGAAGGTTTCTACTGCATTATCCAAGTAGGAGCTGTGTATGACTTTTCCCTTTCACGGCACTACAACCGATATTCAACCGCTTGCTTACAGATTTCGGGCTGTAAACATTTTCGTCGCGGCGTTAATGCTACCCACAGTTGTTCTCAACGGTGCGTCCTTTGTTCTGTGGGCGCCTTCCTTAGTAGTCTGACTTCGATTTGGGGTCAGCAACCACGCTGTACTATCTCAGAGGCAATTGGCACCTTTTGAGGGGGAGTGTCTTGCGCGTCCTTGTGTTCTCCATTTCCAGCGTCGTTGCGATGGTGTACGGACCTTTCCCTAGAGTCTAAAACAGACAGAACACTAAATCCACTGATTCCTTAGCATGGGACTTATATTTGCCACGTCTTCGGGGAGCCCATTGCGTGGTTTCGACGTCGTAACAGCTGGAGGTGAGAAAAGCGTGCTATACTTACTCGAAGCATGCGCGCTGACCCCCGAAAAGTCGCAGCATCTGCTATTCTGATTTTCGCAACACAGGGGGTATGTCGACTCCTACTTGCAGCAGGTGGAAACATTAACAGGTTTCATCGCGGTGTTACAGGATCTCTGGGGCGTTTGGATGTTTTGGAAACCGAATAAATCAATCGCCCGCGATGCCTCGACTCTGTACTCAACGGAAAACAGTACAAATCGCAATCTTATCGCTACGAGGAGCCCATCAACATGACATGGCTTCTTCGAATGACCGGCTGGCCCGTCAGAGCCGCAATTGTCTCCTCCGGTTCTCGTAATGTTTGGGACACGTACTTACATGCGTTTAGTTGCATGTAATCACATTGTTTTCGAGGGCGCCAGGCCCGTTTTCCAGCCCAAATTTTGGCGCCTGTGCGCACTGGCTGTACTGAGCACTGCCTTCCCAATTTGTCACGACCCGCGCCTAATTCGAGCTTATCTTGACATGTCGATCATGCTGAAATTTTCTCTGGCTTGTCGGTGGCGGAGCCTTCACGCTGAAATTTCCATTCTACCATTACTCACCAGTGGTTACGAGGGGCACTGGAGCACCCCAATTTTCACAGAACCCCCCCTTTTTCGTGTGCTTTGGCCATGTCACCTATGATAAAATCTAGGCGCTCATTGGAGTCACTCTTGAAGAGCCACTACAACTTCGAGAATTCTTTATCAGATTTCACTCTCCTCCGGCCCAAGCTCGGCAAAACCAAATCCACCCCTTAAGTGACAATCAACCTCGAACTGTGGACCTTAATAATTATTCTATGCTACTCTTTTCCATTCCAGTACTCCGCGACCGTGTGTTTCTATGAAAATTTCAATTGTTTGTCCCCCCTCAGTCTGTCCGTCTCGCGTTTCATCTGTCACGTTTTGGGGTGGAGATAATCCTCCCCGAACGGTATAAAAGGTATTCGCGAGTTGAGGAGCGGAGTCCAGAGGTTTACCCTTTGGTTACCCTCATTACCTTCGTTCATTCCGACCCCCTCCCCTTCTTCGCCTCTTCTCTGTTCTTCGGTCGAACAACCCCTTCCCTCCCAATCGTTCATTTCGAAAGCTTAATTGAGCAATCCAAGGCACCCTCTGCTTGCAGACCCTTGCCTTCTCTTCATCCCTCGAGGAATCGACCGCGCGAACTCTAGAACGCGAACACCAACCATGCACTTCCAACTTCAGCAATTCGTCTCTCTGATTTTGCTCATGATCAGTTCATGGGCCACCGTGGGCGGACTGGCTTCCCCCATTGGTTCTCCCCAGGAACTCGCTAAGCGCGCTCCTGGTGATGTCCACCTCTACAAGAGGTTCACCAACTCCAAGTGGTCCTTCTATGACGTCGGACTTGGTGCTTGCGGCGAGTGGAATGTCGAGAGCGACTTCGTAAGTTTGACCATTCCTGGTCATGCCCCTATTGGCTTGCTGATGAATGCCCTTGTCGCTGTCATTAGATCGTTGCACTAAATGCCGAGGTGAGCTTCTTTCGTTCTTCGTAGTCAAGACAGTCTACTCACCGATGTTGTTTTTCAATTCTTAAAGCAATTCGGATCCGGCTACCCAGGCCCTCATTGCGGAAAGACCATCACTCTGAGGTACAATGGCAAGACCGCTCAAGCCAAGATCATGGACCGGGTAAGTTCAACCCCCCATTTTCACATCGAAAGTCGATGTTAATGACAATCGACCCTAGTGCCCCGGATGCCCGTACGGCGGACTTGACCTTTCCCGAAGTCTCTTCCGTCACTTCGCTCACGAAGATCTCGGCATTATTTATGGTTCTTGGGACTTTGGCAGCGGTGGAGGTGACAATGCTCCTGCCACCACTCAAGCTCCCGCACCCCCCACCACCACTCCCAGGACCACGAGCACCCCTGCTCCTGCTCCCGAGCCTACCACCACTCGTAGAACCACTACTTCCCCTCCTCCGGCCCCCACCACCACTCAGGCTCCCGTGACCACTACCAGTAGCACCCCCACCACGCGTGCTCCCGAGCCCGTGCCTACCACTTCAAGGACTCCTGCCGTCAACATCGTTGTCAGCAGCTATTCTTCGAGGTCAGAAGTCACTTTCAGTTCTGCTTCTTCGGCCGCCACGACGGTGCCTGCTCAAGTCCTCACTTCACAAGCCCCCGCCGCTCCCAGTCCTTCCGTCACTGGTGACGACGAGGACGAAGAGTGGGACGAGGAGTGCGAGGAGTATGAAGAGGATGACGAACCCGATTCCCTCGTTCCTGAACAAGGAGGCCCCACCGTGACCACGTCGCAAGCTCCCTCTGTCGTGCCGACCACCAGTGCTACCGCTCCTGCTTCTGTGAAGCCAGCGACCACTGTGTCTTCGTCCACGCAACGAGCTGCGACGTCTTCACCAACCGCTGCCGTTGTCCCTACCTATTCCCCTTCGCCTGCCGCTGCTAGACCTTCCGCTGACGCTACTGTCCATAGCGCGTCGGCGTCGTCTTCCGCTGCTTTCTTGGAAGACGTCGTCCCAAGCACCGTCATTGCCGCTGCTGCTCCTTTGCCGACTGAGTCGGGAACCTTGGAGGAGAAGCTCCAGGAGAACTGGACCTTGATCACCCAGCTCTTCGAGATGCTGGGCAAGCTCATCCAGTCTCTTGCTGGAGGTGAAGATGCACCTGCTGCGTCGGCATCGGCTTAAAAAGGCGGTTTCGGGTTAGATTTTGGGTCTTCGGGTTGAACTGAGGGAAATCAGACAAAATAGAATAGACGGATCGTTGATCGTCCAAATGTACCATAGATAGACGCCAGGAGACCGGTGCTCCTCGCCCAATCCCATTTTCATTCATTTTCGCCATTAAATCTTGTTCGTCACATTCATTAGGCTAGATACGCTTCAGAAGACAATCAGATGAGTCCATGGTTTATACAACAGAAGAGAAGAGAAATAAGTTACGAAAGAAGTGGAAAAAACCATATAATATGTCCAAAGATTACAGTCGAGATGGCTGGGAGTCGTGGTCGTAAGGAGTTGCCTCGTAAGTAGTTCTCATGGGTGTGGTTCAAGAGTTGGCAACTTTCCAGAGTAACTGGGTGTAGTCAAAGTCGGATTTGACAGATGCAAAGTCGATAGTGTGAATGTCCCCAGAGGTGGAGCCTGGCAGAGCCGTCAGCTTGGCTTTAGGCATATTGGAGAAATAACCCATACGAATAAGCATTTTCGCTACTTTGCGGTCTGGGTCATATATTGGCTCGAAGCCCATTCCCTGGTATAATTGAAGCCGCAGCCTGGAGGACTGTCAGGTCGAAACAGGCGGAGACAAACTAAGCGACATACGCAGAACCATCGAGTTCCTTGGCATGTTCAACGGCAGGGTCGTAGGCTTCCAGTGCTCGAGCCTCCTCCTTCAACTTGGCTAGTTCAGCTTCCTTACTGCCTACCATGCCCTCAGCATCACTTATGGCCTTGGCCAAGGACAGCTTGGTGCTGTCCAACTTGTTCAGCATGGCTATGTGCTCTTCCTGCGACGGCACAGAGGGTGGGCGCGTCGAAGATATCCGCGCAGCTTCGAGTGTTCGGGTCAACGCTACAACATATACTGGTCAGTCAACGAACAAGAGCGGGATTTCAGGTGCAACGGACCCTTTAACTTTGCGTTCGCCTTCTCTAGTTCTTCTTTTCTCTTCTGGTCCGACTCGATCATCCTCTCCTCTGCAGCGACGATGGTTAGATAGTCCTCCTCCGCATCCATAATAGCGTGCATGTCCCTGATCGCTTTGCTAGACAAACCTGGTCAATTATTTACTGTTTCGCCTGTCGTCTCCTACGTACATTGCTTCCTGTACATCGATAGACATCTTGAAATATGGTTAAAGCCGTCTAAGTTGTTCACATATGAGCTGCTGGTTCGCAGTGGTGGTCGTTTGAGCAAGAAATCAATCGTCGCGCCAAGTTCGGGCGCAATACGCCCTTGCATCCCTCTACACGTGATGCGACTGAGCGCGTCCGTTCGATTCTCGTTCGGTCAGAAAGTTCTAATGAAGACACGATTTGAATTTCAGAACACAAGGCGACTACGAATAACAGCATAGGTAAAGTTACGAGTATCGTAAAATTCGTGATTAACCGTAAAGAAAATATTAAACGTGTTATACTAGGAGAGGAGAGCTAGATGAGAAGAGAGATTGAAGGAAAGAAGGTATGTTGCACGAAGCAGATAACGTCCGTCCCAAGAGTGAATTGGAACGTAGGGGAGATAAGCAATCATTTCCGTCCCTCCAAAGAAAGCGTTCCAGAATCGGATTAGACAACACCCTGCCCAACGGCAGGTCCGTGATGACCAGCAGTGGCAGGAGCGTTATGTCCAATCATGGGCTCATGCGAACTCCTGGGATCGGTGACGCTTCCAGTGCCATATCCCTGACCGTAGCCTTTGCCTGCGCCAGTAGCAGCCGACATAGCAGCGCCACCTAGCCCAGCCGACAAGGCAGTAGCATCATTGGGAGCACCATTCGAAGCTTCGCCTCCACCAAAGTCCCAGCCTCCCTCGCGGGAAACGGGGAGATCGCGAGAGGTGAACTCGAAGCCTGGTTGGTAGTTGTAGTACGGTCCGCGGTTAGGGAATGGCAAGTAAGGCTTGCGGTGGAAGAAGGAAGTGGCTCGCGGGAGAAGGACGTGGTTGAAACGGTAGTCCCAAATGGCGGCGAAGGTCTGCCGGTAGGCGATGAGAGCGGTCGAGATACCGATGAGGCCTCCGACAACCAGGTCGTACCAATGATGGTCTATGGAAGAAAGGTCGTCAATTCAAGCCTTCGTGACTTCGTGAAGCCAATAACTTACGCCTGTCAACAACCAAGGTCGCAGAGATCAAGAAGGCGCCAAGGAGGGGTGCAAAGAACATGATCATCTTCCAGTAGGCCGGGTTGTGGGCAGCGATGACCTTGAGTTGTGCGTTGAAGTACAAGGCAAGGAAGAAGAGACCAGCCCATGCAGCGGTGGCGTGGCCGGAGGGCATCGACTCCATGGCCTCATCGATATCGTCAGGGTCGCCCGTGCAAATGGAACGGTCGAAAATAATGTTCTGGAAACCCATCCCATTCAAAGAATCGCCACTTGACAACTGAGGTTGACAGATAGCGAGGAAGTGGGGGCGCAAACCACCGATGAGCCACTTGATGAAGACTTGGAACAGAGCGGCGGTGATCAAACCTGTAGTCATATGGTCAGTACGCTGTCCTACGATCCTGCATACTCTAGACTCACTCCTGAGCAGGCCCAGAGTGGTAGTGAGCCAATCGTCGACGCTCCTCCTGCGGAATTGGAACAACGTAAAGAAGAGCAATGGAACCAAGAATGAAATAAGGACCGCTGCCCAGAGGGGCATTCGGTTACTGCGAAGGGGATACGCGATGGAGTAGTCCGCAATACTTCCATCGGTATTGAAGATGGCAAACGTGCGGGTTGGAGCAGGACCTGAGACGTTCATGAGCTCGACGTCCACAGAATGAGTGTAACTGGATGAACATACCGGCGAAGTGGATGCCCAAGGCAGCAGCTCCCATGGCGGCCATGGTGAGGATATCAAGGGCATGAAGTTTCAACCAAGAGCCAAAGCTGAATCTTGGCCCAATTGCACGATGACCCACGCGAGTATGGTCAGTACCGGTGGTACCGGTGCTGTTGCGGAAACCGCGACGGTCATGCTTCTCAATACCATTGGTACCCAGAGGGCCCGTCGTTCCAGTCGTATTGGTGGTAGCAGTGGTGGTTGCCATTCTTCTTCTACCTTGAGGTGGCCTGGGAGGATACGAAGGATGGTTCCGTATCGAGGAATTCACAAATTCAGTCATGCTTTATACTTTTAGTTGGAGGTCCAGTGACACTTCGTCATCGACGTCCAAGATTTCCATAGATTTCCAATGCCATACATCGCAGGGTTAGAGGGAAGGCATTCGAAACAAAGTCAGTTAGCGCATGACAGACGTCATGGATTCGCGAACCTGTCCACAACAAAGGCCGTGGGTTCACAATCGTATATGCAGAGTCAGTTCTGGAGTCCAGAAGGAAGTAAAATGGGGGATACCTGTCTATCGTTGGAGTGCTAGAATCATGAAGTCATCCGTGCTACCGTGACTGCACGAGTGATGCCAATGTTGCATGCGCCGGCAGAAACCAGTCGCCACGCGGAAGATGCACTGTTACTGATCGCAAATGATGCAGAAAATATCCGTTCATTACTGTATGGGTCGTGCCACAAATCGTCGAGTTTGTACAAGTGAGGTGGGTGATAGGCACTACGATTGGCGAAGTCGACTACCATTTCTTGGAGCACCACCGTCCAGAGAACTATGCACTCCACTTGCCAAATCCGACATATAAACTCGGCTTGGCTTCAGGGATGATAATCCCAGCCAGATTCTCGTGTGAATGGGAGATCTCGAGGTGGTCGGTGAGACAATGTCTGTCGGGGTTGACGATGGAGTAGCGAGGTCATTCTTGGGAGCAAGATGTGGTTGTATCGGTAATCCCATATTGAAGCAAAGGTCTGTCTGAAGGCGAGAGTTGCAGTCCCAATCCCGATTGCTGAACCCACAATTACGTCTGACCAATGGTGATCTAGAATACCATTCAGTTACGACACCTAGGGATAGGAGGACAAAAGAAGCTCACGATGGTCTCTCACCAAGTACGCCGAGAGAAGGAAGGCCCCCAGAATAGGGGCGAGAAATAAAACCGACTTCCAGTATGCTGGGTTATTTCCTGAGATGACCTTGAGTTGCGCGTTCAGATAGAAGGCCAGGAACATCAGCCCGGACCAGGCAGCCGCTGAATGACCTGAGGGCATGGTTCTCAGAGCATCTTTGATGTGCTCGGAATCGCCAGTGCATATCGAAGGGTCATAGATGATGTCGTTAAACCCGATGCCCGATGGCGCATCACCTGGTGAGACAAGAGGCTTGCAAACGTCGTAGAAGTGGGGTCGCAGTCCTCCAATAGTAGCTTTGATAATAACTTGGAAGACGGAACTGGAGACGACGCCTGTTGCACTTGGTGAGTAACAACTCCAGCGAATGACGACTAGTTCTCACTTTTTATCAGGCCCAGGAACGTGGTCAACAGGTCGTCCACGCTCTGTCTGCGCGCCTGAGCAAGCACGAAGAACACCAACGGAATGAAGATGGCCATAAGAGCAGATGCCCATATAGGAACGATTTGCGTCTTCCGTGGAAACGAGTACTCTGGATACATTATTGACCCATCCACATTGTAGATGGGGAAGTCATTCGAAGGTGCAGCTGTAGGAGAGAGGAAGCGTTTAATGGAACGAGGCGGTTGCAAATTCTAGAAAGAACCCACGGGCTAAATGAACTCCAAGAGCCACAGCTCCCATACAAGCCATGGTAATTATATCCACGCCGTGAAGTTTTAGCCACACGACCAGGTTGAAAGCTTGTGTCTGCTGCGCTCGAGGTTGCTGCGCCAGTGGTTGTTGGCTGCTGACACTGGCCGCTGGTTCATGGTCGCGTGAGGGCATTTCTGCTGGTCCTTTCTCCATCGCTGGTCGTGGTTTGCTGCAAGGTCGAACTGCCGTCAAGTCTGGAATCTGCTGTTGATATCCGTCCAGCTTATGGCCTTGGGATGACCTTTTCCCCGGTTAAATGTCCTCCGAGGCTTTGCTGTGTATGAAACCGTCGAACTGCGGTTTGCAATGTGTATTCATCAAGGCAAACGTGGATTTTGCCCATGAGGTCGACCAAAACGGGCTCCGGCAAAGGCGTGCCTTTGTAAAGCTGTAAAGCTTGTGCGTCATTTGGCGCTGAGCCGAAACACGACGAGAAACGCAGTCCAGTCTGTCCAAGCGAAAAGATTGCTTGGCACGAGGGTGGTCGGCGTTTGAATATTTTGAGTCCAGAAGCGCTGACTACCTGTTGCTTACACGAGGTCCAATGAATGCTGAGCTCTAAGATCATGTAGTACTCGAAAGAAAGCTGAAACTAATTCTATTGTACAAAAGTCAGTTGATTTATGTCGAACAGCAAAGCGAAGAGCGGGGCGAGAACCATTATAATGTACATGATGTTAGAGAATAGACCATCAACGCTAACGATAGCAGTGCAAGAGAATCGTGTCAAGGGTTAGTGAAACCAGCTAACGAGGAGGACTTGCAACCCGTGGTCTTTGACCCATCGTTAAGACGCGTAGTTGCGCTTCTTCCGGAGGTCCTTCATCAGTGCATTCCGGCTTGGATACATCAACTGCCTGACGGCCTCCGCTCCTTGAGAACGGACTGCAAGGTATTCCTTGATGTTAATGAACGCCCGAGACTTGAGGACACTCTTCGCTGCTTTCAGACTTCTAGGCAGCGCCGATGCCATGGATTCTATACCGAGCTCTATAATGAGGGACTGCAAAAGCGTTAGCCTGCAGACGGCATTGCGCTTCGCCTCGGAGCTGGAGAGATACCTGTTAATTCGTCAGTATTTCCCCCTATGCGCCGCGGACAGATGTACGCACGATGATATGTACGCAGCAGCTTCTTCGTACAAGGATGGCCCCGCTTCCTTGACAGGGGACTGCGCCTCAGACAAGTCGTTGACAACCGACCTGGAACCCAAGCCAGAAGGAGCGCGGGCTGAGCTCGCGTTGGACGATGATGCTGCTACCTGGGCCTTCTTCTGCTTCTTTTTCTTTCGTCTCTTCGCGGATTTGGTGACGACAGTAGGTGTGCCGTTGACCTTCGAGCCAGAGGCAGCGGTAGCGGGACGGGCCGTCGACTTGCATTCCACACACTTCTGAGTCCGCGTTTTGGCCGCTTTGGCTTCACGATCTGCTCCGGAAGCCAATTCTCGTACTTTGGAATCCATCGGTTGGGTAGTACTGTCATTAGAGGAGGTCGTCGGCGTTTGGTGATTATCTTCTATGGTGACTCGCTCGAGCTGGGGTACAAGTTGGCGGGTTGCGACAGTTGGAGTTGGGGGCTCGACCTTCGAGGTGGTGCTATCCGCATCGAGCAGGCCGGGGTTGTTGGTTCCCTCTCCATTATTGCCTCCTCTCTGCCCAGGACTGGACGTTGCGACTAGTGTAATCGTGGGTTTGGGTTTTGCCAACAGCACAAAATCGTCGTCGTCCTCGTATTCCGGAACGGAATTAGTGCCAGCGTGTTCCGGTTGGGATATCTCCGCGAGATTCCATACAATCTCGTCTTCGTCGATAGCGGGGGGAGAAAGAAGGCATACTGAGGAGCTGATAGAGCTGACAGTCGATGAACGCGCCCTGTTGGGCACTGGGGAGAGGACTTCGAAGGACGTAGCTGTTAGGGTGGGAGACGGGGGCAGGGTCGCCGTGGCCTTCATGGTCGTCATAGCGGAAGCGCAGTGGTGAACCGGGGTGAAATTCGTACCGCCTACCAGGTTTTCCCTCTATGTCCTCGAGGGTGCGAAAATTGCCAAAGGAAGTAGATATAATCCAAGAAGGATGGCGCGCTGTCAAGCTCCGAGATCTCTTGTCGTTACTCTTCGTGATGCCTGAGACAATAGTCAAGAGCAGTGTCGGAGCGCTGATACTGCGTATAGATAACGTATTTTTGAGAGAATAAGTGGCGATAAGTCGCACCACCCACCTAGAAGACTGAAGAGTGCAGAAACGAGGGGGACGGGAGTGGCATAGGGGCAACACCCCTAACTCACTTATATTGGAGCGATCACGGGATTTGCCGAGCGTACTTAAGCGCCAGTTCCGACCTCCCTGAAGCCTCGAGGTTCCTCACTTTTGTCTTGTGGCAACCTTCTTTGTGCGATCCTCATCACGAGGGCACCAACGAGGCCTCTATGACCCCGAATAAATACATGCACCCTGGAGTTAATGACTGTAGGTAATAAAGCAGATGCTTAACGGACGTCAACAATATTGTGACTTTCCACTTGGTAAAGACATTGCCATTTCCCTTACTCCGTGACGCACATAGCGATGTGGAAACGGGAAGTCTCTCCACCTTTCAAATGAATTGATAACAACCTACCGTTCATTTAAAATGCTGGACTAGCCGAGGTGTACGTCGCTTGAATCTGGAATCTTGAAGTACCTTCGTTCATAGTTGCCCGCAGGCAGACGCGCAGTCACTTGATGTTCATTTTATCCACACCATTGAACTATGATGAAACGTGTACCGGGGACAAACTGGCGCCACTGGATGCATCACCCGAACATTCCACTTATCACTGGCAAGTATACCATTCGCGCACTCTCCTGAAGTATAGATGGCACATATTTCCAAGGGCCGCACCATCCCGTCCCTCGTCGAGTACACGTATCATTTCTATGAAGTTCCCTTCTGATGAGGGAGACCGGTACTTACAGGCGCTTAATTTGCCCCCCGCAACCAGGGACTGGCAAAGAATCCACTTAATGTTTAATAATCATTTTTCAGCGCATCGTCGATTCAGAGACCCAATGCAAAACCACACCTACAAACTATATGGAATATCCGAGGCCAACCCCTCCACCTACTATCACACATCTACCCCCGTCCCATCCTAAACGGTTCAGTCCTCACAAACGACGAAACCGGCCTCATCTTCTCCTTCTTCGCCGGCGTCGGAGGCGTAAGCACGACCTTCATAACCCTATTCTTATCTTCATCCTTCTCATCTCCAAAAATCCTCGGCTGCGAAGGCGATATTTGAATGCTGACCATCGAGTCTGACACCGGAAGGCGGTTATGACGATCTAGTCCTCGAAGCATGTACCCTCCCAGAGTATGGTTGTAGACGAATGTGAACGGAGAGCGCTTGGTTCCCATTTGCTCGGTATCATAGATGCGGAGGTCGTGCGTGTAGTCAATTTCGGTTCTAGGTCGGGCGAAGGCGAAGAGGAGGATGACGATCGTCATTGTAAGGATGGTGAAGAACGCCACGAGGAGAAATATTCCGACTGGGATACATCGTTGTAAGTATTGGGAAGGTTCCTCGTGTTGGAGAGGGTTCAGTTACGAGACGTGAATGCCATTTCCAAAGGTCTTGAGAGGGTGCTCGGCAACTCCTGGTGTCTTGCCTGGAGATACATAAGTTTTATCCATTCCTAACATACGCAGAGGAACGCACCGCAGTAGTCGTCGCAGTCGTGGGCCGTGCCGTCAAGTCGCTGGAATATCGTCAACAAGAAACCAAAGGCCAGAAACCCACGAGCCAGATGGAGGAATGGCCGTTCGAAAGCCAACTGGACCGCGTAATGCTACGGGAGAGGAGATCCAGTCATGTCAGTCAGTCAGCCCTTAGTCAAAGGGGATTACCCCTTCCCCTAGGTGACACTGCGATCTCAAACCAGTTGAGATATCGTAGACTACAGGTGGTATAGTACAATGGACCCTCGGGGATAGATAGTCTTGGTTTTTGAACTCTTGGAGCCCGGACAGCAGACCCAAGATTCTACTTGTTGGCTGGTTGGCCCAACTCGCTCGCTCGTTCGGTCGCAGCCTGGATTCCACGCGCAATGGTGGAGCGGACTTTCCCGTCCTCCAGGGCCAGCAAGCCCGCAATCGTGCAACCTCCAGGAGCTGGGAAGATAGTCAGCGAGAGCTGAACGGCCTAGAGGGAATGGGACGCACTGGTAACGGAATCCTTAATCTGAGCAGGATGCATACTACCCCCCAGAACCATCCTAGCCGCTCCTTGCAAAGCTGCACGCGCCGAGAATCAGGCTCAAGAACAACACCAATACTCCGAAAGAGATACGTACTCTGCGCTGCCAGCTCCAGAGCCTCAGCCCTCGGCAACCCCATCATAACACCTCCATCCGCCATAGCTTCCAAAAATAAGCATGCAAATGCCGGACCAGACCCACCCAGAGCCGTGCAAGCGTCGAAATGCTTCTCCTCGAGGAAACGACACCGTCCGATTGAGGAGAAGATTTTGAGGATGATTTCCGTGTCATTGTCGGAGTGTGGGCTTGGCGGGAGGTTGGAAACTACCGTCATTCCCTCTCGAATCTAAAGAAAAGGCCAAAGAGATGGATGTGGGTTAGTTGAACTATTTAGCGGGAGAGAAGAGAGAAGGCTGCGACCTTGCAAGGGGTGTTGGGCATGGCTCGGACTACCCTCGTCGTGGGCAATACCATAGCCTCTAGTTGGCTCATGGTAACACCAGCGAGGATACTAATGAGCAGTTTCCCGTCGAGCGCTTCCTTCATGCCAGGTTCACCAAGAATAACCTGGGCGACCTGAGGTTTGCAACTACATGTCCAATCAGCTCCCGTACCACTCGAACAAACGACGGCGACACTCACCCCAGGAGAACAACATCCGACCTCTGCACCGACTCCAAATTCTGCTTCGCTACAACCTCCACACTTTGCCCGCGCGGTCCCAGCGCAGAAAAGGTCTCCGCCAACTTCTTCGCTGAAGATTCTCGGTTTACGCAGGCGATGAACTTTTTGGGAATGGTGGGGTCGGGCGTTTCTGCGGTTGGGGTCACAGTTCCTGGGGTGTGTATCTCCCATTTTTGCGGCTTGACACCGTTGGCTTGTGAGACACCTTTAGCAGAGTCAAGACTGGCGATAACTCCGGAAAGAACGGCGATGCCCATGGTCCCGCATCCTGGAAGGTTACAAGAACAACATCAGCCCATCACGTATAGGAACATTAAAACGAAAAGTCTATTCACCTAGCACGCAAAGTGTATATCCCATTTTGTCGATGTGGTGAGTGGTAAGAAGAGAGTTGTACACAGTTTCGGGAACACGATATTGAGTTTTTCCTATATACTTCCGGAATCCGCTTACGACCGATGACCAAAAATTCAGATCGGTAACACTGATAAACAGGTGCCTAGAGCTATGACGGCGCCAAGTCCAGACATTAAAACTGCTGTGAATTGAGCTAAAATACCACGACGGTCTAAATATTGCGGCAAAAGTCCTTGTAAAGAGAGCGAAAGTGCGATGCGAGCAAAGTGATTGAAAAGGGGAATGTGCAGGGTGTATTGTAAAAGGCATACGGATAGGGGATAAGATAATGCCGGGACTCGAATGGGCTAGGGTCGGGTCAATGGCCATTGGCTGCTCATCCTGTCCCGTTAGGTTGAGCTCCTCCATCGGTCTTCTTCCACAGAACGAAATCATCCAAGAGGGTCGGCCAAGCCTAATCATCAAGATATCTATCAGAGAGAACAATCGTGTAGGACGACGGGACTTACCCCGTCGGTTTCATAATCCTCGAGGGTTGGCTTGACGGTCTGGCAGAACTCGAGCATCTAACTTGGTTCAGCAGGAGTCCCGAGCGTTACGGAAAACACGCACCATGCTCCATAGGTCCTTGTTCGTCGCCCGATAGGTATCCTTTTTGGACTAGAGACGGATATCAGCAAGGGACGCCGCGTGACAAGCACTAGGTTCACTGACGTTGATAAACTCCACCACTTCTTGCATGATGGGGTATCTTGGCATAAGGAGGACCGACCAGAACGCTGTGGAAGTCTATGATGTGCAGAGCACCGTCAGCAAGATGAAGGGCTTTGGGTCCTTAGCTACGAGCGTACCTCCATATCAATATTCCTCGAGCCTCTGTGAAAGTATGTGAGTTAAGGCATCACAAGAAGGAAGGCGAACACGTACTGGGGTTTCGCGAGCACGAAGCAATAGCTATAGAACTTCTGGAAACTAGACTCTGAATTATGGGCGTAGGAATAGTAATTGGTTCTGTCGTATGGCTCCTGGTCACTCTTCGTAGGTTTCTTCAGAGGAGGCAGCTTGGAAATCAACAAGTTCTGCAAGTCATTCAAGGCTATTGACAAGGCCTTCAACGACGAAATCCTAACCGCGAGAATGGCCAGATCAATAACAGAACGCGGCGAAAATGGGTAAGTTCCGTACTTTAGAGATTCAGTGCCTTTGACCCATTCCTCCTTGGAGATCTTCGCCATCTCGGCTGCGTTCATTTGCCACGCGAATATAAGGGGTAGAGCGCCGTCCATAGGAATTTCGGCGTCGGTGAAAAGCTGCTCGAAACCTTCAGGACCGATGACATCTGGTGCATCACTATCCGCGTATTGAGCGAACAATTCCAGGGAACGCTGAGGACTATAGGGTTCAGGCTTGTCCGAGGCAGTCTTTGCGGGTTTGGGTGGTGGAGGCGCGGTCTTCTTGGGTGTTTGTGGCTGTACGGTTTGCTGCTGGGAGACGTTGGTAGAAAGAGAATGGTGAGATGGACGTGATTGAATGGAATCGACTTTCTGTAAGGAGCGGCATGTCAGATTCACAGTTAGTACACGTCAAAAAACCTAAGCTCCACTCGGACAGCGCACATACGTGAAAATTGGGGCTTACCACTACCGACGGTTCATCCTCGCTGTGGGCGCGTTTTAGACCGTTAGATGAGCAGCAAGAGAAGAATTTGAAAGGCATGAAGAGGACATAAAGAAGGCGTTGGACAACCGCAACACCTTATGAACGAAGCCAACACAGGTGCGTGCTGTAGTTTGTGAGAGAAACTCTGAACTGCAGTGCCTGTCGCCTGCCAGACCATACCGGGCGGTTGCTTAGTCAGCTAATTAACCACTTCTGCAAGTGGGCAGTCCACAGCGGTCGTCTGCAACTCGAGACAAGGGGATTGCGGGGAATGACAGGGAAAGAAGACAACGACATCCTATAAAGCGTGACGAACCTAGCTTCGGCCTTTTTCCTCCCCCGTTTCGTTGCTGGTTTCTCCCCGCCATTAGTGGCCGCCTTGGTCGTTCGTTTTCGTTTCGTAGCGGGCTGGGCGAGCGCGGTGAGATATGGCGTGATAGGATCCGGGAGAGTCTTGACAAACCTCTTCTTCACTATACAAGTTCATTAGGAAGATAACTTGAGACAAGAAATGAGGGAAACTTACGTGACGGTGGTTCCAGATTCCAGTGCCGCTGCCGCCTTGGTTTTCTTCGTCTGCTTGGCCGGCGCAGGTGCAGGTTCAGCAGCGGCTGTCTTGTTCCTGGTGGAGCTTCTGGTAGACCTTGTTGACGTCGTAGCCTCAGCTGAAGCGCCATCTTCTACGCGTTTTCTCTACCAAACCATGTCACGGTCGAACCTCAAAGTCAATCAGAAAAAAACAAACCTTGGGAGGCATTTTTGAGAGCAAATATAAAGTTGTAAACAAGAAGAAGAGTTTGGTAACAAGAGAAAGCGTATGATATGGATTGGGTGGTGGCTTCAATGCGTTCTGGTGCAGGTCGAGGTGAATCAAAGTGGCCGTATAGCAGCTGGCGCTGAACGCGCCTCGTCGGACATCTGCGTGATGGCGGTGTTGGAGAGTTTCAGACCCGGCCCGCCCTTAATCAGCTCTTGCCTTACGACATCCACCATGTCCGAACTCTTCAACGCCAACCCCGTCGTTTTCTCGACAACGAAACCTTCCTCAAGTCGTCTAGCAGAGAAATCAGCGCAATCACTATGGCTATATGATAACAGCGATACAGAAGAAGAAGGAAACGAGGTGGAGGAGATCGATCAGGACGAAGTATTTGGTATGATTCAGGAATTGAAATTGATAACGGCGAAACTCAGGTCCTTCTCCTCAGATCTCATACGCTCGATATACGACCCAGAGCACCCAAACACCCTCGAAGAACTCCGCGTCGTGTCGGCGTCTCAGGTAACAGTGGGCCACAACCGTATCAAGGTCGAATTTACACCCACGGTACCTCATTGCGGCATGTCTACACTCATTGGTAACGTCCCTTTGTCCTTCTTGTACTTTTGGTGAATTTCCAATTGACCTGCACCCATTTGGCTATCCTTGTTTTCTCTACTTCCATACAGGCCTCTCAATCCGAGTCCGCTTACTCCGAAGCCTTCCAAGTCGGTACAAGGTCGATATTATGGTCCAACCAGGTTCTCACCAGAGTGAGCATAGCGGTGAGTTCTCTCATCCAGAATGGAAGACATAGGACCGGCGACTAAACATCGTCCTTGCCTTGTTCTGTTCTATCCTTAGTCAACAAGCAGTTGAATGACAAGGAACGTGTGGCGGCAGCCCTGGAGAATCCGCCTTTGGTGGAGACTGTCGAGAAGTGCCTGGCGAACACCTGCGCCCACGACCACGCCCATTGAAACCTCCGAGTACTCACCGCTCCCATGCCTTTGTCCTTGTTCTTATTGTAGCTTTATCTTCGGACTTGTATTTTAATAACAATCTGGTATGTTTTTGTATTTCATAGTTGTATACTAAGAATCCTACGAAGATGTGAACATAACGAAGCATAAAGCGTTCTTCTAACGCGGTGGAAGGGGACGAACGAACAATTCAGGGCTAATGCTACAGTGGGGTTAAAGGAGACAACGAAGCAGGCTACAGTGTGTGTATGGAAGTATAGGCGACAGGAAAAAATGAAGAGAACAAACGAAAGCTATGCTACATATGGGGACAAGACCGAGTCAATGCTGGAGATCATGGGAAATGCAGAGAGAGAAATGAAGAAACAGATACAAGGAGTGTGCGTGTGCGTGTGGCGAATGCGATGCGAGATAAACAAATGCGAGGATAATGCAATGCGGAGAGTCCGATGATGGGTGGTGTGCTTTGAATCCGGGGTCGAGAGAAAGACGAGATCAAAGATCGAAGGTCGAAGGGCGATGGAGACGGAGAGGAGAGGCTAAAGGGGAAGGGAGGGTCGAAGCTTCAGTCCCTAACCAAAAAGTCCCAGTCAATGGCGTTTGTTGGTGCCTTCCTTGTGCACCCAAAGAACCTCTTCAACTGCTCCTTTGTGCCATTCTCGGGGGCACCGGTCTCCATATCCCACATCCTAAACGTCACATGCCCCCTTGTCACAACCACAACCCCATCCTGCTCGATTTTTTCCACCGGCTCATTGAACCGCACATTCCGCATTATCCGGTTAACGAACCCCGCTGAAAACGACGCCTTGCCGCCGTAGTGTATCTGTCCTTTGAAGTCGGATGGAAGCCAAACAGTAACGTCGGAAGCGTCTGCTTGGATTTCGAGATAGAACCGTGACCGACTCGAGACTGTCCGGCACTGTTCGAAGGCGATTTTAGTTGGTTCTGGAAAATCGAATGACACGCTAGTGAAAGGACTTACAACTTTGAGTTTGATGGGTTCCCTCTCGCCTCCGATGAACATGCTCATGCGATGATCAACAGGTTGGTGTCGCGCTCGATAGTGGGGAAGATTGAGGGAAAGGTCGACAGGTACATCGACACCGTCGATCTGGAAATCCCATTCCGAGTCGCCCTGGTACTTGACCTTGTGCGTGCCTCGTGTTGGTGCGCCGTTAAGCTATAGGGACTATATCAGCCATGGTACATTTTACTTGGATTAGATCAGGACTCACCAAGGACGCGGTCGATTTTTCGTACGAGTACTGTGGAGAGCAAGCTGATAAGGACGACAGCAGGCGTATCAGGGGAAGCATGACTTACAGTGGAGTGTCCTTCGGACGACATTATAAATATATAGTCTAAGGAATGATAGAATAGAGTAGCTTAAGCCGATTAGCCTAAAGCGCAAAACAGGGAGGCTCAGGCTGGCCAGAAGAGATGAGGGGCGGGCGAAATGCGTACCAGATTCCACCGGGTGACAATCAGCGCGGTTTTTTAATACACAGAGCACCACCAAATCGGGGACAATACTCCAGAAGCGATCGATCACCGCATCCACGTGGGAACACGTTTTTACAACGCGAGCCAATTGCGGACTGATCGGCTCGTCGCCAAGAAGAAAGCCCACACCGCTTCCCCGCCGACAACAAACAATAGCCCTCGTTTTGTATACCGAGCATTACAATAAAGTCTATCTCACACTATCCGGGTTACTTAGTACAACAAAATCTTGGGAACACACAGAAAAATTACAACACTCACTTGTCAAATGATAGTCAGCTACAACATTCATGTACATGCCTGGTCCCAGCACGCCCCCATCGGGTTCGTATAGGCTGAAAGACGGCAGAACTAATCCACCTATAGGGGACTAGCGGTGTTTCTTACCTTCTTATCATCGCCTTCGGATCACAGAAGCGGACAATCGTTGGTGGCGAGCACGTTCTAGTCTCATGAACTGGGCTTTGCAGTCGTTTACACCCACTCCGCCGCGTACCCGGGGAGAGCCTGAGTAGAACTTGACGTAAGGGTCTTCAGAAGACAACAACACTGTGAAGTGGATTCGGATTCTCACCTATCCCTGCAGGCCCTTCGACGCCTCCCCGGAGCATAACCACCCTCCACATGAACGTCATCCCTTCCCAAAAACAGTATACCCAGCACATGGGATCCACGAGGCTGTTTCGGCTGCAACTGGGTCAAGGAAACCTCTCTTGGTGTCTGCAACAGCCAGTCCTCGATCCTCTCCAAGGTATGCATCTGAATGCAAATGAATACCACGCGAGCGCCAGGGTCGTCAAGAACACGGGCGGGTCGTCAGGCCATGGCTAAAAGCGCCCGACGAAAACAAATTCCTGGATGGCCCTGTTCGACGGGCGTTTTACTTCAGCTGCCCTGAGTAGGTCTCGTCTCCTGGAGAGCGCCGGCAAGGCGGCTGAGTGGTCGGGTACGTTGCAGCAACTCCGTACCGGAGCCTTCCTCGAGATTCCAAGCCCAATGCCACCCCGACGGTGGGGGCAGTGCCTTCGCTACTTCACATCCTCGCTTCTAGAACTCCGCAACTCGTCACGGCGAACAGGCGGGAAGATCACAGGGACGTTATGCGATCGATGATGACAGAGTCAGCCATAACTTTTAACTCAGCTAGACATAACCGGTCAGTCAGATGAAGAAACAAACGAGCCTCAGGGTCAAACGGGAACATACTGCGATGGCTCGGGAATTAAGAATGATAGAAACCTAGATGAAATGAAGCAGTAGTGATTGATCTCTGCAAAAAGGATGCAAAAAACAGGATACACAGACAAACTCAAGAACAATGGCAAACACCAGGGTTCGTATCCCTTCTGTGGACAGACTGCCGACCAGAGTGGGTATTGTTGGCCACCGTTGAGGGCCAGATGCATTCATGGCACATCTAATCGATCACAATCGTATCTTTCTTCGAATCTTCTGGCGAAGGGGAAGGTGTCCGAAGACTGTCATCGACATCCATACCAGGAGACATCGGCTGTGGAGAGACGCTACTCGGTATCGTCTTCGCTCTTTTGCTGCTCTCCCTTGCAATGGCAGCCAACCTCGCAAATTCGGACTTATGCGTTTTCTATTAAGAACAATCAGAAAAAAAGGTCATGTTAGACTTTGGGGCAGGATATGAATGAAAAATGACATATCGCTTCTACTCACCGCATGCTGCTTGGCGTCTACAGAAGGCTTTTTCCGTCTTGATACCGCGTCTTCCCATTTTTTCAATTCTTGACGAAGCATCTGTTTCGATTTCCTATTCGCTTGCGATCGATCCAAGTTAGAGTTGTAGATAATGACCCATCTAATGTGTGTGAGCGTCCACTGCGGTTACGGAGGTCACAGTGGGGGTACTTACCGTTGGTGACGCTGCTCTAGCGTCGAACGGTCGCCATGTGTAGGTAGCCCGTGTTCACTAAGCATCTCCTTGATTTGTTTCTCTTTCAGAGTGGCATACGACGCCTTGGGTAATGGAAAATCCTCGTCGGAATCGTCGCTATGTTTCCTAAAACAAGTTCAAATTCCAGCATCAATACTCCGACATCTGTTTCAAGAGTTGGTCTGTACACACCGTTGTTTGCCCTTCTGCTTGTTCGCAGCGTTACCCATCAGCATCGACCACTGCGCGGCCGCTGCTTTGCTTGGTGGTTTCACCGGAGGGTCTTTACACCCGCGGTCCATGTGTGTATTCAACACACCGTACTTGACCTTCCCATTGCATAGCGGGCAAGTTATGATATCATCCGCTACAGCGTAAGTCAGATTCAGCTGCCCAGTGCATACACAAGATCCAGATACGTACGCTTCGGATTAAGGTCAGTAGCAGTCAACTCATCCTCCTCCACATCAGAACTAGGAATCGTCAAGTCCACACTCGCCCTCCTCGGTGACCCCTTCCCTCGAATAGGTTTCGGTGTTCGTGGGGATGAAGGCCCAGCACCATTGCGGTTCTGCGAATGATGATCCTCCACAAGCTGGACGTCGCTCGAGTCAGAGCCACGACGTTTACGCTTTCGCGTTTGTTCCTCGTTCTTCGCGTTCTGTCTTGCTGCTTTTCGCTCTTCCTCGCGTTTAATCAACCCGAGGATATAGGGCCTACATGAGGGGATATCCATATGTCAATTCCCGTGGAGACCTCTGCCATAGACGCAGGTGATCCCACTCACCGAGACTCATTCCAGGCAGAAATAGCTTCCTCCATCACATAATTGGGACGTATATGGTCTTCATTGGCCGTTTTCCGACAAGTCGGACATTCCTGCTTTACAGCCATAGCAGGCCTTATGCACTATTAAAAGAATCACCCCAAAGATAAGTATTACCAGTCTGGGTAACCCACAACTTGCCGTTAAAAACGACGGGCATGTCGGAAAGAGGTCCGGGAAAGCTAGACTTACTCCTGAGCAGAAGCAGTGTCCACAGCGGATTGTAACGGGCGCATCGAAGGTCTCCCCACATATTGTACACCGAAAGTTGGAATCTAGTCGTCTGAGACCTGGAGCTGTTGGCTGAGGTGGAAAGTCGGTGGGGTCTGGGACGTTGTCGAGCATCGTTTGGGTTATTGCGGCCATTGTGAAGACCGGGGGACAATGATTCTAGTCTTTTGAGTAGCTTGTGCACGTCAAGAAAGTGTGTATAGAACCAAAAACGACGAGGGACGCGTTGAGCACGTCGTGGAGAGTGTTCGACTCGAGTCGCCAGCGGCACCGCGAAGAGTAACGCCCACGTGACGCCGCCTTGGCAAATCGTCACAGAAGGAAATGTCACGGCCAATTTGGGACGCCCTCGCTCTCGGCAATGGGGGGAAAGGTAAGGCAGGGATTATGATTCCAATAATTCCTACAATCTAAGATGTAATGCTAAAGAGAATGAAGCCTCCAAGAAGAACCCGAACAAAGAAAAAAAAAAAGCAGAAAGTATAACTCCGAATGCAGAATCAAATCACAGCTTCCATGTCATCATCGTCGCTCTCCGTCTCTCCCCCCTCCGGTCCAAACACGTCTTCCTCTTCTTCCTCTTCCTCTGGTATCTCAGGCTGAGTTTGAGGTGCAGCGGAAGGAGGTAGAGGTGCAGGGGGAAGTCCAACCATGGCTGGCGAAGGCGGTGGTTGAGTTGTTGTTCCAGATGCGCCATTAACCGGAGGCGCAGGAAGAGCGAGAGGTGTTGGGGGTGGAGGCGGCTGTGGTTGCTGTTGTGGTTGCGGAGGCTGTTGCTGCAAATGTTGTTGGATCGTCGCGGGTACGATCTGCTGCATCTGAGGCTGTGGGACCAAAGGACCTGGCAACGCTGGCAACGGTTGTTGCTCTTGTTGCGCTGCTCCCTGCGGTGGTGGCTCGATCGCCGCTAGCACCGGTTGTGGTGCACCCTGAGTCTGCAGGTTATGATGATCGTCGATCTTCGTCAACTCCGTGAGTTGGGCGGCAAGAAGAGCAAGCTGTGCTTGGAGTTCCGCTCGTGCAGCTGCCTCGGGTCCTGGAAGCGCAGGAGGCTCAATGGCTAGTGTACCCGAAGGAGCGGTATGTTGCGGAGGCTGCTGTTGTTGATGCAATACCAACTGGGATGAACCAGCATCCTTTGAAGCAGCAGCGACGCCTTCTTGCGTCTCTTCTGCCGGAAGTTGCAGTAAACTTCCAAAGTTGATGGCTTTTAAAATGTTCTGTGCAGCTTCGTACGCGTCCGAAGAAGCGCCAGAACTTTCGGGAGGAGCAGTTGTTTTGGGTTCTGCAGAAGAAGGGTTGGTACTTGTTGAAGGCGCAGGCTGAGGTTGGGATTGTTGGGGTTGCGGGGCCTGATATGGCGTCTGCGAGTAAGGATAGCCATACGGATGTGGAGGGAAATGTTGGTTGTGTTGATTTTGGTGATGATGGTGAACCAGGGGAGCATTGGTGAATGGTGAACTCGTGATCTGACTACTAGACGAATGAGGATGTGTCTGGGGTCGCCTAGTTGTCCGTCTGGAAGTCTAATAAGACCAAGCCAATCATCAGAACCACCATCCTGGCAAAGATCAAAACGTAACTCACACTTCCTCCTTCCCAAGCAGCATTCAGACGATACTTGTTGTTACTACTCTTTTCCAGCCTCCCGCGCTTATATGCCTTCTGAAGCGCCTGACTAGCCGACGGCCTAAAATTCGACTGTAACGGATACCGAGCAGCCATCCAAGTGAATAGATCCTTCGGTGCACACCCTTCAGGATCATTACTATCCTGTAAAGCCTCCACGATCATCTCTTCGTAACTGGGAAGATCGTCTCCCGCATTACCGTCTTGCATTGGAGGCATGTGCGGTGCAGGATGGTGCGGGTACATGGATGCAGGAGGCGGCGGATAGCCAGGAGCTTGAGGAGGTTGAGGGTACTGGTGATGAGGGTATGGCGGATATTGAGGATGCGAGTACGGATATGCAGGTGGCGGCGGGTAGTAGGGCGTATGAGGATATGGATATCCATACGGCTGGTGGGGATATCCGTGTGCGTGTGGCATTGGCGGAGGTTGCATGGCCTGTGCAGGATGTGTGGGTGGTGCAGGCGGCTGTGAAGGTATAGCAGCAGGTGCAGGTGTCGGCGTCGGTGCGGGAGCATGAGAAGCAGGAGGGGGCGGAACTACAGCGGCGGCGGGGGCGGGTGTCGGGGCAGGCGAAGCAGTCGCAGCTGCAGAGGTAGGCGCCGGTGTCCCCGTGCCATTTGTTGAGGTCGAAGCAGTCGATATCGATGTAGATCCAGCAGCCGCTGCTGTCGTCGTTGTCGTCGCGGTCGCCGATGTCTCCCCATTCGCCTGTTCACCCTCTTTATCCGGTGGTCTAGGTTCCTCGGCCGGTTTTTCAGGCGACTCTTCAGGTGCAGGCGACGTCTCCTCCTCTGAATCTCCCAACGAATCCATAATCGCCTCTCCATTTGCCTCTACACCATTCGTGGTCGCCGATGTTGATGTCGTTGAACTTTTCGTCGTCCCATTTTGATCACCCCCCTTGTCCTCCGCTGACGATTTCCTCAACCCAGCAATAGCAGCACTGATATCCAAAGGCCATATCGTACTCTTTATGTACGGCGACACATGTAGGTCGAAGGTTAGACAAATTTCGATGATCTGTTGTGGAGGGAGGAGTCCGAGATACTGGCGCTTGAGGTCATGATCCTGAGGGTCTAATAAATCCGTTCACAAATTCAACTTTTTTCCTTTCTTTTTTGACTGTGGGGTATTTGAAAGGAAACGTACTGGGTATTGGAGGATGGTATAATGAGTGATGGTATGGGTTTAGCGGTTGAGATGCAGGATAGACGCTGCCTGCGACCTGCATCGTTCCGGTAAGCTGCACAGTTTTTCAGAACAAGGTTTTGGTGGCATCCGCGCGGCTCTTTTGCTTTCACGTTCCGCCCATGGCACAACACCTTTCAACAGGGGCTCACTTATCTCCTGGGACTCTCCCCAATTAGACTTTTCTTCTAAGACGCTTTGGGCTGCACACCTGACTCTGGCTATTTTCGTTCTCGGACCCATGACCCTGGCTGGTGCTCGATTAAGAACTTCTCTACAGAGGGGCTCACCCAAAACTGTTCCATGACGCTCTGGCTACATAATCCCCTGCAAGGCTATTTAAACCTCACACCAGGTCTGGAATCCACAGGTCTTGGGTTTCTTCCTAACCCCCACCCACTTCCTCACTCTCTCACAGAAAAAGCGATGGATACGGTGGACATCCTTTCTCCCTTTCGATGAACCTGCGCTCACGTCCTACGCGCAGACCTTAATCCTCGTTGACAGAGGATGTGACAACAGCGAGTGCAAGTGCACCCATGAGTACGTCTTCGTCGTTACTCCCTTCTTGTCGTCGTACCCATCCACCTATCCCTGTAGGGGAGCCTGCTCGTCTGGAACCTGTCAATGCAGCGGCGGCAAGTAACAGCCGCTCGGGTCGACAAAAAACATATCACCCACTAATGCTGTCACCGTAACATTCCTTCTATGCGCCAACGTCTCATTCCAGTCTATTACCGCGTTATCTATTGTCGTCAATTGCGTATCTGACGCAACCTCCATTCCCGGTATAGCCCATCCGGTGTGCGAACCCTCCTTACCGAGGCGAAGACGCTGCACGTTTGGACACTGTTAAATAAGTTTCGTTTACTTGCGTAGCAGTACACTTGTTCACGAATTGCGATCTTATGTCCTCTATCGCTCACCTCCATTCCCTTGCGAACCTCCCCCAAGTTATTGTAACTTGTTATCTAGTCTCCTGTGTAGCCACTGGCTGCCGTAACCCAAGCACAATAAAAAACCATATCTTGTTCGTAAATGTACAGTGAATATATAAGATACAACTATTACAGACAAAACAGGATGTCAAAAAGCATCTACATTTGAAGAAATCGTCGCATTAAAAGGGGGGGAATCGCAAGTAAACCCTCGCCTGACGGGTAAAGACAGAACCACAGGGTTAGTATGTGCGTGGCCTGCTTCGCCCAGGCAATCAGAAGGGTATAGTAGATAGTAAATATAAAGACCCCTGGGCCACCCCATCATCGTCGCCTCAAAAGCGGCCTCTCCTCTCCCATCGCGTCCTGCTGCAGGTCCCTTCCCAAGTCTCGACCATAGGCCTAACCGCCCGTCGCAAGAAAAGGAATGCACAGCCAGAGAGAGCTCGCTCTTCCGAGTCGACGCTTCCACTGGGATATTCGTATAGATAATATGTCCCCGCCGAGACTCCCACATCGTCCCGGACTTTCCCCTCGTCCCAGTCTGGCCACAGGGCGTACGCCCGTGCTCTTCCTTACACGCCCATGTCCCAAGCGGACGCGTTGTGAACAGCACTACAGCGCCAGCCCAGCCCATAAGCTTGCCAAAAAGCGGCTTAGATAGCATCATACTCGTATCCGCGATTGGCGCCAGGCTGATTCTCCTGTGGTCCTCGAATATTCCTCAACAGAGGATCCAACGACGCAAGTTCGTCTCGAATCCCGTTCCGCGCGAGATCGTCGAGATCCTTGAGTAGCATACCGGTGATTTTCTAAAAGGCAAACCATGTTAACGGTGCTAAAATTACCGGCAAGGCGGCGGGACTAACCTTGAGTTTACTGTCAATCTTCAAAACCATTTCTCCAAGACTGGGCGTCCAATTCGTAGCTGGAGGACTGGAAAGACCACCTCCAAACGCGGGCCCGGATGTCAAGCTCGCATTCGCGATTCCCCACAGACTGCTGCTAACACTCTGATCATAACCAGGTCCAGACACCTGACTGAAATTCACACTCGATGCTTGCCGTGCTGTTTGTTGGAAGTAGGAAGTGGGGGCCGTCATGGACATGTTTTCGCCGGTGAAGAGGTAGGAGACGCCAGGTAGTGGGGTTAGTTGGCCTAGAGGACCCATCATGTTCGACTGTGAGTGGAACGGGGAAGGGCCGAGGAGTTTGGCGATCTTGTTGTATACTTCCGAGAGGACATCGATGAGGGACATCAGGGTTTCATGATAGTCTAAAGCAAATGGCTACGGAGAGTGGGGGTCGGTATGGCTTTAGCGTTTTGACGGGAGACACGTACGATGTGGGGTGTGAATAGATATGTTGCATCTGAAGATTCTGAAAAGCTGCCGGCGAACTCTGGAATGCCAGCATTCGTGCCTCGGCGTTGGTTTCTGGATTTAAATATGCGCTGAACACGCGTTAGATCTGTGAGTGGAGAGAAACGAGGTCAAGCACACCATTTTTGACTTGTCGCCCTCCTCTTTCGCTTGATCGTGTTCAGTAACCATGTTCAGGAGGCTTCTCAGGAGGTCCTGAGGCTGATTGATGTCGAGCAGGCTGGACAAAGAAAGTGCAAGAACCGCAAATCGTGACGTTCTGTCCAAGCAATGAAGAGCTATATCACATCTAGACCACAAGACCTGACATACCGTCTCTTCATAACATTGTTATTAAATACTCTATCCAAGTCGGCGCGTGATATCTGGATGGTGTGAAACCAATGGCTCCGTCTATTAAACGTCAAGGATGAGCGTGTGTTTTGACATTGGTTCTTAACTGACCCTTCATGCAGACTCCGTAGATATGTCAAGGTGAGAATCCTCTTGTTGACTAACTCGCGTAGGTACTCGACCGACATTCCTTGCGTGATCTGGGGACTCCCACTGGCCGCCGCTGCGAGAGCAACATCCGAGTGTAGCGATTGCGCGTCCCATTCCCTCAGAGGCGTCGCGGTTGTCGGTGTCGCCCCATTACCGACCGAAGAGTACGAAGATGCGACGGATGTAGCTTGAGCTAGGGCGAGGGGCGGCGGTATTGATGTGCTCGACGATGAATTGGAAGTCTTGAACGACGACAACAGGTTCTGAGCCGACGATTTGCGGCGCATCGCTGGCCTCTGCTGTTCTGAGAAATGGGACATTGTGGGGGACAGAGAGGAGCCTTGGGAAGCGGACTTCAGCGGCGGGTGAGTGAATTCGATATTTGGGCTTTGGGTCGTTGTCGCCGCGACCTAGTCTCGGTTTTCCCAGACTCTCCCGATTGAGCGACTACTTCCTAATCAGTAGTCCTCATCGTGAGAGTCTGGGATCCTTGCCCGAAGAAAAGCGACCACACCTGCTTCGGTGGCTATTCGCGAGCCTTGGGCTTTCGATAACGGTTATGTAACACGCTTTTATCATTACCGCGACCATCGTCTCCTTCCTCTCGTTCTTTCTACTATCCATACGACCTGCAATGTCTTAATCATCACCACTTAATATGACTGTCACTACTCCTGCACCACCACGTACCTCGAAAAAGCGAAAACTTCCCAATGATTGGTATGCCCATAAGGAAAATGTTACCCCCACACCGAAATCTCGAATGCGAAAACTCCTGGGGAAGCGCAGTGGCCTTCCCCATCCCATTTACACCCTCTACACCCGCAGATAGTTGTTCCAGAACCCCTTCGGACGCGTCAAATACCTCGGTTCATCGACCACCGCTTTCCGAAAAGAAAAATCGACCTCGCTACCAGAACGGTTACCTGGTTCAGCCCCCAACCCCCTCTCCAGCGAAGTTCCTGCTTAAACGCGGTCAAAGAACGTCTAGAGCGTTCCCTTTTGAGGTGCAGCATCGTCTGCTACCTCTGGATCCTTGGAGCACGACGCAATGGAACGAGGCAGCCCAGACCGCCGGCTTGATATCACCGGGGCAGACCCTTCGGCCCTTTCAGCTCGACGTCGCAAATCTTGTTATTCAACGGCGTACCGACGTTTGTCTCATCGCTCCGACGGGCTCAGGGAAGTCTCTGGTGTGGGTGCTACCTCTGCTAGCGCAGAAAGTCGGTATATCTTTGGTCATAGTCCCGTATACGAGCCTGGGGCACCAAGGTGAACTGCGTCGGTGAGTGTATTGGACTTTTCTCTCTACAACTTGCATCTAAATTACTCCCTTAGATATGGAGGGTCTCAAATCACCACAACGTTCATTAACTCGAAAAATAAAGGTCCGGAACGACTCGAATCTCTGGCAAAGGGGGGTGGCATGCAGATAGTGTACATCTGCGCGGAGATGCTTGAAAGTCCTTCCATGGGACGCGTTCTCCATTCCGAATCGTTCAAGGCCCAGCTATCTGCAATATATATCGACGAAGCCCATGTTTCCCCACGAGAGCCAGTCGTACAGGACCGCGTATAGCAATCTGCGCTGGCTAAGGCGCATCGCTGGGCTGGCGGACGTACCCATGGTTGCAATCTCTGCAACCCTCCCTACCATTTACCGCAATTCCCTTACAGCATTGTCTGGCCTCAAGCCCAACTATCGCCTCATCAATCTCGGAAATTTCAGACCCGAACTCTCGGTAATCATCAAGAAAATGGAGTACGACATGTCGACTTTCAAAGACCTCGAGTTCCTCTTCACTTGGTCTATTGACCCTCGACACCCCGCCACCATTCCCTCCTGCATCATCTACACCGACGACATTGATCGCCTGACAGCGATGTTCTGGTGGTTTCGCGGTAAACTACGAGAGCAGGGCCTGCCCATACATTGGGTAGACCTCATTCACGCAGGGCTTTCTCGACACCATCAAGAAGCGAGCACGAGACGTTTCCGCGATGGACAAACACGCATTTGGTTGGGAACCGAGAAGATAGGACCTGGTGTCGATGTTGCGCATGTCACTCTTGTCATCCAGTATGGATGTCGCGGCTTGACACTCGTGGGTTGGGAACAACGGCGTGGCCGAGGCGCAAGGAGCACTGGCACCTATGCCATCGGAGTTCTCCTTGTCGAGAAGTCGATGGCTGATGGCCAGCTGACAGTTGCTTCTCCTGGGTACGAGGACCCGGGACTCCTTCAACTCGTTCGTTCACCACCAACCACCTGTTACGAGCAAATTGTTCTCTATCTCCTCGAAGACCCTCGCCATAACCCAGATTTACGTTGTGGCACGCGCTGCTCCAACTGCAAACCGGAGCTGATTGCCCTTGTCCGCTCGTATACGTGGATCTCTGTCGATCCAGGGACGTCGAGGGCTATGGCATCGGCATCGACAGCACTCGCCGCCCCTACAGCTGCGCAAATTGCAGCGACATTGGCCCGTTTGAAGGAGTGGAGGTTTAGGCATTGGGAGGAGAGTTGGAAAGAGCAGTGGTTCTCGTATGGTCCAGACGATCTGATCGATGACAGGGACCTTCAATCGCTAGTAAAATCGATCCACAACATCACCACTCTCGACGACATCTATCAGCGAACGCAGATCCCGCATTTCGAAGAAATTGCGCCCAGGTTGCTTCTGGAAATCGAGAACATCCGGCGCAACATGTACGGAGAACTCGCCGTCACTGCCCACGCATCTACGCCAGCGTTAGAGCAACCTCAAGGTCCTCAACCATCCCCAAACCTGCAGGAACCGCGGTACGCGCAGATTCGCTGGGTTGACACAGTTGACACGCAAGTCGAACCAACACCCGCCCATCCTCGCATCATTTCACCGTCAATTCAAGCTGCTCCTTCAAAACCGACTAGAAATCAATTTCGCATGCATCAGCTCTATCCTGGCGAACAAGTTCTCTCATTTAATACGCCCTAATCGCCCAGTTTATCTCTATTACTATACATTAATATTATACATTCCCTCTCCTTCGTTATACTCCTCTCCTACTGTAACTATGTCTTGTATATCCAGTTGATATTCTAGCACTGTACTTCTGAGGTGGGTGGACGCTGGGGTAATAGTAGCATCTTTGGCAATCTCTAACTCTTGGTAGATGTCCGGCTGCGTGCAGCTCTCTTCTACTATTGAGTGTCGGGAACGATGTCGGAGCGTGTGGCGAGCCAAGTGCTTCGCATGCCCGCCAGTAGGCCCTGATAAGCGTTTCTGGCCCTCGGTAAACAAGTTGATAAAGTTCCCCGTCGATGGTGTATCCCGATCCCACTTGAATACATGTCGAGACTCGAGGTATTCCCGGAGCAACCGTATATCATTTGACTGCGAGACGTGGCTATGTTTTTGATTCTGTTGCTCAACCCCAAGTTCCTCGAAGAGTCCGATCGTGAGTTCCATGATATGTCCCATTGCTGGAGTTACTTTTTCAAGGAGCTCGGGGCTGGAGTTGGGGCCATGTGCACGCTCTTTGATATGGTCGTTGTAATGTTCGTTGGAGATATCTGTTGGTTTCCAGTCACCATCCCTTCCCCTTGGATTTACGAGCATTCCATGTGTAGCCAGTGTTGCAAAGTCTTTAGGCCAGTCATGTATGAGGTTGTGCAGTAATTCCATTGTTTCATTGGCGTAGTTGAAGCTTCCAGCAGCATAGAAAATCGGACACCAGAACTTGAGCATCCGTGTGATCCGCCCCGGGTGGCCAAGCTTGATTGCACTTTGCATTTCGTGAAGTAGGAGGAGGTGGTGGAATAATATGATAGCATTGGATGTTGTGGTATTTCCTGGGAGAACCTTAACCTTGGTGGCTTCGAGGCGACTGATGCTCTGAACAGCAAAGTTATCCACAATCTCTGTTGCGTGATGAATAAGATCATCCACAGATTGGATGTCCGTGCATGGCCCTGAATCCTTGAGCACGTCCGATGCGTGATGTATAAGGGCACGTAGTATGGCGTCAAGGAATCGAATCCACCCGTAGTAATCGAGCTTTCGGAGGTTGATCGTTTGTCGGTTGATGTGGTCTCGTAAATTAACAAGACTTAGAGGATCAGAGGGGTCTGGATTTCCCCAGAAGGTACCTCCAACTGCTTGCATGAAGTTCATGACGAAATGCATAAGGCCGCTGAGCATAGCAAATGAGGAAAGATGGTCGAATTTGTGCGGGGAAGTATCTGGTTGGCGCTGATCTTGAGCTGCACGGTCCCGAGCAGTGGTAAGACGATCGCCGAGGAGAAGCTGCATGTAATTTTCGAATTTCTGGACAGGGACTTGAAGAACATTTTGAAAGTAATGTTCGAGTACCACCATATTGCCTCGAGTCGATCCTTGCTCCTGATCGAATGTAGGCAGGTAGTATTCCTCTGTTTTTCTCGTCGGGATTGCCTTGGGGTCACTTAGGCGGGGAAGTGCGGATTGGAGGTAATTGTAGGAGGGAATCTCTTCAGTCAATATGCGGGCAACATGGATGATAGCGTTCTGGCGAAAAGTGTGATGATCGTCAAGGGACGGCAGTATGTCCGAAAGTGACTTATGAGCTGGGAGTTCATGTCGCATGCGTTTCGTAGCCTCGAAATCTTTGAGGTTGAGAATGTCATGCGCAGACTTTCCCTCCAATTCGGTGCCTTCCGTCGGAACAACAATAAGTAGCGCAGAAACCTGGTCGTGTTGCACGGAATGATGAAGGGTAGTCGATTCTGGTGAGTTCTGAACCCAATTGAAGTTGTCATAGGGGAGAACAGTGATTTTCGACGGGTCATTTGCGACTCTTCGGACTTCGCGTACTGCTGCTTTACTGAGAGACAGAATCGCGCGACATTGGAAAGCGTATGAAGTGGTAATTCCCAGTTTATTCAGGGCACTTGTCAACCGTTTAGGAACACGATTATCCCATAAAATAGAGAGAATTCATCGCGGCATGATAGTTGGTGCGCCTGCTTCTGAGGTTTAGAAGCATGGATGTCAGGAGAGTTCGTCCCTACATTATGCAAATTCAATTTAAAATTCTGAATGAGATTGATAGCTGAAATTGGCTTACATGGTCGGGGTCACGGGTACCAGGCTTCATAATCTTCGTCTCCTTTGAAATTATCGCCTCAAGGATTGTTTGCAGGTGCGGCAATGTCCGTCTGTAAATCTCCAGGAGCCTTGAGAGGCTGAAGCCTTTTGGATGTTGAATCCCGATGTCATGAGCTGAAACGCGCAGAAACCTAGCCTCTTCTTGAAAAGGGCCGTGAAAAGGCGTTATCTGTGAGGTGGCTAGCTTCTTTAGCACAGATTTCAGCGGCGCTCTGGATAATCCAGGCCCTCGAGGCTTGACGGGCTTGCTTCAGGGGAGTCACGGACTTTGGATTCACGTTCCGGATTACAACCCTTCACCATGAGCTCCATTACTGGTATGTGTCCCAAACCAGAGAGAAAGCGATGGCTATAGGCAGTTACAGAAGGGTCTGTGGATGCGAAAAGTTCACGAAGGAAGGTGCCGAGCGAAAACCGTGGTATTTGCGAGATGTAAGAACAGATGAGCTTTACTTTCTGTGTCGTGCTAAGTGGCGACTGTCGCTTGTGAACTTCGTGTGGCGGAATATACTCGAAATCATCTCCCAAGTCTTCAGGGAGTTCCGGAAGGTCCTGGAACTCTATCATATCCATTTCACTGGCGAGATTATCGTCTTGAGTAGGTGTTGATGGCCGGCTGACTCCAGGGCTGGAGCTGAGGGCGTCGGGCTCGGAAAAGTCGTCTGAGAAGTGTAATCTGACATGGTAGGAGGTCGGGAAGTAATCAGACATCGTTGGATTGGAAAACTCGACGTGTAGGTACAGGAAGAAAGGACAAATGTGTCGGTGGATAGATAAGATACTCGCGCCAACCCATTACATAACCGTTATCGAAAGCCCAAGGCTCGCGAATAGCCACCGAAGCAGGTGTGGTCGCTTTTCTTAGGGCAAGGATCCCAGACTCTCACGATGAGGACTACTGATTAGGAAGTAGTCGCTCAATCGGGAGAGTCTGGGAAAACCGAGACTAGCCGCGACCGTCAACTCTGCGTCTCTTCCAGGGGCGGACCGTGGCTTGATCCCATCACATCGATCACGTGTAACTGCCTATTTGGGGGGAATTGATCTTGATTTGATTTCCTTCAATTGAACCCTTCTCCTCCTCGTTCCCCCCTGTTTTTCACTCATTAACCATGGCAGACATCAACGCTATCGCAAAACAGTTCACCGAGTTTTACTACACAACTTTCGACACAAACCGCTCCAATTTGCTCTCCCTTTATGTACACCAATCTTCTGTCGGATGGAACCAAGGACAAAACTGATCACGTCGATCTTTGCAGCGGGACTCGTCGATGTTGTCTTGGGAGGGTGCACCGATCCAGGGAGCCCAAAATATTGTAGAGAAAATCACTGTGAGTGGCCCTCACCGTTGACCGGAATTGGACTGCTCACAATTTGCTGTAGAGCCTGCCTTTCCAAAAGGTTCAACACAAAGTCACCACCCTCGATGCTCAGCCCTCGTCCCCGACCCAAGCCAGCATTCTCGTCAGCGTGACCGGTCTTCTTCTCGTATGTGCCCAATAGACATCCATTTCGATGCTTTGCAAACATGGTCAATAACAGGTCGACGACTCGCCCAATCCCCTGAACTACAGCCAAGTCTTCCAATTGATTCCAGACGGTGGAAGCTACTATGTGTTCGTTTGCTCCATTGTCCTTTTAGATATACCAGGGAAACTGAATTACTTTCCGCAGGTTCAACGATATCTTCCGCCTCAACTACGGTTAACCGCATCTCCTGCCTTGTTGTATCATTATGAAATAGAAGTTCAAGATCTCCGCTGTATTCTTCAATCATCTATGTTATCGTCGGTCTACGTGAAGTGTAGCGCTACTCGATAGCCCATCCTATTCGAAGATCTGTGCGATACGGATCCATCGCCACTCTCTCAGAGCCCGTTTGAATGGGCAACGGGCTTCGAGCCCTCAAATGGAATGTACCAGAACGGGATCGTTGCACCGCATACCATCCCATGCCGTTTCGGGAATCACGCCTGACTTCTATCGACCGGATGCGAACCACAAATACATTACAGAACCTTCATAAATACAGTCGTTCAAGGTCGTAAAAAAGCAAAAAGAACAGCCTCTCAGAACAAGGTATACAAAGACAACCCAGCAACGGCGAGCAATCCACCCAACAGGCTGTCCATATTGAAAGCAAGAGCACTGTTAGTATCATCATCCTTTACCGGTTCGGGATCGACGCTATCCGACGAATCCGAGGTGGTTTCGTTACTGGTATTGGGGACGGCGACAAAGGCATCTGCGGAGCGAGGGCAAGCTGCAAGACCCGAAGCAATCAACTCATTCCCGGCCAAGATGTAATAGTAGTCGCCTAAAACGTGAAAGAGTAAGTATTAGCGCTCGCGTGATCAACCAAAGGGAGCCTCTACGGACCGTATACCGTTCCGGTATTGTAGTTATTCTGAGGCCTGTGAACCGTTCCGTTGGACAGTAAACTTTGCCAATTCGGTCTCCAAGCAAGCCTCGTGACGGCCGCGAGAATCTGGAGTAGAGAAAGCCTTATTAGGAAGAGAACCATCATGACAAAGAAGGGTTGGTACTCACTCGAATAGCGTTGTCTCGCCAGTGTTGCGCATTCGCTGGATCTTGGCGAGCGAGAAGGAGTAGGGCATTTGCTACCAAGGCAGAGGCAGAAGAATCGGCGAGGCGCGTGGGAGTAGTGGGGGCATCGAAGTCCCTGTGAACAAAAAGGCGTCGGTCAGTTCCCCAACGAATCCCGCTTAGTGGAATAGAGGTTTACCAGGGAACGAAACCATCTGCAGGCAGCCTACTCAGGAAGTAATTGGCCATGCGTCTCGCAGTGTCCAAATAGCGAACTTCGCCCGTCAAGCGGTGCACTATTATCGGAAAAAATCGAAGTAATTATTGTCAAGCAATCGTCTCAAGGTAGTCAAGCAACGCTTCTTGGACTTACTGTTTGCGAAGCCGTAGATACCCCATGATTGTCCACGAGTCCAGGTGCTACTGTCAGAGTATCCCTGAGCTGTCCGCTTCCGGATGACACCTCCCGTTCTTGCGTCGTAGTCGACGACGTGCCATGTACCACCTGAGCAACGGGAAGGGAAGAATGGATGAGAGAAGCCATCGAATGAGGAGAACAACATACCGTCTGGACGTATATGGTGACGCATCGTAGTGTCAGCGTGTCGAATAGCGATATCTCGTAACCTTTGGTTCCCAGTGAGCCTCGCCGAGTGGAAAAGAAGTTCAAGGTTCATCATGTTGTCAATAATGACCTAGCAGCAAAGTCAGAGTCAACCCACAGAGGAAGTCCACGAGAAGCTTTCACTTATTGTACTTACAGTGAACTGGTTGGGATCCGAAGTATCCCAGCTACGAGTACAGCCGACTCTGTCATTGAAGCGCTGAGCGAGTGCGTTCGCAAGGCTATTGATAGAGCGAATCGCCGTTTGGTCATTTGGGTTCCTAAATTGCTCGGGTGTCAGAAAGAAGCCCACAGAGAGCCTCGCGGTGACCACACGTACAGAGCTAGTTCTTCGACGAAGGGGAAGCTGATAAAGCCAACATCGTGGCCCACGGACCTCGCGTCGAGAGGAAGGCCTCGGCTGGCGTTGATACCCAGGGCTCGCCAGTCTGCGATGTTCAAGCCATTGGCGGCGTTGGCACCACAGAGGATCCGACGCGAGTTTAGAGCATAGTGAGTGGCGGGGAAGAATCCAGATGTCCAGGCTCCAGCGTCGAACCAGACCCATTGCCCGTTAGCGTTGGTCCACTGAGGCCAGCGCTGGTTGGGACGTGCTCGCTCGGCAGCGAGGACTTTCTGTGGTCCAAGAGGAGAGAACAGCTCCGGCGGGATCTGGGCCACCGTGAGTTGTGCAGGTAAGAGCAGCGCAGCCAGTAGTATCGTCGTCGAGGCGAGCATTGTGGGGGGGGGGGGGGGGGGGGGGTGAAAGAGGACAAGCTCTGAAGAGGGGATTTAGGTGCTTGAACCAGAATTTATAGGAGCGGACGGCGACCAAATGACCGTCGGACCGCGCGAGAAGCAAACTCTATGAATCTATGATAACGTTAGGCTGTATTCCGGGATGTTAGCGGGAAGGAAGAAGAGGGTGTTTTTGGCGCGTGCGCGACAGGCAGCCTCGTCTTCTCTTTTTATATCCAGATCATCGCCAAGGCAGACAAGCCTTTTTGGCAAGGCACGTCGCACGTTAACGTTGAAGCGGCACGCTTTGTTGCATGTTTCGACAAATGTTGTCAGTAATAACGAGTTTTCTGGAGAAAAAGGCCGTGGTTGTGGGTTCAAGGCGCGTAAAAGATTATCGAACACGCCTGTTGGGCGTTATCCATCGGGCTCATTCGACCGTCCTGGTTCCTCCAGAGCTCTAACCTAGCCTCGAGGTCAGCCTTATCAGGGTCGAAATCAGTGATTCAAACGCGAGAAAGACGCAGAGACCTGCCCAAAGCGACCTGGCCATGCTGCAACCTGTTATTCCTACAGCCCCGGCGTCGAGAAGACAGCGCAACCAATTGGAAATCACCGCTCACTGTAGAAGCCACCGGGGACAACGGAAAAGTAAGAATTCAATGAAATTGGGACATAAACTGTATCAGAGGAGAACCCGATGGTGGAAGTCTAATTGAGAGAGAGAGGAAGAAAGGGCATTTGTGCGCAGCCCCCGATACAAAGTCGAGTGTTTGGTCCAGCGTTTCCGCGGTCGGCATCGCCATCACGCACGCTTGCGCAGCCCCCGTTTCCTCATTACCATCCACAACCACCAACTCTCCCCTTTCTTCTTCCCATATTCACAGTAATCCACGACAATGACGACCCTTGGAGGAGAGATTGTCGGCGTTGTGAACAAGCTCCAGGATGTCTTTACATCAATCGGCTCGACGGGCTCCCAGATAGATCTGCCACAAATATGTGTCCTGGGTTCTCAGAGTAGTGGAAAGAGTTCCGTCTTGGAGGTACGTGGATCTGGGAATCACTTTGGAGCTGTTGCTTATGCGTTGTAGAACATCGTTGGACGAGATTTCTTACCCCGTGGCACGGGTATCGTCACTCGACGACCATTGGTACGTCAGAGCTCATTTACTCAGAATCGACCAAGTGGCTCACTGTCGTTTAGGTCCTGCAACTAATCAACCGACCTGCTGATACCAGTACGCTTACCATGCACATACCAATGGCACTCCTCGGCTAATGCTGGTTATAGATAAAGTAAACGGCCCAGTAGACAAATCGGGCGACAAGGCTGCCAACCCCGATGAATGGGGTGAATTCCTCCACCTTCCTAACCAGAAATTCTACGATTTCAACAAGATTCGCGAGGAAATCATTCGAGACACCGAAGCAAAGACGGGAAAGAACGCTGGAATCTCCCCTCAACCTATCAACTTGCGCATCTTCTCGCCCAATGTCCTCACCCTCACCCTCGTCGATTTGCCCGGTTTGACAAAGGTTCCTGTTGGTGATCAGCCAAAGGATATTGAGAGGCAGATTAGGGATATGTTGTTGAAGTACATCTCGAAGCCGTCGTGTATTATCCTGGCGGTGACCGCTGCTAATACCGATTTGGCCAACTCTGATGGGTTGAAGATGGCTCGCGAGGTGGATCCAGATGGAACGAGGACGATTGGTGTGTTGACCAAGATTGACCTTATGTGCGTCCCCTCTCGGTTTCTGTATGCAATCTCTTGCTAACACGCTCTGCAGGGACAAGGGTACCGATGTCGTTGACATTCTCGCTGGTCGAATCATCCCCCTGCGACTCGGTTATGTCCCTGTGGTCAACCGTGGCCAACATGATATTGAATCCAACAAGCCCATCAACGCTGCCCTAGAAGCAGAACGAGACTTCTTCGAGAACCACCCCTCCTACAAGAGCAAGGCACAGTTCTGTGGAACTCCTTTCCTCGCCCGTAAACTGAACATGGTGCGCAGCTTCAAAGCTTATCTTGCCAGCTGAGCCTCAGCTGACGCATTACTCACGTCGTAGATCCTCATGCACCACATCCGTTCAACCCTCCCTGACATCAAAGCCCGCATCGCTGCCAACCAGCAAAAATACACGGCTGAATTGGCCAGCCTCGGCGGACCATTGGGCGACAACTCGGCCAACATCGTGTTGTCTGTTATCACTGAGTTCTGTGGCGACTTCCGAACAATCATCGACGGTAACACCAACGATCTTTCGACGAACGAACTTTCCGGTGGTGCTCGCATCAGCTTTGTGTTCCACGAGTTGTTCAACACCGGTATCAAGACCATTGATCCGTTTGACCAAGTAAAGGATGGTGACATTAGAACTCTTCTCTACAACTCTTCGGTACGCGGTCTAGTTCTGGAAGGTTATTCGTATACTAAAGGACGGATCGGATAGGGTTCAACACCATCGCTATTCGTCGCCACTTCCGCCTTTGAAGTCATCACCAAACAGCAGATCAAGCGGCTGGAAGAGCCTTCCGTTCGTTGCTGCCAGCTGGTCTATGACGAACTTATCCGCATCCTGGGACATCTGCTTAGCAAAGTGGTACGTCAACCACGCCGAGGCAACCGTTTATCTCCCTACTAACCTTTAGAGTAGCAAGCTTTCAAGCGGTTCCCGGCTCTGCGAGAACGCTTCAACGCGGTTGTTGTCAACTTCTTCAAGACTTCCATGGGTCCTACAGTGAAGCTTGTTACTGACATGGTTGCGTGAGTCACTCTTCAAGCGTTTACCTTTTGTCTCTGGTTCTTATACGTTTCGTAGCATGCAAGCATGCTACATCAATACCACCCACCCGGATTTCATTGGTGGTCACCGAGTACGTCATTCGCCTCTTGCTTATTTGTAGGAGGATGCTTAAGCTACCGAACCTCCCCAGGCCTTCGCATTGGTCACAGATAAACTGAACGCGGCGAAGGGCCAACCTGGACCCAACGATCCGAAAGCCCAACGTGCCGCGATCAACAATAACAAGGATTTGGACGTGGAAGTGAAGAGAGACGAAGGATTCTTTGGCTCGTTCTTCTCGAGATCGTCTTCGTCGAAGAAGAAGGGTGTTGCTGCTATGGAGGCTCCTCCTCCTTCCATCCGTCCTCAAGCTGCTTTGAGTGAGCGAGAAACGATGGAGACTGAAGTCATCAGTGCGTCTTTTTCTCCTTTCTAATCGATACGCTGATCCTCATCGCTTTCTTTCAATCGTCCAGAAACGCTCATCCACTCCTACTTCAACGTTGTCAAGCGCGAGATGATCGATATGGTTCCTAAAGCCGTGATGTTGACTTTGGTTAACCACTCCAAGGAGAACTTGCAGCAGGAGTTGTTGAAGGAGCTGTACAAGCCTGACGTTCTCGACGACTTGATGAAGGAGAGCGAGTATGTTGTCAACAGGAGGAAGGAGGTGATGAAGATGGTGGACGCCCTTAACAAGGCTGAGGAGATTGTTGCTGGCGTATAAGGTGGAGGCGACGTTGGGTCGTTTAGAGCATGGACACCCTCCTAATCCTCTTTTGGCATTTTCACCTTCGTCCGACTCCTTACATTTGCATACCTTCATATCCATTGATGCCACACACCCTTTATAGTTTACATACCCTTAGTTTCGTGTATCATCCCATGCTTGTGCCGGTTTTAGACCTCTTTTGTCGTAATTCTTTCACTTCATCTGTCAACTGTGGCTTTCACATTCGAGGAAGGAAGCATCTCGTCATCCGAAGACCGAAGAACACGGCGTCGCGTGTCGGTTGCATGGGCGCTTGAGTATGAAAGACTGATTTGATTGATTGCGTTCTTTGTTATCGCTTCCTCCCCTTTATGTTGCCCTTATCAGGGCCTGCATCAAGCGGTCTCATGATGATGGGAATTGCTCACGATGGCCTGTCATCCGAAAGCTATGAAGCGCCCAAATGATTCCTGATTCATTATTAGAACTACGCAGTGCTACAACAAAGGGAGGAAGCAGAGAGAGAAGGTTTGACAGAAGACCGCAGTCAGTCACCATCGATATGGATCATCCACCCAAACGCCCACTTCGCATACATAGAACCTTCTAGTGAAAGCGTTGACACCGCCTGCTCACAAGCGCCCACACAGCAGTTTACGTATCCCCATCCGTGCGAAAATGGAAGAAAGTAGGTCCGGGCGGGTGGCAAGTCGTGGAAAGAATCATCTGAACACTCTGTGGATTCGACCACCATCATCAGCATGGGTAAGCACAGACCATTCATGAGCCGACCAGGAATGATTGACTAATATAGGGTCATCCAAAGCGGATGACATAGGGGCAGGCTAGGAAGCGATTGCAAGTTGCAACTCGACCAGCTGGATGGAAAGTGCTACAGGATACGAGAAGGGTCCAACGCAAGCGAAGTGGACCAGGGGGAACGAGGGAAGGGTGGTCTGATATCGGTTGTCAGGGTCGAGGGTTCTAGGTTTCCCACCTCCTGGTCCATTCCTGCCACTCTCGTTGTGGCCTGAACGTTGTGGTCGATGTCGAGCTAGCCGTCTCTGTGGTCGATAGGGTTCGACATCGTGTATAGTGAGCTGGAGAACGCTGGCGACAGCGAGCCCTGAGTCTCGGCGGCCAGGGAATGGAGCAGAACAAGAAGTTGCGGAAGTTCCCGATGAGTCATAATAACGTCGGAGTTTGAATTTGGAAAGGTATATAAGGAGAGCGTTCGCTGTTCGAAATCATTCTGCCACCCCGTCCGTAGGATTCCCACGCCCCCTGTAAAAATTTTATAGAAATGTCGTTTGCCCTGCCCGCTCGCCAGATTACCTTTGGTCGAACCAACGCTCAGTCTCAGCAGCAGCAGCACACCTTCCACCAGCAACAGCAGCAGCAGCAGCAACAGCAACAGCAACAACAGCAGTTGCAATATCAACCCCAGAACAATGGTCTTGCTTTACCTGCTGGCGCCTATTCACACCAACCCCCGACGACCGCCGCTTCCTCCTCATCGCTGCCAGGGCCCTCGCCGCTAGCCACCAACTCCTACACCGCGGCCCAGCTCCAGAAGCAGCCTGCGGCGTCGACGTCGACAAACGCTGTTGCTGGTCCTTCGTCCCCACCCGCGGCACCTTCCCCATCCACGCCGTTGACCCTCGAGCAGCAACACATCACCGCTGTCGAGGGCATCGTGCCAACGCTGCAAAACATCGTCGCTACGGTCAATCTGGACTGCAGGCTGGATCTCAAGACCATCGCGCTGCACGCACGCAACGCCGAATATAATCCAAAGGTTGGTACACTATGTTTTATCTAACCGTTTGAACTTTTTGCTTCTACTCGTTTCCGCGTGATATTTAGCGTTTCGCCGCCGTTATTATGCGTATCCGTGAGCCCAAGACGACGGCTCTTATCTTCGCCTCTGGCAAGATGGTCGTCACTGGTGCTAAATCCGAAGACGACTCGCGGCTGGCGTCGCGAAAATACGCGCGGATCGTGCAGAAGCTTGGTTTCGATGCCAAGTTCTCCGAGTTCAAGATCCAGAACATCGTGGGTAGCTGTGATGTCAAGTTCCCTATCCGTTTGGAAGGTCTTGCATACAGTCACGGACAGTTCAGCAGCTACGAACCTGAGGTAAGTTTCAGCGGCGATTCTCGCGCACACCAAGACCTGTGTCTGACCCTCTTCACCTTGATAGTTGTTCCCTGGGCTTATCTATCGCATGATCAAGCCCAAGGTTGTGCTGCTCATCTTCGTGTCCGGCAAGATTGTTCTCACTGGCGCCAAGGTAAGCACCTTTTCTTTTCTCTCATCTCAGACATCGCGACACCTGTCTGTGCACATGTTCCATTCGGAACATGGTGCAATTATCTTTACCGGCTGTCAGTCGGCTATCCGTGTCCTCTTGCGATGCTCGTGCTCAGTGGAATTGGTTATTGTATCCCATCCGCTGACACTGTTTGTTCCCCCGACCTGCAGGTCAGAGAGGAAATCTACACGGCTTTCAACACGATTTACACCGTACTTTGTGAATTCCGGAAACCATAATTGTCTTGTGGAACATTTCTTTCTGGAATCTTCTACCCCCTTCTTCATCCCCACTTCGAATTCGTCGTCGTCGTCGCCATTCAAGGCATTTACGCGGGGAGTCGCCCGTCGGGTCGCCGTCGAGGGTAGTCGTGGGGTTCTAAAAGCTTTTGACATGTGGCAACCAGGCTTCAGAGCCAAGTTGGATTCGGGGCCGACACCTTCACTGGTCGTCGCGGCTCCGCCATCATGTCGGGATTCTTCGTCGTCGCTTCCTTCCTCTTCGTCTCGTATTCATGCACAAACATCATTCCCCACCCATACATTCAACGGACAACCAGCAACACAATTACACATTACAACACGCATTTTTACAGTACTGTACACAATACATATACAAAGCTTTGTCGTTATTATTATTTCTTCTTATTCCTGTGGCTTTCTGTATATTCGAATTGCAATTCAGTTTCTTTGGGCTCCCATAATCTGCTCGACCTTAATACGTGCCATCGTGAGCTCCATGAATTCGTCCGCGCCAGGTAAGACCCTGCGCTTGCCCTAAGGACGTCTGGGGCTCGGACGTGGACGGTCGTGGAGCTGAGGCGCACTGTACGGGCAGTTGTCTGGTGGATCGGCGGAGTCGCATCGAACTTGAGCGACAGTCAATCGTTTGAAGAATATGAGTGTGGATTAGATTATGCCTAAATGTATGCAGCTATTGATACAGGTTGACCTTTAATATTTACTTCTGCTAACAACAGAACATGAGTCGGTCTTCGGATGAGATCGAGAACAGGGAGGTATGCAGATTGGGAACGAATGTGATGAGGGGAGAAAACCGACAAATCCTTAAAGCTCCTTCCAGCAGCGCGATGCGACGAACCTATACATGATACAATGCGAAAAGACTGTCTCCATTGCAACCAGAAAATAAAACCAGACGCAAGTGAACGGACAATCCTGCATGCAACAAACCGAATCGAACGAAAGGATAGAAATTCTCTATAGGCCAGCGGCATCCCCTCTCATTTGCTTCGGCAACTTCTCAAACTCGGTCTGGCTTTCGAGTTGACTTGAGCGCTGGTTGAGAGGTATGCTGTGGTGTGAAGAGACCTGCCATTCGAGGACGCCAGTTGCTGAGGCCGTTACGATGTCTCTACACCATGCACGGTTTTGCGCCATGCGAAGGATGATGAGCATTCGTGTTATTGCCTGTTGAATGGACAAGAAACAGGGTCAGCGTCTGAGTTGGAATATATTAAGAATGGGTGAAGAATGGCGCGCTCACGTTAAGATAGATCATAGGTTGACCAAGGATCTCCGATGCCCAGTGCTCTTTCACGAGGAGGATAAGGTGTCCAACAGACCACAACGTGAACAATGCGCCACTCTCGACAAACTTCGTACTCGTCGAATTATAATAAACCGACTGGATTTTGCCTAGGACATGCTCGACTTTGTCACGGAGCATCCATAGGCGGAAAGAAATAAGCCCTGTGAAAAGAAGATCGATGGCCATGGAGACGGAGTAATAGGCCGTCTTGAAGGTGGAGAATTGGGATAACCAGTTGGGATCGTCGGCGTTGGCTGTAATGATTAGGATCGGGATTGAGATGGCTGTCAGTGTGAGATGAAGTTGGGAGATATGAGTATGATGTGAATGACAAGTGGGATGCAACGCACCTATTCGAGCGAGGTGGACGAGAAGGGGGACGCCTAGTGCCCACCACTGGTAATTCCAGAGGATGTATAGGCGATAAATCTGATTCCGTATGTGCTTAGCATGGTATTGCCTTGACAATGATCTGGGTGGGAGGCGTACCATGAGCGAATCCGATATCCAGGGTAGTAGAGTAAGGCTTCCAAATCCACCTCTGTCAAGACCTATCCTGCTTCCAAGCCTGACAGCACAGGTAAGACTCACCAAGCCATATTGAGAACGTTCTGCCACCGGTCCATAAATTTAAAGTAATACGCCAAATAACCCTCCTCAAAGTCCTGGTGATCCACATACATCATCTCTGCAAACTTGAATCTCCCGCCAATCGCGAATGTTGATAATAGGAAGATGAAGGCGGTGTAGAGGACCATCCACCAGAAGAGCCGCCCTCGTTTGGGACGCATGATCAGAACTTGCGTCAGTTGCATGACTATCATCAGGAGGGCGCCTGTGTTATTGGATAAGGAAAGGAGTGGGATTCGATTTGGAATAAGTTTCGAGAGTTGTGGATTGGCGGGTGGGTGTAGTGGGTGGTAAGTAGGCCGTGATATGATGATCAGCATTCGTCGAATTCCAAGTGCCGGAAGGGTAGGTATCAGGAATTGTCGCCAGTAAGCTTCTGTAAAGTCCGCCACTGGGATAGAAGGGACGCACCGTATGCGAGAGAAGATAATAGCAGGCCATTAAAGCAGGCTCGCTCTATCCTGCGTTGTTGCAGTGCATCGCCAGTCAGCGGGACATTCTGTAAGCCCATAGCTGGGTTCCGAGAGGGGGCCCAATTGAACGTGGGGTCCACCAAAAGAGGTGTGGGTGACCGCTAGCGAAAACGACCACCCGGGCCAAAACGAAATGGCACGCAGAGCGTAAGCTTGAAATCAAGCAAAAGGATGGATGACGCCCAGAAAGAGAGAACAGCGGGCGGAAATGGGACCCGAGCTACTTATATCAATTAGCGACCTTCTTTTCATGAAACATATAAGTAATGGTGGTACCTCCCATCAATTGATTATTGCGATTGCGGGCCTTGGGATGTATGGTCGAGAGGGCCGTTTTTTCCCAAGAGCTCGAGAGCGCCGATGAATGATAGTTCGTGGTGATATCTATCAAGCCCTATCAGGCTTGGGGTCACCGAGTTGGGCGAGTTACACATTCTGCAGCCGTAAGCCGATGTCGTTTCCCCTGCAACATCGGGTATTCGAACTTAGAAGCATGAAATAGAAGAACAGTACTTCAATAATGCCGACCTGACACCCCTCAGACGATTATCTTTGAGTCTGTGGGCACCTGGCCACGAAGGTGAAGTGAGAGTTACAGAACTGGAAAAGGTTAGACGGTATATGATTGGACTGGCAGACCGAGTGTCGGACGGTTGTGGTGCCCCATCATGATGGTGGCTTGCCTGTAAATGCTTGTCGCACCTCCGCCAAACCTCATCTTGGTCTATTTACAGTTAGTTCTCGGCACTGGGTACGGCAAACGTCACTTTTAACTTGTGGCCGCAATCCGTATCCCCCAGCGCTGTGATGAAACATGGGCACCTAGGTACCAGGAGGGGGTATAGAAGCGGAAGCCGTCCGGCATTATGATGCAAAGCTCTGAGGGGGTTTTATACGGTGAATTTCACTCGTAGTCAATACTGAAATGTCTGGTTGTGAACACCGGGCGAGCAAAGTACTCCCAGAGTAAAATAAATGGTGCTAGCAATACAACGGTGAAAATCGAATAGCGAATGCAAGGTTGGTAAAGCACTACGATGTGAAAGCTTGTGTCGAGAAATTCGACTCTGCCTCCCGAAGACCACGAAGGAATCCCTCTGTATAAGCACCTTCAGATTCCTGGGGTATAACATTGGATCCAAGGTTGGCGATGGTATCCGAGATGTATTGGTTGACGAATCCCAGCCTTGACATGTTATGCGCAGCAAATATGCCAGCCGTCGCCCTGCCGTCGTCATACCCTTTACCATCTGCATCTGTGTTTCCATCTCGCCTGCGTCTTCTAGCGATGGTTTTGAAGCGCTCGGGAATAGAGAGCCTCGTAAACTCGTCACGCCTGGTTAACGGCAGCTCCGCGTCATGAAGCAGGAAGGAATGATTGGATCCAGCAACGCTGTTTTGGATGGACTCTGGTTGTTGATGATGGTACGAGAAGAACTTCGTGGGTAAAACAGTGCCGACCGCTGACTTGAAGCACCACCCGGGATCGTTATCGCATTCTTCTTTCGTGTAAGCTGTAAAGGCAAGATTCAGCTCAGTTGGTTTCAGTTTCGAGTTACGAGAGGAAAACAAGACTTACACCAGAAGCTCCAACCAGCAGTGTTGTTTCCATAGGTATCAACCTGCCCGCCGCAGAAATCTTTATGCGCTTGATTTTGATTCGAATCGGATGCAAGGCTTTCTGGTGGAAGGGCGCAGGACCATTCGCCGACAATGAGCTCCCCCCTGGTTTCTTGCGAAGCGTTACCCAACGTCGACGCGACATCATTGGAGATACTGTTCGCATGGTCTGTCGCGGTTTGGTCCCTGTCCTCTGGGCTGAAGACAAAGTACGAATGATGATCCTGCACGACAAAATCCTTCCGTCCAGTAACAAATGGGCCAAAACGTTTCAAGTCGAACCCATTATGGGCATATAACGGAAGGCGAGAGGCGTCAGGATCAGCCGCCCGCATAGCGTCCATGGCTCTGCCATCTACAAGATGTCTATAAGTTGATGTCAACGTCTCAAGGAAGAAATACTCACAGAAATCAGTCAAACGGTCATCGAATATTGGTTCGTTAAGGACTTGAATGCCGACAACATTGTTCACATGAACAAACTCCTTCGTTAGGAACGTAAGGATATCGATGGTCTTGTCCATGTTCGCGGAGTCGCCGAAGAGGTTGGAAGCACCATTCGAGACCCCCGAGTGGTCCTTTCCGTTCTGGCTTCCGGGAACGCCATGCAGGTCGACCAAGACACCAAGCCCATGTTCTCCAGCCAGGTTCACCGCCCTCTTCACCCTTGCCCAAGAGTTCTGATACACTTCGGCTGCACTCTCGTAATCCGTCCCTTTGACGAAATCTGACCCTAGATTCCAATATCCGATGGGCAGGCGAACGGTATTGATACCCACATCTGCCAACCATTTGAAGTCCGAAGCGTTGATGAAGGTATCCCAATGTCGTTCCAAAACAGTACGAGCGCCAGTTGTGTTTCCCCACCCATAGGCGATGTCGATTTCTGAGCCAGCATTGCCTGCCGCACAGCGGAAGAGCGATGGGGTCATCCAATTCTCGTGAACAAACCTATTGCGGGGCAAGGGTTAGGAAAGGGTTCTAAAGAGACGTCACGGCGGATAGGCAAATTGACCACGTACCAAGACCCTAGATTCACAGACTGTTGTTTCCGATATCGAAACACTGTAGCGAGTTTCTCGTCATATGAGGGGTATTCTTGATGGTCCACTGAGGGTGCATCATAGGGTTCGACCTGACACTGGGGATCCGACGCATCCATGACGGCTGTAATGCGGACATTCTGAGGCAAAACGAGGCCATCTGGTTGTACGTCGGTGTCGTCGACAGTGGATATTGTTCTTGTTGTTGATGTCGAGGTGTTCGAAACGCTGGGGTATGGTTTGTAGTTTGCTTGAGTAACGCCCAGCGCCAGTAAAGCAGAAACAAAAGTAGCGTTGGAGACCATTCTTCAAAAGCGTGTAGACTTTGGTGAAAAGGTGCCCATCCGGGGACAAGTTCCTCTGGTTATATAGGGGTGATCGAGAGGAGCTAAGCAATCGTCGAGATCGATATTCCGGATGACTCAGGACCCGGTCGCCCATTGAGTGCTACAAGCTTCAACCATAGGCCATCCATGACTGAATAATGGCCTTGAAAAAATACAGAGATATGAACGGGACAAGGGCACAGCCGAGTGGAGGCAGAAGAGAACGTCGGGAACGGAACCAAACGCGGACTCGGAAGAGACACGAGACGGAACGTTGTATTTTTCTCACGGTACCTCTATCCCCCATGTCGTCGACATCATGGCTACCTAAGCCAATAGCCAGTCTTCTGCGCTTTGCTTACAGCTTGTTGACTGACCCGGGTCATTTCTGGAACCTTGCGACCCTTGTTATCCTTGGAGATGCGTTCCTTACAAGGCTCATCGTAGCCTATGTCCCCTGTATGTGCTCATGATTTGGTTGACGGACGAAACTCATGCTGCTTGAACAGACACTGAGATCGATTGGGAGACCTATATGGTCCAAACAAATGTTTTCTTAAAAGGACAGCACAACTATTCAATGATCACTGGCCCAACCGGTCCATTGGTGTACGTCTGAACCGTGACCACAGGAAAACCAGGCCTAACGCGTTGACGACAGTTACCCGGCTGGCCATGTTCGCATTCACCAATTCCTATACGAGATCACAGACGGAGGCAAAAACATGGACCTTGCCCAGCAGATATATGGACTGCTATACATTGCATCGCTCTCACTGGCGTGCCTAATCTACGGCTCAACGCGTGCGGTTCCCAACTGGCTTCTGCTATTCCTCCCCCTCAGCAAACGCCTTCACTCCATCTTTGTTCTCCGGCTTTTCAATGATTGCTGGGCGGTTGTTCTATCTCAAATGGCGATCTATGCCCTGCAACAAGGGTACGATGATACGGGCGTTATGCTGTTTAGGTACGTCCAATTCCCTGGACTGTATTCGGCTTTCATCTCATTACATTCTTCAGCGCCGCCTTGTCAGTCAAAATGTCCGTTCTCCTCTACTTCCCGGGCCTCTTCGTCATCCTCTTCAAACGCAAAGGCCTCCTCCGGACTCTCGCCTACATCATGTCCATCGTGGCAATCCAGCACATCGTTGCCGCACCCTTCTTAAAAGTGGACGCTTGGGCGTACCTCCAGAACGCATTCGACCTCGGTCGCGTCTTCCTTTACAAATGGACAGTCAACTGGAGAATATTTGACGAAGAAACCTTCCTCAGCTCCGAGTTCGCCGCTTCCCTGCTGTTCGGGCATGTATTTGTCCTGTGTGCCTTTGGCCTTTACCGTTGGTGTGAAATCGACGGTGGTGTGTGGACGGTTATTACACGTGGATTCAAGAGACCGCTGCTCCCTGCCGGTATTGCAAGGGTAACACCTGACTGTATGTCTCTTTTCCTTCTCCCTTTCTCGGGTCGCTCATGCATCGCGTTTTTTTAGATATTACAACCGTGCTATACACCTCCAACCTCATTGGAATCATCTTCGCAAGATCCCTACATTATCAATTCTACTCGTGGTATGCCCACTCGATCCCCTTCCTCGCTTGGAAGACAAAATATCCTATAGCACTCCGGTAGGTGATATTTCTCTTTCTCGGGTTTCATGGATGCTGACTGGTGGACCAGGATCGCTTTCATCGGAGCGATAGAATACGCATGGAATATCTACCCCTCTACGAGGCTGTCCTCTGGTATTCTCCTCGCTGCAAACACGTGGATACTGTTGGGATTATGGCATGGTCATGCTACTTGTACAGCTTGAGATCTTCCTGTAACAGTACCATGACGCCCTATTCACGTACATTGGACATTGTATATCAACCTCGGAAGCACCGGCGCGTGAGACTTGCTTGATGGCTCGCCGTGAATACCAATAGGGGCAAACAGCCTTTGCCTTCCTCCATCATCTTCGTCTGGACACAATATGGCGCCACGGAAGTCGAAAGCAAAGAATGAACAACCTGCCTCTTCAGTTGCTGCCGCCAAGAAGGCGCCGGTGTCGGTCGTTTTCCCAGAAATAGCAGAGAAAGAAAGATTGGAATGCCGAGCGGTGTTGGAGGACCAGATTCTCGTTGTCGATGTTCGCTGTCTCTTTGCTACACAAGACATCGCGTTGCTTATCAGGAAGTAGGACTTCTTGTCTCCGGTGGAATGCAAGGAATATGTGAAATTCATAGATTCCCTTCCACTGGAACTCACACCGCCCAAGAAACGAGGCGAGGCTGAGCGAGTGAACCGTACGTCCGAGCCTCTTCCTCTCCAACTGCCCTACCGCTGACTCGAGATGCACCTTCAGACCGATTCTCTGTCACATCGCTTGACTTTGCACAGAAACTGCACAAACGGTTAACGCCACATTTACCCTCGTTACCGTACCCCACCTCGATGCCCAAACGGAAAACGACAGTGCAGGAGGATGCACCGAGACTTCCGCATTCGTTCAACTCGAATATTAGGGTGTACAAGTATACTGCTGGACAGTACTTTGGGTGAGTTGTGTTCTCTCCCATGAGCTCGAAGGGGTTCGTTAACCCTTGTGATGGTAGCCCGCACTATGATGATTCAGTAAAAGATCCCTTGACTGGCGCTACCTCGGAGTGGACCTTGCTCGTCTATCTTACTGGCGAAGAAGACGGAGTGGAAGGAGGGGAGGTGAGATTTCCTTAATGACAGAAGATGCTTTCCGGGCTCTGCTAAAGAGAACTTCACTCAGACACTGTTTTACAAAGAGCAGAAAGGCAAGCCTCGGGAGACGATTACACCGCCTTTGAAACGCGGGTCTGCTCTGTTGCATCGGTGAGCACCTTTTCCAACTGTGTTTACGGAATATCAGTTTAATTTTCTTTCGAATGCTGCCAGGCACGGATTTGAGTGTATGTTACACGAAGGATCACCTGTTCTGAAGGGGACGAAATACGTCCTGAGGTCCGACCTGATGTTCATGAGATGACCCCAGTTATATATTCGCGTCCAATGAAGTAAAGCACATGCGAAGTGACGGCAATATAACAGGTATCATCTTCTCTTCGTCTTCTTGTGTTTGGTAGGCATCCCCGCCTCCACAACATCATCGTCCCTATCCCTGTCATCCGCACCTCCGCCCTCTCCACCCCTCCGCCTCTTCTTCCCACCTCCTTCCTTCATATCCTGGTCCTTGATCTCATTCACCGCCAACCGCTCGGCTTCAGAAACCCGCTCTTTGAGCAACAAAACTTCTTCATCGTCCGTGGGCCATGCGTCCATTTTCTTGCCAATGACTTTCTCGATACGCTGGAGGAGCTCGACGTCGTATTGCGTGACAAGGGTGATGGCCTTTCCGGCTCGGCCTGCACGGGCTGTTCGTCCTACTCTGTGGATGTAATCCTTTGAGTGGGTGGGGATGTCGTAGTTGATCACGACGTCTACTGAAGGGATGTCGAGACCTCTGGGGGAGAGGTCAGTCATATGATGGGAGTACAACAAATGGGTTAGACGCACCGACTGGCAACGTCAGTAGCAACGAGGATCTTGCGACCTCCACTCTTGAATTTTCCGAGTGCGCCTAACCGCTGACTTTGGCTGAGTTGGCCGTGGAGAGGAACAGCGGGGAATCCGAGTGTTCGAAGGATGATTGAGAGTCTGGTTCAGATGAAATGTGAGCGGAAGCCATCAGAAGGGTCGGAGCACTCTTACAATCTGGCGTCGCGGACAGTTCGAGTGAAGATGATTATAGAGTTTTGAGCGAGAGAGTTGGCGAGATATATCAGCATGACGACTTTGTCTTTTAGCGGGACGAGGAGGTAGTGTTGGAGCAACGTTGAGACGGTTTGGTATCTGAAGACGGTTGTCAGGTTTCCAATGGTCACGAAAGGCGCATACCAACTTACTTTCCAGAAACCTCCACCCGTACTGGGTTAACCAAACTGGCTCTCTGAAGTTTTGCGACCTTGGAGGTCATAGTAGCGGAGAAAAGATATGTCGTTCGCTCCTTGGGAATGAGTTTGAGAATTTTGTCGATCGCAGGTCCGAAATCCATGTCAAGCAATCGATCTGCTTCGTCAAGAACCTAGGGCATATACAGATGTCAAGACCAGGCTAATTCGCCGAACACGAGGTACTCACCAAGAATTTCAACGTCCGTAGACTGAACCCTTTTGTTTCTTCCAGATGCTGTAGCAGTCGACCAGGGGTTGCAACCACGACGTGTGGACGTTTTGCAAGCGCGATAGCTTGTGTAGGTAGGTCCATTCCTCCAACAATAACAGCACATCGAGCTCCCATGGCGGCACCGAGAGCTTCAAACTGCTGCGAGATCTGGTACGCCAATTCACGAGTGGGTGCAAGAACGCAGGCAAAGAGGCCCTTCGGTTCCTCCCATAGTTTCTGCAAGATAGGCAAAGCAAAAGCTGCTGTTTTTCCTGAACCTGTTTCTGCTACACCGATGATATCGCGCCCTTCGAGTGCATGAGGCAGAGATTCGGACTGGATTTCGGTAGGCGACTTGTATCCGACTTGTTCGAGGGCTTCGAGGAGAGGATCAATGAGACCTAGAGACTTGAATGTGTGTTTCTGAGCCTCTGGAGTTGCAGAGGATGTGCTGGCATCTTCTGGGGATGGCATTTTAGGGAGATTTGGTGGTGGAAGAAGTGGAAAGTCCAAATTTTGACGGCGCCTATTGAATGTATAGTTCCCACGGTTAGGTCGTGTTAATGGAGATCAATTGGTTGTGAACCGGCTTTACAAACGACCATTACAACGAGGCTATGAGAGCTCCTTGAACGTCCTTCCCAGCCAACAGCCAGAAACTATTTGTGTATCCGACGGAAGAGATTACGATCTCGATAACGCGAACTCGGCAAAGCCATGGCACCAGACCAGCATGTCCTCGTCTCGTATTCTGCGCCCAAGAACCTGCTAGGCAGCCAGAAATGGAACATCTTCTTCGAATCTATGGTCTCCCAATTCCCCCTTCAGAATGTACACTGGCGCTCTTCGTTCAGGAACCAAACCCTCAGGACGATTCCCTCGCTGAACGTCAAGTTCGTCGCTCTGGATTCTGTACGCGACGAATTGGCCAGCCAGATTCCGACAACAGTCTTAGAGAAACCTATCATCCATCTGTTCGTGGTGCATTGTGAGGTATCTACATGTTCCCCGGCGTTGTTCTTCCTCTCATCGTAATGTCTTGTTAGGACCATGATTCTACACAGTACAACGCCTTTAAGAAGGAGATCAAGGAATGGAACGAGACGATCATGCAGAAGAAGAGCAATGAGCGAGTGATACTCCAGATTGTAACGCCCGACTCCGCCAAGCAGTCGCGTGGAGGTCTATTTGCTGGTTCGGTGCTGGAGAAGTTAAAGGCTGAGTTCAATACGGATAAGCGGAATCGGTACGCGTCGCCCTCGTCAATGTTACCATACTGGTTTTAACCGCGAATAAGAACAGATGTGCCCAGCTCAGCTATTCCCCAGCTGTCGAGAACCGCTTACTATGGGGAGAGTTCCACAACATCATGAAGGAGTGTATGGGGTACGCACTGGATCAAGCACTTTCGGTTCGATTTGAGATTGTCAAGAGATCAGAAGGGCAGCAACAAATGCCTGGATGGAATTTCTGTACATTCTTCCTGCTCAAGGTGAATACACTTTCCAGAGGGAACTCATGACACCATTAACGGCATTCAAGGAAAGTTTGGCCATGTCCTACGAAGGCATCAGCGTGTTCGATGAAGCTCTCCAACAATATGATGACCTCGAAAAATCCTTCCTTCAAGTTATTCAGGAACGGAATATGTCGTGGTTCGGAAATCTCATCAACCCCAGCGCAGGTGACGATTCGACACCGCTGCTATCTCCGCGACCATCGAGCAAGAAGGCATTCCGCGACCTCATTCTCTCAAACGAGATTTCTGTCTTTGAGCTGAGAATTTATATCCTCTCTCGCCAATGTCAGATTATGGCGAAAATGGGTCAAGTCGATGAAGTTCCGCGGAAGGTTGCAAGCTTCCTTGGGACGTTTAGCAAGACTTTGAAGCAAGTGCAGGTGTGTACAAAGCTATATTCAAGAGTGTTCATCCACTGATTGCATGCGCAGAACTTGCTTCCAAAGTTCTTCATACAGTCTTGGGTCTATTCCGCTTCGGACGACGCCATTAAGCAATGCGAAATTTGGCAAGAGAAGTTTCCTACCAAGAATACCAAACGACTAGAGGCAGGAGTAGGCGAGCTTCGCGATATGGCAAGAACCCAGGTGAGTATGTCGCTCGGCGTGGAATACCAGTCACTTAAGGAATACTGCAGCTTGATATCATCGGCATCGACCTGGATTATCTCCCGAAACGACCACCGTTCTCGATGTCTTTACCCGGCAACGAATACCAATATCCTCCCGGACATTCAGAAGGGGAAATCACGAATACTCAGTTACTGGAAGCTCTGCAAGACAAAGATGTATTCTACGACTTGTACATATCTCATACCAACGAGGCAATCGTCATGTACTCGAAAGCTGGCCGGAGCCGATTCGCTGTCAAACTTCACGGCTGCCTTGCAGCTCTAGACTTGTGTGTATCTTCGCTGTCCTCTTCCCATATGAAGCTTACCCTCTCATAGACATCGAGGTAACCTGGAACGCGCCCTGGACACCTATTCCAATCTCGCCTCGCACTATGCACCGCATACGTGGGTGGCGATGGAATCGTATATGTTTTCACGGGCTTTAGATACCCACAAGACTCTGAATAAACCTCAAGACACCGAATGGATACATCGAATTCTCTCATTCCTGAAAGCTTATGTCGAGAATGCAGGCGCAGAAACGCTACTTCCTTGCGAAGACAACCGAAGCTATGTAGCTGAGTTTGTGAATGAGATGAAGAATGCTGCCTCTAATTTGGAAAATGGTGAGTACAAGCAATATCCTTGGCCCTGTCAGTGGTGTTAAACGTTGCTTCAGACATCCGCTATCCGGACCACCCAGCACTCTCTGTCCAGATCGCCAAGAAGGCCATTCTGGCTCCCGACAAAGATGGCTCTATTCTAGATGTCACCATTCACAACGATCTTCCCTGTGTACGTTGAAGGTCTTATTCTGTATGCACCTGTGGATTAACAGCCCCGTTACAGGCGTTCCCTGCCGATGAAATCGTAGTCACCCTGTCAGGACGGGACTTCGAGAGGTTCCAGTTCACGACATCGATCGAAACGCTTCCTCCCGGGAAATCGAAAGTTTCTCTGCTGTGTCCGGTAAGCTCATGTCCTCCTAGAATGGCCATTCACCTTCTCACTCCCGCCGATAGAACCCTGCAGCTGGGACGTTTTTCGTCGAGTCCAGTGAGATTCGAGCAGCCAAGCTCTTGCTGCAGTATCCTCAGAGAAAGGGAACTCCGACTCATCAAATAGTTCGTGTGGAGACGGATCCACTAGCTCTCAGTGTTCGCGTGTTCCAGTCAAGAAAGGGTGGGCTTTCCTGCGTTCCTCTGCCTAACGCGATCTCACAGCAGTGTTCCTGCAGTTGAGCTGGGGAAGCCGTTTAGCGTCTCCTTCCGAATCTGGACAGGACGAAATTCTATTCAGACCCTCAACCTCCGGATTTCGGCGCCTTCTACCACCTTCCACTATTGGGAAGCTTCTCTGGACGGAGGTGCGATTCCTTTTAGGCGTACTTGTAGAGTTAATCCCGACTGAATCCGCAGAAAATGACGAATTTGCCTTTGAAACCAACAAGTCTGGGATCAAGCTCGAAAATCTCGGCAAAGACACCACTGTTAGATTCTCAATACCCTACTTGGAGACCATCAGCTCGCAAACGATGGCATGTTGTTCTTTTTCAGTCGTCTCAAGAGCGCTTCGGGCTGACGCTACTTTCAGAAGGTAGAGGTCGAAGTGGATTATGTTACGACGGAAGAGCCGCAAGTCGAGAGAACCATGCGCTTCTCCAGTAACATCAGCCCAAGTCTACCTATATCTGTTCGCGTTCAAGATTGGTTCCGAGACACTAGGTATGAAAATTCACTCTCTACGATGAGTTCGACGTACTTATGCATACTAGGTTGATCTCCACCTTTTCTGTTAAATCTACCACGCATCAATACATTCGGGTGGCGGAGGCCAATCTCAAAGTTCCAGATGGAGTGGACAATATCAAAGTTGTACCATGTAACATCAGGAAGGGTACGATTGTGAGTTAGCCTTGATAATCTCTTGGTGCCTCTGTTTACGAGCCTCCTAGACTGTCACGCCGAACGAGAATGCCAACTTCCTCTTTGCCTTGGATTCCATGACAGGGCCCGGTAAGTCACTTGTAGTACATGGTTCCGAACACATTGGCCTCATATCTGGCAGTCAGTGAACAGCTGTTCTTCCACATCAAATACCGGCTACTCCGTGAAGGTGGTTAGCACTCACAACCTGGGGAAACGCATGCTGATACGTTCTTTTAAGAGGTCGGAAGTATTGTGGAAGAGGAAGTAAGAGCGGCTCTAGACGAAGCTTCTAAATCTCAAGATCTCCGTCCCCTCATTGTCGACACCTTGATCGAACTATTGGAAAACGATCCCAGTTGGGTGTCACTATACAATATCACTGGCGAAATTGAGCTCCCGGACCCGTCAAACAAGGCCGGGGAGGTCGGAGAGATGATTCCGCTGGCTCTTGAGGTGAGAGAAATGTCGCTTTCCCCTGTCCCTCTCCCTGACTTAGGTATCTCTTTAGCGATTGCGCCGACACAGGCATCCTCAGACTCCCCAAGGTATTTGGAGAGAACTTAGATTGCCTGTGGATGTTCCAGTGAAAGATGTACGTGCTCTAGTTGTTGCTCACCCGCTGCCTTCATGAATTGCCCATTTCCAGATTGTTGCAACCGCGAGTATAAACATCCTCTCGACGCCGTTCAGCGCCAAACAAGGGCCCGGAGCGCCACTTTCGTTGTATGCGGGCCAACCCATCAACGCCGAATTGGTTATCCGGACAACACTTCGCTGGGGATCAGACGATGAATCGGCTCGGCGTCACGTTCTCAACTACCACATCGAGGACATGACCCGAGAATGGCTCATTGGCGGGATAAAGCAGGGGGACTTTATCGCAGAGGTATTGCTGTACTCCCGCCTTGGCAAAAACACGATGTTGACGACGCTGCAGAACAACGGGAAATTCACCCTTCCTCTTACCTTGATGGCCCTTCATCATGGAGAGTTCGGCTTGCCGAAAGTCCATGTTCAACCAAGGGTGAACTGGAGGGACATCACGGTTGCGTCGCAGGCCCCGCCCAACGTGGAGACGTATCAAGAACATGGGGCTGTCAAGGTACTGGTCCTTCCTCGCGGAGGACGGAGTACCTTTGTGGTCGCGATGGGATCGGCCGATTCCACGTAGAGTTCGTATATTGCCCTTTGTCAGTACTGTTAATCTACCTTCAGCCTTAACCCGCGGGGTGCAAAACCTGGCTACTCCGCCTCGACACCTTGCGGCGAGTAGAAGTAAACATGTGCCCCATGGCTGAGTTGGTTACAGCGTCCGACTGTTAGCGCCTTGTGCCAAGCAATCGGAAGGTCGTGAGTTCGAGCCTCACTGGGGCAGGGCACTCTTTTTGCTTAAGGCTCTGTTTTGATGTGTGAATTATTTTCCCGCACTTTATCCCTGTTTCCATCACAACTTGACTTTCGACTTTACGACCTCTTTTCATTGAAGACCTGGTTGCTCTCATTTCATACAGCGTTTCCTGGACACCACACAGCAACCTGACGAAGGACAGCACCCGCAACCATCCTCGGACTGCATCCAGCTGCTTTTTTGTCATCGATAGGCACGTTCGACCGCCCTCTCGTGCAGGGCTCTCCCATTTGAAGACATAGTCGCAAGGTGATGAACAATCTACCTACTTACAAATTGCCCGATGCTCGCTCCGGGTGCTGTCTTTGCACTCGTCGGAAGTAGTCCTCAATTGTGACATGTTGGATACCTCTTCCAGCGGTCTCGGGCTGCATGTCTGGTGTACTTTCTGGCAACGCTAGCGGCCTTGTTCACCGCAAAGCTGACCTATATAAAGATGGTCTGAACAATGACGATCCTCAGCTTCCTTGCATCCCGAGCCTGGCGTTCGAAAACCCATCCTTCAAGTTCTTCTTTCTTTTCTTATCTTATCTTTTCTTTCTTTCACCATGAAGTTCTTCGCTCTCGCCACTCTCGCCATCGGTGCTCTGTCTGCTCTGGCTGCGCCAGTTGCTCAGATCGATACTCGCCAACTTCGCTGTGACGACGTTTACGTCTTCTTTGCCCGTGGAACTACAGAGATTGGCACTCTCGGTACCGTCATTGGTCCTAGACTCAGGACTGCCGTCAGCAGGGCAGTTCGAGGTTCCGTCACCTTCGAAGGCATTGACTACCCAGCTGTCGTCGCGGGGTTCCTCGCCGGTGGCGATCGTGGTGGGGCGCGAACTATGGCCCAGAAGGTCTCCAGCATTGCTGCGCAATGTCCCGATGCTAAGATCTTCATTAGCGGATACTCGTAAGTGTCTTATCCTTCTGGCCTGTCCCACAGTAAAGTTGACACGCAGGGACTTAGTCAAGGTGCCCAAGTCACTCACCTCGCTGCCCGTCAGCTGTCGGCAGCTGACCAGGCTAGGGTCACTGGCGTAATTACCTTTGGCGATCCCAACCGAGATAGAGCTCTTCCAGGTGGTCTCGAGAACCGCAGGAAGACGTTTTGCAACGCCGGGGATCTCATCTGCGCTGGTAGATCCACTATCCTCCTCCCCCACTTGACCTATGGATCGGTGAGTCGGAAAAGCATTGCTTGCCTTCAAATGGACTCTGACAGTCTCATTCTCTTTAGGATGCAACGGAAGCCGCCAGCTTTATTGCAGGGCGCGTTTAGGCTCGCCCAAGCCTCGTCAGTTTTCATGTAGAAATGGACTTTATCACGGCATTCTTCTGACATCGGACTATCTCACCCGCTTGTGCTGTACAGTAGTGTATATGTTCACTGTAAATGAAACAACCCGCTCCTTGTGACCAACCTATTTTCTGGTGATTAGATGGGCCTCAAAAACATCATCTTTGACCAAACGACTGTGAAGTGATGTGAGGGGTCCCAAAATGGCTAATGACGACCCAAAAAGGAGTAGACCACTGCCCCAGTGAGGCTCGAACTCACGACCTTCCGATTGTCTAGAGCACTTAGTGTTCGTAACAGTCGGACGCTGTAACCAACTCAGCCATGGGGCAGACATTTTCCCGTTTCCAGGCGGCAATCCCGAGTCCCCAGTTCAATACTGTCATTTCACCGTCATCTTTCTGCGATCCTCCGATGAGCGAGTAAACTGCTGTAAACTGGGACCATGCTACTGAGCTCTTGGTTGTTCCTGCTCGAAGGCCTCCGGAAGGTGCCAATCCAGTGTCCAAGTTGTTGCGCCTCGGATAATTAGCGGCCGATCTCAACCATCGTACCTTGGTCGTACCTTCAACTTTAACTTTGCTTGAACTCTGCAAATATCCAACAACTGGGTGCATGACAGGCCGACGAAAAGGCAGTGTACGGCCTGAGGTTTCAAAAGCCATCTTGTGTCTTTCTTCGCAGCTTTGAAAACTTCTAGGTACGACGAGGGCTCACCTAACATTTCCGGCATCTCAGAAAAGGGGGTCAAGCAACCACGGCGGTCTCCTCGGCCAATCATTAGCCTTGCCAAATGAAATCCCAAAGTTCCCTTCCTTCAACTAACTTCTAGTACTACTGTCCCTGATGACGCTAGACCCCATCGCGAGGATCATTTTAGTAACTTCGCAAGCGCCATTAATCTGCCCTCTCTGCCCTCTCATCACCCCAGTCTCTTCCAGGAAGCACCCATCTGTCAAATAGACTGAATGATCTGCCGAGCTAAACTCGTTATGGTGGAGAGCGAAGATGGCTTTGCGAGTTCGAACTGCAGTGTCCCTAGGGTACGAAGAAGGAGTGTCGACGTCTCGAGAGATTGATGTGGATTAAAACCGAATCTGGGTCCCATGTAAGGTAACCGGGCAGCAAAGTATAGGTGAGAACTGTCAGTAAAGATCTAACAACTGTCCAGTGGAAGTGCTTGGATCTTGAGCTGGATGTCGAAGAGTCTGGCATCAAAGTATGCTGTCGAAAAAGGGAAACCGCTTGTCCAATTTTGGGAATCCCGCCGTTCGGAAGAGATCTCAAGGAATAATGATCGTGACGTCTCAATCGCGTCTGGAGCCGGGTTGCGTCCTGTAGGCGCAACGATTGATGAAGAAACGTCGAAACTGAGATGATAAACTCGCTTTTTTTCGGGAAACACCAAGACCAAAGTGATGATGACTGTAAAGGCTGGAGAGTGGAAAAGAGCGCAACGACACTTGAATGACCAAAAGCATTGCTCGTGGACGCGCAGAGCAGGGACGAGGTACGTGCGTTTTACAGCTGGAAACGAGCGAAGTATCTATTAAGATGCAGAAATCAGTAAACGATCGAAGCCACTTGGTTTCCTCACATGTAACGTCAACTCGGGTCCGATGCGACTGCGAGGAAGAATTGAACAGATGCATTCCTTTTCACTCGTCCATCATTGCACCGAATGTTATGAGAAATCACGCTCACCCGCAAGTAGATTGCAACCAGGCTCTCACCTTTCGACGGCGCAGGTTCAGAGAGGCCTCACAACAACAATGTGAGCTACCCGGAGGCAGCAGGAAACAGCGCGTCCAGTGCGAGAAGCTACTGCTTGAGGAGCAGGGCTTCGAGGGAGTCCCGAATGACATCCGAAAAAATTTGAGATTATGTCCACGGTATCAAAATCCACTGGGACCGGGACATGCTATGCGACGATCTATCAATCAGGAAGGAAAACGCAAAGGTCAGTCATAAGACATTGATACGATGTGACTGAGAAACAATCAGTTGAATTGAACAGGGATAGCAATAGGACCATAGCAGGGAAAGAACCTGAATGGCTGCAAGTGAGAAACACAACCGACCTGACCTCATGTTGTACTAGACAGCAGAAATCAGAAATTTCGATGGCGGCAGCGAGGCGGGTCAAAAGGCTTTGATTGAACTGCTGCCCCCGCTCCTTCGATCTGTCTCCGAGTCGAGGAAGCTTCAAGAGGTGATAGCGGGGCGTCACCGTCTCTCGAATCCAATCCACAGCTTGACACAGGCGATTTCGTCACTTACTCATTGTCGTAACTAATCGCCATTTGCTTCACGACGTCTGCCCATTCTTGTCACCGACGACAAAAAATTAACATCGGAAATTCAGAGTAAACCCCGCACCAGGTTAACACGCCCATACACGTCGACGTTACGACCGAGAGACCGCTATACCCAGGAGATACGTTAGCATCCTACTTTGATGTGGTCAGTAAATTCGGTTACTTACAGTCTCGTGCCAATGCTACTATCCGGGATAGTGAAAAACCCCTCGGTCAGCTGAGACCTATTCGCCCGCATTTGGTTTGGTGCTGTTAAGCGACCACCACAGTAGTCGCTGCACCCGAAGATGGCAACGATGAGAAACCGAACACACCGCGCCTCTAGCCCAAGGATTAATCATCGTGGTACGGATGAATGAACACAGCGGGGTATAGCCATATCCGGCGACCTGATACCTGGGTGGGTCGAACAACCCGTCGCGCTGACCAACGACATAGATCATTAACCACCCCTGGCGCCTTTCTAGAATCCGACAAGGCATACATTAGGAATGTTTTTTCTATACCAGCGCAAAACCTACGCACTCGGTACTCATCCGCGTCGGTGATGGGGAACTCGCCATATGATGTCAAGTCCGGGACGGGTTCACTGGCCTTTGAACGATGAAATGTCTCATCCATCCATCCCAATAGACTACTGAATTGTCTGGATTCAGTCACCATCCAGTGACTGGGGACAAGTCAGTCTTGTTCTGGAAATTAGCAGATGGGCAAGTCCAACACCCTTGGGAAAAAACCAATGCGATCATTAGCATCAGAACACATATCTGATCAACTGACCTCCTCTGCTGATATCCAGCATCCCAGGCCTGAATCCGGAATCCTCTGGCTCTCTGAAGGAAGCGGTCAAGAATTCTGACGTAGATGAAAGTCCCCAGCCTTCTCGAATAGGATTTGACGTTTCTGGAAACGTACCAAGTCAAGTCAATCGGTCAGAACGCTTGTCAATGCCCTTGAGCCAGTGCACCAGTATGCCGGCACATACTTCCCTGAAAGGTAGTCACCAGACAAAAGCGAAGGAATGGCGATAGTGGGTTTATGGCCATCTTATCGATACGTGCGCCGCCCCGCGTGTCCCCGTACAACACGTCTGCCTGGGTCGAGGGCATGTATATGGTCTTATGACATGTGCTTTGGGACCTCCACTTCCGCACTTGCTGTTAATGGTGACGTACGTACCACAATAGCCGACCAGGAAACAGATGTCAATCCGGAGTGTTGCACTGGCGACGAGGCTCAGTCCGTCAACAACCAACGCGCTCTCCGAATGCGGACAAACTGTCCCTAGAGTCGCTAGAGCAGAAGATATGTAAGCACTTCACATTATTTGACGTTAGAGTGGGGAAGGAAAACGTACCACGGCCCGGGACTGGGTATGAGGTGCTTGCCAACTCAAGGGTTCATCGAAGCTCCTATCCCAAAGAAGCAATGTACTCGATAAGGGTACATAGCAGGCGGGGGGTAAAAACGCCCAGAGTATCTCCGGGCATGTCCACGTCGCATGAAGGGTGGGGTTGGACTTGCTAACTTGGGTCGGTGGACCCACAATGGAATAGTTTGAGGTGGGTCAGCTCCTAAACGAGGAGGAAGTGGAGGGCTAGTGCAACAACGGTGTTCCCGGAACACAACAGATGGGTGATCATTGAATACGCCCTGAATATTAGGCTAGGTATGGGATCGAGCTTTGCCCTTGATTTGGCTTCCGTTTGACGATGAAAATGGGGCGTGATCCTGGCTCACCGCCAGTTGATCGCAGAGAACTTGAAAGCGACTGGCCCAGCATCCTTAAGCGCCTATCGCTATAAGGGTCTGCATTGCACTGTAGGTGGAAAGGACAAGAGAAGCAGACAAAGGTAAGTGTCATTCGAGGTGCTGGTGGGTACTCGAGAAGGTGTCGAAGCGTACCTTGGTACTGCATAGTCCGAAACCAGAGTATGTCATGCGACTATCCTGTGGATCCAGGATCTCACATTTCGGTGGGTAGGAGCACTTGACCCTACACAGAGTCAGGATCAGTCAACCTCCTGTTTTTGGTTAGAGTTTCCAGTAGACAGTTGCTGATTTCGCGCTCACCAATAGTGGAAATTCTGTAGAGTGCAAGCACAACGGTCATCCGTTGACCTCGCGATGTGGGATAGGGCGGAATCAAGCAGGCGTACATAAATAAAGGACACCGACCTATTTCAAAACCAAGGGCATGTCAAAGGCACGCCTTTACCGCACTCGCAGTTAAAAACACACCGCTGCGAAACCCACGACTTCATCGCTCAGGAGGGCGTCTAATATCGCCAATCATGCATGTACATAACTGCGGAAATACACATCGTGATCCATAAGGATGCAACCAGAAGAGAAAGAAGCGGGGACCTGGTCATAAAAGCGCTCGCACAAGGTTTGGAATCAATGACAAAGTCAGAACAAGGGGAAGTTGATGGAATAACAGAGAAATCACCAAGAAACGCGACCTATAAGAAGCACGCGTGCCACACTCCAGAATGACTCGGTACGGGCGGGAGGAGAGTCATATACCACTGACTCCAAATCGGGAAATCCCAGCAGGACATCCAGAACACAATGGGGAAGACGGGGATGCGATCTGGAGTGTAAGATGATGTGGTTAGATATAGGTCGTTTTTGTTCACACCTGTGAGCGTGAGCTTTGGGACAAAAGCGAGTCGTCACGAAGGATGACAGTCGAAGAGAAGGGGACGGGGCGCGATCGGAGAAGCGAGCCTGTGAGCTTGTCAACACTGATGAGGGGTCACCACTCAAGGAACAATGGCAAGGGAACACATCCAAGCTCGAGCTTGAGCTTGAGCATAGCTGACAAGCACTTTGCCTCGAGCTCCGAAGACGCTTACTCCTGAGTACGAATCTTGATACCCGCCATGGAATGGTAATGACGACAGAAAGGTGTAACCGCCGTCAAGGACGCATCTAAGTTTCCATATTTTTGCCATCTTCGAGCAGATGAGGACCGTCAGGATGAACAAAGATGGCAATCAGAAGTGGGAGGCTCACCTGCGATGTCAACGGGGGTACCGAGCGCTACATTGAACTCGAAATACCCCAAGCACGAGAGCTCGTTGCTCAGCAACCAAGGTGAGCTATTGATAGACATGTTATCTGAAAAGCTGTGTCTCCGAGTCAGGAAATCGATCTTCAGCCTTGAATACTAGCTCGCGTGTTGACGAGGCAGGCTGCGGTGAGCTCAAGACATATGGAAGCGGAATTTGTTCACGAGTACAGCCGGCATCGACCTGCCAGTGAGGCTCATTGGCCTCCGTCGCCAAAATGGCGGGTCCGCCACGCTGTGGCCCGACTTCTCGTCTTCCATCCCACAATCCAAAAGTTTCCATTCCCTGCTCGAGAAACGAGAACCTGCATAACTTGATCAGCCCACGAGGGAAAGCTACGGTTCTTACTTAGGGGTGGGTCAGGCTTAGGAGTTCCATAACGCCGACCTTTGTGAGCTTGAGAACCGAACGGGTTGGTGATGATGCAAATTGCTGCAATCGAGATGAAGTTCGACGTTCCGGCAGCACTGATGAACTAGTGGTGCCACGCCTTGGCCCAGAGATCTCGACAAAGTGACCCTGCACGACTGGTGCTAGTCGGACAATGGCGGGGTCCTAGAACACTCGTAAATTGCATCTGAAGTCGGTATATGCTTCCCGAAGCACGATGGAAAACCTGGATTGTATAGACCCGAAATATACCTTCCTTTGCTCATCGCCAAAGGCCGTTACGTCCTCCACAGGGTCCGATCTTGACCGCTGTCCACCGTCGACGTTGAGTGAGGAGGAAGAGACAAAGGAAGGAAACATGGTCAACGTAAGAAAGATGGCGGCTGGTCCGAGAAAAGGCACGGAACGTACAGTTTTTCCCGCGCCCCGGGCGGTGCACGCGCTTCCCTCCCTTGCACATCTTTGATCATCGTCGGCGACTGTTCAGAAATCCTATTATTCCACTTATTAAAAGGAGAGTATGGGAGGATTGGGAAGGTGGACCCTTAATTGAGCCACCCCGCAGCTGCGGGGGCGCGATTGAACCGTGCGTTCGTCTTTGCGTATGGGTAGGGTTGTTCGGGCCTGGCCCTCTTCTTCTGTAGAATAATGGAGTGATTAGGCAGGTAATTTAACAGGATTTTCTCCGGTGTGAAGAAGGCCGACGCGATATGATGCGTCAGCTGTGACTGTAGTGAGTTCATCGTGTGCATGCTGAGTATAACGGCATTGGAGGAGCCTAGGCGTCACTAGGGATTTTCAAAAGACCTATTTTTACTGAAGAAGTTTGGAGTTCGCGTTGGAGAGGGCTAGAGGGGGTTGTTTTGGAGCCTCGGTGCACCATGGCGTCACTGACCTGCCCAGGGCGGGCGATTTGGCGCCATCAATTAATTTAGCGCTGGCTTGACGACCTTGTCGCGACAGAAGGCGTTGTCTCTCCACTGAATATTGTTTTGAAAAAATCAGAACAAAAGTTGTTGAATTACACACGTAAGGGAGCTAGAGAAGCCTCGAGGCAGACTGAGTTCACAGAGTTGCTGTTGTTGTAGCCGTTGACTCGACACGGGTAGCGCTGTGGCCCAAACGCAGGAACTTCGGCAAGGCTTCCCTTCAACTATTCGCTATTGATAGGATTGTGGATGTCTGCCTGTCGAAGTGTCTGTTCGAGGGTTGTCATAGTTGTGACTCTTGACTACGCACGATCTCTACTCTCTACGTACACGAAAAGGACTCAACGAAAAACTTTTTTCTCGGTTCCACATGCTTGTACACCGCCCTGTTTGTTGAGCGCTGTGTTTGGAGCGCGGTAAAATTTAAGCCTGAGGGTTGTGGGATCGTTCTGGATTTCTGGATGGGTCGCGTGTTCCCGGGGGCGTGTCGCGACGCCATAGGGGGCGTGTTCTAGGTGATTGACGCGTCAATTGGCGGGGGGCAAGGAGGTGGGCCGGGAGCGGGGCCTTTGGCTTGGCTAGATCGGGTAAGAGGGCTGAAAGGGGAAAGAGGCCCGATTTGGATCTCTCAGGGTTTTCCCCTGTTGACTCGATTTGGATTGTGTGAGTTTTTGGATTCCCTCTTTTATCTCTCTCCTCTTCCATTGTCCCTTGGCCTAATGATTCCCCTCTCTCCTTAAATACGACCAACTCACGACAAATCCTCCTCTTCCATCACCGACTATGTCTGCCCAAACTCCTCAGCCAATTCGCCCAGAGGCGTTTCCACTATATCCTGCCCCTCAATCGGTCCGTCGCTCTCTTGCATGCGCCTCATTCATGCCACTGACCACCCGTCCCGTGAACAGCCCGTCCGCCGTCTTCAATCCCCCATTTCCTTATTTGAGCCCCAGAACATTGCTGTATGTCCTTCGCCACGCGTCTTGGCCCCTGCTCACCCGTGTCAACAGGCTCGAAGACGGCCAAAGGTCGGGTCCCATGCCCTGCGGCGACGGCGAGGCAATGTCCGTCATGAACGGCATGCACACCCATTCGACTCTCTCCCGTGGATTTCTGCGCTAGAGACAAGCCCAAAGCATATCCACCCATGTGACATAGCCGACCTCTCCCTCATCCCCGACTCCGACTCTGTCCCCAATCCCGGTCCCGGACCAGTGCGCCGACGCAAGACTTCCCTGCGCTCCAGTCCACTCGACGACCCCGAGTCGCCGCCCCCGTCCGGCGTTCCGCTTCCCCTCCCACAACGCGACACACCGACTCTCCCAGTGACACCCAAATCCAAGCCTAGTCTTCCGTCAAGAATCCTGTTCCGGAATCTCATGCCAGTGTCTGCAAATTCACCAAGTTGTATCAATATCCAATCTCTCGAGCTTTAAATTTTCCTCTCAGTCTTTCGCCAGCCACCACTTCTGCTCCTGCTGCTGCCTTCAGTTCCGCTTTCATGAAATATTCGGCTTTTCTTCTCTGCAAGTTATCATCAGCATCGCGATTCGCTTTCACGACTATTTTATTCGGCCTCAACAATCGCTGCCTCCTAAAGAGATCCAATCAACCCAATCGGCATTTTCAAGTTTCCAATCGCAATCATGATAACTTATATCTCGGCATTCAACTCTGCATCATCGTCTCTTCGCTGTTCAACGTTCAACCAAATCCACCCCCATTTATAATACTCTTCCACGTTATTCACATCTACCCCATATACGTTTATTACCATCCCATTTCTTTGTCGTTCCCTGCAACGCTATCTTCGTCATTTATTCTCACCTTATCATTATTACCCTCCCCCGCTTCCGCTTCCTACCCTTGCTTTCGCTTCGCATCTGTCGTCCCATGTTTTTCGTTTTTTATTATTCCATCTCTCCGTTGCTTTTCATGTACTTGGTCGCATTTACGCTTTTAGAATGTCGCTTTCCTTCCCCGTTGCTGCTTTTTATCTGTTCTCTAGTGGACTATTTTCTTCCTTCCCTTCGCACGATCTGCCTGTCTGTGTTTAAACCATCGCTAGCTAGGCTCTACGCGATCCTGCCCTCTACCCTACTGTACTGTGTATTCCACCGTACCCTCAACCCCAATCAAATATGTTGTACCATTTCCATACCCTTGTTCCGCTCGTCCGACGCCGCCTTTGACTTCATCGTCCGATGACGTGCTGACCACGAAACGGCGCTAGTTAAATTTTGGTAATCTGACTCAAACAAAAGGGCACCAGAGGATGAGCTCGAGACCCCAGCTTCTTTCTCGCTCCAACCATCACCACAATGGCTGCCTCTCGAGTCATCAACTTTGGCGCTGGCCCTTCCTGTCTCCCCGAAGATGTTCTGCACGAGGCAACTCAGGGCCTCTTCAACTTTGCAGACTCTGGTATGGGCATCGCTGAGATCTCCCATCGTTCCAAGGAATTTGGCGCCTTCCTGAACGAAGTCGAGTCCCTCATCCGCACCCAACTCAATGTGCCCCCCACCCATTCAATCCTGTTCACCCAAGGTGGGGGCACAGGCCAGTTCGCAGCCGTCGTCCTCAACATGCTCGCTCGCCACCGCCTCCTCCACCCCGACCTCAAAGAACGCACCATCGACTACGTCCTTACTGGTTCTTGGAGCAAAGCGGCCGTCAAGGAAGCTACCCGCCTCACTGCCGGCTCTGATGTCAAGATCAACATCGCAGCCGATGCCAAACTCCACTCTGCAGACCAAGCGTCCTACGCTGGCGTCCCACCGCACGATTCGTACAAGTTCTCGGAGAACCCGGCGCTGATCTACTATTGCGAGAACGAGACTGTGGATGGAGTGCAGTTCTCGCATGAGGAAGGATCGCCGTCGAGCTTCCCTTTCCATCTGTTGCCAAAGGACCAATTACTGCCGTTGGTTGCAGATTATAGCTCGTCGTTCATGTCTCGCCCTATCCCGCGATTGACAGACCACGCCATCATCTACGCCGGTGCGCAGAAGAACATCGGCCCGGCTGGGTTGACCATCATCATCGTTCGTCAAGACTGTATCGTCGATGTGGACGCTGCCGTTGGGCTGGGTGCTACGCCTGTCCCTGCTATCCTCTCCTACAAGTATGTAGCGGAAGGCAAGAGCATGCCCAACACCCCACCTGTCTTCTCGATCTATGTTGCCGGCTTGGTGTTGAGGAGGATGCAGAAGTTGGGAGGGTTGGCTTACTTTGAGGAGACGAATAAGAGGAAGAAGGAGAAGGTGTACCAAGCGCTGGAGGAGGGTGAGAAGAGGGGCGTGTTTAAGCCCAGGGTCGGGAAGGAGAGCGGGAGCTGGATGAATATTGTGTTCAATGTTCCCGGGGAAGGTGCCGAGGCCAAGTTCTTGAAGGGCGCGGAAGAGCAGGGTATGAAGGGACTCAAGGGCCATCGGTAAGTTAGCTATCCTCTGGCCTTTGTCGCAAGGTATCAGGCTGATCTCTGGTTTGCAGCTCGGTTGGAGGCATTCGCGTATCACTCTACAACGCCCTCGAAGAAAGCCAAATCGACAAACTCGTCGCCTACATGCGCGAGTTCATCGAAAGTTCAACAACTCTCTAAACCACGGTTCTCCGACTTTTTCAAAAGGCTGCTACATACGCGACAATGCATTTCATAAAAATGGAAGTCATTGTCATGTATTTCAAGCTGTCCATTCCACATGGATCGAGCAGTCAGGGACATTACTGGTTGTGCATTAGCAACGATGGCAACCGATCGTTTGTTTTCTTTATGTGGTGGCTGGGGTGAAGGCGGGGGGCGTCCTTTCAACAGGGTAAAAGCGTTCTCCGCTCATTCATTCAACAATGAAACCCCTATATCGTCCGTACCATGACGATTCATATATCACTGGCAGATAATCTGGACTGTACTTTGAATATTTTATTTTACCAAATACTCCAGAGGAGTGAGTTTGGGCTTTCCGCGCTGTGTTCTGGTCGGTTCAGTGGATGGTCGTACATCCCAACGTCGCCTTCTGGCCATTAATATAGCATAGGGATACGAAAAAGAGTACTGCTAGTGTTCTGGTAGAAACGATATACGGTGCATATCTAATCTACGAGCCATCAGCGCAATGCCGGCAACGCCGAGTTCAGTCTCCGCTACTAACCAGTAACAGCCACCGGGACTGGGCATCAGGGTACCATGTGAACCAGGCTTTTGCTATTCCGCAAACTCGCTATTCCGCAGAATTGAGTACCACTATTGTCTCGTACCCATCCGTTTTCAGTCGTTTGACCTCCGTGGGAGCCGCGTCTGAAGACGCGGCTCCCACGGGAGATCCTGAGCCAAAAGCGGATGGGAACGAGACAACGATAGTAAGACCTCTTGCTTCCGACCGTCATCGTCGACTGGAATTCTAACTTTGCTTGGCCTATTACAGTCTGATTTTGCATACAGCGGTCCATTTGAGAGGTTTAAGGCGCACTGGAGCCATTCTTCTGAACTTCCTGCAGCTGGCCCCTGGCGTGCTTGTGAGCAATCTCTAACCGCTGAGAACAGTCTACCGGGCGGCTTGTCTAGAGCTCTCGTTCGCGCTGGTAACTTCTTCTGCCTATCGAGTCTGGAACTCCCTCAGGATTCCTGAAACGCCTGCTGCGTCCATGTATCCGAGTTTCACTCAAGGTGAGTAAACCGTGTTACTCTCTATTTACACGAGTTGCTGCAATAGTACAGAGCGATTACTAAGTACAGAGCGATTACTACAGTCCTCCATCACATGGCACAAGACGAAGCAAACGAACCGACCAATGTCAACACTGTACCTGAAGCCATGTAGAGAAGCAACCGAAACTTTAGAAACCGTGGACGAAACTGGGACGGGCGCTAGCTGACCCGGTAGGGAAGACGAATGTAGGGCTGGCGGTCGCCGACCCAGTAGGGAAGACGAAAGTGGGACTAGCACTTGCTGACGCGGTGGGGAAGACGAATGTAGGGCTGGCACTTGCTGACCCAGTAGGGAAGGCGAACGAAGGGCTGGCGCTAGCCGACCCAGTAGGGAAGGCGAAAGTGGGACTAGCACTTGCTGACGCGGTGGGGAAGGCGAACGAAGGGCTGGCGCTTGCCGAAGCGGTGGGGAAAACGAACGTAGCACTGGCGCTAGCCGACCCAGTAGGGAAGACGAACGTAGCACTGGCGCTAGCCGACCCAGTAGGGAAGACGAACGTAGCACTGGCGCTAGCCGACCCAGTAGGGAAGGCGAACGAAGGGCTGGCACTTGCTGACCCAGTAGGGAAGGCGAACGAAGGGCTGGCGCTTGCCGAAGCGGTGGGGAAAACGAACGTAGCACTGGCGCTAGCCGACCCAGTAGGGAAGGCGAAAGTGGGACTAGCACTTGCTGACGCGGTGGGGAAGGCGAACGAAGGGCTGGCGCTTGCCGAAGCGGTGGGGAAAACGAACGTAGCACTGGCGCTGCCCGACGCGCTTGGGAAGGCAATACTGGGCACGCCCGACGCGCTAGGGAAGGCAATGCTGGACACTGCACTTCCCGAGGCGCTGGGGAAGGTAATACTGGGTACGACGATGCCCGACGCGCTAGGGAAGGCAATGCTGGATACAGCACTACCCGATGCGCTAGGGAAGGCGACAGAGCTGGGGAAGGCGTGAATATAGCAGCAGATAATACGGCGAATTGCACGGCTTACTCGATCCGGATAGCGATTGGGCTTGCGAGTGCAACGACACTCAAAGTTAAGCAAAGGAAGAGGGATTTGTCGGACATGTTGCGAGGATAGGGGGGATCGTACCCGTTGCAGATTGAACTTGGAGCTGGGGGTACCAAGTTGACGGAGGTCGTATTTAAGCCCTCGCAGAACGGCCTCGAGCTCCCGGTCTCCCATTCACGCCATATGTACGGATTTCCTTCGCCGTTCTCCTTCAAACCTTGGCTTCAAATCCATTACCAAGCCTATCAACCAATTCCTTCCTCAGCGCTGGACAATTGCCTGGAAGATGGAGGATAAGCAACAGATCGGTCTTCGACAGCCGTGCGATACGTGAGTGTGTTCAATAGTATTGTTGCCCCACATGAGCGTCCAGAAGGAGAGTGAAGTTTTTCGGACACCCAAGCCCAACACAGAAAGCACCAGTGGGAGAAAAATTACGCCTTGCCATTCGTTTACTAATGGATTACTATCCCTTGGCTTCATGACAGTAGCTAGCAGATCTGTGCCGTGGCCGATAGGACCCCTCTCGACTCGTACACCAACTCCTACTGGGTCGTACCATGGCCTGTGAAACGCGTTCCATGGCTTTGGTTGGGCCCACAGAGCGTATTCCTTGTCCAAGATCCATCGAGAACTACGGATTCGATAATGTATTTCATTGAAGCGGGGCAAGCAAGGGCAAAGTATGGGCTCAGGAAATGCGTTCACACTCGTCCCTTTGACGACGCGTAGACGGTGGTCAACCACCGTAAATCACGCCCGAAAAGCCCGACAATCATCTGTAACATGTCTCGACCAAACCCTCTAAATTACCTGACGGGTTATCCTCAATCAATGGGAGGATAAAAATGCCCTTGCGACATGAAAGAACTGTACAATGTTCTCACTGACAACGGTGCTTATTTATGTAAGCGATTAAGAACAGGGACAAGTTCAGTTTCCGAATACTAGTTTGATTTTGAAACGTAAAATTACATGACTATGCGACTGGTTTGTATTCGATGAGTGGTAGATGCAAGATGTGGATGAATGCGAAAAAAAATGCGACAAGTGAAAGCAAAAATGAATGATAGCGACAGAAAAACCCAAAAACTTCAACGAGAAGGAAGCGTTTAGTCGATCTCCTCCATAGCAGAGGTGGAGGCAGCCTCGGTGGAGACAGGAGTCTCAGAAGGAGCGGCGGCGGGCTCCTCATCCTCGTCGACGTCGAGACCAAGGGCAACCATGCGGTAGATGCGCTTGGCGAAGGATGAGGGCTCGTCGAGGGTGAAGCCGGAGGTGAGAAGTGCGGTCTCGAAGAGGAGGTAGGTGAGGTCGCGGACGGACTTGTCGGCCTTGTCCTCCTTGACCTTGCGCTTGAGCTCCTTGATGATGGGGTTACCGGGGTTGAGTTCGAGGGTCTTCTTGGAGGCCATGTAAGAGGACATGGAGGAGTCACGGAGGGCCTGAGCCTTCATGATACGCTCCATGTTGGAAGACCAGCCGAATTGGCCGGTGACGAGGACGCAAGGAGAGTCGATGATACGGTTGGAGATGACGACCTTCTCGACACGGTCACCGAGGGCATCCTTGACGGTGGAGCAGAGCTCGGCGAACTCAGCAGCCTCGGCCTCGCGAGCCTTCTTCTCCTCCTCAGTCTCCTCGAGCTCAAGGCCTTCCTTCGACACGCAAACGAGCTTCTTGCCGTCGAACTCCTTGAGCTGGGTGATGGCGTACTCGTCGATGGGGTCGACGAGGAGGAGGACTTCGAAGCCCTTCTTCTTGAGGGCCTCGAGGAAGGGAGACTCCTTGACGGCAGCGAGGGATTCACCGGTGAGGTAGTAGATGGTCTTCTGGACCTCAGGCATGCGAGTGATGTAGTCTAGTAAACGACAAGTCAGTCGTCATCCAAGTGGAGGCGGAGCACAGTGAACGTACCCTTGAGGGAGGTCTGCTCATCGAGAGACTTGGTAGAGTAGAAGCGGAGGAACTCAGCGAGCTTGCTGCGGTTCTGAGCATCTTCGTGGATACCAAGCTTGATGTTCTTGCCGAAGGCCTCGTAGAACTTGTTGAAGTTGTCCTTGTCCTCAGAGATCTCGGTGATGAGGTCGAGAGTCTTCTTGACAAGGTTCTTGCGGATGACCTTCAAGATCTTGTTCTGCTGGAGGGTCTCACGAGAAATGTTGAGAGGAAGATCCTCGGAGTCGACGATACCCTTGACGAAGTTGAGGTACTCGGGAATGAGGTCCTCGCAGTCGTCCATGATGAAGACACGGCGGACGTAGAGCTTGATGTTGTTGCGCTTCTTCTTGGACTCGAAGAGGTCGAAGGGAGCACTGAAGACATGTCAGAAAGGAGTTTGGGTAAACATACGAAAGGAAATAACGCACCGCTTGGGGATGAAGAGGATGGCCTTGAACTCGAGCTGACCCTCGACGGAGAAGTGCTTGACAGCGAGGTGGTCCTCCCAGTCGTTGGTCAACGACTTGTAGAAGGAGGCGTACTCCTCCTGGGTGATGTCGTTGGGGTTGCGAGTCCAGATGGGCTTGGTCTTGTTGAGCTCCTCGTTGACAACCTCCTTCTCCTTAATCTTCTTGGTCTTCTTCTTCTTCTCTTCCTCATCCTCGTCGACTTCCTCAATCTTGGGCTTCTCGCCATCTTCCTTCACCTCCTCCTCCTCATCGTCCTCAACCTCCTGGAATCGAAGTCAATAACAAGCTCATAGCACACAAAGATAGCAACATTACCTTCTCGACCTCCTTGGTCACGGCGAGTTGGATGGGGTAGGAGATGAACTCGGAGTGCTTCTTGACAATATCCTTGATGCGCTTCTCCTCGAGGTACTCAAGCTGATCCTCCTTCATGAAGAGGCGGATCTCGGTACCACGGTTGAGAGGGGGGTTGACGGTGTCGAGGGTGATGGTGAAGGTGCCGCCGGCAGCGGACTCCCAGATGTACTGCTCATCGTCGTTGTGCTTGGAAATGACCTGCACACGCTCGGCGACGAGGTAGGCAGAGTAGAAACCGACACCGAATTGACCAATCATGGAAATGTCGGCGCCGGAGTTGAGAGCCTCCATGAAGCCCTGTAATCGAGTCCGTAAGTATACAAAATCCTAGACAAATTTTGCAAAAGTACACACCTTGGTGCCGGACTTGGCGATGGTACCGAGGTTGTTAACCATGTCGGCCTTGGTCATACCAATACCGGTATCACGGATGGAGAGGATCTTGTTCTCCTTGTCGGGGATAATGCGGATGAAGAGCTCCTTGCCAGAGTCGAGTTGTGAAGGATCGGTGAGGGAGGCATAGCGGATTTTGTCGAGGGCATCGGAGGCGTTAGAGATCAACTCTCGCAGGAAGATCTCCTTGTTGGAGTAGAAGGTGTCTATCCAAGGCGATTAGTTTTTTTTTCATCGACCAAACGATTATCGCTAAAACTTACTGATGATAAGGTCAAGCAACTGGCTGATCTCAGCCTGGAAGCCAAAGCTTTCAACCTGTGCGGACATTCTGGGAGAGGGAGTGGGTTAGATCTGGGCGTCGTCGTCGTCGATGGCAGCGAGCAAGGACTTACTTGGGCAGCGAGGAGAAGGGGGAATTGGATGGATGAAAGAAAAGTTGAAGAGTCAAGCAACACGCGTCTTGGTCTTATGTACTCCAAGATTTTCGTTCTCGAAGGATCGGAAAGTTGCCTTTTCCGGTGATCGTGGTGGAACATTCTCGAACACCGCGCCTTTCAGCCGCTCATCAGAATGAGCAAACGCGAGCGCTTATGGATTTTTCCAGACCATTATTGCCAAGAAATTCCTTTGTTCTATGATATACCCTATGTACTGTTCCTCTGTTCCTTCAGGGACAACACAATCGCTTGCAACTCTTCGATCTCATTCTTCAATGCGCTGTTCTCGTCTGAAAGCCGCTTCGAAGCGTTTACAACACCTGGGTCCGCGAGTTCCTCCATTTGAGCTAGACGCAATTCCAGAGACTGGATCTGGCGCTTGTAATCGCTGTTGAACGAAATGTCAAATTCTGAGCAGAGGCTGTGAAGACAGAGTTGCCTACTTTCCATCCTGTGCCAGTTGCTGTGAGCGCTCGGCCTCCAGGACCCTGACTCTTTCCTCGAGCTCCGAATTACGCTGTTGCAGTCGCTCCATCTCGCGCTTCACGTCGGCGAATGTTCGAGAATCGTCCTCCCTGTATACAGCGTTGAGTATCATCAGATCATAGAACCCTTTCGAACGCACCAGGTTTGCCGCAGCTTGGTCAACTCTTCCACTTGCTTCTCACAGTCCCTGAGGCGTTCGATCTGCTCTGTATTTTGCTTAGCTTCCGCTTGCAGCGTAAATACTTGACCAAGGGCCTCTGACAGGCGCTTCCCCTGGGCGTCAAACAGCGCCTGGAAAGTGATTTAGTGACTCTATTGTTTCCACGCGCTGTGTTGCGATTACCTTGAGATTGAGTTCTGAGCTGCGGACTGCATTCGCCTCGGCCACGAGTTTCTTCTTGTCTTCCCGCAGGATTTTAAGCTTATCTTGCAGCTCCTTCGTCCAATCAGCATATCGACTCTTTGCTGCTGCGGTCTGCGTTTTGTGTTCGTGGAGTTCAGTTTCGAGTGCCTTGACTTGATTGCGGTACTTTCGAAGCTTGTTATACTGAACGACGCATTAGCTTTTCGTAATGCGCAACTATAACGGTACTCACCAGCCCTTGTCGTTCACTCTCTGCTGATCGCATGAGGATACGATCTTCGTACAACCGACCGACATGCTTCGCATTTTCTCTCGAATGCCACAGTTCGAAATTCAGTTCGTTGCGCAGCAGGAGTACCTCCTTCTGGAGACCGGAAATGACCTCTGCGACATGAACCATACTCCTACTCCCATCATCTGTCCGCGTCGTATCCTCCGAGCGTAGGCTCGTGGTCTCGGGGGACTTTCCCTTCATACTTGATGTGATTCTCCCAACGGGTGAAGGGAAGATCAGCGATGACCACTTGGCGTAAGGTTTGGTGACCTCCACGTCGATGTTGGACTTGAGAGCAACGGAAGCATCAATCATGTCTTGGAGCGAAATCTTGACTTTGCCGGAGGACAAGTCCACGGGGTGGATGAAATGGGTCGACTCTGGGTTCTCCGATGAGCTGACTGGATGGGTGAAAGATGTGGTCCCTGGAGCCCCCGGTGGACCATCCGAGTGCTGCTCGGCATATTTCTCCCGTAGACCCATGGCGAGATAGCGGATATCCAGCATTGTTGCCTCGCTGCCAATCCGGGGCACGTCGTACCGACTCCAGAATTCTGGCTTCTCCAATTCGGTAACGGGGTCGTTCCAAATCAAGCATGGATGACAGATGTGTTCTCGCATAAGGTTCTGGGTTCAAGTTGAGCGCCAGCCTTGGGTTGGTAAAGGGAATACACACCTCAGACTTGCGTCGGATCCCGTCTTCGTCGAGAGCCTCTTCCCATGGTACAGTGTAAGGACTTGGGTAGCCCGCGTCCTTCATGTACTGAACCGGCCACCTGATAAACTTGAGAGTGTTGGAGGGGTAAAGGTAAAACAGGATGGTAAAGTAGGGGCGGAACGAGGGTGGCACTGAAGGGGTTCCACGGAAGGTCATTTCCAATCTCTCCCATCCGAGTTCAGGGCGAGGCTGTAGGACGCGAACTGTTTCTCTGTACAGTTCACGCTCAAACTCTTCGTCATTCCCCTCTCCCCGCAATGGAGGTGGCCTTTCCTTCCAGCATACGACCCTTGCCATAATTGCAAACAGTTGGGGTAGGCCGGACTTGAGGATCTCCTTGGTGTGAACGGCAAAGTAGGGGAGAAGCTGTGAAACCAGACTGAGGGCAGCCGTGCAAACGGTCGAAGAGTTGTCGAATAGTAGACAATTCCATAGGCTCTTTAGAATACTGTGTGACGCAACCACCGGGGTACAAGGCGGAAATTCGTTGGCCGAGAACATCTTGTTGAGTAGAATCAATAGTTGTAGTCGATGAGATGGTATGGCAAATTGACGGTCGATTTCTGTGAGTAGGTCCTGCCCGATGTTAGCCAGGAAGATATATCATTATGGAATATCTACCTCTGGACTTTGGCCTCCGTAAGCAATCAAGATATCTTGTAGATTGTGCTTCCAGCGGGTGCGTCTGGCCTGTTCCTCCTGGTTGAGTTCAGCCCACTCCAATGCATCATCTCCGGAGCCTTCATTATACGCATCGAGGAGATAAAGCTCGAGCAGACGCCTCCTAAAGTCGTGTACGCGGACGGCATATGCCTCGTGGGTTTTCTGCAGCGCAGAGATGATCAGTTCCTTTGCGTGATTGAGAGAGGCCGTTGGCAGCTTTGGCTCTCGCAAAGCCGGCCTGAGAACAAGATCGAACCAGGAGATGACTGAAGTCGGGGGAAGGATTGGCCCTAGATGAAATAAGACTGCTAGAAAGACTTCCGTGTGGTAGGTGGACGAGTAATCAGTGACTTCGTGGTGCAGTGACTGCAGCTCCTCCTCGAACTTGAACAGCTGGACCTCCGGCTCTTCGGACTGGGTGCATTCCAGGACGAATTCGTCGACATTTTCCAGGACTTCAGATAGCGTCGGTGTGTCGACCTTGTCCAGCACCAGGCGTAGCGTGCGTATAAGATTGACCATGGCCATGGTGGCCAGTCCGACGACGACGACCAATCTCCACCGCTGGAGCGCCGCGTCTGATGCAGTGATCACGGCAGCAATACCCTTTCGCACGCGTCTTGGCACTCGCTCCTCATCGTCGACAACGACGAGCTCGACCCCATCGCCCACCTTCTGACCAAATCCAAAGTGAGTACACTGCCCATCGCATCTATAATGCTATTGTACACGAGCGAGACGCGTTATGTCGCTCCGTTCAATGGATGGACTCGATGACCGTCCGATGACTGACGTCGCGATCTTTTTTCGCCTAGATAATGTCCGCCCACATCGACGAGGTTCACTCTGACCACTCTGATCATGAGCACCATGATCACGAGCACGAGCACGAGGAGGATCCCACCTCTGCCGCCGCTCTCGAGAAAATCCAGTCGAGGTCAGAGCGAAAGGCCCGCAAGGCCCTCCTCAGCTTGGGCTTGAAGAAGGTCCACGGTATCAACCGTGTTACTCTCCGAAGGCCAAAGAACGTGCGTGTGCTCGAATAATAGGAGAGGCGGGCAACGATTGACCGGAATATCAGGTTTTGTTCGTTTTGGCTCACCCCGAGGTCTACAAGTCGCCCAACAGCGACTGCTACATCGTTTTCGGCGAGGCCAAGGTAAGATGTTCGAAATTGCGCGTAGATCAATAACGGGGACTAATCGCGACATCAGATTGAGGATAACGGTGGTGCTGGACCCCTTGCTGCTGCTCAGCAACTCGCTTCCGCTTCTGCTGCTAGCCAACAAGTCCTCCAGGATGCTGCCAAGGACAACGATGACGATGATGACATCCCTGAACTCGAGGCTGCTGAGGAGGAGGGACCCGTTGATGAGACTGGCGTTGATCCAAAAGACATTGAACTTGTCATCCAGCAGGTTGGATGCTCTCGAGCCAAGGCCGTGAGGGTTCTCAAGGAGAGTGGAGGAGACTTGATCAATGCCAGTGAGTTGCATCCCTTTTCGTTTGCTTTCAAAACGTACTTATCGTGCATACAGTCATGGCTGCAAGCGAGTAGACGACTTCAACACATTGTATTTTGTATCCAGAATAAACCGTGCATTTCATTTCGCACACAACTTCAGTCTATCTAAGACGTCCAGCGGTGCAACTCGACATAATAATTCGACCTCTCCCAGCCATCCTGCACGATTTCCACTCCCTCGACTCGTCCGCCTTGTGATGTCGGTTTGGGCCCGATCTCAAGTCCCATATCGCTTGCAGCAGCGATAACCAGTTCTCGAAGCTCTCCTTTGGCGAACATGTGGTAATAGCGATTGTATACCTGCTCTGCCTTGGGCGACCCTTCGCCTGAATGCGTCTTGGACAGAACCCAAGGTACGACCACATCCCTTCCTGTTTTTGCTTCACCCTCGACGGGAATGGTTCTTTTCGACAGCTCATCCTGCTCGATCGCCCAGACATAGATCAACGCCCTGCCATGGTTTGGAGATATGGCTTGTATCAGCCGCTTCAGAATCAGTAAATATCGCATTCCCGTAACCAATCCCAACGATACTCACCTGCACAGCTAACTTTCTCCTTTCTGGCGTAGCAAGATGATGGATCGTGGCTATTGAAATGGCGTAGTCCTGCATACCCAAGGTCAATCGCGTTGCCTTGTTCACCCATGGCAAGACTCACAAAGGCACCGGTCCTCCAAGGGTTATGAGCCACATTTCCTTGGACCACTTCACGTATGCACCCATTGCTTCCAGCTGTCCTTGCGATCTCGAGCAATTTTATGCTTCTATCCATTCCGATGGTCCATATCTGTCCAGGTCGATCCAATGGCAAGGGCAAGTACTTTCCGTTGCCGGTTCCAGAATCCAACCCTACCCATCCTGTTGGAATGCTCGACAAAAAGGCAGCAATGATTGGCCAAGGCTACATCGTTATCTTGATTGATTATTCTCATTGTCCAAGCGTAGAACGTTTTGTATATACCTTGTACCTGGTCGATGAAAAGTGACTGGCTATTGCATCGTAGATGTTGTGAACGTTTTCGTTTTCGAAATCTGCTGGATTGTCTGTTGCGACGTCGACGGGTTCGACGACTTTTGGCCCCATTGAATTTTTGATAAGATTGGAGATGATGGTCGTGGATGAAGTGTGCGTCGGACGCTCAGCCGCCGTCGCTCGTCACGACATCATCCGCTACCACCATCACAGTCTATGTAAACCCCATCGTCTCATCCAAGATTTTCGCAAAGCGTGTTCCATCGAACTGAGGGAAAGGCACAAGAGCTGAGGTTTCAAATTCCTCGATTGCTTGGGCGAGGCCACTATCCAGCAGAAATCAGTCACATTCTTTGGTGAAGGCCTATACTTCAGCTCACTGGACGTTGCTTGCCTTCAAATGCCCCTGGTCTGCGAGGGCATCCGCTAGTTCCTGTTGGTGGTTGTGCAATAATGTCGGATTTGGCACGACTATCATCGGTTTTCCTCGCCTCAAGACATCGAGGATCGTCCCTGAACCTGTGATGTTGTTGACGCAGTGAAATCAACGGCTTGTTGGTTCGTGCATACCTGCATGACTTATAACCAAATCAGCTTTCTCATATTCTTCTTCTAGAGATGGCTTGAACTTCCAGATTGTGACCGTAACTGAGCCTCGTTGGACAACGTGTTCTACATCACCGACAGAATCGTGTCCCGCAAAGAACGAGTTGCCGCATTGGACGACGATTTCGCTATACCCCCGCTTCTTCAGTGCCGACAGGACCTCGTCTGTCAACACCTTTTGCACCAGGGCGTCAAACTTTGTCGAGCCCACAGTGACGAACACTCGCATGATGGGGGTTAGAGGGCAAACTTGAAGCTGGTCGAGTTCACCATCAGCGCCCACCTAGCAAGATACCACAGTGTTCATCCTCATGCTACACCGCTCAGCGCTACGAGTACGAGACACTGGAAAGAAATTCGGGTCCGACACGAGGGTCACGAAGACCAACTCGATTCCCAGCTCTTCAGACTTTTCTCTCCAAATTCCATACCGTCGATTGCTATTGGCTTAGGCGGTTATCCGGTCTTCCTTCAAACCGGACTGCACCCATGAACCTGACAAGATCCTTCCTGATCCTTCTCTCTTTGAGAAGCAGCTAATTTCATCCGAGTCCAAGGTCGTGACTATGTTATGGGAGTATTCTAGAGTATTCTTGCAATCCCTTGCAGCCATCTCCCTCGGTTGCGAACATTCCTTATGGAGGCGTGTCGCATGGCCCTCCGACTCCATTAACCTCGGGTGTTGGTTGTACAGTTATCCGGTCACTTCACAGGTGGGCTGGATCCTGTTAATTGAGGCGAGTCGGCGTCCTGGAGAACAACTAACGATGGCGACCCAACACCAACGGTTGCAGTCGCCCCTTTGTAACATCCCCAGCTTTGATTTGCACTTCCCCGCATCCCCTTCAAGTGTTCAATGTTTACAGGCCAGCGACAGTTAGAAATGATTTCATCCTACCGAATTGTCAAGCAGAATCCAACAACTTTCACTTCCGTTCTACTGTTTCATAGCAAGGCCAAGGAGTGTTTTGTAAGTCTTCCTTTCGAACCTATTTTTTGCTGCTCTCTAATGGAGACGCAACCTAGCTGGACTTGCATAACTGCAGCCGTAAGCGTAGCTTGAAACTGCCAGAAATGACATGGCTACAATTGCACCCACCTCACTGAACCCCGAGCTGTGGTAAGCGCTATCGGCTTCCCCGCACTTGTGGAAGCTATTCCAACCTACCCCACATGACCATCGCACCACCTTCATGGCGCGAACCTAGCAGGCGACGGGTGTTATTCACTGCAATACTCGTGATGCCATCTCTTCCCGTCACTTCCACCTCCTCTTCGATTCATGACGCGCCTACAGTCGGTATTCTAGGATGCGCTGGGAAGCACCAGCGATGGAGGAACTTAGTGTGTACCAGGGTACTGGGCTGCCTCTGAGGGGGCTCTCGAAAAGGGGTATAAAAGCGGACCAGCACATATCCATCTTTCCTCAGTCTTCCAGGCTATCTCAACTCCGTGTTCACCAACTCGAGTTACCTCTCCCACATCCAAGATGAAGTTCACCACCCTCGTCACCCTCGCTCTCGGTGCCGTCTCTGCTCTGGCTGCCCCAGCTGCTGAGCTCGAGTCCCGCCAGCTCTTCTGCAGGGACGTCTACGTCTTCTTTGCTCGTGGAACCGGAGAGATTGGTACCTTGGGCACTGTAGTTGGCCCTAGCTTCAGCGCCGCCGTCAGCCTCGCTGTCCGTGGCTCCGTCGATTTCGAGGGCATCGACTACCCCGCTCTCGTCACTGGCTACCTTGCTGGTGGTGACCGCGGTGGTGCTCGCACCATGGCAGACAAAGTTGCCAGCACCGCGTCTCGCTGCCCCAACGCGAAGATCTTCATCTCTGGCTACTCGTAAGTGCCTCGTTCGTTATCAGGGGTTGCCGTACTGACTCAGGGTGCTCGCCTTCTACAGCCAAGGTGCTCAAGTCACCCACCTTGCTGCTCGTCAGCTCTCCGCTGCCAACCAGGCCCGTGTCACTGGTGTCGTCACCTTCGGTGACCCCTACAGGGATGATGCCCTCCCCGGAGGCCTCGATAGCCGCAGGAAGACTTACTGCAACTTCGGTGACCTCATCTGCGATGGCCTTCCTACCATCCTTGCTCCCCACTTGACCTACGGTTCGGTGAGTCTCTCTTCCCCGCCCACGACCCTGTCCCAAGATGACTGACGTCGCGACAGGATGCTTCCGACGCTGCTCGCTGGGTCGCCGCTCGTGTCTAAAGACGACGCAACCAAGTCTGACAGACAATGGCCACTTCCCCACCTAAAACCAAGTTGTTCTGAACTATCAAGGCGTAGATTCATAGTTCCAATATAAAGTTCGAAAATTGTGTACCAAAATAAATTGATTGTGCAACAGTGTTGTAGGTATACCAATGACGTTGTGCTCTTTCTTCTGTTACACGAAGTTCCGTAAGAAAGGATCCCAGTCCTCGTAAACCAAGCCACATGCAAGACCAATGTGGACACGCCATTCATCATGCTTTAAGGCTATTATCGACTTTCACTACGACCTTCCCTGTAGCTCTTCCAGTTAGGATACGCTCGTAAGCCTTCAATGCGTCTTCAAAGTTGTACACCGAATCCACTAGGGGCTTTAGCTTCCCTGTAACGGTGGTAGGTGAATCAGCAAGGCTTCGATACCATGGACGCCGCTATTGAAACTCACCCTCTTCCAGCAACTGCCTCAAGCGTTCCAGTCTGTTCTCTTTATTCTCCACCGAGGTCATCCTATGAAACCAATCGTCAAACACCTTTCCACGATGGATGGATGAGAGCAATACTTACCCGAATTTGGCTTTGAATCCTGTTAGGAAGGATGGGAGTACGATCGTTGCCATTCGCAGTGTGTCCCAGAGCGATTTCAGGTCTCGATTGGGCATTGGTCCCACCGAGGTATAGATGCCATTCGGTGCTAGATATGATTTGCTGTAGGTATAGAGAGACGGGTCGTAAATGCCAACGGCTTCGAGAATAAGGTTGTATTTGGGAGATGGCGGGTTCTTGGCGAGGTATTCGTGCAGAGGACCAACTTTGGTATAGTCAATGAACTGCAGAGCCAGTGTCAGTCGAATCGTCACGAATCGATATATTTTTGGACACCTACCTCGTCCGCTCCCAAGTCACGAACGTACTTCTCGTTCTTGCCCGAAGCAACAGCCACGACTCGGGCGCCTCTCAGCTTTGCTAGTTGGATGGCGAACGAACCAACAGCCGTACTGCCGCCGTTAACGAAGAGGGTTTGTCCTTCTTCCAGATTAGCTTCGTCAAGGGCTCCGAGGGCGGTCAGCGCTGCGAGAGCGATACCAGCGGCTTGGATAGGCTTGATATTGGGTGGTCGGAGGACTACTTCGTGGGTTGGGACACTGACGTATTCGGCTAGGGAGCCTTGTCTCGAGCTGAAGCCATATTCTGTAGGTAACACAAATACGTTAGGTCGATAACTCTGGAGGCAAGAGACAATGGTGGCACATACGGACACTTGCCCAACCGAACACTTCATCCCCCTTCTTGAAATGAGAATCATTCTCATCCACGATGATTCCAGCAAAGTCGTGTTCCGGAACGTATGGCCGTTTGGCGATGAAGTTTGGGAGATACTTCATCTTCTTCCATCCTCTGTGTCGCGTTAGCTGCGCACAAGGGACCGAGGGAGGGTTGGAGACATACACAGGATTCAAAGCCCCTGCCTGGGTCTTCACGAGGACATGCCCTGGTTTGAGCTGCTTGTTGACAGGCCAGTCGGACTTGAGCTGTAGGGACTTTTCTGGAGTTCCCTGTGAGACTGAAACCCAGGCCTTTTGCACATCGGGGACAGAAAAATCGGGAGTCATGCTAAGTCGGTGTCCTAATCGTTAGTATGTTCGTCGCTTTCGTTGCTGACAGTGGTGGTGTGAGGCCAAGAGAACTTGTAAGACACGTTGCTGACGACATGTGAGAAACCTCTTGGGAGGAGGGAAGAGCGGGATGGAATGGCCTGGAAATAGACGCGACCTCAATGACGTCAGTACACTCAGGGGTACGATCAAAAGACATTCAGAATATGATTCATTATGGGATGTAATATACACAGGAGAGGATAGACAGACAGCCTCAGGACTCGAGAGAGTTATCAACCTTCACCACAACCTTTCCAGTGGCCCTGAAAGTCATGGCGCGGTCGTATGCCTCCAGTGCATTTTCAAAGTTGAACACCGAGTCGACCAATGGTTTCAGTTTTCCTATTGAACCGGTAAATGAAAGAACACCAAACGTAACTCCAAGCCATACCTTCTTCCAACCAGGCTCTTAGACGTTCCAACCTGTTATTTTCATTTGTAACCAATGGAACTCTGCAATACTGGTGAGCGCTGTCGGAAAGATGAAATACCAGAGAGCACATACGCAAATTTCGGCTTGTACCCTGTCAAGAAGGAAGGAAGGAAGACCGTGGCGAATCGCAAAGTATTCCAGAGCGTATCAAAGGACGCCAGCTTAGTTGGCTGGGGGCCAGCCGACAGGTACACTCCGTTCGGGGCCAAGTAGTTCTTGCTGTACGTATACAGCGATGGATCATAGAGTCCTACGGCCTCCAGGATAACATTGAATTTCGGGGAGGGAGGGTTCTCCGCAAGGTATTTGTGGAGAGGCCCGACTTTCGTGTAGTCGATGAACTGTAGGATTAGTTAGGCTTTACGTTCGGATAGAGCATGCAGCGCTGCAGCCACCTCGTCTGCTCCCAAGCTGCGAACATACTGTTCATTCTTCCCCGAGGCAACGGCGACGACTTTGGCGCCCCTTATCTTTGCAAGCTGAATCGCAAACGATCCAACCGCAGTGCTACCACCGTTGACCAGGATAGTCTGACCCTCTTCCAGGCCAGCCTCATCCAAGTTGTGCAAAGCAGTTAAGGCTGTGAGAGTGACTCCCGCAGCCTGGACAGGTGTTATATTCTTCGGCTTGAGAGCAAGCGAAGAGGCAGCAACAACAGCGTATTCCGACAAAGCACCCTGCTTCGGTACCTTCTGGTAAGCTATAAAGTGGCCTTCAGTGAATATTTCAGGCGTCAATGGTGTTACCCATACCCGTTTTCACCCATGCAAAGGTCCATCCAAAGACTTCATCACCCTTCTTGAAAGTGGAATCATTCTCATCCACGATGACTCCAGCAATATCATAATCTGCAACGTAGGGTCGTTTGAAGACAAAGTCGGGAGTAACACTCATCATCTTGTACCCGCTAAAACAGGGTTACTAAGTGGTCACGATCGTGAAGCCTGTCGAAACACTTACACTGGGTTCAGCGCTGCTGCTTGTATCTTCACGAGTACATAGCCAGGTTCGAGTTTCTTAAGGACAGGCCAATCCGACTTGAGTTTCAAAACTTGGCGAGGTGGTCCTTGGTCAACAACCACCCAGGCTCTTTGAACGTCGGGGACAGCGATGTCGGTAGTCATTTCAGTAAGCTGAGTCGAGATTCAGAGGGAAAGATTTAGGAGGAAAAATATTAGGCAGGCGCAGTAATAAGCAATGGAGCCAAGCAGGGAGAAGGAATCACACACGGAGCCTGGCCACGGCATGATTAGTGATGGAGAACTGGAAAACCATTCGTTGTGATTCGGCGGCTAATGCAGTTGACGTCAGAACGCTGGCCGCTCCAGGATCATATAATTCCGGTAACACGAGACCACGTTCTCCGTATCGTCTGGTAAAGACTATTGACCGTCTATAAAGCCTGTCCAACGACATTGACGGCGACAGCGGGCGCGTAGCATGGTCAGGGAGACCAATTTCAGCTGAATCCAAGCCGGAAGCGAGAATCGGAGTTTGATCAGATTGCCGAGAGGATAACCTTGGTCAGTATGGCTGAGAGACTGAGGCGGACGTCCAGGACATAAGTAGTGATTGTCTTGGGAAGTAAACATGTACAGAGGTGTAGGCTTATGGGAAGAGGAATAGACAAACCTGGAACTTCAGGACTCTAGAGAGTTGTCAACCTTCACCACAACCTTCCCAGTGGCCCTGGAACTCATAATACGCTCGTACGCCTTGAGTGTATCCTCGAAGTTGTACACGGTGTCAACCACGGGCTTCAATTTCCCTACGATCATGCATGGCTGAGTGAAAGAACATCAAGAACGACATGCAGCCGCACCTTCTTCCAGCCACGCCCGTAGGCGCTCCAGCCTGTTTTCTTCATTTTTAACCACGGGGATCCTGTCAGCCGATGAGAATGCCGAAGTCATTAGATACAAGCCACAACTTACGCGAACTTTGTCCTATAACCTGTCAGGAAGGAAGGGAGGAAGACGGTGAACAACCGCAACGTATCCCATACTGTCTTCCACCCCAGTTTCGGCTGAGGACCAACCGACAAGTACACCCCGTTAGGTGCCAAGTAGGACTTGCTGGAGGTATATAACGATGGGTCATAGATCCCTACTGCTTCCAAGACGACGTTATATTTCGGCGAGGGAGGGCTCTTCTCAAGATATTTATGGAGGGGGCCAACTTTCGTATAGTCGATGAACTGCGAGGGATTCACTGAGTATAATTGCTGTATATAGATCACTTCCGCGTGCGTACCTCGTCGGCGCCTAAGTTTCGAACATACTGCTCGTTCCTCCCTGAAGCAACTGCTACAACCTTGGCCCCTTTGATCTTCGCAAGCTGAATAGCGAATGACCCAACCGCAGTACTTGCACCGTTAATCAAGATGGTCTGACCCTCTTCCAGACCAGCCTGGTCCAGGGAGTGCAGAGCGGTGATGGCTGTAAGCGTGATTCCGGAAGCTTGAATAGGTGTTATGTTGGCTGGCTTGAGAGCGATCTCAGACGCAGGAACAACAACATATTCTGCCAAAGCCCCCTGCTTGGAGATTCTCTGGTAAGCTTAGAATGAATGTCAAAGAATGCTCCGGCCGAGTACTCTCATCCATACCTGTGTTCGCCCATCCAAAAACTTCGTCCCCCTTCTTGAAGTTAGAGTCATTCTCATCGACAATGACTCCTGCGAAATCGTATTCTGCAACGTGGGGCCGGTTGGCGACAAAATTGGGAGCAAGCTTCATCATCTTGTACCCGCTGTAAACTGGAATAAGATCTATTATCCTGAAGGCCATTAAGGTGCTCACACTGGGTTCAACGCCGCTGCTTGTATCTTCACGAGAACATGGCCTGGATCGAGTCTCTTGGTGACTGGCCAGTCCGACTTGAATCGCAAAGCTCGTTCAGGTTTTCCTTGAGCAACAACAACCCAGGCCTTTTGGACGTCGGGTACAGCGAATTCGGTGGTCATTTGGACTGGGTCGTGGTGGATTCAGATAAGAAGGAGATGACATCTGGCCACGAGGTTTGTGATGGCTTCCAGGAAGAACTGCAAGTTGTGGTTCGGCGGCTAATGCGATTGACGTCAGAATGACTGCGGGAGAGGGCGATCCGGACCGTGGGAAAGCTCCCGGTCCCGTGATCCCGGCGACACAGCGTTCGTCCAGGTTCTCTCTAGTTTGAACGCCATTGACCCTCTGCCCAACTTGGACAACGACCTCATCGTCGACCACGATCGCGAACAGCTGATTCGACGTTCAGAACACTCAACAGATACTGACACGACTGCCAACAACTTAACGCCTGAGGATGGAGGTGGGTGGCTTGATAATGATCCTCGGTTAGATTGCTCATGGAACTGTAGGGGTTATTGGACTTTTCGAGGGAGTTCGATGTAGCGCTCCTGGATAAGGTCGTCACGGCCTTTTACACGGGAGGCGGCCCAGATGTACGTCGGATCTACCGCGATACCGCGTTTCGCTAATTCCTCGCCAACAACTGACCTTTCGATTCCCGTTATAGCAACAAATGGCTCAGCAAGTCCTCACCCAATTCCAGGAACATCCGGATTCATGGACACGGGTACCAGACATCCTAGAGAGGTCATCATTCCCTCAATCAAAGGTATGTGACGCGTCTTGCCCGTCCAGTCATTCCCGCTCATCGTTCGTTGTGGCTGCAGTACATCGGATTGCAAATCTTGGAGAAACTGATCATGACCCGGTGGAAAACACTACCAGATGGCCAGCGACAGGGTGAGCTCAGTTCTGATAAATTATCACTGGCCCTTCTCACCACAGGTATGGCTAGGTATCCGCAATTTCATTGTTCAAGTGACGGTCAAGGTTGCATCGGACGAGGTCTCTCTGAGGAAGGAGAAGACCTACATTAATAAGCTCAATCTGGCCCTGGTTCAGGTGGGTAACCGAACAAATACCAATAATTTCTGACTTCAATGCATTTGTAGATCCTCAAACAAGAATGGCCACACAACTGGCCCAACTTTATCTCGGAATTGGTCGAAGCTTCGAAAACCAGCCTTTCACTTTGTGAGAACAACATGGTGATATTGAAGCTGCTGTCAGAAGAAATCTTCGACTTCTCCGCAGAACAAATGACGCAGGCGAAAATCAAGCACCTTAAGAATCAAATGTGTGGCGAGTTCTCAGAAATCTTCAAACTTTGCTCGGAAGTACTCGAGGAGGCCCAAAAGGCTTCATTGATCAAGGCGACGCTGGAGACTTTGCTCCGATTCCTGAACTGGATTCCATTGGGCTACATCTTCGAAACGACAATCATCGACCTGCTCTTGAATCGCGTATGTCGTGTCTTCATTTGAGTGGCGTTAACTAACGCATTTCCACAGTTCCTTGAAACGCCCGAATTCCGAAACGTGACGCTCAAATGCCTAGCAGAGATCGCTGCCCTGAACGTTGGACCTGAATACGACCCGAAATTCGTTATCCTCTTCGCCATGGTCATGACTTCGGTGAACCGCATGATCCCCCCAAGCACCAATATCGCACAGGCATATGCGAACGCAGGCGACTCAGGCCAAGAACTTGTCCTCAATCTTGCCCTCTTCCTCTCGAACTTCCTTTCCAACCATCTTCGCGCTGTTGAAACAGAGGCAAACCGCGACGTTTTGCTCAACGCGCATCTTTACATGGTCAAGATCTCCCAAGTCGACGAACGTGAAATCTTCAAGATTTGCTTGGAGTACTGGCTCAAGCTTGTCGCTGAGCTCTACGACGAAATCCAGACCTTGCCGATCGGTGATTCTGGACTGTTGATGGGCTTGAGCTTGGGCAACGGTGGTGCACAGAATATGTTGAACGGCATGTCTCTTCGCAAGAACATCTACAGCGAAGTTCTCTCGAATCTTCGCTTGGTTGTTATCGAGCGGATGGTGAAGCCCGAGGAGGTGTGTCACAAAGGGAACTCTTTCAATGCATCAAACTCACCATTTTCTAGGTCTTGATCGTTGAGAACGACGAAGGTGAAATTGTTCGCGAGTTCATGAAGGAGAGTGACACCATCGTGCTCTACAAGGCCATGAGGGAGCTCCTTGTTTATCTTACCCACTTGGACGTCAACGATACCGAAACCATCTTGACGGAAAAGCTGGCCAAGCAAGTGGACGGATCTGAATGGTCATGGAACAACTTGAACACCCTGTGTTGGGCGATTGGTTCCATTTCCGGCGCCATGAGTAAGTTCTTTCATTCTGCTGATTGAATTTGTTTAACGTCGAGGCAGACGAGGAGACCGAGAAGCGCTTCTTGGTAACTGTTATCAAGGACTTGTTGGGCCTTTGCGAAATCAAGCGCGGAAAGGACAACAAGGCTGTCGTTGCTTCGGACATCATGTACATTGTCGGCCAATACCCTCGATTCTTGAAGGCACACTGGAAATTCCTGAAGACTGTCGTTAATAAACTCTTCGAATTCATGCACGAGACCCACGAAGGTATGATTTAATTTCACTTCTCCAGGAAAACCAGGATTAACGCTGGTCAATAGGTGTGCAAGACATGGCCTGCGATACCTTCATCAAGATTGCCCAAAAGTGCAGACGCCACTTCGTGATGCAGCAGTCAGGAGAGTCCGAGCCCTTCATCGACGAGATCCTGCGCCTCCTTCATCGAATCACTGTCGACCTTTCCCCACAACAGGTACGCCGATCGATCGTCAGTGACACCTAGCTTTCTCACTGTTGCTTCTAGGTCCACACTTTCTACGAGGCTGTGGGTTACATGATCTCTGCCCAGCCCAACAAACCTCAGCAAGAGAAACTCATCGCTAAGCTCATGGAGCTTCCCAATAATGCTGTAAGCATGACCTTCTTCTCCCTTGGTAATTCTGATACTGATAAGAGTTGTTTTAGTGGGACTCCCTCATGGCCCAAGCCGCTCAGAACCTGGATGTCTTGTCGAGTACCGATAACATTAAGATTCTTGCAAATGTTCTCAAGACCAACGTGTCCGCCTGTACATCTATTGGAAGCTTTTATCTTCCTCAGATAGGCCGAATCTTCTTGGACATGCTTGGTCTCTACAAGGCAGTCAGTGGTATTATCAGCGAGACGATTGCCAAAGAGGGTGCGTTTGCTCTACTGCTCCTTGCGGCAATGACCTCATGTTTTTCATAGGTTTGATGGCCACCAAGACCCCCAAGATTCGACAGCTTCGAACAGTGAAGAAAGAGATTCTGAAGCTTATGGAGACCTATATCAAGAAGGCAGAAGACCTCGAGGCCGTGAACAATAACTTTATGCCCCCATTGCTCGATGCCATTCTGGGAGACTACAACCGAAACGTCCCAGCGGCTCGAGATGCCGAGGTTCTCAATGTTATGGCCACTATCATTTCCCGTCTAGGAGTGCGTTTGCTTTCCGTCTATCAGCCCTTGAGTTCGCTCTGATCCTTGCTGTAGCCTTTGCTGACACCACAAGTCCCCGCCATCCTCGATGCGGTGTTCGAGCCTACACTCAACATGATCAACCAAGACTTTGCAGAATACCCCGAGCATCGTGTTGGTTTCTTCAAGCTGCTCCGAGCCATCAACCAAAATTGCTTCCCTGGTAAGTTATTGGCCACTTTCATCCAAAGAGGTCGATTTAACCGTTGCTTCTGCAGCGTTGCTGGGCATCCCTCCGGCTCAGTTCAAGCTATTCATGGACAGTATCATCTGGGCTATCAAGCACACCATGCGCGACATCGCCGATACCGGTTTGAACAGTAAGTCGAAATGTTTTTGGACGTTAAGCCTTGATTAACGCGTCGTAACCCCTTCTAGTCTGTCTTGAAGTCGTTAATAACTTTGCAACTGCCGCCGAGCCCGCCGTGACCAACGCCTTCTTCCAGCAATACTTCCTTAGCATCGTTCAAGATATCTTCTTCGTTCTCACCGATGCTGATCACAAGAGCGGTTTCAAGCTCCAGAGTTTGCTATTGGCAAGGATGTTCCAACTCGTGGAGATGGGTGTCATCCAATCCCCGCTTTTCGATCCCTCGCAAGTGCCAGACCCTTCGATGACCAATTCCGTGTTCCTTCGCCAATATACCGCAAATCTCCTCAAGTCTGCTTTCCCTCATGTTCAAGAGTATGTGATCGGACTCCTCCGCGGCCATTAGTATTCTGACTCCCTCTTTAGCTCCCAGGTGCAGACGTTCGTCACAGCCCTTCACGAAAACAACAACGATATCAGCCGCTTCAAGCTCGCCCTCCGCGACTTCCTTATCCAACTCAAGGAGTTCTCGTCTGGGGACAACTCTGAGCTTTACTTGGAAGAGAAGGAACTCGAGCAGCAACGCAAGTTGGAAGCTGAACGCGAACAAGCGATGAGGATTCCCGGCATGATCAAGCCTTCGCAAATGGAAGATAAGGACGAGGATATCTGATCTACTGGACTTTCTATCGGTTTCTTTTGGTCCTGATTATTGTCTCTAGCTCCGTCCTCTTTTTTCCCTCACAACTCTGATCATGGCACTTTGACCCTTGATCCTCGTGTTCGAGGTGCGAGTTGAAACGTAAATTTCTCCCCCGTTGTGTAGCTTGGCATCGTTTTGTCTCTCGTTCATGTATTTACATTTCTGTAGCTCCTCGCTCCGCTATCGTCTCAATCTGTTTTCCTTGTACTACTAGCACCAAAACAATAATGTAGAAGTATTTTGATATCAATTCTGCAATCAACGAATGGAAGTTCTTAACCTCTAGCTTTGAATACAAAGAAGCATATCACTGAGACGGACTCGTATGTTGTTGCAGGTGATCGTGAGCTCCGAAGGAGCGTTCATCGATGACACTGCGACGCCGTCCGTCCCTTGATCTGAACTCCCATCTTCTCTACTTCACAAAGGCCGTTATCTCGCTTATTCTCGACACGTTTCCAGACTCATGTTCAAGAAGTAAATCCTTCAGCTTTCCTAAAATACTCGACGGCGTTCCCATTCAATTTGACTCTGCTTTTCTAGGTTTTCGGCCTCATCTGACATCTCTGGGCAAGTCCCTGTGAAAACATCGGTTCAGAGGGCCATACGAAATTCTATCCTGTCGCAATGGAAGATAGAACCAGAGACGCTTGAAGCGATTTGGCCAAAGAAAGAAGGACTTGTCCATGTCAAATGGTCAGTCTCGCCTACCTTGACTTCCGGGGATCGAAGCGACCGCCCTCGAAAGCCAAGGGGCATCAGCTTACCTTCAGGGTTTTAGAAACTGGCAGCTGACTTTTTGACTGATCCTCGTATATCGACCTATGGAACATCGGGCGGCATTCTCTCTCGATGTCTACTTTGATCGCATTGGGATGGTGGGGGCACGATTGGCGGATTCAGCAGAGAGCACATCTCCATATACACGGTTCATGGGCAGCCCCTATTCTTCCAACACTTCGATGGACCCTTCTTCCCCACTTTGAGGTTATTGCATCAGTGTGAGTACGGTCTTATGATCTCCTTGAATCATTTCCGGGGACTGCTACTGACTGATTTCTATGTCGTTTGGCGCTCCGGGCCCGCCTTGTACAATTCGACTGATTCGATTCGATTCCAACCCTGTCTATTAGATCCCTATATCCTTCCGACCGTCAAGATTGACCGCGGTGCCATTCGCTTCCTGCTTGCAGGTGCAAATATGATGTGCCCCGGTCTCACGTCCAAGGGAGGGTGGCTCCCACCTGCTGAAGAAGCTTTGCCTGCAGGCGCAGTGGTCGCGATTCACGCAGAGGGGAAGGAGCATGCGGTTGGGATTGGCGTGACCAAACTTTCGACAGAAGACATCAAGCGAATCAACAAGGACGTAGGAGTCGAGACCATCGCCTACCTTGGAGATGACCTTTGGGCTTTGAAGTCCCTGTGATCTGTCTTGCGATCATGGAAAGGAAGGGAACGGATTGGAATTTGTTAAAATTAACTTCCTCGTTGGAGCAAGGCCGCCGTGTAACGGTACTTTCATGTACGAATCTGGATTCAGAGCTGTTTGGGCTGCAAATGATTAATAGACTCGGAACAGGTTTCGTGTATATGATCGCTGGCGGCAGCACGCTGTTAATCCGATTCGTTACCGCTTTACTGCGAGGATTTAACGACTTATAGATAACAACAAGCTTCTTAACCTTGAACGTCCGGACGTATGTCAACGCGGTGAATCCTGTGATCTACCTCGAAATGCTGAACTTCCTTGTTCTGCCAAGTTCTTGACTCGGGAACCACCTTTCACCAACAGAGACATCTTAATCCAGCAAGGCACGAGGGTATGATAGGACGGCTGTTTACTTTACAACATCTTCTCCGTTCCCGCTCTTACGGCCGACTCTGTCAAACTACCTTCAAAAGGATAGTCAATCCTCTACCCCGGCTTCACCAGCCGCAAGATTCGATCAGACTGCAGCTGCCGGAGTATTGGCTCTCCAAAAGGTTAACGCAAACAGTGGCTTCAATCAGCTTCCCGTAAGCGCTGTGAGTGATTACAGCACCAAGCGGCTCTACTATGCACGATACCTGCTGTTCTAATCCAGGTGTATACTTCCGAGCGAGGAGGTACCCCGAAACGTGTGACCAGGTGCGAAATGGGCATGTTCAGTGCTACCATACCGGTCGAAACCCTAACAGCCTTCACCTGAGGGCTAACCGAGTCCTGAACGAAGCCCCACCCCCGCGTTCAATGGTCTTCTATTTGGATTGCCGTAAAAAAGAGAGGTACCCTTGACTCGTGTTTTCACAAGTCAAAGCTACCGGTGCATGATTACCACCCTGGGTAACCAATATGCATCCGCCCTGCACAAAGGAGTGAGCAGGACCCTGTGCCGATGGGAGCCTGCGGGTCCAAGTCTGCCTGGGCCGTGAGAACACAACAGTAGCGAGTTGAACTGGTTCACTGCCGTCATTTGTTTGTCAATGTAATGTTCCCAGGTCGACACGCTCCGCTCGCGTCCTCCCGAGCTCCCGAGCGAGGGGCGCGGGGGTCCGAACTGCTTTTCCAAAACGGTGTCGATAACCTTGAGATTTCCTTTCTCTATTTCCTCTCAGGTCTCTCTTCAAGGCCCGGACTTGCGGTCTATTTCCAAAGAATTCGCAAAATGGAACGTTCTCCCGGAGACAAAAACACAGCGGCTGAAAAGGCCTTTGCATATGCAGAATTCACACCTGTCAAGTCGAGGAAAAACCGGAAGAACAACAAAAGGACGATCCTGAAAGATCGACTGGGCCTTCCTCCTATACAAGTTTTGAACCGCTTACGGGAGAATATGCGTAAAGAGGACGAGGAGTGGTTTCTGGATGCTTCCCGTTGGTGTTGTCTGTGGAATATTTCACGAGTGATTTTTGGGCGTCTAATAAAGGTCATTTGCCCTGATTAACAGGAACCTTATCTGATGCGCTGCGCGAGCTAGCCCTGTACCCCAGTACCAGGGCTTCGCCTGCCACTACCTCGGACTGCGATCCATTGCGAATTCTTTGTCTCGGTCTAGGCAGCCCGACAAGTTCCACAAACGCAAATGCTCAGTTGGCGTTTCTTCTGGAGACAGCACAGCATCTGAACCTCGTGTGTATCTATCACTGGCTTCTTTCGTGGAGATGGGGGCACTTCTGATGTCCTCTCTTACGCTGGTCATGGGATGACGACGAATTGACGGCGATCTTTTTGGTCTGCGCCTTGTAGACGACAAATGAGAATATCTCATTATACGACCCCGTGTTCACGGACGAAGACAAATCCCTGTTCAAAGAATTGGGTCTAACCGTCCTGGATGAAAATAGAGCACGTATCTTTTCCTTCTCTTCATTCCGGGGTACAGTGAATTGATAAACGCCCGTTCTTTTTCTATACACTCTTTCCATTTGTCGATTGTGCAACGTTCCCTCGGTCCCCGACGCACTCCCCCTGGCAATCAAACTGCACACCTCCCCTATCAATCTATGCGCTATGGGGCATATTGATACTAGGATGGGCGCTACACGCTGTCTTCCACCACCCTATGCTTCATGCTCCACTGCGACATGGAACTATACAATTCTATCATATCGACCAATTGGAGCGAAACCAATCTCAAGAACTTTATCCTTGTCGGAAATCGGCTCGCCGAGTACATCGATAGGTGCGTAACATAACTTCAACCAGTTGCCTTCAGGCTATTGCCTCGCCGTTTTCTCGAAAGAAGTTAAAGGGACATGGGTTCTTTCTTAACATTCATTCAAAGCTTAATGTTATTTTTAACCTTTTATTTCAAATTTCAAATCACTGGAGTCCTATACCTTCTCCTCGCTTCTCCCTATGTCATGCTGCATGCAAACTGACTTGATCTTCGCTTTCGAATACAGTAATCCGAGTCAGAAACTCAAAGCCAACGTGCCTTATCTCTTTCATATCGGTGGGTTGATCTCCCTTGTGCACCCGAAACGAGTTTCTTGCGTACTGTTGCGCTGACTCCCAATGTGCTCCGGAAGCTTCGAAACTGGAGTGCCGCCCATTCTCAGCGTCGAAGCTGTGGCCCACCGCATTCAATAATACGTGTGTTCAGTACCTCCCTCCCCCGATGACGGGGAATGACAGCAAGGCGCTAGAAGAGATACTGGCTTCGATACCGCAACCACCGACAGAGTCGCAATCGAAGAAGCCCACTTCCCGCCACAAAGGTGCCGAACCCTCTCTTGACATGGGCGCTCAAAGCCAACTCGGTGGCGGAAGAAGGGTGGACAACGCGGCTACCGCTGGCACTGGGTAACCTTCATCTCCGAGACCTTCTGTACAGTCCACACCAATGTTGAGCAAAATGACGATGGTATTGCTTCAAAAGTCTATGTGCACCATACCAGCCATGGAGACGACTGAGGACACTGAGGAGCTACAAGATGGTAACACATGTGGTGAGATAACACGACTAGGGAGACACTAAGGGGTCAGAGCGAGAGACGAGAGAGCGAGAAAGAGAGAGACCAAGACCAGGCCCGAGACTGAACAAAAAAAAGGAGTAATAATGCACAAGGTACTGAACGACCAAAGAAGAGCAAAAAGATGCACAAGAAGAAATCACGAGCGAGATATATAGGGAGGGGGAGGGGATGATTAACGACACTAACACTCTGAATACAGATTATACGTGGAATGTACGTCGTTAGTAGAAAAAGGTAATGGATCAAAAGAAGGCCCAAAGCACGAAGACGAGGAGGAATCTTGATCATATACACGAACGGCCGCGCCATGACTCAAACGGCTGCGGTCTGGAGGAAGAGGGATGGAAGCTGCGTCCAGCACGTCAACGTCGAAGAGCGAAGAGCGAGATCCACCCATGGGCGTTGGTGGGCTGTCCGATTCGTCGTCCGAGGTGTTGTCTTCTATCGTGTCAGGAACCGGCATGTCGTCGACATCGTCGGAGAAGGGCAGCGGGTCTTCGTAAGGAGGGGGAAGGGACGAAAGAGAAGAAGAGTCGAAAGCATATGGACTAGCAAGAGGGGGATGGCAGGGTGGGTAGGGGTCAATAATAGGATATGATACAGGTAATGAAGAAAAATAAGAATGATGCTGATGCTGCTGGAAAGGATGATGATTGTGCATAGAGGGGAGGAGATCGTCTGACGAGGACATGGGCGAAGCGGAAGGACTGAACAGTTGCTCGTCCTCATCCTCCGTTCGCGAATCCGAATCTGGTCCAAAGTCGTCGTCGTCATCGTCACCGAGAGCTTCTAAAAGAGAGTCGAGCCACTGGGCTTCCGAAGAGTGAGCGTCTGCTGGGCCGGCCTCGACCAAGTTTCCAGCGTCGGGAAACATGAAGCTGTGGACACTACCTCCAGCCACCGAGCTTAACACCTCGTCCGAAACACTATCGTCGTCGTCCAAGTCTTCAGAATACGAGGAAACTTGAGTCTCAGAGACGGCGTCGACGGCGCTGGAAACGAGAGCGGAAGTGGAGTTGATGATGGAGTTTTTTAGTAACACCCAGCGATGCAAGCTGCATCGGTCCTTATGGCCACCAAAGGACGTCTGCAGCTTATTTCGCGCGAGATCGAACAGAGAAGTTGAATCAGTTGTCATTTCTTGTTTTGCTGTTGGTGGTGGTGTGGGCGGTTGAACGCGGTTATTGATACTACAAAGCTGTTGTGGGTGGCGGCGGCGAGGTAGACTTGGTCGGTCGACTGGAACGCAGTTTTATGAGCATTTCTGGGCGCCTAACATGGCACAGACAGAACATACCAAAGGACAGAGAAGCGGTGTCACAAGTGGTGTATGCGGTAGACGATTTCGGGTTCGAATAGGAGGGAGCCGTTCTTGGAGATACGAACGAGTTTGTTAACCATTCTCGATGATATATGGTTGCCAGACGGTCACAAAGACTTTGGCCAAGGGTGGACGGGCGACGAAATTAAGGGACTCTAGTTATGCGAACATTTTGGGTGTGTGGACGGAGGTGTTTCAGCTGTTTTCCTGACCTCACTACCCTTTATATGTATTCAGCGGGGTTTGAAATTTCGCACGAACCACCACTGAGTCAACAACCGCAACGAACCAAACCAAGCCGGTCCGAACTCGGCTGGCCCACCAGCTCACGACGATAAGGTGCCATTTCAGCTCATACCGCTTCTTCTCGTTCTATCCTTTAAACTAGTCATTTGTACAAGAAATGTCGCCACAGATAGTAATAATATTGTACACATCAATGTCCGATCATCCCTCATCCATCTTGTCGTCCCCCTCGTCTACCACAGTCTCTAGCAGCCGCTTCATCTTGTTCAGGCTCTTGGGCGCAATGTCCCTCGCAACAGCCAACGCCTGTGCCGACTTGACTTCATCCCCAATCAGCCGATACACCCTGGCCAACTGGAAGATAACATTCGCTTCCTCCGGCGTCGTCCGTCGAAGGTGCTCTAGGTCCTTTAGTGCTTCCTGATAACGCCGGCGAAAAGGAGTAAGGAGGAACGAATTAATGCAAATCATCAGGACTCGTGTGCGAGTAAACACGTACATTGTACTTCCGCATCGAGACCCACATCTTCGCCCGTCGATACCGAACCAAGGCGTTCTCAGGGCATGCTTCGATTGCCTTATTGTAGTAGCTCAGCGCCTGGTCGTATTCTTGACGCCGTTCCAGTGTCTGTCCACAGCCGGTACCGGTCAGTACATCCCCTCACTCCCTAAAACCATCGTCTCCGAGGGGCAGATGGCACAAAATGACTACTGACCATGGCTACACATCCCAGTATTACGGCATTATGTGGGTGGATTTCGAGGGCCTTCCTGTAATGGTATTCCGCCCGGCGAATCTTGCTCGCTCGTAAATAACATGTTCCCAATCCATACCTATTATAGTCATTTTAATTATTGCCGGGAAATAAAAATACCACGAGTAAAGGTCAGGCGACTCACCATGCATTATAATGTCGCGCATCAACACGAAGCGCTGATTCGAAAAAGGTCGTCGACACGTCCAAGTTCTCGTCAATCGTCTCGTGGCCGCTCAGTGTGAACGCATATGCGCACGATGGGTCTAATTGGGCCGCTCGCTTGAAGCATGTCAACGCTTGAGTCCGGTCTTTCTGCAACGAGAACAAATTCCCGATGGCGATCCATGCCTGGGATGATTGAGGGTTGATATTGAGTAGTTCTTGCGCGAGGTAGGACAACTCGATGTTCCGTTGCAGATGCCACAAAAGTGTCGAGTACACTTCCATATCCCACAACCGATAGGGCTCAATCTCGCGAGCACTCCTAAACGCTCGTTCCGCCTGAATGTAGCACAGGATATGAGATAAGTAACCGTTCCCTGTCCAACCAGCAACTCGATAGACTAACCGAGGAGTAATCCTGCAACTCATAATGCACCTTCCCTATCATGACCAGTGTTGATGCAGATTTCTGGTGTGCTGGCGGTAATCGTTCGAGCTCTTTGAGACACCTCTTGCAATCGTACAGAGCCAATCGCCTTGCGGCTGATGCGAACTGACGAACCAACTCGTAGATAGCGTGGTCGGCTAGTTCGATCTCGTACTCTTCCTGCGCTTGCTGTTCTTGGAGTAAAGTCCAGCCACTGGGTGCAGGAGACCCTTCAGAATGGGGTGATAGTGCAGACGGTGGAGATGTCGAATCGACAGCTTCACTTCCAGCCACGGCTTCATCGTCCTTTTCCTCGACATCGTTCGCTGTTGATTTAGTCCGTGCATGCGCTACAGGTCGTCTTCGCTCGCGAGTAGGGGCCTATCAAGACCAAGACGTGATTAGGCAAAGTGACATGGGACCCTGCAGGGAACGAAAAGGCTAAGGAGAACATTACCTTTGGGAGACCCAGTTGCTTTGCTCCGTTCCCGCTCAGGAGGCGGTTACTGCGGCGTGTGGGCGGGGGGACAGCACTCGGCTGAGTGTTACTCTTGCCAAGAGCTGTGTTTGTTCGGGAAGTGTTCACTGGCTGAGAATGACTGGAAGATGAGATGATGTTAGCAACTGACAAGGCCGGGCGTGCGCGTGCCTTTTTCAAGGGATCGTCCAAAGTGGACTTGCTCGATTTTGGCTTGCTACTAGCTTCGGGTTGTCGTGAGGTGGAGCGAAGGCGTTTCTGAACAGGACCTGCCTCATCTGCCGATGAAAGTGGTCTCGGGATTTGAGTTTGGACGGCGTTGATGGGTTGTGAGCGGACTGTGCGGGGGTGTTGGAATGAATTGTCTGGTAGAAATGTCGATGTGTCACTGGGTAATCTAGAGCCCGATGAATCAGTCATTGAGCTGCGTCATTAACTAGAACACTGACATTGAATCTCGGGGAAACTCTAGACGAAATGGTTGAGGTTGTGAGATTTCTGGTTTGAGCCCCCGAAATAGATTCCCGGCGCCTCCTCCAGTGCCCGGTTCTGGTGTGAAGAAGCCCGCTCCTGTTGCTACAGGGCCGCCCTTTGGCAACTGAAACTCTTCGGTTGGCGGGCCTCGTTTAACGGGTGGAGGCCGCGGGGGGATTATGACGTCGATCTCCGGTATTCTTCCTGTGAAAGAGGATGAGTAAAGGATGGATTCAGAGCAAATTAAACGGACCAATCGCGCATAGACCCTCTACTGCCTCCCAAATAAATGGATTCAACTTGAGGGCGGAAACAAAATGTTCATAGGCTTTGTTGGGTTGATTCCCTTTGAGAGCCACGTTTCCCGCTCTGCACCGGAGAGCTGCTGCTTCCGGGAATGCCTTGGATGTTCGACTGCTTGACGAAGCTGACACAGAACCTTGTCAGCCTCAGTGAAAGCGAGCTATTGACGAATACACACCTGTCGAGATGTAAGCTGGGTCCTGCAATGTGGCGTCTAGTGCCTCTCTAGCCTGTCTGAACCTGCCGAGGACTGTGCAGCACTTTGCCTTGATTTCAAGACATCCGGTGCACTGCTCATCGAGCGACACGTTGACGAGGTGGAGGGCCGAATATGTCTGCTTGGCGGCTAGCAAAGCTGTTGCATAGAGGTGCCGTGCATCGTGGTTCTTTGGGTCCTGAGAGTAGAAGCGTTCTGCGTAGAATACTGCTGATTTGACGAGGTCGTTGTCGAGACATGCCCAGACGAGAGACTGAAAGCGTTGAGCGACGTAATTGGCGTTTGGTCCCAGCATGAAAGAGGGCAAAGACTCGGTCGAATCCAAAACGCACGCGACAAGACGCGTAGCACAACGCGAGTGGCGGAATAAACCTGCCCCCACCCCGATTCACTTTGCTTGTTGAATTCCGCCCCCGTGTGACTCACTTTCCTTTTCAAGTCTTCCCTCATGTCACAAGTTCGAGTCTCATCCAATTCATTATTTCGATATTCTACATCTACTCTACATTTAATGTGCGTGGGGGTCTTCTGCAGGTTGGTCTAGACACAAAGGTGAGCGAAAGGTCACGCATAAATTGAACGAGACATACCAGGCACACATTGAATCGCATCGTCAATCCGGAGAAGGGACACAGCAGCCTCATATGCCGACTTCAAGCTCTTCACCTTGCTCATGGTCGGCTCGAGGATACCGGCATTGACATTGTCCCTAACCTCCCCATTCAACAAGTCAAGACCATATCGCAGCAAAACCTTCTTCTGGTCCCCAGCAGGAGCCTTTTGTGCAGCATTGTGATACGAACGGAGTTTCGCAACGAGCTCCGTAGAATCTTTAGCCGCGTTCACGGCCAAAGTCTTTGGAATCGACAACAAAGCCGAAGCAAATTCAGCAATGGCCAATTGCTCTCTCGAACCCTGGGTACATTGTCAGCACGGCACACCTCTTAATAATAGAACAGCACGAACCAAACTGGTAGCAAAGTTTTCAAGATAAACACTCAGAGCCGACTCAACCGCACCACCTCCGGGCACCACGGCGCCGCTTTCGAGCGTTCGCTTGATGATAGAAAGAGTGTCATGCAACGACCTTTCCATCTCATCCAACATCGATTCGTTGGCACCTCGGAGAATGATCGATGCCGAGCTGACTACTTTGGTACCCTTGATCAGGATGAGTTCGTCGTCCGCAATGCGCTCCTGAATCACTTCGTCGGCAGTACCCAAATAGCTCGCCTCGAACGTTTCTTCACCCTCCAAGTTGGCAAGACTGGAGATGAGCTGTCCACCGGTGGCTTTCGCGATACGGCGGAGGTCTTCCTTGCGACAACGACGGACGGCCATCGCACCTGCCTCGACAAACTCCTTCAGGCAGAGATCGTCGATACCCTTGGTCGTGAGGATAACATTGGCTCCGGTAGCCAGTATCTTGCGAATCCGCTCCAAAGTGATCTCAGATTCCCTGTTAACATAGATAGAACCAGTCAACAAGGGCTCTCGCCCAATATCACAATCGAAACGCACCTTCGTCGGATATCCTCCAACTGCTCGGGATCATCCACCAGGATTTGCACACCAAGTTGCATACGGGCTTTATGGAGGTTGATGTCCAAGCAAGCGATCTTCGCGTTCGTGATTCGCTTCTTCATAGCTAGAAAGTGTGAAATTCAGTTCTACCCCCAGAGATAAGCATTTCAATAACACCCACCTTGACTGGCCACCGTGCAGTTCAAGGCGTATCCAGAAACAAAGACGGATTCGCGTGCGCTTTTACCGTGAGCCTTCAAGATGTTAACAGCCTTGACTGGGTACTTGATATCTCCTCGCAGGTTGATCGTCTTCACGGCTTGCATCGCGTCCACCGCCATAGGCGCGAAAAAGTCGTCGTCGCTAAAAACAAAAGCATTGTCAGAACCATTTTCCAACCTATTCTCCCTATTCCTCAGAAAATGTAACTCACTTGCCAATAATCTTGCTCGACATCGACGTCTTGGCCACATTGATCAATGCATCCCTCCCAAGCGCGTCCACCTTGATGCTCAACTGATCTTGCATAAACTTGACAGCCTCCCTACATGCAAGCCTATACCCCGTAATAATCGTCGTCGGGTGAATCTTGGCTTTCACCAACTCGTTCGCCCTGCGCAGGAGCTCCGCAGCAATGATCACGACGGAAGTGGTGCCATCGCCGACTTCTTTGTCTTGTTTTTGAGCGAGATCGACAAAGATGCGGCCGGCGGGGTGTTCGACGCTGAGGAGGGAGAGGATCGTAGCACCGTCGTTTGAGATAGTCACTTCCTGGTGGGTGCAGTAAAGAGCATTTGGCGATGAGATTGAGCAAGTTTGGACGATGAAAGTGGAAAGGACGCACTCCGATGTTGTCCACCAACATTTTATCTAAACCGAGAGGACCCAACGAGGTCTTGACGATGTTTGCTATCGTCTGCGCAGCAATCACTGTATACAGAGAACATCGTCAGAATTTCCACTCGAGACCAAGGACCAACAGCCAAAACTTGAGCAAGCGTCGTCGCTGGAAACTCGAGGAAGACTCATTCGTTACACACCATTTTGATCTCGAATTTCTTGTCCAGAAACACGATCTCCACCGAGGAAGGCACCTGCCCTGGGATCCCGTTGAAACATGGTCGGGTGGTCGTCAAAAGGAAGGTGAGGTAAGGAGGATTCGAGATGATGATGAAAGTTGGAGATCAAGAGTCCTGCGGTTTGTAAAACGCAAAACGCGTCAACGCGTCGCTGATACAATCATCTTCGACGTCGCGGACCCGGTCAATGTCCAATCTCTCTTCAATTGTGCGGTCGCAGGCTAAGTTGACAGCTCAGAACCAATACATTACACGATTTCACAGTTGGATTTATTCTTCTTGAAAGAAAAGACAGAAAGGTGGAACGAACGCCGGATTGTATAAATAACGAGAGACCCTTGCAAATGGATGAGAAAAGACCTCTGAGGATCGATAATAATAATAACAGGGGGGAAAGAGCGATTTCCTCGACGAAAAGAAAACACCGAACATAGCTTAACGAAACAGGCGAATCCAGTCAACGAGAAAGAACAAGTCCCCCAAGAGCGCCAGCGAGTAACCTACTATTCGTATGTAGGTACAGTAGAGTAAGATGAACGGATGAGATAAAATGAGATCGATTTGTGAAAGAGAAAACAACCGCGCAGAAGGTGCCTTCCACTAGGGAAAATCCCACCTGCGAGAAGATAGGATGTGTACACTACACACGAATAATCGAGTGGCGGAAGGTGCACAAAGTACCGGGGGAAAGAAGTCTAAACCAGAACAGAAAGAAAACGAGGGCAGGAAGAAAAACTGGAAATAAGTATGCAAGATGGGAACAAATATTCTTATATGTGGTTTAACGTTGGAACAAAGGATAGTAGAGGAAACCCAGAAAGAAAGATGGTAAAAGATAAAAGGTGGAGGAAGGAAAGAGAGAAAAATAAAAGGAGGTCCATTCAATGTAGCAGAAGTTACAAGCCAGGTCCTTTAAACGGTCGGCAAATTTAAATGTCTGCGTGCGGGGAGGTTATACAAATGCGGAATGGATGTTTGTTTGTGAGTGTCGAGCCGAATGATGAGTGAGATAGTTGTTCTTGCTATTCTTCTTCGTCAAGATGCTGATGAGATTATGAGTGAGAGAAAAGAGGTGAGAATGTTTTGAGAGTGTGGGGGAGTAGTCAGTGTTCGATGCGTTCGAGGTCGATACAGGTCGAGGATATCGTTGTTGACGTTGGTCAAAGGATGCGAATCAGTCGGTTCTGTCGAAGTGGGTAGCGAAAGGCGGTGGCGATTGGCGAAGGTCGAGTGACGACGTTGTGTTCGGTTCATGCGACCGTGAGTATCGATTGTTGTTGAAGGGAGAAAGTCAAAACACCCAAGAGATAAAAGAGGGGTATACTTGGCCCGTTACACGGGCCGTAAAGCTCGTTGGAGAGCGGGATGGAGAAAACTGCCTCCGCGAAAGCGCGAACAGGAAACAGTGGCAGGCAGACAGTGAAGGCGTGTGTTAAAGTGAGATGATTGACGACGGGGATGTCGTTCCGTGGTGCAATACAAGCGTTGAATGACATTAGGCGTTGAGCCAGTTGGATCTGAAGCACGCTTCCGCAGTTACGCGAAGGTACATCCGGTAGATGGTCGTCGAGGTCGTGCATTCCAGACGCGTCGTCATTTACGTCGAGGTGGCTTCATTAGTGGAAGTTTAGCGGCATGCGAGTGGGACCATAAGTCTCCGAGCGAACAAGATGGCGGAGAGGTTTCTTGTTCATCTTGAGAGCGGCCACCTTGTTCGGAGGAGGACAAGGGCTGTCACCAAGGTCGGTGTCCGTGTCGTCGCCAGTCTCAGCGGTGGTGTTGGCGTCCTCGGCAAGAGTGCCCAACGAGACTGTACCAGCGCGACGGGTGCGAGCAGCATTGCCCGCAGCGAAGAGACCAGCGGGGGCGGTATTCCGCTTGGGTTGAAGTTGTTGGCTGAGGGCATTCTTCAAAGGACCATCGCCATAAGCGTAGGACTTGTGACGACCGAATTTAGCCTTGCGGAATTGGTCCAAATCTTGCTGACGGGACAGGGCGTGATTAGGATCATCCATAGTCACGTACGCGTTTGGCTCGCATTTACGACCGGAGGTTTTGAAGTAGTTGCAGTAGCCGCCTTCAAGGATGTAAACTTCAGGATAGTGGATCTTGGGATACACATGGTTGTTCATGGCACGATCCCTGGCCCGCAGATGCTTCGCACTGAAGGAGCACGTAAGCTTGGTGAGAGCGACAAAAGTCCAACATTTGGCTTACAAGGTAGGGGCTCGCTTGGCACTGAACTCGCAATGGAAGACGAGGATAGTCTTCCTGGTACTATCCCCACTGACCGATGGTTTCGGTTTCGTCAGGCTGGGCCCAAGCAGCAGCTCTTCGACAGCAGTGGTCGTGTTGATGTTAACCGCGCCACGGATATGGCCACCAGCATACTCGTAATCGAAGCGACAGTCGATCACATGGTAGTCGTGAATCTGATCATCGTACTTGCCATCCAAAAGGTCGTCCAACTATAGGAGAAGAAAGATAAAGCAACGCGCAAGGGGGATGAAAAATGCAACTGACCGTCGGGACAGATATTCTCATGAGGCCATCCTCGGTAACGCGGTGGCAAGGGAGAATTTTGCCATGAGCCTCGTTGTCGCCAAAGCCAGGCAAGCCAGGAGCCAAAAAGCGCCGGGAAGGACTGTCCTTCATGACGAGGGCGCTCGCACCAGTCAACGGCCTAAAGTCCTCAGTGCCGTCACAACGCCTAATGGTCTTGACTTGTTGGCGCTTCGCATACGCCTGGGCAGGGGACGACATATCAGGGCCATCAAACGATGAGTCGGACTCTCCTTGAGCATAGATGGAAGGAGGAAGCAAAGCGGAGAAGGCGCGTCTCACTGGAGGCGCAGCGGGGGCGGGACTACTCTCTTCCTGTGAAAGGCCCGAAGACATATCCGGATGCGCAGAATGGATGTCAAAGTCCGATGGTTGAATCATTTCCGAGAGAACGGGACGGCGTCCGCGCTTCATGAAAAGTGCGGGAGCACCAAGACCTTGGAGAGTAGGCTTGCCGTTGCGACTGGTAGCAGCATTCGACACACGATCCAGTCTGGAGTCCGAGGGAGACGAAGCCAACATGCCAGGAGAGGAATCAGCATCTTTGTTGATGGCGCGGTTGGATTCGGGAGAGAATGAGCGGCGCTTCTTGGTCGTTGGTCCGCGGGGGGATTCGAATGATCGACGGGGTGATAGTGTGTCAAAGAAGAGGTTGTTGAAGCCGGTGACGGTAGGGACGGCGGATTTGGGCTCGGGTGAGAAGTTGACGGGTTCAAAGACAGGCTCAGGATCTAGGTGATACGAAGTATCCACATCCATGGCGTCATCCATTGGAGAGGAGGGTTGAGTTGGAATCTGGGTGGGATGAGCTAACTGGGAAAACTTTCTCGACAGGGGGTTGAACTTACGGTAGGTTTCTCTGGTTCTTCTGGAGACCGCATTGCGGACATCCATTCTACGGGCAAGGCAGCGCGCTGAAGCTTCTTGCCACTAGCGGTTCCACTGTTAGTCGATAGTTTTCCTTCTGGGAACTTAGGACTAGGAAGAAGGGAGGGACTGCTGTTGCTGATATCGCTGCCGAACAGGCGGGAGCTGCTGGTAGTGAGCGCGCGGGGCCGCGAGGCAGGTTTTGATGACGGGACGTTCAAGAGCCCGTGGCGTTGGGGCGGCATGGGAGAAATGTCCATTGCGTCGCAATCTGACGAGAGTTGGGCATGGCGCCTGGGAGGCGAGTTGAGGGACACATTGGATGCAAAGGAGGCTTCCAAGTCTGACGAGAGGTACTCGTCGATATCGTCGCGTTTCCGTTCTTTAGACTTGCGACTTGGTGGAGCGAGGAATCGAGTGGCAAAGAGGGCCATCTGTGAGTCTGAGCGAGTGTGTCTGTGTCGAGTGGATCGTTGGCGTTTGAGACCGCGGTGAGAGGCTGATGAGTCTAATAGTCGTGACATGAAAGGCATCGCGAGGTAGGGGTCGTGCACGGCAGAGGTAGCCATGGAGTCAGAACAAACGGTGGTGGTTGTACAAGAGGCAATGGGTGGCACAGTTGAAATAGTACAGTGGCACAGCGGCGCACAAAGGAGAAGGAAAAACGCGGTATTAGTTGCGAAAACCCAACATGAACCAAGTGGTACCGACCAGGGTCTCGTCAGAGGTTGATTTCAACTTGGTGTTGGATTTAAGGCGCGACCTGAACAGCAAACGTTGCGTCAGCACAAGCCGGGGAAATCCAAAAGGAGGATAAGTTGAGCCACTCTTTCCATTGTCCGCTGGATTTGGGGCGAACACATGGCAAAAGTTGAACATTCGAAGCCCAAAACAGAAGACTTGGCAAACAGAACCTGTGCATACCTTGAAATTCTTGAAACGAGTGTGTCGACGTGCGACGCCGTGCGCTACAGACAATAGGAGAAGGTTCAGACGACAAAGCAACAGCAAAAGACCCAACAGGTCTTACTGGAACAAGTGTGACGCTATAAACCGAAACCAACCAGGGTTTGTGGGCAAATGTAGGTCCCACACTCCTCGGCTGTCAGAGAAAGCAGCTTCTTCGCTGCTTCAATCGACGCAGAAACCTGTCTGTCCCGCGTCCAATCTTGCCTGGAGCGTATTTGATGTTTCGCCGGTGAAATGTGTCGCTAGCTGCTGGTAGACCTCACAGAAGACGCGCTTTCCTTGAATGTCTGGCCGCCAATATTTCCTTTATTTGTTCTCTGTTGGCAAATGTTCGACTTGACACGTGATCGTGTAGCTGACTTAATCCGGCCCCTGGTGACGCCTTTGTCCAGAAACGGACAGCAACCGGGGTTGGCGAAGCGCCCATGACATCCAATTTCGACCAAACCCCACAAACATGACGTTAATTAACACCTCTTGTCGAGGGTAAAACAAGGCAGTCAGAGTCCAATTTATGCTCCAACATTCGCTCTCTGGACCTGCAGACTTTCCTCTGGGGATTCCCACTTGATATCTTTCCATCTGGCCATCAAGGGTTCAGCACAACGTGGATCATGTTGAAATTTCAACAACAAAAGCGATGGAAATACGCACGGTGCAAACGCGAACCCGAGCTGTTCATAATGCACGTCCGGATACTTTTCGGCAATAACTTTGATGAGGGCCTCGTAGACAACCTGGGCCCGACGTCAGTGGAGACGTTTCGAAAGCTACAGAATGTTATCGTATAAGCAAGTCGTCGCATACCTTATAACCGGCTTCATTCAAGTGCAAACCATCCGGCAAGTACTTGGACAACGCCTTCTCGCCCTCACCAGCGCCTTTCCAGAGCGGAGTCCAGGCATCAACAACAGCCACATTCTTTTCTCTTGCAATCTCCATGACGGCCGAGGCGTACTCCTTGGTAACATCGAACAACCTGTCCAGCTCTACCGGCGGATCCCTCGACTCCAGATCGGCTTTCCGAGTGTGTGTATTCACAGGTGGCGGAGTTATCAAGATAATCCGGGTGTGCGGGGCATAGTAAGGCGAGTTTGGAGAATGGACGAGGTCTACCATTTCTCGAAGGTTCGCTTTGAATTTGTTGAGGGGGACGTGCTGAGGCGATGGTTTGATACACGCATCGTTCGCCCCGAACCAGATCGTGAGGACGCGGACCTTTGGACCATTGGCAGCTTCATCCTTCTTGGCCAGACACTGCATGCGACCATCGTGAGACGTGGGTCGAGCTCTCCATTCCACGTAGCGCCGCCGTTCGCACCTGTTTGAAGACGGGTAGTGCCCAATCTGTATTGTAGCCCGAAAAGCCCCTATTCAGAACGTCGAGCTTCCTTGCGTAGACGTCTATCCAGCGTCACGATCAATTGCAGTAGCGTTTCAAGAGGAATGATACTAACGCGACAGCCTCTGACCAATCCCCGTATCTCCTGGTGCCCAGGATCCTTGAGTGATAGAATCTCCGAAGAGCATGAATATATCCTGGACATATGCTGCCATGCTCGAGTACCTGAGGTCTTCTAGCGTACCGATCTTCAACAGAAATAGGAGTCGGAGGAAGAAGGCTAAGAACTCGGTGTACACTTGAGGCTAATCATCGGAGTTCTTTATCTGAACTCATACCATCAAAATCCATGAATGCTCTTTCTTCTTGAAACGTAACCACAACGAGGGGAATAATGTCAGACTCGGACTCGACTCGACCTGTTCGACTGCGCGTATCGAATAAAAAGGCATACGTCTGGGATGTAGACGGTAAACCTTTACTTGGTTTTCGCTGCAATTTATTCATTAACCGCCAATTGGGATTTCCAAGCCAGACATAGCTACAATCCGATCTAAGTATCGTTTGTGTGGTGTACTGTCTGGTACACTCCCACATTTATCCCAGCAGAACGTATTTCTGGGCATACCACTCGTGCTACTCCCGGAAGAAGCTGTGCTGCTGGTCGAAACAGGCGCTGCAGTCCTCGTCGACGACCCATCTGCCCATACCCACCCCTTCCTCTGCGAGATACAAGACTGGAATAAAGAGCAAGAAGATGCAATGAAAGCTCAATTGGCGTTACTCGAAGAGAAAGTGGTGAAAGAGAGTTCAGGTTCAGGGAGGGCGCTGTCGGAGGAGGCTCAGAGGAAGAGGAGGGAAAGGGAGGAGCGGAAAAAGGCTTTAGCAGCTTCTGCCCAGAAGGAAGAAGGCGAAGAAGGCCCTTCTTCGGCAGCGGAACCATCTGCTGCACCTTCTTCGAAAACGCCAGAACCGCCCTCTACGACTGCAGCATCGCCTGCTGCACCCCCGACGACGGAGAAGACGTTCAGCAAAACCTCTTCGACACCATACACTATCACGATCCCTGCCTCTTCGAACTCCTTGTCGTGGTATCACGATGGGGACAAGTCGAATGTCTACACAACACTGGAGGAGGCCAAGGCAGCGGGCATTTGGGACTACCCTTCTAACCTCGAAGAGCGTGCTCGATGCGGGGTGTTCAAAGGGCTATGGGATCAAGGATACTTCATGGGCGGAGGAATCAAGTTTGGAGGAGATTACCTCGTCTATCCAGGTCATGCCTTCCCTTTCCCTCTCGAGTATGACCTGCTGATACCAGTCCAATAGGCGATCCTCTAAGATACCACTCGCATTTCGTCGCAACGGTCATTCCAGCACCAACTTCAACTTTGCGACCAATGGAGATCGTCGCCCATGGTCGACTGGGTACGGCCACCAAAAAATCGCACCTGCTTTGCGGATGGGACGACGAAAAGAAAGAAGTAACGTATCTCTCCATCGAATGGGCTGGATTCGGCTAGTCTTCACATGTACGAATGTACGAGAGAGTCTACCCCGTCGCGTCTTATCTCAACTTGAACACTTGCGAAAACCGAAATCCAGAAACCCCGTGAATTATTCGAACGCAAATGAGGAAACATGGGTCAATCCACTTTCCTCCTCGAAAGCGTAACTCGTTGTCTCGTAGACTTTGTAGGCAATGATGGAGGGGCGTCCTTCCCAATCTTGCCGAGTTCATGTGCCTCTCCCTCTTCCACACTCTCAGCAGCGTCGCTAAACGCTCTACTCCTCCCCGGGACACCACCACCAGTACTCGAACTTCCAGCAGGCCGTCCACCACCAACGCTAAGTATCCGCACGATATTATCGTTCAGCCAAATAACAAGCGCGAAAACGGGGACGCGGATTGGGATGAAAGGGGATGGGTGGCGGATTGTGTCGGGAGCGTTGGTGGACGGAGGGAGTGGGTTGTAGGGGTCGTGAGGGCGAGGGTTACTGTGCATTGCGAGAATGATGTACTGCAAGGATTTACGGTATTGAGAGGGAATACGGGAGTGGATAGTCCACAACACTTACGGCGGGGTATACGAGCGCAAAGAGAGCGGCACTAGCGAGCCCCCGTCCTAACATGCAGATTGCCGTTGCAGGGAGACCTACAGGCACTTTTTTTGAGAAACATGCAAGGTCGTCGAGTTGGACACGACATAAACGCACCGAAAGCAAGGTAATAAGCCCAACGTTCTTCTAAATGGCGCACACGTCTAGCCAGGGACATTCCACGCGAAATCCAAATGAACCTAGACGTCAAGGCCATCAATATCATTCCCTCCTGAGCCAAGGGTCCGCCATACTCGAAGCAATAATACCTGTGACAACCGGCAATACGTCAGTCAGCTAGTCCATCCAGAACAGAGTTACAGCGACTTACGCATCTATCCAGCAGAAAAACACGAAACCGGCAAAGGGACCAACATAGGGTATGATTCCCAATCCGAACGAGACAAGCAACGAGGTGAAGACCATGACAATTCTATACGCAGAAGTTGCCAGCGCTTTTAGCATCCCAGCATACCCCGTAGGTTGGGCTGCAGCACCTCGCCCTCCATAGTTCAGAGCGTACGTGCGTTTGGCTATGATTCCGCACCAGGTACTCTAAAGTCAAGTGTTAAGCGTGTCAGTGACTATATTTGGGATTGACTTGACGTGGACACACGTACGTTCAGATAGAAAGAGACACCCAGAACGGGGAGCAACCACAAAACGTGGTAGAACCATCCAATGTTTCGGTGTAGCCACCGCTCTTGGTTCCGGACTAGAGGTTCAAGGAGAAGTTCGAATGTATATATCGATACGACCGAGAGGGAGTTGAGCAAGAAGGATTTGTAGACGTTGGCTCGGATTTCTGGGTCGCTTTATAGTGCGACAGTGTGGGGCAGTACCAGGTTGGCCGGATGATCGATGGGTCGACGTATAGAGAAAGAAATAAGATATATATCGGTTCTCGTTCGCAGTTCGTTTATAGAGGACTAAGCATACCTAGTCACAGTTCTAAAGACGACATTCCATCTAAAAGCATCGTATAGCCCACACCACGCCCACTGGAGTTGGAGTTGCAGAGATTCGCCGACAGAGAGAAATGTTGGATATGATTCTCTGGACGAAAGTCGGGTATCAGGACCAGGGTAATAAGCCTGCGGTTTTGCAGGATAATAGGGCTGCGACATGGAGGCACCTGGCCTTTGCAGACGAGAAACGCGACGAATGGGAGGACGAGCAGCCAAAACCCGTGGTAACCGTATTGGTGTCAAACCCTAACCTTAACTTAGGAGTTAATGTAGCCATGGCGCTTCTTGATAGCGCTCGAGCCCTAGCGAAGACATTGGCGAGCAAGGTGCCCTTTCATTATAGGATACACTAATGGACATAAGCAACAGTTAGGTTGTAGAGCCGAGACAATTATATCCGGACGCAACAGTAGAGAGACAGAAGATATGGAACTACACTGGTACAACTTGCAAGCTAATAAATTAAGAATACAAATGAGAAAGAGAACAATTGAAAAGTGCAAAAAAAACCGTGGCCACGGTGAGATGAGACAAGATCACATCGAGAAGAAAGAGATAAACAGGAGGTCAAGTCATGACTAGAATCAAGATGACTTCTTAGCGGTCTGGGAATACGACGTCAGCGTCATCCACAGTCGGCGTGGAGCTACGTATGCTTACCGTTTTCTTTGTTGTTGATGATTTGGCCGCAGCCTTCTTAGCGGGTGCCTTCTTAGCAGCAGTCTTTGCCTTTGCAGCGGGTGTGGTACCAGTCACAGCCTACCATGCAACGGTCAATGAACGATAGCTAGGCGGGAAAGACTTCCACATACCTTCTTGGCCTTTGGAGCGGACGTCGTTTTCTTTGGAGCGGCAGCCTTGGGCTTAGCCACTGTCTTCTTCGGTGCAGCGGAAGCCTTCTTCGTCGTTGTTGAAGCCTTTGGCTTCGATGCGGGTGCAGCCTTCTTGGTAGTTGATGACTTGGTTGTCGACTTAGTGGTGGACTTGGTGGTCGTCGATTTGGCAGCCTTAGCCTTAGCGTCAGAGGCGGGCTTGGAAGCGGGCTTCTTGGAGGCAGGTTTGGCGGCAGGTTTGGCTTTGGAAGCTGGCTTAGCCTTGGATGTAGGCTTGTTCTCCTTCGCGGCATCGGCGGACTTGGACTTGGGCGCAAGCTTAACACGACCGGAAGGACCTTGAATATCCAGGTCAGACTTGGGTGGACGCTACGCTGTCGGTATCAACTTACCCTTGGGGAGGACAAAGACATTCTTTTCTGCACCAGTGGAGATGGCTCTCGACAGTTGAGAGACTTGGGCGGCGCCAAACTCAAGCTTGTACTTGCTCTCAACATACCTAGACAAAGGTTAGCTCATGTTGATTCCACCGATCACGAAGGCCACCCACTTCTTGATCTGTTGACGGGAAACACCAATGCGGGCATCTTCCTTATGCTCAGCAATGCATTCCTGTAACGTAAATGTGAGCCGTGTTCACCGCAGTCGACAGCGACAGTGCCAGGCATAGCCACCCTTGGTTGGAGCGTCGACACACTGGAACCACCCTCTACGCTGCTGGCTCGCAGCCGTTGAAGGATAAAGACCACATGTAGTCGAAGACTGGACCTTCAGGCAGGCTAGCCTCGGCAGAGAAAATAATTTACCTTGATCATGTCCGCCCATGAAGGGTGAGAGGAGGCCTTTGCGGCAGGCTTCTTGGCGGTTGCTGGCTTTGCAGCAGCTTTAGTGGTGGACTTTGTGTCCTTAGTAGTTGTAGCAGCTTTGCCTCGGGCCATTGGAAGGTATTAAGTCTTGAGGAGGGAGGGGAAAGGGGCGGAGGGCGGTGGTTGGCGTGGTTTGTGGTAGCAAAAAAGGGGATGATAACACGGCGATGCGCCTCGCTATTTATACCAATTCGCCTTAGTCCCACGTGACAAGTAGACACTCCCAATAAACAAACCTTGTACACACTCTTGACGATATCCAAAATTTATTGGCTTCGGTAAACACATGCTCAAGAAGGTCTTCAAGCTGACCATACAAATTTTGAGAACTTCAAGTTCCTAGCGACCGAGATTTAGAGCGAATACGAGGGGCTGATGGGTTTGTTTATCAATTCAGGCGCGTGCGGCGCGTCGACCGCGTCGGAGAGTCGCGCACCACGTGACAGACTTCCATTTCCGGAGCACGAAAGGTGCCTTGCTTCTCGCGGCCAATCAGAGCCCGTCAAATTTCCTCCATGACCATTACGCCAGCGCTCAGAGCCTCAGCCCGGTCTGCCTATCGAGACCTATGGCGAGCAGCCTCTGTCACTTTCCGGGGTGCGTTGAAATGGAAAATATGCTTGCATGTTACTGAATGAATTCTAGGCGATGAACCCGTTCTACAAGGTGTGTAACCGCTGCCAGCAGAGCTCGGGACGAAGGCGCTCAACGAGGAAACAGCTTTCCGGCAGAAAATGCGGAACGACGCTATAGCCGCTGCTCAAACAGCGAACGATGCTGCTTCATATGAGCAACACACTGCCTTGTTCAAGGATATTGCAACGGTCCTCCGAAAGAACATCGTGCAGGCCGCGAAAGTGAGGCAGCTGGAGGACGGAACAGACATCTACCGTGCGTCTCCCGTATATCCTGTGCCTGGCTTGAAACTAATGTTGAGACAGATGTCAATATCCGAGAGGAAACTGAACTGGGCGACAACGAGTCTATCAAGTCACCACCTCCCATCCCTCCCAGGCGCAGCAAACGGTATGTCTTCCAGCCAACGTGAACGTCCCGACGAGAACTCTGATTGCCAGTGAAGCGTCAAATGCTGCTCCAGCTGAAGAGCACCCTTCTTCTCCACCCTCGACTAAGCGCATGTCCTATTCAGCCTTGAAACGTGCTCATACCCAACGTATTGTTCCGGAGTTGAAGGAGGAGGATTTAGAGGAGAGTTTCGTTCGAGGTGCGTGTCTCCTGATCTTGGTGTATTTGCCCTGTCGCTGATCTCAGTGCAGGTAGTGGACCGGTATGCACTACCGTAGTTTTCGGTTTCACCCGCCATAATGCTTGTATTAATAGGGTGGTCAATCAATCAATAAAACGGAAAACAATGTCCAGCTCCTTCATAAGCCCACTGGGATTCGAGTGTCCTGTCAAGAAACCCGTTCCCTCAGCCAGAATCGAAAGATAGCGCGGAAGAGATTGTTGGAGAAGGTATGATGGATGCTCTCGAAGATTGAACAGACGATCGCTTAAAGGCAACTCAGCTGGACAAACTTGCGAACCCTGGACTGTCGAAAGAGGAGATGAAGCTTGCAAAGAAACGAGAACGGGAGCGCCAGCGGCGCAAGAAGGCCAAGAAGAAAGCTTTGGCGAAGGAGGTAAACGCTGAGGTAGAAGAGCGTTGAGACCCAAGACGCTGGCTGGCCTTGAACTCAGATGGTCTCTTGTTTACTGACCGCGAAATTTAGCTTCGCCTACACACATCAGACGCCTCTTTGTAGTCTACAATTCCCCGTACTAGATTCTACGCACCGAAATTAGACTTGTTTCCACTTTTCCAATAACGATGATGGCGGCACATTCCGATCATCAATGGCAACGCGAACACGCAGCACCGTTGCGCACAACTTGTCCGTTCATCCACCGTCGACGTCGCTGACCGCACGCTCGACATTTGCTACTCACTACTTGACAACGATGGCGACCCAACAAGCAGGCGGCCTTCACTCACTCGCCACCATCATTAAACGGTGAGCACTATAATCGACCATTACGAAGCAACGGCATGATTGAATCTTGTCTTCATCATCAGCCTTGAGGCAGCAACTTCCCGAATCGAGGATATCGTCGCCAGTCAAGGAAGCCTAGTTCCTGGTGCGGCCCCTGCTCAGGCCGCTACTCCCACCTCTGGGTCCACTGCGACGGGGGCTGCCGCCCCACCCCCACCGCCTCCGCCCCCACCTCCACCCGTTGCCCAGGAACCTGCTGTCCGGGAGACACCAAAGAGCGTGACTGCCTTTGACGAACAGGTTCTCGAAGGCAAGGTCAAGCCCTTTGTCAAGCTCAGCAAAGAACTTGGAGATGAGAGCGTGAGCGAGTTGGTGCGTCTTGCCGATGCTCTTATCTACATCCTACCCTCTGCTTAACGCGTGTCGTACAGGCTGACTTGATCGAGAAGCAATACGCTGCTCTTCGATCCTTCTTGCTCATTGCCGCAACATGTCAGAAACCTGACCAAAAGGCTTTGGAGGGTTTGTTGCGCGACCTCGAAGAATCCATCAAGGCTATTCCCAAGGCGAAAGAGGCTCGGCGATCCACCGGGAGCAGAGATTTTGCGCAGCATCTTACCTTCATGGCTGAGGGTGCACCTGCGATTGGGTGGGTTGTTAGCGTATGTAACTTTCAAGTTGTTAGAAGATGGGTTCCTTGCTGATATGTCCCTGTAGCCTACCCCTGCACCGTATGTTGGCGACGTCAAGGAGTCAACTGAGTTCTGGGGTAACAGAATCATCAAGGAATGGAAAGAGAAGTGCGTGAGCCGTTGAAATAACGAATCCACTGAGTTAACGTCTGTCCTAAAGGAATCCCAAGCACGTCGAATTCGTTCGCGCGTTCATGGCTATCTTTGACGCCATGAGAGCCTTCGCGAAGGAGCACCACACCGCCGGCTTGGTCTGGAACGCAAAGGGCATTCCTTACGACCAATACAAGAGCCCTGCTGCAGGCGCTCCCGCCCCTCCACCTCCCCCGCCCCCTGCCCCCAAGGCGGCCACTGCGCCAGCTGGTGGAGCCGCATCAGTCTTTGCTGAGCTCAATAAGGGAGAAGCAATCACGCAGGGCCTGCGCAAGGTTGACAAGAGCGAGATGACACATAAGAACCCCGCTTTGCGAGCGGGAAGTACTGTTCCTTCTGCCCCTACTCCTGGTGCGTAACTACCACCTTCCTGCGAGGGCGATGTCTGAAACATGTGCGTGTAGCTGGGAAGAAGCCTATTAAGCCCACCAAGCCTTCAGCCCTTGCTGGAAAGAAACCACCCAAGTTTGTGCTAGAGGGTAACAAGTGGTTGATTGTATGTAATCTTCTCTCGATTTCGCTATTACCTTGCACTTACTGTGCATTACAGGAATGGCAGGAGAATGAAAGTCAATTGGTCGTAGAGAATGTCGAGATCAACCAATCTGTCAATATCTTCAACTGCAAGCAATCCACTATCATCATCAAGGGCAAGGTTAACGCTGTTACCATCCGTGCGTCACACTTTCACTTGTGCTACTACGAATTGCCTGTTGAACTACTGCTGCATCGTATCAGACAACAGTAGCAAAACCGCCGTCCTCGTTGAATCCGTCGTCTCTTCTGTCTCAGTTACTGCTTCTCCGTCCTTCACTCTACAGGTAACAGGCACGGCCCCCATGATTCAAGTTGACTCGACGGATTCCGGCCAAATCTACCTCTCCAACTCGAGCCTCAACGCTGAAATCACTACCGCCAAGTGCAGCGCTATTAATGTTAGTTTGCCGGTACCTGGGGAGGAGGACGGTGTGTTCGATGAGCACCCAGTGCCGGAGATGTTAAGGACCGTGGTCAAGGATGGCAAGCTCGTGACTACTGTTGTCGAGCACGTTGGATAAAGCAAGCCCAAATGCAACGGTGGGTGGATCATGGAGAAGATTTACTGAATTGGACACACTTGTGGGATAGGTTCTTTACATTTTGGAATTGGTACAGTACCAATGCATCGTGGAATTACAATACCCATTTCTTGGATACACTTTTGCAAGCGGACAACTCGTGTTTGTGGCTATTCTCAACCGCATCCACTTAGACATTCACAGTCGGACAGTGGAATGTTTAGCTGTAGAGTTCGGCACTCAAACACGAGGCGCTCAGGCGAAGATCCTGAGCGCTTCTATCGCTCCATCGATGGACACGCCCTCGACAAGAAAGATAGAAGACACTGAAATAGTGTTTCAGGGGCTGTCTGAAGGTTAGCAGCAGCTCTATATCCGTAGATAGCATCAAGTCTTGCAAGAGCAACGAGGCAATTGGAACCCACCTGACAGGCCTCCCATGTCACTTCGAAGAGACAATATTATTCCTGTCTCCGTGTCTAAAAAAACCATGTACCCTTGCGGTACCTCCCAAGTTCCGTTTCGCTTCTCTGTCAGTGGCACGTTTGACGAGCTGGTGGCAATCGATGGGAAAGACGGAGTAGTAAATGGATTGGGGGTGCGCACCGTATCGATTGTATTTGAATTATGCAACGGTATTAGTGGGAAGGATCAGATAAAGTAGGGTGAGGCAAGTGAAGGAAATGGGAATTCAATACATGCGTGCGATGGAGAGGATAGAGTGGGCTTTACTCACACGAGGGGTACCATGTGGGGAGGAAGGGGTAGGCAAATGCCATGGAAAGATGGGTATCGGGGCTCAGTTGGTATTGGGGATATTACGCCGTCTCCCGATGTGCTATCCCGGGCTGCGGGTGGAGAGTTAGATGAATGGATAGTAGGATGGGAGGTAGTCAATCATACTCCTCTTCGTATTGGTTGTCGTATCCTCCTGCGCCTCCAGTCGGACTTGCAGGGCGCCAGCCATCAATGACGAGCTCCTCTTCTCCGGTGTGACTCAAAGCTGAAGAGTACGGAGTTGCCCTCGAGGTCGTGCCGCTGTCGCCACCCAGGAAGGAAAATCCGTCGTCTTCGTCACTGTAAACACTCTCATGGTCTTCGTCGTCTTTCTCCCCGTCGCCGAAATGCAATGCCGCATCGAGACCAAGTAACCCGAGTGATTGGTCTTCTTCGAAGCCACTGCCGTCGTCGCCTTCCTCTTTGTCGTCTTCATCTGCTGAGCTTGAACCTTTCATGAACTGAGCAAGAGCTTCCAGGTTCAACCGACTCTTCTTCGGTCGAGGTTCAGTTTCTTTGTTCTTGGATTTACGCCTGGTCTTGGTGGCTTCAGTCGCCGATCCCCCGTCTTCCTCATTGTCTTCATCGTCTTGATCCCAACCCAAAACCCGTTGTAAGATCGCGGCTTCCTTTTCATCACGAAGGAAGCTTTCCAGCTCGCCTTCTACGAAAAGTTCGTCGTCCGGAATGGCAACTTCGTCGGACCCGCCACGCTCTGCTACGAGGAGTTGAAGTCGGGTTGGTCGGACGTGGCTGAATGTGGAGAGGGAAGATGTGGATAAGACGTAAGAGGTTAGAGGGAACGGGAAGGTGTAAGGCTTGGAAGGCTTCGATTTTGGGCGTGATTGGGATGGACCCGCGATGGCGAGTGGGTTCAACAAGAACCTCGTAGCTTCATCGAGCGTATGGTGAATCTTACGACGTTTAGGAGGGCGAGCGTCGCTGGTTGGTTCGGCTTCGCTACCCGTTGTCGACTTTTCGCTCGCGTCATCCTGATCCTCTGCAAGCTCGTCTGAAGAGAGCTCCAATCGGACATCAGGGAGAAGGACTTTGTGGAAGATTTCTTCATTGAATTTAATGACATCCTTGAGACCTCGCGCAACGATAGTACGTTTTGCTACCTTGGCGCGTCCCTTGACAGATTCGTACTTGCTAAGCCACGGTACCTTCTCGATAAGAGTAGCGACTTGGTCCTGGATTGCCTTGTATTGAGTCATCACGACAGTCTTCCCTATGCCAAGCCTGGCTCCGAGCGCTTTCCCCAAGTCACCAAGTGCTGATAGAGTTGATCTCGCTTCGGCCTCGAGTGAGAGCATAAAGATAGCACATGCTGTTGAAGCCGCCGAAGGCTTGCTCATGCCGTCAAACGGACACAGGCGCGCAAGGACGTGACAAAGAGAGGTGGCCGTATGTGTGACTGCATGCAATGACAGGGTTCGCAACGTCTTTAGTAAAGCCGAAGGTAGACCGCTATCAGCCTGGCTTTCTTGCAGGATGGATGCAAGATGAGTTTGCAAGGTTGTCATGAAGACGGAAGGATCCACTGGATTCGTGGTTATCTGCAAGGCGGATGTTACAGAGATAAAGGTTCGCGAGAGCAGCTGCGGCGAACATTTCAAGAGGACGGCAATGTCGTGAATGGAATCAGGGCGACTCGATTCCCGAAGAGCGATGATAAGACATGCACCAGCCACGAGTTTGGACTTCCTTCCCCAACGAAAATAACCAATGGATTTTGCCTGATTGAACAAGGTAGTGGCGCGGGGTGCGAGTCCGGAGGCGTTCATTGACACCGCTAGAGATTTGATGAAATTTGCCATCGTGTACTACGGGAAACAAGTCAGCTGGGGTATCCAATAAAGTGGCGGGAAGTGAAGAACAATAGGACAACCATAAGGACTTACCGCATTCTTTCGGTCTCTGGATTCTTGTCCCTGGCCAGCAAGAGCCCAGTTGGTGCGCGGATTCTTGAGGGTGTTGGGAGGCGGCGGACCCCAACGTTCGGGGTATTGGCCTGCGTCATTGGCCCAAGTCTGGTTTGTCAGAACCACCTGGCCTGGGTCTGTCAGGGTCCCGCATTCTGTACAGATTTCTGAGGCGGCAGCGTCGTCCCAGACTGTCTCCCCGCCGCACTCTGAGCACCCCATGACCGTCGGAGGCGAAATCCGAGTTCGCAGACGCCAGTGATAGAGCAAGAAATCGGCTGGACTGCGCAGCGGAGGCTATTTTGTGAGGTGAAGAAGCAAGGGGTGGCGGACAGTGGCGGTGCCCCTGTATCGGGTCGAGCGCTCACGTGGTCCCTAATTTGGCAAAGGCTTCTTTGTGCGTCAATGATTACATGGTCGAATCTTGGCTGTTGTCGCCCTCTGTGCTTCTAGATCTCGACGCGCAACCAAGGATCCCCGGCGTTCTTGCAAGACCCGCACTGATTATAGCAAGGGAAAGGCAATATATGATACTCTAGAGAAGGCCGATGTGGATTTTGTCATGGGACACCTTGTAGCCAGGGAAGTGGGGATACTTATTGGGGATCGGATTCGAAGACGAATGGATTACATTCTAGGGGACATGACCATTCACGGCGATTTCCATGGACGTCACAACTCCGCCTATATAAGGCACTCCTCCCCCTCTTCTCTTTTCTACCCAGACCAATATGGCCCACCTCAGTTTCCCCTTCCAAAGCTTGCCCAGTGAGGCAGTTCGCCGTCGCCTGTCGAGCACCGTTGGTCCTCGACCCAACATCCCCCCCACCTATGCGAGCCTCACTGTGAGTACATCGCTCTCATAGATCGCATCGATTGGCACTAATATCGCCTCACGATGTTAGCCTATGTGGGCCGGCATTGCTGGTGCTGTCGTCAACAACAACACAGAGTTCGAGATCTCCATTTCGATCCACGACTCTGTTTACAGCACCGACTTTGCCTCTTTGGCAATCCCCTTCTCACCCAACAACCCTGACAAGACCGCGAAAGAGATCGAGCAATATGTCTTGCAGGCTCTTCGCAAGTTCTCGGTTGAGCATCTTTGCAAGTTCCTTGGCGCTGGTATTACCGTCTCTCTCTTGAAGGAGGTATGTTGAATGCTATCCCCACCATGACTTGCCATCTGATCGCTATCTAGTCACCCAATCTCTGCACTAGGCTGTGGTTGGACATGGACATCGTCCCCATCGTCTTCAACATCAAACCCTTCCACACTGATTCCCTTACTCGTCCCAACATCAAGCACAGGATCTCTTCCACCACTGGCTCCTATGTTCCCTCTGGCACCGAGACCCCTACCGTCTACGTCGAGTCAGAGCACATGAAGGCCATGACTGGCCTCAAGGCTGATGTCTCTGGCAAGTTACCCATTCCGCGAACCCTTGATGAGCAAGCCGATTCTGCTGCTCGCAAGTGTATCATGTACTTCGGTCCTGGTAACAACCCTCGCTTGACTATCGGCCCACGCAATCAAGTTACTGTCGACGCCGCTGGTAAAATCCATCTTATCGATGATCTTGACGAGTTCAAGGCCACTGTTGGCAAAGGGTAAGCCAGTTTCGCATTTCTATGATGGACGGGCACCGATCGGCTATTTGCAGCACCTGGAACTCGGTTGTCAAACTCGCTGACGAGCTTCGAGAGAAGAAGGTTAAGATCGGCTTTTTCTCATCTACTCCCCAAGGAGGTACGTTTTCATCGGTTGCCAGATTCAAATACGCGTTCTAATATATACTATCATTAAGGTGGTGTCGCGCTCGTGAGTTGACGCGTCAGGCTAAATAAATGACGTTTTTACTGACTCCTTCCTTTAGATGCGTCACGCGCTCATTCGCTTTTTGACCGCTTTGGATGTTGATGCGGCATGGTGAGGCTTTGATCAATCTTCTATCTCTCGATCGGCTTCTAATCAGCCCTTCTAATAGGTATGTCCCTAACCCATCGCCAAGCGTGTTCCGTACCACCAAGAACAACCACAACATCCTCCAGGGCGTTGCTGCCCCGGATCTTCGCTTGACCCAAGAGCAGAAGGAAGGCTTCGACGCCTGGATCACCAAGAATGGTTTGCGGTGGACAGCGGAAGGTGGTCCACTGGCACCAGGCGGCGTTGACGTCGCTTTCATCGGTATGTGTCTAGTTTCTATTCTAAGTACCGTCTTATCTTACAACCTTTTGTCAGATGATCCGCAAATGCCTGGTCTTATCCCTCTTATCAAAAAGATTCGACCTGAACTCCCCATCGTGTACCGCTCGCACATTGAGATCCGAAGTGACCTCGTTCACGTCAAGGGCTCTCCTCAGGCTGAAGTCTGGGAATATCTCTGGAACAACATCCAACATGCCGACTTGTTCATTAGTAAGTCTTTTTTTTTGCATTGGAATTGGTCATGAAATCGATGTAACCTCTTCAGGTCACCCTGTCAGCAAGTTCGTGCCTAGCGATGTACCGCTCGAGAAGCTCTGCCTTTTGGGTGCTGCTACCGACTGGTATGTCATTCGTCTTTGCCGGCCGACCTCACTGCCTAATATGCATTCAGGCTCGACGGTCTCAACAAGGACTTGGACCCTTGGTGAGTATCTCTTAGCTTCCTGTGGCACCAATGAAGTAACATACTCCCAGGGATTCCCAGTACTACATGGGCGAATTCCGAAACTTGTGCCTCAAGGAGAAGATGCACGAACTCAAGTGGCCCGAACGTGACTACATCATTCAAATCGCCCGTTTCGACCCTGCCAAGGGTACGGTGCCTTTCCAGTTCGCCTATTCGAATTGCATTCTGATGGCATTCAAGGTATTCCCAGCGTCATCGACTCGTACTACAAGCTTCGCAAGCTCTTGAACGAGAAATCGCCTGAACTCAGCCAAGATGAACATCCTCAGCTTCTCCTCTGCGGACACGGCGCCGTCGACGATCCCGATGCAAGCATCATCTATGACCAGACCATGCAGCTTATCGCTTCGGCACCTTATAACGAATACGCTAACGATATCGTCGTCATGAGACTCCCTCCCAGTGACCAACGTAAGCACCTCTTCCTAGTTTTTCTGTGGCGTCATTCTTACTGCTTGCCCGTTCGCTCCAGTCCTCAACGCCCTGATGTCCAACTCTCGCATCGCGCTCCAGCTTTCTATTCGTGAAGGTTTCGAGATCAAGGTGTCCGAGGCCCTTCACGCTGGCAAGCCCATCGTCGCCTCCCGCACCGGTGGTATTCCTCTCCAAGTTGAGCACGGCAAGTCTGGCTACCTCGTCGAACCTGGCGACAACGAGACCGTTGCCAAGCACCTCTATGACCTCTACACCGATGAGGGACTCTACCGCGAGATGAGCCAGTACGCCAAGAAGCACGTCTCCGACGAGGTTTCAACCGTCGGTAACGCTCTCGCTTGGTTGTACCTCGCTGTTATGCTTCACCGTGGTGTTAAGCTCAAGCCGAACGGTGCTTGGATCAACGACATGGCTCGTCAGGAGACCGGTGAGCCTTATCTCCAAGACGAGCCTCGTCTTCCTCGTGGTGGTCTCCAGATGCAAGGATAGATGGCAGGCTTTCATATCCCATATCCTAGACCGCCTCATATACCTTGCTGAAACGACCTTGGGCTCTGTAGAATATTCTCCTTGTTACCCTGTGCTTCCGAACATCTCGTGTTGGCTGTAAAAATGGTTTTTGTAGTATACTCCAATGATAAGATCGCTGCTGTTTAAAGTAGAATGAATTGTATCTTGTTTGATTTTGAAGAACGATCGGCCATCTGGTCGACGTCGTAATCGGTCGAGATCGAGATTAAGCGCTCGTTTGGCGCTTAGGTGTTCATGGCACGTCAACTGGGGTTTCTGGTAAGGACGGGGGCAAGGCTCAACGATTTTCATTTGTAAATTTCTGGAGCTACAAAGTGCGACGGGCCACGGACCTCTTGGATTAAAATCCGCGGCGCCTGGAAGACACGCTCGATCTCCAAGCAAAAGCACCTGGTTGGCTACTAGGGTTGCTTCTCGATTGCGAAATGACATGATCTGTACTTCTAGTTAACGTCAACCGGTGTCGTCCCAATGCTTCAAACTGTAGCGACCTACACAAGTACAGAAGCCAACGTTCCAAATCTCTTCGACCGCTCGTCACAGTTCATTCCAGTATACATTCAAACGCTCGAGAGAATCGTGGATGGAAGCGGGCAACCCTGGTTTCACTTGCAACGTATGTTATTTATTTCCTCTTCTACGGGCGTGGTGTCAAGACGGTAACTGACCAGTGATGTGTCCTATGTCTCCTTCTAGCAGTGGTTCTGCGGAATGGATCGAGGCAGGAAAGTGGCGAAGATTTCGAGTGGATCTATTCCATCATGTCAAGAGTCGCTCGAGAAGGACCATACGGCAAGGGACAAAGCTCAATGTATTTTCATCATCTGGGGCATACACATTGCAGAAAATCCATTGTAATTCGGAGATATGGCCGAATCCTGATTTGTGTTCGTCCTGACCTGTGCCATTCGACAGTGTTGTATTTCCTACGCTTCGTCTAGCACTTCACCTCTCCCAAAATTGAGTTCGTGGCTGGAAGCTGCATGGAAGCAATTAGATCATCAGGCTCCGATAAGGACGACTCTGATGACAGGGATCAATCGCGGAGGTCATCATCTAGAGCCTGGTTGACTCCGATCGTGTCTTGCTCTTCCCGCCACTCAACAGTGCCGTTACGTTCGCCTATATAGCAGAACGCATCGACCCCCGGTTGCTCTCGTGTTCTTGAAAAGGTTACAGACAAATCTAAGAAATATGGCAGCGACATTAAGGTGAGCGGCGCCGAAATAATGCGATGGAGAGACGCGATCTTACCCGTCGTCGGTTAGGCGAATCCAAAAGGTTGGATCGATGTACCCTGCTTGTGTGACTTAGTGAAGTAGATGCTGACTTAGGGGCCCTGTTCTCCTAGGAACTCAAAGACATCCACCAAACACCTATCGACGTGAGTAGGCGCTTCATCTGTAGTCTTAATGGCTTCGTTGCCGATTGCCGAGCTCCAATTTGAAGCTTCATTGTATTCTACAACTTGCTGAGTGAAGCTGACGAAGTTTGTTACTCCAGGGTGTGACAGTGGTCGTGGACGATGACAACCTCTTTGAATGGAAGTGCTCGATAAAGGCTGCTGTGAGTAGGATGTAGACGTTAACTTCCCGACGATAACTGATTCATATCCCCTCGATTTCATCTCCCCTTTGAACGCAATGTGACTTGCCTGCGGCGTTGGGTACCTTCCCGTCGGCGATACTTGCCCACCATGGTCCTTCATATCCGTATCCTTTGGACGGCCTCACTCTCGACGTTTATCACCACTGTCACGATCTGGACCTCCTTTGTGTCAACGATATCGCAGTCAGACTCGCCGTACAAGGGTGGGACGTTCAACCTCAAGTTGACATTGCCCCCCAACTACCCTTTCAAGGCACCCACAGTACGTTTCCTTGTGCAAGGCCATCGGGATGTAGTTAACCCAGGTGACCTCCCAAGGTGACGTTTACGACCAAGATCTATCATCCTGGTATCAATGAAGAGGGCTCCATTTGTGTTCCCGTGCTTCGAGATGAGGTGAGCACTGTTATGCGATGGAATACGAAACCGAGTGCCAATGATGCTGTAGTGGAAGCCCACAGTGACACTTTCGTCTGGTAAGCCTTCTTGAAGCGATGTTGAACACCTTTCTGACAGTTCACCCCAGTCTTGCATATCATCCAAGACAAGTTGAACAACCCCAGCCCGGATGATCCTTTCGAACCTGATATTGCGGCGGTACGTCTGATGTCATAGATCTTGTCTAGGTGATTAACACCACTTTCCCTCAGCTCTTGAAAAACGATCAGGCCAAGTTCCTTGCTACTGCTAAGGAATGGACCAAGAAGTGTGTTCAATGTTCCTCCACATCGCCACAGGCTGACGCTTGCTTTCAGATACGCTTCATAAGTAAGGCCTCGTGCTGGGAGATGTGTGTTAGCGACTTTGATTTCACACCGGTATCATCACGATTCGGGGTTTAGTACGGCGGGCCGCTTTAGGGGGGCGTGAATGTCGGCGAGGCTTCTCAAGGAGATTAACAGGAGAAATGCGAGGAAGCCGTACACAGTGGGAGAAGCTCGATGCATGTACATATTGCGAACAGATCTATGATCATTTCGACTGAGCCAGTCCGCTTGCCATTAGCCGGTTATCAAGTAGGTTTCTTTTGTAAGGTAAATGCAAAACATGGAAATAAGAGGTTAACTTGTAAAGTACAAAGGTGAGGAGACGAGGGTATTTTTGTAAAGTGATCGCACCAAAAGCGGAAATGAGAGCGACCGCGTGCCTGATGGATTTGGCAACAAGTGGACATCAGCGTCGAGGGTGTTTTCTGCTCAGCGACCGCCGCAAAGTTTGATATCTTCTTTCTACCTTCATGTTTTCCTCATCTTCTGGCGTATTTTGAATATCTGCACCCAACCTACTCCGATCGTTCACAAAGTCACTTACCTATTGCGACCTTAATCCTTCTTCCCAATCTCTCCCCAATTGGACCAGGTTCTCGGGCGAAAAACTCGTGTATACCACGTTGCAAAAAGTCATCAGAACGGGTCATACCTACCAAGACTACCCAAAACACCTTTCCAAATCACTATTCGACCTATTGAACCTGTCAAAACAGGTCCTTCAGCCCCGAAAACATACGATTCGAGCTGGATTAGACAAGCTTTGCCCCATCCGCCCAGAAATCCGCTCCAACAACGGTTCTTTTTAGTCGGTGAAGACAGCGGCTAGTCCCCATACGCACAGCGCTGTCCAGGTGTTCGGTTAGGTGAAGAGAGCCCAAGAACGGGAACAGAAACGTCAACGGAGAATTTGAAGGGTACTATAGAATATAAGGCGGAATGCACCGATTTCGGTACGTCTTCCCTTGTCTTCAGCTTTATAACTTGTCCTGTTCGCTTCTCGTCCTGCGGGCTCAGGGATGCTCGTCGAAATCAGATCAAGGAACCTTAATTGAATTCTAAACCCCATCTCGCCGTTGTTTACTGCCCCTGCCACGCAGCATCCCTGACCTGAGCTCTTCGCCACCAACGCCTCACCTTTTCCCCGCATTTCTGTGCTTAGCGCGCTCCTTCGGACTTTTATTTCTTTGCAATTCCAACAGCGCGCAACGAGGCAGAAACTAACCACCGTCTAACAGCAAAAAGTCGGACGTAAAACGCAGCGGCGGTCCAGCCCCGGCGTCCACTCCTTCGCAGGACGCCGACGTTCCGCAAGACTTCTTACCGCCAGTTAGCGACTTTCGCACGTCGCTCATCCTCCCCGAGTAAGCTTTATTGGCTGAAATTTACGAGCGTATCAAGCTCACAATGTTACCCAGTCTATCGCGGCGCTTCTCTTTGCTGCGAACCCCCGCTGGGGAGCCCGTCACCGTGGACGACCTCCGCTCCAAGTTCGCTGAGCACCGCGCCAAGGGTTCTCAACACACAATTAGCGAAGAGGAGGAAGACATGTTGCTGGAAACGTTCAGTCGCCTGCGAGGAAAGCCTTCTGGCGCATCCCAGGAGAACGTTGACGGGAGTGATGTTGGGGCAACCACGGCAGAAGACGAGTCTGGGAGTAATACCAACACCACCATCAAGTCGACCAAAGGAACCTCCAGCGCCACCTCTTCGCCTAGCAGTCGTTCTACCAAGAGGTACAGCAACAATATGTTTGGCTCGGGGAGGATGCGCGACTACACGTACCTGAGGAGCGTAGCATCCTCTCGTACCTCTGCCAGCGGGAGCACCAAGACCCATTCGTTAACACCCTCCGAGGCTTCTTCGTCGACACCGAGAGGCAACACGTCATCCATCGCGGACAGTTTGCGTCCATCGACACCGACGGGTACTAGCGTCGACGAGTCGGTGCAATCAAGTCCTTGCCCAAGCAACATCAACGATCAGGGTTCTTTGCGATCGACATCATCATCGATGGACCCTGCCCAACCCATATCAGCAGCGGAGTATCGATTGCAGAAGTCGCTGGCACCGGCCGTTTTGAAGAGAGCGTCCCTTGCCCTCGAAAGTGTTATCAAGGAGCTTGAGGATGATGTTGAAGAGGAAATAGTCATGCCCCGCTCCACACCTATCCCGAGAAACCATGTCGATCACAATCAACACCAGGTAGCGCCTCATCAAACCCAACGGCAACCCAGCGAGGCTTCTACAGCCTCTGTAGTAAGTTTGACTCTGTTTCGGCCAGTCGCATCGTGTTGACAGTCCGTTTTCAGCGCGATACCGTGTCGTCAGTTGTCGTTGAAGCTGGGATGGCCATCTCGTCTGACAGGCCCACCGACGCATCCGACATACATGCACACCGGGGACCTTCACCAGTCCCAACCAACGCGACGCCTGGTTATATACCTGGGATGCCAAGGCCCATGACACCCCGTGACTTTGAATTCTTCGCTGACGAGCGATCGCACTCAACAACGCCTCGCGCCACCTCTCCCATGCATAGCTCGTTCACCTTGCCGGAATCGACCGCCGCCTCCGTTAGTATTTCAAAAATGCTAAGGAGAGACTCGACGTCATCGGCCTCTGGAGCGCGTCAATCACCGAGACCTACAACGCCGTTATTCCTTCAACGAAGCGCTTATGGAAACTCTCCGCCGTCAATGAATGGCCGGCACACACCTGTGGAGGATAAAATCCGCTCTTATGGGGATGTTAGCACCAGTGATCCAAGCTCTTTCGATCTGGACCAATCCCTCAGCTCCTCGATCTTAGGAGGTCGAAGGCGGCCAGCATCTCCTTTGGCAAATCCGCCCTTCCAATCTATACCGGCAGGATCGCCATCGCAAGGACTGTCTATATCGAGGCCAACTACACCTTCCAAGATCGTTTGGACCGTGAACAATGACTCAGGAGGTAGTCGTTTCAGCAATTCGCCGAGCGTCTCTCCTCCTGCGCGAAGGGGCAGCCACAGTCGAGACAACAGTTGGACCAGCGACAGTGGGCTGAGTGATGCAGAAGTCCAAAAGATCATCAACGGTGCAAGCGGTGGTGTCGATGTCTTTGGTGGTGCAGCCATGGGATTAGAGAGGAAACCGAGTGGGAATGGCATCAGTGCGCCTGCTCTCAATAGCTCTGGATCGTATTCTTCAACAGACGACCTCGGCCGCTCTTGGTCATCCAACCGTGCTTTTGGTAACAGTCGACCTACGTCCCCGCTCAATGCCTCGGTTGCCTCGCAAAACTCGTTCTCGGACGCATCCCACAATCTCACTAATTCCCAATCCCAGAACAAGCATCGTTCTGCCACTCCGACACAGATCACTCCGAGATCCCCTTCTTCACCGACCTTCGATACCTATCGCAACTCTCCTTCGAGACTTGGCAAGCGCTCCTCCAAACAGAATGGACCGTCTTCCACCTCACCTTTCGACCTTGGACCCCTTCCATCTCTGACCCTGAACTCTAGAGCCAACCTGTCTAGTTCTTCGTTACTTTCGACAGGGTCTAGCTTCCATTCCTGGGACGACAACAACGACAGAGTTCTCAACATTTTCGATGATATCGATGCTCAGCCCGCGTGGCACGATTTCTCATCCGACAAATCAACAACATCGGGTTCTGAAACCCAAGGCAAGGTTTCGTCCAGTAACGAAACAACCCCAGATGATGATTGGGAACCGGAGGAGATTATCCGAAGCTATGCTGGGCTGAAGAAGGCCGACTTTGCAACAATCCAGGAGAAGCTAGTCGCCGTGGCGAAGGCAACTGAGCACCGAGGGTCAGCCCTAAGGAAACGACGACCATCCACTTCGCAATCCAACTACTCCACAAGGGACCATAGGGTGAGTCGGAATAACTGAAATTATGGTATATGAGACATTTGACGCGTTGCTTTGTCCAGGTTGCCAGTCCGCCGCCGCCTGCTTCCCCCGTATCCAATGTCCACTCCATGGCTCGCGAACAGCAGAAGGCCATTGAAGTGCAGTCGCTATCGGCGCCCAGCCTAGCTTCATCGCAGTCCTCGTCTTCCATTGACAGGGAATTCGGCCTGCGCAGGAATTTGGCGCAAGTTCTCTTTGGGGAAGGAGAAGACGATAGGGCGCCAGATGCTACAGTCACGGGGCATGGCACGATAACTGCCAATTCCACTGCCACTGCGAACTCGACGATAACGGGACGGGCGGCGCCTTCAGCCACCACGGAGCCCATCGCCATTAATCCTAATGCCAGCGTGTCTTCAGAACTAGCCATCGGTTCGGCGATTGCTGAAACCAGTATATCCGAGTTGCTGGAGAGTGCCATGGGCAGCCACCCCAAAGATACCCCACAGTCCAAAGAGGAACCTGCAAGTCCTGCCCCCTCATCTTCTTATCTCCTCAATCGGAACCCTTCGACATCCCGGATTCCCCAGTCGCCGCAAGATCAAGCTGTTCTTGCACGGGAGATCCAACAGAAGGCTCAGGCCGCGACCCTGGCCCTCCACAAACCCCTGAATGAGGCACCTGTTCATACCACCCTCCCGCGAAAGCGCATCGATCCCAGCCAAATCTCCAGCCCGACGCTGGTCTCTTCCTCGGCCAGTGTCGATACTATCCCATTGAAGACGCCTTCGTTGACTGCCAGTACGAACTCTGGTAGTCTGAAGATCGGTTCTCGATTCAAGAGGCTTAGAGGGAGCATACGTGCGAAAGTCGCGACAGTCGATGAGAATGCTTCGATCAACTCTGATACCAAGAGCCCACCAACGAGCAGCCAGATGGCGACATATGATCATGATAAGCTGAGGGCTGCCAGTGGACCCAATTCCTCAGGGCCAGGCGACGGAGGGAGGTACAAGGTCTCTGTACCTAGTCCTCCTGCGTCAGCAGGCCCGGGGTTGAAAGGGTTCATGGCGCGGTTCAGGACGAAGCGTATGACGGATATACCGCAGTCAACATCGTCTCCGACTCAAGGTTCGCCTCACATCCCTGCAGCATCCTTCTCACCTTTGTCTCCCTCGCATAAATTATTCCCGGCCAGTCCCACCCCCTCAGCCACACACTTTGCCTCCAACGCCGATTCGGAACACGCGCCCGTTGACTCGAGACCAGAGCAAAATCGGGCTCAGTTCACATCTCCTGCTTCACCTCTTTTGCAACAAGGACGCACAGATACCGACTCTAGGCCAGAAGCCGGTGGGGATTCAGATGCCCTTCAACAGCTTTTCGCGGCTGCCAATAAGATCGGTATCGATCAGTCAGCTCTGAACGATCTCTTGGTTCGTTCAGGGTCGATATCTTCTCACAACCTGTTGTCGAGAACGGCTTCGACCTCTCACTCTGGGTCCAGTCAAGGTCAAGGAAGTTCATCGACATCTTTCAACGACTCTCGCCTCGCGGTTCCATCCCTACAGCAGCCGAACCTTTCATCCAGTAGCGGCTCGGATCACACTGCCACGCCAACCATGATGCAGCATTCATTATCCTCGGGATCCTCACCCTATGATGAAGTGGTTATTGGAGGTGCGAATAATGACATGGGTCGACGAGCCTCGGTTAAAACACCGGAGCACTTCCGCCGACGCGCTGCGACTGATGCATCTGGTGTGGACGGTCGAGCAGTTGTTCGTCGGACAATTATCTTCGTGGATCCCAGGCAGTCTACCGTGGACCCTACCGGTGTATCAAGAAGAGCGTCAACGAAGCGGCGCAGAACCAGTGTTCAATCAGTGTCAAACCGTTCGGTCCACGACCGTGTTCCAACGCCTCCGCCGTCAAAGACGCCGATAGGAAAACGCTTCTCCCATGACGGTTCCCCTCCAGTTCCCCAGCTCCCACAGTCGTTCACTGGACAGGCGGAGAACTTGCTCACTGTTCCAACCGCTGGCAACGACAAGAACTCTGCGACTTACGACTCCGTGTACGTTTGTTTTCGGTAATTTCACTTGTCTTTTTTCTCAACTGATGCAACGGTTTGTCACAGGTATGAGCTGTATGGTGATAGCAGGGCCACGAGCATGATGGTTGACCCCAATAACCATGATAACCGGGGTGAAGGTCACCTACCTGCCGAATCGACTACTGGTGTCGAGGTGATTGAGCTCGCGAATGGAGAAACCATTTGGTAAGAACCTTAATCGCCGTGTACTTTTGAGCTCTCTCTTCTCACACGGCTCGTGATTGTGTTTCCTTACAGGAAAATTGTGAACGGGTTACGGGACGACGATGACGATTCCTTTTATCCCAGTCAGCGCAACAGTATTTCATCAGAATATTCCACTCGCGAAGGAACTACTGAAGGATTGCAAGTTTTCGTCAAGGAGCATGTCCGTTCGGGATCTAAAGGCAGCCATGCTTCCTTTTTGTCAAGGAAGAAATCAGGTGCAGGGAAGGCGCGTCCCGACACAAAGGTCAGTCCGAGTCTTGCGGTTTATTTTGGGCGCCTAGGACTTCGCTGGGCTAATCTTGCCGTTTTCTTTTTATAGATCATGTATAGTTCGCCGGAGCAAATTGCTCACCTGATCGAGCAGCTTTCTCATGGCATGGATGCTGGTTCCTTCAACTTTAGACCCTATCGCAATTCTGGTTCTGGGTCGACCTCTGGAACACGGTCCTCAGTCGAACCTGGCCATTCCGCGACATCTTCCCTTTCGGCCAATGAGATAACATGGACTATGAAAGAGATTGATTCGATGCTGACCTCCATGTCCCCGAAATCCTAATCCCTGTAACGCCTAATCTACTTCTCTGCTTCTCTTTGCTGTTGGATAACATGTTGCTTCTCACTTGGTTACACAGTTGGCGGTTTCCCTTTATTCAATGTTTTCGATAGTACTTCCAGAAAATGCTAGCAGTCCATAATAATATGCGATAATGAATCAGACAGTGGATAGATAGAACGGATGGAGGAGTGATTTTTAAGTCCGGGAGTAGAGATGCGAGCGAGCATAACAAGAAAGCGCAGAGGGTAGAAACCGCAAATCTAGAGGGGAAAATGAACCCTAAAACATAACGACGAGCGGAAGGATCTTTCGGTTTCAGAGACCGTGAAGGTCGATCCACCGGTTGATACATAAGGCAAGGAGTGCGTCTACCAATAAAGGATCGTTAATGAAGGTGTACTGGAACAGACCATGTGAGGGGCCGACGACCGTCGCTTGGGCATATCGGCGAAACACAGCGATTCTGATGTTCGCGGCGGAGTAGAGCTGCAAAAGAAGGTGCAGGGTCAGTTTGATGAGATAAACGTACAGTTCCAGACAAATAGAGCCAAGGGAGTTTTTGTGGAGGGAGGAGAGGAGTACGGTGGGTACAGTGTGGGTAATTGATCATGACCATGGGCATGATGGAACACGGCGAACTCTTTTTTGCAACTCAGAACACTCACATCATACGACGTCGGGGTTTCTCGCAGTCTTCGCCATTCATAGCGCTTGCCATCGGCAGTGGAAACAAACGCGCGAGCACTGCGAAGGTTTTTAGTGCCAAGAAGTGTCAGTAAAGATCCAAATTTAAACAAGCACGAAGAACGAAGGATAAGAAGCGCGGAAGTGATGAGGACGGCCGCAGTCAGAAACGAGTACCGTGCGGCCAGTGAAAACATCATGGAATCAATGGCGAAAGTTCGCACATACTTTGGGCTCGAGCCGGGCATAACGAAATGCGACATGGGGAGGTGTCTGTTCGTGCCGACGACGGTGACGCTCCCTAGGTGGTTTCCTGGACTCCAGTCCAACGTCGCGCAGAGTTGTTCGCTGCCGTTCCTGTAGACCTAGATTTGGGAGGTGAATAGCCTGGAATAGTTAAATTGCGAACAGAGGCGCACCGTTGTTTTGATGGAAGGTGACATTAACTGGTTGCGTTCCCTGGTCTCGAAGGAGAAGTAGACGGGCTTAATGTCTTCGCCAATGACGATGCAGGCTCGAGGGTCGTCACGGCCGGTGAAGAAGAGATCATAGGTGGTTGAGGGGGCAGTCGTCATACTGAGGAGACCAAGATGGAAGCATGTTCAGAGGAAACCGAAGGCGAGTGACATGGACGGTGTTCTTATACATGGACACGGTCTGGCTACCCCCCTCTGGCTCCCGTGATTAGCGCGTTTCGGGTCCATGGGAAGATTTTCACATCGATAGTGGCACCGGGAAGAGAAGAAGCAAGAGCTAAGTGAGATCCTAAAGCAGCCTTTCTGTGCGACCGCGAATTCCAAGTCTATTAGCATTTTTACTTGGTTGCTTGGTGCCAATTGAGATCGGGAAGACATGTCAAAGTTGCCACTGCCACTGAAAGCCTAAAACATGGACACCGAGGCCTTACCCGTTTCAGGTCTGGCAGACCCTGCCAACCCACGTTTTGGCCACGTGGTTCGTTGGGCGCCTAAACCCTCGGAGGGGGCTCCATTCGTTTACTACACAAAATGGTACGCCCCAAAACGAATCTTTTAGGAATCAAGACGACATCCAGCATAATAAACGGCGGGGAACAACACAACTACGAATTGACCTTCCACAATTGGCGTCTGCGTGTCTTGCGAGTAATGTGGACGGCACTCCCACCGGTGGAGCTGTTTGCGCCGAAGGCAAGGACGACCGCTTCTTCAGTGCCTCGAGCGATCCCGCGTTTGCGCAACTCGATGGCGGCCTTTGCAAAAGCGAAGCGATCCTGATCGGGCCCTGTATCACGGTGAAAGTAATCGAGTAAGTAACGGTGAATTGAAAGGGAATACGGATAAACTTTACCAATATTGAATGTTGGAGATTCGACGGCAGATTTAAACATCTCGAATGGGACTTGGGCATACACTTGGAGCAAGACATCACGACCGGTTCTCCCAGAGGCATCTGGTTGTGGTTGGCGGACTTCCAGAACCTCGGGTAGCGTGACGACAAGGAAATGGAAGACGTCGTCTCGCAGCCTCTGGGCGTAATGTCCGAAGACTGTAGTAGGCGGAGCAGGTGCCTCTGGTGTGACGGGCGTCATCGTGCCATCTGTTGAAGGCGGGCTGGTGTCGAGGAACTGAAGCCAAGCACCGACGGTTTCCACGGACAAGGACCTGCGGCAGACTTCGTAGGCGTATTGGCAAAGGTCGTCCATACCACCGAGGAGACACCCAGCGGCAAGAACGGCCCTGGCATTTTCTGGCCTGATAAGGTTCAGGGAAATGGATGAATAGAGATAGCCCAGGGCTAGTAGACGTTTAGAAAACGGATGTTGTGAGCGGTGAATTTAGAGTGCTTACCGATTGCGAAACCCTGTCAACGAAGAAGTCAGGGGATGAGATGACTAACACGGACACAGAAACGAGAGGATTAACGTACCTCTTGAGTGACCTCGGGTTCATGATCGAGATTGACGTATATGACCCTCTGGCCGGTTGCCTGTGGAGAAGTTGACATGGAATGGGCGAGATAGGGAGACCGCGACAAGATGACGGCGTGGAGGCGGTAGACATTTTGGTGTACGTGCTAGAAGAAACCGATGAGGACACGTAAATTTGAATGAAGAGCGAAGATGACTACCAGGGTCGTGTCCGCGTAATTCTGTCAAAAGAGAAAAAAAAACCTAGGTTGTCAACGAAACTAGGGCAGGAAGATGAGAGAAGTAACTTACACCAGTCTGAAATGCGTGATAAAGGTGGTTCACAATCTGTTCGTTGTGCGAAGGCTGGTATGGGCTATTTGGAAGCAGAGACGCGTAGGCCAACGAAGAGCGCGAAAAAGAATGTGTAAAAGGTGCCGATCTATGGATTTTCAATGGTAGAGCTACTCACTGCGAGAAACCATTGACTGGGTAGCTTGTCGACGCTGGTGAGGCCGTGTTTTGCTCGTAAAAAGGGGTGGTGGACGTCCCGACTTCAGGGTGGGGGGCGGTGCCGTTTGTGTGTGGTGCACGGCCGTTGACGGATCCCGATGAAGATGCAGCAGAGCTCATTATTGAAATAGAAAACGAATATTCACGAAAAATGTCGAAAAACGGGGATCGCAAGGGTCGAAGAAAGTGGCAAGCGTCGGCGAATGCAGTGGTTGAGGTCAAAAGAACGAACAGCCACCGGCAGTCACAGCGTCCCCACTGTCACACCCTCTTCCAATCACCCTCTTCATTCAAAACACTCTTTCTATCATTTTTCTACTATAAACCGTTCCAAACGTATCTTCATCCCCCTTCATATTCACAAAACTCCTCATCAAGTTGGTTTTCACGCCCAGTCCAGCAGCAACCTCTCCGAAAATTGGCTCGTAAACCGGCGGCGGCGAGGAGTATGTAGCTACAGATTCTCCAGGCGTTTCTACGATCTTTTTCGACCCAAACGTCAACACCTTTTGGTTCTTGTGCGTCGACCAGAGATTTCTTACCATGTGGGACCGATCTGAAGCAAAGTTCTTGAGGTAAACCTCTGCAGGTATGACCCTAAAGCAGCTATTTCCATTGAACTCCATCAGCTCACCCGCGTTCCAGCTTCCAAGCAGCCCGCTTCGGCCATGAGGACGACAACGCCTATTCGACACTGCCCCGTCGAACCTGCATGGAATCCGTGGGCTACGACCCTGACTCACCTCTCGTATTCAGTCAACAGATCCTTAGGGAACGTCATCTCCAAATAATCTGTGGTCCCAATAATAGTTAAGGGTGATGTAACCTATGAGGTTGGGGGCAGGAAAAGCTCACCTTCCCATGGACATGGTATAGGAAGGCGGGTATCGAAATCGTACGCCCAAGATGCATTCCCTCTCAGCTCCCTTCTTTCATCGAGATCGCTATCCACTCGCGGTTGGAGGATGAGAATAACATGATAGTCCCAGAGGACAGGAAGGTCTTCTCTCCTAGATGATTTCTGGAAGAAGAGGGCAGCCTAGGTGGGCCAGTGAGCATGGATGGTTTATTTTTGACTTTCGGAAGAAGCGAGAAGACATGGGTGCTCGACGCAGTACCGCCCGGTCGCGAGCAACGCGCTGCCCGGTCTTTCGAAGTCGTTTATCGTTCCCATGCTTAGTTCTTCTCCTCGGAGTCCTTCCACCATTCTACAACATACACGCACGTACCATTTTGTTCTCGTTCGAAACGAATAAAACCCATAGGTTCCACTTCTCTGCGATCTCAGGCTTCGACAGAAAGTCACGACATAAGAGATAGATGTTCTCTTCGCAGTAGCATCTCGTGTACACTGCGTTTTCTGGGAGATCGGGAGGGAGGATGGTGGTGGACATGGTCAAAGATGGTTTCCACACAGCACTTTCTAAAAGCGCTCGCGCCCAGTGGTGATTCGGCACTTCGAAGGCTGTCACATTGTGCGGGACGGTGAGTAGTCCTTCCGAACTGCTGTCCTTCGTGTTAGAGAGTGGGGGAACAAGAATGAGATTGACGAGGCGGTATAACGTGGCTTGCAAAAACTACAATCCCTCCGGATCTAAGACGCTCAACGCCCCTAAATGCATCTCCTAACCAGCCCTATCTCTGAGTCCCAGCCGAAGGACAAACAGCGATAAGTGCATATGTACTCAGCAGGGGCACCAGGAGTCACAGACGGAGGGAAGGCGTACCGCCCAAGCCTGTTTGCTCCATCGATAAAGTCGTACTTCTCCGAGCACCTGTGTATCGGCTATAGCACCGGTATTGGTTGGCACTGACGTATGAAATGGACCGAGTCAGAAGGTTCCGGTGTGGATAGGCGCTCTGAGTATTCCTGAGACAGATGGCCAGCTGGTCATTGGCCGGTCTCATGCATTTTTTATGAACCCAAGGAAAACATGGGCCCAGGAGGACCACAAGCAGCGGGAAGATACCACGCCAGCCTAGTACAGTTACAGCATGTTAGTCTGCATACAGCCGAGATCGTGAGGCCTTAGACGTGTACCGATATGTATATCACAGCACCCGCCTCGAAATCTTCGTTGTCCTCTGAATCTCAAAAGTTCCCCGCTTGCGTCGCCAGCAATAAGTACTCCCCCACTGGCCGGTCGCCAACATCATGATGCCGCGTCTAGCGCTTGGAAGTTGGAACAGAGTACCTTCTCCAGGTTCTTAATTCTCCTTGCCTATTACTCCAAGAAAACGCCGAAGGGATCCGAGTTGCCAACAGTTAAGCGCGCAAGCGCCCGGCGGTCGTTTTAGACAAACCTCTCAAGTGCGGGTGGGGGGTACCTCGGAGCTTGAGTATGTAGTAGGTCGCGGCCGTTCTTGAGGAACGTTGTCAATGAGGCCGAGGGAAAGAGTGGTGAAGGGACGATCATCCTTTTCGTGCTCTTTCAGTGGCCGAGTCGGTCGGGTGCGTGTAGCACTCACTGGCGAAGATGAAAGTAACCTCAATGATTGCGGTTGCGTTGTAGTTGAATAGAATTAAAAGGTTAAGGCAGAAGGCTAAAAGTACATACAAGTTGGTACTGTGTAATACAAATGGTTGAGAACGCGAAGCAAAGGAGCCGTCTTTGAATTAGGATTATAGAAATGCAGCCACGATTTGCACCCGTATTGACGAGGCGGCAGGTGGCGGAGAGACAAAGCAACGAGGACAAAGGAAATGCGAAAGAAATTAAGTATGTAGAAGGAAACGGCGGGAACTTGGCAAAGCAGAATACGAGGAAGAAGGAACAGGAGGGAACAGGGGCGCAAGAACCTATCGGGTGTGGCGTTCTCCCGGATGGAAAGATCTACCGGCGGGATGTCTCTGACGTGACGACAAAGGAAAAGCGGGGAAGAAGTCGGGTGTGGGGAAGAGGTGAGGAGGGTGTATACATGCAGTGAGTAGCCTCGGGAGGTGGTTTGTCGTCGATGGCGTTCAAGGTGCGCGTGCCGGAGAGGGTACTTGGATGAGGGGATGGCCTACGCGGAACGGTGAAAACCATCCCTCGGCGACGAACAGTTCTGTGGTCTCGGTAGATCCGAGTTTATGTAGTCACCCGGCATGGAAAGCAGCCTGACAAATGCGTCGGCATGGTCACGTCGGCAAAATCTGTTGATTGCGATCCCGCCGTGCCATGGTGTGAGGACCCCCGACCATGCGTATACCGGAAGGTGCCCATGCGTTGCTCAGCGGCTCTCCACATTCAGAACATGAGCTAGAAAAAATTCTTCCTTGGCTAGTGGGTCGATGGGAACGGGTGTGTGGGTGAGTGGCGAGGTGGTTGGGGTTGGTGGTCGGTAGAAGCAGTGAGGATGGGTATGGATCACAGCAGTCATTCTGACCGCGGTGAGCAAACCGACATCCATGGCAATCATGGTCAATCGGTGTCGGTCGTCACGCGCAGAAAATAGATAGGGTGATGCATAAAGATGGGCTAGCCTGGAGAAAGTGCCACCATTAGCCATCGGCGAAACATTTGATAAAAGGCGCGTAAAATCCGCGAAGAGCTGCACGTACCCGAAAGCGAAGATCACAGATAACAAACACTTTCGACAGAGGTGTTTCCGTCGAGAGTGCGGGGAAGGATACCCCGACTACTTCCCGACAACCATGGTGTTGGTCATGTAGGGAACTTTCTTCTTGAGCACCAGTTCTGGCGAGGACGCATCGCTACGCTGGAAGGGGACGAAGATGGGTTTGGCGTTGGATGGAGAGGCGCGGTGGGGCCGGGGAGAGTAGAGAGGCGTCGAGGGTGATGTGGAGGGCGTTGACGCGCCGCTACTCGTTGACGAGGGTGCGTAGGAAGAGTAATGCGTCGGGGGAGAAGAGGGATAGTAGGTTTGGCTTTGGCGTTGGGCAGACGCGAATTGCATAGGGTACTGGGATGGGTAGGGCGCTTGTGGGATGATGCCAGAGCCGTTGGTGAAGGGGTGGGTGGCGAAAGGGTCGAAAGATCCAAGAGGTGATGAGGCCATTGCTGAATGTGTCAACGGGGTAAACGTTGAATTGGGCAGGAGAGGCAGAGTTGGATGGATGAGTGTGTGGGGAAACGAGACGAATTGAGTAAAACCAGACTCGAAGCTATGGCTCTTATATACCGGAAAGAGTTGCTGCCATCCGACTTTTTGGAACTGGATTCGTTTTGCCGGAATAAGTTGCTCGGAGAGATCGGAGATTTGGCCTTGGAGATGATGGAAGAAGGTTTGGACCCGGTGACATCTGCAAAAAGGCGCTCGTTAACAGGCTGGAAACACACGGAATGACCGTCTACTTCCCTTGGCCTTCCCCATAATCTCGATCACCGAGTGGGGAATCGTCGGCATATGGTCATCCCAGGTCCGTAAACACGTGTGTACCCTCTTCGATGCTTCCGTCTTTTGACATTCGAATTCCAGTCGAAGTCTGTACGAGCTTTAAGCTTTCAAGGTCTAAAGCAAGGATCCACAAATATGTGCGAGATGACGCTCATGACGAAGAGTTGGAGACTACTTGGTCTATTCAGTGAAAGGGGGTATGACCGGGGCAAGAAGGCGAAATCAGTCGATTGTGTATACAGCCCCGGCCCGTGACAGGCAGGCGGTAGAACAGCGCTGAATCTGAACTGAGAACTCGCTTCCTGGACCAGAATACTGTCGTGGACATCGTGTTTCTTCCCCCGTGTCCTTCGCGTCCTAGATTGGGGATGTGTCAATTTCTGACTTCGGAAATCCGACACTGTGGTCCATGGATGCAAGCGAATATCGCCATCTTGGAGACGGTGAAGATGGCGTGTTTGAATTCATAGGATGATGCTACATATCCAGTTCTTGGTCAGGTGAGGCAAGTTGGGCCTCAAGATTTGGCTCGGAGACAGTGAAGCCCCTCCTCGATAGCCCTTGTCATCGGTCCTTGCAAAACTTTTCAAGAGATAGGTAATTCGGCCAGAGCATATAGCCTCAAGCTTCAGCCTTCGAGCAAGCCGTCAGGATGATAAGCATAAAGACCGCATTAAAGTCCACATACCAGACCGAGTATATTCTTAGACCGCTACCTTAGCGCGTCCTGCAACGAGAAGCAGTTAGATGAGATGGGATTCGTTCGAGATTAACGGCATTGCCAGCGATAATGGGGGTAGGCCACAAGCCTGATGCGAGCGATAGTGGCTGACTACACCAACTTGATTGTGGCTCATGAAAACAGGATTGAAGCTGTCTGATGGTGAAGGCTCTTGGGCTGTCGAAATGGGCAAGGAATGGGTGGGTGGACTCAATAATCGCGGGAAGGAAAGAACTTCGTTGTTGTCGTGGGATTAGTTATGTCAAAAAGATAACTCTAGAACCTGACCGACACGGATTCCTAAGTCCGAGAGCATACTGTTGAGAAGCGAGTGGGATGTCATGGTTCCGACTCAGTCGAACATGCTCTAAAAGAATCATCAAGGACCGCGATAGGAAATCGGGGCCTGAGTTCATGATTGTTTTGATAATAGAAGCGCAGCACTTCCAAGCTGGCGTCTAACATCCTGGTAATCCACATCATGCGCTGAAGAAACTGGGGTCAGAACGAGAATAGTCGACAACGGAGGATCGATGACGCACTGTCTTCTACTTCTCCCCATCTCTCAATCTGACTGTCCACCTCCACAGATGCGGCCAAAGCGGCACCCTCAACAGTCAAATGCTTCTTGACAAGAGCGAGACCAATGATGAGGGACTTGGTCGCAATAGTCGCCCGTTCGAGAGCTACATAATTCGGAAGAAATGAGGACGGAGCGGAAGAAGTTCAAGTTGGAAACGACAAACCGGCCAATTCCCAGCGGTCAAGGGCTCTGATGAGTTTGGAAGCCTCTTCAATCGTTTTCCTGGGTTGATTCGGGGAAAGGACTGAATTGGAGACAGCAATTTCAAGGCCCAGCGCCGACCGGGCCCAGTCAATCAATGGCACCCAGTATTTCGTCTGCAAACGGTGGAGTGGTTCAGGGTCATCGTGGAAGAAACTGCAGAGATAAGATGAACAATTCTGGTTTCATGAAAAACACGTTTCGCCACTTACCAAACGGTGTCTGTTTCCAGATAGTTTAGTAAGGTCTTTTCAACCTCCTGCCGGGTGCTATCTTCAGCCAAGCTGTCAATAGCTCTTGAAACTATTGAGGTCTGGCAAATTATAGGCATTCGTGACCGCCGGGCAAAGGGTTACGGTCCGAGGGCTTACCATGGGTAGAGCATGAGGCTTCAGAAGGGTTTCCTGATGATCCCACTCTGCTGCAATCAAGGCAGCAACAAGGCCCTTGTTCGAAGGCAGCAGCAGCGTATTTCCCGACGGCGTTTTCAGAGCACGTTTATCCAGCGTTACGGTGAAGTCGTCTCCCTTCTTGCCTATTCCAACTTCCTTCCAGAAACGTTTCATTGTGATTTCAGCCTCTAATTCCGTTCAGTAAGATGCTGTAGCCCAAGTAGCTGGTGACAACGGGACTCACTGTTGGTCTCGGTTTGTGCTGGTCCGTCGACCTTTGGCGAGGTCGATGCCTCCGACGAGCTCCATCGTCGCTGAGCATAGTTTTGGACTGTCGGCCACCGTGTGGACCTGCATAGCCTTAGTATTGGGGAACTCCTGAAGGCCGACATAGCGAAAGGATTTGAAGACGTGACGTCGACGCGAGCGCGCTGATTCAAGTTTCGCGCCAGCGCACGAAAATCGGCGCGCCCCCGGTATCCACGTGACTCTGTCACGGAGCTGCCCGAGGCGCGTCCCCGGGGTCGGGCGCAATTAACGACAATCAATTATGACATGGAGGACGCGCCTTTTGCCACCGAACCACCACCTTCGTTGTCCTGAACCCTCACAGCGGTTATTGGATCTCTAGATAACTTCGCAATGTCGCAGCGAAAACAAGCGACTTTATCCACATTCTTTTCTTCACCCGCACGAACTTCGGGGAAGAAACGACCGTCAGAAACTATAGACTTGACGGAGGATGGGTCTCCCCCGCCAACGAAGAAGTCCAAGGGTTCATCCAGCAGAGTAGAGTCACAATTCTTCTCAGGGACGACTTCGACGTCTCAAACGCCACAGACTACATCTGGAGCCATGGAAGAGTATGTCTACTCGACGGAGAAACCCACGACTTCCAGACCCAGATCAGCAACACAACAGAAACGACACGAGGCGTTCAAGAAACGCCTGCTCTTAAATAACGAGTCTTTCCTGCCTTCCGGGGCTGCGGCAGAACAGGAAACTGGTGAACAAGGCAATGGTGCAAGTTCAGAAGTCGAAGACGAAGCGACAGGATCGGAATCGGAAGGCGACAATTCCGACGACCAATTCCAACGGTTGCAGGAATTATTTTCCAACAAGAGTAAGAAGGTTACGAAGGGAAAGGGTACCATGATAACCAAGAAGCCTCTCAAAAAGGCAGCCGAGATAGGGCCCAGTGGGAAGGCTTATACTCCTCTCGAACTTCAGGTGGGAGCTGGGTCATTTTGACATTGTGATGTTAATGAAATCCGCCTGCTCAGGTTCGGCGGCTTATCCAAGAAAATCCGGGAACGCTTCTCATGGTGGAAGTTGGGTACAAATACAAGTTCTATGGCAAAGACGCGAAGGTAAGAGATAAGTATTCCAATAAATTCTGGCGCTTGTTGAGTAAGTCATCCAGACGGCTGCCACTGCATTGGGAATGGCGGCATACCGAGACAGGAATTTTATGGTGGCGTCAATCCCTGCGCACCGGAGAGACATCTATCTGAAGAAGTAATGCGTCGGGATCTATATTTCGTGTTATAAGGCTGGCAGCACTCACGCTTTGCTTATAGGTTACTGTCCCTTGGCCATAGGGTTGGAATTGTTAATCAAATCGAAACGGCGGCTCTGAAGAAAGTTGGCGATAATAAGAGCGGTCCCTTCGAGAGGAAGTTGACCCACCTGTACACCGCCGCCACGTGAGTATCAGTCATCCTAAGGACAGTTTCTAAAGACGGTTGGGGACTAACGCCAGGATAGCTATGTAGATCAGTTAAACTCCGTGGATGACTCGGAGCGGTACACGCCCCCGCCTGTTATGTGCATCATAGAGGAGTGGAAGGACAAGAATCCAGGAAATACATCGTTCGGTATCATTTCGATATGCCCCGCAACAGGAGATGTGGTCTGGGATGATTTTGAGGGTTCGTCTTTTACAGTTCTTGCTTCCAAACAGTAAATTGATGATCACCAATCAGATAAGGCTATGCGAATAGAATTGGAGGTTAGGCGAGGAACCAACTTTTACAGACACTCGTATTCTGAACGTTACACCAGACCCGTTTGTCTCATCTGCAACCCGCGGAGATTTTACAGCCCAGGAAGGGCCTTTCAGATCCCACCAAAACCATTTTAACCGATTTCTCCGGGTAGGTGGCCTACTTTCCGTCTGGGTTCAACCCTCATTCTCTTTTGTAGATCATCTGGAAATGCGATACGTCACGAATATTTTGACCAGCCAATGACCTACTCAGATGCCTTCGAGGTAGTAACAGAGTTTTACACCGACAAAAGCAAGTCAGGTGCAGCTTCGGAATCCTTCCGATCCGGTACGTCTGTCATCTCATTGCGTCTGAAAGTCCTGACGTTTTTACCCTTGAAGGGCAGTTGATGGCAGCGATTACTGATTTTCCCAAATCCGTGGTGGTGGCCCTAGCCCATGCCATCAAACATATGTCTGCATTTGGGATGGCTGACGCCTTCCTGGAGACCCGTTTCTTCTCCAAGTTCGCCACAAGGGCTCATATGCTTCTTGGAGCGAATACCTTGTCCAATTTGGAGATCTATCGGAACGAAACTGACGGGACAGCGAAGGGATCGTTAATTGAGATCTTGGACCGAACTAAAACCAAATTTGGGGCGAGACTACTCCGTAATTGGGTGGGTCATCCATTGGTTGACAAACGGTGAGTCTCGCAGAATGTTCTCGAAAGTAAGAACCTTTTGCTCATTGGCTCTACCCGCAGGATCCTCCAGGAGCGTGTTGATGCTGTGCAAGAAATCATCGAGAGTTCCTCCGAAAGGCTTATGGTACTGAGAGATGTCCTCAAACAACTTCCGGACTTGGCCAAAGGCTTGTCGCGAATTCAATACGGTCAAGTGAGCGTTTGCGTTATCCTTCCCCTTCGATGCGTTCATCAGTTCCTCTTAGTGCACTCCCCCCGAGCTGGCGATTCTTCTCCCTGCATTCAACAAGATTGCAACGGCATTCGACGGGGATGACATTTCGGACGCAAGTGCAGTGGGATTTAAGTCGTCATTGCTGAATGAAATTATCTTCGTCCTACCCAAGCTTAAGGAGCCTGTTCAAAAGCTCTTACGAGACATCAACCTACGAAAAGCAACGGAGGACAAAAAAGATTCGCTATGGAACGACTTCGATAAGTATCCTGATCTAGCGGACGCTGATCTGGTTGGTCTACGTCTAACTCTTTTCAGAGGGCCGCACCTGACGACTCCTTTTTAGGCGTTGCAGGCGATTGAGATGGAATTGAATGAAGAACTCAAAGCGGGTTGGTCTGGCATTAATACCTTTGCCCACTTCCCTGCTCACACAGTTCCCAGTACGAAGACAGTTACGGTGTTTCTCACTTGACTGGACGACATGGGGTTTAGACGAGGCAAGTCCCGTTTCCCTTGCCATCTGAACGGAACGGTTTTGAGACTGACCGACTTCAAAGTGCCTTGTGGAAGTGAAAAAAAAGGACAAACGACCGATCCCAGAGACCTGGATCGTGCATTCGACGTGAGCAACTTCATTTCCAGTGAAAGAGTGACCGATCTTACCCCGTGATGTAGAACCAGAACGTTAGCCCGTTATCAACCACCTAGCGTACATGCCAAGCTTCAAGAGAAAGCTCAAATGAAAGAGAGACTGGAGGTGATACAATAGCATTCTGCTCCTCGTATGATCTCCGCTAACGCGGCTCCCTCACAGGCTGCAGCAAATGCCGCTTTTCAGTCCTTCCTCCAAGATATCGCAGACAACTACTACGGTCTATTCCGCGACGCTGTCAATAAGCTTGCAATTGCCGACTGTCTCTTCAGCTTAGCCCACGTGGCTTTGCAGGAGAACTACGTTCGTCCCGAGTTTGTGGAAGAGGATGTGATTGAGATCGTTGAAGGCCGCCATCCTATGATTGAGAGGCTGAGGGACACACCTTACATTCCCAATTCGATATGTATGGGCGGAAAGAAACCTCGCAGCAAAATTATCACTGGCCCGAACATGGGAGGGTGAGTTGTGGCCTGGCTTGGCCGTTCTGTCTGGCCTAGTGTGTTGACTATGCCTCAGGAAGAGTTCATGCGTTCGAACCATTGCTTTGATCGCTATCATGGCTCAGATAGGCTCATATGTTCCAGCCAACTCGGTCCGAATGAAGCTTATGGACTCGGTCCTGACCAGGATGGGCGGTAAGGTAGTATTTTCGATAGTTACTGCAGCTTTCTAAAAACACTTCCATCTAGCTTCGGACGATATCACTCGGGGAAAGTCGACGTTCATGGTCGAGATGTCTGAAACCCGCGAGATCCTTGACGCAGCGACAGACCGTAGCCTAGTAATCCTCGACGAACTTGGTCGTGGAACCTCCACTTTCGACGGGGTAAGCTTTTCTTTTTTTTGTTGACTGTAGACCCCCTGGGCCTGGCTTACACCTGTGTTAGATGGCTATCGCGGACGCAACTTTGCATTATTTGGTCGAAGCGAAGAGATGCAAAACATTGTTCATCACCCACTACCCTATGGTCGCTACCCGCCTCCAAAAGAGATTCCCGTCAGATCTCGAGAACCTTCACATGGCATACTCCACCAGCGTCCAGATTGACGGGACACGGACAATCACTTTCCTATATAACCTTACTTCGGGCCTTGCACCAGGTGAGAGGATACACACTTTGTTTAATCACCCACCTGACCCTGACTGTCTGGTTTCCTTTATTAGAATCATTCGGGATCGAATGTGGCCGTTTAGCAGGGCTTCCCGAAAATCTTCTGCGGATTGCCTCTCAGCGGTCGGATCAATTGCAAAAGGAAGTACAGAAACGAATTGCGCGGAATCGGTGAGATAAACAAGATTCCCCGAATGTCCTACGGCTATGGCTAATTTGTGACGCATTATATTATCAGAATACGAAAGGCCTTGCAGCTGATGCGACAACTGAGCCGGAGCGAGGGTGGCCTTGAAACCGATATCAAACTTGCCGAGCTGGAGTCCCTGGCCCACGCACAGACCCTGTCATCCGACGACGCCCTTCAACCATGATTCATATGAAGTCCCAGTACATGCGCTATCCGTACATACAGCAGATTAGTTATGACTTGACCTTGACCTTTTTGCTTTTTGTTTTCACTTTGGTCTCCGGTTCGCTTTCTGCTTTACGTTTCTTTTTGGTTTTGGCAGAGTCGTCCTTGTCGCTTTGTTTGGTTGCAGGTCGTGTTAGTTGCGCTATTTGGTCACACTGCTTGTGCATTGCGGTGGATGAACCGAAACGAGGGGATTTTTGGAAGGAGGACTTGAGGGAGGTCCATGAGTCGGGTTGCCATGTTTCTGAGAGAGAGTCCGGGATGACACGCTTCGACTGCCGTACGCCAGCTGTGGCAAGTTTCATCAACTCCTTCAGCTGGGCTGCATTGAGCCTGGGCTTCTCCGTGCAGGATTGCGTTGCCAGTTCCAATAATAGGCGACGCAGTGATGACATGAACTCGGCAACAGCCGGGGGCTTCTCCTCCTAGAATGAACCAGTCAATTTGCATGCGTGTGCGCCAGTTGCGAAACACTTACGATGCTAGGAAGTTGGTTGACGAGAATCTCGAGCAGTTGGATAGTCTGGGCCTGTCGGTACCCATTAATGGCCTTTCCACAGAGCTCAATAAGTTCTTTTCGCAGCTTCCAGCCATGCGCAGGGTACCTCAGGAAGAACATCTTGAAGAACTGAGAGTTTAATGACGAGTTCTTGCGGGTCAAGAAGTCCTGTAGTGATTCCCGATAAGCAGTGGCAACAACGTCGTCCTTGCCCAGCTGGAATAGGAGTTTGGAGATGTAGATGCTCGACGATCCCAGCAGTTCAATGATTTCCGAGCCGTGTGCTTTGCGCGCTTGAGTGTGCAGTGCGATGAGGAACTCGGACAATTCTTCAGCATCGAGGTTAGCTGTCGGGTATTCTTTGGCTTTAGATATACGCGAGCGAAGGATGCCCGTAACCTTGTCTTTGAGTTGCTGTTCGTCCGAGCCAGAGGTGACAATAACGTTGATTAGAGGGAGCACGAGGCGGGGAACGAGGCGGTGTGTGGGATGTTTGCGCATGTAGACGTCGAGCAGGTCAAGAACTCGGTTCTTGAAGTGCGTTGCCTCCCGCTGTGCGTTGACATCTGTGAATGAAAAGTCAGGGCGCTGGCCAATAAAATGAACGAAATTTCTCACCTTTGCCCTTTTTCTCTTTAGCACGCTCTTGGAAGATCTTGGCCAGCTGCTCGTCGATGGCCATCATCTGGTCATCATCCATCAACTCTTCATCTTCATCTTCATCTTCGTCCTCGTCTTCGTCGTCGCTCTCTCCAGTAGCGGCCTGGATACCACTGGCAGCCAGGGCAGCCTCAATCTTCTTCCGCAACTCCAAGTCGACCTCTTCATCCCCATCTGAATCAAGGTCAATCTCTCCAAAAGACTCTGATCCACTCGAACTCCCATCGTCGTTGTCATCGTCGTCACTCTTCTCCTCGTCACCCTCGTCATCCTCTTCCATCTCTTCCATCTCTTCCTCCTCCTCGTCATCGTCGTCTGCCGCCAGCTCTTGAGGGGAGCGTCTCTCCAGTTGCTGTAGCCAGGCGGCATCAGAAACTGCAGCAATGAATAGAATCACGTCCACTCACAGCAACCAGCAGGTCAATCGTGCTCTCCTTGACCGATCCAGAAATGTAACCAAACACTTGGTTCACAATCGAGCGCATGTACGGCGTTGAGCCTTCCAAGAGACCAATGATGACATCCGTCAACACATCAATTGGGTCGAACGCAGCGTCTCCCTCCCCGTCCGCTTCAGGTTCGGGTGCGGACTTTTTGGATTTTTCTTTCTTCTTTTTGGACTTCTTCTCCAGGAAGGAAAGGCGGGTGATGGCGTTCAGGACGGTCTAAATGGAAGGCAGCGGGTATTGGAGATCGATCTGTGTAAGATATAGAAGGTGATGCATACCTCGAGTGAGCTAGGATCTTGTTCCTCCTCGCAGTACTGCTGGACAGTCAACGCCAAAATCAAAAGCTCGGCACCCTTCGCTATCTCGGCGTTATCGCCAGAGACCTGAAGACATGTCAAAATGTATTCTCATTTCAAGACAGACCTGTCCTTACCTTTCGCAATTTGTCCAATACCTCCGTTCCCTTCTTGAACAACTCTGTCTCCTCTTCCTCCAACTCGATGAACAAAGAGACATGCTTGGAGTCGGCTTCGAGGGATTGAATGGCGGAAAGAACTTTGGCGAGCCATAGTTCACCGTCGGAAGCGGCAGCTGCAGCCTTGATAGTCTTGTCGTCTGGAGGGGAATTGTTTAACTCATTGCCAATGCCAATGCAAAGGCACGAAGATCTCGTACCAGATTTGATCACGGTAGTCTGCCCTGTGAGCTCTCCAATAGCCGTCAACAGCTTACTCCTGCAAACTTTTCGCGTTTCTTCCGAAACAGGCGGTTGAGGAGCCTCGCGAAGCTACCAGAACGAGAGTCTCGTCAACCAACTATAGACTATTTCGTACGTTGGAATACCACACATACCGCAACCATCGAACTCTTGGACTTCTTCTTTTGAATGACGAACAGACCGTGAACGACCATAAAGTCCAAAGCTGACTTGATCCATTCGTCAGACTTGGGAATCTTGCCATTTCGAATGAGGGCGTTGAGCTGCTCGAGAATCCATGCTCGGCGGCTGTCGATGTCGCTTTGACTGGCCCTAGGACAATCTAAGGATCACTTCAAAACCAAAGAGAAACAAGCGACTCACTTTTCATCACCCTTGTTGAACTGCTCAAAGAGGTAGGTGACATAGTTTTGGATTCCTTCGGCGTTCATTGAGGAGAGGATAGTCTCAACTGTCTTCGTCTTGGTCAACTTGTCGAATTGCTGGCTTCCGTTGACACCAGTCAGTTGGAGGATCAGAGCGAAGCCCAGCTGGGGCTTGTCCTTGACGAAGGCTTGGACTTCCGTGACCTAAACCACACATAATTAGCCTTGCTTCACCAGGCAAAACAGAACCGGGTTAGCGTACCGTCTGCTGAGCGATTCTGTGCAAATATCGGTCCTTATTCGAGAGGTGATTAATCCAGGAGCGCATAAAGTTTTTGGTGAAGAGCATGGGCATGCTGTCCTGGTCGACGCGTTTGAGTGCCTTTTGGAAGACTTGGAAACCCCAATATTTGCGTTGTGGCGAAGAGGTTGCAGAGAAGAGGGATTCTGTGTATGGCGTATGGGTATTAGTGGAGCTCGAGGAGGTGGAATGTGATCCCTACCGTCAACGACCACTCGGAAGAACTCCTGGAGAGAGCCCTTGGACGGGCCTTTGGGATCGTTGGGTCCAGGTAGAAGTTGGTCGAGGATAACGCCCCAAGCGAAGTGTAGTTGAGGTTTCCATAGACTGCTGGGCGCCTTGGTCACCTCCTCGTGCCCTTCCTCCTCCACTGTGGCTTCCTATAGCCAGCCAAAATCAGCGCTTAAGGGATCAAAGATGTCGCCTCAACCACGCACCTTGAGAATCTTGGAAACCGTCAAGAGATTCGACGAGCTGAGTAAATTGGCGTTCTTGAAGGTAGGAGCAACCAAAGCCTGCCAATCCCGTTCAGGGTAAAGTCCCTGCAACTTGATAACCAGGGCAATTTTCTCCGGCGACCAAGCGGGGTTGTCCACAATGAGGTTCTGGAAAAGCACATCCACTGCTCCTTTCTTCCACTCCACCTTCGATTCATCCAAAGCGTCGACAGCCAATTGAATCGTGAACCACGCAGCTTCCCTCAACCACGTCTTTTTCTCCCCCAATACCAAGAGTTCTTTGATTACTTGTTCGAAAGCTTCGAGGCTTGAAGAAGCTGTGTTGGATGAAGCGGAGGTTGCGAGTGGTGTTGAGCGTAGGAGGAGGCCGGATCGAATGACGGACATGAAACCAAATAGACGAGCGAAAAGCATATCTCGTTCTTCCTGTCCGGACATTGACCCTTGGATTTTGCTGCTCGACATTATCAGGTTGACGATTTGTGAACAGGTCACGGTGTCAATTCTCGACAGCAACTGACAGTGAAACAGCCTTAGTTCAATGCAGTCATTTGAATAACAAGATAACGAACCTCTGTCAGGGCAACAGCAAAACCCAGTCGACTGCTTTCTCTAGGACTCGCCAAACCACGGGTTAACCGCCGAATCGCATACGAGACGTCTTGAGCATTCAACAAATCGAGGTTTTCTCCGTCCTTTTTCACATCCCTAGCCTCTCCCTCATCCTCCATATCCTCATCCTCATCGCTATCCTCCGAGTCTCCATTACTTCGATTTGTCGGCTGTTGTTGAGGTTTGGGAACGAATTGAGATTGGAACTGTTCAAGGGCGCCAACGAGCTTGACCGAGGCGTCAATTCGCTGTTTTTTCGAGTTTGAAGGGAGATCCCAGTAAAGAGGAAGAGTGGTCATTTTTTGTGGGTATAACCCCGGTCTGCGAGGGTTGCAGCAGTGGTATTCACCAACTTCACTACCAAACTTTTTTTGATCGGCTAGAACCTCGCAGTGGCTGTGCTACCATGCTTGCCTTGTTTGGCTTGGCGCGCATCGGCGCGTCGGGGTCGCGAGGCTCGCGACGATAATTGTAAGGACGCTGAAACGCGCGACGAATACCACGATGGAATAATGATATTGACAGATGCAGGCAACATATACGTTGGGGTTACAGCATACGACGATAGTCCCAAATTTGCGACATGTATGTAACAATGGACACCTCTGCCTGATGATATGGACGAGGGCATAAATACTTGATCTTGGATAGAAAAAGGAGTCCGATTATGTTGGGTAGTAAGTAGAAGGTCGTTTCTTGAGAATAGCGAATAAGTCATGATAGTGGTTGGTTAAGCCCATGTCTCGATGGACATCTAGTCAAAGTGCATCCAGTGGCCTTTAACACCCATTCGACACTTTTCGCAGTCGGCGCGAGGGCCCATGGTGACCTTCCTCCGAGGCGTCGATGGCGAGAGCAACTGATTGAAGGTTTGTGCTGGTGACAATGCCATCGGAGTCATTTCTGGCGAACCCGAGAAGGAGCGTTGAGCCATCCCGGACGACTGCGTATGATGGAGAGAAGGCGTGGCGGGAACAACGTTAATTTGTGGGTGTGGCTTCGAGAGTGCATGAGGAAGCTCCTTGTGAGGTGTCGAAGGAATGTCAGATCTATGGCTCAGCCCGGAAGCACCAGAATGTGACAGTGAACTTGTCGAAGTCGACACCGGAAGAGGATTTGCATGGGATTGTACCGCAGAGTCTTCCGTATCCATCGCCTAATAATAAGTGGAAGACGATAAGAAATGAAAAGAAGATGGAGAACGGCAACTTACCATGTCAACGTCGCCAGAGGCTCCAAGGTGTTCATAAGAAGAGTTAGCCGAAACGGATTGACGAAACATTGGACTATCGATACTCAGCCCTCCGGCTTGCTTCACCCAGTCTTCGGATGGGTATCGACTGGTACCCGCAGAGGGAGCACCATAGCTACTGCCTCCAGGAGAACGGTCGGTAGGATCGGTGGCACCCGAACTGTACCCAGAGGTCGTGACGAACAGGCGTTTCTATCAAACAATTGAGGGTGCGGGTCCAAGACAAGGAAGATAATAAACTAACTGTAGGCCGATCGATTGGGTAGGCGGTCTCAGCGTCGGGGGACCGTGGCCGTTTTGCGGAAGTCATGGACACCTGTCGGAAGCTCCTGAACACGCTCGAAGGCGAAGGGTGGATGTCGACGTCCATTTAAGATCTTGCTTTCTTAAAGCGCTTTATTCAGAAATTCGGTGGCCCATGTGAGGACGTAGGCGGTGGCGGAGTGGTAAGAGGCTCAAGACAAAGCTTGAATGAGCCCAGACTGTCCACCAAAAGTTTTGCCAGGTTTGTTTTCCAAGCTCTTGTGATCCTGTAATTTCGTCGGCGCTTGTGAGGGCCCTGGTCGGCATTCTCCAACGAACACCAAAATCCATGATATTCTTCGGAGGCGCTTGAATACCCTGTCGCAATCGAGCTCGTAGGCAAAGGCAAAGAACAGAGAGAAAGACCACAAAATTCCAAAACCCCATTAATTGTCGTCTGCACCATCACGGGCCGAAAAAGGCAAGTCACCGCCGCTGGCCAAGGCGTCATCACTAGCTTGACCCTTTCCTAGCAATTGTCTTCATCTCCTCATAAAAATGTATCCAAGTGCCTCGTCTCCTCCCCCAATTGAAACAGACGCGCCGCAGTCAGCGTCTATCTCGACGGCGCCGACTCCAGCTCCAGGAATACCCCCAGACGTCGCCAACAATATGACTATGACCATGAAGATGGCGCGCTCGAGCGTGCCTCCAACGAATAACGGCCGTAAACGCAAGCGCGGCCAGGCCCCTTCGACCTCGCATGCAGCCTCACCAGCGCCCTCAGATCCTGGAAGCACAAATGGGAATGGAACGGGAACAGAGTATGTCCATTAATTCCTTAACCTACAGTCCTAATTGATGTTTCTCCATTCAGTACACTGCTAAGCGCCAAAGGCGACTTCTTCTTGAGACCCAGGCTCAGCATCTCCCGTGGACCAACATTCGTACCTGTGGAGGAAGGCTCAGAATGGTATCGCACCGAAAATATTGGCGTGAACCGCACCTTCCGCTATGTTCCCGCCGGTATTAACCCTCAAGGCTCAATAACGCTATGCCGAACCATCGAATCCAATCCAACATCCTTCCGAGTGAGCTGGGAAGACCGAAGTCCGTTCTTACGAGTAACAAAAGACGGTCTGAGTCTGGCAGGGTTTCGTGGGTTTCGAAGCGCGCGGTGTAATGCCCCGGTGAGAGAGGGGAAGTGGTACATGGAAGTCAAGATTATCAATGGTGGAGGGGATAGGTTACCGGGCAATCCAGACTCTTCAAAAGCAAAGGAAGGAAATCACGTCCGAATTGGTTGGGGACGACGCGAGTCTACGTTGAACGGCCCTGTTGGTTTGGATGGCTACAGCTACGGATACCGCGACAAAACCGGGGAGAAGGTCACTCTATCACGTCCCCGACCCTATGGAAAACCTTTCAAATCTGGGGACGTCGTCGGAATGTACATCTCCCTCCCTCCACTTCGCAAACCTTCCAAAAAGGACCCCGACGACCCTGCACATTTTCGGCGCGAACGTATCCCAATTGACCTCAAGGGTCAGGAAGTCTTCGAAATATTGGAATACCCCGTATCGAAAGAAATGACTGCCCTCATGGACTACTCCGGGAAACCTAAAGACTGCGCCTCAGTCCCTTCCGCAAGTTCGAAGAAGGCCGCCTCTGCCGGGGCAAAACCTCCAGACCGAACCGCCACTGCTCCAGCCAATGCCAAACCCAACGCACCGCCTTTACGACCCCTGCCCATCCTCGCCGGCTCCAAAATCGCGTTCTTTGTTAACGGAGAATGCCAGGGAACTGCATTTGAAGACGTGTACGATTTTCTCCCATTGCGACAAACAGAGGAGCAGAAACGCAAGGCGAAAGAACGCAGTAGGCGCGTCCGAGAGGGCGTGAAGGCACACATAGAGAACGCATTCGACGACGGCACGCTTGGATACTATCCCATGATCTCTCTGTTCAACGATGCGATTATACGAATCAACCCTGGGCCGGACTTTGATTTCCCGCCACCATTGGATATCGACGCGGTACTCGAGGGTAGGCCGCAACCTACTTCTGAGGCTTCCCAGTCGGAAGCCACTGAAGAGACATCGCCGGAGATGGAAGTTGATACACCCGTGAAATCCGAACCCGCACCCGAGAATGTCTCCCTCGATGCGAAGATGGAGGTCGACAGCGAAACTAAACCCAAGCGTACTTGGAGGCCTATCATCGAACGATACCCCGAGTTTATGCAGGAACAGTGGGACTTGGATACTCTGGAAGAACAAGAAGCTCAGCAGAAGGAAGCTCAGAAGCAGATGGCTGCCAAAAGCGCAGGCGCTCCTACCACGGGCAAGAAGGGGGCAAATGGGAAGGGCGGGGAAAAGAAGGGGAGCGCTGCCAGGTCGAGTGCCGGCGGGAAGAAAAAGAAGGCTACTGATGCCAGTGCAGCAGAAACGCCTGAACCAGGTGTCTCTGCGGATGCAGCTCCAGCGAAGAAAAAGGCGAAGAAAAATGCCGGACAGGCTGCTCTTGGAATTGCCTCAGGTCCTTCAGTCCAGCCGACGCCTTCAGATGCGACGCGTTCGGCAACCGAGACACCGATGGGCACACCTCCCCCGCCCTCCGTTCATCACCACCTTCAACATCATCCTCCCAATACCTACCAATACCATCATGCGCTCGCGCAATCCGAAAGCGCCTCCAACAGACCCAGTCCCAGCCCCCTCAGGCAGAGTTCCACAGCGTATAGGGATTCTCATACTGAGAAAGAAGGCAACGAGCTTCCTTTACATTTGTCGGGTGTGCGCCAGAAGAAACCTCCCGGCTCTCAGAAAGGGAGGGATCATGCTCAGCAAGCCGCAGCTGCCGCTGCCGCTGCCAGCGCCTTTACGATCCCACATTCCTCCAATCGAGGTCCAAAGGCTGTACCCTATCCTGTGCATTCTGAGCAATCGAGCACGAGTCGACCACCTTCTTCACACCAACACCGGTCAGCATTGGGCAAAGCTGGCACTCACTCATCGACGAGCGCTATGCACCGCCGTCCGATCTCACCTGCAGCGCTTTTGGGTCCAGGTCTAGACGATGAAGATGATGATGGAGGGCATCCCTACCCGGAAACTACGCCAGCAGGATACGAAAGCTCCAATGCCCCCGGGACGCCTGCGAATGATACGGACTTTGATATGGGCGGGGATGAGAACGAGGATGCCCAGAGCGACGACCTTGAAGCTGAGTTTCTTGATGCTGTCCGATCGGCCTCGACGCCTGGAGATCCGGACGAAGAGGACGATGACGAGGACTTCAATGTTGGGCGGTCTCGGCATCATGACTCGAGAAACGTCGATGAGGCTACTACGGACGGAGACGACGAGCAAGGCGAATATGGGCAAGTGGGGAATGGGGAAGAGACTGACGAGGGCGATAGAGAGACAGGGATAGGGATAGAAATTGAAGCCCAGACTGCCAGTAGAACCGGTACCAGTCGCTCTCCCTCTCCTGGTTAGAGCCATTTACCTTTTACCTTTTCTTGTGACAGTAGAGACCGCAGTCTTCTTTGCAGTGCTGCTTTTCCGTTATGTGCTTGGATAAAGATGAGGGTAGTCAGGGTACATATTGGCGTGACTTGAGCACCCCCATACAAGCGCTTGACCATTGAGGCCTGATGCCTCCTCGCATATACTTGGCCAGTGCCGTTGAGGGTGGGCTTTCGATATAACCAGCTGCGATCGCAAATCGACGAGAATCGGTCGTTTCTGCGATCTCTGCCACTTTTCTTCCTGCTCAATTCGGGGCGTTGCAGCCGCCGAGCTCGGGTTGTCCTTCATAAGAGAGTTCGGTACAGTCGACAGTTCGACAATGGCCCTTGACTTATTATATGTACACTCGGGTGCATGAGATGAAGCTTCAAGTTGCAAGACTGGCGCAGTCACGGTGGTGATTAATGAATTAGAGCCATAGCCGATACATATATGTCCATTATAATCCATCATGCTAGTGTACATCGATATGTTCACAGTCCCAAATCCATGACCGTCCATCTTGACGGTGGCAACCCAGAATACGATAAAATGGGAACACAGTCCGAGGTATCGTGCTCGTGGTCGCGCAATCACTTCCTGACTCCTCCGCCCTTGATTTTGGGGTCTCCCCGCACAGACACTGTCACTGGGGTGCTACGACCACGGCCGTCCTCAGGGTCTGGTTGTTCAGGAAAAACCGGCTCTTCGTCGCTTGAAAACGGCGTGTCAGTGCGACATACACTTAGCAGGACGACGGATAGACGCATTCACCTAAGAGGCTCTTCATCTTGGCTCTCGTCACTCGTGGCTTTGTCTTGGAGTTCTCCACTTTCCAAGCCTTCATGAGCGCTAGAATTGACGTCTGTCAGTGCTGATCCACAATCGCAAATCGGAGAGGAAAGGCCAAGGTTTTGTACTCACAAGGCATCGCGCCCCTCAACCTCAACCTGCTTCTGCTCCATCTGTGGAGTCAGTTCTCCCGGTGCAACGCCTTTGTCCGACATCATGGGGCTGGGGTTATCGCTTGTATGGATATTCGAGTTCGGAGGGGTTGGTGATGGTAGCGTTGTCGATACGGGGGCTCAATACGGTCGCGAGGTAATGGTTGACGAAGGAGTCATCTCGATAGCGGTTCCTTGCCTTTATACAGCCGGACCCATTGAATGACGAATGATGCGGTGTTAATAGATGATCTCCTACAAGGACATGCTACACCGCCATACTTAACATTGACTCACCATCGAACAGCATATGCTTCCGTCTCCGACAGACTTGAACAAAAAGAGAGAACTTGAAGGTCGAAGGCGATGCATCCCTCAGGCTCACTGGGGCATTGTTCGCTAGATGACATTCTCGATCAGAGCCGTGTTGTATCCACTTGCAAAATGGGCGGTGGCCAACGAGACTGCTGTTGGCTGCGTTTACATGGTCTCCGTGTTGGATAGAGGGATTGCCGTTGGTCACCATGACAGAAGTTCTGGCTGTGTACTTGGGGGTAGCCGTCGATCTTTGCTGTAAATTGTGCAAGTCTTCTAGGGTCCTCGTCCTGCTATCCGATGACTCCATTCCCAGACAGTGCGCGCTTAACACAGCATATTATGATACCTGCGTCTCTCTTCGAAGTCGACTGCGGCCGAGCCGAGAAGACTCGAGTGACTGCGAGGTGCGAGGACATCATCCATCTCCAAAACGATCAAAACTTGAAGCATCTCGGCGGCGATGTCAATGCGAAACCAGCTGATATCCGGGAGAGAGCGGCTCACCATTCATTCCTTTGTCTCCTCACCAGCGCCCATCCCGTGCGCCCAGACACGCTTTCTTTGCAATGATGTGTTGCGTTGATAACACTGTCAGCGATAATGTCACGAGTGACCGACGGCCGCCGGCCTCGTTTCCCAATATGGGTATCCCGACGCCTAACTTGGATAACCTGCCGAACATTTCATGCGGCGGCAAGCTGGAGTTTCCGCGACGGGACCCACGGCCGCTTCTACAATGTGGTAACAATCATCCTCTTGCATTCAAATCCAGCCATAGACTTTAAGACTAAAGACTCTCTACAGGGACGCTTTCAAAAATAGCAGTCCAGTACATTTAGTACATGGTAACCATTTCCCGACAGCTTCGGGAATTGGTGGCGAGAGCAATTCGTCTGAACTACCCTTTTCAAGCACGTCCTGAAATCTAGCGTGATAATCTGCTACTTCCACTATTCCAGTGCCTCCCCCGAACACACAATCTTTACAGCACAGACACGACGCAAAGGGCTGAGGTTGGGAAGTTGCCGTATGTCCTCTTGCCCACGCCGCGCTTATTACAGCTATTGAATCGAGTGACCACCACGAATCAAAGTGCCTCGCGTCGGGCTGCCCTGAACGCCCTCGTTAGCTCTCAAATGTCAGCCCCTTGACCCAAGGCTGAGCATGGCCACGAGGCATCCCGACTACATTGAATAGTGTTTTACTGGAATGACACACAGCATGATCCTCGAGGCATTGTCATACTATCCGAAGAGGCCATTGGTATAAGTATCTCTTTTCTAGGCTCTTAATTTAAATGAATGCCACGGCGTCCACAGGTGGCTAAGTCACTGCCTAAACGGCTGTCCTTGAGTCGGAATTCTCAGCCCAATGCACTGGGCATGGCTGAATATTACACGCATCCCAGAGGCGGGGTCCCAGCTTAGATGATCTGGGGTAGATAGCACGGCTCGGAGATACCTGGCCTGATAGACGGAGGGATCAGACTGTGACCATGTCTTTTGCTTTTAGAGCCTCTCAAAATAGATATTTGACAACTGCTTCTAACTTTTCCATGCTGTTTCCGTTCAAGTTGCCGGCGTCCACAAGATCCCAAATTACGGAGCCTCGCCTTGTTGAGCACCAGCCTTAAGCACAGTACTGTGAGACTCGGTCGAAAACAGTGTTCGAAAGGCACAGTTCCCCGAGTGGCCTGTCCCGGGCCTGGGATTTCCGCTGCGCAACGCTATGAACTCAGCACGAACAACAGCAGACTTTCCTGTCCAGATTATCTCACAGAACACCACATAACACTGAATAAAGCCGGTGTAGAGCGATGACTCGCAGGGCCCTGCACCTCGAGGCAGCTTGGCGCTCCTCATGGTCATTCCGAACCCCGAATAAACAGCATCCTTTCCCTCGCCTGGTCGTACCTGTCCTTCGGGATCCTTTCCGGTGGAAGTAACACTGCCCAAGTTTTGCAGCCAACCTGTACATTGAGAAGCCGCAAGCAAAAGGACACCAAAGAACAGATGGAGATGTACATATGGTTCAACTTGTCGCAACTTCCAAGACACAATTAACCTAATGGTGTTCAATTACGTTTTGGGTGAAAGCTTCTGTGATCAACTCTAGAGGAGTCAAAATCCATACTTTACAAGCAGTGCGGTGATAGTGACAGTCGGGAGATTGTTGTGGGCCAAAAGATATTGAATTGAATTGGGACCCAGGCAGGCCTTGCCATCATTATCTCTACGCATGACAGAGGTTATCCGACATTGGACGCTCGGCATCGGGCCTTGTTCAGTAGCTTGCAGCAGCTTGGGGGAACATGTGCGCTTAAATTCTACGCCTCAAGATCGATGTCACGGTGCACACCGTGACTATGGCAAGTCCGCGGCATGTTTCATCAATTACGCCTCTGACCAACCTTCTAGTCTTCCTGAATGACCTTATCGTACGCCTCGTCAGGCGATTGCTTGGATGGATGCCAACCTTTGCTTCACGACCCTATCAGATGAAAGCAATCGAGTATAAGTATTCACTTTCTATCACCCACACCTAACGTAATTCAACAAGCGCAAGGTTCATCACGTTCTAGGAAGCCCAAGGTTATCCGACGTATGGAGAACAAGGTGGCGGACGAGATGTGAGGCCTTGAGGCCCGAGGGACGACGACGTATGTCTGTCGCTGTGTGTGATTCCCTCGAGTTCAATTCTGAGCTTGAAGGCTGAAGATTGAGGAGCCCCTATTGGCAGTATCAATCCTTAAATTATCCTTCCTTTGCTTATCACTGAATTGAAGTATAAGAGAGAGAGACCAAGGAGAAATGTGTTTTAGTAAAAGTAACGACTTCTAAGGGACGAAGAAACAGTGATTTCTATCCATTGTATGCTGGAGGTAGATAGCTATGGCCTGGTAAATGCGGCATGTAGGTGTTGTATATGCATGGGGGTCACATGTGCAGGAAATACAAAGAATGAGGTGTGTTGGTACAACAGGTCAATAGAGTACAGTGTCAATAATATACAAGAGCCAGAAGCGATGGGTGTTGATTTAGTACATGCAATGGTGGATTGGAAACGAGCGAGAAACAAGCGAAAAGAACAAAACAAACAACCCAACGAGTGTGAATGTGAAGTGGAAGTCACCTCAATAGAACAGGACCCAAGAAATAACGATAGAAGTTCGAATGTTTTCTCGGTCTCACCAGTCCTTCGACCGGTGACCGAGTGGGGGATATACCACTAGGCCGATGTCGAATGTGTGTCCGATGGCATCCCATGACATCGAACCAGAAAGGCAACTCCACAAGTGGACAACCAATAGCGCGCGCGCACGCCCGGGAATCCTCGTGTCCCTAGGCAGAGCTGACCTTGGGTTTGAACGGACGAATGCGTCATCAAGATCCCAGGTTCTGAATTAGGTCGGTTTGGGAAGGAGAACTCGGGAGCAGCGACACGGGGACCGCCACAGGACACGAGGTGGTGATGGAGACTTGGCGGCGGGAGTGGTGCGGCGCCGTCCACGGGCTGCGGGAGGACCTTCCGATCCCGATAGCGATGACTCAACGAAGGACATTTGTGCAATGGCGGGTTGATCCAGCTCGAAAGGTCCAGGGAGTGGATCGAGTGCCACCTAGGCTATCACCCCGTTCGAAAAGCGATAGTGCACGTGCGACCAGAAGGAAGAGGGCGGCCAGACATGGGAATGAAATGCGAGTACTGCGAGAACCGTGAGTGGAACAGAATAGGAGTAAAACGGGGTGGTCGCAATCTCAGAAGCTGATACTCCGCTTCCTGGCCATCCGCTTCGACCCCCCGCTGCCTCCCCCTCCGCCTAAGAACATCATAGGTTCTTTGTTCTTAAGTGGTTTAGGTTTTGAAGGGAACATCTGGGACTGATGCTGCGGCGTCATTTGAGGGTACTGTGGATGATAGTATGGAGGTGGTGGTGTGGAGGGTGTCTTCGGCGAGGTAAGACTGGTGAACACTCTTCTCAGCAGAGAGGGCGGCTTCGTAGACGAAGGAGAGACGGGGGGAGACCTGTAGTCTGCCCATGATTTTTGAGACTTCTGTATAGACCAGTTAGAAGAAATAGGCATTGAAAGACGAAATCTACTCGCCGAAGGATCTGCACCGTACGATGGGTACCCTTTCATACCAGGGCTCAAAGGTACCATGAGCGTGTTGTGGCCCACTGGGATCGGCATGAAGCCATGGTGGACGTAATGGGCCTGAGGGTTAGCGTAATGTGGAGAAACAGGCATTGTCTGCGTCCTCGTCGGCTTCGGCGCACGTTCCGGTCTCATGGGCAATCCACCGCCACCCAGCATTGGTGCATACCCCATGGCCGGAGGAGCAGAATATGGTGGAACGGGTAGCTGATGTGTGGGGAACATGCTGCTAGTGGGTGTGGTCGTCGTTGGAGTTGTCGTGTTAGACGAATGAGATGAATGGCCCGAGTTGCGGTAAGAGTAGGGGTCCTGTGGAGGCACTCCACATGTCGGGAACGGTGCGAGATCGAGCGTAAGATTGCGCGGGCCTTTGCGAGGCTTACCATTGCTCTTTGCCGGGGATGTGGGAGACACAGGGATAGAGAAGGATGATCGTCGGCATCTACTGGGTGGAGGCGATGGTGGGGGAACGTCGTGAGCATCGACAAAGACAAAATCCTTTCCAACATCGTCCCAGTATGTTCGGTGCTGGCGTGATGGCTTGCGATGAGAACGGCGTCTAGGTTCACAGTACTCATCTTCAGATTCATCCGTGAATTTGCCATTGTACGCCCTGCCCGACGCTTTCTGCCGCTGCCGTTCTTTTTCCTTCAAAGCGAGAGCCTTTAGATGGGGTGTTGCTGGTGTGAAGGCGTTGCAAGGCTGCTGCTTTCTCGTACCATCGACCCAGCGAGCAATGCGGTCCTGGGTAGCCAAGTAGCGCTCCCAGGCTTCTGGGGAATAGTCGTATTCTGTCATTGTTGTCGTCCTTGACGACGTCGAGAGAGGAGGGTGGCAAGGGAAGGGGATCGGGGTACAAGGCCCGGAAGGTCACAGAGAAGGCATTTTATAGAAATATATGATGAAAGGATTTGGCGCGGACCTTCCTCTTTCGATAGCTGTGATCTTAATTCTCAGGTCCTTTGACGTCAATCCGCTCTGGTCCCCTTAAGACTTCTGACTGAAAGGCTCGATTATTCCTGTGGCTTCAAGTATACCCTGGCAACCTGGACTCTTGATTTTCCGCCCTTATCGAACTGAAGATGACCATAACCCCATCTCCAGATCGGACGCTGATAAAGCACCTACATCGATCCGGGGAACGAGGCCCGCAATTGGCTGGGAAATGAATGCACGACTCACTGGTAGGTTTCTGTATGTCCCAACCCGATTCCGAAGTCACAGTATGTAGCCCGTGTGAACGGGGGAACGCAAGTACTGGCGGAGCAGCGAACCATTCTACCACTTGTTCCATCAATTAGCATCTTGCCTTAATGCCCAAAGCCTCATGTGAATGATTATGAATAGTAACACTGCCGCCCTGGGATTGAAGCTAGCGCGCGTGTACCCGACCGCGTTTTATCGAAACGGGGAGGAGGGCAAGAAAAGGCCTAGGGGACTCAGAAGGAGGCTGAACCAGGAAAGTAGGGAAAAGAAGAGAAAGGATGACGAAAAGTGATATCATGAACGACAAAGGTTGGGCAAAGGTGAATTAGCGCTACATGTACGGTGACAAAGAGAAGTACTCCCCCGACCTTCGATTCTGGAGCAAGTAGTACTTAGCGTTGCTTAGCGTGTCAATCCACATTCAATTTATGTAACACTGGCACTGACCGGAAGGGGAGCTTTTCCGAGCTCAGTACTCACTGGCTCGCCGCAACGAGCTTTCCGCCGTCTGACGACCTGTTGCCAGCTCTCGGAAATGAACCTACTAGTATATACTTGAGCAGAAAAGCGGTGGTTGACAGATACATCTGTGTCTCTATTATTCGGTACGGTCCCCGAATTGTTCAGTCGATACCGACCAAGTGTTCAATTTTAAACGCCTCAAGTGACTTGTGAGGCACCCCAAGCCACTCCCAGCGATGATAAAGTGCGGGTCCAAAGATCAGCGCTCAGCTCGTAGAAAATAGTGGAAGTCGAGAGAGGTTGAGGGCAGACAACCTTCACGCTTGACAGTCACTATTCGCTGTGATCTCGAAGACGGCCGTGTGATAACCAGCTGATAACATGAGCTCTGGACGCCCTTGGCATTGAAAAGGAAGCAGATGGGCATCCACGGTGGTCCTCATCGTACAGCTTTTCACTACTAGGTTGCGGATTGTTGCGGCTAAGTACTTACCTGTGAGACCAAGGTAGTTCCGGCCACACCGCCTCCAGGTCATTGTATCAAGAAACCAGGCACAGCGTCTCAATATTCGCTTCACGTCTGTGTGCTTCGTCTCTCCTTCATCTGGTGAATGTCAGAAACCAGACCTGGTACCATCTTGGGGAGCCCAAGACGCATCCGAGCGTGCTGGGCGCCTTGGGCGCGTCACGCAACTGCCTGCCGAGGCTCGGCAATACTGCATAGCCACACCTGGATATTGGTCCCGCGATTGAATATCACGGCGAGTGACGTTCAGTCTGTCTTACCCACTTTGTCAAACCAAGTCTCACTCAACGTCGACCGCGTTTCTCAACGTTCCCAACAACGCCAACAGTCTATCATCGTCGTCGTTGACCAAGTCAGCTATCACGTTGGGAACTGTTTCACCGTGACGAGATACGACGACACTCATTACAAGGCATTTTGGCGCCAACAACGCCCACACCAAGCTTGAACAATATACGACTGTAGATAGCTGTAGGCGATGGACAGCACAGGATGGCACGCTCACCGACGCGCGGAACGAGTTCGTCCTCACAATTGTTAGCAGAAGATGGATATACATATTCACCAATCATTCTATAGGAAAGCCAGTTGTACTCGCACGTCCATCGTGATGCAGCGGGGCAGTACATTCCTGTTGAGAACATTGCACCGATGCCAGACAACTTTATTGGAGGCTTTATGCCCCACCAACATGCCCATGGGATTCCGTCTCCCCCACTAGCCCAACATGAAGGGCATACGCACTCCAAGCACGGTAAAGCTTTTACCGAAGGGTCTGGTACAGCCGCAGCAGGACATGGCAAGTCGCCGTCGATGCACTCCTTCCAAGGCGTGCCTTCCCTGTCTGCCGGTCTCGTAGGAGCTGCGACTGGAGCGGCCTCAGCAGCAGGAGGACTGAAGATCCAAGTCCCATTATCATCCACTCAAGATGCCCAACCCACTCAAAGTGTTCCGCCCAGTCCGCTACCTCCACCTCTACCCCCAAAGGATGGTCTACCATATCTCTCTGAGCCACAGGACTACAAGTACGGTGCGAAACAGCTACAACAGCAATACGGTTTTCCTTCCATGCCTCCAACCAACCAGCAGCTCCAAGGACAACAGCAACATAAACCGATCCCACACTCCACTGACTTTGGAGGCATTCCCGCGCCTTTACCTCCTGAACCCAAAGATGGTTGGTGTAGCTCCTTGTTGTCAAAATCCCTGTTGATCGTGTTGTAGACCCCACTGGAACAAACACCAGTACCACATATAATCCGACACACAGTTATATGGTTTCCGCAAGGCAGTTGACCAAAATGAGCGCAGTGGATCGAAGCAGAGTCTTGCGAGTCGCAAGGATGGAACCACACCTTCAATTCATGTGTGGACCGTTGCTCAAGTGCGTCCATTCTCCTACAAAGGGTCTTCTCTCATGATGTGTTCTAGGTTCGATACAATCGACGAGCACGGGGTTTGGCATGGGGCTGCTATGATCGTTAGTGCGTAACCGGTGAATGCCATCTTCGGTAACGATATTTATTGCTCGCTTATAGCTGCGGACTCTGGGTCGATCTATGAACCTTTCCCTACGCTAACTTACGAGTGGGACCCGGACCGTGCTCTCCCCACTACCTTCTCCCGTTTCCAGACCACTGCCGCTTCTTCCTCAAACCTCAACCTCACCAAGGTAGAAACTCGTAAGCGGTCGTTCTCCTTCAGTCGGAACGCACACAAGAAAAATCTGAAAACGAATGGACACTCCGCAGGGAACGGAGCAGCAAATGGACAGAATCAAGGCACACATGCAGGGGGAAACAGTCCTCCAAGTGCATGGAATCAGCTTCATGGTGTACCGTCATTCGATCTGGGCCCCCATCCTGCTGACCCTCATTCTACACTCATGCCTGCAACACCTGTTGCCGGAAGCTTCGTGTACCCTACGACATCCAACTCCTCTGTAACCACGGGAACATCCCCAACTTCGTCGCACCACGGTTCAGGGTCCCCGCCGACCTCGGTAACGCCCAACGATTCCGTCCCTGGTCTACCTATGCAGACTCCCGTGGCTAACTATGCCATTGGGGGACCCAATGGGCATGGTGCCCTGAATGCTTCGGCCTCCCCTGCACATTCCGAAAAGGTGACAGGGCAAGAGTTATACGTCTATGGAGGTCCTGGTGGAACGTTTACATTCTGGAGATTCATGATCCGGGTACCTTTGGGAGAAAGGGAAATGGGTGTACGGTACTGCGTCAACGGAGGGCAAAAGATGGAGTTTTTCGTACCCGGGAAGAACACTGGTATGCGTCTCGCTGCGCACAGTGTGGGTGTTCCTTACTCTCTCCAACGGTCGCCTCTGGTCTAACGGACATTTACAGTGTAACGGATTCTCTGCAGGTGTAAATCCTGATGACTTCAGAGGACCTGGGTTCAAATCGGGATATGATCCCGTGTGGATGGATTTGCTCTCGAAGCACGCGGAAACACCTTTCCACGCATTGGTCGGCGGTGGGGATCAGCTATACTGCGACGTGTGAGTCGGACCTCTTCCTTTCCGAAATGAACTCTAATCAAACATAAACCCTAAAGCTTAATGCGCGAACCTGAAATGCAGGAATGGGTATCAAAGATGAAACCAGAGGAGAAGAAGGCGTATCCGTTGACCGAGGAGATTTCACTTACGATTGAGAGGTTCTTCTTCAATCATTACTGCCAACACTTCAGGAGCGGTGCTTTCGCGAGGGCGAACAGTTCAATGTAAGTCGGCCTCAATCCGTCCAATCAAGTAGACACTGAATGTCCCGCTTGCAGACCAATGTTGAATATGTGCGACGACCATGGTTTGTCCTTTCTTTATGCCAAAGAAGGCGATGGTCCTGATTTCCTGCCCCTAGACCTGATTGACGGCTTTGGAAGCTATCCTGACGATCTTCAAATGGCACCTGTGTTCAGAGCGTCAGTCTGTGCGACCACCTTGTCGAGGCATGTCTGACCCTTTGCTTTAGTGTCGGCGCTCGAGGCTATTTCTTCTTCCTGCTTTTCCAATGCTTCATCAATCGTAAGCGATGCTGCTTGCATTAAATCATGTTCATTATGCCGAACTAATTGGCACTCGCAGCTGAGGTTGATGGTGTCTCTGACGCGCCTGGCAAGCACGTCTACAAGTCGATGATCATCGGCCCCGAACCTGGCCCTTTCATTCCTCTCCCGAGCCACTCGTCATTGTCGAGATTGGGTCCCAAAGACTATATCCTCATGTTGGACTGTCGGTATGTGACCTTCGCCATTCATGTTGAGCCATCCGTCTTACCGCTGATTTTACTCTTCAGTGCCGAGCGCAAGAAAGACCAGATCTGCAGCCCAGGCGAATATGCTAAGGTCTTTGAGCGACTGCACGCTCTACCTCCTGGCGTCGACCACCTCATCATCCAATTGGGTATCCCTATCGCATACCCCCGAATGGTGTTCTTGGAAAGCGCGTTGGAGTCCAAGTTCAACCCGCTGGTGGCCCTGGGAAGGAACGGAACCCTTGGGCTGGGAGGGTTCGTCAACAAGTTCAATGCAGATGCAGAACTGCTGGATGATTTGAACGACCATTGGACCGCGCGAAGCCATAAGGTTCGACTGTTTTCCTTTCTCGCGCGCCCGCACTCGCTCTAATGCAGATTCCGGTTATACAGAAAGAGCGCAATTGGCTGATTGAGCAATTGCAAAACTTCTCTCGAACCAAGGGAATCCGAGTGACCTTTATTTCTGGCGACGTTCACTGTGCTGCAGTGGGATTGTTGAAGACCCTCAAGCAGAAAGGCAAGCCGGAACCGAGGCCTGAGGATGATTGGAGATACATGCAGAACATTGTCACAAGTGCCATCGTCAACACACCGCCGTGAGTGCAAACGCGTTCCTTTTCAGCACCTCGTGCTCATCGTTTCATAGACCCAACGGAGTGATCACGATGGTTTCCTCGTTGGCTACGAAAGTACACAAGACGCTGCATCACATCGATACGGATGAAATTATGGTGAGTCCCTTTGTTTTCGCTTCTTTCAACCAGATTGACTGACGGACACCAGATTCCTGTATTCACGCATGACCCGTCGGGTTCTCCAAGGAAGCAGAAGTTTATTATGGGACGGCGGAATTGGTGTCGGGTGGACCGCGACGACAGCACTGGGTCCCTCGTGTTCGACATTCGAGTTGAGAGAGAGAAGGGATATGGTGCCACCGTCGGGTAAGCTGGACGGACTAACAGGCGAACCACGACTTTGCTAACAGGACTGATGTTACAGGTATACGACAACGGTACCACCGCCAGCTTGGGGGAGGGCATGATTGCACCTACTCTGGTATGTACAGCTTGTGTGGACCCACTTGAGGGTTCCGGTTCCTCCCAGTAGCTATTTATTGGTGGCGTGTGTCGGTTGGATCAGACATCACTGTCCGCATCAGAGCACAGTCGTTCTGCTTTCTTGTTTTTCAGGATACCATAATGCATTGTATTATATTGTACAAGCCTTAATGTGCTAAGGTAAAATGAAACTACAGTCTTACAGGAAAGGAGCGTGTTACATTCATGTTACATTCATCCCTGGTTCTTGGAATCCCCTCCTCGTCGATACTGGTGCGTCATACTGTGGACCTTTCCCGCGATTGACTTCAACTTCTCAAACGAAACAGCAGAGGCCATGTTGGTCGTCCAGTCCACCAAACTCTCCGGTTTCTCAGACCCATCGAGGTACTTCTCCGTTTTGGGCTCCTCCATCTTCGTCCCCGCCCACGACAAACCGACACTGGTGATGGAGTAGATGTCTGGAAACTCAGTCTCGTCGAACCCAGGGGAGTCAACGTATTCCATGGCCTTCTTCTCCACAGCCTCCCTCCCGGGGGAACTATCGTCGGCGTTCTTGCGGACGGTGACGACGAGGACCGTGCTCTCTTCACCTTCGCGAATGAGTTTAACCACGAGATAGTTGGTGAAATCGTCGCCATCCTTCGAGTCGACGGTCTTGTGGAAGGTGATACCGTATCCCATGTCGGCGGGAAAGTGGGTGTTGAGGATCGCGTTCCAGAGCATGAACGATTCCTGTTCGCCCGTGAACTTGGGGTTCACCGCCATGCGGGGGATCATGTTCATCAACAGGGTGATGACGCCCTTGGGGTAGCTGGTTGGGCCAGACATGGCACCGGACTTGGAGCGTCTGCTGGAGGGGCGAGGGGGAGGGGGTGCTTGAACGGGAGGCTTCTCGGGCTCCTTATGTGTTTGCTTCGAAGGGCGACGAGAGGTGGGCGGCTTCTCCGGAACTTTGAGGTCCTTGGTTGCCTCAGAGTTGTTGTCGGACTCTTCGCCGGACTGATTCGAAAGTGGTCTGACGGGTACGTTGGCCCCAGACTGGGGTGCGGGTGAGGGAGGAAGCTCGACGTTGCCGGCTGAAGCCTCGGCTGGAGATTTTTTCTTCGCCAGGTTGCTGACTGCAGGGAGTTGGACTGATATTGAGGCCGTGGTGACGGGTTTGCAAATAAAAAGAAAGTGCTTGGTTCGAGGCTGAGATTGCGGACGTTTGCTTGGTTGGGAAAGATCGAATGCGATGGGGTTTTATGGCCTTGGACAAGGAGGCAAAGGGGCTGTTTCAGGATCGACCCGAGACGTCACGAATCCACGATCGAACAAGCATTCTCTGGCCTGTGAGCGTCATTAGTCTGTACTGGCCCATTCATTAGGATAAGCGGGTTAAGCGCTGGAGAATTAGGGGCAGGCGTCAGGGAGGCACAGCGAGATTCCAGAGAACTGCGACACCACTATGTTACATTTGCGCGAACACCGAAGTCTAATACTACAACATAAAGTCCACATTGTCTTTCTATAAACTAAACTATCTAATAAGCTACCTTGGCCGTGAGCCCATCCAATTCCCGCTCAAAACACCTGTGCTTGCTAATTTCATATGCAAAGTTGGAGACGAAGCCCTTTGGCCCAGGCTCAATCTGGAGAACGTCAGTCGCTGCTGACTTCACACCGTACTTCCCAGTCGTGACGACACCGTAGGATGTAAGGACGGTGTCATCGTTGGGAGCAGTGAAGAGTTTGACTTCGGGAAGGTTGAGGGCGTGGTTGACAACGGAGACACCTAGTAAAGAGAAAGATAAGTCACAGGCCAGAATCAAGGGGATCGACCACGAACCTTCGCCAACGGCACCGATGGCCTTGCAATGCCCGAAGGCCTCGCGAATCCAATGGATAGCACGACCATTGCCAATGAGTGTCTTCGCGTGCTCTTCTCCGGAGGGGATGTAGACAGCGTCGAAGAGAGTCGAGCGCTGATCCTCCAACGAGTGGTCCGCGACTAGCCGTCCTCCACCGGCGGCCTTGACCGCAGCACGACGGGGCCCAATGATCCAAGTCGTGGCTTTAGCGCTCGCCAGCAGGCTACGGACGGCGAGGACCTCTGCCTCGTGGAACCCGTCAGCTACAATGATTGCGATGCGGCGAGTGGCGATGATGGGTTTCTTCGGAGCATAGTAGAATTGCGACAAGGGAGCTGACGAGCGACCGTGGTTGGGGCGCGCTGGCTTCTCCGGGACAACACCGTTGACCTTGATCGCAACAGCCTTAGCCAATTCGAAGTCGACGTTGTTGAGAATTGTCGTGTAGCGCTCGTAGACCCGTTGATCGTCGCAGTGACTCAATTCGAAGGCAAAGGCATTGATGGTATGCTCTTTTTCCCAAGGAGTGAGTGAGTTCCAGAAGAGCTGAGCTTGGTTATAATGTTCCTGGAACTTGGCACCGCGCACTCGCTGCTTCAGCCCAACAATCTTCTCCATAAACCTAAAGATGTTGTTCAGCCAAAGATGGTATGGAACATGTCATGTACTACCCACTCGACGTAGCCGCCTTCAGCGGGAGGGACTGGGTTGACGATCGAGTCACGATTGGGGAAGTAATTGAGGTTCGTCTTGTGAATCCTCATCTGCATCTTGCCGTCTCGGTTGATGTTCATGACAGGGCAGACGGGTCTGTTAATAGGGAGCTGGGATGCGTATCAATATATATGCTGCGGCAAACAGCTTCAAAGGGGCTGCATACCTGCTCCCAATTGATACCAAGTCGACTGATCTGTGTGTCGAAATAGGAAAAGTTTCGTCCTTGAAGAAGGGGGTCGTCGCTGAAGCCAATGCCTGGAACGACATGGCTAGTACAGAAAGCAACTTGCTCAACCTCGGGGAAGTATTCATCAACAGTTCTGTTCAGCACGAGCTCTCCAATAGGTTGCAAAGGAACAAGCTCCTCGGGCCAGATCTTCGTTGCATCAAGGATATCAAAATCAAAGTTGTGCTCGTCCTTCTCAGGAATGACTTGGATGCCGAAGGTCCACTTTGGATAACAGCCGGCGTGAATGGCTTCAGCCAGATCTTTGCGGTGGAAATCTGAAGTTGCAGGTTAGCATCGGAGGAGAAAATGTCTGAGAGTACAGATGTACCTGGATCCTGGCCGTTGATCTTCAGAGCTTCGTCCCACACCAGACTATGGACACCCAACTCAGGAGTCATATGGAACTTGACAAAGTGTCGCTCGCCTTTGGCGTTGATTAGAGTAAAGGTATTGACGCCAAAGCCTTGCATCATGCGATACGAACGAGGGATGCCTCTGTCCGACATCGTCCACATAACCATGTGGGCGGCTATCAAGAATACATTTAGTCGTTGATGGGGCACCATGTGAAGAGATATACTCACATTCAGGCTGGAGACCGACGAAGTCCCAGAAGTTGTTATGAGCGGATTGGCCCTGAGGCACTTCATTCTGCGGCTCGGGCTTCACAGCGTGAACGAAATCGGGGAACTTGATGGCATCCTGGATAAAGAATACTGGGATGTCATTGGCGACAAGGTCCCAGTTCCCTTCAGGCGTGTAGAACTTGACCGCGAAGCCTCGCACATCGCGAACACAATCCTGGTCGAGGGTTGAGTGAAAACAGTCAAATGTGTAAAGGCGGGTTGACGTACAGCACTTCCTCTGGAGCCCTGTACGGTACTGAAGCGAATGAAGATGGGCGTGGTGCGCGACGGGTCAGTCAAAACAGGTGCAGATGTGTACTTGGATGCTCGGTGGTCGAACACGCGAAACTCGCCATGAGCACCCGTGCCACGAGCGTGAACGACTCGCTCAGGGATACGCTCATGGTCGAATCGGTGGATCTTCTCTCGAGCGATCTGGTCTTCCAGCAGCGCTGGACCGACTTTGGAACCGTCTGATACAGAGAGCCTATAGGGGACAGGTCAATCGAGGTTTGGCAAAGACGCGGGGAAGAACGCACCAATGGTCTGTATCAGACATCTTCGCGCCATAGTCGGTGGTCATGGCCGAGTTTCTGGTGGGCACGACGGTGTCGCGCTGGAGGTCGCGGGTTTTGGCATCGCCGACAACGGTGTTCATGGCGTGCTTGAGGGTAGATCCAATGGAGGACATGTTGGAGAAGGTGGTGAGGATAGGCGGTCATGGAACCCGCGCTTTATATAGGTGGAGAACATGAGAAATACGTCAGGGCTTGATCATAGCTTCTGTACATTTGCGTTCGCTCGTGACCTGTTTAGAAAGGAGCGTCATTGGCGGGCGCCAACTGGGTGAGCATCACCGTACATGTGGAGACAGGCGCACCTTTGTTTGGCCGCCGGCACCGCCAAAATAACGCGTGCCGCAGGTGGGGAAGGTTGTTCCCACGCTTTCCTTGCTCTTGGCTGTCGACCATTCCACCCTTTCGTTTCGCAAACTGGATATCTGGGAGGGCCGGGACTCTAACTAACAATTTCTGTAATCTAATGTCGCGCTCAACCAGAAACTCAGCTGGACCCAGCAAACTAATCGCCCAGAAGAGTGAATTCAGCTCCTCTGTGACTTTGTTCACCCTGGACGACATACCTGTCAAGGAAGAAGAACCTGACACTCTACGAAGGTCCAAAAGAATAAAACTTGAACCAGGTCAAGTCAAGTTGGAAATAATTCCTGATCTTGAGGACCTCAAATTGGACACTGTAACAACTCCGCGACGGTCTCTTCGACGAACCAAACCTGAACCTTCAATATCAAATGATCTATCTCCTCTGTCCTCTGCGCCTTCTTCCCCAGAGCCCACTCGAAAGACTAAAGGAAAGGCCAGAGCTCAAGTTAAGGCCGAGTTGGACTTCTCCCCGGCTGCTAGCCGCTCGACCTCTCCCACCAAGAAGAAATCCCAGAAACCTATTCCTCAGGCGTTGGCCAAACCGCACCCCGCACCTGACAACTGGAAGGAGGTGTACGACTCGATAAAGAAGATGCGAGAGAGCATTGTTGCCCCTGTTGATACCATGGGTTGCGCTCAGGCCCAATACAAGGAAACGGATCCCAAGGTGTGCACCTTCCCTTCCATGCGGTGCGCTTCCTCACATGCGCACCCCGTAGAACCAACGCTTCGCAACTCTTGTCTCTTTAATGCTCTCATCCCAAACCAAAGATGAAGTCACGGACGCAGCAGTAACCAAATTGCGTACAGCCCTTGGTGGCGCCATCAGCGTCGAAGGCATCATTAACGCCCCTTCCTCTCTCATCTCCGAAGCCATTGCTAAGGTCGGCTTTTGGCGGAGAAAGACAGATTACCTGAAACAGACCGCTGCCAAGTTGCAAGAGGAGTTCGAAGGAGACGTGCCTAAGACGGTGGATGAACTTTGTTCGTTGCCGGGTGTGGGACCGAAGATGGCGTTTTTGTGTTTGCAGGTTGCTTGGAATTTGTGAGTTCAAGAGAGGAGCAACTTCTTGGATCGTCGGCTGATATCTTTGGGTAGGAACCTTGGAATCGGTGTGGACGTCCATGTGCACCGAATTTCTAATAGGTTGGGGTGGCATAGGAAGCCGACCAAGGATCCTGAGGAGACCCGGCTCAACTTGCAGTCATGGCTCCCGAGCGAACTCCACCAGGAAATCAACCCACTGCTTGTTGGGTTTGGCCAGGTGAGGTTAGCAAAACATTGCAATCCTTCCCCTGTGCTGAATAGTCGTGCTAGGTGGTTTGCACGCCAGTCAACCCAAAATGCGACCAGTGTACACTGAGCGGTAGTTCGACGTCGAAGGCCCTTTGTCCCAGCGCAAGAAAGAACATTGCCGAGCAAAAGAGGAAGACCAGTACGAAACGCAAACTGACAGCCACGTCCATCTTGAAGGAGGAAGAGGATGTCAAGCCTGAACTCAAACTTGTCAAGGTCGAATTGGAAATTGATGAGGAAGAGACCAATAAGTCGATAACTAAGAATATGGTATCGAAGGCGGAAGAGGGGCTAGTCAAGACGGAGCAATCTTGATCTTTTCGCATTCTGTTCGATGTATACTTTACACCACTGTCCATTTAATCGGTATCTTAGCAGGACCTGCCCTAATAACATGTACTGCACATTATGACGACTTGTCTTCCGTCACATCAAGGTCCATCTTGCTGTCGCCCGCGCCTTCGTTTTCTTTCTCCTCCTTCGCCTCCTTGGGAACCTCCTCCTGGGCAGTTTCCATGTGCTGGTCTTCGTCTTGATCTGTTTTGGCCTTCTTCCGACTCCCGCTTGCATCCGCAGTTCCTTGCTCTCCACTTTTCTCCTCAGCTTTTGCGCTATCTTGCGCCTCGTTCTCCTTGTCCTCTCCACCCTCGATCTCAACGCTAGTTTTGACGAACCTGTCCTGAAGGGTCTTGAGAATGGGTTTTCCCGCGTCAGAGGAAGCAGCAGCCGTTAGCGGTGTTGGCTTATCGCTCAAATGACCGGGTCCTGGATCATCCATCTCGTCAACCAACCCAATGACCTTCTCGTCATCTGGAACGACAGGGAGGTCGGTGACGTCTCCTGCCAGGCTTAGTGGTGTCATAGGTGGCGTTTGAGGAGGAGGACTACGAGACTTAGAGCGAGACCGTGCATCGGCGTGTAAGAATGGGATGGGAGAGAAAAGCGGCGTGGAAGGTGTAGATGAGCGTCTTGTTGCGAACGCGAGAGGGCTGGAAGGCACCGAAGAGCTGGAGGAAGGAGCTGTGGTTTGGACGTTGTCCTGGCTGGCTCCATTACCATTTGCCCGCGATGGCAAGGGGAAGGTAGACGTTGGTTCCAGAGGAACCGATGGGAAGGCGTCATGTGCGGAAGTGACTAGAATCGATTTTTCAACCGCGCGGAGATACTTTCCGACAGATTTATAGTTTTTCTTCGGTTCCAGCAGCAGTTCACAAAGGCGTTGTATCGTGAACGGAGGTTTCCTGAACGAGTAAAAGGTCAAAAGATAGAACATGGAGATAAGCGCCGCGCGTACTCGTCGAATTGGTCCAACTGTTCAAAGATGGCCTCTTTTGTTTCCTTTGCCTGGTCTTCTGTCATGTAGCTTTCAGGAGGGTCATAGAGATGCATCTGGGCCAGTTTCTTTGGAGGAAAGGGAGGTAGTCGCAGGCCTCCAGGCGTTGAAGGCTGTGAACTGAACGGGGGAGGTGGGGAAGGCCCGCTAGTCGTTGAAAGGAACAGGTTCACATTCTGCTATCGAGTCAAACATCTGCCAAGTCGATTAGAGGGATTTGTGCACCTGTTCGAGTTTGTGCTGTATAACCCGCCGAAGGTCGCTCCAATCTGAACTGGGAGAATCTTTGGTCAATGAAATCAAGTTCACACACGGCGTGCATAGCCGTACCCTTCTAGATCATCTGACGACGCGATTTTTTGGAGAACGTCGTCATATTCTGGACTGAACGTCAATAGACGGCTTTGTATAGACTAGAAGGGTTTGACTTGCCTGGTTTCCACTGAAAGTTTGTGGTTGTGTCAGCCATGTGGAATATAGTTCCGTGACTGAAGGAGGAAAGCGCTTGGCCTGCTTATGGCAGATGCCGAATGTGGTCTTGGCCAAAACAACAGAAGTGTTGCAGACGACCACCAACTGTTCCCTTTTATCACCTTCTGCGAGGCTGTACCACTGGCAGCCACGCACAACTCTTCTATTTTCTTCTTCCAGGTTGATGTTATAGTTTGTCCCAACCGAGGAGCACAACAACAGCCCCTTCTTAGCCTGTAACCACCATCAACCCCGCCATCGTCACAGCTACAATCGACCCTGAGGACGACGGCCAACCCCCATCGCTCGACGCCCGACACAACGTCCACGACATTTGAACAGGCCAGTCCCTGCAAACCAGATTGACCCTGTTTGTTCGCTTCTGTGGAGTTTTCGCCTAGCTGCGGACGCTCCCTGACATAGCATTTGGCGTTCCGCCCACCTATATAACATTCACCTCTGCTGAGCAGCTGGTCGATGTCATACGCCCGTATCCAGAGCCCCTCACTAGACAACATTAGGCCTCCCTTCACAACCTCTCACTACCCTCCAACCTCACAACACGCTCACTCTCACTCGGCCGACATGCACGCCACGCAAGGCAAAATCGCGGGATGGTTCCCTGTTATGTATCCTATCAAACACAAGAAGATGACTCCTGCGAGGAGGAGGAAACTTTTGTTGTCGTATGCACCCGACTGGTAAGCAATCTCGCCCCCCTTGTCACACGACCACTTACAAGCTGCCATTCAGGGCTATCACCCTTCTTCTAGCGTACGAATTGTGCCGCTGTGTTATTGCCTATGTTGCGTGCTAATGTCCTCGTGTAGTGCGGCGTTCTATGCATTGGACAAAGTGACAGGATATCGCAGGCAATTCTCACTGGATGATTCTTCGTACGTTGTGCCCCATACTCAAGCGGATCAACTTCATTAGCGAACTAACTGCGTTCACTTTACCAGGCTTCGCTATCCGTGAGTGACTAGCATCAATGTTCCGGGGTTTGATGATCTGACTGTCAGTTGGCATATACAGGCACGCCTTGCACGAACGTGTTCCTGTAAGTGACCATTGCTACCTAGCTTTGATGGTACAATGTTAACCTAAGTACTCATCAGAATGGCCCTCTCTACTTCATCGTGTTTGGCATCCCGATTATCCTCATGCCTCTCATCAACTTCTTCACTGTGCGCTCATGGTGGGACCTTCATAATTGTGAGCCTTCCGTCGCGCGTAGTTTCGCCGCATCACTAATCTTGCACTATAGCCTCCCTCGGTCGTCAGTCCTACACCTAAACTCAAAACTCAACTATGATTAACACTCTTTTCCAGTTGTCCTTGGCCTAGCTTTGACTGGCGCAACGACGCAGTTTATCAAGATCACTGTTGGTCGTCCAAGACCTGGTATGTATGCAAACACGCACGAGAATTCCTCTCATGCCCCGCTATAGACATCATCGATCGGTGTATCCCTCCCCCTGGCGCCACGAATTCCGAGTTCGGCCTCTTTGACTGGACACAATGTACACAAGCCGACGACTCCTTGCTAAACGAGGGCTTCAGAAGCTTCCCTTCAGGACATTCTTCAAGTGAGTTTCAACGTTGACCATTGCCGAATTCGACCTCATTCACATCCTTTCCAGTGTCCTTCGCCGGCCTTGGTTTCCTCGCCTTCTACCTTGCCGGGAAGCTCCACTTGTTTGACACACGTGGTCATGCTGTACGTTTTTTGCGTCTACTTGATTGACTCTTGTTCACATTCCTGTCCAGGGCAAGGCATGGGCTGCTTTGTTCCCCTTCTGTGGCGCCGCGATGGTCGCTATTTCTAGGACCATGGACTATCGACGTGCGTTAATTTCACCTTAGCGATGTAATCTCGCTCAACCTTTCTTTAGACCACTGGCAGGATGTCATTGTTGGATCCGCTATGGGAATCATCTTCTCGTACTTTGCCTACCGCCAGTATTACCCTCCTTTGGATTCCGAAGTCGCACACCGCCCATACAGCCCCCGAATCAAGGACTCCGACAGCCACATCTTGCCGACGCATATGTCGACCGCCAACACCACCGCTTACAATCCCAATCCCTCGTTCCCGCCTTCGAACAGGTACAACAACTCTCCTTCACCCCCACCCAATCCTTTCCTCGCGAGCAACGATGGCTCGGGAATGGCCAATGCAGGCGGTTATGATACAGTCCGTTTAGGCGTTGACGGCACCGTTCCTCGACCTGGACCTGGTTCCATGGAAGAAGTTTGGAAAGAGGGCGCGTCGAGCGGCTTCGATGGTACGGTTCCGAGAAGTCGCGGCACCCCAAGTACAGACGAGAGTAGTGAAGGGCACTCGACTGCACCATTGACGGCCAGGGAACAACAGCAGAGGCAATTTCTGCAACAACAGCCTCGGTCAACGTCTCCCCAACGTCAAGATGAGTACTCTATACCTTTGAGAACTCCTACGCAACAGTCCCATCCTCCTCAACAACCTCCGCAACGATACGCCACACAGGACGCGTATGATGGTATTCAGTGATGAGTGTTGTTTCTGATCCCATTTGGACTGGTTCCTTACATAGTTGGAAATAAAGTTAGCGCTTAGCTTTGCTCATTCATTCCTGTTGTTGCATACTTTTTTGATGATGTCCTCACACGACACATGTAATGATTTCTTCTTTCCTTCTGGGTTGACTTATTTCAGGTGGTTGCATAGTTCGCATCTGCATTTTGCCCTGACCATTTTCTGATCCTTGTACGGACTCTTATTTGGCAACTCTTTTTATAAAGTAGTAGTTGGGCTTTTTGGGCCACTGCACATTGTACCCTCCTCACCCTGTTTGCATTACGAGACAACGCGGTGCCTAGTACATAATATATATTATTGCGTCGTCCGAGTACTTAAGGTCTTGCACAGCGCCAGAGACAGCGCCTGGTACATAGGAAGGATTTTCTTGGTGCTCGATCGCGACAAGCGCGGAAGCAATTGTGTCGAGATTTTGCGTCACTGTCAGGGTCAGACTTTGACCAGGAGTCTCATCCACCAACTCCAATGGCCCCTTTCTGTTTCGCAGCATAAATCTATATCTCCTCGACCTTCAGAATAGCCACAACCATGATGTCGATGCAGTCTTTCCCTCGCTTTTTCCTCCGCACGGGCCCGACTCGCGGCTATGGACGAGTTCTCGCAGCACGAGCGTTTAGCGACCAGACCAAGACGCCGTTCAACACTCGACTTCCAACGTCGCCCGATGTAGGCGAAGGCTCTACTGCCTCGCGTGGAGGAAGCTCCAGCTCTTCCTTCGACCCAGCCAACCCTCCCAGTCCCACTGGACCTAAAGCGTCTTCCCAAGAAACACAGTATGCAGGGTTCTCGACCGACCATGCGAAAACTATCCCAAAGATGGAGGAGGAAGGCTACGATCTATCTCTCGAACAGTCTTCCCAGTTCCCTACCGAGAGCGTCCAAGCCGGTGGAAAAAACAACAGCGCGTCGAATCCCGAGTTCGATAGCGCCGCTTTGACGGGTAGCGGGGCCGTCTTTGGGAAATCGGAGAAGCACCGGGGCACGTTCCACAATGATACATTCTCAAGTGGAACAGAGGGCAGGCCTGCTTATAGTGTGGGTGGAAATCCGAATATGGCGTTCGCTGCCAACCAGGACTTGGGCGATTCGTCGGGTCGCGCGGAATTTGCCAGGGCTGGAGGGACGGCTGGGTCGTTTGATGGGTTTAGTGGTCGGAGTGGTGGAGGAAGTGCGAGTTCGAGTGGAACTGGTTCTGGATCTGGAAACAACCCACCGCCGCCGATTGATGAAGGGTATTATGGCGAATCAGAAGCTGCGAGCAACAAGAGCCCTTCTGCCGCCCTCGGTCCATGGCTCACCGCTGTCCTGATTGCTGGATTGGGTATCACTGCCTTCGGGGTGTAAGTAACTTTGCTCTGTGTTAACCGATATATGTCTCAGGCATCTGACACAGCGGCGAGCTCTGGGGCACTCTCACCATCTGGCCTTCCGAATTGCGAGGGGACCTTCGTCACGGGTTGCGCGAACTTCTCAAGTCAGGGTCCTCCTCACTCTCGCCGTCCTCCAAACGCTCAGCCCGTGATCTGTCCATACAATACCTCCAACGCGCGTGGCACCATGCTCTCCAACTCCCGCTCTCCAAGTTTGGAAAAGAGCCCTACCTCAAGACAACGGGTATTGCGATCGCCTTGGCCGGTGTATACGAGGAGGACGGGAGTCTCTCAAAAGCCTATGGAGTGTACAAAGAGGCTCTGGGGAGCCTGCAAACCGTAGGCGTTCAATCGTCTTCGAGTGCTTCCGATTCGTACACCTCCGTCGATTCATCCACCTCGAAAGAATCATCGACCACGCCCGACGCGACTGCTCCTCTCCTCCCCAATTTGACCCCAAAGGAACGTATGCGTGCGGTGGCTATCTCTTACAAGCTCGCCGAACTTGCGGAGAAGATGCATCTCAGCAAGGATGAAGAGGAGAAGTGGCTGGTGTATAGCGTGGAAACGATTTTGAAAGACGTCATGGGCAAAGGCAATGTCGTTGAAGAACTTGCTGTTAGCGGTGAGTCGTCCTATCTACATGTGCGTCGTACACGATTGACGCAGTAAATCCAGATGGGAAGTCGGAGACGAGGGTGATGATGGAGGAGCTTAACCTCCCTGGCTGGGTTATGAAACACGATCTGGCAGCTCCGTTTGAAGCACTCGGAACGTTCTACGCGGGGCAAGGCAAAGTCCAGTGAGTGGTCCCTTTGGTTCAATGCGAAGCTTTGGTCTCATGTTCGTTCAGCTATGCGATGCCGCTTTACCTGCAAGCTATCGCCATCCTCATTCCTCCTCCACCTCAAGAATCGAGCACGGATGATCAATGCCGCGGTAAGATTCCCCGCATCTTCGATTGGCTTTCGCTAATGCCATAATGTATAGCTGCGCAACTGATGGGCAACATCTCTGAACTCATAATCCGTGGCTCAGCGCCGTCTCATTCTTTGCGCTCGCCTTCGTCTCAACCCTCACCTCCCTCCGCTTTCCCATCCTCCCCATCAATGGAACCTCCCCCAAGTTCTTCCTCCCGATCCTCCTTCACGCCGTCCACGCTCGGAATTAACGCTGGCGCGATCAAGACCGTTCCGAGTGAAACGCTCATGCAAGCCGAGTCATGGGCCAAGAAGGGTTTGGAGGTGGCTGAGAGGGCGAGGAAGGCTTCGTTCGTGAAGCATCCTACGTGCGAGGTGGCGTATGCGCTTGGATTGTTTAATTTGGCTGTCCTGAGAGAGGTGGGTACATTCAACTTTTAGTGTATTTTGGAAGTGCCTTGGATATTGAAGTGCTGTGAACAGATGTCGGGTGACGAATCGACTGCTAGACAGCTCTTCCATGAGTCGTTGGATCAGTCGAAGAAGATTGGGTTGGTGGAGGGTGTGAGGAATGCGGAGGATGCAATTACGGAGATGAGTTTGGGGAGTGGTGCGAAGGGTGATTTGAAGGTTTAGATTTAGCGCTGGGATCTCAATTTCTGCTTAAATGCAATGAAACCATTAAATTGGGCACTCGACAACGATCTTTATGCAATTGTAAATGTACGATATTATAGTAATCCTTAGAACCACATTCGTTTTTGTATTGTAGTGTAAAGTAATTGATTTCTTGCTCTTCCATGTTCGTCATGGCTCTATCTGTATCCGTCTGTGCGCTTTTTGTCAGTTAAGGCCGGTCAGCTGCAGATAGAAAGTCTACCTCATTTGGTGGATCAGTTGCTTGAGCCCGAGGAAGGGAAGTTGCTGGTAGTGTCAGGGTTGGGACTGGGAGGGATAATCTCGATGTTGTACTCCTCTGATCCTTGTCCTGGGACAGTCAGAGTGGAGGATGAAGTGCTCGGTGTAATGGTGGAGGTGGTATCGAGTTTCGGGGAGGGCTTAGTCTGAGATGACATCGTGGAGAAGATACTCTGCAAACGTGGCGATGAATAGTGTGATGGTTCGTGTCTTTGGGGAAAGCGGGCTGACTCCGATGCTTTTTAAGTCTGGGGGGACCAAACAGGCTGCTTAGCGAGCTTAAATAGGTTTTTGGGGGGACGGCTAGTAGTATATGTAGAACAAAGGCGGTGTCTTCTTGGAGCCGTGAATCGCCTAAGTATAATGAAGCGGAGCGCTCGCTTTGATCCTAAGGGCCAAATACACGTTGTTGAATGTAGAGAGCCCGCTTAAGCCACTGGCGTTCATTGTCGTCTACTTATGTGCTGAAAGTCGCGCCGTCTTTGTACGTTGTCTGGTCAAAGCTGACCGAAACTCGTGTTGTCTGCCCGGCGCTTAGCCTTTTCAGGGTGTTGGCAACGTAAAAGTTTACGGGACTATTACGACCAAGGGAGCCACACAGCAGTCAAACCCTCTTATAATTAAAGGGATGGTCGACGGGCGCTTTGCTTGTTTCTTTCTCTTCCCTTTTACCTTCCAGCCTGCGTCCCATCAATGTCTAACCGGCTCTTGACCAAGCTATTTAACCACAAAGTTCGCCTGCCTCACAGCATCAGGTGTGCTGGATCCATGTAACAGAAAGTGCACAATTGATGCTTTCATCAAAGGACGCCACTTCCTCAACTCACCCTACCTGAGTTTGAACCTCTTCAAGTACCCGATTCGAAAACGTTCGATTTGGACGAGAGCGGTCGCGGCTGCGGTATCCCATCGCACATCACATCCGAAGTCCCGGTCGAGATTTACATACGCATCTTCCAAATGGCTGCAGAAGCAGATCAAACATGCTACCTCAACCTTCTCCTCACATCCAAAGCTGTTCACTCGACTGTTCACAGAAAGTTTTTGCCCACCATAGTGGTTTTGAAGGAGGAGCGCCAGATTGTGGAATTTATCATCTTCTTACAAGATAACGAACTTGAATGGTACAGGGAGAGGATCCGACACTTGTGGGTGGAAGGGCTCCCAGCCGATGAGGACTCAAGGGCGCTCCGCAAGGGGATCATTCTGGAGCTTCTCCGAGGGGTAAAGAACCTCGAGTCCCTTGCGTGCGGCTTTTGTGACTTCTTGGTTCTGTGTGAAACACACGACCATTGGGACCCACCTCCAAACGCCGGCAGCGGCGCCTACCCAAACCATCATTTTCCCGAGCATTTCTCTACCCACTCGTATCCTTATCTCAAGGAGCTCGTCATCTTGGATCGATTCAGATACCGCCGTTTTACCCACTTTTCACTTCCGAAGCAAATTACGCGCCTCACACTCCTCGATCCAGGTACATCATCATTTCATTGTCGCCAAAAGATCGTCACACACTTTCCGGCGATGGACAGTTTGGCGTTGGAAATCTGGACAACGACTCCTTTTAAAGGATGGGCCAATCAGACTCTGTTCAATGGGATGTGGAGGAATATCATCGACGTCAACGCGGATTACCCTTGGAAGAGGGTGGTGTTGACTTCGGAGAACGAAACGGTGTTGTGCGGGGGCGGATACGTCAGGAATAAGAGCGGGAAAGGGTGTCGGTGTATGTTCAAAATAGGTAAGGTGGAGCATCTTCAGCGGTGGAAGGAGAGGGCAAGTGGGATGGGGTTGGAAGGTATCTGGGAGAATCCGGGCTCGCTTTCGTAGACTCATCCTTCGGATACCAACTTTTGTTGTGTAATTATTCTATGTCGGGGGATTGATACACATCTCAATGGTTTCGTGATGTGTACCGAGGTCAGGGATTCGTTATTCTTAATGGCCAGGTCCCATGAGCTGGAGACAAGCGCTAGCACACAGCTACTTCAATGTCGACTTTCCCCGTGTTGTCAGGTGATTGCTGTGCCTTGTTGGCCTGGTACCTTGCCACAGTTTCGAACATTCGTTCTGTCAGTGACGGACAATACAATGGCAGTGTCTACTGCGAGAATAAAGTCTGCGCAGCGTGTCGGGCGATTTTTTTACACAGCAGCGCAGTTTATTCTCTACTTTGGTTTCCGACCACGGTCCCCCTCAGACCTCCAACAACCTTCACGCCCTGCAATGCTTAAAGGAATCCTGCGACTGTTCAAGCGAAAGCGGGCGAGACCGACAAAATTCGCAAGGTCAATCATGCAGTACTCTCCCAGCCCATGTAGGATGGTGTCTAATCCAGGTAGCTTTCGCAGACTCCCTCAGCACGCTGTCAATGTCCCACCCTTGCCGACACCACCTAGCCAGCCGTTTGTACTGACTGAATTCGATACCACCACGAGTCTCCCCCAGCTAGAGTGCGAAGTGCCGCTAGAGATTTACATGCGAATATTCCAAATAGCAGCAGAGGAATCCCAGTCTTCGTATCGCAATCTTCTCCTCACGTCGAAAGCGATCTACTCTCTCGTTCACATGATATATTTGCCTTGCACAATACGTTTACAGACCGAGAAGGATGCTAGGGAATTCCATCGCATTCTATTGGAGAAGGAAGGATATGGAACGAAGATACGACACCTATGGATGACCGGCACATCCATATCGCCCATCGTGTACCAACATCATTCTCCCCGAAAAGACGTGACTTCCTACCAAGTGCTGCAACAGGACATCGTAGAGCGTACGAACAACCTGGAAACGCTCGCATGCCCCTTTCATGTCTTCTTCGCCATGTGTGTTCAAACCGAGCCACCACTCCCAAGCACATCGCTCCCAACTCGCGCCTCCCGTTATCCCTATCTGAAGGAGCTTACCATCCTTGACCAATCCAACCATTTCGACTTGTCACGTTTCTCACTCCCCAAACAAATCACTCATCTCGCATTCCTCGACCACCCCAGCAACTCTCGACATGAAAATCCCACCTTGCCGCAAATCTCGAGCTACTTCCCATCGGTCGAATACCTGTCGCTGGAGATCTGGATGCGTGATCCATTCAGTGAATTAGTCAGATGCAAGGAGATCGGGAGGGCGATGTTGGAGTTCAAATACCCTCGAAAGCGGTTAACGTTAACGTCCATGCATCAGAGTGACCTATACAGGGAGTATGGAGCCAAGGAAAACGGCTCATTCATCCTTCGAATCGGGAGAATGGAGTATTATCAGTGGTGGGAGGATAGGACGCGAGGGATTGGGCTGGATGGTATCTGGGAGCGACCCGCATAGTATGGGGACATGAGGGGGCATGATCGGTAAGCGGACGAGACGGCCAGCTGTGATCAATGACGCGGGTGATCTACGCCAGGGTTGGCAGCGAAGGCGGAGGAAAGGCAGTGCGAGTGTCATGCTATAGTCACAGTTGGAATACTACACAGGAACATAAATATTTGCGAGAAGCGCAGAACAGACGTTTCAAACACGAACCTGAGGAGTGAGACGCAGGGAAACACCAATATCGGAAGCGACAAATTCAACTGGAAGCGGGGACGATGTCTCGCTTGATTTTCTCGAGCATGACATTCATTCGCAACTTCATATTCGGTTGTCCCCGGCCTTTCCCCCTTTCAAAACCTCCGCGTCCTCTTCCTCGATTAGACATAGCTCCCCGCTTGCGAAGGGGATCCGACTTGTAGGTGTGCAGAGTTGACCGAGAGTAGGCCTCACGTTTTAGGTCTCGTAATGTTGGTTGGCGGGGCTCTTCGTCGTCAGAGCCATCTGCCTTTTTATCACCCCGATTGCGAGGGCGTTTGTTGCTTCCATCGAGATAGGGTTGTGCATTCCGCGAGTCCCTCTTGCTCGAACCGCGTTGCCTCCCTCCCTGTCCAGACCTAGTGTTCGGTGGAGAACCCGTTGGGGGCAGGGGCTCAAGGTCATCTTCGTCGCCACTTTTACTCGAGTCAGAGTCTGCACCAACACCACCCCACTCGGTCTCTTCATCTTCATCTTTCTCCACTGTCTCCGCCTCCTCGTCGTCCTGGTCGCCCTCTATCTCCCAGGGCATCTTCGGAATACCTCCTTCTGCGTACAGCTTTCTCTTCTCCGCTTTCCATTTGCTTTTGATCTTGGCCTTCTCCACCCAGGCTTTCTTTAGTTTTTTTGCTGTGCAAAGTTACGGTTGTCGAGTCAGCTACGGGCGGGTCCTACGGATTTGCCGACTCACCTTGTTGTACCGGAAGGTGTTGGAATGTCGGCGGATTCTTTCTTTTCCTTGATTTGGGGCTGTCCATTTCGCCTGTGGTGGGTGTTGGTACGAGCGTCTAACGAAAAAGGAGTCATCACGGTGGCTTACGTCACTCAAATGCTGTGTTCAATCTCCGCTCCAATCAGTCCAGATCTGGAGTCATCGGTCTATTTTGTATATAAACCCAATCTCTTCGGATTGCAGCCTTCAGTAACCCAACTCACACCTCGACCCTCACGGCTCTCCTTCCAACCTTCCTTTAATCTTAGTTTCCCAACTTTTTATGAGCGTTCAGAACCTCAATACTTTCGGTGAGTATCAGGCTCTCTTGGTTTTAGAATGCAGGGACGGCGGCTCTGTTGGAAACTGGTGGATATTTTTCAAGAAGAAAGGCTGGTGGAGGAAATGGACTGGGTATTTGACGAGCGCACAGACGACCGTAATCAGGATCCGCCGACTGTGAAAACAGATGAGCGTGCGGGGTGTCACCAGCCCGATCTCCAACCTGTCGTCGTCAGATCCAAGTCTAGCGGACCTCCAGTCAAGGCTGTGTTGTTCCTGCATTCATTTCCGATATGGCCTTGTTCGATTCGAACCACGAACTAACGACTCCTGCGCCATTCTAGATCCCTTTGCTGACGAAGGGGACCCGCTTGCTGATACTCAAGACGTTGGCTCTACCACCGATTACATTCACATCCGTATCCAACAACGAAATGGAAGGAAGACCTTGACCACCCTTCAGGGCTTGCCCAAACGTAAGTTCTTGTTCCACTTCATTACGGCGTTACTTTGGGGTATCTTGGATACTCCCTTTTCTTGATGGTTTTTGTTGTTTAAAGACATGGCTGACTCATCTTCCGTCACTAGAATATGATCCCAAGAAGCTCTTGAAGGCATTCAAGAAGGTGAGTTGACTTCGTCATGTGGGCGGACGCTGCAGAGGGAGCCCTCATTCAACTTTGTTGATTGCGACCGTACCATCGATAACAGAAATAGAGCTTGATTCTTACCGCACACTTCCATTTCCAGGAATTCGCCTGCAACGGCACTCTCGTTGAAGATGAAAAGATGGGACAAGTCATTCAGCTTCAAGGCGACCAGCGTGCGAAGATTTCCAACTTCCTCGTCGAGAATGGCCTAGACAAGTCCACCATCAAGGTGCACGGTTTCTAAAACTCGAGCCCTCACCAAGTTCCTGGCCATGCTCATCGCCAGCGGTGTTCCTGTTTCGAGTTTCCTACCTGGAATCGTGACCGCGTCGCACCTCTTCTTCACCACTCTCCAGGATCCGCCCCCTGGCGTGATCCAATGAATCCACCACCTACCTCCCTCAAGTGGGGGTTGTACCGCGCATCCAACTGACGAACGGAATCGATCACGAGCAATTGTTCTGTATTATTCTTTTTATTTTATTGCCTACCTTTCACCATGTACTTCATACGATCTTATATTCAATCATTTGAAGCGGCATTGCAAACGTGTTCAGACGTACATTGTTGTTTCGAGCAGAATGTACTGCAGAGAGGCTGCAGATGTGTTGAAAGGTCCCGCGGCCCTGAATAACATGCCCAGTAGCTGATGAAAAGCGGACATTCATTGGCTGTATCATACCGCTATAACCGTGACAGAAATAGAGTTCGAAGCGAAGAAAGACGGCCTTCTACTTGATCTTGTCCAAAGGCCTGTGTACTTTCCGTCAGTAGACATAGATAGGTGGCCAAGGAAAGAACAGACCTGTTGAAACCTCCCCTTCGGTTCATGTATTGACGCCAGGTTCGAACCTTTTTGATATTGGCCGCCCCTTCCTGGTTTCCAAGGACTTGTTTTCCCTAGACAAAAAGGGTCAGAGCGAGAGCAGGAGAAGTCAAAGGTCTTACCTTTGTGGTTCCAAATCCTGCAATACCCATCATGGCCATCATAGCAGCGTCGTCATCGTTTTCAGCGTCCATAGCCTCGCCCTCTTCACCCTCTTCATTGGCACTCGACGGGGCTTCAGAGCCATGAGGTCGGGAATTTGGTGGATGCGAGTCTGGGGGCGGGTAGAGAGGAACTTGAACACATATTTCGGATAGCGACATACATTAGCACGCACCTTCTCTATGACTAGAGGGACCAGAGGATGCAGTGGGTCTGGAAGTTGAACCTGCAGGTGGTGGGACGCTGTCTCTTCCGCGACCGTCCCTATCCCTGTCTCTGTCCCGTTCGCGGTCCCTATCTCGTTCTCTCGACCGGTCTCGATAGTCCCTATCGTCGCGCCTTCTTCTGTCGTCTCCTCGTCGATCTGGAGACCTATCCCGCCTGTAGTCACTTCTATAATCTGAACGGCCAGTCCAATGAGTCCAAGTTGTTGAAAAGGTGGAAAAATGGAGGATTTTGCTTACCTCGTCGATCTCGGTCATAGTCATAATCCCTGTCCCTGTCTCTCCCACCACCTCCACGTCTGGGAGGACTTCGAGACCGTCTTCGAGGGGAGTAGTCGCGTCTTCCTCCTCCCCCACCTCGAGAGTAGCGACTGCCTCTATCACGGTCTCTATCCCTATCCTTGTCTTCACGTTCCCAGCTGCGGTCTCTCCGTCTATCAGTACCTCTGGAAGACATTATTCTGTTTGTATAAAGTGTGGAGAAATATCGTGGTGGTGGTCAAAAGCAAAGAGCGCAACTCCGAGAACGGCAAACACGCTGATGGCGATGTGACATTTTCTAACAGACTCCCGAGCGGAGGTAACTCTCTTTCTTAAGCAACGACCTCCACGGCGACTCTTAGTTTTCGGGCTTTCGTGGCGCGTCTAGGGAAGGAGCTTGGGGCTTGGAAGATGCTGATATGAAAATTTTGAGTCAAGGTGCGCCTGCTCTCCCAGTGACAAGCATTTTTACATTGCCTAACTGTCATGGACAGCTCTGCAAAACGCAACACATATTCGCTTGAGAAATCTTCCTCCGTTGACAACTACTAGAGAGTTGCAGAGTCTCTTGAAACAGAACGGGTTGAAGGAAGTCGAGCATGGTTGGTTTCTTTCTGTGTTCGTGGTTGCCCTGGGCTGACCTCCATGACGCTCCAGTCGCGATACTCTACAAGCGTTTTCGCCCGACAAACGAGGCTCTCATAGCTTTCAAATCACCTTCGAGTCTCCAGAACTATCTTGACATCATCAACAGACTAGAATTCTATGGGATGAAGATTAAAGCCCAACCTGAAATCCCTGGCAGTGGTAGTGACTTGACGCGGTTGTCCCGGTCTAGAGGGCATAGAGGCAGGAAAGAAGCGGCGGAGCGGGGTGTTTGGGATGGTGACGGACCGAACGCAGGAGTTCGTGGTTTGAACATTGGGCGAGCTGTGACGATTTGGGGGTTTCCCGGGAAGGCTACAGTGTCGGCTGTGGAGAAGTTTATGGAGAATTATGCGGTGTCCAGAGCCAAGGTTGGCGACACAGACGAGGCTATGATCTACAAATTCCCCTTGTAAGTTGGCCCTTTAGCCCTCAATTTTTGGGTGCTGAATGACTTGCTTTAGACCTTCTGGAGCGTACTCCCTGTATTCGCGGTTCATGGTCATCCTTGACTCGGAAGAGGAAGCCATACGGGTTGTAGACGAACTGCACATGTCGCGACTACCAGGAAAACCGCACGTCATCTATGCACAAGCAATAAATTGAATAAATTAAACTATCTAGAGAACGAACAGCGAAGGGTCCAAGGATCTCGGGCAAAGGATGAACATGTTTACAGTCGTTCTGCTTCAGCGTCGTCGACACGGGTTCGAGCAGTCTGAGGGTGGTCAGCAAAGTTGGTTGAATGTCGACGGAGAACAGCACTCACATCACGCATCGCGTCGCCGTCGTCTTCGGGGGAACGCCCTCGTTTGAGTTTGTTTTCTTCTGGAGGTGCCTCCGCCTGCTTCCAGTCGCCTCCTCCACTAGCCACTGCACCAGGGCCATCCTGCGCATCGGCATACCGCTCCTCAACTTCTCTTCGTCGTTCAATCTCCAATCTCTGTGCCTGTGCACCCCATCCACCGCGGCCAGGATCGTAGTCCTGCCTGTGTTCGTCTCTTACCTGTCCACCACTCTTGCCGCGTCCGAACTGTCGTCCTTCCTTGTACCCGAGATCCAAGTCGCACCGGATGATTCGTTCGTCGAGTTTGGTACCACTGACGTAGCGCATGCTTGCAAGCGCTTCTGCATGGGTGTAGTACTCAACGAAGCAGAATCCGCACGGCGTCCTGTATAGAGTGTCATTTAAACTGAAAACAACTCAAGTGCAGTCGACCTACCTTGTATTTCTATCTAGGCCCATGATGATACGTTTAATACCTCCACCATCCTCCGGACTGGTGCATTTGGCAAACACTTCATAAATTTGCTCTTCTGTCGTGTAAAAGCTCAGATTACCAACCTAGAAAAGAATGTCAGCACCCATTGAACGGTATATTTTCGCAAATCCAGCGAAACAACGCAGGACGGCCTACATAAAGGGTTGTCGACTTGTCCAAAAGCTCTTGCTGCTTCTGGCGGTCAATACGAGCTTGAGAGTCCTTGTAATTTGAAGGCTGGTCCAATGAAGAAACTACATGAGCCATTTTTATGTTGTCCTTGCTAGCCCACCGTCAAAAACAGGAAACACTCTCGTTGCTCACACTCAGAAAGCGTTTGAGAACCTCGTCCGTTGCAGAGAATGATCTGAACTGAATTCAATTCCCACGATCGGCCCGACCGGTCTCCGCTACATGCGAAACGCGTCCGAGCCGCGTCACCCTGGTTCAGTCGTTTCCACTTTAATCTTTGACCTCTTCCCGCCCTTTGCAATAATGGATGAAATCGGTATTGTATGTATCGAGCGTATTGAATAAAGTGACATAAATAATCTAATGTCGTACAGGAACCCACTTTTGAGAATACCGTCCAGGACAAGGCGACATTGTACCAGGACCTCGAGGAGGACTTGTACCTTCGCTACAAGAAGCTCGCGCGACACCTTGAAATGCTCGATATTCAAGAGAGCTACATCAAAGATGAACAGGCCAACCTCAAACGCGAACTCATCCGTGCGCAGGAGGAAGTCAAGCGAATCAAATCCGTACCCTTGGTTATTGGCCAATTCCTGGAACCAATCGACCAGAACACTGGCATCGTCGGCTCAACAACGGGATCGAACTATGTCGTGCGGATATTGTCCACGCTAGACAGGGAACTCTTGAAGCCTTCGTCATCTGTGGCTTTGCATCGACATTCGAACGCGCTTGTGGACATCTTGCCTCCGGAGGCTGATTCGTCAATTACGATGCTTGGGAAGGAGGAGAAGCCGGATGTGACTTACCAGGATGTTGGTGGATTGGACATGCAGAAGCAGGAGATTAGGGAAGCTGTTGAGCTTCCGTTGACCCATTTCGATCTATACAAGAAGATTGGTATTGACCCGCCGAGAGGTGTATTGCTCTACGGTCCACCAGGTATGTTCTCCTTTCAACGCACTCATTAGGGACATGTGTTAACCCGAACCTCCCGCCTAGGAACTGGAAAGACTATGCTTGTGAAAGCTGTTGCCCACCATACGACAGCATCCTTCATCCGCGTTGTTGGTAGTGAATTCGTGCAGAAGTACCTTGGTGAAGGTCCTCGCATGGTTCGAGACGTCTTCCGGCTGGCACGAGAGAACGCACCTTCAATCATCTTTATTGACGAAATTGATGCTATTGCAACGAAACGTTTCGACGCTCAAACCGGTGCCGATCGTGAAGTGCAGCGTATTCTTATCGAATTGCTGACACAAATGGACGGTTTCGACCAGGGAAGCAACGTCAAGGTGCGGTGGGCTGCTACATTCATGGATAGCTTACCTCTAACCATGACTTGCGCAGGTTATCATGGCCACCAACCGAGCTGATACCCTGGATCCCGCTCTGCTTCGACCAGGTCGTCTGGACCGAAAGATTGAATTCCCTCATCCCAACCGACGAGAGAAGCGACTTATCTTCCAAACTGTGACAAGCAAGATGAACCTCAGCCCCGACGTTGATCTGGAAGACTGTCAGTACATTGGGTTTCTGTCTTTGATATTTTGATATTGGTCCTGATGTTGTGTCCCAGATGTATCGCGTCCCGACCGCATTTCGTCCGCTGAGATTGCTTCCATCGTGCAAGCTGCGGGTCTGCAAGGTAAGTCGACCCTTCTGTAGCTACACAATTTCTCTAATCGCGTATTCCTGCATTCCTGCAGCCGTACGGAAGAATCGGTACGTCATTCTTCCCATCGACTTTGAGGAAGCGTGGAAAGTAAGTTGCTTTGCACTTGTTTGTACCCCTTTGATGATGGCGACTAAACCGCGTCGCTTTTTTTCTTTCTTCTCAACCACAGCAAACGGTCAAGCGCACCGACGACACCCACGAGTTCTGTAAGGCTATTTCTGAAATATTTTCACGATATGGAAAGCTAAATGACATCTTCAGATCGGTAGATGTTTTCATTGTAATGGTGAGTTTTTTCACCCTCAATTTTATCGCCTCTTGCTGACCCTACTCCCAGTTAGATCCCCTGTATCATACGCCAGCGATTTCAATCACTATTCTTTCTACCCGCACCCTGTTTCTTCTTGAGATGTTTTGCGTTTCGAAATGATGCTCTTCCACTTTAGCGTATCTCCTATCCTTCACGACGGAGTTGCGCCCATTCAAAGGAGCTAGATCAAGTTGCTTAATTGCTGTCTCGCCCTGTTTCCTGTCTTCTCAGGTATCATTGTATACCTCGACAATATGCGGACTTGTCCAATTATTGTCGGCATGAGGGGAGAGCCCTGGGTTTAGATATATCCCCCACACTTCCTTCTGTAGTTCCCGTTTAGCATATAACTGGTGCGTTTCCTTTTCTCGTCTTCACGAACTGCGGAGGCTAACTGTTCCTCTCCAGTGTACTCCATACGTCAATAAATTTAAGTTTCTTCTTCATTCACCTCTCAGTTATCCTCTTCTCATTTCCGCTCCTCAACACTCTGGACGGCGTTCATAAAACCCACACGCACGTTCTCATTTTACGGGAGCAAGAGCGACAAATTCGTCATCCTTTTTATGGGGATGGAAGCCCAAATGTTGTTCGTTGCTCTTAACGCATTGGAGTAATTCGAAGATGTGTTGGGTGATATTAATAACTCCTACCATACACTGCAATTGCATATGTACGTTAGATCATGTACTATTCGAAGGGAGCTGTCATACATTGTCAACAAAGATCCATTGCCCAGCAACCGTCATAGAATGGCCAATCGCATGGTTTCGATGTGGATGGATCCTCGCAAATCGCTTGCACAACAGCCATGGCATTCTTCCCTTCCTCGTATTCCTCGTCGGATATCGCGCCCCAGATGTCGCACTTCATCCAAAATGTGGTGTCGTTCTTGAACTGGTCGATAGCCTCCTCCCTCGTACTCTCCGCCTCTATCGCAAATATCTCTGCCATGGAGAGCGGTATGGGGTTGTACAGCGCTTGTTTTCCCGATGCCTGAACGATGGCCCACCAGTTTATGCTCAGGTCCGCCAGAATTCCGCGCAAACCATGCCCGCCATCTGATACAGTTCTCAGGATGTTATGCAGCATGTTCGTCATGCTCAGTTTGTGCACAAAATGCGCGGTCCTGTCGGGCATTTTCGATGCGACGAGGTTTCCGTAGATCCTCGAGCGAGCTTCCAAGCAGTTCTCCATGTTCATGGTCCTCAGTTCGTCGGCTTCATCTTGCTTCCCGACCCTGAAGGCCCTAAAGAGTGTCGGAACCCTGGTTTGGTGAGTGAATGGGAGTATAGCCGCTCCTTGCCAGTCTATTATTCCGACCAGTCCGTCCTCTCCATTCGCGTTGGTGATCATATCCTTTGCGGTAAGGCTTGGGTGGTTCAAAGCTGGACGGGTGTGCCTCCTGTCAGCGGGGACGAGATAGTCGACGGTAGTGAGGAGCATGTTCAGGAGACGGGTGAGATTAGGTGCGTCCTGTGGCTTTGACCGGATGTGTGGATTCTGGAACGCAACTCCAGTTTCGATGGCCTTGAGTTGGAGGCTGATAGCACTTCGGAGGATGCTTTCGACGTTCGGCCCTGCAAAAGATGCGTTGGTAATGAAGGGCATTGCCAATGCAAAATACTTACAGGGTCCTCTGTCGATGCCCTCGACTTTCCCGTAGACGTCTCGCCACCATTGGCGGTCGGTGGAAGGACCACTTCGATATTTAGCTGCTAAGGCTGGATACTTTGCGGCATGTTGCTCGTCAGAGTAGAGGGGCTGGTCCCGATCCTTTTCTTCGACATCTTCTTTGAAATAGAGGGAGCCGTATAAAGCAAAAGGTTCCTCCAACAACGCCTTTTCAAGGCTAAAGACGTTCCAGAGGATCTTTGAGACGGGCCTCTGGAAATCGCTGAGCCACCAGTCCATCGCAGGGACGCCTTCCACGAATTCGTGGATAATGTACGCGGAACCCACGTCGTTGGTCGGTGAGCGATCCCAGGCCAGGACTTTAGGCGGTACTGGGAAGTGACTTGCCGTACCCTCCGGTACGCCGAAGCGCTCGCGGACGTACTCCATGGTCGCGACCTCGCTCGCGGTTGTGAGCTCTACGTTGGGCACAATTGGATTTGGGATTCGAAGAACGACTTTCCGTCCATTGTCCAGTTCGAGGCGGAAAACTTTGTTGGATCCTAGCGTCTCCATGTCAAACAATAGCAGAGGGCAGTAAAGTGAAAAGGCTTATACCTTCACCAATCTTAGTCCAGTTTGTAATGCCCCGAGCTTCCGTCACCCGGCAGGCGATTGCTTCAAGTGCTTCTGCATTGAAAGGACTGTGTCGCAGGCGCTTGTCTGATGAAAAAACGCGTCCATCACGTAGATCAGCGCGAGGGCTCCGTTCTGTGGGATTAAGCACTCACTCGTTTCTTCGTTGAACAGCCAACGCCCGGTGTGTTCGAATAGCTGCTCGGTTTGCAGGGCCTCGCTGGTTGGCCCCAAGGGAGTACCAAGGCGGCGTTGCACGGTGGTCATGGCGTTTAGTCGAAGGCGTCGACGGAAGGTGCGGGGGAAGTTGTGCATGCTAGTTGTCGGCTGTTGGCGGCTGTATATATAGGCGCTGGACAGCGGCCATCGAGGGCAGCCCTATCCAGGAACATGTTTCATCAAGACATTCTCGTCACCGCGAAAGTTAGGAGTCACATCGATTGAGCACATCACGCAATTTGGCGATTAAAACCCACTCAGGGCGCACCTAGGTAGGTCCGGCATAGATGCATGCATCGTGGCATTGGGAACGCTCGACGGTGCTCTGGGTGAGTCAGTGCGCGAGTCAAAAAGCGACGCGTCGGGACGCGTGACGCGAGAACTGGAACTCCGACTCGGATAGGGGCTCGAGGAAGAGGTCGAGAAAGCAGCCTGTCTTTGGAATAGTGCTATCGTAAGGTGTAGCCATCGGAATCAAGCAAGTTCCTCAGCACAGCGCCATCATGGAAGGGCCAGGGCCCTTCTGTAGCTACATCCAGGTTCTCCTAGGCCAGTTTGCTCCTTCGACAAGTCCGCATCCACTTCTCCCTCGGGACCACAGCGCAACATCTTGGTAACCGAATCGACGTTCTGTTCGAGCGCTGCCCTCTTCAAATTCTCGTCCTGTATCATTTATATTTCTTCCGCCGAAAAGTCGATTGGGCAGTTCCGCTCTTGTCGGAGACGGCGTTAACGTAGTCTCAATTGTTCTGGAATCCCAGCAGGATTTCCCGGAGAGTCTGGGGGCCGTCAGACACTGTCCGAAGCGCCACCTGGGAGAGGTTGGATAGGGCCCTTCGATAAACTGGAACTTGAGTTCGCTGAGGGTGAATTGAGGCGAGCAATTGGTCGTAGGTGTTGGATCGTTCAACGGCAACTTGGTTCTTTATATGGCGCTGTAGTTCCTTCCTCACTTCTGGATCGAGTCGCTCGTCAACTTACATGGTCCCCTATGCGCGTCTACCTCTCCATATACACTACGCCACCATAGTCAATCCACAGTCGGACCGATTCTATACTATTCAATTCTGCGAGAGCATAGAGCACTCGTTACTTCGCTCGCCATGGTTCCTTTCGACGTTTGGTACAATGGGATTAAGAATACGAAGGATTGTCTTTCGACCATTGTCAGGTTCGAGGAGGAAGACTTTGTTCGAGTCTAGGAGCGCATGGTGCACCTGTGAGTGACAGCACTTCACCATGCTGAAGTCGTAGCTACGTACTGTCTCCTATCCTCCTCCAATTGACAATACTCTTGGCTCCGGCGCTCCTACGCGCAATTACCTCGACTGCATCGACATTGAATGGTCGGTATCTCAGACGTCGTTTCGATGTGCTGATGTAATATCAAATGGAACCCGCTCACGGATATCTTCATTGAACAGCCAGCGGCATTTCGTATGATTGAAGAGTTCTTCTGAAGGTAACGCAAGAGAAGAGAGCGTTTTGATACTGAAGCTCGAAGCCACAGCTTGGATCGATAGAGCGGTACAGCAGACATCAGCGATTGGCAAGGCAAGTTCACAGGTTTATTTAACGATCAGCGCTCAGCATCAATTGACGAATAATACCGCCGCACGAGCGCTGTAAATGACGCCCACAAGGAGACCGACACCGTCTTGTGAAGAAGGGACAAGGCTGGGAAAGGCCCTTGTCTTTTTGAGCAGCAGGTTCCTGCGTTTCCTCTGCCTCCATGGGGTAGAAATGGATATAATAAATACATTAGTAAATATGACCCATTAGTCCTCATAAATATAGCAATGTGTTAATCATAATCAGTCTGTATCACCGCTCGAGTAGATTATACTCTCAGATTGGCCCCCTCAGGCGAGATCGACTCTGTGCACCCGTCCCCCTGCTCCAATGTACTGCTTCCCGTAGACGGCTACAAGGATGGAAATCAACCCGAGCACAATCACCGATATAAGTGAAGATTGCGACACTCTTACTTGGCTAGCGGTGGTGGCATGCGTAGTCGCCCTCTTCGCAGTCCAAAGGTACATCGTCAGAATCGCCCCTGCACCCGTAAGACTGTAGTCCGGATAAGGAGCCTTGTAGTCTGGATCCAAAACCTTTTCGGCAAGGTACCGCATGGAGACTTCGTACCACGAGACGTTGACGCCTGCTCCTATTAGACTAATCTTGGGGAAGGAATCGAAAAGCCATCGGAAACCCGGTTTAGTGAACAGTGGAGGACGCGTAAACTCTGGCTCAGGTGCGAAGGGCGTGTCGGGCCATTTGGTAGGGTCGGAATCTAGGCTCTTGAGTTTCTCAGGGAGGGACGGGCAGAGGATTCCTTGACGACCTATTCCGACCAGCTGGGCATGACCCGCTGATAGTGCGGTATGGATGAGAGCCGGTGATTTCAATCCGCCGGTGAGCATGATGAGTGGGAGAGGTGGAGAGGATGGTGTACGAGGAAGCTTCTCCAGCGCTTCGACAATGTGCTGGGACACTTTGGAGAAGACAGCTTGTCTTTGGGAGCGGGCATTGATAAAATCTGCCGACAATTCAGTAAGGAATCACAGAAATGCATGGCAATAGGGCTAACCTGGACTTTCGTAATCACCGCCGCTAATTTCGATGAAATCAACTCCACCCCACTGCGCAATCTCCAAGATATGCTTCATGGCGCGTTCTTCCTTGTCGGTCACCGTCCCTTGGTCGTCAGATCCGGTATCGGTGTAGTCCGCAGCATTCAGTTTGATACCAACAACGAATTGAGGTGGAACAGCGGCTCTGATGCCCGTGACGATTTCGCGTAGTAGGCGCAAATCATCACCGCGCCCAAGAGCGTATTCGTCCGTGCGTGTGTTTGACTGATGAAACGGTTAAAATGGTAACCACAGTACCACGAGGATTGACATGCACCTTGGGGTTGAGAAACTGGGCAACGAGGTCTGTGGATGGTGATGTGAGTTTCCCCCAATGACGGAGTTGGAAAAGATAGACTTGCATCCATGAGCAGCGTGAATTTCGACGCCATCGAAGCCTGATTCGTGAGCAACCTGTGCACCATACACAAAGCGCGATATGACATGCTCGATATCTTCTGCCGTCATTTCTTTGGGCACTGAGAAGAGTGCGTGGTGGAAACCTGATGAAACGATTCCAGGGTTTCGGACAGACGTTCCCACTCTGATAGGACTAGGACCCAGAGGTCTTTGAAGCAGTCCACGGCCACCCATGCCAAAGCTGAGCGACTGTCGCCCGGCGTGGCTGAGCTGGACAATTGCGAGTGTGGGTTCGCCGTTCTCTTCTGGGCCCTGGATCAGGGACGAGAGCTTGCGGTAGGGTGCAAGGCTCTCAGGCGAAAGGTCCTTTGGCAATACAATGTCGCGTCCAAAGGTCAAGTGCTCGTTTGAGACTTGGACGTTGCCGGTAAAAACCAAGCCCCAGTTGTGTTTTCCCCATTCCGAGTAGACGGCGTAGTGATACTCGTTGGGGGGCCCTCCTTGGTACACAGCGAGGTGTTCATACAGTGCAACCTGAGGATAATTAATGATTGTTCGAGGGGGGAAGCTGTGGCCAATATACCTTTGCAAGCCTGTTCTTCACAGTGCGGCCGCAAGGGAGGAGAACAGGATCAAGGGGTGTGGTGGTAGTCGGCGGCATGGAAGAACGAGGGAAGTGTTACATAATCTTGCGGTGATGATTTGAGAAAGGGACTCGGGCCAGCGACAAGCGTTTTCCACCCAAAACTCACAAGCGTCTGTGGATTGACGATCATGGGATGGTTCACTTCCCTCTTCAGCTCATTCGATTCCTCCCAGCGAGCTCGTAAAGGCCAAGCTCTTTCCTCAACACACGATGCTTTCTCCCTTCCAACTTCGTCACCAGTCTTTGGCTCTCACCCAGATGCATTCAATCCCGACGCCCTCCACACCCCTGACATAGATTCAGCAAATACGCCAGCCTACACATATCCTCCTCAACGCTCAAGGGGCCAGTATGGCTACATCCCATCCCCGTGAGCACAGTCCCCGTTGTCCTTCTTCAGTTTGATAACCACCTAACCCTGTTCTGAGCAGTCTCACAGCTTCACGACCAGGTTCTTCCTCCCTTCTGCCAACTCACATGGACCCTATGCACCCACAGATGTCGCCCAACAGCCTCTATCCTCCATTATCGCAAACATGGAACCGGATTCGCGTCTGGCTCAACCGAGAGTACCCTGAACTCGGTGACACACTCAACTACGGCATTCTCCCTCAGGACCTTGCAGAAATAGAAATGCAGATGGGCCTCGCCCTTCCACCGGCAGTCAGGGAATCCTATCTCTGCGTGGACGGCCAGGAACCTGAATCCGCAGCAGGATGTTCCGAGGGCCTCTTTTTCGGTCTAACTCTACTCCCTCTCGAGAGTGTCCTCGAGGAATGGCGTTTCTGGCGAGAAGTTGATGAAGACTCCACCACCGGCGCGAATCCGAAGCTACTAGAGCTTATGCAATCAATCCCTCCACGTTGGATTAGGCTCGAATACTCGAATCGAGGATGGGTACCTCTAATCGCAGACAAGGCTGGCAACTACGTTGGGGTGGATCTCAACCCTGCTGAAGAAGGCGCAGTTGGTCAGGTTATCATCTTTGGACGCGACTTTGACACCAAGGTTGTCCTTTGGCATGGCGATGGTCCGGGTGGGTGGGGCAAATGGTTGGCTGCCTTTGCGGACGAGCTCGAGAGCGGGGATGGCTTTGAACTCGGCTATGGTGATAACAGTGAAGGCAGCGAAGATGATGTTGGCTATGAAAGCTACTACCACGATGGAAGCGGAAGGGGCGCAGGTGACGGAGGAGGTGCATCTGGCACCGCTGGTGGTCTGAGGCTTACTGGTGAATTCAGAGGGTGGAACGTGCTTGAAGCCTGGGGAGAGAAGAGCTTGCGTAAATGGTATGACGCGGGTCTTTTACCCGAATTCTCTTATCAGCAAGAGCCAGCAACGGTATGTACTTTGAACCACAGCATCGATTGGCCCGCTAACGACTGCTCAAGGAGAACGTCGGTTTGGGAGTCTACGAGGGTCCAGCCGAAACCTCTAAGGCTGCTGTCTCGGAAGTCGAAACACCGATTGCCAGCACTTCATCACACGCGCCTACATCATCGCGACCAACCAACATACCAACAATCTCCGTAACCAAGCCGCCGGCGCCTCGGCCTGTGGATCTTCCGACGCAACAAGACATCAATCCTTCGTCTCCACCAGAGTCCATGACCTCTAGCGATGACTATGATCTCGAATCGGGACGCGGCAGTGGACTGCAGGGGTACCAAGAAGCAGTGGGACTTGTCAGTAATGCGACGGGCAGAACTGCTCAAGAGCCTTTGACACCGCTATTCAATGGTGCCTCTGAATCGTCGGTCTCTGCCCTCCCCCTCTCTCCCCCACCTCCATTGGACACCTCGGTTTCATCTTCAAAAGTTTCCGATATGACCCCAACGAGTAAGACACCAGCCACCGCGATTCCTGATCTCATGGCTGAGTCTACCCCTGTCATCGCCGCCGTTCCCATACAACCCTCTACTTCCACCCAGTCCCAACTTAATGGTGTCCAGCAAGACGATTCCGAAGACCTCATTGACACGAGGAGCATTCGCGAGGACGATGACGCTTCTGCCTCATCCGAAGATGCACCCGGAGCTGTCGCAGAAACTTCGTCCGAAGCTACCCCTGCAAATCCCACTAGCTCGGAAGCATCTTCTTCTGCCCCTGGCGAGGAACCTGCCAAGACGCACAAGAAAAACAAGAGTTCAGTGGCCGAGCTCAAAAAGTCAAGTCAGAGGAAGGATTCCTCTGCTAGCTTGAAGAGCGTCAAGGATGCTTCTCCGCCGACAGCCACTTGAAAGGGAGCCTTACGCCTCGCATTCTCAAGACCCTTTAATCCTTCTTTTTTCGATCTGGTAATTTAGGTGGCTTATTGGACCGTCTTTATCCGAACGCTTTTTGTTCTATATCTTTCGGTGACGTCGTTGAAGCGACATAGTTTAGCGTTATTGGCTCTCATATCCACGTATTTCGTGCATCGAAGGGCACCAAACCCATTTTTTGTGTCTCCCTAGTGGTTGTGGTTCATGTCTGTTCCTCTCACCCTTACCGTTGTTGACGAATTTTCATCAAGTTAGTACATTGATTATAATCACTAAATATATAGCCATACATTCTCCCGCCCTCCTTTTTGTTCGCTGTACCGTGCAATATTTTTGTTTCCTCGATGATACCCCATAGGTCATGCAGTAGTTTCATAGTATGTTCGCATCCTCGACGGTTTGCTTAGCGAGACTTACTTCATTCAATATAGACGATGGATGGGCGGAATGTAGTCCATGTAGCATTTCACGATAATCTCACTGCTACTTAGCGTCGAAAGGCACAGATTGCATCTTGAATGACAGCAGGGTGAATGTTCCTCGACCACGAGGGAGTGAAAGTCCCGAGTCGGAAAAGCCCCTATCTGACGGCCCGAGTCTGGGAAAATTATGTGCATCACATGACGTGGTTCACGGTTTCTCGTCGCGTGTTCGAAATTCGCTGGAAGCGGTTGAACCGTTAAACGACTTGTCTCCACTTCGTTTCGCGCTGTAGCGCTCATCATCTTACGACCACCATGGACAGGTTAATAGACCTGATGAACCACCCCTTCCTATCCACAAACCTAGGAAGGGATGTCGACGACGTTCCCAAAGCTGGGCTGGATCCCATTTACCCCTTGACCCTTTTCTTCGCCATGGGTATATGGCTGGTCTACGAACGCTACCAGAAGCTACACAATTCACCTCTGCATTTCGAAATATCTCCACCAATTGTGTGTTACCATTTTCTTGTTTGCTGGCATTTTCGAGCTAACAGATTGCTTCAAACAGGCGGCCGACCCAAGCTGGCAATCCCTGCCAATCGAAAACCCTTCAATTCGTTCGCATGAAACAAACCCAGATATTATGCCACCTGTCGCTCTCCCAGGCAGAGAATACATCACTTGCTTCGACCCCGCCACAAGTCTCCACCTCGCCACTGTCCTCGCAGACGACGCCGAACTTATCTCGGACAAGATTGACAAGGCAGCTGACGCCCAGCGGACCTGGAAGCACACTTCGTTCACGGAGCGCCGGAGGGTCCTGAGAAGTTTGCTCAAGTGGCTTGTGGATAACCAGGAGCTTTGTGCCAAGGTTGCATGCAGGGATACCGGAAAGACTTGTACGTTTTTTTCTTGCTTGGATATAGTTCGTTTTCTGGTTTCCGTGAAGAGCGCGTCTGACCCAGGGTTGCAGTGATCGACGCGTCTCTGGGCGAGATTCTGACGACCTGCTCAAAATTGGAGTGGATATTGAACCATGGAGAGGCGGCGCTGCGACCTGAAGCCCGAAGGTCCAACCTGATGATGTCCTACAAGCGGTCAGAGGTGCACTATGAGCCGCTGGGTGTTGTCGCAGCCATCGTGTCCTGGAACTATCGTAAGTCTGTTATTCACTCTCCCTCCTCAGTCGCTGACAACATCATAAAGCTCTGCACAATGCCTGGTCACCCATTATGGCTGCTATCTTCGCCGGCAACGGTATCGTCCTCAAGTGCTCTGAAAACGTCGTCTGGTCCACCAGCTGGTTCGTCGAAGCTATTCAAGGAGCTCTCCGTGTCTGCGGTCACGACCCCGAACTTGTCCAACTTGTTTGCTGCTACCCCGACCAAGCCAACGCCCTCATTCAGTCACCCAAGATCAAGCATATCACGTTCATTGGCTCTGAAACCGTTGGACGCAAGGTCGCTCAGGCTGCTACGAAACACTTGACCCCGGTTACTCTCGAGCTTGGTGGCAAGGACCCGGCTATTATCCTCCCTGGAACTGATATCCCCAGCATTGCGTCTATCCTCTTGCGTGGTGTTTAGTACGTCCTTTTACGTCCCTCGAGTGGCACGAGTGACTAACCTCTTCACAGTCAAAACATGGGTCAAAACTGCATTGGTATCGAGCGTATCATCGTCCACTCCTCGGTCTACGACGAACTCTGGGCCATTTTCGAAGAAAAGGTTTCCCGGATGCGTGTTGGATCTGTGTTGGCTCAGACGAATGAGGGATATATCCCCACCGTTGACGGAGGTGCAATGATCAACCCTGACCGGTTCCGAGGCTTGGAGAAGGTGATTCACGACGCCGAGGAAGGAGGTGCCCAGGTTATTGGAGGAGAGCAATATAACCATGTCTACCTTGAGAACGGATATTACTTCGCTCCTACGATTGTTGGCCCTGTCGACAAGTCTATGGAGATTGCCAACCACGAGCGTAGGTGTATGATTTTATCACTGTGAACTCTCCACTTACGCCCAGTGTCCAGTCTTCGCACCCATCGCTTTGTTCATGCCCTATGACAAGATTGAAGAGGCTATCGAGATCGCCAACGGCACCAAGTATGGATTGGGCGCTAGCGTTTGGGGACCCCACCAGGACGTTTGCCTCAAGGTCGCGAAGAAGCTCGAATGTGGAATGGTGTCCATCAACGACTTTGGTGTCTTCTATGTAAGTTCTGTTCTCTTCTGGATACGCCGCACGTTACTGATTGCTGTATTTTTAGATCAAGTATGTGCTCTTCAATATCTGATTCACACAGGCATTGCTAACGCTTTCACAGCCAAGATTTGCCCTTCGGTGGTGTCAAGGCTAGCGGTTACGGACGATTTGGTGGACCTGAGGGCCTTCGATCCCTAACGAATCCCAAGGCCATCATCACTGACCGCTGGTGGATCCACACTTCTATCCCCAAGGTCCTCGACTATCCTCTTCGTTCACTGTCTACGAGCTGGTGCGTTGATATTCGCAATCCGCCTATTTTGTTGTCTGATAATTTTCCTCTCTTAGGGAATTCTCCGCCGCCCTTGTCCGCTTCCTCTATGGATTCGGATGGCGGACTCGGTTCGCAGGCCTCATCACTGTCGCTCGAAACGCCAACAAGTAAACGTGCGCCGTGTAATTTCAGCTTGCGCTCTTTGTTTATGCTACACGCGGCTACCCAGTGACTGCCTCTTGGTCAACTTTCACGATCGATGATGCCCCCATCCTATCCTCTACTACTGATTACCACTTGCTTAGTATATACCACAATTCTCTTTGTTTGCTGTGCATGACATCGATGCCCTTGCTATTCCTTTCCAACTTTCAACTTGCGCTATCCTGCCCCGTTTTCACGACGTTGATGCTAGATGTCCACTTTATGTACATGGTTTGGATAATGTGTACGAATCGTTTTCGGTACTTTGGTGCTAACCGATTACTTTGCTGATGTCTCAAAAGTGCGAAGACGACACCTGTGGGACTGAGAGCGCTCCTGGCGAGATAAATACATATTGGCAGGCTAGCGTGTAAAACCAAATTACTAGGCTTTTGACGACGGGTACCATTTGAATGTCTAGTCCGATTAGCCTTGCCCTCCACGAGTATTCACCAAGAAATGGAAACTTACGACGTGCTGGACCTCCGAGTCCGCAAAAGCATGAAATTCGTTGATATTACCTGTGTAATAGATTCGATTGTCGTGTAGGGCGATTTGTGCGTCCACGTAGTCTGTCGAGCCTGTGTTCATTTTGGAGGTGTAAAGAAGTATCGTGTGTACGTACTTCCATCCGCGTTGACCCATTGCGCTTCAATTTCTTCGTCGTCTGGGTCATACGAGAACTGAGGATGCGCGGTTATAAGATTGGTGGTAGAATGTGGTGAGGGATACGCACGACGGTAGTTTCGTACATTATCGACTGTTCTCTGTCATGTTGTGGTCCATCTCCTGCTGCCACTGCACCAAGATCAAATCAGGGGCGGTAAGATTACGAAGGAAGAGCGCATACCGCTAAACCTCGTATGTCTGGCTATATGGAAGCTAACTGGGTTTCAGACAGCCCGAAGCTATGGACGGCTAAAACACGCACTTCTTCGATACTGGAGAGAGATTATTCCCAAGCTGACCAGCTGCGATGGCCATACGCTCGTCAGAAGCCTATTCATCCCCGAGATAGTCAGGCTCAGTTTATCGACCCAGGAGACCACCTCGAGGCAGAGGATATAGATACACACCAGTGCAGTAATCTCCATCAATGGTCCATAGACGTTGAACCCATAGAGGGTAGCATCCTTTCTCGATTTGACGAGTTTGTGGCAAGCGAGGAATCCGAGGAGAGGACCGGTCACTGAGTCGCCCTTGTGGATTCCAATGTGCCCTCTATATGCGAATCTAAGCGCGTTGAGGAGCGGATTAGGAATTGCCCTATCGAGAACTTAAGATGCCGATGCGAGTAACGCACTTGTGGAGAACGGAGAAGGGTTCTACGCTAAAGTCAGTCCTCGAAGGTGTGCAACGATGCGAGCGCTACTCACTCTGGTCAAATCCATCTTGGACGATTTCCCGTCTCTTCTCCTCGACGTCAGGTGTCTGCTTTGGAGGCTCATGAGGCAGGCCAAAGAGACCCCGAATCGAGTTCCGTCTGAGCTCGTCTGGGGAGAGTTGAAGTTGCGGGGTAGAGTCAGCGGTCGCCTTGGCGCTTACCGCCCAACCGAAAAGAAGGCCTAAAACAAGGCAATGGAGGCGTTTCATGACGCTTGGTGGGCGCTAGTCTTCCGGCAGCTTAGTGAAGCATCGCGGTAGGGTGAGCCCACTCGCGGTAGTGGGTGTTGAAAGGTGAAAAGAACCTTGCCAGCTCCGTCTTGAGTTTGACGGGGGAAATGATGCGGTGATGTGCCTAGTAGACGCGCTAGATAGGGGCGAGTGGCACGAGTTCTACTCATTCCTCAGAGATAGTGCCATGCACCGGCGTTGACCTCGTATTCACAAGAATGTAATGCGTAGATAATACACAACAGAAATTTGAAAGACCTTCAATGTCCACCACTATCCGCCTCATGAGAAAGTACCCAAATGGCTTCGAACCTTGAAATCAGCATCCGTCTTCGCCCTCACTTCATCAACCGTTACACCCTCCGCAAGGTCAATCAGCTCCAGCTCTCCAGCAGACCGGTCGACGTCGAATGCGGCCAATTCTGTGATGATCGTGCTGACAGCCCTAGCACCAGTCAACGGCAGTGAGCATTGTTTGAGGATCTTGGATTGGCCCTTCTTCGAGCAGTGCTCCAGCACGGCAATGACTTTAGTCTTGTCTGGGTTGGAAACGAGGTCCATTGCACCGCCGATACCTATAGGTTGAAGGAGACAAAGTTAGAGGGTATTGGTAATGTCGGAAGAATAGGAAGAGAAGGTGCTTTACCTTTCAGAAGCTTCCCTGGAATCATGAAGTTGGCGATGTCTCCTGCTTGGGAAACTTCCATGGCCTGAGAAGCAAGGCTGTTAAAACAAGTGGACGAGCCTCCGTAAGTTGAAGACGTACCCCTAGCACGGCGATATCGACATGACCACCACGAATCATGGCGAATGATTCACTAGAATCTAACAACAGAGTCAGGGTTGAAGCCTGGTTTGGGGCGTATGGCATGGCATACCAAATATTGAGGCTCCAGGAACCAGAGTGACGGTCTCTTTGCCAGCATTGATCAGATCGCTAGAAGGATGTCAGTATCCAGAGATATGTCTTCACAATTATGAACGTACGCATCGACTTGCTTCTCGGTGGGGTAAGGTCCCATTCCAAGAATACCATTCTCACTCTGCCACCAGACCTTGACGCTTGGGTCCAAGAATTCAGGGATGAGTGTTGGAATACCAATACCGAGATTGGCGTAGTATCCGTCCTTGAATTCCTTTGCGGCTCGCCTCGCGATTCGTTGTCGGAGGGCAAGGGCAGCAGCCTTCTCTGGAGGAAGGTTAGCATTGTCGCTGCCCTGGTTTGCTAGCGTGTAGATTTCAATCTTCTTCTCAACAGTGGCTGGAACGACTCGGTCGACGTAGATTCCAGGAAGGTGAATGGCGTTTGGCGAGAGTTCGCCGACAGGGACGATATGTTCAGCCTGGAATACGGAAGTTAGATGCAGGTATGAAGATTGAGTTCGGGGACCTTCACTAACCTCTACGATAGTTAACTTGGCATTCTTTCCCATGGCCGTACTAAAGTTCTGCGAAGCATATCGGAACACGACGTTGCCTGCCTCATCCGCTTTCCAAGCGCGAATGAATGCGACATCTCCGCCCAAGGCGGTTTCGAGGATGTATCTTCGTCCATTGATCTCGCGTCCCTCCTTGGGAATCCCAGGAATGGCAACACCGTTCGCTGCACCACCCTCGTTGTACCGCTGAGGGATCGCACCTTGCTCGATCGCGGTATTTGCACCTGTTGGGGTAAAGAAAGCAGGGATACCTGCAGCATGCGCACGCAGGCGTTCTGCAAGGGTTCCTTGGGGAACCAGCTCCAAGGTGATCTTGCCCGTAAGATATCTACTCTCGAAGTTCTTGTTGCTGTATTGGGTATGAGCCAACGGTGGCGTCGTGCGGAGAGAAGGCGACCCACCTTCCGGGGTATGAGGCAATGATCCTGGACAATTGGTTGGTGTTCAGCAGAATATCTGTCAGGGGGTCAGAGAATGGAAGGTGTGATAGGTTGACAGTTCGGACCTAATCCCGAATTGTGGTTGCCTGCGTTGTTGGAGACGCCAGTCAAGTTGGTCACATCCTTTCGCTTAGCCAACGCCAGGAGGAGGGTATCTGCGGGGTGTTTAGACATGTGGTCCATCGCGTTGATTTCCCCACACACCTGGAATTCCAGCAGCACCGAAGCCTGAAGGAAATACATGAGCGCGACTCCAACGAACTGAATGAATCTAGGACGCACCTCCACAAAGTAGAACGTCCCCAGACTTGATATCAGCAACTGCCTGCTCTGCAGAGTCCCAAACTTTGGATTTGCGGGGCGTCTCGGCATTGGACGTTACACTATAGCGTCGTAGGTTGAGGGCGGTTACCCCACTAGCTCGTAGGGGCACCAGCGTCGCCCGAGTCGAGCGAATCGTCGTCCTGAACGTCCAAATACTCCTCATCGTCGTTGGCCTGATGGTGGAAGGTAGAAACAAGTCGCACGCACAACTTCCCCCGCGATTGAAGGGACAGTGTGCAGTAGATGTTGGGATCGAAGGGAACGGGACCAAATACCCTGTCTTTAATAACCGGCTCTGGTCCGGACCATACCAGTGGTGCTCGTCGTTTTCATGAGTAATCTCCCGTTTCGCAGTGTCGATTCTCTGAGAGAAAGTCTTCGTAAATGGCAAATTAGGAGACGTCGAACCTGCAAAACTGATTATTCCGAGAACAGACACCCCACGAAGCGCCAGAAGCTGAGCAGAAACACATCATTGGCTGCTGCAGACAGTCTGCCCGGGCCGCTCTCTTCCCGCCGTCATAACAGCGCCAAACAACGCGTCCACAGCGGTTCGCGTTTCCACGGTCTCTCATCCACCAACAAGTTTCCTTACTCCAAGCTTGCGCTCACGATAACGCCGTGAAAAGGGACCAGAAGGATAGCAGGAACGATGACAGACTGGACCGTGAGCTCGAACGACGCAGTTACGCTGTCTCTTGGTGTGTTTCAAAGGGATTTATGTACGCCATGGATGCTGATAGCGGGTTTGCGTTCAGTTCGCGCAGAGGAAGACAAAAAGGCGCTGGCGGAAGGCGAGACATATGAGAAATTCCATCCACCGTTCACCTACCCAGTATGTTTGGCCAGCCGAACTCTCAACACGTACTGAGCGCGTCCGTAGATCTACGGGGAGGAAGAAACAATCTACGGTTACAAGGACCTAGTAATCGACGTGGGTAGTCAATGTATGGCTTTGAGAGTCCAGCGAATGATGTCCTCCTCTAGCTGAGATTTGCCTCTGGGTCGCTGGCTCAATATCTCTCCGTCAAATATTTGGAAAAGCTGCCCGCATCTACAGTCGATAATCCAGAAGCCACCTTGAAGGAATACATCCCACCAGGTAAGTATCACCGAGAGGCCAGAAAGATCACACACTAAGACTTTATCAGACTTCTACACGGATGAAGTCGCCTTCCAAAAACGAGTCGAGGAAGATGCCACCACATTCCGGCCGAGCGGTCAGCTCATTTATTCGTATCTGCGTCCATCGCCTTCGTCCAAAGGAAAGGGGAAAGGAAATGCTTCGACGCAACCTCTAGATCCCACTAGCGAAGATACGGTGGAGTACGAAGTGTACCATGTAAGCCATAAGCCACACACCCTCAAATGTGACTTGTCGTTTTGACGCCCGCTGCTCAGGCGACATGGGACACACCAGGATTCCGAGAATATCACCGGCGGATGCAACTCTTCATTCTTCTCTACATTGAAGGAGGTTCATACATCAATGAAGAAGAAGACACATGGGAATTCATGGTTCTGTGAGTGAGCTTTGAACAAATGGTCACCCTGGGCTTACACACCGACCTGCAGTTACGAAAAGCGTAAGCGCAGGGACGTCCCTCATACCCCTACATACCATTTTGTGGGCTATTCGTCATTATACCCCTTCTATCACTACCCCGAGAAAATTCGCCTCCGTCTTAGGTGATGAACGATGCAAACTTAATCCACTGTCCACGAACTGACCCTTGCATGCAGCCAATTCGTCATCCTGTCGCCCTACCAACACGGCGGTCATGGCTGTGAGTGACCTGGCATAATTATAGAAACCTCTGACACTCATGAATTATTAGCGGAATTATACAAGGCTATCTACCAATACGTCGTCGGTCAACCACATATTGCTGAATTGACAGTTGAAGACCCAGCAGAGGCTTTCGAAGATCTGCGAGATAAAATGGACTTGCAGATGCTGCTTTCTAACGAGAAGTTCATGCAAGAGGGCTTCGGCGAACCCGCATCATACGGCGGCGGTCGCGTTGGTGGAGTTGGAAGGGCCGGGAAGAGCGGAAGGGGAGGCGACACCACGGCTGCTAAAGGCAAGCTGGGCCCACCTACGGATAAGACATGGGCGGAGAAATGGAGGAGAGATCTCAAGATTGCCCTGGCAAGCATTTTAGTCCTGTACTATTCTACATCAAAACTAACGCTACTCCACAGCGTCAATTCCAGCGCCTTGTAGAAATGCTTATTTTGTACAAGATGGATCCCTCTGATCCCAAGGTATTCCGCGCCTACCGTCTCCAAGTCAAGGAACGGCTTTATCGTTTCAATTTCGTAAGTCTCGCTGTAGAGTCCCCTCACGAGTTCGTCTAACGAAGGAATTACAGGAAATCCTAGCACAGCTCGAAAAGGACGAACGGCACGAAAAGTTGGAGGAGACGTTCCAGAGCGTGAAGGAGGATTACCACCGTATTCTAGCAAAGCTTCATTGATCATTGGGTGAAGTATACTACTGTCTACTATCTATTCAGTTATACACATTATCTATTCTAACGCAGTCCAGGACGTGCTTTGGTGACCTCCTACGTACCCATCCTCTTTCTAGGTGTCCCCGGCACCGATGTTACTGTCAGGGCGCTGGTGCTTACGCGCATAGTTCCAATTGATCTCATCCCTCGCTGTTCCATCGGGGCACCACCTGTAATCCTCGCCATGTTTCTGCCTCCTCTTCCTGTCGATGATCAAGAACGACAGCATGATCATGTTGAGATCGAGCGTGTGCCCCTTGGTCTCGACTTTGAGAACGGGTTTGACTGTGTTGGCATGTGGACCTTGGTCGATATACCGGATCCGTGACTCGGCGATGAGTTGTTTGTCTTCGACCCGAGTCAACTACGCTGACTTCAGTGAGGCGAGTACTAAAGGAAGGTGACATTGGCTTACAGTGCATCCCAATCCACCGATGGCTTGCCATCGATACACTTTGCCGTCGTCGCCCGTAAAGAGATGCGACCTACAAATCCAACACATCAATCAACTCCCTTCGACTAGCCTCAAGGCACGGGGGCTCAGTACTCACCGACTCAACCGATGCGTCCTCTTCAAAAACAACCGCACCGACACGCCTCCATCCTCCCGATCAGACTTTGGAAGGGGCAAAGACGAATAAATCGTCGTGGGCTGGCTGAGTTCCCTCCACACGATACTAGCAACCTTCTTTCCCTGATACCCCCGACGTTTGGCGTAATGGTGAAGTTGGGTCGTCATCGATTCTTCTGGTTCATGCGGAGTGTGCGTGCGGTAGAACATCCGGCCGTCGATGGTGACGACTGGAGTGTTGTCGAGGTCGCTTTTGACGAATATGAGGTCAACGAACATTATCAAAGGACCACTTTTGAGTGCAAGGTAGGTTACTTTCGTGAAGAATGGCTGTGGGTTTGGAAATGGACGGTTAAGATGGGAGATAGCTTAGTTGAAGTTCATGGTGGTTTTGCCCTGGAATAGGAGAAGATGCTCGGGTCGGCGCCACAGACAGTTTATCCCCTCTCTAGGAAATCATTCAACATAGCAGCACCTTCCTGGGGCCAGGTTTGCGAGCCTCTCTGACGACAAAACCCATCACCCGACATCCGATTATCCGTTGACGACAATACCCGAATAGCAGGTGGCACAACAATGGATCTATGCAGAACAATCCCAGTCACCAATCGAGACTATTCAACCAATTCGGAGTATTCTACGGTAACCGACAAATCGATTATACAGACCCAACCCAAGCACGTATCAAAAAGAGACCACAACACAGACTGTCACAATATTCCATAGCCATAGTCAACATGTGGGAAAGAGCTCTATGCATACACTAAGAACAAGGTTATTCCCTCGACAGAAAAAAAAAAAAAAGAAGGATCAAGAGAAAGAGAATAAGTTATTTAGCAATACACAGCAAGAATTCAGAGTAAGCATGCAGATTGTAAGTGGAAATGAGACAAGATGGATTGATGAGAACACAACAAGCGCCTAGGGCGTTAGAACTTTGGAAGATCAAGCGTGCAGCATGCAAACAAGCAGAGAAAAAAAAGAGGGATCAAACAAGCAGAACAAGACGTCTTCAAATATCTGAAGATGAGAAATTGAACACGCCAATCGTGTTTCCAAACCCAGCAAGGGCATGAGACGTCGAAATCAAAAGTGGCGCGACCCTCGTAAACGGCAACCTCGCGATCACATCCCCACTCGGACTAGGCGGCGGCGAGCTCCTGCTCGACAGAGTCGAAGCCGCAGATGAACACCTCTTCCGCCTCTCAATCGGCTTCAACGACAAATCCGAGAGCCTCGAAAAGCGCAGCCGGGAAGTGGCAGGATCAAACGTCCATACCTCCCACCTTTCCAGCGTCGCCTTGGTGAGTCCTTGTGTAGGGGTGAGACTCACCAACGGCGTCGTCGTCCCACCTTTCGACTTTCCTTGGGACCGCGGTTTCCGTCGGATCCCTACATACTTGGACAAACACACATCCCACCCTCCCCGCTCGCACGTCACATCCCCCACCTGGATCACCACCACATTCTGCCACAACTGCGACTGGTTGGGCGTGGCTGACCCATTGAGGGGCGGTCGAGGATCCTGCTCCTCACTAGGGAAAGGAACAGTAAGCTGATCAAGCGACCGTCGCCCCTCCTTCTCTGACGCTCTCCTCGAATGCACCCCATGCCCTGAAACAGGGAAATCGGCCATCTCGAACGCAGTCGCAAGCCTCGCCCTCGGGATGGAAGGTGATCCAATCCTCGAAGAGGCAGTACTGCTGCTTCTCGATCGTCGACCAGAGGTGTCTCTTGTAGGTATGTGGCGGAGTTGGCTGTGCGAACACGAACACCTGCGCATTTGGTCGTTGATACAGAGGTTGAAGAATCGGACGACATGGTCCACCGAAAAGGCAACGGAGATGCTTTCTGGAGGCGGGTGACCACAGAAGTGGCAGGTATTGTTGGGAATTGGCGCAGTGCGGAGCATGTTTACTCTGCCCTGGAGTTCATCAAGGATGGAGATGCATTCCCCTGTTAGGCCATCCCAAAGGGAGACCGTACCTCGCTCCGTCGCAGCTGCAATGATGGGTCGAACTGCCCCATTTAACTCTGCCCGACAGGCATGTACCCTGGCTACAGGGTCCAGCGGCGATCCAGGTTGGATACAATAGTCATTCAAAAAGACCGGGCTGTAATCCCCTGTCTCATGAAGATCTATCGTACCATCGTCAAGAGAGAACGCGATCAAGACGCTGTTGTCGGACGCGACAGGCAGTAGCGACGATCTGACGACGGATACATCCCTTGAGGGGAAGAATCGAGTAGCTGATGGCGAGCGTTCGACAGACCACCGGATGGCGGCGCCATTTTCGTAGGTTGCGAGGATGACGGGGAAGGTTGGAGGAGGGATGGAGAGTTTCCTATCGGATCGCGTAGGTTGTGTCGATACGAAATGAAGCTCTGTAACTGCAGCGGATCCGTCATCCAGCGCTAGCACTGGTAGAGCGGTGACACTTTTGCCCACAACGACCCACACAGTGATGATACCCGTGCTGGTGCCGATTGCGAGTAGGTTGCCTGTATCATCCACTGTCAAGGAAGTCACGGCAGCTGTCGAATCAGAGGTGCTGGGTTCGCTGAGAAGAACATCTCCTGCATCAATAGACAGGTAAGTTCCCGTTTCGGCTTTCCAGATGATAATCTCGTTGTGAAGTCCAACAGATACGACCACATTGCCGTCTTTGCTTGACGCGATGAGCTCAATATCACTGGCGATTGCGCGCGGAAGAGTGGAGAAGGAGATTTGTGAATCCAGGGACTTTTCTTCTTCCGCCACCTCTTCTCCGGAGCCGTGTCGTTGGGTTTCCAGTAACTCTGTATCCTTGAGCAGATAGAGCAGAAGACCGTAAAGCAAGGCGGTGGTGATGCCGATAGGGAGTAGCATAATCTTCATTATCCACACCGCGGAGTTGATGGTCCGGCGCGTCCGATAGGGCTTGGCTTCTTTCGTCTTGGGATTTTCTGTGATTACCGGGTTTAATGTCAAGATGGTTGGCGCTTCCACTCTGAGATGGAGCAGAGGCCGCTGGTCTGGATTCAAAACCTGCCAGATGTGTTCTGCCATGGGTCGCTGTTTCGGCTGAAAATTCGGAAGCGCAGTCTTCGCTCGAGAGACGGCGCCCAGAGGTTGGGCGATCTGGGCTTGAGGCAGGGCCGTGTTCGTGTAGGTCGCGTAGTAAAGTGTTGCCGTAATGGCCAGAAGCTGGGAAGGGGACATCAGACGAGCGTATGGCAAAATGGTAGAGGCAGTGTGCACCATGACTAAACTCCCATTTGCAGCCGCCCGGCTCTTCAGGAAACGTTGGAATTTATCCGATACCGACCCAGAGTGCTTGATATCTTTGGAATGCGCAAGGGAGGGTGCAAGACTGCTATCATGTCGCAACAGTTCTTCAAGCTAAAAATAAGGTTAGCGCGCGCATTAGAGCATATCTAAAAATACACATACCTCCAACCTTGCGATGTCGATGGAGAGAACAGCCATGAAGAACGTGTGGGCGAGGAACCAGTGGGCGACAAGAACCACAATAGCGAAGGCGCAAAACTGCCGAACCGCCCCCGTGCCAAAGACTGCAATGACGCCGAGGATGGCGTTGTAAGACATGACTTTGAGGGTATTCGATGTCCCTGCCTTGCTTAACCCCTCCGCTATGCGCTGTTTCACAGACAGAGTAACAGAGGTCTTCCCCACAGCATCGACCTACAAAAACGGAATCAATGTCATCCAAAAACGATAAGATGGAAAACAAATGGACTTGCCAGATTGAACATATTCTCAGCGCCCACGAAAACGATCACGATTGGTAGCAACTCCCTGGGGAAATGAATTGAGATATCACGGAGACTTGATAGAGAAAACGCATACCATGGCACCATAGTTATTCTAAATCCTACCAAGGCGCAAACGCTGAGCGACGTGATCGTACTGACCGCGATCTCAACCAAGGCGGTGAAGACAACTCCAAGTCTTGAATGGACAGCGGTCATTTGGCTGAAACCCCAGGCAACATACACGAAAAAGCCGGCGTATGCGAGATAGAGGAACGCCGAAATGGCGGTCCATCGAGGATTTACGTTTTGATTGAACTAGGGTATGAACGTTAATGACGCGTAAACCAGGGCTAAGAATGCGGGACTTACGTCGAGGGCAATCAAGGTAGGCTCCTGTATCTGGATAGAGACGAATGCATCTTGAGATGCGGCTTTCTCTATCATCTGAACCCAACGAGCATGCTCATGATTGCCTAAGCAATCTGAGTCGGGAAAGAAGTAGGTGATGGCGAGGAACGTGGCATAGTCGAACTTGGAGCTTCCTACATGGTGCTCATAGGAGCCGCGACCGGCGAGCACCATGTTCGGGGAGACGGAGATACCTGCGATGGTGACATTCCCGGAGTGGCTGAGAAGTCTGTCTATAATATTGTCGTCGGAGAGAACAGCGTCCTCGTCATAATTCCAAAAAGAAAGAGGAGAGAGCACGAAGCACCCGCCATCTGGGTTTTTGAGGCATGGAGAGTCGTCCGAAGCTTTGATGAGGTCGTTGAGGCGTCGTTCGAAGGCGAGTGTCGAGGTAAGAATGCGTTGGTTCAGGGCGCCGTCGTCACCAACGAGAGGGCTCTGGATAAAGATTCGCTCTACGCGCAAAGCTCTAGCACACTTTGCGCGAGCTACAGCGTCTTCGCGGGTGCGTAGGGAGTCGTAGCCGGACCAGAGATTGACGAGGTCTTCTTGGGCATGGAGAGCCGAGTTTCCATATAGCGGTGCAAATGCGTCGAATATCGTGGACAGCTTGAGTTCAGGAGACGAGTACAGTGACAGTGCCGGGTAGAAGAGCGACGTAATGACGATGCAGGAAATCAATACAATTCGGATTTGGTGGGTTGCACAGTGTCTGGGAGAAGCCCAATCGTTCAGTGAGTTGAATGACACGGTGACGGCGCACTCACAGTCCGAATTGGAAGAAGAAAGACTGTCCCAGAGCACGAGCCCATCGCAGCGACCTTGCAAAGAGCTCCAACATCGTCGTCGTCGTCGTTGTCGGTGACCAAGGGGCGGCAAGGGTCCGAGCCAGGGAAGATGTGGTGCCGGTGGTGGTGGGGGGACCGAGTTTTGTACTATTTGATAATAAATAGAGAGTTCTGGTTTAGTTTGAAGGGGATAGTGAAAGGTTATTCTTAAGCAAGCATTGTAAGTATCAAAAGAAGCCCCAATCGACGTCAAGAACGGACTCGGACTCGATTCCCGGCCAAGCTCAGCTGCCTCTCTCCCCTCCATATTCGCGCCGTCACGTGCACATTTGATCCCAACTATCCCCCTGGCGTGTGTCGTCACAATTCAAAGTCCTTCCTGGTCCAAAAGTTGTTCAGGACATTCCATGGCTGCAGTCTCCAGGGCATCGTGTACTGCACTTCGAAGCGCGCTGAGCGCGTCTTCTGCACCCAGAAGACGTGAGTATTTCTTCCACTTCACCCTCGTATAATTTCTGACAACTATTTCTAGCGCTGCACCAGTCGGCCAGGCGCTATGCCATTTCAAACTTCCAAATGCCGGCCATGTCCCCCACAATGTCGGAGGGAGGAATCGCGTCATGGAAAGTCAAGGAAGGAGAAGCATTCTCTGCAGGAGATGTTTTGTTGGAAATTGTGAGTGTTTCTTCAGCCTACGTGTCCCAATCCCCAACTTTAACTCGGTTCCGCCTTGTAGGAAACAGACAAAGCTACTATTGACGTAGAAGCTCAAGATGATGGAATTATGGGCAAAATCTTGGTGCGTCGTGCTCCACCTTGATCAAACTACTGGTGTTCATTGCTGCTTAGGTCCCTGACGGTGCCAAAAACGTGCCAGTCGGCAAACTCATCGCCCTCCTCGCAGAGGAAGGTGATGACATCGCCAATATCCAAATCCCCAAGGAAGAGCCAGCCCAATCCTCTTCTCAAGTTGCTTCGCCACCTCCGTCACCTTCTGCGGAACCTCCAGCACCTCCCCAACCGGAACAGCAAGCCCCCAATGTCCACTCTGGCAGCCTTCCTTCGCATTCCCAGCCTCTATTCCCTTCGGTGCACCGTCTCATCATCGAAAATGGCATCCAGAGCCTCGACGCCATCAAAGGAACAGGTGTTCGAGGGATGATCACGAAGGGTGATGTTTTAACCTACCTTGGCAAGGCCTCGGGTCCAAATGGTACCTTCAAGCCAGCTCCTACCCCGATTCAGGAAGCCACGAAGAACCTCCAGAAGCAGGCCCCTGCTGCTGAGGAAGCCAAACCACTCGATGGAGATGCCATCCGACGTCTCATTGTCAACTCGATGCTTCAACAATCGCTCAAGACGCGGAACCCTCCTCCTGGTTCGTACCTTCTTTCTATCCATTCTTTCGTTGGATTTAGAGCTAATTGGATTCCTTTTCTAGACTATGCAGGTGCAGACTTTGACTCTGTCCTTGCAGATTATTTGCCATCTGCTCCGAAGTCGACCCCTGCTACCACTGCTCCTTCCCAGCCTGCTAAAGCAAAGACTGACTCTTTCCTCTCCGGTCTTTTCTAGTCGGAGCGGCCTCCATTTCTGATTCCTGCCACCCTTCGAACTTAGAGGCGTCTCAGATACTTTGTTTACGACGTTCGATACTTTACTCCTTGCTTATAGACAGTCTATTGCAATTCTTTGGGGATTTAATTTTCGACTCTGGGTAGCTTATAAAGTCCGAACAAAGCCGACGACATCAGCGCGTATTGTTTTATTGAGTCCGTGGAAGGAACGGCGCGATCGCGACGCGTCGTTTGCAAATTCGATTGGCGCGTTGTCGAACTCTTCCTTGAACCGCCATCTGCTCTGCTCCCGATCCCTTGTCCTCAGCACTCCATGTCATCACAAGAGCAAGACGAACTACCTCCAGTACAGATTCACTACTAGCTTCGATTTCGTCGTCCATTGAAGATCCTTGAATCTGAATTCAGGTGCTTACTACATCAGTCCACGATGTTCGGTACTTTGCCGCCCTCCTACGAGGCGTGCATTTTGCCAATGTTAGTTCATTCACCGTTTCCGGTAGACGATATGAACCATACTATTGCTGACCGGTTGGAATGCTCCCATAGATGGCTACGATTACAATAACAAAGCGAGGACTAACTGTGACCGTCGAGGAAGCTCGTACGCTACTCGGTACGTTATGCTTATCCATTCACCTCGTGTTGTTGGTCGCCTTCTGGGGGTTAGGAAGCAGAGACTCATCGCGATGAATTTGTATGAATAGGAACGGCATTCATCTTTGCTGATGTATTCGACGAATACGCCTATCACTCCGAGGCTGAACAGGGTCGAGTCAGGAACGATGGAGAAAACAACGAAACCCGACGGCAATGCGACGAATTCGACGAAGATGAAGAAGACAATGATAACAACGCAGCGTTCCAAGTCCACCTCAACATCCTCATCGAGTGTTTGAACATATTCGGAACAGCAGGGCCTGTGGCTGCTCCTATCACTTCTAGCGCTACGAACTTTAAGAAGTGGCGGAGGGATGAAGATGAGGGGGATGATAATCACGAAGGTGGGAGGCGAGGAGGTGGTGATAACAGGAGACTCGAAGCCTACTTGGGTGGACCGGAGAAACGCACTAGCATGCGCCTGTCATATCCAGGGAATGGGTACCCTTTGACCTTACTCATGTTCGTGCCGAGTAGACTTGGAGAGGGAGACGCGCTGACTCGTTAAGATGTGGATTAGTGCGGAAGACGCATCGGGTCCAACGACGACTTGCGAAATCACGACTTACGATCCTGAACCTCACCTGGATCTCGATTTTGATAACGATAGACTGTACGTCGCCGTTCCTTGCCTTTCGTTCGACGCTTGTAGCTCAGTTACCTTCCTCTATTTCCAAAGCGTCTTAAAGATCATCCTCAAGGTCAGTTCCAGCCCCACGTTCCTTCCCAATCGCGTTTCCTGACTGATAAATTTCAGTCTTCCTGGCTTCGAGACGCGCTATCAGAGCTCGATCCTTCATGCGAAAAGTTGACTTTCATAGGGAACCCGCCCATTGAGGGCACCAGTGGCGCAGATGGCGCTGGTAAGAGAGCACAGAAGAAACCACGAGCACCTTCGGCTCCCCTGTTCCGGATTCAAGCAGATGGAACGTTTGGAAGCACAGAGGTGGGTGGTACCCTTCGGTCGTCCCAAAATACAGGATTGACCCGCGCAGATGGATTATCCGAACGATCGAGAGGTGTTGGAAACCTTTGAGTGCACGCAGACTGTGCAATTTACGTGTGTATCTGTGTTCAATTCCGCTGGCTAGCGCTGATGGCGTTTTTGCTACGCGCTGCGCTGAAGGTACCGGTTCGGCCACATCTTGAAAACGCTGCGGGCGTTGTCGAGCTCTACGAAGACCTCACTGAGAATCGACGAAGACGGATTGTTGAGTTTGCAGTTCCTCATGCCCTCGCCGAAACCTAAAGATGCCATGGATGCTTTCATTGAATTTCGGGTATACCTTCTTTTCCTCTTCTACATTCCTCTTGCTGAGCAGAGCTTTCCAGTGCCTGGCTTTGGACGGCTCATAATTCTCACTCATTCCCAACATGAAACTCGACCCTCGACAAACTAGGTCGATGTCTGATTCTCTCCAGCATTACGACAGACACCTGCAAGCACATCTAGTCAAGTACCCCATACCAACTGCTCCACCTCACTATTGCCCCTGTTTGCAGCCAGGTTGGCGACGATCATCCTTCTCAACGCAGCGCCATCCATCTAAATTTAAACCATATCCGTCAAGAAAAGAATCAACTTCATAAATATGATTGACTGCGTACCTGGACTGCCGAGGTATCCTCCGCTGCAGGAGCAGCACCGCTCCTAGGCAACGGAGAGGAATAAGTCGCGGACACGGGTGTCTTCCACGCAGAATTCAAACCAGCAGTGCCCTTGGGCGAAGGACAGGGTGGAGGGATGTCTAGCCTCAATGGTGTTGCACCAGTTGCCGACATGGGTGTACTGGGGGGAACACCCCGGGGTCCACCAATATGAGCGCTGCGCTGCCCATACCCCATCGCGTGTTTCTCGAACAGGGACGGTGTCCGTGGTGTTCGGGGCGACATCATCGCCGGGAGTTTGAATTCTGGGTGCCTGGGCGACGAGCCGCCTGCCGTTGTCGTCGATGGGGATGCGGTGCTGTTGAAGAGGGAGGCAGAGGAGAGGGAGGCACTTGGAGGTGGTGGTGTGGAGACGAAGGGGGGAGGTGTGGGTGCGAGGGCTTGTGCTTGGATGGAGGCGAGTTCGGCGGCGTCACGGGCGACAATGGCAATTATAGCCTCGACGGGGACGTGGTCCGTACCGTCTGGTGTCTGTACATGACGATGGTTAATTGTTAGACTTTCCACTGTGACCCGCTCAAAGACTTACCAGAATTTTGCCCATGATTCCAGGACTGCAAGCTTCAACATCGCAAACACCAGTTTCGTTTTCCTGTCGCCCGACGTTACACATAAGCTGTGATTGGGACTGGGACGGACGTACAATTTGAAGTAAAACATCCCCAGGGGCAAACTTTTCACCCTCCTTGATCTTCCACTTTGTGACGGTCCCTTCTGTTGCGAACGGTGACAGTGCAGGCATCATAATGGCTTGTTTCTTCAACGAATTGTGAACCCCTACATGCCTCTATTAGCGTTTACCCCTCCGCAAACAGGGAACCACTTACAGCGCCTTCTGAAGTGGTGTTGGATCCTCGTTTGAGCATGAACAACGCGCGTTTGAGCTGCAAGGTTGGAGAGAACGAGAGACGACATCTTCCTAGTATTTCTGTGTAACAAATGAGAGTCGTGAACGAGAGTCGATGTTTCTTTTTGGGAGTTGGTGTTTTATTTTGGACGTTGTATCGGTCGACGATAGCTTATGATGTAGGGTTGGCCAGCAACGCTTTTACTACACGGAAAGAAACCCCACAGTGTTCTGGCCTAGAGATGTTTTATACCTCGATCAGCCTGGAGTGTGTGATGGGATCAATGGGTGATGTATTCGGGTTGATGCCGGCTCGGGCGCTCGGGTAAGGAACGGGGCGACTTGGGTGTCGCCTCCTGGTTCTTAGGCCTAACGACAGTGTAGAATCTGTACAGCTTCAATGCCAGTGAAACGAGGTACGTTATCGCCAAGAATTGCAAGTGACGCCTACAGTAATTAGATACAGCATTTATTGTACTCTGCGGTGCTACGCCGAGTTTTAGCTAAAAACAGACGCTGGTGGCAGGGGAAGCCACATCGTGACTTGCCGTCGAAGCTTCTTTGGAAGTCAATAAGTACAGGACTGCATCATAACCAGGCAAGGAACGCACACACCACCCGCACACCCTTTCTCATCCCGTCCCATGTTCTTCTGACTTGTCGTCCTTCCAAACGACCATGAACGACCGCAAAGTGGCCATCTTCTGGGACTATGGTGAGCGGGATACAAAACAGTTGGTTACGGGAACAAATTCTTATGTTGATACACCCACCCGTCGTGTTGAACAGAAAACTGTCCCGTTCTGGGCGGTTGTTCTGGTCATCAAGCAGTGAAGAGCATCCGTGGTGCAATCCAGCCCTTCGGGAGTATCAAACTGTTCAAGGCGTACTTTGCTATCTCAGAGTCGCATACCAAGTCGGTTACATTGCGCTCGGAGCTCCAAGCTTCAGGAGTATCCTTGACGGATACCCCACATAACGGACAGAAGGATGTGGCGGACAAAATGATCATCGGTATGTGGTGGTGGTTGGATTGAAGACTTGCTCGTATGAACAAATGTGCTTTTGTAGTGGATATGCTGCTTTACGCAATGGACAACCCCGCGCCTGCGACTGTCGTCCTCATCTCCGGTGATAAAGACTATGCGTATGCAATTTCGGTGTTACGACTCAGGCAATACGACGTCGTTGTCCTTACGCCTCCCAACGCCAGCCCGAGCCTAACCTCCCACGCAACCGTATGCCTCGCATGGAACAAGAATGTCCTCGCAAGTGGTTTCGAACCTCTCCCAACGGCTACCGTCCTCCCCCCGCAAATGCCCAACGCAGGGCAGCCCGCTGCGCCAGCATCGCCCACAATAATCAGACCACAAGCTTCAACCGTCCCATCACTCGATCAGATTCGTAACCTGGGCGAAGTCTCGCTCGAGAACTATTTCGAACGAAGACCTTCCATTGTCGGGTTGCCTCCTCCCCCGCGGTACGAGCCTGAGCGGAGGATATCTCCGCCCACTGAACTTGCGCCGCCCACGTCTACGTCCACGCCAGCGACTCCTGCCCCTCCTAAGCGCTGGGCGCGGGCGGATAGCACGTCCTCGATCGCCTCCTTCGTTACTTGCCAGTCCAGCCTCAGTGGTGGTCAGTCTTCATCGAGTGGAGGAGATTCGAGAAGTCAGAGTGCAGAGTCATGGTCTGAGGCTGATGTTCGCGCAAACGGTACGCAGCAGAGCACGGCACTTCGACCGGAATCTCCTTCGACAGCTAGGGCGATTCGAACCGCCAGTCTGTCGTTCTTGTTTTCGCCGGAAAGAACACCGCTCGGTTCTCTTCCTCCCAGGGACACATCTAGTGTAGAACTCGAGTCTCGGTCAGCGACCCAATTATCACCTTCGCCTAGGTCTGTAACATTATCTCCAGAATTACTGTTATCACATCGGCAGGACGCATCGACATCAACATACTCTCTCTCTCCGAAGGCCGCCACATCTTCTCCTTCTGTCCCACAATCCACCCTCACCGCTCGCGATTTCAAGCCCTTGATCAAGATCCTCCAAGGATACTATGCAAGGGGAATAACTGAAGCTTTCCGTCCCTCCGTGGCTGTGGAAGTGCTCACCGCAGACAAGTCCATATATACCGTCCTTCCCCCGGGGAAGCCGCAGACCTTTGGAAGCTATGCTGAATTAGCAATGTCCTCCGGCATTGTGGATATTGGAGGATCTGGTGGGGAAACTTGGATATCCCTTCGACCTCAGTACCGCGATATTGACGTGGACAGCTTATGATACCTACGACTTTCTGAAAGATGACGAATGCATACTCACTCTATGTACATTACCCGTATCCTGCAATGAACAAATGTCGTTGGAACTCGGTGGAACTCATAGCTCCTGGAGTTTAATTAGAGGTCACGAGGTGGCTTTCCGGCGCTTAAAGAAGCGTGTCAGAATTGTGGGCGTATAAAAAGCCCAAACCCATATTGGCCACTTGTACTCAGTAACTCTCACCATCGATCTGCTGATCAGTTGTCCCTGCTCCTCTCATGGTGGCCCCGAAAGTGTTCATCCTATGGGACCTGGGTGAGTGGATTAGGGGTATCCGTGATCTGCCAGTTGAAACATGTCCGATCTAAATAAGCGCTGACTTTTTTGAATCATGCTCTCTGGTCTAGAAACCGCCTTTTTGGCGAATCGCGATGCTGCCGATATTGTAGCAGGCCTTCGCCGATTGGGTCTCTCGGCCAAGGGTGGCCCTATTCGCAACATCACTGCGTATTGGAACAGCCGCGATGCACAGGGGCTGCAGGCCTATTTAACCGCCCTGAAAAATCAAGGCATCGATAATGTCGACACCTCGTTCCTGCAAGGCGACGAATGCACGGTCAAGGCAATGACAGGAAGGCGACCTCTCACACCCGGTATATTGTACCTGCATTAACTTCAATTTCTTTCTTGCAGTGGACATGTTCCTTAGGATCATCGATGGGAACAAGTCGCCGGTAGTCCTGATCATCTCGAACAATCCTTCAATGCAGTATCCTATAGCGCAGCTCACAAACCGCATGCACAAGGCACAACTTATTGGCACTGGTCAACTGGAGGCCGCCATCGAACGGGCGGTTGCTTTGAACCAGGCTGCCATGGCAGAGCAAGGCACCCATGGGCATGAGAGTAGCCTCAACGACGAAGCTAAATACAATCAGAATGAAACAGGGGGTCCTGCAGGTCCCAGCAACCTTACGGATCCTCACAACGCGGGATCCAGCCCGGTGACACCTACGGGGTCAACACAGGTACGCGTTTTTGCAGCGGATGGGAGCCAACGCGGGCGTTAATTGGCGTCGACCCTGGAGAATCAGAACGAAAGCAGCTTCGCTAGTGGAAGCATTACATACCCCCAGCCACGACAGCGCTTCCAAAGGTAAGCCTAATATTCAACACGAACTGCGAGAAGTGAGATGCCCACTGACCACCGTAACCTAGCGCACACCCTTGCTTTGCACCCCTCATCCATGTCCTGGCCCTCGCCAGCGATCAAGGAGACCCCAAGGTTCTCAAACCGAGACTGGGAAACTTATTGATGCAACAGTCACATTCCGTATACACCGACGCAGGGGTTAACACTTTCAAGAAGTACATCGAGTTGGCGGAGAAGCGTGGCATCATCGAAACGGGAGGGGGAGGTGTGGGAGCTTGGGTTGCTTTGAAGGGCGAGCTGGACGAGGAGAATGGTCTGCCTGAGGCTTGAGCTCGAGCAATTATCGTCTAATTTGCAAAGGTAGTATCATTAGTATTGTAGTATGTATACCGGTCTACACCCATTTCAAGGCGAGTCCACGCTCGTCCAAACGCGTAGCGTATCCTCGTCACGCTCAAGTTCTTCAATGAGACCTGATACTTTCGCCTCCAGTTCTTCTGAAGGTTCGCTAGCTTCCGTCGGTCTATAAATGAGTTCGCTGGATTGCAATTGTATTGACGCGGGGTTGAACGAGGAGACAGCATCCGTGACCTTCGCCAGAGCTTCCGGAGCAGATATAAACTATTCACTCAAACCGTCAGAATTTCAATACAACCAGCGAGCGCAGGCACGCACCTTGATCAGCAATGCGTTCTGTTCCTCGTCGACTTCTTGGTCGAAGTCCTCTGCGTCAGCGAGCAATGCAGCCTCGATGAGATCTTCGGCGAGCTTCTCGTGGTTTGCCAAGGATTTATCCAGGGAGGCTTTGACGCATCCTTTCCTCTCGAACATGAACTTGACGGGGGCAAGTCGGGCACTGTAGGAAGGATCAATCATCCTGACCGATGCCAATTCAATTCTACGACCACGTACTCGTGTCGCGAGAGGGCGTGTCGGATATTGTGGACGGTACGGGTCGAGTTGTCCGTGAGGCATTCTCTACAGTGGGAAGTCGGTTAGAGCTTGAAAAGCCTGGAGAGCGTACGCACATTACAACTCCAACGGAGCCAAACGCCATGGCTTCGTATGTGACGCTCTCCCCGCCACCCTTTTCCTTCCCGGCACCGGCCTACACATTTTACACCCAATAAGCCAAGAGGTCCAGGCTGCAACACCTGAACGTACTTTTGCAAGTGCCTTCTCCAAATTATCCTTCGGAACGCCCTGCTCCTTGTAGTTCTTCAGCACTGCTGCCAGCTGAGCATTCTGGCTCGGGTCGGGAGAACCGCCGGCTGTCGGATTGCTACTGGTCAACGGAACGCGAAAATTAAGGCTCTAGTTAGAAGCGTCGCGCACTTTTAGCTGCTACGATGATATCCTGTAGTTATGTTTCGCGTTAGTGAGAGTACGACGAGGAACAGTCCAACCAACGCACCCGGATTGCCCGGCCGTACAGCACGCTCTTCTGGGTGTCATTGGCGCCTTTCTTGTCTTTGATTTTGGACCACTGGTTCAAGACTTCGTTAGGTGCTGTTCAATAGCATTCAGGCGAACCTTACTTTGTTATGGCCAGCTCTAGTAGTCGCCGAGGTGGAGAATTCGAGGTTCTGGCGCCGAGCAATCCTTGCCCGTTGAATCAGAGCCCGACAAAGCATAGTGTTCCGCTCTTTTCACACGATCGTTCCAGGCTAATGAATAAGGTAGCATTTTTGCACAATCTAGCGTGCCCCGATGTTTCCCGCGAATTAGGACCAGTATGAACAAATATACAAGAGATGTTGTACACAAGAGATAGCAAAAAGCAAATCACACAGCGTAAAGGTCATGATAATTTCTACCGACGATTCTAATCTTGTCACCTACAGTAGATAGTCCACGAGAAAAGAGTGCGCCGTAGTCATGAAAGTGTAGATGTAATGAATAAATGTGTAATCCGTCCGGATTTAGTTTTTGTCGTGTACCCGTTCGACACCACTCTCAGCAGCTTTAACTGCAGAAGCCAAATCGATGTGGAAGAAGGGAGTGTTCGTAGGGACGACGGGCTCAAGCACACTCTCGCTTTCCTTGGGAGAGGCTGGCTCCTTGGTGTCCCCGCCAGATTCGATGTCGGATGGGGGCCCCTTGGTAACTTCGTCAAAGCTGGTTCCATCGCGATAAGGCACGACTGCGGCGAGATCGAAGGGAATGCTGGAATGCGAGTTTCCGATACCGAAGCCACCCGCGACGAGGGCGCGATGAATCCATGGTGAAAGGATAGGAGCAAAGTGAAATTCCACGGGATGGTCAGCCCATTTCTCAATCTCTCGGCGAGCATCAATGAGAGCTTGAACCGATGTGGTATCGATGTGGGAACTAATGAAACCGGTGAGCTTACCCCAGACCAACGAGAGATGGAATCAAACTTACACTGACGAGAAGTCCAGAACGATGGCGTGAAGGACGGGCTTCTGCAAGTTGAGGGCTTGGTCTTCGGCACCAGAACGCCTCTTTCCATAGTCATTCCAGGGACGATCGCTGGGTTTGACATTCGTCATATCTTGGCCACGCCTGTATTTGGTCTTAACCTCATCGACAAGAGCAGAGTTGGGGATAGAGCTGTTAGGATAGAGGTAGCTCTCCTCAAAGCGGTAGATGATGACACCCTCTGCCGGGGGAGTGACCTTGACATGAGGGTTGGTAATACCGTTCTTGGTGAGAGGGAGGTACACATCTCGGCTTTCACCCTTTCCGTTCTCTCCTTGGTGGATGGTGACCTTGCCAAGGAAGCTATCTCGGGGATGGGCCAGGCGGACGAGGAGAAGAACCAACGAAGCGACGACAGAAGTGTAGATGCCGTTCTCGATGGAAGAGAAGACGGTGATAAGGACTGCAGCGGCCCAGATGAGGAATTCGAGTGGGGAAATGCGCCAGTAGGAGTAAACCTATTAAATCGCATTAGCCGGTAAGTATTGTCGGAGAACAACGAAGACTATACCTGATCGGGGGAAGCCATGAGATCGGCGACGGCGTGGATAATGACGGCAGAAAGACCAGCCATAGGAATCCAGAAGAAAGCATCGGTCAAGCCATACAGAGCGACAATAACAACGACGGCCGTCACAACACCGGCAGCAGGAGTTCGGACACCACACTTCGACTTAAGTGCAGAGCGGGAGAATGATCCAGTGGCGGGGTATGCACCAAAGACGGAACCAACTGTATTGGTCACGCCAATGGCAATCAGTTCCTGAGCAGGGTTGATCTTGTATCCGTTCAGTCGTCCGAAAGCTAACCGAATGGATTAGATTGGAAATGAATGCCACGGGAAATTGAGCTTACACTTGGCAATGGCGATGTGCTCCAGAAGCAAGATGATCGTGGCCACGGGAATTTTGGGACCAAGGGCAGATAGAAGGGAGGTAGAGATGGGAGGGGGGCGGACGTGCTTGAAACCCGAAGGGACGGTGAGCAGGATCCTGATGGGATATTTGCCAGTCTCAGGGTCCAATCTCTTGCGGTTGTAAAGGAACGACGCCAAAGTCAAGACAATGATAACGAAGGCATTCCGCATAACGCTCATGAAGAAGAACCAGCGGGCTGGACATCGATTAGCCCATGTATCCAATAGGTAAAGGGAGAGGACATACCGCGTGCGGGATATCGCTTGGTCCCCCAGATGCAGAAGTAGCGGATGGCGTAGAGTGAGACTAGACCAGTGATGCCCCATGCAGCATCGAGCTTGGTACCACCGAGATTCTTCAAGGTATTGATGATGACCTGGTATGCGGGATCACGAGTACTGGTGGCATCGGTTAGACCACGTCCGATACTATAGAACAAACGATGATTTACCTGAAGCCAGTGATTCCCATTAGGCCTGGGATTTGAGTGGTAGCAATTGTGAACGCAGAGCCAGTCATGAAACCGCTGACAGCCGGTGCCGGAATGAACTCGACGAGCCAACCGATCCTCAGAAGACCCATGCCCAAGGTAATGAATCCAGTAATGACAGCCAAAACGGCGGCGATGTCTGGTCCAGTCCACACACCAGGGTGTTGGGATTCGACATGATTGATGATTTGAGAAACGAGGATAGACATAACCGCGACAGGACCGATCGACACATCCTTGGACGTGGCGAAGAACTGTCCATTACGAAAGGTCAGACGTGCTTTTTTCAAGGCATAAGAGAGAAACGCACGCAGTAAAAGAGCACACCAACGAACGAGGAGTATAGACCGTACTCAGCGGTCAAACCAGCAAGCTGAAGATAGATCGCTGAGTCGTGCGTCGAGAAGACAAAAATGCATACATACCTGTGCATATGACATACCCTGGGGAATGACTACCATCCCGACCGTGATACCAGCAATGAGATCTCCGGAAAGCCATCCAAAGTCTGGTGCAAAATTGAGAGGTCATCCAATGGGGGTCAAGCAGCATACGCACTGTATCGAGGTAACCACTGGACAATGGGGAACAAGCTGAGGACATAGGCGCCGAACTGAGGAGAAATATGTCGTTAACATGAAAGTTTCGAGCAGGACGAGGTCGAGGCGCACCTTGTTTGTGGGGTGGTCGAAGAGACCTTGTGCCCAAGCCGTGCTCGAGATAATTGGGACAGTCTCTTCAGGGTGTTTCACGACGCGCTTGCTCCAACGCTTGAATGCGCTAGCCATTGTAGCAGTGGGGAGAAGCTGGGTGGGAGCACGAAGGATGTGACCAAATGTCCAGGAGATATTTATACCAGCGAGGAGGGTTTACGGCGCCGGATTCCGTTCTGAACAGAAGGAATTCTGGAGAAAAGGCACCAGGGAAAGTGACAGATAACCACTAGCCCTTTTTCGAAAAATCCACCAAACAAGAACGGTGAGTTGAGCACCAGAACTGTGTAGTTCTAGAGAACAGGAACCCCACTTTAAGCCACATCGCTTATTTCTCGAGATTCGTGATGTGTAGATTTGAGATCTTGACGCCTTTCTTGGGTCCATCGTCGTAATCCTGGATTGCGATGGCGCAATCAAGCGCGGCGTTTCGGAGTCGAAGTCCATTGACTTTCCCACGCCTTTTGGCTGGCTGCATCGTCCGTTTTGAATTTTGATGTCACCCGACATGGAGTGTAAGTAATTTGGGATGTCTCGAGGATGATCGAGGCTGATTAGACGGTGCACATGCCCTCCATTCGTCGCTACTTTTTTCTCTCTTTTTCCAGGCTTGTCAAGTCAAATCCGGCGAACATATGTCGATGTCGTTTGCGGGTGTTATGCTCTCTTTTGGAGTCCGAATTGCGGCCACTTTCAAGTGCTTGGGCCTTCGAAAAAATATGACGGAAGTTACACAGGATAGAACATCATAGGATGACCGAGACTTCCAGGATTTTACCAAGAGAAATTAGCACAGAATCCATCCCTCTGGACTCGTTGCAGGCCTCCATTCATCAATGGCGACATAGCGGCGTTGTTTTGGGCGTCCTTCAAATTAGACTAAGTTCAGGGACCGATCGAATGGCGAGTGCGTACCGCACACAATGTTATCGGAACTTTGGGAACTCTAGTCTTATTTGGCTCGCGACCGATGGATCCGCACACCATGTACGCTTTGCGCTGCTGACTGGGCAACGAAAGCAAGTCACGACGAGGATTATAGATTTCACCGTGGTATCATGTGAGCGGCGTCGAGAAATTCTCGCAGGTTGGAAGGGTAATTGAAGCCTATCACTTGCGCCATTTCGCCTTGAAGTGAGCCTTCAGGGCGACGCCCTTGATTCCAGAATCCAGTTTGATTGCATCCAAGGCTAAAAGCACGCCGCAGTGACATTCTCCAAGGCATCATGCTGCGATGGTGCCTTCCCCGATGTTGGACAGTTCCAGGTATATTGTCCGAGCGGCTAATATGGGTTGAGAGCCAGATACAAATAGAATACCTGGAGCGAGGAAGAAGCCCTGGTCCAATCTTGACATCAGCACCGTGGTCATAGCATCGTTGCCGCATCCCCGAAAGACGAAGTCATGGACCCAGAATAGGCGGTCAGACCAGAATGAACGCGTCGCGTCTTCTTCGACGCGCCGATGTAGCCCGTTATGACGCGCATGAGCTCCGGATGTATAACTTGAATTTGATCCCGTCCACCAGATTGACTGTCGATCGAGTTGTTCTTTTCCGTTCAGAAAAAGGAAATGCCGTCGGTTGTCTTCGAAGCAGATGTTCAACGGGGCCAATTATAAGGCGAGATATCCTCGTAAGTCAACCGTGAGTCCGTAGATGATAAAAGGAACATTGCAGGCGATTGCACGATTTGAAGAACGGCGGCCAGCTAAACGGATGGACATCCGAGAGGGTGGTTTGGCTTGGCCTGGAACAGCCAAGCTTCCTGGTTTACATGCCCATAGACAGAGAATGTAGAAAGAAAGCGCTTGAGTGACAATATAGCAGACCAGATGAACTTGACTGGAAGAGAGAAATAGCCAAGGAAACGTAGGGGGTAGAGGAAGAGGTCAACCTGGGCCAGAGATTAAAGTCTAAGACACAATTCCAGTCCAGATGGGTGATCGTGGGAACTTGAGACTCGGCAAATCACTGATCACCAGCGCGCAAGGTGCTCGTTGGCCTGAAGGGACGACCATCACCATAGCCCCTTGTTCCTCAACGTTCACAGCCATTTCTCTGTTTTCTCTTTTCAAGGCCAGTGCGCAGAGCGCTTTCACGAATAACGACCAACATCTTTGACGCTACAACCTTTAATTCGATTTAATGTCAGCACCTTTGAAGTCAACTCCCCTCGTTGCACCAGGCCATACCCGACCCGTGACACACCTTTCATTCTCCCCCCTCCACGAGGATGGAACTTACTTGCTGGTCTCAAGTTGTAAAGATGGAAATCCGATGCTGAGGGAATGGACTGGAGATTGGATCGGTACCTTCCTGGGACACAAGGGCGCCGTTTGGTGCACTAAAATTTCGTTGGATGGATCCAGGGCCGCGTCAGGCAGTGCCGATTTCACTGCGTGAGTATCCCCCGACCAAATTTGTCTGTTCAATTGCTCACCGCTTTGTCAGGAAGGTCTGGGATACTTACTCCGGCAATTGTCTGCACTCATTCCCCCACAATCACATCGTTCGAACCGTGGCGCTGTCCCCTAACTCATCGCGCTTGCTAACCGGCGGACAAGAGAAGAAAGTACGGATATTCGACCTGGGACGACCTGATGCCGACCCCGATTTCCTCTTCGACTCCGGGAACAACTCTCAAACTCATGATGGAACAGTGAAGAGCGTGATCTGGGCTGGGGAACATACAGGTGTTACATCTGGTGAAGACGGAAAGATCAAGTGAGCTGATTGAGAAGTTCTCACCACGAGCCACGTATTGACATTTACCCGTTCGAAGGTGGTGGGATTTGAGAACACGGAAGTTGACCACCAGCCTCGCTTTCCCTAACCCGATCACGTCGATGGAACTTTCGTTACAGACTCAGCGCCTTGTCGTCACGTCAGGAAACACCGTGGCGTTTATCCCGGTTCTCCCCAACGGTCAAGGAACACACAGCCTTACTTTGCCTTACTCTCCTTCATCGGCCTCTATCCACCCTATCCTCCAGGACCGATTTGTTACCGGAAACCTGGGCGATGAGTGGGTTCGTGTGCATGGAATGGACGGAGAGGAGCGTGAGGTCTTGAAAGGCCACCACGGACCCGTCCACTGCGTTGAGTTTAGTCCTGATGGCGAAATGTACGCCAGTGGTAGCGGTATGTGGCCTACTTTGCCCCATGATATTTGCCCAACTAATTACTGTCTTCTTTTTTCCATCATCACCAGAGGATGGTAAGTCCGCTACTATCTCCCCCTTTTCCCGGTTTAGTGCTGATCGCCGCTCTACAGGTACGATTCGATTATGGCAAACCACTCCTGGCAAGAGTTATGGCTTGTGGCAGGGCACGAGTTAATTCCGCAACAATACACAGGTTTAATTACTTGCCCGGATACGCGTTGTAGGTATTTTCATGTATTTCTCAACCTGTATTTGCTTTCTTTCGCAATGAATCCGTTCGTTTGCTGGGCTGGGTATCACCCGAGTCGGACTGAGAGGAAAGTGAAATTGAGAGGGACACCTGGGCCGTGCGTGACCCTTCTTTAGTGATGACATCATCGGTCATAGTGACTTCTCTTCGAGCGCTCCTCGTTCTCAGCTCTTTCTGAATTACCTATAAGCATGGCTAGTCCAGTTCACAGTCGTTCGCCATCACATACATCGACAGGGCCTCCTCCGCGCTCTCCTTCGCCTCCCTCGCAGATCTTCCACAAGTCGCTGAGCATACCCCCAGTTCCAACTCCGGCACTCCTCGAATCAGTCGCTGGAGCTGCTCATTACTCAGGTGTTCCAGTGGATGGAAGCACAGGGAAACGTCGTAGAAGAAGTAGCGCGCGGCCTACAGACGTGAAGAACCTCAAACCGGATCATCAGCGAGTTCTTGACGATCTGAAGGAACTCTACTGCGGTAGACCTAGTGTGGAGATCTTTGAGCGAAGTTTCCGAAAAGATGCGGTATTTGAGGTAGCCTTCTTCCCCATCTATCTCTACGTGGCTCTAGTGCTGATTGTCTGCCAAGGATCCGTTATCGAGATGTACTGGAGTTGATGAGATCGCTGCACAAGTGCGTGTTGGTTTCTCTGGACGTGTTGACTTCTCTGATCTATACCCCTTGGCTAGTTTTTCGCACTGGTGACGATATTCATTGTCCGCCTCCTATTCACTACCTGACAAGTACTTGTTCAGCCTAAATTCTTTTCGAAATCAGAAACCCTCGCTTCACGGGTCATGTCTTCGACTGCCGTCCCGAATCAAATAATCTACTGGCAAAGACAAGAGTATACCGCTCGAATCTGGGGAAGTACAAAGGTGGGTACCTGTGCATACCCGTTTTCATTATGTACTGACAGGCTTGAAGGTCATTGAATCGATAATTGTAGTGGATCTTGACGACGACGAGAAGATTGTTAGTCTGGTGGATCAGTGGGGCGGCAATGACCTTCCCAGTTGGTTCGGAGCGTCACTTCTTCGTACTATCAACGCGAAGTTGATGCCGTGGGTGATACGAGTACCGAAATCCTAGAGGAAACCCTAGGATCCTATGCTTTTGACTTGTCCACGATATCTGTAAATGTAATGGCCGGACTGACAAGTGTATTAATTCCATAGTGTCCTGAGTGTGGCCCTCCCGAGTGCTGTCACCTCACATAATCATGTTGCTTCCTGTCTCCACGTATGTGGCTGCTCAGGTAAAAGTACTGGGTCAGCTGGACGACCCAGCGTAAAGACGGACGAAATGGAATGCAACTATAAATGTCCCTGGGAAGCTCGACCTCGAAAGCCAGTGTCCTTTTGACAACCCCCATTCTTTCTTCCTATGCCACCCCCTGCGCAGTCCGTTTCCCCACTTGCGCCAATCGGCGTTTCCGCTGCCCTTCAGGGCAACCCCACCGAGAAGCCCAAGCCCAAGATCTTCGACGAGTTCGCACTGAAGGATCGCGTTGGCATTGTTTCTGGTGGTAATAGGGGCTTAGGCCTGGAGATGGCTTTCGCCCTATGTGAAGCTGGTGCCCGAGCGGTATATTGCCTGGACCTCCCTGAGAAACCTTCAGAAGAATGGCAGAAGACGAAGGAGTTCCTGGATAAGATGGATATCGGTGCCAGGCTCGAATACATCAGCGTCGACGTTACAGACCAACAAAAGGTATGGAAGGTGGCTGCGGAAATCGGGGACAGGGAAAAGAGAATGGATGTTTGTGTCGCTGCTGCGGGGGTTCTGAAGGCGCACACGGATTGTTTACATTATCCCGCAGAACAATTCAAACAGGTGTGTGTTCGTGCGAGTCGACAGGTGCAAGGATCTAACGCGCCAATCGCCAGGTCCACGACGTCAATGTAAATGGGGTCCTCTATACAGCACAGGCCGCGGGGCAGCAAATGGCTAGGTTTGGGAACAGAGGAAGCATCATCTTGGTCGCGTCCATGTCTGGTTCCATTACGAACAAGGTAAGCTGCCGCTTTTCCGTGTATAGGTGTCGGGGGACCCTGTTCACCGATAGCTTGTTGCATCAGGATCATGCTTGGGTATCGTATAACAGTAGCAAATCGGCGGTGCTCCAGATGGCGAGAAGTATGGCCTGCGAACTTGGGAAGCAGAACATCAGGGTGAACTCGCTTTCTCCTGGTCACATCTACACGTCGTAAGTGCTTTCTATGAAAGCTCTGATACGTAGTGTCTGTCAGAGAGCTGGGCACTGATGAATGCCGACCGAAACCTAGGATGACTGCAGCATATCTTGACAAGGAACCACACTTGTTGGAGAAGTGGTCGAATTTGAACCCGATGGGAAGGATTGGAAGGCCAGACGAAATGAGGGGTGTTTGCGTGTGGTTGGCGAGTGATGCTTCGAGCTTTTGTACAGGAAGCGAGTAAGCTTGTTCTTCAAAGGTTCCTGTCCAATATGACTGACCTTTATGGCCCCAGTATCATCGTCAGTGGAGGCCACCATTCGTGGTAAATGGACCGTTGCCCGGAGAGCAAGAAGATCAAGAAGAATCTCGAGAGAAGGGGTTCCGCGATTCCAATGTATGTAGTCTATGACGCGAGGTGGACATAGCATGGAGCATGTGAATAAGATGAGAAATTAGATATAGGTCAAGATAGCGTGCTGGTGGAAGAGGTCCGTACTGTCACGTCTCTTCCCTGCACCCATCATGCTTCCAGCGCGCGGAACTCTTTCAACGCATTCTCCGACTTTTTGTTCTTCTCCTTGGCAATCTCTCTGTTGGCTGTAGTCCTATTCACGCGCTATAACGGATATGTGAGCTCTGGGTAGCAAGGAACCTAGGGTAGACAACGGCGTACCTCGGTTCGCAGGCAACGATTCAATTCATCTTTCTTGGAGTTGCATGCACCGGTCAGACGGTTCCAGCCTGAGGCGTGACATCTTTCGAGCGCCTCGATAAAGTCCCTGCACACTGAGCGACAGATATTCCGGAGTAAGTCAAGACCAGTCACGATAGTGGTGATTGGTGAAGAGACTGACCAACTTTCTTATCAGACAATTGGGGGTGCATCTAAGCAACGTTCGTCACTGATTCTTCTTTTGACGACCGAGACAACGAGGGGCGAATGGACGGACAAGGACGTCTTAAAGTTTGGAATTGACAAAATGGGGTGGGGGACTCGAGCAAACCTCGGGAAAACAGGCAGAACATACGACATCCGCCAAGTCCCGGGGATGATGGGAGACTGCGGGAGCGGGACAGTCACATGAAAGCAAACACCGTGACTTGAGCGTGACCCACCAAACTCCCTCGAGTCACCAACGCGTCGAGCAATGAGCAACGACGACGACGACAGACTAGACGGTGGCGGGCGTGACCATCGATGGTCCCATGGGTGATTGCTGTTTGCAATACCATCATCTCGCCTGCCCTGCACCTCCCTCAACCTGGCCCACCGCGCTGGTGCAAGGACGAGGACGCTCATCGTATCTACCTCACGACCGGGAGGATTGCACACCACCCTCGAACAAGAAACTCGCAACACCCCGCCAACATCGACTAGGGAACTACCCCGCCGCCTCTCGCGCCAACACCTATGGCGTCGAGGACGGCGCCCTTCTGTAACCGTAGCTCTCCATTCACAAATAGTTCCTGAAGTCTAATTCAGAGTGTCCAGAACACACAGGATTACCATCCCCAACTGCAAGACCTCGCCCTCTATGGCCCGCCTGCCCTCGCTCACAAACTCGCCCGCACCGCATGTGATGACGCCGACACCATCCTGTAAACCCTTAAAGTTCACTTCTGTCGAGCGCCCTATCACGTCGATTCAGCGCTGGGCGTGGATGCCACCGACTCTGCTTGGACAATGAAGTGGTTGATATTGCCGTAGCAGTCTCTATCGAATGTTATATAGCCTTTTAAATACTCTAAAACCTGCCTCTCCCGCCCTAGTATACAACGATGAGCGACGCGTCGATTATCGGCTTAGCGCCTATGTGATGTAGCACGTGAGTCCCCGGGAGTCCCGCAGTCCCGGGGACTTTCCAAAACTCGGATGCTCTCAAAACAGGGACCGCACCGAGTCAAGCGTTCGGATCACGGCCTGGACCGAAACGGCCGATTGCCAGATCTCGAGATTAGATCACGCGAAATGGTAGAAAGCAATCGCGTTCGTTGCTGACTCTGCAACTTTTCTCTGGTCCGAGCCCTCTTTTCCATCTTCATCTCATTCCACCACCATGGCCAGCTTCGCCCCCCACCAGAACGACGATGTCGCCGTCGCCACTATCCGTATTCTCTCCGTCGACACCGTCGCCAAAGCCAACTCTGGCCATCCAGGTAGGCGTTGAAAACTTAAGAGATCGCCGCTGTGAAACCGTCACTGACAACGTCCTTAACGATAAGGTGCACCCATGGGTTTGGCCCCCGCCGCCCATATCCTTTTCTCTAGGTAAGCCCGCCTTAGGTCGTTATCCTGACATCGCCTAACACACTTGTCCAGGTTCTTGAACGCCAACCCCAAAAACCCCAATTGGTTCAACCGCGATCGATTCGTCTTGTCCAACGGGTAAGTTTCCGGAAATTTAATTCTATATTCGTAGCTCGAGACTAAGGCGATTTTTGTTTTCCAGTCATGGGTAAAGTGTTTTGTGTTCGCCGCTCCGAAGATTGTCCTCATCGCCTTGGCTAGATGCGCTCTCCAATACGTTCTCCTCCATCTCCTTGGTTACAACCTCACTTTGGACGACCTCAAGGCCTTCCGACAATTGGACTCCAAGACCCCTGGTCACCCTGAGGCTGGCCATACCGAGGGTGAGTTATCATCAGTAATAGCACCCCGCGTTTACTTATTGATCGATTGAACAGGTATTGAGGTTACCACCGGCCCTCTCGGACAGGGCTTCGCCAACGCTGTTGGTTTGGCCATCGCCCAAGCCCACCTTGGTGCTGTCTTCAACAAGGATGGCTTCGACCTCATCAACAACTACACCTATGGTAAGCCTGTCTCCCTATTTTGAGCGAGATCAATCCCGCTGATTGCTTTTCAGTCTTCACTGGAGATGGTTGCTTGATGGAGGGTGTCGCCGCCGAAGCCGCCTCCCTCGCCGGTCACTTGAAGCTGGGCAACCTCGTTGTTGTGAGTACAATCGGGTCTGACAGAACGAATGTCCTGATTCTGACACGTCCCCTAGATCTATGATGACAACCGTAAGTCGCCGCGGGATTCACTTTTGGAATGCTGACAGTATACTTACCCGTCCCTGCAGACATCTCCATCGATGGAGACACCAACGTGGCCTTCACTGAAGACGTTGAGCAACGGTTCCTGTCCTACGGTTGGCAGGTTCTCCACGTCCATGACGGTGATACGTAAGTGCTTGTTGTTTCTGGGGAGCTGGGGCTGCTCTAACCCCTCCTTCAGTGATCTCGCCAGTATCTACGCCTCCATCGCTGCTGCTCGGGAGGAGAAGGACAAGCCGACCATCATCAAGCTGAGGACCACCATCGGCTACGGTTCCAAGGAGCAGGGAACCCATGGAGTTCACGGATCTCGTAAGTCATGCAGTTTTGCGATTGGCTTTACGATGCCACTAACACCTGGCACAGCTCTCAAGGCCGATGACATTGTTTCCCTCAAGCAGAAGTTCGGCTTCAACCCTGAGGAGAAGTTCGCCGTCCCTCAAGGTACCTACGACCTTTACTCCGAGTTCGGCAAGCGTGGTGCTGCCCTCGAGGAGCAGTGGAACGCCCTTCTCGCTGCCTACGCCGAGAAGTACCCACAGGAGCATGCCGAATTGACCCGTCGCATTGCTGGAAAGTTGCCCGAAGGTTGGGAGAAGGCTTTGCCCGTCTACAAACCCACCGATGCCGCTGTCGCTTCCCGGAAACTGTCTGAGATCGCTCTGACTGCCCTCGCCCCCGTCCTCCCCGAGTTGATTGGTGGCTCTGCTGATCTCACTGGCAGCAACTTGACCAAGGTCAAGAACTCGACCGACTTCCAACACCCCAGCACCGGTCTCGGAAACTACGCTGGTACCTACATCCGCTATGGTGTCCGTGAGCACGGAATGGGTGCCATTGCCAACGGTATTTCCGCCTACGGTGGCGCCATTCCCTATGTCGCTACCTTCTTGGTGAGTTTCGAAGCGACATTTATCGCGCCAGTGTCACTCATGAATCCGGAAGAACTTCGTGTCTTATGCATCCGGTGCCGTCCGATTGTCCGCTCTCAGCCAGCACCATGTTATCTGGGTCGGTAAGTACTTAGAGCATGATTATCTCCGCTTTCTGCGCTGACCCACACCTAAAGCTACCCACGACTCCATCGGTCTTGGTGAGGACGGTCCTACCCACCAGCCCGTTGAGACCCAAATTGCCCTCCGAGCGACCCCCAACCTTGCCTTCTGGAGGCCAGCTGACGGAAATGAGACCTCTGCTGCGTACCTCGTCGCCTTGAAATCCAACAAGACTCCTTCCGTTTTGTCTCTCTCCCGACAAAACCTTCCTCAGCTCGACGGCTCTTCCATCGAGAAGGCCAGTCGCGGTGGCTACGTCCTCGTTGAGGAGGACAACGAAGACCTCACCATTGTCAGCACTGGCAGTGAAGTCAGCATCGCTGTCGATGCTGCCAAGAAGCTGAAGGAGCAGGGCATCAAGACTCGCGTTGTCAGCTTACCTTGCTGGCTCGTTTTCGATCAACAGCCTTTGGAGTACCGCCTGAGCGTCCTTCGAAGCGGTGCTCCCATCCTCTCTCTCGAGGCTGCCTCGGTATGTTTCCGGATCCCTGTTGCCTCTTCTCGGTGACTTACGTCCTCCATAGACTGCTGGATGGGCCAAATACAGCCACGAGCAATGGGGTCTCCCTGCCTGGGGTGGCTCTGCTCCTTACCAGAAGCTCTACGAGCGATTCGGCATCACTGGTTCCAGTATGTCCTACAGTGCTTTCCTCTTATGCCTTTGTACTAATACATCGCTGCAGATATTGCCGAGGTTGGCAAGAAGGTTGTTGACTTCTACAAGCAGCGCGGTGGCAAGCTTGCTTCTCCCCTTGAGAAGGCTGTCAATCTTTAAGGGAGATTTCGGTGCATAGCGAAAGAAGATAGAATTTATATGTAAAGTATACCAACACTGTCATACCATCAACGGAATGTACCACTAGCGTGTGCGCTTTTTGGCGTCTGTGGTTGGCCCGGGAGTTTATAGCACTGGTACATAAGGAAATATCCCTGGTGCTGTAGCGGGGTGTGCCCGTGTAGAACCCATCGGCGAGGAAGCTTTGGCGCGACACATGGATGTCGTCGGGTTCCTTGTGGCACTTCTAGTGCGAGGGTATTCAGGGATGTTCGTGGCTCGTGAATCGGTTCGAACCTGAGGTTCCCGGCTGAACTGACGAGAGAACCTCTAACAAACCTGAGTTCACAGAAAGCACACATTGCACTGGGCTGAACTGGGCTCCGGGGACACTACACCGATTTCCCTCTCCTTACAGACATTCAGTATTCTCATTGGACTTGACCCGCCCCATCCAGACTACTTCAGCCCAACATTGCGCAACGAATCCGCTCTTCAAGCTTCAGGCCGGTGCCGCTCTGCGACTCAGTCATGTTCCTCCCAAAGCAAAAGGAGACCAGGTTGGCGGTAGGATTGGTGGAGCGACTGGAAATTGTTGAATTGTCTCGAGGAGACATTGATCGGCTCTGATGCGGTTTGGACGAGAATCCAATCCGGTGAATTTGGGAGAACACTAGGCTCCGTGAAGCAACCACACATGGTACTGTCCAAGATATTCACCGCCCGACAGGAACACGCTCCTAACTTTTGCAGATATAATGGGTTGCGGTATGGATTCTGCCATACCTACTGCATGTGCCTCCAGAGGCCCCTGTTTGCGAGTACCTATGACCCTAATAGTTATCAGTATCGCGGTAATAGGCGACGGGAGCCTCAAGGCCCAGGATGGACAGTCCCTGACTGTCCGAGCACGCGGAGCATGTGGGTGGGATCCCGGACCCATGGAGCAGAGTTATATGCAATCACAACGGGTGGGAAGAAGACGCCCGTTGAACATTGCCTGCACGCATGTTTGAGAGACGGTGAAGGTAGAGCATGTCAATCCATGTATCCAAAACGGCCGTGAGGTTTCTAGGTGATCATTGACGGAACTATGATGGTAAAATCCAGATTGTAGGAGGATAATGTAGGTCTAGGCGGTGCAGGTGGATTACTTGCGCTTGACAATGACGTTGTCCCACTTCTTTCGCTCGGTCTCCTCAGCGACGACGTTCTTGACGTGGGGTGCGAGGTAGCGGACGTCCTGCGTTGAATTCTGGGTTAAAGTCTGTTATTGGAGAAGAGATGTATGGCAGCGCACCTCCTCAGGCTTTGTCCACTGATCTTTGGGAAGCTCAGCGTGGAGAACGCTGCATTGGGAAGCCCTCTTGAGGCGGTAGGCACGGTCGTACGTCTGTCGGTCGGTCAAACGTCCAAGAGCCTGGAACAAGAGTTGTTTAAGCGGTGAAATTGGCCTAATTGTTTCGATTCAGCGTACCCGTTGGACGGAAGGGTTCTCCTCCATGACTATTGAGGCATTCTGTGAGTCCCGAGACTGAAAAGTAATGGTTTAACGAGACTTACGGAGGTCATCGTACTTGAAGCCGAACTGCCTGTAGCGAGCAGCCTGGGCGTACCAGTTGGCAATGGGGGTGACCCACTTGGAGAGGGTCTTTGAAGACCTAACGTAGGGGGCCAACGAAATGCTGAGGGGACCGAACACCATTTTGGACAAAAAAGAGTGGAAAGTTTTGAACGCTGACGAGACTCGCGTCGACGACGAGCGACCTTGCGGACATTCCCGGATTTCTGCTTGGTCTTGTTTGTTCCGGAAGGGCTCGGTCTGGCGCGGCACCCTCGCGGATCTGCGAACTGATTATCGCCACGAAAAAAATGGGAACGCGATCGAATATAAATACCAGTCGCGATAATCTTTGAGTCTTCACCTACGTTCTTTTTGACCGTACAACTTGCAACATGTCCAACACCGAGCGTACCTACATCATGATCAAGGTCATTACTTAGTCTCATCGATGTCAACGACGACGAGCTCACACAGTGTCTCCAATAGCCCGACGGCGTCCAGCGCGCCCTCGTTGGCAAGATCATCCAGCGCTTCGAGGAGCGTGGCTTCAAGCTTATTGCCCTCAAGCTCACTCAGCCCACTGAGGCCCACCTCGAGAAGCGTATGTCGACGACAATCGGTCTTGGAAAGGAAACTAAGCGCTCACCATCGTGTCTGATCTCTTAGATTACGCCGATCTCGCTGGCAAGCCCTTCTTCCCCGGCCTCATCAAGTACATGGCCTCCGGCCCCGTTGTCGCCATGGTTTGGCAAGGTCTCGATGCCGTCAAGACTGGCCGTGCCATGCTCGGTGCTACCAACCCTCTCGCTTCCCCCATCGGTGCGTTTGTCACGATCGTCGCGTTATCTTGGGAATCAAAGTCTAATGCCGTTTCACAAAAGGCTCCATCCGTGGCGACTATGCCCTCGCTGTTGGCCGCAACATCATCCACGGTTCCGACTCTGTTGAGAACGCCGAGAAGGAAATTGCCCTGTAAGTGTGAGAGATATATGTCATCCTATCTGATTTTCTGATCTGGGCTTTCCCTTTCTCTCTGCAGCTGGTTCCCCGAGGGTGTTGTTCAATACACCAGCGTCGCTGAGCCCTGGATCTACGAGTAAATGCTGAAGATCACGAAATCAACATTTGTACATTAGATTGTAGACAAGTGCAACACGCATTCGTTTCATCATATCCGCGGTCCTGTGTGTTTCCATGAAACCTTTACAGCAGGGTTCACAAAATTACACATCCAGATGCTTAACAAGGGCATCAAAGTCCTTGAGCGGCCTTGACCACGTATGATTCCACGTTTCATCACATCGCCATGCCTTGCTTATTACTTACCGACTGTCGCAACAAGCGCCGCCAGGGGCGTAATGTTAGTGGAGGCACAAGCAGATGTTTATCTCCTCCCCATCAGCCATCCTGGGTCAGTTCAAGCCATCTCCACGGGCCGGTTCACACTTGCAGTGAGAACAATGGGCATATTCAGGGCGTCTCGCACTCCCAACCAGGTACCATCGTACCACCGTGACGCATTTGGACCGTGACACACCTTGACGCCCCGAAATATGTCGGGCGTGGGTCTTGGATTGCAGTAAAGGTAGACATCTGGCGTTCCTCACGTAAAACAGCAACTGATTGCAATTGTCACCTTGACGGAGCAGTGCCAACGGAGATAGAAATGTAGCGTTATAAGGGAGGCTAGAGAGTCAGCCTCTTGAGGACCCGGAATCCTCTCCGTTAGTCGTCATGCTGCCCTCCAGGATCCCCATCCTTTTGCTGTCGCTGTCTCTGTCATTCCTGCCAAAGGCCTTGGGTTTGAAAGGCGGCTCGGATTGCTCGTCAAGACTCCCGTATTCGCATTTCTGTGTCAATGCGACCATTGAGAATGAAGTCGTTACATGTACGGTCCCTCCACTTACTGCATACCATGTTCCTAACACTCCCATCTTTCAGATGAGTTGACCAACATGCTGGATGCAGAGAGCGATGTTGGCTGGATGGCAATGTAAGGAAATCGCCGTTGTCCCTGGCAATCCTCTAATTCCTTGCTTAGAGGCTTCGGGAGAACAATGCTTCAATCGCCCATGGCCATCCTTTGGAAAAACCCAGATGGGACCATGACCGTCTCCCAACGTGTCGCCGTCTGGTTCATGGAACCATTCGTCGAGAGAGCTCCTGACCGTATCGCAACTCCCGTCGAACCCAAGCGGCATGCTGTAAGTCCTTCCATTTCATCAAATAGGCAGACCGCAGCAACCTAACACATCGGACATAACTCGAATGCATATTTCTATTAGTGGCACCCGGCAAAGTCAACAACTTTCGCCTTCCAAGTCCCGGTCAACCGCACCAAACTTGCCGCGTCCCCAATCGAAGACCTCGTTTGGGCATATTCTCCTTCTCGTCCGTCGACTAACGGCCCACACGCTCGGCTCGCTAGACATACGGAAGTCGGATACCTGAAACTCGACCTTAGCACCGACCTGAGCGGTCAGTCTCAAACTGGCTCGAGTAACAATAACAATCAACCCTCAAACCCCACTCCGCCCAACGACTTCCAAGCTCCCTCCACGCACAGCAACAGCAATTCAACCAAGTCAGGTTCCAGCTCCAGCAACCACGGAAAGACCATCCTCGCCCACGCGTTCCTCCTCACCTTTGGCTTCCTCCTCGTCCTTCCAATCGGCGTCCTGACCGGCCGATGGGCCCGAACTTTTACTCCCGTATGGTTCAAAGTGCATTGGATCCTCAATTGGCCAGTTGCTTTGCCCATGATTGCGCTGGGCTGGTGTCTAGGTCCTATCGCTGTAAATCAGCATGATGGGACACATTTCAGCGATCCCCACAAGGTAAGTACAAGGGTCCCTGGTTTGCTTGCGATCCTGAACTGTCCTTACTGATCATGATTGTCCTTTTGGTGCCTTTTTACTCGTCGTCCAATAGCAATGGGGCACAGTATTGGTCTCCATTTATCTCGTGCAGATCATCCTGGGCCGACATATCCACCAGAAACGGGCTGAACAGGCCCCGCCGATTAAGAAGAACCACCCACCTCTCAATATCCTCCACGTCGTCATTGGTTTGGTCATCCTCCTCGGAGCTTTCCTCCAAGTGAAAACTGGATTGGATAAACTCAAGTACAGTCCCGACTACTACAATGTCGCACGCGTTGGGGAGAAGATATGGAACTTTTGGGCTGTGGTAAGTCGCCTTTTCAACGAATATTTTGGGACGGAATACCCAACTTTTACCATAGGCCGTGCCGTTTATCTATATTGTCGGTCTGTACTTCCTGCCGAAGCAATTTGGGCAGGAACGCGCCAATTCGGGCGCCGCTGCCCCACAGGAGGGAGGCTATATGTCTCTCGACGACTCGAGCGCAAACGACGACGTGGAAGTGAGAAGGCCGCTCACGTTAAATCAAGGATAACTGCCATCTCTACGCATTGGATTTCGGACAGAACCACCGCCTCGCTTTGTTCCGTAACTTATGCTTTCATAGTGTACACCTATCGCAAGTCTCTCAGACCCAGAACGAGATCGGTCATGTCGATTGTATATCACAGTGTAATCCTAATAGATATATGTGTACAACAAGATATCCGGATGGGTTGTTCGTACAAGGAGAACTACAGACAGACTACAGAGGAAGACCATATGAGACGGGGGTTGTATGCAGCAGGACGGAAGTGAAAGAGCGAAAATTAAATAGAAGATTGGAAAAGTGGCTGTAGATTCAGAGAGAGACCAAGAAAACCATCACTTAACGAGAGGGTATGTATTTTACGAACAACTTGAGGGGAAACAACTGGAAAAGGAGTGGATACGGAGTTAAATGTTTTGAACCAGACACCAAAAGCCCAAAAGAATGTGGTAATACTCAGTCCTAATTCGTTGATTTTGTGTTTTTTGTTTGGTTGGAAGGTGAAGGGATAGAAAAGTGGCGGAAGTATGGACAAGCGCGGGCACAATGGTCGACACGCCTCGAAGGAGACGGGCGCTGAAGGGAGATTCGGTCACCCAGGCGAGGCGGAATGTGTCGTTGGTCCCGCCATATACATAGCCGTCCGTCGCGTCATGCATCACGGGAGAGGATCGAAATCGGTCGCGAGATCAATTGCCGATAGATAATTTGAGTCCTCCCTGAACACGAGTTTTAGCTGCAGCGAAGCAAAGTAGAGCAAGGCAATCGTTGGTCGAGTGTCCTTGATTTACTTGGCGGTCGACAGCAGAAGGGCGAGGTCTTTCTCTCCAGCAGCAGAGACTTGTCGGGATCGGGCTTTGAGACGGACTACGCAACAAAGCGTCAGAAACCTGAGGAGCATTGACGATGAAAACACTTACGATTGCGGTCCAAGCTGAGGAACACAACCTTCTCAGCGGTCTTGAGGGATTCAGGAGAGGGCACCTCAGCTTTGAGCATAGACGATCGATCTACCCAGTGCTCATCTTGCCAGATGGCAGCTTTGAGGATGAGGTCGTCCATGCTGCGCTCGTTGTTGGCGACACCACCAGAGAAGTCCACTTCTTCAGTTCGAACGTTGAGGCTGGTAAGGTAGTTGCCCTTCGAGGTTTGGACCTTGAGCGACAACGAGTGGGAGCGAATGTGCGAGGTAATGTAGTTGAGAGCGGAGGAAGCGGCTTCAGCAAGCTGAGTGGAGGTGTTGGCAGCGAGGCCATCCAACTCCATGACGACAGGAAGAGGAATCACGACGGTCCACTTCATGCTCTCAATGAGAGAAGAGACCATGGACAAGGATGATAAGAGGATGTTGGTATCGACGACTAGGACCGAGTAACCGGGGACGATGTTGAGCTGAGGTCGGTGGTCGCCAGCGCGCCTGGGAAGGCGAGTCCGCGGGCGAGGAGGTGAGGATACGGCGTTATTCTTCGCAGACTTGAGAAGCGACTCCAGATAGCGACGACGAGCCTAGAGAACATATCTGTTAGCGAGCTGCGACGAGATTAAACAGACTGACATACCTTCAAGGCTTTGATTTCCTCTGAGTCGTTCTCATCGTCTTCGTCACTTTCCTCCGAGATCTCTTCCCCAGATTCATCGACATCCATCGCATCGTCAACCCATCGCTTACCCATCCTCCTCTTCTCTTCCTCCAATCTCTGGACACGGTCCTCCTCCCTCCACCTCTCAACCTTCTGGGCAAGCTTGCCCTCGACCTTCCAATCCCGCGTACCTTCCAACCAGGTCAAGCCATCGACTGTATTCGCAATGCTGATGGCCGACCTGCAGACCCGAGTCCACCTCCTCTCCAACTCACTCATCGTAGTAGCCTTCTTCGAGCCACTCTCGTCTTCATCGTCATCCTCAATCCTGCCATCTGTCATATCCTTGCCCTCATTCTGCTCGAGAACCTCGAGCTCTGCCTTGCGGTCTTCACCAGACTTCCAGTAGCCTCGCTCGAAAACTCGGCGACCGACCCACTCCATACCTCGCATGCACCAATCTTCAGGAAGAGGGGGGGCAACCCCGCTCGTGAGCATTGGCCAGCGATCGCCAGAAGTGGGTTTGGAAGTGTGGAAAAGACCTTGGGCGCTCATAACACGGCGGGGGATGGTGGTGAAGAAGTTGGCGAGGTCCTGCCATGGGATACTGCGTTCCAAGACCTCGAGAGCAGCAGGGTGCTTGAGGATGGTGGCGAGGAACGTAAGGATGACGGTAAGGTAAGGGTTAAGCGTAGGACGAGAAAATTGAGAGGCTTGTCGATGAGGTCGGCGAAGAACGTGGGTTAGCATTGCGAAGGTAAGTTGAAGGGCGTAGCTGAGACCAGCAGGTTGCTCCAAGCCATCCGGACCGTTCATCAGGAGGATCGGTGACTTGGTCAACTTGTCTTCACCGTCGATCTCCATCTTGTCGTCTTGCTCTGGTGCGACGGCGCCGGGAACGCCAGCTGCAGCCTTCTTAGCCATAACTCGCATGGCTGCAGCTTGCGCACCGCTTGCATCCTTGGGTCCGACGACCCCGAGCTTCCGGAGAAGGCTTGATGGTCGTCCGTACTCAAGGATGGAAGCGATGTTAACGACAGCCATCATGATCCATTCTTTTTCTTCGGCGCCCTCGATTGTCAAGCGCTCGATGAATCGGGCCAGAGAAGGTTGGAAATCATCGAGTTGAATGTTGGTGAAAAGCATCCCGTGGAGGAGGACGAACAGCTCGGAAGCTCTCGCATCGGGAAGAGAGCGTCGTGCCTGCGCAGCCAAAGACCAGATGGGCAATACATTTTCACGAGACGTGCTGAATGGGTGCAGGGTGGTCATACTATCGCAGGAAGTCGAGTTGTGAGAAATTGCGCAAGGTAACAAATACAAAAGAAAACGTACCTCTTGGTGAAGTGGTAGATGCCCCGAAGCTCTTCTGCCTCGACCTCCCTCGATAACAGACCCAGGTGATGATGTAACTTGCCAGTGCCAGGTTGCTCCGCCAGCCCCGCTCCATACCACTCCCGTGCGATATTCCGCCACCTCTCCTTCTCAGGCTCGATCTCCATCGACCTGGCTGCGGCGATTCCGACGCTGGGCGAGGGGCTGTCATCAATGCGGGCTGCGGGCGCATCACTGATCGACTTTGCATCTGCATCCGGTACAGTAAGAGACCCCGAATCCGCAGCGGCCTCGTTGACCGCTTTTGTTGTGAGGCCACCCTGGCCTCCCATGCCACTGTTCACCATGGCCGCGACGGCCATTCGATACCGAGCTAGATCACCCAGGGCCTCCAACCAAGATGATTTGAATGCCGTGAGATTAGGCTCTTCAAGGAGGCCGGTGTAGAAGGTGTAGGCGTAATAGATGAAATCTTGTAGGTGCTCCAGGGCGACGGGAGACTGGAATGATGCTCGGCGGAGGGACTCGAGGATCTTGTGGAAAGCATAGGTCCATAGGCGCACAATGATATTGTATTTGGTGGGAATGGTTCGCAGAGAAGCTGGCACAGAAGGGGACAAGGAGATTTCGAGGAGGTTGTGTATAGTCTCGGCTAGCCTACAACCGAAGTCAGGTCTACTTTGATGAGGAACTTATGAAAGGAGAACACGCACTCTTTGTGATCAGCGATTTGTTTCTTCCACTTCTCCTTTTCGGCATCCGCAGCCATTGGTTCCTTGCCTTTCAATAGAACGCCTCGTCCCATCTCTTCATCGTCGTTTGCATCTTCTTGCTGTATCCTCGACTCGAGCTCGGTGATGTTGCGATAGAGCCGCTTCAACTGCTTTCCAAAGATGTTATTTCCAGAGTCTTCTTCTTTCGGCCGGCCATCGAAGAGATTTGAGGAAGCAGAAGACCCGTCAGTTGTCGACGAGAGCGTAAAGACGGACGAAGTCTGAGAAGCATTGTTTGATGACGTCGAGGATGCGGAGATGTAGTCGCCAGAGGGTTTAACGGTCGGAGTTGCCCGACTCGAAGGAGTGGAGGTCGTTTGAGGCCGAGCGAGCACAGAGAACCTGACGGGATCGTCCTTGCGGTAATCAAAAAGTTGTCTGGAACCTCCCCCTCGATCCTCTCGCTGACGGGGAGCGGGGACGTGAGAGCTACCGGTGGTGTCTGAATGGGCTTCTGGTTCAGGTATCCTTCGAGTAGGTATCCGATCGGTGTCCGGGTTGTAGAGTTTGTAGGCACCACCCTGCTTGTTTGCCTGCGCATGGGCTTGTCGAGGGGATGGTCGAGAGGATGATATGTGTAGTTTACGGGAAAACTCTTCATGATCAGCTTCTTGTGCTTGTCTGGTAACGATAACCTGAGGGGAAGCGTGTCGTCGCGGCGAATTAGGCGCTTGTTTCGACGCAGTCTGTGTAGATAACCGGGGAGAGCGTTCGGTCCGTGATGGTGTGCTTGTGTTTGGTGCCGCATTAGAATTGGTAGCGGGAGATGCTTGCGAAGTTTGACCACGTTCCCGGTCTGCCCTATCTCTTATCCGCTGCGCACTGTATGACGAGCAAAGGTTCAGAAAGATAAGTGGACTGGGATAGATAAAACCGGTCTTGAAGTATACGCACCCTGCGGTTCTCCTTCTGAGGGCTAATAGTTTCTCGTCGAGGTCAGTGACCTGTGGACCTGTTGAGGCCAAGTCGCGATAGCCTGGTTCGCGTTCCTTGCCCTTCCTTGACGATCTCATAGGCTGTTCTGCGATTGTCTCCTGTAATGGAGGCGCCATTGTCGAAAAATGGGCTGTGGATTGTGGTGGTTGGAGAAAGAGAAGCAGCGACTGCGCTGGCGCTTTAGGAAAAAGTTGGACTGTGGGTCGAGTATGGCATCGAGAGTCAGGTTTGGTCTTTACATAGAATGTCCGTCCGCAGCACTGAAGAACGATGGCATTTCAAACTCCGCCGCAGGGCCTCTCCTCAGTGGCTTGGCGTTTCCCCATCTGACAATCACTTTCCGGCGCTTCTCCATCCCATCGGTCCCACTCTTACATCCACCAAATCCCTAATTTCGTCACAATTCCTTACTTCTGACGTGAAAAACAGCACCTCGACTGGACTCCAGTGTCGAGTGGCACCAACGTATAGCGGCAAGGTCTGTGCGCAGTGCTGTACAGGTGACAGCACCGCCGTCACTGTGTACCGAGCATTGCTACGCTCGTTAGGACGCGTCATTCCGACACACCAGTTTCTTATTAGTCCTTATCATTTCCGACGACGAAGGTCTGTTCAAAGTCCAACGGTTTGGATACAAGGAACCTGGCCTTGTAATGTTCTCTAAAACATGCGTCTTGTGGGCCTCGGGGTCACTCAATGACTTGTCTAATCGGGACTTGATAGCAGAACGTAAAATAACGGATGGTACGTGGTCAGTAGGACATCCTGTCGGGGGTGATACGCTGCCAACAGGTCGCAGTCGGCCAATGGACATATGTGCAATCTCTTCATGCATCGTGGTGGACACATCAATAAAGTAATCGGCCTCGGGTCAATGTCTTTCATTCCTCTCGGATCACTCTGGAGCGCCGCAGCAGGCGACGCGCGAGCGTGCGTCCATGATCAACAGACATCTCAACTCGGTTGTTGCAGCCGTATATCCAAACCAGCCATCGGCTCCTTCGCGTCGACTTGGTTGTTCTTCGTCCATTGCTTTCTTCGCCCTGGGAACTTCCCAGCCAAGTGAAGTCCTGTCGGTGACGAAGGAGAACGCCATTTCGGCACTAACTTGCAATCTGCATGTCATCGTGTAAGATGGCACCCGGTTCTTTAGCCTGGGGCCTCCCACTAGAAGGGCGTGTCTGCAGGTATATCGGCGGAACCTGCTCCCCTCTTCACACCCTAGAGAATGTGTCTCGATCTTGGAGGCCCTGCAGGCTGCGCGTGGGGTCCAAATGAATTGTTCGTGTATTATATTGCTAACCCTTAGTGTTTCAAGGCTAACACCCTGTCCAGACTTTCGCATTTCGTACTGGCAGCATAAACTCAGGCTCAAACTAAAGGTTCCTTCTCAGCAAACTTCGAACTCTTCAACGAAGAGTAGGCTATACTTGACAGGAGACCAGGTGCCAAGGCTAAAATGACTGCGCAATGGCTTTGCCATGATCGCAGCTGCGATAGCCGTTCCGCCGCTTTGGTTGTGGAATCGAAAAATGCACTCCACCCCTGCGCATTAATACGGGAATGGACTGACCCAAGTTCCGTGTTCAAGGCTAAGTCCTCCGATTGGCCGTTGAATGGAAAGTTTGGGCTACCCTGGACAACTGCAGAGCTCTCTAAGTTCTCTGTTTCTAGGCCTTCCCCGAGATGTCACAGAACACTCACCGATCCCACTTACGCCCTGTCTTGATGGTGTTGGACATCACTTGCTCTTCATCGTGCAGTATGGACGTCGGGAAAGAGGTTATCGACCGGAGATTGGGAGCGTGGTTCAACTGACAGGTTTCAGACGCTTGCGGAATCTCATAGGATAATCCATATGGCATATTTTGTTCTAACATTACTGTAAATGACTCGTAGTGTACTTGAAGGAATTTCTGGAGGTTTCCTCTGGTTAGATGACGCAACCGGGGTACTTGGGTGGGGAGCGGACTTATCAGATGTGATAACCACAAGTACAAACAAGGAAAATGTGCGCGCGAGGTGAACAATCGATTCTTGTGCAGTGACCATCGTCGTTGCTCTTCACAAAAACCACTTGGGCTTGTAGAGAGCGTATACATCGTCGCCCACGATGAGCCAGCCCGATGCTGCGGAGCAGAACATTCAGATGTGGAAGGTCAAGAAGCTCATCAAGAGCCTTGACTCGGCCAGAGGGTATGTCCACTCCTCTTCTCCTCAACGACGACCATGAGCGGCTGAACACCGGGTTGCTTTGTAGTGCTGGCACTTCCATGATCAGTCTTATCCTACCGCCAAAGGTGTGCAACGACGAAATAGCCCACCAAACTCACTTGCCTGATCAACTCGCAATCTAGGATCAAATTTCAAGGGCGTCTGCCATGTTGACACAAGAATACGGTACAGCGTCCAACATCAAGTCTCGAGTCAATCGTCTCTCTGTGCTGGCAGCTATCACCAGTACCCAGCAGCGTCTCAAGCTGTACAACAAGGTTCCTCCCAACGGCCTCGTGCTCTTCGTCGGTACGATCTTGACCGATGAAGGCAAGGAAAAGAAGGTCTCTTTCGATTTCGAGCCCCACAAGCCTATCAACACGTATGCGCCCATTGTTTTCGACAGGCTGGACAGCACTGACAATTGGATCCAGTTCTCTGTACCTCTGTGACAACAAATTCCACACTGAGGCCCTCTCAGAGCTGCTGGAGTCAGACTCCCGCTTCGGTTTCATCGTCATGGACGGTAACGGCACCCTCTTCGGTATCCTCGCCGGAAACACCCGTGAAATCATCCACAAGTTCACCGTCGACCTCCCCAAGAAGCACGGACGTGGTGGTCAGTCCGCCCTCCGTTTCGCCCGTCTCCGTGACGAAAAGCGCCACAACTACGTCCGCAAGGTTGCTGAATTGGCCGTCCAGCACTTTATCACCAACGATAAAGTCAACGTCAACGGACTGGTTTTGGCCGGTAGCGCCGATTTCAAAACTGAGCTCGGGCAGTCTGACATGTTCGACCCTCGTCTGGCTGCCAAGGTCATCAAAGTCGTCGATGTCAGCTACGGTGGCGAGAACGGCTTCAACCAGGTTGGTTATGCGATTTGTAGGTTTGGGCAAAACACTGACCAATGCGATACTAGGCGATCGAACTTGCAGCCGAGTCTTTGGCCAACGTGAAATTCGTGCAAGAGAAGAGGCTTATTCAGAAGTATTTCGACGAGATCAGCCAAGATACTGGCAAATACTGCTTCGGTATCGACGACACCTTGAAGGCTCTCGAGCTTGGTGCTGTCGAGACCCTCATCGTCTGGGAGAACCTTGACATCACTCGCTACGTCTTGAGGAACGCTGCTGGTGGTATGTGTACACAGCCCGATTGCCGATGAACGGTTTACCTAACAAACCTTCCACAGAGGAAATCGTCATCCACGCCAACAAGGAGCAGGAGAAAGATAAAGAGAAGTTCACCGACAAATCCACCGGTGCCGAGATGGAGCAGGTCAAGGAGCCTCAGCCCCTCCTGGAGTGGTTCGCCGAAAATTACAAGGAATTCGGTGCCACCCTCGAATTCATCACCAACAAGTCCCAGGAAGGTGCTCAGTTCGTCAAGGGCTTCGGTGGTATCGGTGGACTCCTTCGTTACAAGGTCGACTTCAACAACCTGGCGTCGGTTGATGATGACGACGACGACGAGTTCTACTCGGACGACGATATTATGTGACGTTTTTGCCGGCTCCAGTTCGGAGCCCCTCCCAATCTAGAGGGCATGTCGGGAGGGGTGGAGGGGAGGGGTGCTGTGGTCGAGGTCAAGGTCGGACATCGCGGGGTCGAGGTCGCGAAGAAAATGAATGTAGCAGCGGGTTCTCAAGAAGATTGTTGTACAGGTCAACAAGGCAACTACAATCACCCAAACTCGTTCGGTCGGCTCGGTTCACAACGACGGCCATGCAGCAACATTGCCCACTCAATATTACTCGTTTTCGACGGCAAGTTGTATTCGATACCTTTATGGATTCATTGGACGTCTCCCTGTGTTTTCAGTCTTGTAGTTATGCTCTTTGTCGTTATTTTACCAGGTGAGTTCCTTTCGTTTGTGTAGGTTGTTGAAACTAGACGCTGATCGTTCTTTCAAGGAAATGGATCTCCCCTACACAATTGAAAAGTTGTTATTGAAAGAGACTATCTGTAACTCTGTTTGTGCATTGGCGCAATGCTATGTATGATGCTTGATTTTCTGCCAACGCGAGATGGCCCCTCAAAGATGCGTAAAACGCTGTGGCTTCGCTGGATCAGGTACCTTTCTTTCCGCTTCCTTCGGTCGCCTTCTACGGCTTGTCTTGAGCTAGACTGACCCGGTGATGACTATTAAACACTGCCTTTCCGCGCAAGATCGCCCCAACTGTTTAGTTCCAGACTTGAACTTCCCCTTTCCAACTGTCACACCAGCACATCTTACGATGTGATTCAACAGCAATGCTTACCACAACGTCTATGCCATGGCCGAAGTTCCGGATTTTTCTGGCCATCCTCCGATTCCGTCTTCTTCGCTGTCTTGTCCTTCCGAATGGCCCGTACCTCGAGGCAAAAGGTATGATAAGACCTCTTGGGCTCTTCTACCCTTTATTTCCTCAAAGAAAATCACATCGATAACGAGTGAACTCTGAAAATATTGGCCCATTGAACGATCTACTCCCCATCTGAGTGTTCACGAGTGCCCCGATGACTATTCACAATTGTATTGAACCAGGACATGCGGGACGAACTTGCCTAGCGCCCGTCGCCAAGCAGACGAATCGGTGCCAAAGAGACCCAACGCAACTGCACTCGTGTTGAGCTTCAACGCACGACCCCGAAGGCGAAGGCATCGCATCTCCATCGAGTCCAAACTCGCACAAAAACTCAAAATGTTCGCCTTGAAACACCGCCGTGGACCGTGACGATGACAATCATCATGATCCTGATCAGGCTTTAGGTTGCACAGTCTGTGGTACAACCTATAGCTACGCCGTTTGCGCTGGAATCGCCATCGCCGTCAACGGTCATCCCACACTCAGGTCGCCGTCTCTTGGCCGTCTCGTCTCGCACACACTCAAGCCATTTCAAGCCCCCCAGTTGCCGATGTGGATGGATATGGATGGAATCATCCCCGTCACCGTCAATGCCGACCGGTTTTTAAATGTCAGAAACCCAATCACAGCTTCATTACCGCACGTACTTATATTCCCTGCTGCCAAAAAAAAAAAACAATAAATGAAGCGGTGACCCAGGTCCTCGCCTGTCACCTTCCCGTTTTAACTGAAGAAAGGAGCACGAAATGAAAATCAAACGTGAACTTCTTTGACAAGTGCAGTCATTTCTCAAGGCTAGTCAATAGGAAGTAAGACAAGTCTCAGTGGTGCCGCAATCGCTCTCGCTGAGGCACCGAGTCGAGACTATATCTATCCCGAGGTTGGCGCTAGTAACGTCGCCGTACCGTACACATACGTCACGGTCATGCGCCGCAGGCTTGCTAGCCCTGGTCTCTCAAAGACGGTTCTTCAGCAGGGCTGGTTGACATGCCTAGCTTCCAATGTGGCCTGGAGGTGCCCAGTAGTAAACGATCAACGCAAGTCGATGTGCTAAGAAAAGGAGTCACGCAATAAGCGATAAGAACCCGGACCCTGCGAGAGAAGGAGAGGATCCAAGGCAATGGCGTCTCCATGCCCAGTACCCATTTACTTGGATCCTTTCACTCCCACTCCGGTTGATGAAGGCACCCATCCATTGTCCGACTACCATAAGTGACACGGAGGCGAGGGGCCAAGTTTGTACAATCCCGGAAACGTGGCCTCACCTCACCAGCATCCGTCCTTAGAGAAGTACCTAGAGAGGGATGGATGACGTCGAGGTCCGAGGTAGATTACACAGAACCTTGCGGCAAACTTTCAGCTAACTGCAGATCCCACTCCAAAAGAAGTCTACCAGCGCCAATCGAAGTGGAAGTTGCAAGGATGCTACCGGGTGTGAATGACCATGTCAAAGCAGCGTCTCTTCCACTGCAACAGCAGTGAGCTCTTTCCTGTCGAATAGCAAATACCCCACAGTCGCCAAGACACCGCCAAATTTACCCTGTTAGCTGTGCAGGATTGTCATATGAACACCCGCGGACTTGTGCCATTGGTTCAGAACCTTCACAGGGAATCGAAATAAATGCGCCACGAAGCACGTAAAGCGCGACAGCCACCGCATTCCCGTACCCCGGGGAGTGCAAAGGAGGTCATGACATAAAGTTAGAGACATTTGACCTTCTTGACTTATCAAGTCTGGAGTTCGGCACGAGCTCTCCTGACCCCTTGGCAGAAAAGCAGTAGATATCCGGGAGTTGAAGCTATCAATTCGAATTGTCATATCCTCGATTCATCCAAAGCGAACAAAGCGAAAGTAGTCCTTGTGTTTTGCCCACAGACTTTAGGCCTCCATTATCGGAGCGTCACCAATTCTGATGGAGGGAAGGAGCGGTCAGCCAAGAGCGGGGTAGACGAGAAAATTAAAATCACACATACCCTCAGCTGACGTTGGATGAATAGCAACCGTGTTGTCCAGATCGGCTTTGGTTGCTGCGAAAATGGGTAGTCAGATACGGGAACATGGTGAGCGGGAACGAGAACGGCGGGATACTAACCTCCCATCTTGACCGCGACACCGAAGCCCTGCATGGCTTCGTCGCTTCCCTGACCAATGATGTGAACGCCGACTACTTTCTCCTCTGGCCCAGCGACAATAAGTTTGTAGACGGTAGGTTCCTTAAGATCTTGATCAACTTGAGAAAAGTAGAGCGACTTGAAGGAGGTCTTGTCTATTTTAGAACACGAAGAGTCAGCTACGATCCCTGCAGAGATTGCTATAAGGCACCCACAGATCTTGATGGCATCGTCGCCGTATTTTTTACGGGCTTGAGGCTCTGTGAGACCGACAGTACCGATGGGTGGATGCCTTGGCGTCGAGAGTGAGTAACCAGCGGGCACGAGGGCAGTGGACAACGAGACAACTTACGAGAAGACAACCGTTGGAATGTTGTCATACTCCAACTTGTCGTTCTTGAACTTTTCAGGTCCGAACAACCGGTTAGAAAGCCTTCGACCAGCAGCAATCGCGACAGGGGTCAAGAGCCATTTTCCAGAGACATCACCAATAGAGTAAACGCCCTTGACGTTGGTGTTCTGGTATTCATCGACGATGATATCGCCCTTCTCATCGGTCTTGACACCGACCTCTTCCAAGCCCAGGCCCTTTGTGCATGGGTGACGGCCGATAGCCCAGAGAACGGTGTCTACCTCGATCTTCTCGCCCTGATCGGTGGTGACGGTCAAGGTCTGGCCTTTGGCACCGTCGATGCGGGTTACGTTGCTGCCCTTGTGGATGTGCACACCAGTATGTTCCATCCAGGGGGTCAAAGTCTCCTGAATGGTCGGATCAAAGGTTCGCAGGACTGTTTGGCCTCGGATGACAAGGTGGGTCTCGCTACCGAGGGCGTTGAAGATACCCGCCAATTCGACGGCGATGTAGCCTGCACCGATGACTGCGACGCGCTTGGGTTGCGATTCAAGCGCGAAGAAGCCGTCAGAGTCAATTCCGAGGGATGCTCCAGGGATAACATCGTCGCTGGGGATTGTTGGCGAACCGCCGACGGCAATAGTGATATGGTCGGCTTGGAGGGTGTATTTGGTTCCGTCTGGACGAGTGACTTCCACAGAGTTGGGCGAGGTGAGGCGACCGAAACCCTGATGGAACTCGACGCCCTCTTTGTGGAAGTTGTTTGCGTAGATCCCGTTCAAGCGGCGAATGTACGCGTCTCGTTGGGTCTTGAACTCACCCCAGTTGAAGGTGGGTTCGCCGATGTTCTCAAACTTGTAGCCTGGGGCGTGGTGGCGGAAACGGTCTTGGAGGTCAGCAGCATTCCACATCAGCTGTACGACAGCATCAGTATATCCCTGCATTCCAATTACACTAGGCGGTTTCTAACCTTCTTGGGTACACATCCTAGAAAGAAGGTGATTAGCCTTGGGGGCCCCCGCAGGTATGAAGAGCGGGACTTACCAACGTTGACACAGGTACCACCGAGGTAAGGCGTCGCCTCTACGACGGCGACCTTCTTTCCGTAAGAAGCCGCTCGACGCTGCGAACAAAGTCAGTCAACGCTAGTTTCTCCATCGCCCGGAAGACGTACCGAGGTCCCAGAACCACCGCTTCCACCACCAATAACAACATAGTCATACCTATCGGTAGTGGGTTTATCGTAAATGGGCGGCATATTGGACGATGTAGATGTTGAAAGAGTTCTATAGATCTATCACAAGTCAGTAACCTTCATCCGTTCGTTCCGAAAGTATGGCTTACCTGATCGAGCCTTCTCTGAGGCGAAGTACTAGTCTTCAAACTTGAAACTGGTATCTTGGAGCTTCTAGACGTTGTTGTAAATGTTCTTAATGAGGACGTATAGCGACGAGCTGAAGGTACAACTAGTCTTCGGAGCGAAGTTGAGAGCGGAAGACGAGTGAGAGACGCCACTTTTGAAGAAGAAAAGGGGATCGATAGGCGATTTGGTATTTCTATTTATAGTGGAAGCACCGGTCACAAGAGAGTGCACGGATGGCGAATGCTGACTTCTTCTTGGTAATACCCTCTGTAACCTTTGTCAGATCCATTACTACGAGTGACCATCCACGGGATTCGGTTCTCTGACCTTTGTTCAATAGATTTTTATCTCCACTCAAACTGAGCTAGTCGCGGCCTACGTCGAGTGCAATGAACGTCCCCGATACCCCAGGTTTTGAAGACAACAACTGGTGAAATTGCCAACCGTCATCGCGAAAACTCAGAGGATATGTGTCATAGTTGCGTAATGTCACGTGAGGATTACTCGTGGAGAATATTCCCAGCGCTTAATTTGAAGATCAACAGGAAAGCGTTGGTCGTGACATTCGTTAACAATAAATAGTACATAGGACGCCTCCAGGGAGGACTGGGTAACGGGGGTAGATACAGACAAGGATAACAATGATACATATGCAAATGGCTACAAAAAACGACTATGGATTATCCACCATCTTCTATACTGTAAACCTTATAACGTGGTCATGATGATGGAGACGAGACTAGAGATAACAAAGGTCGTGACAAAATTCGACAAGAGCAGGTATTGTGCGATTGAGGAGAGAGGTTGAGGGAAGGCTTGTGGGGGGAAAGGAAAAGAGTGGATGTCGACCAATAATTTACGACGGCGCCCCAAAAGATCACCCGTAAAATGTGACTGTATTGTAGTGTTCGAATATGAAATTTGGGAATAATGAAAATCGAATAAGCAGAAAAGAAAAAAAAAAAGCTTCGTCCCAATCAAAGCCGCAGACAATGAATGCTGAAAGAAAAAAACGATGCTAAAAGACGAAATTAGAATCTGTTCTGAACAAGTGGTAAATGGGGGTCACTCACCCAAGTAGCACTGGAAAAAGCGAGGCCAGCGACCCTAGCGTCGGAGAAAGCTTGAAAACCGAATTGAAGAATGATGCAGGGAATTGAGCGAAAATGCAGGTGACAATCTATCTTCGAATGATTCTCGGGTAGTGCTTGGGTAGAACTGGGGTCGGAATCAAACCTCCGAACGAAGCCCGCCACATCCCAAATCGACCAAACCAGTGCGAGGAAGAGACTTATCCAGCCATTCCCCGGACTAAACCATCACCAACTCCACAGCCTTCGTCAACCTCGCAGTTAAGGCCTATCCGCGAAGCGAACGAGGAAGCCAAGCACCAGTCTTGACGCGAGAATGGGATTTGCTCGTTTGCTGATCAGGTAACGACTGCGAGCACTGGTACCAAGATTGGATTGCCAAGACATTCCTTTTGCTGTGGAGCGAGCCTAATTGACTCCCAGCTCGAAGACGAGGATAGGCTAGCGGGCAACGAATTGCTTGCCAAGACGTGTCGGCGACGTATATATAAAGGCGAGGACAAGGTGGTCTACAAGTCGGCTCGTCGTCAGCGAAGGCGCTTGGAAGAAAAGGTATTGTCACGTACTGGCAAAGAGGTCGCTGGATTGGTTTGAACATCACGAGGCCGACCTCCCTTCGAACCTCCCCTCAAACTCCGATAAACGGACGTCCACGCCGCCGCCGCCCTGCCAACACGCGCCTGACACAGAGAAGATGGATGACGAGCGAATGAGGTGTGTGCCATCTCATGCAGGGTCCAAATCTAAAAGCATAAATATCCCGAAAAAGAAAAACCCCAGAAACAAAAAAACCGCTGGCAACGTTGTTGCTTTTCCGTCAACACTCCCCGGAATCTCCTTTCACTTCAGAGCTCGACAACGCACGATGACCACAAGCCACCGACTGCCACTCAAACCCGCGTTATGAGTGATAATGGTCCACCTCGGCTGTCCTGTGTCGGCTAATCTTCTCCATACCAGCGCCAATCACCATCGCCGCCTGTTGCTGGACTTCCTCCTCGTCCTCATCTTCTTCCTCATCATCGTCATCATTCTCGGAATCTGAGGAGGAAGTTTCCGAATCTGAATCGGTACTCGAGTCTCGACTCTGAGAGACGACTTGCACATCAAAGTGGAAGCCTTTCTCTTCGACGTCGGACGCGGGGCTGCAGATCGGTTGGACGAGACCATCTCTGCCATCTCGAGTGTTACTACGCGGTCGATGGGGTCGGGGCATGGGGACAGCCATGGTGGTGAAGACGTGATCATCTTCAGCGGGGACGTGATTCGTGAGCGATGCAACTTCGCGAGTTGGCGAGAGTGTGGGGGACGCGGGCACCGCAGTGGAGGCGCTGTGATGGGTGTTGACGGAGATGGAAGATGCCTTCGCCAGAGGGTTGATGTTGGAGATAGATGCATCAGGCGTGCTGGCTCTGGGTGTGGGAGCAGAGGATTCAGAGACGGCGTTTGGAATGGGGGGCGGGGCGGTTGATGTATCGTCTCCTGGAGGCTCGCCGCTGTCAGACACGGCACCGGCACCTGCCTCTTTCGCTGCTGCTTCCTTCTCAGCCTTCTCCTTAGCCTCTCTCTCTTCCCTCGCCTTCTTCTCTCTTTCTTCTTTTCGTTTCTTGACCCAAGCCATTCCACCACCGTCCTCTAAGTCCTCGTCTTGGGAGCTTCCGTGAAGGCGCTCCCAGCGAGAAGCGGCGCCGGCGCTCTTCGCCCCTCTCACGCTACCCATGCCACCATATCCCCACTCAACAAACTCGGGTTCGGTGTCTGGAGCATTGGCAAAGAGATTGGCGTTGGGGTTCAGTCGACGTCCGCCGTAGACTCGACCATTCAACATGCGAGTGCCTCCTCGTTTCGTCATGGAGGACGGCTTCGATCGACTCGGCGCTGTCGAGGGCCTGAGCCCAGAAAGTAACGATGCTGTTTTCGAACGGTACGACTGGGTGGATTGAGAGCTCTCGCTGCGGGTGAGAGGAGCGCCCCATTGCTTTATCGGTTGGTTGCCGCCGCCAGTGCTGGCCCAACGCGTCAGACTCCAGCCGGCACCAGAATCAGAACTCTTGGAACTCTCCCTTGAGGAGGCACGGAAGAGGTTGATGGTGCCCAGGGTCAGAATCTCCTCTGTGGAAATCCCTTTACGTCCCGAATTGCCATTTGCAGTGCGGTCGATGGAAGGCGTGGGCGTCAGGGTGTTGGACGAAGATGAAGGTGAGCCGGAGGAGCGCTTGAAAGGGCGCAAGAGGGAGAGACCTTTGGATCTGGGCCATTGAGAATTGGGCAGAGGCTGCACCTTTGAAGGCAACAGCGGCGGGAGTGGGATTGGAGCGAGGGACGGGGACCCCGGGCGTGAGTTATCGTATTCGCTGGGAGTGGACGCTGGGGTCGTTGTTCCAGGCGTTGTCGAGGGGTCGGTATCGCTGTTTCGTTTTGAAGATCCGAAACTACTCAAACTGGAAGTGTCATGGGCCAGAAGGTCCACTGGCGCCACCGCTGGAGATACGGGGCATGATGGAATCTGGGTTGCGTCTTCACCGAATGGAATTGGGACTTCTGCGCCGTTTTCGTCGATGAGGACAGCACGACGAGGGTCTGGTAGGGGTGCAAAACGGATTTTTCTCGAGGTCGGTGGTGAAGGCTGGCGGAAGGCTGCTGGTACTGTTGGAGTTGAGGCGGGGGTGAGACTTATGAGTGACGAGTCCGCTGTTGAAGATGGTGTTGACGATGCTGCCGACGACGAGGAAGGCCAATCTTGTTGCTGGAGGAGGATACCAGAGCGTGGCTGGCTAATGGCAGCAGTCATAGCGGGGAGGATAGTGGGGAGAACGTAGTCGTTCAGGAAAGAGCCAGATGACGGTGTCAAAAAGAGGCCCGGATACGTTTCATCCAAATCGGGAACAGGTTTCCGGGGTCCTGCCCGATCTCATCTATACCCGTTTAGAAACATCCTCGAAGTCTATTGTCAGCCTTGCTCATGAAGCCTTCTTTCAACTGACCTCGATTTCATCAACCCCTTTCACTATCAATCGGTCCTAAGTACATACTCTTCGTCCAAAGGCCCAGTTCAGGTCTTTTTGTTTCTCTTTTCAACGTTGGCGTTCACTTGCCTTTTGGGGACGTTGTCGGCTCTTAACGCCAAGCATTTCCTCTTCTGGCACCTCTCATTCCACCCCGAATTCTGTCCCGCCTTTGCTGCAAGTCACACGGGGCGATCGATCCATATTCCGCACAGGTTTCATGGAGCCCAAGGTCCTGCAATGGTCGAGCTGGTCGGTCCAGTCCATTTCTGGTGCTGCGCCTCCGCTTTTCAACGACGAGAAAGCGAACAGCCAGCGGATCTTGGGCCTGTGATTTTTTGTCACTGAAATCTTCCTGCGCAAACCCTGCCGACGCTGGTGAAAACCCCATTTCGTTTTTTTACCAACCGTCTCGCTAACGACAACTCTTGGCGATATCTTGGGCAATTCCACCTGTCTCCCTGCTCCACTTTGGACCTGAACGGTTCCCCTTCGTTTGCCTTTCAGGAACGTGCAAAGAGTCTCTCTTCAACCTTGTCTCGCATTCCTAGGACAAAATCGCAAACAAGCTCGCGCTTCAGTTTAACTCGAGCACGATTTTCTGGCCACTACAACACGTCACGTATTCTTGGACGCCTTGGCGTTTCTGAGGCGTCCACTTCGACAACGCGTGTTTTCGCTGTCTTTCCCGGCGTTGTGCGGACGGTGGGGCTTTCCACTGCGCCGAGGGTTCCCCGGCGCCAGGGCAGTAACATTCATATCGTACGTGCCAGTTCGACTCGATGCCGTTTGCCAAGCCCGGATCTTTCGTCAACCTCATCCATCTCGCAGACATCCTACCCGCCTCTGTTCTCATGTCTGAATCAGCCCTGTCTCTCTTTTACGTCGTCGCCCCCGCCACTCCGACTTGCGCTCATGAGGTGATGATCAAGGCTCTCAGCATTTCTTGAGGCTAAGAGATGAAAGAAGTATCCGAACGTAATATGGTTAATCAGCGACCCAGCGTGCCGAACGACTACGCAAACCTTTCCAATCTCTTCTCTTGAAGCTAACTTTATGTCACCGAAACAATCAGAGCGCTCGTTACCCCTCGCCGATATCATTTGCTGGATGGGTCATTCTGAGATGGGCCACGGACAAGTCTCGACTCGTTCTGTGACCACGGTCCCGGGAGGTGCCTTCGCGAGGTATCTTCTTTCTGATCTCCACCTTTCTCGACCTGTCCAGCACTCTTCTAACTATCTGGGGACTATTGTGCTTCGCTTCGTTCCGCCTGACGACTGCTCTGGCTCCTTGTAGAACAAACCCCTCTCCGGAGACCTGTCGCCTCACTTAGACTAGATGCCTTCGGCACTGATATATCTCAGATGACAGCTTCAGTCCTTCTACCAAGCCTTTTCCTTCCATCTCATCCTTCACCCAAGCCGGCTCTGCGAACACGCGTACGTGTAAAGGATGTGATTGAGGCAATCATACTTTCTTCCTCATTGTCGCCACGTTTCAATTCACATCGATTGCCTCTTAGCTTGTCAGTGGAATTACAGCCGTTTGCATTAGTCTTTGCGCGAGCGATGTCGCAGAAACCAATTGATGGCGTGTCGGAAAACTCCGTATGGCAGCCCAAGTCACGCTCGACGACCGTCGTTCAGGCTTCGGTATGAGATGTTTGCCTCATCCTCGTACCCTTACCGTCTCTCTTTGTACTTCCAATGGTATGAAACAGCGAAATGTCCCTTTCACACCAACAATTCGTAAAATCGGCCATGTATTCGAGGAAGAACCTGGTTGGAACCTGGCAGGTGGGAACCCCACGGAATTTTCCGACACGCCATCAATTGGTTTCTGCGACATCGCTCGCGCAAAGACTAATGCAAACGGCTGTAAACCCAATACTTTCGCAGGTAGGCAATCCTCGCTTCGACATGATCACGCGGGGATGGCGTGTAGAATTTCCTGGCAATTACCTTGAGTTGTCTGGTTCCAGAAAACACCATTCACCTCCTCTGTTTCCTCTCCCTTGCCGAACCCCACACCTTACCCCAGATCGATAGTCACGCTATGATGAGAACCTCAGAGTCTGCACATGCTCAGGGGACGTTATGCTCGCGTGTTCTGCTCTGAGCTCTCACTGAGACTATTCTTGGACATCCTCTCCTAACACATTCGGAATACGACATGCCATGATTCCTTGGCGCGGTCAGTCTCTCAAGCCAGGGCGGTGCTGATAAGGCCGAATTGGTGCGTCGTGATAAGCACAGCGTGTTATATCTTATCTCATTGGCTGCTGGAGAATCTACCATCGTTTGTCAAGTCTGACTTCCATTGGACATGATCAGCTGGTATTGTGGTTGGCTGGTGAGTTGCCCCGAAAGGTGGAAATTTGTAGCACCTCATGAAGGATCGTTCTGGAAAAGATGCAGTCGACGTTTCTCCTTTGCTCCTGCAAACAGCCGACTATTTCGCTTGCGTGGCTTTAGGCTCCCACCAGTCCAAGTGCTCGTTGACATGGTACGCAATCTAACTGACGTTGAATTCATCTCTCACCTCTAGTTTGAAGCACGTTTTAACAGTGTATTTTGCTTCCTCCAAGCGCACGTTCGCCAAAGCAGCCGCCCGTGGGGAGTGAACATAAACATTCTCCCCGCCCCGAGATGCACGCTCAGGATGAACGTAAGGCTCCTTCCGCTGGTTCTTTGAAACTTCTGAACATGCTAGTACGGACCTACGTAAGTCCACTAGGTGGTTATTCCACGGCAGACATATTGTTCGAAGACTACTTGCGTCACAGGGAATTCTAGTTTACCCAAGGGCTTACTCTGAGAACGCTTCAAGAGATCACGACAACGATCAAGCCATTCAAGAAGCAGATGAAAGTGAAAGAGGCTTAGACATGGTCCGCTCGTATCGTTCTCTTACATCCGACGTCAAATGTGCGACTCTGTGTTGATCAGGGCCCAGGGAATTGTCCCCCACGTTACAGTACCATGGACTTCAAGCTGCTTGGGAATCAAGGTAGGTGTACTTCGGAGTGGTCATTCACAGCTAGTGTCTGCGATCGTGGCCCAGCGGCCCTTACGTTCAGAGTCCATCCCCCAAGCAATCTCAGCTTCTGCTGCGCGGCGCCCTCCTCCCCGGCAGCGTATCGCAAGCGCTGGTGCTGTTCACGGCAATCTCCGCGCTCCGAACAGCAAATGGACCCGAGTCTACTGCCTCAATGACGCATTTTGCCCGCCTTGAACATCCACTAAAACCCGAGTTGGATGCACTCTAATGCATTGGGCATTGGTATCCACTCGCAGTGGTAGTCTCGACAAAGAAAACACCTTATCCATTCCCAAAATCCGACCCGCGAAGCCCCAGTAAACAGAACCCCTTGGAGTTGCAGCGGAAACCAACGGAATTATCCATCTTCTCACTTTTTTTTTCTTTCTGTTCCAGCGATCCCAGTATGGTAAACGGGTCCTCGAACAACGGTAATCCTCAATTTTCATGCTTGGAAAGTTACGAGGTCCATTGGCACCGCCAAGGTACCTTTAAACTTCAACTGGAATTGTGGATGCATGCTGAAGCTTATCTCATACCGGCGTGTTGTAGCGCGCGTGTTGACAGGGAGCCTCGAGGCTTGAAGTCTACTCGTCCGATCCTGACGAAGCTCATTAACGTTCGCGTTTCTACTTCCGTTCCTCACTACTCGGAGGTAAGTAAGTATAGCAGTGACAAGCACACGTTGTTCGCAACCGTGGGCGCATTTGCTTGTCTTTCTCACTATTCCGCCCTTTTCAGATTCCCTCATGAATATACAATACTAGCATATGAGAACATATGGCCGTGTCTTTCGTTTTCAGAGCGCCCCTTCTCACCTGGCAGCAACCACGTCAGTCCGTGTGTCCTCTCCGCCCAGCGCATTGACGCTGCGAAAATTTGCCGAATCCATAGGCGCTTTTGGTTGCCGGACATACCGTGTACGGTCGGCGGGAACGTCGTGGATGAAATTCCCGCGCGGGCGACCTTCGGCAGTTTTGGAAGCGAAACCAAATAGGGTTTCATCGCCCCTATCTAGCAGTGCCCAACCCAATAGAGGGCTGAACAGCCCAGTACGACCGTAGACATCGCTTTAAATTGTCCAATAATCACCAAAAACGCCTCCCAATACTGGAGAGGATATCATAAGCGATTTAGACAGTCTTTTGGAACATATATATACATCCTACAGAACACAATCTCAGCCGGGAGAGTGTTTGGGCTACGGCAAAGGATCAGGGAGGCACCATTGCCACCCGAGGGCGCTCTCGGATAAACCATCGTGGAATGCAAAAGAGCTATGAAACTGACCTTAATTAACGTGTACTGCCCCGGACCCACACCCGGTGCTCCTATGATGACGATTCACCATTACTGTAACCCTGCGCGAACTTCTTCGAAGCTTGAATGGGCCACTTTCGGATCCTGAAGACGTTGGTCAATTGAGCTATGACTTGCGTTAGAGTCCATATGTGATGTTTTCCCAGACGTAAGGGTAATAAGAAAAGGGAGGCTCACGAGAGCCTGACTACCGGAGTTGCCAATGTTACACACTCCTTTTTGGGATGACGACAGGCTGATTGCGAGTTAGATGTTGGGCACGAAGCGAAAGGTACAGATTTCCGTGCACTGGAATGACCCTCTACCGCCTGAAGCCGAGGAGTCAAGCTTAGAATACAGCCTAGGTGTGGCTGTGTCGCTTTAGGGCCTGGTCAAGCTGGCCCCGCGTATTTACGACTTCCATTCGACAAGAGTCTACTCATCGAGCTAAAAATGATTTATTAAGATGCTCTCCTGGCCCATATGATATTGTTGGCTGTATCTAAGGCCCTTTAAGCCCTCCGGAGCACTCAAGACAGAGTGAAGGAAGGGGAAATAGGGGCCTCAGCCATTTTCGGTCGACGAAGCAAAGCCACCGAAAGTTGCTCGCGCGAGAATTTCATCCACGACGTTCCCGCCGACGATATACCGTGTGGTCGCAAATGCGGACGTGTGGTGGATCAGGGCGCTCATTCTCACTGGCGTGCGCCCGCGAGGCCGACGATCACACCTGGACGACGGAACCAGTTTACGACGAGTCAGGACGCCGCCTAGAGCAACCAAGTGGTCCCCTACAGGAGACCTTGGTACTGGAAGAGTTTGGGCGTACTTTTGTCTCGACAGGCGCTTCCGAGTATTATCCGCTGGTGCACTCTCGCTTTGGAGGGACGCCAACCCTAAGTTCGACTGCTGTGCTTCTACCATTAGGCGTATTCCGATAAATTTATCCGAGAGGGGAAGCTGCTGGAAACCTCCGAGTCCGCTACTCGAATACACACTTCGACACAACGATGTTCATTTGCTTCCGAAAGGGCACGAAATATTTCTCAGGTTTTTCAACGGACTTGAGGAAGATTGGCGGTGACATTGGTCTCAGCAACCCTCGAAATGCTTTCCGAAAGTCGACTTCCATCCTTACACCTTCACCCTCACTACTGTCAACAATATGTTCCCAGAGACCGAGTGCCTCGAACGTTTTTACCCTGGCTTCTCTACTGCTTTGTGGGGCCGGCTCAGCGTTTGACTAGGCCTCGAATGGCCCTAGAAGTACCCTTCCTAGCTTCGGCAAGGCAATCCCCGTCAAACCGACTAAAATTCGAAACACCACCGAGCAACGTTCTTGGCCGACACTCAGTACTCAGGGCTGGTAACTCCTCGCTTGGCTGCACGACTCGTATCTGGTATTTCCCTTGACCAATTGTACCGTAAAATAAGCAGGAGGGAACGAAAAACAAGATCCCATCTTTGATCACAGCCTATGGCCCCTACGAGGTATGCAGCGCTTAACAGCAATTCTCATTGATCATCTCGTCGATACACCGGCTTTCGGTGTTTGCCTTAAAAACCTCCTCGTCTAGGCTCCATGGGTTGGATTCCGTGCTTATGTAGCATGCCGGAATTTGGGCGACGCATACGAGATCAATGACGCAAGTGGACTCGTGCTCGTGCATCGAGTACTTTGCTACTGGACAAGATGTGGTGTTATCAATCGCAGCCCTATCGTAAGTTGCCTCTGCCAACTGCCAGGCTTGCGGTGCGTTCGAAGCGGCTGGAATATAAGTTTGGTAGCTTCATAATGACGCATGATAGCGAAATACACGGGCATTAGAGCCCTGTCGTTTTTTTTTTTTTGCCTTCCTTGAAGCCCCCTAAAGCCATGCAGTTTTGATGCAGTTCGACATTCTTTTCGTTCGGACTTTGCCCCGGCGCCTTGGCAACCGCGCCAAGCCCTCCTCTGGGCGCTTAAACGGATTCTGAATTTAGCGCAACTCCCCCTCGATTTCTTCGGGCAACGCCTCGAACTCTTTCACGTCGGCAAGTCAGGATAGAGAGGTTACGTTGGGATTAAATGACGCTTCGCTCGGGCAGCATGTTCCGCACGCATGGGGCATGTGAACCAACCTCAGTCCGAATTCGTGAACAAACTCGGAGAACAGAACTTTTCTTTTGAAGGTCAGACATGACCTGAGCCTATACAACCTCAGTATTCTCACGGCATAGAGATATTAGTCGGCGGCAGTGACCATTTGTCACGGGATTTCTCCGCAGATCGTCGCTTGAAATCCAACATACTGTGCATTGATTAATCGAAGCCTTCTTCGCATTTCAGAATGGCATCACATTCGACTACTTGTGGAGTCTCTGGCTCTTTGACCCGAGTATCTGCCTGAGACCAATGCGGGGGAACCAGTCCAGATGTGAGTGGTGTATACCGATGGCGGGAAGTGGTGGCAATGAAATAAAAATAGAAGGCTGGGGTACTTTTCGCATAAAAACAACCCTGTAGAAACACCGTAGGCTTTACTTGGCTCGAGAATGTATTATTAGTCTAATGGCGGCCTGAAATCGGAATCCTGGGCAAGAACCACGCGGGGGACTGCGTAAACATTGTACAGCCGTATGAATCATCTATGCGCGCAGCAGTGGCGAGTTGTGGTTCTAGTGCAGATGCCTCGGGATACACCTTCCTATTCGCTGCCACGATTCAAGTGTCGGAGATCGGTCACCGGGGAGCGAGTCCACCTCGAAGCGACACTGGTAAGGTGGAAAGTGGAGCTAGTAGGCTGTTTCATGAATGATGCCATACGGTCGCATAGGCCAGTTATAGCGATCACCATGCTCGCTTCGGGACTCCCTATGCAATGGTTGAGGACTGAGTCAAACACCAGATAGATAATTGTCCAAAATCTGGCATATTTTGATAGAACATCTAATGGCACGAGTGTGTTGTTCCTTGAGATTGGCAAAAAGCCCTCATAGAAGGATACGGTTCGTCGAGAAGAACCCGAGCAAGTCGTCAAGCTCATCGCAAGTGCACCCAGCTCCAGCTATGGATAGCGCGCGAAGTCGAAGTCTTTGTGGCCGGATGACCGGATTTATTTTGAGTATACTACCAGCCGCCGTAAACCTTTAAGCCTTTGCGTGCCGAGATGGTACGTTGGAGTTTGCCTAAAAATAGTTCTGATAGAAGTACGAACACCTGGACGGTGCTATCTCATCGGCGAACAGTCGAATACCAGCCATTTGGCCCAACAAACCTGAACGCACGAGCCCTAGTTCTCAGCAGCTCGCTCGAGCTAAGATGATAATAAGCTAACCTGTCTATCCCTCTATGGCGAGGAACTGAAAAGCGAAGTATCCGATCATGTGCGCAAAGGCGAGATCAAGATCCACTAAGTCTAACTGTCTACTGACTTCGCACGAAGTATTTTCTCGTGAACTCGGAAAGAGGCGTTATCAGTGTCCCCATAACCCGTTAGCGTGTCCCTTCCCCGCTACGGCGCTTGAACCTCGTCACTTCAATCACGAAATGAATCATCAGAGCAGGGACCCTCGACACTCTTTCCCCGGACTACAAATCTCCGGATTCAAGTCGGATATCGACAGGTTTCAAATAAAAGAAGAAGCTACTCTTCAAACGGGGGAAGTCAGCTACCCAAACAGCTTCTTTATCAAGACGGTGATACCCACCCTAGTACCGGAGGGCCTCTCCTCCAGCCATGGCCCGCATAGCCAGACTATTCAAGCCGTGACGGCTAACCGTCTATAGACCTTCCCCTCCCTCCACGTACACGGAACAGACAAGGATAGAGGGACTGAATGAATTACTTGATGTAGTATCCCAACTTCAAGATGAGGCTCTAATAGGGAGGAAACAGAAGCCAACATGCAAGTCGGCCAGATGCGAACGCCGATGCCACTGCGTATCCTTGCCACCCTGCACGCCAGATACGAATTTCACTCCGAGTGACACTCGTATTGGGTCGAGGCCCAGCGGACAGTATTACCTCGCTTTCCGAAACTTCAGGTTTTGGCCCCCTCTAGTCCGTGCCTTGGACTGGACTGAACGTGAACACATGGTGTCTGTCCGGTAGCGCGACCCGGAACTCGAAGCTTCGAAGGCTAGTTTGCCCATGAAAAATCTCCGTGCCGTCCTGTTCAAACCCACCTCCGTCAATGAGGCCTTGTACCAAGAGCTTCATTCCCAGGGCTCTGATTGAACACCAAGCACAAGGGCAGCCTCCAAACTTGGATGAGGTGCATACTTACTAAGGAGATAGTATGGGCGAATGGCGACGTTTAACAAATCCAGCTGATCCAGTCAAGTCTTGAAATAGAAACATAGGACTAGCAATCTGTGACGGTTTCCAGTACATGGAAGGGGCGAAGCTCCGGCGGCTGAGACGCCAGCTTGGCCAATCCCAATGCCTACACAGAGTGATCGCTAGTTAGGAAACCAGGGGGAGACCACGCGCGTACACAAAAAGGCCAACGACGATCATCCTGGGAAGGATGGCCATTCACCATTTGGTGTCAGCCAGCTCCCAGCCAGCACACATTCGAATCCATGCCTCCGCGCCTGTCCCTCCCAACTCACATATGCCCTCCTTCTCTCCAAGCAGGACATACTCGGTGAAGTTCCTGACCTTCGCCCTCTTGTAGACATTCTTGTAACGCGTTACAAGATCCGCACCGATTTTGGAGCGCAATACGATATAGTTTCCGTGCTTGTAATACCACTGTAGTTGGCGAACGAGAGGTTTCAACGGATCTGGGACAATCTTTGCGGCGGAGACACTGGGGCTTGATGTAGAAGACTGGTATCTGAATGACGGAGGTTGGATAAAGGTCATGTCAGCAGAGCTTTCTAATTCTGAAGTGATGTTGGAGTTGGAAGAGATGTTGGAAGTGAGATCGTCAGATATTAAGGAAACGGTGTCGTATTGCTTGGGCTTCCTCTGAGTTGCCTGGAATACGTCCTTGGCAGGGTCGAATGTGTCGATAGATGCGGTCGTTCTGTCTCGAATATCGCGAACTCTGGTTCGCGGGGTTTCAGCCCGAGCTTTAGTAGGCGAAGTGCTATGAAACTCGTTTGATGCATTGCTTTTCTCGGTTCGAAGTGGTGGTCTTTCCGGAGGTGTTAAGAACGACTGCCGTTCTTCGAGCAGCCAGAACTGATTCAGTGTAGTCTGGGAAGGCGGCAGTCCAGCCTGATGAGCTTTCTTCGGTGTCTTCGAAGGACTGGTATTGCTTTGGGATGGGAAGGGTTTCCTGGGCTTGAAGTCCTTGGGGCCAGTGCTTTCTCCCTGCGACGCTGAGGACGAAGAGCGAGTCCATTCTAGAGTAACTGCTAGTTTATTCGATTGTTTTTCTTCATCTCCGTTTTCTTTGTCAATTCGTATCGGGCCGTCGTCGGTATTGTCGTCATATCTTCTGCTGTTCCATCCTGTGTTTCCCGTGAAATATGTCCTCCCAGATTTCTTGGGAGATGATGGAGGGGGCGTGATAATGTCGACGACGTCGGTGAACCAGTCGAGGCAGGTGGTTGCTTGTGCCTTCAAGCTAGCATGAGCATTGGGCAAGGTGACAAGGACAACTTTGTATCTTCTCAATCTGAGCGTGGACAGAGCGTAGGCGAAATCACGGTCGCCAGAAATTAATATGAAAGTCCTCGGTGCAGGGTGGTCGATAGCATGGGCCAGCATGTCCACTTGGAAAGAAACCCAACTGTAAGCATTTGGATCGGGACGGGCGGTGGGGACGAGAGCCATTTACCCAGCATCATTTTATCTGCAGCGTCCTTACGCCCATTATGGGGACAGTCTGTCAAAGAAACTCCAGAAACCTGGAGTTCGGAGCGTAAAGTCAATGAACGGGCATTCAAAACTTGCTCCGACACCTCGAGGTACGCCTTGAAGAGCTTGACGGAGCCGAACTGTTGAGCCATTCGGCGTATAGCATCTACAAGGTCATATCCCGTGTAATTAGCAGGTGCCGGGCAGTTTTCTGTCAGAAATACAACCGTCAGCGAAACGAAAGAGGACGACCGGATCAGAGTGCACTCAACCATAGTCCCAAAAAATAGCGATATCTTCGTTCACAACGTCCGAAGGCATTGATGACTTCTTCACAGGTATCCCGTCCATTGGCTGCTATGTACTTGAAATGCCGGTTCTCGACGCAGAGAGGCAGAGCTACAACATCACTCGGGAGTGAAGATGATGGTGGCAAGGGACAAAAGACAAACCGCGGACCATTCAAGCGCTTGACAAAGATGGTCCACGGGATCAAATATACATTCCGGAGTCTTCACGCAAGTAGTCCAATTTAATTAGTTGTAATCTGGCATTACTTACATACATGTATCCAATTTCTAAAACTAGTCAGTAAGTAATTGAGTAAGGGTAGATAATGTCGGGGTACATGTTATATGGGCTCATGCAATTGGATCCAAGCTCCTCCATTCTTACCCCCGAGTTTAACGATTCCTTCCTTCTCAGCTAGTGCAGAATATTGAGAAAATTTCTGTACCCCGGCCTTTGCATACACATCCTTGTCCTTTTGAATCAACTCCAGTGCGACAGACGATCGCAAGGGAGTGGCCGACCCCTTGGCACGTTGAGATCTCAGAATATCGACCAAAGGTTGGAACGCAGGCACCACAGAGGTCCTTGCAGAAGGCTGAGGGGAATAGCTCGCTTTCTGCGGAGAGGATATAGAAGACGTGGATGGAATTCTTGGGCTCATGAATTGACCAGATGGTGTTGGTCGTTGACCGAGGGTTGCGAGTGACGGTTGGAAAACACTGGCAGTGGGAGATAAGCTGGTAGAGGGAGTTGATGCTGTAGGTTGGAAAGCGATTGTTCGAGGCATTAGCTCCTCGACATTAACCTGCGCACGTGCCGGAATGCTACCCGTCCCCACCGCAGTTGACTTCCCAGTAGCTCTAGGAGTTGAAGGGATGCTAGTAATGCCCTTGACGGAATCCTCAACCAGAGGTCGATCGAGCTTGCTTAATGGACGACCGGTGATCTCAGAAGGGGTGGATGGTCGGTCCGATTGGAGATATGACGAGAATCCTCGAAAATGAGGGGACAAGAGCTCGTCTGGAGTTTCCGTGTCCGATGCTCGAGCTTTCCTTTTCACGGTGTGTGGATTCTGCGGAAGACTGAAGTTCTTCAATTCCACTTCTTCGCCTGATGCAATTCGCGCTCGCTGTTCTGCGCCAGAAGGCCTGTCTTCTCTGGTGAAATCCGGGGAAGACGCTCGGCTGTGTGGGCGCATGGGATAACGTTTGTGGGGTGAAGCTGTAGAAGTCCCAGGCATCGCATTGGGAAGTGACATGTATTTTAAGACGTCCGTATCCCAATCGAAGTGAATAGACCCTTGGGAAGTCAAGCCCAAGCTTGTATCCTGGCCTCCCAGTGAGGACGTGACGACGACCACGCGGTAATTGCGCAGCCGTAGGAGGGAGACTGCGTACGCAAGAGCAGGCGCATTGGTTACGAGCACAATGGTCGCCGTTAAGGGCGTCTTGTCCAAGGCGTAAGCATACATATCGGCTGTACAAGCACGGGGCGATAAGATTGAAGATAGGACCATGAAGCTGCAGAGGGGGGAGGATGGACGTACCAGCGAGCATCACGTTCAGACCAGCATTCAAAGACGGAGTGCTGGTGTCAACGTCCGTCAGTGACACGCCAGACACTTGGAGTTCAGATCGAAGAGCTGATGCTCTGTCGCGCTTGGAACTGGGCTCGTGTAGAGAGATAGACAGGTAGGCTTTGAAGACTTTTATGCTCCCAAAAGTCTGTGCGATGCATCTGATGCTGTTTGCGACTTCATATCCTGTAAGCGAACTAGGCGAGGGGCACGTCGCTTCGTGAGATGTGAGTTCCAGTTTCATCGAGATTGAGCTCTAGTGAGTACGCACAATGATCCCAAAATACAGCGACGTCGTGGTCGCTCAAGTTGTTGCCGTGACCATTCATGTTGCCAATGGCGCCACAAAACTTGATCCCGAACCTGCAATTTCCTGGACCAGGCTTAATCGAGGGGTAAGCCTAATTTATGAAGATTCACTCCTTTCGAGAGGTTTTCTGTGTTTGGGGGTCCAGGATTGATGAGCAGCCTCCTGCCTCGTGGTGGACAGGAGTAAAGGCTGGTGGGACGTTCCCAAGGCGTTAGTAGTTTGTTTGGGTGCGTGCACACCACGCTCTCAGGACTGTAGGAGAAAAGTTAGTCACAAAAATATATTATATAGATCACAAGAACAAGTAGGAAGTACAGATATGCTCGGTTCAATAATAATCGGGATGAAGAACAACGTCACCCTTGTTCGACATAATGATGCCAGCAGAGTAAGCCCAGTTAAGATAGTTAACAACGGGACCCTTCACATCCGCGAGGTCGCAGTCTCGAATGAAATTCGGATTCTTCCTTTTCAAGGCATTGAACATGTCTACCCGTCTCATGAAAGTCTCCCCGCGAGCACGAGACTCGCGAAGGATATCGATCAAGAGCCGGTACCGACGGTGAGGTGGTTTCTGAATCTTCTGGGCCATGCCAGACCCAGAGACTGAGGGTCCCGCTTCGATCTTTGCCAGTGCTACTGGAACTGGCTTTGACACTGGCGAGGAAGATGTCGGCGGCTTTGGTGTCTGAGTAAAAGAGGTGAACGGGTCGCGGCTTGTTGATACAGCGGCAGGCTTTGGTGCTGGCCTAGAAACTATCCCGACAGCGTCTTGCGCGGGACTGGGTGCTTCTCCAAAGGAAGTGCGGACGGGGGCTGGAACTGGGTGACTAAATGTGAAGGGAGAGGAAGGGGGCGCTGAATGTATTGGCCGTGGGGCCAAGGGTGGCGCGACCAAGGCGGGTAAGGGCGCCGCTTTGGAGGCGGCTACCGGGATGGGGGATACAGGAGCTCTGCTCTTTTCAGCGGCCGCGGATGGGCTGCCAGGTGCAGGCTTGGGATCTTTGAGCGGAGTCACTCTGGGTTTGTTACTGACAGTCGGGATCGCCTTGGGCTTGAGTGCAGATGTGTTGAGCGAATGGGTGAATGAACCGACGGGTTCGATTGACTCTGGGTCCGGCGTTTGCAGCTTGAGAGACTTCTTAGCCGACACGGGAGCGTCATCAACCGCAGAGTTAGCTGACGTGGTTACATTGGACAATGGCTGCGGGATAGAGGGAAGCCGAGGATGCTCGTATGCAGGCGATAGATCAGGCGGAGTACCAGGGACTCGACGAGTTGGAGAGTCAGTTGCCTCAGAGGTCTTGTTGACGACTATGAATTCGGAACGCTGAGAAATAGGAGAGGGTGAAGGCGAAGGAGAGCTCCCCCTCTCAAACATTCCAGTAGGCGGCTTGTAGAACGACGAAACTGAAGTTCGCCTGCTTATAGAAGGTGTATCGCGTCCGCATGCGTGGGTTGAGAATTGAGTCGTCTTTCCCTTCCCCTTCCACTGCGGTTGTTGATCCTCATGCGAAGGACCATCTCCGGCTGCTTGCGAGACCAAGGAAGGCGAGTAAGAAGACGAGCTAGAGATCGACTCGTTGGTGAGATGGCTGGCCACGATGGACCCGTTCTGCGAGTGTCGGGTCGAAGGTTCGGCTGCTGCAGCCCCGGGGTGATCCACGGACACGGTCGGTAACATCGAGATATCCTGTTGTTCAAGAAGGGGGAGTTCACAGTATGCCCTCTGAACCAAGTTTCGGTGTGCGTTCCGTGGGGTAAGAAGGATCGTCCGGATACCTTGGAGTTTCAACAGAGACAAGCCGTACATGATGTCCGGGTCTGCTGAGACAAAGATTAACGCGAACGCCGTCACACAGGTGAGTCCGTGAAGAAAGGCGTCCGCTGTGCGAAGATCAATAAGCTGGTGGCAGAATGACCGCTATACGAACACACCTAGCATCATCTTCGCCGATGCACCTGCTCTACCTTCTGCTGCCACCTCCACGATGGAAACGCCGGAGGCCTGGAGTTCGGACTTACTCTCGACCGTGAATGACCCAGAGTTCTGTCGGTCAACGTATAATCTGAAGCTTTGGATAAGACCGTGGGCCTTGGCAACATCGAACACTGACGAAACGGCGTCCAAGGCGGACACATCCAATGCCACTTGAGCTGAGGCTGAAAGATGTCATCAGAATCGCATTCCAAGACTGAGCGAATGCAAGGCAGGCACTGACCATCCCAATAAACGCTGACGCGAGTCACCATCGTAGAGGAATCTGTTCTTGCGCTCTGCTGACAGGAAGGGTTAGATATATAAAGCCACTGCCTGGCGTTTACCGAACGGTTTCGGTCCCAAAGCCACAAGCAAACCGGGCGTACAGCTCAAGTCCACCGCCAATGATTGCTGCAGGTCCATGTGCGTCACCCGATGATCGACACGGAGTTCATTTCGAGCGAACAGGAAGTTAAAGTCTCCCAATGACACGGTCTGAGCAACAAGAAAAAATGAAGGTAGTTACAGGACTGACGATTTTTTGGGCCCAGACTGAAAAGTTAACCGCGGTACGTACTCCATGTGTAAATAAGTACCTCGAGGCCATACTGCGAGTCCGTGATCGAGGGGTCCATCCAAGTGTGGCTTTCGCCAATCGCAGCCCCTCGATACACGAGGGGACGATAATCGATGGCGAATGTAGAAGCGCGTGTCCAAGAGAACATGTAACGAGGTAAGAGCAACATAACTGGCGATGTCAACGGAGTGGCACCGCGAGAAAGAACTTCAGCGGTAGCGGGGGGTCAGAGTGATGTGCGACCCTGTCTTGGAGGTTATGATGCCCTCTTCATAAGCACCTTCGATGAGTTTGACGATGGGCTGGGGAACAGGATCCATCCCAGAATTGATGCGATAGTTAGGGTCGATCTTTCGCATTGCGCCGTCGATGCCATTTCGTGGAATAGAGTATGAGGGTGAACTGCGCAAGCAATCAACCAGGACCCTGTACTTCAGGGGGAGTTCCAGGTACAGTGCCAACTGTGTCGAGGCGGATGACGTTGGATTAGAGACCCAAATGGAGAATGCGGAAGTTCCATTCGAGTCCGATTGTTGTCCACTTGTTGTCCATGCAGGTTCTGGTTCAACAGAGTCGCGTTCCTGACCGAATTCCTGGGTGAACAACGCATCTTTGGGAGGGGCTGATGCAGATCTCCCTGGAATACTGAAAGCAAACGACGGTGCGAAGACCTTGGCTGAAGGATCGAGAGTTGAGGAGGTCGCCTGCGATGATTGTCCTATAGATGACGTCTCGACCGACTTTGGTCCTGGGGGCGAGGTTGCACGGGTCGACACCAGCGTCGATGAATCTGAGGGCAACGTCGGAAGGTCCTGTGCATTCAGAGTGGGCAGTGAAGCGCTGGCTACGGAAAGTGGGGCAGGGGAAACCGAGGGATCTTGAGGTCTGGTCAGTCCGGAAGTCGGCAGTGGACTCTCCTCTTCGACGATGGAAGGGTGGTGATGGTTCGTGGCCGCGTGGGTTTGTTGAAGTGTCGAGAGAGGCCCAAGATGGCTGGTTACTGGTACCTCATAGGTCGGGCCGTCCGAGCCTGTTTGCGACTGATACGAAGGAGCCCCGCACTGGGTCAATTCAGGTCCATTGTCAAAAACCCGCCGAAAAAGTCGATGATGCGAGTCGTTCCAATCGGCCTCTGCCAGTAGTATTTGCTCGGAAGCCGCTGGGCATAGGATAGCCACGTTGTAACCTCTCATGCGGAGAAGAGACGCAGCGTAGAGAATGTCCATATCCCCTGAGATAAGAGCGTAGGTGTGCGGAGGGGGTAGGTTGAGCGCCTGGACGATACAATCCGCTAGGGAAAAGGGCACAGTCGTCATCGTTGGCTGGCACGCTATGAAGAGCCTTTACGCACCAATCATCATCTTATTCGATGCATTTGGGCGGCCATTCGATGCGGTGTCGACCACTGTCACCCCAGAACATTGCAATTCCGACTTTAGATTCCCGCTTGGAGCCGCAGGATGTGAGAGGTCAACATAGAACTTGAAAAGCTGGATAATTCCCAAAGGCTTGAGCAGCTTTCGAATTGCATTTGTGATATCGAACCCGGTTACTGTTGGATGGGCCGACGCGGTCACTGGAAATGATCATGGTGGTTGAGAACAGAGCAGGAAACACGATGTAAACAGACACCACCACGCACTGTCCCAGTAAACGGACACAAATCCGGAGTCGTTCATGGTCAAAACTAAAGGCCACCAAACCAGAAAGAAGGTTGAAGCTAACGAAGGCAACGTTCGACTTGACAGGTTCTCGCCATTCTATTTTTAAACCAGTGGGAAGGCGAAGGGTTGGGGTACATTATCATTGTATACACTATTGATGTAGCTGCTACACAGCAGTAGATTCTTCTTGATATGACCAAGCCAAAGGATGTAGAAATCGAGTAGAAATGACAGGAAAAGTGTAAAAGCGGAAATTGCGAATTTTATAACTGGTAATTGGGATGTAATGCCGTATGTTCGTTGTGAACGTTGATTAAAATCCCCGCGTTCACAGCTTCGTCGAGATAGCGGCCTAGGCGCCTCTGCTCTCCAGTTATGCCAGCTCGTTTGAATACATCCGGCTGGACTGAAGTCAAAGGCTCGAAGAGGGTACTACGTTGAAATACCTCAATACCATTGTTCAGCTTCTGGGATCGCATGTAGTCCACCAAGGGCTGGAAGTGAGGAGGAACGAAAAATGGCGGAGAGCTACTGTAAGACGATCTGCTGGAACGATAAGCGAAACATTTCGCTTCGTACAGTCGCTGCAAGCCGAGCGATATCTTCCTATTCTTCTTCTTGCCTGTGATGGTTATGAGATTCAACTTTTCCGCCTGCCGAAGGTATTCGAGCAGCCTTGCATCCGTCTGGTCGTCCGTGGCACATGTCATAGACAAGTCGGGCAATATAGCATCAATGCTCTTCACCAGGTCACCAAAGGGAACAGGCGTCCTCTCTGCCAGCGTCTCTGTCCAGAGATGGGCCACCAAGGGCGCAAAGCGCGAGGGGACGCCCGAATGAGCTTGTAGCGGCAAAGTGGACTGGGCCCCAAGAGGCGAAGTCGCCCCTGTCGAAGATTTTCCATCATCTGGAACTAGGATACGCGAACTTGATGCCTGGGTTGAGGTCAATGGAACTGATCCTTGTGGGAGTGGCGAGCCTTCATCATCCAGAGGTGGTATCTCGGGTGCCGGTGAGCGAGGCACTGGGGCTCTGACGGTGGTCTGGCTCCCTGCTGTCTGCTGAGAAAGAGACGGTGCAAGGGGTGGGGGAGGAGAGAAACTCGGCGCTGTGTATGGCGGGATTGAGGTCGTCGCTGTTTTTCCGAAGTTGAGTGAACCCTTTCTGTCGTCGTCGGGATCGAACAAGGCAGAGTACGGCACAGAAGACGTTGGCGCTGTCGAAAACGAGGCAGGTGGTATGACGGAGAAATCGGAAAATTGAGTTTCTGATGAGGGCGAGTTGGGAGCATCCTCCTTGTTGACCAAGTCAGGAGAGATAAAATCAGTCTCTTCTTCCTGCCTGTATGGAGCAGTGAACGGCCATGCTGAGCCAGATAACGTCGGTGGAGGGGTAAAAGGTGGTGTGGAGGGTGGAGGCGTCCGAGTTGGCGGTTTTTCGTCCGCCGGCTCTGCTCGATCATCTTCAGCGCACCGCGGGTAAGCCACAAACGATCCAGCATCGTTGGGTTCCTCCGCACGTTGAACATGAGTTTTCGGCGTGGCTCTCGCACCCCATGCCATGTTCGAAATACCAAGGCCGGCATGACCTCGGTCAACCCCCTTTCCCTTGCGATCATTGCCGTGGCTTGGAGGAGACCCCTCCGAGCCCGAGGAGCCTCCTCTATCTGGTGATGAGAAGGAATCACGAGAAGGAAAGTCAAAAATGTCGTCGTCAAATCCATTCCCTTCCGCCAGTCGCTGCACGTTTCTGTCGGATGTGGGAGGACATATTACGATGATGTGATATCCTCGGAATCGAAGTAACGATATGCTGTAGCTCAAGTCGGGATCCGCAGTGATCACAACATGGACAATGTCAGAAGAGTTTGAGAAGTTATCCATGGCGAGGATGAAACAATCAGCTGAAGGGCAGGCGTTAGACCAGAGCGACTAAAATTTGGCGCAATGTACCCACCCAACATCATCTTGGACGACGCCCCTTTCCGGCCATTAGAAACGGTATCGATGATTGTCACTCCTGAGCATTGTAGTTCCGACGCAAGGGAATTCGGAAAGCCATGGCCAGCGTCCATATAGAACTTGAAGGACTTGATCACTCCGAAACGAGTTGCAAAGTTGCGGATGGCGGAAGCCACGTTGTAGCCGCCCAAGCTTGATTTAGGGGACGCGCTCACTGGAAACAGATGTCAGGACGCTTTCAAGAGAGACAAGGGACAGAGTACTAACCATCCCAAAAAATGGAGACTTCACGCCTGCCTAGCCTCTCCGTCATGGTTGGATGCAGCAAGGCTGTTACGACATCTTTGGAGGAAGTGGCTTTATATAGTTCAGAAGTAGTGTTTCCCAGGGGTCATGAGGCTGGTGCGAGGTGATGAAGATGTGGGTCCGGAATGATCAGGCTGAGATTGAGGGGATTGGCAATGTAAATGCATGAAGTGGGTATCGTGTGCTGGGTTGGATGTGTCAAGAAGTCGGATGTTATGTCGAGGGGTATTGCCAGTGGTGGATCAGACCCGGCGATAAGGATAGGTCAGGATAACGAATGGACCCGTTTTGGACGCGATGATGCCCTCCTCGTATGCACCTTCGATAAGGTTGACCATTGGTCGAGGAACGCCAGATAAACCAGAATTGGCGTAGAAATTGGGATCTATCTTTCGCAGCTCTCCGTCGAGGGATCCCCTTGGAACGGAGAATGTTGCAAAGCCTCGTAGGCAGTCGACCAAAGTCTTGTATCTGGGAGGCATTTCTTTACTCGATTTGGAACTGGACGATTGAGATGGAACCGCCAAAACGGGATTCATAGTCGAGGGACCAGGAGAGGGCGCCTGTCGGGAACCGTAGTCGGACGTGGGGGCACTTCTCGTCCATGCAGCCGGTGTACCCCCTCGTCGAACGGAGTCGAGCAGACTGCGAACGTTCCCTTCCCAACCGTCACTTCCCACCTCCTGAACCTTCCATGGTGGCGAGGTCGAGTCTTGGTAGACCGGTAAACTCAGCTCTGATGTCGGGGCAGAACTAGGCCGTTGGAGACGGGGAAGGACGCTTGCACTCGAAGAGACAAGAGGGGCCCAAGTGCCTTGACCAGCGTTCTCCGCGACGGTCTCAAGGGATCTTCGGTGTAGTGAATCGTCGCGAGATTGAGCAGAGGGAAAATCCTGTACCAAGCAGTTGGCATCGTCCGTCTTAGCCAGTGGTTGGATAGGTCGATTGGCGTAGGAATCTTCACCGGAGGCGATTCCAATACCGGGCTTCGCTTCGAGAGGAGTATTCATAGGGGACGTTGATTTTCCAGGCGCGGCCTGGTCCTTTGCACTTTCCTCCCAAACCCGTTGGAACAACCGGTGTTGCCCGTCGTCCCAGTCGGCCTCTCCGAGTAAATCGGCCTCAGAGCCCTCTGGACACAGAATAACGACTTTATATCCCCTCATACGCAGGAGAGACGCGGTGTAAAGGATGTCCGAATCTCCAGAGATGAACACATAGGTCGAGGGTGGCGGGTTGATTGCCATTTGTACAAGGCAGTCGGCTGGGTTCAAGCAAGAGGTTAGCATGATGAAGCAAGCATACAAAAGAAAGGTATGCAAACCTATCATCATCTTATTGGAAGCATTAGGCCGCCCTTTGGAAGCAGTGTCCACTACTGTGACCCCCGAACATTGCAGCTCCGAGGTCAAGTTTGCTTTTGGTGCCCCTGGGTGTGAAAAGTCGACGTAGAACTTGAAAATCTGAATGGAACCGAGTGGCTTAAGAATTCTTCGCAGTGCGTTGACGATCTCGAATCCCGTAACATTTGGACTGACTGACGCGCTCACTGAGGTGATGGTTGAGGACAAAGGGCCGCGGAGAGCAAGTGTCACGTACTATCCCAATACACGGAAACGTGTTGTGAATTGTCCATATATCTCCTGACTGTTCGTACGCAAAATTGAGTGTGGCGATGGATAAAGAAGAGAAGAATTCAGGTGAGCGCTCGCTGACGCCAGGTTGAGGGCTCTGAAGCATGTTGGTTGACCAAGCTTCTGACAGGTCCTGGGCTCGTGCTATTTTTAGACGAGTATATTGAGCTACGATTCCGATATTTACCGCTAACTGTAACCATAGGTATACATACTGCCTGAACCTCAATACCATGCAGGCGCCAATGAGACAATGCCTCCCTTGTCGATTGTAACAATTCCCAATTTCTTTGCTCGTGAGACATAGAGTCTTACAGGTCGCTTTTTGTGAGTGGTGCCTGCGTCGACGAACACGTTGGCCTGCCTCGCGAGCAAAGGCTTCGCCAGACTCATACGCTGGATGCTGTATATCCCGTTTTCCCTCATTTCCCGTAAGACGGTAACAAGGATATGGTAATGGGATGGGATAGAGGTAGGATATCCCGGTCTCGCCGAAGTCACCGTAGGGTTGTTGGATATCACTGGCGGAAACATTGGAACTGCAGGCCATGGCTTGGCCAAACCAAAGTACGGGTAGGGTGGTGTCTCGGGACACCAATTCCAGGTCCATGGCCTAGGATTGGTTGGCGGGGCCACATAGGATGTTGCGACAGTGACCGCTTCATTTATGGTTTGGTTGGGCGCATGAAAGGCGGATGCAGCAAGAGGCGAAGATGGGGAAAACGGAGCTGCAGTTGCGCGCAGCCTCGGTTGGGTCGAGCTTGTCGTAGTCAATGTGTTGAAGTCGTCGTCGCCTCTGTATGCGGCAGCAAATGGAAAATCCGGCAATAGAGGTTGGGTGCGACGTATAGGTACATCGTCCTCAAGCGGTCTGATGTTTGATGAAAGAGTCTGTTGGACCGGAGCCTGCGAAGGGACCTCTTCCGTTGCTACATTTAGCATTACTCGTACATTATCAGCGATGTCAGACAGCGTTGCGTCTGTTCCCACATCAAAGGCGTAGCCCTCGCTGAGGTGGGTGATGTTGGAATTCGCAGCAAGCGGGCAGAGGACTGGGATACAGTAGCCCCTCGACCTGAGTGAGGCAACGCTGTAGCAAAGGTGTGGATCAGAGGTGAGGACCAAGAGGACAATGTTCAACGGATCCGGATTGTCCAAGGCCAGCAGGAAGCAATCGGCTGTGTCACGAATCTCAGCACCCTTAAGCGGGTCTAATGCAAGAAGAGAACGCATACCGATCATCATCTTGGAGGATGCACCGTCCCTTCCACCAGACACGGTGTCGATAACCGATACGCCAGAACATTGGAGTTCCGATGCGAGTACTGGTAGGAGCCGAGTCTTGTCGTTGCTTGAGATGTCAACATAGTAGTTGAAGGCCTTGATAACGCCCAAGCGGGTCGCTAGCGTTCTGATCGCAGCAACAACATTATAACCTCCAACGTGAGCTTTAGGAGAAGCACTCTCTAGAAAACAGATGTTAATAGGTCGACCTGGGCAACTAGAGCTTTTTCCACCGACCATCCCACAGAATGTAGACTTGGGGTCTGGCCATTCTGTCTGCCATGGTAGGAAGGGCGAGCTATTACGACACATTGAATTGGCAGAAGCCTTTTATAACCTGCAGGCAGTGTGGGGTTCCCATGGGTCATGGGGTCAGATCGCTGCATAGACCGCAGTCGCAGGACGATGCTTGAAGCGTTCAGCTATGAGCAGAAAGAACAAACCAGATGAACTTATCTCCGGATTTTCTGGCGAATAGTATACCTCCGTCCCGGACGAGTTTTAGAGTACGAATTTGATGGGATTCCCACCACAGATTCGCTGCCACCTCCTTCATGGTTCTCGTCGGCTGGGCCGCCTGCGTGTTTCGAGCGAGCAGCACGCGTTCAAATGCGCTGAAGACCGTCTACAACGCGTCCAGAACAATTTCACAAGGGCATGGCACACATGGAACACCGCAGAACCGCACGGTTTGGGATGTTCATGACGTGACGAGCACAAGGACGCAATGCACCGCCGCCAAATTCCGGCGACCAATTGGCTTGCAAGGGGCGAGAAGTCTTATTACAAAGTCTGAAACCCCAACCAAGAGATTATCATCGCTCAATCCGATACGCCCATTTTGTACTCATATTGGCGATATAATGTCCACTCCAGTCCCAACAACAGAAGATCCCAGCCAGTACCGTCTACCAACCAGCGTCAAGCCCAAGCATTATGACGTTGTCATCAAGACCGATCTCGAGGCCCTCAGTTTTGACGGCGTCGTCAAAGTCGAGTACGTTGCGGCGACCGACTTCCTTTCTCCTGAGCTCTGACTGTGGCTGCCTAGTCTCGATATTGTCGAAGAAACCTCCTCTATCACTCTGAACAGCGCTACTCTCGATCTCGGCAAAGTGTAAGTTGGCCTTGGGCGATATCTTTCATTAGCTGAGCTGATATCACTTTGTAGTTCTGTATACTCTGATGCCTCCAAAGCTACACAGGAACCTACCGGACACTCTCTGGATAAAGTTCAAGAGCGTATCTCGTTCCAACTGGCCAACCCTCTCCCCGCCGGGAGCAAGGCCGAACTCAAGATCGCTTTCTCTGGTGAACTCACTGGCAGCATGATGGGCTACTACAAATCGTCTTGGGAAAACGAAGGCAAGACCGAGCACTACGCCCTTACTCAGTTCGAGGTAGGCTTCACCATCCCAGTCCTTAGCCGTGTGACTGATACGCAACCCTTGAATCATAGCCAACGGCAGCGCGTCGCGCCTTCCCTTGCTGGGACGAACCTTTGCTCAAGGCCACCTTCGCAATTACCATGGTTTCTCGCGCCGATACGACTAATCTCAGCAACATGCCTGCCATCTCGGAAGAGGTCATTGAACCCAACACCAACGTGTCCGAGGACATCAGGGAACTCGTCGCTACCGCTAAACCAGATGACAAGTGGAAGGTCACCAAGTTCGAAACCACACCGCCTATGTCCACTTACATCGTTGCGGTCGCTAACGGCAAATTCGCGTTCTTGGAATCTTCGGTCAAGATGCCCCTTAGCGGAAAGACTATCCCCATGCGCATCTACGGCAAGTTAATTTTTGGCTATCATTCTTCCTCGCTAATACATCACCCATGTAGCCACTCCCGATGTAATCCATCAGGCCCAGTTTGCTCTTGATGTCAAGCTCGCTGCTCTCCCCCTCTACGAGACCATCTTCAATGTCGAATATCCCTTGCCTAAGCTCGATACCCTCGTAGCACATGACTTCGATGCAGGTGCCTAGCTCAGTTACGGCTTCATGATGACTTACTTAAATTCTAGCTAGGCGCCATGGAGAACTGGGGTCTTATTACTGGCCGAACCAGCGTCTTCTTGCTCGACCCTGAACGCGCGGATCAACAGTCCAGGAAGCGAGTCGCCACCGTCCAAAGCCACGAAGTTGCGCATATGTGGTTCGGTAACATTACGACCATGGAGTGGTGGAATTACCTCTATCTCAACGAAGGATTCGCCACCTTGGTAAGTGCATTCAAAGAGGTGAATCTATCCATGCTCACGCGCAGTAGATGGGTGAAGTCATCATTCCCAACAGGTCAGTCACATTTGGACTCGCTGCCTTCTGCCGTCTGACGGTTTCTGGATAGGATCTGGCCCGACTGGAGAATGGATTCCGAGTTCATTTCTGACCACTTGAATCGTGCCCTCGGATTGGATGCCAAGCTCTCTTCCCACCCCATTGAAGTCGACTGCCCGGATGCCAATCATATCAACCAGATCTTCGATGCTTTGTCGTACTCCAAGGCTGCCTCTGGTAGGTTCCACATGGAGCTGGTTGAGCTCGTTTTCTAACCCTGTGTTAGTCCTCCGCATGTTGTCAAACTATGTCGGCGAGGAGCGCTTCTTGAAGGGCGTCTCCCTTTATTTGAAGAAGAAACTGTTCGCCAATAGCGTTACTCATGACCTCTGGGAGGGCATCAGCACGGCAACTGGACATAATATTACTGAACTCATGGAGAACTGGATCACCAAGGTTTGTTACCCTTCTGCACCACGTGTGGACTGTCCTGACTGTTTTCTGTAGATCGGCTTCCCCGTCCTTACCGTCACTGAGGACGCCAATGGCATCACAGTGCGTCAAGATCGGTTCTTGGAGACCGGTTCCGCCGAGCCCAAGGATAATGAGACCATCTGGTACGTCTTTATACCCCCACAATTACTCATGCGCTGGTATATGCTGACGTTCCGCTGTCCAGGAATGTCCCCTTGTTCATCGTTTCCGCGCAAGACGGAGGCAACTTCGCCGTGGACAAATCGGTCATCCTGCAAGAGAGGGAGAAGCACTTCCCCATTGATACTTCCAAGCCGTTCAAATTGAATGGTGGAACTGCTGGTGTTTGTGAGTTTTACCCTCCTCTTCATCCAGCCTCGGTCAGGTCATGCTGACACTGTGCAGACCGTGTCCTCTACACTCCCGAGCGCCTTGCTAAGATCGCCGACGAGGCAGCCAAACCAGAGGGTTCTGCTTTCGACCTAAACGATCGTCTTGGCCTCGTATACGATGCTCTTGCACTCTCTAAAGCCGGCTTCGCAAAGGTTAGCAGTGCCCTCACCGTCGTTGACAAATTGAAGAACGAGACGGAATGTGAGTGAACCCCCCTGCAACACCGACCGACATCCATATACTGAAACACCTTCACGACAGATCTCGTGTGGGACTCCATTGGCTCCAGCCTTGGTGAATTGTACTCTATTTGGTGGGAGAAGCCCGAGGTCACCGACAAGATCCTTGCTTTCCGTCGTGTAAGTACTCGTGATACAGCAGCTTTAAGGACGGAACCCTGATGACCTCTGCAGTCCCTCTTCGCCCCCATTGTCGAGAAGCTCGGCTACGACTTCAAAGACTCTGACTCTCGCGACGTCAAGTTGCTCAGGAAGCTCGCCATTTCTCAAGCCGCCTTTGGCCGTGACCCCAAGTACGCAATTTAATCGCACTTCCCGCCAATCATGCACTAGCTAAGATGTCGACGATCAACTCTCCAGGGTTATCGCAGAACTTCGAAGCCGCTTCGACCACCTGCTCAAGACCGGTGATGATTCGAAGATTCCGGCTGATCTTCAGGGAACTATCTACTCTATCGCTGTCAAGTACGGTGGCGTCGCCGAATACGACGCTGTCTTGGGTATCCATGACAAGCCCAAAACTCCTGGACAAAAGATTGCTGCCATGTAAGGAATACTCTCCTAGATTGGCGATATTAGGCTAAATCAACCTTTTCTGTGAACAGGACGGCTTTGGGTAACGCTCAGGAACCAGAGCTTATTCAAAGGACCTTTGACAGCATTGCTACAAAGGCTCGTGATCAGGACATCATGTACTACTTCAGCGGTCTCTCCGGCAACTTTAAGACTCGAAGGTTGCTCGTCAAGTACTTCCAGGATCAGTACGATGTGGTTCGTATCGCAACGTGATTTCGGGCTTGACTGGTACTAAGTGGATGTTTCAGTTGTACAAGCGGTTCGAGGGTAACTTCACCTTGCAGTACTTGGTTAAATACTCTTTGGACTTCTTGTCGACCAAGGAGGACCTTGAAGCCGTACAGGCCTTCTTCAAGGTAGGTCCTTTCTTAACACGCGGTTTAATGGTTTTCACTGACGTCGCGCGGTAGGACAAGGACACGTCTAAATATAACCAGTCGCTAGCGCAAACCCTCGACAGCATTCGTGCCAAGATTGCATACATTGAGGTGAGCGCTACTTCCCGGTCACTCCATGAAAATACCAGATAATTAAACACCATGCTTTTAGCGCTCTACTGAAGACCTCGAGTCTTGGTTGAAGGAATGGGAGAGTAGACAGTGATTGCTTAGTCATGTAATCAAATGCATTGGCCTTGTTTTCGCGTTTTGTAGACAAATATGACTTGCACTTGAACCGCGACAAACCCCTTTAAAATGCCTGCTTTCGATCCAGTTCGCGATGCGGTCCTCAATTCCCCGGTTGACCAACATCCACCACAAACCACGTATTCACCAATAGCGTCACCGTCATTGACACGACGAGCAACCGACCTCTCGGTTCTCCTCAACTCATCTGAGCCGCCCATTCCAGCGAGGTCGACGACCGCAACATCGTCAGCGTCATCCTCTTCGTCATTGTCGAACATTCTGAGCAACCAAGCCGAGGACAAGCTCACTACCTCGGAGCCGTTGATTCGCAGATACACAAGTTCTTCATCAAGATCTACTCAAGTTGCCTACCCCAGTCCAGCTACCCAAGGATCGTCTTCTCCCACTAGATTCCACCACAATTACCAGGATATGCAGCAACCAGCGAGGGGACCACATCCACCAACACCTACGTCGGCAGGGGCACATGCGTCGTCCCGGCCATCTAGTTCATCCTCGTCTACAGCTCCGTCGGCGTCGAGGCTGGGAGGTTCTGTGGGCAACGGGGTACGCCAGACTTCTTCACCTTCAATGAGACCACCGCCTACGCCTCCACCACCAACCAGTGCTAAGGATGCGACGAACCCGAAGTCGGCTACGCCAGCGGGTGCGCCAATAAAGACCAGCAGCATACCCTACCGGCCAACGAAACGCATTACGCCTGCGCAGTCTGTTCTCATCCCGCTATCTCAGCAGGAAATGGAGATGTTCAGGAATTACCGAGGACAAGGCGCTCAGAGACTCGCTATGAAGAGGAAGAGGAGTGGCTCGGAGGACGATGCGGATGCGCGACCGGCAAAGAGACCTGCGGGTGACGTTGACGTCGTGGTTGAGCACTGTATGGTTTCTTTCTTCTGGTATATCTAACTTCCCGTTTATTGTTCGTTTATTAGATAATTCTCGGCCGGATGTTGGCGTTGTTCAGCGGCAGGACTCGCCTATTATCGGTCTCAAGAACTTTAACAACTGGGTCAAGTCGGTGCTCATCACGCGATATGCTCACCCGGCACTGCAGAAAAGTGTTGTTGCAGGGTATAGTGGGAGGGGCGGGCGAGGGAAGGTGTTGGATATGGGCTGCGGGAAGGGTGGGGACATGACAAAATGGAGCAAAGCTCAAGTACGAGAATTGTTCTGCGTCGGTGAGTCCTTGATCCCACTCACTGTTGCGCCATGTTTTCTAAGTGGTGTGAACGTAATTACAGATATTGCGGCGGTCTCTGTCGAACAAGCTCGAGCAAGATACGAAAGCATGCGGAATTCCCGCTTCGAAGCTTTGTTCGCTGCGCTGGATTGCTATACCGAGCCACTTCACAAAGCCTTCCCAACCGCGAGGTTGGCACCCCCTTTCGACGTTGTATCGATGCAGTTCTGTATGCACTATGCATTTGAGACAGTTCAAAAAGCCCGATGTATGTTGGAGAACGTGAGTCGATACTTGCGCTCGGGAGGAGTTTTCATCGGGACAATACCCAACTCGGATTTGCTATAGTGAGCCGCTTTCAATCTACACCATTGACTTCAGCTTCTGATGCATTTTCCAGCGCGCATCTGGATGCCATTCCACCAGACGCTGAAGAGCTCTCCTTCGGCAACTCGGTGTATAAAATCAGATTTGAACAGCGGGACTCTAGGCCGACGTTCGGTCACAAATATTGGTTCTTCCTGCAAGATGCGGTAGAGAACGTCCCAGAGTATGTCGTACCGTGGGACGACTTCGTTGAGTGAGTATCGACTTCCGCCGTCTTCAGGACGTTTAGGTGAACGTCCTCCCCTAGGCTGGCTGCAGAGTACGATTTGTACCCGACATGCAAGGAAGAGTTTCACCAAGTGTTCGCTCAGAACCAAGACATCCCGGAATTCAAAAACCTCATGGTCCGCATGAAGGTCGTGGATGCAAATGGCGAAAGCTCGATGGATGAAGATCAGTGGGAGGCTGCAAGTGCGTTGATTTCCTCGCCCCTCTTTCCTCCGGCCCATTGCTGATTTGACCATAGATATTTACATCGCATTCGCCTTTGAAAAACGATGATTCGTATTCTTATGCCCAGGGGACTTTGTACTGTACCATAGGACACTTTAACTTATCCCAGATACCTGGTAATAAACTTAACGATAAATTGTTACACACTATAATAACACTGATGATGACAAGAGAGGAAATGACGCGATATCTAACCTATAGAGGATTCGTAACGATGGAGAATAATCCAAAACTAGCGAGAGAGGGACGGAGGGAGAACGGAGTCCGGGGGAATTGGGAGGTCGTTTACTCTTGGCCGAAGCCAACAGTTTCCCTGCGCAAATAGAATCAGAACCTGCGAAGACATGGATGGATATCGATTGGTACTCACTCAACGGCCAAAGTTAGCTTCTGTTCCAATGTCGCGTAGTCCTTGTACGGCGGCAAGTCGATCCTGTTGAAGCATGTGTGGCTCTTGGGCAACATTGTAGGGTCACCCGACTTCTCGATCGTGAACCGTCGAGGTCCGTCGGAACCTTGCAAGTCCTTGAAGCCGTTAACAGGGATACGCGAGGTACCTGTCGCAAATTGCAACAGACGGGACTTGCGCTCCGGTGGCCAGCTGCGAACACACTTCCAGAACCATTGAATGACTTCGTCGGTTACTTCGTATCCGCGGTAGTCGGTGAACTTAGTCCAGTCATCACTAGGGAGAAAACACGGAGGGTCAGCGATCACGTTGTGGGGCAGCAGGAAGAACGGAGGTGGGATGGAGATAGGATAAACGATAAGGATGAAAGAAATAGAGGACTTACACGTCGATCTCCGACATACCACCAATGAGCAGTTCCAATTCCCTCTCATCGAATACAGTAATAAGATCCTGAGGGATCAACTCGCTGAAACCCGACATGAAGGCTTCGAATTGCTCCTTCACCCGTTTGGAAATTCGGTACTCGACGACACAGTCGACATACTCCTTCTTGTTCTCTTCCGTTACTTGAACCTCTGATCCACCAGGCTTGAGATCAATGGTCACCATTTCTCCAAATCGCTCTTCAACCGTCGTGAACGTTTCGTCGATGATGTCAGTGATGTCGTTCTCCCTGTCGGTGTACACTGATTAGCATTCGTCGCGAAACAAAGTGTAGAGTCTAAAACAACTTACAACATCCAAGTCAAACCCCGATGCAGTTCAGCATCCACACTCTCCAGATCAGAGAGCGTCACCTTCTTGCGCAGGATCATCTTGTAGAAGCTGACAATGAAGTAGGCATCCAAGAATCGCCTGTGGAAGATACCCAAACCGAGACATCTTCCAATGAACTTGAAGTAGTTCAAGTGTTCTGGGTTGACGCCGGAAGCAGGGTTGATCTGGAGGGTATAGTTGTCGTGGGCGGAATACTCGAACAAGCAGTAGAAGGGATTAAACATCTCGTGCGACAGCAAGAAGAAGAATTCTCTGAGAATATATCAGCACGAGCGGTCTCTCCACACATGTGTTAACATGAAACCAACCTTGACAGTCCGCCATAATCCAAACCGTCTTCACCGTCGAACTTGATCATAAGACGTTTCTTCAAATCGTTCGGAGTCTGCCTCATGATCTCCGCATAACTGTCCTCGAATATATGGTTACGCCTAATCTTGATTTGACAATTACCAGGTTGCGCCCGCATGGCAGGTTGACTACGGAAGTAGATGAGCTTCCTTCGGAAGTCGCGCTTGTATTGGGGCACGTTGGCATCAAGCGAGGACGGCAAACGAGGGTCGTCCCAAGTGGTCGTTTTGGTGTTGTGATCGACAAAGTAGACTCGAGCAGTCGAGGTAAGGCGCATCTCCCATCCTGACGGCAATGGTCCAAGTTGGGAGATGGCTTGAGGTTGCAACTGTGAGCCTTGTCCATTCGGGCCCATAACACGAATGATCTGCTGTCGACGAGGGTCAACCCATGTAGTCGTCCTCGTGTTGTGGTCAACGTAGTAAGGTCGCCCCTCGGGGGTATATCGTTCCTCCCATCCATGGGGAAGACTTCCGCTCCCGGCTACAGTAGCTGTCGATGTAGGCAGTGCACCCACCGCCGGTGTTGCGGCTCCTGAAGCCCCGGCAGGGGTAGATGAGCCACGATAACCAGGATTGGAAGCCTCCAACAGGTCGTCTGCCAATAATCGCCGGGAATGCTGGTCGCGCGCAGCATTTGTCTCACTGTCCTGGGTACTAGTGTTCACAGCAGCGCTGGCGGATGGGCGGTTCCAGGTGGTCGTTCGGGTGTTGTGGTCAACATAGTATGTCCGGCCAAGAGGGTCTAGTCGACGTTCCCAGCCGGCAGGTAAAGGTCCAAATTGATCCACGTTGGGATTGAAATTGGCTCGTGCAGTAGAGTTGGCCTGGGCCGCTGATTGCGGATTGGATGAGCTTTGTGCTGGGTTTGTGGCAGAGGCGGTGGTGGCTGCTGTGGGGGTTGTAGTTGCAGCCTGGGTGGTGGTGCTGTTGGCGGTGGTGGTGGTAGCGGAAGAAGAAGTGGGCTGGGTCTGTGATTGTTCTTCAGCTGTTGATGGAGCTGTCGATGCCGTTGACGAATTTGGAAGGCTTTCAGAATGGGTGGTTGTTTCCGTCGCCGGAGTAGCTGTTGCACTTTGTGCGCGGGACAAGGAAGAACCACTGGCAACACTCTGCGTTCCTGGTAGATTCGCTGAGCTCGCTGCAGGGGAGTTGCTAATACCCATGTCGGCAAGTGCCGTACTCAAACTAGACACCTGGGAAGGGCCAGGATTGGTAATGGGTTGAGTAACATTGGTGGAGAGGTAGATAATGAGCTTTCCGTGAACGATGAGATTGTCGTTTGACCGTTTAAGATCAAGCGTTAACATTTCTGGTGATGATGTCAACAAAAACAACAGCGCCGAAAGAGGGACAACGACGCACCATGACCACCGAGCTCAAGATCCAAAACATCAGCAACCCGCACATTGACGACACCAAGGAATCCTTGATCCTTTCGCTTGAACTTGCGCTGGTCAAATATTTGGACAGCAACGATAGATGAATCTTGGACAGTGCTGTGAGGGATCGGTTAACCGACACTGCGACCCGCGGGAGATCAAGCAATACGCACATGTCGAAGCTCTCATTCCAATAAGGATTCAAAGTCTTCTTTATCACACTGGTTGTATGAGTTTGTTCAGCATCGACGGTGATGACAGCAAATGGGTCCGGGAGTCGGAAGACATCTCGCTTGGAGAGACCATCCGCAGCGACAACTAGTGTGGGTGATGGGAGAGTTGAGCCAGCAAATTAGGACAGCGCTAATTTGTCCTCACCTGTAATACGAATCTTCTTTGTCCTCCTATATGCCATTCGAGATTTCCCGTCAGCGCCCTCGGAACTTTACACATGAAGACCGTTATACTCACGAGGCACTCGGTGGGACCGACATTGTCACCTCAGTCGCTAAACCAAGCCGCCGCGATCAAAATCGAACAGTTCCAATCGCAAACTAGGCCTGCTCAACGATGTACGGCCTTCTCTGAAGGACGAATTTGAGGGCAGAGACAAAGGTCTGACGATGAGGAAGGAACGAAAGCAACGACGAGCGTAGTCACCCCGCCGCTGCGAATGTAATTGCACCGCCTACAGCCTCTTACTCACACGGTCACGGTTCCCCGTCGGCATCAATACCGCCGAAATCCCCTTTACTATTAGCGCTGTTCCACCGTCTTCTCGGTCTTGACCAGTGCAGCTACAGCAACCATCAAACAAAAGAGTGTATTATCCAAAGAAAGTCTACAACAAATGACTGCAAATATGTCGCTGTGGAGGGCACAGGTCTGTTCAATCTTCGAGGCGTTCAACACCATCGTCACGGTCCAACAAATAGCCTTCTCCGTCCCAGGATATTCTGTAACCCTTCGGACTATTCGTCCTAACCCACTTGCGATAGGCTTTGCTCCTTGGAAAAACTCGGCTTAACCAAGCAGCGTTACTTTGCGCCCGCGCTTTACTACATCTTTCGTCTGAATGGTTGTTTTGACTGGTAGTCTCCGGCTCGTCTGAACCTGGCGCTGCAGGCAATGGCTTGTCCTCGATCACTGGCAGGCTCTCCAGAGTAGCGAATGGATCCACCGGCGGCTGTGTGTGCACCGTTCGTCACTTTCCCTGTGCCAACGAGTAAACAATGTAGACCCACCCAAGTTTCCAGATCTTTCTCGACCTCCGAGTCCGAGTCTGCGAATGATTGTTGCGAGGATGACAGGCCGTGGCAATCAGCAGAATCCTCCTATGCATTCCAACCCACCCAGCCGGGAGCGCGTCAGCCAGGTTCTAAATCCAACCGGGTGTTTGAGACTCACCCTCTCGTCGACCCGCGACCTTCGAGAAGATTCTGATCTTTTCTTACGTTGAAAGAGCAATGCGAGGGACCTCATGATGCACGGCAGTCGGAGGTGGGTGAAGGGTGAAGACGCAGATGTGATTCTCTTTGTGATTCAGCCATTGAGTTTTTTCGCTTGCTTATAACCTGTTTCAACGAGATAGGAGCGTCGCAGACATCGACCAAATTGGGCACCTATCGTCCCAGTCATGAAAATTTCGAGACAACGAACTGAAACCTTCAATGATGGCTCCTCGGCTCGCGTAGTACGAGGGTACTTTATGCGCAGGAGGGTCTCTAGTCCCAGTATCAATGTACGACAGATGTGCATACTGACCTGCTTTGAAGCTGAAGGGTGTTTTCATGACCCTTCAACAGCCGACGCGCCTCTGATCTGGGACAATGGGGCATAAGACAAGCTCCCGCTAAGCTCGTATTACTTACACTGAGGGAAGGCCTCAAACGACTATGTATGTACCTTTGCTCACCGTCGGGTTGGTGCCAAGCGTGAGAGATCCAAAAATAGAATTTGACGGAAGCTGTAAAGAGCACGCGCGGCAAGGGGGAAAGGAAACTCGCCTTGACCATTGACCTGCTTAACCTGTATGCTCCCATCTTCGTCGTAGCCACCACACTTTCCTATCCAACTGAACGTCCACCTTCTCTAAATCTCAATCCCGACCTGTCATTCTATGAAAGAATGGCCACTCAAATCGAAATGCCAATGAACACTGTCAGTCCTCCGGACCTAATTAACAGACACGAATCATAATCATATTCATACAAACGACGCTGTTCTATTCCACAAAGGCAAACCACCATGCAGCTTCAGCGGAAGAATACCAGGCGCGCGGGCTGATAGTTCTAGCAGCCGAAGAGCACCAAAAAGCCGCAGACGCTCTTTTGGCAGCGATGGAACGAAGTAATGATGAATCGGTGCTTTACATGCTACCGCTTGCTTTGCTCCGTATTGGCCCAGCTAACCAAATGCTTTTCTATATCTCTACCCACTCGCTGTGCCCTTGTACTCGGAATTTCAATTGCGGCATGACAGGCAAAACGCACCTTACGAATGCTGTACAATCGCCACTGCAAGGACCGGGATGACCTGCAACGCCGGATCCAAAAGCTTAAAGACGAAGGCAAGGACCCTAGCTTGCCCCAGCGGACAGACGTCGCACCACCTCATCACCGCGGTCAACACTCGGCCAACGCTGGGTTCTCGAATGCTCAGAACCCAATAATGTCATCTGGGGGAAGTTCCTCAGCTTCCCATCATCAAACATACCCTCGTCCAATGTCAGACTCACATAACACAGTGGACGAGTCGTTCATGGTCTTAGGTGGCCAGAGAGTGCGTCCTCTCCCAAAAGTTTTCCGTCTCTTCTACTCATTCCTGACATTGTCTTGTCAAGTCGGATCCAGGTGACGCATTCAACCAATTCTGGAATGCCTTGCAGGGAATGTTGGACAATATTTCCCAGCCTGTCGCATTTGCCACGGCCCCTCTAAGCGACCTCGACATCCCTAACGATACCACTGCTCAGTCGGGCAGCGGCTCTCAAACCCCACCGCAAAACCCCCATGTATATGGAGGTATTGGTCTGCGCAGGGACAACAGTGCTTCTCGTCTAGACTCCTTGACGTCGAGGAGTAACCACGACGAGAACTATCTCTCAAAATGGACGAAGAGGATGGGTATTGGTAGACAGGGAAGCGCGGCGTCTACTTCGTCAACTGTGAAAGATGGATTCGATGACGATGAATTCGATGATGAATTCCTTGAAGAAGGTATGTACTTTCTCTCCCTATCTGAAAATGAGGCTACAGTTGGAAATCAAACCACTGTTATAGGGGACGATTTGTCGGGGTCCTTCTTTCTTATACCTTCGGGTTCGGAAGCATCCCCAGCAGCTCTTCGAAAGGAAAATGCAAGTCTCAAGGCAGAGCTCGCAGCAACTCAAGAACGATTAAAAGCAGCTGAACACATGCTCAAACTGCGGAAGGAACAGGACATGCAGCTGCGCAACAGTATCTTTGAGGTACGTTCGTTATTATCTCCCATCTGCAACAGCTCCCCTTCACACACCGTCCAGGCTCAAAGGGTAATGAGCGCCTCAGGGATGCTTCCCCGGCCCAACAGCGATATGAGCCTTCTCAACTTTGGGAAACACCCTGCAGTACCGATCCCATCACTCAAACCCAACCGGGAAGCCCAGTACACAAAACGAATCAAAGAACTCGAGGAAGAGTTACGTGCTATGCGTGCTGAGAACGAGAAGAATGTAAGTAGTCGCATGCAATCTTCTACTTCCAAATGGCTTACTGACGCCGCCTGTTAGAAACTGATGATTGTGAAGTTCCGAGAGAGATGGGAAAAACTGAAGGAATCTGCGAAGAGGAAAAAGGAAGCAAAAGCCTCTGCGGAGAGTGGAAATGCCCATTCGAATGTCCGGGGCCAGAAGATTGTCGAGGAGCCTGAGGCTGAAGAGGCATTGGATGGTACCAATGGTTAGGGATCGGTCTGGACCCTATCTTGTCACATATGCTTTCATCGTCCGTTACGAAGCATTCCTATCATGTATCCAGACTGTTAAAACGCTTTATTGCACATCCTCTATCCATCCGTCCGCTCAAGCAAATAAGCCAAAGTCTTTGATCTCGAACGAGCGAACAAAGACATTAAAATCTTCGGTGTACTTTGCAACATGGGAAGGCGCAACTTCTCCTGAATCGTCCGTGGTGTGTATTGGGACGTTGAAAGTGACCACTATGTCCGTGTTCTTCTCCTTCACTCGGAAGAGACCCATGAAGATCTTGACACGATCAGCGCTGGCCCGATTGAACTTGCGGACGATCTGTTCTCCTTCCAAGAGAATTGCGGAAGGTGTTGCGTCGCCTCTATCATTTGCGACCAATGACGTCCCTTGGACCGTGGATTTCTCCGCATCGTTGTCGTGAGCTAGTGACTTGAAGTGGAAACTTGATATCGTCAACACAGACTCAATAACTGGACGAACAATATCTTACTTTACTGCTTCCACAGGGTCTTCGGGTTCGACTCGTTGTAGGATCTCGACGATGACGCTAACACTAGAATTGGGATCCAGGAATACCTCTTGGGTATCAGGAATTTGTCGTAGATCCCTGTCGACACGCCTGTTCAGATTCCTTCCTTCATGGCGAAAGATAAGCTACTCACGAAGCGTCGATTAGATTCCGTTCTGTCTTTGCGACGATGGCGCCGCCAAAGAGTGGTCGCTCGATGTATGTCGACATTTCTCTTGATCTTGTGAGGCTAAGAAGGGATTATCTTGAAGTAGAGGTGAGGTGGTGGTGTCTCTTGACCTTGTGTAAATACATTCTGACCGTTGTTGACGATGATTCAGTCACTGACAAGAGGACGACTCGAGAAGGTGCCGGAATGCCGAGCCTTAATTGGACTCACGTGATGCGTGCGACTTTGTTTCGCGACGCGACCGTTGATTGATGGCGACAAGGGCGGCTCTGAGTCTGTATCGTGCTCCGAACCTCCAACTTACACGTCTCCGCGATGGATTCTGGTCGCCGCTCGACAATACTTCAAGAATCCCATTATGGACGCTCAAATCTACCAATGCCCTCGACGATCAAGAAGTCGTCGACGTCGTCCAAGTCCAGAATGTCCTTGGCTGGACCTGCGCTGCGTCCGCCACAATTGGCACCACCGAGTACCAACCCTCGACAATCAATGGCTCGGTCACAGAATCATAACCCTCTGTTGATGAGTGTGACGAAACAGAATGTGGGGAGGACACCGTTGCATAAGTATGTCTTTGTAGACGCGTGTAATTTGGATCCCAATGTTCATTCAATTTGCAGTAGCGTTCAAAGACGAGGGTCAACATGGACAGGAGGACCAGGGATGCCTGCTCCTTCAGGGAGTCAATCAGTCAAAGACCCGCGGCCTCTCCGAGATAAACAGTACCAGGCCAAAATGCGACAAGACATCCTCGCGTACCTTCAAGCCAACGGTTTCGAAATTACCATGTCGACGCTAACGAACATCCAGGGCAAAGACTACCGCACCATATTTGACTTCCTCCTCCTCACACTTGACCCATATCATATCCTCAACCAACCCCGGTTTGAAGACGAGTTTGTTCCCGCGTTGAAAGCACTTCGGTATCCATTTGCCCACCAGATTGATAATAAATGGTTGGCGGCGCCTGCAAGTATGCATTCGTGGCCATCATTACTTGGAGTACTGCATTGGCTGGTAGAGATGTGCAAGGTATGGGTGCGGTGGATCCGGTGTTGAAGCACGCTGACTTCCGATAGTTGCGGGACCACTACCTCAATAGCCAACATCCCACACTTCAAGACCCTGAAATTATACCAGACGAATTTGACGATCCTCTAGACCACGCCGCCCTAGCCTTTGACTACTTTGAACAAACATACACGCTATGGCTAGACCTGGTCGACGAGTTTGTCGAACCTAACCAGCATCTGGAAGACCGTTATGGTGAGTCAGTCGGGGTTTGCGGTGTCGGAAAGCAGCGCTCATTTCCACCGATCCGTAGCCAAACGTAACAACGGTGTGCAAACGGAGCTAGATGACCAGATGAAACTGTTGGCGGAAGAGAAGGCTAGGCTGAAAAAACTGAAAGAATCGGCGGTTGGTTCCTGCGATTCACTCGCACCCAATGCGTGAACGGCTGATTTTCCTTTCCTAGCCTCCGATCGACAAGCTGACACAGAACAACGGCCTACTAAAGGCGGATAGCGAAAAGTTCAACAAGATTCTACAGCAATATGACTCCAGGAAGAATAAACTGCGGAACACGATTGCTGAACTCAAGAGTGACATTCAGCGAGACGGTACGTGGGTTCAGTTCATAACCGAGGCCATAATTGAATTCTCCGTCAACCAGAGGATCATCTGGAGCGCCTAAACGGTGAACACGAAAGACTACTGGACATTGTCAAGACTCAGAACTTGAGCCCTGAAGAGGTCATCAAGATGAACACGGATCACGAGACGTTATCGCGTACGATACAGGAGCTGAAGCAGAAAATTGCTGACACGCACAAGACCATCATGAATCTGGAGGTCAGCGTCACCAACCGTGTAGCGGCTGCGGAAGAAGCCCTTGATCTTTATACCAACCTACTTTCCTCCTTGGAGCTCTTCCCCCCACTTCCCGCACCATGGGAGTCCATCGACCTTACCTTGGAACTAAATTCGGCAGTTTCAAATCCACAGCAATTATTGATAGGAGCGGACATTCGCAAGGTTATCAAACCGACCCTGAATGCTATTGCGGAATCCAAACGGAGCGAGCGCGCCTCGGTCCAGAATGAACGGATAAAGGTGGATGATGAGCTGGACCAGTTAACCTTGGAGTGTGAGAGCGTCGAAGAGGATGTGGGAGATGTCGAGAAGAAGGTCGATGCGTTAAATGAGCAGGCAGACGACATCAGAGACGTATGTGCCTTCATTGCATCTTTGACTTTGCGATCCGGCCTGACCATTACTCCAGGCTGCTACGCGAGAGGCACTCGTCGCAGGCCAGGAGACTGACCGCTTACAGCGCGACTTGACAGCCGCGCGGAATGCGGCACTGTCGAATGGCATGGGTGTCAAATCCCGTTTGCAAGCCCTAGAGTTCGAGTAAGTTTCTACCTTGTTCTCCAACTTTACGACACGCTCTGAGATCGCCTCGGATTGCAGTTACCGGGAGCAGATTGAGAAGATTTCACGGTTGAAAGAGGAAACAGTCCGCGCTATCCTCAAGAACAGTCACGAAATCGCTATGTTCAAGGAAGAAGTCTCGCGACATCTACGAGAGTTACGAGAATTCGCTGAGTCGGATTGAGTTCATTTCTTTATTCATTTGATTTATTCGCCGTTCTTGCTTTATTTGTAGCGATAGTACTCACACAATGTACATAACCAGATACCACCTTGCGATTCACAGGCTGATTTAACCCGCAGCCATGCCTAATTATGTCCCCGCCGTCCGTCTCAGATCCATTAGACGCGGAAAACTCGACACCTCTGAGGGCCGTTGGTCATTTTATCGTCGCCATCCAGGTTGTCATGCCTCATTCCACACTGCAGCCACATTGACAGCAATCACCTTTGCACGTAAGTGACTGCGTTTATCTTGATCCAACGATCATTACTCAATATAACGGAAAAGATACTATTAGCCTAACCGTTACCTCGGCCTTACCGTGCATGCTCTCTCGATGATGCTGTACGGCTACTTCTGCGTGCCGGTTTGTGGTGTCCGTTTTGACATAAGATCGGTGGTGGAGAAGCACTTCGAACTGCCTCTCTCTCATAGGAAAATAAAAATGCTCCTGGTGGAGTCTTCTTGCCAAAGACTTGTCCGAGTCCGTCCTTAACGCGGACCTGTTTCTATTTTCAAGAAGAAGATAATCGTCACGGATAATTAACATCGGTACGTAGCCGCTATCATGGCCGCCCACTAAAAACGCATCCAGTGTAGAGTCACAACCCCACAGACGTCAAGCCTTGGTACTCCGAGGTTTCTGTAATTGCGAGATTTCCGTGAGAGTGTCAACATCCGCATACTGACGTGAACAACTCGAAACAACCTGTGTGCTTACGGTGATTGGGGCCCTCCTCCGCATGTCGACCCGTTGTTTCGTTACTTGGAACGCCCTAGATCTGGAAGCCCGCAGTATCTTCAAAGCTTTGCATGTCTTCCTGACTTCCGGGATACCGGGCCCTAAAGGCACCGAGTGGAATCCTAAAAGTGCTCAGCGAGTTTACTCCTTCGGAAGTATCTTAGGTCTATTTTGTCCATGGGCTTCTCGTCTCCGGTTTCTCCAGATAAAAGGCGAGGTCATCCCAATGCCCCGACCGCGGTTCACCAACCTACCTCGCTCACATCCTTCGTTCTCCAACGCTTTCCGACGTCGCCGTCGCTGATCTCTTCGTTCGACAATGTCTGACGGTCTTCAGAGGCATCCCGTCCCCCCAGCCGACCCTGAGAAGGGGGAGATGGAGCACCATATCCAGATGGTGGAACATGCCAAAGCCCTCGACACGGCTATCACAGTAGTCCAGTCCGAGAAGGATGGCGTCGTCGTGACCACGAAGGAGAGGGTTTCTGCCCCTCCCCCTCCCTCCTCGAAGCCTGCTCCCAAGCCCAAGCGGAAGGTCTCCAAATGGGTTCGATGGCAGCTATGGTTCAACATGTACCGGTGAGTACATCCTTCCCCATTTGCCTACAGAAGCCTCGATTTTTAATATTGTGTTTTACTTTTTCAGGCGATTCTTCGTTCTGAGCTTCGGGTTGAATATGATCGGCCTGGTGTTGGCGGCTACGGGTCGGTGGCCGTACGCTGTGAAGTACAACGGCGCCATCGTCGTCGCCAACTTCAACATGGCAATCTTGATGCGCAATGAAGTCTTTGGTCGTTTGCTCTACCTCTTCGTCAACACTTGCTTTGCTAAGGTATGTTGTTCATGCGGAGGCGTCGATATCAGGCTGACGTCGTCGCCATAGTGGCCACCTCTTTGGTTCCGTCTGGGCTGCACATCCGTTCTTCAGGTTTGTCTCTTAACTTCGGGATTCTTCAATGGATTGACGGGTGCTGTGTATAGCACCTCGGAGGAATACACAGTGGTTGTGCACTCGCTGGTGTGGCGTGGTTGTTGTTCAAGGTGGTCAGGAATTTCCTTCTACTTGACATCACACACGACTCCGTGCTCGTCATGGGGGTTGTCACCAACATTGCTGTCATGGTCAGCGCGCTAAGCGCCTTTCCCTGGGTCAGAAACACCCATCATAAGTGAGTCGTGCCATATTTAGGCAAAATTTCCGTCTAACTCCCCGAACCTTTTCCAGTGTTTTCGAACGTCACCATCGCTTCGTCGGATGGATTGGCCTTGTCTTCACTTGTATGTCGTCATGTCGAGTTCTCTACGCAATTTCGGTACTGACTTACCCCAAGGGGCGTTCGTAATTCTCGGAAACACATACGACCCCTACACTCGCACATGGAACCTCAGCGGAATCAATCTCGTGCGACAACAGGACTTTTGGTTCACCATGGGTATGACAGTATTGTGAGTTCTTCAGCCTTCGATCCTTCCTAAAGCTTCTTTGGCGTTCCCCTTCTATCGTCGCTCGAAAGGTGGCTGGGCTAACTGAAATCGATTCAATGTAGCGTGGCGCTTCCTTGGTTCTTCGTTCGAGAAGTCGAAGTGGACGTCGAGCTGGTTAGTATCTTACTTCGGATCTTTGAGCCACGTTCTAAGGCACTAACTTGCATCTTTGTCGGACCTCCGACTTTTAGCCGTCGTCGAAAGTGGCTATCTTGCGTTTCAAGCGAGGTATGCAACAGGGATTGCTCGGGCGGATCAGTCGATCTTCTATCATGGAGTACCATGCCTTTGGTATTGTCTCGTAAGTTGTTGCCTTCTCAATTGGGCTCGACTGGCTGGGTACTCAATGCAATTCTCCAGGGAGGGCAAGCATGCAAAGTATCACTATATGATCGCTGGAGTTCAAGGTATATATCATGCCTTCACGTCATTACCCCGCACTGTCAGTGACACTTTTCATTATCACAGGTGACTTCACGCGGGGTTTGGTCGAAAACCCGCCCAAAACTCTATGGACTCGGGAACTAAAGGCAAGCTTGTTTTCTAGACTATTCCCCAACGCTGTCTATTTCTGACATCCGAGGTTTCTTCGTTTCCCCCTTGGTAGTTCGCCGGGGTGTCAAACACCTCCACACTGTACAAGCGGGGTATCCGTGTATGTACAGGAACAGGCATTGGGGCCGCCCTATCAACCTGTATCCAGTCGCCATACTGGTAAGTCTCTTTTCTTCGGAGTTTCTCTGATTTGCGGTTTTCTGTCTCTTCGAAGTTCGAATGCTGATCGTTTTCGGGCCACATCGGACAGGTATCTGATTTGGATAGGTGAGCGAGAGGTCTTTTTGCGAAAGGATGCAGCTGCTGATATTCGACGACAGGTAGCGACCAGGAGAAGACGTTCGGTCCGACCATCAGTGGCTTGATCCACAAGAACATCGAGCCAGAGCGCCTGTTGCTCTGGGACAGTAAGAAGCGGGGAGGTCGCCCCGATACTATGAAGCTCATCAAGGAAGCATACCACTCATGGGGTGCTGAAGGTTCGTCGATCTTACCTTCTGGTCGAGACTGTTATTCTGAATGTTTCTTTAGTTGTTTTCATCACGTCGAATTATATCGGCAACACTGAGATGATGCAGGGATGCAAAGAAGCAGGTATCCCATGCTTCGGAACTCTTTGGGACTTCGTAAGTGCACCCCGCGTCTCGAGATAGAGCGCCTCATTAAATTTATGCCTATCTAGTGAACAATGGTCAAGGAATGTATACCGCCATATTGGCTTCTAAAGATGCACCTCGATTATGGGTATAATCTGGCCAAACATCCGCCGAATGGATCCCATAGGGCTCGCCGGACTAAGACAATTAGATTATAATCGACATTAATCTACAAACCAACTGGGACTTCTGTCCCACCGCTGTATCCATATCCGATGTAGTACTAGTACAAGCATATCACCCGGTGCTTTCCAAACAAATCATGAATACTTCCCCATTACTACTCTTGTGCGAATGTTCTTGGCCTGCATTATTTGCAGCCTGTGTACACGCGCTCCCTCCAAACCCCGACCCGTTGGTTCGAAGTCAGGCATGTCTTTTCGCGCCAGTTCCCCTCTTCGACCTGTCGGAGAGAACAGATAGCCGGTTCCTTCATCGGCGTGTGCGGCATACCGGTTAGACCATCGCCTATCCGGGTGTAAGTCCCACTCCTCAACCTCATTCTTGATGATGGCATTCACTTGAGAAACTCCTCCAAGATTCGGCCTCTTTTCCCCATCCACGGCCACCTCCGTTGAGGCTGGATAGCGGTATTAGGAAGTAGGTGGACGCCCCTCTTCCCCAACTCGACAAGAATTCTCGCAATATTTCGCGTGTCCTAAAGGGATGTAAATCGAAGCCTTCCACCAACAGGGAATCTTGGACGCACATCTATCCCACTGTGTTGGCGGCCTTGAAACTCTTGCAGCTCAAGGACCTTCAACTGAGCCGGGATGTTGAGTGATCTCCGGGACGGAACTGTCACGTTGCTCTGAGATGTTTCAAGTACGTTGAGAATAGCGCTAGACTGAGATGGCTAGGGACCTACACGGCCACGGTGCCCGTGATTCGATCGCGTCTGTTTCGCGACGTAGTGTTGGACGAGAGTGCGAACATCGAGGACGTTCCCTTTCAGCCACCAGGGCAAAGGGAGCTAAGAGAAGGCCCATCAACCAGTGAAACTCGATAGGTGTATTGTGAATGTAAAGCATACCTTTGAAATGAAACACTGCTTGATGATGAAATTCTGAATGTCGAATGGGCCGTCGGTGCACCAGCAGAACCTTACAAGGGGTTCGCCCTCGTCGTTGATCAATCCATTTTTCTTTATGAAAGCTTCGAATTGTGCGAGGACTTCCGGGAAGGTCGGCGCGCTGTCGACTTGCTCCTGTAAAGTTCGATCCCACAATTAGCAAATCACGTCTCAAATCCATCAATCACCCCATGTATCCCAACACTGACCTGCGTGATGCCCGTTAAGTCCTTGCAAAAGTCGGTCAATACTGGGCGCCATGTCGGTCGTACAAAGCTGCGAAACTCGTCGATGACCTCCAGCTCACTCGCTGACATGTCTTGTCCCTTGTCGTTCCAAGTCAGGAGGCATACTGGAAACTCCTGTTTGTCGAAATGATCAGCGTATGACCGAGAAGATCAACTCAAGAGGATGGAAGCCTGAGATGTATACTCACAATGATTTCGTTAGGAAAGTCCAAGTCACTGCCTTGGTCACAAGTGCCCTCGATATCAAGCACAAGGAACATATCGAAAAGTTGTTTCGATTTCGTGGACTTCTCGATGTCTTCAGTGACCACCGTCGTCGCCCCGGCGGCAGCAGCAGCGGCAGCAGCCAGTCTTTTACGGATATGACGGGGAGGTCTACGGTGGGGCATCTCGTCGGGGTCGAGGTCAGAGGTGCCTGTGGAACTTGGGTCCTTTTCAATGCTGCTCTGAGGGGTGCGGAGTCTTGCCAAGTATTCCCGTCCCTGTCCAACTAATTGCCTCCAGGGATTGAAGGGACCTAAACGAGCTTCACGTTTCAGGTGTACGCGACTGCCGTCGCTTGTCGAGACCCGAAGATGCCGTCTTGATATCAGGAAGGCCACAAGTAGGATACCCAAGAGCGCCAGAAACCACCAAGGATGAGAGAAGAGGAAAGACGACGACAGACCAACAGAGGCCACCATTGTGAATGCTTTATATTACCAGGATTGTAGGTCAGGGGAAGCCCACACAGCGCAGCCGGCGCTGAGGACTGAAGGAAGAGACTGTGGATCCTTGACAATGATAGATGGTCATTTTGTAACACAAAACCCGTTTGACGCGGAAAAGCCGTGAACCACGTGCTCTGATCCCCATCAACCCGCGCCAAATTCTGAGGCAAACTGCCTCTTGTTCCTCGACCTAATATGATGCGAAATGGGGATGACTTGGAAGACGATTTCGTCGTCGACGACCTCGTTGCTCTTTCAGAAGAAGAGGTCGACTCTCCGGATCTTGACGACGAATTCGTAGCAGACGACCACGATGCAAGCCCGCCCACCACTACCAACGACCAACCCTCCCAAGCCGCCGCATCTAAAAAGCGAAAAAGGAGAGAGAAGGAGAAAGAGAGGAAGGTATGGTCTGCAGACTGTTCCTGTCCAGTTTAAGTGACTGAGGTGGCGAGTCAAGTAGAAACGAAAATTAGCAGAAACACAGGATCCCAAACTCACCCAGACAGTGGCTCTCCAATCGCCAGAGAAATTGGCAGAATACCTCGCTTCTATGCAAAAGAGAACCTTCAAAGACATGTCCGACCTTGAGTTGGAAGACCTTCGAATACCTGGTAAATTTTTTCGACCTCATGTCCCATAAGCAGACTGAAATAAACGCAGTCGACAGCCTCTGCGATCGCGGATACTTCAATGTGGACAGGCCCCCGTACTTTGGATCATTTGGTGGACTTCATCATCAAAGGTGTGCACCACCGGTATCACCTGCTCGCACTGCAACTGACTGTTGGACAGTTCTTCCCAACCTCAAAACACGATTATCTCAACGTCCGAAGTCTACTGGCTCGCCCACGCTACTATTCCTCACTTCGGCAGCCCTTCGCGTTGCTGATGTTTCTCGAATTCTGAAAGACAAACGTCTGCGTGGGGAGAAGGGAGGGGAGGTTGCCAAACTGTTCGCCAAGCACATAAAGCTTGCTGAACATGTCACATACCTGCGGAGAACTCGAGTTGCCGCTGCTCCTGGCACGCCAGGACGAATAGGAAAGCTCTTGTGCGAAACAGGTACGGGAGCCCCATGTTTTTCTGGATCCACGAGTTATGGTACTATTGACAACATCGCGCAGAATCAATATCCGTTTCCCAACTCACCCACATCATTCTCGATATCACATTCCGCGATAGCAAGAATAGGAATCTCCTTGACATTCCGGAGACCCGGGACGAGGTCTTCAAGACGGTGTTGGGAGCGCCGAAGGTGCTGAAGGCCATCAAAGACGGCAAGGTGCAGGTCGTTCTCCTTTGATTACTGTTTGCATTATAGGAACGATAGCTGTATGATACATGTCGAAGAAAGCTGGAAATCTAGAATCCCTTGGGATTAGTCCGTAGCGTGAGCTGCAACAGACGGTCAATAGGTCGGACAGTAGCACGTTGAGACAGTTACGCACTCGGGTGAACTTGGGGACCTTGTGAATGCCTTTACGATAACCCTTCACTGAAGGGCTGAAGACTGTATACTTGTCCTTTGCTGGCATCTCGTGTTCCTTCGGAAGTTCCAAGGCCCGTTCCTAATACAGAGTAAGAAGAGAAGGTGTAGCTGTAGAATTGACCGTACCAAGGCTGCACACTTCACACCGCTAGCCCTCACAGCTTCAATGACAGCGTCGACCTTCTTTAACCGCGCCCGCTGGTTAGCTTTACGCGTGACGGAGAGTTTCCAGGGAGTTTTCCTGAATACCACATTAGCTAGCAGTTGGATGACGAGGAACAGACTTGTATTCACCATAAGAGGCCTCCGAGCCTGACGCTTGATGGTCGAAACGCGCCGAACATGGTGCTCGTCGTGGAGGGTAGTGGTCGTAAACGAAATCGTTGCTGACGGGCAAAGCTAATGCTTGCCCAGAAATATTTACCGTGGGAATCAATTCTCCCAGCGTTCCGCGTCAATTCAGCCGCGTCTGACGGTGCCTACACTTGAACCACGACGGCGACGACAATGGCTGCAGTGGCTACACAACCACCTGCTGCGAATGGCCATGCTATAAACGGGGACTCTGATATGCAGAGCGCCCCAGTGACGGGCTCGTTGAGGTTCTCGACTGGCCTCATCTTGCCTCCACCCGAAATAAAATGTACGTAGTTCCTGTATGTTTTATGCCATTCAAACAGTTAAATTCCGCTTTATAATATAGCTGTCATCGACAGAACAGCGACTTTCGTTGCGCGTTCTGCCAACCCACCCCAATTCGAAGAAAAGATTCGGGAGGGTCAACGCGCGGACCCCAAATTCTCTTTCCTCAACCCACTAGACCCCTACCATGCCTATTATCGACATAAAGTGGAAAGAGTTACCGCCGGAGAGACCGAAGAGGAGACTTCTGCCCAGAAGGCTTCTGGAGAGGAAACGGAGGCTAAACAACCGGTTGATGTCGGTGTCGAACCTCCTACACCAGAGTTTATCCTCGAACTACCCAACATCAGTGGCATCGATTTGTGAGTCTTTCTTTATTGCATTGTGACGGCAAATCCGATTGAACAACTGTAGGGATATCATGAAGCTCACTGCCTTGTTCACCGCACGTCGTGGGCGTGGTTTCCTCGCAGCCCTCTCCGAGAAAGAAGGTCGCAACTATCAATTCGATTTCCTTCGCCCCACACACTCATTATTTGGCTACTTTAATCAACTCGTTGATCAGTACAACAAGGTCCTCCATCCCGATAAAGAACGGCTCGACCAGCTGAAGGGACGGTTAGCCGAAGGCGCACGATGGACAATGTTGGAACAAGGTCGCAAACATGGTGTATGGGAGAGGACTCGACGTGAAAGAGAAAAGAAGAGACAGGATGACCAAGAGGCTGAGCGAAGTGCGTTGTTTTCATCACCCCTTCACAAACTTAGAATTTAAACTAACCATTTCTCCAGTTGCTTTCGCTGAAATCGACTGGCACGATTATGCAATTGTACAGACGATTGAATTCACTGCTGCGGATGCAAACGCAGAACTACCACCTCCCATGAGCGTACAGGAAGTCGAAAGTATGACGCTTGCTCAGAAGAGGATGGCAGCCATGATCATGGAGAATACGGCCGAGGATATCGAAGCACACAAGGCTCGACAAGCTGCGGCGGAAGCAGAAGCGGCTAAGGCCGTTGGCACAGTTGGTGCATCTCAAGATGAAGATGGTGATGCTGCTATGGAGGAGAGTGACGATGAAGATGATGCTGCCAAGCAGGAGGAAGCTCGCCAACGAGAAATTGCTAGGGCACAAGCAATGCAGGCCATGCCTTCAACTGCTGGGCCGATGAAGATTCGCACAGACTATGTTCCCAAGCGTGAGTTCGCGGTGTCTGCTTGTTTTTGCAATCCTAGAAGCTGACTCGCCTTCTTAGTCGGAGCCAACAAAGGCAAAACAGCCACGACGACATGTTCTATTTGCGGGCAGCAAATCCCTGTGGATGAGTTGCAAGAACACATGCGAATCGAGTTGCTCGATCCCAAGTGGAAGGAGCAACGAGACGCGTTGGAGGCTCGCAAGGCTCAAGCATCCGAATTGCAACGTGGTGCCAATGTTGTTTCATCGCTCAAGAACCTCGCCCGTACTCGTGTCGATATCTTCGGTACTGAAACCGATGAGGAACGCAGGAAACGGGAGGAGGAAGAAGAGCGATTGAGGAGACGGGAACGAGAAAAGGTTGTTTGGGACGGTCACACAGCTTCCAAAGCCAACACTCTGGACAAATTCTCCACGAACGTCAATTTCGACGAGCAAATCGCTGCTATCCATCGTGCAAAGGGTCTTGGACCGTGCGTATTGCTTCATATCACGTTTAATGAACTGATTAGAACTGGGTTGCGGACATAGGCAAGATGCAAATGCTATTGGTCCAGGAATTGGACCAGCTGCTGTTCCCCCTCCACTTACCGCTGTGGCTTCTGGCTCTGCTTCTATACCAGCACCACCGCAGCCTGCTGCAGCTTCTGGAGCGTTTGCAGCAGCAACTGTGTCTTCCGGTCCTCAGCCTGCATCAGCGTACACTCCTGCTCCTGTGATGCTTCCGCCTCTGCGGTACCAGGGCCTCAACCCACCTCAGCCGTATGGATACCAAGCCCCGGGAGTTATGCCCGGGATGCCTGGTTATGGTGTCCCCGTTCAGGCAGGGATGGTCCGCTCTGCCGAGGAAATGGAAGCCAGCGATATGCCCCCTGCCAAACGACAGCGTGTCGCCAAGCTTCCCGGCGGTGCTTTGTACCCTGAAGAAGATTGGATTGCCATGCACCCTGTGAGTTCCTCCTCCTTGCCTCTCCACTTTCAGGGCATTCCCAGCAACTTGGCGCTAACACCCTCTTCTTCATTTCCACTCGACCTTTAGCACCCCATTTCATTGCGTGTCCAACTACCCAATGAGCCTTCCAAACCTGAGTGGAAGCTTGACGGTTCGACAATCACTCTGCCTGAACTACCACTGAATCTGTTGGTCTCCACGTTGCGTGATCGGATTCTTCTGCACACAGGTAGTTCGATCTCAATGTCTCGGTTCCGACTTACCTATGAGGGTAAATTGCTCACCAACTCGAGCACGATTGCTGCGTACAATCTGGAGGATGAGGATCTTATCGTCATGAGCTTGAAAGAAGTGACGAAGAAGAAGTAGTCCCTAGGGCTCGGAGGATTGAGTGGTCGCAAAGGGGATGTCGGAGGACTGCCCCAGCTTCACACGTACGGTTCCTTTTCGATACTTGTATCTGTATGTAATTATTTCGTTTCCCATCTCGATGTGATCCCGTTTAGCTGTTTGAGGGAACATTGTCACTCGGGCCCAAGTGGCTTTTCAATTGCTTTGGCCAAAGGTGTTTGGCCAAAGGGTCTCAACTGTCGTTTTCCGCCTTGATTTTTTCGCAGCACACGGCACGAGAATCTCAAATTGTCAAGAATCATGAGAAAAGATGCCTGAATGCCAGGCGCTGTATAAGTTTGAGTACAGCGATGTATAGAAGAGGGCCACGCGATGCCAAAGGCGAGAGTTCTAATCGCGGATATGTACAGGGAATGGACATCGTACAAGGTGATGCTACAGCTATGGTATGGAATACTGTCCGTGCAGTCATCTATGGGAACCTAAGAGACGAAGGGAGAACGATGCTACTGTACAGGTGAAGTGGGGAGATAAATAACGGAATCGACATAGGAAAGCGAAAGCAATGGATGAGAAACGATAAAGTTACAAATGTATACATAAAACCCGAGAAGGAAAAAAGTACATATAAACCATACCATAAAGCCCAAGATAGAGAGAAAGCGCTGTTTAAAGTTTACAGGGTCAGCAAGCCTGAGAGGACGCCCGCCTCCTGGATACCGAAGCCGTCGGCGCGTGTTGGAAGATGAAACCGTGGGCAAGAAGATCGAAGATAGACCTGTGCCTGTTGGTATCGCCTCCTCACCGAATAGAGGGGACATCGAAGTAATGAGATGGAGTGGTGGGCATCGCTGCGAACATTGACCGCGATTGAGGCAAATCAAACCGCGAGGAGCCCGGACTTATCGGTACAGGTCGCGTTGTGTACCCCGCAGATGTCCTCCTCCAATTCTGCGAGCCAGACTGTGGTAAAGGCCCGCTGATATATGGTGCCCCGGTGCCCTGGTTGTGGTTGTAGTAGTAATTCCTGGCGTCGGGGTGTGAGGTCGAGATGGGTAGGCCCGAGCCCCTTGACGGGGGCGAACCGATAAGGTGGTTTATCTGTGCTTGGTGGTCGACCTGTGGATCCCCACCTCGGGGACCAGCGACGGTGTTGGCCCTTGCCGGTGGTGTAATTGGCAAAGGGTTTAGATTCCTTGCAGATGGAGATCTGCAATTCGCGCTGTCTGCGCTAGAACTCGATCCGAGTGGGACGGTGTCCTGCAACCATATTTCGTCTTCTTCACTTGGGAGATGAGGAGCTTCTTCGCCGTGGAATTTTGGTGCGTGTAGGTAAGGCGAGTGAAGGAGTGAAGGGGGAATCGGAACGTCTGGAGGTTGGATTGGGATTCGTAACGAGTTTCGCCGTGTTTGCTTGGGCATCATGCCATGTTTCGGAGTCGAGGAGGTCGATGTCGGCAGCACTGATGTTGAGCGCGACCGAGTTTGGCGCTGGGCAGGAGGTGTTGGTGTCAGTCCCAACGAGCTCCCCGACATAAAGCGACCTGCAAAAAGAGAAAAAAAATAGTGGATTGGTAGCGAGGGGAGAGAGATGGCTATAAGCGCTGAGCTGGCGAAGATTGAACGGGAGGTGACAAGTCAAAAGGGTCAAGGTGCCAGAGAAAAGGGTGGGGACTATAAATGCATCCCGTGTGCATTTCTGTGTCAGAGCCCTATTAAAAATTCTTATTCACCCCAGAAGCAGTCCCCATCCCAATCGAGTCGTCCCGAAGTATTCAGAACTCAGAAGTAGGCTTTGTGATCAGCGTCCGGTTTCACGGTGACTCAAAGTTGCGCGCTCAAATTACAAGACGCGTTGGGATACAGCTGTCCTCCATGTTGTCGGGGTGAAACGAATCATATAACACTACAATGAGATAGGCCACTATATAGTACAAAGATCACTAATAATACATCGTCCATGAATCCTTTCATAGGAGTGGTGTAAGTGAAGCAAAAACTCCAATGGCAAGAGCAAAAGCAAAAACATCAGACTACCCGACGGCATATAATTGCGAAGACAAGCACGAGCAGGATCATGATAGCCGTATCCAAAAGCACCGGTGGCTTTTGCGGACTCCGGCGAGCACCCCCAGATTGAGGAAATTCTACCGGTGGATTGGAAATCACTGCAGGACTGCGAGTTTCAATGACCTGGGGAGGGTTTTGCGATTCGGACGGGCGAGTATTGACGGAGTTCTGAGCAGTGTTCTGCGAAATGGTGGTGTCTGAGACACCTGATGATTCTGTTGGGCGCTGGGAAAGGGATGCATCTCCAGATACCTCGCGCTGTGGAGTGGCGGATTCAGATGTAGGTTCTGGGGTGGAAATCGCGGTCGCTGGGGGAGGGGGAGCTGGTGAATTAATAGACTGTGAGGGGTTAGAAGTGGTCGGGTCTGGTAGGATCTCGTGGTTGGAAGTCTTGCAGACAGGGCACGTCCATTCTCGGGACCTGGCGATCGAAGTAGCGACTGAGTAAGTATCCTGAAAAGTACAGGTGCAGATCCGGACTTACAGAGCCGCTAGGCGCTTCCGTTCATTCGTGTGGGATTCAATGGAGCCAACACCAACTGCTTGCTGACCTTTCAGGGGGAAGAAGCCTTGTAATCCAATGATAGCTGAAATGCAGTTCAGACCTGCGACAGACTGAAATGAATGGCTTGGTCACACCTGTTCGCACTCCCCACGCTGGTTGCCACAGTTCTTCATGATCTAAACGAATGGTCAGAACCTAATCTCTCTAACTCAGACAACACAGCTCACAGTTGGTGAAGCTTATGCAAATCTGGAAGGGGTGGTAAGCGCGAGTCCCAGTGTGTAGTACGTCTGCAGTGACGCACCTTTGTGTTGAGTTCGAATCTTCCATTGGGTGTTAGCATCATGATCGAGGGTGGGCGAAATGGGTATTCTGCAGGCAATAGGATTCGAAAGTGGTAAATTCCGCCTTCGAACTCGGTTCCTGACGGTCCCCGTATTGTGCAGTGCCATTCCTGCGAGACGATAAGGATTGGTAGGACAAGGCTTGTCGAGCGCTACTCACAAAGATATCGTCCTGCAAATATCCGGAAACTTGATTTAGACAAGCTATTTTTGCGCACAAGACAGACACGTACCTCCAGAGGTGCGGCATGATAGTCGGTGGAAGGATCGTTAGCAAGCTCTCTGGCTTCTTGCATGATGCGCTTCACGGCTACATTGGACGGAGGTTAATTCATGGTCTTCCGGGGCTTCAACCTGGTTACTGACCAGAATTGTTCTTGTTCAGAGCTGGCGCTGGCATCTTGGGCGCTGTTGTAGGTACGAGCTCGAAACTCAGGTATCCAGACGGTGCAAGGAGCGAATTGCGGGGTCGACCACGGTGTAGCTGACTTGTATTGTGCTAACCTCGGCGATGACATTGATGGACGACGTGGTTGGACGTGGGCATCTTGCCGACTTCCATGTGACCCGGCATGTCGCCCATCACCTAAATAAAGTATCCTATTCCCAGGCTCTGCAACGTCGAGGGCGCCTCCGAGGTCGACGAGAATTGCGTCCTCGCCGTCACGATCAACAACCTCAAAAGCCTCTTAGCAAGCCTGGCCGCGCCGTTGCTCAGTCAACAACCAAAATGACTATTCACATCAAGAATCTCAAAGTTCGCCAGCGAAAGGGTGTGTAGCCTCGTCAAAACTTTCGCGTCACTTGACCTAATACCCTCTTTCGTAGCTGCTGCCACGGTGATGTGCGCACCACAACTACACGCCATGTTGGGATGCTGGGCAGCAAGCGGGGATCTGCAGTCAACAGGTAAATGCGCGCAAGCAGCCGAGAGTCTGTTCCAGTGCATGCGAACGACAGTGCGTATCCATTTTCCTCTGCATTGACCAGGGAAACTAACCCGTTGCTTGTTTCTTAGCCAATGCCCAAGAAGAGCCACAGACCAACGATTAACTACCACCTTGCCAGACTTGGAAAGAGAATTCAATAGAGGTGTTTCCTTTCTCCATGGCTTTGGTTTAATATCCTGTATAATCTCGGTTTTCGCTCTCGCAACATATCCTATCTAATTCTAGTCCACCTCACGCGCAATTGTCAGTCTCCGAACGGCTATGCTGTTGCTCAGCACACGGACGTGATATGTTCCCTCAAACCCCGGCCCTCGCCTCGTTGTCTTCATCCACCAGTGCCTCGTTCCCAGATTCTCGTCTGGGCCGAGTTAGGATGGCCTCCTTCACCAGAAGAACCATTTCGAATGACTGATCACAACGGACCCACAGAACACCACCTTGGACTGACCTCATGACCCATGGGAAACCACACAGCCTGCAGATTATAAAAGGTGTCCGTCATTCAGAAAGGTGTCGTAACGGCTCGCCCTTCCTACCATGGCAGACAGAATGGCAAGACAGGTCTACATTCTGTGGGATGGTTGGTGGACAATCCTCCAAGCTACATGGGACTTGTTAACAGTTGTTTCTAGAGAGTGCGTCGCCGAAAGCCAGCCTCGGTGGTTACACTGTCGTCGCAGCAATAAGGACGTTCGCGAGCCGTCTGGGCGTCATCAAGGCTGTCAAGTACTATGCGGACATCTCGACCAACTCGAAGGCCCGGATTTTACCGGGCCTTGCATCCGAACTGCAATGCTCTGGTGTATCGGTTATCGACACCGTCTCCGGTGGAAGAGAGGGGGCTTCTTCAAAGATGATGCTAGGTGGGCCACTTGTTAGTATACGAAGTACGTCCACTAACAAGCAGTCGTCAGCTGACTGCTTCATATTGGCCTTGGACAATCCAGACCCTTCAAAGTTCGTCCTTGTGGTTATCACTGCCGACCCAGACACTTGCTACAGTATCTCCTCACTCAGATTGAGGGGCTACTGCGTTCCGGTAATCTGTCCACTCAATACCGATGTCAACATCGCTCGCCTCTCGGACCTCCGTACCCTTGGTGTTTCAGCGTGCAATACCCTTTCTGAGATTGCTGCTAATGTACGAGCAATGTTGGACACTGTGACAGAATCTCAGAGCCCTTCATCCAACGAGCGCTCGCAAAGCCTGACCTGCCAGTCCTATAGTCCGGTTCAACCACATCGTCGGGACTTGGAGGACAAATCTCCTCAAGGCAACGTGTCACAGTCCCCCGTCCAACCAACTTGGTCGACTTCCCCGTTCGCCGTTCCTCAGCGGGAGGATGATGAACCATCTATCGTACCCTCCACCTCGACAACCATGCATCAACAACCTGCTTCCTCCACAACTGAAACCCTCCTCCGTGACGCTGTATCCTCTCCCTCTACTTCGATCCCAGAGGCCCCAGCGGCTCGATACCCCGCTCTGTCGCCTCTACGCTCGACTGCGACCCCATTTTCACCACCTCAGCATCTTACGGCGCCGTTTTCTCGACCAACAAGTAGCAACACTGCAGTGGACCGCGAACTGCAGAGCGTTCCATCGAGGACCAGTGAAGACGAACATCCTGGAGAAGCCCCCGCCACTATTGCGAACCCGACACCTCGGGCTTGGAATTGCGGACCCGTCTATCCCCCCAAGTTTAATTTTACAGGACCACCGACTACAAGCGACTGGCAGAAAGTTTGGAACATTTCTTCGGAAACGTTCGTCGGCTCGTCAGCGACCACAGCAATCACAACCACGACAGCACGAGAAAGGGAGGCTGGTATCCCGGCGCATTTCCGTGTTCTCGTCGAGGTATTGCGGGAACAGAGATCCAAAGGCATATCCGTCATGCAGCGCTGTGCTTTGACAAAACCGCTCCAAAACCGGGATCCCAAAGTTTTCGTTCGCGCAGGAACGAGTCAATTCAAGCGACCGATCAAGCAGTATCTCCAGGAGGCAGAGAAGCTTGGGATTGTGACTATCGCCAAAGGCGGGAAGACAAAGTTGGCTCCTGCCTGGTATTGAGAGGGCTATCGTTGTAATTTTGGTACTGGTGCACAGTGCTGCTGTCCGTTTTCTTCGATTATTAAGTCTAACCTTCCTTCAGCAACATGTATTCTAATAGTAAGACCATCCCTGTACTACTGACTCAATGATAATTCTTAGTCCTTTAGTTGACCTGCATCCACCCATAGATACTGGCACAGTCTGCAGATTATACAGTGTCCCGGGGGCCTTCTCGAAGAGTTGGACCTGCGGTCTCGGTTCTGTGGGATGGCCAGTGGACGATAGTACCTTCGAGTATTGTACGTTCTGATTAATGTTGACGTTTTACGACAGCGAGTGCCTCTCCCGACACTGTTTTGAACGGCTACGACGTTGCGAATATGTCCTTGGGAAATTGAGGGATCGTCCTACTACAACACTCGCAGAAGCGGGCACTGACGGAATCTCCCAGTCAGTGACCGCAGTCCTCCTCGAAGTTGCAAGAACGGGACGCTATCTGGTTCCTCGAACTGTACCTCGTTGAAAACCCCGAACCCTCTCAACAGCGCTCTGTGGACGGACATCAGACTCGTCCCCACCTAGTTTGTGGCGATTGTGAAAACATTTCTGACTAGGCTCGCTCCGAGTCCCCGTTGGGACCTCTAGGTCGCCATATCTTAAATTGAGCGCTAATTCTTCTCTTCCACTCTCCTCCAAGGCCGTGAAGCAAATCTCCTGTCTTCTTGTCAGTGATCATGATATCAAGCATCCATTGCTTGAAGACTGCTTCATCGTTGGAAAGACCTTTGCCGTCCGTTGTCAACTCGATAAGCTTGTCCACCAGCCCGCTGTCATTCTCGAGCTCCTTTTTCCTCAGAGCTCTCGTGATTGCTTCCCTGGCTTCGTGCGTGCGACCCAGTCGCTGACAAGCGGTTGCTTGGCGAATGTAACTAGGCGATTGTCAAGAAAGCTTCCGGGCCCGAGAGGTAGGAAGTTCGGACGCACCCTTTGACATAAAGTGGGTCAGCCTTCTCTGAATTCTTCCCGTCCTTCAGCGCCTTCTCGGGGTCACAGAGCGCTCCAGGCAGAAGATGAGTTGCCGCCCGGTTGGCGAAGCAAACCGCCAAAAACTGTTTCGCCTTCTTCTCTTCCTCATCGGACGCAGCTTCCCCGACAGCATCCTCCAGCGCTTCAATGGCAGTGGTATACGCTTTCAGCGCAGAATCACGGTCTTTGCTGACGAACGCTTTATTCCCAGATGCCTTTGCCTTCTCGGCGCGCTCCATGTACGCCTTATAGTTCTTCTTGTTGAGATCGAATACACCGTCTGCAACGGCTTGAGCTTCTTCCCGTGTCTCCAGCCGCCAGCGGAATGGCTTTGGGAGCGAGTCTAAGAATGGACGGAGGCCTTCTGCTTGTTGCGCCAGGCGTGACGAGATAATAAGTAGTTCAGGGAGGGCGGGCTTCGATGGCGTTAGCGGCTTCGCCATTGCCTGCTGAATAACCCTACAACCGACGATGTTTAAACCCAGTAAGCGGGAAGGTGCACATGGGAACACTCACTTCAGCACGAAGTCTGATGTCGGAAGGCCGACATGTTGCACTGTGCATCGATAAACCTCCCGAGTATCGTAGCAGTAGAAGAGGAACACGGGGCGAGCACCCGGGACGGTATGGACGTTCTCCGCCTCCACAGGCTGGTCGTTCTCGTCCGCGTATCCAAAGGGATCCATTTGAAGAATCCAGACATCATTCTTCTTGATTTCCTTTGCGAGTGACTTGAAGTCGAACCCGGACAGGTCCTCTAGGGTCTGCGAGCTTGACCCTTCCGAGTCGACTTGGCCAATAAGTTGATTCATTTCTTCCGGATTGTTCTCCAGATACCTGGAACGCGTTGTGGACACTTTTCTGTTATTAATGCGATTTAAAAGGCAGGTACCTCATTATATCAGTCATTTCGACCTTGCCCGTGACTGGATTCTTCGGAATCTTGTCGACGATAGACTAATAAAACCGTAGCGCCCTTTCCATCAGTTCAAGAACGTTGGGTGTAAGGGGAACCAATTTCGACTGACCATAAGGAATGCTTCATCCAAGCCGCCTGCTTGTGAGGTTTCTGTTCCTCTCGGAGGGGCCATGACTAGTGTTGAATCTAATGTTTAGAGAAGTGGTGAAGCGTAAGACTCAGAGGCGATGATGGTAGAGACCAACGGACCCTATGATACGATATGATGCCATCACCCCGTCAATTATCGCGGCAAGCGCTCGTCCACCAAGTCCTGACCAGCTCGCGTAAGGTACTCCACCGCTCACTCGCCTTTCGAGAAGTGCGGTGAGTCATCTCTAACTTGTTCTAGATACGGCGTGGAACTAACACACCTCCTCGGCCAGTCACCCAGGGGCAGTCCCAGTTGGCTCTGCGTATACGCCTCCTACAAGCAGGATGACTTGAACGAATACTCAAGTGGAGGTCTCGCTGGGAGGGCGAAAAACGGCATCCTGCACATCGTTGTCTCCACGCTACTACTGCCAGCGAGCTCTGGTCTTGCTCTGACTGGAGATAGATATCTGGCGGTGGAGGTGTTAAGGCATTGCCTTTATTACGGATGCTACAAAGTCGTTTCGCTCCAGTTGGCGTGGTCAGCGTTGCGGGACAATCTTGCAGATTAATGCCAAACTTTGGGCCATGGGCTTCTGGAATGTGTTGTATTCCGATAGGAGCACATTGTCCTCTGGCTCGGCCCGAGTTGTCCAACGGAGGATGATAGTACTACGCGGTGCTCATTTGCAAGCGTGTCACAAGCAAGGTCACATCAACTGCCCTTGCTATTATTCCCTCTGTTCGTGGTGCACTTTTGCGCCCAACTCCCAGGAAAGCTCTTAGCACTTTCTGCACACAACGATGGAAATAGCCCGTGCTATGCAAATCTAGTATATTGTCGACAGTTGGATGGAAGCAGTGGACGCGCATATTATTGCATTAGCTACCTGGGCAATTCAGGTACGTATAGACCTAGGAAGACCGCCCGCTAAGAATGACTATCTCTTCCAAGGTATCAGCTCCGATTTACAAGACTACGGTCATGCCAATTCTGTGACGGAAACGAGTCGGACCTTCGGATAAGGATGCTTGCTAATACCAAGGAATACGCACCATCGTTGCCACGTTAACGAGCACCTTCACTTCGAGCTGTGATCTTATAGACCTCCCCCAAGTTTTTCTGCATGAGCCCATGGACTGCCTTCTGGTTCAGTGCATACGTCTCGCGCATGCACTGTGAATTGACCTTGCAGACAGGCGACGTCTGTTGTATCACAAACGGAGGCCTCTCGGGGAGAGTGGCCATTGGCACCCCCCAGAGCATGGTAGCCGCTTTCCCGCAGTGCCGACAGAGCCATAGGGAATGGCTCAGAACCCACTCTTCGCAGCTTTTGAGAACCTGGGTGAGGAATGCTGAGCTCTCCTCCCGTGGTGCCCCTTTACGACACCATTTCGTGGGAATGTCTTCTATGAATTGAAAAATGCGGTCGCCGGGCAGTTCGCGGAAATTGGATGGGCCGACGACGAGGGTGATGTGGAGTTTGAGCAGCGGTTCGCCGTCGATGATAAATGGATCGACGACGCGGGGCTTGTAGAAAGAGACGATGTCTGCTTTGGTGATCGCCGGTGGTTGCTTTACTGGCTTCGGTCCTGGTTCAGGTTCGGTTTCTGGGACGGGGATTGCTGGGCCATTATCTTTCCGAATGCTACGAAGTCGTTTGGCTCCCAGAATCCAGTCGGGATGGTCGGTCTTAAGGATTTCTTGTAGCCTCTTAATGCCTATGTCTTTACCATCCGCTTCTTGGATACATTGAATCTCTGATAAGAGGATGTCGTCTTCTGGCTGGGTCGTCATAGCACCTCTACAAGTTCAAGTGGGCCAATTGCCAAGGTTGACTGTCACGCCCCCTCATTTGCGTGTTGTCACAGGCACGAGCGCGTAACGGTCACGCGCCCCTATCGTAGCTTCAGGTGCGTGACGCTCGCACTCCCTTCCCCTTCGAACGCTTGCCATCTGCGCCTTTTGGTCATGCCATCTTACGCGCCATCCCTAGTGAAAGTAAGCACTTGCTACCAATTGGAGCTTGGCAAGCGCCCGTCGTGGTCGGTCTGACATTAATTAAACCTCTTCGAATTCCGAAATCAGTAAGGAGGCCCCGTTCCTCCTGGAGTCCAGGGATCATGGTATCTCTTCCTCCCACAACGAGGGAAAAGGGATGGTCAATTCAAAGACCCCTCAGCCGATGCTTCTTGATCATGGATGATTCTCCCGAAGATGGATTATGCGCCAATTACGCGCGCCACTTCAGGTGAATGTCCGGCAGTATCTCTCGTATTGGATGTATTACCTCGGAAAAATAGAGTCCTACTAGACTCGGGCAGACACCTTCTCTCTGTTCTTTTTGCTCTGTTTGATTCCCGTCTGGAAATGGTTCTCAAAGCGGGGTCTCTCGCCACGATCGCTGCCTGCCTTGTTAGCGTCTGGGGCCACGGCTACATTCGAGAAGTGACCCTTGGTTCGGTGGTCTGGCCAGGATACAATCCTTACTTTGACTCGTCAGCATTCCTTTTTGTCCCACCAACGCACTGTGAAGACTAACCTGACTTACAGTTGGTGGCAACCTCCGCCCGAGAGGCTCATCCGAAAGATCCCTGGCATTGGTCTGTGCTTTGATCACCTCGAGTTGTTATGATCTTGAGTTCCACTATCAGCACCTATCGAGGATTTGACCTTGATCGAGTGAGCCCTTAATGTATCATATTGTGCTATCAAGTTCCCTCTACTGAGCATCGTCCGTTGTAGCCTCCAATGCAACGGTGACACCGCGAACGACTACTTCACAGAACCCGCTCCTCTCGTCGGAACGGTGGCAGCGGGTGACAATGTCCATCTCAGCTGGCTAAACCATGCTGGAGATAACCACAAAGGCCCTTTGCTAACTTACATGGCGCGTGCTCCATCGGATATTGACATCAGGCAGTGGATTCCCGGGAGAGAGTGAGTTTCGCTGTGGACGGGTGTTCTGAGCTCCGATTCTTACATCGCATGGCACACAGGGCCGTCTGGTTCAAGGTACACCACGAAGGGAAATACGGAGATGGGAAATGGGCCGCACCGGAGATGTTCGAGAAGCGAAATGGGACTTACACATTTAGGATCCCACCAAACCTGTTACCGGGTCAATACCTGATACGGCACGAATGGTGAGTGGAAGAAATCAAGTATAGACGAGCGCTGTTATCTGAAAGACCTTCCTTCTAACCACCGTGCAGGATTGCTCTGCACTTCGGTATCGCCTTACCTTTTGCTGTGGAATGAGAGTAATGACCGGGCCTCTACCAGCTGACAAGTACCCGGGCTTCCAGAGCTACCCCGTTTGCGTCCAGGTCGAGGTCACCGGGAATGGTACAGCATTCCCGACATCGTTCGTGTCATTCCCAGGAGAGTACACTCCGGAGACACCAGGTACGCTGCTGGCTTTCCGCCCAGTGTGTACAATTGCTCATTACCGCGCAGGTGTGATTTATGATGTATGGAATGGTAACTTGCCTAAGGTCGATTGCAATTGGTGTGCGCATCGGACTGACATGTACCTGTGTGATCTTCATAGATAACGGAGTAAGCTTCTCAACTGAATCCACCCCTTCTGCATCTCATTCAGACCTATAGCCGTACCCAATTCCAGGTCCCGAGGTGTAAGATCCTCTCTCTCGATATTCCGTTCCAAATGACTGATGATAATTAAATCCATAGCTGGACTGGAGGCTACTAAATTTTCAATCGAATACGCAGAAATAATTCCGTTTAGGTTATTTATTCTCTTACCACTATACACTGCTTGTTCTTGATTATACGGTCTGAGCTACGGAGTATGCGGCGCTTGAAGGGAGGCGCCCACGAGTATCCAAACAAATAGGGGCGTCGGGCTTGCCAAGCCACCACCATCATCGAGCCTGGACGGTACATCGCATGGACATCCATGACCCGATAACCTCCAGCAAACTCTCTTATGTCTCCAAAAATGCCCTCAAAACAGGTGCTCATGACTTTGTAGTCTTTTAATTTGTCGCCTAACCTCGCAGAACACCCCATTCAGGCAACTTTATAACAATTGCAGATCTATTGGTTACCCCGATAAACGAGGTCGCCAAACGGTGCAAAATCTCTGCTCAAGACGCCAAAGCCATATATGACGTGCTATTGAAGGAGTGTAAACCACCCGCTCTACCTACCCTTATTACCCTGAACCTGCCCCTTGACGAGGTTCTCTCGACGGGAGATGCGTATCTCGACCATGCACTTGGAGGGGGAATTCGAACAGGGATGGTCTGGGAAATCGTTGGGGAGAGGTAAGCGGGTGTCCGGGCCTCAGTTTTTGCAACTAGTGCGCTGATACAGGCTCTTGTGATCAGTGCAGCCGGGAAGAGCCAACTAGCTCTCCAACTCTCCCTCTTCGTCCAGAACCCACCGGAGTTGGGCGGCATTCACGGCGCAGCATGCTACCTAACCACATCATCCAAACTCCCCACTAGTCGACTATCCCAGATGCTCCAATCTAATGAAAACCTATCAAAGGACTCCTGCGACCTCGCTCATGTCCACACTATCCGGGTCAACACCACACCCATGCTCACCAACGTCCTCATGAACCTCCTTCCCAATTTCATACAACAACAACAAACGACATCCCATCCTGTCAAGCTGCTCGTCATCGACGCTCTGGCGGAACTCTTCCGCTCTACCGAGAAGATGTCGAAGACGACACTGTTCGACCGGTCTAAAGAGCTCAACCAGTTGGCGTTGGACTTGCATGCGTTGGCCACCAGGCATAATATCGCTGTGGTTGTTTTAAACGAAGTCATAGACCGCTTCGAGAGGGGAAGGCTCAGTTCGAAAGCTGGAGAGCTAGTCTATAGCGATCAGAGTCGGTTCTTTGGGACGAGCAGCAGCGTTCCGGGAGAGAACACCAAAGAGGCGAGTTTAGGGCTGGTTTGGGCTAATGCGGTGAATGCGAGGATTATGATGAGTAGGACCGGGAGGAGACGTTACCTCGACGAGAACGAGATCCATCAGAAACGGACGAGGATGCAGAGCTCCGATGGGGCGCTTGCTTCGTCGTCTGCTCCAAGCACAAGCTCCACAGGGCAAAGTGACGAGCAGTCAACGCTCATCCGGCGCCTTAGTATCGTCTTTAGCTCAGTCTCACCACCTTCCTCGATGGACTACATCGTCACCCACAAGGGCGTCGTTGTTCTGCCAGACGACCCTTCACAAGACTGCACCGCCATTTTGGAATGTCGCTTTGCAAACGACGTGGATGGCTCGGAGACTCAGATCAAGAATGCTGTCGCACCAGCAGAAGTACCCCACACGCTGACCACACAATCTCAACCTCTCGAGAATCCAGAAGAGGACGAGTACGATCGGCTACTGGAGGCAAGTGAAGATGACATTCTTTACGACGCTTACGACGCATTCGAACAACAGTTAACCCAAGCGACTTGAACTTGCACGAACAATCGTCTTAGAATATACGAGAAACCACGGGTATCATTGTCATGTACAGAATTTAAAGCAACGAAACGGAAAGAAGTCCAGCTTCAAGGTTCGCGCAGCGACACATCACTCCATTGTTCCTTTGACTCATTCATCTGCCTCCATGTCGATGTCGGTCTCCACGCAGGAATGTAATTCGTGTCATACTTCCCATGCATGTGCCCGAGTTCCCCTGAATGAGCCGGAGAATCGGGGATGGAGGGTGTTTCGATGGGATGAGGATACCAATTGAGGATGGGTCGGGATATCCATGGTTTTGGTTTCGGGAATGGTTCGATGTAGCAGCCGAACCAGGAGATGATGAAGCCGACTATACCTATGTTGTCATAGTGTGGAAATGAGAATCAGAGTCTAGAATCGGATGGAAAAATCGGAACTTACTTGAGAGTGTGGCTAGGCCAGCCATAACCAACACTGCACACGCTGTTGCTCTAGGGTTCTTGAGTGCACTGAAGTCGTCGATTAAACTCTCCTTCCCATCTGTGAGGCGGACGAGAAGAAGGACAAGGTTCGCTATTGTAAAATGAGATCGACGATCAGCTTCCTGAATGGATACTCCTTCCACGAAAACATGTAATTTGGAATCATCCCGTACATACCTCCACTGAAGATGATGAGCGCGCCGAATCCTACTAAACTCCTCGGTCTGATGTACTCGCGCTCTGGGTGCCGGACACGATGCAAGAGCATAACGGCCATAGTGATCAACGCTAGCCAGTCTATGGCGATAGCTCCTGTTTGGAAGACTAAATTCGCAAAGGTGAACATTAGGAGCTTGAGAGGTATGGAAGGGACGGTACGTACACCCGCCGGATCCTAGTGCCAGGGCCAGCCCTAGCAAGAGGATGGAAATAATATGTAACAGGGATACGACAACTGGCGTAGAATACGTTCAGCATACAAGCACACGATCGTGAAACTGAAAGGGGTACTCACCAACGAATAGAACTCTGAGGACGGTGGCCATTCTAATCTGGGGGAAAGGAACGTCGTGTAACTCTGCTTTAACAGCCATCGACATGGCAGGTACAGGGATGGAAGACCTGAAGGGAACAAAGGCTCAGGGAGCAGGGAAAAGCGTAGGGTTCAGGTTCAGCCTGGAAGCGCGCTTTTCTATGTTTTTGGGTCAAAGCGGGTGTGGCCTGTGTCAAAGGGGGCGTGAATGGGTCGTTACTGAAAGGCGAGTGTGGCGACTGTATGGCGAATAGGACCACTTGGATACCACAGAATTGTGTCAAAGTGGCAAGGAAACAAGCGAGTGTAGTTCAGGATCGACGACGGTCAAGCACAAAGGCGGTTCCAGCACTTCCACTTGTACGGGAACATGCATGGCGCGTATCTGCGATGAACGTGTAGGTCAATCAGTTTAGCCTTGATAAAGATGCAGGGTTAGGACAATCTCGACAAAATGACGAGGGTGCACGAGGCGCTCACCTCAATCTGGCAACCGCGCGAATCCAAGCCAGAATGGGTCCCTCGATGTGGAAACTTGAAGATGTCAGACTTGAGATGTTAATGGTCAAACGCAAAAATACATTGAATGTCATATTTGTGATAGAAAACGAACGCAATATTATACACTTGAAGAAAGGAAGAGAAAGGACGGAGTATCCCTGAGGGTATGGGAAAGGAAATTGGGATAAAAGGTGAAGAGTTACGCCGCGAGTGTGGACCAAATAGATAGAGAACCGAGAAACCAGACGAGGAAGCCCATTGTTCATGCATCTAGCGGCAGCTCGATCCAGTCTTCTTGACCGAATGTGTTCTCTCCTGAGTAACTGACATAAAGGAAGTTGTCCTCGTCCCTAGGAACGAAATGAGTAATTGTCCACAGCGGCAGGGGCCTGAAAGGACGTACTTATGCTCCTCGTATATTGCGCTCATGAGTGCTGCGGTCGGTGGGAGGACCTCGTCGACGAAGATGAAGATCGCCTTCTCTGGTGCCAGCTTGATTCGCTTACGGATGACATACACGAATTGTCCAACCGTGAGGTCCTTATCGTCACGATCATTAGCGACTGCGTTGGATAGGCGAAGGAGGACTTACAGATGGCACCAGGTACTTCTTCTTGTCGATAGTAGGGATATCGGTCCTGTCTGCCTTCTCACAGATGACCTGTTGTGTTCGTGGGCCACCGAGTGTCGTCAGACTGAGTTCTGTGCTATGAGGTTGGATACATACGGGAATACGATCCGGGTACTTCTGTCGAATTCGCTCAGCTTCAGCCTTGCGCTTCTCTGTTGGTCCGGTTGTCAGTCTCTCGTCGATTGCTGTTCAGGTCCTGATTACGCACCGAAGGGGTGCTCGTCCTTGAACTTGGATCGCATATTGAATTGCTATGTGGTTGTGTTGAAGGATTAGAGTGTTGGAATGGCGGTTTGGTGTGGTTGTGGGACAGTCGTGGTGGTGGTCTCTGAGTGACCCGAAACACGCACCTCTGAGCTCAGTGAGGGGCAGGGATCACAACACCCGTCAACAAACACCCGGTCGGTACATTTATGGCTTCGTTCCTCCTGTTATTGTTGTTTTCTCTCTATTTGACTAATTGCCACTCATCGCCTTCGAGATCCACGCAATCGTTTCCTATCCCGCAGCTACGCTACCCAAAAGTCCAAGTAATACAAAATAGGGGTATCTGGGGTGACATATTACGATACGAATCCGAGTCAGATCATGACTACTACTTTGCGGCGCCATTCGCGGCCGCTCCCATAGACGCTGCCATACCCAAAGCCAAAGCACTGCCCATTTGTCCACCCATGCCAGTATCGGAGGGAACAAAGACCGTCTTGGAACCGAAAGCTTTGATTCGCGACACGTCGACCCTGCGCAACCCCATCTCTCTGGCGAAAGGGTCCACAACAAGGGCGTCGGCCTGCGCCTTGATCCGGACGGCCTCTGCTTCTGCCTCCGCTTGGATCCTCGTCGCCGCCGCAACGGCCTCGGACTCGATCCTTGTCCTCTCTGCCTGGGCTTTGGCGGCTGCGATAACCCGGTAGGCTTCGGCGTCTGCCTCGGTGTTCTTCTGAAGAGCCTTGATACGGGTTACTTCGAGTGCACCTTCTTCCGCTTTGACTTTGTTGCTGTTCTCGCGATCGACGTTCTATAGGGGCATCGACTCAGTACGCCGTCGAAATCAGACTGATCAGCCTGTTGACTCACCGCAGCCTCAACCTGTGCTTGCAAACCACGAGCTAAAGGAGATATTAGAGCGGATCGTAACGAAGCGGGATAGGGGCGTACTTGTCAACTTGTCCATTGTAGAGGCAATCTCTCCCTTGAACTGACGGTCGATAACGGCAAGATCTTTCAGCACGATGCCATATTCCAAAGCAGCCTCGTGCATTTCATCCATGGCACGGGTTCGAAGAGCGTCCAAGAACGCTGAAGATGGGTCCGTGCCATCGTCGAGGTTGTCTGGACCAAGTGATCGTTGCTTAACCTATCGAGGGAGTTAAGTGGGACGATCCAAAGTTCGTTACGGGAAGGTTTACCATTGAGGAGTAATCAAGATGGGCCATAACTTGAGTGAGAATAGACTGTGTCTTGTCCCGAAGAGCCTCGTACGGCGTTTGATAGCCATGAGTAGCGAGTTTGAGCGGCTCGGTCAGTTGCCACTTCAAATAAATGGTCAAGCTAACAGGGACTTGATCACGAGTGAAGCTAAGGGAGAGTCAGTTTCTGGATAGAAATACCAGAGGGCACAGACGTACATATCCTTGGTGGGCATCTCGACTTGGTTCTCTCCGAGCGTGTACAGTCCTCGAAGAGTGACATTGGGGTGGGTGATGACGGTCTGACCTGCTCCAATTAACTCCAGTTCGTCTCCCCTTTGGAGGATTGCGCAGTTGTTGGCTGGAATGTTCAAACTAGCACTCGTTAATCGCAAACTCGGAGAGAAGGATCTCAACAACTCACAATGTGGCAACGACGTAGTCTTTCTCGCCTCCAGTCCTGCCCACCTTGCTCTTCATCTTGACTTCGTGCGTCCATCCGAGGACCACGCCAGTCAATCTATCCTTGACTACGGTCGGGAGATGGGTTTGATCGACAATAGAGAGAATATCATAGGTTCCCTCCACGGCATACGCGACAAATCCAGAGTTTGTGATAACGAACACTTGATTCTTAGGGTCGGAAACGACAGCAGCTTGGTTCTGAGAAACCTGGACTGCTGTCAGACCTTGGAACTCGATGACAGTGTCGGACACTGGGAAATAAAGGTCTGAGTGAGGTCAAGGTCGTATCCATAGTAGGGGGATACGTACAGCCTTTAGTTCCGCACCACGTACGCGCCCACCAGTTACGAAGGGGGAAGCCTGGGTATCGTCCCGGCTTGATCAAGACCTTGGGATTACCACCATGGTTGATGAGACCCAAGTGGCCAGGCATAATTTCTTCACCAGTCCAGTCAATTGGCTCCTTCTTGGATAACAATCGACCTCGTCCAGACTGGGAGAAGCTAATCAGCTAACACGCGACGCAAACTCAGAGATAAGGTCGCACCTGCTGTAGCTCTTCGTCGAGCCTCTGCAATGCAGTGATCAACCCTCCTTCGCCAATGGGAATGAAGAACGGTCGGGGCTCCAGCTTGCTATTCATTGGAGTAACAAAGCGCGGTTCTTCATATTGAGGGCGCTCAGGGATCTTCCCGAGCACTTTGCTAGAAGACGCGACGGCCTCCTTCGGAGGCTTGGATGGTAGAGAGTCGTTGAGGACGGTGGTGTCTCCGTATGTTGACATGCCTCCGCCATAGTTGGAGAGCGCGCTATCGAACTGGGATGTCATGTTTAGGAGGTGGGGAAAGTCAGAAATGGCATACCGAGGTCCATCCCGCTCCTTTTATAGACATACAAAGAGAATGTGTGCATGTCACAGACCTGTTACAATGGTTTGCGGCATACTTCAGCGGAGGATGGTCATTTGATCACTCGCCAGTGCCCAGGGAAACAGAGATCTAGATTGCGCAGGGTCTACAGCTTTTGTGATACTGCTGTAGAGGTACGGAAAAGCAACGGGATGCTGTCTTTTGGAGAAGCAGTGCACGTTCGCAAGCGAGAACAACGGCCGCGACGCGGCAGGCCACAGGAACAAACCAGAACAAACCCCTGGCTGGGCGCTAGCCCTCGCCGCGGCGCACTTCGGCAATCAAATTCTTTGACACAATTGGGGAAATCTGTTCCCGCCACGTGTGCATCATTCGACCACGTCCGAATTTGGGTATCGCCATCGTCGCATACGACGACGACGAGCGAGCTTTCGGTGACCTCCAGTTACGAAGGCGCTCACAATGCAGACGCGTTGGCTACTTTTCCTGCCAGTGCTGCCTGCAGTACTGGCACAGGGAGCGAATGACACGCTGCTATGGGGCGCGTACCGACCGAACCTGTACTTTGGGCTTCGTCCTCGAATTCCAGAGTCGCTAATGACTGGGATGATGTGGTTCGGGACACAAGACTTCATGTCTATCGGAAGTAAGTGCACTTCTCGTTTCAGAGTTGAACTACTGCTGTTAACACGGTGCTGTAAAAGAAACTCGACACACATGTGAACAGAACGAATTAGACAGCTATACCTGGACGGAATATGATCCAAGAGAAGGCGGTGTACAGGTTCTGAAAGACAGCTTCAACAATGTGAAAATAACAACAGAGTTCCTCAAGATCCCTGGCGGACTTCATGGAGGAAGTTGGGCTGCACGAATTCGTGGAGAACCTCTACGCCCAGGTTCGTCTGGATGGTACTTGAGCATAAGGTTAAATCTCATGGACAACAGAGGACCCGTCACGTATCTCCGTCATCTATTATGCTGGTCTTGAGGGACTGGGAAACCTTGGAATGGAAACGGACGAGAGAGAGAACGTCAGTCACTCGCTTCTACCCAATTTCCCCGACTAACCCATTCTGGCCCGTAGGGTATTGACGGGGAGGTTGAATTCAGCGGAAACACGATTGAACTCGGGGACTTCACCCTTCGAGTAGTGGATGGTATGCCAGTTATCGCCTTTTTTTGAATGTACCCTCACGGGGGCCTGCAGGTCCGGACAACAAATACATCAAGGACGGCGCTCATTATGAGGATTTCAAGAGGTCCGTTGAAAAGACCCAGTTCCTTGGGAGGGCAGTGGAGCGCGGCAACATCTGGAAGGCGAAAGGTAGGACTCCTGTTCTTATTTGTAGTCTTCCCTAACTCCCAATGCATTCAGATATTATTATTGCCGCAATGGCTGAGAAGTTCCGTGAAGTAATGCCAGCCTACCAACCCGATTTCCCCAACCCCGGATATGTCCTCACTCTTCCGAACGATGTCTATACGAACAGCAACTTTTTCGCCGTTCAGAAAACCTTTGACGGCCCATTCCAATTCGACGTCCTGTTCGAGAGCGGAAGCGCCAAACAGAAGCTTAGCTGTAAGTCTTGTCAGTGGTTCATCATGTTTTGCCTTGACTTATAAGATCGTAGCATCCACTCTAGACGAAGGAATCCCGGCCTTGATTGAAGCTTACAACCAACGCTTCAGGGCCACTCTCCCCCATCCCGCCGACTATCCAACTGAGAAACAATCATCCTTGGAGGCCTTTTCCAAAGCAGTGACTTCCAACCTCATTGGCGGAGTTGGCTATTTCTATGGAAACTCCATTGTGGACAGGAAGTTCTCCTATGAATGGGACCAAGATGAGGACGCTGGAGACGATGACGACGCGAAACCCAGCGGTTCACACCTTACAGAACCCAAGTCACTACTCACTGCCACTCCCAGTAGGAGTTTCTTCCCTCGAGGATTCTACTGGTAAGGACTTTTCGAGTTATGTCTAACTTCCTTCTGAAACACCTGCGGTAGGGACGAGGGCTTCCATCTCTTGCATATTGGGCAGTGGGACAATGACTTCAGTCTTGAAATTTTGAAAGATTGGATCAATCTCATCGACGACAATGGATGGGTAGCTCGGGAACAAATTCTCGGCGAAGAAGCCAGAAGCAAGGTAGTTACCAATTGCTATGCAGAATCTGACGTCCGCTGACCATCCTGCAAGGTCCCTGTAGAGTTCCAAACTCAGGTACCCAACTACGCCAACCCCCCGACACTAGTAACGGTCGTCGCAGCATTCATCGAACGGTTGAAGTCTGTCAATGCCAACCGCGGCCCTTCTGACGAAGATCTCGGGATGGGTATGGGAGGTGCACAGACACCACTCGGAGTCCAAGATGAAGCAACCCCTGTACCCGGAACTCAGCATTTGCAAGACCAAGAGCTGGCCTTCTCCTACCTCAAGTCTATCTACGCACCATTGAAGCGACACTATGAGTGGTTCAGACGTACACAGCGTGGTCAGATCAAGCAGTATGGTCGAAAAGCTCGTTCGCGAACGGAGGGTTACCGATGGCGCGGACGAACTGAAGAGCATGTTTTGACCAGTGGCATGGATGATTATCCTCGTGGCCCTCCTCACCCGGGAGAACTTCACCTCGACTTGATTTCGTGGATGGCATTCTTCTCCCGGACCATGAAAGATATCTCTGGATTCATTGGTGAGAAGGAGGACCAAGCCAACTTCGCCAAATACGAACGTGCTATTCTCGACAACATTGAAGGTGGGTAGAACCTCTGTGTAATCCTGGAAGGGATACTGAAGATGGCTTTAGATCTGCACTGGAATGAGGAGGAAAACATGTACTGCGATGTCGGTGTAAACGAGGATGATGAGTCCTATCACATCTGTCACAAGGGCTACCTCTCGCTCTTCCCCTTCCTCCTTTCACTCCTTCCGCCGGACTCTCCCCACTTGGGTTCTATCCTTGAGCTCGTCAGGGATCCCGAACACCTCTGGTCGTCTTACGGCATCCGTAGTCTCTCCGCTTCTCATCCTCAATTCGGCAAAGGCGAGAACTACTGGAAGGGCCCTATCTGGATTCAGATGAACTACCTCGCTCTGAGTGCTTTGCATAAGGTGCGGTGCTTCCATTCTGATTGTTGGATTGGGTTGACATTCGATTCTTGTCAGACATATGCCGCTCAACCGGGCCCGTACCAGGAGAGAGCTCAGGAGATCTACAAAGAGCTCCGCAGGAATGTTGTAGACAATGTTGTCAAGGTTTGTCCACATGCTTCACGTCGCTTCTGCTTGGATGACCCATACATGATCCCGCAGGAATACGAGCGAACTGGTTACGTCTGGGAACAATACAACCCTCTCACAGGAGAGGGTCAAAGGAGGCATGTCCCGTTGGATCTCTGTTGCCAACATCGTTGCTGACCTTCGTGTTGTAGTCATCCCTTCACTGGATGGACATCGCTGACTGCTTTGAGTAAGTCTCCTATTTGGCCCCAGGCTTCCCCAAAGGTTAACGGCTGTCCCTCAGTTCTCGCAGAGAAGTATGTATAATTAATTCGAGCATCCGACACCGCCTACCCTGTATAGTACATGAGCACGTTATTTCGATTTCAACGCCTGTGAGCCTTGGCCGAGAATGGTTTAGGGAATAGGGACGTCGGGAATTTCTTCGACAATCCGTTCTGGTTGTGGGTTTTGATGATAGCCTTGACAGCGTTGGTGGCACGATTACCAGCCTTCTGGAACGACTCGATCTCATCTGAAATCTTTTTACGTCGAGCGGCGTAGTCCGCCTCGAGATCCACAAAGGCATTGAAATGACGAGCACTTGAAACGAACTTGTGAGCCAGCCAGTCATCGAACAGGTTGGGAGTGAATGGGACTAACGAGTCGATGCGCAGGACTTCCAGATGCTCTGCAGCGCTTCGCAAAATCGACATCTTGCTGCGTCGAGCTTCTTGAGATGTTGAATCAAATCTACCGATGACTGCTTTGATCAATTCCTGGGGGCGAGGATGTCAGTCGATGTCGAGACGACGGGATCAGATCCCTACATTATGGATCTTGTTCAACGCCTACGACGAGTCGATCAAATGGTTTCCCAGAGTCGTCCATGACCCCACGCACCTCAATAACAGCTTCATTCGCCTGTTCAGCTTCCAGCACTGCCAACGCTGCCTGCCTCTGCTTCGCATGACGATCCGCCGTTCCAGACCTCTCTTCGTGACGCTGGGTTCGGAAAGGACTGACATCGTCCCTCTTACGTGATTGATCACCATCCACAGATAACTTCGAGCGGGTTCCAGCAGGATCCTCTGACATAGCAGGCTTAGGCAAGTCTTGGAAAGTGACCTTGGGAACGGGAACTTTCAGAGTGTCTGCTTTCCTGGCCGCAGGTGGAGAGGGAGGGACGACCTCTTGCTTCTCGCAGACTGGACGAGCTGGAAGCGGGGACTCGTGCTTCATTAGTTCAAGTTGTGATGTAGTCCCTGCTTGGATCCCGATCTCAGAAAGACGTTTGGGTTTGGGCTTGGGTTTAGCGACAACGGCTTGTTTCTCAGGTGTAGGGGAGTGTGTTAGGTCGATCATGGTTACAATCATGTCCTTTGGGGTCTCGGGCCTCTCAGGCTGGTTGATTTCGCTGAGGATTATGTCGGGACTGGAGTTACCGGTCTGTGAAAGGACGTTAAGCATCAGTGCACAAAGTAGTCGGGATGGCTACTACCTTGGTAGGGACCATATATTCTTCGACAAATGTTTTCGTGTCTCCTTCATAGTCATCACTGCTGCCCTGTTCGAGAGCAGGAATCGATTCCACTGGTTCTTTGGGCAACACCTCCATCGAGGGTCGCTCAAGATCACGGTCTCGCTCAGAGAGCTCGAATGGCTCGGGCGTCGACTCTTGCTTGATCTTCTGGATGAATGAGTCTGACTCCCATGGTGCCTTCTTCTTCTTTCTCTGCTGACGGCTCGGAAAGTCTTTTAATTGGGCGGCGAGCTTTGACGAGGTTTTGGCTGCATTTTCACCTGCGTGACTGCGAGACTGGAGGTTGCAAATGAGGCCCAGTCGATGGAAAGCTTTGGGATGACTCACGGCGAGATGGTCGCTTCCTGGTTCGGAAGTCAGGCGAACCTTTTCGTCCCGCACTTCTTGCTTAACGTCGACCTGTCGTCGCCCGCGGACTCGCTCCGCTTTCGGTGGAATGGTGTCCTCCGACTCGGGGAGCAAAAGGGGTGCCGAGTCATCCTGAACCTCCAGCTTAACCTTGATTGCGGGCTGCTTCTTCTCGGAAGCTGCCTTAGCTCGATTGGACGCACGCGTCGGCTGCTTCATTTCCTTCGCTTTTCCTGCCCTATTCTTCATTGCAGCTTTTCGAGGGACTGACGTTGCGGGCGTGGCCAAGGTCGGTTTCGGACGGTCCTGAGGTTTCTTCGACGCGACGGTGAATCGGGCATTGGCCCTGAGAGGGACGGGTGCAAAGATAAAGTTCTCCTTTTGAACATCTGGGGTATCGGACGAGCGGAGCCTCTTCACTGGCGTTTCCGCAGTTGCAGGTTCGTCTAGCTTTCGCTTCTTCCCTTCAAGGCAAGGGGATCCTATGCGAGGCCATGTGTTTTGTTCAGGAAGAAGTCCAGAGGAGCTATTTCGAGCACGTACCATCCCGAGCCGCGCCAACCTGACCCGTCTGAAGGTTTTCCTTGGTACGGAGATTCTCCAGGGCTTTCCTCTTCGCTTGGCGAGTCTTTGGTTCACTGGGAGGAGTAGGGGCGACTGCGAGAATTTCAGGTCGAGAATGCGGGCATGAACATGATCAACTTGCTCACCTTTCGGAAGCGCCTTCTTTGGCCGCTTTGGAGCTGGACTGGGTGTGAATTCGGGTGAGCCTCCTTCGTCGACTTCGTCGTCCGACAAAAGGATCACGGGATTGGAACGTTTACCGCTCTTCAAAGGTTGAACATTTGGCTCGGTCGCCAAGGGCAGTGTGGACTTTGGTACGGTCTTCCCCCCCTCTCCTTTCTCCGTCTTCAATTTCGCAGCAGGAGACACCGCCTTGGCGGGGACTGCACTGAGATTGCCCTCGTTGTCTATGAACAGCGTCTGGGGAGGCTTCTCGGCGGAGCGGAGGAGCAACTCGCCAGATGCAGGAGGGAGAATGGACCCTACGGGGAGGGAGTCTTCTGAGGCGGCGTGGTGTTCGCCTGGCGTTGATTGGTCCCATACTGAAGGCAGGCAGTCAGCATGTTGGCATTCTCAGACTTCCGACTTACATTGCTTGATGACGGACACCTTTTCCTGCAAGGAATATGTGAACAGAATTCATGCATCTGAAACCGGTAGGCCTCACCTGCGTGGTACGCGGGGGTGACGCGTTCTTGGTTCCATCCAGGGCAATTTGCTTAGCAATCGATAACTTCCTGGAGTAGTCCTCCTTGGTCTGCTTCACCGACTGCCAACTGATGAGAACAATGGAAGGGGGAACGAAGAGTATACCCACAAGCCCTCGCTCCTTCAGAGCAGAAATGAAACGTTCCTTGTCGGTGTTCTTGATCACCCAGTGCGCGGTATGGTTCCTTTGGCTTGCTTCCATCATGTTCTTTCCAATGAGAGGGGGTCGAGTCAACGAGACGTTGACAGTGATGCCTTTCCCCAACGATGGGGTCATCTCAATGTCTATGACAGTGTTGTAGTCGATAGTTAACACGTCAAGACTTTCTCCCTGTGCCTACGTGTCAGTACTGAGATTTCGGAGGCCCGGGACACTCAAAGTACCTCTTGAACGTTCATCAGAAACACCTTCGAATCGACGTATATGCGCTCGGTTGCCTTCTCTTCGCCCTTGCCAATGGTCAGGAAAGCAGTCTGGAATGGCTGGGGGCTATAGCCAAGGTGAACGAAGGTGCAAGGGGGCCAATCAAGATGGCTTACAAGGCGAGGTTGGCCGAAGCAAGGGAATCCATAAGTTCAGTTCCAATGTCATCCCAGGTTTTTCCCGACTGGAGGACATCGACGATCTTCGAAGAGCAAGCAAAGATGGATGGGTTGAAGACTTGTTGAATGAACGGAAGGCGCTTCTCTTTCCCAGTGCCCTTGGCCGAAGGAAGGAGGTTCGCGAATAGCTCCAGTAACGCTTCGAGAGGGAGAAATTCTGACGAAGGGCGTCAGTCACTGTTCCACCTGGCGAAAACGAGGACAGACCTCGTGTATTCCAGATAGTGAAACCAAGGCGGGTTCTGATGTCATGAGCCTCCAACAATTCGCACAGGAAGGAAATTCAAGTCATACCCTCCCAGCAATGTCGCCCTGCGTAAATTGGATGCGACCTCCGCGTTCCCAGAAGCAATGTCGGACAGAAGCATGTAAACCTTGAGTAAGAAACAGAGAGATCAGCTATACTCGACGCATATATGCAGTCCTCCATTTGATTTACGCTAGTTAGAAGGTCACTGTTGCCTTCTATGCGGTCGTTCCTGGTAGACGAGAAGTACAGGCGACAGAGCAACGATTGAAAAGCCGTTGCAACGGCAGTCTTTGCTTTAACTGTAACCTGGTCTCAGCCGCTAACTAGCGGGTTTTCCAGAAGGGCTTACCCGTAGAATCCTCCTCCAAGTAATCCTGAAAAAGAGTGTTCAGTAAATCTGTTCGAGCACATCAGGAAAAGGATAGACCAAGATTCCAGCAATGATAGCGGCTTGAGACATTTCCCAGCCTTCCTTAATACCTGCATGTCCATTCCCGACGAGCTGGTTGATCTTCTCGTCCTGAATTGTCTGGAAGATACTCAGAGACAGACGCAGCGTCAACTGAAGTTGCTCCGTATAGAGAGGCTGTAGCCCAGTCCTCAAAGCCTCAGCAAGACGTTTGAACGTTAACGGCGAGATCGTTGAAAGTTTCTAATAAGGATAAGGGCGCGTTAGTTCTGCAACTACGGTGCCAGGTTGAAGGTCTACAAGAATCGTTTCAATCGTTGACAGTTGGGCGGTGGACGCGTCGAGACCCGCGACGCCGCGCTCCCTAGGACTTGGGAGGCCATTCTCGAGTTCGGAAATAGCAGCTTTGACGCTTTCCATGTTTGAAAGAACCGCGTTCGCCATGGAACGCGATGAGGAAGGATGTGGTTAGATTGAAAGAGGGGTGAAGTCACAGCCACCTTGGCTGGGGCGCAATATTCGCTCGACTCTGCTTCGATCAACGACCTTCAACACCATGCCGTTTCTTACAAGCTCATTTTCCAAGTCGCAACCACAAGTGCAGAGACACCGAGTGGCCCAAAATACTTGAATTCATGCCTACGGCGCTTTTCCAGCGACCATCATTGAAACACGGAACAAAACCCGAAACGAGGCCACTATAAAGACCGAAATCAAGGAAGCTGCAGGACCAAGCCCAATTCATTCACTCCTTAACTTGAGCGCAGTCTGGAGTCCCTTGTCAAGCCTTTCAACCGTCCTGGTGGCCTCGTAGAACGGAAATGTCGGCCATAACTGGTACAGTCAAGAGTGGGCTAACGTCTGTTATCCCTAACATCTCGGTATGTGCCTCGTGGACGCTACCATTTCGTGACGAGAAGACGGGCTAAATGGGACTCACTTATCCTAGCCTCCAAAGATCAGGAGGAAACATTTGAGAAAGGTAAACAGTTTTGGTTTGACTTTGATGTATCTGAGTTAACCTATACCTGCTTTCCAGTACTCTTGGTTGCCTGATGTTCTAAGGATAAAGGGTAGTGTGAGTACCCAGATGCGCCGGTCGTTTTCCAACTGTTGCTGAAGGCCATCCAGATTATCTCCCGTATCGTAGGCCCTGTCACGACCGTCTCTCTTTTTGCTGCACTTGTGGCATACGCTTCACACGAAGGGTACACGGTTGTATGGACCAACTCGATCGTTCCCCTCCTTTCCGTCGTCGTAAGTACCCTGTACAGCCTCTCAAGTACAACTCATAGACTGATGTCCTCTATAGGTCGGTTTGATCCTGGTCTTCAGGTAAAATTATGTTCTCCTTAAAGACTCGACTTGACCTCTAAAACGATTCTCAACAGGAACTCAACCTCCTATGATCGCTACTGGGAAGGCAGAAAGGCATTCCAAGCTGTGACTACCTTGACCCGTAACTTCTGTCGAACTGTCTGGATCACGGTCAACCTACCACCCACCGGTGAACAGCCGAGTCACGCGAAGGGCAAGACCCCCGTCAGTCTTCTCACTCCCAGCCAACTCAAGCGCAAAAAGATCGACTGTCTCCACTTGGCTCTGTCCTTTGCTTATGCCACCAAGCATTACCTCCGCGGCGAAGATGGGATTCACTACCCCGACTACGTTGGAATCCTCCCGAAATCCTTCTACCGACGAGATGAACTGCTCTACGGCACCCAGCGCAGTTCCTCCCCTGGGACATACGCCACGATGAAGGACGGTTCTGTTGTCAACGGTGGCCCCAGTCGCGAGAACAGCCTTAGCCCCAGTGGAACCACCACCCCCGAAATGTTCAGGGCAGACCCTACCAAACGTATCCGCGCCAAGCGAAGCAAGACCCGGCTGGGGACTATGGATGCAAGCACGCCACTCCTGACAGATAGTCACAGGGCTCTAGACTTCCAGTCTTATGATGATGCATCGATGCCTCTTCCTCTAATGTGAGTGTCCACATTTCGGCCCCAGTTTGTTTCAATGTTAATGTGATTCCATAGAATTGCTCACGAATTGACACGAATAATCTATGGCTTCCGACGAGATGGATTGTTGGAGACGATTGGTCCAGCAGGTTAATTCTTCCCCTCAAAGAAGTAACAAGGCGGAGCACTCATGCTCTCTCCTATTACACAGGAATGAACGGCATGACCCAGATGATCCAGAGCCTCGTTGACCAGCTCGGAGTAATGGAACGCGTTGCGAATACCCCAATCCCTGCTTCATGTGAGGCGACCGTTCATTCATTCCCAAGTGATCTGAACTGACCTTTACGCCAGACGGAATTCACTTGAAGCAATGTGTGACGCTCTATCTATTTGCTTTGCCACTCACCCTGGTTAATGATTTGGGATGGGCAATTATTCCCATCGTCACCGTGGTCGCCTTCACCTTCATGGGGATTGAGGGTATCGCAGAAGAGATTGAAATGCCCTTCGGAACTGACGACCGCGACTTGCCGCTCGGTAGGTGATACCATCCTAGCGATGTCTGCTCTTCTCATTACACCTTTCTTCCAGAACGGTACTGCAACGACCTAAAGGAAGAAATCTTGTACGTCTCATTTCTTTCCATGACAGTCCCACGTGTTCTAATCATTAAAATTAGCTATATCATCGACCGCTTGCCCGACGGCGGTGCGGGTATGTACGGGTATGACGATGGTGAAGGCGACGATTGAACAAGGAGAGTGCCTATAAGCGCTCTACTGATGAGAACAGTGGATGGTTGAGATACCCCTGCCATAGCATTCTACGCCGATACACGACTATTCATGGAACGTCTATTACGAGAATTTGTGCATTCTACTGGAATTCTGGTAGGCAGAATTCACCTGGGCCGTATGGCTACGCGGGAATATGAGTAAACGGGTCAATGGGAAATCCTGGAGGCAAACGCACCTTGCCAGTAAGGTTAGTCAGGCCCGCCGAGTTCTCGCTGGTATGTCTGCTGCTCTGAGGACCAGGCTTGGGTTTTTCACCACGAGCAAAGGCGTCGAGAATCTTTTTAGTGGATTCGGGAGTCAGGTCCTCCTGCAATGGCAGCAATGGGTAAAAGCACAAAGTCGATATAAGATGGCACTCACGTAGTAGTCATCGTTGACGACCATCATAGGTGCATTGCTGCACGCTCCCTGGCACTCAACCTCAACAAGAGTGAACTTTCCGTCCTTCGTCGTCTGACCGGGCTTGATTCCACCAAGGTGCTCGGAGATAGTGTTGAGGATGTTGGTAGAACCGCACAGCATGCAAGGTGTCGTCGTGCAAAGTTGGATAAAGTTCTGGCCAATAGGTTCACTATATAATTCACGCGAATTGAGGTCAGCAAAGAGGCAATTACAGACTTGGGAAGTGAAATGGTTCCCACCGGTTGAACATGGTGTAAAAGGTCGCCACCTCGTACACGCGCATGGCTGGCATTTCGAGGAGCTTGGCAACGTAGTTCATGACGCTAATGCTTGTCCAGCCCTTGTTTTGCCGTTGTCCGAGGTCGAGGAGGGGGATGACGGCTGCTTTCTTGTATTGGGGAGGGTAGCGCGCGATGATTTCCTGTGCCCGTTTCATGTTCGCGGCATCGAACTCGAAGGGAATCTAAACCAGGTCTTCAGGATGTGTCTTCCGCATGCGAATGAAGCAACCGACCTTGGGGTTGTTGTAGGGAGTATCCCGGTGCTACAAAAACTTGTAAGAAACCTTGGTTAACACCCTGTCCCAACCGACTATACATACCACAAACAGAGCATCTGAGCGACGAGAGGGTGTCGTGGAAAGAAGGCGCCTGTTGAGGGCCACCCTTGGTGCGGTACGTCGTGCAATTGAAGAAAGCATTGTGCAGGAGGTTCTCGGACTAGACGACACTTGTAAAGAGCTTCGTTGTCGTCGTTGGCGAAACTCCCGAATTCGTGGGAATCCGCATCAGCCAATCAAATTTGCCGCAATCACAACAGGCGTCGGGAGCGCTCTTGCCCTCGCTCTTGGTTGACATTATTGCCATTGACACTATCTACAGAAAGGTCTATCGCCAGTCTAACATCGACCTCTTCCAACGGCTTATTATCTCGTCGACTTTGAGCAATACCCCTGCCGTGGTGCTTCTGATCCGGGCTTCCTGCATCCCTCCTCCACCCGATATCTTCAAGCCCTGCTCGAGACTCTCAAAAATCTTTCCCGCCCATTCCTGCACACCGAGCAGCAATGTGGTGTGTTCCAGACCCAGCGTTCGTCCATCATCAACGATGAGGCAGCCGTCGAGGATAACCAACGATAGCTCCAACGCGGAAGAGATCACTGAAGCTTCTTTCTCCTCCTTTGTCCCCTCCTCTTCGTCGTCTTCAGTTTCGCTGGCACTTATTGGACGAGTACCCAGGCTGACGGCCAGCTCGAGTGTGTCCGGTGCAATAATGGCCAGCCACTCTGGTGCATTTTGCGAGGCGTTGACGAGGATCCCAAGCGTTCGCAGGAAGTGCGAAAGAATCAGAGGATTCAAAATCAACCCCGTCCCTGCACCTCTATACTTTGACCGCCCTTCGAGATGCGCCGTTCTCTGTTCCCTCGTCTGCTCTTCTCGGAGGAAAAGCCAGAACCGGTTGACCAACGGCGCAATGAAGAACTCTGCGGCGACCTGGGTGAAAGTTGTTTTCTTGGGTGGCGAAATCGCGAGACCAAGCCTGTCTCGCTTCGTCGCTTCGGAAATGGGTGCCGCTTTCTTGATTCTAAGAGCCTTTTCTCGAACAATCGTTGGCTCTCTATTGGCTGCGTCGGATTGTCGCTGTTGTTCGATGGCGCTGCGGCTGATGGTGTCCATAAGAAGTGGGACGAGTTCCCTGTCGGCTTGACTGGCAGCAATGTATCTGCGGTGCATTGACGGGGGTAACATTTTGCTTGGGAATTCGACGCGAGCCGCGGGCGCTGTGCTTTCCGGGATAGGCAGAGATGCCAGTTCCCGAGCTCCCATAGCCAGAGCGTTCAGGGCAACATATCTCTGGTCTGCAGAATACTGATTCTTGAAAAACTCTTCGATGAGCGATCTATGCCATTTTTAACCCATGCACCGTTCACGAGGCATAATAAAACTCACGGAGCAGCCTGACGAGGGGCACACGCCACCAGAGCGTTCATTGCACCTTGCCGCTTCGACGAGAACCCTGGCAAGTCATAGTTGTCATTGAGCGATAGCAAGGCGTATACCAAGTTGACCGCATTTTCAGCTGGAAAGGATTTAGAAGTTTTCTCATCTACCATGGTAGTAGTTGACTTACCGAGTTCCGTTCCATATGAAGCCTTTTTCCGAATCAACTCCTCCGCACAATTCAGACCCATTTCCAGCCTATCCACTTCCTGTGGATCGTCAGGCGAAGATTGCTTGACACCTCCCCTCAGCATATCCCCGAGCTGCTTGAGATACACGGGTCTGGCAACCTTCTTTTTCCCGATATTCAGTGTCGGGTCCTTCTCGATTTCGGCCAGTTCCTCTAGATCGGGAGAGGAAGATTCAGATGACGCGTCTGAAGCGTAGCCTGTGAGGGAATCGTCCGAGTCGTATCCCACCGGTGTTGCGAAATTGACCTGGTCGCTATCAACGTGAACTTCTTGGTCGGCGAGAGACTGGGCCGCTGCAGCAGTCGTAAGTTCTTCGACTTCCACATCTTCCACGAGGGCTTCTTCAGGGACATCGAGTTCAGCATCGACGTCCCGTGCACGAATCAATTCGCGCAAAGAACGAGCCCACGGTCTCCCCGCATCGTCACCCTCCCATCCGCCGAAATCGAGTTTCTTGTTGCACATACGCGCCGTTTCTTCAGCTACCAGCATTCCACAGTGGCGGATTGCCGTGTCTTGGTGGGAGAGGTATTTGGTGATCCCGTCAATGAAGAGTGAGGAGAATGTCAGGGCATTGATGGGAGGGGAGTTGGGGAGGAAGTAAGATGCAGAAAGGAGGAGAAGCGTGCTTGCATCTACAGGGACCCTGAAATTAGATGGGAAAATATTGATCTTAGTAGGGGCATCTTACACTGGTGCTGGGATAGCAACGAATGTTTGACATGTTCAGTCGAAGACCATAGACCGAGAACCGCTTGCATGAACACGTCGAGAGCTAGCAAACTGATTCAGTATCGGCCAAAGTTCGAGAGAAGTAGCACAGACTTTCAACATCCAATGGTCCTCCCAACGCAGCTGCCGATACCCAGCAAACGAATATCCGAGCATGCGCCAATGACCAGTTCCTTGACAGGATTAAACTTGTCGAAATCTCCCATAGTTCCTGTTTGGCGGGACGGACGATGCCCAGGAGTTTAGAAAGCAAGATAGCTTCCTCTCGTATCTTCCCTCTTTGTACCGGGGAATTGCCCATTGGCGGGTGGATACCCTCCAACGACGCAAAAAGCGACACTAAAATCGACTGGAGAGATAAACTCGATGGCAAGCTATCGAGGAGTTCGTTCCAATACTCGAAATACGCCTTTTCGCCTTCCGAATGGACTTTGGACCTGATCGTCGCGAGAGTCGCCTGGAAGAACGATGGCTGTGTTCGGGATATTGGTGGACTGGAGGGGAATAATCCAACATTGACGAGTTTGTTGAGGAGGTAGGAGAGAGCTTGGATCGATGCTGTCCCGTAGGCACAGAAAGATTAGATTGAAGACCGCACGTTGAACAGATGCAACTCCTACCTTGTCGGCCTTTCTTCTCCCTCGACAGCCTTGCAATCAACTTTTCCAACCGAACACCCATCCGATTGAAGTACGTTCCATTCTCCAGTGGAGAAGGTATGGTTCCGTCCAGTCCGATGGCGTTGGCGACCTTGGAAGGGACCATGACTAGGTTCCGGACACAGTCGTTCCATGCGAGTTCTTTTTCTTGCGAGGGTTGCTGATTTTGTATAAAGATAGTATCGTAGAGTCTGTCCAGAGGATATTCGTTGGCCAGCCGTTCAAGTAGCCCGATGGCGTGTAGAGATAGGGGCGAGGAAAGAAGGGTGGAATGGGCAATCAAGGCTACCTCTCCGGAAACAGGAAGCGCATTGCAGAAGAGGTCCGGACAAAAGTATTGCTCGGCCAGAACTATCGCTTTCTTGCGTTTCAGAGCGCTGTCCCATGTTGGGAAGACGTGTTGCAGGATTAGGCGTTGGAATCGCACTAGATGTTTGGAGACTTTGAATGAGCTAGGAGGGAGAGGCTGGACATTGAATTGTTTGAACAGCGGAGGCAAGAGACCAATGCTTTCCAATGGCGCGGTCAGATATCCCAAAAGTGCGTCGACATCATCGATGGGTGCCTGTAGCCTGTTGAGCAAGTCTTGGATCTCGTCTGAGGTCATCACCGTTCATTGTCAAGAACTGATATGATATATTCGTAAGCGGACGAGAGGCATATTTACCACGACAGCTACAGAAGATAACTACATACACAAAAACTCGGACGAAGAGGCCAATAAATCCAACGACGTACAAGTACAAACCCGAAGGCGAAAACGAAGAGATATTAAATGGTAGACATTCAACAAGAAAGGGTTCCGAATATAAATCACAAGAAATGCCGGACTACAAGATTACAAGGAAGGTACATATCCATTTAGGCACTGGTAGTGGCAGCCACTGCTGTGGTCGCAGCGGTCTTGGAGGCAGGTTTGGCCTTGGAGGCAGGCTTAGCCTTGGAGGCAGGTTTAGTCTTGGTTGCCGCTTTAGCGGAGGCAGGTTTCGCCTTCGTGGAAGCAGGCTTACTCTTGGTTGTGCTAGCAGGTTTGGCCTTTGCCTTGGATGCGGGTTTCTTGGCCTCTCCTGTAACAGCCTGTGAATAGAATGAGGTTACAGATCCCTGAGCAAAGATAAATACTGCGCGACCCACCTTTTTCGCAGGCTTGGGAGCAGCCTTCTTGGCCGTTGTGACTTTCTTGGTGGTTGTTGCCTTCTTGGTCGCACTGGCGGCTGGGGTCTTCTTAGTCGTCGCAGTCTTCTTCACAGCCGGTTTCGCAGCGGGCTTTGCAGAAGCAGTCTTCGTAGCAGCCTTCGCGGCAGGTTTAGCAGCGGCCTTCGCCTTGGTTGGTTCTGCTTTTGCCTTCTTAGCGGGAGCAGGCTTGGTGGCAGTGGCTTTGGCCTTGGTGGCGGTACCCTTGCCCGCAGTGGGTTTCTTGATCGTGGGCTTGTTCTAGACACCAATGAGCATTGTGCAAACTGCAGAGAGCAACGAGGAAAGCCTACCTCCTTGGCAGCATCGGCCTTCGCCTTGGGAGCGAGCTTGATCTTTCCAGAGGGACCTGGGAAGGGAAGAGTCAGTCTCGACCAGCTCAATGATGTGTCATCGCCTCGGCGTACCCTTTGGAAGACTGAAGATTCCCTTCTCGCTGCCGTTGGAGATAGCCCTATTCAACTGGCTAGCAGCGGCGGCGTTAAGCTGAATGTGGTACTTGGTTTCGACGAACTAGAAAGAGGGACAGAGGGCACGTTAGAGTCGGGGTGGCATCAACTGCAAGCATGCGCCGAGTCGCACCTTCTTGATCGTGGGCCTAGAGACACCAGTACGGGCCTCGTCAGGATGCGCAATGATACATTCCTAGGGATGGATAAGGATCAGCAACAAGCTTAGCGAGTTTGGAGGGAAACCAGTGGGAGGGAGGCGCAGGGCGACGACGGTACCTTGATCATATCCACCCAGCTTGGGTGCGTGGAGCCCGCAGCTTTGGAGGCTGTCGCAGAGGCCTTGGAAGTCGCTTTAGTTGTCGATTTCTTCGTCGCGGTGGGCATCCTAGCGGTGTGGTAGACGGTGCAGACGATGTGCGCGGAACGGTTGGTGGGGAGAGGCAACAGGACCGTCTTTGCTCGTATAACCCATCCCATCCTGGCATCACGTGTGAATATCGACCAGCGCACGGTCCATGGTCGACGAGGAGCCCCGTAAATCTAGGAATCGCCTGGGGCTAGGTGAGAGAGAGGAGCAGGGTCTGTTGCCAGAGGTGTAAGAAATTTGGATCGAGTTTGTCGAGAGGTTATCTGTCCAGGAAGACAAGAAATCGACGCAAACTTGGAGGACGTCGAGAAAGAGACCCCCAAGTTAAGGTTTAGGCCTGTAAAAATGGATCTGGACGTGTCGAATTTGGTGCCGTCCGCTGCTGTACATGGTGTAGAGTGTAAATCAATGCTCAAATCAGATAAAAACGCGTCGATGCTGTTGACTACGATGACCAGAACGTAGGGGCAATTGAGAAAGATTGTTCATGACCGGACTGTGACCGGACCGTGTCAAGCAGACCGTCGGCATCTCCCGTAACAACGTCAGCACCGTGACGCGATGCCAAACGTGATGATGGTCAAGTCCAAACACATACGACTTGCAACTTACCCGTCCCTCGACTCGTCACTGGAAGGCGGCTCGAGTTCTCAACCATGTCGCAAACGGTAGCAGACTATCTGGTAACAGATGATCTGACAATTCTGCTCGGTCTGATCGCTGCCACGGTCTTCCTGGTCAACAACCTATACAAACCTCAACCGCTTGTGCACCCTATCCTCCTTGGGCGCCAGAGCGACGTCGGGCGTGCACGCAATCCTGGAGAAAGTGCGGTGTATAGGAACTATGGAACTGGCTTGATGGGAAGGGTGGGCGGCTCTTCGTTGCTGGTGGTATCCAATTACTGACATTACTGGCGCTATAGTTCCCAATCCGTCCTGGGAAGGATGTACACATTCTTTTGGATTTGGTGCGAGCGGAAACTGAGGGACCGAGGACGCTTTGGGGTACCAAGGTATGCAAAGCTCGTGTGGTTACCAAAGGTTCTGTTCTAAGGCGCTCATGTAGCTCACGAACCGTACACTGCAAGACCGTGCTGCAGCCCTTGGCACGGGCCTGATACGCCTGGCTGGTTTGAAGCCGAATCAATCTACTGTTCTCCTCCTTCTAAATGACGGTTTTGGTAAGTTTTTCATCGAACCTACGACTCATACTCAATACCAAATGTTTTCTCAGAATTCCTCCTTACCGACCTCGCACTGGCCTCCCATGGAATCGTATCGTATACCCTCAGTTCAGCCAAACTGCTGTCCTCGGTCCTGGATTCACACCGACCATCTGCTATTGTCACCCACGCCGCCATGCTTCCAGGCATCCTGGAACTCATCTACGACTCTGATGAACGTCAGAACGAATATACCATTGTCGTCGTCGACGAACTTCCACGAGAAGTCAGGGCTGGAGTTGCTAGCAACATTAAACTGCTCCCATTCGAAGACGTGGAACGTGAAGGTGTACGTGTCGAGAAAATCTTGAGCCCGGTCCCGAGTGAGTTGGATACCTTGTGTCCTGAAAACGTCGCGATCCTTACCATTCTACCTAGAGCCGAGTGACGTTTTCACAATCTCGTTGTATGAAGGTAAAAACGGAATGATCCAAGGAGCGCAATTGACACACGAGAACTTCACCGCCGGAGTTGCTGCCATTCACGCTTTACTCCCAGCCTCCCACACGTTTTCGACGTTGGATACCATCGCTTCGGCTCATTCTCTCAGTACCGCATTTGGACGAGCTGTCGCATACACAGCGCTGTACGAGGGCACCGGTTTTGCGACGTTGCCTTCTTCGATAATATACGAAGGCGAAGATGACCATCCGTCTGGTATGCAATTCCCAGTTTTCATACGTTTCGTAGCTCATATTTTATCAGGCTCGGCGGACTACCGAGATTTGACCCGAGTCATGGGTTACCCGATCCCATTCCCAACAGTCCTATTCCTGAAGCCAGAACACCTCAGATCGACGACAGACGAAATCCTCCAGCATGCTCGTAAAGCTTCATTGCTTTACCGCTTTGGATGGAGACACAAACTGGCCGGAATCACGGATGGCTTTTTGACACGGGACAGTCTCTGGGATCGCATGTTGTTCGACAGCGCTCGCAACAGGGTTCTGGGCAAGATCTCAGCCACAACGCGAGCTGTGATTGTTAGTGGCGGTGCGTAGCTCTAAAACAAGCTATTTAGTCTGTCTTGTGCTGATTAGTTTCACTTTCATAGGGCCTGTCGATGCCGACCTTATGACGCCAGCACGCATCGCGTTTTCGGTGCCCGTGATCAACACCCTCTCGCATCCACTAGTCGCAGCCCCTGTTCTCGCTTCGCATGCGTTCGATTTGCAAGATTTCAGTTTGACCGGAACTTCCTCTCAGAAGCCCCTTCCCGCCCATACCGGTCCTCCTGGAGTGAATGTCGAAGTCAAGTTGGTGGGAGTGGATGACGAGAAAGTGGAGTCGGGCGGTGATCCTGTTGGAGTGATGTACGTACGTGGACCACCGGTGGCAAAGTTGGTCAATGTGGAGGGATACGTCGAGGTCCCTTCTGGAGATGATGATGGCTGGACAGGGCTGGGGGTTCGTGCCAAAGTGCAAACTAATGGATCGTTTGTCGAGATGATTGACTAATTACTACCCGAGTATTGTCCTTCTTGCTGTGCTGTAGAAATATAATTGCTTTCGAATCCAACCTGGGAGTGGGGCGCCAGGAGAATAAAGGAGAACAGCCTGAGGAACTTGCAAGTTGAACGGGGCAACGCGCATACAAAAGACGCGTGTCACGTGAATGACGCGTGTGGAAATTCAGCACAGCCATCTTGGACGCGTCGGTCGAATCAACAAACAGCGGGCGCTTTATATAGAGCGAGACCCCCCCTCCCAACTTTTTCAATTTTCCCGCTCGTCCGCTCGCCCTCACACGCTAAGCCACACATATCAGTGTACCTCAGCCATGTCTACTGTAGCTGAACCTGCTCCTGTCTCGCCTTCCCCAGCTGCTGCGGAGGCTCCTGCCCCCTCTGCTGCGCCTGCTTCGACCAGCAAGCCTGCCAAAGCTTCGACTTCGAAAAAGCCTGCCTCCAAGAAGGCTGCTCCTCCCAAGGCCAAAGCGGCTGCTAAACCCAAATCTACCACTGGCCGTCCTTCGTGGAAGGAAATTATCACCGTGCGTTCGTACATTTTTCACTGTGGCCACATTGTCTGACCCTAGATCTGTAGGAATGCATCGTCCAGAACAAGGAAGAGTCTCGTTCTGGTGTCTCGCGTGCCACCATTAAAAAGGTTTGTCGATTGTCATGTTCGTTAGGCGACATTTGCTTATCGTTTGGTTGTAGTACGCTGAGGAGAAGTACGGGCTCGAGGCCAACAATGCCAACCTCTATCAGTTGAACCGCGCCATTTCCTCCGGGGTTGAGGGTGGCATCTTCGTCCTCCCCAAGGGACCTTCGGGCAAGGTCAAGCTCGCTCCCAAGGCCAAGTCATCTGCTTCGAAAGAGGTATGTTTTTACCCTGACCTCTAGCCTCGAGTGTGTTTGACATTGAGTGCTCAGAACTCGAAGCCTGCCTCCGAGTCCAAGCCCAAGACCTCCAAACCGGCCACGGCCAAGAAGGCTGCTCCCGTTTCAAAGCCCAAAGCATCAACGACCGCCAAGCCCAAGACCTCGACGACAACTAAGAAGGCACCCGCTGCTGCTAAGAAGACCCTCGCTGGTAAGGCTAAAGCCACCCCGACGAAGAAGACCACTACTGCTCCCAAGGCAAAGAAGGTAATCAACCATATGTTTTCGGTTATCCGACGAGCGCTTGCTGACGAGGATCGTTTTTAGGCTGTGACTGGCACCACCCCTGCCGCAAAGGCCAAAGCTGCTGCTGCCACAAAGAAAGCCCCCGCAAAGAAGACCGCTGCCACCAAGGCTGCCCCTGCATCGAAGACCAAGCCCGCGTCGAAGAAGGTGCGTGTTTTTGTTTGATAAGACGCGATAAGAGGTTGATTGAGTCGCGGCGAAACCCATTACAGGCCCCAGCATCTGCTGCCAAACCACGATCAAAGCCTGCATCCAAGCCGGCCTCGAAGCCGGCCTCCAAGCCCACATCAAAGGCGAAGAAGGTAAGGGTCACCATGATTCCGTAACACACCCATTTTGCTGACGACATTTTTTTGCTGCGTCCTCCGGAAATAGGCGACCACGGCTTGATTAAAGGGTGGTGATGATACGGACGCTTGACTGCTGTTGTACTTGTACTTTTTAGATTTAGGGTTCTCTGGGTTTCCTTCTGTTATCTCATCTTGCTTTCGGTCTGCTCTAGTTACCTATCCACTTGTTTGAGTGTACACGAAGTGTGTATATTAGTTGGCTATCGTTATTACAATATTCCCGCCTATGACTCGGTGCGAGACAAAGCTGCGGAGAGAGGATGCATGGACCTCCATTTCAGTCTGATTGCTCCGTGCATATGTCGAAAATAAACGAGGGCGATTAACCCCATTTGTGTGTGTGAGATCAGGCGAAGGGCCTGGAAAGGAAAAGGAAGGCCATGTGACGTGGGATCTCGATCGCTGGCTGTGGGAAGGCCCTGGCAAAAAGCGACGGAGTGTTTTGACTGTTGCCCTGCGTAATGCCTTGGTCCATTCTTCTCTTCCCTCAAATCCATCCTCAACAATCTCGCTGGTCGACGAATGGATGCGGCCATCCCCACTCCCCGTCTGCAACGAAACAACACAATCACAATCCCAAAGCCCTCTCTCGTCCTCCGCACACCCAATCAACCAAAGTCTAAATCCAAGCACATAGCCGACGACGACAGCAACAACCAGCCACTCGTGCCCTCGCAGACGCGCCAGTCCCACTCAATCGTCCCAAAACCTCAGGACCAAATCCCAGAATTTCCTCCACCACACGTTATTCTCCACAAGGACGATGCAGGCTCAAAGGTCTTTCACGCTCTAGCGCGTTCGTTGCTCTCAGTCGTATGTCTTCACCCCCCTGCTGCCCTTTTTCTCGCTACTGACTCCGATCATATCTCAGGACAACCGCGCCACGACTGTCAAGGACCTGGCTGATCTCGCTGTGAACAATGGCCTGGGTTGTCAGAAGTGCGTACATACACTTTCCTTTCATCAGAAGAAGCAGAAGCTAATTCACTACTCGGGCACTTAGTTCTTCAGCCGCAACTCAGGCTATTACAACTTACTTGCGCATGCATAATGAGCGCTGCGAAGCTGATCACGATCAACCCCTGCTTCTTTCACACAACATGTCCGGCACAGACGCAGACGACGACCTCATCCCCGCCCTCTACTCCCTGCAAGGTGGAAACCCAAAGAAACTCTGTCCGAACAGAAAGACAAACTTTAGGAAGAACACCACCGTATGGTATCTCAGCCGTGCCACCGGTGCCGCATGCCCCTTTGCCCGCGCAGGAATCCGTCTTTGTGATTACGACGTCCTTACGGAAGAGGATCCCGAAAAGGAGCACAAGCGAAGACGCTCCAAGCATTTCGACTCGATCTCGGCTGGCCAGAAACGCAAACGCCCACTCAGGAGCTGTGTGGCATCGGGTCTTGCCTCTGACTCAGAGTCCGAAAAGGGTGAAGACAAGCGCCCGCAGAAGAGGCTGACGCTGCGAATCAAACTCAATGGTGCTTTCACTCCCCGACCACAGCCCGAGAGGTCACAGGTCAGCTCAGATGACGACTCGTCTGACGAGGAAGAACCGATGGAGGTGGATAATTCAGACCGGGAGTCAGAGGCCCCCGAGAGCAAGAAGGAAGAAGAGGAAGAGTGGAGGCTACCCCCTTATCCACGGCGCTCTATATCCATTCCCTGCTATACACCTTCATACGAGGGTGCATACCCGCAATTTCCTCTGCACAACCATTATCACGACCCCTTCCGTCGATCCCCGTCCCTCGCCTTCAGCTCGGGCTCACCACCACCGGATTCTGAGGATGAAGTAGACGACTTCCATATCACCATGACACGGACAGACGATTTCCCTGAAGACTTTAGCAGCGAATCTGAGAGCGAAGGCGAAACTCAGTTCGAGAGTCCAGGCCCGAGATCACCTTCAGCACCACCGCTACCGTCAACATCCATTACCGTCAAAGAGGAACCTCGCGACCTTCAAAGCATGCTCGACGCCTGGGATGACCTTGATGCAGGACTGACCGAGCCGAACGTGGTGCGGGTGGAAGCAGGGCCTCTGGCACTCAAGTCGGAGCCTCTTGATTTATGGGACTGGGATTCTGAGCCCACCGCTCGCATAAAGCAGGAGGACCTCAGCTTTGATTCACTCTTCCCGTCAGATTCTGCCTTCTCCACCCCCTCTCTTTCTTCACCATCAACTTCTTCGAGGCTAACCCCAGAATTCACGGGGTCACAGTCGATATCTCACGATGATGTGCAGGACTCACCCTCACGCAGTAACACAGTGCGGCTGAGGTCCAAGACAGTCCCCGTTTTCTCCACACCAAGTTCTAATGATACACCGGCCTCATTGTCCGTTCCACCGCCACCTTCTCTCAACGCTCGGAGTAATACCATTTCCGGAGAATCCGCTGAATCACCACTCCTGCCTTCCTCTTCAAGCCTGCCCCCTTCTATTGCTTCGCTTATCCAGTCCATGAATACCCTTTCTGCAGCAGTATCACCATCGTCTCTCGTCCTTAGTCCCGTCACCCCTCCCTCAGGCTCTGACGCGGTCGTTGTCCACACTTGCCAACCTTGTTCCCCACCCATCACCGCAACTCAGATCGAGGGTGAGTTCTTCCATTGTTATTTCCCTATTGAACTTGTGTAGGCTGATATCATTTTTTCTAGATATTTCTGTATATCAGATGGTTCTCGGCAGCTTCCATTTCCTCCGGCGCATAGACACGGACTTTGTTAACCTTTCCCCCATTGCGGCCTACAACAAATCACCGTTCCCCGTTATTACGACCATCCCCAACGCCACTCCTATTAAGGGATCCCCCACCGTTTCCGGAATCTGGGTCCCTCTTTCCGCTGCCCAGGCCTACCTCAGAGACCATCCAGCAGAGGGCAGTGAATTTGATATCTTCCTATCGGACCAACTGTATGAGCGGTTCCCGAGTGCATTGCAGGACTTTGTCAAGAGCAATGTGCCGACGCGGTCGCTCAATCAGTTTGGCAGGCACTTTGGAAGCACGCTTCAACAGTTCACACAACACCCACCGGTACCCCTCACTCCCAACGAAGTGTTGGCCAGGAATCCGCCGCAACTTCAGCTCCAGCAAATCACGACACCTTCGCCCACGTCCAATGCATATACTCTCTCCGCCTCCCTCTCGATCTCTGAAAAGCACCATGCTGCGATGATTGAACCACCGCTCAATGCAGCCGAGCAAGAGATTTTTGAACTCTGTGTCGTTCCAGATTGGGACAGAGACGTAGACTCTGGGTCCTCGGCACCTGGAAGCGCCACGCCTGGCCCTAACGCTGAGCCACGAGGATCAAGAGGCGAGAGTGATATGCAGGTCGACGAACAGGAGTGTACGACTCTTGAGGCAGGCGATTCAGATTCCTCATCCTTGACTTCACTCTCGTCTTCCCCGGAAGTATCTGGGGAAGATGACTTGATGAAGGAAGGGGCGGGACCGTCTTCTCCTACTTTGCCGGCGCCACCGCAGAGTCTGAAGCCATCTCCATCGAGCTCCGATGAGATGGAGACTGCCCTTCCACCTGCCTCCTCCGATCTGGATGTCGGTTCCATCGTCAAAGAAGGAACCAAGGAAACTTCGACAGGTGTTAGTGCTAATGAAGATTCGTCCACTACTGTTGTGCCGCAGAGGAAGCGGAAAGGTAGTTCGTCACGACCAAATCGGCCTGCGCCATTGCGACGTTCCAAACGGGTGGCCGAGATTGCGGCCCATCATAATCCGAGTTCACCTTCGACTTCTACCCCAGCCAGTGTGAACACACGTAGCCGTCGACGTGGTTCAAGGAATTCCCTCTCTTGAACATTTTTTTTGCTGTGTTGTCACTTGTGTATTTCTTACCTACGCTACGTTCTCCCTTCGTAACGACCATTGTACGACAAATAGTTAGTATTGAACCGGTGACGGTAATTTGTACGAATTTTTCTCTTTACTTCTTTCGACCCTCCCCTCTGTTCTTCTAGTAGACCATCACCGGATGTGATTATACAGCTCGTAATACGGTTTTATTGGTGATAATGTTATTAGGTTTGGACGATTATCGGATGTGGGACAGGGTGGAAATGGCTGACCGTGGGAATTGAAAACGATCCTATCGCTGGCCAGAGTTTTTGACAGATCGCGGACTTGGTTGCGTTTCTTTTACCAACGACTATCGTATCTTCTCAGTCTTACCCTATAATACCGTGGCCTTTCGCTCTCCCTCGACCCCTTTTAAAACCTTTTCCTAATACTTTGCTTTCCACGATATAGGTTTCTTTGCCCAGGAGGGAGGGACGAATTCATTGGAAATCGACGTCAACACCCGGTTTCCTTCTCAAGCGTCTTCTGCTCTCCTTTTTGTCGCTTTCGTTTCAGGTCACCTAATACTCCAGCAAAATATACGCTCAGACATCGCCATCCGCGACGACCACGTATTCTACCCCGCCAACGAAAAAAAGAACGTAAAAACTAGCAGCACAACGACACCGGCCACCAGCGTCCACTCTAATCTGTAATCGTACCCTCTATAATGTCTCTTTCGGCAAACGACAACAATAGCTCCTACTCGAGGGTCTCTCCAAGTGGAAAGACGCCCCCTCCCGCACCGTCGGCGGCATATGCAAAGAGGTGAGCGATTCGTCCATGCTGCGTCGCCATGTTTTTCTCATCAGAACCCATCATTGTCCGTTTCGTAAAACTCCGAGCAGAGCCCGCGAACTTCAGCAGGCAGAAACCCAGTTGGGAGCGCGATACAGGCCTCCTGCCTTGCGTGCTCTAGCTTCAGGGGGCTCTCCTCCTAACGAGTCCCCCCAAACCTCTGTGACGACAAACACCGGAGATGCTTCCACGCTACCACCTACTAATTACCCACCTGGGTTTAGGAGGCCAAGGGCAGGGACCTTACCTTCTAATGTTCATCTCGCCGCCCAACGCTTTGCCGCGACCTCGAACACGTTGGGCAGCTCTGTTACGCCTGGCTCGACCACCCCCTCCAACTCCACGGGCTCACTTGCCGAACGACATGTCTCCGTGGCTGCTCCCAGCCTTGGAGCTGCTTCTACCCGTCCCACGTTGCGCCATGCCACCTCCGTGGCATCCACCGTCGCGTCGACTGCGGTGACTGAGCGCAACAGTCGCCTCAGGTCGGGCTCCCTCACGTTGCCATCAGCAGGATTGTCGAATGCCTTTGGCCCTTCGATCTTCTCGTCCTCGTGGCTGTCATCAGCCAGCAACGCGAACGGCAATGGATATTCTGTCCTTGATGAATTGCGTTCCGTCAATTCCGTCGACGCGGGAGCAGAGGACTTTAGTGTTCACACCCTCGACTACCTCGGTCTCGATGATCCGCACAATAGGCCTCCCCCCGCTGCCACCATCTCTGAGCTGCGCAACCAAGCTCAAGCAGCCATCGCCAGCAACTTGACGAACCCCAATAGGACCAGAGCCAGCACAGTTTCCACCTACCGTACCCGCCCCACCGGAGTTGTTCCCCCCGGATCTCTTCTTTCCACTCCCGCCGCGGAAGAAGATGAAGAGTACTTCGATAGCTACGATGAGTACAATCGTCAAGGCTTGGGAGGATACGATCTTTCAACCCAGGATGCCTATGGAACGAGCGATTATCTCACCAAAAGCTTCAAAACCTCCGACCACTTGGCCCCGACTAGACCTCGGGCTATCTCCGTTGGCATCCTTGACGACCCCATGCGCTCTTTGCAGCGACGTGTCACGACGACTGATGCACCCTCGTACCTCAACGAATTACAGCATTCGACTTCTAATTTGGCGCCCCACAATAATGTAGGAAACAATTCTGGTATTTTAAAGGCGGAGAAGATGCAGCCGACCAGGAGTTCCCCCGGTGTCCACTACAACGGGGACACCAATCTTACCATCGGCCGAGGTGCATCTGCCTACCTCTTGGCTCCCTCTGCTCAGCAAAACCGTTCTCTCTCACCCAAGACTGAGAACCAGAACAATCAAGCGCAGACTCCCACGCGTTCACTTTGGATTGGCAACCTCGACAGTTCTGTCACCAGTGAACAGCTCATCCACATCTTCGCACCTTATGGAGCCATCGAGAGCTTGCGCTTGCTGCCGGAAAAGGTGTGTCATCTTGACATTGTCATGAACCTTCAAACTGACGTTGAAATGTGTAGGAATGTGGTTTCGTCAACTTTGTCGATCAGGCCGATGCCATTCGTGCCAAGGAGGATGTTCTGAATCGATTGGGAGGAAACATCGGTATGCCCAATGGACAAACTGTTCGTATTGGATTTGGAAAGGCGGATAGTGCGCCGGTTGCGCCTGCCAAGGGTAGCAACGCGAGCCCTGGGCCCACCTCACCCAACACCGCTGCCAAAGCCAACACTGCAGCTGGAGCGAACAGTATGGATGCGCAATTGCAGTCTACTCCCACAAGAGCTCTATGGATTGGTTCTATTCCTTCCACCACTACCCCTGCCACCATCCTCAGCGTCTTCAGCCCCTATGGACCCATCGAATCCGCTCGCGTCCTCACCCACAAGAACTGCGGCTTCATCAACTTTGAACGACTTGATGATGCCGTTCGTGCTCGCAAGGCGCTCAATGGACGTGACGTCCTTGGTAGTGATGTTGGTGCTATCCGTATTGGCTTCGCGAAGGTCCCAACCAAGAACAATGCTGATGGTGCCACCACCGAGGATGCCTCGAACGTTGCTGTTCAAGGTGTTGGTGATCTCAGCGTTGGTGCTACCATCCATGCTCTTCGGAGCATCAAGGGTGCTTCCACCATCCCCTCTGACCAGCAGGTTCTCGGTGGTGCCGTCGAGAACTACCGCTCGAACTTGTTGTTGAGCATGATTGGAAATGGGATGCACGGCAATGGCTATTCGTCCTCTCCTTCTGTTACCGAGCAACAGATGATTATGCGCGAGTTGAGTGGTGGTGCGGCGGATGCTGAGCCCGAGATTCAAGCCCTCGCAGGTATGGGGCTATCGTTGCTGCGCTCAACCTATAACTAACCACCCTTGCTCAGAATTCCGTCCTCCTACCATGTACTACACCACGATCCCTCTTGTCTCGGAGAGGCAGCACAACAGACGTTGGGATGCCTCGAAACTTCGAGAGCTCAGGAAGCGATTGGATTCTGGTACCATGAGCACCGAAGAAGTCGACCAAGTCGCTGGAGATTTCTTGGATGGAGAGATTGTCGACCTAGCATCTGACTGGCTTGGAAATACAGTAAGCAAATTCCCTATTGTCTTGTGGGCGAGCACGTTCTGACCCTTTTGTTCAGGTCGTTCAGAAGTTGTTTGAGAAGTGCTCTCAAGAACCTCGTCTGGCGATGCTCGAGCGCATCTGCCCCAGCTTGGCTATGATCGGTATCCATAAGAATGGTACCTGGGCTGCTCAGAAGATCATTGACTGTGCTACTCGACCTGAGGAAATCGCCCTCATTGCCCAGAACCTTAGGGCTTACGCCCCGCCTCTCTTGCTGGACCAGTTCGGCAACTATGTCGTTCAGTAAGTCTCGGGCGCCCTTTTCAACCAGACATCACTTAACCACCTCATTAGATGCTGCTTGCGCTTTGGATCCCCCAACAACGATTTCATCTTTGACGCTATCGTTGACCGGATGTGGGAGGTTGCGCAGGGACGATTCGGAGCTCGAAGCATGAGAGCCTGCTTGGAGAGCCCTCATATCACCGTCAACCAACAAAGGCGAATTGCGACCGCGATCATTCTCAATTCCATCCCTCTGGCCACCAACCCCAACGGCGCTCTTTTGTTGACGTGGCTCCTTGACACCTCCGGCTTCCCGTCTCGATACAACTTGCTTGCACCCCGCTTCACCCCTCACCTTTCCCACCTCTGCACCCACAAGTTGGCGTCCCTCACCGTGCTCAGGATCGTCAACCAGAAGATTGAACCCGAGGCCTCGCGTCAAATTGTGGAGGCACTGTTCTCATCTCCCGGTGATCATGTTCTGACGGACGTTTTGGGTGATCAAGTGAATGGGGTTGCAGTTGTTCACAAGATCCTTACTAGCCCCTTCATCGACCCTGCTGACAAGCAGCAATACATCGAAGCCACGAAGCGTGTTTTGATCGAATTGAAGGTTATCGCCACTCAAGCCTATCGACGACTGATCGAAGAGGTCGGGCTTCCCGTGCCCAACTATCAACCCTCGTACGCTGGAAACCTCCCTCCCACTGGCAAACCAGGCAAGACCAACCAGAACTACGGGGTTCCTGGTTTGCCCCAAGGATACCCAAGCAATGACCAAGGTCTTGCTTCGATGATGGCAGCGCTTCAGATGGGTGGACAAAATCCCCAGGCTGGACCTCCTCAACCAGCTCCTCATGTGGAACCTCACTACAACGCCCCTGCCCCTCCTCCCCCTCGCCGCGCTGCCCCTCCCATGAACACGATGATTAACAACAACTACTCGCAGGGTGATCCTTTCAGTCCCTTCGGCGCTCAACAGACCGGCAGCCCCCGTCAAGTGGGTATGCGCCGCAACCTTCCTCCTGGCGCCCCCGGCCCCGTTAACCCCAACTACGGTACCCAATCCCCGACCATTGGACAGGGAGCCAACTTGATGCCCATGGGCCCACCGCAGCCCGCCTACGGTGGCATGCCTCCTCAGCAACAGGGTGTACCACCCCACATGTATCACCAACAATACATGTACCCGGCGTACACGCAAACTCCCCCTCCTCCCAACATGGGCAACTACCATGCGTAAAACAAGACTCGACCGTCTGATCTGACCTACACCTCGTCACGACATTTCATGAACATTCTTTATTCATGCTATATATCATCTCTCACCCCAGGTTTGCTCGCACACACTCCTTTCTGTTTGTCGGTTCCCCTGTGATTTTTTGTTCAACAAAACTTGTCTTGTGTACGCTTGGATTACTTGTGGCCCCTGGACCCGTCTTTAGTTCGTTCGCTTATACCCTCCTATCTCACATCCCAATGTTGTGTTCCTATGTCTCTGGCCATCGTCTTCCTTCTTCGACACACTTTCTCCATCGAATTTGCGTTCACCCAAACCGAGGTGTATTTCTTGGTTGATGCTGGAATCGGCCTGGATCTTACCCCCATCTCGTTTACTCGATATCCCGTTTCTGTTTCATTTCAAGTTCCTTTTTGTTTTTCTCTCTGTCTGAAATCTCTCTTCGCTAAACTTACTACTGACACATTACCCCCATGTATAACAAAGATGGATCTGGCTGTAAATGAAGGTTACAAAAACTATAGAATTTCCCATTTTTCCATGCGTTGTCACTTGCTACTTCATTCTAATTGCCTAGATATACTTTGTCCTTTTCTTAGCAAACGGTGTTATGTCTCTTTCTGTTTCTATCTCTCCAATAAAATGGCTTTTGGAAACGAGCTTTGGTGTGAAGCGTGCTGGGAAGGTTTTTGAAACGAGAATTGATCCGCTTGTGTGCAGGCGGTTTGGACCTTGGTCATCGTCGTCTCTGATGGGTAACGCATCCTCGAAAGCTGCACGAAAGTTGCCTACGCGTCCTTCGCCAACATGGGCTGGCGCCAGGACACCTGTACACGAACCTCCGCCTCCCTCAGCGCAAGCCAACCGCGCTAGCGAACTCCGTACGCCTGGTAAGCCTACCGACGTCATAGCCCTGTCGAGGGTTACTTATACCCTGGTGGCGATAGATATCGAACAGGACGCCAGAGATCCCGATTTTCTGGCCAACTTGCACAAGCTGGGTCCGGTGAAGGTCGACCATGGACCTGGAAGTCAAATTAGCAAACAGACAATGGTGAGTGGTGTCCAGTTCGTCCCATATCGTGACGCGACGTTCTAACTACCCACTCCGTGACAACGCCTGCAATGCACAGGACCCTCAAGCATCCCACATAAACCGTCTGTTCCAATCTCGACTGGCTTCAGAGGAAGAAGCATCGTCCCTCAAACCCTCCAAAAACCGTCTCTTCGCATCGTCCCTCCATGACCTCCTCAACGAACGCAAAGCTGCACAGACACGACAGGATTTGGACAAACTCGCGAGAAAGTATGATGTGGATGTGGATAAGATGGAGAGGTTGGCTAGGTTCTTGTCGACGCCGAGTGTGGATCAGGCGTTGTCTGTGAAGAATGTGGACAAGAATGGGGAGGAGACTTTGACGTTCCCGGTGAGTGACAGTGAAATGTAGTAAAGGATGTCGAGCTCATGCGGTTCGGTGTTTAGGCTCTTTGGGTCAACCCCAAGATACGATGAAAGACGGGGTTCTGAATCTAAGTCGAGCGTCCCACTGGGCGTAATTTCAATATCTCAAGGGAACCGTTTGCTCAACCCCAGGCCTCAGGACGTAGCTAGGGCAGCGAATGAATTGTAATCGTTCTTTGATGCCTCCATTTCCGACAGAGTCAAAACTATAATTGTACACATAAGACGGACAAGACAGCGATATAAAAGAGGTTGCGGCCTGAAATGGGCTACAGAAAGGGTCATAACGTGGAATGGTACCCGAGAGGACAGACAAGGGGAAGTACCAATTGCCAATTCGTAATCGAGAAAGGATGATGGTCATAACAACGAGACAAGAGGCAAGGCAGAGAGAAGAAAAAAAAGTATGCATGGAGAGGAGGTATAAACAAGCCTGCTACGGAGAGAGAAGGAGAGAAGCCATCCAGGTGATGAATTCGAAACGGAGCGAAATAAATAAATGAACAATCGTAAAGACAAGCGACAAGACATAAAGAGAGAGAGACGCGAAATAGTGGAAATCTATGGCTACTGAAAAGAGAGGCGAGGGCTACAAATGAATGTGATGCTGCTGGAGTTGCGTGCATGTTTTGTATGTATGGGATGAGACTATGGATGCAAGACGAGAACTGGACAAGAACTGAATGCAGAGTGGTGCCTTGAGAGAAGGAGGCCAAATGGACGAGAGGACCCCCGAAGTGTATTGGACAGATAGGATGCCTTCACCTGTCATCACCGATAATGAAGCGATCAGCGTCAAAGGAAAGCGAGTCGAAATGCAGTGAATCAAGTCGCATCTCAAAGCTAACATCCCCCTTCCCATCCATCTCCGTATCAGAATCACCAGGAACGATAGCGGGGAGCGTCGTGGCACGCACAGGTTCGGGAAGGGGTGGCAACTGTGGTGGCTGTTGCTTAATGGAAGTGGCGGTCGTCTCCATGGATGATCTGTAACTGCTCGAAGAGAACCGACGGTACAGCGGTGGAGTCTCTGGAGAGATTGGTCTAACGGGTTGTTTCTGCAATGAGTTACTATCCGAAGGAAGAATACCCAGCCCCTTCCCGAAACTTTCAAAGTCGAGAGGGCTCCGTGCTTCCTCGTGCAACAGGGAAGATCGACCACCGTCCACAAGTGCAATAACGGGTGGTATGTCCTCGGTGCTGGTAGGCGTTTGAGGAGCAGTCGACGAGTCCGAGGAGGTTGATGGGAGACTCGAAGACTTTCGTTTTAGAGTTGGAGTGGTTCTTCCAGAGTCCACGTCTGGTTCTGGTGGTTGCGGAGGATCGGTGGCTGGTGTTTGATCATGTTGGTCTGAATCCGGTTGGCCGGATGAGAAAGAGAAGATCTTCTGCAGGTTGACCACGGAGAACCGACGGGTTGTGGATCTGGTAGACCCACCGGTGGGCCGGCGTGGCTCCAGGGGAGCACCGGTCAGTGCATCCTGATACACTGAATTCCGGCGAGTAGAGGTGGCGGTGGGAAGGGGATTCTGCGACTCAGAGTCAGTCGGTGGGTTTTCGGAGCATGAAGATCTGGTGGAAAATGCAGTTTCCGAGGGGGAAGGTGTGCCCATCTCATCTACATGAGATTCAGATGTAGCTGAGTTGCGAGATTTGACGGTGAACAGTTGGGAGAAACGGCGCGAAACACGAGCCGCGGGAGTGCGAGGACGTGGTTCTCCGGGTTGCAATGGCTGGGGTTCTTCATTGTTATCTTGGTGGTGGTAACTCGACCTAGATGACGGACGAGAAGGAAAGATGTCCGCTGCACGAGGCTTGGAAGATTGTTTCGAAGATCGGAAAGCGCCGCTGAGAGACCGAAATGCTTTGGAAGCTTTGGCTTTGAAGGTAGTCGACCTTTTCATGCCAGGAGGTGGCGGAAGCACCTGGAGGTCTGCCAGTTCCTCGCGTTTGCTTCGGCTGACCTTGACAACTTCTATGACATCGGAATCGTTCCCAGACTCCTCAATATTGGTCCTCGGTGAATCTCGACGAGCTGAATGGGGGTTGTGGTGCTGGTCATGATCATGGTGGTGGTGACGGACATGCTGCTGATTATCTTCTTCGTATTCTGATTCGTAGTCCAAGTCTGAATCAGAGTCGGTGTTGGCATGGTCAATGTTGTAGTCGCTGCTCATCAACGAGTCGACGACTGAGAGCGTTTCTGGGGACGTTCCTTTGCGGGTTGAGGCATCGTCGTCTGTGTCGTCCAGGAAGCCAACCTCTGGGACCAAATCCTCTACAGCGTCCTCGCGTTCCTGGAGTGGTTGTGCTGCATTGAAGCAGCACCAGCCTGGTACTTCGTCTTCCTCTGGGGGGACGACGAAGACGTCTGGCATCTGGAATTCATGGTTCATTTGAGTGGTAGTCGTGTGGGTTGAAAAGGATTGACTGTGCGCTGGCAGCGCAGAATTAGGTGTAGGCAGAGACGTAAAACGAATGGACAATAGCCATTCCTGCCAAAGTTAAACCCAACCGCCGTCAGCCGTCCCATCATCACGTGGTCGCGCCAATGCACCTTCCCAGAATGGATCAACTCCATCCCTCTCTGCCTTTGACGTCCTTGATTCCAAAATGTTTAGGCAAAATCTGTCTCTTATGTTCCTTGGAACAGCCTCTGGAGGTGGTCCCTCAGAAACCAGAAACTGCTCATCTCTGTTATGCGACTTTATGGACGATTTGTCGCTTTGGCGTAAGTCGAATTCTATCTATTCATCAAAGTTTCTGATGGCAACTATTTCTAGTCGTAGACTGTGCTGAAGGAACTCTGCGCCAATTTCAATTTCAACCCCAAGAAGGGTTCAAGTACCGGGCGAACAGAGTCACCAAAATTTTCATCACCCACATGCATGGTATGTACGCAGAGACGCCATGCAAGGCCCAATTTGGAGTCTTTAACCTTGGAAACGCATAGCCGACCATATCATGGGCATTGTTCCATTCCTGCGCTGCGTGCTGTATCCCCCAGAGGCAGGAAAGAAACCTTCTTATACCTCAAATCCACCTTCAGTACGCTTCTCGCGCCACGCTTAAAGGAAAGCTGCTCATCCACTTCACCTTGCTTTACTTCCCGCTCGCTAGCCGAAAGTGGAAATCTACGGACCAGCAGGGCTGCGGACATTTGTGCGGCAAATCATGAAAATGACACTAACATACACAGCGGATTGCTACACCGTTCATGAGCTGCTCACAAAGGATGATCCTGTGACGCCTTGTGATTTACCGCCACTAGACGAGAGCGCCGCCGCTGCCGAGTCTGGCTTTGACCATAACATTGCAAATCCGAATGTTATGCATGTTAGTGAAGTACGCGGGTCCGATATCCGCGCCGACAAGAAAGGATTTTGGAAGAGTTTTGTCTCCGCGCGTGGCCGTGTGCAGGATATCGAAGTTGACGCTGGATCTATACAACACCGCGGTACGCCTCAATTCTCTTTAGGCTCGACTGAGGCTCACCAAACATCCTTTTAGATCCATGCATAGGCTTCGTGTTCAGAGAAACAGGCCCTCCCGGCCGCAAAATCGTGATTCTCGGCGATACCTACGACCCCTCCCAAATGACTCCATTATGCCTGAATCCGCCTCCGACATTGCTCGTTCACGAATCCACGGACGCTCCCATTCCAGAGTCGGCCGATCAGGAGGGCAAACTATCCAAACGTGATCCTGAAGAGGTCCTGCAAAAGGTTTTATTGCGTGGTCATTCGGTTCCAGGCATGGCGGGTGCCTTTGCCAAGCAGGTCAAAGCTGCCCATCTGGTGCTTAACCATATCGGTTCACGGTGTGTACTTGTTGCTTTTTCGAATTGGGACGCCTTCGTTCTTTGTCCCTTGCTCGTCGTACTTGTTATCTCCGTTACATCGGGAATCTGCGAATGCGTTTGCTTCTGGCCTGCTTTATTCTCTCTGAGATTCTGACCGGAAGTTCTCAACACCCCCTTCCTCATCCTTTGTCGCTCGTTTTAGGTTCCCAGCCCCTCGCAACCCATGGGACGCACGGGCCACTGTCATGCAAGAATTCGAACGACAAGCAACCGAAGCTTGGGGCGTGAATTCGAAGAAGAACGCAAGTTCAAGGGGCCATGGTCGATATGGCCATGGGCGTGGTCAGCAGTCCGCGGTTGCTGCGCAAGATTTCTTGCGTATCAATATCCCCATGCAGGGACCTGCTATGTTTCTTTTCCCTCCGTCTCAATCTAAGAGCAGTGGGTACGGAGACGGACAGGTTCCTGTGATGGGTTCGATCGCTAGTTTATCTCTGTCGAACGCGATGTTTGTAGGCCCACCGTCGGCTTCGGGCTCGCATCATCGGACAGGGCAGCCGCATCACCAGGGAGGCTCAGGGTATGGCCTGCCAGGAGCCCAAAGAAATGCGTACCGGGGTCATGGAGCGCATAGAGGCGGTGGTGGCCATGGAGGAGGTGGCGACAGACATTCCATTGCTAGATCTCCTGAGGCTGGTGGATCCTCCCAGACGTCACACCCTCGTGGTGACCGCGAACCCGAACACCCTCATGAGTCTCATCGTCACCCTCGTGACAATAATGGGAACGGCGGTGATACCTCTAATGGGAGATCTACTGACGATGGTCATCGAGCTTGCTCCCCCTCTTCTAGTCATAGCCATGGGCATAATGGATCTCGAAAGCGTCGGCGCTAAGCCATCGAGCCAGGACCATACAGATTGACGTACATTGCACCATAGTCGTGTTCGTTCGAGCTTGACTTCTCTATACCAAGGACATTGTTCTAAGTATCTATCTTCCCTGGCTCAATTGTTCTTGAGAACTCGAACCTTCTATCATTCAAACGTGATACATACAAGTACACGGTACACAGAAGCGTACGGATGGAGTCTAGAATAGTAGCTGGGAGTGTAATATATTGTCTTGAACAAAGGCGGTCTAGATGGATGGTGAACGTGAATTGATGATGCAAAAAAAGATGCAAGGATGAATCTAGTGGCGATGAAATGCAAGGAAAGCAATCAAGAAGCAAGTAGCCGTCGTGGAGGATTCGTCGACGTCGCATTAGATCTCTGGGTGCCTCGTGTCTGCGTCGCGATAAGTACTCTGGATCGGACTCGGACTATGAACGGGGTGATGTGGTGGTTGTGCCCCTCGGAATCGCGGATGTCGAATCGGGCGCTTGGGCCTTTTCCGATTCGTGGTCGTGCTTTTCGTTACATTGGGTTGTTGAGTCTTGGGGATGCGCAGGCGCACCACCGTCGACTCCGTCGCAGACTGTGTGCTCTGTCTGAGAAGAGAACATGGTTTCTGATGTCGAGCTGCCGTCTTTGAACGCGTACCGGGATTTACTTCTGATCCATGGACCATATTTCTATATGCACAACGCCGGCGATCAGAAAAAATCCGAGAAACAGGGAACATGCGACTCACCCAAAACAACCAAGGAATTGGCACGCAAACCGTCGACAAGATAGCAAACACACTCATAGCCCACTCGTCTCCCAGCCTCGCAAACAAGGCAGGTGAAAACAAGGGAAATACTGCCGCACAAATCGAGCGGAGGACCACTGTTGCGGATATAGCAGAGGCAAAGTAGATGGTGTAGGTGTCCATGAGGTAGGTTGTGAGACTTTGGAGGATTTGGGAGATGCCGGTGCCGAAGGGGATGGAGGCGAGGAGGGGAATTGACCAGTGGATGGGTGGGGGTGTTGTCCATGCAAACCACCAGAGGCCCAGGGGTGCGAGGAGGCCGCCTAGGAGGGCCATGTGCAAACGGCTGGTGAAGGAAGCTTGTTAGACATTCGGAAGACCGGACGAGTTATGGAATCGGAGGGGATAGTGTACGTACGCTTCCGGGGGAGCTCGACCACTCTCGCTTTTATCCATGATTCGCCAGTAAATCCTGTTCTGGATAGTTTGAGATGCCGTTCCTAGTGAGATACCGAGGCCTACGCCGACAAAGGCGAGGCCGCCTTGTCCAGGTGTGAACCCACGATGTTGTTGGAAGACGATAGGGAAGGCGGAGAACAGGGCATATAGGGTCCCGTAGACGATTGAACTGTAGATGGCGACGAGGAGGACGATCGGTTCGGTTGCAATGAATACTGTTGTGGGGCCCGTTAGGTTCCGGAATGGGGGAAAAGACGGTGTCTGAACCCACCAAATGGCCGACTCAAATTCCGTCTCATCACTTGTGACAGAGACTTGGATTGGTTTCGGTCATGGAGCGAGACGAAGTGGACCGTTCTCCCGGATGCTCTGTGAAGTTTCTGCGCTCGGCGACGGAGAAGGACGGGGGCATACTGTTACAGTGTGGGCGACGGATGGATATGGCGTTGGCGTTGGGGGGAAGGCGAGGGAAGCAATCAGAGGAGAAGCAAATAGTTAGCAAGGTTGTTCATAGGGGAGGAAATGATAGGGGAGGCGGATCGAAGAGGGAATGAAAAGAAAATCGAAGTGAATGAGGGATGAACGGAGAGGAAGGCAACTGGGTAAGGTGCCGAAGTAAAGGAGGGTCTCGACACGAATCGAGGACGTGCTCACCGTTTCAGGCGTAACAAAGAACCCCGCCAGAAGACTCACGACCGAAAAGATGAACATGAGCCAAAAGTTAAAGCGCCATCCTAGGCGAGGGTTTTCTGCCACGAAACCTCCTACGATTGGTCCGATGACTGGGTTGATCGGGTTGGTGGGGGTAATAGAACGACGGAGGGATAGTAGAGGATAATAGGAAGAAGGAAAGGATGGTTAGTTACGGTTTGTCTAGAAGGTGCATGGGAAAGGGAAGATTGATAGTGAATAGGGGAGGGGGTCGAGTTCGGTACGGAATGGGTAACGAAGTGAATGGGGAGAAAGGCAATTAATGGCGACCTGGTAGGATTGTACTCACCTGGACCTAGAAATGGCACCGTGGCATAGATAGCAGAGGCAAGTCCTCGCTCGCGAAAATTAAATATATCGCTGATCGTGCCTCCAGCGTTAGTCAATGCTGTCGGTAGGTTTCAGAGTCAGTAGATGAGCATGGACGGATTCAAGAACGGGAGAAGTCGAGCGGCTAAGTAGATGGTTCAATGGAGTGTAATTAAGGAAGATAAGAAGCGAATGATTGGAACGGGATTTGAGGCTCGGGAGTCGGTAGGTAAGTCCGCAAGGATAATGCTATGTTTTAAGATTTAATCGTATGGGGATGGCCACGTTCAAGCCGGGGGCGTAAGGTGAAAGTGACGAAGATGATGATACGCACGGGATGCACCGAAGATGCCAGTTAGCAGGCGGCATGAGAGGAGGGTCGCGACGTTGTGTGACAGGGCTCCTTGGAGTTGGAACACCATGTAGAGGAACGAGGTCACTAGGAAGACTGTTCTCTGCGATGCACACAATTGGTTAGCAAGATAGTGAGGGATGATAAGATCAAAGAATCTGCGTACCCGTCCATACATCTACCCGAGAACGTAAAGGAACCGATGGTCAATCAATAACGGAGATTAGCCAGAGAGACAGATACACACTTCGCCCATCGAAGCAAATACGAGTGGTCTATCAGTGGAAACAGAATGGACTAGTACGTCAGTTTCATGACGAGAGTTGGAGTTAGAACTGTGCCCGTGGATCTGAGGACTCACCCTAATGCGAAACCAAGGACGTAGAGCGATATCCCAAGAATCGCGACGTTCTCGGAGAGACCGAGGTCTCGCATGGTGTATTGCATACCGCCAGTGTAGGCGCTACTACTGAACGAGACAGTGAATGTACATAGCGCTAACTGGAGGTTGGACACATCGGAGGTCAGTAAGTAAAATCTAATCGACGGGAAAAGTAAACATACCTGAGCGGTGATGGCCCATTTCCCAATGCTTGGCCAATTGTACGGGTCTTCCGGGTCGTTCAAGTCCCAGTCCACAACGTATGGGTCATCATACGTTCCACTGCCCAAATACGTCCGCTCTGTGACTGCACGTAGAGAGTTTGCTGCAGTCGCGTTCGCGTCGGCGGTGCCAGTGGCATGAAGACTACTGATGGCCATTTTCTCCAAGTCCATTGGCGCATTGACAATGAAGGGGGGCGGTGGTGGTCTTCGAGGATCGACCGGGTACCGGCTGCCTTTTGAGCCCGGGCGAGACTCAGACTCGGTCGTGGTATTGTCTATGTCTGTGTGGGTGTCACGGCCGCCGACGGAGAGTGTTCTGACGGTACTTGTACTTGACACAGATGGGGAGGGAGACGGGCTGGTGGACATGCGGAAAGTTCAAACACGAGCGAGGGGTATGTGAGGTTGGTTTGTGACGGCGGGGTAATGAAGTGGAAGAGAGGGTGGTCAAATCCACTTGAGCATACTTATAGGATGAGAGTGTCAGGGTTGAGAGATCCTATAGTTAGATGGGTGGGATTGGATGTAAAGTGAGAAGACAGCAAATAATTGATTGTTGGATGGGTGGAGGGACCCTTTTGACGGACGAATCGTGAATGAACGTGGCATTGGTGGAGGGATCGGCAAAAAAGGGTAATTGAATCCCGTTTTCTCGGCTAGAGCTGGGCCGAAAGGGGAAGTCGAGAGGCACTATGTACTTAGAGGGGTTACGTCCCGGTTCGAGGATCTGGAGAAGGCACACAGCGTAGGTAAGTAAGTAGAAGGATTTTGCAAGATTCAGGTTCAAGAAGGTGGGGTTTGTTGATGGGGTTGGGCAGAGGTTGGGTAATGGGGAGCTTGAGAGATCTACACGAGTAGTAGATAGATGATCTGGACCCCTTGCGCAAGGTACCTTGAATCAAGTTTTGAATCTCGCTGTTGAATTTGATGACGCCGGTTTAAGACGTTGTACAGATGCCAGTGTGTGACTCGCACGTCCGTCGGACTGGCCGCTCGTCCATGGAAAAAATGGAAAGATACGGCGAGATACGGTAGACTATACCGCTGCGAACTGTCGATGTTGTTTCAAGCGAGGTTAAGCTAGAAGCTGCTCACGCGTATGGGTTGTACACATAATGGACCTGAAACGCCAGGAAATGATTATGCATGCAGCAGAGCCTAAGTCAACACATTAGTAGCCAGGCTCTGGTCAGTCAGGGTTTGGAACGATAGTATTCGTGTGAAGCAGACGCTTACCGGATATGCGGTAATTTGGGGCCTGGTATGTAGGATGTGACGGAGGGTATAATGGAGCGCTTGGGCCATTGGACGGTCATTACCCGCTGGGTGGCCGCCGCTCGCAAATCGAAGTGCATATCACATGGACACCGTCGAGATAAGAACTTGAAGAAGCCGGTACATAACGTCGACAGACAAGGATGTTCAGAATTGTGCTTATCGCCAGTCGAGGTCACGATCGCAGTCGTCGTCGTTCTCGTCTCGCGCCTCCGTCAAGCCAGAACGAGAAGAGTGAGATGCCGAATCGAATCGCAGCCAGCCACCCGTTGACCACCCGATGCCTAGAAGCCAATCAGCTTTGCGCATTATCAAACTGAGCGATGACCAGGACTCTGCGAGGCTTAAGCTACTCTGAAAACTGGCAGCTTGCGCCAGGACCTCCTCTTTTTCACCTGCGAAACTGTCGACATCGTGCGCGGAGGCAGGAGCTACCCTGGGTCCTACCACTTTGGTCGATCTTATAATGTAATCCTGGTTCAACTCTACTGGACGTTTGGACACCGCTAGAAAGGCTCTTGCCGTTTGGGCGCCTCTTCAACTCTATCGGACGCTGTTGCGCATTTCCTGGACTCAAACGCGAAGCTCTAGGTTGAAGTTGTTTCGTTTGGCTCTGCCTTTGGCTTTGGGATGACTCGACCGATTGCGATGCCTATTGGACATGGACTATCAATCGTCTGCAGACACCTTGTTGGCGGGCTGAGTGTTGTGTTGTCCTCGAACCTCAGGCTTGCTTTGGATCGCAATGGCCTCGCTCAGTGGCTGAATGGCAATCGAGGTTTTGTAAGTTGACGAGGCCCACGTTTGTACGAAAGACGAGAGGTAAGTCCGCCTCAAAGTCATTGTGACAGGGTACTTCAGACTCTCGCAACCGGTATTCTCAGCAACGCGCCTCACCTCTGCCTCCACTTTTGCCCCACCGTCAAGTCCGCGTGCGCTCAAAGGAAGGGAAATCTTGATTGCTTCGTGCTTGCACCTCACTAGTCGCCGTGTCCGCATCGTACCTGGGCGTCCTCAAAAGTCTACATGCGCCTCTGGCCGACCCTCATTCCCGAACTCGACACAGTTTGTATGTAACTGTCTCGTTGCTTTCACGACGGATCTCTGATATATTCCGGCTTTTTGACAAGATATGCTTTTTGTTAGCTTGGACACCGGCATTTGCCTTACGACAGGCGATGTCGCGCGGTGAATTGCCTCTCCTCGTGTCTTTGGATTTTATCAAGGGGATAAATTGCAGTCGTTGGTCGGACGAGCGGTTCCCCATTGGTACAGTTCGGGATCTGCAATTAGACGCGGGGATACCGTAAGCCCTCGCGTTGGAGGCTTCTGACAAGCGGGGAAGGACGAGCTCCGTCAGAATCGCGGTCATGACCGACCAAGGGCACAAAGGGGATCTGCCCCCGTGCCGTCGAGGAACTGAATGAGGCAATGTGCAGGTCTAAAGGGCTTCGGAGAGATCCATGCCGAGGATCTTGGGTCTGTGACGTTTCGACTGTTGGTGCTATTAGATTTTACAGTAGATAGTATTAGTATGACAAGAAAAAATTCTGATGAGGAACATGCAAGAAGTTGAATGGCGGAGAGACTTGTTTTGACTGGTTTGTGCTGGGTCACTTGATCTTGTAGGGTTAGGGTCTGGGGTCTGGAGGGGAAGGACAGGTTCCCACTCAACCAACTCTTTATCTCACCCTTTGTCTTGTCCACGACCTCAACACTCACAACACCTTTCTCCCCTTTTTTCTTTTATTACGACCCGTGTTCGTCGTTTCCCCCGCTGAACAGCCCAATCCTTCCCCAAAGTCTCATTTTGATCCCAGTAACGCCCTTTATCCACCAAGTTTCTAATTCACAGCTTTTCCAAACGCTATGGCTACCCATGGTCCAATCAATGGTGTAAAGATTTCTCGTATGTCCTCTATTTCTCTTCGTTTCCCCGTTTCAGACGCTCAACATCCCATATTTGGCCGTTTCTGCTTAATTCGTGATCGTTTTCTCAACAACCGCTGGCGTGCAATCTCTCACATCGATGGAATCCTAATCCACTGCTCGTTTCACTACCTCGTAATCGCCTCTCATCGACCTGTTCTCTTGCGCGATATCAGCGATCGACGACCCTCATAAAGTCGTGAGGGTGATTGCGTCCGACGGCAAGACGGGCGAGACAAGGGAGCTCTCATACACCAACTGCAAGGTCATTGGCAATGGCTCTTTCGGTGTCGTTTTCCAGGCCAGGCTCCTAGGGGTGCCCAAGGATCAGGAGGATATTGCTATCAAGAAGGTTCTACAGGACAAGCGATTCAAGGTGAGTTTAAGGTCCGGATCTTTCAAACCCAGCCTCCTCCCCAAACCAGCTCCACTCCTCCTTCACATCCTGTGCCAGCTCACAATATGATATCCTTCTAGAATCGTGAACTTCAAATCATGAGACTCGTATCCCACCCCAACGTGGTTGACCTCAAGGCGTTCTTCTATTCGAATGGTGACAAGGTATCTCCCTATCTCCAGGTTTCCCAGGAGAAATTTGACCATCTCAACCAACAGAAAGACGAAGTGTACCTCAACCTTGTTCTGGAATACGTTCCAGAGACCGTCTACCGCGCCAGTCGCCACTACTCCAAGCTAAAGCAACCCATGCCAATGCTCCAAATCAAGCTGTACATGTACCAACTCTTGCGATCCCTCGCTTACATCCACTCTGTTGGAATCTGTCACCGTGATATCAAACCCCAGAACTTGCTTCTCAACCCTTCCACTGGTGTCTTGAAGCTCTGCGATTTCGGCTCCGCAAAGATCCTCGTCGCTGGCGAGCCCAACGTCAGCTATATCTGCTCTAGGTACTACCGTGCCCCCGAGCTCATCTTCGGAGCTACCAACTACACCACCAATATCGGTTAGTATGGTTGACGTTGTTGCTCTGTTCCGTGCTTTAACCCCTTTCTCTGTAGACATCTGGTCAACTGGATGTGTCATGGCTGAGCTTATGCTAGGCCAACCGTTGTTCCCGGGAGAGAGCGGTATAGACCAGTTGGTGGAGATTATCAAGGTTCTTGGCACGCCTTCTCGCGAGCAGATCAAGACGATGAATCCCAACTATATGGAGCACAAATTCCCCCAGATCAAACCCCATCCGTTCTCAAAAGTGAGTTGACGACGACGATAAGGGATTGTCGTCAGCAGCGTGGAGACTGATGCTCTTGTTTCCCAGGTTTTCCGACCACGCACTGCCCCAGAAGCGATTGACCTGGTTTCTAAATTGCTAGAATATACTCCTGGAGCACGACTTAGCGCTGTTGAGGCCATGGTTCACCCATTCTTTGATGAATTGCGGGCGGAAGGTGCCAAAATGCCGAATGGAAAGGAGTTCCCGCGCCTCTTTGACTTTACACGGGAAGGTAAGAATGGCGCTATTACCCAGAATGGCGGATGACTGACCGATGTGTTAATTTTTTCCCCTTGCTTCTTATGCAGAGCTTTCTGTGCGACCGGACCTGATCCGGAAGTTGGTTCCACCACACGCAGAACCGGAGCTGGCCTCGCGGTCGATTGCGCTGGACACATTTGTGCCCATACCTTTGGAGCAGATGAAGATCTCACTGGACTGAATTGCGGCGCAGTCCTCTGGGGTCGCGGAGGGGGACCGTGGCCGGTTTATGATGCGATGCTTAGCGCTCATTTCGTTTCTATTCCTTGTATATATCTTGAATTGAATTCCGCGCGCGCCCTGTATAATGTAGTACCACAGCGATGGAAATACTATGATATTTTTGAAGAGGAGGAAATGGAAAGTTTGGACCGACGGAGGCAGTACTGAAAGTGGAAAAGGTGGTGATCGAGGATTGCGACATGTGGCGCGACCTCAGCGCAAGCCTGAGCAGACGAGCAATTATTCCTCACTTTTTCCTTATTTTCAAAGAATTGGTTATTGGCGATATAAAGTCTCTTTGAATGCCCCCGGCTTCTAGATTTTTGTCCTCCAGCAATGTCATCAAATAACCCGGCCAATTCTTACGTCTGTGATACAATTCCCCCAGCTCGCTTAGCCCAGAACCAGTTCCACCCTTTCCAACACGACAACATCCACAGCCCACAGCCCATGCTCTTTGAACACCATGATCACCCCGAACAGTCACCCAAGCAGGCCGTTGTCGACGACGACCACCACCATGACCGTGACCGCGACCCCGGCTCTCCTGGAGGCACCCCGCAGCCGCCTCCTCGCAAACTTTGTGTCAGGCACCAGCGCATGGCCGACGAGGGCATGAACCTCAAGCTTCAACAGGTGTGTATTCAGGCGAGTATACCGTCTACACTGACCCTAATATCGTATAGTCACTAGACGCCCTCTCTATCGAGGAACGCGAATCTGTAAACGCCATCTGGAGCAACTTTTCCTCGTCGTCCCACCCACGCCGTGCCCTCATCCTCCAAGGTCTCTTGACCATGTGCTGCTTCTCCCAGCTCTCCCTGCTCACCGAGCAACTCGCCCACTTGATCCGCATCGACCCCTTCGTCGTCCTCCCCCGCGAAATTGCCCTCAAGATTCTCTCCTATCTCGACGCTACCTCCCTATGTCGTGCAGCCCAAGTCAGCACCCGATGGCGTGCCCTGGCCGACGACAATGTCCTGTGGAGGGCGATCTGCGAACAACACATCGGTCAAAAGTGTCACAAGTGCGGGTGGGGACTTCCCGTCCTGGAGAAGAAAAGAGCGCTGTGTTATCGTTCTACACCATCTAATTCCCATTCTCCGGTCTCTTCGCCATCCATCTCGCTTCCTTCGACGTCCACACCAGCATCCACTTCCACAGATCCAACCACCTCACGGAAACGACCTGCTGCCGATTCCTCGGACTTGCTCTCTCCTCCCGTGAAAAGACAACGATCAGACGAGGCTTCTTCCTCTCAAACACAGGAGAGTGTCAATTCACTCACAAACACCGCCCCTACCCCTCTCCCCGCACCCACACTTCGGCCTTGGAAGGACGTCTACAGCGAACGGATGACTATCGAGCGCAACTGGCGTCGGGGACGGTGCACTGTCCGAACGCTCAAGGGGCACACTGACGGCGTAATGTGCCTACAGTTCAACGAAACCCTCTCACACCCCGCCTTCCCCGTCCTCATCACCGGCTCGTACGACCGCACCGTCCGTGTCTGGAACCTCGAGACCGGTCAAGAGCTCTTCTGCCTCAAAGGCCACACGCGGGCTGTCAGGGCATTACAGTTTGATGAAGTCAAACTTATCACTGGTTCGATGGACAACACTCTCAAAGTGTGGGATTGGAGGAGGGGCAAGTGTATAAGAACTCTGACCGGTCATACGGAAGGAGTAGTGTGTCTAAACTTTGATTCGAACGTGTTGGCGAGTGGGAGTGTGGATTCGACGATTCGGGTGTGGAATATGAGATCCGGGACGTCCTTCACGCTGCGCGGGCACACGGATTGGGTCAATGCGGTGCAGTTGTGGGACTCCCAGCCTCAGTCGGTGCAACAGGAGAGTGGGAGTGGAAGTTTGTTGGATATGTCCGGGTGTCGGTCGCCGAATGCGAATGCGGGGAACAACAATATCGATCCTGGCAAGATGCTCTTTTCGGCTTCGGACGACGGGACGATTAAACTCTGGGACCTCAATATGCGAACGTGTGTGAGGGTGTTTACGGGTCATGTAGGGCAGGTGCAGAGTATGAAGTTGTTGGTGGAGGGGTGTGATAGCAATCGGGATGAGGATGGGGAGGAGGCGGCTGTGGATAGCGGTTCGTCGGTTGCGTCGAGGGATAGTCCCGAACCTGCCCCCAAGCGCAGGAAGAAGCCACTTCTCATCTCAGGCAGTCTGGACAACACTATTCGACTCTGGGATATCGAGACGGGCAAGGCCACGGGAGCGTTGTTCGGCCACATTGAAGGCGTTTGGTCGGTCGCGTCTGACAAGCTTCGCGTTGTCAGCGGGAGCCACGACCGCACGATAAAGGTCTGGAGCAGGGAGGATCAAAAGTGTATCGCGACACTCGTTGGGCATCAGGCAGCTGTCAGCTGCATCGCACTCGGAGAAGACAAAATCGTCTCTGGAGGTGATGACAACGATATCAAGGTCTGGAGCTTTGCTTGATCCTTGAGCTTGTCGTAGCTTCGTCTTTTTCTTTCTTCATCTGGGTGTACTACATATGATGTTTTCCTTGGTTTCTTTTGGCGCATTTCGACTTCGACTCACGCATTATTGTACTTTATTGCCTCTAGACTTTTTTTTTTTTGCAAACCCCCCGACCCAATGTATCATAATACTCCGTTAGTACCAAAGCAATAGGATTCCTGCATTTCAAATAGACGATGTAATGTGACATTCTAAAAGTACAAAGTACAGCGAGCAGTGAGGGTAAAGTGACAACAAGAGGGTATCTCGAAACAATGAGTAGTTAAATAATAGTAACAGGTGTCCAATAAATATGTCGGAAACATACAAGCAAAGCTTTTCGTCCTTTCTTGCCGCTCAAAATGGGGTAAATGGACATTACCGGACAGAAAGGAACGAAAGGAGAACCACAGCGACGGAAACGTAGGCTGATGGAGAACCTGGGACCAGATATCGCAAGAGAGAAGCACGTTGGCGTCTTCACCCTCATTCATTCCGCAAATAAGCTTTACCCTCGTGTGAGCATAGCTGCTATGGGGGCGTTTGGTGTCGATACATCATGACAGCCTGCCATTAACCGAGGTGGAGGACGCGCAGGTACGCCCTTTACTTGCCTGACGTCCGATACTTTCTGGGCGTGGCGAAGCCCAAACTCTGCCGCTCCAAAACGCGATGTTCATAAAGCTTCGTCTCCCCCTGTTCCAACTCCAAACTCCTCTTCATCATCTCGTCATCCGCCGAATCAGTGACCTCGATTCCAGCGAGCTGATGCTCGAGATAGGCAAGCTGTCCCTGATCTCTGTACTCTTCTAGATCTGCGGGTGTGAATCCAAGGACTGATTTGAATTGCTTGACGTATTCGAGGTAGCGTTTGAAGTTGATCAGCGGGTGATGGTCGATTTCGACCACTCGGCTGTTCTCGCGGAGGAGTAGGGCTAGTTGGTCGAGATGCAGTTCTAGAGGTTGTGTGGCGGGAAAAAAAAACAGTTATCGGGATGTATTTCGGGGAAAGGGAGATAACTCTTTCTCACCTAGCCATGGGATGCAATAGTCGGCGTATTGAGGATCATGGATTTCACGCAATGCTGAGCGATAGGCTGCGTAATCGTCCATTGGATAGAGAATTGACACAATCTCATTCAACCACTTCTTGAACTTCTCGGAGAGTAGATTCTTTGTGAGTTTCAGCCGCTCCACTGGCTTTGAATCTAGCCCCATCGCAATGGCAACAAAGGAACTGTAATTGCGCAACTTGCGGCATTCCTGTATATTCAAGAAGAGGCAAAGAAGGATGATTTCGTCAACAGTTCAATGGAAAGTTCCGTAGCCACTCACCCTCGCGGTGTTAATGTAGAACTTGATGACGTCTGCTCGGTGTCTGACTTCGTCAAAGTGAAGGATCGACTGCTTCACCCATTGGACGATACGCGTGTTAACGATGGCGGCGGCTTTGACGTGGTTGAGATAACCGCTAATTGGTTGGCGTCGTTGGTGGGCGAGATAGTCGCATGGCTGTATCTTGCGGAACTTGTCACCCTCGAGGAGAGTGAGGGCGATGGCGAGATCCCGTGGTGTAATTTGGGAGGATGACAACACTCTGCGATCGGGAGACAAGTCGAATGGCGAGCTCCGAGATTCCTCAAGTCTTTGTTCCGCTATCTACATATCATGAGATGTTAGCCGTAGAGGTGAATATCGGGGTTATCCTTACCCGTTCTTCGATGAGTTGGAGCAACTCGTTGCCCTTCATGATCATGGGCTGCGAGGTCTTGAGCTTGATCGCCGATTGACAGAATTCTTCCATTCGCCAGAGGAGGGCGGTGTTCACGGGGAGATGTCGGCCCAACAACCAGTACATAAGCACCTTGAAGATCCTGGCGATAAAGATGTTAGAACCTCCTTTCCGGAAGGAAACCAGGCTAACTCACGTATATTGGATACCCAATCGTAATTCAGGCCTCATGTCCGACCCTTGCTCGGCATCCTCGAAGCGGCGGATCAGAATATTAAACATATCCTCCGGGGTGATGAAGTCGATACACGCTGTAAGCATCACATCGCGAAACTCCATATCTTTCTGGAGATCTAGGAGAATGGAAAGGCGTGATTAGAATCGAAGATGGTGCGACAGTTGGGAGGGAATTTGCTTACTGAAGTTGTTGATAAGCCTCTCGACAAGCCCTTGTAAAGTACCAGCTGTGACCCTGTCCGCATTGGTGTAAACGATCGGTTCCGGGCTTGAGATGGCGGTTTGAAGCTCGTCTGACGGTTGGACACTGGAGTTGGTGGAAAATATGCTTTTCACGCCCACAGTGTCAATGGAACGGGCCTTGCCTTTCATGGGTAGCGGGGCAGTACACGGATGGTTCGCGTTGGGGGGCGAGGAGGAAGGGGTGGCGCGGTGGGGGGTTGTCTCTTCATTATTCTCGTATAGTATGTTTTGCCCACTGTTCCCGTTGGATCGGGTTCCATTGGATTGCCGCAAGTCCATGCGCGTGTACGCTGTTCCTTGAGTGACCGTCCGGCTACTGCTGGCAGAATTGCTCGATGACGACTTGCTCCAACCCAACTCGGACAGCAACCCAGCAGATGAAGGCGGGGACACGGGGGGTAGGCGAGGAGCGCTGGAGAACTCTCGACGGTAGTTTCCGTCAATGCTGCTACTTATGGATGCGCTCGGCGACGGCGGAGCTGGATGCTTGTTCGCATTCGTGCCCGAGAAACCGGAAAAGCCTGTACCCTGTCGTTTGGCAGGGCTACGACCGGTGAGAGCTTGAGCGGAGAAGGCTGACAGCGGGGATATCGATGGAGGGCTGGAGGAGTACGAGGTTGGGGAGAGGGCAGTGTCCTCATCAATTGGAGAGAACCTGGGGGCATTTGGTCGGTGTTTGCTGGGCCCGCCTGAGTTACTGGAGTTACCGCTGTTGCTACTCCCGCTTGTTGACGGGCGCAAACTTGGTGGGCGGTGCGATAGATTTCCATTCTGTGGGACGTCGAGCGTAGGTAGATCCTGCGGCCTGTTCCTGTCGTTGCCACTGTTGCTGCTGACGACGCTATAGTTATCAACCGTGGCCACGCGTTGGTGTCTCGATGTGCCTACTCTGGTGGAGATGAAGGAAGGGGAGAATAGACTCGCCGCCTGCGTGGACTGTTGAGCAGCGTCTGAAAGGAGTAAGGATGCGGCACTCGGAATCAACATGGGGATAAAACCATACCTGGAGAATAGGCTTCCTCCCGTATTCGTATCAGCTTGCCCCTAACGTAAGCGATATCGGGGCGAGAGTCTGGTTTCATCTTCCAGCATCGAGTCATGAGCTTCCACAAGTGGTCCGTAATGTTGTGGTGGTATTTCCCTTCCCGGGGCCGCTTTGGCGTCTCGTTGTTGTCGATGAGCCTAAGTACGGCGACGTCAATGGATTCATACGCATATGGGCATTCCCCCGTCAGAAGTTCGAGGAAGGTCATCCCAATGGACCAGATGTCGGATTTCTTAGAATATGGTGAGACCGTGGATTTCGAGCCTGCATTGCGGAGGATTTCTGGAGCTGACCAGCGAGGGTTGGACGCAACGGTTACTGTCATCGCTTGAGCGACCTGATAGCATTGAGTCAGATAGTCGACAGGAAAGAGGCGGGATGCGTACAGTTCCGATATCCCCCAAGAACTTTGATAGCCCAAAGTCAGCTAACAGAGCGACGCCGTTCTCGGATATCAGGATATTGGCCTATGCAGTGGTGCTTGCCATTAGAATGGGGTATGAGTTGATAGGGGTACCATACTTACCCCTCGAATGTCGCCGTGAACAATGTTCTGAGAGTGGAGATACTCGAGGCCTGGCGCAAGGGTTATTGAGTTTCTTTCATGGAAAGGTGGAGGGGATGCCAACCTGAGGTAATCTGTTCCAACAGTCCAAGTCGATCGACGTTGGGGTTCTTCTGGATATAGTTGATGGCGGTCCCATTGTCCATCCACGGGCTCACCAGGTAGACGTACTGTCCTATCTTCGTGATGCCGTACAGCGTGAGCACGTTGGGATGGTTAAGCTTGCGCCATATCTTCACTTCTTCTTCAAATCGCTGCGATAAATTAATTAATACGTTGAACGCGCCTGCTTCCAGGAACACTAACCCGTTGTAGACGTGGTGTGTTGGGTAGACTCCTTGGTAAACGGAGTGCGACCTAGAGTGGCACAATGGAATTGGCTCAGATGTTCTAAAAATAAAGGCGCCAAATAGATCCTTACCATCTTCTCGTTCAACCACCGTCCTTGGTGCCAAACACGGATCAACTTTTTGTGTCCTTCATTGTAAGGCAAGGATATTCTGCGTACCCTTATAAATATCGTTGAAGGTCCCGAAGAACGCAACATGCTCGCTCTCCTTGGTGACTTGACCAGTGACTATATCGAGGAGGCGATGGTTTTGTTTGAACAGCTTTCGTAGTACTAAAAGCGGGAAGGCTTACGATCTGGCAAGGGAGGCAGTTTGGACGAACGCGAGTGTAGCCACCACAGCCCAAAACGAAAGTCGTCTTTCTGTGGTTTGGGGATTTCAGGGTCCATGAGTTCCTAAACATGGGCAAAACATTGTATTTGGTCATCCGTACTGACAACGGGCAGATGGAACTCACTGTCTGGAAGTGCTCCATGATTTCCTCGAGAGGTTTGCCGGAGGTCTCGCTTAAGAGTGACCTGAGGTCCGAGTTATCCCTCGCGATCTGCTGCAGGACTGTACGCATCTCGGCCTTGTCTCGCTCCAGAATAGCTCGGGATTCGTACAACCCCCTTCGAAATTCTAAAGTAGCGGCTATCTGTAGATGAAAGCTCGCCCGGTCAACAAAACGCTGAATGCAATGGGTCGTCACTTACATGATACCTGTCCATTGCACCGTCGAGACGTCGGTGGAAACGGTGGAGGGCTTCTTGAATTTCGCTCTGTTGGAGGAACGATTTGAGGCGGTTCAACCTGGCCCATTCTTGCACTTTGGCGTTGATCGCGCGGACAACACTAGAAAGCGCGGAGGAAGAGTTGAGTTCTCGAAGCGAAGAGGCTACTGAAGATGGTTATCTCGCTTTACTCACTTCTCGAGTTCCGTGGCCCAATCGTTGGATTGATGCTGATTCTGCATCCCCTCGTTGAGGGCTAGAATGAGCATCGTGCAACGTGTGCTCAGGTCGTGGCATTGTTGCTGTGTCGCGCCATGAGCGACGCGGATGGAGGAGAGGATACGATAACCTACCTTGTAGACCTTCACGTTCTGAACGTTGTTCCATGTAGCGGTTACTGCATTGGCAACACAAGGCGAGTAAGCACTGCTCGGGCTATGAACAAAAGGAAATGAGTGCACTCACAGATGGTTACAGCAGCATCGAGACCAGGTACCGGACTTAGGACTAGCAGGTCCTTCAGGCTCATAGCCAAGGGAGATGCAGCGGCAGAGCACGAATGTTAGGCAGGGACGATGTCGACGGGAGGATGGTGGCAGTCAGAAGCAAGGAGCATAATGCGGAGGCAGCAGCCAGCGATAGGACTTCCAGCGTCTATGTACAGCATTTCCGACCTGTGCCTATTACGCTCGACTCGAGTCCACGGGACCTACCTTTGATGTGTGCTTTACGGCCGATAAACTGGACAAGGGCTGTGTGCACATTCCTGGCACATTCCCAGTAATTACCGCATACCATTTGGGGGATAGGTTGCTTTGATTATCAGGAACGAGGTTTGACAGAGTCGTTGACGGTTGCACAATTCGGGAAACAACTTTGCGCGGAGAGAGCGCTCGTGGGTCAGGTGGACGATGGAGTGGGAACGAAAAAGCTTCAGGCCATGATAATGGTTTCATTATTTGAGATTGTCCGATGCCGGTAGCGTGGCCGAGTTGGTCTAAGGCGTTGGATTTAAGTTCTTCTTGATTCCCAATGGGCGAAAGTCCGCGCGAGTTCGAACCTCGCCGCTACCATCTCATTGTAACCTTCACCATTTTTTTTGTTATTGCAAGAAATCCTTTTTACATTGGAGCAGCAAACCTAGCAATTTACAACAGCAGATACATACAATGAGATACGGAGTACATTGGGATGTTGGAAAACACTTAGAACAACTTGAAGCTGCTTAAGAACGGTTCGCAATGAACTTTCAGGAACACTTACTGCACTGATGTTGTCGCGTCCTCCAGGCGCGTCCCTGACCCTAAAACGACGCGTCTGAGCTGAGCCATTCCATGTCAGTCGATCCTGTTACTTACCTACGCGTAGGTTTGAATTCTTGAGGCTGGTCGTCGTCATTGCCCCAGAGACTGGAGATGGAATCCTTTCCACCAGGCTGTTCTCGCACGCGTCTGGCGAAAGGCAGTGTTCAGCTGAACGGGTCACACACTATCGACACTATGGATTACCTGCTGGGCTTGATGCTCGAGCTGAACGGGATGCCTGAAGTGTCCTCCTCGGGTTTCTCTTGGGGCTGAGCGGGTTGAACAGCCTGTGTGAAAGGCGGAAGAAAGACTGTGGGTGAAAGAGCCCAGAGAGGGGCAAACGTCAACGTACAGGAGGCACTGCTGCTTGTGACTGAGATTCCTCTCGTGGAGGAGCTTGCGCAAGGGCGTCGTCCTCCTCCAAGGCGAAGATGTCGGTGTGGTCGCCTCCAGGCGCAGTTCGAACGCGACGGGAAGGCTTGTAAGCGGGAGTGGAGCTAGCTGCGTGTTCTGAGAATGGCTGTCAATGTTCTGCGATGAAAAGGGCGCCCAGGATCAGGATATGTCATACCATTGGCAGTTACGCTCGACTGCTGTGAAACAGCTTCTTGTTCACTTGACGCACTGCCCTCTGAGATCTTTCCGAATTTCGCGTATCCTGAAAGGAAGAATGGATCCCGAGGGTGTGGTCGGAAGTCACGAGGTGAGAAATCTGGTCAGTTCAAGAAGGAAACTTGGAAGGCACGTACGAGGAAGCTTTGAGATGTTGTTAAAGTTGGTGTCGACTGTGACACCGGTATATCTTGTCATCATTCAACGCTATCTGGAAGAGAAAGAGTGCTGGCTAACGAACTTTAGAAACTCGATCAAGGATCGTTTGGTGAAGACGATATTGGTCGAGTCCCAGTCGAGCATTCCTGGTTTTCATTGAGTGAGAAACGGGACAAGGTTGGCAATGGATTGTTCTACCAAGGGAAGCTGCCCATTCCTTTTCCTTGGACATGTCGATAGCATTGGAGGGGGTGTAACTGAGATCTGGTCTTGAGCGCTGAGGGTTTCATGGTGGAAATACCATACACTCACGTAGATGGCATGGTTAGGAATAGACTTGGTTGGGGTTGGCGAAGGGAAGAAAGACAAACTAGGATCCTCCGTTGAATAGTTCCCTTTAAATACGTCGTCAAGCACGCTTGGATCAAAAGATTCAAGAATAAATGATCACGAGGGCGTACAATTCCTGTCCGAATCCGGAACGACCGACGACGTGAATTGGTCATTCCAGGATCTCTACCACCGTTTATGGAGTCCTTGAGACACTCTTGACTGCACTCGAAGCCCATACGTCGAAACGCTAAAGGAACAGGATGTGGAAGACTGCAGCAACGCGTTTGCCCCGAAGGCTACAGGCGTCTACGGTTTTTACTCGTGGCCTTGCCTCGTCGGCGTATGTGGATCCTCAGCGAGCGAAGGAACCTGCAGTTTCAACTACACCGGATGATATCACACCAGAGGAAAGGAAGACTTTGGAAGCCGCGTTGCGGGTAGACCAAGCTGGCGAGATTGCTGCGAATTGGATCTATAGAGGGCAGTACGCAGTACTCGGACGGGATAGGAAGACCGGTGAGCTCATACAGGTAAGTGACCTGCTCATCCCCGTTTTCCGATTCTCAAGTAGGAGTAGGATATGTGGGACCAAGAGAAGAAGCATTTGGTGGTCATGGACAAGCTACAGCTGCAACATAATGTTCGACCGACATTACTCACGGACGTTGCGAAGGTGGCCGGGTTTGGGTTGGGAGCAGTCACGGCGCTTATGGGAAGGGAAGCTGCAATGGCCTGTACCGAGGCGGTCGAGACAGTTATTGGGGAACACTATGACGAGTGCGTTTATTTTCTTTCCCTTCACACACGGAACTCAAAGGGCAACAGCCAACTAAAAGAACTGGACGCCATGTCTACCAAACACCCAAGTATCCCACTTCTGAAAGATGTCATTCGTGAATTCAGAGACGACGAGTTGGAACATCTGGACATTGCGGTGGAGAATGATGCACAGAGGGCCCCTGCTCACGCATTGTTGAGTGCGGTGGTCGGTGCGGGATGCATGGTCGCTATTGAATTGTGCAAACGCATCTAATTATCGTAGTTTTCTATGTGACAATGCGACCTCGAACTTCAGGCGTGGATGGGTGAGAATGAGTGATTTAAGGCTTGATTGCCAAGGGCTCTCCCTTGCGCTTGCCATTCCAATTCCAGCGGTTCTGTGCCAGTTTGAGACGCAGTGAGAATGGGAGGGATGATGGGAAACATACTGTTGAGGCAACGGTGCCATAGTAAATAGCGACGGGGACAACGATGAAACCAATGACAGCGGTGGTCACCGTCTTCCTTGTCCAGCGGAAATTTAGGTATGCATTCTCGCGCTGAGAGAAAGCTGTAAGCAGGGTGAACACGCTGGAGTGTAGTTGGCGGACGCACCATCGAATTGAAGCGGTCAATTGCGGGATCATGCTAGTCCACTTTAAGAGCCCATTTTAATGCATAGAAACGAGACAAATCATACCCTGAAGTTCTCTATCCAGTCATATTAGTCTAATAATGAACTGGAATCCTTGTTATAAGCTTACCGGCAGCCATGGTCGTTGAGAGTAAAGAGGCAAGAGTGAGCGGTGTTGTTTGTTCCTTTGTTTGTGCCACATCTTGCTTTCGTCCCATCAACGTCCGGTTTCCTTCTCTGACCACAACCACCAACATCGCTCAACGTTTCCCTTTCCACCAAGCTCCTCGTCATGTCGTACAACCGCGATTGGGACAGAGGAAAGGACCATTCCTCCTGGAATGAAGGCCAGTCATGGCATGGAGGCGGGGGAGGCGGCGATCGACACCATGTTAGGCACAGAGACCCAGACGATTACACCGTCGATACCAAGCGACGAAAATACAACAATGGCGTACGTAGTACTCTTGGAAATGGATGCAAACCTTTGCAAGGACCCAGGTGTGCTTATGAGTGAGGTGGTACAGGGTTACCAACAGGGCTACGACTACGACGCTCAAGCATACGATGACGGGTATGGTGGTTATGGCCAGGGCCGACATGGCTCAGACTACGGGAACCATCATCACCACCACAACCACCAGCAACATCATCGTCAACAACACCACCGTGACCAGGACTATGGCTACGACGAAAGGCCTCGCGGAGGCGGCGGTGGAGGGGGAGGTCACCCCAAGAAACGCCTGCTGCCTTCGGAGCCTAGCCCGCATGTCATTTTCCTTGGTTTGGACCCAGACTTCACAGAGGCCGATGTCTGTTGAACCCTCCATTGCTCTTTGATTGGTTGAACCGATGACTGAAGCCTGCTCCTTCTTTTTCCCCTTTCCATCCTCCAGCTCCAGGCCTACCTCACCTCACACGGCTGCCAACTCGAAACCGTCACCATTATCCGAGACAGATCATCAGGCACTTGCATGTTTCCTTGACATGATTGTGAACTGCGAGTATTAACTTTGGGCCTTTTGCCTTTTTTGCGATATCTTTTTTCAAGGTGTCTCGAAAGGATTTGGCTTCGCGCAATTTGCAAGCACGGAACATGCGAAGGCATTTGTGGACCCGCAGTTCCCGTTCATTCAGATGCCACCGCCGGCTTCCCATGGAGCAAGTGCAACCCAGGAGTTTTACAAAGCTTTGGAGACCGGGGCGCCACATACAGGAAGGAGGGTGAAGATTGATTATTCGCAGAGTGCATCACCTGGGGAGAAGGCAAGGCAGAGGGCGAATATGAACGATGGCACGAGGGATATCGGGAACAGTCCTGGTCCTGTGTTATTGTTCAGAGGACTCGATCCACTTTCGGGCCCTCAAGCCATTCACCAGGCCATGCTCTACTCTGCAGGCCCTGGGAAGCAGGGCGCGAAAGGCATGCGAAGAATTATCCTCGTCAAGGACAAAGTCACAATGGCTAGCTTTGGTTTCGCTTTTGTGGAGTTTGTCGACGTTGAGGTGCGTGAATCCCCCACGTCACTGGGACTATATTTAACTTGATTTACTTCTCTAGTCTGCTTCGACTGTTCTAGCCAATTCGATGTCGGCCCAGCTGCATCCCAACGGTTTTAGGATATCGGATAAGCCAGTTGCTGCCTCATTCGCCCATTCGTATTCGTTCCAACCTGTGACGGACTTCTTGCAGCGGGATGAAGCATGTTTGCAGAGCACAATGAGCCTTGGCGGAGTTGAGGGCCAGTGGGTTCGATATTGGGATGAAACGTCAACCGTTGCCGTGTTGGAGTTCAAGGTGGAAGAGCCTGCTAAAGCTTCGGCCCCGAGCAAGGAGAAAAAGGAAAAGAGGAAGAAAGGTTAGTCGTGGGCCCGTCTCTTGATGAGCCATTCGATTTAACATCGGTTTCGTAGACGATTCGAAGGCGAACGCTATACCAACGGCTTCGATTCTCCCTCTGACGGATAAGCCCGTGACTCTCAGTCTGAACAAGGGTCCGGTCAAGATCGGTCTCGGTATGTCTAGACAGTGCGGGATGGAAATGTTTCCCACTGAGTTTTTACATAGGTGCCAATCCAGCTAAATCGTTGACGTCTGGTGTTTCACTGGATGATTCCACCATCGAAGATGAAACGCCGACAGAGCCTAACAAACGTAAGTATGTAACCTCTTTAGCCCGAGACTGAACCCAACGGTATGTCTAGCTATGCCGGTTAAGCGCGTTGCTCCTTTGATTTCGAGCAAGAAGGTCAGTCGTTGTGATGTCCTGGCTTGAGGCGTGCTGACATCGCCTCCAGACTGTCAACAACATCAATAAGTGGAATCAAGTCCAAGAAGAACTACACACTGATCCTGACGCGACACCGGCCCAAGCCCAAGCGAAAGCCAAGTCGGTCGAGAAGGATCCTGTTGCTATCGTTTCTGGTGCAAATTCCACGCGAGCTAAATCCATTGAATCATCGCCGGTCCCAGCAGAAGACGAGCTGGAATTTGCGGATGTCAAGGCTTTGACATGTCTACTATGCTCCAGGCAGTTGAAGTCGCTCGACCTTTTGAAGAAACATAGTCTGGCCTCCGATTTACATAAGGTTTGTTCGACTTAAGGGTTTCCTTGTAGGCGCTAACTCGACACCTATGGCTTCCAGAAAAACCTGAAAGATGAAAACTTGAAAGAAGTCGCTCGACAGAAGGTCGCGAGTCGGAGGGCAGCCTCTGCTCCGGCCAAGGAGGAGCCACCCAAGTACCGTGACCGAGCTTCGGAGCGGAGGACACTGTTCAACCAACCTGAAGCTCCTCTTCCTGAGCATATCGCCAGCAACGGGAGTGTCGTGGGCAAGAAGCGGTATGCCGAAGGTCCTCCTAGACCTCCCACCCCACCTCCCCCACCTCTTAATCCGGGCCAAGATGAGAGTAATGTGGGCAACAAGTTGTTGAAGATGATGGGCTGGAAGGAAGGGACTGGATTGGGCGCGGAGGGAGAAGGAAGGACTGATCCAATGTGAGTGCTTCCCTGATGGTTCTTGCGAACATCGAATGGAGGCTGACAGTGGGTTAGTGAGACGGCGATATATGCACAGGGCGTGGGCCTTGGTGCTAGCAAGGGGAAGGACATCAGTAGCCTTTCAGGTGGATACTCTGGATATGTGCAGATGGCGCAGGAAGCGGTTGGTTCATTCTTCCTTGGCTATAACGAAGGGATGCTGATATCTGACTCCTATTTTCTCGATGATTAGGCTCGTGAACGATATGGAAGCTGAGATAATCTCTCTCGGAGTGAATTTCAAACCTTTTCTTGATTTCTTGCTTCTTGGATTGCTTCGGACTCTTCGCATTTTTACCCTCCATTTCTACTCTGTTACTGTCACGTCAAATTTAATATCCGCGTGTTTTGGTTTTGAATTGAACATCCCCCACCTGTGTCTCCTGTTGTTTGCATCTCTTTTTGTTTCTTTTTGGCTATATCCTTTACTTTGATACGAATTCGGGACGCAGTTTGGTCCTCGAAGGAATACAGTTCTTGGTTCATTCCCCTTGGATTCCTTATCGGACTGGAAAAATGGTTCTCGGAGACCAGAAGCCTGAGAATGTCATGAATATCAAACAGATAGTGAAAGAGGTATGGGCACGTAGGATGTCCCCTAGAGCCGAAAGGACTGAGGCTCGATGTTCAACCACGTGATAAGAACGCTGTAGGAGGACGCGTTTCGACCGCATTCGCCATGTAGGAATTCCGTCGATGGTTCATCCTCTGCCAAGAAGGAACATCAAAAGGTCCCAAATAGGAAGGATGCATACCGAAATGGGAGACTCGATGCGATTTGATGTAAGGAGCGACATACCACGCGATGTGATCCCGTTAACGCATGGCCAACGCTCGATGCCAAATTCTGAGAGGCCTGTGAGCGGGCTACTGGTTCTAATTGGCCGGCATGATGGTGATTTTTGGAGGCCAGCCACGGAGCCAGACTCTGGAAATTGACACAGGCTTTGGCTCATGATCAATAGCAACGACAGGGCACAATAAAGGCGCCTGAAAACTTGTAACTGAAATTTATTTTCACCCAATCTTTTTCCAAGAGCTGTTTAGAACGATGAGATCATGTGGACAATGTATGCACACCACTTGACAAGCTGCTCTGCTTATAAAGGCTCGCAATTCCACCGCCTTCACTCCCTGCACCTTTTGGACCTTGACCCGTATCATGTTATCCGGCCGTTCTCTTCTCGCTATCCGGTACACAGGCATTTCTGACGACTTTGGTTCTCGGAGAGGGTGAGCCTTCAGAGCTCCCAAGTGACCAGTTACTGCATCGAGGCCTCGATATCGATGATTGACTGGCAAGGCTTTGGAGGGACGATGCAATGTCTGAGATAGGCGACCTGCGATGGTCACTCGTCCTCTCCCGGTGTTGTTGCGGATAACCTTGCAACTTGTGCGGGTGCGGGGATGGTGATGGCGAATAAGAGGCTATAGATATGGCGCAGAGTACATGTCCGTCATAGCTGACACCTTGGCCAGCAGTGGCCACATTTCTCCGCCCTAAACTTGGCCACTAATTAGGCCTGTAGCATTCGCACTGTCCATCCCAAGCAACCCGCTCCGCTTGCTACTCGATAAATGCTCTCTGACGCTGGCTGGTGGGAGAAGAAGTGGGAATGCTGTCGCGATCATGGGGGCAACTAGTGTCAGGTAATCAGACATGAAAGTGCTGCGGAGAGCTCAGAGGCACGAGGCAAGCGACCAGACCGGAAAGGCTGAAACATAGATGAGCATCCATCGGACCCTATTTCGGCCCTATTTGGCAATGAGCTCGCAGGCACTGCCCAGCGCCCAGCGACTGTCTGCACCTTCAAGTCGTTTTACCACGGGCAAGTTGGGGAGATTTGGCTCCGCAACGACCCTACCCCAGTGCACGGTGTCACGACCTTCTTCCTTGGAAAACGGGATACTTAGGCCTTGCTCAACCTCATTTGCGCCCATGCACCCACTCTCGAAGCCCGAATCACCAAATTGGAAGCACACATATGGATCGAAGTCACTCCTCGCAATCCTGGGCGGTGTAATACGCTTGACGTACGGGGAACACACGCCGAGTTACATGCATCCATAAGGCATATAAAGGCGTCATATTAAATTCTTGGCAGTCTTTCCTTATCCTCAGCTTCCCTCAGCTGTCGACCCTTTGGAAGATGCTCACCCAACTCCTACTTTCCGTTGCCTTGCTCCCATTCTCGGCGCTCGCGCAAGGCGATACCTCGATTGCTGCTATCGAGGCTCACTTTGAACAAGCTCACATCGTAGAGGACTATCTTACATCGTTCTCCCCTAGCGCTCTGCTTGATCTAGAGTACGAAGGCGTACCTGCAGGGCCTCTTACTCCCGGGCAGAACGTAACACTTGACCGTGAGTGCAATAGACTATCAGGGCATTCTTCTCGTATACACACCCTCATCCAACGGTAGAGGTTGAAACGACGCCCATTGTTACGATTACTGCCCCCGATGGTGATGCCCTCGATGGAAACTATACCCTCGTCATGTTCGATATCTTTGCTGTTGGTTCTGGGCTTGACCAAGGTGTCGTTCGACACTGGTTGGTAAACAGCGTTACCGTCGATGGTATGTGGTCTTGTCGAATTCTTTGTTGTGGCCCACTCATGCCAGTGGAATCCTTGTCTAGATGATGGCGCAGTTGACCTCACGAATGGAACCGTGATTACTGAGTACGGAGGCCCTAACCCGCCATCTGGGTCTGGTGCTCATCGGTAAGCGTGCATTCATGGACCTGTAATAATGTAGACCAAAGCTGATGGGTTTGCTCCAGCTACATCGTCGCTCTTTACGAGCAACCAGCTACCTTCACACCCCCGGAAGATTTTGCCGAACCTCTTCCTCTCGAACTCTTCGACTGGCTTCAATACGTCGAGGATGCCAATCTCGGACCCCTTGTTGCAGTGAGTTCTTGGTTTGAGGTGTATCCAATGATACGAAGGTTTGACACTTTCACCAGGCAAACTACTTCACAGTCGCAGTTGGCGACCTGCCTGACGACGTGCCATCGACTTCTGCTGTTGAGAGCTCGACCTTGGGTTCTGGGTCCCCCTCTCCAACCAGTAGTAGTCCTACCGGAAGCACGAGCACCGACAGCAACGTTCCTACACCAACCAGTGACGACAATGACGGCGACAACGACAATGACAACCAAGACGACGGTCATGCGTTTAAATCCAGCGTCTTCTCGGCTCCTCTCCTGGCCATCGCGACTGGCTTCGTGTTTTACGCCATGTAAAGTCATTGGGTTGGGAATATACTCGTTCTCTTGATCTCGAGAATGTTGATTGTAGTGCCATTGGTAGCCAACGGCGCTGCGAGAGCAGACCTTCGTGTTCCTAAGATGTGGACTGTCGACTTCATGAGATAAGATAAAAAGGATCAATAAAAGTACAACCATTACACCAAGACTTGACAAACTTAAATACATCCCGCCAGGCAGCAGGCTTCAAGACAATGGACCTCCGCTGCTACGATTTGTCCCATCATTCAGCTCTTTTTGCCAAACCAAAATCATCCACCCCTAATTCGTGGTCATGCTGTTCCTGAAGTGCACAGGCAGTGTCATCGACTCCTCGTCCCCTCTTCCCTCTGATAACTTTGACCAGTCGAACTCGCTCATGTCGGGCTTGGGCTTGAGGTTCCGTGTTCATGCTCTCGTTGACATCAGTGGCGTTGCGCGTATCTAGCGCGAGGACAACGTGGGATGGATCGTGCCAAAAGGGCGATGTTGGATCATTCTGAAGGTCGTCCAATAGAGCATCACTGACACGTTCCCTGTTGTTCCACTCGAAGTATTTGTCCCTTGAGCGTATGTCAGTCCAGTAGTCCTGGTTGCACCAAAGACTTGAACACACCGAAATTTAGCGCGCCGTTTGGCGGTCTCCTTCAGGTGTCTCTGCAGGAGCCGGCGTAGAAGGTTCCTTCTTTCCTTCTCATCATCGTCCATGGCGAAGGTGGTGGTGGTCATAGGACAACATAGCGTTGCTCGTCGACATGCATGGGCGGGATTCAAGAAGGACCAAGTTGAACATGCGAAATAGGGGCGAAAGGTCCCCATCAAACCTCCACGCTCCTGATGGCGATCACCCGTGGCTGTGCCTGAGGGTTATCGTAGGCTTGACGGCTTGGACAAGGAATGCGCCGGTCATGTTCTCCAAAATCCCACAAAAGTTACCTTTCAATATCTTAGGTGACGAAACAAAACTTGCGTTTCCGAGTCAACCTGGGGGACTGCCGAAACTATGGAATACAAGGGTGTGTGGTGAGGATGCTGTTCACGCTGCGGACAACTGACGCCCGGGATTCGTAGAATATCTCTGCGAGTGATTCCTATTGGCAACAAGTATGTTAATCCTTCTGTATCAAGATGCACAGAGCTGAATTGAATATCAGTACTATATCCTATTCGACTCAGCATCCGACGTGTTCTCTTTAATCACCCCTCACCAAAGTAAAGCCTACCTTGATCCTCCAGGCACCCAGAGTCTAACCTGACCATTGACTACAGTCCGCCGTGCTCTCCTCGAAGCTCCAGAGAATGTAGCGACGCTCATTAAAGTTCTCTGTCTCCGCCTCTTCGAGCTGCAAACAGACCACACCTTCCCTACACCTCCACCCACCTCTGCCTCCGCAACCGTCGCCGCCTTCACCTCCATCATCAAGTCCTCTTCATCAGATCGTAACCCCACTAAGGAGGCCTTGAACTGCATTCGAATCCTCCAGCGCGTTCTACCGGTCATCTTTGACGTCCAAGGGGAGTCCAGTGCTTTCGAACGGGAGGTACTGTGGAAGAGTGAGGAAGTAGACGATGTTCCCCCTCCGGTTAGCTCGGACCCTCAATTTGTTATCGAGGACGAGGATGAAAGTGACGATGAAAGTGAATCAGGAGAACCAAAGGCTCTCAAGACACCTACGACCCCGCGCAAGAAACGTCTCCCGTCCCTCGGCGAGCGCTTACTGAACGCCTTGATTGACCTGATGTATACTTGCAACTTGACGCTTTCCCCGCGCGTTCAGCAGGATCATCATAAAGTGCAGTATATTATCTGGTGAGTCTCTTACCACCCTTTCCGCTGTATCCTCTAAGAGATCCTTCAGGGAACGCGGAATAGGCTCAACGTCCGACCTCGCGTCCTCCCCGCACTACGATTCACACAAGACCGAAGTCCTACGCCTACTCCTCGTTCTCTTCTCCCGCCAAATCTACCTCCCACCTTCGCTCGTATTGTCCACTCCCTCTCTATACACTTCCCACTTTGTACAAATCATCCCCCGTCGAGACGTCCTCACGATCCTCTGTTCGCTCCTCAACACCGCCATGAATTCGGGTAACCCCCATGAAGGCGCAACTGGCATTGCCAGTCTGGGCGCAATGGCCGGGAAACTGCCGTACAACCATTTGGTCTTTAAAGGCGAGGACCCGAGGGTGGTGTTGACTGGGATGTGTTTGCAGGTTCTCTGTGTGCTACTGGATTACCAGAGTGGGACTGCGAGGGATATGGTGTTGGGTGAAGGGAGGGAGCCTGTTCCGACCGCCAAGACGAATGCATTTAGATATTTCTTGATGAAATTGGTACGTCTGTTTACTACGACTTTCGTAGGATACAGGGTTACTGATGGAAATTGGGGTTTAGCATCGGACGCAGGACTTTGATTTCGTATTGACGGGCATCAATGGCATACTTTTGCAGGTGATGAATTCGATGAACAAGTTGCTGCCTGGTGCCAGGAAACCTGTGCCCTACATTCCGGAAACGAGTACGTGCTTTCTGAGTGCCTGTTTCCGAAGCATTACTCATCTTTCAACAATACAGTCATCCTGCTGTGGAAGTTCATAGAGTTGAATAAAGTGGGTTGTAATTTCGCAGATGCAATAGTCCCATACTGACTGCTCGCCAGAAATTCCGCGACTACCTCCTTGAATCGGACAAATCCACGGATTTGATCTGTTCCCTCCTGATCTACTGCATAGAAATCAAGGACAAACCTCGTGAGCTCCCGTCTTCACCTGTTAATCCCCCTTCGTTTCTTATGCAAACCCAGAGCAACACGGTCTCTGCCGTGCAATCTCATACATCCTCCAAACATTGTCCGCTGAACCGGGATGGGGATCTAAGCTCTCTGCAATGGTGCATCAAAAGAGCAACATCCCCACAAACTGGATGGGTGTCTCGACTTTCGGCGATTTCTTGGTTCATGCAATCCACGCGATAACCTCTACGCCGCCCTCCCCACCCAACGCAGCACCAGCTAATGCCCCTTCGCCGCTTGCCCTCTTCCCGGCGCTCATCATCACGCTTGCCAATTCCGCGGTCTCGTTCAAGAAGCTTAGCTCGACGTCTTCGCAGAAGATGTTGCAGCTGTTTAATGCCTTTGCGAACCCGGCGTTTTTACTTGCAGATGAAGGGCATCCGAGGTTGCTGTTCTTCATGTGCGTTCCATGTCGACATGTGTTTTACTGTGTGCTCACACTTGTGGTGGTATAGGCTCGAAGCTTTTAACAGCGTAATCCTCCACCCTAACTCGCTCTCCACCAACCCGACGTTGATCTATGAGATCCTCAACTCGCACAAGACCTTCAAATCGCTTGGGACATTTACGCTGCTAAGCGGGCTACGCGAAATCCGACAACGCGAGATTGCAAAGGAGGAGATGGCGAAGCGTGCTGCCGCTGCCAACAGCAACCCTGCTTCCCGTACCTCGTTGTCGTCGGAGGGGGATGAAAAGAGGGGTGGCAAAGGGAAAGCCAAGGCGGAGATGAACGAGCCTGCTGATCCTGTCGGCGAGAAAGCGATGCTTTTGCAGAATGAGAGCTGGAATGCTGGTGCGAGGCTTGAAGAGGCTTCGAGTAGCCCGAGGATTGCTTCTCCGCCTCCCCCTTCCAATATTCCTAGTTCGAGGTCATCGGAGGATAATATCTATGATCCCGCTTCGTCCCCTCTTTCGGAGAAGGCGCGTGGAAAGTTGAGGATGAGGGAGGAGAGGAGTGTTGGTGGTGTTGATTCTTCGCTTGATTTGGGAAGGATGGGCCTGGGTGTGGTGGATGTTGATGTGAACCAGATGGTGCTCAGGGTTGGGAGGAATGGGTTTGTCCCGACACAAGATTGGGTTACTAGTTGGCAGCAAGGGTGAGTGGCATTTTGGCCTTGTATGAATACTTGCTGATTGGCTTTCCACTTCGTGTAGTCTCCCACTTGACCCAGCTCTCCTCTTGATCTCCGAGCTGTTACCCAAGATCCAGAACATTCAAGCAACGCATAAAGGAAATGCGAATAGTTTGAACTTTATTTATGATTTTATTGCGCATGCTTCGTTGAGGGAGGTTCTACCGCCTCCTCCGCCCGCTGGGAGCGGAATTCGGAGGTTTAACGTGAGTTTGCTTTCCTGCAGTTTACTTTGGGGATGATTTTGCTGATCGAGTACAGTTCACGGACACGGCACAAATCTGGCTCACCTCACTTTTGTGGGGTGAGATATATGTCCGAGGGATGGCTCCTCCGTTGAGTATCTGGAATAACACCAATGTGCGGTTGTTCTACGTCAAACATTCTGCGCAGAACTCGCATGGTGGTGAGTGTTCCGTCTTCAACTCTGGAGGTTAGGATGCTAACCAGTGCGGAATAGGTCTGCCAGTAATCGGAAACATAGGCCAGCTCAGCACTGGTGTGGAAGCTGCGAGGAATGTAGTTGGTGGACTTTTGGGTAGGACGAGCAGGAGCGTTAGTGGCGGGCAGCAGTGAATGGTGTTAAGATTTATAGCCTATATCCCGGATGGACGGTTTGGATGGTATCAGCAACAAATGCATTCATTAGTAAGACGACTGGAGTAGTAGTGGTATAAACGAGTGGACTAGTCTCATTCAAAAAACCTCGCGCAAGAAAAATCCTTCTCTAAAAGATCACGCATCCCCATGGTAGGTCATTTACAAAGCTAAGACGGCACCAACGAGAGCAGCAGCAGGGATAGCCCATTGGGAGGCGACCTTGATAGCGCTGCCGTCTTCATCAGCATCGTCGGTGGGCTCGGGGTCAGCGCCAGAGTTGGAGCCAGTGGGGCGGCCAGAGCCAGAAGCAGCACCGGAGCCAGAGGCAGCGGGGGCGAGGGTGGAGGAGACGACGGCAGAGGTGGGGACGGGGGTGCCGGTGTATTCGCCCTCCTCAACATTGATGTAGTTGGCCTGTCAAAGGAGTGAGATTGGTGATGAGAGGAGGAATGGTGAGTTGGACGTACAGCAACGAGAGGACCAAGGTTAGCAGCTTGGACGTATCCAAGGAAGTCGTAGGCCTCGACGGGGAGGGCCTCGGCGAAGCCCTCAGGAGGAGTGAAGTCCTCAGGTTGAGCATAGAGAGCGATGATGTATCTGTATCGCGGATATAAGTATTCTGATAGGCTATTTGATCAGAATTAGGTGCCCACCGGTGGGAGCCCGATCCAGCAGCAGGGCCAGGGCCAGCGTAGGGGGTGATGACGTTGGCACCCTCAGTGGAGACGACGCCGTCCTGGACGGTGACGCCGTTGACGAGCCAGTGACGGGTAACACCGGCAGAGACGTCAGCGCCGACGACGTCGACGTCGATCATGGCGAGGGTGTAGGTACCGTCGAGGGTGACGCTCTCGTTGGCAGGGGTGACTGCGAGAGCTGGGACAGGTCGCACCTCTGAAGTGAGACACTGCTCGTCAGCGATGTTTGTTCGTGACAGGTTTTTGGATTCTACGCACGGTCGATGGTCAAAGACTGTCCGGGCTCGACCTCTCCAACACCTTCATAGGACAAATCGAGGACAGCGGAAGGGTTGAAGTCGGTCAAGTAGTCCTCGACGATGTGAGATTGCTCAAAGTGAGCCTGAATGGCGGTGATACCGAGGCTGGCGTCTTGGGCAGCGACGAAGGGAAGGACAGCGACGAGCGAGGCGATGAGTGAGAGAGAGGGACGCATTTTGAGTTTAGTTGAAAGAAAAATGTGAAAAGAAGGGATAGAAGAAAGTGGTTTATGGAGAGCGCTGGAGGTTTGCCCAGACCTTGATATACTCGACAATTTTCCTTGGCATCAACAAACACAAGCATCGAGGCAACTGCGGATGGCGGCCTCCTCCAAACAATTTTGGCTTTGCCGATGCATGACTGGTATTTGTAGATGCTAGTATGTGGTCGTTTACAGCTTTCCACTTATTTCGTAGTAGGAGAACTGATCTCTGTTTATCTTATCTACTACTTCATTAATCAGATCTTGTAAGCTCGCGGTTCGTCCCAACCACCACTCAGCACAATGCATCGACGCGGTGCGGGGCTCTCTGCCCTTCCAACTCACTCTTCCCATTCATCCCATTACGCCGCCCTCTCCTCCACCCTCAACCAAACCAACCTTCAGAACCTCCAAAACCAAGTCTCCCAGTTCCGCGAAGCCCTCAGCCGATTCGCCAAACTCCACCGCGCCAAAATCAGAGAAGATCCCATCTTTCGTTATGAATTTCAAAAGATGTGTGTCAGTCTTGGTGTGGACATGTTGGCTGGTGCCAAACCCAGCGGGTTGAGTGGGGGGTTTGGTGAACTTTTGGGCGTGGTGGGCGATTGGCAGTATGAATTGGGGGTTCAGATTGTGGACATTTGTGTTAGTACGAGGGAGAGGAATGGCGGGTTGATCGAGATGGAGGAGTTGATTAGGATTCTGAGCAAGTTGAGAGGGGTGGAGTATTATCCTGAGCATGCGTCGTCGGGAAAGGGTAAAGCGAGGAAGAATGCGATTACGGAGAACGACGTTGTGCAGAGCATCAATAGCCTCAAACCGCTTGGAGCTGGGTACCAGGTTGTGGAAATTGGTGGGAGGAAGATGGTCAGGAGCGTGATGAAGGAGTTGGATGAGGATCAGGCCGTGATTTTGGCCATCGCCCAGGAGGAGGGAGATGGAATTGGCAGTCGCTATAGTCGGAGGGGCCGGGTTGGTGAGGATATGCTGGTTGAGAGGAAGGGGTGGACAAGGGAGAGAGCAAGGACGGCGCTGGAGAATATGCTGTTGAGGGATGGTTTATGCTGGTTGGACGACCAGGACGAGGAATGTGGAAGGGCTTATTGGATCCCGAGCGCCATGAGGTGGGATACGGACGATCAGCCTACAGCCTTGGCCTGAGGAGGGCCATGGAATTTCCATTACGACTGCTACGAATAATGTACAGGTGACGATGGACACGATTACATGGGACCAGGGCTGCCGCTGGGTTCAGGAGCAGTCATCAGAGGTTCTACAGGCATTTGGGAAGGTAGAGGAGCTTTGAATTCTGGGAGAATCTCAATCAGTCTCAAGTTCGAAGCCTCGCCAAGTGAACGATCACTCACCATCCATGCTCACATCCTTGTCACCACCTCCTCTAATTCCCTCGAACCCGATCTGCAAGCACTTGACATCGAGTGTTTTGAGGTTGACAAGCACAAGAACTCCCGTTCGCGAAAAGTGCGGCACCAAGATAATTCGACACCGCGACTTTTTGCCTCCCTGACTCTGCCCATTCGTCGCACCACTCGAACGCTCGTCCACCTCAACCAACTTTGTTCCAAACCTCCTTTGACCACCAACGATGTAAAGATCTGGCAACTCATAAAGAATGAAAGGGTCCTCCGAGACGTACGGGTGGCACCACAATGTATCCGGAGCGGTCGGAGCCATATGTCGCCATTTGAGTGTCGACTCGAGAATGGCGAGGCGGGAATTGGATTTGTTAGGGAGATATCTGAAGAGGTCGTTCAATGGCTGGCCAGAGTTGATCAGCAGTGTACGGGCTCCCTTGACTCGCTGGTTTGATGCCTGTTCCTCAGGTACGGAATTGTCCTGGACGATCTCGCCTGGTGCGATCCGGAGGTATGTGGGGTTGGATTCACAGAAGAAAGTCGGTTGTTTTCCTGCCGGACCGAACATGGCGCGTGGTAAGGGTCTTTGAGGGAGGATGGTAGCGGATGGGTCGAATTCTCCTGGGAGGACGTGGATCGGCAATGATTGCGATAGGTCGTCTAGATGCGACGCGAGTATGTGAACTGGGTGCAGATCGGGAGGTGGTTCTTTTCCATGTTTGCGCTGTAGTATATATGATCAATTAATTGAAACCGTGACTGCCATGGGCGAACGACGTACCGCTTTCTTTTCCTCTGCTGTTGTTGGCTGTTCTGCGAGTCTTGCAACTGCGTCCGACGAGACGGTGTCACCGGCGAGAATGAGGCGAGTAATTTGTGAGGGTGGAATTTGGTCCTCCGCAATTTCTGTTTCTCCCGTCAAGTATTCGATAAGCAATTGGATGCGGCCGTCCGAGGTATGGTCTCCGCCAACATCGAGGCCGGAGGCGATTGCGATCCAAGAATCTGGTTGGGACTCTGGGACACGGAATCCATGAGTCTTCATGGTCAGAAAAAAGAACAATCAAAGACCCACCGGTGTCAACTTCCATCTCGACATCCTCATCTTGAGCTAAAGAGCTTGGTTGGGGAGGAAACCCAGCCGTGCAGATATCCACCACTTCAAACTCCCCATTAGGAGTTTCCATTCCTAGTGCAGCAATAATGACTCCCGTGACGAGTCGCTTGTCTGCGAGGCAGTCGCCTACGAGGTGAATACGACCGGATTCATCTTCGAGCATGACTTTGTCGGTGGGTGAGTAGAATTTGGCGGGTGGTGGAGGGGCTTGGATTGAGCGCTGTAGGTTAGGAAGGTTGGTTGGAGATGGTGATGGTGACTGGGTCAAGCCGACGTACGTCTCGAGTAAGGTCCTCCATGACGTTTGGCTTGAGCGGCATTTCCATGTATACGGTTCCAATGATGTAGCAGAGGTTTCCTTTGGTTACTTCTAGCACCCTTGGAACGAGTCTAGGATTTCCTGATGGATTTCTTCAATACTTGAAGTCCACATCCAGGAAGAGAGATGAAGATACCATTGATGTTCTTCCACCTCTTTTGAGCATTCTTTTCGACGTGTTCTCTCAACAAACGCAGTCGGATAAAGTAGATATTCGAGTACTGGTGCTTGTAGGATTTATTATCGGGACCGATTATAAATGAAGGCGTTGAGGATGACGGGAGAAGAGTCGTCGTTGTCGGCCGTTGCATGATGGGTGCGGATGAGGAGGAAGAAGGGGAATTTTGATGCCACGCGACGCGACGCGTTGTTTGCCTTTATTGGGGACCAAGACACCCCTTTGTGGCACTTGGATTTCGCTTGTTTCTCAAGGACCACCACCACCACCACTACGATGCAGACGACACTCGACGACGAAGAGGAAGAGTTTCAGCTTCCTAATCTTCGCAAACCTAAACCCCATTATTCATCGAGACACGGGCCTTACAACACAGCCATCTCCTTTGGACCAGAGTCGATTCCGGACGATGCACCTCCGAGCCAACTAAACGCAGCGGTCAATGCTCATCGTACTGCTCTACATATAATGCAATGGAAAGCACGTCCTATACCCAGCCTTAAAGACATGCAAGAAGAACTATCCGCACCCGAATCACTCGAGTCGATCAAGGAGCAGATGGCACAACTGCAGAAGAGTCATGTGGAGGAATTGGAGAAGCTGTACGATGCGCATGCAGCGGATTATATCCAGGAGATGATTGACTTGTATCGCTCCTTGGACGAGACTATGCTTTTTGACGGATATCAACCCAGTGGAGGAGGAGGAGGGTCGTCTCGGGAAGAAATCGCACAGCATAGGGAATCGAGTAGAAGGTTGGAGGAGCTGTACAACCAGGTCCAAGCATGCTCGCCGCTTCTACTCCCACTCGCAAACGAGTACTCGACGTTCCGCCATTCATATTTTGTGCGGATGCACGAGCTCCGGACCAGGTACGCACGGATAAAACAGCAACAGGATGCGCAATTCCCTTTGACTGCCGAAGAATGGAGAACGCGACCGAAGGAGTTGCGGATGTTGGTAGCGAGGTTCTTGATGGCTCCTTCAAAGATTCTGCAGGAAAAGATGATGACCGAGCATGGTTGGGCTTGGAGGTTGGTTGACCCTTTGATACGGGAGTACAAGGCCGATCAGAGCTTTGCGTCCGAGGTCATGTCTATGCTTTTGGCGGAGAACATGGGGCAGGGAGCGCCGGTTGTAGCAGTGAGGTCGCAAACTACGATAGATCCCAGGTTGAGGAGACCATAGGACTATGCCATTTCGAGGATACAATACTACTACACATTTTGGCTCTGAAGTGACATTTCACTGTTTAGCATGGGTGATTATACGTTCCAGAACTGTGATCTTCTTCCTTCATTTTCTGCGGTCCATCGTCACCGCGCCTGGCGCCTTTGTTGTGAGCCATGTCAATCATCTGGAGCGTGTCTCCATGAGGCTTGCTCTCCATGAACTGGTTCATGATTTCGACAATGTCCTTGATCAAACGGTCCACGAGCTATATGTAATAACCGCTGAGTACGGTTCAAAGGTCACAAAAGCCTGGCACGCACCACTTCGGTGACACACTCTCTGACGACAACGCGAAGAATTTCCTCATTGTCAAGATTCGGTGCAAGTGCGTAGTTTGGTATAATCCTTTCATCGAGATTGTTAATGCTGAACTTCAGTCATGCGGAAGAAATACCAAGCACTTACCATCCTTTCGCGCGCAACATAATGTGAACCCATCGTTGTTCGATCTCGGGATATTCTTCCTTGAATTTCTCGGTGAATTTGAAAGCCACGACCGGGAGGCTGGGTTCATAAGCCTGTTAATGCCTCGTCAGTCCAAGTCACGGTAGTCCGGATGAAGAAGAGACGCCGACCTCAACATCCGGATCATCAATTCCCTTCCCGCTATGCACGCCCTTGGCTCGATGAACATCACTGATAACTTCAAACCACCCCTGTTCGTCCTTTCCCCCTCCACTTCCAATTCTCTCCAATGCCCTACTCAGCGTCCTCGCGTTCCTCAGGTCGTCCAACATGACAGCTCTGTACCCCTCGAATCCGAGATGTAAGAGGTTGAAGTATTGGGCGATAATGGGAAAGGCGGGGCGGGAGAAGTTGAGGGAGAAAGAGTATTGGGTTGAACCGAGGTAGCTTAGAGTGAAGACGAGTTCTTTGGGGAGGTGTTCTTCAGAGCGGAAGAGGACCCATCCGACACCGACGTAGGTGAGGCCGAATTTGTGACCGCTGTGTAGCGTCTGCATCAGGAAGAGCAAAGAGGAATCAGTGGAGATGAACGCTCACGATGCGTTGATGGAGACCACTCGCGGGAGGCGGAAATCCCAGGGAAGGTCAGGCTGCATAGGCTGTCAGTTTGAAGGCAAGTGGAGGAGAACGGCTCAGAGCTGACGGATATGAAAGGAGCGATAAACCCTCCTGACGCAGCGTCAACTATGTGAAGATCAGTGCCTGCCGACGGATGCGTAGTTCTGACGAGCGACTTGCCATGGATTGGAACGTAGATGCCAGTCTTCTTCTCATATTCGTCGAGCAGATCAGACATTGCTTTGACATCCTCGTAATGCCCTGTGTAGGTGCCTAGAGCAGCATCTGTGAGTCTACAATTATTTTTGTTGGAGTGGTGCTAAACGTACTTCCGAGAATGGCGAATACCCCGATGGTGTTTTCGTCGACATAGTCCATAGCTGCTTTGGTGTCCAAGCAGTATCGACTTTCTTTGGAGACGGGTACAAGGCGGCACTCGACGTCGAAGTACCGAGCAAACTTTTCAAGCGCAACCTGAGCGTTCGCTCCCATGACGATATTCGGGCTATTCTTTGTGGTTAGACAGCATGCGCAAGGCGACGCGGGAAAGAGGGACCATACCCAGGCTCGTGGATGTTCTTCCCAGCCTTCTTCATTCGCTCTTGCCACCTCTTCTTCAAAGCCAGACCTCCTATTTCGACAGCTTCCGAGGACCCAGTTGTAGCGGTTCCGACTGCATCCTTTGGTGAGGGGGCGTGCCACAAGTCGGCCAGAATCGAGAGGCAGCGTTTATGTATCTCCTCTAAGGAACCCGATGTGTCAGCGAAGTATCGAAGGTAAGAGAATGCACGCACGAGTAGCGGGATACTCGTCCGCGTCAATCAAGTTCTTGGAGATGTTTTCTTGAACGAGTTTGAGGGCTTGTGGAGGCATCCATGTGTGCACGAAGGAAGCAAAGTTGAGGACGGTGGATCCATCCAGGGCGAGTTCGTCGTGGATGAGTCTGTACGCGTCGTCTGCTGAGATTCCCTGGTAGTCGCACCGCCCGACGATGTTGTGAGTGGGGCAATAATATGAGCTCGAGAGAGGAAGAAAGCACCTTGCTGGAGAGGTGGTGCTGAGGAGCGGGGTTCGTCCCGTATCGACCGGCGTAGATGAACCCTTCCTCTCGATCCTTTACACTCTGACCTTTCGATACTTTGGCAGTTTCTCTCTGCTTCTCCTATCATCGAACTGTAAGAGGGAAGCTGTTCTTATGTCGGAAGAGCACGTACATGAGCCTCACGAATGATTTTGTCGACGTCACTTGGCTTATACTGCATGAATACAGGGAGTTGGCGAGGTAGAAGAAACGGGGATCACCTGGGTGAAGGGCATGAGTGCTTCAAACGATGTTGCTCAAGAGAAGATGTCCCAGTTGTGTCACTCCTGTCTGGTATATATCCATTCTGTGGTCTCCAGATTTCAGAGTCGACGGTGACGGCAAGAGTGATGTCAAGTGGGAGCCACGAGCACTATTTTGGAGAAAGGAAGGTCAATTTTCGAATACGCTTCTCGTCGGAAAGGTGTCCTTGAAATGGAGTGCTTACGATTGGGCGCCATGCCGTGGGCCGTGAAGATAGTGTGGTGAACGACAAAGTTCAGCTTTATTAGGGGCTTCCTCACCAAATGTAGCTACCATCAGCCATCAAGGATCATTTTCTCAGGACACTTTCCTTTCTCAGGGGACCGGTCCTTTGCTGTTCTTGGCAGCAGTCAGTCATCATGGGCGGACCCAACCTCGAAATCTTCAAGTTTTCTCTTTACCTTTTCGTGCCCATCGCCGCTTTGGTGCACTTTGGTGACCCGGATTGGTACAGGGAGCATGTAGTGCCTGTATGTCCATTCTCTGATGTTCTTCCTCCATTCGTGGTGGGCTAATGACTCCCACAGTATAGGCTTAAGTTGTTCCCTCCTCCAGACCGGACTGTTCATGTGAGTAACCATTGTCGACATCCGTGGCGGAAGTTAACTAACCCCTCCTTTAGCGACTACCAACAGAGCAAAGTGCAATCCGGGAGGAACTGGAGAGGATAAAGGCCGAGAGGTTGGCCAAGCGAGCAGCCAGACAAGCTGCTGCAGCCCAGGAAAACCAGGATTCATAGTGCGTCGCTCTCTACCACTCTCATTCGATATCTAACACATCTTTACAGAACCACCGCTATGTCTAACATGTACAATATCCCGTCCAGACTCGGTCGCTGCCTACTTAATGCTTGCTAATCCCAATTCACTTTGGAAACGTGAAGAGGCTTCCGTCATCGTAATGGATGGTCCAGGTCTGTCCGGACCCTCTGGGATCTTCGTCCACCATTTTCTGGTATTCTGCGACTTCATCCACGGAAATTTTGAATCCTCCGCACACGATGAAAGCTACGACCCTGTCCTCTCCGGATGCTTGAGGTGGGACCAGTTTGTCGAAGAGCTCTCGGTTGTAGGCTGGGACCAAGGTGGTCGAACATGCGAGTTCCACGAGCATCTTTTGGTTGTCTGAAGTCATGGTTCAGGTTTGACTAAAGGTAAAAAGCTTCGTTTCACTCACTTGCAAAATGCGCGCAAGCGTGCATGCTCAAGGCGTCTGGCACGCTGATTGATTTGACTCCTCCCTTCCAGTCCAGTGCCATTCTCAAAACTGCTTCAGCTGGTTGCGATGCTCCTAATGAACTCGAGGCTTTGGAATCGAATGATCGGAAGTGCGCCATGTGGACGTTGTGCACTGGGTCGTATACCTTGTCTATTCCTTTCGGCAGTTCCTTTCGTTCGCTGTTGAATCTACCGTTGTTCATGGACATGGAGTGGTAGAAGCAGTCGCAGCCGTTTGTCTCTAGGGCAACGATTGGGACTTGGGGACAAGGCCAGTAAGTGTCTCCCTGTTTTGCAACGCGACCGAGGACTTACCATCTTCCCAGCCGACTTCTTTACAGCCAACTAGAACCCCGCCGAGCAGGCCACCTCCACCCACACTACAAAAGATAGCGTCTGGCTTTCGAGGCAGCTGTTCTTTCATTTCCTTGACCATCGAAGCATGGCCCTCCCATAGGATAGGGTCGTTATATGCCTGCACCACGACCCTTCAGTGAACCCATTTCAGCTTTCAGCGCGACGTAATTGGGAACGAAACTCACGCGTTTGGATCGCTGGCCGCCATCTCTGCTGCAGCCTTGGCGGCCTCTGCATAGACCTTCCCGCCAACGACGACTTCTGCCTTCTCCTGTTTCAATAACGCCAGGGTGGAAGGTGCAACGCCTTCGGGAATGAAGACCGTACATCTCAAATTGTATCTTCGTGCAGCACATGCTGCAGCCAACCCGGCATTTCCACCGGACGAAATGACGAAATGGACTTTGTCGCCGTACTCTTTCCACTTCTTCTGGATGAAGTGGGAGATTCCACGGTATTTGAATGAGTGAGAAGGTTGTAGGTTCTATTATATTCAACCCGCCTTTAGTCCTTGGTCTGTATAGCATGAAAAGATAACCAACCTCGAGTTTGAGATAGACAGACGCGCCTACGTTGTCCGAGAGGTCGGATGAGTAGATGAGAGGCGTTTCCGCCCAGAGGGGTTTGGATTGTTCTGCAGTTGTGTGAGGCATTGTCGGGGAAAACAGATTGTATGAACCGTCTCTTAAATGGACACGAAAAGGTGGATTTGTAAGGATGGAGCTTACTGTGCTCGCCGTTGAAGGCTCCGGAGGTGTATGTGATCTCATCTCACGCGCAGTCGGGCCGCGTACTTGATAGTATACCATCACCATGTCCACCCTTGCTCGGGCTCCCGTTTTCAAGCCTTTCACACTTGCTCTCGTCCAACTGGGCCAGATTGGAGCCAACAAGGCCGACAACCTCAAGCATGCAAGGGAGATGGTCCTCAAGGCTACCACTCAGCACTCGAAGAAACCTGATCTCGTGGTCCTGCCGGTATGTTCCTCAAATCGGGTTCCGCTAACCTAGGGATTGACAATATGGAGTTTATCGTTGGTTGTAGGAATGCTTCAATTCACCGTATGGGCACGTTCATTTCCCTGTCTATGCAGAGAAGATTGGGTGGACTCCTGGAACAAAGTACGAGATCGAGAAGAGTGAAAGCGAGAGTGTCAAGATGCTTTCACAGCTTGCGAAGGAGACCAAGACTTGGCTGATTGGAGGTGGGTGCCCTTTGACTTGCGGGGTGTGCTGGTTTCCATAACCTTTATAGGATCCATCCCTGAGGCGGATACTGAGAGCGACAAGTACTACAATACCTGTACTGTGTACAACCCCGACGGTATGGTGTGCATTCGGAATGGGCACGGAATACAAGCTGAAGGCGTTTGATAGGTGATCTTGTTGCTCTTCACCGCAAGATTCATCTCTTCGATATCGATATTCCTGGGAAGATCACCTTCAAGGTGAGAAACGAGTGTTTTACGAGGTAGTAAGCCGCGGGGCTAACGACGAGCAGGAAAGCGAGAGCTTGGCTCCGGGTAAAACCCCGACCTACTTCGACACTGGTAAGTTCATACCCTCGGATCCATGTACATGATTCACGTTTTCTTCCAGAATTTGCGCGAATTGGACTTGGGATCTGCTATGACATCAGGTTCCCCGAGCTGTCGATGATTGCTGCTAGGAAGGGTAAGTGGCCAAGTCCTGGGTCCATGTGTGGAGCTGTTCGCCTAACTCGTACCCTTAGGCGCCCATGTCCTGATCTATCCTGCTGCATTCAACATGACGACTGGACCGTTGCATTGGGAGTTGCTCCAACGCGCCAGGTGGGGCATGGAACGAACTTGTGGGGGATGTGCACGTTGCTGACCATAACCAGGGCCAACGATAATCAAGTCTTCGTTTCGATGTGCAGCCCGGCTCGAGATATGTCTGCCGGTTACCATGCTGTGAGTCTGGTTTGACTGTGTATCCACAGCTTTCTGACAGCAGGTTGTGCAGTGGGGTCACTCCATGGTCGTCAACCCAATGTAAGCAGCACTGCCTGAAAAAAGAGCCTGCGGAAAACTAATTTACTCGATCATAGGGGCCAAGTAATCGCGGAAGCTGGCGAAAAGGAAGAAATCATCTACGCTGACATTGGTGAGTTTCCATTGTTATTTCTCGAAATTTCCGATGATTTAGTAGGGGATTAGAACCCAAAGTTCTGGAAGAAACGCGACAAGGGATTCCTGTTACGACGCAGCGGCGATTTGATGTGTACCCGGATGTGAGCGCGCCGCAGTAGACAGCCGTAGTTTCCTTTTTTGTAGCTAAGGACTCTGACCAATCGAAAGGCGTAGAAGGCTGTAGAACGATCGGCTTTGACATGCGCTAAAATGGGCTTGCACTTGCTCTCCACTCCTTTCATTAGTCTTCCCTTCCCTTCACCCTTTCCCCTTGACTTGAAAAAATGGTCAAAGAAACGTACGTATTTCTTCGTCCTCGTCGTCGACATACATGTCCTCATCGTCCACAGAAAATTTTACGATCTCCTCGAAGTTTCTCCAGATGCCTCAGAGTCTGAACTCAAGAAGGCCTATCGAAAAAGGTACATCCATCGTTGCGTCCTGCTAGGATATCCCCTCACAATTTTGTAGAGCACTAAGGCTGCATCCTGATAAGGGTGGCGATCCCGAGCTTTTCAAGGAGGTTACCCATGCGTACGTCGCCTTGCCTGGATGCTGTTAAACTCGATTGACTCAAATCCGATGTCTACAGATATGAGGTCCTTTCCGATCCCCAGAAACGAGCTATCTATGACCAGCGAGGAGAGGCTGGTCTGTCAGAGCAGGGCGGTGGATTTGGTGGCATGGATCCCCAGGTGAGCTTGACTGTGTTACCCACTCTCCGGTCTCTTCTGACAATCTATAACAGGATCTTTTCAGCCAACTGTTTGGTGGAGGTGGAGGCTTTTTCGGCGGGGGCCCAGGTGGACGCGGTGGAGGCGGTCCACGCAGAACAAAAGACCTCGTGCATCGCGTACATGTTACTCTCGAAGACCTCTACAAGGGCAAGGTCACCAAACTCGCTCTCACGCGCAACGTTATTTGCAAAAAGTGCAAAGGAAAGGGAGGCAAGGAAGGCGCTGTCCGGACTTGCACAACTTGCAGCGGCCGTGGCGTCAAGGTCACTCTGCGCCAGATGGGGCCCATGATCCAGCAGATACAATCACCTTGCGACGAGTGTAACGGCACGGGCGAGATGATCAACCCCCGTGACAGGTGTACCGATTGCAAGGGCAAGAAGACCATGCCAGAGAAGAAGTTCTTGGAGGTCCACATCGATAAGGGTATGAAGAACGGCCAGACGGTTACTTTCCACGGGGAGAGTGATCAATCACCGGGCGCGGAGACCGGAGATGTGATCATTGTCATCGAGGAGAAACCTCACGATCGCTTCAAGCGACAAGAGAACGACCTCATCACCAGCGTCGAAATCGATCTTCTCACTGCTCTCGCTGGTGGCCAGTTTGCTATCAAGCACCTCGACGACCGGGCTCTCATCGTGACATTGATCCCAGGCGAGGTGATCAAGAATGGTGTGTTGGTTTCTTTCTACCCGGGTTGTGACATGGTACTGACTGTCTCGATCCAGGCGACCTGAAAGTCATCTCAGGCCAGGGTATGCCATCGCTGAGGCACCACGAACCCGGCGACCTTTACGTCAACCTATCCGTTAAATTCCCCGATTCCATCGATCCCTCAGTCATCCCTCACCTCGAAAAAGCCCTTCCACCACGAACACCCATCGAAAAGTTCCCCAAGTCTACCCACACCGAAGAAGTCGTCCTCTCCGAACCCGACGTACGGCGGCGACCAGATCGCTACAACGACGATTCAATGGATGAAGACCATGACGAACCCCGGGTACAGTGTGCCAACCAGTGATCTTCTCTTAGATAGAGTGGTCGCATTCTTCTTCGACTTTGTTTTGCTATCCTTAATCCCAATGTGCATTTTAGATTTTGTTTGTATGTCACTACCACGCATTGATTCATTCCAGTAATACCTACGCATTAGCACGCCCAACTAGTCTAATTTTTAGGATCAATCACACATTGTTTGGTGGGACATTTCTATGGGATAGAGCGGTTTCACATACCTCTGGGTTTTTCTTGAATTCGTTGTAGTCCTCCAGGTTGAAGAAGCTGACTTCTGTTTCGTTCTCTGTTAAAAACAGGTGAGGAGGAACGAGTCTAGAAAAGGAATGTTCTGGAGGTTTACCAAAGTCCAAGTCTGCGAGCACCTTGGTATCATCGCTCAGGATCCAGTCATCGTTGTCAAGATTTATTATCAGGTTGGAAGTCTGAGAGAAAAGTCGAGGTTAGTTTAAGGGGATGTAGAAGATCTCTACCATTACCTTGGAACCATGTGCCTTAGTGTACACCTTCAGCGTATCTGAAGAATGGGTCAGCTTTACGTCCAATCGGAAAGCCATTGTACTGACCTAATTGTACATTCCTATAAGGCTTCCACCCCGTCTGCGTCTGAACGGCTGTTCCATGTAAGTAGCTCCCTTATCAGTCGCCTTCCACACTAGAACCCACCTTGACGAGCAATCTCCTTCAGCTGGCCAACTGTCGTCGTCGTCAAATCGATGTTATGCAACACCAAGCTTTTCTGGGTCCTGAATTTGAACGATTTGATGATACGAACGGTGATTGTTGCTGCGGTCTTGGGTTTTGCGAGGCTGGTGAGGGTTGTGTCGAGATCCGTCATGGTGGTTGTAGGTTGAAAGTTTGGAACAGTCTGGAAAGTTAGGGGCCGGAAGATAGGGAGAGATCTAATCTTATCTAGAAAATGTTATCTTTTGGTGCGCGCTTGCGGGATCTTCGGATTGGTGACGCGCGCGGCGTTTCTCTGTTTTTGACCACCACCATGACGATGGCAACCCATGCGAACCCAAGGACAGCGTTTCTCTTGTTCCGACGGCCAACAGCGGCGAATAACCATAAACCAGCTTATTACATTTGGTCATCTATATCATCTGACGCTTGCTCAGACAAGGTTCGAAGTCCTTGACCGTCCGAAAATTCCCCGGTGGTTTCACTAGTTATAAATGCGGGGTTGCGGGGAATCTGCGTCCAATTAGGATCTTTTTGGTCTCTCTCCCCACCTCTGATCTGTGAATCCCTTTGAACGAGAGAATGGCTGGCAAGATGTCTCGTTCATTCCTGACTGCGGACGTCGACGAGTTGGTCAAGCAACTCAAGACGGACGAGAAGATCTCCCTTCTTGGTGCTCCGAACTGGTGGAATACCACTTCGATCCCGAGGCTTGAGATTCCATCTGTTCGTATGAGTGATGGTCCTAATGTACGCTTCTTTCGTTGTCGCGTTTTCCTTTGAGCTAATGCAGGTGTCGGTTTCGCTAGGGTGTCCGTGGTTCTTCCCACTTTGTTTCGACTCCTGCGCAGTGTCTTCCTGTAAGAACCTTGATTTTTCGGAATGATTGCCAAGATGTTCAACTTTGTTTAGTGCGCAACTTCGCTGGCGTCGACCTTCGACCCCGACTTGATCTACGAGGCTGGTGTCTTGCTGGGTAAAGAGGCCAAAGTCAAGTCTGCAACTGTTTTGCTCGCACCGACATGTAACATCCAGCGTACCCCTCTTGGCGGGCGCGCTTTCGAATCATTCTCGGAGGATCCTCATCTCTCAGGTTTGTATTCAAGTTGATTCGGGTAGCCTTGGATGCTGAGATTGCACAGGTGTCTTGGCTGCCGCTTATGTTAATGGCCTCCAATCTGAGGGCGTTGCTGCCAGTAAGTCGAGGAATCTTCGGGAGTTGTGGGGATTGTTGCTGAACTCTGGGTTTCTTAGCTATGAAGCACTTTGTTGCTAATGACCAAGAGCATGAGAGGACAGCTGCCGAGTCGGTCGTGTCCGATAGGGCGTTGAGAGAGATTTATCTCTATCCGTAGGTGATTGCTTTTACCTTGTCGGATGGGTAACTGAGCTTTATTTTGCAGTTTCATGTGGGCACAGATCCATGCCAAACCTGGGGCCTACATGACTTCGTAAGCTGTCAATTTCCGATTGAGGTTTTCTTTCCGTTAATCTTTTGAGTCAGTTATGGCCGTGTTCACGGCGTTCACTGCGCTGAGAGCCGCGAGTTGTTGAACGGACTGCTCCGAAAGGAGTGGGGATTTGATGGGCTTATTATGAGTGATTGGTTGGTATCCATTATTTCTTCAAGAGGTCGATTCTCATGTCTCGTATCCCTGTAGGTTCGGAACGTACGGTGTCGACGAAGCTATTAACGCCGGACTGGACCTGGAAATGCCGGGCCCACCACGGTGGAGGACTCCTTTGCTCGTCCTGCACACTCTCTCGGCACAGAAACTGCTCATGCCCACCATTGACGAACGAGTTGCCAATCTCCTCCGCTTTGTCCAGCGCCAAGCTCGCAGAAACCCAGAGATTGTTTATGGCGACGGTATTGAGCGCTCTCGGGACAGCCAAGAGACTCGGGACTTTGCCCGCAAGCTTGCTGCCGAGGGTATCGTCCTGCTGAAGAATGAGCGCAAGGTCTTGCCCTTGGATTCATCGAAGAAGAAGGTTCTTGTTACCGGACCTAATGCCCAAGGGTTCGTCATCTCTGGAGGAGGTTCGGCGGCGTTGAGGGCTACCTATGTTGCATCCCCTTGGAATGCGATGAAGGAAGCCGCACCCAAGGATATTGAGCTTCTCTACACCGTCGGATGCTACGGTGGGTCTCTCGCTTCAAAGATGGTGTATGACCATAGCTGACTCAAATATCGAATAGCACACAAGTACCTCCCGACTTTGGAAAGCAAACTCGTCACCCCTGACGGAAAGCCCGGATGGTCGTGCACCTTCTTCCGCCACGATGCTGAAGGCAACCCCGAGAGCTCCGTCCAGACCTTCACCTTGAACGACACCCGAGTCAAGTTGAACGATTTCTTGCCCGCGGGTCTGACTCCCACTTGGACTATCAAGTTGGAAGGCAAGTTGACGGTGGACACGACTGGACCCTTCGAGCTTGGTTTGACTGTCGCTGGTCGTGCCAAGTTGTGGTTGAATGGAGAGCTGACGATTGATAACTGGACGAAGCAGACTCCTGGTGATTTCTTCTATGGGTAAGCTTTCTAGTTGTTCCGGGGAGGCGTCGGTATTAACTGGGTACAGACAAGGAACTGTCGAGGAAAAGGCCGTTGTTGACTTGGTTGCTGGAAAATCCGTCGATGTCCTCGTCGAGTACACCAACACTGTCGCTCCTGACGGCGCTGACGAAAACGGAGCTCAACGTTTGGCTCAGCCTGCCTTGATGAAGGGTGTCGTGCGTATCTTATCCTTGCATCATGCCATTCTTGTGTCGCTGAATCGTTCATTTGGTAGAGATTGGGTGGCTGCCCCAAGATCGAACCCCAGGACGCCATCAAGGAGGCCGTCGCTTTGGCCAAGGATGTGGATGCTGTCGTTGTTGTTTCTGGCTTGACTCCCGAATGGGAGAGTGAAGGTTTCGACCGACCCTCCCTTACTATGCCTGGCCTCCAGGACGAGCTTATTTCTCGCTTGGCTGAGGTCAACTCGAACGTCGTTGTTGCCATTCAAGCAGTAAGTATCTTTATGTTGGAGTGGAGTCTAGATCTTACACCATCGTTTTTGCTGCAGGGCTCCGCAGTTTCAATGCCGTGGGTAGACCAAGTTGCTGGTGTAGTCCAGTGCTGGTACTCTGGTAATGAAGTCGGAAACGCCATTTCGGACGTCCTGTTTGGAAAGGTCAATCCTGGTGGAAAGCTTCCATTGAGCTTCCCCGTTAAGGAGGAAGATATCGCTGCTTATCTGAACGACAAGTGCGAAAATGGAAAGATCCAGTGAGTCGTTTTGTGCGGTTTTTCAGGGAGAATGGTGCTGATGCGATGTGCTCTGCGTAGCTATCGAGAAGATCTCTGGGTCGGCTACAAACATCACCAGGCCAGGAAGGTCAAGCCCCTGTTCGCCTTCGGGTACGTATTATCGTTTATGTCTCCGATGCTGGGAATTGATGAAATACGAAAGACACGGCCTTTCGTACACCACATTCGAGTTCTCCGACTTTGCCGTCAAGAGCGCAAATATTGACGGTAGCCCAGAGGACCTCAAGATCGAGACTGAAGTCACCATCCGGAACACTGGGGACAAGGCTGGATCGGCCACCGCCCAGCTATACGTTTCGTACCCCAACAGCGCTCCTTTGACGCCCATCTATCAATTGCGAGGATTCGCCAAGGGCAAGGATATCGCTTCTGGCGGGTCCACGACCGTGAAGATCTCTTTGGACAAGTACGCGTTCGCGTTCTGGGATGAGCCCGCGTATGGATGGAAGATCAACCCCGGAGTTTACGAACTCCATCTCGGTGATAGCAGTGAGAACCTGCTTCTTGTTCAAAAGGTGGAGATCAAGAAGGCCTTCACCTGGACTGGGTTGTAAAGAAGAAGAATGACGATTGTAGGATGTAAACTTGTATCATTATGTTGTACACTATTCGAATTTTGATTTGGCTTGAACGGAGATCAAAGTTCGGGACGGTCTTGAGGTAACTGATCCCGAGCGAACTTGACCATGCTCTACATCATCCCTCTCGACTTAATCCTCCACTACAACCTATATCTATACCACCCATGCCAGTCCGCCAGAATCCACGAGACTTGACGACATTATCGGAAATTCTGTCATGTCTATCAGCATACCAATCTGAAGAGGCAGAGTTGAGCAAGAGCCTCACCGAGCTATTGAACGCGCGCGAACCGATTGTAGCGTCCTTGGATCGGCTGAGGTTGCTGGTTCCTCAGCTCGAGGAGTCGGGGAGGGAGGCAGATATTCTGTGCAAGAGGGTGGGGAATACTGCGCGGACGGCGGAGAGGGTTGGGAGTAGGGTGAGGACGTTGGATGAGGAGATGGGCAGGATCAGAGAGGCTGGAGAGAGGGTTGGCCAGGTTATGGAGTTGAAGGTACGTGTTAGCCTTTGTGCACAAAGGCTTTCGAGAGACTGAAGGAATGTTCTCCTGTAGTCTTCGTTGGCCGCCCTCCAGACCGCTATTGACGCGCAAGATTGGGAAACGGCCACTACACATTGCGCGAAAGCCATGTCCATACCCCCTGAAGTCATATCAGGCGCCTTTGCAGAGAGTGCTGTTGTACGTCGCCTTGTCTCCTTTCCAATACCGTCGATTCTCAGCTGTGAATCTAGCCAACGACAGAGAGCCATCTCCCACCAGCCCAAACTCTCCAAGCACAGCGACAAACGCTGCTGGAAGTCTTTAAGAAGAAGTTTGAAGAAGCTTCAAGGAGCAGGGATTCAACAGCAACAACGCGGTTCTTCAAGTTGTTCCCTGCAGTTGGGTGGGAGGAAGAGGGATTGGAGGCGTATGCTGCATTTGTCGTTGATTTGGTGAGGATCAGGACACCGGCGTCTGCGAAGAGTGCGTTCATTTCTGATGACCAGGACGTGTTTATATTAACTGTGATGTGCAGCTTCGTCCCCGCTTTACTTTGTCACGGCGTTGACATCTCTGTTCGAGAGTATAGCGATGATCGTGGACCAGCACCAGCCGGTCGTTGAGAAGTATTATGGGCAGGGAAAGATGCGGTTGGTCGTGCAGAGGCTGCTGGATGAGTGCGACAGGGTGACCAGGGGGATGAGGGAGTCTTGGGAAGAGGATCGGGGTGTTAAACGCAAGGTAGGCTCTGTTCCTGGGACCTGGGTCATACGAAGACTTATGGGGGATCTGACACTATGTAGATGGCAGATATCTTGAACAATCCACCTATAACGCTGGCTTCGAACCGGAAACCTCCACCTCCGAATGAAGATCTTGCTATAGACCCCAGAGAGATTGACAAGGTTCTCTCCGAACTTTCTGGGATGATCGGACGATGGAATCTATTCCGCAAGTTCCTCTTGGACGCCTTAAAGGTATGCTGTACTTTGAATTCTGCAGTTATTTGGAGGAAGTGAAATGTTGCGTCTGTCAGGATGACGACGCGGATGCTGATGTGGTCCTCGACGACGCTGGCGAGAAGACTGACGCTACTATCCCGGACACCAAGCTGTTGGATAACACGAAATCCCATGCGATGTTTGAAGAGCTGGTGACAATGTACTATATTCCATTTGACGTGTGGTACACATCCACCGTCATCGACAAGGTATGTCTAACACCCGTTGCTTCACGACCCACATTATTTAACAGGGTCGCTCTTCGTAGGCCCATCGCCTCTCGTCACCGGACCCCATGGCCAGTCCGATCACCACCACCGCTCCAGACGATGCATTCTACATCCTCAAAGCTGTGATATCTCGCCTGTTAACAACAGGGTCCGTAGCATGTGTCCGTCACACTATCGAACAATATCGAGATATCCTCGATCGTGACTACATTGGAGTCTATAAGAAAAGGATGGACGATGTGTACAAGAACCCGATGTCTGTTACTTCGACACCACGTCCAGACCGAACGGAGAGGGAGAACAGGGTTGCATTTATCGTGAGTTTAAGCGGCCTTGCATGTTTTTTGCTAAGCTGTATGCTCACGTCAGTTTCTAGACTTTGCTTAATGATTTGGATATCTCAGTATCCCACCTAGACCGCCTGATCCACGACCAATGCGAGAATCCCTCAATAGGTCAACATTTCCTCGATCATCAACAAGGCGAAGTGAAGAAGATTGTCTCGACTTTGTCGTCGCTTACGGCCAGGTTCAAGTCAACGCTGAGAGTATGTCATCAACCGAACTCGACTACACTTCCTCGTGTTCTGAACTGTATTACAGGGCGGGATCGAGCAGCTCTTCAATCAGCTTATGCGGCCTCGGTTACGAACCTTCATTCCAGACGTATACAGGGACATTTCTTACGCTTTGAACGAGGACCAGTACAATGTGGCGGAATACCAGGATCTGACGAGAAAGAGGTTCATCAAGGCTTGGGATACGCTCATGGACGGGTACAAAGTATGTTGGTGCAATCTTGGGCGTCCTTTTCCTACATGACTGACGGTTGGTGCAGGATGTTTTCTCTGAGAACAACTATCGCATGTTCTTCGGGTTCACGCTAGACTTGATTCTCAGACCCTGGGAGAAACATGCCGTCTCACTGAAGTACACTGAAGTGAGTGCGCACCCCTTTCCACTGTTCAAGTCGTGTTGACAATGCTCGCGTAGCTGGGCGCTATCCGGTTCGATCGTGACCTTCGAGCGATCACGAGCTACCTTTCGTCTCAAACGCCGTTTGGCGATGTGAGAGAGAAGTTGCTACGGTTGCAACAGATATCGACGTTGTTGAATCTTGATAGCGTACGTGGACATCGTCTCCTCGGGAATAGGCGTTGTTATCTGACTTTGGTGAGCAGGAGGAAGATGTGGACGAGTTCTACAATGGATCTGGGATCACATGGAAATTGTCCGCCCAGGACGCTAAAGCCATCGTTGGATTGAAAATGTAGTCCATCATATACCGCCTTCACATCATATCCGTTGCATATCTCGTTATAGTTCGTGTGGGTATAAGAAGTGATTAAGACCTGGGATATTCAGCCCTTCCTGAGGGCATCCAGTCGAGCCTGCAGAGCGTCTTCGTCTGACATGGAGACTCCCCCGTCTCCACCACTATTTCCACTGTCGCCTCCTGCTGAGTGACCTCCGCCGTCTCCCAGGGCCACTGGTGTCCGGTTTGCTATCGGATTTGATACAGCGAGCCCGATTGGTGCGTCGGTGAGCTGAAAGAGCAGAATGTGTTAAGGAAGAAGACAGAGAGTAGTCGAAAGGGCGCACCTGTTGAGAGAGGTCCACGCCGATTTCGTCCAAGACTTCTTTGAGAATCTTATCACCCTCTTCTTCTTCGTCCTCCAAATCATCCTCCATGACATCGTCCACCGCGTCCGACATCATTTCTTCCTTCATGTCCATCATCGAGCTCTCCCTCTCAAATTCGTTCATAATCTTCTGGATGGCGGGTAGGTTGAGGCCTCTGTTCATAGCTCCCATTGCCTACAAGTATTTCGGTCAACGGAACCGGGGGTAGACGGGGACGGGGACGTACGCGAGTAGCCCCGCGCATGGCTTCAGCCATTTGTTGGTTGCTCCTCAATGTCTGTATTCGCAATCCGACAGCTTGCAGTTGTGTTCTCATCTGGTAGAACTTTTGGATGTACCGTCTTGTTCGCACCAGGTCCTTGGCCATTACTTTGCATGCATTCTAATGGGGCCGAAGGTAGGATGCAGATAGCTGTCTATTAGACAATGTTGCAGGTCCTTGGAGGCGGGAGGAGACGAACCATTTGTCCAGCTTTAGCGCTCTTCTTAATGTCTGCTATAAGTTTCTTCTCGCTCTGCTCGAGTTTGGATCGTTCGCGGTCGAGCTCGCGTTGAGCCTTTGTGAGGCTGCGTTGGTGTTGCCGCAGTCGTTCGGCGGGGGTGACCGTCCGTCCGAATAGTGTTTCCTGTATTCTAGTAAGGTTTGGACTCTTTCATGGGGGTTTAGATAGCGTACGATGATGTTCATGGTCGGACGTCGATTGTGGTTGTGGTTGTGGTGGAAGCTGTGATCCAAGGTAACTGTGCGAAAAGCGCCGGCATTTGATCACAGCTTTAAAGTGGTTTGCTGCTGAACTCCTTTGATAATGGACCTCCCCCAGATTGGCGCACACTGTGCGCTAGAGACTTGTAACGTTTGTGACTTTCTCCCTATTACTTGTAAATGCCAGAAGAAATTCTGTCGAGACCATATCTTCCCCGACAATCATGGGTGTACTGCTGTAGCTGAAGCTCAGACCGCGAGCGCTACTACAGCGAGTGGTCCACCGTTGAAGAGGTGCACATTGGAAGGGTGCCAGAAACCGAGTCTGTATGCTTTCACGAACGATCCTGAGAGGGAGAGCTGTGAAAAGTGCCATGGTTCCTTCTGTGTCCAGTACGTCCCTTGGATCCTTCGTTAATTCTCAGTTTTGACCGCAGTATGCGACTAGGCATAGGTATCCTGACACGCATAATTGCGCCCCTATTCAGGATCCTACACCCGGACCTGAATCGTCCGCCAGAGCTTTGTTGAAGAAGAACTTTGGTTCTCAGATGACAGGCGGTGGTACATCCAAACCAAAGAGCTCAACAAGGAAGAAGAAACCGCCAACTGATCCTGTGAAGTTGGCGCAATGGAAGAAGGTTGAGCTGATGAAGCTTCGACATCGTGCTGTCCCCGCCGATCCCAAAGACAAGGGTACCTCGCCACCGGTGGACCAGAGGTTGGCCGTTAGTGTTTTGTATGATGGAGAAGAAAAGCCTTTTTGGTTGAGAAAGGTGGGTAGTAGACCAGAGTCTAATGAATGTGCTGGACTGAATGTGGTGTTCAAGTCGGTTTCTGGGGGTAAAGCAATCGATATGCTGTCTACTCAGATGAAGGTCAGGGGCTCTAATTCCACGGTACGTGTTTTTGTGGGCTGCTAGATATGGTTCTAACACTCCTTGTGCTCAAGCTCACCAAGTTGTATAAATTTGACTTGTCGACGGAAGAACGGAGCTTACTTCGTAACGACCTGGAGCTGGAGAAGCAGGTGGACGACGGGGACACTCTGGTGCTTCAGCAAGATGCTGTTTGAACAGTTGTCCAGAAGCGCCCCGAAACTCAATATCTCTGACAAGGCCGGTTGTCATTAACCTTTCATTATATGGAGTAAGGTCATACAATGCAAAAAGAGACGTATGCGCTATGTGATTAAATAAGATACGGAAAACAAAAGCGAAAAGAAGAGGATCATCATCGAATACCGAATCGAACACCGAAAGAGGAACACAGGTTATTGTACTTAGTTAAAAAGGAGGCTTGGCCTTCACCAAGTAAACATGACGGGACATGAGGTACTTTGGATGGATGGTCAAAAGGAATCATGTACACACGAAAGAAGCGGAAAGAATCATCCCCACAACATAGCGTATTACTGGTAGTAAAAAGCTCGGAAATAAACCAGACGTGTTGAGAGAAAAAAATCATTAAAGAACCTAGGCAACGAGAGCGGCCAATCGTCTCAGATGCGAAACATTAAGGTATGCGGGGACGTAAGTTTCCAGGCCGGAAACATCACGGGGGAGGGGGAGTTCGTATGAGCTGACTTCTTCAGACTCGGGCGTGAGGAGAAGGTGGTCGTTGCGATCGTTGGCTTGCACTCTTGATGCGACTACTCGGAGGATCTCAGGAGAAATCGGGTTCTGAAAGGGATGAGTTAGTTTAAGGAGGAAGTTAGGATAGAAGGGATCAGATGTACCTCGTAATCGGCAACGTAGTAGTTCGTGCACATTCGTTGGATTTGCATCGGGCTGAGCATCCAGCAAACATCGTAGATGATTTCAATGTCGGCGGGAGTCGACTTCTTCAACTGCAGCAGCTTGGTGGCCTGCATCAAGTGTTCAAGTTGAAGAGTTCCCTCGGGCATGTTGTGGGACTTGCACCATTCCTCAATTCGGGTGATGTTGTATTGAATTTGCATAGCTGTTGAAAGAAGGTCAGACATGCCTCCGATGAGGGTCGAAGGGTGAACTTACCCCGCTTCCATGAAGAGAAGTTGCGACGCATCAACAAGTCGTTGAAGCTGTTGACACCGATGAGTTTCAACAACTCCGTGATAGCCTGCTGAACGACGCTCTCTTCCATGTAGTAGCTCTTCAAGCTCTTCCAAACCTTGTTGAGGAGGTTGAGAATATCATCCATATTGAAAGCCGGAGGAGTATTGGAGTTCAAAATTCGGTTGAACAGACGTCCTCCACCGTCGGTGGTCGTGAAGCCAGGTAGAGACTGGCTCTCGATCAAAGCGGGGATAACCATCTTGGACAACTTCTTCTTGACCTCGGACATCCAAGTGTGGTAGATGTTGTACTCCAGACTGTCGAGATCATGCTTGACGACGGAGACAAGGCGCTCGTAGTCTGCCCATTCGAACGGTCGGACAGAGTTCTCTTCGCCAGGACCGATACCCTCCAGCATATCGCTTTCTGCCACGCAGATGAAGGAGAGCATCTCGTGGACGTTGGACAACCAGAAGATGCCAGGGATGATCGCGTCTTCACCGGTGAACGACTAGGGAGGTATATTAGAAATGAATGCAATTGCGAAACACGCCAGATTACATACCATGACGTGGCTCTGGATAGCCTGCATCACGTTGGCGAGGAATCGCTCGCTCTCGGTAATGAGACCATACTTCCACATCTCGTTGGTGACGAGACTGATTAAGTTGGCAGGGAACAAGATCTCCTTCATAGCAGGAGGGTTGGTCAGGCTTGGTGCGGGGATCTTCAAGCCACGAATCAGGCCGTCGAGAACATCCTCATCTAATCGCTTGGCGTCCATCATCAACCTAATCTTCTCCTCAGCAGGGTCGTCTGTATCGTAGATATCGGCCAGCCCATTGCCCTGGCGGCCCCGGAGGTAGTTGTCCTCGCCGTTGAAAGCGACGGAGACTGCACGGGGGTTGGCGGCATTGCTGCGCTTGAAGGAGCTGAGGCTCTCGTCCACAGAGGACCTGCCGTCGACGGGGCCGAGCGAGAAGACACCGGCAGAGCTGTGTCGGCGTTGGTGGCCACGGACAGGTGCAACACCAGGGATGACGCCGTTGTTGCCATTGGGTTGGGGTTCTCCGAGTCGGAGGGCAGTGTTGAAGGTGGGGGAAAGCGGAGGGTCTTGTCGGGAGCCCTTGGTGAGGGTGTTAAGGGCGTTGGCACGGTTGAGTTGTTCCCGGAGGCTGCTGACTTCGCTCTTGAGGGTAGCGATGACTGAGCTGTCCTCTTGGGTGCGTTGGGGAACCTCGAGGGCGCGCTTCTGAGCTTCGAGTTGGGTGGCTTGGCGGATAATGTCGTCGGTCAACTTTTGAATTGTGTTTTCCTTCTCCTGGACACTGGCGATGGCCTCCTCAAGTCTGCGCTCAAGATCTGCCTTGGCTTGCAACAACTCGTCTCGCTTGGCCAGTTCAGCCTCAGCCTGCTGCAAGGAGACTTGGTATTGCTTGGCTTTGGCGTCGGTCTCCTCGTGCCGGTTGATCCATTGCTGCAGTTGCTGCTCGAGTTCGCTCAGCTGAGTCTGGAGCTTCTTGCGCTCGTTGGTTCGCTCTTGGAGGGCTTGCGTCAATTCAACGACCTTGTTCTCCAAACGGTACGAGATCTCCTTGAACTTGGAGACTGAGCGAGCTTCCGCCCGGAGGGCCTTGAGTTCCCTGCGAGCCAGACGACGCCGAATACAAGATTGCATCCAGACGACATGTTTGACGTCCGCTCTGAAGCGGGAGCGACTGGTACTAAAGGGGCTAAGTTAGTGGAAAATTAGCTCTTCGGAGAATTGTGAACATACACTCCACGGAGCAAGCTCTGCAACAAGATAGCGGCGTTGTTGTGTCTGTTTTGACGGTAGCGGAGACGGGCCTGGGCACCACGAATGCCTGATGGCGGCTCAGTATAGAATCAGAAGAAGGATAGACACGATACGTACGGCTTTGCAACAGAGTAACACCTCGTTTGATATCCAAGAACCGTTTGCGCTGGACATAACGTCGGATGGCGACTTGCAACCGCAGAGCCGAAGCCTCCCTCCTCATATTCTCAGCCAACCTACGCGCCAAAATACCTCTCCACTTAGTCTGAATGACAATCGTAGCCTCCCGCAGAGCGCGATACTTCTTCATAGCCATCCTCCTACGCATGTTCTTCTGTACGACAGTGACCATGGCGTTGAGTCGGCCAGAGCGGAGGGACTCGAGGGCGGCAAGCATGCCTGCTCGGAAGAAGATCTTGGTGAGACCGTTCTGGTACATGTCGGGATCTGCGATGGTTTTTTCAAGGATGATGGAGCAGAGCTTGTTGAGTTCCATGGATTTGATCATGGGCTCCCAGATGGTGTGAGGAACGAGCATGTAGTACCTGGAAGGACATTGAGAGGAGGAAAATAGAATAGAGCAAGAATGTAACATACCGCTCAGCGAACTCGGCATAAGTCCAGCGAGTAGGATAGCCGGCACAACTGATGCGAATGGTTTCAAGAACACCGCAAGCTCGCAATTGACCCAAGACCTGTTGGGGTTGGAACTCCCAGGGTTTCTTAGCTTCATTGGGTTTGATGCAACGAATGTAGTGGACGTTCGTGACACTGAGTGTTTCCATAAGGGCAATCAGGGAGGCTTTGAAGATGGAGCCTTGAGTAGGCTTCTTTACAGCTCCGGGGCGTTTTCCAGCGCCAGTTGGCAGAGGGCTGGAGGCAGTCGCCACGAAAGACTGTCTGCCAGGATCAGGGATAACAGAGGAACGTCGAGAGGCACCACTTGAGTCGGAGACCGCAGGAGATGCAGGTGGACCACCGTCTACGCCTCTTGTCGAGTTGAGGGCATAGTCAAGGACTTCCTTCAAGAAGGGATTCTTGGTCGCCGCAAGTAGAGCCATCTGTTCGTCAGGAACAGTATCCCTGTTCTTCTCGAGGAAGCCCTCAACCTCATAAGTGACGTCCAAAGCATAGTGAGCGATGGTGAAAGCCGAGTTACCGAAGCGTGGCTTCTTGAAGACGTTCTTAAACTCAGGTTTGGGAAGGATCTGGTTGTGAAGCTTCTGCAAGAAGGAGGCATCGGTACCAGATGGCATTCTTGACTCTTCGTCAAGCAGGGCCAACACTCCGAGCTTGCCTTCGATAACATCGATACAAGGCTGGTTGTCGGAGAAGTCGATGAATGTCCAGTTAATTTGCTCCTTAACATATTCTTCTTGTTCGAGTTTGAAGACGTGCGAGTTGAACTGGGCCGATGTTAGACATGAGCTGTGTAAGGAATGGTTGGGAACTCACCTCCTGTTGCAGCTTCTCGTTGGCGTAGTTGATGCTGAATTGTTCGAAGGAGTTCTGGGAAAGGTTAGGGGGCGACTGATATACCAGCATAAAGGCGGCACACCTTTTGGAAGTGCTCGAATCCGTAAATATCGAGAACACCGATGAACATCTCCGCCCGCTCAGCAGCATCTCCGTTTTCGCCAGCCAAACTCTCGTTCACGATAGCAACCAACCATTCGAACATGCATGCATATACGAACTTGGCCACACTGTCCCTGACCACCGTCGCCTGTGCCCCGTTAAGATTGGTCACGATCTTCTCGTTACGGGTGGTGATCTGCTTCTTGATAATCCATTTGCGGAATTCGGCCAAGTTGACGCCCAAGAAACGAGTAGCCAAAAGCAGCGCAGGATCATTCTCATCAATATTGGACTCTGTTCTTGTCTGAATGATCTTGACGTTTCCAAGATGAAGCAGGGAGGCCAGGAGACGGAAGACAGCCCATTGCTTCTCCACGCTGATGCCGACAGTTGAGAGCGCCTGTTGGGTGGCGCGGAATTCTTCTGCATCATCTACGCCAGCGATAGGGGTGGAAGTAGGCCCGCCTTGCTTGAGATAATGGAATTTGGAAACATCAGAGTCGAGACCAAGGTCTTTCTTTTCCTTGGAAGGTGCGCCAGCGCATAGTTGGTAGAAGATGTGATAATTTCGTTCGGTGGTGGGTTGGAAGACGATTCGGGATCGCTCTAGGAGGTATGTGCGTATCCGGGCACCGACGATTTCTTGTTTGCCGTCGAAGAGAATCTGTTGGGCCATGAGGCAGTGATTGTTGGGTGATGGCCGTACTACTCACTTGAATGTACTTTCCGAATCTAGAAGAGTTGTCGTTACGAGTCGTCTTAGCGTTACCAAAGGATTCGAGAATGGGGTTGGTTGCAAGGATCTGTTTCTCTATCTCACTAGATTCATCCAGCGAGAGTTTCGTCTTGGCCTTTGCGCTGCTCGTTGGTGGGTTGACCGAGGCGAGATAACGCATGATGAATTTCGCCTATAATACTGGTTAACGGAAGCAAGGGGGTACTGTGGGGACAGTACGAACTGATTCAGTTTTACCGGCACCACTGAGAAATGGTTAGTGCATGAGCGGGACATGAAAGGAGGGACCGGTTACCTCTCTCCTGACACGATGATAGTCTGACCCATTCCATCCCGACGCATCGCTGTGTAGGCATCTTCTGCGATTGCGAACAAATGGGGCTCGAGTTCACCTCTCCTCCTCCCGCTGTAAGCCTGAATGATTTCGGGGCCATATAGAGTGACGCGTTGAAACGGATTGACCGCGATGAGGACGATACCACTGTAGGTGTAAATACTATGTTGGGCGTATCGATTGCGGATTGTGTGAAGGACTGCAGAAATTGAGTATGGAGGATATTGGCAGGGACAGATGGCGTACCTGAGGGTTCGTTCAAGTGGGAGAGTGTGGCGAGATCGTCTGCGGTCTCGAGCAACGGTGGATTGCGTAGAGGCGGTAGACCTTCTTTGCCTTCTTTAATCTCTTTACTGGTCGTGTTGATCGTGACTTCCTGGAGCTAGATGTGAGACGGGACTGTATACAAGGTTACAGCGGTGCTGACCTTGCCGCGCTCGTCAGTGAAGACGAGTTTTATGGAATCATTGTCACCCTTTGTGACTGAGGTGACCTCTGCGGATATCCAGGCATGTTCCTTGTCCTCGAACCAGACACGGGTGCCCTTGCTGTATATGTTTTCGGCCATGAGACTTGTCCAGCAAGAAGGGGGATACTGGAAACCACAGCTGCACGCTCGTTGGGAGGAACGTTGATCGCATTGTCGGTGTTTGCCATCGCCCTCTGCTCACAACAATCTCGAACCTCGATCATTGGACTTTGATGCTTCCTCAACGACCACAGACGACGACCCCGACGACGACAACAACGACCCAAACGGCGGGCTAGGCGCCGCAACGATGGACACCCTGTTTGGCAGGAAGAAGACCCGGCCTCGCCAGTCGTCGCTTTCGGGCAACGACCTCAGCGACAGGTCGATTCCCTATGACAAGGTCATGGCTTCACCAAGATCGCCGCTCCCGGTAGCAACGATATCCCAGGGCCTTCGTGGAATCTCAGCACCCAACACAAACCCTCAGCTCACGGCAGAAGGAACAGAATTCAACAAATTCACAATGGCCAGGTCCCGTCTCGAGCGTGAGCGCGCCTACGACAACTACGCCGCTTCTCCCAGCAAACGAAGTACAGATGCCTCTTTCGATTCAGACGATAGTAGATATCCCTCCAGCCTACATACTAGTCGCACACGCAACACCGACGTCTCCTCGTCCTCCCGATCATCAGCCGTGGCGGATTTCGGCCAGTCCTCTTCCCACTCTTCCTACACTCCCGGCACCCCTGGCCGGCCACCCTCAACAATGACCACTCGCTCCGACGCGAAGCGGATATCAGGGTATGCTGGGTCCGTCGCTGCCTCGGATTCAGGGTCCCACCGCTTTTATAATCGCCACCATGGCGGCGACAACTTCTATTTTCCCCGTCCAGAGACAGACGAGGAGATAGAGGCCATGTTCGAGAACGTTAAACATACCCGCAATCTCGACCAACTCCCCAACATGTCCATTGACCAGAAATGGCACATGGTGTACAACAATGAGCATATAAAGTGGAAGGAGGAGAAGATGAGAGAGGATCAAGCCAGGAAGCATCACGACGCAGGGCAGGCAGCTCCAATACTCCAGGACTCTCCGGAATGGTACATCAAAAAGTTTCTGGACAAAACTATAACGGCGAAGCAAGCGACTGGTCTTTCTGTCTCCATCCGAAGCAAACCCCTTAGGTACGACGTCTGGATTTTGCATTCATAATTGATTAACATTTCTCTTCTAGTTGGTTTGAACGGTTCCTCGAGATACAGGGGACTTCGGTCCTCTCCCAGACGCTCATGCATCTCAGTCGGAAAGGCAATGCAAGGTACGCCGCTAGGGACCTTCTCGGGACTACTTTGGTTAATCTTATGAACCCAGGCGAGAAGCGGATATTGCTCTCGAATATGAAGTGGTTAAATGTCTGAAGGACATTCTGAACCAGGTAATGTACAACAGCGCCAAGTGCGACGGGAAGGCTAACCCTTCTTAGTCGAAAGGCAGCAAAGCCATCGAACACCATTCTATCATCACTCAAATTGTATCATCCCTCAACACGCCACATATCCCAACACGCCGACTAGTCCTCGAAGTCCTCTGTTTCATCATTTACCAATTCGACGGAGACCTTCAACCTCTCGTTTTGTCCGGTCTAGAAACGCTCAGCACATCCAATAATGAAGGCAGCGACCCCTATAGTTTCTGGTTCAAGTCGATGGAGCAGTCGCTCACGGGTAGAGGAAAGATGGGCAGTCTTGTGGGTGCTAGTGATGAAGTGAAGCGTGCGGGAGGGACAGACAGTTCTCTCAATGACTATGCGGTATGTAGATATCTGAAGTTGAAGTTTTGTCGACTCAAACTCTGGGATTTAGCTCGCGAACTTGTTGCTCATCTATGCCATCCTTGTGCATATTGATGACTTGGACCTACGGCTTCACCACCGTGCCCAAATGTATACTGCTGGTTTGACAGGCATCCTCGAGCACTGTGCAGCATTCGGCGTCCCAAACATCGACACCAACATCAAGAAGATTAATGTCATTCTTGAAGAGGACGCAAAGAAGCTGCAGGAGAGACTGGACCAGGAGATCCTGAAGGACTTGACCAACCCAGAGGATGTCTACAATGCCATTTCCGCAAAGACCAAGGGCAGCAAAGCACACGACTACTTCCTGTCGATGATGCAACATTTGTTGTTGATTCGGGAGGAAGGCCAACCGATGGTTCATTACTACCAACTGTTGGATTCGATCGTGACGGACGTGGTGCTGGACAAGAAGTTGGCTGGGGCTGAGCAGAGGTTGGGATATTCGGTTGAGAGGATAATTGCTCAATTCAATGAAGCCGATCGGTATCAACAGTTGGAGGATGAAGCGACCGAGGCGCGTGCGATGGCTATGAGGTTGAAGCTGGAGAAAGAGGTGTTGGAAGAGGAGTTGGCGCAGGGTCACGACGGTTTGGTGGGGAGCCTTAAATCCCAGCTAGCGTCCACAGAAGATAAGCTCAAACAATCCCGTGAACTCACTGGTCGCCTGCATAACCAACTCGACTCGCAGAAGGCGTCGTATGAAGCCAAGATTGCTCAGCTGGAGGCACAGATTATGGAGTTGTTCAAGATGTTGAAAGAGTTTGGGAAAGGGGTTGAGACTATTTTGGATACTGGTGCTATGGACAGGAGGAGTTTGGTAGAGCAGCTGGAGAGGAACTGGCAGAGGCATAAGACGATCAGTATTTTGGAGGGTAAGGAGGGGAAGAGGAGGAGGAAGGAATCGCTGAGGAGAATGGGGATCGAGGAAGATGAGACGGATAACGAGGCTACGCCTGTCAAGGGTGCTGGAGTCTCCAGAGGAAGAGGGGCTGGTGGGTCGAAGAAGTTACCCAAGGTGCCGAAGCACAGTATCGACGAGGGAGGAAGGACGTCGCAGTTCATGGACGCAGATGATGCGGATGCACAGGAGCAGATTCAACAACAACTTGCGGCTGGTGTCAAATTGGTCAGTCTTGTTTATTTCGAAATTCGTTCTGGCTAATCTTGCGGACAGTACTCTTCTCCTCAGATGGGTTCGCTGAGCTCAAGAAGCATCAGGCACTCTCCCAGACGAACGGATCGACTCCCCCTCGGAAGCGAGACTTCGAAGGGCAGTCAGCTCCGCGCACCTCGATTTGACGATGGCTACTCCGTGGATAGTCGATCTTCGTCACCCGGAATTGACGGTGACAGCGAGTTTGGCCAATCTATGCGGAGCGGAACGGACGATACCGCTCTGACCTCCGTCAGCTCCCAAGGATCTATGGACTCTTCGCGGGGCAATGTCGCTGGTATCGGTAGTGGTGGTGGAATCGGTGGTGGCAGTGGTGGCAGCGGTGGTGGTGGTGGTAGTGGCGGTTCGCGAATGAATGGTGCCGCCAATCCTTTCGCGGAAGCTTTGAGCAAGCATATGTTGGCGAAAGGGCAAATCATGGCTGGAAGCGACAGTCCTGCGTCCATGCTGGCGCCACTACCCGAAGAGGGGTCGGATGGTGGCAGCGGCAATGGAGGTCCTGGCGGTTACGGTGGTCCTGGTGGGCCCGGTGGGATGGTCAATGGCTTCGGTGGTGATGCGCCTCCACCTCCACCTCCACCACCCCCGCCACCGCCGCCACCGCCTCCTGGCACGCCAGGTATGGCCCCGATTGGATTCACCTCTCTCTCACCTCCACCACCTCCACCCCCTCCGCCCCCGCCTCCGCCCCCTGGGATGGGGGGATTCCCTCATTTTTCCACCAACTTTCCTCCCCCACCACCACCACCTGGCTTCAAAGGTGGTATCCCCGCTCCTCCCCCTCCCCCTCCTCCTCCTGGTGCCTTCGGCTCTCTACCCACCTCTACCGCCAGCTCTGCGCGCAACTCTCTCCTCGGTGCTAGCCTCAACAATCTATGGAATGCTCGTAAAGAGATGCCCATCACACCTAGTACGAAGATGAAGCAACTGCAATGGGACAAACTTCCTCAACAGCAGGTTACGAAGACATTCTGGAAGAACGAGCAGCCGCAGCAGGAGAGTTTAATCATCCAGAAGCTACAGAAGGATGGCGTATGGCTACAGATGGAAGAGGACTTCAAGGCGAAGCAGCTTGTTATCAATCTTATGGGTGAGTTTAGTCGTTCATATTTGAGACTGCACTTTTGTTTACGGAATCTCTGTTATAGCTCGTCAGAGGCGTGCTGAACTCAAGAGTGTTCTCGATCCGCAGACGAAGAAGCGTGTCGGTGGGTAACTTTCTGTCACTCGCAGCATGAAAGGAGTGTTGAGTGTCCTCTTGTAGAAATCTTGATTCAGGGCGTGAAGAGGCTAGAGCCGGAAGAGATCGCCTTTAAGATCCAGCAGTTCGACCAAGACTTGTGTACGCAAGGCTTCCTCAGTGAACTGAAACCAGTTCTTCCTTCACCAGAGCAGGCAAGTTTCAAGCCTCCCTAGTGAAAGCGTATGCGCCTGACCCTGGTGTAGATTGGTAAACTGAATGTCTACCGCAACTCTGATGCTGAAGAGCTGGCTGGCTTGCATCCCTCGGACAGGCTGATGGTCAAGCTGATTCAGATTGAACGACTCGGACCTCGCATCGAGGGTATGCTTTACCGTGTGACCTTCGACGAGACTTGGTCACTGCTGGACGAGGGTGCTAAGAAGCTTTCGGAGGCTGGCAAGGCCCTTCTGGAGGCCAAGCGCTTCAAGGAACTCATGAGTGTATGTCATGATTCTCATTTTACCCTTGGTTGTATCTGACAGTTTGTCTAGTTGATTCTCCTCATCGGTAATTACATGAACGGTACCGGTATCAAAGGAGGTGCATTCGGTTTCCGTGTCAGCAGTATCAACAAGGTAACGTCCTGTCTATCGTGATAAGGCCAACGTGCTCACTTGCTTCTAGTTGGTAGATACAAAATCTGTCAACAACACGACACTTCTGCACTTCTTGGAGAAAACTGTGTCCAAACACTTCCCAGAGATGGAAGAGTTTTTGGATGAACTTGAGAAGCCCGCTGAAGCTTATCGGGGTACGCATCTCTGTACCGTTTTGGTCAGGCTCAACTGACGAGACGTCTTCTGCAGTCAACCTCCAGGATCTCCGTAAAGGTCTCGCAGAGCTCCGCGATGGTCTTAAGACCATCCGTACAGAATTGACTGAGCACTTTGCTGATCCACTTGACACGGACAAGTATGGCACGCAGATGTGGAGTTTCCTTTCGAAAGCAAGTCGGCAGGTGGACGACCTCATCGAAGATATCAATAATGCCGATACGACGTTCACGGAGGCGGTCAGCTATTATGGAGAAGACGACAGGAACATGACCTCTTCCGAGTTTTATGGCATCTTCAAGACCTTCCTCACTTCTTATAGGGTGCGTTTTCAGTTTTTGATAACCGATCGGTTGTGATTAGGTTTGAGGAATTGCGATTGCTGACATGGTGATTTGTGATTTTGTAGAAATGCAAAGCCGACAATTTGGCTTTCATGGAACAAAAGAACGCGCTGGAGAAGAGGAAACAGATGATGGAAGAAGCGAAGCAGAACCGGCAGAAGATTGTGGAGGTGAACGAGGCGGAGGGTGCAATTATGGATGCTCTGCTGGAGAAGCTGCGCAATGGCGATACAGTACGACGACGACACAAGCGTACGCCAGGGGAGAAACCTGCGGGCCTAACGTTGACGAACGATCCGTCAGCGCATCCGGGCAACGAGACGGCTGTGATGGCGTTGGATATGTTGGCAAGGTTGCAGTCGGATGGGTTTATTGTTCCGCCTACGCCTACGACGAATACGTTGAATCAGAAGAGGAGAAGGAGGAGGACGGAGAGGAGCCAGAGTGGGCCTGCCTCGCCGTTGCCGTCCTCGCCTTTGGCGGTGGAGGTTTCGGAAAGTTTTTATGAGGGCGGGGACTCGATGGCGGGGGATGGGGATGTGACGGTATCGATGGAGACGAGTCGGGGATACGCCGATTCGAGGGCGAGCAGTTACGGGTATGACATGGATGACTCTGGGCGGACAGAGTCTCCTGGGCCCTCTGCCTGAATGTCCCCTTGAAGCGCATAGTTTGCCTTTCCTTATTTCGCTATAATTAGATATCCTCCACAACCTTTTTCTTCGCGTTATTCTTTCTCTTCGCATTGATGATGACTTTCTTGAGCTCGCTGGGTGTTCATTTTTGGTTCTCTTCGGTTGTGGAACGAGCTCAGGTTGTAGTTTTCTGCACTCATTCATTCTTTTCTGGTTTTTGCAACACATCCCACTCTCTTTTTGTTTTATGGTTCCCTTTTTCCCTATGTAGCTATAAACTATCCACCTCATGAAGTTTGCGATCACGAACGAATAAGACAAGTTATTTAAGTTTACGAGTCCCGTGTTCCCCGCGGTGTGAGCATGATATCGCAGAGTTTATCGTGGTAACAAACACGCCATGTTCCTAGAGTTTGAACGATGGCGTCATGCGCAAAGTGGAATGTGATATGATAAAGATGCTGAAGGAGGTCCAATTCAGTGTTCACCGTTAATTCTGTCACTGCACACCTGGTCCTAGGCACACTACCACCTGACAGAAGTCCAAACAACCAAGGCCCCTTGAGCCCGCCATGCCTCTATACGTGATATACAATCCAGTTTGCGGGAACAAATCCGCTCCAGCGCTGTTTCGCGATCATGTCCTGCCATATCTAAAGAGGCGGGGAAAGGCTATCGAGTGTGTTGTGGAGACGGAGAGGGAGGGACATGCGGGGGAGGTTGTCGCTGGGCTTTTGAAGAAGTGGGATATAGACTGTGATTCAACTGGTGAAAGTAGAAAGGAACTCGATGGTCCCGGGGGAGAAGGAAGGGAGGAGGAGAAGACCCTGGATGTCATCCTTGGATCGGGGGATGGGACGTTACATGAAATCGTGAACGCTTTGTTCGGTAGTCCGGATGGTGGTCTAGCTCAAGAGTCGGGGGCAAAAGTGAAGATTGTCCTTGTGCCCTGTGGGACGGCCAATGCCTTGTATTCGAGCTTGTACCCGCCTGGGCCAAAGGATGAAGAGAATGCCGGTGGAAATGTCACGGAGAGTGTGGGGTACAAGATGAAAGCCGTGAAGGAGTACGCTGAAGGGAATGGAGGAGAGGTACCGTTGTCATTTGCTGTTACGACGTTGTTGGGTTCGGGCGGTAATTCGGACGGAAGGAAGAGGCTCGTGTCGAGCGTGGTCACGTCTACTTCACTCCATGCTGCTATCTTAAGGGATTCGGAAAGGCTGAGGGAGGAGTATCCGGGTATTGAGAGGTACAGTTCTTTTACATTTCAAACATTACTACCTATAGGGTATTGACGAAGTAACTAGGTTCAAGATTGCAGCTCAGGAGAATAGCGACAAGTGGTACAACGCCCGGGTTGAATTACTACCTCTGCAGGATGGGAGTCCTCCGACAGTGTATGATCCTGCGAGCAGCGAGTTTCGGGCTCTCCAGCCTCAGCCTCAGTCTGACGTTTGGTATATGGACGGACCATTCGCGTATTTCCTCTCCACCGTCAATGTGGATCGATTGGAACTGGAGTTTAATATTACAGCGTTAGCGAGGAGGATCCGCCCTCCGCCTGGAAGTTGTGATATTGTCATCGTTAGGCCACTTAGGGACCCAAGTTTAGCGAACGAAGGGGAAGAGGCGAGGAAGGCGTTTGTACCCAAGCTTTGGACCGTACTCGGCGGAGCGTATCAGGGAGGGAAGCATGTCTCTTTGAGGTATGGGGCGAATGGGGAAGTCGGAGAGGAGGGAGGGGAGGTGGTTGCAGAGTATGTGAGGTGTGGTGGATGGAGGTGGATTCCAGTGAGTGTCTTTTTATCGTTTGTGGGTTTGGATGCTGAAGGCACGGGTCAGGACAAGGATGATGCGGGTGCTCATTATATCTGTTCGGATGGAAGCGTCGTGGAATTAAAGAAAGGAGGAATCGCGGAATGTAGAGTCTCAACACAAGGACAGAATTTGGTCGTCTGTGCTAGTGCATGAGTGGAACGGCATTAGACATTACGAATCAGTAGAGCAGGAAACGATTACAAGCGTCCGTTGCGGTATATTTATTACTCCTGTATCGATTATCCCTTAATGTAGGTTTAGGTTTTTAGGCGGTGGTTTCCTTTGCTTTAAAGAGTGTCTTGACGACTTGTGTAGATTTCTGGTATACCTCGTCGATGCTGGCGGAGCTATCGATCTGGTCGATGGACGGAATGAGTGAATGGGCAAGTAATATAAAAGGGAGGCAGGCGTACCTCTGCGACCTTGGATTGTGCGGCGTAGTGCTCAATAACGGGCATAGTATCGGCCTTGTAGGTGCCTGGAGAGATGTCAGAGATACGACGGCTGTGGCGACGATAATGACGCACGGAATCGTTTCTTGATGCTCTCTACGTTGTCATCCTCCCTTCCGCTGGTCTTGCCTCGTTCAAGGAGACGCTCGAGCATAACCTCTTCGGTGGTCGAGTAGAACAGAACCAGCGATGACAAGCACACCTGGACACGATGAGCAAATTGCGTAGACACAGGAACTAGCGGCGATCGGACGCACCGTCTCGTCAAATTTCAGAGCCTGGTCCATCTTGCGGGGGAAGCCATCGATGAGGAAGCGGCCGCGACCTTCTGACCATCCGTCGCCTTGAGGAGGGTTCTCGAGGGCGGCCTTCATGGCGTTCTCGAGGAGCTTGATGGTGACCTCCATGGGGACGATGGTGCCCTCCCGAATGCAGGTGCGGATGAGTTCGCCATACTGGGACCCTTCACGGTTCTGTTCTGCGCGCAAGAGGTCGCCAGCTGCAGTCTTATGTGAGTGATGCTGGGTGATGATGAGGACGAATGTGGAGCGCACCGGAGAGATGGCAGAAATTGAAGTCGGAAACTAGTCGTGAGCATTGGGTGCCTTTGCCTGCGTCACCACGATGAGCGCGATCCTTGGAGGGTGGATTGTGGGATTCGCACCTGCGCCTGGACCTCCCAAAACATAAATAACTGTGATTTTTGTGTTATCGAAGACGGGGGAGGACGAATCGACGGTCATTGCTTTGGTTCGTGGTGTCTGGGGGGGACCAAGGGATGATCTTGAGCTCTAGGTTGGAGAGAAGCTGGGTTTGTCTGTTCTCGTTTCTTCACGACTGAATAAAAAGCAGCGAATGAAGTGACAGTGAGCGCGACGAGCAGCCACGGATTTGGGCCTTTTCGACTTGTCATGAAAGTCCGCTGTCAACAATTGTTTATCCACAAATCACTCACTCAGCATTCCCTTTGATCATGGATCGCGTCTACAACTTTCAGACAGATATTTATGCCTTTAGGGCTTGCCACAACGACGATGCTCAAGATTTGGTTGCTATTGGAGGCTTGCATTCTGTAGAGGTTCTTCAATTGGTATGTCTCTCTTCAACAAAATGAAACAGAGGGAATTGCTTATCGGTGTTTTGTAGAACAAGACAGAGGTCAAACCAATCGCGTCGTTCCACTTGGGTTCACGCGTTACTTCCATTGCTTGGTCCTCGTCCACCGTGTCGCCTTCAAAAAGCGATTCATGGTCTCTCGAGTACGTTGCCTGTCCCATGTCGCCATTCAATGACTGACCGGGGTTCATCCAGGTTAGCAGTCGCGACAGACGACTATGGCCTGCATCTCTTGACCAAATCCTCGACTGACCGCGAATACGTCTTCCCCTTCGGAGGAGGCCTCAGTGGACACCATGGAATCATCAACGACATGACCTTCTGTGGTGGGTGGACTGAGGATAGTTCGCGCTATGTCGCGACGGTGTCTGGTGTGTGCCATTCATAACAGTTACAACTGGGATATTGATCATACGGCAGACGACAAGATGCTCATGGTATGGGATTTGCGTCCTCCAAAAATCCCTAATGTGAATACCACACATGACGAGGACGAGGACGACATGTCTCCACCACCCCGCCCACAACCAACAGCTCTCGTCATCCCCTTCCCCCACCCTCTCGTCTCCATCTCCTCTCACCCCCTTACAAGCAAAGAGTTTTTGGTATCAGATTGTCGAGGTTCGGTCTTTATGACAGACTGGAGGCTCGACTCTGCAGATCTGGAGATGCAGAGCAACTTTAGGCATTCGAATTTGGTCGAGTTGGTCGATCCGGCCGCTTTGGCTGCTGCTTGTGTTGGTCAGAGCCAGAGGTGGACGGGGTCCGTTGGCTGGAGGAGTGATTCCTTGGACATGTGAGTTATCTTTCTTGGTCGTCGGACCCAACTTTTAACACGGTGCAGTGTTGGAGGTGTCTTTGGCAATCGTTTTGCCATTTGGGATTTGGCGAATTTGAGAGGCGGGAAGCCGGTTGTTACTTCGCAGGGTGTGATTGACGGCGGGCACAAGTTTAGGTCTGTTTCCCTTCTTCATGACCGGTTCATACACCCTATTCATCTCGAAAATAGGTGGTGCAAAACTTACCCCGAACACTTTGCCGTCTCGACCCAAATACCAACCAAAGGCGCCGTCATCCAAGTCTACAACTTGAATTTCCCTCACGCTCAGCCCACCGTATTCACGCTGCGACCCAAACCCCAGTTTGTGAGGGATTTCGACTTTTTGAGTGTCAAGGGGATTCCGCAGATTGCAGCCGTCATTGGGAAGACCGTCTTTGTGTTTGCGATTGGAGAAGAGTCGTGAATCGCCGTGCTTTCCGGCCTGTAGGTGTGATGCGTTGGGGTGCAAAGTCATGTAGCATTTCTTTTACCAAAGATCGATCGTGTATGTATCTAGCACCAAGAGAACATGTCAAGTATCACGACGTGGACGTATACCAAACATACGGATAGATAATCAAGCAGTGAACATTGGGTGAAGTTAAAGTGGTTACTACAACAACAAAATGGAGGGTGGCGTGTAAGGCTGGCAGAATGACATACTACAAAATAGACAATGTCGGTGGGTTAATTAAACAGGATGGTAGTAGGCTTAAAAGTACAATGAATGACAAAACAAGGGCCGAGGCGCGAAGGACGAAGAGAGCGGACGCAAGAATTATAACTAGTGACGAGGGTTGGAACCTATGGTTGAAGTCGGTTGTTGGTCGGTTGGGATGGGATGGATCGTTAGGATAGAAAGACGGGTTATGCAAAGTACACAAGAGAATTACAGACAAAGCAAGTATCGGACATGAAACGACGGGAGTGGACCAAGAGGGGGATGGGTGATAAGCCGCAAAAACGAGAAAACCAAGGACTGAGAGGGGTATGTGGGCGTAGGTATAGAGTGAAGAAGTGATAGCAAACATTGGACAAGCCAAGTTCAACAGGACAAAGAACGAAAAAGGTTGATAGATGGAATGATCACCGAAGATAATCAATGGCCATAAGTCGGGTGGACAGTTGCGTGAGGCGAAGTATTCATCGGGTGATACATTTGGCCTTGATGATGCATTGCACCTGGATGGTGCGCGTGTTGAGGTGACGCGGAATGCTGGTGTTGTTGGTGTTGGTGCTGCTGATGCTGCGTATCGGTGTACTGGGCAGCACGCGGATCGTTGGCACCAACCGCCAGCACGTTCGTTTGCGTTTCGTGTGTTCCACCGAATCCGAGCTCGATGAACATGTTCTTCCAGTAGTGTTGATCGAGCTCGGTGGCGTTGTGTGGAGCAGAAGGGAGCGAAGCATTGTAGTAGTGTTGCGTATTCGTGGTGGCGGAGGACGACGGTGTGACTGGCGGCGCATAGTCGGGGTGATAGGCACTCTGGGGGAGCGGGCCCTGAGGATGGTTTGGCATGTTGGGCGACGCAGGGAACTGGAATGCTTGATCTTGCACCCTGGGAACTTGATGGGGATAGGAAGCCTGAGTGGGGGACGCCATTTGAACAGGCCCTTGGGTAGGCGAGGCCTGATCTGCTTGTTGACGAAATCGGGGAAAAAAGAAGCATTGACCGTGAGTAAAAGCCGGGAAACAAGATATCGAAAACCCTAAAAGGAGGCTTAAACTAAGACACATACTCTGTAGCCGGGGATCTATTGGGACACCGCTGTCATGTTCTCTTCGACGTTGACGAAATATGTCATTTTCCAATAGACTTCGCAAAAAGCGACCGTGATACTCTGCCGAGACTGCGGTGGGGGATATCTTGGAGGCTTCCAGATAGGCGTCCCCAGTTTTGCCGATTAAGCGATAGATATCATTGGCAGTCGACTCGCCAATCTGGGTTAGCGTGGTCTGTGTACGGAGAAGCTGTTTGCCTAATCAGTATGATGTACGCGATGAGACGAGATTGAGCACACCTTGAGCAGGAAAACGGCAGAGTATGCACCCATAACGAGAATAGAATCTTGGCCATAACACTGTTACCCCGTGTCAAAAGCTTAAATCTTCGGCTATTCAAATGGACCATGCTTACAAGCATGCTCATCTTTACGAGATCTTCAGATAAGATACGAAGCGAGTCCAAAGCGCTGGTATAACATGTGGTGAGGGCCTGGAGACTGGGGGGTGTGCGGCTTCCCTAGAATAGAAACTGTGAGAGGGGTCGATAAAAGGCAATGGCGAAACCTTACAGGTATAAGTGACGCCTGGATACCGAAGCTATTCAAGAACAGCCGCACATAGAGTCGGAAGAAGGTCAAGAAGGACAAATGGAATCCTTCTCCCTTGGCTGTAGAAATGAAATGAGACTGCGATCGAGGGTGTGTTCGCGGTTCCGCTAACATACCTTTGTTCATTTCCGCCCTCCAAGTTTCATCCCAATGCGTCAACTTCGCGTTGCAGTTCCGCAACACGACCTCATAACTAATATCAGTGTTCCCTTTACCCGTGGAGAAGATATCCGTGGTTTCGGCCTGGCTTCGATGATCAACAATCCACACACAAAGGAAAAAAGAAGCAACTTACGGCTATCAACCGTAATTGGACAAAGGCGGCAATAATGACGTCCTCTGGACGCACTACACCATTGGGACTTCCGGTATGCCAGGATGTAGAGTGCTTGACAAGGTCGCCCTCCGGTAACATCCAGTGCCTTCCCGTCTGAGTGCTTAGACTGCGATCATGGACGAAGAGGACAAGATAAGTTCGTTCCCGGTTGCGTCGCTCTAATCGCTGCAACTCGGACTCATGGGGAGGGGGGTGGGCTACATAACGGTTCAAACCCAGTTCTACTGCCATGCGGCAGGCCTAAGAAATGATGTAAGTGGACAGGTTGAATGCAAACAAAGGGGAACTCCTCACGTAACCAATATAGGTCCATGTGCGCTATATGGACAGTTGGATTAGGAATCGCACAGATGTTAGTAAGACGGAACGCACATTGTCATCTGGATCCTTCCAATAGGTGAGGCAGGCAAATGCCTGCACGACCTCAACCCGCTTCCAAGCTTCGGCAAAGGCAAGCACCGCAAATTCGTTGGCAAGCTTCTGACACTGTTTGAATGACATGGGCCGCCAGAATCTGCAGCAGACCATGAGAAGAGTCGTGAAAAGGAAAGGGCATTTTGCGCGGACGTAGGGAACGGTGTGTAACGTAGGATCGAAAAGGTTGATGAAAGGATTCAAACGGAGGAAGAAGAGATCAAATAGGACTTTGGTATCACTCTCTTGGAGAATGCCAGCCGAGATTGGATCAAGGGGGCCCGTCGGTGCCGGGGGAGCTGCGATCGATGCCTGGGAACGGGACTGCTGGCCCTCCTTGGGATGCTGGTCCTGAGGATTGAGTATGATTCTTAGGAAAGTGTTCTTGGACTGCTGAACGAAGTTGGCGGGATACATTGTTTCCGTTTTGTCGGTCTCATCATCCTCATCGACGCCATCATTAGGAGTTGCGACTGGAGCGGGGGAATACTGTTCAGGTGCCGGCTGATAGGTGGAGATTGGGATGGTTGGTGCTGGGGGAGGTGGTTGCTGGGGAGCGGACTGATGTTGCTGAGAGACGTAATGAGGACTCGTGGGTGGCGGGGGACCGTAGGGTGAGTCGCAGGGATGCATGACAGAATAAGGTTCTGGGCCGCCACGGATATCGGGTGGCGGATATGCAGGAGCGGGAGCTGCTTCTGCTGACTGAGACTTTAATTTGGCAGTATTAAGACCCTTTTCGAGTCTTCTGAGCATCTTTGAGGCTTCGGACAGCCTGGATGAGGGTGGATGTGAGGGAGAGAAGCGAGAATTGGACGGGGGGACGCACTTTGAACCGGGCTTTCTGCCTCGGCGATGCTTTTCGAAAATACACCTGTTGCGTGATGAGAACAAAGGTTAAAATAAGCTGCAAAAAAGAGACTTGCTCGACGTTGGCGCGCTTGCAGCGTTGGCAGGCTTTCTGGCCATCCTCTGCGCCAACGCACTTCATCTAGGGCGGGGGGATCAGGTGGGTTCCCCACACAGCATGTTGAATACGGACCTTGGCAGCGCGGCATACTGTGCAAGCCCGAGCCCCTCTGACGACGGGGGGTTTCTGACTATGGTTGCAGGTGTGAAACAAAAGGTTATGAGGAGCGAGAGAAGGACATACGGTGGCTTTGTGTCGGAATCGATGTCCATTGGAGGTGAATCCCGGGGTTCAATGAGGACAGGCGACGGTGATCAAAAAGTGGTCAGAGACGCCGGAGAGCGTGCCAGCCGGAGGCGACGACGACGAGGACGTTCTGTTGACGCTGTGAAGAGCGGCGAGAGGATTGTGGACGGGCTGAAGGACGTTATGTGGGCAGAGGCGATGGTGGTTGTGGTTCAAGGGACGAGAGAGGGCGGCGACGACTTTGTTTTGTTTGGTTTGGGGGTATCTCGCCAAATCAGCGTTAATTATTATCGATTTCTCTTAGGCGTTGTGGGTGATGCTCAGATGGACCCAAATATATTCTCTGGCGCCGTATACAGCCTCGCCAATACAGCATGCTCACCGCAGATGTTCACCGTACCCCGGCTTATAAATGTTTCACCGGACCTCGCTATAAACACCGCACCCCCCCTGAAACACACCGGATGCGATTCCAAACAATATTTTTCTTTTTTCTGTCTCCCGCGACGCTGCCTGCGTTCTCAACACACACCCAGAACCCGTCTGTCTGTCCCTCACACACCGTGCTCGCCACACACCCTTCCAACACCAAGTCGGTCCAAATAATTCCGCTTTCATCACAGAGTCACGTGAGCCTGTGACTCACAGCCATTGCGTTCTCACACTCGCGCCGTCACTGGTCTCTCACCTGAACGAGCATCATGGTCAGAATAATCATTAAAGGAGGTGTGTACTGCTGCTTTATTTCCTGGAATTACATATAGCTGATTTCTGTATAGGTGTATGGAAGGTACGACTATCTGATAATCTGAAATTAGAGGCATACGACTTATCGTTATCCAGAACACCGAAGATGAAGTCCTAAAGGCTGCTATCGCCAAGTACGGCAAGAACCAATGGTATGTTCTTCCACTCTGCAGCTGTTCTGTTGCTTATGCGATACCAGGGCGCGTATTTCTTCCCTTCTTGTCCGCAAAACGCCCAAGCAATGCAAGGCGCGGTGGTACGAATGGCTGGACCCGTCCATTAAGAAGACCGAGTGGTCCAAAGTGCGTAAATCCCTTCTTACTCTCCGACCCAACTTGACAATTCCTCCAGACAGAAGATGAGAAACTCCTTCATCTAGCAAAGCTCATGCCCACGCAATGGCGCACCATTGCACCCATTGTCGGTCGAACCGCAACTCAGTGTTTGGAACGGTACCAGAAGTTGTTGGACGAGGCAGAGGCGAAGGATAATGAAGAGCTGGGGCTGACGGGTCCGGACGATGCTGGGAAGAGTATAGAGGACATTAGGAGGTTGAGGCCGGGAGAAATCGACCCTGACCCCGAGACGAAGCCTGCGAGGCCCGACCCGATAGACATGGACGAGGATGGTACGTGGCAATCCCTCGACTAAAAAATATCTACTGACATGAATTTTAGAAAAGGAGATGTTGTCGGAAGCTCGTGCACGTTTGGCCAACACCCAGGGTAAGAAGGCAAAACGGAAAGCGAGAGAGAGGCAGTTGGAGGAGGCGCGTCGGTTGGCTGTTTTGCAGAAGAAGCGTGAGCTCAAGGCTGCTGGTATCATGTAAGTAACCATTGTGGTATCGTATGTGCGCTTCTAACGGTTATCTAGTATGCGGTCCAAGACCAAGAAGAAGGGCATGGACGTGAGTACCCTACTCCCGTTTAATCAACAATTGCTAACTTTTCTCCAGTACAATGCAGATATCCCATTCGAGAAAAAGCCCGCTCCTGGCTTTTACGATACCTCAGAAGAACAAGCCAAGGTCGCAGCCGCCCCCGTTGGCCAGTCCCTTCGCCGTCTGGAAAACAAGCGCAAACCGGAAGAAGAGGAACTTGAGAGAAAGAAGAGGCAGAGGAGGAACGAGAAGGAGGGTGGAGGCCAAACCAAATTCGTCCCAGCTCGTGAGGCACAGATCCAGAAGCTTAAGGAAGCCGAATCTATTGGTCGAAGAAGAAAACTCGTCCTTCCGGGCGCTCAAGTCGGAGAAACCGAGTTGGAGGAGATTGTCAAGATTGGCCAGGCTGGAGAAAACGCTAAGGCATTGGTTGGCGGCGGAAGTGACGCCAGTGGCAAGCTATTGAGCGACTATGATGGGTTGGACGCTGCTCGAAGTGCTAGAACACCGCGAACTGCCCCTCAACGTAAGTCTTGTGGTTAGATTTTGGCGTTTCGGTCAAGCTGACTCGGTTTACTATAGAGGATACCGTACTCATGGAAGCTCGCAATCTCCGCAACATGACGATCGCCCAAACACCCCTGCTTGGCGATGAGAATACCCCCTTGCATATCGCGCCCGGCGGTGGTACCGGCTTTGAAGGTGCTACGCCTCGCCACCAAGTCGCGTTCACTCCCAACCCCCTTGCAACACCCTACCGTACTGAAGGTGGTGGTGATGTTGGTGCGACACCTCGCGGCGTCGTGGGGGCAACCCCTCTCCGCACGCCTCTCCGCGACAACCTGGCAATTAACCCTGCAGACCAAGGCTCGCAAATGAACGCCGCGAAACGAGCCCTGCGAGCCGGTTTCTCGAGCCTTCCCAAACCCGAAAACAACTTTGAACTTTTGGTCCCCGATGACGAAGAGGTGGAGCCAGAAGCTGGTGCTGCAGTCAGAGAAGAGGACGCCGCGGAGCGTGATGCTCGACTGAAACGGATGCGTGAAGAAGAAGAGAGGAAAGCCCTCGCCCGCCGATCTCAAGTTTTGCAGCAAGGCCTACCTCGACCGGCCAACGTGGACCCTGCCGCGCTGCTTCAACGACTCTCGTTGGATGACGAGGGCATGGAGCGGGAAGCTGCTCAATTGATTTATGCGGAGATGGTTGATCTTATGAAGCACGATGCAATCACGAACCCGCTGCCTGGTACGATGACTCCTGGAAGCGCGCAGTCGACATATGTGATCCCTCCGGATGAAGACCTCGCAAAGGCGAAGGATGTGATTCATAAAGAGTTGGCAGGGATGGTTGGGTTTCCGAACGCCAACCCGGCGCAGGTGCATGAAGGATTGGTCGCAGTTGCGAGGAATGAGATCGGAGATGGGGGAGAGGATGGGTCGTGGGCCTCGATTCGTGCTGGATTAGTCCTCCACCCCAAGCTTAGGACGCTGGTGAAACCAGAGACCCTGAGCCTTGAGGAGCGCGTGGAGGGATATGGGTTGTTGCTAAATGACTACCGGGAGGCAATGACCAAGTTGGCAACGAGAGCTGCGAAGACGGAGAAGAAGCTTGGTGTTGTGCTTGGTGGATATCAAGCGCGGGGACGGGCGCTTGCGAAGAGGTTGGTTGATGCGTTTGCTGAGATTCAGCAGACGACTGTGGATTTGAGGAGTTTCGAGCGGTTGAGGGCGAATGAGGCTGTTGCTGGGCCGCAGAGGGTGGTGTTGTTGAAGGAGGAGGTGGACAAGTTGGAGGGGAGGGAGAGGGCATTGCAGATGCGGTATGCAGAGTTGGATCGGGAGAGGAAGGAGGCGGAGGAGAGGGTCGCGGTGTTGGAGGACAAGGTGATGGCTGCAGCCGAGGCGTTCAACGAGGCCCAGCTTGCTGCCATGGAGGAGGACTCGTAGTTGGACTTGTTTTTCTCTTGTGATTTTATTATCTACGGTACTACGGTACAGTGTATTTACAGTCTCGGCATACATAATTTCATTATCAGCCCAGGGTTTCCTAAATGGTAAAGAATCTGGTGGAAGCGGTGGTTTGCCTCGAGGCATGCATGCCGCGTTCTTGGCTTCTTTTTCGACTGGGTTCTGGCACTGGCAGCTGAGGTATTCAGACGGTCACGGACTTGCCTGGAATGTCCACCCTTTCCTTCGGATTGTCGACGTCTTTCTTCTTTTGACCGTCCATCCCCCTGCTGCTGCCTATAATGCCTGTGGTTGTAGGTGGTGGTGTCGACCACCATGTTTACTGGCCGGCAACGATAACCGTTGCTCCTGCCGCGACTGCGGTGCCAGCTTTGGAACCTCGTGCGGTTTCGACTACGACGTTGTATAGGACACCTTCGTATACCGCTGAAGCAGTGGATGACCACGGACCTCGTGTTCCCGTTGCTGCTATCGCGGGTGGGGTCGTTGCCGGTGCGCTCCTTGCCATCATTGCGACCATTGGCTGGATCTGGTGGGGGCGGTCTTTGGATAGGTCTGCTGCTAAGCAGCGGAGAGAGGCTGTAAGGTTCTCATTGTACTCGCGTTTGAAAGGTGCTGAACATTGGAGGTAGGCTACGAGGTACAATACCCTACGAAATGCGACTATCAGTCGTCCTCGTCCTCATACGCGCTATCGACCCATGTATCAACCTCAACTGCGAACGGCCGAAAAGCAGGTCAAGTTTGCAAATTCGGAGGGGGAAGGCGGGGTGGACGGGAATGGGCAGCCGGTTATGACTGAGGTACCGGTTCCTCCTCCGACGAGGGCCCAGAGGTTAAGGGCTATGACGCGACTACATACGACGATGAACGGACACGGGAACGGGAACGGGATAATGATGCAGGAGGCGGGAGAATCATTACGACCAGCACCTCGGATAGTACACCAGCCCTCAAAGCAGACGATGAGCTCGGCCTCTGAATACTCTACAGCCAGTGGTGAAGAACGGCAAATACGGGCACCTTCAAATTTACTGCTCGCTGCACTTGGGATGGGGCGAACGGGGAGTACGGAAGGGAGCAGGCATAGTCAGAACATGGATGATAGTGGGAGCGGGAGGAATAGGTGGTCGTGGTCGTCAAACCTGGGGATATTCACTCGACATAGTCGGCAGCAGGGCAGAACGGCTTACAGGACGTCTCAGGCGACAGAACATTCTGCTACGACGGACGGGAGTGGACGTGTTGTGGTGATGGGTGTCGCGCTGTGACATGGGTCGTTATTATCTATATTGCAAAAAGTGGGAGACCCGGCCCTGTGTCTAGACATGGAGCAAAAAGGCAGCGGTATTACAGCGACTTGAGGTATTCCTGGACACATTTTGTCAAAACAGGAGGACAGAAGAAGGACATTGTAGTGACTACACACCTGTTCTAACCTGCCCACGGACGCTTTGAAGTTCTCAACTTCTTTCCAGCAATCTAGCGACGTTGATGTATTTTGTCTGCGTAGATTAGTTTTTTTTTCACTGGGACACATTTTGATGCATATTCTAGTAACTCACTTGTAACATTCAACAACAGCATTGCTGGCTGCTTGAATATCGGGGTGTTCAGAGAGAGTTCGCTTTGCGTGGTACTTCTCGATTTTGGCCTTGACTTCCTCGAGGTCACCGAAGAGGGCAGCGCTTGTTTTCACGTCGCCGGAGGATGAACCGTCTTCATCCGAGGACGACGACTCGCCGGCCATGCTCCTCTCCCGGTCCAAGTTCTCCTTCTCGAGAGCAGCTTCGATTTGCTGGCGGACATCCTCCTCTTCGCGTTTGAGAGCCTCGAGTTCGCCTTGGATGCGGGCACGAATGTGAGCGTCGATGAGGGACTGGCGTTGGGGAGGGGTGTCGACGGACTCGAGGTTGTCCGAGAGCTGGTTCACGACATCTGGCGAGAACTGTTGTCGTGTAAGGGAGAATTTGAAAATAGGAATAGTTTACTGACCTGGATTGGTACTTCGTTGTGGAAGACCTTTTCTTCTGGCTGCGATGTCGACTGAGCCGCTCCCATTTCGTGACAGTGAGTTAACACCAAAAGTCCGGCGCTCCTTGCCTTGGCCTCGCCGCGTCGGGCACGGCGGAGTTTGAATTAGCTTGGGCTCGATGGAACATTGGCGACGACAGAGCGACCTCACCACGAGGCTTCCCTTTTCTTCTCTTCCAACTCACTCTTGATTCTCTTCCAGGGTTCTATACAAATCCACATCTGTGAAGGGAATCCCAACCCCATTCACAATGGCCAAAGCCCACCTCGTCCCAGCGATATTTTCTTCGCTCCATCGTCTCTCGGCCTATGTCTTTTTAAAAATCATCCCAACCACAATTGGGCCTCTGGTTTTGCCCGTTTTCTATGTTGCATATCTTATCTCGTTGGTACTTTGTCCTGCCGCGGACTCTCCCACCCCGGCGATCACCGCCCCTGTGCAGACATCCCAAGACACCAAAGAGGCCAATGGAGACGCGAAAAACATCAAGGAAGAAAAGCCTCTTCCCCCTCCTCCTGTTACCCAAGTGCGCCCTTTCCCTTTCTAGAATTTCGCTCTGTACTCAGACCAAGCCTAGCCCAAACAACCTTCACTCGTCCCCTCGTTGCTTTTCTCTTTGAAAACGCGCAATTGGCTCCCCAACGCCCTCAATGTTGCTATCAACACCATCCTATTCGCTGCTTGCGTGGACTTGACACTGAACCCTGTGTTTTATCCCGAGACTGACGTCGCGTTTGCGAGGGTTGGAGCCGTTTATCCCGACGCGGCAAAGATCACTGTCCGGTTCCCTTCCTCCGAGGTCACCCAGCAGGACGTCCGCATTTTGTACAGAGAGGCAGATTCGCCTTTGAATGGGTGGAAGGATGGCCCGGTCCTCTCCGTTTCCGAAGAGTTTGATTGGGTTAATACCACCAGGTTGAAGAACCTTTGGCCGGAGACTGTCTACGAATGTGAGTCCCTTCGATTTTTGTTGGTGGAGTAAACGCCAATACGCGTATTAGACACGTTTTCGGATATGAACAGAACCCTTGTCGATGATGCTGTTCCTCAACGCTTCCAGACCTTCCCCGATGCAAGGTTCAACTCCGGTTCCCACTTCAAGTTTCTGGTGTCGTCGTGTATCACCCCCAACTTCCCGTACAAGGGTCCACAGGAGCGTCTGATGATCAAGGGATTTGACTTGCTCGCCAAATACCTCACCCACGAGGAGGAATCGACAGAGGAAGCTGTCAATATGACTGGATCTGTCTCCAATACCACCACCGCCGACGAACCAGTTGCAGAACAGAACGCCACCGTCCCCGAAGTTGCTGAGGAGCAAGTGCCCCTTGTTGCTCCGGAATCCGCCCCTTCGGCCTCTTCAGTAATCTCCAACCTGTACAAGTTTATGCTTTTCCTTGGTGATTTTGTCTATGCGGATGTGCCCTTCTACTACGGCGACGACAAGGATGCGTATTTGCGTCTTTACAGGCGCAATTACGCCAGTCCCAGTTTCCAGAAGGTGTACAGGAACTTGCCGGTTTTCTATGCTTACGATGATCACGAGGTATGTGGCCTTTCCGTGTGGAGACTTGCGATTAGGATTAACAGTTGGGTAGATCTTTAACAACTATGGTGGGGAAGGAATTGATGTCGCCCCATATGCCAACGCGACGAACGGGTTTTCATTGTACAACGGGGACGCAAACTACGATCCTACGGTGCAGGGAGACCATTACTACAACTTCAGCTATGGCGATACTGCGTTCTTCGTCTTCGACACTCGCCGCTACCGATCCAATATCGACACCACCGCCCCTCAAGACCGCACGATGCTCGGCCCTGTCCAACTCGAAGCCTTCCACAACTGGCTTGCTAGGGTTAATCAAACTGCAACCTTCAAGTTTGTCGTCTCGTCTGTGCCGTTCACCTCGCTTTGGGGCCATGACGCGCAGCTGGATTCGTGGGCTGCGTTCGCACGCGAGAAGAACCAGGTTCTGAAAGCCTTGCAGAGTGTCCCGAACGTGGTCATTTTGTCGGGTGACAGGCACGAGTTTGCAGTGATTGAGTATGCTGTCCCTCAGCACTCGGAGGATAAGAAGGGTTATGTGGTTAGGGAATATTCGGCGAGTCCGTTGAATATGTTCTATATCCCGTTCGTGAAGACGTTAAGGATGGAGAGTGAGGACGTGGTTGTAAGGAGGTGGAACGAGACTAGGTTAACAGAAGAGGGACCTGTTGTGGAGGAGAAGACCGAGCTTGTGCCCAAGGAACGGGTGTTGCAGTATATTCCTGTGGGGAACGTGAAGTGGTATGTTGTCGTCTTTTCATTAATTCTGACCGGGTGGCTGATGGCGATACGCTACAGGTCCTCCATCGAGGTTGATACGAGGAACCAGAGTCATCCCGTTTTGAGGCTTGAGGCTGTTATTGATGGGAAGACTGCTTACCAGTGCGTACCGTTTGTGTCATATCTTTCACGATAAACTCACACCTGCGTAGGTTGGAGACGATTGGCACACCTGTCAACCATAACAACGGCAAGGCCTTGATTTCTGTTCCTCTCGGCCTCAAGCACTTCCTCGGAAAACTTGGTTTCCAGTCGAAACGATGGTTCTAAAACGACAGACACGGATAGACAAGACGGACGACGATGACGATTCGGATGACTCCATGAAAGTACACTGACTAACCTACATAAGTAATCGCATTCGAAAGACTATTTCTTTGCTTTTTTTAGACCCTTCTTGTTTTTAACGTATGTGTACGATTTTGATTATTAGTTTTTTTTTTTTTGGTTAACGACCCAGGACACGCTATTTGTTGTACCTATCTACACCTTCGAATTTCTTTTCCCAATGGATACGGTATACTACAGTATGTATGTATGTAGAATCATCTATTTCTGACCCTTCACCTCGGGATCCTATCCGCCTTTCACTCAGTCTTTATCCTGTGTGAACCGCTGTTGTACTAATCGGTAGTGTTCCATCTCCGCCTCGCTCACACTAGGCACTAGATTCTTCAATGCGATCATGAAATCTTCCTTTGTGACCGTTACGAGGATTTCTTCCGGTGTGGCGAGTTCGGAGAGGTAGTACTGTGGTGTCAGTGGGTAGGGGTGCTTGACTCCGGATGTGGAGGAGAGAGCGGCGAGGTCAGATTCTGTTATTTCGGCTGTGAAAGGAACGTGCGTTAATTGGTGAGGGGAGAAAGGAACGGGACGGCAGCGTACAAATCCGTTTATCGATCAGAGCGGCCTTGCGAGACATCGCGTTTAGCATTGCGTCTGAGCATAGAGCGTAAAAGTCTGCTCCGGTGTAGTTGAATGGACACTGTTCGGCAATGTCCCGTAGGTTAAGGTCCGGGTCGAGTCTGAACTTCCGTGTTAGGGCTTCGAGAATGTTGAATTGGGCTTCGTGGGTATCGCTGACGCCGAGGTAGAGCATGCGGTCGAATCTGGGGTGTGTTATGTGAGCAAGGGATTGTTCGGGAGGATTGGAGAAGCATCGTCGTACCTTCCAGGACGCAAAAGCGCAGGGTCCAGCAAATCCGGTCTGTTCGTAGCGCCGATCACAAACACATCCGAACTACCATTCTCACTCCCAGCCATCCCATCCAACTCCGCCAACAACTGACTCACTATCCTGTCCATCACCCCTCCTGAATCTCCTTGGTTCCCTCTCTTGGGTGCCACGGAATCCAGTTCGTCGAAGAAGATGACGCATGGTTTGGCGTCTCGTGCTTTCTGGAAGACGCGTCTGACGTTGGCTTCGGATTCACCGATGTACATGTTGAGGAGTTCTGGACCTTTGACGGAGAAGAAGTTGAGAGAGCAGGAGGTGGCGACTGCTTTGGCGATCAAGGTTTTGCCTGTTCCTGGGGGTCCGTAGAGAAGGATACCTGAAACCGTGTCAATAAGTCCTCAGAATAAGGAACAAGGGGGAAAGGGTATTGTTACCTGATCGCTTCTTCAATCCGTCCGCAAAGAGTTCGGGATGTTCGAGCGGAAGTTGGATTGTATCGAGGATGTCAGCTTTGACATGTGCAAGGCCTCCAACGTCGTCCCATGACACGGTTGGGATCTTGGGTGCACCGATGCTTTCCGAGTACGCATCGCGTGCCTTGCCCAGGGCTGATTCAAAGTCTGCTGCCGAGAGGCTTACCCCTGCGAGTTGGACGCTTTGTTTCGACAGGCCTCTGGGGAAGACAGAGTTAGAAGTGAAGGAGGAAAGCGGACGGGGGATAGTTTACTTGTTCTTTAGTGTTCGTTCGAGAGAGTGTGTGTGTGCTCGAGCGACCAGGTCGACCAGGTCGGCTGCTACTAGTGCGGCAGTTTGAGTTGCAAGGTGGGATAGGGAGACGTCGGAGGAGAGAACGGCAGTGTGAAGGAGGCTTGCGAGGATTTCATACCGGGATCGTTCATCTGGCACCTATATCAAGAAGATATGGTTTGTCAATTGTAAGGTGAAAGCAGTGGCCAGGGTACCTCAATGTTAATCTCGTGCTTGAATTGGGAGAGGATGCTCGGCGGGACCTGACCAGATTCCGTGACTGTGCCCACGACGATTACTGGGAACCCTGTTTCCTTCCAACTCTTCTGGAGATTGCCGACACATTCCTGGAGGACGGCCGAGAGTGGGGATTCTAATTGGGAGTTGTCGTTACGGTTACAAGTGGAAATGCGCGAGATGAGTACCTTTGCCTTGGGCTGGCTGGGTCGATCCTGCAAAGGCCTCAAGTTTACGGAGGACAATGATGCAAGGGCTGCATTGGGTCGCTTGATCGAACCGAACGCGGAGTGTTCCTTCTGTCTTGGTATCATTCTCGCCTATTAGGTCGTAGCAATCGAGCTGTACCTTCGTCAGTAACTTGTCAAGTGGGAGCTGGGATCGTTGTCACCTCCATGATGTGGATCCCCAATTTCTGCGCAACCCACGAGATAGTGGTATATTTCCCGACACCTCGCTGGCCTTTAATTAAGAACGTCAAGTCTAAGTGACAGTCCAAAGACCATTTGGTCATTGAAGCTGTCGCCATGGCCAACAGCTTCCCGAATGGACTCGACGGAGCCAGTAAGGAAGAATCCCGTTCTTCGAGAATCTTGAGGATACCACTGGACATCTTCCGTTCGAGGTCATAGTAGCTACCAGGATCGGGAATGCGGGAGTGTTCGATACCTGTTTGCATTATCCGAGTGACGGAAGGGTCAACCCAACACCCTAGCTCGCCCATTTGGCCGCCGAGGTAGAGGTCTTGGGGGGATGGGTGTGAGGGAGAGGATGTGTCAAGGATGTCGTACTCGACGTTCGTGATCATGAAATAGACGAGGGTATGCTTGTTGGATGAGGAGTCGAGAGGTCTGGTAGGCACTAGTTAGTGGTCAGTGATCTTTGGATATGGAGAAGACGCACAGAGGACCCAAGGAGTCTGGGTTGGAAGCTGCATCGTCTGCGTCATGGACCCATCTTGATCGACTTGCTTCGATAGGGACTGCGATGATGTCGCCTTGCTTTACCAATCGTTGGGTTTGGTCGAAGTGGGCTTTGAGCCCGGCGAGGAAAGAATCCTGGTATACCTTGTTGATAGAGAAAGGGGAGGCGACGCGGGCGATGGTTATTGCTCGGGCTGTTGGGATGAAGGGGCGGTGGGATCCGAAGGGGCTAGGGAGTAGCTGAAAGGAGGGAGATTGGGAGGAAGATGCTTTGGAGGTGAAGTCAGTTTGATCGGAGCGAGTTATGTTGAAGAGGAGTATGGGGCTGGTTTTGACTGTGCCGCTGAATGGTGGTATAAACTGTGAGTTATTGAACGTGAAGGAGAGGAGGGCACTGACCTGGATTCGACCAGAGAGTCGTCTACCACGACGCGGACGAGCCGATACTGTGAAGCAGAGTTCCCTGCAACTGCCTGTATGACGAGTTAGCATTCACCCTGGGGTGAGGAAGACTATATTCTTACCCAATCAAAGTTCAACACTCCAAGTTTGCCCAGATCTGACGTGCGCAAGTACAATGTGGTGTCGTCGTTCTCTGCAGAAATGATCTTTGGGAGAGTTGCACCAGTGAAGCAAGTTCGCTCATTGCGAATGGGCCGATCATCCGAAGAGGCTGAACGGGTATTCAGAGGTTTCGACAAAGCGGAGTTTGCGAGAAAATTCGAGTCGATCTCTATCACGTCTGTTAAGTCTTCCGTTGATTCTGTCACGGAGCCTTCGGAACTATCGTCCTCCTCGTCGTTGGAGAGAACGATGATCCGGGTAACACCCTTCTTTATGCATCCTTGGAGAACAGATTCGGTTGCTTCGATTGTAAAGGTGTAGCTTTCTGTAGGGACGATGTCCCCGTTGCAGAGAGGAGTAGGGATGGAGAGGGTGTCCCCCTGACGAAGGATAGTTTGTTGATTGAACCAAGGATCAAAGAGGGAGTCTTGGTCCGTAGCTGCGGTGTAGCCATGTTGTGAGGTGGCGATTAGGATTACTTCGGTGAGAGTTATGGGTTCGGTTGGGAAGATGGAAAGCGAAGTGCCCGGGAGGAAGAAATCTTTGTAGCGTCGAATCCAGGTTGGTGGTATTGCGATGCTTGAGGAATCTACCTGGTCAAGTTAGTGTAAGAAATTGAATTTTTAGAATCTGTGAGTACCTTGTCGTCTGGCAAAGCCCAGCAGACCAGCGAGGGGTATCGTCGTGAATACGCGCCCTGGACCGGTTTAAGCGCGATACAGAGTCTGTTCAGATGGCTCTCTGAAACGAGACTGGACCAGAGGCTATGTCCAACGAGAACAGAATCGTTCTCTGTGTCCTGTAAAAGATATTTTGCTTCGCAGCGGGGACGATTGTTGAAGAGAAATGGCATGGTTCACCGGCAACCTTTGCGTCTCGCGATTTCACGTTCCCGGACGGATGTGCGCTAATTATAGCTCCCGCCATCAGTGATTTTTGGGTTATGTAATCGTCATCCCAGGAGATGCGAAAATGCCAAGCCTGGGACTTGTTCTGAACGCTTAGATTTTTACTACACAAACTATGAGTCGCGGTGGAGGTTCAAGAGGCTTTTCAAGAGGTGAGTAACATAGTTTGGGGAATTGTGAATTGGGGCTTATTGGTTTATAGGCGGAGGACGAGGTGGTGGACGACCTGGAGGATTCCAGAATGCGGGACCCCCAGACCAGGTTCTGGGTATACGCCGTCTTTATTATCGTTGAAGCCGTATCTGACTGAACTGGGGATCGTAGAAATGGGATCGTTCATCCACGCCGTTGAAGGCGAAATGCTCTGCTCATCACTAATGCCCGACAAAGTCCCCTACTTCAACGCCCCCATTTACCTCCAAAACAAATCCCTCATCGGCAAAGTCGACGAAATCCTTGGTCCTATAAACGAGGTTTACTTTTCGATCAAGATGGAGAACGGGGTCATTGCAAGCAGCTTTAAGAAGGGTGACAAGGTGTATATTGGAGGCGACAAGTTGCTGCCTATTGAAAGGTTCTTGCCCAAACCCAAGGCACCGCCTGGTATGTTTTTTTATGGCTTGCATGAACAGCAGGGAACTCATGAATTGGCGATTTACAGGTGTTAAGAGTAAGTTTGTATATGGTACATGTGGATCTAAATTAAGCGTCTTTCTTTCCCTCAGAGCCAGGCCGTGGAGGAGCAGGTGGACGAGGTCGGGGTGCACCGAGAGGACGGGGCGGTCCAAGGGGAGGAGGTCGGGGTGGGTTTGGTGGGCGTGGAGGCGGAGCCGGAGGTCGTGGATTTGGTGGAGGACGAGGAGGAGGACGAGGAGGGTTTGGTGGAGGCCAGGGGTGGTCGTGGTGGATTCCGAGGCTCATAATCCCAAAACAATATCGTTGCTCTCCTTATGGCCTCAGAGACTTGATCTCTGCAGACACGACCTTTACTCGTTCGCTTCTTTCTTGTTGTTTTTGTATTGTCTGTGAATACCAAAAATCAGCCTTGTGCAATCATTGAAGGCTGTTGTAACAAAGCATACCTGCGAGAGTTCCTCTGCGAGGGCGGTCGTTTTGAGAACGGCTTCTGTCGCGCTTTCTAGATCTATTGGACGTTGAGATCGGTTGAAAACTATGCTTTCAGTGAAATGTACCTTTAATTGGGTCTTCGGGTGGGACTTCTTCCGTTTCTTCAGCGTCAGCGCCGACCTCTGCGTCGAGTTGATGGTGTTGTTGCAGAGATTGGCCGACTATTGCACTGATTTCTGCGGGTGCGTTCTTTCGGTTTTCCGCTATCCGTTTGTCCCATTGGAAACGGGTGTCTGCTAGCGACCAAATACGCCGGTCTAGTGCTTCGTCGAATGACTCCATGTCTGTAGAAAAATTAGAGTCAACTCAAAAGGCGGATGAGGGACGTTCTTACCATGTGCGTTTATATTTTCTAGAGCTGCAAAGGGGTTCCCGTTGACGCGAAGGTTTGGTTGCGCGACTGTAAATGTCCTAGAAATGAACTGAACAGTTTAAGCTGAATGTTTCGGGCATGTAGACACGCCCATTCTACCTCTTGCATATGTTGGTTGAGCGCGTCGCGTTCGGATTGGAGACCTTTTGCACGAACTTCTGCTTCGAGTATTGAAGCGGCTGTCTGGCGGCAATTGGAAGCTAGTCTCTTCCAGTCGTCGACGGTATCTACTGATATTCTGGGGAGATCTTCGCGTGGTGTGGCCATGGCTGATGGTGGTGGGTAAAAGACAAGCTGTGCCATTCATGAGACGCGCTGAGCTGTCTCAAAAACCCAGCCCCTATTACTAGTACATATTATTACACTACAAGTCCGAAATATAAAGAGGGGTCCTATCAAGGTGCTTTGGATTTCTTGACAATCTTGATACCGAGTTTGTTCGTCCCTGTCTTTGCTTTCTTCGCTGCAGGTGCGGAGGAAGTGAGGGTGGCTGTCTTGGAGGTGATCAAAGCCCGAGCGGATTCGGAGAGGAGGTTTTGTAGGGACGGTTCTGCTTCGCCAGCTTTGCGTTTGAGAGTCACGACCTTTTCAGAGGAAGAGGAACCAGAGGTGGATGGGCCAGCGGCACTTGTTGGGATCTTGGAGAACACTGCTCTGACGAGCGCCTCGTCCTCTTCCTCTAACCGTTTCCGCTCCTCTTCTTCTTCGTCCTCCACCTCTTTCATGTGCATCCTAGCCAACAACTCTTCAGATTGCCCAGCCCGTTCGATTCGCGCGTTCCGTGCACGAATGTCTTGTAGAGCATCAAGGATCTCCATTTCTCGTTTGGAGTCTAATGTACGGTTCTCCAGTGCTTTCATCGGGTTGTTTTCCTCTGCTTCGAGTTTGGCAAGTCGGTCTTCCTCCTCTTCTTGCTCTTGTTCTCGCCATGGTTCGAAATTGCGAGATGCACCGTGTTCGGCGGCGTAGTCTGTGTTCTTTGGGTCGGTTTTGAAGGTGATTTCGGCGGAGCATTGGGTGCTGTGAGGGTATTTGGGTCGGATTTATATCAAAGGGAGAGCGAAGAGGCGTACCATTTGATGTAGAACCTGAAGATTTTGATACCAAAGTAGTCCTCTCCCTCTACTGTTTCCTTGCGTGCGTTGAATTTCTTTCCCTTGTAGATGTATTCTCCGCAGGTATTACATCGCCTGTAGTGAGGTAAGTTAAAGCCTTGAGAGATAGAGGCAGACGCACATTGAGAATGGGGCCATGAGACGGACGACCTGCTGTGAGTTCCGAGGCACTTTACGCCTCGGAATGAGGTCTGGATCGAAGTCCGGGGGGAAGTATTTGTTGAGAACTGTAAACCATGTCAGTTTCTGAATACATTAGAGGGAGACTATGATAGTACTTGCCTTTGCGCTCGGACATGGTTGAAGGTTAGGTGACGGTAGAGGTGAGACAAGTGTTGATGACTCGCATCAATTTAGCTCCTGGACGCTTTACCGACGACCACCATGTCCCAACTCACGTTTTGGAAACCTGGCGCTATCGCACCGGGCAGCTCCCTGGATAGGGTTCCCGAGAATGAGAATCCCGTGCTTGGGTCTGCTCCAGAACTTTCGTCTTCGCCGTATGACCAGAGAACCAGGTTGCCCATTTACAAACATCGTGAGTTCAAACCACCTTAAAGGCAGCGTGTCGTTGACCGTTTGAGCAGGCGATAAACTGCTTTATAGTGTGGAGAAGTATGGTGTTACGATTATCGTTGGACAGACTGGGTGTGGAAAGACTACCCGTGAGTACCCTATCTTCTGGATCTTGCATTGGGTGCTAACACTTTTAGGCAGAGCTACCTCAGTTCTTGTATGAAGCCCAGTGGGCGAGTGATGGACGTGTTATTGCGTGTACCCAGCCTCGACGTGTTGCTGCGACTTCGGTTGCGACTCGAGTTGCGCAGGAAGTGGGGACGACCTTGGGGCATGAAGTGAGTGGTCCGCCTGGGCCTTTGCGAAGTGGCCTTTGCTAACGGCGTCTTTCTCAGGTTGGCTACACGATTCGGTTCGAGGATGTCAGTGATAAAGAGAGGACAAGGATCCTGTATCTCACGGACGGGATGCTGTTCCGAGAGTTGCTGGTGGACCCCTTGCTTTCGAGGTATAGCGTTATTATGGTGAGTGGCACTCTTTCGTCTCGTTACTTCTCTCGCTCAGGTAGGATAGGTGGACGAAGTACATGAACGCAGCGTGTATACCGACTTACTCTTAGGTATGCTCAAAAAGTACGTCTTTGACCCGGTTGCCCTTCGACATCGTTCTCAAAAAATGTGAACCAGAATTCGTCGGAAACGACCCGAACTTCGCCTCATTGTTTCGTCCGCCACAATGGACGCCGCCTACTTCTTGAATTACTTCACGAACGACACCTCGAGTGATGAGGCTACAGTCATTAGCTTGGAAGGGAGAATGTATCCGGTACAGGTTGCGTATATTGACGAACCTGTGCCGGATTATGTGCGTGCGGCTGCACAGTTGGCTTGGGATATTAATGTCCAGGTATGTCCTTTATAGGTTCATTGCTTCTAATTTCTGATTCAACGTTGTAGAGGCGCCCTGGTGACATTCTTATATTCCTCACGGGTAGGGAAGATATCGACCGCTGTTTGGACGAGCTATCAGAGCGGATACCACTGTAAGCCTTCTCCACTCGTTTGGTTGAGAGTACCGAGCCATAACTTCTAGCCAGACTGCCACCCAATGCACCGCGTATGATTCTTATACCGTTACATGCGGGTTTGACGACCGACGAACAACTGAAGGCGTTCCTGCCTGCCGAGAAGGGGACAAGGAAGATTATTGTTTCGACGAACATTGCCGAAGCGAGTGTCACTATTGACGGGATACGATACGTGATTGATTCGGGTTTTGTCAAGGTATTGTCACCAGCTTCATCAAACGGTGTTACCCAACACTGATTTTGGTTGCAGATACGTGTTTACAACCCCACAGCGTCAATGTCCTCACTGGTTGTCGTTCCCACCTCGAAAGCAGCGGCGACACAGCGCGCTGGCCGAGCGGGGCGAACGTCCAACGGTGTTTGCTACAGACTCTATACCCAAGCTGCATACGATGCTTTACCCGCTGCGACACCGCCTGAAATCAGTCGGACAGACTTGACGTCGCTCATTCTGCAATTAAAGGCCCTCGGTGTGGATGATTTGATGAAGTTTCCCTGGGTGACTCCACCGCCCGCGGAGAGCGTTCTGAGGGCGTTGGAAGCACTCAGTGCGTCTGGGTTGATTACGGATTCGGGTCATTTGACGCACACTGGGTCAAAGATCGCGGAATATCCGATCGAGCATAATATTGCGAAGATGGTTCGTTCCTTTTCTTCCCGGTTTCCGGATTGGAAACTAACCATGGTTGGCGTGTAGCTCTTCGCTTCGGAAGACTTCAAGTGCGGGGAGGAGATTTTGACAATCGCTGCAATGATTTCTGTTCAGGTGTGCTCCGGTATTTCCGTTTGTGTGATCCGGGACTAAATTTAATCAGAATGTATTTGTGATTCCGGATGGGGCACCCGGTGCTTTGGCCGAGTTGGAAAGAAGAAAATTCACTGCTGAGGAAGGCGTGGGTGGTTATCCAGTTTCAAAAATGTCACACACTGATAAGGATATATTCCAGGATCATCTTACTCTTCTCAATGGTGCGTCTCTGCTTGTTACTTGGGCCAATAGTTGTCTAACCAATGATATTAGCCTACAATGCATTTATCAGATATGGCCAATCATCTTCCTGGTGTAAATCTCATGCTCTCTCATTTAGGGCCATGTCCCGGGCTGTCTCCATCAGAGCTCAGCTCAAGAAATACATGATCCGGTTCAAACTCCCAATCATAAGTTGTGAAGGAGATGCAAAAAGGCTGAGGCAGTGCTTGGTTAGTGGATATTGGCAGAATAGTGCTAGGCTCCAACCAGATAGCACTTATTTGGCTACTCATGGGAACAAGGTATAATTTCAATTCTTTTGGGGACTGTAGTTCTAATGATATTGATTTATTGGACAGATCCTACATGTCCATCCTTCCTCTGTCCTGTTCAACAGATCCTCAAGACCAAAGTGGATTATTTATCATGAAATCACAGAAACTCAGCAAACACAGTATGTGTTGGGTTTCATCATATGAAATGTAGTACTAATGATTTTTTAGAGTCAATATTTTAACCGAGATTGATCCTGATTGGTATTGTTAGTATAATATTGTCGGTTATCTTTGCTAATTGATTATTCAGGCTACTTGACTATGGTTACAAGTATTCAATGAAGTAGGATACATCTTTACAGCTGCTATAACTAGAAGAAATTCTGTCCTTGGAATAAATTTAGAATAAAAATATAGTTATTGTTGTGAACAGCCGGTATAGCCCCTATTTCCATCTTATCTAATCTGTCTCGCATAGACTCTTTCACTCATGGAACACTGCCTCGTATTGCCCTTTGCTCTACTTCTATTGTTCTTATTGTTACACACTGCCTTCCAACTCATTCTGACGTCTTCTTGTTTCATGGTTGTTCCATCCTTGTTCTTCGTGCAGCCTCGTGATCTCTCTTATTGTTCTTTTATGTTTCACCATTTGTTTGTCATTCTGACTCATTGCAACTATGCAGACAGTAGAATAGGTATATGGTCTGCTCTGTATTTCCTCAGCTTGACCTCTTCGTCAATACATCGGCATAGCTTTCTGGTTTAACTCATGAGTCATTGCTCATTGCTCTCATCTCTCTTTCTCGCCGCTCTCCGCTCTCAGTTGCCCTTTGCTCTGGTTTAGCAACACCGATCGTTGTCCCTGCATCCCACCGTTACTCTGGTCTCTCTGGTCTCTCTGGTTGACCTGCCAATCAGGTCTCACTCCGGCAACCATCACCCTGTACCACTGTCAAGATTAGCTGTGTAGGAAGTCCGCACTTCTGCGCTCGAAACACTGACCCCGCCAATGACTGGATCTTCAACTACCACATCAGGAACAGCAACTTTGAGCAGTGTTTGCTTCAACCCTGTCTCGACAGGCCGAACGTTACTCTCTTCTGCCTACCCAGTCTCAGTGGCAGAAGATCTACGCGCTGCTAACAAAGGAGTCATAGCTACTCTGTGTACCAAGTCCAACGCCCATAAACTCCACGAAGCCCATCCGCCGTCTACACCCCTGTCCCAGGAACAGGAAGAAAGCAATGTCATCACTTCACCTGAAACCCCGCACAAAGCCTATCAGTCCGCCCCCACGTCCCCATCAGGAAGGATTGGTAACCTAGTTAGGTGTACCGACGCAAACGACGACGACAATGACCAAGTAGAAGAAGAAGAAGAAGTTGCCCAGGCCCTCAACCCGCAACCCACGCCCCAAACCTTCCAAGCCCTTCATACCGCCTTATCAACCATCCCTACCGACACTTACGCTCAACATCTCAAAGGTTACCCCACCCCCGTTCCCGCCTCCGCTTACACCACACACCCGATCCACCCACCCCTTCACACCACTCGGGAATCGGAGGGCACTACATCTGATCTCCAACGTGCAGAACAGACACCTCCTAAATCCCAACCAAATTCATTTATTCCACCTCACCCCAACACCACCAGCATTCTCAATCTCATGATGAACAACGAAACCCTTATTCAGCTGCTGCAGGAACAGCAACGCACCACTCAACGGATCCAGGAGGCCCTCGATAAACTCTTGAACAAGACTGCTTCCACCTGCAGCCCCGTCAAGGAGCCCGAACCTTTCAAGGGCCACCCATCTGACACTCATCACTTCCTCCAGTACTTCCATCTCAGTCACCCTGTCAGGGCTCGTGCAACCGCCGGGTCTCGATATGTACAACTACACCCTTCCTATACCCTCAACACCATTTGATATTTAGTGATGGACACGGGTTTTTGATACCCAGCGGGTTACGGGTACGGGTAAGTGCGGGTACGGGTACGGGTAAGGGTTGCCGTACCCGCGCCCTTCAAAACAAGCCCGAAAACGTCCAAAACGGCCATGAAATGGGCGGGTTACACTTGATTTAAGTAAATTGGCCACTTCAGCTTACCACTGTCCAACCACATCCTCTGGTCATTTCCTAGGGTCTTTTCCCTGACCCCTGGTTATGACCTGTCCAGGGGTGTCTGGGGTCCTAGTGGGTCATGTTCTCGGCACTCACATGGGATTGATGATAGGGTATTCCCAACACTATACTGATGCTACAGTATATATATATATATCCCCACAGTTGTTGTCTGATATACCCATAGATTACGATAATTGAATAGAAATATGTTGATCCATATCACTCTGGACAATGGTAGTACAAGGGTAGAAGAAAGCTGTCATGTAGCAGAAATGATCTATCCTTCTTAAATTGTTGTCAGAGTTAATTAGATTTGAGTATTAGTTGCAAAGACAAAGTGCAAATTAGGCAAGGCACTTCAGTCAGACGGGACACCCAGTCTCTTAGATGGGTGTCCGTGCCATTTCCAGAGGTCTTTGAGATAGGGCTGTCCTGGTCATTTCCCACCAATTTCCTGCCTGTTGGACGCTCTACCTTCCAGCTGTCCGACCACGTCCTCTAGTCATTTCCTGGGGTCATTTCCCTGACCCCTGGTCATGACCTGTCCAGGGGTGTCTGGGGTCCTCATGGGTCATATTCTCAGCACTAAAATGCAATTGAATTTATTGTTATTTAGCATAAACAGCAACATTATCATGCAAATTAATACAGTTGTAAATTACTTCTAGTATAGACTCAGAATTTATAGAATTATTGAACACCAAAGTAATTACTCAGCTATTGGGAAGCAAACCTGCAGTATAGTTGAGCTCACAATATAATCTATATATGGGACTAATAACATAGTGGAAAGCTTATCAAATTTGTGCAATTTTTCTATAAAATTGTGTGAGTCTGATCGAAGAAATGCTGGAAGAGTGACGACTAGGGAAATTTCCCACTGTGACTTACTCATTCGATTACTCATTCGTATAGCCTCACACAGCCTCTGTCACACTTACTATATTTAGATAGTTTATGTCACATTCATCACATACCCTGTACAGTATAAATACTGACCTCTGTGGTCTCTAATCGATAACTGTCTTACCACCAGTTTTACTAGCCACTAAGTTAGCCTCACTACATCTATCTCCTGGTAAGGTCTAGAGTACACACCTGTAGTATATACTGTTTGCTCGTCAGGTTATGAGCCCCAAAAGGCTTTAGCTTTGCGCTTCTATAGGCTGCATTGCTAAACTGGTTTGCGCTTCTATAGGCTGCATTGCTAAAACTGGTTTGCGCTTTGATAGGCTGCATCCAGGATCTGTGTTTGCGCTTCATCGCTGCATCACAGATTGCTCTAGGGCTTACCGACTTGAAGTTGTAATGATCTGCGCTGTTATCGGCTGCGATCAATGGGACTAAGGAGCACCATTTATGGCAGCACACTTACATTACCATGGGAACATTATGCTGATAATCGTCTTTTGACAGATCTCATCAAAATGTCCATCTCTGCCAACATTGACAACCATGTCATGCTCTTCAAGGGCGTCGACTACAATGTCTGGGCCGATCAGATGCAGACGTACCTCGAGTTCACTGGGTTATGGAACTACACCAGATCCTCATCCCAGTTGGCCATCGATCCCGGTGAGAGCGCCTCCAACAAGGAGAAGAGCTCGTACCGTGCTGAACTCAACAAGTATAACGAGGGAACCACAAAGTGCATGGGTGCCGTGAGGCTTCGCCTCCACCCAGACATCTGGAACCATCCCGATATCAAGGGGTGCGTCAGTCCCTTTACTCTTTGGAGTAAAATCCAAGAGTTGTATGGGAAACCCGGTCTTTCAGTCATTTACTCTGACTTCAAGCAAGCAATCAATTTCGCATGGGATGGGAATCTCGATCCTTGTTCTGAGATTGTGTGCTTCCAAGTCATTCTCTCTCGCTTGATTGCCAACAAAGTTGAGCTTCCCGAATTCGTCAAGGGAATGCTCCTTTTGTCGTCACTTCCTCAGAAGTACAATAACGTAGTCAGCCTCGCGTTGCAGACTTTGAAGGACATGAAGGACATCAAAGTCGATGCCATCATTCCTCTTATCATCACTGAGCATGAGAGGAAGTCCACCAAACTGTCTGTCAACAAGGCAACTCGCGTCAAGCAGAAGAAGAGTAACCCCAAGTACAAGGACCAAAAGAAGCAGTCTGATGCGCCTCAGACTGAGCAGCAAGGACAGTCCAAATCCAACAAGGATAAGAAGAAGACCAAGCACGGCAAGTCTTCTGGCAAGAACAAGCAACACGAGCACATTCACGCCGCCGTCGCTGACTCTGATTCCAATTCCGATGGACCCTCCTACAGTCCCCAACGCTCAAAAGTGGCCTCTTGGCACGCGGAAACTCCCTTACCTAACTAGTCTCCCACACTGGACTAGAAAAGTCCGAAAACCATCGGAATCGACTCAATTTCGAAAGTACTTTTGTTTCTACTCGACCCTTTTCACTCTCGACAACTTTAAGAAATTTCGACCCTTCGTAAATGTGAACAACGCCAAGACTTTCCTTATTAGGAAGGTCTTATCTGTAGATAAGATAACGAAATGTCTACCAGTGCCGCCGAGGCCTAGTTGAGAAGCATATTGACGTTTTTGTAGATTGTCTTTCCAATTTTACAGTGGGACTTGTATTTCCGAACTGCGTATTCGGCCTGGGCAGCATTAAGACCGTTGCTAGAAGTCATTTAGTTAGTCCCAAGTGGAATGGTAATGAAAAAGTGCCTCTACTCACCGGTAAGCATCCATATATCTCCAGGTCTTGCGGAAGAAAGCCCGGATAGTCTTGGTTTCAATGGAATCCAAGAGATCGGGCACTCAACTTGTTCCGATTCTTGATGGCACCAACTATCGAGAATGGAAGCCGCTCGCCATCGCTTATCTCCAATTTGCTGGCGTGTGGGATGTTGTTGATGGGACCAATCCGGAGCCTTCTGATCTTCCCCCTGATGCCAAGGAGGAAGACAAAGAAGCTCGCCGGAAGGAGCAAAGGGCATGGCTCGAGAAGAATATGACTGCTAAAGGTGCCCTCACCTTACGCATGACACCTGCCATTCGCTTGACCATCCAGTCAAACCAACTGGCTCAAACCATTTGGACGAAGTTGGAGGAAAGTTATGGTACTCCAGGGGCATCCGTGGTCTTTGCCGATTTCCGGAAGGCTATCGCTTTCAAGCTTTCGGAAAATGAAAATCCGGTACCACAAATGGATGATCTCCGATCAGTCTTTGATCGACTTCACGCCAATGGTGTCAGAATGCCTGACTTCTTCCAAGCCATGATCCTGATCAACGCAATTCCCCAGAAATGGGACAGCATTGCGGTTCTGTTGATGCAGAACAAAAGTCAGGAACTCAATTGGCTGATGTGGCCGAAACCACCCACTCCGGGGGGAGGAAAAAAGAAAAAGTTTCCCCAAATTTCAGGGGTTCCGTTTCCAGCCCAACAAGATGTCAGCGATCAAGCGGAAGAAGGGTAACCCCAACTTCAAGCAGCAGAAGCAGCAGCAGTCGTCTTCTAACTCGCCTACCCAAGGACAGCAAGGACAGTCTTCTAACGACAAGAAGAAGTCCAAGCGTGGGAAGTCGTCCGGAAAGAAGAAGCAACACCATCACCATCATCACACTCACATGGTTGACGCTGATTCTGATTCTGATTCTGATGACTCCTCCCAAATTGCTTCCGCTGTCGTCCTTGGCTCCCACATCATCTCGGCTCACCATCACACTCCTACTCCCACTACTACCTCCGTCGCTTCGTTTACCTCGTCCGGCATCAAGGTCAACAAAGTCCCTGTCAATCTTCCGGCTCAAGCTTACACCCCCGCTACTGCCGAGAAGATCAACGATCCCAGGACTCATCCAGTTTATCCGGACTTGGCACAGGCTCAGGAGATCTGCGATCAGCTTCACGTTCCTCGCACTGCCAAAAATCTCCGACCTCTCATGGATTTTCCCGTTAAGAAGTCACTCGAAGATCGTCTCAAATCACCTCCTCCTGCCAAACGTGCTCGTTCCGAGTCTCCTCTCTTTACAGACTCCGACAACGATGACACAGTCTCACTTGGCATGGATACCGATGACGAACCCGACTTCAAGGCGGACACGGAGATTGAGGACACAGTCATGGAACTCGACACCGGACACATCAACGAACAAAGGTGTGTGTCATCCCGTCGGCTGAACGAACAACTTGCTGATCTCACACAGCGCTCTATTCTAATCGATGCTGCTGTATTACGTGATGATCTGTATATGGACTTATGTATTGCTTTGAATTACCTCGCTCGGCAATATATGTCTATTTCCTCGTTCTTTGCGAGTTGTTCTGAATGCCATTCTCCATTCCATGGGTATGACGTCTGGATGATGGACTCCGGTTGTTCTATGCACGTCACTAGTGATGAGACCGATTTCGCATCCTATACTCCATTAAGAAATTCGCCCGAAATTCGCACAGCTGATAAAAAGGCTACTCTTCGTTGGGCTGGAGTTGGATCCGTCTTCATCAAACACATGGTGAAAGATTCTCATGGGAAATATCAAGAAGTCAGGACTCGTCTATATCCTGTCTATCATGTCCCCAACCTACATGGACGACTACTCTCGCTATGGGAGAGTTTCTTCAACAACGTCGGACATTACATTCACGTGTGATAACAAATCGATCGGCATCTATAAGCCCGATCAATCTCAAGCTATCGTTTGCCGTCCGGCTATACCCGGTCACACCATTTTCTGGGTTAAGACTCGGATCACTTCCGTAAAGAGTCTAGCGGCAAAACAGCTCTCGATGGTTTATTCCGTCGACTACCAAACCATGCATCGACGCTTTGGGCACCCCTCAAAGGAAGTGCTTGAGAAAGCGAAGGGACATACCAAGGGTTTCCCACAGAATGTCTCTGTACCCGAAAAGATGTCTCCCTGTAAGGGATGTCATGAGGGAAAGATGCCATCAAAATCGTTCCCACCATCAACTTCTCGTGCAAAGAAGCCTTTTGAGAAGATTCACTCTGATCTTAAGAGCTTCCCGGTAGAATCCTATCACCGGTACAAGTACTTCATCGCTTTCTTCGATGACTATACCTCCCACGGTTGGATCGTCCTTCTCCGAAAGAAGGATGATGCCATCAAGGCCTTACGCGACTTCGTTGCTATGGTCAAGACCCAATTTAACGCCTCCATCAAAGAGTGGATGTCGGATGGAGGGGGAGAATTTAAGTCCGAAGAATTCGATAACGCACTGAAGGAACTTGGCATCAAAATCCTACAGAGCATTCCGCGTCAGCCCCAACAAAACGGCAGGGCTGAGCGTTTTATCAGGACAATTATGGATAAGGCCCAGGCACTTCGCTTTGACGCCTGTCTTCCTGAGTCCTGGTGGGAATTCTCAGTGTCACATGCTGTGCATCTCTACAATCGCACACCTGTCAGACATCTTAAGTGGAAAACTCTGTATGAGCTATTACACAAGAATAGTGAAGGACCACAAGAAGGTCCCTGACATCTCGCACTTACGTGTCTTTGGTTGTGGCGCTTACGTCTACCTTCCCGAAGAAGTCCGAAAGAACAAACTATCACCCAAATCTGAACTTATGGTGTTCTTAGGATATCCTGAGGGAATGAAGGGTTATCTCTTCATGCGCTTACACAACAACAGTCTCTTCCGAGGCGCTACGGCTGTCTTTGATGAGACTTACTTCCTGAAGTGTCCTGGTGCACAACCTCAACGAGGTGGCGTTCGTGCCGGCGACGAACCACCTCCACCATCGGATCGCGGAGATGACAACATTTCTCCTGAAGGAGGTGACGATGATGACTTTGTCCATCGTCCCAACTCCCAAAATGATGACCTTCCCCAAAGGGATCGAGGGGGAGATCGTGACGACGATCAACCTCAAGATCCGCCGCCACCTGCCCTGGGAGATCAACCAGAGGAACCACTGGCTCCGGAACCCACAACTGGACCAACCTCGAAGATCTGGCCGTGAGCGGAGAACTGTTACTCGTCCAGGCTCCATTTATGGGGATAAAACCCCTTCACAAATTGATGCTCAATCGCAGCGTGATTGGAGAAAGACTGTTGGAGATACCGAGCGAAGGCCTGCCGGTTATCACAAGTCTAGAACGCAAGATGAGGTTCCCAGACCAAATCCTGCCGATAGTCCAAATCGCGATAGTGGCACTGCTGATGAGTGTGGAGACCTAGAGAAACGATTGGCCCGATTGGTCAGGGAAGGGGGAGTAGAGTTTATCACATACTTGCTTTCTAAGGCAGTTTCGCCCGATAAACCCCTTCAGAAGTCGCCACGTGAATACACATTCCGTGACATCCAAAAACTTCCGCCTAAACAGCGTGAGAAATGGTTAGCTGCTTGCAAGCTGGAGATTGAGGCACTCCAGAAGCACGGCGTCTATATCCTCGTGACTCTGCCTGCTGGCCGTAAAGCGATCAAATGCCGATGGGTGTTCGACGTCAAACCAGACGGTCGACTTAGAGCCAGACTTGTCGCCAAGGGTTTCTCCCAAGTTGAAGGTGTTGACTTCAACGAAATCTTCTCTCCTGTGGTTTGTTATGAATCAGTTGGCACGATGCTTGCCGGTCGCTGCACTCGAAGGCTGGTATGTCACCGCCGTCGATGTCAAGAATGCCTTTCTCTATGGCAAACTTGAAGAGGAGATCTATATGGAACAACCCGAAGGCTTTAAGGTACCTGGTCAGGAGCATAAAGTGTTCTGGCTGCTCCGAGCTATCTACGGTCTCAAACAAGCTTCCAACTCCTGGTACAAGGAACTTGTAGAGTCTGCCAAGCTTCTTGGCTTTAGACGACTTTCGACCGATACCGGAATCTTTATTTTCCAGGAGAAAGATGGCAACTTCGTCATCATGATCGCATACGTCGATGACATCCTGTTCATGGGACCCTCCAAGCGACTTGTCAATCAAAAGAAAGATGAGTCGATGAGCGCGGGAGTGAGTTTCAAGTGTCCCGTAAGCTCAACGATAAAATTGGAAACCATTTGGGAGCGCCCAGCACCCTTTTTACGTAGGGGCAGTGCTGGTTGCTTCCCATCGATTCCCTTGGTCTGTACCCAAACACGTTGGCGAAGATCATTTGTTCGAAAAATGCTTTCATCTTGAAAGACGGGAATATGGCACTTTTCACCAGGCCGCAGGTTGGGAGGTGTTGGTTCAAGGGTCTTGTCGTCGTACGTGTATCTTAGGCTTAGAATAGAATAATCAGAATTATATTCCAGTTGACGTTCAGTGAATCACGCACTGTTCGTCTTTTTTAAGCTCATCGAGTAGGGTTGTTCGCACCTTTACCACGTCTGGACGCTCATGACCATCAACGTAAACGCCTT